AGCTCGCTTTGTAGCTGTTATGCGACTTCATCGTCACTTGCTCCATTATCCTACGACGTTTCTACGGTTTCAGGGGTCTGATCCCCTACTTGCTGCGTTTCCTACTGCGTCTCCACCCCCTGATCTGACCCAAAAACCTCGTTTGGTGGTGTTGGTAGGAGTGGCACATCTTCTAGGAAAGCACCTAGGATTTCTATAGGACTTACTGATACAATCCGCCTTTCTGGCGTCGGCGATGGGGTTCTTGCTATATCTTTATGGCGTTCCATTTGTTATGGTGGGGTTTCTACCTGCTAAGGAGTATTGGTTTCATCCTCCTGCGGTTTGCTACGTGGTAGCTCGACTTGCTAGTGTTAGTCTTAGTGAGAATCTGCGGTTTGAGTAGCTTGCTGATGGTTTTCAGTTGTTGTATGCTGCTCCCGATGCGTTTCCTCTGGCTCCTGATGCTCCTCCTGACTTCTTGCTGTCGATATTCGCTGGTAAAGCTTAAGGGTTTCATCTGTATCAAGCATATATGGTTCCTGGATAATTGGCATTGGCAATTGTTGATATCGCTCGAACCTAGGTGTGTACTTGCGGCTCTCGTCAAACACCGCATCTCTAACAACCTACACTCTTCTAGTATGTGGGAACTAGATTTTCTAGATATTTGATGCCACGAAGCCTACTAGAAAGCCAATCTCGGCTCTCGGTGCCATCTTATCAGATTGCACTTGCTTCTGTATCCGATAGTAAGTCAAAGTGCCATACAATTTAACGTTTGCTAGGTTGATTCTCGGCATCTCGTTGCCCGCGAATTCGCGTCGAACCTCTTCCCACGGCATAATCCAGCGTTTCTTATCGTTCACGAAGGTGGGTGTACGGTTCAGCAACCATACTATAGCACTTGCTGCCTCTGGCTAGAGACCTTTAGGTAACTGGCCCTCGACGATAAGCATACGCATACGTGTGATGATTGTTCCACCTACACGCTCGCTGTATCCATTCATCTCTGGATGTCCCGGGGGAGAGTGATAGATAATGATGCCCTCTTTGGAGATAGATCGTTCGGCGGTGCTTCCTACCGAAGTCTCGTTGTCATATATAAACACCTTAATTGGCAAGTTCCACCAATTCTTAGCAAGTGCTATAAACTTGTCGATAGCAAGCTGACACTCTAGCTTTAGTTTATGTGTTATGATCTAGTGAAATCGCACTCCCTCGATATAGAAGTGTGACATCCATCTATGTCTGTTTTCTGCTAGCTGGATCTGTATTAGGTCGAAATAAATTCTTCTAAATCTTCTAAACGTGCGTCTAATTAGTCGGCGAGAGATTTGTCGAGGTGCTCTTACTAGGTTGTAGACTCGGCAAGGTGAGTTGACTTCTTTATCCTTGTTATCCTCTGTGATCTCGATGCTATCTACCATTTGCTTAGCTTACTTAATCGCATCTGTGTTGATATGCGCTAGACGGCGATGCCATAGTTCTATAGATCCTTTCGCTTTCTGTGGTCTCTCTGACTTTCTGGTTATTGCATTGACACTGTTGTGGCTTGGCAAGTCGAATACCCACAGATCTAGGTCTACTAGCTGCAATTTCGCGATTTGTAGGTTGTTTGGGTCGACGATGGTATCTATATCTTGACACCATTTCACACTAAGTCGCCTTATTTTTGCATATGAAACTAGGTTAGTATAGCACCCTAGGACATACAAGGCGTTGGTAAGACGTATAATTCGTTGCTTACCGGTTTATAGATCTCTTACAGCAAGTCTTACTGTTCTAATCCCCTCACCCTTAGTGATTGAGTTACCAGTTGCTAACTCTGTTTGGTATGGGGTTATAGTTTCGAACCAGCCCTTATTGTTGCACATATGCACACTTGATCCACAGTTAAGGATCTATCGGTTTTTGAGATCAGGCATTTGCTTAATTCTCTTATCGACTGGCTTGACATAGTAGATGGGAGTTCTTTCTGCTGGTTTGCTAGTATGGGCTTGCTGCACCTGGTTGCTCTCTGCTAAGGGCACTTGTATGGTTGCAAGTGTTACTATTGGTGGATGAGCGCTAACGTCAGGCTGTACCGTTGTGAAATCCGCCGTTTCCTTAGGCGTTGAACGTTCTTTGTCCTTCCTTACTTCCTCGTTAATCCACTTACGCCATTCTAGCTCTACGGTAAGAAGCTTCTTAATTCTTTTCTTCGTGGCTTCCCTGATAGTGAAGTCCGAAGGTATCAGATCAGGGCGTATATAGTAGTAAGTTGCTACTCTATGACGTGGGTGTGTGTTTCCATATAGGCAGGACCGTTCGTGAAACGGGGTCTCTACAGTCTGCTTTGGCTTCTTAGACTTTGCAGCAGAGATTGTTGCCACTTGCTGTGAAGCTTCCTTATGCCCTTGCTAGGTTGAGAAGGAGGCCTTTGGTGCTGACAGTGATGGTTTAGCACCTGTTTCGCGGTAGATACTACGAAAGGACTCGATAAGCTGATTGATATCACGCTTCTCTTCATTAAGGATGATAGTAGTGTATTCCGCTTGCTACCACATTGGCAGGACTTCCTTCACAGCCTTGATGAAGTAACGTACTGCATCTTTATTATCAACCCTGATGCCGACGCTAATGACTTCTTGCCGCAGTGTGTCCCACTTGTCGATCCATTGGTCGACATCCTTCCCGGGTTTCTGCGATGCAAGTTGCTCCCACTTGTCGCGCAGCTCTTCCTTATAAGAGTTGCTTCTTGCGAACCGTGTTTTCAGCGCTATAAGCACATCATACGGGGTTTCTTTGGTGATGACGGAGCGATGATACTTACTGTCAAGGGTGGCAAAGATATATTCGTATACATCATTCAATCCCTTGGTCTACTTCTCATACTTCGAGAGAGCAAGCTTATAGACATCGAAGCGGTCTCGCCACTTGCGGGTCTCCTTATCATCTCCGTCTTCTGGGTATTCTGGTTCTACCGGCTCCGTACTGCGCTTAGGGAGTGCATCCTCATTGACTTCTGGATTGTATAGCTCCCAAACCGCGCGCAGTTAGGCGAAGCGCCTGGTTTTTGCGTACCAAGTGCTCCATTGAGCTGGTTCACGAAGTTTATCGCCCTTTATAGCGGAGAGTGTTGACGCATCCATGCTTGCTGAAGTGTAGTGATCACTTGCTGTATCGCTTGCTAGCGAGGATGGGGTATGGGTGTGTTGGCGTTGCAGAAGATACACAATCGGTGGTTCAAAAGGGGTTCTGAACCAGCAAGTGGTCGATTTATGGTTATCAGATGATCTGATTGCTGTAATAGATGTGTTTTTCTGGTTCAGAAATGGCTATTCGGGCTCATAACTATGAAATACAACTTGGTGCTGGCCAATCAGGTGATGTCAATAACTCTGGTTTCCATTACCCCTAATTCTGGCAATTTATATATAGGTGTAATTTACTTGCTGAATAATGAACAAACACGACAAACAAGTGGGCCTGCTTTCTCAGGCTTCCGACATACCTTAATTGTTTCAGCGTGTTGTTTCTTTCTTTCTTCTTCTTTCTTTCTTTCTTTCCCCATGTTTAGTATTCTAGTTGAATGCACTCTTTTTCATCAAGACTTGGCTCGTAACAAAAGGAACATTTTAATAGCATCCATATGGTGAGTTCTCTACCTGTGAATATGAAAATTGCCTGATTCGCAAAACGAATAAATATGTTCGAATAGACCGCAGGAACTTGTGGCATAGAAAATTAGACAACGTGTATAATGATGCATAAATCCCCCACTGAACGAAAAAGCTATCAGACTTGAAGATAGCATCTTTCATACAAAGAATAATCATAAAATTCACGCTGCTTATCATGAATACCTCGGCAAACCTCGCCATGAAGGGGCCTAGGGCCAAGGAGTATAAGTTGAAGGGGCGAATCTGCCGCTCTCTTCGGTGTTCATCTTGCGAAATATCACAATATGACACAGTTCAAGTTACTAATCCAATCAAATGAAAATCGTTATTACACGCCAATATCTAAGCAATGTTTCTCATGGAGATCATACAACAGGGCAATGGAATATGAAGATATGAATATTGCATTGCGGACGGAGGAGATGAAATAGAGAGAGAGAGCGAGAGATCTATTTATCTACTCATCAATGGGAGACTATCCCCATATGGGATGTCACCTGACATCCCCAACCATTTCACTTATCTTCTAAGTTCTAAGATTGGTTAAAATGTGGAGGATATAGTTCGAAGAATAGTATAGAAATTCATAGGAAATTATGTAATACGTCTAGTGTTAAAGAATATGATAGTATCGGCGTGGATGTGATATTGAGTCGGAACTGCCGAGTTAAAAACTGCCGAGTCGAAAACTGCCTAGGTGTTGCTAGGGGCTATGGTTGGATTAAATAAACTGGAGTGGATTCCGCTTGACCGCCTGAGTGTGAAAGTTCAAGACTTGAAACAAAGTCAAGAAATGCCGTAAACTACTTGCCTAGCATAGGTAGCACTTCATCTGTGGATCCTTCGGGCCCACTAATCTCGCTAATGCAGGCATTAACCGTCCGAAGCATGCGGGGCTAAGAGCCTTACTACTTACTCTAGATATTGACTTGGATTAGACACGAAGCGTCGAGAGTATTATAGGCTCCAATGATAAAAAATAGCTAAGGTCCCATTATCATAGACCTCGGGAGGGCGTATGCGCTCATCACGAGATGATAGAATGTACTTTTATGTGCAAGATGCCATTTCTGAGATGCTTCACTACTTTTGGTGGACAAAGAAGTGTATTGCATATCCAATATACCAATTCTCAAGCGACTTCTAAAATTTTTCATACAACCGAAATTTTGATGGACTTCAAGAGTAGGATATACTTAGTAGAGCCAGTTATATACCAGCAAGCTTTTACTGGACAGTCGTCGCAACGCATTGCTCGCCCCGATGGGGTTCCTTGCAGTTGTAGTCTTTCTGAGTGTTGGATTTAGTCATTTCAAAGGCCATGTTGTTTCGTGCAGTGGCCTGTGTATCAGAACCATGGCAGGACACAAAGAAACTGAGGAATTAAGGGGAATAAGTGTTGACCATGCCACCAGTGAATATCGTGCCAGCGGGGTTGATGAAAGCAAAAATACTCTTACGCGAGAGCAGGGGATGACCAGTGCCAGCCTCAAGGCAAATTTTGCTGTCAACAACACCAACGATTGCGGTGACATCGCCGGCTGCACCACGCGCGATAGCATAGCAAATGGTGTTAATCTGAAAGTTTCTCAGGCCCTGGCCTCGCTCATTGAAAGCTGTAATTGCTCTTGACCCCTTGGCACCGATGGTCACTATAACTATCAGGCCAATTACATTTGAGTAGTGTCACTTTTCTAGTAAAGATCATATCACTGCTAACGTAGGCCAACTCGAAGACTACTAATTTCCAACCCAATTGGTTTGACGAAGCCGAGTGTCAAAAGAAGAGGCATTCAATTCGCTTTACATGGGCTTTGAAAAAGTATTAGTGAGTAATGAATTGGAGTGAACCTGAGGCATATGATGAAAAGCTAGTCAGCTCAAACATTGGGAAGTTGATGGATCTTGGTGAAGATGAGTAGATGGGGCCGATCTACAGTACTCCGTAGTGGCATCCTATTAAGCTGCTGCCACCACCACTGTAGGTAGAAGGCAGCTACCGTGACTACAACTAGCTGCGCCTACTTGCATAGTTAGAGTGATTATCACAGTTGTACCTCAATTCAAGATCTCGACTTCGACGAGGGGTCAAGGTAAATGAACTACAAACACAAATACTGTACTACCCCTTTTCATTTCTTTTCATATTTTGCACTATCTAATTTCGGTATCTCTCCTTTTCATGATTGGAGGAGATTCGGGATCCGTCCGGGGTCATGGCGCGGGGTAGTGACCGTCCGGGGTAGATCTGGCCGAGCCCATAGCCCGCGGATGAGATGACACCGAGCCTTGTCCGACTCTGGCGTTCGTCAGGTTCTTTAAAGATCGATACTATTTATTTTGAATCCTGCATGTCCAACTGCCCCCCACCGAGGATTGTATTCTACAGAGATAGAGGGAACAAGCATCATAAGCGTCCGACTTCATGTTCTGAGGCCAGCGTCCGACTTCATGTTCTGAGGCCAGCGTTCGAAGACATTCTGAATGGGTCACGTTTACTGAACATATCATTACGGTACTCGATACCCGGGCCCAAGCACAGCACTAACTAATAATTAGCGCTTATCCTGTCCCAGCTCCTCGGTTAAATACACTTGCTTATTATGATAGGCTCAATAGAATTGAACTACTCTGACAGGGAATCAAGGGGGTTGGATTTCAGAGTGCACAACAAGACAAAGCCTGGGACGGAGCACAGGCATGACTCGCACTAATTGAAGGAGGGATAATTCTGGACTCTCCCCTACAACCCAAATCAGGAATTTCTCCGGCGAATGGAACGCCACATCTAGACGCACACCACCACATCAGCAGACCCCGCAAATACCCCAGTAAATTCCTCCCGCCTGGTACCTATCAGATTACTTCGCTCAATAAGAGCCCACCATAATCAAGTGACACTGCTACCGTAATGCCCGGAAAATGACCCTCATGAGTGGAGATGCTGGGCTGAGGAGGTCAAGGTCCGGAGTAAGCTTTAATCAATTGAGCTAAGGTTTGTCGCAAGTATAAAGATCTGAAACCCCCAGTCGTGCCTGCCTCTTTTTCATTCACCCGTTTCTCGCAGAAATCGTCAAGATGAATAACGACATCACAGAGAAGCAGACCTCAGCGTCGGAGGTCGAGGCGCAGCCAACCTCCGTGGGCGGACATGGTTACGATGTCGGCGAGAAGGTCGACTACGACAGAGCGGGCGCCATCGAGGCCGAGGAGGTCGAACATAATATGACTGTGCTTCAGGCTGTCAAGGCCTATCCCGCTGCCAGCTGGTGGGCATTCGTGATGTCATGCACCATTGTAAGCTCTTGCCCGTGATAGGCAGATCATTTCTCTAACGTTGCGATAGATCATGGAGTCATACTGTGTTTTTTTAATGGGACAATTCATAGCCACAAAAAAATTCGCCGAGGATTTTGGTGTATACAGCGAAACAACAGGAGAGTGGATTATTGAAGCTTCATGGCAGTCTGCATTCCAGTGTAGCGGGCCAATCGGTGCCTTCATTGGTGTATTCGTCGCAGGTCCCATTACCAGTTGGATTGGATATCGATGGGCAACCATTGGCGGTCTCATGTTCTTGAACGGCTTCATCTTCATCTTCTTTTTCGGCAACAGCCAGGGGATGTTTTTCGCGTCCCAGATCCTGGAAGGAATTCCGTGGGGCATTTTTATCGCCAATGCCCCCGCCTACTGTGCCGAAATCGTGCCAATGAGATTGAGAGCTCCAGCAACGCAGATGTTGCAGATGTTCTGGGCGATTGGGTCGATCATAGTGGGGGGTATAACTTATCACTACCAGTCCAAGCTTGACTCTTCAGCGTACAGGTTCGTCCGCTCCCATAGATGCCGTCGAGCAGCATTGTCCTAACAATCATTTCAGAGTTCCCATTGCACTCCAGTGGATTTTCCCTACTCCCCTTGCTATCCTACTCTTCCTTGCGCCTGAATCGCCCTGGTGGCTCGTACGAAAGGGCCGTCTAGCTGAGGCAGAGAGGGCTGTCAAACGCCTTGGACGCGCAAGTGCAAATGATAATCCCGCTGATGCAGTCGCAATGATGCGTCGCACGATCGAACTCGAGAAGACTGAGAAGAAGCCCAGTCTCGCTGAACTGTGGAAAGGTACCGATCGCTACCGCACATTGATTGTGTGCGGTGTCTACGCATCTCAGAATCTGACGGGCAATCTGATTGCTAACCAAGCGGTTTACTTTTTCAAGCGTGAGTCCAGCCATGTCCTGCAACCTTATAGCAGACTAACACTAGCCCAGAGGCCGGAATGGCAGACAACACCGCATTTGCACTTGGCCTCATCACTTCTGCCCTCCAGTGGATAATGGTCATGCTCTCTTGGGTCCTCACCACATACCTCGGCCGACGCACCATCTATGTCTATGGTCAATTCATCAACTGTGCATTCTTGATCGCGCTCGGTATTGCGGCTTCATGTGGCGCTAGTAATGCGGCTAGCAACGCGCAAGCATCACTTGGCTTGATCGTCTCCGTCCTGTTCTGCTTGGGACCCGCCCCTGCCTCATGGGTCATCATTGGCGAGACATCTTCCGTTCGTCTCAGGCCACTGACAACCGGTATTGGACGAGGTGCCTACTACTTGGTCAATATTCCTTGCATTTTCCTTTCCAGCTACATGCTCAACACTGATAAGTGGAACCTGGGCGGCAAGAGCGGCTACATCTGGGCTGGTACCGCCTTTTTCTGCACCGTCATGTCCTGGATCTGGATTCCAGAGATGAAGCACAGGTCCTTCCGCGAGATCGACATTATGTTCCGGCGTCATGTCCCGGCTCGCAAATGGAAGAAGACAATTATCGATATCCGCGATGATGAGTAGATGGAAATTGCTCTTCGGAGACGCCTGGGTGGTACTCTTTGTGCAGGAATGGGTGGTAGCAATGGGTTGCTTACTAGATACTGACAGGTAATTATTTCCAAAGATGAATTGAAGGGTGAGGATCACGGCGGAATGTACTGAATCCTCTACTCTCGTCGGTAATAACTGCTACTGTATCAGGCTTGCTTTTGGTATGACTGATTTAAGAAGCTACTACCACGTTATCCCGACAGAGCAGGATAGCTGAGTAACATATAGTAATAAAGCATTTTACGGAAAATATAACACATGTATTTCATTCATAATTCATAACCCGTTTTCTAATGCCAAGAATCCAGAACACCTACTATGTACATTGGGCTAGAACAGTGAGAATCATGCTATTGTGGAGAATTTGCAGACCTCCGCGGATGCACTGAGGAGGTTTGTACTCTTGGACGGAGAGGATGCGGACCCAAGGTACCTTCTTGTTGGGGATGTCAGGTGACATCCCACATTGGGAAAGTCTCCCATGGAGTAGATAGATAGATATCTCTCGCTCTCTCTCTCTCTCTCTCCTTCTCTCCTCCGTCCGCAGTACAATATTCACATCTTCATATTCTATTGCCCTTGTATGATCTCCATGACTTCCGCAGTCCGCAAATGCGGATGTGCCGCAGCCTAGGGGGTGTATCAATCCCCTATAACTATTATTGATTTGAATGGCAACGCATGATGACAAAGAAGAAGCATACCAAGCGCAGCCACAGGATCGGCTTGCGTGACCACCCTTAATTTCTCTTAGTATGCCGGGATGACGTTGTGTATGATCAGTTTCATGGCGGATAACATCGCACTGGAAATGAAATGAAGAGATTTTGATGTGTCTCGGCAGCATATGAAGCCCTCACCCGAACTTCAAGTTGCACTTTATGATCCATTTTCCGGCGGGTGTGCGATCGCATTTCATGCCACGATCTGGTCCGCCCTCCCGCGTGTTTCGAAAGGTCCCAGACCGGGCCTCAGTTGTTTCCTCTGGACAAACCACTGTCAGTTGCCACTTGCATTTTCACACACAACTTTCTATATCCTATCCAACGCCCATAACAGCAGGGTGTCTTCCATAAAAGCGCTCCAAACGGAACCCTCCAGCGTTATAGTAACATCCCAAGGGGTTTCATCATGATTCAAACTTTCCGCATCATTATCATCTCCTATCCTATTGCTACCACAGGTTGACATGATATCACAGATACCATGGTACATTTCTGACTGCACATCAAACCTGCTGGCTCTGCCCATCTCCGGGCCAAAATCCAGACCGTCAATGTCTAGGTGTATCAAGCTGCTCACTGTCATATCGGTGACTCTCATACTAGTTGCCTCCCAGTCAGATTGCTCTCGAAGTTAAGAGACTAGCCCTCTAACGTAATTATCCTGGTCGAGAAGCTTCAATTCTTTTCAGATCCACAGAGACAAACTCGTGAGCTCCTTCAGATCTGCATGTATGGGAGTTGTTGCGCATGTTGAGGTCGAGAGATCTGTTGGAGGATCAACATTGACGACCGGTGGGATGATGCAATTTCCGAGATAGCTTTCCGGAAGATTAGGTCGGAATTTTCTGCGCAGATTTACCGGCACCGCTAGTGATGAAGTGGGGCTGTTGCTTTGCCCGTTTCGCCGAGCTCAGTTCATATAGGTGGCAAGTAATGCCGGCAGGACGTCGTTACTGGAAATGGCTGGGTCCTGGTCGGTGGACCTGGCGGTAATATACGCATCCTTCAAAGCTCGGACCTTGGAGGCTGGAAACGAGAATCGTTGGCTGGTGACCTTCTTGTCGAGGCCTGGAATAATTCTGTTAGATTCAAATATTTGGCTGAAAGCCTCTGTATTAGAATCAGAAAATGGAATTGCATTGTCAAGAATGATCTGTCTCGAGGATGCTTCCTTTGCACAGGTAGTTGGCAGAAAAGGTGGGAGATCCGTCGCTGAATTGGCAAAGCAGCATGTTGCGAACATTTTCAGAACGTTTCAAACCCCGCTTCCATCTACAACAACGTGATTAAGTGTCATGCATAGCAAGATACTATCTGGGAATACGTCTGCCTGGAATTGGCCAATATGGCTTGGCTGATCTGCTGGGATCATGACAGCTCAAGGGGTCCAAGAGTCGTTGAGCCTGAGCGACACTGACGGCCCTGGAGAACAGGTTGTCTTGAAGGTGGTATCCGAGTGGTACTTGATTTGCAGCATCGGGATCCGTTTTAGTGATTCTAAACAAGGTTGTATTTCCTTCAAGTTGCGCTTGCCAGGCAATTTGGAGGAAGAAACCCTCGCACCTGCTAAGAATGGGAGGGCATATGTCAACATCTCCACACCATGATTGAGTGCTGCAACGGCGGCATTTGGGTCATTCTGCTAAGATGCATAACGGCCAAAGGCCCAATGCCTGATTTCATGGTATTAGTCAGCCTGCGGAATTCCCTGAACAATAAGAAAGAGGTCTACTTGCTTGTACAGCACTTCGATGGCTCCGGCCATTCGTCCTTCTCTTTCAATAGGAGGTGCTGCTCGCTGGTTGAAGTGCGCTAATTACAGCATACCTATAACAAGGTCAACATTCATAAGGCTCACTCTTGAGGCTCACTGGTCTTGATGTACGCTCTCATTTAATGTCACATGTGCTAACCGAGTACAGTTCCTCCTTCCAGTAACCTTCCGATGACTGTCAAAATTGCATGTATGTACGCCTCGCTCCTCTACTTTCTTGAAGGGGGATTGACACTCAGAGTGATACAAGCATGGGCCAGCTTGACGATACGCTCTAACTATTCGTCTCGTTGAACAATCATTATGTGCCCTTTCCATATATAACAAGCCATCCGGCCACGTCTGACAGTATACTGGTAAATATAGTCCCATAAAGTCCCACAGGGATACATCCCGATATAGAGCGAGCCATAGGTACTACTTGCGAGGAACCTTGATGACTACTTTTGGTTAACATATTTTCTGCGGTCAAAAGGTAGGGCGTCGTATGGTACATTGGCACCGGTCTTTTCACCAAAGCCGAGGGTGTCATATGTTCCCTGCATTTTCACTTTAACGCTGGCTTAATGCCTAAGAAGCCGGTACGGCTTTCATCTGAGGAGAATGTGAGGGCAAGAGATGTGAGTGACTAGATGCGAGGATTTGTGACTGCACGGCCATATTGTGCGCAAAGTTACGGAAGACAGTAGCCAAGCTGATTGGATCTATTTGAATCATAAATAGCCCAAACAATAAAACAAACTATAAAGCTAACAGTAACCGAGGGTTCGACTGCACTTGCTGTGCTCTAAGATATCAGTAAACAAGGCGTGCGAACAAGTTACAGTGGGTCATGGTAAGAAGAGAGCCAAAGAACCGAACAGCGGCAAGCACGCTAATACCTACAACCTGTCAAAGAAACAAGACCCCAGAGAAGATAAAGAACAAGATGTTGTATATAATATTAAACGTGCATCGAAAGCAGTAGCGGTATGGTAGAATTATACAAACCTGACCAATGAAAAGGTGGAAGGGAAGTGCGTAGCAAAAACATGTAGGGCAGCAATGAAAAACGAAAATGACAGCGCCGACGGCACTGCTGGCATAGGAAGCGAAAAGAGGAAGGAGACTGAGTCAATTGATCTATCTAGAGCAAGCTGACGAAGACAGTCTAGGAGAAGAAGAAGTCGAAGCAAGAATAAACAGAAGAAGGCCTATATAGACCTAAGCACAAAGGAACGAAACAGGCCTGAACCTAGGAAATCACCCGCAAGCATCATGCAGGGCCAAAGAGGACGATAAACCCTGCAAACCTATCGAGGTCAAAGGGATCGAGTCATCAGAACAAAAGAAATGGAGGAAACGAAAATAGGCAGGAAGGGTAGTGCTATTCTACAAAAGCAGGCCGACTGTTATAACAGCCAAGCTCAAGAAGGAAATGTTCCAAATAGTAATCATAGGGGCGAGTGGACAGCGTGGAGGAAAGGCTTGTTGGTGAGGATGTTGCGTAGTGTACGCTCAAAGAAAAGAAAAGAATGAAGTTTCCTTTGGCGGTCTTGTAGAGTCTCAATATGCTTGTCTGGCATACCAAGAGCCTTTGCACAGATCAAACAGAAACTTGTCCCTGACTCACTCTAGGTTGACGGACCTAGAGTTCCCAAGTCCCTCACGCTCACTTTTACCAAACAGACATGTGAGCGTGTCCACTGCTCGAGAAGCCCTCAGTGGAAAGAATCTGGTAGTCATGAGCGCCTAGATTCATTCCATGTGAAGCCCAAGCATTGAAGTGGTTGGCAGTGGTAATAGTTCCATCCGAGCGTTTATTGCGGCGGATAGACCAGTATTGCACAAAGGTTTTCTTTGGGCCATCAATAGAGGGCTGGTCGACCTGCAAGTGGGTGTAGATATCATAGAATGATCCATCGCTAGCGAAAGATCCCTTGTAGGTCAAGCTAGGGCCGGGGTTGTAGGTTCCGTAGTTCTCTAAGATGTAGTATTCGACAAGAGGGCCCCTAGTCCAGCCATACACGGCAAGATAGGCATTTCCGGAGGGTTTGAAATCTCCAGCATAGTGGATGTTGCTATTTGAATGTCAACGATTCGTCAGCAGAGTGCTAGGTGAATAGATCTTACCGGGCACTACCAATGCTCCAGCCCTTACCAGAGGTGAAATCGCCACAGTTCTCCCAAGACACGCTATATTCACCGTTCTTTTCATTGTTGTACTCGACCTTACCACCACCGTCGGTCCAGAAAGAGTAATGGTAGCCATTGCATTCTCCAGTCTGGCTTGTATAGAGAGCTCGCTTCGCCACATTGATTTCAGTGGGAGCTGCAAAGGCACTTGCGAAGGCACAAGCAGCCAAGAAGAGCCCCGAGAAGGTAACCATATTAGATAAATGACCGAGCAACTTGAGAAATGAATGACTGTACTTGAAAAAGAGTCTTTCCATGGGAAAAGTGAGCTTTTAATGGTATTGGTGGATGTAAGGTGCCTGTTCTTACAGTATCACAGATCCTAGATGTCTTGCTTTAATTTTAAGCAGTATTATAATAACCCGCACTTCCCTGGACCCTTATCCACTCTTCTAACTATAACAAGAATCTCCCGCTACCATACTGGGTAATAGCGTTTATTGAGCCGAGTAAATGGAGATCACTTCCACACCGGGGCATTTGATGAGCGTGGACTGGAAATTAGAAAAAAATTCGTTGCCTGGTGCTGTAGAACCCGGGCAGTTTGAGATAAATTAAATCAACGGGGGAACATTGAGTGAAGGGCATCAATAGAGGAAGTTCCAACTAAGTAGACCCACAAGGGTGAAATTGCACCCAGGCTTACTCGAGTTGACTGTGACTGACGTCCGGATCATGACCTCCCTCAGGACGCCGAGAAAGCGACATTTATAATTCTGCCTCCCGAGCGAAACCACTCTACGCGCCGGCGATCATCTCAATGTTCTCCCAAGAAACTACCAGCTCGTTAAGTCGGTCTTTACCTAATCGCTCCGACAAGGAGTGGATACGACTCTCGGAAGAAAAAGCCTTGGGTAGAACTTTTGACTGAAAAGTAACAAACTGGCAGAGGACGGGTTGTGCAATAGGACATCGCGTATACTCATTTGGTCAGGTATCTAGGACGTTGATTGATCAGGGACGCGTAAATATGTGACTGACCCTTAGCAATACAAAGCTATCTTGAAGAATCCCACTAGTGCCGTCGTATTCCAGTTAATAAATCGCCTTGCTTGTTTGTTCTAAGAGCGGTATGTGGTTATGACTAGATGTCGCATCTACAAAGCAGGTTTGGTATTTCCACCGTTAGTCGCGACGAGCTGTCCTAGGTGCGAGTACACACATGTGCGTTAAATACCGGTTTCTTTTGTCTTGCGTCTCGTCTGAGGGATACGCTTGGTCTGGGTGAAATAGCAGGCTTCCCTCGTTCAGCTTCTTGAAAGTTGTGTCATAGAGGGTTACGTTAGAAATCGGCGGCCAATACAAGATGTTTGAGTAGTAATTATCTTACAATGTAGGGGGTAGAGCCGTTGTCCAGGCACTATACGTGCACAACCATTACCTTCGGGATCGTACACCTGACACCGACTAGGTGGACAATGTACTAATATAGCGGACTTTCCGACTTCTGCATTAGTCGCAGGATTTGCAGGTCTTCGCCTCGGGGACACGGTTCTCATTCTGCTTCATATGAGTACAGTATGGATGGATAGATGATTTCATTTACGCTGACCCCCTGCGAACGATATGCAGCATACAACAGCTACTTATCACCGTAAGTACATGTGTCTTACATCACTTCTTAAACGATCTTAGAGCCTCGTTGGGGCCTGCCATGGCCCCGTAGCCGTTATCTTAGATTCCTCCCCTCATGGCGCGCGGCTTTGGAACCGTTATAATGCTTCTGTGAAGTCCAAGATAGCTTCCACTGTCTTGGCTCGCGAAGCAGTATCGCCTCCTCTAGGTCCTCCTACTCACACCAGGGTTGATGTGTTGTTGAGTGCGTGAAAAGTGCGCAATTTGGAGTGAATTAACTTCGACGATCCCGAGACTCTGGGTCCTTACTTGTTAAGTCTTGCCACGGGTGTGCGATATGAAATGTGCAAACACCTATGCCATTAGCATTAATTTGCTGTATTAGCGGATAGAAGTATTTGGAGGGGCGAAATAATGTAGATATAAAAGATCCATCACAACAGAGAGGGCAAAATACGTGCAAAGCTAGGCGAAAGGGTAATTCAGCATATGATATTGGTGCTGGCAAACTGACAGCTGTTTCCTGCGTCGCACTATCGGTCTTGGCGTATATAGGAGTATTGGATGTGACGGTTAGTTGCAGGCCATTTCCGGCTCCTTTTCCGGAGTGGTTGCCTTGGAGCCTTCTGGGGCATGCCCAAGTCCTGGGTGTCAGGATTCGGATCCACTTTCGCAAGGACATTGCCTAATATCGCCTAGCGCGAAACATAGAAAGTGAAATATCGTTTTTGTAAAACTAGTCCTCGTTCGGGGCTGTAAAGGCCCCGAGATCTGCTCACGAACCTGAGCAATATGCGCTATTTGGGCCTCAATTGGCTCCGATCGTAGATCACTAACCTCTTGGACCGAGATTTCACCTTTGTGAGGTATCTGCCTATTAGATCGAATGCGCTTTTACTTCTTTTTCTCGTTTTCCGCCCGTAATTCCTTATTCTCTCAAGCTAACGAAAGGGGGCCTTGTATTGAGAGTTGAAAGCCCTTTATTAGCTGGTCTAATGCCGGGCTAGGGCTTTGAGATCTCGTACGAATCAAAGCTTTAATAGACGAAGCTTGCCGACGTAGTTGTTTCTCGGTAAAGGGAATTTTTGGCGTAAAATTCCGGCTTGATTTACTACCCCGGCTCGGAGGGGGTGTTAGGGTTCGAAGACAAATATTAAGCTTTGAAATCATTAATCGGGTGAAAAAGGTACTAAACCGGCTGCTCCGAAGTTATTTTTATATACTATTAGATTTAAATGCCTCTATTCGAGCGTGCGGGTATACCTCAAGGAAATTAAGTTTATCGATATAGGTAGTCCCGAGGCGTATCTTTATTTCGATAAGCCGACCGTACGAGCGTTTTGATACCGTAAAATAACCGATATCGAGTGGCTATAGAAGGTGCTACGAGTATGCGGGTATATAGATTAGTATAATATTATTTTTTTCGTAAATTTCGTCGAACTTCGGTGTAAAGTATAGGGGGGTTCTAGTGTTTACAGGATAGTGTTACGAGCCAAGTCTTGATGAAAAAGAGTGCATTCAACTAGAATACTAAACATGGGGAAAGAAAAAAAGAAGAAGAAAGAAAGAACAACACGCTGAAACAATTAAGGTAGTGATGCCTGAGGCCTCTAATAAAACAATGTAAAACACGAACTACGAAAGGCGGTGGAATACGGCAGAATCGGTTCAGGATCATTGATCCTGAATTCTTCGTGACAAATAGGGCCTGTCAACTAGGTAAGACGAAGATGGCTCCGGAACAGATGTTTTATGTGAATAGTACAGAGAATCATTCTTGGGGAACTTCCAGGTTCCCAAGAATGGACTATTTATCATTGATAGGAGCGGGGTAGAGTGGCGGTCAGAGTACGCTCTGTGATCGACAGTGACACGCTGGCGATAACCCGTCTCTATGACAGGACTTCTGAAGATTCAGGATCCATGTAACGGCGTGGCTGATCCACGGGTTCATTGTGCGTACTGAGTAGTATATGTATCGGTCCCAGGCATGTCAGCCGACGGCTGATATAGTGGTCTTTTTGGCCTAGTTGGTAGACGTGTGTTGCCTGGGCGCATGCCTTCACAGGTATATTAAAACGACGCGCTATTTCGCGGATTGAAGAGATTTTTTTATTCTTAAAAGCCTATATTGCTAATAAGATCCTACCCTCCTACTACGCTGAATTTCTCGAGGTTTGGGAGCGACTTGGTGGCATAGTAGGTGGTTGAATTAATTAGGTTCTAATTCATAGACAAGTTTGGGGTAGGTGGGCGACTGGCTTACATGGGCGGCTCGCTTACCGATTACGTTATTTGTTTAACTGATGCCTCAGGAATCACTACTTTAATTGTTCCAGCGCGTTGTTTCTTTCTTCTTCTTCTTCTTTCTTTCTCCATGTTTAGTATTCTAGTTGAATGCACTATTTTTCATCAAGACTTGGCTCGTAACACAATGTGTCTTGTATAAGCGATGCTCGGTCCAAGCCAAGCAACGATATCCATACCAGATGAGGATCAGATCATACAACCTTGATCTGAGACTTTCCCGTCAAAGGCACATCAACATAAAGCACCAGCTTCTTATTCTCAGCATCGTACTCGGCATCACGGAGTCCCCTAGGTTTGCGCTCCACACCAAGAACAGTGATGGCCTCAATAGTGACGCCAGGCCGGTACTCAAATGAGCCAGTCATGCTGAGCTTGCCGTGCGCGTATTTGAAGTCGATCTCCGACACGGTGTCCTGCACAACTGACTCGCCATCGTCGAGATACAGCGACCCCTCAGCGCGGCCGTCAAGGCCAGGCGCAACCACAATGTTAAATCCCTTCTTGCGCAGCGCGGTCGTAGTATTGGCGCTTTCGATACGCTGCGGGTAGACAATTCCGCCCTTGTAGTGAACAGTGATGTCTGTGTAGTCGACCTCGGCGGAGACGTACTCGCCGTGGCCACGGACAGGCTTGCCTGTGCCCCACTCGTAGAAGATGTCGTCGGGGAGATAGTAGTTGAGGCTTGTGCTGTTTTCCTCTGTCACGGGGCTGACAAGGATTCCATCCCCATAGAAGAATTGCAGGTCGATAGGATAGGTGTTGGCGTCGTTCGGGTAGTTGAAGAACAGAGGGTTGAGCGCCGGGGTGCCAGTCTGGTTCTGTTTGTAGATGGCGGTGTAAATGTAGTCGACTGAATCATTGTCAGTTCTCCCTTCTCGGAGGGAGGCTATGCATATCACTTACGGAGCTGGTATCTAATGGAAATTCCATTGCGCGCCGCCTCAGCGACTGTCGGCCAGCGGTAGAACTCCTGGGGATTCGCGAAGATTTCGGCGTGATTGCGGAAGAATGTGTAGAAGGAGCCAAGAGCTGCCCATCTGTTTGATCTGTATTAGTATAGCCGCCCACATAAAGAGATAATCATTACTTACCTGGCACAGAGCGTCTCTGTTACATTACCGCCGAAGCCGCAGACATCGGGGCCCACAACGGGGATTTGGTATAGCGATGCGAACTGCAGGATCTGACTGATGGAAAGGCGGTACCAGAGCCATCCGGAAACATTATCTGCAGAATCTTTAGCATGAGATCGCTGTTGATATCGAATGAGCAGACGCCGGAAGTATTCTTACCCCCAAGCCAGTGGGAGACGTCCTTGCCGGAGCCAGCAAATGTGCTTCTCGTAATTACCAAGGCGCGGTCATCTGGGCGCCTGGCACGCATGGCATTATGAGAATGCGATGACATCATAGCGCCGTAAAGATTGTGGGTATCATATTGAACATATCCACCACTCTGCACCAGATCGGTGTCAGCAGTGCTGTCAGCAAGCGTGGGTCCTGCGCCATTTTGAATCATATACGGTGGCCTGATAAAGTCGCGATTATGGAGACCCTTGCACTCGTCAGGTCCACAGCCAGAGCCAGTCTTTTTGCCGTGCTGCCAGCTGGAATTTGAAGAAGCCCAGTGGGGCTTAGCAGAGCGCCAATGACCAGCACCCAGGTTGCGGCGGAAACGAGACCGAGCTTGACGTTGGACAACAGAAGTTGCACGCTTCTCATTTGAGTTACTGGAAGCAAAGTTGGGCTGAAGACTGTCGGGGAACCCGGGGATAGGAGCATCTGGGCCATTTCGGACTGGTGGCGGCTTTGGTGGGTCACCATCCACCTCCGCGAACTTCTCCGGAGTGGTGTTGTTACCTGGGTAGGGGCGGTTGAAGAAGTTTGCGGGCTCGTTCATGTCGATCCATAATGCGTCAATATCCGGACCGTTCTCTCCGTCGAAGAACTCTAGGAATTGCTCATTCCAGTACTGCTGCGATGCGGGATGAAACCAGTCAGGGAAGTAGCTTGGACCAGCCCAAACAACTCCCTGGTATTCGGAGCCATTCTTTTCCTTCATGAAAGTATCATATTCGAGACCTGCATCGAGCGCCGGGTTGGACTCTTTGTAGTATACGGCGGGATCGACCATGACGATGTAATGTTGGTCTCTCGCATGGATTGTATCCACCAGGTCCTTGTACAAATTTGCCGGGAACCTGTCTGGATCAATGGTGAAAATCCGCCGACGATCCATGTAATCGATATCCGTCCAGATGGTTTCCAGAGGAATGTTATGGGAGGAGTAGTTGGCGGTGACAGCGGCAACCTCGTAGACGTCTTGGTAGCCGTATTTGCATTGGTGGTAACCAAGTCCCCAATAAGGCGTCATCAACGGGAGCTGAGTGATTTCCGCGTACTGAATAGCCACATCGCGCGGAGAGGGACCAGAAAGGAAGTAGAAATCTAGAACACCGCCGATGATGTTGTACTCAAGGTACTGACCACCCTTGTTGTCGATGAAAATATCCATGGCATTGGAGTTAAGCAGGAAGACTCCGTGAGTGCCTTCCTTCCTGTGGTCGAAGTAGATCGGGTGAGCGCCGTACAGGTTCTCGCCCTGAGGCGTCCCGTAGGCATCGCGGGTGTAGATGGTCCGAGTGTAGTTAGTCGTGTTTAGCATGAACGCGTCGCTGTGCTCTCCCAGTCCATAAAGATGCGGGTTCTGCGGCAGGTGTGTCTTAAGATAGACATATTGACTCTCGAAGACCAGCTTGTTACCCGTGGTATCGAAAAGCGCCTCTCCAGTATCAGTCCGAGATACAGTGAACGAGAAGGGGTCAGCATTGAAGTCGAACTTGAGCTTGCTATCCTTGGGGGAGCACCATTGACCGAAGCCGGGGCGTGGGAAGACACTGTCTGGAACCTGATAGACCGTGTTGTTGATGTCCAAGATCTTGACGTGGAGTCGATCGTTGGTCTGATACTCCACTTCGAGTTTCAAGTCTGGGAGGTCAGTCCCGAAAACATTGCATGCCGGCCCTGCGAGAGAAAGTTCCGCGTAAAAGCCAGACCGAGTCTCCCACTGCTTTGTCGCCTTATATCCTGGGCATTTGGACAGGTCCTTTTCGTAAAGGTCATTGCCGGGGTCATCGAGATCCTCGATGCCAGCTTGGCTCTGAGCCCAGACAGAGCCACTCAGGGCTACGGCCGAAGTGAGCAGCTTCTTGAAGTACATTCTGAGGCCCTGAATAAGAAACGAGGTCACGTACACGGGCTCCCCTTATATACGTCTTTCGGTCTTTCTCGTTTACTGTTGCCAAGATGGAGTGTGAAGTCAGTGCGGAGACTACAAGAATCCCCAAGCCTGCGATATCCACCCGTAATATATGGTTTTTCAACCAAGTCTCGTGAGGGAGACCGTCATTCTTTCTCTCCTTCTCCAGGCCACGACTCCATCAACGTCATCGGACTCCTGGGACATCTTAGTCTGGCGTTCTTGGTATATACAATTCATCTGGAGACAAAAGCAATAACAATGACATCAACCCCGCGCAAGATGTCAACAGGGCTAGCGATGATCCCTCTTGGCATTTGCCAAGTCCTCCGATAAAAACCCGAAGTGTAACTCAACTCCACCTCCAAAGCCGAAGACTGGGACCCTGTTGACATCCACCGGCTTCTAATCTCCCGACAAAAGCCCGTTGCGGGGCTCCATGGGGCTCCAAATTCTCACGGTCCCCCACGCTTTAGCTGAATGCCTTGTATAAGTTCATGATCCCGGGGAAGCCGAGTGATTCATAGCGGTAGAGGGGCGGCATAATCGTTGAACAAATCGGCTAATCAAGTAGTGCAGTAAACCCGTTTGTCTAGCGTCGGAGACCACAATTTCAGAGAGTGCGGGCTCAAATCTCCGCTGAAAGGCTTTATCAATGATTGTGCTTATTGGTGTTACGGACATGCTGAACCAATTCTGCCGTGTTCCACCGCCTTTCGTAGTTCGTGTTTTACATTGTTTGATTGGATGCCTCAGGCATCACTAACTTGTCGGAAGCCTGAGAAAGCAGGCCCACTTGTTTGTCGTGTTTGTTCATTATTCAGCAAGTAAATTACACCTATATATAAATTGCCAGAATTAGGGGTAATGAAAACCAGAGTTATTGACATCACCTGATTGGCCAGCACCAAGTTGTATTTCATAGTTATGAGCCCGAATAGCCATTTCTAAACTAGAAAAACACATCGATTACAGCAATCAGATCATCTGATAACCATAAATCGACCACTTGCTGGTTCAGAACCCCTTTTGAACCACCGATTGTGCATCTTCTGCAACGCCAACACACCTATACCCCATCCTCGCTAGCAAGCGATACAGCAAGTGATCACTACACTTCAGCAAGCATGGATGCGTCAACACTCTCCGCTATAAAGGGCGATAAACTTCGTGAACCAGCTTAATAGAGCACTTAGTACGCAAAAACCAGGCGCTTCGCCTAACTGCGCGCGGTTTGGGAGCTATATAATCCAGAAGTTAATGAGGATGCACTCCCTAAGCGTAGTACGGAGCCGGTAGAACCAGAATACCTAGAAGACGGAGATGATAAGGAGACCCGCAAGTGGCGAGACTGCTTCGATGTCTATAAGCTTGCTCTCTCGAAGTATGAGAAGCAGACTAAGGGATTGAATAATATATACGAATATATCTTTGCCACCCTTAACAGCAAGTATCATCGCTCCGTCATCACTAAAGAAACCCCGTATAATGTGCTTATAGCGCTGAAAACACGGTTCGTAAGAAGCAACTCTTATAAGGAAGAGCTGCGCGACAAGTGGGAGCAACTTGTATCGCAGAAACCCGGGAAGGATGTCGACCAATGGATCGATAAGTGGGACACACTACGGTAAGAAGTCATTAGCGTCGGCATCAGGGTTGATAATAAAGATACAGTACGTTACTTTATCAAGGCTGTGAAGGAAGTCCTGCCAATGTGGTAGCAAGCGGAATACACTGCTGTCATCCTTAATGAAGAGAAGCGTGATATCAATCAGCTTATCGAGTCCTTTCGCAGTATCTACCGCGAAACAGGTGCTAAACTATCACTGTCAGCACCAAAGGCCTCCTTCTTAACCTAGTAAGGGCATAAGGAAGCTTCACAGCAAGTGGCAACAATCTCTGCTGTAAAGTCTAAGAAGCTAAAGCAGACTGCAGAGACCCCGTTTCACGAACGGTCCTGCCTATATAGAAACACACACCCACGTTATAGAGTAGCAACTTGCTACTACATACGCCCTAATCTGATACCTTCGGACTTCACTATCAGGGAAGCCACGAAGAAAAGAATTAAGAAACTTCTTACCGCAGAGCCAGAATGGCGCAAGTGGATTAACGAGGAAGTAAGGAAGGACAAAGAACGTTCAACGCCTAAGGAAACGGCGGATTTCACAACGGTACAGCCTAACGTTAGCGCTCATCCACCAATAGTAACACTTACAACCATACAAGTGCCCTCAGTAGAGAGCAACCGGGTGCAGTAAGTCTATACTAGCAAACTAGCAGAAAGAACTCCCATCTACCATGTTAAGCCAGTCGATAAGAGAATTAAGCAAATGCCTGATCTCAAAAACCGATAGATCCTTAACTATAGATCAAGTGTGCATATATGCAACAACAAGGGCTGGTTCGAAACTATAACCCCATACTAAACAGAGTTAGTAACTAGCAACTCAATCACTAAGGGTGAGGGGATTAGAACAGCAAGACTTGCTATAAGAGATCTACAAACCGGCAAGCAACGAATCATACGTCTTACCAACGCCTTATATGTCCTAGGGTGCCATACCAACCTAGTTTCATATGCAAAAATAAGGCGACTTAGTATGAAATAGTGTCAAGATACAGATACCATCGTCGACCCAAACAACCTACAAATCGCGAAATTGCAGCTAGTGGACCTAGATCTATGGGTATTCGACTTGCCAAGCCACAACAGTGTCAATACAATAACCAGAAAGTCAGAGAGACCACAGAAAGCGAAAGGATCTATAGAACTATGGCATCGCCGTCTAGCGCACATCAACACAGATGCGATTAAGCAAGCTAAGCAAATAGTAGATGGCATCGAGATCATAGAGGATAACAAGGATAAAGAAGTCAACTCACCTTACCGAGTCTATAACCTAGTAAGAGCACCTCGACAAATCTCTCGCCGACCAATTAGACGCACGTTTAGAAGATTTGGAAGAATTCATTTCGACCTAATACAGATCCAGCCAGCAGAAAACAGACATAGATAGATATCACACTTCTATATCGAGGGAGTGCGATTTCACTAGATCATGACACATAAACTAAAGCCAGAGTGTCAGCTTGCTATCGACAAGTTTATAGCACTTGCTAAGAATTAGTAGAACTTACCAATTAAGGTGTTCATATATGACAACGAGACTTCGGTAGGAAGCACCGCCGAACGATCCATCTCCAAAGAGGGCATCATCATCCATCACTCTCCCCCGGGACATCCAGAGATGAATGGATACAGCGAGCGTGCAGGTGGAACAATCATCACACGTATGCGTATGCTCATCGTCGAGGGCCAGTTGCCCAAAGGTCTCTGGCCAGAGGCAGCAAGTGCTGCAGTATAGTTGCTAAACCGTATACCCACCTTCGTGAACGATAAGAAACGCTAGATTGTGCCGTGGGAAGAGGTTCGACGCGAATTCGCGGGCAACGAGATACCGAGAATCAACCTAGCAAACGTTAAATTGTATGGCAGTTTGACTTACTGTCGGATACAGAAGCAAGTGCAATCTGATAAGATAGCACCGAGAGCCGAGATTGGCTTTCTAGTAGGCTTCGTGGCATCAAATATCTAGAAAATCTGGTTCCTATATACTAGAAGAGTGTAGGTTGTTAGAGATACGGTGTTTAACGAGAGCCGCAAGTACACACCTAGGTTCGAGCGATATCAACAATTGCCAATGCCAATTATCCAGGAACCATATGTGCTTGATACAGATGAAACCCTCAAGCTTTACCAGCGGATATCGATAGTAAGAAGTCAGGAGGAGCATCAGGAGCTAGAGGAAACGTATCGGGAGCAGCATACAATAACTAAAAACCATCAGCAAGCTGCTTAAACCGCAGATTCTCACCAAGACCAACACCAGCAAGTCGAGCTACCACGTAGCAAACCGTAGGAGGATGAAACCAATACTCCTCAGCAGGTAGAAACCCCACCACAACAAATGGAACGCCATAAAGATATGGCAAGAACCCTATCGCCGACGCCAGAAAGGCGGATTACATTAGCAAGTCCCACAGAAATCCTAGGTGCTTTCCTAGAAGATGTGCCACTCCCACTAACACCACCAAACGAGGTTTTTGGGTTAGATCAGGGGGTGGAGACGTAGCAGGAAACGCAGCAAGTAGGGGATCAGAACCCTAAAACCGTGGAAACGTCGTAGGATGATAGAGCAAGTGACGATGAAGTCGTACAACAGCTGTAAAGCGAGCTACTATAGCCCACATAAGAGATCTTTAGTGACGTTAATACTACTAATATCATAAGCGGCAAAAGAACCAGGCGAGCAAGGCAAGACAATGACTATACTACTTACTCTACGATACAGCAAGAGCCACCAGCAATACTACATACCTTCGTAGTAGGGCTGTATGCCGAGAAGCCAGAACATCGACGACACCGCGATAACCTCCCTCCTATACTAAGAAACTATAAAGAGGCCATAAACCACCAGTTCTCCGAAGGTTTTATCGCAGCGATAAAACGAGAGCTAGACAACTTGCGCTCAAAGGCAACGTATGAGGTGATAGACCGGCCAAAAGACATCAGCAAGCAAGTGCTTCCTCTCTTATGGATTTATACATACAAATTTGACCAGGATAGCCACTTAATCAAGTTAAAAGCACGCATCTGCGTCCGCGGCGACTTAGAAACCATCACCTAAGAAGAGAAGCGAGCAGCGACACTTGCTACAAGGATAGCACGCATAATCTTCTCCCTTATCGCCGCATACGATCTCGACGTTAGGCAGCGCGACGCTATTACCGCATTCCTGAACTCGCGTTTAGATAAGGAGACATACACACAGATACCAGAAGGTTTTGGGATACCGGGCAAGTCATAGAAACTACAGCGAGCTCTATACGGTCTACGAATTTCGCCACGCTTATAGTAACAAGAAGCAGCAAGTGTACTGCGAAAGTTAGGTCTCCAGTAAGTGCCGGAGGACCCATGTGTGTTCGTTGGCACCGGAATCATTGTATTCTTCTATGTCGACGACATACTTATTGCTTGCCATCGCACAGCGAGAGCAAGCGCAAAACAATTGGAAAAATCACTTGAAGAGCACTGGGAACTGACTGATCACGGAGAAGCAGAGTGGTTTCTCAATATCCGGATCATCAGGGACCGTGCACAGAAGAAGTTGTGGCTTTGTCAAGATAGTTACATCGCAAGCATTGCAGCGAGATATAACTTGACAGAGCGAGCGCCTATTCTTACACCCTTACCGGTGGAAGAACTACGCAAGTACGAGGGCGTTGCTACACCAAGAGAAATACATCTGTATCAGCAGAAAGTGGGCTCAGCAGGTTATACAACGACCATTACTAGGGTTGACGCAGCAAAGGCTACTGCTAAGCTCGCGCAATTCCTAATGAACCCAGGACCACAGCACCAGCAAGCTGTCGACAGGGTGATCTGCTACCTTTACTCCACCCGGTTTCTTACCATTGAATATGCCGCAGGAATCGAAGATATAGAGTCGATCCAGATAGCAAGTGACGCGTCGTATAGGGATCATAAGGATCGGAAGAGTTCTACTAGATATATCTGCCAAGTGTTCGGCGGGCTAGTAGACTGGAAAGCCAGCAAGCAGCCAACGGTAACGACATCTACTACCGAGGCCGAGCTGCTAGGACTTTCTAAGGCTGGCAAGCATCTCTAATGGTGGAGAAGACTGCTGCAGAATGTTGGCCTTAAGTTATCCCACCCTATCACCATCGACTGCGACAATGAGCGCACGGTTGCACTCATTAACAAGGAGGATGCGGCGTTCGATACGAAGCTTCGACATGTCGATATTCACTATCACTGGGTTAGGCAGGAAGCGCAAGCAGGAAGGATCACCGTCAGATAGGTGCCAACGGCACAGATGGTCGCTGACGGGCTCACTAAGTGCCTGACTCGCCAAAAGCATGAAAATTTCATTCGCTTGCTTAGAATGGCTGATGTAGGTCACCTGATCACCTAGGCCCAGAAGGGAAACAGAGGCTGTTTCTATGTCTATTACAGAAATGGGAGTTTCAAGGGTCATCTTGCCCAATCTGCGCAAGATGAGGGGGTGTGTCGGAAGCCTGAGAAAGCAGGCCCACTTGTTTGTCGTGTTTGTTCATTATTCAGCAAGTAAATTACACCTATATATAAATTGCCAGAATTAGGGGTAATGAAAACTAGAGTTATTGACATCACCTGATTGGCCAGCACCAAGTTGTATTTCATAAGTTAGTGATGCCTGAGGCATCCAATCAAACAATGTAAAACACGAACTACGAAAGGCGGTGGAACACGGCAGAATCGGTTCAGGATCATTGATCCTGAATTCTTCGTGACACCTTTCACTCTTCGTCGTGGCCATGGGTTTTCAACCACATGGGTACCATGAGCTACATTAGCCGATGCGTAGTGAAAACCATGCTATTCCCACTAGTACTTAATAAGTTAATCTCCCTCCCTCCATTGATCCAGCCCGGCTTGATTGCCTATTCTTTAAAATCCGTGATAAACATAAACATGTCTTTGCCAACCTGTAATGGTCTTTGGGACCATACAATGGGAGACAGATCACTAAGACTGCCAAGCACTCTTTCCAACCTTTGGCCTTTTCCCATCAGGGTTTTGCCTGGTTGGTTTTAACGAGGCTATGCAGGACGAGGAGTAATGGATCCGACCATGTAACGGGAATGTTCCGTCTACGAAAAGGATTCGGACGTAGTGTCACCAACGAAGATGGAATCGCAATAAGCGATACCGACAGAGATAATGTGCCCCTGGGAGCTTCGTCCAAACGGGGCATAAAAGGGGGATAACTCCCTGGCCCCTATCTGGGGGACAAGAATTAGTCTCTGTACAAGAATACTATATCGTTGACGCTCCTCCACTTATTCATTACCGATCCATCATCGTATCTTACCGGATTGACAGGCTGATCACCCCTGACCTGGTAATCTTCTTACACAACCCTCCCAACCGAATTACTCACATGCATCGCCACCCACCTCCTCCCATCTATACAAGACGTGGATTCTCTAGCCAAAGCATCTAAAATCCTATAAGTAATCACTGTCCCTATTCTCTACCCTCACTAAATCTTTCATCAAGATAGCTCGGCCTTAATATGGGCCGCTAAACACAGCAAACCAGACCCCTGTAAACGCCTGCGGTAAGCAGGTACCAACCCTAACACCTAAGATCCGCAGCATAGAACGCCCTTTTTATAGGCAGTTGGAAATGCTATAAAGAGCTCTCTTTAATGCTTCTGTACTCGGTAAAGATAGACCTGGATACGCTCGACACGTATCTCTAAAATCCCCTCGTCTAGGCGGCAGGGAACGGCTCGCCTTCTGCTTTCATAGCGTAGACTTTCGCCCCGGCTAACAACGGGTGCCGTGAATTCAAACGTAGGCGATTACCTCGCTATCGGGAAACTATTATTATCCACGAAAGACATCTAGCCGAATTACCGGACCTAGAGTGAGGAAATACGCCTTATACTCGCTGCAGTAGCGGGAGTAGAGGATGTAGTAGAGGGGTTGTCTCTTACGGGAAAGGTAGACGTAAACTTAAAGGACGAGTTCGGGCAAACGCCGCTCCTAGCAGCAGCCTGAGTCAGGCATCTAGGATCGTTAAGCGCCTCCTAGCAATTAAAGGCTTAGACGCGGACGCCAGATCCTAGTGCAGAGATAGTCCTCTCCTAACTGCCTAATGTAGGCATTCTCGATGCTACAGTACGTGGCAGGAAAGGCCTCCAAGTATCAAGTGATACGAAGTAGGACCTAGAGAAAGAAATCCAGTCAGCATAGAAATCGAATCTATCATAGTATCGATGATGAAAATGCTGGTACTCCGAAACAGGCTTCGTTTTGACCACGAAATTCACAAGGGTTTAGTGTACACTTAGATAAGCACTTTGGCATCGAAAATGACCGAATACAACAAATCATCACTCTATGGTCATTTTACTTATGAGAATTTGGATTGAACATTGGCAATACCAGGGCAATTATATAATGATCACAGTGTAACCTTCGGGTCCATATAGTTGTGGTTGTGATAAGTCGTGATCAAGATGACGTATGTGGTGACATTCAACGCGCTCCAGCAATAGAACAGCCTCGGTTAGTTCGTACATTAGGGCAGCTCAAATAACTTTATGGAGTGATTGTGTTTACTGCTCGAATTGGGAACTTTCTGATATCTTATTGAGCCCAGGGCACTTCATCGTGCCAATGTAAAGGCAGCAGAGTGATTACTAGGGCTAAGAACCTGTAGAGAATTTGCCCCGGTATGTGGCATAGTCAATAATTCCCCTGGATAAACCACTAGATGCAATGCCCATTATATAGGGCCCAATGATTACGTGTACAACACTTTTCGCACAATTACAACGGCTGTCGGTCTGTAATCAAAGATTTTGCTTGCGAGAAGTGCCTTTTGGAGCTTGCATCTCATATTCAACATAAACCTCGTCTGTACGCCGTATATGATATTGTTCCATATCATTCAGGATGCTCTCCTGGCTGTCTCCCTTTGCTGTGGAAGTTGGCCTTTCTCCCTTGGACGCATGAGCTCGTGAGCTAGATTGGTTGTCGTATATTTTGTGCTGTGCATAAGACGGTGGCTTGGAGTTTCCCTTGCTCGTTGAGAGGAGCTTTAGTCTTCTCAAAATTAGCTCAAGTATTGGCTGCAATGTTGGTATACAAGCTGCAATAACGACAACGTTGGCCTCGACACTAGAACTATATTAGCATTGCAGCAACATCAATGGCAGATCCGAATAACTTGCTTTGTCCATACCACAAGAGGAACAGTGGCGTCTGTTTCACGGGGCATATCAGTGATTTGAAATAGACGATGATGATTCAGAGAGACAGGGAACTCACAAGTTCCATCTGTTTGGTTGGATAAGCCTTTGATCTGGGCACATTTGACCACAGCAGTTGCGGCCGCACTGAAAAGACCGTCCGTTAGATATTCTGGTGACAACTGAATCTGGGTATTTAGAATCGCGCATACATAACTCCGAGGCCAAGCGCAGCCGTCAACGCAATCTTTTTCCGTAGTGACATTTGGAGTTTGTAAAGGACAATCCCAGGGTAAACCGCGAGTAATAGGTCGACGAATGCGGAGAATGCTAACCACAGACATTTATAGTGAGCCAATGTTGTAATATTTACTTTGCGCCACTAACCTCCGTTGAAAGTAGCATAACTAATGAGAATCCAAATACTTCTGCACTTTGCCTCTCCACTCAATACCATCGAGGGCTTCCAGAGACCTTGTGGTGGAGTGCACATCGTGACATAAATCAGAATGTTCACAATCGCAATAATGGCCACTAGTGTGACCGGACCCCAAATTATTAAACGTTGTTTTGGACTTGGATTCATAATTCGGTGTAGCAGAGCGGCAACTGCGAGCTTCGGCAATGCAAAAGATATGATGCCGAAAATAAAAGAGATCATGTTCCATACGAGGGCTTTCTCGGTGGCTGCCGTACTCAGAGTTTTCGTATGTTGTCCATATCCATGGACCACGGATACAGTCGCTGTCGCAAGAAAGAGCAAACCGAATATCTATGATACCCGCACATTTTAGCAAGCTTGGACTTACGGTATGTATGACCAGAAAAAAAGAACAATGAATATGATCCATACCATGGATGCTCCGATTAACCAGTCGTCCAACCCAAAGCTGTGCAATATTCGCTGCCGGACACATAAGCGACTGACGACCAGGATGGTGGCAAGAGTAGTCATTGACCACATCACTGCCATCATCTCTGTGCCTTTGCTGCCTTCCGCAGTAGCATCAGTCGTGGAACCCGCCATTGCTGACCAGTAGGCTATCGAAAACTGTATACCCCTTAAAAATCAGCTAATGGAGAGAGCCAGGACCTATGAGGCATTTGAAGGCTTGGAGGGGCTCTAAGTTCTCAAAAATAGCAACACAAAATAAGGTAAAAGACGAGTGTCTAAGTCTTAGTCTACACGGGGAACATCCCGAATATACATATAAACTAATCACTTCGTAATTTGGGAGGCATTCTTGATAGGACAGATGTTCGCTTGACACGTGCTAGTGTGCATCGATTGCACGTAACCCCGATGGAACCATCAGGGGGATCTAGTGCGATGCGGGTACATTAAGTGGCGCAAGTCATTTCCTTCGGTTACTCTCCTTGGCCCCCAAGCACTAATCACTAGGCCTCAAGGCGGAGGAGTCCGCTGTCAGCAATTGGTACAATCGTCCCGCTTTTTGGCCCCCGGGTCCGCCGGCGGCCCCCGGCCCGCCCCTTGGCCGAAATAAATAAAGAAAAATAACGACATTGTCGGATCTTTCTATTACTGCATACCCATTTTCACGCAGTGATTGGACAAAACAAATACTGGGTATGCGAGAATTTCAATAATCAGTATCCTGGGCGGAGTCTAGACATTCCGTTCTCATAGAGTCCGCATACACGCGAAATCTCAATTAAACCCCCACCATCTCTACAAATTTGCCACTTACACCATCAAGTCCACATTAAACCGATAATATGGGATTCAATTGATACGCATGTTGCATAGAGAGGACCTAGATCGCACGGAATGTTAATATTCACCTCAAGACTTCGTATACCACCAGCCTTTACCTCAATAACATCGGCTTCCACTCGGTAGTCCATGGCGCAACCACAAAGTCTAGCGCTTCCCGCATCAAGATTAGGACTTTTTTTTATGGAGACGTTCCAAGAAGATCACTTGGTGTTGTTTCCCCAAATACTCCACACACAGGGACTTATTTATTGGAAAGAGTCCGTGTTCCCATTTTCGCATTTCTGTTTACTCTCTGCGAAAAGTCTTCTACCTAAATACCGTTCGAAATGACAATTATCAATGAATCAAACGGATCTACAATAAATGAGCACGTCACAGCTACTATTGATCCGCGTGTTGCGATTGGCCCAAGTGCCCCTGAGCACCTTGCCGACTTGCAGCAAGAGATCAATCGTCACGCGCAGGCATACAGCAATGGCGACGCTACCTCGCGTTTGAAGCTTCTGGAAACAGCCCGGTCCCTTGTACAAGCCATGGAGACACCCCAGGAGACAATGCTGCGATACTGTTGGGCCCAGGTGCGTTGACAATGGCATAGTATTGAAGAAGAGGTCGACAAAGCTCATGTCATTCCTCCTGTATGATAGCCATCTTCGTTCGCGGGCATTGAGACCTGTATCGATCTAGGGATCTTTACGATCCTAGCGCAGACCAATAAGCCCAAATCGGTGGCGGAGCTCGCGGCGACGACCGGTGCGGAGCCTGAATTACTTGGTCAGTGTCGATCTCCCAATTGGGTCATTAGAAGGCTTATACCGGTGCAGGCCGTATCATGAAGCACCTTGCCGCAATGGGAGTTTTCGTTGAGACCGGTATGGATGTGTACGGTCGCAACGGTCTGACTACCACGCTGGCTCTGAAACGCTACAGCGACGCATGGCCATGCATGTGAGTCCTCCAACTCGACTTCTACCTTCTTCTGTTGTATGGATGGTGATCAGTATATTAATGGCGTTTGTCTACACCAGCACCGGCTGCACCCTTCCAGCAATCAGCGCAATGCCAGCATGGCTCAAGAAAAACAATTACTGCAGTCCAACCCAAGGAACAGACTGCCCGTTCACTCAGGGATTCAAGACTGAGTACCCGTTCTTTGAATTCCTGAACGGAAAGAATCCGGATTACCCTGAGCTTGGCACACAATTCAATAATCTCATGTCTGCCTACCACCAGGGTAGACCTAGCTGGATGGATGCTGGTTTCTATCCGGTAGAGAGACTCGTCCACGGGGCGAGAACCGGTGAAGATGACGTCTTCATCGTGGACGTCGGTGGAAACAAGGGCCATGATCTGGAGGAATTCGTATCGAAGTGGCCAAACACGCCTGGAAGGTTGATCCTACAGGACCAACCACATGTTCTGAGAGACATCAAGTCGTTGAACTTGGCGATTGAACCCATGGACCATGACTTCTTCCAGGAGCAGCCTATCATAGGTAAGATTTCACAAAAAATCGGTATGAGGCCGTCGCTAACATCCACAGGTGCCCGAGTATACTTTTTGCATTCGGTCTTGCACGACTGGAATGATGAGACATGCCAAAGAATTCTGTCGCGATTAGTCGCTGCAATGACACCTGGGTACAGCAAATTGTTGATCAACGAGAATGTAGTGCCTGATACAGGTGCCCATTGGCAAGCCACTTCCCTAGATCTGATAATGATGGTGGACCTTGCTGCGAAGGAGCGGACCGAACAACAATGGCATCGGATGATTGAGCTTGCTGGTCTAAAAATTGTGAAGATCTGGACACCCCTCGATAGCGCTGAGAGCTTGCTTGAATGCGAGTTGGCTTGAGAGCTTCAAGTGGAATCTGTGGAACTCGAATGTGAAGAATGTAATAAAGTCAATGCTAAATGGGCACTTATGGAACGACTGCGCATAGGGAATTACTACGCGTGTATAATGAAATTTTGCGCCCCTATCCATGCTCTACTAACTTCTTTTAGGTTCGTTTGACATTGTTGCGATGTCAGGTGACATCCCACATGGGGATAGTCTCCCATGGATGAGTAGATGGATCTCTCTCTCTCTTTCTCTCTTTCTCTGCTCCGTCCGCAATAGAATATTCATATCCTCGTATTCAATTGCCCGTTGCATGATCGACATAAGGCTATGAGCCTGTCTTTTCGATTCCTTTAAATATCTGCTGGCTTAAACCACTAACGGGCCTTACACTTTTTACTAAAAAATACCGGACCCTCCAAAGGAGGGTCCGCCACCCAAACCAACATATCACCCAAACCGAAAATTTTCACCATATCTAATTTCAACCCCCATTTCAGCCATACATATCAATGAATTTAGTGCATTTTGATAAGATTTAAATACAAAACCTATTCAATTACATGAATTCAAAAGCCATGACCCGCCCCCATTTCTTTTGCATGCGTCCATGCCTTCTGATCTGTGTGTTGACCTTAGCCCATTTCCGCTTCCGTTTGGAAATATCCTCAGCCTCAGTCCATTTAAATGCTTTATATCCGCACATACCCATCTCGTCTGCCTCCTGTACGGATTTTATGACCCGCGTATTCTCCTACGCAGCGGATAGGCCGGAAATGGACCACCAGGAGCATCGCCCGGTGACTCCGACACGAGCATGTCAATTTTCCGGAAAATGCGCGAGGGATCAGACGTCTTCTTACCCACCTTAAGTGATTGACGTTCATGTAACCTCGGCAAAGATGGGATAGGTTATATTTTTCTTGCCGCGCCATGCTCTGATTTAGCCCTTTAAAATCAGGTATGGAGAGTATAAATGCACAACCCAAGGAACAATTTACATTGTATCGAGTAGAGGCTGGACTTACATGCATATCCAAGTAACTTTGCAGTTCTATCTCTAGTTCTTTGTCTTCACTTTTCCTATGCAAAACACGCTAGCCGATTGAAAACTCTATATCCTAGTGGGGCCATCTGAACGCTTGTCTGTATCTACAGGGTATTTCCTTTACTAATGGGACCCGTCGCAGTCCCGAATTAGCAATAACATCGGCTCGTCCCCACGTTAAAGCTGACACCCCTGAGATCTATTTTACGATCCTGTATTGTGCAGGATCTGTTCTGTGGAGCCATACAGTGAGTGGTATGCGTGAATACCGGGTTGATGTGACAATAGTTCATACAAAACTTGTGCGTGTCAAGAAAACAGAACATATTATCCAGGGCTGGTCAAAAGCTCTTAGTGAATGTGGACGATATAGGTATTCACTACTGGTGAGTTATTCCATATAAGAGAACTAGATAGTTCCACATCGCATTGCACATGCTCATGGCACCCCATCTCACTAAAAGAAACATCTGTGAATACAACAGGATGTACGTGTCGTTTCTTTCCCAACTGAAAATACAAGCACTGGCCAGAAGCGTTGAAGTGAGGCCTGTTGTGATTGATGTAGCCACCCTTTCACCACGACCACACGGGAATTTGACGACCATGGATGGCTGGCCAAATTGGCCCAAGTCCATAGGCCATAGACTTGAATTCTTGGAATTTGACCCTCAAAAAATCGAGGCTTGTTCAACTCCCCTAATCAACTTGTTGATCACCATCATTGTCATCAAATGCATTGCCATTCGCCCGCTGGAAAACAGTCCAATTCTAGTCAACATGTGACTGCTTTGATTGACTTTTGTAATGATCGTACAACTAAGTACATAGTCATCTGAATCGGCATACCTCATAAAGACGCCAGGGATTGATGGAAATAGCACTGCGCACACCCCTAGTATTATGCTAAGGAGAAAACAGATGCCCCAGATCACTCTCCAGGCCAGGAGAATGAAGAAGACGCAGCCTGGTGAACTGACAATTCTTAGTTAGAAAGAAAATTCACCCGTAACTGCTGATCATTTCCGTCCCTCCATTGGTAAGTGACGCGATTCAGCTACAATGCTATTGCTGACCATTGCAACTCTCCCCTTTGCAACAGGAAACGGAAACAAGACATACATGCCTTGACAGCCGAGTTGATAGGCATTTTCCAAGCCATCGGCTCGGTGCTCAAGTCAGCACATCAGCACCCATGGACAGCAAGCTTTTGATAGAGGTCACGTCGACGATGACTCATCAGCCATCAGTCCCTGGCACAAAACCCCTGTTCCGGATCGTATGCGGGTTCCAGCTGAGGGGGTTCTAGAAAAGACTTGGCGGGAACTAGAAAAAAGCTTACGTAATTTCTACTGGAATCCAAATGGTAACTCCAGAGAGCACTGCGATCGCAGGTCAGAAGGGGACTAGAAACTACGTAAGCTTTCTTCTAGTCCCCGCCAAGTCTTTTCTAGACCCCCTCAGATGGGTGCCCGATCGCATTTCAGAGCTTTGCTATATTTCCAAGACAAAATTGCAAGCAGAAGTAATAATTGAGAGAATTGAATTGAACATGTTCATACCAACTCATATACCAAACTGGATACACGGATCGCCTGGCTCATTCTGATAAAATATAGTTTCATACTGTAGAGCGACAGGAACCTTCTTTAATAACGTCCACACTCCAAGGTTGATAATTTCCATTGCCACAGAGCATAATTCTAATGGACCTAGGGCTGATCTTACCGGTAATTCAGAGTCTCGGCTAAAACAATCAATATGGCAAATATCAAGCCATGGAATACTACATTGATGACAGTTGACCCCTCGTTGTAGGCAAGGAGACAAAAGTTAAGAATCTTCAGGGCTGAAGTAGTATGCCCCACATCTAAGAAATACTGGAATATGATTGGTCAATCACGCCATTTGAGAATGCCATTATCGAGACCGTCGATCATCATGTTCTAAAGTTTTGATGTTCGAATCACTTATTAATGATTAATCTGGAAGATGAATCAATATACACAAATTATTCAGTTAATATCGAGACATCTACATTTATCTAGGGGTCCTCGCCTTTAGGTGAATGATTTTCTTGCATACACTTAGTGCGCGTCATCGATCCGACCTCACAAAATCGCGTGCAACCTTGGGCACTATAAATCACTTGAGAAGGTTACTTTGATGTTAATTTGGACATTAAGATCGTATTAGGCATCTTTATTTATATGATTCAATCAACTTTTGTCCAGGGCCAGGCTACATCCCTATGCGATAGTATGTGTATCTACATCTCAGACTTAAAATATATGTAACGTCTTGAATTTTCTTGTCAGCAATATGATAGATTGATATTCCAGAATTTTCATCCGTAGCTTCACATGGCTCTTTATCCGTAGATTCCGGAATCAATTTCCATCTGTGCTGAATGTCGTCAAGATGCACCTTATATCCACCACCCGAAGAACCCGAAACCTTATAGTCTTCAAGGATTGTGGTTCACAAATGGGAAGCCAAGTCATCTACTTTTATCAACCCCAAATTCCGGAAACGGCGATGCTCTCCTCTGATTTTCTGCTTTACAGCTGCCCTAGCACTACCCCCCTAGAGTCTGGCCCAGGATGGCCTAAGTCCTTTTATTATATAGAGGTGACGCCTAAACCTTGTAAAATTAATCACTCAGTGCGTTGAAAGACTGTTAATTTTTGCTTACGAGCGTTGTTTGACGAGAGCACTATGTCGACATATGGCATCTATATCGCCCTCCTGGCCCTGCAGGGACTGGGATTGGTTTCAGCTCAAGACTCACACTCCACTGAAAAGGTCTGGGGGGTATTTGCATTCACTGTACACGGAGACAGCAAACCAAGTGTAATCAGCAGTTCTCGAGCCCTAACCGACTATGGAGCAAAGGAACTCGCCGCGGCCGCGTCGAATTTCCGTTCTCGTTACATATCGAAATCCGGAATATCAGAAACTGGAATCCAGAATATTTCTCCGATAATACTAGACTCGAATGACGTGAATGTCCTCTCGACAGCCGATCAGAATGTTGTCGGCTCTGCTCAGGCATTCATGCAGGGGCTTTATCCACCTCTCGGCACAATGAATGTATCAAGTTCGCAAAAGGTCAATGGATCGTTCATGCAGGCACCGCTAAACGGATATCAATACCCGCGGATCGTCACACTGGGCGAGGCAGATCCTCAGTCTATTATGGTCGATGGCCAAGCGAAGTGCAACATGTACCATGCCGCTGAGAGCGAATACCGCAACAGCAATGAAGTCAAAGAAATCGCGCGAGACACAGATATATTTTATCAAATGATTTGGGGCCTGGGGATGTCCAGCATATACGACGAGTCCTTTGCGACATACACGAACGCCGTTCCCATATCCGAATATTTGGACTATGAACTCGTGCACAACGATACGTTCATGCAAAGTATGAATCACGCCCAAATCTTGCGCGCTCGCTCGCTGGCCGACCAGTATCTGTGGAACACGAATAGCCAACAGTCGTCCTCCAGCGGGATGATTAGAGCAGTCAGCCCGATTGCAGGCCAGACGCTGGCATCGAGTATATTGCAAGCCTTTGATCTGAACATCAAGGCCGGCGGCAACCAGCAGAAAATGACGCTATTGTTCGGCGGTGACGAGCCAGCAATGGCATTGTCTTCTCTCGTGGGACTCGCAAACGATCGACAGCCGAATTTCTTCTCTCGTCTCGTTCGTGGCGGCTCGTTCGTCTTTGAATTGTACAGCTTCGAGGACAGCACCGATCTGTACCCTTCATACCCAGCAACTGACAATCTGTATGTTCGATTCTTTCTGCACAATGGGACGGACGATGCGACGGCCTTTGAACCTTTCTCTCTCTTTGGGCACAGTCCCAGCCAGACCTCAATATCGTATTCAGAGTTCTGCTCGGAATTGGAGACTTTTGCCGTGAGCTCAGTGCAGGAATGGTGTACCCAGTGCAATGCCCAATCCGTGTTCTGTCTGGGTGTGTTAGATCAAAGCCATTCTGCACCAAAGCACAAGAAGGGCATGGCTCCCGCCGTGGCTGGAGTCATTGGTGCCGTGGTGACTCTTGCTGTTGTCGGACTCACCGCAGCCATTGTGTACTTTTGTGTTTCTCGCAAGGACAGGTCTCAGAAAGGAAGTGTGGGAGGGTTCAAAGGGCCTGGGAAGCTTGCCAGTGATACGGACGTTTCCTTCCGCAATCCCATCTGGGGTGGTTCCAAGGCGGAAGACGTTGAGTCGTCCAATGGCCTCAATGCTGGGGCTTTTGTGCAGGGCCAGGAGCGTCACGGAAGCTGGGAAATGGGACAGGGAAAGAAGGAAGTTGAGAATGTTCAAGCGGGCGGAACGACAAGATCACCGCTTGGGGAGGAAGAAGACGATTGGAGAATTCACAGTGGTCTTCAACCTGTGAAGATCCGGGAAAGTGTATAGATCAATTGCTCTATCAATTGGCACTTAGGTCTAAGTACCTGATGATATTGTATTGTGTCGTCTTCGGTTTGATCGTGCTTTGTTTTCGTTTCATAGCCCAATCTTTTCCGTTGCAATTGATCTCCGAATTCAATATCTTTTCCATTTTTTGGTCCAGTATTCAATTCAGCGCGCTCTCTGGCATATGAACGCGTCGCCGCCGTGGGCATAGATCCCAACTCCCAATAATCTCGCCATCCACGAGAGAGCTTCGCACCCTCGTTCCTTCTCAACTCCACCTCCTGCCCTCCGAATCCCCTGAAACATCCTTTGTCTTCGAACGTATTTCTCCCTCTTGATCTTGACAGGTAAACATTCCACATCCATGAACAAAATGAAGTATAATTTGCCAACACTGCTGGCCTTGTGTCAGGATACAGGCGTAGATTGCAAGTGGACAAGTCAATCAATAGACTGTGAGTTTTTTTTTTCTTTTGTTTCTTTGAGCCCTCGGAGTCTCCTTGGTGATACGATAATGTTCTACTTGCTTCATTCCATTGGAGCGCTCAGTGCAGTGACGAGATCTGTCATGAGGCTTCATGTCCTTCATGGGGCTTCATGGACCTTAACGACCATGGGCTTTGGATCAGCGGTAGAGATCTCGCTGACAATTGCTCTAGGTAGGAAATCACGCTCTGGTCGCGACAAAGGACCGATTTTTGCTGGGAATATACGAGATCGACCGACAAAAAAATTAGCCCGGCCATCGCGACCGGGCAAACATCCAGCACCCAAACCAGGATCGCAATACCGAAAAACAGCTCCCAAGAAGAACATCTCCAACCATTATTTCCCAGCACATGATGCAGGGTTTGTTCAATTCCTGAAACGGCATACTTCCCCAAAGCACCAGCGAGTTACGGCTGGAGGAAGGATCGTTCCAATGGACCCACCAAAAGCACCCCTTCTTGGGGGAAAATCGCCTGCCATGATGGCTGCGATCAACGGTATTGAGTCAATTGCAGGTCACATCTTTATTGACGGTCAACTCATGGCGGCAAACAATGGACGCGCCGCTGGTCTGCAAGAGAATGTGAGACTTATCCAAGCATCAACCGGAAACAGTACAGGAGAACTGTGGTCTCCGCCCATATTCGCCAGTGGAATCACACAAAAAATTGACAGTGGCTCCCAGGAGACTGTTTTTCAAGACGTTGCTCTTGAGCCTCCATTTATCCCATACATCCACGATCCGATTGAAGGACTTCATGATGAGTATGTACCTCTTTGGGAATTTCCGGAGTGGCATGAGATTGATACTCCTGCGCCTGATGACCGGTGGGGAAGATGGCACTCAATTGCCAGTGAGATCAATCACGACGAGGCAGCAATCAAAAACATGTGGATGCATGTGAAACACCTGGACAACTTCCCGACGCTCGACTTCTATTCCCGATTTGCACACTGTGTGTTGTTCTGGGGCTTGGATACAGTTAAACAGGCTGAGCACTGGCTGAAGAACAAACTGCTTTACCATGAGAGATATCTTGTGGAAGTCAATGAGGTGATTGCAATGGACCCCGGAAATGAGCCCAACATCACTCTTTATGCCTTGCGCGTTTACAACACCAAGGAGCGGGCAAAGCTTCTGGCTGCCATCGAAATCCTAGAGGCTTTCACAGAGCAGCGACTCCAGGCCCCGGTTGGGCCAATTATGAGCGGTGGCTCGGATGGCGACATGCCGACCATCATCATTGAGCCCACGGGCACCAATCGTGGAATTGATATCATCGATCCAGAGACTGGTCGCCCCATTGTGATCCAGATATCAGAAGGCCGTGGAGGTGAGGCGGAAGGGAGCACCAAATCGCTTACTTTCGACGGTGCAGATGATGGAATTGGCAATAATCTGATGACAAACAATGTCTGGTACTACGGCAATGCTGCAAGCCGACCAATCATTGAGGATGCCGAGAATGCTCAGATTGTTCAAGACACTCCGGAGGACGTGACCCCACCTTCCGAAGAATATGGAGATATTTCATGGGTTCACCAGGAAACATGGACAGAGCATCTTCCCTCGCAAGATGGACACTGCTTGAGCGAAACCGTTCCGCGAAATTTTGGTGGAAGCCCCAGTCGGTATCGGTTATCATTGTCTTCCTTCTCGCAATGTGACCAGCCCAGAACTACTCTGGAAGGAGCTAGCACCACTGGAACAGCTGGAAGCCCAATTCCTGCTTTGAGCGCCGTGATCAGTGTGTAAGTTCTTGATCATATAGCAAAACACTAGGAAATTATTGCAAAGCTAACTCTCGGCGCCACAGCGACGAAAATGAGGATGGTAACCACGTTGAAGCAGAAGTTCAGCAGAACGTGCAACCCATTGAGATCAATGGCATCAGTGAAGAGAATGACTTGAATTCTCAGGGCCCTATCTTCAATCCCCGAGAGCCACTCGTATCCTCGGATGTTTTCAATATGTTTGTGGTGAACATTGATGATGTTCGTGAGATGAATGGAAGCAACAACACTTCAGAGGAATCGTTTGAGGAGTCCTGCCGACAGATCACAGGCCCAAGGTAACACCACATACACCCACTTTTACAATTGACAGTGCTAACATAAAAGTAGAACTTCCACAGAGGAGCATCGCAGTATAAGAATGTTCACGAGGACCGGCCTTAGAAATGGTACCCTAAGCTCCGACTCTGATGAGAGTGTACCAATCTTGTCACACCCATATCCACCCCACAGCTGGGATGAATCGGCCCACCCGGCAATCCCTAAAAGCGACTTGAGTATACGATCAGGATCAAATGGAGATATGCTCAGCAGCACTGGCTCGCGTATGATCTCCACGACTTTGACCGCTCGTCGTTGTCGACAGAGTGCACGCGCTCGGGCAGACGCCATCATGCGTCATGCTCAGACTAGTCCATCTCGATTAATCTTTAACTTGAGAGATAAGGTTCCCATCTATGCGGCCTTTGGTTTCGATGCGCCAGACAGTGTGACTACCAGCGAGGCCAATTCGCAGGTAGTCGCATGGCTGAAAAATACCCAAGAGCGCCATACCGCACGGGCGGTTGTAAATACCAGCAGGATCAACGCTTACGCCGACCGCCGCCAATGAATGCGAAGTCGAATTTCATGTGTCTTGAGGTCCTGGGCAACAGAGGCCTTTTGGGGTTCACCAAATGTATGAGTGGGAATGCAAGAAGAAAGTGTGAACGGTATCGAATTTTATACCGGAGGTCTTGCTTGCCACGGGACTTTCGCGGTGTACCAGATGCATGTGAGAAATTAGGAGAAGGCGAGAACAGTGATGAATGTCCAACGAGGCAGCGAATGGAGTGAGGATTGACATGACTGATGGAGGAATCTCAACATGAAGAAATATGTATAATTACGCTTCCATCATTATGCAAATGGAAAAGGTATGTCTCGAATCACGTGCATTTTAAATCTTCGGTCTTAGCGCTTGACATATCTACATTTTTGGATAAATGAGGCTTCAAACAATAGGTCAAGTACTGAACATCTGTTGTTTGTGATTCCACTCATCCTATAATAGCATTATATTATCTGGTAAATCAACTTTATTTATGTACTACATGCAACCTTGGAACATCCCATGGATAGAAGATAAGGACCATCTCCACGTTATATATAGATGAGGTTTTGGATAGAAGCCTGATATTTTTTTTTAAATTGATTTGAAATCAACATTGGAAAATATTATATACTTGATAAGATAACCATTAAGTTTGTTTGTCATTTTGGAATTCTAAGATAGTAATATTGTAGTAACATTGCATGGTAGTAAAAAGATACAACAGCGAGGTGGCGTTAGATGCTAGTCGCCACCCTGTTTTTACTTCTAGAATCCTTCCATGATTGGTATCATGTATTGCTCGTCAAATTTAGAGGATTGAGCATGAGTTACCACAGAGCATGACTTGCATGGACATTTTTTTCCCTATCACCATTTCCTTTTTAGCACCCTTTTCCCCCTCCACACAATTATATAGATGAGATACGTCAGTCCTGGGAGTCGAGAACATAATTTAGTTCGACTTATGAGATGACTAAGGCACCTCCACGTCTTTCTCCACTTCACTCCTTGACTGGCACTCTCTTTTCTTCTTTCTTAATCCTCGATCTCTTTTTTTATTGTAGCATGTCATTTGATTCATGTGTCTAAATATTGTGGCACTTGTCTTTCCAGCTATTTGGGTGGATAACCCTTGCCATATCGTTTCCTAACAAATTGCCCCCGGTTATATCCCCAGCCGGCACTTGGCACTTTGGAACGCCATACCACCCTTTTACCCGCCTCACGCTTTTTCCTTTGCACAGCGACTCTCCCAGATCACCCATTCGACAGATCCTAGGTGATTGTGAGTGACTTCACTCTCGATATCGACCTCTGTGATCCCAATATCCCCAATATGACGCAGCTTTTCGCTCCAAGTCCAGCGGTGACCAACGAGAAGCGCGGGAATTTCCCCGCTCTCTCCCTTCCTTCGCGAAAACACTCCAACGATTCCACCCACCTACCAACAAGAATCAAGAACTTTTTCCGCATAAACAGTTCAAGCAGCCACTCCTCCTCCAACTCCGGCTCCAATAGCAACGAACGAGACCGTGAACGAGACAGCCATGGCTCCGTCAAGAACGAGAAGTCCGCTTTTCGGCAATCTCGCTTTCTCCCGACCATTGGTCGCAATCGTTCAACAACCGTCGCCAGCGAGGGCAACCCTCTCGACGATAGCATGTCGCCCACTGCATCAGCAAACCCCTACTTTGCCCATCAGGGCCAGCCCGCCTTGCGCCACCGCAATGATGGCTCCGTGCCCTCTTCCCCGCCCGATACGCCCGAGTTGCAAGTAACCGGGGTCTCCGCAGTGGAGCAGGCAACTACCGCCAATAAGGAGGAGTTGGCGCGCAAGCTGCGACGTGTGGCTTCCGCCCCGAATGCCCAGGGCCTGTTTACCAGCGGGCAGGGCGACCGCCCTCAGACGGCAGAGATCGGCAAGGAGCCTTTGGTAGAACAATCTGGGGCTGTAAGTCTGGCACACCCTAGCGGTCATAAGGAACTCGCTCTGGCGGTGCCGTCACACAGCTCGGATCTGGATAACAATGCTTCTTTCCGCCGCACTTACAGTTCAAACTCTATTAAGGTTCGAAATGTGGAGGTCGGCCCTGCTAGCTTTGATAAGATCAAGCTTATCGGTAAGGGCGATGTTGGAAAGGTCTACCTGGTGCGCGAGAAAAAGTCTAGTCGCCTCTATGCCATGAAGGGTATGTTTGTTGAATTCGAAAAAACCTTGGTGCTTTAATATTAACTGGTGGCTAGTTTTGAACAAGAAGGAGATGATCAAGCGCAACAAGATCAAGCGCGCATTGGCCGAACAAGAAATTCTGGCTACCAGCAACCATCCGTTTATTGTCACCCTTTACCACTCCTTCCAATCGGAGGATTATCTGTATCTCTGCATGGAGTACTGCAGTGGTGGCGAGTTTTTCCGAAGTAAGACTCACTCTCGGCCTGTGTCCGAATTTGGCTGGGATAACTCTTGCTGATTTGATGTGATTTCTAGCATTGCAAACTCGCCCCGGAAAGAGCATCTCTGAGGATGCAGCGCGCTTTTATGCCGCAGAGGTCACTGCTGCTCTCGAGTATCTTCACCTCATGGGCTTTATCTACCGTGATCTGAAGCCAGAGAACATTCTTCTACACCAGTCCGGACATATCATGCTGTCAGACTTCGATCTGTCCAAGCAGTCCGGACCTGGTGGTGCCCCAACAATGATCCCCGGACGTAGTGGCGGCGGCAACTCCACCACAGCTTTACCTACAATTGACACTAAGTCATGTATCGCTGATTTCCGAACAAATTCCTTCGTCGGAACAGAAGAGTACATCGCACCCGAGGTGATCAAGGGATGCGGCCACACCAGCGCCGTGGATTGGTGGACACTGGGTATCCTCATATACGAGATGCTATACGGCACTACCCCGTTCAAGGGCAAGAACCGTAACGCGACATTCGCAAGCATCCTGCGCGACGAAGTGAACTTCCCAGAACACTCGAACGTGCAACAGACCTCAAACCTATGCAAGTCTTTGATCCGCAAACTACTGATCAAAGACGAAACCAAGCGTCTCGGCGCCCGAGCTGGTGCATCCGACGTCAAGACCCACCCATTCTTCCGCACAACCCAGTGGGCGCTCATCCGCCACATGAAGCCGCCCATGATCCCTCACCAGGGCCGCGCCGGCACGGACACCATCAACTTCCGCAACGTCAAGGAGAGCGCCAGCGTGGATATCGGCGGCACGGACCCCACCAGGATGACCGGCGTGCCGATGGACTCCGGGCTAGCTACGCCGAATGGTGAACTCAACGATCCCTTCGAGGAGTTCAACAGCGTCACGCTCCACCACGAAGGGGATCAGTGAAGAGATCATTTTTTGTCACTTTCTTTTATCCGATACACGAGGAAAACAGCCGCACATGCATCGGCTCCACGACCATGATGCACTTAACGACTGAATCTAGATGCTTTTCTTCCCATCATCGCTGGGTGTATGGGGTGTTTTCGGGACTTTTTGGGCGGATCTATCCAGGCTTTTTCTTTTTCTTTTTGTTTCTTGCAAGCTCGCTACGTCTTATCATTGCATATTCGCATCCCATTCATCGCACACCCTTGGTTGAATACCCTCTTGCCTTGCGGCATTGGCATCGATACCAAAGCGCTTCTTGACATTGCTACGATTTTGGCTTTTCGCGTTCTCGAAAACTGTGCTATAAACCCGTCTTTTGGTTGTTTTTTTTTGTTCCTTGCAGCGGACGGCGTTTGGGATTCCTTTCGGGCACTTTTGCGTGTTGTTCAGTTCAATCTATTATTGCCTCAAATTTTAAATTCTCGTCTTGAATTTTCTTGCATGGTCGCTGTTTCAGGTTTCTTTTGGATAGTTCTAGTTGATAGATTCAATTTCCGAGCGAATGTTAACATCTTGCGTATACGTGCATAGGTAGCGTTTATATGTATCTGTTCTATGATCTTCGCATTTTTATGAATAGGTCAATTTCCATCCTTAGAAGGTCCTTGGCTTTCGGAGTTTCTAGTGGTATGCACACATTTGATCTGGCTTGGGTATTTGTTGATAGGTTGGCTCTGTGCAGATAAATGTATATACATATAAACGAGGAATATCTATATTTGGAACTCATATTTCTCAAATCCGAATCAGAAGTCTACTGCCGAGGGTATCATCTAAACAAATGGAATCAATGCATATGATGAGGATCCGCGGCACAAGCCTTGCGGCACTCCTCCATAATTCTAGCCTGCTTAGCAATGTCACCAAGACGGCTAATAACCTCCTTGTTGCCATCATAGAATGTAAAGACAGCATAAGGAATCTTTACATCCTCACAGAACTCCCTCACAAACTGCTGCGTCCTGCGCAAGTTGTGTCGAGGAATTCGCGGGTACAAATGATGAATAGCCTGGAACTGCAACCCGCCGTGGAAAAAGTCCAACCACTCAGGACAATCCACATCCATTGTCGTCCGCAGCATCTTCTGCGGGAAAGACTCCAAAGGCCCTAGATCAGCAGTAGACATGGCATAGTGCGACAGCGTGATCTGAACATGCAGCGGCGCAGTCACCATATGTGAAATCAGAACAAACGCCACCCGACTAAACCACGTCGGAATACTGCACCACACAACGCCGTACCCGAACCAAGTCCAGAAAAAGATCTGGCCCGCAAGCTCAAACCACCGATGCCACCACCCAGCGCCGTGCTTCGGGCCCCGACCGACAATAATATGCTCCCAGCTCAGGAAGTACAGGTTAAAGCGGCCGAACAGCAGAATCGGGTAGTATAGGTAGTGCTGGTACTTGACGACTGCTTTCGAGACAGCATCGTACTCCATGATGCGGTCGTAGTACGTACTTCGCAGGTCATCGAAGAAGCGATGTGACAGCGCGAAAAACGGCATCAGCTCGATATCCGGGTCGTGCTCTGGCGCATTCGTCACTATATGGTGAACGTTATGGCTGCGCTTCCACCAGCCCAGACTCAGACCGCCCAGGTAGTCAGCGATGACCATGCCGATGACGGTGTCTGTCTGGAAATCGTGGGTGATGCCCATGTGGCCTGCATCGTGGGCGGAGAAAACAAGCTGGTGCCAGAAACAGCCGAGGAAGAACGCCGACGTGCAGAACCACGACTGCTTTAGGAAGAAGACGAATAGCCCGAAGAAGAGCGTGTACCGGCTGATTTCGACCGCGTACGCCCAGTAGTTGCAATTGTACAGACCGGCTGCACGGATGCGCTCGTTGAGCTGGCGGTATTTTTGCGTGATGTTTTCTTGGTGCGCGGCGTCTAGGGGCGGGTATTTGGCTTCGTCTAGGTCGATTTCTTTTTGTGTTCGTGCGTCCACTACGTAGCCTCGCTTTGGCTCTGCTGGGGGGATGGCGCTAACTGCTGAGGAGATGGTTGATACTGATAGTCTCCGTCTGAGGCCGAATTCTTCTTCCTTGGCTTCGAAGATTGGGGATGGAGGCGCGGAGATGTCCTCGCTTGAGAGTTCTGAGCAGGATTCTTCTGGTTCTTCCTCTTTGATGTAGGGGCGGAATTCGCCGCCTTGGATTGGGGGTAGGAAGTTGGTCCATCGGCCTTCGATTCGGCCGATTTGGAACTTGCTCATGCGCTGACGGGCTTCCTGAGAATGAAGTCTTTATATGGGCGTTAGCATGATTTCTAGAGGACGCCGGGAAAACGAAGTCAGATGTTTAACACTCACGCATTCACTTCATCTGTAGCATCTTTGCCTATCATGTGCTTGATGGCCAGGACACCTCCAGGGTGGAACTTGATCCAAGCATCTAGTTTGAGTACTTTGCCGTCGACGATGATAATTGTCTTGTCTTCAGCAATCATGCCTTCTACCTCACGTCTCGATAGGACATTGTCCTTGGCCCTCACTGGGGTGAGTGTTTTGGCCATGGCGTTATATTGTAGAGACTAAAAGTGAAAGGATCTTGCAGTTGATCAAACAGGAACAAGACTTAGTTTTAAAGACAATCACAATCACACCCAGCATTTCTCCAATCCAATATTCGTTTATTCGTTTATTCGTTTATTCTATTAATTTATCATGTTACCTAGACCTAAGCGCCAAAGCGCAAGACATCCCCGTTCCTCTTCGACCCAGGGGACACCAAGGGGGCAGTGTAAATTGGTCTGTCCAACCGAGAAGTGGACACAGGAGAACTCCATGGGGAAAATAAAGGTGGATTTTGGTATTGACTAAAGCCGTGTGACATTACTGTGGACACTTGTGGCGACTGGACGAAGTCGTAGTAAAATAATATAGCGTTCTGCTGGCGGGTCATACGCGTATCCAACAATGTACCATAGATAATAAAGTGAGCTAAAACAAGCTTAAACCTTCCGTGCCCCTGTCGGAAATTGAGAAAAAAGATCGTTAGATTTAGCCTTCCCCCTATCCTATGCATAGGATTTGCTCCACTGCTTGATATTTATATCAGTATTTAGTAGCAGTTGCACTAGAACATGGAACCCACATCGAACATTCTCTGGTTCTAAAATTATGTTTTTCAGTAATCGTATTCTCTCTTTTGAATAAATAGCCCAAACAGCTAAAAGAGTACCCTAGTTTTCAATGAAATAGGTCCAGTGGCGATTCGTATTCGCATAAAGATCTGTTTTTCTATGCGCTTGGCAATTACACCGTGGAAACACACTAATCCAATAACGGAAAAACATTGACACGTGTCCACTCCAACCCTATAAACAACTTTATTATTTCGACGGGTCAGGGACCAGATCATTGTTAATTGGAAGGACAACAGTCTGTGAACCCAAGTTAAACTGAGATCTGCTACTCTTTCTGCCCCTCTATAGCCGTTCCAGCCCCGCATCTGGGGGGTTGACTGGCTCACATCGCCTGACTAGTACACACTTACGTATTGGCGTTCTACTCACTGTTAAGTCGCCACTCTGTAACCAAGTGTCCTTAATTATTGTCGCTGGTTCATGCTGTCATGGTCCACAATAGTGGTCGTTTAGCAACGGAGAGGCGAGAATGATAATTAATGAGGGCGCGTACATTGGGCCAAGGCTTTTAATATACACTAGAGTCAATCGAGTCTGGGAGATGGCAAACCCACGGACGACCTTATCCTAGCTGAATTGGCATTTCCAACTAAGTTATTTAGGGCGACGGCCTCGCGTCAACTGTGACACAGAGTAAAAAATAGATCTAGGCTCCCAAATAGTTAATTAACAAAGTTAGGGCACATGTGGCTTCAACGCTTAGGAGGTATGAGACTTACACATTTTGCGGGGCAAGACATTTCTGGGTGAGTTTAATCTGGTAAATATGGGGTTTTTTCGCCTCTTTGATTATTTGTTCCGAGAATATCTTTGATACTACTACTAATAGAGCACTATGTTACAAATGAGGAACTCCACTTCTCAATTCGAATTTTGCAATACCACTGAGACAGTGTTGTGTTCTACGCGATTTCAATATTTATATTAATGGTTAAGAATTGCAGAAAAATCTAATACCCAACTGACTTTTTCCAACTCATGTCCAAAACTCTGAGAGTAAAGCTTTATCACAGCGCCTAGCAGGAAAACTTTCTGGAACAGATCCATCAAAGGAATAGCATGAGGCGCGAATATAAGATCCACTCACGCCTGCATTAGTCCCATACGCAAATTTGACAAGGCTTGCATTTCAGTCGAATCGCACTCCGTGCCAACGACAGAACCCACCCTGATCGTCGCATGCGACAGTGTGGATTAGAAAAAGGAAGTTCTCAGAATCCTTTTAGATCCACATGTGCTTGAAAGGGGGTATCTTGTACAAAGAGGGTAAACCAGATGCCAATTCGTGTCCACTCTTTTGCGGAGTCTCTTGTAGTCCGTATCAGTCTCGATAATCCTAGGCGTGCAGGCAGGGTCTGCGATAGGTATCGATCAACCAGGATACAACACGGGTGTTAAGTTTCTGATGCAATACGGTCGTCATGTTTCAGATAATGTGTTGATCGATATGGTCTCGAATGCTGCTCCGTATTTCACAATGTAATTATTGCCTGCGATTGTTGCCTGCAAAACTCCGCCCCAACGGGGCTTGCCGTATCTGAATTGCCCCTTACGGAGTACGTGGACAGATTTGATAGATATTTGGTACCCGCAATTGGAACCCACAGCCGAGGCATTGATTGAGGAGCGACATAGAAGCATGGTGTCGAATGCGACATTGTGGTGGCTGGATTTCCGAGAAGGTATGCCATCAACGCCATTCGTTTGCCATTTGTATGCGGTAATATCTTAAAGGAGACTTCTCCGGGAGTTGGCTTTCTCGCCAAGGTAACTGTCTATTTAGTGTTACAAGCGGGACGAGTGCTCAAATGTTGCCTAACTAGTCGAGAGACTAGCGCTAATGGGATCACAATACGACCACAGGGCTGTAGAACGAGGCGCATACCCCATTGAGGTCCAAATATGTGAATGATTAAATCCTCCCCTACGAGGCAGCTATAATAGGAGTCGCTAGTCTACAATGTACAATATTGTAGCTTAATCATAACAAATGATTGCAAAGGATCTCTGTCTGAATACATTTGGAGCACATTCTTTTATCTACATTTTCAACCACACTTTTATGAACGTGGGCGAGCGATTTGACTGTACTGCCTCGCGATTCATGGTTCATTCTAAATCTAGTTTTTCGAATTCCCTAGTCAAAAATCTGGCATAGGCTTAGAAAACCACGAAGAAGATGCTTAAGAAAAGAAAGGGTTTTTGGGGGCCACTGTAACTTGTGTAATCAAAATGCCAATAAGTAGGATAGATTGCGATATATAACTTATTCGTGACCTCGAGACATTCTATATCGTTTCACTATGTCATCTGGTAGCCTTTTACCTACGTCAAGGTATGTAGCAACGTCACCTTGATAGTGATTTTCAATACAAACAATAATGGATCCAAGACCAAAACCCTACTTGAGCAGTTGAAAATTATGTTTCTCTTCATTTTTCACCCAAAATATATCATCAAACATTGGCAGTGTGACTTTACAGCTTGTTGGTAGAATAAAATGGCGGACATAGATGCAACAGATCGGAAGCTTGGGTAACGCGCCCCAGCGGAACTTCAAAAAACCACAGCTCTCACCCAAAACAACAACCCATCTACAATTGACACTCAGTCTCAACGACAAACCCCAATAACCCTTCACAATGTCCGCATTCGCGCCCGAAGACCCAGACGATTACTCGTACGCCGAGGCCGACCCCGCGGAAACCTCCACCCCTCCGCACCCCGACTCGATAGGCGACGACGCAGGAGCCTCGCACGGCCGGGGCCACTCCAATAACCCTCTGCTGGGATCTGATCACCCCATAGTCTCGGATCTGGAGCAGGAAGTGCTGGAGGAATATGCTCGATTGCTGCGGAATGTGAATCAGGTAGGCGAAGATATTTGCGGATAGTCTGGGCACTTTTATCTTGGTGGCATGGATTTCTTTATCGGGAAATTTTGTGCCAGAATCCAGATATTTGAAGGCTCGGATTCTATGTTTACTGAGTACTGATTGATTCATGTGCGCAGCTCTCCGATAAACTGGCCGACCTTGCGGGTTCGCCTGCCTCCATGCCCCTCGATGGTCTTCGGCTTTTGGAACGCAAGACTGCCACTGTGTGCACCCTTCTCAAAGCCAGTGTGTATAGCATTGTTTTGCAGCAGCAGATTTGGAATGAGAATGAAGAGCAGCAGCAACAGCAGCAGAATGAGGATCATTTCCAGGACCAAGAGTATCAACACGGAGGATATCAGCATGGAGGCTATGAGGGAGAAGGAGATATGACCTTCCAATGAAGGGAGTCGCGTTTCTATTAGGATGATGATGATTTTTTTTATTACTCGCGTACTATACCCGGGGTGTTGTTCATTTTCGAGACTTCGTTTCTGGTGTGAAACAAATGGGGGTTGTGGAAAAGGACCTTTGTTGATATATAATTTTTTTCAAAATATGCTGTGAATAGCCCAGAATACTGGAGAACTGATGACCCATTCATGTTGAACAACCGACTTATACAAATACATGCAAAAGACACAAGAGGATGGAAAGAGAAACATTATATACACGCTGGTACGAAACAGCAAGTCTAGGCCAAAGAAAGTTTTAGACCTTACCCGCGTAGTACACCTTGCGCACATCGACAATCTTTCTGCCGAGTGCGTGAGCGACCTGCTCGGGGTTACGCTGGCTCATGAGGGCCTGGTAGGCGGCCTTGACCGTGTTCATTGGGTTCCTTGAACGGCCAGTGCGGGCCGACAGGTCGTGAATACCGCTAGCACGGCACATCTCATAGATGAGATGCTGGACACGGAGACCGAAGCCTATGACAATATTAGTAAAAGTGACGCGCTATGATATATGAAACATACCTGGTGGACGGTGCATCAGCTTCACCGAAGTGGCTCCGACCTTGCCGTTAACATCACCATAGATGGTCCTGTTCTCATAACGAGGAATGGGCTGCATGTTACGGATGGCACGGTACTGCGATTGGGTCCTTGCGTCAGACGCTTCCTCGGACTTGGCTTCACCGATACCGAGCAGACCATTTGCGTTACCGGCAATGGAGAGACGGTATTGGCGGCGGACCTTTCCTAGTCGGGTCTGGTTGGTGACGCTGTGAGAGACGAGGGTCTTGGTGCGAAGTTCCTTGACTTGTCGCTCTGTGTAGCCCGTAGCCAAGAGAAGGCTCTTGAGGGCATCTGTCATCTCCTCCGCTTCCGCCGAGCGCTCCTTCTCGCCTTTCTCGGCGGCTGTCTTCCGATTCGCGACAGTGGGCTCGTCGATAGTCTCACCAGGACCGAAGAAGTCTGGAACCAGTGAGCTGTTGGGGTTCAGCTCGTTTTCCTCCTTGCCGTGAGTGACGCGCAGGTTGTCTGCAAACCGTACAAAGTCGGAACCTGCTGCTCCTTCGGGCATGTCGGCGATGAAGCGACCGAAGTCCTGTACAAAATCGTCTTCATCCTTCAGCTTGAAGTCGTAGTCTGTGTTCGACACCGGGGCGCGCTGGTGGTGGTCGATGCCGGGCTCGATCACTGAAAAATCATCGATGTACCGGAACTGCATCGGGTCAAGACGTTTGTGGAACCCCTCTGCCAGATCCTTGGGGTCGATGGCAGCTTCGCCTGCCTCGATAGCAGCCATCTGTGCTTCGGTGTAGTGCTTGGCGAGCTCGGCCTTCTGAGCTTCTGTGTACTGCTTGAAGGTTTGGTCCTGAGGAGCCTTAATACTGGGGAATTTTGGTTTCCGGTTCGAGAGAGACGCAGGTGTAGGATGGAATTGGCGACGGGGGACTCGCGTGGCCGGCGTGGCAGCACGGGAGAAGCTGCATAAAAGGCATCGTGCTGGCCGTGTAGCATTCATGATGGCAACTCAATGTGCTCTCCAGCCAACGACAGGCTGGTTGAGAGCTATGAAATCTAAGATAAAGGCGAAATGCGGAGACAATTGGGGGACGCAAAGACAAAAGAGGCTGTCGGAGGTGAAGCACCGGGAGGAATTTCTCTCTTGCGGGCGGTCAGTCTGCAACCAATCAGCAACGCGGTAGATGCGTTTCTAATAAATTTCCCATTTGACGGTTTTCGTTTCCAAAAAAATATTTCTTTGTCGCTTTTCACCTTACATGTTTGTAATACGGTCATCTGTCTGGCGATTGACTTCTTCCGGCTCTCTCAGACCTCTCCAAGCCCTTCAAGTGCGCCCGGCTTCTCAATTTTCCAACCAGCGCCGTTCAACGGATGCGCCATTCCCCGCGATAATGCAGAACGCCCCAAGAAAACAGTTCGACGGCAAGAAGAAGTTCAAGAAGGCCAAGGTCGAGAAAAATAAGAGCAGTGGGCATGACGAAGTCCTTCTTTGTGATATCAACAAGCTCCTCAAAAGCAATGAAACTGAACAGGAGAATGAAACCAACGGCGACAGCACGCCTTTCACACCTCCCGAGAAATTCACCGAGATTGACGTGAAGATCCTTGAACTTTCTTCTACTGGAGATGGCCTCGCGCTTTCCGAGAATGGGAAATATGTCTATGTGGTCCCTTTCACAGTCCCTGGAGACACCGTACGAGTCAAGGTCGTCAGACACTTTGAGTCCTTGTCGTACAGCTTGACCGATTTTGTCAAAGTGGTTGAACCGGGTCCTCAGAGAAACGATTCCTTGATCAACTGTAAATACTTTGGAGAATGCTCGGGATGTCAGCTGCAGATGATGTCCTATGATGACCAGCTTGCCCACAAGCGTCGCATCGTGGAGAAAGCCTATGCCAATTTCTCTGGGTTGATCCCGGAGCTTGTTCCCACCATCGGCGAAACATTTGCATCGCCCATGCAGTTTGGATACCGTACCAAGCTCACACCTCATTTCGCACAGGGTGCCGCCGGCACAAGCAAGGACCAGGAAGCACGCATTCCCCCAATTGGATTCACATACAAGAACAGACGACTGGATATGGATATCGAAGATTGCCCTCTGGGTACGGATATTGTACGCCGTGGACTGACCAGCGAGCGGAAGCGAGTCGCAGAGAACATTCGTTCCTACAAGAGAGGTGCTACGCTCCTGATGCGCGAATCGACCGCACGAATTCCCAAAGTAGCCCCGTCTACCACCGATTCAGAGACCCCCAACGTTGAAGGCATCCCCGCCTCTGTGAACGCAGACACCGGTGATGTGATTCGCATCGAGCACGAGAACTACATTGAAGAAAAGCGTTGCATCACAGACAACAACGCCACTTCCTTCGAGTATGTCGACGACTACGTCTTCAGCAACAAAGCAGGCGCCTTCTTTCAAAATAACAACTCAATCCTCTCCGGCTTCACAGAGTACATTCGCTCACAAGCCATCCCCCAAGGCAACGACCAAGACGCCAAGCCAATCAAGTACCTCCTCGACGCCTATTCCGGCTCCGGCCTGTTCACCATCACCCTCTCCCCGCTATTCAAATCCAGTCTCGGCGTCGACATCGGCGGCGATTCTATCGTTTCCGCACGCGAAAACGCCCGCGCAAACAAGCTCCCCAACACCGGTTTCGCTGCTGCCGACGCCGCAACCCTCTTCAAAGACGTCCCCTACCCGGCAGACCAAACTTTGCTCGTCATCGACCCACCTCGCAAGGGATGCTCGGATGATTTCCTGCGCCAGATGCTTGATTTCAAGCCCCGCCGTGTTGTGTATGTCAGCTGCAATGTGCATACCCAGGCTCGTGACGTTGCGGTTATGGTTCAGGGCGACGAGAAGCAGAATGTTCGCTATGAGATCGAGAGCATTCGTGGCTTTGACTTCTTCCCTCAGACTGGGCACGTGGAGGGTGTGGCTATCCTCAACCGCACTTCTTTCCCTCAGAATGAGACTGCCTAAGCTTGGGGCTAGCGTTTTACTTGTTCTGACGAGTAATATATGTGACTTGGTTATAAGCTTTTGGAAACCCACTGTATATAGTGGACGAGATTGAATGGCCATTCGACTATGGATTCATTTGAAATACGCGACTTTCCTTGGTTCTTGGGGCGTGTTTTATATGAGTTGTGGTTGCGAATTTCTTGGTTGATACATCGCTGGATGGCATATTTATCTGATCTTGCATACTGCGGCGTTCTGGGAAAGGTGAACTAGAAAAGCATGACGGCAATTTTGGATATGCACTTATTATTCTTTTTTTTTGGAAATTTCACATACTTTATGAGACTCAAACAACAGACCGTCGACTGTCATCTGAAAAGCCACCAGATGTAGGGATAAGTGTGGCACAATGGCGCAGAGCCGCTTTGATGAGAGAAAATACAGGGGAAACCACCAGGTAAAAGAAAGAAAAGAGATAAAACTGGCGACTATGAACAAAAGGCTGAGCTACATCGATTGACAAGCATCTATTGATGAGATCCACGGCTTTTCCTTACGAACTTCCAGGGCCACCAAGCAGCGCGAAGCGCCGCACAATGCTGGGACCTATCTCGTCATACTCCGCCTTGGTGTGGCAGTAGCTTCGGAACTCAGGCGTCTGACCCAGCAGACTACCTCCGAACCAGGGGCCGTGACGCTGACGCTTGTGGGTAACGACCGCAACATCGAGACCACCACTCCGTGCGCCACCGCTGCGAGCCTCGGAGGCACGGATTCGTGCATCCACCAAGTGACGAATGTCACGTTGTAGGCGACGGCCAAAGTCCTTGTACAAAGTAGAACCACCGGATAGCACAATATTCTTATAGAGACCTCTCCGGACATCGATGGGGGAGGATTGGATGACACCGTCAACGACATTGGGAAGGGGGGTGAGGAAGTCGGACGAGTAGATCTCGGGGTTGAAGAAAATTTCTGGGGCGAGGAATCGTTCATATCCAATGTCGATGTTGACACTCCGCCCGTTTGGCGCAGTGACAGTGTGCTTAAGGAAGCGGTCCGGCTCGCGATCGTAACGTGCAAACTCCTTGACAATATCCGGGCTCACGTAGCAGTACTCTTCCTTGACCTTCTCTGCTGTCTTCAAGCTGCTATCAGGCTCTCCACGGTCACGTAGCAAGTTTTGCACGAAGTATGTGATGTCTCGTCCGGCAATTGGGATACTCTTGATAGAGGACCCGATGACGTAACCTTCGGCGACGGGGATAACGTGGGTGACACCGTCACCTGAGTCAATGACAGTTCCGGTCAGAGAGCGATCTGTCACCTTTGAGGATGTCCATGACGCGGCGAGGGCAAGGACAGCCTGGACGGCAATGTAAAGACCGGCGCAGTTGAACGACTCGAACATGATTTCGGCGGTGTTTTCACGGTTCTCGGGGGGGTTCAGGGGCTATAATTCAGCAATGTCAGATATTATGCCAAATTTAGTCAGGTCGTTGGCGGTGCACGATTTCGCCTTACAGGTTCGGTGAGTAGGAAGTAGTGGTCTTCGGGCTCCACGCGCAGGTATTTGAAGATGGAGTTTGACCAGAATCGCTCCATGTGGTCCCAGTTCTCGATCTGTCCGTGGCGAATGGGATAGTTGACGCCATATCCCGGGCCTTGTCCAGCAGCCAGAGCCTCATCACCAATGAAGAAATCTAAGTCCTCGGTGCCACGCTTCGCGGACAGGTTGGAGCTAGCCCCACCTCCGCCGCCGAGGAACGAAGGCTTGTTTGCGACTGCAGGTCGGCCTGCGGAGCTTCCAGCACTTCCAGCAGCCTTGGTTGCAATTGCGGTTGGGAACACAAACGAGGGGGAGTCGTTGCCGGCGAAGCCTGGAGTGAAGTTAGCATGTCAGCCTAATCCATGATCGCGAGTCTCCTCAACCACGCTCAACGACACATACCAAGCTTGGAGTAGCCAGTTCCGCTGAACAAAAACACAAAGTCAGCATCGAATATCTTGGTTTTCGGGTTCTTTGCGGCTATGAGCTTACTTGTCCATGACAACGGCTGGTGTTTGGGACGCCATGACGGGCCTGGACGCAATCGATCCGGAGGCAGTAGGGCGTTGAATGCAATCCTATATGGGGCAATAAAATGAGAATAGAACAAGGCAAACAGCCTTAGTCAATTGTATCCGAAATGGTCTTTAATTTAGAGACACCAGGAGAAGTAGGACAAGGCGGGGGGGGGGCAAGGTGCCCAGGATGTCCGGAGGTGTTCAGATTACCTAAGGGCAGTTCAACATCGACCTCATGTGCCGAAGATCAAAATCAACTACAACATTGAATAAAAATCTTGACAATGCATGGATTTGAACTCTGAGAGAATCAAATCAAAACTACGAGTCTCGTGACTTTGAAAATTCTACGAAATTAACTAGGAAACTGAGTTAAAATGGCAGGAACGACTCCAACGAGCTCCGATAAATTCTTCCATCTCTCTATCTTTCGAGTTCATTTCTACAGTCTCCATCCCTAAGACACTCCTTTATTATTCTTCCCAATTGTATCATTCTTTTTATGATTAGAACAGGTGTTGTGCCTCCTTCGTTCCTTGTATCTTTCCCCTCTGCCCCACGTGTCTGCTCGCATCACCGGCTCTCTTCACTCGCTTCGTTGCCTGTGCCAAAGTCTGCCATTGCATTGGAGCATTGGTTCCCTGTGGTAGTTCAACCTGAGAAAGGCTTAAATCTTTCTGTCCAGTTGGGCCTTCACAAGCAAACACCGCATTGGAGCCGCTTACCTTGCTCTTGTTCGAGAACTTATTGTTACCCACTGCGAATTGGGCAATCTGATACTTCGACGCAAATTTGGCTCCACAGCACATTTGAAACGCGCTATAGACATCCCAGCACATCTTGAATCGCTGGTTAGCTTTGTCCTGGTCTGATTATGACCCGATCGTGACCCGATCGTTCGCACTTCTCTGACTTGTGATTCCAGGACTCGCTCACGTACGGGCACGTCTTGATTTCATATTTTTGATACGGTCCTGAGAGCAACCGATCACGCACAATCCAATTCGGATAGACTCGAACTCTTACATTCGCGGCACCTTGATCCTACCTCTTACCATGGCACAAACATACAGACACAACGGCCAGTGTGGTATCTTCATTCATGCTGGGGCGGGTTTCCATAGCGTTGATAATGAGCTCAAGCATCTGAAGGCCTGCGAAACGTAAGGAATCTTCTATGATCTAGTGGATTTAGCAAACTCTGACATCTGACGTGAATCAGAGCTGCCATCAAGGGCATGGCATTCTTGCGCAACGGTGGCACCGCAGTCGACGCCGTTGAAGCAGCCCTAATGACCCTTGAAGACTGCCCCATCACGAATGCAGGATTTGGGAGCAACTTGAATGCGAAAGGTGTTGTCGAGGGCGATGCCTCGATTGTCGATCATTTCGGACATAGCGGAGCAGCTGGAGCTGTGCCAAGTAAGATCATATTGTCTCAAATTGGATATCCTGCGGCCTTGCTAACTCAAATTCTTATCAGACGTGAAGAACCCAATCATGCTAGCTCGCAAGATCTACGACCAGGCCAACGTGCCACTAGGCATGTCAAGAGTGCCTCCAAATTTCATTGCTGGAGAAGGTGCCAAGGAATTTGCATGGAAGCATGGTATAGTTCTCGTGCCTGATGAAGCTTTGATCACGCCGGCATCTCTAGAAAGATACAAATCATGGGCAGCGGAATCCAATGATTACGATCGTGACCACCATAAAGAAATGGTCGATCCCTGGTGTCGCCGACCTCTGACTCCCCTAGAAGATCGCATTGAACGCCTCGAATGCCTCGACCGTGCTAAAAACCCTGAGATTTATATTTCAAGCAATCTCAATGCCCACGAGCAGACACCAGAAGAAGAACTGAAAGTGCTAAAACCCCTCACTCCGCTTGCTGGCGTGAAGGGGCGATCAGCAAGTTCGCCAGATCAGCAAGCAACGAAGAAGGCCAAGCTTGGTTGTTCGCACCAGCCTGTGCAGCCTCAGCAGCCCGTCTTTCCTGGGGGCCCATTCCCCGATGGGAGCTCCGAATCCGACAACGAGAAGAAAGAGGATGATGTGATTACCGACACTGTTGGCGCAATTGCAATTGACAGATATGGAAACATTGCAGCAGGATCTTCTTCTGGCGGCATAGGTCTGAAGCACCCCGGTCGTGTTGGGCCTGCGGCTCTCATTGGCATTGGCACTCATGTCATGCCAGAAGACCCGACCGACCCAGAGGGGACTTGTTGCGCAGTCGTCACATCTGGAACTGGGGAGCTTATAGCTGCGACCCTTGCGGCAAGCACTTGCGCCCAGCGGATGTACTACAGCCAGAAAATGGGCCCCAACGGCTCGTTTACCCATGTTTTAGAGGAGGAGGCACTCACATCCTGGATGAGAAGAGAGTTCATCAGTAAGTCTTCTTCGTCATTGTTATTGTTGCATGAGACTCAAAGTTGGTCTGATCTTGTTTACTAGATTCTACCGCTGTGCAAAACAGCGTCCTATTTGGCGCCATCGGGGTGGTCATTGTGAAGAAGAATAACTCTGGCATGGAACTATACTTTGCCCATAACACCGACTCATTCGTAAGTCTTTAAACACAAAAATTGGTGATAATCTAATCATACTTGACAGGCTCTCGCCTCCATGTCGAGTAATTCGGCTAAGCCCAGTTGTCTGATGTCCCGCGGGACACGCGGAAATATCGCCCAAGGAGGTTGCAGAATTAAATTCACCCACCCTTGTGAGTTCTTTGATTTTATTGACCAGACGAAATATTATAAGTGCTGACACATTGAAAAGAAACCTCCAGAGCATTTGGGAGAAAACTACAACATGCTGCAGCGGATGGCTCCCGCTGGCAACCTCGCCTATTGGGCCATCAATCGACGAAACAGTCTTCTCCCCAACCCGGCCATGTTTCAATCAATTGCGTGCCATCTTCCATTCTCGGCGTCGATATACCCTATTCCCCTTGTGATTCCTGGCCCTGCTACATACTCGGCAGTTCGCCTGCCAACGGACAAAAGCAGCGTTTCGCCAATGCGGCTCTTTCTGCTTTCAATGATAAATGTATCCAGATCAAGCATCAGCCATGTTTAGAATAGCCCCCCTAAGCCCCGATGTTCTGTGTGTACCTATTCGTTCAACCCTAGCAATACGATAGCTGTCCGATAAACTCTCTGTTCTAACGTATTACACGTATTGTTTTCAATGCTGAATTCAATTTCTGTGTCCCCAATAATCAACACCAGGCTGAAATCATGAATTTGGGGAGTTCCCGCAGAATATAATTGGAAATCAAGAACCAGGCGTAGGCGTAGGCGTCGACATAGACAGGGGCGTCGTAGCCCCAGACGCCCCATTAACCTTCTTCTTTTTCTTTTTCCTCCTGGGCAACAAAGCCGGCCTAGAATTATAATCCCCAATATCCAAATGCGTCCCACAAGTCATGCAATCACTCCCGGGCGGCGGCTCACAAAAGATACTAAGACAGATAGAGCACACAAAGCCTACATCCACGACCCTGCGATGACAAAAGCACGCAGCGCGGAAATCCACATCCACCCGCGTCGGCAGCACAAGATGTCTCCGCGATCTCTGATCCGGCAAAAACGCCATCATCAAATATTGCAGCAGTCCGCGCGGCTCCGTAAGCGCCATGTACACGCCCTTCGTTGCATCCGATGCCTGCTGCAGGAACACCGCGTCGCCACTGAGCTTGCACACGTCGATTGGGATGTGTAGCCGCTGGCAAGCGAATATGCTGTTCATCACGGGGATGTACTGGTGGGCTGAGTCGGACGAGCCGCTGACGGACACAACCAAGATCCGGCTTTGCAGACGCTCATCTTCGTTAGATGCTGAGTACCGGTTTGAAGGGCCGGAGCTGGACCCTTCGGCTGCGGCGTCTTTGAGGTTTGCGCCGCCGTGTTCGTCGGCCCAGGCGATCGTGCGCCGATTTATGTGGCTTAGGGCGAGGGTCAGGGCACCGGCGAGCATAGTTGAGGTGTTACCTTGTAGGTGCGATGGGGTTGTACTGTCCATTAGGGCTTGGAGGTTGCGCGTTATTTGCTCTTCGACCAGGCGGAAGGGTCGGTATTTGTTGTGTCGGGTCGGGGTGTCACCCATTGCGATGTCGCCGTCGGTATCGGCTTTCGGGGAGGGGTAGAGCCATGATGCTTTTTGGGTGTGGGAGGCTACTACGGCTACTTCGTTGGCGTAGTTGCAGGCTAGGTGGGCGTTTATGAAGACGAGGATGTTGGCGATTGCTTTGGTGAGGGGGAGGGAGTTTTCGAGGAGAGCCCAGGCGTGGGGGTTTGTGTCGATTACTATTGTGAGGAGGGAGGGAGCAAGGTCTGAGGGCCTTTAGCTGGCAGTCTCTTGTTTTTTTTTTCTTTTCTTGTTGGAGAGGTACAGACCTGTGGCGCCGAGCTCATAATGCTCGGAGGCATCGACGGAATTCATTGTGCTAGATTGCGTCGTTGAGGTTGTTGGTCATTATAAGATGGGGATATCTGATGAATAATTCCAGATTGACGGGACCGGAATCAAGAATGGTCCTTTCGAACAATTTTGCTTGATTTGACCAGTTTCTATATTCAAACCCCAGGAAGAATAGAGGTCGATCTTGGAATGATAAGCCAGTCACGGGGTGATAAGGAGTACTATAGCTTTATCCTGCCTAGGTGGTCAATACGTGGACACTTGGCATTGTATGTTATGACAACTACACATGTACACTTCGACTTCATCTTTCTTCTTCTCCTAGATATCCAGCTTGAGTCCGTTCGCTTTGACTCAAGTGAATCGGAAACGAGGCCAATCGGAGTGGACCGCGCATTTGAAGATCTGAATGACTGAAAATACATTGCATTTATGAGAATCTTTTGTTGAGACGGTGTGTTCCGTTTCGGTCGATTTGAAAGAGAAGAGAGAAATCCTCTTGGCAGTGTATCCCTTGGACGCGCCAAGATACAATTATTGCATTCTCTAGTGGGATCGGCTGAATGGAAGATCATGTTCTCATAGTTCCATATTGACTTGCAAAGTAGAATAGACCGGAAACCTTGGAAGGAAGAGAGTAGCACAAAGACAAAGCTGACCATAATAATTATTACAATTACGGCAATGAATACGTATAGGTATAATGATCATATTTGTATGCTTATCGAAAACGTGATGAAGGTCAGCGATGTGGTTGGTCTTATCAGGCTGATTGATAATGAAGAAAGGAAAATGGCATTCAAGTAAGATTACCCTGATTATCAGATATGAGAGAGAGGGGGGGGGACCGGGAAGCAAACTGGTCATCTGTCCCCAATTGAAAAAGGTCGCTTCAGCAAATAAAATACATTGCTTTTTTTCCCTTTCTCTCGGATTCTCTTCGGGTTCTCTCAGAACTATTAAACCCGCGATTATCGGCACTCCCTCTTTATCTTTCTCTCCGCTCCGCACTTCCCCCTCCAAAAAAAAAGCTGCCCCGGGATTCTTCTTCCGCTTTGACTTCTACACCCCTCTGGAGTAATTATCTATCTCCAGAATCCTCTGCGCAACCCTGCAATGGTCCAAGCAACAGGTGAAGAACGCGCTGTCCATCTTGCCCGAGAGGCTGTCGAACTCGTCGACGCGGGCCACCGAGAGGTACAAGAGTCCCGCCAGATGAAGTGAACTGAATACTGACTCTCCTTTGAATAGGCTGCCTCCCGGAATCTCCGAGAAGCCCTCTCGATTGCCCCCGAAAATCCGCAGGTCAAAGCTGCATTGCTGAAAATACAGCAAGAAGATAATGACGGTCACCAACTACTCGACCTCTGTCGACGATACACCCAAAATGATGAAAATGCAGGCAAAGAAGCCGCTGCGTATCTTCGGACAGACGGTTTAAAGTCCCCGGAAAATGTTGCTCTGGAATCCCTGAAACTTTTGCTTGCACAGCGACCGCACTCCCTGTCCACGACGCAGGATGAGATCATCTCCGGGCTGGTGCGCCAAAACGCCAGCGTGAGGCAATACTTCTCCACACAGCTCCAGAATTCAGTCACCGCATTTTTCGACGAGATCTATGACCGTGGCGATGGGGCAGCGGTGTGTCTTGACACCGTGGTCCTGGATCCCACTGTGTGGACCTCGGAAGAGACGCGATCCCACTGCGAGAGTGAACTTTTCCAATTATTCATCGCCAAGCTTATGGAATCTGGCCATGATCTTGATGGCCGTTCTTTGAAAGGAATCACGAGACTGCTCGCCGTTCATGCTGATGAACTTCAACATTTAATTGACGATGAAGGGTTTGAGGTTATTCTCTCGTCTTTGGATTATCGCCTGCCGCTAGAGGTACGAAGCCAAGCAACTCTGGCCACTGCTAAATATCTTGAGGTAGCCAAGGAAGCGGGAGAGAAGAAGTTTCTGACCTTGGTCATGTCTATTCTCGGAAAAGGCCGCGTCGACGATCTGATCGTTGCTTTCTCTGCCCTGGCCGCTATATTCCCTGTGGCTCCTTCGGCGGCAGCAAACCTGTTCTTGTCCGACGAATTCATGGCATTCCTTACTCCACTCGCAACCCGGGAGGCCAAGAGTAAGAAGATTGACATTCCCGTACTGGAGCTTCTAAATGCAGCATGCATCAACCGCCCATGTCGTGAAGTCGTCTCCAAGAAATTTGGAGAATGGCTGTCACACAACTTGACCAACGGTAGTGATGCTGCCTCGGAACTAGCAGCGGTGGCTTTGGCGAAGATCCGGGCGTCTGAGCCGGATAAGCCCTCAACTGGTAACGGTAAGGTCTTGGTGGATGACAGCGAGTCTGAGCTCGTTCACCGATTCATGGGACTGATGTCTGAAAGCAAGATTGAGAACAGCTCCCACGCAATCGAAGGATTAGCTTACACCTCAGTGAAGCCAGCCGTCAAAGAACAACTCGCCAATGATCCTACTTTCCTACGAAACCTGCTTGCGGTGGTGAAGCAAAACACCGCCGATTCCTCGGTACTCTATGGCGGTTTGATGATCTTTTTAAACATCACCAAATTCCTACCCAACCTCTCCGAAGAGCAGAAGAAGATGTCCCAGCTGAAGGACTACGCCGACGCAGCAGCCGAAAAGGCCAAGAAGGCAGCAACCCCAGACAGCCGGGATGAGGAAGAGGCTGTCTTAGCACGGTGCGCTGCTGTCATCGATGCAGGCATCATGAATCTGCTGGTTGAGTGTGGCCGAGTTGCTCTACCCTCCACCAACGAACTCACAGCCAAGATTTTACAAGCTCTGACAAGACCCCAAAAGTCCCGTGGTGCACTGGCTCAGCAAGGTGCAGTAAAGCTGTTGCTTGGGCTTGCAGCCCCGAAGCAAAGTAGCTCTGGCCCTGTCACGAACGAAACGACACGCATCGCATCCCATGCGCTGGCCCGCATTCTCATTTCCGTTGATCCCTCCCACGTCTTCCCATCATCTGGCTTCCCTCAGGTGACATCCGCCGTCCGTCCCTTGCTTTCCCTTCTCTCCTCACCAGATAGTGGGTCCCTGTCCTCCGACCAACCTCGCGACCTACTCCCCGTGTTCGAGAGTCTTCTCGCATTGACGAACCTCGCCTCGTACCCGCATGACGCTTCCGCCCCCGAACTCACAGTCCGCGAAGGCTGGTCGGCAGTGGAAGACCTACTTCTTTCTAGCAATGCGCGCGTCCAACGCGCTGCCTGCGAACTGGTCTGTAATCTGATGACCTGCGACTCTGGCATCATCAAGTTCGCAGATGGATCCAAGCAAGCCGCACAGCGTCTCCACATCCTCCTTGCTCTGACTGACGCCGACGATTTTCCAACCCGCCGAGCTGCTGGAGGAGCCCTCGCCATGCTGACGGAGTTCGATGCCGCCATCGCTGCTGTCCTGGATCGACCCAGGGGCGTGGAATTGCTTCTGGGGTTGTGTCAGGAGGATGACGACGCTCTGGTTCACCGTGGAGTCGTCTGTGTGCGCAATCTCACCTCCGTTGCGACAGGGGACATTGGCACGCGAGCTCGAGCAGCCGTTCAATCCGCCGCAGGGATTGCGATTCTCACCGCTTGCATCAAGAAATCGAAGTCTCAGCCGGTACTGGAAGCTGCGGTGGAAGCTTTGAAGCCCTTGGTTTCGTAGTCGGCAGGTTACTCTTCATTATTTCATTTTTCAGAAACTCCTTTACGTTTCCCATTTGCATGTGGCTTGGGGGTGGATTTGCTGATCTCACGGAGTTCGTGAGATTTTATTTATTGTTTTTTTTTATGTTTCTGAGAGATGACCTCCTGATCATAAGCACAGCGATGGATTTAGCGATTGATTTTCTTCTTGTTATTTATATATTGCTGGGATAGGGGATAGGACGATGGAATTCGGCACTGAGTGCAAACAAAAACGACTTGACTTTGCATATAGAAATTGCGAATTGTTTCCTAGTCAAATGAGTCCCTGACAAGAATATTTTTCCTAGCTAGTGTTACCCCAAAAATTGTGGCGCTTTATAGGTTTTCATATGATCACGGGTTATACTCCTTTCTTTGACTCCGGAGCTTCTAAGGAGATTTCTCCGCATTCCACGATATAGTGCATATGTACGGAGTACCTACCTAGGTACCAAGGGATATTAAGTTTGTTCCATGTCATGCGGTATAGGGCTTAATCCAATATATCCGATTACTATGCGTTATTAGCGAAAAACGGAGCATCTGGTCGGATCTTAGTGTGTAGACCGATGCCGATCCCGACCCTGTGGGCGTGCATTATGTGGAGTAACAATGGTCTAATTCGCAGTCACCATATGTTCTGGGATCCTCTTGATTGTTCCGCATGACGGACATTAGTGATGGAAAAGACACACACCGCAAGAGTCAAAGTTTAGTAAAGTTTAGTTGAAACTCAAAGAAATATCTAGATGTTCCTAGGTACATAAATAGAACCATAGTAGAAAGAACAATACAAGCCTTGAAAGAAAAAGAAATATTACATAAGACTGCAACACCCTAACCGTGGAGCTGCCCCGCGGATCGACAAATCATCATCCATCTGCTACGCACACCTTTAAATGGTTTGCAGTCACTGCTTAAAACTTCCCACCTCTCACATCACTTTCATGGTCCACGCTCTTTATACTTGTAGCTATTTCATACGTCTCTTTTTCTTTTTCTTTTTGCTACCTACACCTTGTATTGCTACTATTGCGTGTGTGATCACCGCATTTCTCTCAGGTACAGTCAGGTCTTGGAGCTTGGTCTCTTTCGTCCCTTTTACTTTCTTCACCTTACCCTTTCCCTATTCCAATGGCGTGTCTTATTTCTCCCTGCGTTCGCCCGCTCACCTGATCACTTCCTTGTGATATTCAGGTTGATCCGATTCCCCCCATTGAACGCAATTGGACCTTGGAAAGAAAAGAAAAAGAGCTTGGAAAGAAAAAGTTTGTGCTGTTGCACTGCTATCGCCAATATGAAGTTCGGCCGCAATCTATCCCAGTTTACCGTTCCCGAGTGGAGCGCCTCATACATCAAGTATAAGTCCCTGAAGAAGCTCATCAAGTCTGCTGCCGAGCAGATCAAAGCGGGCCAGGAGGCGGATTTAGCTGGTAAGATTCATTTGTGGTTCTAGATCTCGTGATCTCTGCATTCTTGGTCTAACGCGTGTCTGGCTGGGTAAATATAGGGTTTTTCTACAATCTCGACCGAAATGTTGAGGACGTCGATTACTTCTATAACAAGAAATATGCGGAATTCGCGCGCCGGCTAAAGCTCCTCGAGGAGCGATATGGATATTCCATGGAAGGCCGGCATTCGCTCGAAGCGGAGGATCGCCATGACCTCCGCGAGGCGCTTTTGGATCTGCGGTACCATCTTCGTCGCTTACAGTGGTACGGAGAGGTCAATCGACGTGGGTTTGTGAAGATCACCAAGAAGTTGGACAAAAAGGTTGGTGCGCAGGCCCAGAAGCGGTATCTGGATACCAAGGTCGACCCCACGCCGTTTGCTTCCAATTCTCGGGTTTTCCAGTCTCAGGATCGCATCAACGCTTGGATGGCTATCATTACCGACCAGTCCAAGGGCGATGATAAAGTGCCTGATGATGCGAGCTCGACACATTCTTCTTTGTCGCTCAAGAGGGGCGCCTCGAGACCGTATCTCAATTTGCCGACTAGTGTTCTCACTGCTGTAGATGATTCGCTGCGCAATGATGACATTCATGTTTTGCTGGAACTTCTGGAGACGCTGAAGGCTACTGCGGACGAGGCGGGCGACACGGTCTATCCTAGAGTTCTCAGGACTCTGATTCAGCGCTCTATTCTTCATCGTTCCCGGTCTGTGCTAGCTCTTCTGTTGAACCGAGTGGATACACTTGAAGAGGACGATGATATCAACAAGCGCAATTGTCTGCACCGTTTGGTCATCTTCATCGGCCGGGAACAGCCAACGAGTGACTCCGAGCCCGCAGCTTCTATGGTCCTCGACTTCCCTCCCGAGACTACCCGCTACATCACTCCTGCGGCGCCTCCCACCCTTCAGCCTCCCCGAGCTATAGTCAAGGAAGAGCATATGTCCCAGCAGTTGGGTCGCGATGATCAAGCCGTGACTCTTCTCTCGTTCCTCTTGGATTCGCTACGACCAGACCAGCGTGAGTCCTTGATGGCCAAGGATATCTCTGGCCGCACACCCTTGCACTATGCCGCCCAGTATGGCTTCAAGGTTGTGTGTGAGGTGATTATTGAACATCTCAGAGAATGGGAAATGTTTGATGTCAGTGATGGGATTGACGGCCCTTTATGGCAGGACAATGATGGTTGGGCTCCGCTTCACTTGAGTGTTGTGGGCGGTCATCCTAAGACCACCCGTTGTCTTCTGGACTCTGAAAACCGCAACGAGGGATCGCAGGAGATTGGAAACATCAGAAAGCAAGTGTCCAAGTCCAGTGCTGTGCTGGCTCTCGCGACGAAAGCCAACTTCATCGATATTGTTCAGCTCCTCGTGGATGCTGGCGTAGACATCAACTACCAGGATGAGCAAGGAGAGACTGCACTTCACGTTGCCGCTCGCTTCGGCCATGACGAGTGTGCACAGATTCTGCTCGATGGCAACCACCACCAGAAAGCGAATACGGAATTGGCGGAAAACACATACGGCTGGACCCCGCTCTTCATTGCTTGTGTCGACGCCGCTTTGGGTGTGGCCAAGCAGCTGGTTGCCGCTGGTGCGGACGTCGAGCGCTTGGATTCCTCCGGTTGGACAGCAAAGGAGCATGCAGCCCTGCGTGGCCATCTTGACATTGCCCGGTGTTTGGCAGAAGTGAGCCCCGGAGTTCCCGCCATTGAGCTCGATCTTTCGATCTCTACTCCAAATGTTTCTACTCCTAATCTTACTGGCTCCGATTCTTCCTCGCCCCCTACCCAGTCATCCCTCACTGATCGCCGTTCCAATGCGCCTGGCCCAACCTCGGGGATCTCTGGCCTCCGCAACACTGAGCCTATCAAGACATTTGGACACCGGTATCTCACGGATGAGACCATGATTCTAGTTAGTCTTGGTACCATGGACATGCGTAAGCCGCTCGAGACAGTCAGTCTCGACCGCATTCCTATGGAGAACGCGCACGCTACCCAGCTGGACACATCTTTGTCCATGGTCATCACGGCCAGTGGCGCGCACGGTGAGCCGGAGGTGATTGATTTGCCTGTGCATGACAACATCTCTACTGAGCCTATTGTCTTCCACACCACCGATCCCAGCAAAGTGCGTCTGCTATTCGACCTTGTCCCTACCTACGCTGGATCGAAGGAGAAGGTTGTCGGCCGAGGTGTCGCCCTGCTTTCTAGCATCAAGCCTACGGTGGGATCACACCGAATCAACCTTAAGGGTGATTCCACTGTTCCCATTGTTGCTGCGAATACTCTGGAGGTCATTGGATCCGTGACGTTTAATTTTCTCGTCATCACCCCTTTTGCGCACCCCAACATGTCCATCACTGGCAATCAGACCTACTGGCGCTCGATGAGCTCTACGATGGTAATTGGACACCGCGGGTTGGGCAAGAACATGGCTAGCCGCAATTCTCTACAGCTAGGCGAGAACACTGTACAGTCATTCATCGCCGCGGCCAACCTGGGTGCCTCATATGTCGAGTTCGATGTACAGCTCACAAAGGACCACGTCCCTGTCATATATCACGACTTCCTAGTCAGCGAGACTGGCATCGACGCACCTGTCCATACCATGACCCTAGACCAGTTTCTCGAGCTAGGTAAGGGGCATCACCCGGGAATGAGAACCGGCGAGCTACCAGAACTTGGCCCCCGCCAGCGCTCGATGTCAGTCGGCGGCTCGGAGTACAACCCAGCCGAGCTGACTGAGAAGATCAAGCACACCCGCGACTTCAAGAAGAAGGGATTCAAGGGCAACACCCGCGGCGAGCACATCCAAGCCCCCTTCGCCACCCTAGAAGAGCTCTTCAAAAAGATCCCCGAACCTGTCGGCTTCAACATTGAACTGAGTGAGTTAACACCGCATCCCAAAGAACAGCTACCTGTCGATCTAACCTAGGTCGCCAGAATACCCCATGCTCCACGAGTCTGAAGAAGAGGAAATGGACACCTACGCGGTCGAGCTGAACTCCTTCGTCGACACCATCCTAACAAAAGTCTATGACCTGGCGGGCCGCCGCGATATTCTCTTCTCATCTTTCAACCCAGACATCTGCCTTTTGCTGTCCTTCAAGCAGCCTTCCATCCCTGTCCTCTTCCTGACAGACGCTGGCGCCTCCCCGGTCGGCGATATTCGCGCCAGCAGCTTGCAGGAGGCTATTCGCTTCGCCTCGCGGTGGAACCTCCTCGGCATCGTCACCCAGGCCGAACCACTGGTTCTCTGCCCGCGGCTTGTTCGCATCGTCAAGGAATCCGGCCTCGTTTGTGTTTCCTACGGAGCACTCAATAACGACGGCGAAAATGTTGACGTAAGTTTCCACCCTCTTATCTTGATTCTCCCCAAAAAAAGAACACCTAAAAACCAAAGAAACCAATCTAAAATTCATCCAAACACAGTTCCAAGTCGCCGAAGGCATCGACGCCGTCATCGTAGACTCCGTCCTCGGAATTACGAACGGTCTCATCCAGCGCCAGAACAAGGGTCTCACGCCCGGCCCTTCTCCCAACCCATCGGCTGTCAGTGACCAGGCTGCTGATTCGGCGAAGGGCGCTATCCGCGTCCCCGTTCTGGAGCAGAAGCAGAGCACTAGCAGCACTCTCTTGCCGAATCCGTCGATTGTTCTCTAGTCTCTAGGTTTTGCCATTTGTGCATGCATAATATACACATTACTGGAAGTGCGAGTGTGATTTATTCCATTCTTGGTCCATAGTGCATCTGCTGGCTTCAACAGCTGTCGATATGACTTGTGTTGATTGGTTCGCTAGGTATTCTAATGCAGCCATCTATGCGAGTTGGAAAACATAAGTCAGAAAATGGCGTACCTAGCCTATCGTCCTGTACTGTTTGATTAGGCTTCCCTCCGTTCAGCTATGCCACCTGGACCACCAATACACTTTTTTCCAACTACCATCATCTGCTTTTTACAATTTTAATGACCCAAAAAAACTAGTATTCAGCCCCCTGTTACGGACCTGCAGGCTACATGGACCTTTGAGAGCCAACGACTTCCAGGAGCTATGCAGGACCCAATACGTACCAAGCATCTCCAAGACCGTAAGAAGAACCGATGACGAAGCAGACACTGTTCCATCATTACCTAATACGAAGTTCTACATTAGCGAGGACGGTCGATTATTTAATATTTATAGCCCGGATGTGTCTATCAAGTTGTTTTCAAGTGCACACGTAACTGTAGCTCCTGGGAGCAAGCAGCTCTTTCTTCTACCGTCATCCAGCTGAAATATTCCAAGAAGATTACTAGGGATTAGTGATAAATTATGACTGGTATTCAGCCGCTTGTTATGGAACCTGGACACTGCAGCCGCCAACTAGTTGAGAGGTAGCAACTTGCTGCATGTGGCCTGAAGCGGTGCGTAGCCCCTGGGACTCTCCGCGCAATAAGTGGCCCCCTCGACTGGTAGTAATCATGACAACCAGTTCCGACGCTGTGATGCGTATTCTTGAACTCAGCTTGCCCATTCTCTGGGCACTCCTCATCCGTTTCCCCTTGCTGGCTGTTTGAAACTCTTCTTACAAGATGTTTTGTAGTGCAGAATAACGACGAAAGCTTCTGCATTGCTAAGCTCACCCGAAATCACAATGTGTAGACATATATGTAACAAAGCGGAGCGCATTCTCTTAGGCCAAAATGAGATCATCTGGCTCGCTATTGGCCAACCGGAATCTCAAACCAACTTACAATCCCTCTTCCTGTGAAGTCGAACATGAACACCATTCTGATGACACATTGTCAGCGTCTGTCGCATGGGTGGATGTGTGCCCAGATCTGGACCGGGATCCGCATTATCCAGGGTCTCAAACTCCTGCGCAATTCGAAACGCTAGATGGCTGGCCTGGATTATGGCAAATTGCTCTGTCCGAACGATCCGGTTAGCTTGATGACAGTAAGTGGACATTGGTGCAGGGCTATTACTCACGTCCAAGACAAGCACGAGGGCCCCCGTTGAAAGGCAGGAACTCCCAGGCGTTCTGCTTGCTCTCTTCCCACCGTTCTGGACGGAAGACCTCGGCTTCTGGCCCCCAGATATCTGTTCGACGATGGACCGACCACACTGAGTACCCTACAGTCTGGCCTTCCTTGATATATACGGGCGATCGACCATCCGGTCCACCTCCCACGGGGATAGTAGTGTTGTGATTGGCTACTCGAGCGTTGATTGGCACTGGGGGGAATAGTCTCAGGGCTCGAACGGGTCAGTAAAAAATGTATTATCAGATGGAACTTAGGGTGAGTTTACCTTCGCTGACGATAGCGCGTAAGTATGGTAAGCCCTGAATTTTCTTTAACGTGACTGGGCTTGCATTTGACGCCTCCCGTACTTCGGCTTTGAGTTTATCCCAGACCTCCTGGTTTCGCGCGAGGAAATAGAAGATGGAGCTAAGAAGACTGGCGGTGTCATCTCGACTGGCTAGAAGAACATTGACCATCTGATCCCTGAGTACCTTAGCATCCTTAGATTGAAGGGCTAATGCCTGGAGGAAACAATATCGCTGCTGGGTGTCTCCTTTCTCCTGGTCCGTTTGACGAAGCGCCTTTTCAACATAATAATCAACGAACCGATGAACAGTTTCGTTCGAGCGCCGGAACTTGGACGGATTGATCAGCCAGTAAAGGTGGAGGGCGATTGTGCGCTGGAAGAGTACGTATTGTGCGTAGTCAAACGCTTCGGCAAAGCCTTGTCGGCCTTTGTAAGAGGACTCGGCAACTCCAGTCTGGTTGGATGCCGCAGAAGAAAGAGAGTAAACCGACTCGCCAAAGAGAAAGTCGGTCGCGGAATCCAGAGCCAGACGGAAGAACAGTTTCTGGGAATCGAAAGCCTGGCCGTCTGGGGGAAGAGCCCCAATGAAGCGCTTTACATGGCCGTCAAACCACTCAATTTCTGGTATCTGTTCGGCGGACAGCGGGTTACTAACTGGCCACTTAATCTTTGGATAGCTGGATCCGATGGGCTCATACCTCGCTGTGTGTAAACTGTGGCCGCAGTAGCTTCCGCGAGCTTTCCCAGCGCTTCCCGTCAGATGTGAAGATGCCATCTCCAAACAAGGGATGGTACTGTTTATGACGGAAGTACGATAGGCCGAAGCTGGAGAACTGAGAGGCAAGGATGGCCTGGATGTTCTCAGGCTCGCAGGTGAGTATTATCGTGCCACCCGGGGGATCAAGTCGAATGGTATTTCCGTTCTGTAGGTGCATGTTTCGAACCCTGTTCGCTATTTGCCCTTGGCTGTGGGCATTTTTCAAATCAAGGAACAGCCCGATACCCAGAGGGCCACTAGCGACGGCTGGACATGGCTCGCAGGAAAGCCTCTTGGAGCGTCTCCTGTGAAGAAAGAGTGTAGCGAGATGGTAAATGGTGTAGAGGAAGACCCAAAGCCCGCCCAGGCAGGCCACGGTGGTGAGCCTTGTAAGCATTGTTTTCTTTTTTCCTTCTCTTGGAAGACCAAGTTATTTGCTGCACTCCTTCTTCTATTCTGAGGGCGCCGTTGGCTAAATAGTATTGCCAAAGTTCATCCATTTCCGCTTTCGAACAATCTCCTCGCCATAGTACACCTCCTGGACAATGTTGCACAGCCAAGAATATTTTGTCAGGGTATAATTCAAGTTGGAATGATCGACTGTGACGCTTGTAGTGAATGAGAGACGCTGGGCCTCTTGAGTCTGACATCACTGGGCTAGAACTACTACTTCTGGTTCTTTGCAGCCATCTACTGTACCTTTTATGGTTGCACTGCTTTATATCTAGATAGATATCAGGTAAAATGCCAATTTTGTGGCGTAAGAAAAGCAACTAACGGGTTAACTGAACCTGCCGGTGATGTTTATCATGCCTACATGGGCTGTTCTCATTGACCAGAACCATTCCCCACTATACCACACGGCGTTCCATGCTGTGCATGACAGTTACACGAGCTTGGTCATTTTCAGCCTTACATGCATGTTACACAGTCTTGGTTTTCTGTTGCTCAGCATTCAACAGTCTCACGTGGCGAGGTAAATTGTTTCCACCAATCAGGGGCCACTGTCAAATGCGGATCGCCTGTAGACCATGTATATAGTCTCAAATGGAAACAGGAATACCTTAGTGTATTCTAGATTCCATGCAAAACCTGTCAGGTAATACGCGAATTCCTCATTGATGCTGATGTGGCAGGACCTTCCGGCAATTTGACGTAACTTTTACTTTTCTCACGACCTTGGAATGGGCCTCGCGAAAGGTTGACCACTACCCATAGACGAATACCCTGCATATGTATATTTCACCACTGACGGTCCACGGGTATTCTTATACCGAGAACATTCCCATTCAGACAAAGTATTCAAGAAAACATTACTGATCTCATCATTTAGCAGCGTCGGACTTGACTACCTAAGTCTGCTGAACAACAACATTCAAATGATTGGCATTGTATCTGTTACCAGACGAACGGAATATCTGCAATGTGGGACTACTTTGCCGGCCAAGTGGTGTTTCTCACGGGGTCTTCAGGGTTCATGGGAACAGCCATTGCCTACCGTCTACTCTCCCAAGCTCCTATTGCCCACCTCTATCTGCTTTGCAGAGGTGGACTGCCGTAAGCCCCGCAAAAGATACTCCATTCAAGCGTTTGCCTTTCTCATAAACTCTTGGACAGACGACTTTCAGCACTGTGGGCACAGCATTTGCCACCTAAATACATTCAAATGCTATTCGAAGGTCACATAAGCGTCCTCGATGGGGACATCACCAAGCCCAGCATGGGCCTAGATGGCGAGACGTTACAGCGCCTCCAGCAAGAACTCACCGTCATCATTCACGCTGCCTCATCCATCAATCTGGTCCAACCCCTTACTAAGCTCTCTGATGCCACCATCCGCGCCAGTGAAGGAATGGCCTACCTTGGGCTGGCGTGCAACAAGCTCAAGCGGTTCGTGTTCGTGTCGACCGCCTACTCCAACGCCTTCCTACACCAAGAGACAACCGATACGGACGTTTATGTCGATGAGACTATTCACCCTCTCGGACACGGCTGGGTGACTGACGTCCTAAACGAGTGGACGCAAGTGCAGGATCATGGCTACTCGTTGGAATACCTGTCGCACGACTTCCCCTGGGCTTATTCCTACACCAAGCACCTTACAGAGCGGCTTCTTATGCGTATGTTCGCCGACGCCAGCCGAGATGATCAGTTGCTCATCATCCGGCCCTCCATCGTCGCCCCAGCCCAGAATTTCCCTTATCCGAGATACAGTATGCCCAAATCCACACCATCGACCCTGCTATCTGCCACCTTGCTTCTGACACCATCGTGGCACTTCCGCATGGCTAGCCGGTTGCCACACCCGGACACCCAGGCTACTGTAGACGAAGTGCCGGTGGATGTTGTCGTGGACAGGCTGCTCGCTCATCTTGCGCGGGGATCTACTGGCCCCGTTCACGCTGTCAGCGGTGCTGCCAAACGGTATTGCTTCCGCACGTATTGGGAGGAGGCGATGAAGTTGCGCTGCGTGCCGTGGACGCTGCAGCCCATGTGGATGCCGGTGAACTGGCACTCGGACACCCTCCACGACAGTGCCCGGATTTTTGTTATCGGAGGTACCTCGTACAACTTTTGCGAACGCAAAACAGACGTGTTGTATCGAGAACTGGGGGAGAAGGACCGGCTGGGATTACAGTTGTATACAACAGGCTTTGGCGACCGACATGATCTCGCGGTGAGATTGCCGCAGATCCTGTCCCTTGCAGAGCATATTTCTAGGCGATGTTTCCTTGCTCAAGTCATGTTTTGGGTGTTTTATGGGTGGTTGCTGTAGCTGTGATCTTTCTGAAAGCCGTGTTACAGTAGCAGTCACCTCTTTCTCTTAACTCCCATGCAGCCTACCTACCTTCCCTCCTGTTATGTCCCCTACTCTATGTCATATCTTGTTTTCCAGGAAGTCTCTTACCATAATTGCTTCCAGTACTAAAACCTCAATCAATACAGCTCGCCCCAGAAAGATCATGCCGCTTATCTCGTATATGTCCCCAATTCTATCTCCTACTCAGTCTCCTACTCAATTTTCCTATCCCGGCCGAATCTTCTCCTATTTCTCCTACTATATTTATCTTTGGTACGAAGGCCTCAATTAACACGGATCGAGGCTCGCCCTAGAGAGCTTACACCGGTCATTCGTTACAGTTTTTGTGAGCTATCTACGACTCTATCATCATCGTAACCTTGCTAATTTTCACGTTTCTGCCACTTCGAAAGGTTTTTGGCACTCTGCTCGCTACTGACCTGCAGATCAAACTCCCCATGTATTAATTTTGCCGATCACCAAGCACCGAAGAACAGGAACAAACCAATTTACGCATATAGTATTCCCTTCGTTCAAGGGAACAACATTGCTCAGAATCCTTTTACATCTTATGTTTGCCTATAAGATTCATATAACTTCCCACCTAGAGCTCCAGCATCATAAGATCGATCATAAACATGTCAACTGAATCTACCTTGTAGTTATGTCATATCCTGGTTTAGGATGTATCTCGATGCAGAGATATCTCCGTTGTAAAGCCACGCCCCGCCCAACTACTATATATTGACACGCACCATAGGCCAGAACTTCTCATTCACCCGATTATTACGTGATCCCACACGCACCCTGTTTCATTAACTCCACGCATCCACCAATCTTTCCCACAGGCTCGCCGCCCGGCAGAAAAATCCTCCTTTGCTCCTCCATTCTTCCCTCGCAAGCCCTACAAATGCGCCCTACCCCTAAGCCCTCATTTCTGCTCTCGGAAGTTGATACCCCGATCCAGCAGCGCCTCGTCATGGTCGAAACTCGAGGCGCGAGGCCATCCTTCGATGGTCAAGAAACATCTGACTTTCCCCCGTTTCCTTCTCAAGAAGGCGATCTTGGTAAGTCTTCTCTTACGTTTCCGATCATCCCGTCGCGGAGCTTCGACCACCTCGATAGCTATCACCCTCCACGCCGACAATGTCCATGCATCAGATACTAATTATGCCCTTTCAATTAATTTAAAGACCGAAAGCCCTCGCATCCACTCGACGAGGAAAATGGGTCGCCTCCAACCAAAAAGCGCCGTACGGACGAAGGTCCCGACGCTGACATTTCACTGCCCGACTCCATCTTGATGGCCGATCAGCATGGCCCTGGCCATAAAATCGAAGAAGAATTGGCATCAGCCCTCGGTGAAGGTGTAATCGACACCGTTGAGCCAACTGACAACACCATCAACGAACCTCTTCAGCATGATGCGCACGATACCACCGGAGTTGCGCCAACTCAAGACGGCGACGCCGAGATCAATCCTGACGTCGCTACTATTATCTCTGAAATCATGGACCACACTGAGCGCCAAGAACAGACGGTCGCATTGGGCCCGCAAGAACTTCCACCATCTAACGATTTCCCTGGTGCTCGAGGGTTTGCCTTCCTAAAGGCCAACTCCCACTTGAAGATTCAGAGTCTCCCGATTCTGGACAACCTTGTTAGTGCAACCTTTCTTACCAATCATTTGCCAACGCTCAAGCTTACCCCATCTATCTCAGTCTACGCAGATTTTGTCCTTCCTGTCAAAGAATACCTACCAAGACCTCACTGCCATGGTTTCCGAGCCTGATTCCGAGAACGGCCAGGCCTACGCCACCATGCGCTCCTTATTCGATCACACCAAGAGAGTGTATACCGTCAAGCACTCATTCCTCCAGCCATCGGACCTCGAAATCACAGATCCTTCTCAAGTTGATGTGATCCGCAAAGCCAACCTAGCGTCCTTTGTCTCCAGTATCTTCGGATCTCAAGAAATTGGGTTCGCGGATCTAAATGAACATTTTCTGGATGTATTCGTCCCTGAAGGAGGTCGTCTGCTGAAGGTCCAAGGTGCTTTGTACCTCGAGCTCAAGACCCAGGCCTTCATCGCCGCCATGCACAACAAATCTCTTACTCGTACCCAACTACTTTACAACCTGTTCCCTGATGACATGGAACAGCGGTTGCTGGCCAGACGCCCTGGTACCCGGCAGCTGGCGCCGTCTGAAACGGATTTTGTAAACCGACTTACTTCGCGCCGTGACATCCTTCTTAATGAGATCAACAATGAAGAGGCGCTCAATGCCTTGCCAGATAAGTACCACTGGGAAGATTTCCTCCGAGATCTCAGTTCTTACATCTCAAAGAACTTCGATGCGATCAATACCCAACAGGTTGGTTTGCCACCTCTGACTTTTAACTTGCGCACTTTGGAATTCATGCTAATGGTGTCTAGGGAAAGAAACCCATCAAGGGCCGCCAACCTTCAAGTTCAAATGGCGATGCACACGAGTCGCCCAATACCACCCACCAGGGACAGTTCTCTGTGAACCAGCAAGTTGAGGTCCCAGTGGATCGGAACATGCATGGCGACCTCGTTGCGCGTGCTGCCCGAGCTGCGCAGATTGCTCTCCAAGGTCACGGCCTTCGACGCTCTCAGCAGCAGTCACAGTCGCAACAGCAGCATCAACAAACGCAATCGCAGGCGAGCCCATCGCCTCTACCTCAGCATCAGCCACAAACCCAGTCACAACCTCCACCACAACAGGCCCCGCAGCAACAACAGCAACAACACCAGCAACAGCCGCCGCCGCCCCCGCAGCAGCAGCAGCAGCCACCAAGTCAGCATGAGAGCCCATATTTGCACGGCTACACCGCCGCGCAGCAACCGCAGCCTACCCACCAATACCACCATAGTCCTACACCACCTGGAGGCTACCAACCTCAGCAAGCTTCTCCCATGAACTTCCAGCAGAGCCCGCTACAGGCTAATTTCCAGCAATACAACCCCAATGCTGCTCAGGCCATGCAGGCAAGAGCTAATGGAATGTCCTCCAACCACGGATACATGCCAGGGATCCCCCACTACTCGCAGTCACAGCCCACCCAAGTGCTGTACGAACGCGCACGCATGGCTGCATCTGCCAAATCATCCCCAACCAGCCGCAAATCCGGCCTCCCCAGCCAACGTCGACCCTGGACCACCGAAGAAGAGAATGCATTGATGGCCGGTTTGGACCGCGTCAAGGGCCCCCACTGGAGTCAGATTCTCGCGATGTTCGGACCCGGAGGAACAATCAGCGAAGCACTCAAAGACCGCAACCAGGTTCAGCTCAAGGACAAGGCTCGCAATTTGAAGCTCTTTTTCTTGAAGAGCGGCATCGAGGTCCCATACTATCTCAAATTCGTCACCGGCGAACTGAAAACCCGTGCTCCCGCCCAGGCAGCCAAACGGGAAGCCCGCGAGAGACAGAAGAAGCAGGGCGAAGAAGACAAGGCCCACGTCGAGGGCATCAAGGGCATGATGGCTCTTGCCGGTGCTCACGGGGCTCCCGTACCAGGCCATGAAATGTCCGCCTCGCCTAGTCTTCCCCCGGATGCTACCAGCCAGTCTGTCTTTGATCAAACCGCTGAACAGAACTTGATGCAGACACTCAGCCAGGAGGTCCACGGAAGTCAATACCCCCAGCAGCATGCTCCTCCTCAGGATCATATCGATCCTCATATGCAGCTGGGACAGTAGGGGTCTGTTATCTCCCTCATCTTTGCTATTTGCCGTTTTTATTGCGAATCAGCTTTTCATCTGTAAGCCTTTTCAGCTTCGGATTTGCACTTTTACTTAGGAGTCAGGATGGGTCTCAGCTTTGTTCCTTCGGGGACCATACTTTTGTTGTGTTTTACTATGGGGTTTCCAGCATTGCGCTGAATTGGCGATTGCTTTTCAAAATGTATGAGTACATATGTAACGACTTTGCTTTGAAATGAATGAGAACTATCGAATATGGACTTGAACTGTAAATGTAGTATAAAAGGACAAGGTACATACGTACATATGTGTAGCCGTCTTATCACTGTCGAATCTCAAACTCTGCAGCAAAGTACAGCTTTCTAAGTGCAATAAAGCCTAACATCAAAGCATATGAGGCTGATAGCCGACGGCGTCGGATCCTCAGTGTGGAAATTGTGGCTCGTCTACGGTCAGCATCTTACAAACTCCTATGTCTTTTCTTCAAAACTCTGAACGAACCTTTTGTAGCAGTCTTTGTCCGTTTCATATGTGAAAGAGATATTTGAGATTCAAGCCAGCAAGTAAATCCAGAATATAAAGTTAGAAGCACGACAAGATGTTGTTTTCGAAGTACTTCCTCATGCTCAATCTTGACTAAATCATATCCAATCACCCCTGAGTTACCCCCGTCAGGAACAGCGACAGCGGCATCTCCTAAATGAATGTCAAACTAAAGTGATGGAATACCGGACCCAACACCAACGAGCAAACCAATCTCTAGATTGGGAAGATCGCGTTTCATTTCGGCTGCCACGGTGCCCGCGACTCCAATTCCACACTCGCCGACAGGAAAGGATGCAATAGCAACGATGTGGCCTCCTATGCGACCGAAGTGGTAGACCAATGTTTGGCCAAATTTGCGGGCTGTTGCCCCGTGTTGTTCATCTAGTAGCTGTAGAGCAGCGGCTGATTCTATGGCCAATGGCGCGATCCATGCCACAGTGTAATCTTCCATTGTCAAAGAGGCGGCATACTCGACGAACCATCAATTGAAATCTAAGGATGACAGATCCTAGGTAAATCAATTCGGTTTATAGATCCGAAAGCAGCAAGCTTGAAACCGGCTTTTGTATGTGGTAAAATGATCCGCCCACCAGTAAGTACACTTAGAACAATACCAAGACGCTGTTGAAGAGCCTCATCTGTATGTTAATGGACCGAGCTTCGCTTTAACCCGAGAAGAAGAGCAGAGTGGCGTTTGATCTCATGACGACGCAAATTCAGCCTCTCTCCGATTTACGGAAATATCGGTTCGTTTCCATGAAGGCAACTGCGCCCTCATGCGGCTGCATGACTCGTTGGCAAATGAGGCTGATTAGTCCTTCGGTACGTGTGAAATGATTGGGTTTTAACCCTGGTAGATTTAGCTTCACTGCCAACACAACACCGCTTCCCATACTTTTCAACTCGCTTCAATCCCTGTCTGTGATATGCGATCAGCAAGAGGCTCAACGAGAAGGGATCGCTATCAAGGGATCGCTACGGCCTCTAGCTAACTAGAAGCGAACAGGTCAAGCTCGAGCACCTTATCTTGACTGGGACTACCGCAAATATTACCGCTCTTCATTTTTGCGTCATGTGCGTGGGGACGTCTCAAAATTGTCAGATGGCTGTGACCTTTGAATTCGCTTCAATAGATCTCTCAATTGCGTTTAGATTTACGATACTATATCCAGTGGCATTGGTAGACCTTGGGGTTTGCACTAAATTGCTACATTGAAAAGACCCAGCGCCTTTACCGTCCCATTTTCTAAGCCAAATCTCGTGACATCCACGATGTGCTGCAGGCTGAACGTGAGAGACTTACTCGACTATCGTAATAATGAATCCCATACTCTTATTAGCTACCTACAGCAAATTTATTGATGACCCGACACGGAGGTCCCTGCCATGATGCCCTAGCCCAATCCTCAAAATCATTGTCATTCCCGAAATTTCCATCAGACTTCCAAGCATCTTCTTTAAATCGCCGAGGGGTTTATGTGGGAAATAGTCCTTTGGCTTAGAAACTTCGTGCCAAAAATCAAGCGTTTCGTTTTGTTTGGCACTTCAAAGTGAAGTTGAGAATATAACTGGGCCAATCAGGGTTTTAAGCCTGCCAACAAGCAAAAGCCCATACATAGCCTCTCTTCCATGCCTCCAGTTCCATAACAGCAAAAAAGACCAGTCACCATACCACGTGCGGAAATACAGCTTCAAAACCCCCCGTCATGGTGGTCCTAACCCGATTTTCCAAACCATGAAAGCAACTCCAGTCGCGAGCGTACACGCAAGTATCACGGCCCAAGGCATGAATGTGCCGAACATCGCCATACTAGTCAATGTTGCAAAGATACCGCTTGCTGGAGTAAATCCACCATACATGAAGGATTGGAAAGCGGCCGCTAGGGAACCTATCTAACGTGTCAGCTTGCAGAAGCCCTCGGTGGTCACCCAACGAGCGACACGCGAATATGACAAACCTGCAACAATCCCTCCGGGCCCAAATCCAAGGCAAAGTATAATTGTCATGACAATGGAGAAGGTTATCCACCAAGCGGTGATAATTGCGAGAACATCTTTGACTGTCGTTAATATTATGGTTTTAAAGCAGAGAACTGAATTCCCTCACCGGGACGTGAAAGCCATTCTGAGGCTTTTGTTAACCATGATACCTCTGACCAGGCCTCAGACATGATTTCTGCGCCGGACAAGACCAGAGAGCGGTCTATCACAAATCGATAGAATCCAGCCCCGACAGTCTCAGCCCGCGTGAAGTTCAAGCCTGCTATCAAGAAGTTGAGAGGCGTCATTTGTAGTGCCATGGGTAGAAACTTGAAGGACTCCAAAGCAAAATACAGCACGGGGGGATAATGATGCTTGAAGTTCCAGCTCTAACGATGAGAACGGGGTAGGATTGGTGCATACTGGGAAAGGAGGTTTTATTATACACACCAAAGACCACGGCGCTAACCCGATGGAAAGGGAGAAAATTGATTTTAACCCTGCAACCAGCATTGCGCAGCTGCGGCGAAGCGCTTTCCTTGCATATATTGAGACTAATAATACCCCGCCAGCCTAAAGTAGTTCTCAAGCGGCCCGGCCATCCTAAAAATCTTCTTTAACGAGCTACGCACAGTAACGTAGGGATTCAATAGTGGGTTACTCTTGATAAAAAAACAATAGAAAGGTAGCTGGGCCAAATTATGCAGGTGTCATGTATCAACGAATCAAGCGTAGTAGCAACGGCTTCTATGAAGGTCTCTCCCCTAAACTTTGGGAACAGAAACACGGCCACCGTCATTAAGGAATAACTTCCATCCTCCCCGAGATAAACATGAGAGCTTATAAGCCTCCTCTTTCAATTTTCAAATCGGTCATGTCACCAACGTGTGTTGGTGTTAAACAGGTATGTGTTCACTGATCAATGACTTCCGCATAGTTAGTCTCGGCGAGGAGAGCATGGCGTCTCGCGACTATAACGATGTGGCATGTGACTCTGCAAGCCCCCATGTAGCCAACCCCCCTCCCTCATCCCTCCTTCCAGATGATGTGAAAGCCATAGAAATACGGAGCTGGGTAGGGTTACAAAAGACGTGTAACTTTAGATTCACACTTGACCAATATCAAGTCAAGATATGGCTCGTTCCGTCACAAATGATAAGGGTCTTTGGCCACTTGATAAAAGTAGAAACACGATTAGGTTAGAGACCCAAATTTTGGTTAGAGGTTTTCGTGGTAGGTCAGCAATCCAATCAAATCAAAATAAGCCATGATTCACGATACAAAAAGATATTCTTGGTTGATGAGCCCAATATGTATTGAGGCCTGAGCAGAGTTCAATTCATTGGCCCACTTCCAAAAATCTCTATATTCATGGAAATTTCGAAAAGATCCGATAGCCCTCGTGTCGCGAATTAAATTGATTGTTATTGATTTTCGCACTTTTTGCCTACTTTTTGGCGATAACCAGCATATAAGCATCGTTTAATCCGCACATACTTGATGGCCGTCAATTGATTTTATTTATCAAATCCAGCTTTCTTTTCTGAAACTTCCGATCTTCGAAAGAACTCTTCAAAGACTCCATGGATTCCATTTCCCGCATGCAAAAAAGTCTTAAGCAAGACTACAACCGTCAAGATTGGCATCTTAGTCTCCGTGCCGGTCCTGAAGCGCTTGGTGTGCTAGGTGAATGCCAACTTGTTTCCACCCGATCGGAAATGATGAGCATTTCCCTGAGCGGACCTGGGCTCAAGGGAGCGACCGGACTTCGAACTATGCTTGAACTCCAACTGATTACCTCCAAGATATGATACACTCCATGAAAATATCAATTTATGCGTGCAGATTGGAATAGCTGCATTCAAAAAAGCTGAAAGGGAGATGATTGAAATTGCTCATCTAGCAGGTGGTCTCGCTTCACCAGGTGGTATAGTATGACTTGCATTTTTTTATTTCACATTAGACATATGCTTATATTTCATACTCAAGATTGAGCAGCTATTGCGATTTTGTAGACCAGATGCAGATCAAGACGAGAAAGGTCATGCACATCTATATCTCGAGCAAGCTCAGGAGGATATCGATGACTGTACGACTAAAATGAGAGATATCCAGCAGGGGTTTGACAGCTGGTTTGAAGCAACGATCTATCTGTTTAATGCCCTAGGGGAGTCCCGAGGTAAGGAGTTTGACCACTCAGAATAGAGAAGAGTATTATTCACGGTTGGTAGGCATAAAGGCACGAGAAGCTCAAGATGTGAAGAGAAATATCAGACAAAGTGAAGCAAACAAGACGCTGCAAAAAGAGGACTTGGCTTCTGAATTGAAACTGTTCCAAACTCGAAAGGAATCCTTGGAGAAAAGTCGTGAACAGAAGCAATTTTTTGAAACTCTGGTTCCTATGCTGGGTATTTCTTCATTTATAAGTCCTTTTATGGTGGTGATGCTACTAACAAGAATATTGCAGTTTCGATTATTCCTGGAGCTTCCAACATCTCTGGGTTGTGCGCAAGCTTTGCAGGCTCTGCGGGCTCTACTGCTGCAGCATCGACGCCGGTCTTTGCGGGTCTAGGAGTGGGATCTACAACAGCTAGTCTTGCTGCTTTGCTTCCTTTTCTGCCCCAGGTAGCCGTTTCAGGAGCTATTGGATACTGCTACTACTCATACCTGAAATGGGAAGTTCTCAGTATGGAAGAGATTCAAGCGAAGCGACAGGCGTACATCAACCAGATTACAGAGAATATTTCTGAGTTTCAGGACACCCTTGAAGCCCTGGCTTCAGAAACTATATCAATCGTCTGTTCACCCGAATTGACCTTCCATGGGAAGGGAGTGTGCTAATATCTACCATGCAGGCGGAGATCACCAAAATTTTGGAGAAGTCTGTATGTCATTTGACCGACCTACAGTTCCGCGTACAAGACTTCATGGACATCTTGTTACAAATGTCGAGTGTCATAAAAAGAACTGTCAGAGACAGTAGACTTACCATCAAAATTGCTGCTAACAGTGAGCGGCTTGTGAATCCAGCTATAGAACAAGTACTTGCTTTTATTTTCCCCCATCATATGGGCAGCAGTAAACTAACAAACTTAAAGGACTTACGCGAAAAAGCATTCAAAATGAAAGTCAGCTTCAACTTTATTCTCAGGGCGACTGAGATCTATGTTGCAATCTCTACGAAATTCATTACACCGACAATTCGTAAAGTTGGTGAATTGCGCTTGTATCAAGCCGGCAGCGAAGCGGCTATAAAAGAAAAGTTGGAAGCTTTAAATCAAGTTCGGCTTGCAGCCTGTGAGGGTACTGATGATCTGGCTTGCCAAGTATGTTCTTTCCATTTGTGGGCCTCCAATACCTCAGCTGACTATTGTTCCAGATGCACGAGGAACTCAAGAGAGATATTCAAGACATAGTTGAGGATTCCACTTTGGTGCATCATTGACTCCGCAAGCGTGCCATTTCTGTTTTCTTCTAGTCTTTATAGCCACATCCTATAGCCGCTGCCGTGCTCTTGTATTTAGAATCATCCTAATACCAGTGCGGTTTACGCATCTCCAATTCACCCAATGAAGCGTCCTCCATGACCAAAACCATAAACCAACTCTGAATTGGTATATCATGCATTTATCGGAACATAAATGGCAGATTAAACATCGAAGCGAGCGATGCTGTCACGAATGACCCGGGAGTGAGCATGGTGCCAATGCTGAGAAGCCGAGACTTTCACCTGGCTGCGAAAAGAAGCTTAACGTAATTCACATGCGAGCGGTGCATCCCATTAAGTCCATTATTTTCAATGCATTCATCTTGACCAAAACAACATTGAATTCAATTATTCAAAAGCGAGCCCTATTAGGACATGCAATCAATTTATACCTCTCAATTCCACAAAAGCTTCACGTCGGTCAGGTTCTTGTACGTGCCTCGCTGGGTATTAGTGCTAAAATTACTTGCTCTGGCTGTATCGCTAAGGCAGAGGCCTCTAAAACTGTAAGGCCTTCTTCGGAAAGTATTTGCCTTATAAATCTAGTCCTTCTTCGCTTCTTCTTCTTCTTCTTCTTCTTCTTCTTCTTCTCATTTTCAGGCGTAAATCGCTTACTTCCAAGGTTCGTTCTCGACAATAGCTGCCGATTGCATTGTGATTTGACAGACTTTTGGAGCCTGATTTATCTTGCAAATAAGTGGGCTCGGAGGGCTTTCTGAGCGCTGTTTTAGTAAGGCTTCTATCAAAGAAACTTGTTTTTGTCATTACAGGGATTCGAAGGCGTTTCTGGCTCCCACTCACGACCCCGGCTCGAAGAGGGTGTCGGCGTAAGAAAGTAGACAATAAGCTTCGAAGGCACTTGATCAGGCTCGTAAGGTCCTAGACCGACGGCGGCGAAGCTAATCTTAATAGTCTCGGGTTGAAACACTTCGATTCGTGCGGTTGGATAGGCTTCGAGGAAGTCTAGTTTATCGACGCAATTGATCCCGCAGAAAAGATTTCAAATTGCATTCATCAGAAATTTGACCAGAGACTAGCCTATTACATCCTCTTAATTGCGAGGATTCCATACAAGTTATTTCCAGCCTCCCAATTTCCAAGTTATCGCAGAGCCGTTCTTCACACTCTCCCATCAAAAGTCCACGAGGTAAAGTAGTAAAAGAATCAACGAAGAATGAAGAAAAAATGAAAAGAAAGTAAACGAAGGGAGGAGGCGGATAGAAAGCCATTGTCATTATCGTCCCTTCAAGACAGATGGCTGCCGCGCATACTGGCGTTTCCACTGTGGGAGCTGTTCTTCTTGCCGCCTAATCTCACAAGTACCTTCAAGGAAAGCCGGGCAATCATTGAAGACTGCATTTCCTGCGACAATCTTAGGTTTCTCGTTGACGGGTTTGAACGTAACGCGGGGAAATAAGCACCAAGCTTGCACTCCATTACGTCCTTGCTCGTTGCTGCTCTCCACATAATCAAGCTCGGGACACGGTTCTGAGAGCCAGCCTGAGCTACACAGATTCGGGGGTTTGGTATCAAATTCAACGACACAACTATCTCTCTTCGCTTTGTTCCAAAAATGCACACATTCTGTGAGAAGACGCCCTAGGTCACGCTCAAAATCTTTTTGCTTTTGCTGGGGTATAAGGACCCCAAGAAGTTTAGAAAGGCGCCGAGTCTCTGCAAGCGAGAGTTGATTGCTAAGTGCGTTGTCCCTGGTAGACTGAGGAGAAGCGACATCAAGGCCTTGAAAGGTAAGATACCGCCACAAGCTTTCCTTTCTGCGATCCTGATGAGCAAGTGCCTTCGAAATTTGAACGAAAGCGGTAATTTGATCTGAAGATAGGGGCAAGATCGATCCTCCAAAAGGCTGCCAAAGCGAATGGCATATAGCCTTTGCAATGACCGTCTGCGCTGCCCGGGCTCGAAGGTACTTAGATGTAATCGAAGCAGTTAGAGGGACAAATTCGAATATTGGATCACTATCACGGAGAAGGCGTTGGGACTGATCAATATCCTGTCAAAGGTAAGATATAGGTTGAACGTGCCGGTGGGCATCAAACTTACACATTCTTCTAGCGGAAGCTCTCCGAAATAGGCATGAGCGATTGCCTTGAGAGCTTTGTGTATCTTGGATAAGTCCTCCTCGCTAGGAGCAGAGTCAGTAATTCCCAATTAAAGAAGCGTACAAGAGCTTGCTTACAACTCTGACAATGGGGATTCTTGAGCTTTGAACCTAGACTCAAGTTCCTTTTTCTGGTCTTCCAGCTCTTTTGTACGGGCCTTAAATAGCGTGAGGGTTCTTTCTGTATCTTCCTTGGCCTCTGTTTGAGCTGAGACTTGATCCTGCAATTGTCGAATCTTCTTTTCGGCCTGTTCAAATCTCGCAACCGTGGCCTTCTCCTTCTGCTTCATTATTTTCTGCGACTCATCCTCTAGTTTCTGTTTCGCTGTTGCTATGGCTTGGTCATATTTAGCCATCATCTCGGCCTCAAAGTGTTGCTTCTCCCCTTCCAATTGTTTGCCTTCTTGATCTAGCCTCTGTCGAAAATTTGTAAGAAAGGTCTTCTCATCGTTGAGCTGGTTTTGCAGCTCCACCAATCGATGCCGTTCTTCCTCAACCCTACGGGCCTCTTCATTCTTGGAATGCTCTAGATCCTTAACTTTGGCGGAAAGACGTCTTATTCTCTCGTCTTTCTGCAGCAGCTCTCCTAGAGCGGACTCGATCTGCTCCACCTCCTTATTGTAGGACTCCAGAAACATGATCAATTTGACTAGGCGTTCAATAGGCTCTCGAGGAACTCGCTGGTTATTGCCTTTGTGGCTAGCCTCGTCACTACTCTCTTCGGTCACTTCGACATTACTGACTCGTGCTTGGCGTCTTCTCTGTCGGCGTAATTGCCGTGCCTTTTGCTTTATCCCCCATATCGAGTTAGGAGCTAATTTGTTCTCAAAAGTCGAGTGCGTCTGACTTACTTGTATATTCTTCGATGACTCAGACTGACTGTTCATAGCGATAAGCGACTTCGTTAGACGCGCCAAAGGAAAATTTCTCTTGTGCAGAACCATGAAGTGGATATAAATGAATCCACAGGACGGCTTCGACAAAGCAATTAACATGGAAGAGCTATGGCTTTATGTATTCGCTAATCGGTAGAAAATCAAATAATCTTTTTGCGAGTCAGTTCTATATTAATCAGCACTTTAAAGAGCAGGAAGGCATCTTCCCTGTCTTCCGATACGCCTGGCAATTTCGCCTTGATAGGGCTTTACTACTTCATGAACAGGTTTCTGACCAGACTTTCTAGGGAGCCATAGCGGGGAAAAGACAGATCATGGTGAACTGTCGAGCAACGTGGTAATCGGACTCCGTTATTATGCAGACACCAAGCCCCTTTTCGGGCGAATTAGGTCTCGATCGTCGCCATTTGAAAATCAATCAGTGCCTACAGACACGCAAGCAATGCATGCAGATGGAGGCTGAAGTGGGGAAACTGGCGCTTTCTCCGCAAATAGCCATCCTCGCCCGAATAACCTAGTATTATTCTCCTCGCGAATGCACCATGGCATAGACAGCCTGCATCGGGACCCTTGCAATTAGAACATACTTCGGAAAGCGCGGAAGCATCATAAGGGCCCAAGGTGAGGCATATATTGATTTTCGAGGGCGAAGCTGTGCCTCGGCCTGGCAGAGCTCACAATGACAGAGAGCGCTCGCCTCGAGGGAAAATGAGGCTACTTATACTTAAATTGCAATGAAGATCGGTATGATTTTCCATTTTGAAGTATCTGGACCGAGGAAACAAGCTCAGGTAGAGTGAAGAGAGTGAGATGGCGTGCCAAGAGTTCAGAATGAGGGAAACTGCACGAAAGTACCAATATGACTACACTCAAGCTATAGCCGCATTACCTCAAATAAACTGCTTGGTTTATAGAATCCACTAGGTCGGCTCCAGAAATTAATATACACGGCGCCATACTATTCTGAAAGCCTGGGCACTTGTATGAACCCCTTGGCGGGGCGCTGAAAATGATTCTGGGATGATGTTGATGTGGTATTGGTCGGGCAAACTATACTAGGCTGTACAAGGCAGACTAACAAACACCTACCACCTTCAGCGTTTCCGTGTGTGTACAGGCATAGTGCATTACGAGCTGCAGAGCTAGGCATGCAAGCAGGTCGTGGATTAATTGAATTGGCTATCTCGCAAGCACATGTACAGGTGACAGAGTCTCAGCCCTGCAAGCTAACAACTACAATCAAAAGTTCGGTAGCAAGTGCACTCGTTCTATAAACCCCCCGGTGGGTTGATACTTGATGAGACAATCAATTACTCTGAGATTTGGGCTCTGGGACAAATCAGCCATGGAGATTGCGACCCATCTGGCCGTACTTTGTGAGGAGGCTAGTGAAAAATTAATGTGAAGTAAGGTTTCACTTGGGTAGATAGAGTACTGCAAAGCGTTTGACGATGTTGGCGGTGGCCAGGGCCAAGTTGCAAAGCGGATTCTAGAATGTTGTCTGAACAGTGGACTGAGATGTATTGTGCAAGATGGCTATGTTACAAATAGCTCAACAACCGGGCTAGCAGCTGTGGAGATGTATTGGCACGACCTTTTTGAGGCTCAGCCAATTGACAGTAGATATTTGCACTTGTTGAGTTCCAGGGAACGGAGGTTGATAATTTGATTTCTCAGGTGCTGCCGCATATTTCTTCCGACATATCTACCACGAGTGGGCCGACAACGCCTGCGTGACTATCCTGAAGCAGACTGCGAGAGCCATGGACAAGCATGGAAGCCAGATCTTGATCTGTGACGAGGTCTTGCTTTGATGTGCTAAGAAAGTGCATACAGAACCACTTGGTCAGTGACAACTTGACCTCGTGGAAGGCTAATTTGTTATTTAATCAACGTAATTCACTAGCGAGTGGGTTTACTATTCGGCTAGTAACGATTACGAATAATTTATCGACAGATTGGAACCCCCTTACCAGAGACCAGAGCTCCTCTACATAACAGCCGGGCGTATATGTAAAAATGAAAACGAAGATGATATCGACGATTGAATATATTCATGATACATAGAGGCCGCTAGAACCTAAATTGCTATAGTGGCTATTAAATTGTAAGTATGCGCACTAGTAATTAAGAAGCAAAATGTCGCAGCGACCAGGAAGGGGACTTTATAGAAACACGCACGAGGATGGTAAAGGGCAGGAGCACGCTAAACCGCATCGCGTAACACGAAGTAGATGACTGAGGTGGACCGTGCGCTACCCGTGTGACTTTCTCCCTATAAACGTACACTATGACCGCCATTGATTGGTCTTGTATTTAGGATTCTGCAGCCAGGTTTCACGATTGGAGGAAAACAAAGAAGAAGAAAAAAAACTACAGGGGTTTTCCGCCGATAATTGCCCATCATGACCGATTCTCAAACATCGCAACCTCCCCAACCACCGCAGAACGGATCAGAGAAACCATCAGAAGAGACCATCAAAACTGAGCCCGATCTCGACGCATCTATCGAGCAAGACGTCGAGATGAATCCCGATCCCCAAAATACCGATGATGCCCCAGGCATCGACCCCATGGCGCCTGCGCCAACCCCCTCCAAAAAAGAAACCAGCCTGCGCGAGTTCCTCGGCAAAATGGACGACTACGCACCCATTGTAAGTCCCAGCAACGAAGCACACCTCTCACATCCTCCCACCCCGGCCAACCAAGCAAGATACCACCAAAACCAAAACCTCAAGCTAACACCCCCAGATCCCCGACGCAGTAACAGCCCACTACCTCACCCTCGCCGGACTCCCACCGCCAGGCACAGGCCCGGGCCAAACACCACTGCACCTAGCGCGCCTGCTCGCACTAGCCGCACAGAAATTTGTCTCTGACATCGCCGCCGACTCGTACCAATACGCGCGTATCCGCGCCTCCAACAGTTCCTCCGCCAACAACCCGATCGGCAGCCTGGCCGCAGCATCGGGGCTCAACGCTCCAGCTGGACCGCCGGTACCAGGCGAGAAAGGGAAGGCGGCGACGCATCTGGGTATTCAGAGGCCTGGGTTTGGTGGTGGTGGGTCTGGCGGGTCAGGCCAGGGCCGGACGGTTCTCACGATGGAGGATTTGGGGATGGCGGTTGGAGAATATGGGGTTAGTGTCAAGCGGGGCGAGTTCTATCGGTAAGAGAGGAAGAGGAAGTCAGTCTCGGTCTTCTTTAGATATGGAGCTTCTTTGTTGTTTGTACGTTGCGTTCGTTTGGGTGCTTTGGCGTGGCGTTGAATTGATTGGTATTGGTCTCTCCGTGGATCAGATGCATGGGGTCTGGATGGGATCCTTGGATGGATGGAGTTCTTTTTTTACTCTGTGGCTTTGGGCTTTGGGTGGGATTGGGTATAGGTGCCTTTATGCAGAGACTGGTAGTATTCATCATATGATATGAACCATTTCCCATATGCTTGCTTTTACTCTTGTGCTTGATTCAGTTTGATGGAATGATCTACGATCTATGATCCTTGAAGGCAAGTTTGTTTCAACATAGTAGACATCTTGACATTTGTGTTCCGCATAAGTCGCATTATGGGATTGCGATTGCGATTTGCTTCCGAGAAAAGAAGAATGCATATTGAACTCCGGCCCAAAAACAGCTAATATAACATGAAATCCAATATCTGTACATGGTGTAAGAAATGCAGCGCAGCACAAATATCTGTGTCTGCAGCGATCATGCGAATCGCCTATTTGTTCTTAGACTGCTTGTATGTGAAACGCTTGCGGGTTCTGCAGCAAGGTCAGCGGCTGATCAGGAAAAACCTGGCTTGGGTTCTGGAGGTAAGACATACGCAACGTATTCGCCGAGCTTGCGTCCGACCATCTCCTCGGTTATTTGGACCTCGACGTATGTCTTGCCGTTATGCACGGCGAAGCGGAGGCCGACGAAGTTCGGGAGGATGGTTGCTGCGCGCTTCGTGGTGCGGATTGGGGGTGTGTTCGGTGGAGGGGGCAGAGTGCGTGGGAGAGCAAGGCTGGATGCGATTGGAAGGTCAGTTTTCAACTCTATTTTTATGTCCTGCTCCGGCATCAATGCTCGCCGGGGGTTATCCTCATTCGTGGAGGGCTACGTACGGAACGATGTTGGGGCCTGGAGGAGATGTTAGCATGTGGTTTCTTCGGAATTGATCTCGGAAATTGAACCCTTAAGATCTAGGAGTCTCACCTTTCCAGACCGAGCGACCGAAAAGAGCGCGTGTAGGGAACATTTTGGCTTGATGTTTTCCGAAGCGTTGTCCGCGATGTTGAAGATTGATTTCGAAGTCTTGGCGTTATGCTTAGTAAGTAATTTGGATTGCGTTCTATACAGAGCTCAAGGTCGGAATGATATAATATAAATGCGGTAAATTGGCTAAGTAATATATGAAATGTTCATTCAGCTAAGTGGAAATGAAAATGAAAATGAAAGAAAGGTACCGGTCCGAGAGTTGTGCCAACAATCGCCAGCAACAGTTGGAACATCTTATATTCTTCACTCTGCCAGTTCCTCGAATACCTCGATCAGGCTGCGCACACCTAAGAGAACATTCTCATCTGGGCCCTGCCCAGGTGTCCAATTAGCATGCGCAAAGTCGATCAAGCGAAGATCATGGACTTTGGGGGGATCCTCGTCCTCTTCGTCATCGGCCAGATCTGGCATCGTTTGTGGATCGATGTTGATGTTGATGGCTTGCTGGGGCATTCCTTCACCCAGCTGAAGGTCAATTACTTCTAATGCGCTATCGGGAATCTCAAATTCCTCGTCATCCTCATCGTAGTCTTCTTGTTCTTGAGAACGGGACGGGGCGTTTTTCTCTTCTTCAATTGCATGCTCCCTGGCCTCTGGATCACCTTCGTAGACCACAAGTACACTGGCCGAGTACATTCGACTCTCTTCTGCTTCAATGATCTGATGCACTCTCTTTAATTCATCCGCCAACCGGCGAGCAATCATTTGCGATCGATCGATCTTCCCCGTTTTGGCACCCGCAAGGAAAGTCTCAAACCCTTGCTTGACGGTGTCCTTGGTGAAAGACCGGCCATACCACTTGTCGTATCGCCGATATCCATCCTTCTCGATGACCTCGCCCTTTTCGCCCTCTACACCCTCATATTTCGTAGCATATGGATTTGTCCGATCACCCTCATCTGTCTCCCCTTTCTCTCCTGTCCATACTTTCATACCCGCAATACGATATCCAAGACTCGAGCTGGTAGTCTCTTTAGACACAGCATCGAGTTTACTGCGCTTTTCAAGGGGTGCATCATCAGCCCATAACCGCGCCCCGAGCTTCACATCCAACACGTTGGGCCGACGGAATCCGCAGGCGATATTCTCCAGCACGATCGACAGTCCAGTATCGAGTTTCTTGCCTCCAGACGGCACCCATGCGGCTTCATCTTGTCCGAGAGCAGAGGTAGCGTCGCGCTGTGTTTGCGATGGTTCACCAGGACACGAAGGGTCGGTAGAGGCGTCGGGGTCAGGAAGGAACAGAGTGCCGGATTCTCGGGCGGCAGCAATCGCCTGCGGTTGCTGTTGTTCGGCGGATGAGAGCGAGCCAACGTAGAGGGGGATGAACTCCTGGAAGGCTGGGTGGAGGGCACTGGACTCGTAGAATTCCACCTCTTGACGAGTGCATGGTTTGGCGATCAGTGCGCCAGAGAGCGTACAGCGGACACCTTCACTGTAAACATAGAAGACTTGTTAGCATGAGTCCTGAAGTCAAAAAGTAGTATCGCGTGAGCAAGCAAACCCCGCGCAGGCAGTTGCGCGGATGAGAGGCCGGGAAGTCGCGTTCCAGGGATAGAGCTTGAACTTACTGTCCTGCAGCAGCGTGGTCGAAAGGGACCAGGTCATCGGTACCTATTTGTGGTGTCTTTCGATTCTCTGGTTTTGTGGGCATTTTGGTCATACTGGTTACGTCCACGGCTCCTCACTGCATTCCGGATGACTCAGACACGGTTTGCAAAGTCAAATGCAAAGTCGAAACAATCAAACTTGATGCAGAAACTGAAGGCGACGAGGGCTATATAGCTGAAAGAACTGAGGTAGACATGGCATCATGATCAGCGGGGGCTATTTCGGCCCTAACTTGGTTCCGCTTATCACTTGGCACTTCGTATGCAGGTATGTAGGTAATTATAACTACTACTTATGTAGACAATTTGAATAGTTAATTTCATAAGATGATGACCTTCAAGTAATGAGTTAGATTTTGAATATCATAAAAATCAAGGCAAAAAGAGTTTACAAAAGATCTAGAAGTGACCGGAACTCCATCTGTAGAAGTGCAATGTTAAGAACCCCATAGATATATATAATGTGACTACGAGCCAGACATGTTATATGTTCATATGATTATATGTTAATCATGTAACCATCAGCAATAAGCAACAATCGAAAATAACAGTTCCGTTAGTAAACCTACTTTCGAGAGCATAATATCCTTAGTGTTGTTGACCCAAACACACTGCCCTCATTAGATGACTATACTCCGTATGGATTTCACGTTTGCGCTCTATTTGCTTTGATCGTTGATTTACTCAGGTTGCATAAAAGTGGACAAGGTACCGGTTAACACCTGCCTGGTTGATATCTTTTCTTTTTTGATATATCTTCACTTTCAGCTTCACTTACCTTCTCTCTGACACCCTGACTTCATCTTCTTCCATCCGACATGGACGATCAACCTCATCCCAGCATACATGTTCTACCAACACCCATTGAGCCATCTATCTCCGAGAAAAAAGTGAGCTCCACTGAAGCCATGGCGACTGATGATTCGACTGCCAACCCTGAGCCCTCAGTTTCGTTGGATCACGAGGATAATGGCGAAGTCACCGGTGAGGACTCATTTGTCTCTGCCCAGGAATTGCCCTTCCGGATTCGTGAATGCCCACCCAGAAGTGATGCCGAGGATTCGAAAGATCTGGAGATGGCTGAGAAGAATGAGCCACAAAACTTGGAGACCGAGGATAGTGTGAGTACCAAACACCCTGAACCATTCTGAAGTATTCTACAAACAAAGTGATGCTAACAGACTGTTCAAGACCAAGGAGCCTTTCAACACTACGGACCAGGCTACGCTTGATCAGGCGCCTAATGAGGTGGATGCCCAGGGTACATATAAGCCCTCGTATGATGAAAAGCTTCCTGAAGAGAATGTCCATCCGGCTGGGGAGGAAAAGCCTGAAGATGCTGCCTGTGATACCAATGATGACTTTGCTAGAGCCAATGCTCCCCGAGTTGGCTTCAAACACAACCCGGCGGAGGAAGCAATCATGGCAAACGTGGAACTGGATGTCAGCACGTCGCAGAAAAAGAAGAAGAAGAAACGCCCGAAGAGCAAAAGGGGACTCGTGAGACATTGAATAACTTCTTCGTGCGATAATCGCCCTAACAATGTCACTAGAACGCGCCCACTGGATTTGAGCCCTTCTACGCTGATGCCCCGTTGACTCCGCAAGAGTTTGAGGAGAACAAGTCAATCTACGATCCGTATGTGAATTGACGTCCCAGAAGTTATACAAAGCTAACGTGTTGTGAAAGAGCACTGCCAATTCTTGAGTAAGATACTCAACACTGCGGTCTTCTACTTATACCTGCTAACATGTCTATACACAGTCGAATCGATGAAGGTATCAAACGCTTCCTGTTTAAACGTCGCCTCGAGCCTCACAGACGCAAAGTCTTCCTCAAATATCTACAATACGGCGGTGTCACCGTTGGCCAAAACCCTAACCAGGGCGTGACTCCTCAGGAGTTGAAGGGAATGGATAAGGAGGAGGCTATGCAAGCTCGCAGCAATACCATCATTTACGAGAAGCCAGGAAGGACCTTGCCCATCTCTTTCAATGATGTTGCCACTGGCTATTTGTGAGTTTTACATCTATCGAATGCCTCTCCAAGACTGGGCAAACCTACTGATACCTCCACAGGACTGGCTTCTTCATGGGCCACTACAATCCCGACTCAGAGGAAGAAATCAAGATCTGCACTGGCACTATGAAGAACTTCTTTACTTACCTGCTTCACCACAATGTCTGCCCCGAGCAGACAGAGGATCTCGAGGAAGCCAGAAGAACTTGCGACAGATGTGAGAAGGAGCTGTGGATGACCCAGCAGCTCATCCACAACGAAGGTCCAGGACATTTCAACCGTGCTTGCTCTATGCTATTTGGCGGCTATTACTTCGAGGCCATCGACGACCCCGAAGCATGGAAGAGGATCCGCTGGGCCAATCCGAACATCTTCACCCGCGATATCGCGCGCAAGGTCGTCAAATACGGCATTGCGATTGCCGGCGACGATCGCATGACTCGCAAATTCAAGATTCTTGTCGAACGGGATCGCATCGAAGCCACTCAAATCCAAGATATTGACGGGTTCGAAGTCATCTCCGTCGAGCAGCCAAGCGAGGAGATCTATGGTTACTACAGAGAGCTAGCTCCTGACCTATTGCCCGTCGGAAAAGTCAAAGCCAAGGAGTTCCGGGACCCCGCCAGAGGCCCGTATGACCTCACTCCCTGGGAGAAGATCGACTGGGATGCGGGCTTTGCGCCATCCTACAGCTTTGAGTTCTTCGTCGAAGCCAAGTTGATAGCTCTCATTTTGCCCGGAATGAGATTTATTACGGCTGTTTACGAGACGTCCTTCGGCATGCACTTCTACGATGAGGTCATGTCTGTGCTGCCTTCTAATTATCTGTTCCTTTACAACGACTGGATGATGGAGTACAAGGAGCCGAAGCCTGTGGATTGGATCGGTGATGAGCAGGAGATCGAGCGTCGCAAGGCTGAGGATATGGTCATTCCAGCTCTTGAATTCTCGGAGGCTGAATGGGTTCTGCACATTTTGGCCAACGAGGTGAAATGGGTCCCGAGAATGAGCGCTAATCCTGAGGTTCATGCCAAACTCATCATTGAAGCTCTTGAAAGTGTGGGGTTCTCCATGAAAGAAATCAGAGAGAAGTTGGGTATAGTGAAGCCTCCGAGATCGAAGAAAATTGCCAAGCCATTCGTCAGGGAAGAAACTATCAAGCAAGATCCTGTTGATGGGCCTGTTGAAAAGCCTGCCAAGGAAGAGTCCGAGGTAGCAATCGGAGCAGAGGTGTCTCGAGTGGCAATGGTCAGCTGCGGGACTCAGACCTTTATTGGGTAGATTATGGAGGATCAGGAAAAAGCGAAGGGGGTCGCAGAGTAATTCTGCTGGATAAGCGTTTAGCCGTTTTCTCTGAATAGGCACACAGATGAATCAATTTGCACTATCAAAAATCTTTGCTTGCAGTATTTAAGATATTATTGCGAGCTTGAATGTCTCAGAAGAGGCTTTCCCATAGTCTTGCGGCCTTCCAAATCCTATTAAGTGGGTCAGCAATTGGCACTACTTGGGCGTTTGGCGCCTTGTTGACAGCAGCTATCATACCTCGTGCACCTGGGCAATATCCTCCAGTGGATAGATCTTATGGATCTTGGTCTTGAGTTGGCCCGACTTCAGCAGGCCAAATAGCTCATTGGTGTAGTATTCGAACTCCTCGCGAGTTTCAATGTAACCGAAGAGGGTCGGGCGAGCGACCTTGACACATTTGGCCGAAAGTTTGCTGGTAGAATAACATCAGTATAGTCACTCACAAACACCACAGAAAAGAGGCCATACGGAAGTTGAAGTGGCGGCACAGGCCCGCTTGCATTGCCAAACCAGATAACAGTACCCTTGCGCTTGACGGCGTCCAAGCTTCCTTCCCACGTATCCAATCCGACGGAATCATAAACAACATCCACACCACGGCCACCAGTCGCCTCCTTAACCAACTTCACCCAGTTCTTGCCCTCCTCGCTGCGGTAGTCAATCACCACATCGGCTCCAAGGCTCTTAACAAGCGCGCACTTCTCCGCACCACCAGCAGTTCCAATAACCTTCGCACCCATCGACTTCAGAATCTGAGTCATAAGGAATCCTGCACCACCGGCCGCAGCATGAAGCAGAACCCAATCGCCCTTCTGCACAGGGTACGTCTCCTTAGCAAAAGCAAGCACGGTCAAACCACTGAGGAACGACGCCATGACGTCCTCATCGCTAATGCCCTCGGGAATCTTAACAGTCTTAGCCGCGGGCACAGCAGTGAACTCTGCATAACCGCCAGTAGCAAGCCAAGCGACTCGATCACCGACCTGGAAGCCGGTTGTTTCGGGGCCCAGGGCCGCGACGGTTCCGGCGCCCTCCCGGCCTAGAATCTCGGGCTTTGGCGAGGCATAGAGTCCTGTGCGGAAATAGGTGTCGATGAAGTTCACGCCAGAGATGTTGTTGCGCACTAGTAGCTGCCCGGCTTTAGGGGTGGGCACTGGGTGGGCGGTGCGGAATTGGAGTACTTCGGGCCCTCCGGTTGATTCGACCAGGACGGCCTTCATTGTTGTTGGAGTGGACATGGTGGTGAACTTGGGAGCAATATGATTGTGAAGGAGGGTTAATCGAGGACGTAGAAGAGAGCGAAACATAGTAATGTTACAGATTAGGAGTTGCGTCGGATATTAAGTAGATGGTCCACTGTCAAACGTCAATTTGTCATCCATTGATTCCATCCCCGCATTCACTTCCGCCGGACTTTCCTTTTTGTTTCTTTTCATTTCTGTTTTCTACTCATTCTTTAGTTATGAAAGGATCGAACGGATTACATTAATTACAATGAGAAACAGTTGGTTCTACTCAAAACTGACGATGTCTCTACAGCTTCACCTGGAATCAAGAGTTAAGTCGAACACACCCTATGACGCCATATATCCGTCGGATGGGACCGTCGGAGCAATGCCGATGTACTTTGTTGATATCGTTTACTATATATGGCACAATACTCGCAGCAAAAGCGCCTGGTGAAACAGGTAGACCTGAGTCTGCACTGAAACATATTTGAAAGATATCTTGATTGGCTCAATGTCCATCTCTCACAGCCAAGAGAGCCATCGCCGTTAGCGCTCCAGAGTTTCAGTTCATGCACCTAGGCCTAGTGCCATGAGCTTCTAATAGGTTTCTCCAATCTACCTGCATTGGTCTCAGCGACTACCAGCGTCGGCAAGCCACCCGAGTCCTTATGAGGGGCAATTACGGTCCCCAAAGCCCCACGCGTCCGGCATATGTATGTATTTGACGCTGCAAGATTCTGCATGACCAGATTTTTTTTTTGCATCATCTGCCGCTGACTGCATCCGTGGAAACTAACTGATCTCCCCACTCCATATAACCAAAATACCACGCAGTCCATATGGATTATCTCCAAACATCCCCTGACAAGGAGAAAACAGTTGAAACCCAGGTTTGAAATCTCTGTTTGTTGCCCAATAACTGGTCTGATCTCAGTTCTAATTAAATCAACGGAAACGCAACGGCAACAGCCGGACTCCACTTTGTGCCCAATGATCAATAGGCTGCCATAGCCACAGTCCCCTTAATGGGCGACTTGACCGTTTCTTTTGGCCTATGTTTCCAATGCCATCCCTGCTCTCGTGATGTCGCTTCGGCCCGAAGTCCATTCTTATTTGTTCACTCTCTTATTTGTTCACTCTCGCCCAATCATCTAAATGGCCTATCAGATGCTCGTTCACCCAGGGTGGTGCCCGATCCCATCAAACAATGCATATATATCCCTGTCCTCCCGTGTCGCGCACACTTTAAAGCGCATCTTTGTCTACTTCTGTGAAAATTTTTCTTTTCCACACTCGAGGCTCATTGTCCTTGCTCCCCTATTATTTTTACTCTTCGAGTCTCACCATTTTTACTATGAACCATACTTCTCGAGCTATTCCACGAGACGTTATCGCACCAGGCTAACGTTCTAAATAAACATATTCCATACTTCTACTTGTCGTGTGGCAAAAATTACAACCAATAATGACTACTTCTCGAACCCCTCGAAGGGTTCGTTCTCAATGGCCTCCGGCGCCCTGCGTCGAAGAAGAGCCGCAGTCACTTTCCAGGGAGCTGAACGGTCTTTCCAAAATCGGAGATAAACCAGGGACCGAGGGTGTTCATGCCAAGGGTGCTGTCGACCAATACCCAATAATAGTGTCTGTCAACTCGTCGCCTCCGCCATCGACCTCCCCCGGCAGTACTCCCAGCATGCCTAGCCTTGGGCATGTATCCTCGGATGACAGCTCAGGGCCAACGACCCCGCCTCTCCAGCAACCGGTCATCCGAAACACAGTCAGGTTTGAGGATGAAGAACCACCAAAGCACATGCCGCAACGTGCTGCGAGCCAACAACGAGGCCCACCTCGGTCTCAGGCTCAGCAACCCAAGCGCGAGCCCAGTGTTCAGGGGAACTCTCGCCCGCCCTCTCATCACCGTGAAAGTCGTGCCCGCGAAACCCATGAAAGCCGCGATAGCCATGATAGCATCCAGAGCAGACCAACCGTGTCAGCGCGGCATGCTTCTTCCCAAGCCTCGCGAGGAGCGCCTGTGCCCGAGACATACCGGCAGTCCAAACCCTCTGTGGGTCGCTCAAACAGTGCTCGTTACGCACCTTCAGTACCGCCACGACCAATGCCAGAGCGCGAGCGCTTTCGACGCGAGACAGACTCAGGGTATATGTCTGATTCGGCCACGACGCCCAACAGACCATTGCACCAATCTCAGGTGCATGTCCCAACGCCCACAACGCCCATCAGACCTTTGTATCAATATCAAGCACCTGTCCCGGCACCTGTCCCAGCATTTGTCCCAACGCCTGTCCCAGCGCTCACACCTGCCAACAGACCATTGTATCAATACCAAGCGCCTGCCCAAGCCCCCAGGCCATTGTATCAACCTCAAGCGCCTGTTCCAGCGCCCACGATGTATCAATACCAAGCGCCCGTCCCGGCGCCCAGACCATTGTATCAATCCCAAGCGCCTGTCCCGGCGGCTGTGCCAGCGCCGGCCCCGGCGCCTGCCCCAACACCTGTCGTCCAAGCGCCTGTCCCCACGGCTCCTGTGATGACACTGCCAAACGGACCGACTCTCGCAGAACGCATCGAGGAGAAACTCCGGCAGCGACAAGAGCGACAAGAGCAACGAGACCCGGGATCCATGTCGGACCCCGAGACACAGCAGCAACCAGCTGCGAAACCTCTCAACCTCAACGTCTCGGCGCTTCGTCCAGTACCCGCTGCAGAACCACACTCGCCTATCCCGGCCCACGAGCATGTTCCAAGCCACCGGGCCCAGTCTCAGGACCCAGCCTCGCGTTCTCGCGCACAATCTGTCACAGTGCCGCCAACGCGGTCAATGTCTAGTTCCCGCCCTCCTCAACAACGACCAATGGCTGAGATGATTGAGAAGTTCAAGCCTGCCCCGCCCCTAGTCTTATCTCAGGTCAAATCCGGCGCATCGCCCCAGTCTCAACAAGTCAATCCTTCGGCACAACCCACGACTCGGCGCCCCAGCGTATCACCTCCGCGCCAAAACTCAGAAAGATCTTTAGTGCCAGCAGGCACCCGGCACCCAGGCACTTCGCCCCAGCGCCCCGTAAATCTAGGCCTTTCACCCTGTCCGCGAACCATTGCAGTGGCCGGCTACAAAGACTGGTACACACTCAAAGAACTGACGCACCTGGACATCTGCCCGTCCTGCATGGGCCAACTCGCGAAAACCCGGTACAAAGAGCACTTCATCCCAAGCGCCCCAAAGCCTGAAAACCAAAAAACGCGCTGCGCCTTCGCCAACGCCTGGACCCGTCTCGCCTGGGCCCAAATGATCAAAGAGGAGCACACCACCCTCGAGATCCTCTACCAAATGACACGTCCGCCACCAGGCTCCAAGCCCTGCCCCGGCCGCGTCGTCGCCGAACAAACCTGGTACAGAATCTACGACCCAGAAACCAAATCCGACCTTCCGCGCTTCCACATCTGCGGCAGCTGCGCTCGCAACGTGCGCATTCTCATGCCCGCACATAAAGAAACTTTCACGCGCGCCCCAGAACCAAAAGAAAGAGTCTGCGACTTCGTGACCTCCTCCCCGCGCTTCGTCAAATTCATCGACCTACTTGACGCCGCCGCATCGCGCGCCAAAGAAGAACGTACGCGCCGTCCCGACCTGCGCGAGTTCCTCAGTTACGCGCGGCGCAAGGTCGTCCTCCGCGATTGTCGGCGCGACCGGCCCGCGCTGAGCACGTGGCATTATATACCTAGTTTGCCGGAGATGTGTATCTGCGAGGACTGCTACGATGAGGTTGTTTGGCCGCTGGTGAAACAGAATTATTCGCTTGCGCGGAAGGTGACGCGGGATCTGCGCATTTTGCCGGGTGATGGGCCTGGCAGGACTAGGGAGGCTAGCTGTCAGCTTTATTCGCCGAGGATGAGAGCGAAGTTCCGGGAGGCTGTGGAACGGGGGGATCTGGAGGGATTGACGACTGCTACGATTAGAAGGGTTGAAGCCGAGAGGAGGTTTTTGGATCGGAAGGAGGAGTTGCTTGAGTCACAGGAGAAGGGGTATGAGTGTGATGAGGAGATGAGGAAGGCTGTTGATGAGTGGAGGAGGTGGGAGTAGGGACTCTGTGTATCTTGTTCTATGTACGGACTTGACTTTTTGTTTCTTGTTTCGAGGCATGTTCAGCTTGTTGTGTACGGACTAGGCTTTATCTTTGGGGGTTGGCAGCATTGGTGTATACCTAGTGTATACTTGGAGCATTGGTTTGGGGCATGTACAGTGATGGGATTTTGTTTTCATTGTACTCGGTAGCAAGGCAGATCATATAGCATAGCATAGCATAGCATAGCATAGTATAGTATAGTATAGCATTTTCATATGTATATCAGTATGGATATTTGAACTCTACACCTTGAAGCTACGTAGATATGTGGTCTATATATACATTTCGGGTGCCGAGACCAATGACCTTGGGTTGAAATTGCCTACATCATTAGTTAGAGCTGGCTTCCATGCCCCTTGTGTGGAATTGCCCCGAGAAGAGGCTAAACTCGCATGAAAAGTCCGGCGAACCCTTCAATAACACTTTACTATCATCTCTCAGGTAGTTTTCAACTAAGACTCGTAGTCTCGTCCTGATCTTCTTTAAGTTGCTAATACACGGCAGCCAACCTTGCCCTAATGACTTTGTAGCAGAATACTTGCTATTGCCATACCTCCCGGACACCATCCTTTCCAGCAAGCGACATTACAATCCGATCCACTGAACACGAATACTCAAGTAAACTGTATTGAGTGTATGTAAGAGCGTCGACAAACATGCTAAACGCAGCCCAAACGCCCATTAAGATGCAACCCATCCAGCTATTTACACAGCTATCCCACAAGCCCAACGAGCTCCCCGGGCCACCTCTTAGCCCAAACAATCGCACGCGGCGGCATGCGCCCACCAACCGGCGCAAGCACACGGATCTTGCCCTTCTCCACGTCCACATCGGCAACATACAAGAAACCCATAATACTCGCGTCGCGCACTTCCGCCGGCGACGCATTAGCTGGCGCGTGGGTAATAGCCAACAGGGTATTCGCCAGAGCAGAGGGCGCCGGCGCTTGTAGCTTTTTCAGCGGGACGGAGCTATCCTTCGCGTCTGGTGAGGCAGGTTCGGCAAACGAGCCCACGACGCCGGGGAGGGGCACGGCGCGGTCTGGGTCTTGTTTCTGTTCGTACTCGCCGCCGGGGAGGAAGTCGGTTCCCAGCTGGGAGGGGTCGTAGTCGTCTTCGTCTTCGTCGGCGGAGGTCGTGGTGTAGTTGTAGATGGGGAGGGCGGCAAAGTCGAGTTGCTGGGCGTGCGGAGAGAGGGTTATTGCTGAGGAGGGGGAGGAGGATGGATTGGGGTTGCCGAAGAAGTAGGTGCGGATTTGAGATTCGCGGGTTGCTTTGCGGAAGGCTTCGTCGCGGTCTGCGCAGCCGCCTGACTTCGATAGTTTGATGACAGAGATGTGCTCGTCAAAGATGGCAGCCGTTGCGCTGGAACTGGGCTTGTTGTCGTATTGCTTGGCGACGGCGCTGTAAAGGCGCTCCGAGCCTAGGACTAGGATCGTTGTTATCGAGAACTCCGTCACGATGTGGTTGATCAGGTCCATGCTGCCGGGCTTGTCGGATCCTAAAACTCCGGGCGTGTCGACGATGATTCCAGTTTCGCGGGCGTCCTCGTCTTCGGCCATGCGGCCAGTCACTGACAGCGCGAGCCGCGACACAATTGGTTTATAGACGGCGCCTTCGCTGTCGAGCGGGCTTTGCATCGGGTAGCTGTATACAAGAGGCAGCTTGACAGGCACCGGGCTGGGCCCGGACATGGGGCTACTTCCCCAGCCGTCCTCGACATCCAAGATAGTCCGGAATGCAGTCGCAGTCAGTGTGCCCGGCACGCCGAGCATGCCTTCCGTCGGGTCAAGGTTGACGACGAGCGGCTGGCGGCCGATCTTCGTCGCATAGGCAGTCAGAATCTTCGCGAGGGTGGTTTTTCCCGAGTTTTCCGAACCGAGAAGAAGCACGCGCGGACCGTCCTTGCTTACAGCCTGCGCCTCTTCGCGCATCGTCTCCAGCGCAAAGTGCACATTGGCGTATTCGACCATGGGTGTTTCCTCGGCCGTGTATTCACTCTGGCAACCGCCTGCGCCATGGCCCACTGTCGGTGTCACTCCGTCGGATGTAGTCTGTACCGCTTCGGACGCGCTGACCTCCAGCGCGCAGCCGTGCCAAGTGTAAATTGCGGCTTTTGTGCCGGTGAAGGAGTAGGTCTGCGACTCGGCGAGCTCTGTACCGAAAAGCTCTGCGGTTCCATTGAGAAGCTGCAAATTGAGTTAGCTAGATCTTGAGGGTGATCGGGATCGTTGAATTGGGGATTATGACGTACTTTAACCTTGATAATATGTCCAAAGGCGACCTCAAAGCGCCATTCGGAGCCTGGGGTCAGGTTGATTTGCGATGGGGGTGCGGCGGCCTGTGGCCTATCCTCCGATGGCTGGGTCAGCTCTAGACCGGGAAGCGACATTGTATCGGCCGGTCAAGAAGCCTGTAGATATGCACAAGAATTGACGAGACTTGGAGAATGTAGCGGGATTGTATTGGGCGGAGCTTCAAGACGCCGTTGTTTTACATGTTTGCACCCAATCTGCACGGGTGTGCACTAGATATTAGTTATATCCAACGTCTAGTCAAATGACGGTTAACCAACGTTCTTTTGCATATATAAACACTATAACTTAATTGACCAGACGTTACTTGTGTTTCAGTCTGGAAAATACATTGCTATTTACAGACATGTATTCAGGTCGGGCGTTTTACACAAATTTCCCATCCTATAGTTACGAATAGCTCGAAAATATGATATTAAAGAATATCATTGTCATTAAGCGAATTGTGCTGACTACATGGGAGGCTACCGCTGGGTAAAGGCAATAGTGGAGGATGGAAGAGGGAAATGGTATCGAGGTAAGAGGATTGGATAGGAGGACATGGGCCATTGCAAGTGCACAAGAACATCTTGCAAAGAACAAAAGGGAGAGAGGAAGGCAAAATATTAGAAAATGGTGTCAATGACAAGTGCACTCAGTATCGCCGGCGAGGAATATATTTATGGTAACGACAAGGGGAATTGGGAGTCAGAAGCGAAAATTTGGGAATCTGGACTGTCGCATGCGACGGACTAGCCAAATGTAGGGTGTTGTTCTAAGCAGACTAGATGGGTTCTGGCTTAGAAGAAGTACGGAATCGAGGCACTGTGTATGATGTTAGTATCAGTCGGGTCAAGCATAATCCAGGATCACTTACGCAAGTGCAAATGCCACGGAAACACCAAAGATAGAGCGGTTGCGGACACGCTCCTGCTTCAGCTTATTCTCGAGAATCTTGGCCTTCTTTGCCCGCTGAGAAGATTCCGCGGAGGTCTCCTCATCTTCGTCCTCTTCAGACTTGCGCTTCTTTGTCACCACCTTCACAGATGACTCAGTGAGAGTGCCTTCAGCCTGAGCTTTGATGGCCTCTTCCACCATGCTCTTGGCTTGGGCAATCATGTCCTCAGTCTCTGCAGCAGACGGAACCTCAGGGAGACTGAAAGGCATATCGAGAGAAACCGTGGTTTGGGTAGTCTTAACATCTTCGGTGGCTTTGCTGTCCACTGCAACTTCGACCGCGGACTCTTCCTTGATTTCCTCCATTTCCTCCTTCTTCTTTTCCTTCTTCTCGGTCTTCTTCTTCTCCTTCTTCTGCTCTTTCGTCTCCTCCTGGGCCTCTTCTTCAGGCTCTGCGGTAGTACCTCTCTTTGACTTGCGGGCTCTGGGCTTCTTTGATGGCGATCCAGATCCCTTCACCTCTGTTTCACCGTCGATGGCTCCTAGCTCGGGAATTGTATCCGCGTCCAAAATAGCTGCTGTAATGTCAAGTGCCGACTGCAGGTTGGCATTGGCGGCAGTTGTGGACGGGGTGCTTGTGACATCCTTGGTAACGCGGGTGGCACGGGACTTGCGGGGAGAAGACAGCTTGCTGGGGGAAGCCGAGCGACCTCTGCGGTTGCGCTGGCCGAGAACGGGCTCATCTGCGGGAATTTCGAACTTGGGAGGGGGAGTAATCTGCTTCTTCGCGCTTGAAGGACTCTGCACGATGTCTGTTGGGTCCAGCAGAGCTCGGACCCATTCGTACATGCGGTACTCCTTGGAGAGCTCAAGGGCTAGAGAGAAACGTCAGACAGGAGATCGATCGAAACACCAAGCCGAACATACCAAATGCGGGCGAGATCCACACGTTACCAGCAACTTCTTCCTCGCTGGTGTGCTCGCGAGCCTTCAGGTATTCGCGTTCGTTCTTCTCTTCCTCGGCCTTGGCCCAGGGGAATGCAATCTTGAACATTCCAGTAGCACTGACGAACCCATCCTTGCTGCGTCGCTATAAGACGGGTGTTAGTGAGTTCCATCCCAAATCAGTGCCGTGCTGGGGGTCTCACCATCAAAAAGTAGGTTTCCGGGTGCTGCGCCGGGGTGTGCGAGGGGAAGATCTCCGAGCCTTTGAGGTCCTTGGGCAAAGGAGCACGAAGATGCGCGTACTCGAAGACGCCTAGGTTCTCACGCTTAGTCGCATTCGAGGTTCCGATCTGAGATGGCTTCACAGAAAGGTTGGTCTTTCCCAAACGACGGCGGACAAGAAGCTCATCATCTGTTGGGTTCAACGGTGATTAGCGATGATGATCATCCATTAAAGGCGCACGGAATAGTCAATGCGCGCGATCGCGCAATGCGCCAATCAAACTTACAGGTAGGAGCGTCCTCAGCGCTCAGGAGGATGTGAGGATTAAAATCTCTTGGGAGTGTTCGCGACATGGTGGGATGTTGAAGAGATGAAGATCGGGGGAGGGAAAGATGCGCGGCCACGTAGCAAGCGCGTCAAGCGACAAAAATTAAGAAACAAGATTCTCCACTTTCAAGGTAATATACTCCCAGGATATCAGCACACTGATGAATTGCGCCACCAAAATCACACGATAACAAAATCAAAAAAGAGGCCCAAGATAAAGAAGATAATCAGGAGAGAAAGTCGGAGTCGCGAACAATTGTTGCGTCGTTCTGAGGCTTGACTCGTTCCGGTAAGGTCCGGTTTGATGTTGGTCAGATGATGTATTTATTATTGTTGATTGGTCAATCAATCAATACACTGTAATTCCCTCTGCCCCAATGTATTTTGTAATCTATTTTGACCCCGTGACATTCCTTTCATCCCTGATTTCTGAATTCCCTGCCACTTTGCTTTCGACTCGGTACAGTATTGTACACATATGTACTTTATTGTATCCTTATGAAGATATTCTGTCTAGATTGGCATACCTCCAGGTGGATTATTATACCTATGCTCAACGATTGCTTCTATCTCTCCATTCACCCAAACACATGACCATCTCTATGTACACATCTGAGCACGTTGGGGTTTGTTTACTGGAAGAATTATACACTAGTGATGAAATGCTGAGATTAATAAAAGATGTTCAAATGATTAGATAGTATGAGGGAGATTTCACAAATTGTCTTCATAAACACAAGCATATAGAGTACATCCTCTAGTTATATGCTACACCTTGAAACTATATTGTACATGTCTGTCCCGCTATCAACGTGGCCATGCCTTTTTAGTTGCATGATCCCCCCTGAAACCCCACTACCCAAAGTCGGGGCCTAGATCATTAAATTAACCTATTCGCCCAAATAAATGCAACAGAACGAAAGGAATAGATAAGTCAAAGACAGTCTATTAGAGAAAATTCAGTCGATATAACCGTGCGGGATCAACGATGCGTACGGGTTATATGCACCTTATACACGGAGTAGGAAATTCTGAATAGCCTCGCCCCCCTCTCCCACCGCCTTTCCACCCCACCAAATCCCAAGCACTTGGACCTTAGCTTTTCTCCTGATTCTGGTCTGATTTATTTCTTCCTCTTCTATAAACACCTTCGTCCAGACTTTCCACCCCCATTGTCCCATCCCCACCCAACCGTCCTTTGTTTACATTCAATTCCTTGGTTCATACCCCACTTAAAAACAATGGCCGACCACGGAGACGATCTCGCCGCCACCCAAACCGAGGGGTTCAAGGTTGGAGAGAAGAAGACCATCGAAGAGTACAACCAGCTCGGTGAGACTCTTCCCAATCAGCATCAGCATCCATCAGCTACCATTGACTCTAACACACCCCAGACAAGGACGATGAAGCCATGCAGCGCTGGAAGGCCTCGCTGGGTCTGAACGCCGGCGAGCCCATTCACAACCCCAACGATCCCCGCAAGTGTATCATCAAGTCACTCTCTCTACAGGTTGAGGGCCGCGAAGACGTTGTCATCGAGCTGGCCACGCCCGACGCTGTCAAGGAACTCAAGGACAAACCATTCAAGATCAAGGAGGGTTCCAAGTTCCACATCAAGGCTACTTTCGAGGTTCACTATGACGTCCTGAGCGGTCTGAAGTACATTCAGGTTGTGAAGCGCAAGGGAATCCGCGTTAGCAAGGATGAGGAAATGCTTGGTAGCTATGCGCCCAACACCAACGTCAAGCCTATTTATGAGAAGATCTGTAAGTTTACCCGGCTTATGCCACTATTCTGCGGTAGAATTATGCTAACGTTGTTTAGTCGCCGAGGAGGAGGCCCCTTCAGGCATGATCGCCCGCGGACACTACAATGCCACGTCGAAGTTCCTCGATGATGATCAGCATGAACATCTGCTGTTCGAGTGGTCCTTTGACATTGCCAAGGATTGGTAGACAGAACTCGTTGAATTCTTGAGCGGTTGTTTGTTTTCAAAGCGTGATGAACTTCTTTCTTTGACAAAACTGTTAAAGATACGTCCTCTTGGGCTGGCTTGATGCTTTAGACCCCATTTCATTTCATTGTTGATGCGTATTCAGATTCATGGTGTGACATATTTTCATTTCAAATGCTAAGTAGCATATCTTGCTGTTTGTGAATCCAAAGCTCTCCCAAACTCCTGTCTAGTGCTGTGTTGAAAAAAAAAAAAACAAAACAAAAGGGTTTAAAAAAAGATGAACATGAAGCATTGGGTATCACAAGAAGTAATCAATCACTGGGCTAGGTCCGCCTTCCGCATTCTGCTGTTGCTTTCCAAGCAACTCCATCCGGTGGGCATCGTTTTCAGGCGCCGCATCGAAAATGTTGAAGTAGCGTTCTCCCGTGTCGCTCACTTCAAGAACACTAGCCAAGTTTCCACATCGGTAGCAATAATTCGGCGCACTCCAAACGGTGCTTAGCCGGTCATCGTATAGAACCTGGTAACCCTCTTGGCATAGCTGGTGAGCACGTAGAATGTGGGACATGCTGTTCACCTCTAGGAACTTTCGTACAACCTGCGCACCGAAGGTATAGCCAGCGCCACGGGGAGAAAGAGAGAACTCATCCCGCTCTGTATCAGGGTCTGACCAGACCAGATCGGCCATGGGGCCTTCATGGGGAATCTCGCGGAAGCGGTCGATGATTTTGATTTGGTCGATGGAGTGGATAGACGGCGAAAGACCACCATGTACACAGAAGATCTCATCATTGATCACAACACTCAGTGTTAAAAAGTCGAACATATCGGTAAAGTAGTGCCAGACATTGGCACTGTTATATTTACGTGCACACTCTGTGTAGAAACCGTATGACTGGGTGACACCGCGAGATTCGTGGTTTCCGCGGATAAGATGCACTCGTGAAGGGTATCGTAGTTTAAGGCAGACCAATAGTGATATTGTCTCAACACTGAAAAGGCCGCGGTCGACATAATCGCCTGCGATATGCTAGTCAGCAACCTTTCACGCCAAGACCCACAGTCTCATGCTCAACGCTCGCTGATGCAGTGTCTTTCACTTACCGAGGAATAGGTAATTGGTGTCGGGACAGTAGCCACCGATCTTGAAAATCTCAATCATATCAAAGAATTGGCCATGGATATCGCCAACCACCGTCACTGGGGCAGCAATGTGAACCACATTACTCTCCTTCATTAATAACTCCTTCGCCTTGGAGCAGATCGCCTCGATGACCGATTCGGCAAGAAGCTCTTTTCGGTAGAGCCGGCTGATGCACTCATCAAGGTCGATGTTGGCTGCGAGGCGACGGGGTCAGCATATGTCCACGTCGGATCTCATCACGGCGGCACATACTCGGAAGACCAGGCATTGTGGCGGATGCTGGATGCAGCAATGCCCAAATAAAGGGAGACGAGGTAAAAGCGAGGGCCGGGTGTCTTTTTGCTATTCGAACAGCGTCTCAAATCGTAAGCAACGTAGATTTCCTGAGCGAAGTCCGTGGAGTGTCGATCAAACTCGATTGCGCAAAATGAAGGTAATTTGGATGTTAGCGTGCTCAGGTTGGGAATTGTTAGAGAAATGAAAGAGATTGTTTCAATTTGACAAGCATCCTGAACAGCTCCTCAATCCAGAGAAGGTCGCTGTCGAAGTCCAGGTACCATGCCCAAATCGCGGGATGAGCCCGGGCACCGGAGCGATGCTCGGCTAGGGCCACACCGCCTTTGTGTCTGGTTGCCTGATTAATCGGGCCTCTAAGGCCAACTGGTCAGTACAATAATTGCGACAACTCATACTTAACTTCAGCTTCGATATTCGTTTAAGGCAGAGATACAACTGATGAATGTATCGCATGCTACTAACCTGGCGTCTAAGTGCCTAAGAATTTTGAGCTCCTTAGAGCTCCTTAGAAGATCCACTATCATGGACGTCTGGCTTGATTTTTTACACAACCATCACAGGCAACTATCAGTTAGCTGCTTTAACATGGGCTCTTCTCTATGCCAATCGCCACAAAAATTTCATTCAAACTCTGCATTTGATCTAGGTATGCGCCTTTAAAGGTGTCACTTTGTCCCAAAAATTGAAACTCTGCAAATATCTTATTGTTATCTTGGTGGTTTCTATACTTCTACCTTTGAACAATCTTTGATACCTTTTTCCAATCTCCTTTCCACCAATATTTATAGAGGCTGATCATCTCCTGATATAAAATGATTGGAATAGATTTAATATTATCTGCTTATACTTTCGAGATAATGTGTATCAAGGTCTCGGATCAACCTTCAGCTGATCCCATCGCGAAGTAGCAACTCTCCCATCCTTAATAACACCCAAAACATGCTCCTCAACCGCATCCAAAATAGTAATATCCTCTAAAGGATTCTTACCCAACACCAGCAAATCCGCCACAAAGCCCTCTTTCACCTGACCCAAGCAATCCTCCTGCATAACAAGCCGAGCAGCATTAACAGTGGCACTGCGCAGGATCTGCAACGGAGTCAGAATCGAGCTCCGAACTGAAAACTCCTTGCTCTGAGCAAAATGCATCGGACCAAGAAGATCACTCCCAAAGCAAACAGTAACCCCAGCATCAACGGCCATCTTCATAGCCTTAAGCCCCTTCTCAAGAACCTCATCGTTCTTAGCTGCGCCATCTGCAGGAAGGAAATTCATCTGCTTGGACATGACATGTGCAATGAGCGTAGGCGTAAGGAAAACGTCCTTCTCAGCCATCATCTGCACCGTCTCGAGATCAACAAGGTTTCCATGCTCGATGCCCCGCACCCCAAGCTTAATGGCCTGCTGAATAGCCTGCGGTGTATAGCTATGGCTGGTAACGTACGTCCCCGCGTTCTGGGCAACAGTAACAATGGCCTTAATCTCCTCATCTGAGAACTGGACATGCTCAATGCGATCCGTGGGACTAGCCACACCGCCGCCGCCCATAATCTTGATAAAGTCCGCTCCCTGGCGCAGCTCCTCGCGCGCAAACTTGTAGCATTCCGCGGGGCCGTCGACAATCCGACTGATGCCGGAGAGAGACCCGCCGCAGCAGAGCTGGGCGTTGTGCGACCCGCGCATATCGCCGTGACCACCTGTTTGGGAGAGCGCGTAGCCGGCTATGAAGAGACGAGGTCCGGGGATTACGCCATCCTCGACGGCTTCCTTGATTGCTAGGCTTGCGCCACCGCAGTCGCGGATCGAGGTGAAGCCGCGGTCTAGCATGGACTTGAGGACGCGCGGCTGGCGCAGTAGACTGATTCGCTCGGTCATGTCTTTGTAGGCTCGTAGGTCGGCTTCGCCGGGGACTACGGCGATGTGCACATGGCAGTCGATCAGGCCTGGACAGAGATACTTTCCGCTCACGTCGATGACGTCCTCTTCTGGTACGTCTTCTGTGGATGCTGGGCCATCTGTGGTGATTTGGGTGATCTTGCCGTCTGAGATTCGGACTGTAGCATTTTGAATCAATTCGCCTTGGACGGGATCAACGATGGTTGCGTTCACAAAAACCAACGTCCGTTGAGGATGGAGTTTCCATGGCTTGATGACTCGGGAGATATCCATGTCTGTGGAGTATTGTTGCTTGATATTCGATGATCTATGGTGAAATATATCAAGGTTGAAGAGGACACCGTTCGATCAGGCAGCCGATTTTCCAGTAAAGACTACCTAGGTACAGAAAAAGCAATGAGAACGGGAAGAAGTTTGATTTTGAACTGAACGTGGCATTCCGGCTAGTCCGGATCTATAGATAAATCCATCCAGCCTCGGTTATCTCGACATTGACTACAATATTGTATGTTTTCATAATTCGACGGTCAAAACAAGGCTCGGTTCGATATACTCGCTTGCAGTGGAGCCCATCGATTGAATTCGACCAGTGAAACAACACTGTAGTCAGGAACAACGTGAAGCGATTGGCTGCTTCGGCAATCAAGCTCACTAGCCGATGCTTGGCGTTCTGATGATTTCCTCCCCCGCGTTCTTGACAGCAGAGCTTCTGTGTAGAATTTATATGTGGAAAAGCCAAGTGATGGAGATTACCCCGGGCATTGATATTGGCTAGAAATTGCGCTTGGATTCACAGCAATGCCCTCGAATTTCCGGGGCTGATGTTGCAATGTCACAGGAAGTCTGAACCGATGCGTATAAGACGCCCCTGTTTTCGCAAGTTGGAAGAACACTCATTCTCTTCTGATCAATTTAAGCCGATCTGAACACCAAATGGCTTCTCCAGAGCCTGGCGGTGATCGAAAGATGGACCAAACGACATTTCAAGAAATGGATCGAACTCCCACCAGCCCTGAGCATGGCCCTCAATCTGACAATATGCCTCTGATGCAAGCCGTCCGCCTCTACCCCAAGATAGTCGCCTGTGCATTCGGCCTCGCATTAGCATTCCTTCTCACGGGGTACGACACCGTGATCCTCGGCACCATCACCGCAGTACCATACTTCAAACACGAATTCGGCGAGCTATACAACGGCGCATACATCATCCCAGCCTCATGGCTCTCAATATGGAGCGCTATCGGACCGGTAGGCTCAATGGTCGGTGCAGTCAACGCTGGGTGGCTCCAAGACCGCATTGGACGGCGCTGGTCGCTCGCGCTGAGCTGCTTCGTCTGCGCTGTTGGAATCGCCATCGCTTTCTGCTCCAACCTGCCCGCCGAGATGAACTCTAGACGGGGTGCGTTTCTCGTTGGAAGGACGGTACAGGGATGGGGCGTTGGTGGTGCTATGGCTGGTGCTCAGACGTATCTTTCCGAGACTGTGCCGACTAGTCTGCGTGGATCGGCGATGGCACTCTCGCCGACTTTCATGCTTCTCGGCGAGCTAATTGGGGCTGCTGTTATCTATGCCTGTGAGAAGAAGACGTCAGCGGTGGCTTATCTCATTCCGTTTGGTACGCAGTGGATCACAACCGTCTTGCCCTTTGTGCTGGTCTGTTTCTTGCCTGAGAGTCCGTCGCATTTGATTCGGAAGGGGAATATGGAGGCTGCCCATCGTGCGTTGGCATGGTTTCACACTGATCGAGTCGACGTGTCTGCGCTACTTGACCAGATGCGTCTGTCTATCGCGCATGAGGAGGCCATGTCACGAGAGTTGGCATATGTTGATTGTTTCAAGGGGGTTAATCGGCGTCGGACGATGATTGTGGCTTTCTCCTTTGTTGTTCCCAGTTTCTTTGGCGTCCCTCTGCTGGCAAGTGCTAGTTATTTTATGCAGGTTGTTGGGATGGCGTCGAGTCTCAGTATCATTGTACTGATCCTTGGCATTGTCTTGGGTCTCATCGCCAATGCCGTTGGTGTTTGGCTCATGAGTCGTTTTGGAAGACGTCTGTTGATGCTGAGCACTTTGGCGGTCACAACTGTCATTTGGCTGAGCATGGGAATTGCAGGTTGTTGGTCAGGAAACATTGTTATATGGTTTGTTATATCCTTCTTGTGTTGTATTCGGATATGATCAACTTACACGTTCAACAGGTATACTGCTGCCTGCATGATGGCCGTCGTCGTGGTTTGCGGCCTGGGAGCATGGCCAGCGTCATATGCAGTCTCTGGAGAGACATCATCTCTACGCCTACGAGCTAAAACCCAAGGTATCGGTGTTCTGTGCTATATGTTGTCAAATGTGGTGTTCAACCTCATTCTTCCATATATCTACAACACAGATGCCGGAGATCTCAAGGGAAAAACAGGCTTTGTTTATGCAGGCTTGTGCTTATTGACATTTGGCATTACCTGGCTAATCATCCCTGAGATGAAGGATCGCACAGCTCTTGAGGTTGACGCGATGTTCGAGGCGGATCTGCCCTGCTCAGAATTCAAGAACTGGAACCCAGAGGCTCTACCCACATATAGCAAAGAGGAGGCTCTGTGAATATTGTATTACCAATTGGAAACTTTGCAAGAGATAACTACATACGACGCAACTAGAGTAAATTTGCCTGCCAGGCAGGGAGTTGGCTCGGATTCAGAGCTGATGGTTCATAATGGCTTTGCCCACTGTACTAAATCTCTTACCACAGGTGCAGTCATACCATTCTTTCGTTTTCATAGCAAAGAGAAGTAAGTTCAGAGGTTGCTAGCGTGAATCATATACGACTTTCCCACAAGAAGCAATAATTGCCAGGGCTTGTTTTGTTACGGCTCGAGAAACGAGTCCTGGCGATGAAGGAGTCAATGTGCTTGTAGATTTATTTTCATCATCTTTGATTTATATAACCACCCAAAATGGGGCCAATGCCGATAGCTACCCAAGATAGCAGTCTATACATATGAACCAAATATCAATTCTAACCAAGCAACTGCTGAGCCTCTTTATGCACAGCTTCACTTTCAGAATCTGTTTCTTCTTCAGATTCCTCCTCAGAGTCCCCTTCTGAACTAGACTCATCCTCCGAGTCAGTTTCCTCCTCGCCACTTTCTTCCTCAGACTCCGTTTCAGACTCTGTCTCTGTCTCCTCTTCCTCCTCCTGCAGCCACTGATCAAGCGTCTTCTTCCCAGTCGGGTCAACGCCCATGGCCGCATTACGGACCCGACTCGATACAGCGGTGGACTGATGCTCGCGAAGCGCTTTATCAAGACGATCACCCGCGGTGGACGTCTGGTTGCTGGAGGCGTCGGGTTTCATGTCATCAACGCGAAGACTGGGGTCTGGCTCTTGTCCTGCTACAACCCAGTCTGGTAGATTGTTGTAACCTCGCAAACCGTGGTATCCTGCTTCGGAGCCTACGACTAGCGTGGCAGAGCCGATAAGAAGGTCTTTACGTGTCTCTGATGGGCTGGGGGCGTGAGGAACTGGTTTTGGGGCCAGCAGGAGGAGGTTGGCGAGCTGGGTTGAGGAAGGCGTTTCTAGGAGGTTTTTGTAGAGACGAGCGCGATCACGGAGGTCGTAAGATGTGTCGTAGCGGGCGAGAAGAAGGATATATCGCCATAGTAAGGTGATTCGGTCTTCTGCTTCTTCTTCTGCTTGCTTTGCTTCGGGTTCTTCAGTTTCCTCTTTGCTCTCTTTGGGCTGATCGGCATTGTCTTGCCCTTCGGTTTTATTGTCAGTCCATTCGTTGTGAAACTCCTTCTGGCTAGTGGACTTTTCTGCCAATTCTGTTGATGCCGGCGCTTCTGAGTTCTCCTCTGGTGGGTTCCGCAAGAGATGATGAAGGTACACCTTAGCACCGAGCAGCACGATCTGTTGTTTAACTATTTCCATCTCATCTGCGAACCCCTTGATCAGGATGCGTAGCACATCGGGTGCAATATTATTTTCGGGTTCCACACCAGCGAATTCGCCAATCAGCCAAATAATGGTGGCTCGAGCATCCGGATGGGACGTTGTGCCAAGGTTCTTGACGAGTTGTAGAACCGTCTTCTTATGCGAGGCTGGATCTTGTTGAATCAAGTGACGAATGACAGTCAATGACTCTGACACAAGATTTCCGTCCAAGCTGGAGATCTGGCCAAGCAGAATCCGCAAACATTTCTCTGCGGTGGATGTATCTCCTTGAGCACAACGACCAATAGCACGAACACTCTCACGCACCAGCTCAGGGTCTGCACTTTTAGAGAAGTGCTCCAATTCGCTGATTATAACACCCTTCCAGTGCTTTCCACAATGCGGGAACAAAATAGTTAGCACCTCTAGTTTGAGGCGCCAAATATGTGGTGGGTCATTGGCGTGAACGAGGAAGTGGGCTGCATATTTGGCAAAAGGTTTGGGCATTCTCAGGGCCACTGCAACAATGTTGTATAAAGCAATGTGCTGCATATCCTGGGGAGTCCGCAAAAGCGCCACAAGGGGTCCAACAGCCGAGGCGATATATTCAGATGGGGCAAGATAAAGGTAGCAACGGACAACGCTGACAATGACGGCGGAGTTTCGGCTCTGCAACAGAGGCTTGCAGGCACGGAGCAACAGTTCAAGATCAGGATCTAGAACTGGCACCTCATGTTCCTTGCCATTGTCCTGGTTTTCCTGTTCCTGCTTCTCATCATCATAAAATGCCTCAGGGTCTGCTTGTTTAACCATTCGAGTTCGGCGAGGGAAGCATTTACGCGCATAAAATGTCAACAGGCGGAGAGTAGACAGCTGGCTCCATTCATCCATATCAGCCATTTTCTTGACAAGGCTGCGGTACGGCTTGTGGATCAAGCCAATCTCATCCGGGCACAGATCTAAGAACGCCGCAACTGCAGGGCCAACGACAAAGTATTGGGAATCGCCCAAAAGAGTCGAAAGATATCCCGTAAGCTGCGGTAGCGTATTTGGATCCAGACGATAGCACTTCGGAATAGCCAGAGCGGCAGCCTTGCGTACATGCGGGCTCATATCCCCACATCCTCTCTTGATAGCCAACGACACAATCTGACTGATGACCGGAACCCGAATCCCCGACATGGTCCGGAGCGCCATTGTTCGTACCTGGGGGTTCGAGTCTGTCAGCGATTTCTGGATTGCATTGATCGATAGCAGCGCCAAGTCCGGTTCGGCCTCCGCATGATGGACCAAGTAGATGTAAACCAATTTCTTGATTTCGAGGCTGGCGCTAGCTACATTCTTGACGACTGCCGAGAAGAAGGTGAGGGATGGCTCGGACCGGTACATCAACTGTTGCGAATTGTGTCAGTCATTGCGATTCATACGGCACTTTCGTCGGGGTCTGTACCGAGATGACCCTCCGCATTCCATCCAGGACCTCCCGCTCATGGCGGCTATCAAGGAGCTTTTTGATATGTGCAGGACTGTATGTCTTTGAAGAATAATCGGTGCTTGAGGTTCGATTGATGGCAGCGGACTGGGCGGCCTCTAGCGTGAGCTCTCGAGCTGTGCGCACAGCAACATTCCACGGTCAGTTCCGACCACATAGAGTAGCTTGCAAATCCAAGCGATCCAACATACCTGTTTCCAGCATCGAGGATATCCTGGAAATTGTTTCCATCTTTCCCTTAGAGCGCCCAGTCCAAGGGCGCTAAATGTAGGAAATAGGTGTGTGGTGGTGGGGAGGTAAGGCGGAGCAGCTCCGCGGAAGTGAAGTGTGGATGATGTCGCAACGCAACTTTGCCCGCCTTTGATCTGCAACGGTCTACACCACACACAGCGATCTTCCAGCATGACTCTCTACCAGCGACAAATTATGGGCTAAAGAAATGGTTAATCCCGATTCAATGAAACTGTAGGAGAAAGAGAAGAAGTTACAGCCAAGACATCGAACGCAATGGTTCCCATGCGAACGATCGCTCACTGCGATCTGCTACCTGATCTTATACAGCAACTTCTTGAAAGCAATTCAGACACACATCTGATTGTCTGTGCGACCAGACCAGAATTTCTGTTACATCTGACGGCGGCGATCCGCTCCCAACGTGCTGATCCAGACACGGCAGCCAGCCATGACCTTCTCACCAAAACCATCGGGCTGCTTGCAAGATCCAGCAAAATCAGGCTGGCATTCTGTCCGACGCTAGAAAGTCTTCGAGCGTATCTCGCAGTTCTGGGCGCTAATAGCAACGAATCTACTGAGGAAATCCGCTCGCGTGACCGGCAGCTCCTTTCTATTCTCGATATGGTAGCTATGCATGTGACAACATCAGAATTCTCGGCGCAAGGGCTCTCGAGAACATTGGCGTCTGCTGTTGAGGCTGCGTACAGTGCGGGTATGGATCTCCGACTCTATGAGTGTACAAATGCACTAGACCCTTCGAGTGCTGTTTGGGGAAGAAAATTATGGGATATGAGTGTCCCGTCACTAAATGGGTCGGTTAGAATGCGAGGGGACGAAAGCACTTGGGGTGGAAGGGGCGTCACTGTGAAAAGAGTCGCTGAACGCTGGTTTGAATTTGACCACAGCCATTAAACTGAGGGATCGGAATATGGTCGATGCTGAAATCAAACATGATATTGTCACATAATAAAACTCCTAATCATGAATCTGTACTGCCCGGGTATCCTATAGCCGACCACTAAACTCCTTTTCGCGCTTGAATAACAGCTGATATATCACAGAGACTTCTCCATCTCTGTCATGTACAGTTTGATGTGTGACTCTAGCTTCAGGTACTGGTCGTGAGCTGATTGGATCTCGCTCTCGATGTTTTCCTTAAGATCGGCCATCTTAATGACAGCATTAGCATTCGCGTGAATTGTAATGAAGCACAAGAACTACATACCTTCTTTTCTGTCTGTTCGATGCGAATACGCCTCCGCTCCATATCACGTTGTTTCTCAGCACGCTCTTCGCGAAGTTCCTTTTGAACACCGCGGAGTTTTTCCATACGTGCCTGCGCAATTTCTGCTTTTTCTTGTGCATTCTTCTGAAGAGCTTCGATTCGCTCAACCCAACGGGCTATCTGACGCTGCAAAAGCTTCTCGGTCTGCTCGACCTCGCGGACGCTGTTTCCCCTGTCCGAAATAGCTTCTGCTGTCCTGGCGGCGCGTGATTCTTCCTCTTCCTCCTTTTGCAACTCAGTCGAGATATCATCGAGTAACTTAACACAGCTTTGCACGTCGTTGGAAACAACGGTGAATGTATCTGAGGAAGTCTGAAGCGCCCGCGCTCGCCTTTCCATCGAATCAATAGAGGCCTTCTCGCGCATCAATTGTTCGGATAATTCCGCCAAAGACGATTGAAGGGTTGCCGGAGACTCAAGAACGTAAGGTCGCAGTTTCTCGGCCTCTTGTCGAGAACGGACCGTTCGTTCTGTTTTCTCTTCCAATTGTTGCTGCCGCCGGGCCCGTTCCGTCTTAACTCGGTCAAGTGTCTCCGCAACTCGTGACTGTTCTCGCCCCAGCTCCAATAGCCGCGCCTTGAGCGCATCATTTCGCGCAACTTTCTCTCTCACGTGCCCTTCATTGGATTGAAGATCTTGCCGCATCTCACTCAAGCGCAGTTCCATTTCCTGGTTTTCGGCAAGGAGCTCGTCGATGCGCGATTTTGTCTTTTCTGTTTTGTTGAAATGTTCGTCGATCACAGGCGTTTGCGATTCTCGGAATCGGACGAAATTAATCAAGTAGGAAAAGATTTTGACAAGTCGTTCATGCGTCGGTTTGGTCAGATCTGTAAAAGTGAAGTCGTTGACACCGCACTAGCCGTCATAAAATGCGTCAGCCTATATATCTTTTGGGGTGTGCTGATCGTAATGAGTACCTCCGCCAATAGCTTTCGAAGCATGATGAAGAAACCCATAAGATTTCGGGTATCATTGGGGACAATGTCAGGATAGTCGCCGCATAGATCTTCTGCGGCTGCGTGCATCGCAGGTTCGACGGTCTCCCGGGTTGTGTTCATGAGTAGCTCTGCAAACCACTCGAAGACCATCTGGATTTGTTGGGGATTCGGTTTGGCCAAGTCGGCCAGGGTGAAGGGGATTCCAATGTCGTTGATACATCCTGCGATCTCTTTATCTGGCTGTTGGGAGTTAGTATAAAATATTATTTCGCAATCAAAAGCAAGCTTACTAGGCGCATGAGAGCATCATTCTCATCCTCCTTCTTGCGACCGCGACCGTGTTGCTGAGTGCCTTGGAATTGCTGGCTGACACGATTATTGTACCCCATCGCGATAGAATTGCGCGACATAGTATCGGAACCTGTCAATCAGGCAAGGGGTTCAGACAAAGAAGTGGGTTAGCAAATGTTGTGATTCGAAGTTGATTGTTTACTTGGAGAACAAGCCCGCACACCGCCCGATCGGGGTTAGCGTTAAGCTGGAGGGGCATGAAACAAACAAGACAAACACAGAATTCATGACTCTTTCTTTCTTTGATTGTTCGACAACTTCTCAACGCCAACACTCAGACAGTATGGCTTCTACGACTTCAAGCTCGGCTGCGACCGATGCTCAGCCCTTCGAGTAAGTGGAGCGCCACCCATCGAAGCTCTCGCGCCTGCTCACCGTTCTCCTAGTATCGTCGCAAGCTACAATGAACTCCTCCGCTCCGATCCCGACCTTACCATGCCTATCGCAGCCATCGAAGCTCTGGTCATGCTTCTCACACAGTCTGGCTCCTCCACAATATCAGAAACCCTGGACCTGCTCGAAAAATCCACCACCCACCTGAAGAAATCCATTCCCAACCCTATCGGTCTCTCCGCCGGAACCGATCTTTTCCAACGATACCTGATTACTACACTACAACGCCCTGGCCTGCTAGGACCCGCGGGTGATTTTAAGTCCATTCGGACCCATCTCTTGACAAACGGCCGATTGTTCATTCGTCGTGCAAAGGAAAGCCGTGACAAGATCGCTACTTTCGGACGTGGCTTCATTCGCGACGGCAGCACAATTCTCACAAATGGTGGCTCTCGAGTTGTCGCGGCACTTCTCCAACAGGCAGCAAATGAAGAAGGTGGACCTTCTGCGGTGCGATTCCGCGTTATCTACGTCCTGTCCTCGACCGCCAAGGACTGCAACCACCCCAATGAAGAGCCAGAAGGTATGGAGACAGTACGAGCTCTGAGAGAAAAGGGTGTTCCGGTTTCGACGATCCCCGAGTCTGCGGTTGCATATTCTCTCGGCAAGGCGGATATGGTTATTGTTGGTGCGGAGGGTGTTGTGGAGAATGGAGGTATTGTGTCTCGCATGGGAACTTACCAAATCGGTCTTCTCGCCAAGGCCATCGGAAAGCCATTCTATGTTGTTGCTGAGAGTCACAAGTTCGTTCGCCTGTACCCTCTTGGTCAATACGATCTGCCGATCAAACAGCGCGTCATCGAGTTCAAGTCCGATGAAGACCTTGCGGAAGAGAGCAAACAGCAGTCTTCACCCGCAGGTACAAATGGAGATCAAATCGAGCTCCCACTCTGTCACTCGGTTGATTTCACTCCGCCTCATCTGATTTCAGCCCTGATCACAGACAGTGGTGTCTTGACTCCTAGTGCCGTCAGTGAAGAGTTGATCAAAATCTGGTTCTGAGGAAATAGACTATTGTTATGCCGGAGCTTGCCCCGGAGACGCTCGATCCTGCTTCGCTAAAAAAAGGAATGATATGATATGACAGAACGACTTGATACACCCGTCTTTCTATACCCGCGCTTCATGCGGACCTACCAGAGCATTCAATGCACTAAAGGGAATATCGCTTCTTAAGTCCATATCCCGTGCAGAGATTTGCTCAATTGTTTCCAATGGTATCAACAGAAGGTGCAAGAACGTGGGCAGATCATACCCATTTTTCTCCCCGTCATTGCCTCGATATGGATTCGAAATGAGTGTTAATGATGCCCCTTTGCCTAACTAAACTTGATAGAAAGCAACTACGAAAAATGTGACGAAAAATGTGAAACTCCCATTCAAGTCAATGACATTTGCAGTTGTAGTCTTCAATCCCATGGTATCAAACGCCATCAATCAAATTTATGCAGCCATAATCATCAATCACATAAAATCCCAAGGTTGATGAGGTGTACCGGACACCTGAAACACCCTTGTCAGCCTCCGTCGGCCTGCTAAGGAGAGATAATCGTAGTGGTGGATCGTGAGTCATGATTGAGCACCGCATGCCCCGAACACCTCCCTGAAGGTGTTCAATCGAGCAAGTGTTTGACCACAGGTCAAAAGTGACAGGTAGCAGCCCTAAAAGCAGCCCTATCACACTCACTCTCAACGGTACCGTACGTCGAAACGCTCAATTTGCAATACACTTCGTCTCAAGAACCGATTTAAGTGTTTGCACAGCGAAGGCATACAGCAGCAAGTAACCGAAAGCCACGAATATCCACAAAGCCGCCATATTTTACACGGCCGGAAAGTCGGTGAGAGTGAAGGTGAAATAGATGGTCAAAGGAACCAGGGTCAGGCAACCAGGTTTGAAAATTAGATAGTAGGCTTCAGACTTGCCTAGGTTGATTTTTGTTTCTGACAATGCTTTGTCTCAGCTGTAGATGAAAGATGATGGATTGCGTCTCTACAAAATGTTGTTGGGATCCCATGTTTTCTAGACCTTTTGATCACAACTAGACCGACATTCTGACCGAGATTTTTAATTTGATATTCCGACTTGTTCCATTCAATACAGGTTCGGGTTTCTTCCGGCCATTCAGAGTCCGCGTGAATGTGGGGTTTGGTGTGTTTTTTTTTCCGGCTTCACTTTGTCTTTGGTGTATAGTGTATTGTCTTGTGTGACACGTTCGAGTCAAAGGTCATTCACGGATACACGTGTGATTTGGCCGGTTCCGCCAATGATGATCTGTGTTTTTGGCTTTCTGTTTGATGTGCGGAGTATATAAAGTTCGATGTATATAAAATGTATTATAGGCTGCGCCTTGATCATATCACGCGGTTTGAATATATATCCTTTAAAACTAGATGCAATCCATGGATGTAATTACATTCTTGAAAGATACCCCGGGCCAAGTCATGATATGCTATAAATTATAATGTATGGCTTTGGTTGAATGCCTTCGTCCAGAAACATATTGACATTTACTTAAGTGCAAATGTGTACTGGTTGTCTACGTACTTATTAGGCCTATGTAGGCCATAGATACCTTCCAAGCCCTGAAGGTTGATGAAAACCAACTCAGCGTTAGAACCGCATGACTATGTCACTTGCCCCAGGGAAAACAAAAGTCTAAGCCGCCTTTATGTGCTGCGCCGTGGGATACCCGGATGCAAATGACAAACCAGAAGAAAAATGGGCTTAGATGTATACGCCAACACCTTGAACCCTGAAAGCCAGAGAAAGCGCAAGCACAACACTAAAAGAAGGTCAACCAACACAAAAGCTCTCTCGTCATGCCCCCAACAACCCCGCTCTCCAGCCGCTACCACAACCCCATCACTTCCATTTCCAAACAAAGCACAAGCAAGCCAACGCAGTCAACAAAATAACTTAACCTGCACCGAAGATCAAGTCCAAGATCAGCCACCCCCGCCCAGCCCAGCGCCACCGCAAAACATGAATACACAAACAACAGCCCAGTCGCAACCCCAAACCCTCAATCCGAAAGACGTCGCCCGCTCCACACCCGAACAGGACATCCACTTCTACGGCTGGTCCATCCGCCGGCTCCTGAGCAGACGCAGAAGTCGCAGATACAGCATTTTGGAGCGAGAGCCGAACCGTCTACGGAAGCGCATGAGTAATTAAGACTGCAGTGCGCTGGCAGTCACCAGCGCGGTCCTAGTAGCGGTCAGGTGAACTGATCCACAATAAATGGTGTCTATTGTTACTTGTTGGGATTTGGTCACATGCAGTATGTGGCGTTTGCTTCTTAGAAATATTATTGTTGCGGGCGTTATGGGTGGGGAGTCTGATGTAGTGATTTTTGTCTCATTTTCCTCAATATGATTCGCGAGTCGGTGCATACTGAACTGGGTTTGTTTGGCGGACTGTGGCATGCTGCGGATTGCTTCTCTTTGAGTTTAGCGCACCAATACGCCGTCAAGTAACCTTCCTTCAATGCCGGGGTCTCACTCCATGCACCCCATTTTGTGACTCTTGGCACCCACATTGCTTCTAAAGCATGAAATCTCGGGATAATTATGATAGAGATCGAGAGCCATGATGACAGCGGTCAGGTGATCTAAACAGGATTATCTGATCTCTAACAAAATGATATCCCATACATAGAAGTGTATAAGCAAGCAACATGAGTTCTATCCCATTTTGCCTAATTCAGGTCATTTAGACCCAATAGAAGGAAAAAAGAGCAGGCGAAAATAAACAAGACAAATGTGATAAACAAGTAGCCAAGCCGTATAACTTCCCCCTATCTCTCTCTCTCTGAATCTCTCCATCTAGGCCACCATCCAGGCCACCATTGAAAGCCATTTCTTTCTTGCGATGCGGGCACCTTGAACGACGACAATACAGCAGCGTCTATAGCATACTCAGATTCTTTGCTTTCACGTTTAGCAGAATAAGTAAATATCATGCCTAGAGAGAATAGGCTCTAGCAATAGACGATTACCAGAGACTCGTTGTGGCTCAATCTTCGAGCCACTGCCAAATGTCTCCCAGATATCGTGTGACCAATTCGTCTTGCATCATACTACCCTGGTCTTTCTTGTTCCCAAGACTACCGGTAAAGTAAAAACATGAGCTATACCGCCATATTACATACTCACTCCACGCAAGCTGATGATCGCATTGTCGTCCAGTTCCGAAGCGACAAGCCAGATCTCTTTGGAGTACCCAAAGCTAGCCGCATTCATGGACATATGTACCCTTGGTAACATACCAGAGTATATACGAGGGGCTCTTTATGTATACATCGCCTTTTGCCGAAGGGACACCGTATGTCAGTATCTTGATGTCTTCTGAGGACTTTGAGCTGCCGTTCCAGAAGAAGATAGTGGCTGCTGTGGACTTCGTAGACTTCGTTACCCAAGGAGCTAGAGCGACCACTACTACATCCGACACTAGTGTATCCAACACTACTATATCTCATCTCACCACTACTCTTACTGGGGTCTGTGATAAGCCCAATAATTTCAATATCCGAAATCCAACCCCTAGAATCAAAATATCTACTTGTATCAAAATACTCCTACCATAGCTACGCGATCTCGTCGCCCTCCCTATCACCCTTACCCTAGGATCTCGCCCCACACAATTATCTTATCGATTCCACAGGCCAGGTTCAAGCCGTACTAGACTGGGATGGTGCTCTATACCTCCCAGTTGGGTCAAATCTTCGGTTCATGACCCTGAATGGCGGGAAAGACACGGATGATCGCCAGTAGTTCGAGGGAGCGATTTACTATCGGGATCTAGCTAGCCTTTCTACTCAAAGATTCGGGGGAATGACGAAAGAGCGAATGTATTTACAGAGGGCGATCGGCATAATGCTGTATGGTGTGGAGCGGCTCCTCATGTTCTAAGACGACCGAGCCGAGCGCTATCTAGTTGGACATCTTCGGGGGTTATTCTTTCATAGACGGGTTCATATTCTTGAATTATCTTAGTGTCTGGACAGGACCTTCATGCATGGGTCTTGGATTATAAATGTTAGGAGACTTGCCGGGCTCCGAGGAAATACGAAAATAATATTGATTGATTGCCCAAGGCCGGTGTAGAATGGTGGTGTTATAGGGCAATGGGCGGTCAAGGGGTCCAAAGTTACGCGTGGAAAGGCTGCCGTTTCTAGCCTCAAAACCCGTCATTTTGGACGTCGGTACCACATAGGTGTTTATATTCTAGTTGTAATTATTTCGGGCGTTTTGGGTGGGGAGTCTGAGGTGGTGGTTTTTGTCTCATTTACCTATATGTGATTCGCGAGTCGGTGCATATTGAACTGGGTTTGTCTGGCGGACCGTGGCATGCTGCGGAGTAGTTGCTTTCGTGGCAAATCGTCAATGGCTTGGAGGCGTCGCCACATCATCCTGGTGGTTTGTCGGGGATGTGATTTGGTGGATGCGGAATAGGAATGTGTTTCATTGCATCAATGCAATTAATTCACAGCTTTGAGATTGTGCTTTCAAAAGGGTATTGGGTATGGGTTCTGCGTATCGGGTACATGGGCATATTGTAGAGATCAATATTGTAGACGAGGTGTCGAATACCGGGAATGGGGTCGGGAATGATCAATCCATCGGTTGAATATGTCAAATGCTTGAAGATAAGCTTATGTTTCTATAAATGTATCCAGACCGGATTATGTGATTGTGGCGGCTGTCTACTCCTTGCAGAATTAGTGACTTGATCCCTGCTAAAACAGATCGGGCTCACTCGAGAATAATGCGCTTGGCCTCTGGATAGAGGGCCATGTTCAGTGAGATAGAATGGTGAATGGGGGTTTGAGTCGGATCAGAAGATGGAACATGACGGAGGTGGCACAATCTGAGACTTAGTGGCGAGGTTACAGATTGCAGAGATTATGCAGATTACGCAGATTACTCCGATTGTTCCTAACGATCAAAACGCGATGGAACAAGGGCGTCGGATCTGAAACAGGGCATAAGCGATTATTGTAGTAGGAGAAGACTAACTATTGTATGGGATCTAGGGCAACGGTTACGGTAAAAGTAAGGGGAGAAAGAACGGATCTAATCTGGTGCGACTTGGATCAAACCAAATAGCGCTGAAACCTTACACAGTTCGTTGATTTTGCAATGTGATAAATATAGCATATAATATACAATAATTAGTAGGGGTTCGGTAGGGATTGTTACTATAGAGGGTCATGATAGGGTCATAGTAGGGGTGTGTGGTAGACGCCCTTGTTCAGGCAATAGATATTGAGGCTAGCAGCATACGTTGTAGTTATAGGAACTCCATATACAATTGCCAAATTGAATTCGCATGCAATATTGTACTGTACAATATTTAAGCGAAAAGAAGAGTTCATCCGAGCAGATTCTTGAAAATCCCCTAAGATCTTCCAGACCAGGACAGTTTAAGACACCCAATGGAATTCGGCGAGTTCCGCCGATCCTTTCCACATTGATATTCCTCAGGCCCTGCAGTGCATGAGCCTCTTCAATAGATTCTACAATTATGTATATCGTCACTTACATAAATCAATATACGAATGATTCCATATGTAAATAACTCCATATGTATACGATAATGTATACAATAGTGGAATTGAGTGCGTAAGATAGACTCCGTTCCCGCGTGTCAACCCAGGGAAAGTCAACCATATTGGGCTCTCGTCTCCACCGGGCGTTTAAACGGTGTTCTTGGCTTTCGCGCACGAGGGTACATGCATTAGGTTGTACAGAGGCCATGTTCATTTCCGAGATACTATTATGTTCTTATTGAACTCAAGTCAATGAGTTATAAGATCTATACGAATATATTGCATTGATGGTAATATTTCAATGCAACCTAAGAAAGGGATTGTGAATATTCCTTCGGTGCGTCATTCTGGGCCCCCCAAGTGGATATCCCCCACAGGTGAAAGTGCCAATTTCCAATAACGACAAGTCTAGACAGCCATTTTCCCCCTGGCGTGTGACAATGTACTCGTGTTAACTAGCGAGATTTATCTTGCATATTTCAGGTACCAGGTACCCGTGCAACTGTACCCCATACTAAGTACATCCTGAGGTGGTTAAATAGTACCATAACAGAATCATACATGAAGTAATAAGAATTTAAAAATAACAGTACCTGAACCAATGAACTGAAATCCGTGGTAATGAAAAGAAAGAGACAGACAAAAATGCCAAGATTTCTTTATTTTTAGGGAAAAACAAAAACAAAAGAAAAAAAAAAAAAACCACTAAAAAATGTCGGGGCCTGGCCTGGGTCGATTGGCTGCAATTGATTAATTCGGTATTTTTCATTATATCTCTCGTTTTTACACTTATTCATTTCTCTTCCCTTTTCATTTTCTTCCCTTTCACACTCTTTGACCTTCTCTTTATGACTCTCTTTCGAGCTTAGGCCCCTCGTTTTTTTAACACTCTCTTGCTCAACCCTTACCCTCCATGAGTCCAGTCAACCCGTCGCGCGACCGCTTCTACATTGAGAACTGATATCCCTGGGGCCGCAACCATGGCGATATGGCCCTTTGGTCGCAAGAGTAAGCGACACACCATCCAAGTCGATGGTGCTGAAGCCGACGATCTTCAGGCGTCGTTCGCTCAGACTGTTGAGCCTACATTGGGCCGCAAACCCTCCAAACGCCAGAACCGCACGTCACGAGGCGATGCAGACAGCCGGCGCAACTCCGCCCTCGTGCCCTCCAATCAACCTATCTCATCCCTAGATCGCCGTGCCTCCATCGCCGATCACCAGAACCCACCGAACTCACAGAATCCCCTCTCGAGAACCGGTTCCCTGCTAAGGCGCAAACCCTCTCAAAATAATGGCCCGAATAAACTTCGTCGCAAGTTGAGCAAGCGGAAAGCGAATGAAATCATGCGCGAGCGTGAGATCCGTATGCTCTCTTCTACTCCCATCGATATCCCCCATCGTCAAAGTGCAGGCACTGGTGATTATGTACTAGAACATCGACGCCGCAAGGCAAACGGTAGACGTGCCGACCGGTACATGTCTGACATCAGCCTCTCCATACGCGACTCCACCGCCTCCTCTACGTCTGACATGTCAGACCCTTACACTTATAAGGTCAACGCTTTCGCTGCCTTGACACCGCGCCCCGTCGTTCGATATGTCGAGGCCCCACGTCTGCAAACCGCCAAAAGCAATAACCCCCCTTCCAGCCGTCAGGACAAGGACAGGCTTCAAAACCTGACTGTGTCTGAAGAGGATCTCTACTACTCGCGGCGACGAGTCAACGAGCTCGCCGATTCGTTGAATGCCGGGGATCTTCGAGAGCTTCTAGATCGAGACCGCCGTCGTCGAGAGAAAAAGCAGATTGACGACCAGGAAAAACTTCGCCGTAAGCTACAGGAAAGGGCCGATGCTCAAAAGGCGCAGGAGGAACAAGCCCGGGCTGCTGCGGAACGCCAGCCAGAGCCTGAACCCGTTCAACCAGAGCCGCCTATCGCCGAACCTGAACCGTCCATCGCTGAAGCACGGGACGTTACCCCTATGGAGCATGACGCTATCATCGAAGTCGACGAACCGACTCCCGTTCCGCATGAGAATGGGTCTTGGTTGCGGGGAGAATCCAAGGGCAGCGACAACGATGGACGTGGCTCACTTGAGAGTTCTCGAGTGATTGGAAACATCGACGATAGTTCTGTTCGTGAGCGGAGGCTGGTCCAGCGCCCTAGCTTCGCTCCATCGCACGATATCACCATGTCCCGAACCACGCTTTCTCCATCCCATTCATCCATCCGACATGGCCTGAACAGCCCGGGCCACTCACAGAACTTCGGAGCAGGCTCCGCATCAGACATCTCCCGAGGCGTCGACTCAGAACGCCGATCATCCGACACCAGCGGTCGTCGAGGAAACACCATCACATCCCTCTTCCGACGTGGCTCCTCTCGCATCAAGCGACGTTACAAGGAGCGCTTCCAAGACCCATCACCCGAAGTCTCTAACACCTCGCATGAATCCTTCTACAAAATCCAAACCCAGTCATCACCTCCTCCCGCCTCGATCATCCCTCCTAGAGTCTTGATGCCCAGCGGGCCTATCCAGCGCTCTCACTCGAAATTCACTGAACACTTCGGCGACGAGCCCCTGTCGCCCTCTGAATCCCGCCTCCAATCACCCGATATCCCAGAAGACATCGCAGAGTCCTCTCTCGAGAAAGAGGAGACATTCCTGCATGAACCAAGTTCCACACCCGGCGTGGACATCAAAAACCCAAACCGAAGCCACCACCGATCCTGGACTTCGGAGCTGATAGATGCAGAAGCCGACAACGTGCCCCTCTCTCGGTCTCTAGCCTCTATTGACTCGGAAGGCTCCTGGATGTCAGGCCAGTTCTTCAAACGCATGTCACAACCCCCCGGCAGCCCCATCCGCTCAAACCTGAGCGCCCTCGGCCGGAACTCCCTAGACGTCCCAGCTGACGCCCTCGAAGACAATGAGGACATGGACGCATACGAACGACCGAGCAGTGTAATCCTCGGCGACCCAGAGCTCGAAGGAGTAGATGAGCCCAAGGCCGCAGAAAAATGGCACCACGAAGTCGGCCGCCGTCCCGTGCTAGTCAACCCAGTCAACCGTCCCAAGTCCACTCAGGGCCTTCTCAGGAACTTTCCCTCTTTGACGCCCATCTCTGCAGAAGAAGATAATGTCGTGGCAGAGGCGCCTTCTGAACTGCAGCGGGTTCCGAGTGCCAAAGCCGAGATCGGGTACGCGGATTAGAACGTGCTCGATGAAATTCTCGCCTCATCTTTCGCAAAAATCCGTCATGATCACAACAACACTCTTTTTATCTCTCTCTTTTGTTGATTTCTTTTGTGTACGATTCTCGTTCAGCATTATCTCCTTTCTTTGTTGATACCCCCTCCTCGCCCCATGTTGCATAAATGTTATTTTCGTGTTGAATATCCCAAGATAAATTGTTGAGCGCTTCTTGCACATAGTTTGGCTAAAGGCCTATCCATGGATCTTTGGTGATATTAATAAGATCTCATTACCTTGTTTTAACCTCCATATATTTTTCGAGTTGGATGTATATGCAACTTTTAACAGCTTTTCAGACTTCGTCTTTATATACCCTTATAGCTTCTGTGATTTAGTATGAGAGCAAAGATCTGACCAATTGATCTACATGCCAGATGATTTGACTAACCACTTGACTATATGTCCCCTCTTGGAATATCCATCGCTAGTGTTAAATATAAAGAAACCTTAGAACCTACCTAAGAGGTGTTCTATGTCAACCATTAAAATTAAGTAATATCAATTTTAAAAACAAAATTAGAACGAGGATATTATCGTATAACGTAGCACCCCAATCAGAAGAATCGCGAAGGCCTAAAATGCGGTACATGCATTGCACTGCTACAGAGGTACTTCGTAGTGAAGAGCTCCAGACTCCTTCGAATTCGTAAGCGAACATCCGAGCACGTCATTTTCCCCCTGTCTTCCGGCCTCACCTTCTCGTTCATTGGACACTCGACACTACGATTTCCCTACCTAGGAACATCCAAAACTGACAAATTCATCATGCAAGCAGTAAGTCCAGCCCTAGGAGATTCTAGATATGTATGAATCATATCTTAGAAACCCCATCTCCAAAGCAGGGAGGCTCTCGAGTCTTCTGAGCATTATTCATCACCTTACATAATCCCGTTTGCGGAACGTCATGGCCCTATAAAAACCCTCGGCGCCCCTCATCGGAGTGCCCCTCCAATATTTCATCCAAAAACTAAAAATCCACAGTTCAAGCCTTCTTTCGTGGCTCTCCGCTCTCCCAAATCCTTCGGCATCAATCGCTTCAGAACATTCTCAACTTCGCCGATTTCCCGCTTCACATCTTCATCTCTCAAAATGGGCGTCACTCAGATCAAAACGTAAGCTTTACTTTACATTTTACTCGGCCACCATATCGCAAAGTAAAACTAACACACCCAGCGCCGAGGAGTACGAGACTCTCGTCAACAAGGCCACCACCCCCGTCGTCGTCGACTTCTTCGCCACCTGGTGCGGTCCCTGCAAGGTCGTTTCCCCCGTCCTCGAAAAGCTTAGCAACGAGCACACCAGCATCAACTTCTACAAGGTCGATGTCGACGAGCTCGCCAATGTCGCTGCCGAAAACGCCATCTCCGCTATGCCCACTTTCCTGTTCTTCAGCGCCGGCGAAACCAAGGAAGGCGAGAAGAAGACTCCCACGCAAGTGGTCAAGGGTGCGAACCCCCCGCCATCCAGGCTGGCATTAAGGCCATCTCGGCTTAAATTTGAGATGGGAGCTTAGATTTGAGATTGGAATTCTTTGCGCTTGATACCGGCGATTGTCAATTGAATCATATACGTTTTTTCTCATATTGGTTCTCATGCGTGGAACGGGTTGTGCTTGTCAGCTTTGAGGTATAGATGTAATTATAGATGTAGTTACCTAGGAGTGGAAACATATCAGAAACGGCTCGGAGTTTAGGACCCGACTTCTTGGGTTTGATGCGCTCTCGGTGCTTCCGGCCTGCATGCACATACATCACCTGCGTCTGTAGTGCAATTCCCCGCAATTGCTGGAATCTTCATTGCCTGGGACCAGCAGTTACCCCAGCACGTACTCCGTAATTGGTTTTTGCTTGCAAGATCGCAGGGCCATCCTAACTCGATTAGACTCATCAGCGCGGTTTCGAAGAGTATACACGACGGCCCTCAAGCTCCAAATTCTTTCTAATCAATCCTATCTTAATTTGTTAGAAAGTCTTGCAATACCTAAAGTATCGGTTTAATGCCATTGATCATATACTTTTTAGCAGTCTTTTTAAACTCCTTTTCCAAGTATTTCTACATACTCGTTATGTTCTCATTCCAGTGTTTCAATTATGCCTCTGTATATAGCACTTCCTGGGTACAATACACTCTAATAACGTTCTAGCAGAACGCCTCTCATATGAGTCGTTTCCCGACTTCCCAGACACCAAGTATGACCTACCCAGCCCCAAGACCAAAAACTGATGCATACAAACTCACGGCTCACTCCCTCGCTCCCGAAAGCCTCGAGCCACAAAAACCTTTGACACCTGTATCACCTACATACTATGTACATGTATCTCACGAACGTCATCGCCACGCGATTGACAGCAGACCAACGACAGCGACCATGTTTGCTCCGCAGCAGACACATCACACCGAGAACTGGTTTGCCTGCTGAACCTGCATACCTATCTACTGCCACACATGCAGCTGGTGCATTCGGCCAAAACCTTGTTGCGCCGCAGGGCGTGACCCCGCCAAGCATTTCCGAAGTGTTGTTCGAGCCGACGCTACGATCTGATTGAGTGGGGCCAGCGGACTGGTCAGAACTGGGATTTGGGGATTTGTTTGTTCTTTGCTCTTTGTTGAGTCTTGTTTGATGCATTATGTGATCTATCCCGGAATTGTGCGAAGTCTTTTTTTAGAATTGAAAATGCGTTGTACGTGCGAGCCCAAACAAGGCCGAGATTAACGAGATTAACGATGCCGTCTCAGTGACTGTAATTATTAATATTAATCTAAGTGTGAGTCTTCCCAGCTGAGATCGGGAATTGAAAGCCCACTCTCTACTTACCGAAATGTGGAACTTAAAGCAATTACTCTGGGATGCACTGTTAGTTCATTAAATTATTTAATTAATTGCTAGCCCTAAGTAGGCACTATCTTGCTTTTTGTTCGGTGTGACTAGATTGTTCCGTGCCATCCATGCTACCCTTGTCCACACCCCCTGTCTATACCCTTGTTCAGGGGAAATTTATATCAATATAGTTCTAAAGCGCCATGAACTCGCTATTGTATTAGGCGTTCGTGTTCGCCATCAAGCCTGGGGGCGCATGTGACTGATCGCCGGACAGCTTCGACATGCATACCCGGATGAACGGTAAACAAGCAAACTTTGAGAGAGGTCTCACGCATTATCTATGGGTCGTTTGATTTTGCAATTGAAATAATATTCGCTTATCGTGGCCCCCAATGCTTTTTGTAGATTTAATCTATACTGCGTAACAATAAAATCAATTAAAGCACGGAGGCACCGAGCCGCACAGCAATGTAACCACAATATGTATAGACCAATCTATCTAGACGCGAACTAAGTTCCGAACAATCTTATTATCGGGGTCTATGTGGCGCAAATCCAAGAACAACACAAATCCAGGCAAGTAACAGCGCAAGAAAAATTCCAAATCCCCATCAACACGGACCCCAGTCACACGGCGACCGCTGATACGCCGAAAAGCAACACCGTGCCCCATAGTTCTTTACCCACCCGATCCGATCTAGATCTCACCAGACGAATCACTGCCCAGGCTGCTGTATGCTCGCTTCAAAATCCCACATGGAAAAGCAAGTGGGGGTCCCGGACTTCAGTTTGCTTCCTATCACGTTGGATCAGATTGATTAATCCGAAACTTTTTTCATCAGCCTCGGTACGGGGACTCTATGGTGCCTTTCTATGGTGCCTTTCTGCAAGATTCTGCGATATGAGCGAATTGCAGTGCTTACTGCCACGCGAGTTACAGGCACATACCGGCTACTCGATGGCTTGCGCTTGGGTGGAGCTAATGTCGTCTAGATCCCTGCTGGAGCTCCATTGTGGCCATACACGTCGATTCATTCGTTCAGGGCTGGCGTCGGAGGATTTTTGCCCTTACAGCACTATGCGAGTTGGAGACTGGACTGTGGGCTTATCTGCACTAAGAATATTACTATGTTATTATAAGATGCTTACCCCGGCTGTGTTGTTTCACAGGGGATTTGGTTTAGATCCTTCTATTCTTCACTTTCATCTCGGACAGTCGTCTCTCCATGGAGTCGCTTCTATAGTGGATTTATCTAGTCTAGTCGTCTTCGACTATCCTGCCGATCCTGTCGATCTCTATCTATACGCTGCACGAACCTGTCAAATGCCCGGATTAGGATAGTCTCATACATCCTTTCTATCTTTCAAGATGTCAACCGCAGATATGCAACATGAGCCGGTGGTTCGCGTAACCTACCTGGCGGGGTATATATTTCTCTCCTATGTTATCAGCGCCATGGGATGTGCGACCACGCTGGAGCTTCTCCATAGGCGGACGTCGAGATCAGGTCTATACAACTGGTAAGCCAGCCCTATTATATCATCCGCAACATAAATTAACCACAGAGAGAAGGTACCTTCTCCTTACATCATCGATCACAATGGGCGGCATTGGAATCTGGTGCATGCATTTCATCGGTAACCGCGCCATTGTTCTCGGCAACGGCGAATCCGACATCCAGATCCTCTACAATGTCGCTTTCACTGGAACATCCTTCGTACTTCCAGTAGCAGTCCTACTTTTCGCCTTCTACGCCGTCGGCGTTGAAGAGAAAGCGGGATACCTGCGCATCCTGATTGGGGGTCTGTTGACCGGTAGCTCGGTCTGCGGCATGCACTATGTTGGCCAGCTTGGAATCTCCAACTACAGGTGCACCTACAACCCCGCTAACGTCGTTGGGTCGGCGATCATTGCTATATTCTCCAGCATCACCGCGCTGGGGGTCTTCTTCCGTTGGAGGGCTTCCTGGACAGATAGCTGGTGGAGACGAATTATCTGTGCTTGTATGCTAGCTGTTGCTGTCACCGGTATGCACTGGACAGCTGCTGTTGGAACTACGTACAGGGATCATGATCGTAATATGGTCAATGGCACTCAATTGTCCAGAAGTCAGGTCGTGATTGTCTGCACTGTGCTGGTATGTTTACCGTTATTGATGGAACCGAAAGCGAAACTAACAACTCTAGGCTTGTGTTGCGTGTTTGATCTTGTCGGCCTGTGCTATAGTCGCTGGTAGCAATCGCAGAAAGTCGACGACTCGTGCTCATCAACTTGTCCTTGCTTGTGCATACTTTGATCCGACTGGACGAGTCATGGTTACTCCCCAGGCTCTTCTCCCAACGCGGAAGATTGTCGATCATTATATTGGAAGGGTATGTCTCTTTGTTGATCCAGCCTTCTCACTCAAATTGACATAAATTAGACATTCCAAGACGATGACCTTACTCGAACACATCCTACCTTCTTGTGGGCGTTTAGAGCAACTCGCAATTGGCCTGTCGTGAGAGACCTCGTTCCATTCATGCGCAACCGTCTTAATTCAGAGGAACAAGCTATCCATAAACACGTCATATCACGAGGAGTGTTCATGGACAAGGAAACAGAGTTACAGACTGACTTCGACACCTTGTTCAAACAGCTCTTTTGTGTCACAGCACAGGAACTTTCAGAGGAGCTTCGGCTGCCTCTTCAGGATTTGGGCACACTTTACGATGATGTTCTTTCAACCGCCATTCCGGTATCTCGACTTTCTCGAGCAATGGGCCGTTCCTCCCTCCGAACTGGCAAGGGTCAGATGATGTTCACTGTCCGCCAACTGAACAAGCAGGAATCAGCACGGCTGTCTTCTCAAGGATTCCGTTTCGCAACTATCGAACATGTCACAGGAACCCTCTCTCGCCGTATCCATGTCCCCGAAGCAGACTTAGCCCACTCCCTCCGTGATATGCGCGACTACGCAAGCACAAACCGCGGCTTCGAGGAAGGCGTGCACCTCATCTCCTTCGTTATGCGCCCAACAATCCACGATCATTTCGAGATCCTCACCACAAAGGGCGTGGGCAACCCCCTCCCCTCCTCAACCCTACCAATGAAGCATCTCCAAGTCCACCATCTCGAGCTCCTCTCCCACATGGAAGGCTGGTCCATGATAACCTGCATAAAATACCTCCAATCAGACGCCGCATCACGCACATTCCCTAACCTCTCCGACTTCCGCTCTAACCTCACGAACTCAATAATCTCCCTCTCCAAATCCCTCCCAGAAGACATGCGCGCCGCAGCCCAGCTCTCCGCCCGTCCCCTCATAGCACCCTGCCGCAGCAAGCCTTCAAATCCAGAACAAGCCCTGCAAACCTGCACACTCCTCACCTTCTGCGTAGTCGGCACGCTCGACACCCAAGTCCCCAACCCAGACTACACATTCACGCCGTTCCGGCTCTTCCGCGTCCAGCAACAAGTCAACGAGGTAATCGCCGATCGCGACGGGTTCGCCCGCGAGCTAGGCCAAGAGCTCTTCTGCACGGACGTCCGCTCCGGCTCAACAGCCAGTGAGAGCGACCTCGCGTCGACGGCAAAACTGGCGATCCTGCGTCTCTGGCCCTCCCACAAGAGATCCCAATCTTCGAAGGGATCGGGTTCCTCGCTTCATTCGCAGGAATCCTTGGTCGAACCTGTTTCTCTGGCTCTGCGTGATATTACCGTTCATAAGGAGGTTCGCGTTGATGTTACTCGTCTTCATGAGACTTCTATGCAGAATGCTCTCAGTACTCATGATACCAGGACTATTGTGGCGGGCGGTAGTGATGCTACTACGCCTGTGACTTACGTTGATGAGTTGTATAGTCTCTGCTATGCACCGGGGATTCGGTTCAGACCTGATTCTTCATTGCAGAATATCTCGCGAACGTCGCATTAATGTTTCTTTGTTATTTTTAAAGTGATGTCTGGCGCTCAGGGTATTGGCGGCATTATTTGGGGGGAATTCTCATGGTGTTTGTTTCTTTTGACTTTGCTGAACATTTGAAAAAGGCGAAAACTTGTATATATAAATGGTTTCGACGAGTGCATAATGACAATAGTGTACATGCATGCATTATTTGTAGTACCTATCACCAGGGCACAATGTAGATGCCAAGTACCTTTATTACAAAAGAGTAGATTTTGATATACAAGAACAAGCTCCAATGAGCCGCAAGATAAAAATTAGATCGTCACACATATCAATACAGCTCCAAAATACAAAACATAGTCGCTAAAGACTTGATGTAAGAGAACACATACTCCTTGCTGCACGCCAAAGGCGCATCGAGCAAATGCAAGCCAAACAATCCAAAACCAGTAGACCGGAACACACGACCCAGGCATTAGGATATGTCCCAGCCGTGCAGACCGTCAAGCAAAACCCAATCACGCATTAGCATTTGGGTCCTCGCGCTCCAAAAACGTAGGATCAACCTCAATGCGACGCTCGAACTTCGCCCACCAATCACGGAAGCTCTTGAGCGGCACAACATCCTGGCCCTTATCCGACTCAGCAAAGCTAGCGAGGAAATTAAATGCGCTCCCAATAATGCGCTGCGCGAGAACCTTCGTCGAGATCTGTCGCTGTCCAACAGCCTGCCGCACCAACGCAGTAGACATCGAGTTCTGGCCCGAAGAGTTCTCCGCCTCGAGTGCGGCAAGCTGAGGCGCGATATTCTGCACTTCCTCGATCGAGATGCCGAGCGTCATTACTGCGGAGCCGGTGCCCTCGTCTAGCATGTCGTCTTCTTCTTCGGCTTCTGAGCGCTGTGGTGCTGCATTGCCTGGGCGCACGGTGAAGATTCCAGAGGGTTTCTCGTTAGCGAGTGCGCCGATGAAGCGGAAGTCCGAGGGCTGGTTGGTTGTTGGGTCCGGGAGCTGGGCGTAGATTGCTGCGCCGGTGTTTGGGGGCAAAATTGTTCCTGGGAGGAAGAAGACAACTATTTCGCTGAGGGAGGAGCTGATGGGGATTGTGAAGGCGAATTTGGTGGCTTGGCCGTTGGGTTGGCTGTCGACTGCGACGATGTCTGTCAGGCACGGGCGGCCGGGGACCACGACGGAGAACATGTTTGGTTAAATTCGGAGCTGGAGGGCAGCTTCTTTATGCGATGTTGTATCTGGTGAGGTTGTGGCAGGTATGAGGGAGGTGTGGGGTATGAAATTACAATTTGAGGCTTGTAAGACTTCTCTTTGTCGATGATGAAAGTGACATAAGAGTCGGAGCTGCCCTTATCAGTACCGATAAGGGTTTCGCCGACAACATCGAGTTCTTACTTTGTTACAGACGAGAGCTTGTATTCATCATGGGCAAGTCAAATCTTGAACTGGTCGTTGAATGCGATAAGTAATGATATTCCACCCGGTTTCTTCTATTCTCGTCTTACACCCCCAGCTTCCCCTACTACGAGGACGATCGCGCCGCTTACACGGAGAATCTCAACAACTACCATGCATTCAAAGTAACTGGATATGATGTAACACTCGGCTACATCCTGAACTCAGTTGTGGAGAAGTTCTCCTGGTCAGAAAGCAGCTGGGCCATCGACTCCGCCGCCCGCACCGTGACACTCGTAACCCCCGCGAACGCCGACCCCGCATTCCGCAGCAAACTCGTCCACGAGACAATCGTCGAAGCAGTAAAACAAGACAAGTTTGAGGTCCTCAAGAAATGGCGAAACGAGAAATACCCCGTCTACGGACCGGGTGGTGAATTCCTCCTGGAAATGGAGCGCTGCGCGTCCCCCCTGTTCGGCATCGTTTCCTACGGCGCTCACATGACCGGCTACGTGCACGACGAATCCGGGTACAAGATCTGGGTTCCTCGCCGCGCAAAGAACAAACAAACATACCCAGGCTTGCTAGATAATACAGTTGCCGGAGGTATGAGTACCGACGAAAACCCATTCGAGTGCATCGTCCGCGAAGCAATGGAAGAAGCGTCACTGCCTGAAGCTGCCGTGCGCGCTGCAATCGTTGCCTGTGGCTGTGTGACGTACTCGCACGTGCGTGATGCGCGTGCTGGAGGTGAAACTGGTCTTATTCAGCCTGAAGTCGAGTATGTCTATGATCTCAAGCTGGACGCGGAGACCATTCCGAAGCCCTGTGATGGGGAAGTCGAGGAATTTATGCTGCTCTCTGTTCCTGAGATCCAGCAGGCGTTGGCGAATGGAGAGTTCAAGCCTAATTGCGCGACTATCATGATTGATTTCTTTATTCGGCATGGTATTCTGACGGCCGAGAATGAGCCGGATTTCTTGCGCATTGTGGCGGGTTTGCATCGTCGATTAGAATACCCACTGCGTTCCATTGTGTGAGGTAGATCCTTTGTTGAGATTCTTGTTTTATATGAACATTGCACATACAATCATACAAGTCAGACTTAGATAAACCATATCCCGCCCGAGGCTATGAGGGACATCCCTGAGCCGATGGTAAGGTTACCACACACTTTTCAATTTATTGAATGGGGCAAGCATTGATACACAACTATTTCTCTATTGCTTCGCCTCCGCCACCAACTCCATCAAAACCCGCATCGCATCCTCTGCCCGCCCCGCCGGAACGTAAATATGATCATGAAAGTATCCACTGACCACATTAGTGCTGATCCCGTCAAGCTTCAGGCGATTGGTGATTGTAGCGATCAAACCGACCGCTTCCAGACTCGAGTGAATCTTAAGAGAAACCTTCTTGCAGGGAAAGACGGATTCTGTAAACCCATGCGACAAGGCTAGGGCCTCGGTTGTGACGATTGTGGTACCCTCGTCTTCTTGGACGGTCAGTTGTGGTCGAAGGGTAGCTAGTGGGAGTGAAGATAGAGGTTCTTTTGTGGTAAGGAAGACGTAGACTGTTGTGTCAAGAACTGGCTGCATTGTCGCCAATAGGATTGAGAGATCTTTTTCGCCGGTTGTAGGTGTCATCTTGAAGTGTAGTTGGTTCTGTCGCGTATTGGTATTGTAGTTTAAGAAAAGTTGAGAGAGTGGGCGATAGAATTGACTGCTTTCAAGCAAATATTTTAGAAAAATCGTCTCTGTTCTCTGTCAGATTCTTCAATTCATCAGACGAATACCTTAAATCGAAGAGTGATGTTAGTAGTGGGGCCGAAGATGTTCCACTTCCAGCCTTATGAGTCGCTGGGTCGGATAACGCTCTCAATCTGGACGCCCGTTTGTGGCAATAAATTATCGACAACTTTCTAAGCTCCAAATTGATGTTCATTAGTCTGTTCAATCTTATTGGCATCTTATCAATTCATCGAAACGCTGTATCTGGATGAAGTTAAGTTGATTAACTTAATAAAGTACTGCGTCTGTCATCGGATTTGAATACCAGGCATCATGGCACGGAAGGCAACCAGAACATCGTCGGCTCCGTTGATAGCCAGGTATTGAGCTTCCAAAATGACCGAGAGTATTTACACGAGAGCTCTCACATTGAAGAGAAACAAGAGAACAACACTGAATCCCAGAACAATTGACCTAGTTCTATATGTCAGTCTCTGTGATCACCTAGCTTGAGGTATCACGCAGAGCCTCAGATATAGCTCGCAAACCACCTTCAAGCTCCGCCACCGTAGGCCATCCATATCCAATCCGGAAAAAGACATCCGGGAGTTCAAACCAGTGGCCGGGTCCAACATAGGTGCCATACTTGTGAAGTAGGCGATGATAAAAGGCAGCTAAGCCACCAGCTGGCTCAAATCCATCTTTGATACGCGGAAAACAGACAATACCCCCTTCTGGGCGGACCCATTCCAGTAGCTCGTCTCTCTCAATCCACGAAGCCACTATCTCGCGGCGATGTTTCATTTCGCGAATGGTGGTTGCAAGAATCTCATGCTTCCGCGACAAAACTTGCTCTGCAATCCACTCGTCGATCACACTACCGCTGATGTTGATTTGTTCTTTCGCAGCTAGGAAAGTCTCTTGCAGAGAAGTGTTCTTGTTGATCAGCCATCCGAGCCGAATACCGGGGATGCCGTAAGACTTGGACAGAGAAGATACGCTGATGACGTGGTTGCCCAGAGAGGCGGCGATTGGTAGCCGTTCACTGTATGAGATGTCGGCGTAGGTCTCATCTACTAGCAGTAGAATACCTCTCTCTTTGGTCAAAGCAACGACATCATTCAAGGTCTCGAGTGACATTCCCGTGCCGGTGGGATTGTGAGGCGTGGTGATGCTGACGAGTTTGGTATTGGGTTTGATAGTATTCTTCAGAGTCTCCAAGTCAAGCTGAAATCCCGACTCAAATGACAGATCAATGAAAGAAATTCCACAGCCGATCGCGCGGGGTGTCTCAAGATTGGTTGCGTAGTTCGGGCGCATCACCACGAGATGGTCATTGATGCTCAATTGAGAGCTGGCGATAATGAACAAAGCTCCTGCTGCACCACATGTGATGAGAACATCTTTATACTTAAGTTCATCGGATCCCTGAACAACGAGCTTGCGCAGAGCAGTGCTTCCTTGGTGCTCATTGTATAGCAACTTCAAATCGGGCACTTGGAGTCCTAAAGATCCGAGGGACTGGTCTGAGATCGAACTTTCGGAAAGATTGTACTTGATTTTATCGTAGCCGTATTCTTCCGGCGATTCAATCTCGATAGGCATTCGTTTGTATTTCATGGTTGCGAAAGTAGCGAGGACAACGGAGTTTTGAATGCAGGAAGGCTGTGGAGCTAGAAGAGAAAAAAGTGAAGATGGCTTCAGTATGTGAAATTATTCCCCTTTTTTTGCTGGGCATTAGATCTCTCTTAAATAATGCATCTCGGAAGTCAAATTCGGGGTATTGTTGTCGTTAAAGTGCTCGCAATACGCAATTTCGAGTTGATCGCCTATAACGTAGGTATCTTCCTGAAGAAATGCTTCGACGAACAAGGACAAATTAGCGATCAGACAAATCAGGGGATCTCTAGTTACTCCACCGTACTATGAATCCCAGGCTTGTCCCTTCTGGTCAGCGTTCGTCTACCCAAGTAGCAAAGGCAGTGATTGTGTTTCACTAGATGATAGACTATAAAAACAGAAATACACATTTCAATGGCGTGCACGCTTGTTTAACTATCTTTACTCTCCTGATTTAATCTCATCAAATAAACGACCACTGGAACCCTCATCTTAGCATTATTGGACGCCAGCAATGTTCATTGCTGGGCCAAAAGGTTGCTACTATGTCGAGACATAACTTTAAACTGAGGATGGAGGATCGTTATCACGGTGTTTAGTAACAGACACAAGAGTTGCAGATCCGCCCTTCGAATGATGACTATTGTGAATCTCTACAATGACACATGTACGGACAAATTATAGCCTCTTTCTGTGTTATCAGTGCTAACATTTCGATAGGATCATCCTCGTGAAGCTGCTCGCAAAGATCAACCCCCCGAGCCATGCGGAAGGCACCCCTGCATTGATCGAGCCATCGTGGTAATTTAGTAGCGACTAATATATCTGTTACTAAAAGATTCGCAAACTTGTCCGCTGGCGGTGTTTACTTGATGCTCCACGTTTCATCTTCCCCAGGTCTTGGCCCGGCTCGACTTTCCCCCCGAGACTACCCATCGCTCCACAATGAGCTCCACAACGCTCATCATCTACATACTATATACTCCAAGCTCGGAATGATATCGGACAATACGGCGAGATGAAAGATAATTCATCTTCAGTTAAGAGAGTCCCATTTGCTTTCACATCTCGATCAGTTGTTTTCGTGAACATCTGTTATCAAAATTTCCGCCCTCCAACATATATATTCCTTGGTTATCTTCGGCTCCTACTATGTCCCTTGGCGCAAATCATGCCAACATGACCGACAAAAAAGACACAGATGACACAATTGACTATGATCAATCCGGCGGCGAAGTTGTCAACAAAAGCGACCGATACCACGACCATGAAAGAGCCATTCAGGGCAACGAACACTTTCATCGCCTTGGCTGGAAGCGTCTTACAATTGTACTCATTGTCCAATCGATCGCATTGGGAAGTCTGAGTCTTCCAGCAGCGTTCGCAACACTAGGCATGGTGGCCGCAGTCATTTTGTGTATTGGGTTAGGACTGATCGCCGTTTATGCAAGTTACATGGTCGGGTTGACAAAGCTCAAATATCCACATGTTGCTCATTATGTTGATTTCGGTCGTCTATTGATGGGTGGCTTTGGCGATAAGCTCTTCAGTGTGGCATTCATTGCGTTAATGACTTTGACAGTTGGGTCGCATTGCCTGACAGGAAAATTAGCCTTTGCCACACTCTCAGACAACACTGTATGCGCCCTCATATTCAGTGTTGTATCCGCAGTCATCCTGTTCGCATTTGCCATACCGCCATCATTTGCAGAACTCTCGATATTGGGATTCATCGACTTTGGATCTATCATTGTGGCAATTGGAATCTGTATAATCGCAACCGGAGTTCAGCAGGGTGACCCACTTGCGCCAGCCTGGTCTGCATGGCCTCAAGATGACTTAAGTCTGAGCAAGGCTTTTGTTGCCATCTCGAATATTGCGTTCGCTTACGCCTTCGCTGCCTCTCAGCCTTCATTTATGGATGAGATGCATACACCAGAAGACTTCACCAAGTCTATATCGACATTGGGCATAGTGCAAGTCACTATCTATACACTTACAGGGGCAATTATCTATGCGTTTGTCGGACAGGACGTCGGTTCTCCCGCACTAGTATCCGCCGGTCCCCTTTACGCTAAGGTTGCGTTTGGTATCGCTCTACCAGTGATTTTTATCTCCGGGTCTATCAACACAACCGTCGCCTGCCGCTACATTCACGGTAGAATTTATCAAGATTCTGTTGTCCGTTATGTGAACACTACGAAAGGATGGGTGACCTGGCTGACCATTGTCGCCGTAATTACTGTCCTGGCATGGATCATCGCAGAGGCTATTCCGTTCTTCTCCGAACTACTCGCTATCTGTGGCTGTCTGCTTGTTTCTGGATTTTCATTCTATGTTCCTCCCATCTTGTGGTATTTTCTTCTGAGGGAGGGAAGCTGGTATGAGAAGCACAATATCCGCCACGCAATCCTGAATCTACTTGTGTTTCTTGTTGGTATCTGCATTCTTGGATGTGGCCTTTACGCAAGTATTACCGGAGTAGTGAGTTACTACCTTTCTGACCAAAGGTTGCGTTGTGTTTATACTGACTTAACAGATGTCTGCATTCAAAACCGGTTCCATAAGTAGACCGTTCTCCTGTAGCGCCGGGTAGTGATGACATTGCCTCTATATGGATGTCAACAATACAGTGCATCACCATGTTTTGGTTAAACTTGCATTGATACATGTATGCGTGACACAACTCGCAAGGTAGAGCTCATCCCAAGAGAATTAGGAATATAGAAAATGTAGTTCTATACGTGTGATTATTGCTGCTATAAGGCCAACAACGAGACCAAACAAGAAACCAGCATAGAATTTGACTAGCCGATAATTAGTCAAGGGGCAACAACTCACTGATGAGAAGCGTCAACCAAATTCCTCGAGAGGACTTTCACAGTGAGCTATTTACATAGTCGTCCAGCTCCACCTCAAGAGGAAATACTCACAGCCGATGCCCGCCATATCTTTTGGCTGTCCATTACCACGAGGGCCAACATTTGAAATACTACACAGCACAGGTGAGGAATACTAAGAGATGGTCATACCTGGCGCTTGTCCACCACAATCACTCCGACTGACTGACTTGAAGCAGCCATTGCCACACCAGCAATGATAGCACAGATAAAAAATAATTCACTTCATTTTTCAATATCTGAGGTTTTTTGAAGGCTGTAGGTTTTGGTGTTGGATCCTTGTGCGCGGTGACTCGGGGCTTCACATCAGAATACCAGGAAAAATAAGCCACTTGAAATCTGTCGACAATCTGCGTCCAAGAGAAAGATTGAAGGTCGCATTACAGCATTGTATAGTGATCTGTGATCATCCCCAAATCGAAGACTTCCATTCCTTTTACAAGGAGAGCATGGATCCACATTCCTGTGCAACATGACAGCCACACCGCTAGAAAGTGGATGATCAGCATTTCTGTGATCGGACTTGAATGGGCGAATAGGCTTTAGAAGTTGAATCTTTTTAGTCAATTTATAGTTTCAATTCATAGTTAGAAAGCAACTAAGACCTTAGTTAACTTTCGTTCGGAATTGTTGTATTGACAAATATAATTACATGTTAGGGCACTCCCATCTGGGTGCCTGTTGATACAATATGGATATGAGTGAGGAAAGCAAGATGTGCCTGACATGCGTGTTATGATATGAAGACTAATCGCTGGGCGTCCTCAGTGGATCCAGCTCCTCCTTTTCAAAGAGATGCCTGTGTATATATGCAAGCTGGTAGCCATGTGATGCATCAGTAGGTTTCGGTGGTGGATAGGAACGTCATATGCACTCCCTATACCTCATTGGTATGCTCATGATGCGGCTGATGATATACGTCCCCACTCGTACATCCCTATCTGGGACGCAGATCTGCTTCATGACTTTGCTGCTTTTTAGATCCCAGACAAGCTGGGGTCAATGTAAATAGGATTTTCGGCGTGGGGCACCAACATGACGTTTGACAGAGGACTGAATTATTCCACCTTTACCCACACACGTTCCGTAGACTGACGCATTGTCTAGCCTGTGGAGGTCTCCAAGTCAATATAACTTTCTTTGGAGACTAGGATTTCTTTCGCCTTATTCACTACTACTCTGGGTCTTCCAACAGCAGTAATAATTGCTGGTATTATACAAACAAGTATTGCGGTATAAATCGGGCCAAGAACAGGTACAGCTTATTCCGGAACAGGATATAACTACCTGCTACAAGATCGACCTAGAGGAACATGGACTGTGGATACTGGGCATGCAGTCAGCTCGAAAGGGAAGGTGAAGAATGTCCGATTACAATACCGATCCCTATGCCTCATTATTATCGTAGGAGGATGACGTACGTATCATGATCAAAAGAAACTCTCCTTATTGTCCAGGTTCGTAGCATAGCGTAGCTCAAGTTACACGAGACTACCCAAAACCTTATATTTGCCTCTCCATGACTACACAACAGTTGTTTCCAAGGATTTTATCTTCACACAGATGATGATCGTAGTTACTGTACCAATGATTCCATCTGTAACTATCTGCCGAAGATGACTGGTGAGAGAAATTTAATGATAAATACTGGGTTAACCCCCAGCAGCCATTTTTGGCAAAAGTTCTCTTTCATGATCATCGAAATATTCCAATTGAAACTATGATTTCTATTGTCCAACATCTTCAGTCAAGGCTTTCCACCTTCCTCTCTTCGACTTATGGAATCCTCTTTTACTCATGGATAACTTTGTCAGATCTCTTTATCAAGCTCACAACTTCCATTTTTGGATTTTTCACTGCCGGTTTTTGCCAACATTCCGACTATATCTCTCTTATTAGATCGTCCCGAGAAGGCCATGAGGTAGTTGAGGCTTTGAAAAATATGATCAACACAGATGGCGCCGGTACTTGGCCACCACAGGCATCTCATCGCGACTCTTGGCCCGCTTCGCTTCAGCCGTATCATGATATCTTCCTTGATCTAGCTCCACTGCTACCCGTTGATCAAATTTGCGTCAATGATGCGATAAATCAAAGCCGTCGGATCGAATACCGCACTCGTCTGCAGAAACTGCTACAAGAACGTGTGGACCTTGCAGCGGTCGAGTCGGATCTAATTATGTCTGAAGATTCCAAGACGTCATCGCTCACGAGTGACGGTTACAACGGATTTTTCGCATGTATCAGCACCTTGCGACATGCCTTCAGGTAAGTAAATCAATAAACTCGTCTGGTATAGATCCTGACTATTCATCGCAGATGGGGCACCGTGCCCATCGTTAAGGTTGCACAACAGGAGAAGGTTATCAACTTTCCATCTGAACTCGACCTCCCGTGGAAATTTCTGCGTTGGAGATACGGAAGTCAATCTCCAGGAGGCAATACCATGTCGAACTTCTATTGTAATTTTGATTCCGATGGAAATCTTGTATACGCAGTCAACAGGAGTATGCCCGAACCGATACCATCAGCAGAGCACAATTTGATTTACTCGTTCACTGAGCCAGAGAGAAAGGTGTGCATCGTTTCCTTTTTTTTAGAGCAATCATTGACATATTTCAAGGCAGTACCAATTTACTACCACATTGTTCAATCTATCCTGTTCTATGAAAATGGTCAAAAACTAAAGTGCAAAGAACACCTGAAGAAAGTTAATCTGCACCTCCGCACAGCGTTACGGATTTACTACGAGAATGTCATTGACTCAAAAATTCCACGCAGTGTCTTTACGGCCTATATTCAAGGCTTCCATGGTTGGGCCGCTGGTGAGAATGTGAATGGAAAGTATATTGAATATGACGGGATTTCTGGCGCTCATCTCGTTTTGTTTAATCTACTCGATCTCTTCCTCGAACTCGCTCCATTCCTCGAGGAGCAAAGTTTCGTGAACTATATTCCTGCCTCGCAAAGGAAATTCATTGCGTCTATCAAAAGTCACGCATTCCGGGGTGAAGCAAAGCGGGCTGGCGATGTGGAGGTGGTGCTGCAATTGGAGGATATGGTGAAGCAGCTTCGGGTGCGTCTCTTTGCAAATATACAAAATTCACACTGACCAGCTTCTTCTAGACTTTCCGATCTGCTCATAGAAAACGCACAAGCCAATATTTGAATGTTCATCGACCCGAACGGGTGGTGATGACAGCCGGTGCTTCGACCTTGGAATCCGGACCGGAGGCAACAGTTCAAGATCTCGTAGACTCTGTGGATTCTGCGTTGAGAGCAAAGTTAACGAATACAAAGTGATTATTCAAGGGTGCCTAGTGAAATCGAACTGGAATCCCGCCCCGCGTTTCCACTCTATGCTGCGCTTGTACAGAGAATGATGAACAGAGGTAGTTAGTTTGAGCAGACACTTGCAAGTGATGGGCTGAAGGAAATTTCGCTAGAGTATTCAGTGTGGTACCGAGACGATTTCTGGCCCTCTTTTTCGTGTTTTCTTTTGTTCCAAGAAATAAGAAACCATACATGATATATAAGAATTATTTTGGTCTACCACCACATGGTCCTCATGTATAAAAATAGCGGCCAATGTTGTAATTTACATAATCACAAGCGGCTCGAATTTCCTATTTAGAACTGCATTATCCCCGAATTTACATATCCCATCCACCTCTCGACTGGTAAATCAATCCCAGTTTTCCTAATTATGCGGTCGGCTGCTGCAGGGTGTTGGACGTGTCGCATTCGCCATCTCAAGTGTGACTTGGAGAAACCCTGCTGTAAAGAATGCACTGAGCGAAATGTTCGCTGTCACGGGTACGGGCCCAAGCCATCATGGATGGACGGCGGATTAGAGGAGCAAAAAGAACGAACACGAATCAAAGCCACAATAAACAAAAATTTTCGATATGTGAAGAAAATGCAGCATCTAAATCGGCGAAGACATAGAGAGGAGTCTCAAACATTGACTGAAATTCAAGGAAATGATGAAGTGATGGCAGATCCAGTGGCAAGTCCGCCTCGATCTTCACATTCGACATCTTTGTCTCCTGGCAATCAAGTTCCCGAAATTATACCCGACTACGAAGACCATGCTCCGACATGTTCCCCCAGCAATGCCATTGAAACTTTCCCTGCGTCAAGCCCTCAGCGTTTCAATGACGGTTATGGGGCAATTGACCACCAAGAGGCTTGTTTGTTAATGCACTATCTTGATCAAGTCTTCCCTTGGCAGTTTCCGTATCATGACTCTCGGTCTCGTCTAGGTAATCGAGGCTGGCTCTTCTTGCTTTTGATCAAGCGTGGACCACTTTATCACGCCGCCTTAAGCCTGTCATCTCTTCACCAGAGCGCTGTGCTTGGCATCGAGGAAGATATTCAGCGGAAGCAAGAGGTATTGGATCATCACTCTACAGCGCTGCGAGAGCTCTGTGATATCATGAGCGAAAAGGGTGATAAGTTACGCGACGACCATGCGCAATTGGCCGAATTTTTAACATGTAGTTTCATGTTGATCAGTTTTGAGGTATGTGATGGAAATATAGATAAACAGCGGCAAAATTCAAATTCTAACACTTTGATGTAGGTGTTCTGTGGTGCAGAACATGATTGGTTTCTACATCTAGATGCTATTGCCTCCGTCATGCGTCAACTATCACCCGAGGATATATTCAATTCACAGACTCAAAATAACACTAATATGAAATGTCAATCTAATGAAGGCCTCGAATTCCTCATGGTCGGCGTCATATGGTACGATCTCTTTGCTTGTATCTCAACCGGCAGTATACCAAGACTCCCTTATCAACGCTGGCTCCAAACACCGGGATTCAATACGGCGGATCTCATGGGCTGTCATAATTGGGTTATGATGGCTATCGGGGATTTGGCACACCTTTCGGCATGGAAAGACCAGCAAGAAAAGGACGGTCTACTGAGCATTCGAGATCTCGCAAGCAAGGGCCAAGAAATAGAAACAAGATTAGAGACAGGCATCGAGAGCCTGGATATGGAGAGAGCTGTAGGGCTTCCATCCTTGACGGTCTTCAAACGAGTAGGCCCCTTACTAACCATTTTGCTATACCCAGGGAGGCACCAATATCGGGCACCTGCCGAACTGGCTTTCTCATATTTTCGCGCTCGCAGCTCTCATTTTACTCCATACCATCATTTCTGGGCCTCTACCCGCGCTACCAGAGATACAGAATGCGGTCGCTCGAAGCGTTCATGCACTTGAGAATAAACCAAAAACCTATTCCCTCACAGGTTCGGTATGGGCATTATGTATAACAGGATGCATGGCACAATCACACCGGCCATTCTTCGAGACTTTAATGACGGACCTGACCGGTGAGTCGGGAAGTTTTGGCAACACCGCAACCGTGCTGAAAATTATGAGAAAGTGTTGGGATATGCAGGAAACTGGCCGTGCGGACTGCCGGGTCACGATGTCTGAAATGGGGGTTCATGCTATCTTGATATAAAGTTTCAATTTTATTTTCCTGCTGCACATCATTCGTCTTTGTTCCTTGTATTTGAAGTGCAAAAGTACTGAGGTCGCAATACTTAGGGCTAAGGGGCAAGATTATGTGAGGGAACTGGGAGGGAAGTTCGAACCGCGACATCCCAAAGTGAAGGTCGAGCCGGGGAGGAAGCCCCGCCAATCAGAATCAACCTTTCATACTTCAGAACTATGAGTATGCTCGGAGTTTGAGATTAGGATTAAATGGCTTCAGATATCAGTAATTGCAGATATCTATGGTGAAGATATAAGGATACAGTGTGTCCCTTGTATCTAGCCCGATAACATTCAATCAAACTTCTTGACTTTCTTATCCCAAAGATTTTCGCAAATAATGCCAAAGTTTGTGTCGCTATAACCGATATATCATTGCAAACACCCGTCCAATAAATCACAGCATTATGCCAGGAATTGACATCTCAAAACAACCAAAGACATTAAATATCGTTGATGCCAATGTCAAAGAGCTTCTTCATGCCCTCGATATTCGCGCCATCACGAGTGTCCAGCTCGTATCCTGCTATTTCAATCGAATTGGATACTATGACTGCCGTGGACCTTCCTTGAACTCAGTCTGTGTCCTCAACCCGCAAGCATTCGACGAGGCGCAACAATCGGATGATTACCGTGCAAGTGGCCGGCCGCCACGGCCCCTGGAAGGAATCCCATTCACAGTCAAAGACAGCTTCATGGTCAAAGATATGACAGTTGCGGCAGGATCGCCTGCTTTCGCCGATCTTTTATCTTCCGAGGATGCGGCTATCGTCGCACTTCTTCGCAAGGCCGGAGCTGTCGTACTTGGCAAGACCAACATGCCAGCAATGGCAGACGGTGGAGCACAGCGTGGACTGTATGGCAGAGCGGAAAGCCCTTACAATCTGCAGTACTCGACTACTGCGTATGCATCCGGCTCTTCGAATGGCTGTGGAACTTCCACTGCAGCGAGCTTTGCGGCATTTGGCTTTGCTGGAGAAACCGTTTCTTCTGGGCGCTCGCCTGCCTCGAATAATGCACTCGTCGGATACTCGCCTTCAAGGGGTGTGATACCGAACAGGGGTCAATGGCCACTTTATCCGACGTGCGATGTTATCGTTCCTCATACGCGAACGATGGAAGACCTGTTCGCTGTGCTCAATGTCATTGTCGCTGATGACGCCGAAGCCGCTAAAGGAATCGACTTCTGGAGAAACCAAGCATTCGTTCCAGTTCCCAGGGCGTCAGACGTCCGTCCAAAAAGCTACCACAATTTGGCGGACCCAAATGCCCTCATGGGAAAGCGCATTGCTGCCCCCAGATGTTTCATCGGCGCTCCGTCCGCAAAACCATTCCATGTCTGTGTTGAACCAGTACAGCAACTCTGGAAGAAGGCGAAAGCTACCCTGGAATCTCTGGGGGCAATGGTCATTGAAACAGACTTCCCGCTACTTGAGAGATATATGAAGCAGGACTTCCCGGGTCAAAGTTGCAATGTACCTGGAATTTCTAATGAGTGGACAAGCATCGAGCGTTGCCAGATGATTGCCACGGCATGGGATGATTTCCTCAAAGCGAACGATGATGCAAACTGTCCGAATCTTCTTTCTTCTAATCCGCACAACATCCACCCTCGAATTGCACCGATGGACGATCCATCAAAACACACCGAAGCTCAGAACCAAGTTCGCTACCCTGAAATGTTCAACTCGGTCAGGGACAGGAAACACACTTTGTACAATCTCCCAGGCGTTGAGAAGGCAGCTAATTCTCTGGAAGATATGCGGAAACAAGAGTTAGAAGACTGGATGGATTCCAATGGATTCGATCTTCTTGCATTTCCCACGAATGGCGACATTGCCTCCGCAGATGCCGATGAAGACCTTGAGTCGATGCTTCACGCTCTCCAAGACGGAATCAAATATGCCAATGGTGGTCGGGTCCTGAAGCATTGCGGTGTTCCTTGCATTACGCTCCCGATGGGCACATTGGAGAGTCAACAAATGCCTGTTGGCTTGACCTTTGCATGCAGAGCTTACGCGGACAATGACATGTTGCGATATGCGTTCGCGTACGAGGCAGCTTCTTGGGCTCGAACCATTCCTGGATTGACACCGCCCATCGAATCGGATCACATATCGTTGGTTCCTTTAGGTACAGGAGGCTCAATTGTCGCCAAGCCTTTGCTTGACATTTCCTCTGCCAAATGGGTCGCGTTGGAGGGTGGTAGGGAGGAAATTCGTCGTCAAATCTCTGTGGAGGGAACGGTACGGTCAAGCGACGCTGATATTGGGACTGATTCTGTTCAGGTCTTCGTTGATGGTAGCAAACTGGCAACGATTCCTGTGAAAGGCGAGCAGTGGAAATGGGAAACTTGTCTTTCTCGACCCAATGTCGTCGAGCGTTTTCCGACAATTGCCAAAGTACCAAAAGATCATCACCTTGTGGTCATCATTGCTTATTTGGCAAATGGAAGAAGTGCAGCATCCATGTTGTTGGTAGACTAGAAACTTTTGAATAGTAAATCCATTCACATTGAGTATGAAGGTACCGCTTCATTTTCCTTGCTGTAACCGAAATGCCTTGAGCTTACGGTGTCCATCAAATTCCAAACCATCCATTGCGGCCAAGCAGCGAAAAGTCAAACCGATTCGCACAAGGCCAAAAAGAAATCGATACTCGCAGATCTGTAGGTGAAGTTCCAAGTAGATCTGTCATACGGCTATCGTCTCGAGCAGTCAAGATTCATATCATCGATTCCATGGCTATCATGTTTTGTTAGATGATAATCTATTGGTATTCCCAAATCAAAATGCAAAAAAACGCCTGCGCTGCACCCCATAAGAACGATATGAACATCGGCCCGGCTTAATACACCGACATTTTCCCCTCCACCCCGATAAAGGTTCAGGGTCTATCCCACCTATACCAAGCTCATCAGCAAATAAGCAAAGTAGATTTCAACTGCGAGCTTATTTCTTCAGAAGCAGGTACACGTAATCGATCCTCATGGGGGCGAGCTTCTTGTAGGGGCCTTCCAGGTTAAGGAGCAGACCACCGAAAGACACAAAGACAGCCCTATATTTGAAAGTCAGTCGCTATCCTTTCGAGGGCAAAATCACACCTTAGTTTCAAAGGCATAGAGAGCAAACTCACATGGTGTCCTTAGTGGTACCCTCCTCAAAACGGTACACCTTTCCGTGGCAAACATAGTCGTAGTCATCAGCAAGGGTCTGATCACCCATGCTGACCTCCCTCCAGCTGGCACGAGTATCCTCCTTGCCGTCGAGCGACAGAGTCGAGGCGAGCGCAAGAGACAGCGACTCGCCCACCGCGCATGGGTACAGCTCAGTGTTCACATCGAGGGTAAAATGGAGGGAAGCATCGTTCGAGCTGCTGCAAGTAAGACGAGAAACGCGATCGTACTTCTGGGCGTTGATCGTGGTGATCGTGAAGGTATCTTCGAAGAGGAGCGGGTCGGACATGTTTGCGAACACTGGACTGTGATTTGAGTATCGGATAGAGCAGGTTGTTTAATATGTTCGCATGCGGGTGATCGCACACAATTGATAGGTTCAAAGAGGCCCAATGGCTGACTCGTGGGTGGGAAGAAGAGTTGGAGTCGGTGGAGAGGCGATCGGAGAACTGAAGCTTTTTTTTTTCTGCCGCTTTTTGGTCCCGCCGATAACGATCTTTGTTGGTTTGACACCAGCTTGTTGCTATACATAATTGTTGTTTGTTTAAAGCCCTCGCTTTTTATTTATCATGTCCTTTCGAAAGCGCAATATCGGTCTATCCCCTGGAGTTGACCGTAATGCTGTTCCCAATGCCGCACAGCCCGCTGCGCCAGAAAGTACGCCGGGCATCCGCCCCTCACCCGACGATGGGCGGCCAACGACCTCGACAGGAACGCGGTCGCTAGATAATCTTCTTGCAGGCCATGCAGGGCTACCGATGGGGAAGCTATTGTTTGTTGAAGAAAATGGAACTACAGATTTTGCGGGCGCATTGCTACGATACTATGCGGCCGAAGGTGTGGTCCAAGACCAGAAGATCCATGTGGTCGGAGTGCCAGAACAGTGGGGTCGAAGTCTACCTGGCCTGATCGGCTCGGCAGAGTCCCTAGATGAGAAGAGATCCGAGAGGCGTAAGGACGACCGCATGAAGATCGCATGGCGATACGAGCGATTGGGCGAATTTGGGGCAGTCGCCGGTTCGCGTGATGGTAAGTTTTGAGAATACAGCTTTGAGCTTCAATGTGCTGACGAATATAGCTCCTACTACTCCAGGAGAGCAAGATCCAGCAGCGAAAGAAGCTCCCGCCTTCTGTCACGCCTTTGACCTCACGAAACGTCTCGCCCACCCCTCTATCACAAACATGTCCTTCATTCCACTCATGCCCTCGAAAGAATCGCCATTCCTTGCTATCCTTAAACGACTCCAGACCGCAATTGCTTCCAGCGCTGTTAACACCATCCACCGCATCGTCATTCCTTCTCTGCTCAACCCCACAATGTACCCGCCCGAAGCCTGTCAACCAGAGAACGTGCTCCAATTCTTCCACGCGCTCAAGGCGTTAATGAGCGCGCACAACAACCGTGTAACCGCAATGATCACTTTTCCCTTGTCTCTATATCCCCGTTCATCGGGGCTGGTTCGTTGGATCGAACTGCTAAGTGACGGTGTCATTGAGCTCTGTCCCTTCCCACATTCTGCGGATGCCACGGCCACCTCGGGGGCAGCGACCTCTCAGGAAGAGCCTCCTCAGGGTATGCTCAAGACGCACCGACTCCCAGTGTTGCACGAGCGTGGTGGCGGAAGTGATCAGAATGTGGGACAGGATTGGGCATTTATTCTCAGCCGTCGGCGATTCGAGATTAAGCCGTTCAGTCTACCACCAGCTGAAGGGGACACAGAAGCGCAGGATGCGTCGGCCCCAGGTGGCATGCCTAAGAAATCAGATCTCGAATTCTGATACGCATTAAGATTGCACCAACTCTAAGACTCAGTCGTCTTCATCGAAGTGTCGGTATGTTCCTGGTTCGGCCAGCATATCGTCCATTTCGATCTGCTCAGACATGGCGGGGCCTGAATTGGCCATGGTCCGGAGGTAGCTCGGTCCGTAGGAGTCCAGTCCCGGTCGCATAGACCGAAGACGATTTCCAAGACAGGATGAAGCTACCAGCCATGCTGTTCGATGTTAGTATCATGATCGCGAGTCTAAGTGTTCGGCTTCTCGATACTGACCAACAAAGAGCAGCAGTGGTGCAAAGAAGACCAGGAACAACAGTAGAAAGAAACCCATAGTCCAAAAACAAATCTAAATAGAGACTGAATGATACTCAACGAATGACAATAACAATGACAATGATTGCAGCGCTGAAGATAAACACTTCCAAGTTGTCACCGGTTCGCTTGCCAAGCCGGGCTATTCCCAAAGTGGACAAGCGTGGTAGCTGAGCTTTTCCTTTTCTTTTTTTCGTTTTTTTCGTTTCGCTTCTTCTCTTCTTCTCTTCTTTCAATATCATATTTGTGGCTTTGCTGGTCAAATCCACGGATAATCTCATTCGACTCTTTTTATTACTTAAATGGTAAGCTTCACTCCATCATCCCCCCTGCACTTCGCATGATTATTTAAATACAAATCTGTCAATCCCCTGAAGCTCTTTGATACGTCACTGAGTGCTGGATGAGAAACGTACTGGAAAATGACTCGAAACTCCAAATTTACTTTGCTACCTGCATATCTGCTTCTTGGACTTGTGCTAACTGTCCATGCTACAGAATCCTTGAAAAGTTTCTCCCCAAATCTCATATCAAAAGAAAGAAATCAAAAATGGACACTCAACCAAACCTTCCCATTCCGATCTCCTATGTATCCGGTAGATACCTCTTGTTCTCTATTGAGGCCGTGACATACCTGCGACGTGAGCATCACATCTGCGGCGTTCTCATGGGGACGCTGCCCCAGATCCCTATGCAGAATATCTTCCTGGGTCTCCCATTGGAGTTGATGCCCGAGGAGGCACGGCTGTTGGTGGATAAGGGTGTAGCTTGCATCGTAGACGAAGCCAAGGCCCACAATGGCATGAACACTCTACTAGAAGAGGATCGCAAACGGTACCTCGCCGAACTCGAAGCCGAAGGCATGCACTACGCGCGTCTCCAGGCCGATCTCAAAGAGTCCAAGCGCGAACAGATCTCGAAGCAAATAGAACAAAAGAAAGCAAAGGCTAAGGCTACGGCCACGGCAGTCCCGGGACCCGCTACCCAGTCGCCATCCCAGAAGGACGCTGCTATCGTGGACTTCTTCGCTGATGACCGCTCAACGACCCCCGCTACAACTTCGTCCGCCACCCTATCCATACCCTCCCAGTCCGCTCTGGCTGTCACACCTGCAACGTCTTACCCGCCACTCCCTACGCCTCCGTCTTCGAGCTACCTTTCAGCACCCGCAGTGCCGCCTTCGTACCCTCTTTTCGCCCATCTACACTCTCGGGGCTACTTCCTCTCCCCGGGTCTTCGCTTCGGATGCCAGTACATGGCCTATCCGGGTGACCCGTTGCGCTTCCACTCGCACTTCCTGGTGGTGTCCTACGACTGGGATCAAAACCTTGATCTGATGGATCTCATTGTCGGCGGCAGATTAGGGACCGGTGTGAAGAAGGGATTCTTGATCGGTGGAGCACAAAAGACAATCGATGAAGTTGATTCGGAGGCTGATCGTGTGGACTCTGTCCGGGCTTTCAGTCTCGAATGGGCGGGAATGTGAGGAGTGGAAGAATTTAGAGGCCTACACGAGCCTTCTTCTATCTATCCCTGTTGGTCCTCGTTGGAGGCTTTGGCATCTCCTTGCGCAATAATGCGCCATGCCTCATGCAGTGCCCATCGAGTCGGTCGCTTCCGCTCTTGACTGAGCAAACTGCACGCCTATTATTCGGATCCAGTGCGAGCTTTTGCGGGGCATTGGCGAAGAGTTCTCATCTCTTGCTTGGGATTAAATCATTCCTCATCCCGAAATATTGAGCATAACGTCTCAGAATTAAGAGATTGGGGGCACTGCACCTCGGTATCGGCACTAGGGGGAAACACGCCTTTCGACAGCTCAGAAAGCCCTGGACGGTCAATTCAAATCCACAACACTTCTGACATGTTGTGGTCCCATAAAAACGGTCTCCAGATATCACGATTTTACTTGGCCCATTTAGCCATCCTACATCGTATCATCATTCAAATGGTCAATTCAATGCCTCCAATTTTCTACAACATTATTCTTTGCAGCTTAAATCCGTAAAGTATGGTGTTTGGAAACTCGGTGGGCAGTGACTCTTCATGTCAACCACTATATGGAACTCAAATGTGGAATACCTTCCACCTTGACTATCCCTGTGAAATGACGTCGTACCTTCCGGTTTGAGGTGGATTGGCTTTATAATAAATAGCCCTGTGGGTTCTTCGGGCTTTTCTTGTCGTTCCAAGTGTGCAGTTGTTCATCCAGTATCGGCATGATTCCTCGTATATTACATCGCCACGAGACTTGACGTAAAACCGAAAACCGGCTTCACAAACAGCGACATACCTCTGAAATACGCTGCAAGGATTTCGCCGATTTGAAGGCACGTAGCTCCCCCGCTTGAACATCAGCAGCACCAGCAGCGAACACGAAGCACCTGGCTGCTGTCTGTGTTGATTGATGAACCAAAGGAAACCAATATCTCAGACATAGTCAATATTCCTCCACTTAAACTTCTTATTAGCCCTGTCCACAGGTCTATTCTCGAACTGGCTTCCATGCAACTCAAAGACCAACGGCCTAAGCTGATCCGCGCCAGATTCGTTCCGCTCCTCCGTGTCCTCAGCTTTCGGCAGAGGAACCGTGAATCGAAAAACAGTGTGTTCCTTCGGAATGCCTGTAAACAGAAAAAGAAATCGAGTCAGCACCATCCCAACACGCCCTCAACACACAAACTCACTCTTCATCTCGTCCCGCTCCGTAACAATCATAAAAGTAAACTTCGTGTCCCGCACCACGATCCCCTTAGTCCCAACCCTCCCCGCACACCGACTCCTCACAACCTCAACCTCAGCACCGTGGTAATCCGCACTGGCAAGCTTGCTGCCGTGCGAAGTCGGCGAAACATGCGCATCGCCACCAGCCTTCAAATCCAGAACCTCCTGCATATACCCAACCCACAGCTCATGCAGGCCGTTAAAAATGGCATATTTGCATTCTTCCTTCGGCAGGTCGTAGAGGCCGGATTTGCGCTTTTCGCGCGCTGATAGCGGCTGCGGCTTTTGGTGGCGGATGAAGTATTCTTTCTTGCGGAGGCGGTGGAGACGGCGGCGTGAGCGGTTGTCGGATGCTGAGGGCGAGGTGGCGCGGAGGAAGAGCGGTTTTTGTTTGATGCGCTCGGTGAATTGTTGCGTTGCGCTGTCCGGGGAGTGCGCACGGGAGAGGAGGGTGTGCGCTATGTGTGTTTTTGGGGCTGGGGATGCCATTTGTGAATACTGTTGCCCTTGGGGGACTTTATGTAGATTTCTGGATGTTGCAGCCTGTTGGTGGGTTTGCAGGCGGGTTATGGAGGTTGAGCTGTTGGAGTCGGCGAAAAATTATTTGATGTCACACGCCGATAAGAGATACGCTTGTATAGAGACAACGCGTTGGCAGAAACATGTTGTATGTGTTGTTCCGGCTTTCATATGCTATGTCAAATATTTTTATTGAGTAATCGAATCCATTTTTCACTGTCAATTTGTCTCGATCACAAAGTTCCAAAGATCCCTCGGCTCTTGATTATTTCCCCGCATGTATTTGGTCGATCTATATATTGGGTCATCTCACTTGCACTACACAGCTTTACATTCACCAAAACCTTCTTGAAGATATATAAACTATTCTAACAACTGTTAATTTTTGGTATAACCTGATATAACCATGAATATCCAAAATCATTTGAAAGATAGCTCGAACAACTTCCTAGGCATTCCACCCTTTCCAGAAGATGTGCCAACAGCACCACTTCTCAGACTATCATCAGCCAAGTTGCTAGCTGGCGATCCCGCGGAATACCAAAGACTATTCCAGGCTTCTCTGGATATTGGTTTCTTCTATCTCGACTTGTCAGACACGAAGCAAGGCTCGTCACTCCTCAGCGACGCAGACAACTTGTTCCAAGTTGGAGAAAGACTATTTGAGTTGACTCTCGAGGAAAAGAGAAAATATGACTTCAGCAAAAAGAACTCTTACTTTGGATACAAAGCACAAGGAGCCGCAGTAGTAGACAAACATGGGAATCTAGACCGGAATGAATTTTATAATGCAGGTTTACACCAGACCCATCCGTTCTCGTACACTAACCTCAGTCGCTACAGGTTTCCAAAGACGACATCCTGGGCGTCAGTGATCCATTACCAGCACCACAGATCCTGCACTATAGTCGAGACCAACTAGGATCATTTATCCGAGGATCGCATACAATCGTAACCCTAATCCTGGGTATCCTGAATGACCAACTCGACCTACCAAAAGACACCCTGACCAATCTCCATCGCCGAGAAGCCGCAAGCGGTGACCAGGTTCGATTTGTGAAAGCACCGCCACAGCCGGTCGACGACCGACGCACCGCGCTGGGCCAACACACCGATTTTGGCAGCGTCACGGTGCTCTTCAACCGACTTGGAGGGCTGCAAGTGCTACCGCCCGGCGCAGATGCAGAATGGGTTTACGTACGGCCGCTGCCGGGACATGCAATTGTCAATCTTGGAGACGCGATGGTGAAGTTCACGAATGGGTTGTTTCGCTCGAATATCCATCGGGTTGTGGCACCGCCGGGTCTTCAGGCCGAGTCGACACGGTACAGTTTGGTGTACTTTGCCCGACCTGAGGATAGTGTGATATTAAGCCGATTGGATGGGTCTAGCAAGATCCCTGTTATGGATGATGGTGAAATGGAAGAAGAGATAAGTAGCAAGGACTGGATCATTCGTCGGGCTTTGGGTCGACGGGTGGATCTTGTTGATGATATTGATTTTGAGAAGTCTGCGGGAACGGAGCAAATTAGTCGAAGGATTAAGGCCTAGTCTATACGATATTGCAATCGCGAGACCAACAGATGTCTGGGGCCGACCAAAGCAGAATTTCCAGAAATGGGGCAGCCTGTCTTCTTGATCATGTACGAGATTTTAACAAATTGTGCCGCAGTTTTTCAAGGCAAGGAGACCAGTGTAAGATAGCCCCAATAAGTCCTGGCCGAAAAGATCTAAAGCACCCAAAATTCCAAATATAAGTCTTACAAGTGCAAGACAGTATATTGGACTATACTCCTCTCGGCAAGAGAGCTAAATGTATACCAGTCCCATCTAACTAAAACAAACTTTAATGATAAGAAGGAAATTATATCCTGCGAACCGACAGTTCAAGCTCCACATGAAGAATTGACTGCCTCAATTTACAATCCCGGCACTCTGGTAGAGACACGCTGTGCTTAAGTGGAGAGACTAGACTCTTTCCAATCTTGGACAAGGCCCCCCCCTACTTCTCAACCAGCTATGGAATGTCAATCCGGAAGAAAGGATGGGCTTTGTAAATTTGATACCGCTCGGCTCCGTATAAAAAAAAGGGAATAGTGAATCCTGACATCGTGGTACTGACGTACCAGGATTCAGATCTGGTAAGGGCTGTAACCACATTCAAACCTTAGAATGCCTACATAAAAGCTGCATGCATACATACATATATATGTATGTACTTACAAGGTAGGCAAAGCTGGGGCCAGGCAAACTTGCTTCCAAGGTTGTGGTGTCCCTTAGATATGACAGCGTGACGTTAGATTCCGATATGTCGATCGCCTGCATGATCTACGTGTTTGCGAGACGGAAATTGAACCCGCCTCTGATCATAATAGTAAATTTACCGTTTCGTTTCATCGTAAAATGTTGTAACGGCTCTAAATCATGAGTTTCTCAAGGCCAGCTTGCACATTCTCATGGCCGAAGATCAATGGAGAACAATAAGTGAAACATCCTCGATCGAGTTAGTTGACCGTTAAGACCCATTTAAGATGGATTCTAGCCGCGACTTCCACCCCTATCTCGGGCCACTATTAGAAAAACAAAAAGGAAAGGAATAACACCATATTTCACCCGGGGAGCCTTTCATTAAACATCCTACTGGACTGGATGCATGCTTTGAGACCCAGCATCTTAGAATCGGGTTCGACACCCTTACTCGCGGAGCCCCTGACTCGGTGGCATCAACCTCGGCAGGTGAAAATTCTGACAAAGCACGTCCCAACGGACTTTTGACACGTTCGACTCGCAAGTAATGTCCCTGCGCAATGACGGTTGTAGCCGCCGACAGGATCAAATCGGTTGGCTTATCCCTGTGACCCGGCAGACTGGTTATGTATTTGGTATGACGATGCACGGTGACAGCGGGTAACCCTTGCATGGGATTCGATTTGGGATATCAAGATGTCATCGATTGTGCAATAATATATAATTAATACATAGATATTCCAAGGTTGTTGGTACAGTAATTAGCACTTCCATCGGAAAATCTAGGTAGTCTAAATCGGTCGAGATCTGCGCGCCTGAAGGAATGACAGGGGTTCAGTCCGCCAGCGGTACTTTTTAAGCCAAAAAGGTAATCTGCAGTATTTAGTCGGATCCGACGAATTTCATTTCCAACCGGGCCACTTAAAGCAGACTAGTCGGATCGAATGGGTGCGCTAGGTCCTGATTGCCAAATAAGCCCCGAACACCTAGAATACGAGAAATTCTACGAAGAACTTCTCAGCTAGGTACTAGTGCGCGGATTAACCCCGTCACTGAGCCCATGAACTCACACCCAGCCTTGGGCGATCCATACTGTAATAGGAAACAGTCTACTGAAGCTAAAGGCACGGAGAATCGAGATCTAAGCGACTCTGGCTGGTTCTCCGGGACCAATCAGCGTTATTGTAATGTCTGTTCTTTTTCGGCCCCGCTATGCCTCTGACTGGCGCTGTACTGTACATACCTTGTCTTCTGAGTAGAAAGTACGACCAGGCAAATCCTTGCAATGGCATCATATGTATCGACATGCACATGCAATCCTTTCTTAGTCGTGATTGATAAATCATCTATCTCTCTGGGTCTTATCCACTCCAACGGCTCGGTCCGTTTGGACGGAAGCGCACGGCTTATCTCGCCCACATTGCAATACGTCCATCGCAAGTCCTTCTCCTTCTAGAACTACTTTCTTTCAGACTTTGCTCCGGCCGAAACCATCGTCCACAGTTGGGTCGCCCCGGAAGTCTTCCGAATTGTGTCCGGTTTCGTGGCGCTGTGCCACCCAGTCATGGAATTGGTGCATCTGGGACAGATCGCGAGTCTACTTGGACTTATTCCTTCGTGTAGTAGCCGGAAGTGTAAACATAGCTCCATGTGAAGGAGACATGCGGCCGGGAGTATGACGTAGCAATTTAATGAATACGAACTGGGTTAGTCTGAATAATTTGGAACCGTCAGCAATGTGGAGGTCGGGTTTAGTGTCCTCTCCCCGTCTTTTGTCTTTTGACAGGAGATCCATTTCCAAAGATACGTTTCTGGGCAATGGACTAGGGGCGATCCACCCGGGTTAAAAAGTTGTACACGTATCATACGTGATCTTCTAGCTAGAACTAAGTCTCGAACATGTGCTCAATCCCAGGAAATCGGGCGCGATCGGGTCTATTATGATTTGGCTTTGGATCGAGAGTCTCTTGCCTTGTTTGTAGTTGCCGTAGTGTTGCACATCCGCATTACTAGCGGATTGTCATAGCAAATGCGTGATGGAAAGTTGTTATTCCGAGGGGTAATTCCTGCGCGATAGATGTTACAAGGATGTCCACCGTCGGGTCGCATGCCGCTATCGCAGGTATGCGTAGACGAGATGCTGGTAAAAAGCGCAAGTGGTTCGGGTGAACATTATCGGGCTAAGCCCGGGCGAGGAAGTTTGGTTTCAACTTTGCGGTAGTCAATGCATATTTGGTATGATTGTGACAAAAACAGATAGATAAAACATGCATGGCTCAAAGATCGAGTTCTTATTATTTGTGTGTAGACATTAAGTTGATAATTGGGTTGAACAGGGGATATCAAGAATTGCATTGGTGGATTGCGTAGATAAATCAAATCACATAGATAATGCTGTATGTTCAACTCAATCTCCACCATCTGTTATTGCTGATTTTACTGTGATCGCCGTAGTTGCTAGCCTCTCTTCAACAATGCGAAGAATTTCAGGGTCTGGTTCTCGCGTTATCTTCTGGGGTCTATCAAAAGATGAACGTCAGCAAAATAATCCCCATAATGCAGCACAAATACATACGGAATTCTTATAGTTTCAGCACATTTACTTTGGCCACACTGCAAGCAAGTATCCGCATGTGGAAGAAATGCAGTTTCGCAGACATGGCACAAGTAGCGAACTCTCCGACGAGGTTTTCTGAACGTCCGATCGGGCACAGCCCTAGGAGGCTCAGCATCACCCGGATAGTCATCTGGGTCTTTTTCAAGATGAGCAGGGTCCCTGGGAAACTTCTTGCGTTGAACATGGCTGGATTCGCGCTCCTTTGACTCAACACACATGGTCGTGGACAAGGGGAAAGTGCGTCGAATACGCTGACGGGCCGTGTTGCGAACGTAGTCTTGGCCTCCCGTGCGCGAGCGTAACGTCCGAAAATGGGCTGGGTTGCTGGTATAATCTAGATCGGTCGTCATGGGCAGTGTTGGGGGTTGAATGGCGCTTGTTTCTGGAACCTTGGGCTTGCGAACCTGCGGTTCGTCGGGTTGACGGGCAGGTGGGAAACGAGGACATTTTGTGCATCGGGTGTGCGAGCAATTGATACAGACTTTTTCTGCGCCGAAGGTTGTTTCGCAGCGGTGGCAGGTGCGACGGACTCGTATGCGGATTTGCTTTGCTACTCGGGTGAGTTGGAGGTCGGTCGGGGGATCCAATTCGCTTGGCTCGAAGGTTAGGCCGTATTTGGCGAAGAGGGCGCGGGTCTTGGCATGTTGCGTGATGGTGTAGTCGGTCATTACGACTGGTTCTGGTGCAATGGGTTCCTCGGCTGGTGTAGATTGCACTGGAACGGGGACTTGCGCTAGTGTGGGTGCGGGAGCTGGTGTTGGTGGGCTGTGAGTTTGGTTAGTATACTTGAATGTTGAAGTATAAAATGGTATTTATCATACGTTGCTTCAGCTGGGCCTGCAACCTCGGGAGCGACGACGAGAGATTGACGCTTCGATGTTGAGCGGGGACGGAGAACAGTCTTCACGCGCTGCAGATATTTGGAGAGGCCCTCCTGCTTCTCTTGACGATCCTGGGGAGACATGATAGAATGATAGAATGAGAGACGATTGATGCGCTGGAATGTGATGTCAAATGCTTTGCTGATCGATTTCCACAGTGTCGGAATCGTTACTTCATTCCATATAGATGCCACAATATTCCATAAAGTGAACAAGTATAACAAGTATAACTGCCGGAAGTTATTTCCTTGCAGAAGTTGACAGGAAGTGACAGGAAATGATAGGAGCACTATACCTAGTTATAGATTAGGGAAGGCAGAGTTTAAAATATAATCTAGAAGAATAAAAGGGTAAAATTAATATTAAATTATTACAACATTGAAACATTATACAAAAAGAGTAAACGAGTCAACGAATAAAAGAATGCAAGAAATACAAAATACAAAATACAAAATACAAATATCAAAATATAAAAATACAAAAACTTAAACAAAAGTCCAAGCTCAGACGTACCGACACAGTGGTTCTGTGGAGTCGGATTGTTATGATCCATGGATATTATGTCGTATGAGTACTCCGTACTCCGTAAATCCTCGTCATATTGGGTACATGTATGATAGAATAATTGGGGATGGAGTATATCTCCGGGATGTTCTCCTGATGCTACGTTGGTGGAAAGTACCACTGTGCACAGGGAGCTGCAGGGAGCTACCGACCACCAGGTACATAGGTGTCTAGAATAAATGATAAGTGGCGGGATATGATGTTTTGTAGAACATTTGTACAATACTGCATGCATTACGGTGTAAGACGACTTAATACCTATGTGGGTAACCTTGATTTTCTCCCCAATCTTAGTTTTGGCGCAAACTCTCATTATTATAGAACAGCGGGACGTTTGTCTGGCAATGGCCTAGATTATTAGGGTATCATTGGCTATTTTCTCCTACCCATCATACATTTTTTCATTCGACATTGCATAACGTCTGGATGATATGGCAGCACCGAATACAGTGTAATACGGCTATACGCTGTGCATCGTACGCCGGGTTTCTCAACGTGGTGGGCCGAGGAAGTGACATTTGGCTCCAATTTGCCTGGCTCCCTGCGGACTCCACGGAAGCAGCCGCTATTCCGACTGTCTTTCCATAAACAGCTAATTAGTGATTATCAGTGGGAGCGCCCACCCCCGTGGATCGGGGTTTGATGAACGGGGGCGCGAGATAGCCGGTTTCCTTCGAGGGTTATTTATCTAGCGTGCATTATTAATCTCCTGCTATGCTGTATGGACCTTTGTGGTCGATCAGGAGGTTTGGGTAATTTTGGTGAGACCGGGATTTGAATTGCCGTGAAGATCGCTAGTTCACTTGTTCATAGTTAGTGCCTAGAGCACAAAAAAAAAAAAAAACTCAATGGGGGCTACCGGTAGTAAGATGGGGTCAGTGTACGTGATCTTGTTCAGGTCTGCAGATAGTTCTATTTTCTCTACAATCTGGTTATTGAAAAGCTCGATGCGATAGCCCTGAATTTGTGAAGAATAAGTAGAATTCAGCCACCAAATTGGGAAAATCGAAAGCTATTCAATATTCTAAGCCCGAAGGATTTATATTAAGTATGGTAGGGCGGGCATCTCTCCGTAGAACACTCATGCACCATGCAGAGCTTTGGCCGAAGTTGTACCACACACTACTGCAGCCTAAATAAGTAAATTGTTGATCATCCCATGTTGAATTTCCTCCCTCGTTGCCCAACGGTAAGCTAGGTAGTTGAATCGTGCATGTTTAGCACAACTGTCACTTTGAATCCCTGCAAATGGGAACGTGTCAAAAAAGGCAATAAAAGAAAAAAAAGAGCCAAGAGAAAAGCCATAAAGAACTTGGTCATAGAACATATATATGTATATATTGTATACATAGAGTTACAATACACACATTGTACTCATTTATCAACATTGACCCCAACTGCAGAGCTGACCCAGTCCTCTGGTAAATGAAAAACAACATGGAGAACTGGTTCGCACCAGAAACGAGGTCAATGCTTCTTGGAAATATTTTCCTGCACCGCTGCGTTGGGCTGGTTTTTGTGGATTTCTAAGCTCGGTGTCTTCCCCCTTCCCATCTCGGGGTTTTTGGGTCTTGACGCCCGATCGCTGGGTCAAGTGGGCCATGAGTGAGTACTCATGGCACTTGTCGCCGACGTTCATTGCCTGGAACGGGTGAGAGTGGAGTGCTGGTCTGACCGCCGGGTTTAGGTCTTGGAAGCGTGCAAGGATCTCGTATAACATACATACAGTATGGTAATACAATACTGGACTGGCGATACCTAGGTGCTAACTATATTGACATTAGACTATCGTCTTGGGATGACTTTGCTTTTTCGTATCTACGTTGTACATACGTCTACTGGATCCGATCGCCCGATCTACCAGACAGGGGGGCGGACGATAGTGTACAATGTACTTTGTTTTTCCGAATGTTGTCTGCATGCACGGTGCATGAATGGCTCATCCCATGTGGGAGTATATAGTATACAATATGATACTTGTCAATTCAAGAGCAAGGTAGAGAATAATGCATAATTCATCATATTCCCCTCACTATGTAGGTTGTGTGTCCACACGGCCATAGATGCATCTTTAGTACAGTAGACATTGTATAAATATACGACTTCTGCAACATTCCATATACGATCATGCATTCTTTCCTTGTCCCACGCTTCATCTCCATTTGCGTACGCCCATCTTTCTCCATCAGCCAAAGATGATCATGATCGACCCGGGGCAGTGGTAAAGCAACACACAGCGGCAGCCGTCTTCGCCGCCTGAGAACACCATTCCAGCCCCTTGGTACCATCCTGCTGGTACTGGAATTGATTTTGCAGAAGCGAGAGCGAGATGCGGATTTTCATCTTCTACTTGTCCATCACCAAAATTGTATTTCATGTGCAATGACCGTGCCTCACATTTTTAATGAAGAATTACAGTCCCTCCAAAGGAGGGTGCGTCAACCAAAATAATATTTCACTAATTTTAACCTACTATCGTTGACTATTAATATCTCCATCACTATGCCTAAAGATGACGCTGAAATTAAGATTCAAATTACTAAGGTAATAGATAGCTAGACTATCATAGTAATTTAAGCCTAATAGCCAGCTTCGAGATCCTTTAGAAGGTATGAGATCCACCAATTTAACGCGAGCTAAATGGCTCTCGGGAGTCTGCTGCAGGGCGCCTTTCGCCGTGTCCCAGAGCCACACGGTCTTGCTATAAGAGCTAAGCACTAGGTCCCAACTCCTTCGTGGTCTCGACTGCACCCCGGGCCGCGTACGCGCAACCAAGTTGACTAGACAGACCAGGGGATTGAGACATAGTATCTGGTCTTTGTGAAAAATGCCTACCCGACCCTATAGAATAACACTGCTGGTCCCCGAGGTCCCCGAAACGTCCCGTGATATCTGTACCAGTCAAATATTGAATTACTGCCGCTTCACTCTCCTGCCATCCTACATTCATTTCACTAAGAAACAAACCCAGAAGCTGACTTCCTCCTACGTTATGTTCACATATCGTTTGTGACAACCCATATTGTATGGGAAAACATTCTTCTTCCAATCCAAACCATCAGTCAATGATTCATCGTCAAATTGGAAAATTTCGGCCTAAGCAAGTCTCGTCCCTCTATCCCGTACCTCTTTGAGGTCTCAGGAGAAGAGCGCATCAAACAACTTGAGGCACATCTTAAGAACGAGATACTCCGGTTGCAACGACCTAATATTGAACATGTTATCGATATGTATAAAACTGGGCAGCTAAAGATCTCTTTGGACGACCTAATGGGAAAAAATTTACATGTGTGCGGTGGTCAGGTCTTTGAGGATTGCCCAATAGCAAGGAACGTAAGAATCGCCCAGTGTGGTTTGAGACAAGGTCTTCTATTAGAGTAATTGAATTTATGCCTGACTCCTGAGCTCTTTAGGGTGAGCCAGCAGATGGTACAACAAAACCTCGAGGGTAACAGGGTATACTCCCTTCTCCCCGAAAAAGACTTTCGATAATTATTTAACAAACAATTTCGTTCCAGAAAAGACAATAACAGATGAAACTCTGGAGTTCTTACGAAGAAACAACACCTAGCATGATGCATAAAGTATGTTTCCTCTCGGGCCAATCTTTCCTAAACTGACACGTTTCGGATAGTTCGACAAGCTGGAATGCAATATGCAGTAATTCCTATGACCTATGGTGGACTCTTACAGGCTCGATTGGTTATATATTTGGAATATACTTCTAATACGGGTCATGGGTGAGTGAATTACAGTGATCATGGCGTTTTTGGCATGAAAAGCTCATTGAGAATTGGAGCTAACACAAATCCCAAGGTGGAAACCAAATGCAAGCTCTGATGTGCTCTTTGAAATTTGGCCTTGAGAGCTTAGAGGAAAAGAACCCACTTTGCCCTATATACATGCCTGATGTTAAGCTCAAAATCAGAAATGGTGAATTCTTTATGGTATGGGTAACATGATGGTTTGGTTGTCGGACCCTCCTTCGGAGGGTCTGTGATTTTTTATTCGGCTATAAGGATGTTTATCTCTAATGTTGATATTATTGGTTTTTGGCCAATGGGAAATATCATGGATGTATTCTCCGCTTTTGTTCGACAGGGAAGTGATCTATAAAATAAGCAGAAGTGAGAAGGGCGAAGCATCACAATGGGCTTATTGGATATTCACAATGCAGTTGCACATGGAGATTTTTAGACACAGTAGAGAGATTCACCAAGTATAGGGATACATTTCAAGGACAAGCTGGCGAGAGCACCTCACTCTGTCTGATATGCCATTTTGACCGACTGGTTGGAAACAACTGACTGGCATCGAGCTCGCTATGACTTGGCTACTAGGTGACATTGATATATGCAAAATAGCGTGACGGGTAGTTAATTGGCTAGGGTTGAGTTCTCAGACGTACCCGACTTTAATTACACCTCCATTGTGGCATACACAGATTTATCCCAAGTAAGCGCTAAGGGACTTCCAGCAAATGTCAGAGGAGGCCAAGTTTCATAGTGGATGATCATACTGCATCAAAAGCCAATCAGAAATCCCACTCTGTGTCAACTTCCAACACCAGAAACAGGTGTCCAGTGACGAATCAATACAGCCCGGAATTCAGTTCAGCGACTAGACAGCGCGAACGGCAGAGACAATCAAACCCGGGGATGATCCATTAGCTTGAAAACTTGTGCGAGCGAAAACAAAATGCGCTGGACAGTCTGGGCTGGCCATCTAGTGAAGATTGGGACTAGCTGCGCAGATCAGTGGCTAATTATCGTTGGCAGACGACGATCGATGGCTTAGCTGGAGTGCCGGCACTGAGCGGGGGAAGGGAAAGGAAACAGAGTTGGGCGATGCAAATTGTCAAAAGCAAATATAGCTTTCCAAATACCGGGAGTAATACAATGCCAGCTGGCCAAGGCAGCTGAGCTGAACGCAACGCCGGCGTCCCCGAGACTACGACCCTGGCCACTCGCTGTCTAGGAATACTATCTGAGGGACATGACTCATGAGATCTACCGCTAGTTGGGAAGGGCTCATGCACCGTTGCAAATCATGTAGTTGATAGATCACAAACTTTCGTCTGAGATACCGGCTTTGTGCGATCGATAGCCCAGGATTTCAGGATTTCAGAAGGGAGAATGCAGGAACCTGCTTGGTTCTATCCAGTCCGGGAAAGGCTTTGAAGGTAAGAGTCTCATTCGACACCATATGATGCGTCTGTGTGCATGGACGGCATCCATAGGCCAATAACATCCAGTCAATCCGCAAGAACGCCATCTATACAAATCCCATGCCTTAGATATATGCCCAATCCATTGACAGCGACCTAGTTAAACTTCTTAAGTAATGTATTGTATCGTCTTGCCCGGCTTAGCCCGATCCAGTCAGCTTGTCCTTAATGTCGATGATATCGTCGTCCGTCTCCACCTCGATCACTCTGTTGACTTGCGCGCTTGTGCGCATTAGTTCCACTGCGTTGGCGTATGACATGCGCTGCATCGGGTTGCAATTTTCTGGGAGCCAGTAGAGGAGAACGTAAGGGACTGAGGGGCGCCCGTCCTTCTGTGAGGGGATATCGAAATTAGTATGCATGGTCAAGAGAGTCCAGATTATGATCACCAACGTACCGTGATCAATGGGTAGCTGAGTAGAATGAATCGTGGTGAGGACTCGGGGAGTTCATCTGCTAGATCCTCCAGCTTGGAATAGATTTCATCGTCTTCCGGCCGAATCTCCTGGGTCTTTGCATCAATGATATCTACCATACACTCGTGTCAGTTTCAAAATTGGAGAGCTGGTTGGTCTGCCAAGCAGAACTAGCCTGTATAGCTGCAGAGCTTGGCTATTTGGTACAAGGCTTGCTTTGATTTGCTATCTAGGGGTCCGTACAGATGATGGCTTGCGCATCCTTGGCTCTGGATGTGCCCAGGCGGAACTTTCGCAGCTTCTCCTTTGTCTCCGGAGAGAAAGAATATAGTCGTGAGTCAGACTACCAGCGGTCAGCACCTGTTGAGGAATAGTTGCGAGTATGCGTGGCCTAAGTGAACCAGATGCGAGCAGATGTCTCACCATTTTGGACGTTAAATGAAGGCGTAAAAAAGCACACAAAGAACAGCTATCTGGAATCAGCGAGATATGCACTGAATTAAATAGACACTGGCAAGTTGTCTTCACTCGTTGCAGAAATGGAAGAACACAGCAGGACTGTGACGCGGGATTGCGATGGAAATGCGGGCGGAGTTCCCCCCCACTTCCTCCACGTCGTGAGCATCGTCAATAACTCCTCCTCCCATATGACCCATATCTCTTTCCCTTCATGCTCAGCCGACTTAATCTCCTTACCCGGCACTTTTCACGTCCATTCGGTCCCTCCCGTCCTTCCATTCCCGCCCTCTCGAGTTCATTAGCCCCCCTCCTAGGTCCATGCGCCATGACATCAGCCGCGCACGCGAAGCCCATCCACACGGCAGCATGCCTCATCATCGGCGATGAGGTTCTCGGTGGAAAGGTGAATTGTACATCCCAGTGACCGGGCATACACAGCAAGTTTCTAACATTGTACCTAACCGCAGACCATTGACACCAACTCGCCCTACCTAGCCAAGTTCTGCTTCTCCCTCGGCATGCAGCTGAAAAGGGTTGAGGTCATCCCTGACGACGAGGAGGACATTGTTGAAGCTGTGCAGCGCATGAGCTCGCGCTACGACTTCGTCGTGACCAGCGGCGGCATCGGGCCCACGTGCGTCCACCCCAGCGCGAGCGCACCCGACTCGCTCGCGCAACCACAACCACATACCAGCAACTAACATATGCCCTCCGCAGACACGATGACATCACCTACTCCGCAATCGCAAAGGCCTTCAACCTGAAGCTGCAGCTTCACCAGCCTGCCTTCGAGCGCATGAAGCGCCTCTCCAAGCCACACCCCATGCAGCCGAACTTCGACTGGGAGACGCCGTCGCCAGGCCTGAGCGCCAAGCTGCGCATGGTCGAGCTGCCCTATGACCCGAAGGTGTCTGCCGAGTCGCAGGCGCTCTTCGTCGCCGATAATCTGTGGGTGCCGATTGCTGTGGTCAACGGCAACGTGCATATTCTGCCCGGTGTGCCGCGACTCTTTGAGCAGTTGCTTGATAATCTTAAGCCGTCTTTAATTCCCCGGCTCACGGACCCTGAGGGCAAGGGCACGTTCCGATTCTTGTTTAGCACGCCGCTGCCGGAGAGTGCGGTTGCGCCGTACTTGACTGAGCTTGCTGCGAAGGTTGAGTCCCGCGGTATTAAGGTTGGCAGTTACCCGCGCTGGGGAAAGAAGCGTAATACGGTTACCTTGGTTGGTGCAGATAAGGCGTTCATGGAGTCTTTGACGAAGGAGGTTGAGGAGAATGTACAGGGTAAGCTCGTTACCAAGGAAGATGAGCTGGATCCTCCTTCCGACTCGGAGCATATTTACAGTCAGTAGATCGGATGGCTGGTGCATGTATATCCTGGATGTTTGCAGCTGGTATATTGGTTTAGATGCTTGTCACACATGTATCATAATCTTTCTAGATGTACATTTCAATCACAAATTGCCAAGTCAAATAAGACGAGTTAAGGTCTTGATACAGTGTACGTAGACGAGCTCTCGACAATAAATCGTACCCTAAGACAACCAGACGGTGGAGAACAAGCGCGATGATAATGGAGAGCAAGGAGTCCACCTTGCTATGAAAAAGAACATATATTGACAGCCGTGTCGTATCCCAGGACCGACAAGGATAATGATAATAAAAGGCGATAGATAACAAATACCAAGACGGATCTTTCTCAAAGACTTGGAAAACAGATAATGAAAAAAAGGGATTAGACGCAATCAGACAACAAAAGGGGAATCAAAATGTTTCGTGAGACGAGGATTGGCGTCAAGGTCGGCAGTCATCAAGAATGCGAGCCAAAAGAACCCACAAACATCCATAACACAATTCGCCAGGGGCCACTTCTTCTTTGGTTTTTTTTTCAGGTTTGGTTTGTTCGGATCCAACATGCTCTCCGTCTTTTCCCATTGTAGATCTGAGTGGCGGGTTCGGAGCAAAGATTAGAGCCATCCAAATGGTAAGATTTCCAACAATTCCGGAGTTCGTCCTCGGACATGTAAATTTCCCAGTTATTGCGCGGCGTATTTCGTAGTGTGGGTAGTTTCAGTCGAGATCCGAGGGCAGTGATTCGGGATGTATGTGTTTTTACATAATGACGCACTTGGAGCAGCAGCCGGCACTCTCGCCGGGCTCGCTGACATCCATCTTGCCCTCTGGTGCGCGGGCACCGAACGCGCCTGAGCCCGACGGGTGCGAGGACATCTCCTTGTTGTAGCGGCGGATCTCGCGGACGAGGTCGTAGAAGGCGTTCTCGACGTTGATGCGGGATTTGGCGGAGGTTTCGATGAATTTGCAGCCGAACTGGCGGGCGAGCGCTTCACCTTCTGTTATGGTGGTTAGTGGGATGGATTACGGGGATGTGATGCAAGGGTGTTGAAGGGGGGAGTGGAGGGGAGGGGGCCACGCACCCTGCTCTGAGACTACACGCTCCTTTTCCAGATCGCACTTGTTGGCGACGATAATGATGGGGAAGTAATCCTTGTCCTTGACGCGCAGGATTTGCTGTTGGAAGGTCATGATTTCTTCGAAGGATTGGCGCGATGTTATGGAGTAGATGAGCAGGAAGCCCTCGCCGGTTCGCATGTACTGTTCGCGCATTGCTGAGTATTCCTCCTGGCCTGCTGTGTCCAGGACATCCAACAAAGCGACCTCATCATCAATCACACACTGCTTGCGGTAGGAGTCTGTAGACGGAAGACAGTTCCGAGTCAGCTGTGGTCGACTTGAGAGGGAAAACGCCCCTGGGAAAAGGACAACACGGTGGCTTACCTTCAATTGTTGGATCATACTCATCCACGAAATGGCTTTGGATCAGCTGGATAGTCAAGCAGGACTTTCCGACACCACCTCCGCCGACAACTACCAGCTTGTATTCTCTTAGGAACTGTTTTGACTAAGTTAGTCAATGCCCACGTTGTGTTCGAATGATTCTCACCTTGGAAGCCATATTTCGTCTCAGGCAAGAAAAAAAACGATAAGTGGAAAAAGGAGATCAAAAATTCGGAGAGAAATATCCACCTAAGCTGAGCTTAAACAAAGGGTGAATTAGGGGGAGGTTTCGGAGATTTGGCGGGAAGAAATCAGAGGTTTGGAGCTTCAAGTGGAGAAAATGGGATAATCTCTTCACGAAACAAAAAGACCGTCTGGGGTAACCAGGATTTTTGAAAATCGAAAAAATAAGGAAAAGAAGATTCGCAAGAAAAAAAAACCTAGAAAACAAAAGGGAAAGAAGGGGGTGAAGGGAAATTCAGGAGAACAGTGGGGAGGAAAATGGTGATTGGGTGAAAAAGGGGACTTTCAAAATGTGCTGCTAGATTGCTCTTTTTATTGTCTTCTTTTTCATTGTCTTCGGTTCCTTTGTCCTTCCACTGTTTCTCTATCATGGTTGATTTGTTTATACTGGATATCATCAACGTTGGACTATTGCTTCTTCTTCTAATTCATTCTATTGAACATATAATAGATATAAAGGAAAAATCAAGAATAATTCCCCTAAGTTCTGGAATCCGTGCTAATATATTGCAAGCTTTGGTACGCTACTAAATCTACTAAATGGTATTGCAACCAGGGGATTGATTGGCCCCCTACCCTACATAATAAAAGTACATACATATATCTAAAGTACTTCTCCATAGCCATCATGTCTCTATGTTGTCCACTTATCTGCATACCTACCTTGACATCTTTAGGTAGCAATTGAATTTTACACACTCCCCCTCTCTCCCAATGATATCTGTAGACATCAAGAGCCCAGTTCCTCCAGAGTGGATCAGCCGTCCAGGTGGAGATGGGGCCCATCTAGGCGCAACTAGGACATCGGCCTATAGCGCGTTAGGCTCGGAATTGCCAGATAGCAATCAAGTTGAATTGGAGTTTCTCGCTTTACGTGTTGGGCACCAAAGGCTGTCAACATCATGATTTTTCAAATCTATTTATTAGCTAGGCTTTCTTCACGCCTGGAAGGCTTGCAGTAGACGCCCGGATTGCATCCGAATTGCATCATCCCGTCACAAATCAACTGTCATTTTTCATGATCGGATACATCCATTTAATTATTGTTTGTTCGAGCCTTGTCAACTTAATTTTTTCCGAGACATCTGTCGATCAAACTGAAGATTTTTCACGATCGCCCCATTGTAATCCTTGACCAAACCGTTTTCTTGGACAGCGAAACGTTGCAGATCCGGAAATTTGATAAACATTCCTCTTGCGTTGTACATTGCTTCGTTTCCTTGGACCCTGCAAAGCCCGAGGATTGGTAAGTTCCCTGGCAACCCTCTATACCAAAGCCTTTAAAACTGTATTACAAGTGCAAAATCACATTGGAATACATCAATCTGGGTAATGATCTTCTTTTAAACTCAAAATATCTCTACAATGAACTGATGTCAAAGCCAAAAAACAACGTTCTATGTGAGTTTTGACTTCAACGGTTCTTTCCCGGGCGCGATACCGGTCTGGACCTAGATGTGACTTCGATGGCTTCTTTCCATGGATGATCCGAACTCAATTATTCCAAGGTTTCGCATTTATACGTACATCCTCGACAGCACCGGATATATATCAGTGTCGAATTTGAATTTGAATTCGAGTTGAATTCGAGTTCGAGCTAGCCCATACCTACCTTATGTATTCTTAGAAGTAACTTGGTGAGTAAGGCTGCATGTTGCGGGTAGTGCGGGACCCTGATATGATCCGTCGAACGGACGCACGGTCTGTGATTCATCATGGCGGCTACCATGCAACTGTCAACATTCGGTAAGTGATACGAGCGCTTATTTATCTAGAAAAGGCTACGCTGGGACCGCGTGATGGTGAAATGATTGCTCTTGAGCCGCATGCAAGAGATTGTGTAGGAAACCTTATCTGTAGGCCATGACTTTACAAGTAATACCGGTGCACCAATTGCCTCTCGCCATAGAGCGACAAGGATTGGAACTTCATTCTACCTGATTGCGTCTCACCTAAGCGATACGCTCATTGGTAGGATCTAGACCGGGTTATCTATAGACAAGTGGTCAAACAGACTTTCCACAGGGGCTGCTTTATATTAAAAAAACGGAGGTATCGAAAAGTGCAATACAGTCTACATTGGGTACCTGGGAAACTGGAGCAAAGAATGAGACAAACGAGAAAGAGGGAGTTACATAACCCGGAATCGTTAGGCTTATCGGATTTATCAACAACAGGGCTAGTCAGTGGTCGGGCTTGCATTATAGCATTGCACCTCGCTTACCTTTCAGGATACTGCGTGCGTCAATATACTCCTCATCATCCTCTTCCAAGACATACTCACTTTCCAACTGATCAAGAACCTCGAGTACATAGTCCTGACAGTCCCATTCTGTCGTCTCATTATCCAGAGCAATCTCCGCCGCAACCTTCCTTATAATTTCAATGTCCGCAATCCTGATGACGGCCACGAATTGCCTTCCCACGTAGCTCTTGGCGCTTTTGGGATCAACTTCGAGATGATTGCATTCAAAATGGGGATGCTCCCCGACAATCTCGAAAATCATCTTTTGCTCCTCGTACTCGACGGACAACGCCCAGTGTTGGTAGTTTCCGAACAGTGGCCGGTAAAACACGACATATAGGCGCGGGTATACTATCATGGTGTCCTAGTCAGCGACAATTTCCTGCAATGTTAGTTCACTCAGCGGAAACTTCGAGGATATTCAGGTTAGCTAATAGTAAGTTCCTAGATCTATGTTTGCTCGACGCAGAAACCTCGATGTGCATTCACACCGTACGAGTACAGGGATCCCTATACAAAAAGAAACAAGCTGTAGCGATGTTTCTTCTTGCTGATGAAACGTTTCTAGTACCTACTGAGGCGAGGATATCTCCTTTTATAATGATTCGAGGCCCTGTAATACCAAAAAAAATTAGGTAGCCTTTTATCTAATTTAAGCAATGATCTCAAAGCCGCATTGTCTGCGATTAATTGTTTTGAAAAATGCATTGTGTTTCCAAGGTTGACACTCAGAACATCTTTCGGTCCTCTTTCAATTCTTTGTTTATTTTGAGCAAGAAAGAAATCAACTGGAGCCTCAGAATGCTCATTGTTGACCTCGCTGGAACCCGTGATTAGCTGCAAATGATTTTTGGGTTATGAACGTATTACTACTAATGCAGGCTACGTTTACTGGCTATGGCGATGTAGACTGCCGATTTTGGAGCGGGAATTATTTGATATTAGGGCAGCATAATCTGTTCTGAGAGAAGGCATGAGCGAGAATCTAGGATTATTGCGTATTTGGGAATCTGTGGGGTGCAGCAATAAGTCGATATTTTAGAAGCTAGCATGTCGTAATTTCTGTACAATCTTGATCTGAATGGATCGTCAGTCGCCTTCCATAATTTATATACATCAGCAATTGGATCGGACTCCACTTCATCGTCTGTGTCCCCATAAGTCTCACTTTCGACCTGCCACTCTCACTTGAGGAACCTGAATCTTCATAAGATAAAGAGTCTGATTTGTTGAAATCGTCCAGGTCTGACCCATTAGATTCGATTCCGTGAACCGAGACAGAGGGTATTTTAGGCGAAGCACTTTGTGATGTCAGCATGTTAAACCACGATTATTATTGTACGTCCATGGGGCCACGGGAAACTGCTTGGATGGCATCGTTGGTGACCTTGGTTCATTTGAAAGGGTTTGGCACTACAGGAAGGAACAGCACTCTGCTTTATTTTTAGCGCTTATTGAATACATATCGGCGAATCATATCATAAGGGGCTGAAAAAGCTCTGTGTTCTGCGCCATGGAAGGCGGTAGAAGTCACTACTGTAAAGATGTATGACGGGGTTTTCACGCACACTGCAATATCAGGACACTAAATAGTATCGAAAACATGTAGCTAAAGTCCTATAATCGAGAAACTTACTCGAGTCCTAAAGAACATTCTAAACGCTGACCAAATATTCAATATCAAAGCATGCCACCTTTAGCTATAGCTGCCCTCTCCTTATCCAGCGCAACAATGGCCTCCTCCATAATATCCCTAGGCGGTTTCAGTCCCGTCCAAAGAAGAAACTGGTCAAATGCCTGCGCAAGTAGCACCTCCACACCCGTCACCGTGTCCCACCCATGATGCCTTTGTGCTGCCGTCAAGAGCGGCGTCTGTCGTGGCTTGTACGACATATCGATGCAAAGACCCCGTGACCCGAACAGCGGAGTGAACTGATCCTCCGACGTGGTATCTGCAGGGACTGTGCCAATGATGACATCTGGTTTCTCGGGAAGATCGGCAAGACTTGCAACAATGTTGATTTCAAACGCCTGCCTGAAATCTTCTTTGACTTTCTCGGCTGTTCCAAGTGTTCGGTTGACGAGATAGATAGTCTTTACCCCCGCTCTGTGCATGGCATACAGCGCAGCTCGCGAAGCTCCTCCAGCCCCAATCACTAGTCCAATATTGGGCTGTTGTGTTTTCGTAGTGTGGGCAGCGATGATGCTGTACAAACCCGACCAGTCGGTGTTGTCGCCAGTGATTGTACGCTGACTTCCATTGTTTTTTACAACAAGTGTGTTGATAGCGCCGATAAGCTTTGCTGTCTCGGTTTGCTCGTTGCAGAATTTGTGGACTTGGAGTTTATGTGGCATGGTGACGCTTGCTCCGCCGAAACGGTCGTCTGCAATTAGGGGGCAACCCCATCAATGCTGTCGGATTCGCGAATCGTATAGTGGAAGGGAAGTCCATAGTGATTGAAACCTGCGTTGTGAATCGTGGGTGACACGCTGAAAGAAATTCCCTTGCCGAAAATGTGAAAGTTCTTCGATACATTTATGTCATCCGAAGACATCATGAATATGAGGGCTGATATTGACACGAAGAAAATGGGCAGATGTGTAACAGTTAGTTAAATTGAATAGTTCAAGTATAATATACTCAATATCGGATGTTATATATGCGCAGATGATCGTAGATTGTATCTACTTGCATCGGCTATGAATTTAGTCGACTGTGGGTCGTCGCAGTCGAGGCGGAAATCTTACATCCGTGAATATAAGATAAGAAGTAAAGCCTGGCTCGATTGAATTAACTCATTCAATCTACAGCATCATACAAGAATATTCGTCCTATTTCCAATCCACAATGACAAAACCACAAACTCAAGAGATGACCCTCCACTTGGTGGGATTGGGAGTCACCCATTCCATCGCCTACAGCATGCACAACTACATTGCGAAATCTCTCGGTCTCCCTTGGACATTCTACTCTACGGAGTGCTCCACACTGGAAGACGTAGTCAAGCTTGCGAAGGCCCCAACAACCGCCGGCTTGGTCGTCACCATGCCGTACAAAAACTCAGTCATGAAACATCTCGACGAATTGGATGAACTCGCCAGCATGATTGGAGCCTGTAATAATGTTCATTATTACAAAGATGGTGACCAAAACCGTCGTCTGTGCGGTACAAACACCGACTGGCGAGGAATCAAAGGGTGTCTCTTGGAAAAAGGCAACGAAACCGAGCGGCCATCAGCGACCTCCCCAGCCACAGCTTTGATCGTAGGAGCCGGAGGTGCCAGCCGGGCAGCTGCCTATGCCCTATCAACGCACCTCCACTGCCCGACGATCTATGTTTTGAATCGCGATGACCAAGAAGTGGCGGATCTCATCCGAGACACGCAGAAGCTGGCGAGTGTCCCGACAATCATTCATGTGAAAAAACTCGAGCAAGCCAAAGACCTACCTACTCCTTATTATATTGTTGGCACGGTGCCTGATTTTGAGCCAAAGTCTGAGACTGAGGTTATGGTAGCATCTGTTTTGGAATTCTTCCTTTCGCGACCTGAGAAAGGTGTTCTGTTGGATATGTGTTTCAAGCCACGGAGGACAAGAATGATTAAGTTGGGGGAGAGACTGGAGTGGCCATGTGTTGAGGGGACACATATCATCGGGTATCAGATTGAAGAGCAGTGGCGACTGTGGGCTGGAGAGGAGTATGTTCAGAAATTGGATCGCCAGGGGGCGTGGGATGTATTGATGAGGGCGGCGGAAGAAAGTCAAGCGATCAACTTTTAGAGTACTATATTCATCTACAGAACTCATAAAAAAGATTGGACCAGCTATGTCTTTCACTCAGAACAATTGTATGCGACTGGATGGTGACTACTTTATATTGTATCTTGTTTTATCAGCGCCCGTGGAAACAGTTTTGGTTTGCTTTTACAGGCCTTCCATATAACTCCTGTTTTGTTATCAAGGTACGCAAAGATGGACGCAAGGCAAGATAACCGATGGCGTTTGCATACAACTCTGCTCTTACACTGTCCATCCACTCGGGAGGTATACATCCGGGTTCCCCGCTTCTCCAGACTGGCCTTCAAGTCATCGGCAATGAATAACGCCGCGAACGGAATTCACCTGAGGCACCCCGCACTAACAACATACTTAAATGTAGCAGGAACTTGCTTTTTGAATCGAAGAATCCAACCAGAACATTTGATTCCTGATAATGCCCGACCTACATTCCCTACCCGAAGGCACCTGGCCTGAACAAGCCATTCGCAACAATGGACCAGACAGCCTCGTTCTTGAGCGCGCCAAACTCCGCGAGCTAGCTGAAGGCTGGCCTTGCTACCGGTAATTCCCACCGAAAGAAAACCGTCAAATGACACAAAGCTTACTTTGACCCTTAGCGATGCCTGCGAATGGGAGAACTTCAAATCAATCTTCCACCCAGGAGCATATGTGTATACTACATGGTCCGGCCGAGTGTCTTACTTGGATTTTATGGCGGCGTCCCAAGCCGGCATGGACAAGGGGGCATTCATCATGCACCGATGCCATGGAGTGACGAGTGACATCACTCCGGACGCTACCCGCGCTGTCACTAAGATGAAGGCTACGATTACACAGCGATTCACGATTGACGGTGTAGAAGTGGACGCGGAGGCAGATTGTCGCTTTTGCTTTTTCTTTGAGAAAATTGACGGCCGCTGGGGTGCTCGCTTTGTGAGACATTGGTATGAGAAGGACAAGTTGTTGTCTGTCATTCCGAATCATTTCCCAAATATTGATGTGGAGAAGCTCAACTCTTATCCTGATGGATACAAGTGTCTGGCATATTGCCAGGAACTTACCATGGGGGTATCAGTTTTAAAAGATATGCCTGGTCATCGGCGACATGCGGGGACTGCTTGTGGGGATAAACATGATTTGTTGTATCGGCTTGCTAAGGATTGGTTGGATGGCAAGGAGATTGAGGTGTAGAAAACTATGTCACTCTAGTAAATTACTAACTATTTGAATGACATGTATACTCCTATCACAAGTTTGTTTCTCATTTCACCTGGTCAAAAATATGAAACAGTCATTAATTCAGTTCAAGCCTCTGTTGCAATTTCTTCCAAGACACAATACCCCTTTGTGCATGCAGATCAGGCACATTCTTTCCCTCGTCCGACATTGTCCTCGAAAACAATTCCATAGAGACCCACCCCTTGTATCCCAGCCCCGACACAATCGTTCTGGCGACATCCTCAACAGGGAGGTATGCCCCGCGTTCCTCCTCATACATGTAAGTTCTCGCATTTCGCGACCAATTCATGCGCGCCGGCTGACCTTCCACATGGAAGGGGTGGCCCTGGACGAGTGGCGACTCCATCCGCTCTGCATCAACAACTTGAAGGTAGAAAACTTTGGCGACATCAATTTCCGTCACCATTCTTTGCAGCGATTCTTTCAAATCCACATCTGCATTGGTCGTCTTGCCGGTTGGTGAGGTGGGGTCGGCCCAGACCCTCCCTGCGATGTTGAAGGTGTCCAAACATATGCCAAAATTTGGTCGATCAACTCGCTTGACGATGTCCCAGACCTTCTCCCAGGTGTCGTTGACGGTGCTCCAGCACAGGTTTTCATATGCATAGCGGATAGTAGGAGTTTCGGCTGCGCCCATATCCGCCAGTTGTCTCAGGTCGGCAACTATGACATCAATGTCGTCGGTGAGTTGGTCTGCGGGGAGAAAGTTGGCAGGGATTTGAATAGTGGTGGTATTTAATCGCTTGGCAAGTTGTAGCCAGAGCTTCATTTTTTCAATCAGCTTTGCATGTTGTGCTCGATCTTTTAGGCCCTCGTAGAAGAGGAATGGTTGCAGCGTGATGATCTCAAGGCCATTGATTTCGCAGATTGCATGAATCTGGTCTGCTGCTTGGAGCAGTTGGTCAGAACTTGGCTCGTCATTCCCAGAAATCTGCCGCGCGAAATAATCGAGGTCTTCATAGAAAATCTCCATCCCCTTGAAGCCTGCTTTTGAAGCTTGCTCCATCTTGTAGGTGAAGTCATGGAGCCAAGCTCGCCCCAAGGAGACACTCATAATAGCAGGTTGATACGCCATTGCGTTATTCAATCTTTAATTTCAAATTTGGAAATGAGTTGACAGCAACGGAAAGCGATGCTCAATGATGCTACAAGACAGCCGAGAGCTCATCGAGGGTTGTACCCGCAAGCTCGATGTGGGGCTGGCTATGAATTTAGCCTTGTCGGTCCAGACTTATCTTGAGCGCAGTGGTACTGAGAGGAACAAATATAGACGAGGTATGGGAAAATATCGACGAGACGCAATTTACGAGCGTCACTATAATGTGCAGAAGTAAAATATACGAAAGTTTTGATAAAAAAGTCCCACTCTATAGAATTGGATGTCAAGTCGACCAGCGTTACTTGACGTTCCCGGACCAGACTTAACATTACCACATATGAAAATACCCATTCTTGATGGCTTCCTCTTGGACCGCTCGTCGCATCACATGAACCGGAGCTGGTCTCTGGCTGAAAAGCTCGTACTGCGCAATGCCCTGCTTGACCAACACCTTCAAACCATCAACAATGACCCACCCTTTTACTGACCACGGAATGACCTGCTCCATTAACAAGGTCTTGAAAGGTCCATATCCGACCTGACTCAGATTTTAGTTTGGCTTTTATGCTCGAGAGTGGAACAGCGACTTACCTCAACGTAGACCCCACCAGTGCGACTCTCAAGCCACTTTTCAGAGATCAGAAGCTCAACAGGTGATTGGGTTCCAACGTGCCTCCCAGGAATGCACGATACCACGATTGTTGGCAGGCGAAAATCCGACGGCCATGGATCATCTATTGAATTTATCACATCCAAGTGAAAGCTGCCATCTCCCTTGGATCTCGCCCACTCATTATAGTAGCGAGCTAGCTTTTGTGCATTTGAAGGAGTTCGGTTATAAACGAACATGTGGCGCACTCCGAGTTGATAACAAGAGTACACAGCAGCACGCGCCATTCCACCAGCACCTATGATCAGAGCTGTGGTAACGTCTCGAACGGCATTTGCAGGAGATAGATGTCTGTAGATGCAATCCTTGATTCCGATGTAGTCTGTGTTGTATCCATGGTAAAAAGGAGTTTTCGCTCCATTTGACTCGATCCGGTACTCCAGTACTACAGTATTTACTGCGTTGATGTCTTTAGCATCGGGACTGACCTCGTCAAGTAGGCGTAAGACATCTGTTTTAAATGGCAGAGAAATGGTAATTCCATTTAGCAATCCACCAAAAGATGGCTCCCTGAAGATGTCTTCGATTTCACAAAAATCCTGGATTTGCCGGTAGGCATAAGTGTGTGGGAGCCCACAGGAGTGGTATGCCCTATTGTGCATTGCTGGTGACAGACTGAGGCGAACATCTTGACCAACAATCGTGAAGCATTTATTCCGACGCAGAGACAACGAGCTGAGTGCCCGTTGCGCCTCTCGCATGGAGAGTTTAGACCCCCCATTTGAGCACAGAGAGACTGGAGACAAGGTGGGGTTGAGAATAATCGAAGCGCGCCCCTCGGGACAATCATTATATGCAATAACGGGAATGTTCAGCGCATTTGTCACTTTTTGGCGAAAAACCAAACATGAAAGTGTATCTTCCGCGATAGAATGTCCACCAGTGAGGCGTAGAGCTTCAAAGTCCATGCCTTCGAATGATGCCCGAATGAAAGGTATCAACGAGGCATAATTTTCACCCTCTAGCGGAGACGGCTGATGATGGAGGGCAATAATGTTGCAGTGGCCCTTCGTAGAGTTGATGCGTCGATTGACTTCCAAGCTCCCTGGCCAAGCGGTGATCGCATCGGGAGCTACTCGTAGTGCGATTTCCAAAAATCTCCAGTATAGTTCAGCTGGTTTGTGCGCATCTGCGCTCGCATCAACGATGATTGGGACCCGGGTATGCTTTCTGAGAGTCACCATATGACGCGAGAGTCTATCCACAACACCTGGATGAGCGTAGTCTTTATAACTCAATAGAACACTGATGGCATCTGCCCCAGCATCTAATGTTTCCAGATCCAGATTATTGCCCTCGAGATAATCCAAGGGAACATGGAGTGAGTATGTATGGGCCTCGGAAAATGCATCAGCGGAGAAAAGTTGCTTTGGTGCTTGGCCAAATATGCGATACAAGAAAGCCACAAACACACGCTCAATCTCTTTGAGTTTGAGGGATGCGTGAACCTTGCTTTCCGCTTGATGAGTCGGCTCCTGCGTGATGTTGAAGAAATCAAAGTTGGAAATCGACTCAAAGAAGGTATTTCCAACTTCGAAGATCCGATTAAACCTGTCTGGGTCGCCTCCTAGGAAGTTTTGAAGGTCTGCCTTATCCCTTCGCACGTACACGACGGGATGATGCTGTGAAAAGGCTCCCAGTACACCCGGACGAGCAAGGCTAGCTGTGACTCCGAGTCCAGCGATAACGCAACCATTTCGGTGCTTAGTCAAAAGTTCTTGACATAGCTCAATCTCAACCTCGCGATATCGTACAAATCCATGAGCTGCAGTAAATTCTTGGGGTGATGTTTGGACCTTGGTCCGGAAAACTGCCTCGAAATCAATGAAGCGCCGACGAAGAGCAGCAGACGCAATGAAGCCCAAAGTCTTTTTACCTGCTCCAATGAAACCGACAAGCAGAATGGTAGCATCGGTGCGGTATCGTCGGCAGCCCGGAGCTCCTTGATGCAAATCGGCTGTACTCGAGTTGAATATCGATGGTGCCGCTGACATACTGTCGATAGGCGGACCACTTCGAAGAGATTCGGTCAGGCCAGGCGGTATCTTTCTTTCATTAAATTAAGTGTTCACCATGAACAATAAGAAAGTTGTCACTCGAAGTTGAGTTTCGGCTAAATTCAACCCGATCATGTGACGTCACAGACAAGATCTCATTTGGAGGACAGCGGCGACCAAAACTCCAATGTTGACGATGAGGAGAAATGGCTAGCTCTCGGCCTTCAAAAAGACAAAGGATCTGCCGAGCATGTGATCAATGTCGTCGGCGTAAGTCCAAATGCGACGGTGAGCAGCCTGTGTGCTCCATTTGCCGGGCGGCAGATCGCCCCTGCACATATCAAAATGGCGGCGGAAGACGAGGGTTGGCCCCTGGATATGTCAGGAGCTTGGAGACTGTTCTTGGACTAGTTCTACAACATGTACCAAACAGCGAGAGCATGGTACACGACCTTCTGGCCAGGTCGCGGAACGACCACTTCGTTGCTAAAGACCCCGCGAATGTCTGGCGGAAGTCTCGACTGGCCAAAGATTTATCTAAACTGCTTGATCAAGATCCCCAAGACAGCTCCGCCATGACCATTTCTGACGAATTTGAGTGGGACACCTCAGAGATAACCAACACATCAGGCGTGATCACCGGTGATACTGCACACACGACCTCTGTTTTCAATGAACCTGAACCAGCATTGGAAGAAATAAATCTCAATAATGAGTCGAGGACAAGAGAGTGCCTAGATTTGCCATACCCACCAAATACTCTCAGCGTACTAGAGAATTATTTTACATACACTCACTGCTGGTTCCCCATCATGGAACGCCATGATCTTTTGAGGACGATGCATACCGGATCCCAGGCACAGCATACCCAATACCACGGATCAAGATTAGCCCTCTGGGCACTTGTGGCATATGAAACGTTTACCAATGACAACGGAGACCGAAGACAGTCCAATTACTCAGAAATACAAGATTCAATTGGCGCACGCATCATGACGCAATCATCAAATCTGGAATTGGGCCACATACAAGCTGCTCTTGTTTTCACTTTACTGCAAATCAAGCTTGGGGATTTGCTATATGCATGGAGGCTGGCTGGCCAGGCCTCCAGAATGCTGGCATCATTGCCCGCAGCCGCTAAGAAAAACCGATATCATCACACTTTCCATGGCTGCATCTTCCTTGACAACCTACTGTCTAGTCTTCTCAACAAAGCACCATGTATGTCACTAGCAGAGCAAAGAAAAGAAGAGATGATCAATGAAGACAACATGGAAGAGTGGGACGTTTGGACGATATCCCCACAAGGTTCTGACGGTCAGCGTCCGAGCACACCTCAGGGCCCTCTTCGAGCTTTGAGTATCTTCAACAAGGTCAACAACCTCATGGAATACCTGGCTAGAATATTGTATGTGTCAACCGATACCCCTGGCGTGGATCGCTACGAGATTACAAACAATCTGCAAGCTGAGCAGACGCTCCTTGCGGAAGAATATCCCTATAGCCACAGCCCTGCATGCGCTACACCTCCCATTCTCATGTTGCATCTCACCTGCAACTTTGTCATATTGGCACTCTCCAGCACAAGCCCAACACTGGACACGGTCGGAAATGATCTAGCCGGCAGAGTTTTGCAATCTACTGTCATTCTGTTGGACCTATACGTGGAGATAACTGGAGCATCTCGCGTATCTCCTCTCCTTTTATGCTTTGCTTTACAGGGTCAACAGTGTTTGAATGCCATTTTTCACAACCATCATTCAGAAGAACGAGAAGCCTTGGAAACCCGATTGAGTTCTTACATACCATCCATACAGACGGAAACAAGAACAATGAACGGACTTCCGGAAAACCGAGATCCATTGACTGATACGCCGTTGTCTCGAGCCAGGAATAATCGATCCAATGCGCCCAACAATGGACTTGTTCAACCAAGCGCGTTGCATGCCTTCAATTCACAGCTTGGAACGCCCATCTCCATTCCTTCGGTGGATACAGTATCGGGATCAAAGAAGATTTCAGCGCACCAATCACCCACCGAAGCCACATTTGTGGACTTGACAGGATTCGATGCGTTGTTTGAAGAAATGGTTACTTCAATCCCGTCGAACAGGTATGTGGTCTATCTTTCAAAGGTTATATTCATGCTGACTCGCCGTAGGCAACATCCTCTCTTCGCGCAGAATTTAGGGTTTTATGCAGGAGATCTGGACAAAGACTTCTTAGAACAACTTCAACAGCCGCCGGATGGCTGACCGGGTGGGAAATTGATGACATCCTCTTAAAGAACATTATCCGGGATGTGGCGAAACTGGACGCTTGAAACATGGTTTGGTATTAGGAAAGTGACTAAATATTAAGCACAGCGGGACTTCCATCTGCGTCTCATGCCAAAGACGCTGCAATCGAAAGCAAACCCAAACCAGCGCCTGCAACTTCAATCCCTGTAGTATCCTTCTGCGGAGGATTGAGGACACGCGCCATCCTAGACAACTGCACTGCGAGCAAGTGCTCTCGGAAATACATATCCAACCCACCAACCATATGAATACTATGATCAGCACCATTCCCTCCCTTCTTCTCTCCCCAGCACAATCTAGGACCAACAATCTCATCCTCCTTCTTCCCTGTCCGACTTCCCGCCTTGGCCCAGACACGTTTGGTCTCATACAATGTCTCCCAAGCGAATCCAAAACTTCCAAACATACCACCCTCTTTCTTTCCCTCGGCAGCCGCGTTCTTCCAGACAAAGTTCCGCCCTCCGTATTCGAATCGCCGCGGCGACCAATCTTTCCTTTGCATCTCTCCGTCTGGAATTTCGGTAATTGCTCCCATATTAGGGATCGTGCGCGTGATGAGCCGAAAGCTGCCGCCCTTCATCTTTTGGAGCTTCACGCTCGTCGCTCCGACTTGGGGCAGGAACTCGCCTGCGCGCCGGAGAACGGTGTCCACTATGGGCATCTCGTTACTCCAGATGAATTGAAGGGCATATAAAACGAGTGTATTTGTGATGTCTTTCACAAAGTACCAGTGTGAGCGCATGCCTAAATCAACGAGTTCTGATGAACGGGTAATCCGATACGTGATCGTTGGTGCCGAGGGAGAAAGGGTTAATGAGAAGGAAGGAATCTGGGTGGAGTCGGTGCCGAGGAATGGGTGGAGATGCGCGGGAGCATTGCTTAGATCTGGTTGTGTGTCACTCGGAGTATCCCCTCGGAAAGCATGGAGGTCTTTGCGGATCTGCACAGTAACGTGTATAAGTAAAACGCGACGCTAGATCTCGGGGATTACAAGTATGGCTCACCTGGGTCAATGTCCAGGTCTTTCCGTTCTCCTTTTCCACCTCTTCCATTGCATCCAGGATGGTGGGAGGGAGTATGATGCCATCAAAGCTGCCTTTGAGCTTCAAGCCTTCAAGATAAGCTAGACGTTCACGGTGAACTTGAACCTGCCGCTCGAACATTTTTCTGTTGATTTTGCGGATCTCGCTTCCCTTCTTGAATCTCATGGTCAGTTCGTCCAAAATCTCGATGGCAGTTTTGTAAATTTGAATGGCTTCGTCGTAATCTCCCTGGCGCTCCAGAATGAATGGCTGCGCAGCAAGCTTATAGACTGCCTTGTTTCTGTCGACTGTGTCTGTCATTGTTCCGGGTATAAGATGATTTAGCTCCAAGATAACGGATCACTCGTTGATTATTATTGAACGCAAGATCGTGTTGTGAAGATGGAAGGATTTTGAAGATAAGTTCTATGGCTGCTCATTTATATAGAAAAACACAAGAAACAGAAGCTCTCCTTTGAGGTTCGTGCCAAGGGCGGAATATGCCTTGCCAAGGGCCGTTCAAGCGTACAACCGGGTTCAAATCGCGATGTCTACACAGAAAGAGGACTAACGTCCGTAAGGCTGGTTTTGCTGGCGGTTTGAGCCGAACCAAATCGCAATGTGGGGTTCCGCAGGATGTGATAAGAAATGTTCATCAAGACAAATTGATCATCTGAACGGTCAGCCACGACACTACGCTGTCTCAAAGAAGCTAGATGTGGTCCGTTCTGAGCACAGTGGTTGGAATGGACGCTATCGCGTCGCTTACTATTACTCTCTTGGACGCTTGGCAATTAGGTTGACCAACAACCCCGCGGGCTTAGCGGGTATGCAGTACACACCGGGCGCTGCCGAGGGCGGAGGCTTTTGATGCACATGGCCACCAAGCCACCTTGATTGTAGTGGCTCAGGGTCCAAGGGTCCATTTGTCTGAAAACATTTGATCGTGGTAAGCCTCGTGGTTGAAGGCACAGGGACAGTCTAGTTGGGTCCCAGTGGAACATCAAATAATTTGCGCTTCCAACGTTATGGTACTGAATTACTTAATGCACCACTAATAGAGTCCATCTTTGTCTTTCAAACTGGTAGATGGCTCTTCAATCATATGAGAGATGTAATCAGTCATTTCTCACGAATAGTTGAATTGAACACCTGAAAAGTAGATTCATACTGTTGTTTACCATCTTGGCTCCTGACTCTCCGACAGGATATCGTATGCAGACATATCATCGTAGTTATCACTATGCATAATGATGAGGTTCCAATCCACATACACATAGTTCGTCCGCTCCAGACAACGTTTGCACACTTGGCAGCTGGAGTCAATCTCTCCTAACCAACGCCATGGTTACATATGGACCCATAATGCATCGGTACTAAACTGTCCTTACCTAAACTATATATTGACTGTGATTGATTGGCGTCTGTTTATTTGTAAATATTCTGATTCTGGCTGGTAAGCAGTATACTGAATGCGAAGGGCTGCCTAGCTTTGAAACAGTACCTTGAAATAGTACCGACATATCTGAGGTTATTAGTAGGTCCCCAAATACTGGTCACAGTGAACCCGTAAGTAATGTGCATTCAACCAGCAAGTATTTGCCTCAGAATTTCACTCTAAGTGCGTGTGAGATCTATAGTCCTCCCATGACAGAGGGATTGAAATCAATTTGTTACGACCAATATTGGACCCCCGAACCAACCAACTTGCTATCACCAGTCTCCATCGTGATACACGACTGCTGTGCAACACAATTTCCACGTGGAATGAACATTGAAATTTCTGCACGAGTGTTCAGTCAAGTTATTACTTTGTGTAAGAGAGACGACCTTGTCGAGGATAGTACCTAGATTTCGCCGTACATCGTTTCTTGACAGGAAAAGAAAGAGTTCCTTGTGCTGACTAGCTAGAATAACATCCTGTCGGTTGATCGCTGCACAAATCATAGAAATAGCACCAACTAGACTAGATATGTAGTGCTATGCTGGGATTGGTGGATCAAATAAATCTAATCAAAAGAGTACAATCAAAGGTTCAAATAAACAGGAGTATAGATGTTTGTAGCAGGGTCATTTATATACTACTAGCTATTATAATTTTTGGACCATGGCATATTGGAGTTTGAATTCATCTCATCGTGGTTAGAAAGTAAAGAAATGGGGCCGAGGCGGGACCTGGAAGATTCCGGCCACTGATAATTGCAGGTCAGATGACAGATTGTTTGCCCTGCGACCCATATATGAGGCTATTTCATTCACAAGGATATCTCGGCATCTTTTTTTTTGCCTGACAAGTTTGTGAAGAACAGGTAGTTTGTGTGGAGACCCGAATGTTTGCCCAATGGATATATATCGGGCCAATAATTGAAGAGCACGAGATGGCAAGTTCGGTAATTGCACGCCCCACGATTTAAAAATGGATGCTAAAACCGGAGTTGAATGAGTCTTTTGGCCAGGATGCCCTGGAGGCGTCTAGGTCTTGTTTTTTTTTGCGGCTAAGGGACTTCAGTTACCAAATTGGGTTTAGTGGTATAACATTTGCCTTCACTAGCGTCGGGGCTAATCTTTAATTGGTTAGATGTACCGCCCCTAGGTGGTTTGGGTATAAATATTGCCCAATAGGAAGAGTTTGCTGACTCCATTATCCGAAACAGCTTTAGTTCGAGACAATGCTTATGCAGAGGAATCACAAGCCGTGGAGAGACCCTGAGATAAATTGTTTATTTGAGGGCTGCAATCTCCCCAGTTTTTGCTTACTTTTCTTATTCTTCTTCAACGCCTAACCTTCGTCGCTCGTTTGACTATACTGACCACTTTCGTTAATTAAATAATTCACCATGCACATCCAATCTCTTGCTCTCCTTGTCGGCGCGACCGCCGCCCTCGCCGCCGAGACAGTCACCCTTTTCCTCCCTGGATTCGACGAACAGCAGATCGACGGCAAGGTCATTGGCTCTGTATGTGAAATTACTACCCGTACGATGATCAACAAAAGCTAATTTATACCCTCAGAGCGGCTCAATGACTACTTACCTCATCAACTGTGCCCCCGGCGTCGAGTCCGACGACTGCGGTCTCCCACCGGCCGGCATGACCGTCGCCCAAGGCCCTTCAAGCGTAATCCTATCCTACGGAATGGACCAAGTGTAAGTCGCCAGCCCTACAAGGTCGCCCCACAAAAATAGCTGATCACTTCCTATCGTAGCACCATCTCTGAGAACTGCAAGTACGACTCCTCAAGCGCCACCTGCTCCGCTAGCATGAACGAGAGCGGAATCAAGACTACTTGGTCAAGCGCTATCCCTATCTCCTCGATCCCCGGCGGCGCTTTGATGGCTGTCACTGTCACCGCTACTGAAACCGGTGCTTCTGCCACTACTGGTGCCTCGGCTTCGGCTTCTACTGCCGCTTCTACTGGCTCCCTGACCACCTCCGCTTCTACTTCTGGAAATACCGCTGCCAGCACCGCTACCGGTACTAACACTGCTGAGTCTTCTGGAAGCGCTGCGGCTACTAGCCACACTGGAACTGGTAATGCTGCTATGCCTATGATTACTGGAAACGCGCGCTGGGCTGCTGGCGGTGTTGCCGCTGCCCTGGCCCTCGCTGTCATCTGATAAACTGGCTGTTTTATAAATATCCGTGTCGCATTTTGTGTGGCCGTTGTTGAAGCCGATATAACATGTTGATTGATATCTGATCTTGCCTTGTATAATATAATACGTACTACGCTCATAATGTTTTTATGGTTCGTCTGCGCGAATTTGTTCAAATTTTTATTTCCGTCGATGAGTTATGAAGTTCGAATTTACATCGCTCAATCCGACGCTGGACATATATACGAGGGACACTATCTACTCCGTCTAAGTATTTCTTTCATATTATTGACAGTCATTCAGGACTTGCGGTGCATGACACCGGCCGCAGCCTGCATTATTATCAGCACATGACGCTTGCTTTTGAGAGAGATAGAACGAAGGCTTACCTGGTGGCTGGGGAAGACCAGAGTATCGGCGATCACGACATTCTCACGACGACCGGCAGCAAACACAACAACCTCAGCAATGTCATCACCAGTCAATGGCTCAACGCCCCTGCGGTATGTTAATCATCTGATATACATCAAGACCGACTCCTCGGACTTACTTGTATACAGCATCAGCCTTGGACTTGTCTCCATAGAACCGCACGACAGAGAACTCCTGATCAAGAAACTGTTAGATCACGGTTACATACGGACATAAATTCCCGGTGATAACATACAGTTTCAACCTGACCGGGGTCAATCTCAATGACACGAATTCTCGTGGCGATGAGTTCTTTGCGCAGCGCATCTGTGAAGGAACGGACGGCAGCCTTGGTGGCACAGTAAATGCTACCACCAGAGTAAGGCTCACGGCCAGCAATGGACCCAATGTTAATGATATCACCACGGCCACCCTCGTCGCGCTTCTTGAAGATGGGCAGAATAGCCTGGGTCATGTTGATGAGACCGGTGACGTTGGTGTCAAACATGATTTTCAAATCCTCGGCAGCGATTTCAGGTGCCTGAGCAACGCCCTTGACCAAGCCACTACATTTAGGTTAACATAAAATGCCAATTTGATCTATGCGCATTGAGAGATATGACTCACGCGTTGTTGACAAGGACGTCAATCTGCTTGAATTCCTCCGGCAGGGAGGACACAAAGTTGTTGATCTCCTCAGGCTTGCTGACATCGAGCTTGACAGGTAGAACCTGGACACCATCGCCAACTTCCTGTTTAATCTCCTCCGCGACCTCCTTCAATGTATCGATGCGGCGCGCAGTCAGGATGAGCTTCAGGTTTTTAGGTGATGTGCGCGCAAATTCCTTAGCAGTGCTCTTTCCAATTCCCGATGAGGCACCGGTGATAACAATAGTCTTGCCTTCGAGGCGCTTTGCCATTGCGGAAGCCATGGTGCGTCGGATAGAAGCTGGATTGAGTGCTGATGTGAAGGTGGGGTTGGCGGAGATAGCGTGAGATGAGGAGTATGCGGGTCGGAGGTGTCCAATTGATCTAATACACGCTCTTAAATGGTTCATGGGTCGGAATCACAGTGTTTCAGGAGAAATTGAGTGCAGAAAACAAAAGAATCAGAAGATAATCACGAACGAGTGCGGGGATTCTGGCGTCATGTTGGGTTACGTAAGCACATAGAATGAATCGCCTGAATGGTTTCCCGACATCGGAACGAAGGCCGATTCTTGAGATCCTCCGACAAAAGATATGTATCTCGATTAAACCCGTCTATATTTCCGCTTCATTGAACAAGTTGACGTATTAAACACGGATGTCACATGTGCTTTCCAGATTCAGCCTCGTCCCCACTGACTATTTCAAGAACCATGTCCTGCAGAATAGTTTGCTCCTCGATGTAATTGGACCTGGTTCACTTTGTATACTTTGCGTCTCTCTTCACATTTTTTTAATATTTCTCAGGCTTTGTAAGCTTTCTTTATTCAAGCAATGACATTGTATTTTGTATTGCATCATATATTGCCCCTTTGTTCTATGTGTTTTCTTAGGGCTGGCTGACAAACAGTCTTTGGTCCTACGTAGCTCAAAGAGAAATTGCACTCTCTTTTTCAAGACAAATAAAAACTCGCATAATAACCTTGAGACACACAAAGGCTCAAGTATTATAATAGTTTGGCCGAGCCTTCTCTCTTATTGATGCACAAAGGAAAATTTGGAAGGCCATTGTGCTTTACTCGGAGAACAACGATGCATCAGCATAGCCCCGAAATACCGGCGTCGACCTAAATACTTGTCATAAATACCGTCAAAATCATACACCTTCTTGGTATTGGATTCTCAGTTTATCTATCTGGGCACAGTATATCATCCTTTCTGAGGTTTGTCCGAGGAACCACAAAGACCATTTGTTTACTCCTCCAGAGCATCATCGAGTTCATCCACCATACTGCCAACATTGGTAACTCTCTAATTTGATCAGAAGCCTTCTTCAATTAGCAGATTCGACTGAATTAAATATTAGAAAAAGATTTTCGGCTAACAAGATGAGTTCCCCAAGAGAGGTATGCCCGAGCATCCTTACCCGGGTTTCGTCTCAAAGTAATCAATACCGAACTGAGCGAGAAGAAGCATTGCCTGATGGCCGCCTCAGACCCTGCAAGTTTGATTGGGCGGATGACGTGGAAGACTACATTCAAAAAGCATCAACTAACCTGGTACTCCAGCATCGTTCCGCCAGTATTATCAAGCAAATGACTGGACAAGTCTCCACCTGTACTCCTATCAAGGAGGAGGTATGGGATGACCATATTGGATGGTGCGAGGAAGGTAGCGAATCTGTTGATGAGCCCCAAACCTGGACATTGCAGAGCCTGGGCTCGCCTTCAAGTCACAAACAGTCACCCACGAGCGACGAAACAGACCTAAAGGTAAGCTCGCCCAACTATGACACCGAGGCTTACAACGAAATCCAGGAAAGCCTGAATGTAAACTTTGACTATCGCGATGGCTGCATAGAAACGGATTCCAGAATTCACCACTTCGACTGGGTGGGTCGCCCCATTTATGAGCACAGTGCAACGTGCCCTTCAGACTCTCTTGCAATTATCATGACAAAGCCAAAGAACATTCATACCCCAGGCATGGTGAGGCAAAAAGCACTTCTGAACTGCGCATTTCAGTACATCGACCCAGTCATCGTAGTATTGGACGACACAGTACCCGATCTGCTCGAGCTTCGAGGCGCAAAGCTAGCCCAGGCATCTGCAGGAAGGGTACACAAATTCTACTCTGCCCATGGCCGATGGCTAGAAGACTCTCGAGACTCAAGTGAAGAAAACACCCTTGACTTTGGACATATCGAAGTGTACGAATCAGACCATGTCGCAATAGGAAACGGATTTGTAGAGTCAAGTCCAATTCAATCGACATCACAGTGGGTGAGTAAAATCCCGGATGCACCAGAGCGCGCACGGGCAATGCCGCGAATGAGAACATTTAAGCCGCAGCCGTCACCATTGAGTCAATCTGAAACGGCCCCAGTCTCAGAGGTTCACCACCAAGTGAAACCAAATATCTCAAAGCAGGCTCGGCACCCACTCCCAAAAATTACAACATGCGTCAAGGAAGAAATACCATATGTGTATTACTCATTCCCAGAACATGAATTTGGCAAGCCGAGATTGAGAGCAGTGAAAAAAGCGATCAAGCGCGCTTTCTTTAGCTTGAAATCCTTCCTAACATCATCCAAGTCTGTACTTTGTTAGAAGGTGGCTCCACTTTGTCGCCTTCAGCTTCCATTTGGTTGTTCTAGTTGTCTTTTGCCTAGGAGCGTGTCAAGTTAGTGCATTCACTTTCTGCCGCATATGATATTGAGTGTATCTGGCTGGCATCGCCGAATCCTTCTCACGCATCCTTTGAAAATATCCATTTTGAGATTGAGTCAAGGTCTGAGCGTTATCGCCACAGACGGGTTGAAGAGCAATCTACCTTGCTAGCTGGGCCCTCGCCCCATTTTCTTTTGTTTCCCATCACATAGTTTGTTTGAATAAAATCTCCATATGAAAAAGACAAGGAAAATCCAGTAGAAGAATTGTTTTGATTTGACCATTTGTAGTTTTCCAGGCTCTTTCTGATTGGTAGTTAGCACTATCTAGTTACACGATCATGTCGTCTTGTAAAAGGACATGTTTAATCAATAACTTGACTTATACAAGATTACGATTGGGCAAAGTGTGAGGTCACCACTTTCCAAGATGTCATTCAATGGCAGACTGTCTAAACCATTCACCTCACTATCACCTTTCTAAATCTACACCTAAGGAGATGAAGGGAGGAATTCTTGATATTAATTGCGATTTGGGCATGTAATTGAGCAATAGAAACCATGCCTATCACCTAGAAGCCGGACTTTTGCTGATTGTGGCCTGTGGCCCTTCTTTGTGTTTGATTTGAAATTGAACATCCGTTTGCGTTTGCCCAAAAGTAATCCATTGCTCATTTTATCATTCACTATGAAAAGATTAAAAGACAAAAAAAGTCTTGGGAATGCAGCTTTGAAATTGAAATTGAAGTCCGTTCGTTGAATCTACCTCGCGTTTCTTCTCAATTTTACTTACTATATGTGTAGATATCTTCATGATGTACAATCGTAGACTCCTCAGAAAATGCCGCAGTAGTATGCAAATCTATTTTAAGAACGTGACCTATTAAAGAACATATCTGAAGCCCTTGTTTTCGATCTCCGTTTTGTCCTGGAAAACAGAAATTAGCGATTTTTCAGGTTTAATGCACAGTAGACCTTACCAGCATCCCGTTCTCAACGCCTTCCGATTCGACTTCTTGACCATCGATGGCTTGGCGGTCACGGCGCTTGTTCTCAAGGAACATATAGATGTATAAGGCGACTATGCAGAGCAGTTTGACTATGTAGCCAACAAGCATGCTATAGAAATGACCAGTTAATCAAACCCCAGTGAAAATTTCTAGAACGGATACATACGCAATATAAGCACTGTGATATCCAGGGGCCTCGCTATCCTTGAAGGTTTGCGGTCCGATGATGTTTCCAACACAATAGCCGGTGAATAAGAGGGCACCCGTTACCTGCTTCTTGGTGTATCCTGCAATGTTGGAGCTGACAATGATCAAAGTCATGCTGAATCCCAGTCCTTGGAAGTAGCACAGCCAGAGTGCGACAAGGCGCCCCCATTTGTTGTCATCGGGGAGTCCGACTAGAAGACTTGCTCCTATGATACAGACGGCGCAGGCAAAGATCATGCATGCAAATCGAGAGTGGAATTTGCCGTCGAATTTGGTTGCTATCCAACCACCAAGAAGCAGAGTAATGAATTGAACCGCGCCGCCAGGGATTTGGAGGTACTGGGTTCCAAGTGTATCAAATCCAAAAGTTCCAACGATGATGGAGGTGAACTGTTTTTAAAATTTGTCAACTCCTAAGAGCATTAAACAGGGTATCTGAAGACATACGCTGGTCAATGCGGAGTTGGGAACCTGCGCGCCAATGGCCATAATGAACAAAAGCCATGTTTTGGGATCCACTGCCGCTTGTTTGACTTGATACCACTTGAATTGGCTACTTTTGACACCCTGCCGATTGATAGCGACACGCTCAACTGCGATTGCTCGCTCACGTTCGGTGAGGAACTTGGCTGTTGATGGTAAATCGGGGAGCAAAATCGCAGCAGCAATTCCCACTGCAATTGAAAAGGCTCCAAAGATGAGGAAAACGTACATCCATCGTGGTAGACCGGTCGTGATGTGTCCAACGGCATATCCGATTAAACTGTGTTCGGTTAGCTCGGCTTACAGATCATGGATTGAGGCTTCATTCTTTACTCACCCTCCAAACATTGTCGCAATACCGTTGGTGCAGTACCAAGCTTCTAGACGTAAAGGTTGTTCTTCCGATGTGTACCACATACTCATCATGAGAACGAATCCGGGAGTGACGATCGCCTCAACTACACCTAGTAGGAAGCGGTTGATCGCAATTCCGGCAAAGTTATGGCACGCGGGTGTTGTCATGAGAAGGCCACCCCATACTATTTTCGTTAGCATCTTTGTATCTATGACTTGTGGCCTTCAATCCTTACCCAATGTGGTAGCTGACATCACTTTACCCACGGGGAGCTTTTGCAATGCTAGTCCAGCAGGCCATTGCGCAATGAGGTATCCGAAATAGAAGATAGAACCTGATCAGTTCAGATTAGTCAATATTGCTTACAAGCCTTGAAGAATGTGCACTCACTCAGCCATGAATATTGTTGACCCTTCAGGTGTGTTCCATCCTTTAGGCCGTAAACGGACGCAAAGTTGATACTGTTCTTGTCCAGATACTGCAGACAGTCAGCACACCAATCGTTCACAAAGGAAATTTCCTAGCAATCTCACTTGGAGCATGTAAATAAGAAACAGCAGCGGTATGAGCACTATATCAATCTTTCGCAACACCTTTTTGGCTTCTTCTGGCGTATATTCAAGACCTTGATGCTGTTTATAAAACTCATAATTTTCATCTGCTGCCGCCGAATTTGTTGACGAGATGGAAGATGATAAGGTCGCCTCTGCTTCCTTTTGTGAAGCCATGGTTTAACTGGAAATTTCTCGACAAAACGGAGAAGAGAGAAGAACAGAGATTTATTAAATCTGATCTTGTACACATTCGGCACGGTCCAGTGGAGCATTGCACAACAAAACGGCCCCACTAGTCTAAGAAGGAAGGTTCTATGGAATAGGTGGGAATATAAAGTACATGTTAAGCTATATGCGAGTATGGCCGCAGTATTACCGAGTACTACGTTCTGACAGGAACTGAAGCGAAACTCTAAGCAATGATAGACACATGGACTGGCAGGATATGTGATTTTACTGGATCGATCAATACACTCCAAATGGATGTTATTGGCCGGCGTGACGTACCTAGAAACGTTGGGTGGCTTGAATCAAGGGAGTGGATCTATCACGACATCACCGCATCAATTGCGCGTTTGCAGGCCCATATAAGCTCATTTCACACCCAGAAACTACCGAAGCTTTGCTCCTCATCCGGAGATATTCCGTCCCCCTGAGCCAAGAATCGGAATAAGCCTCGAATCGAGAACAGATTTTGCATTCTGCTGCGCCCATTAATCTTGACCCTAAAAGACATACTTGGTCTTGGCGCCCGGTTGAACCCCGCGGACGTTTCCCGGGCGTTTCGACTCAAATTTGAGATTTCATGGGAGTTTGTCTTCTTTTCCATATCATGCAAACTACAACAGTTCTATTTTCCCCTTCTCATCAATCGTCTGGCAAAATCGTAAGCTGTACGTCGAAACAGAGACTTGAACCTTTTCGAATCCCTGGATCGCGATTAGATAAGCATTTTATTTGAACCTCATACTTGAATATGATTGGCCAGAACAGCAACCGCCGATCAATATTGATTAGATCTCTTGGATTTTCTCATTGCTTACAGCTAGGATTGGAAGATGCGAGAATGAATGGGATGAGAACTAAATGCTGCATTTTCCTGTGACGAACCTGAATGGGTTGGTCTATTTCATCTAGAACCCGTAGACATATTTGGTAATAACAATTTGAGACCCCCGGCGCATCATTTTTATATCATCAACCTTCATGCACTGGCAATGACATCCTCCGGTCCCAAGGGCGGCCGGCTGGCAGCCATATTACACTGTCTGAACACCCGCACTTCATCCTCCGCAAATGACCCAACAATTGAATGCATCACGCCATGGTTATTGAACAACACCAGGTCCCCTTCCTGCCAATCATGGGTGTACAGGTAGCAAGGGTCAATAGCTCTTCGCTGCAACTTGTAAAGCCGATCTCGAATCTCCGCAAGATTATCAAGTACCTGTCCATTTTCCAGGTGAATTCTGCGAATACAGGTCGGGTAGACCATCATGGCAAACTTTCCAGTGACAGGATTCTTCCAGGCCATGGGATATATCTTGATCTTATCGGCCTCGAAGGGGGGAGGTCTTTCTCATCAAGTTCCAATCCTTCTGACACAATTCCCAGTCCGTTGGAACGGGACTTGGCTTTGCTCATCCAGATGTAAGGATGGGGTGCATATTCGGCTTTGCTGGTGCGCACGAAATGTTGTTCTTCGTCTGACAGCATATCGTACAGACGATATCCGCTGAAGAATGCCGTCGTTCCAAGAGGCACGTCGAGAGTGGCGTCTGTGCCATCGTCGTAACGGCATATCTGGCGGCGGCCTTGTGGAACTTTGACAGCCAAAAGTGTGGTGACCAGTGGCGGATCGAGGTTGTACATTGCCGAGTCGATGTGCCAGCGATAGAAATGCGTGTAATCATGATTTTCTTCGGGCGAGATGGGATTCTTGTGGAATTTTTGTGGTGGGGGTGGTTCAAGCGAATGTTTTTGAGACCCTCATACTCCTTGACCAGCCCGCTACCAATAACCTGCACCTGAGGTTGGCTCGGAATGGTAGTCAGGTCGGCATGTAGCACACTGCGTTTGTCGATCGATTTTCCATGGCTATAAACACCAGCGGAGGGGTCGAAGCGTCGAGTGAGTTCGTACTGCGCATGAGGAGAGAGTTTTCCTTGGTTTTTGAGAACGACAACTTGATTTTCATACAAAGTTCGGCGAAGGAAATCAAAATCCTCATCTTGAGATAGATCAACGCCTATATCTAGTATTATTGGGTAGAGTCGAACTTACCAGTCATTGTCTCAACGTCAAAGCCCGTGACTTCTGCTCCAAAGTCCACTTGAGACTCATTGGATTTGGTGAGAGGCTTACAGGAAAGGGTCATGGTAGCCATTGCGAAGAAGGAAAGTCGAGACTCCAAGAATAATGAATTGTATGGATGAGTTGATGAGCGACTCTATGCTCTTTATACCGTCTGGTTGTACATTTGCAGTCCCTCGTCGGACCAATAAAAGCAGTGCGGGTGAGTCTTCGCAACTGGCCCGCTCCTGAAGATAGCACTCGTAGTTCAACGTCAACCTGCACGATAATACAGCACTTCTCATTAGTCAAGAGCACAGTGATGCAAGGATCCAACGGAAATCTGAATATCAGGAATGGCGGTGCAAATATGGGAACTCATCCGCTCCGTACACTTCGAACGTCTACTTAAAGGAAGCGATGTGTCGAGAGACAACAATAACCCCAACATTCCAGATCGCAAACTTTGTTATAATAGAAGAAATGCCCGAGTCAACAAGTCTAACGTTTGATCTTCTCCCTAATGAGATTCGACAAAGTTCCGCCATTGGCGCGGAAATCCACCTGCCGCCCGGAATGGGTTTGTTGGACCTTGACCACCTGACCGAGAACGACAAGGAGAACCTTCGAAAAGCTCTTTTTGAAAACCAAGTGGTGGTAATCAGAAAACAAAAAGGGATAGATGCAACTGTCCTGCCAAAGCTCGCCAAGGTTTTCGACCCCAACGCGTCTGATATTCATTCCGCTGGTGAGAAAGCCGTCAGCGACCCGAAGAACATCCTGTCGGCGTACAAAGCTGGCAGAATCCCAGGGGCTCCCCAGGTTGGTATCATTGGGTCGGGTACATTCGAAAATTATGAAGGTCTGGAGAAGTTGGAGGTTGTGCATTTGGTTTGTCTTTTCCGTCTGGCGAATGTTGTTATAGCTGTCTGACCGTCTGAGCAGGATCACACGTTGTTCCACGAGACGCCTTTGAAGCAGGAGGAGTTGGTTGATGGTTATACCCGCCCATACCGGTGGCATATGGATACTCCATTTTATGAGCGGCTGCCGGGTGAAGTGACGATCCTCCACTCAATTCGCAGTCCCAATTTACCCGACCAGAAGATCAAGTTTCCGGATGGAAAGGAAAAGGTTGTCGGTGCTGGTGCCACAGCCTGTGAGTGTCATGAGATAATCCAACAAGACTTAATTTCAAATGCTAACTGCATACAGTCTTTTCCGGCGCTCGTGCTTTTGCTCTGCTGACCCCAGAGGAACAAGAATTTGCTCTTAATACCACGGTCACGTACGCGCCTCAAGCGTACGAGTACATTCGGCAATGCAAGGCGTCAGAAGACGGCCTCACTATCCCGACGTTTGGGCGGGAGGTACCGGTGGAGAAGCTGTCGGAATGGGCGTGGGACAAAGTTGCAGAGCACCCGGTGAGCAAATTTGCCAATTGAAATAAGACACCAGAGAGATGTTTGGCTGACGATGCTTTACCAGATGGTCTGGCGAAACCCACTCAACCCCGACAGGCCCTTCTTACAAGTACACGGCTGCTGTGTGTATAAGCTCACCACACGGAACCCAGCGACAGGCGAGGTCAAGATCGTGGATGATGTCGAAAAAGTGAGGGAGGTGGTATACAACATGCAGAAGAAGATATATGCCGCCGAAAACATCTATGCCCATCGATGGCAAGAGGGTGACGTGGTCATTTTCCATAATCGTGGAGTCATGCACAGCATCACGGGTCAGCTGGCCAAGTACAAGGAGGAAGAGGATAAGAGGAGATTGCTGTGGCAGTGCACGATGACAAGTATCACTGCGCCGAAACCGTTCCGGGAATATGAGGGCGTCAATGACACTGGTTATGTGAGACCATGATAGAACAGAATATGCAACTAGCTCGATAGGGTCTAAGCAATCAAACAGGAACTTGAGTTCGAAATTTGAATTCTCGTGTTCTTCAAAATGGCAGAGGATCTTGTAAAGAATGGAATGTCCCATTGAACCAAGCGTCGAAGTCGATGTCTTCCGCAGTATCCCAAGCAGGCTGCATCTGCTCAAAGTGAGCACCAATAACATCTTGAGTGTCCATATCAGAGAACCTGCCAACAGAGCTCTCTGGTGTATCAGGACCCAGGTGCAATCGCGTGAAGCTCGAAAATTTGGCCAGGATTTGACCGAAATCCATCACTTTCCGACGCTGGCCTGAAGTTCCCATAGAGATCTCCGCAGTAAAGATTGCATCAATCAAAGCAACGCCTCGCTGAGCAAGGACATCGTTATTCCGAGCAGCAAGCCGGGTGCGAGCCGCGTGGATGGCATCCCTGTAGCTTTGAGCGATATTCACCTGGTCCTCTGCAGTGGCATTCACTTCAAAGCACATTATAACGGCAGCCGTAATTGCGAAGGCGGTATGTGTCCATATTGAAACGTCTTCTTCTCTCACAATTACCTCATGTTCTCGCAAGATGGTCATAGCAGCTGCAACACATGTACGTCTTGTATAGCTGTATGTCTGGTCGTGGAAAGAGCGGAAGAGGAACGGTCGATGGATCATGATGATTTTCTCTGCTGCAGTAATTGCGAGACTTCGTCGAGCAATTCCAAGCCATAAGATTTGTTCTTCTTTCTGTTTATCTGGGCGGAGCAGGAATGATGGTATGTTCTTCACCACGGCTCTCATTTTCTGATCGACGTGCAGGATATGTTCGTATTGCTGCCGCGGGGGCTTCCTCGCTTTCATTGGGCCAAACCCATCAACTAAGCCGGGCATCAACTCTGCCAGGTTGACCAAGACGCGGATGTAAGTGCTGATAGTAGGGGAGGTTATTGGCATATCCATCAAATCATAGTCATCAGCGTTCATGGGGCGGCCGGTCGAGAAGTGCATGGGGGAGATACTGTATGAGTCGGTGAAAGGGATCGCGAAGTGGTCCTGGATGATCATTTGACACCAAACCCTCTTTCCCACTTCTCGTTCCACTTTTTCTTCCCATTCTTCTTTGTTTCGAACAGGTTTTGAAGAGTGACCCTGAATTTTGTGAATCCCCAGACACTCCGCAATACGCACCGCGGCGTTGAACAGAGTCGCATTCAACTGACTCAGTCCAAGATTGTGAGCGACTTCGGTTGAGATAACAATTGCTTGTACAGAATATAGAGATAGGTTGCTGAGGAAATTCGAACTATAAAGAGTTTGGACCATAGCAGAGAAAAGTTGTTGAGCAGACTGTACCGCATGAAGGTCGACATCGACAAGCTCTCTTGCCTTCGCGCTATCTTGTATTGAACTGATGGTTGAGCTCAAGATAGAAAGATAAAGAGCTTGCCACAAAGGGTCGTCGAATTTCCCACATTCCCAAAACAATTCGCACTGTTCTAAGAACGTCGGGCTGTGTATGCAGTTGTGATGCCATGCTAAATGGCGTATGTGGAATTTAATGAGCTTTTGAGCATCGGCAGTTTGAGGGAAAATAGGTGTATTTTTCAGACCGAAAGAATCAGAATGGAGCAGGCTGGTCGCGGATAATAATTGCAGGCCATCTTTGCGATACTGACATGCACATGTCCTGTGTGGGAAGCATCCAGCAGAGTTTCGACCCCAAGCAAGATGCTCGATAGCTGTGAGAAGTGATGAGTCAACCTGGTGTAGAGTATTTTCAGTAGTCCCGGGAAACGCTTTCCCGAGGGCGCGATCCTCGGCCGAGCTTATTTCTTGCTCCGCCGTGGTGGTGGTGGATACATCCGGTTCTCTGGGATCTTGGCCAGTCTCCAGCCGGAATACTCGGTTTCTGATTTTTTGAACAACATGGGTGGTTTGATCTGATGGAGATGACTCCAGATCGACCAATAGTGTATTCAGAAACTCGATCTCCGGGCCGTGTTGCACAGTGTTGCGCCTGAGATGCACGACTTCTATTGAGCACTTCAAGTTGAGTCGTTTACATCTCGAACAGGGATCTTGCTTGTCACATTTACGCTTCCGCTTTGTGCACTCTGCATTAGGTCAGCTTCTTGGTTTACCTGTAAGGAGGAACAGCCTCGGCACTTACCTCGGCACGCTTGAGGCTGACGCTGCGACACACGGAACGAGCTTCCTTTGTCTGAAGGGCCACTCATTTCCCATCAGCTTTGATGAAGCCAGATGATCATTGATTTGATGTGTTAACGTTTCAAGGGTTCCCCACGGTGTCAAGAGAGTCGAGGGTTGTGGGATGTCCGGAAGCCGCAGTTTGTCCGAGGCTTGGCGCCGATAACACGTTTGTGATCCCCAAGATAATCTAGTTATGTAGTACAATTTCAGTAACTACAATTTATAGCAGTTAGGGTGTATACTTATTTTATTTGGAATAAATTTAGAGGATCTGTGAAATTGAAGTCAATAGTTATGATTTTTGAGACCACAATTGACTCGCATTTCCATTGTTATTTGCGCGAGCCGCTCGATGACCCACATATATATATAGCACAGTATCCACAGTCTGCAACTCGCCTACCCAGGTACCTTAGTCATTTTGCGATGAGGCTACACTAGAAGTGGAGAAAAAGTGATATGAATTTGTAATGATGAATTATCATGAAGATGATGGGTGAGCAAACGCTGCTGTATCCACCAATTTGGAAACTGGCTTCACGGTGATTTACGCTGAAATTTGTTGGCAGGCTTTCTATACTCAATATGGTTACCTTGTTGCCTTGGCCACTTTGTGGAGAATTCATTTAATCATCGTTGACGTATAGATGTCCACATACAAGGCTAGTTTCAATGCATACTGAACGGTAACCGTTCACGCAACATCCGTGTCATTGATCATCTCATTGGCACTCATACACGGTCCCTTGACCCAACCAGTGGGCTTCCTTCAATCTTTGAAAAGTCGTGGGCATCTAAGCATGCCTGTCGAGACTTGAGGAAACTGGGCTCGGCACGTGCGAAGACATCGTTCTCATAGGCGGCGATGGAGGATACTAAATCGATAGAATCGAAAGAGCTGTTTTTGCCAAGTCTTACAGTCAGTATGGTGCAATCATGATGCAACTAATTGAAAACATCACGTTTCCATACCTTGTATCTGTTATATTGAGACGCTTCACAAGATCAAGGACATCCACAATCGCGTTATTTGCGCCTTCTCCGCGGACTAGTTGAAATCAGTACCGCGCCTTTTTGTCAATTCCTAAGAGCCAAAAATTTTGGCTCACTTACACATGGTCATGGTATGTGCCGAATCTCCAACTAGCACCGCCCGGGGGTGCGCATGAGCCCTTCCTAGGCTGAACATCCAATCTTCGATACGAATCGAGCGCACTTCCACATCATCAGGGAGTTTCTGGACTAGGGAGCGGAAAGGCTCCGACCAATTCTCTGTCATATTCTTCATTAACGCAATACGTTCAGCGTTATTATTGGGGACCGGGATTCCCTTTGAGTCTGCCCAAGAGATGATAACCTGGCAGTTATAACGGTCTTTGCTGCTGTCCTCAAAATTGTTTGGGGTATCGAGGACTGTTCAACGATTAGCATGGCGGAGAAACCGCAAGGTGTTAATTTAACGTACAGCTGAAGAATAGAAAGACGTTCGATTCCGGATGAGAGCCTTGGAAAATGAAGGGGTCGATGGATTGGGCGCCACCCAGCTCCTCCGCAGTATACAGTGTTGATGCACCCAGCAGCTGTACTGGCAATTTATTCATCTGTGTATCTGGATAGAGTATTTCACGCGTTCGCGATCTTGAGCCATCACATGCGACAAGTAGCTTGCCAGTAGCAGAGGTGCCATCTTGGAAGTGTGCGGTGATCGTATCGCCGGAAGACGAGACGTTATGCAGGCTTTTACCCCACTAAATGATTGCCATCAGCTCCTACCATGAGATGTAGACCATCAAAATGCCGATAATGGCTTGTGTTGCTAACTTAGGACTTTACGACTTACTTGTACATTGACGCCGGTAGCCAGTAACTCTCGTAAGCGAGCCCGGCTGACTCGAATACGTTCAACGGCAGGTGAGTCGTACAAGGCAGCTCCTGACTTTAAGTCGAAAAATTGAAAGCGACCGGTATCACCTCGAGCTGATGCTTCTTTATTGACGAAGGTTTCGGGGAAACGATCGACGATGTTCCTCGGTAGTAGCTCGCGCAGAGCAGGAAGTGACCAATGCAATGTCAAACCCCATCCACCGCTCCGTGCGTCGCTTGCGGGGTCTCGATCGAAGATCTCGAAAGGAATATCATGGCTTAGCAGGTACTGGGCAAACACAAGGCCGCTGATGCCGGCACCGATTATCAAAATTGGTTGATCAGACATGGTGAGCAAGGTATAACGTATAATGTGGAGGTCTACTTCGTAGTACTTTGTGTCCGATTTGATCTCGTTAATCTATGTCGCGCACCCCTGTCTCAGCTGGTCTCACCCAGTTGCACATGCATCATGCCACACACTTCAATTGAAAAGTCTGCGAAAGCTTTCGGTGGAGCCTAAAATTTCCACAATTTCAACGTGGAGCCTACGGGGACCAAACGAAAGAAAATTAAGATTTGATAGTCCGACTGTGCCGTTCGCATTTACGCCTTTCGGAAGTCGAAAGGCCATTTAAATTGGAACTAACTGTTTAGCTTTAGTTGAACTAATCTAATTGACTCGCAATGTTCTGCTTTCGGGCAAACCCCGGGAACAAGTCCGGTCAACAAATTGATGGAAGCAAACAATTTTTGCCAGTCCCTCCATGAATGATTAATAAATGTCTCAGGCCCCCTCTTCCTGCGCAAACTATATAGGGCGGGTCACCACTCTCCACTCTACCCGTTCGGGATGATCCGGTGGATCTCCGTCCACCCAAGGGTGTGCTGGTAGAGGCAACGTCCCGCCTGGAACACAAAGTCTTTAAGAAGGATTTCATTGTGCAAAAATGTGCGGTCTCGGCGCCGGATTCCAAAAGATTATCATATATTTTAGTTAGTAGCAGCGCCCAGCGCCAAAGTTCTGATATCTGATTTTCACGAAAATGCCACACACGCGGCAAGGGATAGAAGCGAGGGAAACAGAAAAAGCAATTATTAATTTTTGCCATGCGTGCTGACTAGCCCGCCCGAAATCTAGTTGAGTCTTCGTACATGCGCTGAATTGACTTTGGCAGAATCATAAGGTACTCTGCTTGGTCGGCTTCCCTTCCAAGGACACACTGTACTCCACTGTCATCTCGATGCCCCCATGATCCGGCTCTCGAGTACCCAAAATGAGCTCCTCGCTTGGTGTTCGTCTCGGCTGTACTGGGCCGGAAGCAGTGGACTGCAACTGCGAACGGTGATCTTTTGACCAATTGTCTAATGCATAACTTTTGCTTCGACCATCAGTGTAATATCTCTTGTTCTTGCCGCTGCTCGTGCCAAGGCCTCGCACATATCCCTTCAGCAACGGCGCCAGATAGGGAGCACAAGTCACAATATTCTAGAAAAGTCAGCAATTGTGTCGCACACGTTAATCTTTCGGCCACTCACCCCCACGTTAAACTCGATGGTTCCCCATAAAACAAGCATCGTCGAATTTCCGTCCCCGAATGCCACACGATGAATCTGCGTGAGCCGCAATATGGAACAAATAGTGGTGAAAAGACCAAGGAGGAACAGGCACACTACACCAGCTTTCTGTATCGGCTTGATGTTCAGACTGAGGAGCAGGGGGATTGGCAGTATGATGATGGTCACATCGCAGATAATGGTGAAGATTGCAAGACCGTAAAATGTTGGCCCGACCGGGAGACACGTTCCCTCGAGTTGGCGGTTCCATCCGCGTTGAACCTAATGCAATGACAAGATTGTCAGCTTCTGCTCAGGGTGTTCAGTCGACGGGTGCCTTACCGGTGTACAATTGAAAATCAAGACAAGAGCCCCAGCGATGTGACCCAAAGTAGACAAGACGATCACAACCCAGATGACAATCCGATATAGGGTTTTGGAAGTGCCGGAGATCAATCGCAGATAGCTCAGGCACAGCGAAGCTTTAAATCCTCCGATGCCGATCTGATAAAATGGACGTCCCGCATAATTCAACTGTTTTGTTCTCGTGTCAGCTATCTCTGCTTCTAGAATTGCCTTCCAGAACTATGCAGAATAATGCAGCATCAGGATATTCTTACTTGAGAATATGTCGAAAGATCTGCCTTAGGGCGTTGCAAAAGGGGCAATCCTAGTCCATATCGACTTTCTGTGGAAGAAACTAAGTCTTGATCCTGCAAGTGAACAAGATCCTGCAAGTGAACAATTGCTAGTACTCACGAGAGATGCATAGTGCACTGTATATGATACTAAAAACCTGTCTGGAAGTCAGCCATCAATTTCTTTCAGAATGTATGTAGATACTGACCATGCTCATAACCATCACATAGTCTGCTGCCGCCAATCGACCGACTTTAGCGCGAACAAACAGTCGCAAAGAGACAGTTATAACCATCAAGATAGTTAGACTCAGACATACCCCTAGGATGAGGCGGTACTGCGACGAAGCCTCAGCTTCGGGGGAGGCATTGTATACCCAGCCCATCTTTGAAAAACATAAGACCAAAGCAAGTTGTAGACGACATGACACTCAAGTCGACCACTGTCGCATCTTGACACTAAAATGGCCTAGCGTTCTTCCTACTCCCAGCAGAAAATTACAATCTTTTTCGCTGATGTCGGGTTTCTATTCTGAAACTAGGGTCAATGTTATTGGCTAATTTGTTCTGGCCCCTTTACACTTCAATTCGCAATCTGGCATCGTATTCCGGGTACAATATTGACCTTTGCTCCACACACCCCTCTGTTGGGTCCGGGTTACTTTCGCCAAAGCTATTGGTGTAACTCTAAAACGTCTTTGATTAGCTGCATGGCTGTCTGCGAGCTCATGTACATTGAATTATCTGCTCCGCCGATTGGGCCATGGTGGTTTCAATGACTTTAGGGTATGTGTATTAATATATTCTTCGTCCCGCCTTATTTCCACTTTCCGTCTGTTATTTTGACGCATTCTTGGTTTTCTTTTCTTTTTCCCCCTCGCTGTACTTTGCTTTCTTCTTACTACCTTATTTTCGCTTCCTTCTGAATGATCATGGGCGAAAAGCAAGCTGAGGCAGTACCCCGTCATCTCGGACTTGACCGCGCAGACGATGCAGTGCTTTACCTTGAGGGCCATACAGATGGCGCCGACGGCCCACAGGTTGATTTGCGGGCTTTGCGCCGTAAGATTGATCGACGCTTGATGCCTTACATGTTTTGTTGCTATATTTTGCAGTTTCTCGACAAGGTTATGCTTAATGTAAGTCTATCTTGAGATCAGCGCTCGTATAATTCATATCGCTAATGCAGGTGACTGATCGTTTATAGTATGCCGCCGTCATGGGAATTAAAAAAGACCTCAGCCTTAAAGGAAATGACTTTTCCAATACTGCCACATGGTTCTTCATCGCCTACTTGATTGCAGAAGTTCCCAATGGTGAGTTTTCCGATGTTCACCGACCGCGCTGTTATGAGCATCCATGCCAACTGATCGAATTAGTGTATTGCTTGCAAAAAGCACCGCCTGCAAAATGGCTTGGAGGAAACGTGTTCCTATGGGGCATTGCTGCCGCCGCTTCGGCTGGCGCCCAAAACTACCGTAGCTTATTGACAGCACGGATTTTCCTGGGAATTTTCGAAGCCACTGTTGGTCCATCCCTGATGCTCATTAGTAGCCAGTACTACACTCGCAGTGAGCAAGCTCCTCGATTTACTATATGGTATATGGGTCTTGGCGTTGCCCAGATACTGGGAGGTCTCATTTCTTTCGGCTTCCAGCACGTACATCACGCCTCAATTGAGGGCTGGAGGATTATGTTCCTGGTTCTTGGTCTGATAACATCCGTCGTCGGCGGGTTGACATTTTTCTTTATCCCAGATACACCAATGAAAGCTACTTGGCTATCTGAGCACGAGAAAGTTGCTCTCCTCCAGCATGTTAGTGAGAATCAAACAGGCGTATGGAGCACGACTTTGAATTTGAGTCAGATCTTGGAGGCTGTTTTGGACCCCCAGTTATGGCTCTTGACCCTTACAACTATTTTGGTACGTCGCACATTCTATCCCTTGCTTCGCCTTCCACAACTCAACTGACCATCGCTGGTATCGATAGATATCAGTCTCAAGCGGCGTAGTGACCACCTACTCGTCGACTTTGATTGCAGGATTTGATTTCTCAGGCCCCATCTCGGCACTCTTGAACACACCATCCGGCATTGTGAGCATTTTCTTCACTCTTCTCGTTGGTTTTGGAATCCGGAAGACCTCCAACCGCTGGGCATGGAATGTCTTATGTACCATCCCTGGCATTATTGGTGGAGCCTTGCTGTCCTTCATGCCTAAAAGCAACAAGGCTGGAGTCCTGATTGGTATCTACCTGGTGAACGCAATTGTAGCCACTTTGCCAATTCTTTACCAGTGGACCATGGCCAATTGTGCTGGACACACGAAACGTGCATTTGCCAGCGCTTTGGTTGCTGGATCCTTCTCTGTTGGAAATATCATTGGCCCGCAGACATTCCAGGCACGGGATGCACCCGAATACCATCCCGCCAAAATCGCTGTTCTTGCCACACAGGCTGCTGCGGCCTTCGTGTCTGTTGTGCTATTTTGCTACTACAAATGGCAAAATCGCCGTAGGGATCAGACCGAGGGTCCTATCGATGAAACTATGATCGATGAGACCAAATGGGCCGGTCTCACGGATAAGCAGAACCCTTCGTTCCGTTACGTTTACTAAACAGGCGACTGGAATCCATGGATACAGTGGGAATTAGTGAGTGACCAAGTCTAAAGCTTGGTATTACCCTCACTATATAGTCGCATGGTGTCTGGGTCCAAAAGTATCGATGTATCTATTCAATTAATTCTCCAGCATACTATAAGAAGGTCTATTGTCTAACAATAAAACTAATTGCCCTAAGCTGATTCTATCACCACTTCCGGATGTGCTCCACCGATGACTCAGGAACCCTAGACATGTTCATCGGCAAAGACTTCACCAAGCTTTACGAGACCGTCCCAACGGACGTCCTTTTGGATCTCGATAATTCCTTCTGGTGTCGCGACTTTCATTTCATCAATTGACTTTGTGCCAAAGTCATACTCTTGGTCGTCGTGCACGAAAGCAACCAAAACTTTGATCCAATCTTGCATAAGGGCTCTTTCGGCATAATTTGGTCCATGTAAAATAGCGAAACTAAAATAGTGAGTTGGTATCATTTGTTCTATATCGATTCATCCCCAAAACTTACTTCCAGAACGGCTTATCCATAGCATGAGAAACGCCCCAGGAGAGCGGAGCTATTTTGTCTGTGATAAAAGACAGACGGTACGCAATGCGGTAGCGCCAGATATCGCGAAGTAGAACACCATGAGAGCTGAGGCTGTGGATCAACCACCTAGATGGCGCTCGTACCTGACCATCTGCAATGATGTTGCCGTACAGTGTCTTCCATTCAGACGGGGCTGAGCTAGAAGGTAGTTGATAGGACTTGAGTACACGTTCGGTTGTCTCAGGTGCATAGTAATTTGATACTTGCATCCGCAAAGAGTCGAGATTGGGCTCGGGAGTGTTGTAAGTGGCATACAGAGTCTCCTCATTGAGTACCTCTCCAATTAGGATTCGAAGCTTGCGTTTCTTGAATTCTTCTGCGAATGCCCCACTATGATGATATTCGGTAAATCCAGGGAATATAAACAAACCATCGGTGATAGGGCGGAAAGTGTGATTCTTGAGGTGTGATATGGCGTCGATCAAATCTCGATAGCTGACTTTTCGCAACGCGTCAACTTTCTCCGGCCCAGAGAGATCAGCCGCAACTTCAAACTGACTACACAGCTCGTCAAACTGGCCGTTAACGTCGGTAATGGCTTTAGGTTGTGCAGGAATTGCATTTGAATACATGTAGAATCGATGGAAGAGTTGTGTTCCACGTCGGAAATCGTGCAACACTTGTGCATGCGCTCCATATGAACCTGCGCTCCGTCCACCGAATGTGATATTGTTGATATCACCATTGAAGGCCGCAATATGTTCATGCACCCACTCCATGGCGAGCCGTTGATCCCAAAGACCGAAATTACCGGCACTTTCGCCATTGCTGTCTTCAAGCAAAGCTTCGCCGCCTAGGAAACCGAAAATATTCAGGCGATATCCTATACCGATCACAATTGCGTTGAGACCGCCAGTGGAAATCATCTCGGTTGGATCCATGCCGAGTTCTTGGAGCGGCTCGCCAAGCTGGAACCAACCGCCATGAAGCCAGAGCACAACAGGCCACTTTTTGCCCTCCTCCCTAGGTTCTTCAATTGGCGTCCAGATATTGACAATCAGACAGTCTTCGCTGTATGCCTCAGAGCCATGACCCTTTTCTGCGCTACTTGAGAACGTTCCTTGGGGGCAGATTGGACGAAATTTGGACGCATCAAAGGGACTTTGATCTTCTTGGGTGTACGTGTACGTGGCGGGCAATGCGCGAGGCTTTCTCCAGCGATGCGCGCCAACTGGCGGGAGAGCGTACGGAACGCCTGCGTATCGTCGGGCCTTGTTGTCATATTGCACACCTTTGATCCGGCCCTTGGAACCTAGATCAATTTCGTGAGGTGTCTCTTCGTAGGCTGAAAGTTGATTTCCCATTATAGTAAAGAGTGGAGGTGAGGGGTAAGGCAAAGGATTTGGAGACCCTATACCTCCTCCGATACAGTACCACTTCTTTCCATTTTGGGTTAGTCTGCCGGAGCTTCTTCTGGCTCCGAAAAACGATCGTTATCTGATTGAATAACTGTTGATATGGTCATTGAATACACAATCTTACTCGACCTTGTGAATGTCTAAAAGTCATATGGCGCAAGCCATATTATACAGGGTAACCTATTTAAGGGGCCTTATCACGATGATCCATAGATGTGGTCTCTGAATTGGAAAGCAGGCATAAAGGAGAAATTGAACGTGAAACATATTTTGTCTATTTCTATCTAAAGCATTCGAGTAATGTTTGAATCAAGTGACATGCTCTTTCTCTTCTTCCTTGGGAATTCGCACCCAAACAATAGTCACTAAAGCAGCAAGCAATTGCGCCGCAAGTGCAAACCACCAAATAGCATGTAGTCCAGCAAGACCGATCTCTCCATCAGCACCCTTGTCAACACGGGTACCGATAGCATCAGCAACACTCGTCATGATGGCCGAGGAGAGATTCTGGTTCGTGACAAGGAGAGCGCCAGCACTTCCCTGGTAGGACCGCTCAACATTACTAGTAATGAAGATCGAAGCCGCGGCAAAAGCAAGGTCAGGCCCGAACGTGACCAGCGTAATACCAGGGAATGACAGCGCCCAGTAAGTGGTGTTCGCTGTTTGTGGGAGGAAAAACGCCGACCCAAGCGTGAATGCCAGCATCGACACTGTATATATGTAGTGCCCCGGCACGAGGTGCAGAGTCCGAGCCACGATGACCGTAGCCAACACACCGACCAGGGCATTTGGAATGTGATACAGAGCGACAGCAATCGGGCTGGCATGCTGAATACGCAGCCAGAACTGAATTGCGTAGAACTGCCAGCACCCGAAGAAAGACCCAAAGCCCAAGAAGTATGCGATCATCAACGGCGTGAAGCCTGGTGTCCGCCAGAGTCGGTTAGGGATGAGCGGACGGACAGCCGAGCGCTCGGCGAAAAACAATCCAACGAATAGAACAAAGCTGACAATGATCAAGACATAAGTGTACGGGGACCACGAAGCGACAGGGCCCTGCGTTAGTCCAAACAAAAGACAAACACAACCACCCGCAGCGCAGAACCCGCCAATGTAATCGAACTGCTTAATGGACGGGGCTTCTTTGCCGGCGATATCGGCAACAGGACGAAGCGGCGGAATGGTATACCAAGCCGCGACGCAAAGTAGCGCACAGATAATAGCATTTGAGCCGAAAATCCACGGCAAATGCTGATATAGCGCTCCACCCTGGATGGCGCCAAGCGAGAACCCGAACGGAGCCGTCGCCGCCATAGCCGAGAACACGCGGTTCTTGCGAATCCCCGGCGTGTAGACACGGCCGAGGATGCTCATGCTCCCCGAGACGAGGACGCCGATGGCGAGCCCTTGCATCGCGCGCATGACGAAGAAAAGAATATACCGGGATGGGTGGAGGGTAAACACGCCGATGATATTCCAGACGCCGAGCCAGGCGAAGGCACCGACCATGAGGCTTTTCGGGGGCATCAGATCTGTTAGCGAGCCGGAGATTATAACCGATAGCCCGTTGGCGGTGTTGAAGGCGCCGACGACCCACGGGAGCTCGGTGCTCGTTATGCCGAGTGCGGCTTTGATTTGTTCTTGTGGTGCGAGCATGTCGCCTAATAGAAAAGAGAAGAGCATTAGGCCTGCGGAGCAGACGAAGATCATGATGAGTTCGGCTGTGAAGCTGGAGAGCTCGGGAGGAATGCCTTGTTTGGTGCGGGTCGGAGATGCCGATTCTTCGTCGGAGAGCTCGTTCCGACGGGATACCGAGATTGACGGCTTGCGGTTTTTCATGGTTGTGTCGAGGACATAGCTCTCTTCTTTGCCTGGGGTGATGCCTTTCATTGAGAGGTTTTGAAGAGCGAGTTTGTCCACGACGGTGTTGCCCATCAGTGTATCTGGGGTTTGTGCCCCGGTCGCTGGCGTTGAATATGTTCTTGTATAGGACATTGATGATCTGCTGGAAACTGGTGCTGAGTCCCCATCTTGGCCCTCTGGCGTTGTATCTAGATTTTCGATGGCGCGAGGGTCTGCGCCCGCGTGCGTTTGCTCAAATGGCATCTTCGATAGCAGCCACGATTTACGACAAAGAATGCTGCAAAGTCCTTAGCCAAGGAAATATAATGAAGAGAAAAAACATGCGTGGCGACGAAAGGATTAAATATTGTGTGGTGATCTAAGAGTGGAGTGAGAAAAGTGGAAAGCCCTTTCCCGCGTGTCCACTCAAGACGTTTGCTTATTTTTTCCCTTTTTTTGTGTAGTTCACATCAATATTGAGTTCAGCATCTCATCTGAAAATCCCTTGCGGATAATTGCGTGTACTGTCAAATGAGACTGACGATCTGATTCGAATATTGTTTGAGAGAAACAACAGTTATGTTCAAAAAGGCGATTCCTTCCCAGTCAAGTATCATGGTCTAGGGATGCATAGCTACTTGGGATATTCCACTTTTGACAACACATGTTTCTGACAGAGCAAAAAACATTGCAAAGTACGAGAAATAGTGGATCAAAACTTGATAGTCCATATGGGATAAAGTGTGGAATGACGATTGAGAATGGATTGCGATTCTACAAACGTCGTCAGCTCTGATCGTCAGGAATCGATTGCCTCGATAGTTGGATGTTTCTTTTTCAATTTGACTCGGTCTAAAGTCCAATCGGATGCACGGGTTCGTGAATCTCGTGGCGGAATCTGATTTCCGAGGCCGAAGACACACAACACCGAGTACATTCGGGACCTTGCAGGCGGATCATTGCAGGACGTATTTGAAATATAATCGAGTTTAGGAATGTCTGACGTCTATAGTGGGGTTCCCGCTACTTGAGATTCGAAACAACAGTTGATCGTCGGAAAATCAGGGGATGGAATTGGTCAAAGCTCTACTTTCACCTGTCTCGTAGTCTGAATTGGACAAAATTTGTATGTCATACCGCACTTTCATGATGAAGATTTCAACAATCATGCTCTAATCTCTCCTACATCATGCACTGATCGTATAGAGGCTCGGGCTGCCGTTCGAGTGATAAATCTTGTATAATGATATACTTTACTAAGCTTTGTTGATCATGTTCGCCCTGCATGAATGCAACGTCATCTTTTGGCAGATCCTCTCCTTGCGGAGGTGCAAGTCGCCGTCTACTGAAACCATGCAATTGTTTGATAAGTGAAATCATTGCTCTTTATTCATAATGCTAATTTATTATACCAGGTCTACCGGGTCTATACGCTTATTTGCCGAAAACCTTGAAGCGGTCCTCGATAGGGGCGAAAGTCTTCTCACCAGGCTCAGAAGTAGGAGTACCGAAGACCAGCTGGGCATCCAACTTCCACGAGGCAGGGATGTTCCAGGTCTTGGCGATCTGCTCATCGATCAGAGGGCTGTAGTGCTGCAGGTTGGCGCCGAGACCCTCGGACTCAAGGGCAACCCAGACTGAGGAGAGTGAGTTAGTGTCATATCTATGATTTCTAGCTGGATAGGATAGCATACCGAGGTACTGAGACATAGCGTTGGACTCAACAGCAAAGGGATCGAACTTGTCGGCGTAGATGGCGAACTTCTCCTTGATAGGAGCGAGTGACTCAAAGTCGACGAAGAAAAGGACCTGTTTACGGCATTAGCTACCTGATCGGAATCGGGTTTCTGATGCGACGTGTCGCCGCCGAGACAAACGTACAGTTCCGTAGGCAGCACGGAAAGCTTCCAGCTTGGGCTTAGTTGCGGTCTCGAACTGCTCCTTAGGGACGACACCGGCGGTAACAAGACCCTCCAGGGCGTTGATAGCGATATCCCACACCTTCTTGTGCTCCTCCTTCAGCAGGAGGACGACACGAGAGGTCTGGGTATTGAAAGAGCTAGGCACGTGCAGGACAGAGTCCCGGACAATGCTCTCAATGGCATCGTCGGAGATAGGGCTCTCGCCCTTGAGGCCATAGTAAGTGCGACGGGACTTGACCAACTCCAGGAGAGAGGTAGTGGCAGCGTTGTTGAATTGGGGTTGAGTGGAGCCCATTGTGAAGGTGTGGAGTGAAGGGAGATAGGTGGTTAGTTGGGTAAAGTGATATAAAGTAACTTGGAGAAGGAGAAAAATGATATGGAGAGGGATGGCGGGGTTTATATACATAGTGGCAGATTGGATTGCGAAATCCTAAATCGCGAGATCAATTTATTTATTTTCTATTTTATGTTTCCTTTTTGTTCCATATCAGAGTTAAAACGCCACCTGTAGCCAATCACAATACAGTAATACTCGGATGTACGGAGCTAAAGGATGCCGAGTTTTCGTAAGCGGAAGTCCTGGGACGCTGAATTTTCAATTAATGAGTTAGTAAGCGCTTGCACTATTATCAATCTGTTACCAAGCATCATAAGATTTGATTATAAGCTTCTTTTTTTAGGACGGAATCATCCCGTCCGTCAAATTTTACTCCTAGGTACCATGAATTAGGTTTTTGTCTTGATCTATATCAAAAGTCCTTAAACCTTTTCTCCTTACCTCCAAATATTGTGAATCTAGAGGGCTAATTCCTTCCAATTAACCAAAGAATAATTACGGCAAACAAGCTTCCAATTCATATGGTGTGTTTTCGGATTATGCTATCCATACATCCATATTACTTAGGTAGCCACACGAGCAACAATTTAATCTCCAACTCAAGCCTTATCCCCCCAAAACCTTGAGTCTTCATTCGGATTGCTTATCAAAACGCAAATTCCCTTCAATGTCTGGCAATAAATCCTGAACTGGTAACAGATCCAAGAGCAGCCGCCCATACCACCAAAATTCAATTCAACAACATGAATCCGGCGACTAGCCCACCCACCATCGCCACAGGCATCGTCGGTTTAGTTGCGTAGTTCTTCGCCACCAGAGAAGTGCTAGGCATAGGGGACTGAGAAAGCGCACTTCGAGAATCACATGCACAGTGACAGGCAATGTTGCTGGCCAGGACCGTCATAGTGACCGTCATTGTGCCAGTCGTACCAACAGGCAACGTTTCATTCGCAGCAGGCACTCCCACGCTTACCGCAGTAATTGTCGCATTCAGATAACTGGCCGAGGCTCCAGAAGTCGCAAGCACCAAGCTCCCAGTGGCGGTGTTAATCTCAGGATCGTTTGAAGCAGGGCTCGGATCCGAAGCAATTGCGACGCTTTCATGTCCAGTACGCAGAGCAGTATCGACCGGAGGGTTACTTTTGATCGCAGTGGACGGCACCGAGAGATTTCCAGTATCAGTCACAGGCAAGGGAGCTGGATAAATCCCAAGGCTAGAATCAGCACCGGTGGTCGGGACAATCACCGTTTTTGATACGAAGAAGTCTGCAGCATGGGAGTGTGTTATCTCAATGCAGGTTGCGCCTGTAGCAGTTGGAGAGCCAATGAGTGTGCAGCCGGAACTGAGGTCAAATCGCTGGCCCTGGGCAATCAAATCATATGCTTGATAAATAGTGAGTATCATATTTTTTTCCTAGACTCTGAAATTCTACTTACTGCTAGGTGCATAGATAACAGTCAGATCAGGGCTAAATGGGTGACAGAATTGCGCGTCCGGAAGACAGTTGATCGCGTATGTTGTGGCTTCATCTTTCTGGTCTGCTTGTCAGTGATATAGGGTTTTAAAATTGCAAAATTGCAAACTGTCAGTGACATACCGCGCCTAAAACCTTTCCGCCATAGCCTTGAAAGAAGTCAGGGCCATCCGTGACCCATGGGATAGTCTAGTCATTGTTCAGCTTCTGAAGGTGTGGTGATGCTAGGTAAACAAACAATAGTTGGGATTGGGTCTGCCAGTCCAATGACAACGCAGCAGACCTGGATCAAAACCACATAAAGATACTTTGGCAACATCTTGTACGTAAATCAATTAGGCAGATATGATTAGTATAGCAAAGAAGAGAAAATGAGGCCAAGAGAGTGCACGAGAAAGAGTTTATCGCTAAAATATGAGGTTTCACCAATGTAAAGGGTGTGGGAAAACGTAAATAAATGACAAAACCTTGTAAGCTGAACGAACGTGGCAGGGACTGTCTGTCGACAAGCTCAGCGGGAAAGAACCACTCTCCCAAACCAAACCCCATATATTCACATCTGTATATACGTATACACGTAGGTATAATTTTGCACTTTCAATACTATCTTTGTCTGCCTCAGCAAGCGTTCCGATTATGGCATGCTCACTCATGGTAAATCCGTCTATAATTCACCCTTTGCACACTCTTTTGGCACATTTCGCTCGTAGGTTGACTCGGAATCGGTGACACTTGGTATTTAAAGCACATTTTTCGTGGCTCATGTATATAAACTTTGTGGATTTGACTGCTTTGGCAAAGTTTGTTATTCATGCTAAAGGACTCAGCAGCATCCCCATGTGGCCATTTATGCTTTCCCTTTCTCATTTATAATCCTTCATGTCATTATGCCTTTGACTTCATTCATCATTCATGATCAATCTCGTTCCATAGTCCATATGCATATATGGACATAAGTGGCCTCGGATAGGTGGTTCTCTTCTTTCATTCTTCTCTGAGCAAATGCTATTACCTTTCTTATAGCTACTATTGTAGCACCATCACATTATACCGTCCTCATTCCACTAAGAGCCGACACATAACACAATACTCACCATATGTTTGACATCCCGGCTTTGTTGCCGTTCACCTTTCATCAATTCTGACCTAGGCTTTCGCACTTACCAAGTCATTCAGGTTGTAGAGCCATATTTATCTAGACACCCAGTGTATTGATACGACCACCCAAGTGAAGCTTTTGCGAAGCTGCTGCGGTCAGCGATTATCAAACCGTTCAGGTTAGTCTATACCTCACGATCTTGTATCTAGATATGTTAGCAGGAGATCCTTGGTGATTTAGGCATGTTTAGAACAGTAGCCATTATACTTTTACCAGCATAATTGTAAATTTCCAGCAACGTTTGATTCGACTTTTGAGCCCGATTGTCTCTACGTCACGAACAAACAATAGGAAGAACTCGAGAGATGGAATTTTCCAACTTTGACGATCACCATTAGTGTTACATAAAATTAAGAAGAAGATCAAACCAATGGTGTCAATGATAAACCAATGCATATCTCTCGGTCCCAAGTGAAGAGAATCGGACGAGCATTGCAATAATTCTTCCCAGTGTGAACTTTCATCAGGTATCACACTAACCGCGTTCGGCAGAGCCACGTCCTTCTCGTTTGTCAACGTTCACATGGGACCGACTGATACCTCTACCGGACAATTACTGTTTATCCTTATTTAATCACATAGATGCCTGTTGCTCATTGATCCTACAATTGACATGGTTGCTATGTATGCTTCCTCTATTCAGCAGCACTATCATTCGACCATGCATACATTCTCTATTTGCTTTTATCGTAGAGCTCCTTTTATGGCCTATAACATATATGAGCATGATAGGCCTTCTTTGAATATATCATCAGTATCGTTCATTTCACTCCTCTGATCAAATTTCGAGAATCATCGGTGGCTAACGATGCCAAATTTTTGTTATCTTCTAAGTCGCCGAGTTCAGATGCGCAGCGGCGCCATTCGTCGTATAACACGGCCCTGCAGGTGAGTTGAAACTGTCTAAGCCTAGATTCGAGAGATTGTACTTAGGTTTCAATGAAGAGACAAAGGAAGTTTAACGGTCTGTAAAGGCACTTTAGAGAATGAGGCTCCAAGGTGGACCAGTTATCCAACTGCTACGGGGTTCTAAAAACCAAAGCAGACTTCCTTAGTATGGCGAAGGGATTTATAGAGAAGATCCGTAAAAGCTATAGTTATATGATTGTTGCACACTAATCATTGGCCGCTATATAGCTTCGCACTCCAATAACAAGAAAGTTGGCAGACGAAAAAAAAGAAGAAAAAAAAGAAAGACAGAAATGTCAGTTGGCCACCCATTCCCAAACCAGAATACGCCTCAAGACCCAGAACGCAGATAAATAAAGAGAACACCGTCGCCAAAGTAGACCATCGTAATGCAATCATCAAAAAACAAGAAGGGCACTTATACCCTTTCCCAAAGAAGAAAATATGTATAAAGAAAAGGAAAGTGAATATAAGATCATCAAACATCCCCAACTAACCTCCGCTCATCATTATCCAGCTTCGTACTCTCCTGGACAATAGTCATCTCAGTAGTGACCTCGATCCCCCCAAAGGAGCTATGACTCGACCGATCCCCAGGCTTGACATTGATAGAATACATATCAAAGTCCTTATCCTGGTTTTGGCTGAACAGCTGCGTATGACGGGTCTGCGTGCGGGTGGCTGTCAAATTCGTCACCGTGGGCTTGTTACCCGTGTAGCGGTTGTAGCTGTTCGTGGACAGGAGCTTGGGGAAGATGCTGCTGATGATCGGGCGCAGGAAGGGCAGGCACGAACATATGATGGCTACGTTGCATTCTGCGGCAGTCCAGTAGGCGGCACCGACGTTGCTGTCTGGGTAGAGGGTTAGATTTTAGTTTGGAGGAAGAGGAACGGGGGAACAGTGACGTACATGATGTATCAGGGCTCTTGGCTACTTCGCGGAGACTCGAGAGGCGCAGGATGCTGGTTACCACGACGAGGATGCCGATGGCGAAGACGCCCATTAGGGCAATCTTTTGCATGCGGGGGAGCTGTAGTTGCGAGAGGAGGGGCATGGGGAGGACAAGAAGGGTGATGTCGGTTGCAATGTTCATTGATGCGTTGAAAAACCAGACCGCTTCGAAGTTGAGACAGGTTCCTGGTAGGTCGTGGTTCCAGAATTTGGCCACGGGGACGCAGTTGACATAGCCGCTGACGATGGCCCAGGCTGAGTAGGTGGCCACAATGGCGATCATGATGTGACAGGCGATGCGGAAGGATCGACCTGGGAAAATACGTAGATATTGGAAAAGAATGGAGAATTTGGTGAATGCTAGGCTGGCGTTGTACATGGGGATAGCGGCCCACAAACACTGGTATTGTCAATGTCTGGATCATGAATGACAGTGGCGGAAGTGTCTGTTCGATAGATCATACCTTAAGTTGTTGCTGCAATACATGACTCGAGAGCAGCGAGGAGTGAATGCCCATGCCGTAATTCAGTTCTAGGATCCATGTTAGTGGAGCTGATCTCGATCGCCTTGTATGAGGAACTCACGGGCAGCGACTAGGGCAAGATAGATTAAAGAGAAGACCTATGTACATGCTCTGTTAGCTTCTGGTTTTATAGGCATTGCACGAGAGACCTACCAGCGAGATCAGAATGGCCCAATCCTCACGACCGGTGATTTTCATCAGACCAAGTCGAGCATACAACCGCATTGCAACAATGACTGTCGAAATAGCTGTCAGAACAGCAGTCACCACCAATGCCCGTCGTCCACGAGAAGCCCCATTGTCCTCATCTCTGGCAACCAGAGTGTGCAGAAGAGCATCCATATTGAAAATCGAAGGAATGAATATAGTTAAGGGTGTAAAATGAGTGTGTGGGGTGTATATGGATCAATATGAATCATGACCAAGAAAGAGGCAGCACAAAGACCCCAAAATGGCGCAGCTTATTGCATTTAGCACTCTTCCAGTATTTTAAGAGAGTCACGCAACGAACTCTGATAATAAGGAGCTGATGAGCGGGGATCAAGTCTTTTGAACTCGGTCCGGATGTCGATCAACGTCGCAAATTGCGGAGAATGATGGTTCCATGCATAGAACGAGCAAACTTTGTCGCATCATTCCCACGGTTCTCGAATAGTGTCTTCAATAGCGCCGCACAAGGGCAGCGATCCCAGCTGCTCAACCCGGCTGCTGGGATATCTTAGCCCGAGGCGGTTCAGCCATGTGGTCCACATGTACAATATATGCAGAGAAAAGAGTGATGAAAGTCCTTTAGCGCGGGATTTAGTCGCGTGTTCTCCACTTTGAGGACAAGAATGGACCCCGAGAGGGTCGGTCGTCCGATGTTCTCATGGAGAACTAGGTTAAGATTTTCATGTGGCTGCCGAGTTCGTGGAATAACCGAGTGTGGTTTCGTGAACGGGCCTCTGTATTGTATAGACTTGGGGCCCACCACGGTGGTTATGCCGTGTTTTTGACTGGTGATTTTGGTCCAAGAGTAATAGTGAAGAGTTGCATTGTGTATATTTTAGACTACTGTCTGCCGTTACGTTGCATGGCCCAAAGGGTGTTCTCCGCTTACCCCGAGAGCCCATTAAATTGCGTTCAATATATATGCAAGGAGAACATTCCGCAATTGCACACCCGTGGATGTTTTCCAGAAGGACCTTGTCAGATAAAATCGTATGCAATACATACATGTTCATGGAGCTCGGCAAAAGACCAACAAGGGCTACAATCTGCTAGAGGATCGACTGTCAAAACTTGACGGAAAACAGTGATCGTCTATGATGATACCCGTTTGGGACTAGATCATGTCCCCCTGACAAGAACATCGTTGGTGTTGTTTTTTGACTTCCAACTTCCTTTTCATTTCGTTCACGAAGTACACTACCATCTTCGCATCTACCTACGATAATCTATGTTGTCATGAAACTAAAATCACAAAACTATAGATACTAGCCCAAACTCAAGCAATGATCTGATATACCCCTGATGTTATGCACGACGCTAAGCCCCCAAGCGACTCCGCAATATTCGCCACAGTTCAATAATGCAGTGGATCTCGAAGGCTCCATATCTCCGACAACGAAGAATCTTGGAAACACACGGCGCAGGTTTGCCAACCCCTAAATACTGCAAAGTGATGCTATTGCATGCTGGAGGTGCATGTCTCTGTTCAGCGTTCACCGGCCATCGCTGCATAGAATACCCATTCAGATGCCTCACCGGTATATTTGTGAGGCGCATTGCCCAGCTAATGATCGGCGTACTAATTTAGTCCATTGATGGTACTTTTGACACATCATCCACTTTCCCATGTCCAATACCATTGGAATGCATACAACATCGTTCAATTTTGAGACAACACTAACACAATACATAGTTTGAGATATAGATTGCATCAGATTTGTCACTTCCACTTCCGGGGCTGAGATCTAGGCTGAATTAATTCGAGTGATAGTCGCTCCAGCCGCCTCTCGATCTTGAACAAGTCATACATACGTACGGAGTACAATAGCGTCCGTCGGTTTGGAGACCACTACTACAGTATACCTACGACAAAAAAAGAGCCACCGAACAGCTATAACTAACCATCACCAACCTAAAACTGCAGACTAACAACAAACACCCCTTCCACCTTCCTAACAACAATCTCACACTCTCCACTAAGCACCCTTATCCTCTCCCCAGTCCACCTCCAATCCTCAACTCCCTCATGCAACAAAGTCGCCGCAAAATGCTGAACTCTCGTCGGCAAAATGATGAAGCAAACCAAGCCCAGCTCACCCCCTCCCCCTCCCCAAGAACAACCCTCCACAAAGCCCCAAGATCATTTCGAAACTCTCTATTCAAAGCATAATCATCCACAGAATCTGCACACCCATAGGTAAATAACTTCCTCAGACAAACCCCGACACCCTGCACATGGTGTGCCGAATGCCCATGAACGATATCGACCCTGTTCTCCAACAGGAAACGCGCCAGCCCAACGATCTCCCTACTCGACCACCACGAACAGTTCGGCCCCCAGTGCACGGAGAAGACGGTCAGCGCGGGCGTTTCGGAGCGGCTGCATAAGAGCGCGCACAGCCGCCGCGGCGTCTGCGCGCTGTAGTCGATTAGGTGGAAGCCTGGGACGCTTTCCCATACGCGTGGGTGGTCGGAAGCTGAGTAGACGTGGACTTCGTGCGTGTTGGCGGGGTCGGAGGACGGGGGGTGTAGGAAGGCGGGTTTGTAATCTTGTTCTGGGGTGTTGCCGACGCCGGCGAAGGGGATGGACGCTTCTGTTAGGGCGTTGATCCAATAATTTCTGTGAAGCCTGCTTCGCCGAGATCGAGGACGTGGTTGTTTGCTAGGTTGGCGTAGGAGACTTTTGCGGCGTGGAGGATTGAGATGTTGGCTGGGTGCATGCGGTAGTTGAATCTTTTGTCTGGGTACGGGGTGGGTGATTTTGTTACTGTTGTTTCAAGGTTGATGAGGGATAAGTCGTCGGAGGTGAGCAGGGGGAGGGTTGTGGGCCATGGTGAGGAAGAGGTCTTTTGTTTGAGGCCTGGGTGTGCGTCTTTGAATTTTTCGGCTGATGATGAGTCGTGGGGCTTTGGTTGTGCTCTGGCATTAGTTGATCGATTAGGCGGCCGAGCATTACGTCGCCAGTTACAGCTATGATGAATGTCTTTGGCATTGGGTTGGATAGAAGGGTTGGGATTTTGGTCTTGTGATGGATAGTCAAAAGATAGGTTGGTCGAGTCGAGTCGGCTACTTCACAGATTAGTCTCGGCTGGTTGCACCAGGGCTGGCCATCATTATGATCTCGATGCTTGTCGCTAGGGCTGGAGGCGCCAGGGCTGGAGATAAGTATGAGATGCAGATGCAAGTGCACATGTAGACCAAAAGACATAGTTAAAAAATAAAGTAATTCCACATTAGAATACATTCCATAAGACACACTTTTTTTAATCAATAACACAGCCAGGAAGAGAACCCAGCAAAGTGAGTGGTATCTTTGTGCGCCATTTGTCTCACGAGAACACCGAGTTGCAAAACATTATCCGAATCTCATTATTTTCGTCACTGCTTGAAATATCCATGGAAGAATCTATCGTCTCATCTCCGCCAATTCACGCTCCTTGGCCCGAAGCATCTCGCGCATCTGCTCGGCTTCGCGTTCCAGTCGAGCACGTCGATCGACAGAGTCACCCAGAGAAGCGATACCAGGTAGGTGCTGCGGGGGGTGGGGAGAAGGAGAGACGGAATGGTGGAGATGCTGGGGGCGAGCCAGATTAGGATCTGACCGCTGAGCATCTTGGTTCAAAATAGATGAAATGGAGCTGAGACGGCCCGGGGGAGTAGGATTGGCTGAGGACATGATTGGAGGCAGTTGATTTGATCCGGTTTCCAGGGTGGAGGGCGCCGGTAAGGCGTCCGTAGCGGCCTCGGCCAGAGTTCGTTTTTTGGGGAGGGTAATTGAGTTTGGAGAGGCGGAGCGTCGTCCGTATTGAGACACGGGCGAATGGGCCAGGCGATCCACACCCAATGGCTTGGGTAGGCCGTGGGCAATGGAGAGACCGTGTGTAAGGGGTACGGATGAGACATTGTAGCCCGTGAAGTCGACTGGCGGCGGCGGGGGTGCAAAAGGCAAGGCTCGAGGTGCGTCTTCGGTCTTTCCAGGCATCATTTGATAATGATCCGCAGGCTCGCTGCTCATGTAGCGGTAGTGATCGTCATGGCCATGCGCCAGGGTAGCTGGTGAGGCTTCCGGCGATGCTGACGACCCGTTAGAGGAGAGGGTGGCTGCAGTCGGAGACTGATCTCGCAGAGCGGGAACCACGCGTTTGCGACGTTTGATGATAGACTTCTTCATATTCGTGGGACGATAGCACCCGTGTAGCTTGTAGTACAGTCCTGCTTTTGTCAGCTTATTGGAATCAGTAACATGTCAACGGGCCCAGCGCTTACCACAGGCATTGCAGATGGGGTGGCCTTGTTCATCGCGACGCCACAAGGGAGTCACAGTTGTACTGCAATTTTGACAAGCGACCAGTGTATTGGTTCCATCGGCAGGGGCGGTAGTTTTTATGGGTGTCTCTTCTTGTGGTACAGGCTCAAGCTCCTGTACTGCGGGACGTCCCCATGAAGACTGAATCGCAGCAGTTCCACGGGGAGCAGACTTGTAGATGCGGTTGTTGTACGCTGGGCATCCATCGCATCCCTCGGCGCCACCAGTGCCATTGCAACTTCCACCTCCAGGGCACGACCCCTTACAGCCACCGCCTTCAGATGGAGTGCAGCCTTCGGAGTGTGTGGCAGTTGGGGGCGGTACTTTTTCGGCCCCTTCGGATTGAATGCGATTCCGTTTTGTGGGGCGAGCAACATTTCGAGCCTTGAGGTAAAGGCCACAGGCGTTACAGATCATCGCTCCCGTCGGAGAACGACGCCAGAGTGGAGTGCTTTTAGTTCCGCAATTGCTGAACAAAAAAATGGAGTCAGCCATACTTTGAACGTAGCAACGAAATCACCCAATAATAAATCGACACTCACCTGCATGAATGTCCTAAAAATGTCGTATCTTTTTGGCTCTTGGGAGACGTCTTTTCGACCGGAATTTCACCGTGTCCATGTCCAATCCATCGATCTGATCCAGATTGACCAGTTCCCTGAATCATGGGTTCCTCCCGGTATTGATCTGCCAAATGTTCACGGCCAGCCTGAGCCGAAGAGATCAACTGCTGAGCAGCATCCAAATCCTCCGCCGAAGGTTGTCGCATCGCAACGTCCGGGTTCCGAGGCAGAGAGTGAAGCGCTTCCATTTGTGGGAAGGACGCTAACATAACCACCTTGGACGCGGACCGGAATTCGGCCGTGTGATCGATCTCGGAATTGCACGAAACGACGAAAGCGAAAGGGTAAGGAGAAAGTTATCCAGAAGAATGCGAGAGCGATGTCGCACCACAGTCGAGAGTCGAATAATCCGTATCACGCAAGAGAAAAAAAAACCAAATGTCGGTCAAGCTGACAGTTGAAAGATAAGTCAATTCCAGCAGGAACGGCTGCAGCCACGATGCTGCAGGCTCGGCGAAGCGCAGGAAGGTGACTCGGGGAAGTCGAAGAGATGTGACCCGCCACACAGAGGAATCGAGCTGAAAGTTTAGGGGAGTCCCCGCCACTGAAATCAATGGAAAAGTGGCGACCTAACGGTCTGGGACGGTCAGGTGATGATTGTGACGGTTGACAGCACACGGTCTGACTAGCGAGCGATCGTGGGGGAAATGGTGTCGCTTCGGGGACTTGGGGCCGACGCAAAAGGGCGATTCGCAAGACAGGGATTGGTTGAGAGGCTAGGGAGCTGCAAGAGTGGTGATCACTCCGCGTTAGGAATGAAGCACAGACGGGAAGATAAGAACGAAAGGTGGAGAGTGAAAGAGTATGAGAGAAGAGTTTTAAAAAAACAAATCAAGTAGAGAAGCCGAGAAGTCGGTAAGGTGGTTTTTTGATTCGAAAAGGAGAAGAGAACAAAGACCCTCGGGAGATGTGATGGCTTATCAAGAAAGGGATTCAGATTTGGGTTTATCGATCTAAGTAGGATCTACGTATCAATCTATCACTTTTTTTTTCAATCTACTAGTAATCTCATCTAATCATACGATTTCTCCTTTCATTTGTCTATGCAAAAGTACAAAATGCCGTATTTTAAAAAGAAATCTCTATCTATTCTGTTTCATTCTGTCAAACCCCCAGAGATCGCATCATACTCCACCGATGATCCTGATGGAGGTTAGTAAAGAAAAAAGAACAGAAGAGAACAAGTGGAAAAGAAGTGGGAAAGAAGTGGAAATTATGTGGGCATTTCACCTTCCCAAGAAAGACTGAAGTGGATCTCCGTGGGAAATCAGATATTAGAGAGCTGTGATTGGTGAGTTTGGTCTGACTAAGCCAGTCAGCAGCAATCTCTGCATTCCGATTGGCTCGTCGGAACTGGAACCTGCCGAGTTGTGACAACCTGTACTGTTGATTGGCCAATCACAATCCAGATATTAATATCGTACAAGGACAATTAGTGGTATTGGTATGCCGGTACATAGCAATAGGTAAGTTCCTATTGCTATTGAGACTCTCGGCATTTACTTGCCCGTCTTCACTCCGATCTCTTAACCTTTCTACTCCCGTACTCCGTACCGGTTATCAGATGTCTCACTTCGGGTTTCAATAAATCATTAGAGCATGCCAATGTGGTTAAGAAGTAGCCACTGCTAGCTGATACCCATCCCAAAATATAATACAGGCCTCTTCTTCACGGTATCAACAGAAATCACGTAGACCCAAACCTTTTCGTCACCGTCGCTATAGGAACACAACTTCCATCAATTTCAATGGACGTCAGATATGTCATCGCACTCATCGCGCACCCGTCTATCGCATGACGCAAACCAATGGTCGTCAAAGCGCTAGACCGATGCATAGCATATCCCGCTTGAGATTGGGATCGTAGGAACTGGTCAGTGTTTAATTATTTAGACCTGCTCAGCACCCCAGCCCTGGTCGGACTCGCGCATGTTGGAAGGAGGCTCAATGGAAGGGATGAACTCGAGAGCGACATATCCGACACCGATCAAGCCAATCAGCGAGCCGTCGATGATGCGCAGGACGTGATCGTGGAGCAGAATGGATCCGATGAAAATGTAGACTGAGATCGATTAGCAAATGCAAGGTGCTATCTCAGGCGAGCGAACAACTTACAGACACCACGGCCCAGGAAAGAGAAGAGGAAAGACGCATAGCGGTAGGCATAGTCTGGGACATGAGGGAGGAACTCAAGGCCACCGACGACTGAATCTTTGTTAGCTAGGTGTGATTTGGTGTTCATTGAGTTTCAACATACCAAGACCGAAGGCAACCGCGTAGGCGCCCAAAATGATTGTGCTCCAGGTGCCGGAGAAGAAGTTGCTGATACCTCCAAGCACCATAAACACGCCAACGGCAATGTTGACAAGACGGCTAAAGTCGGTCAGTTCTTGATCTCGCCGTGGCAGACGAGAATTTGACATACAAGATGTTTGTGAAGTCCATGGTGAGAGCTTCGTTGTGTTGGATTCAGATGGAAGGGATCTTCAGGATCTCGTAGTCGCAAATCAAGAGTGCGGAGACTGAGTCGCTAGGCAGCCGCAAAGGGTTTTCAAAGAAACAATGGTTCTCAGAGGCGTAGGTCAGATCTTGAAACATTCTCAGTTAGCTTTTGAATCCAATTTGATGGTCCTTGTTGGCGTGTATCGCGCAAATGATGATGGCGGCTCTGTTTGCCGTCCGGAGCTCGCTTGGCCGGGCCTCAGTTCGCTGGATTGAGGGTAAAGAGAGACGCACCTATGATGTGGAATGCGGAAACAGATCTGAAGCAGTTTCAGATAAAAAGCACGCGTTTGATTGTGAAGCTTGTAGGAAGTTGGATAAAGCTGAACAGGGGTGAAAGCGTGGACAGCTGCGCTGTCGCAAGCGGCGGGTCTGCCAAGAGCTGTTTGGGTCACGTGCATAGAGCCGTGGGCTATTCTATTTTGGGAATTGGGGAATTGTTGGGAAACATACAGAGTTAGCCTCGAGGTCTCTAACTGCTTGCACCTCTTCTGTGATATGTATAATAGAAATCATATAACCAGGACCATTTTATATACATACCGGAAATTCAAATCGTTTACCTCGATTATGAGCTACCCATCTTACCTTCTGAGCCGCTGAATCAAAGCTCTACAACCAATATATTGGAAGCCGAGCTCACTGTTTTGGCCTCAAGGCAAAGAGTGACACATCTCATTATTGTTGATTGTCATGTAATCCCGCTACTTAAAAGGCCTGTCTTGGTACAGTACCCCTATGTGTATTTCAACACGATCAAGCAATATATATCACTCGAAAGTCCAAGTTGGTCGAGCCTGCTCTACATTTGAATATTGGTTTTTGATACGCGTTACAATTCGACGCCAAAATGGAACCACGGATACGCTACGACGATGTCGCTTGGGAAAAAGGCGGATCCGTCGCCGAAGCCTGTCTAGATCGGTGTATGCACGCTCCAGAGTTATCCTCTGAAATTGGCATCTTTCTTCTTAAGCACCATCAAGCTAGTGATGCCGTCAAGATTTCAACTGTTGGGAGTTGCCGGGTTCAACATTGTCCTGTAGATAAATTTCGCAAACACCCACGACGCTGTCATACGGTTTCCAATTCCTGGCTACAAAGACTCATTGGGAACTTGAAACGATTGCACAATTTATTATTCGGAAATCAAATGGCAAAGACCTGGATTTACCACCATCTTCATGTTGCACCAACACTAGTGAAGCCATACTTCGTCGCAGATACTCAAGTTCTGTCATTACACCGTTCACATGTGTATCCAAATGAGTTGTTTTGCACTAGTAAGAGTGCCTGAGCACCTCCAGCGCTCAGCCGAGGCCGAAGGGCATCCTCCTTGCAAAACAGACACGGAGGTTTGCTAAAAGGGAGTTTTTCAGCCACACTAAGCTCTCTGGGCTGCATGCCACTCCCTCCTTCTTGCCTCACAATATCTAAATCTGTACCCCCGTCTGATGAAGTCTCGGAACAATCGCTTTCCTCCCCATCTTCCGCTTGCTCGCCCGCGTTTGCCATGAAGACATCAGCGACGAAAGAAGCCGGTATTGCATACTGTTGAAAGCGCCCATACTGGTGCAAGATCAATGTGGCATTTCTATTTTGAGTCTTGTCACAGTGTGTCGTGGCAAAGACGGAGAGATATTGTTCGTTTGAGCTGCTGGTGCCAAGAGCCTCCGGTGCCTCCGGTGCATCTGATATCTGATTTCCTTGCAATAAAACTTGAAGAAAACATGGCGTTTGCTGCTCAACTGAAAGACCGCCGCGAGTACAGACCCTTGTATGCCTACAAACGCTGCCTTGACAAGGTTCCTCGAGAATAAGAACTGGCGGCCCGACGTCGTGTATGATCAACGTCCTCACGCAGAATTTGAAGCGATCATTTCCAGCGAGTACACAGTTTGCAATTGTAACAGCGCTATCAATGAAAGCTTCTGCATTGGGGCCAATCTTTAACTCCTCGCTATCTTGAATAGAGGTAGAGTATGTGAAAGTTTCGCTATCGGTCGAAGCCGCGAAATATTCAGATTGCGAGAAAGTGCCATCATCTGTTGCATTTCCGTCTTTGATCTGATATTGGGTGTATGTGAAGACGTATCGCTTTGGTCATCTGCCTCGAGAAGTAGCTCCTGGTTAGAGCTTGAAAAGCGGCCAATAAATTGTGAGGGATGAAATGCTCCATCATTTCGTATGGCAACTATAGTTTCGCTGAAATCTTCACTTTCTATGGAGTCGACATCTTGAGAGGCCTGCGATGGTATAACGATGATATCGGTGTTGTACTGCTCTGTTTGCGAACAGCTGGTAGTTGTGGAACTGTAGCTCTCTTCGAAGTTTGTGGTCTGGTTTTGTTTGCCTGTTCGCGTGATGTCTGAAGGTGATTCTGGGCTTGGTTCAACCGAGTATTGACGTTCATTTTTAGCCTTCACGTAGATCACGGTTGGGTTATTGTTTTCGAAATTCTGGCGCCAAGCCTCGAATTGACTGAAATGCGTGGTAGTAAGATTCTTCATATCGATGATCAAACGTTGTGTTTCGTCTGTTTTTTGAAATGTCAGTTTGTGAGTCGGAAGTTCTAAATATTCCGCACTTACTTAAATTCGTTGCGCGCTCAAAGTATGGTTGATAGAGCATGATGAAGTGAAGACTCGATTTGTTTTGCTGCTTGAATCAAATTATTGATATGATCCTGATTCAAGACATAAGTCAAAGAAGATGAAGCGCCCCTGAAAGCTGCTTTAAAAGGTTCTTTGATGCGTGACATGATTTGCGTCGTGGCCGTGCTTTTCTTTTTGCCCTAGTAGTTTTTCAAGGTTTTTGTGAGCTTTGCAACGTCGGATATCAATGATTTGACACTTCTTGAGCAAAAGTGAATGATACTATCGTTTTCGCCGTCCACAACTACTTGAACCTCTTTAATGGACTCAGATTGCTCTGCGAAAAAAAGCCATCAGAGAGGTTGTCTAGACGTACGAAGGTAAGCAATGATTGCTAAGCTCAGGGTCTTGCATACTTACCCTGTTGATGCTTTCTAACACTACATGATATTGTCGGAGGTCCTCAGAAGAGTTCTGAACCTCGCCAGCGAATTTCAAGAGAGTGATCATAAACCTCCTAACGAGAGGACGCTTGCAGCTAATCCCACAGGCTCAGCCATCTTTTGAGAAGACTGCAAGGGAATGTGAAGCAAATTGACCCGAACGACGAACAGTTCATTCAAAAAATTATAAATGTTGACTCTTGCGATTTTAATATATGTATCCAATCACCTCCTTATTACTTGCTTCCTGGAGTACGCCCAGGACTTCGCCCTTACGATGAACTTTTACTATGATTTACAAATCTACCTTGCACGATAAGCAGTGCTCTATCATTGGAACTTGTCACAGGCTCCAAGGTGCCCTGCGCTGGGGCTTAGACTACATCGCTAATATACTCCGTGGCGGAGTGGGGGGTGGCTCATGACTGGCTTGGATGTTACTTCAGATAGCTATTGATAAGAGATTCAAGGTGAAATGTAAATTATAAGAATACTCTTCATTTCTGAAATCACTGTTCAGTACCACCCATGGTACCGGGCAGTGGAGGCTCGGGGGGAGGGCGGCCTGGGACTTCCCTCGTTCTAAATTTTGGCTATGGGCGTGTAACAGCAGGCGCAGTGGGTAAAGCATGTACTATTTCTTGATTTCTGGGCTACTATCCTGATATTGAGCTCCTACAAAAAAGGCCAAACACGCCTTCACACGCGACGCTTTCCAGAAACTAGAATGATATCTAAACACTAGAATATCATTCGTTGGGTGACTGAATGGAAGTCGTGGAAAAAGGCGGCCATCTTCGAGGAATGGACAACACATTGCCACTGACCTACAAGACAACACGTATGTGCCTGTATATACCGGATGTTACGCCGTGGCCGCGATTTGCCCGATCAGGGTGCTGCCAATTTATCAGGGCGCTCAGATCATGCTCACTGAGCATTTCTCAGCACAAGGTGATTACTCAGTGACTAATTTCTTTGCTTAACAAACAGCCGCGTGATAATATTCAAAATATCATTTAACCTCGAAATGGAATGTCATACATGAACCCCCGGTTTAGTAAGTATTCGGCAAGCAGCTACCATACTGCTGAATCTCCTTCCACAGGATCATACCCTCCATGCCGCAAGGGGTATCCAGCCATATGAATGTAGTCATTATTTGTACTAAGCTTTGCCAACTGCAGATATTCATCTCTCTGATCTCCAAGTGCAATCGCGCAACAAACCACAGCCGATGTGGTGTATCAAGGGCCGCAATCCCACCCAATGTTAACAACCATAATAAGAGTGAGGGTACTGATTCCCACTCCTCATCAGGGACCAGCTCCAGCTCATACCGGAGAAGTCGTGCCAGATTCGGATAGGGACTCGTCATTAATGAAACAGGGAACACGACAAGGAGGCTATAGATGGCCAGTGCCAATCGAATTGGCTCGTATGTAGATGGCACTGTTCCAACTTCAGCCGACAAAGCAGGAGGGAGAGATAACACGTGGTAGTGGATCAAGTTTCGTAGCTGTAGTAGATAGCCCAGATCGAGATCGAAGAGGCGTCCATCGGCGTACCCTTCCAGTAGAGAACTGTATCCGCGGAGAGCATGGAATACCCATACCATGTGCTGTGAAACCTTTGAATAGAGAAGAAAATGTATATCGCGCATTTCAGGGTCGCTGTGTTCAAATGTAGCTAAGAAATCAGCAGCACTGTCGAGCTGCAATATCGTCTGCAGTGGCCAGAAAGGTCTTGTCAGCCGTTTGCTTGCTACGATGAGATCCCAGCTTCAACGGTGTCAGTTGAAGTTCTCGAAGTGAATTTTATGAAAGATGGCTCACGTCGACAGTCCTTCGCGAAGCCCAGGCATCTCCAGATTTCTAAATCCTCCTCTAGCCTGTACGAGATAGCGTAGTCCTCGAACATGGCCGTCAATGATCACGATATTTGTAAATCGCGTCAACAATTGCAGGTTGGATAGAGGAGCCATTTTACTCTGAATGGTTGGGAATTTGTCTCGCTCGTGTGGATGTAACGCGAGAGCAAAGGCGGCCATGATAAGCTGGTCCGTGACAGTGGTATAAGGGCCGTCATTCACGGCCTCTTTCAATGCTACAATAGCTTCCTGTCGCATGAGAAGCAATTCGTAATTGTCCTTTTTAGATGTGGAACTTTGAACACCAGAGGCTGTCCGTCGAATGATCATGTGCTCTGCGCCCGAGTGGAGCCATGCGCTGAACAGGGGCGGACAATTCATGGCAGACTTCATCCATTCGCAAGTAAAGCTTTTCCCCTTGTATTTCATACCGGGAAAGAGTTTCGGCCACATTTCTCGGATGGCTGTGGTCGTCTATCAGACATGAACTCGCCATACGTCTCTTAAATACTCACAGTAGTGAAAGATCCGGGTGATAGTCTCACGACTCAGATTGGATGGATAAGTGTGGAATGGATCCAGGTAGTGGCTATCGTGATTGATTGTAAGCAAACACGGTGTTCGCTTCCTGATAGAGAATGTTTGTTCAATTTCAGCTTGATGTCCGTGTACCATCCCCGTAAACGCGTCCAATTTCATAGAGAGGTAGTTTTCTGGATTTTCAAGTGGTGAGGCAGGATACTTGCAACCCTTTCCCATTCTTCATGCTTTCGGGTTAGTCAAATATAACTAGATTTTCACTGACCAACTTACCGCACACAACGTAAACAGGATGGTAAGTCTCTGCTACATTTCCTTTTCGCTACACTACACTTTGAACAAGCCAGACTTGATTTCAGTACAAATGGTGGGGTTTGGACAGCGCTAACAAACCATTAGAAGATGCATTGTATCTTTCGATAGGCAACACATACTCTGGATCAAGATTCCTTCTGAGTCTCGGTAGTTCATCTGGCTGCAGTTCGCTATCATACTGGCAGTCCTGCTTCACACTGTGCAAATACAATGTTATCAGAATACGCCGGATAAAAATCAGGTTGTACTAACCATGTGCACCTCGTGCATGCCGGAAGAATTTTGTCACACTTCCGTTTTTTGGATCTACATGCTGCGCATGCTTTTGTAGCACATACTATATCGGAAGAGAAATCCGTCATGGCTGTAAAATCAAGCTAGTGCTTCAAGGTTTATGGAGTATACAAGCGGATGCACGTGCGGGTAAAAGTTGCTTTTATACCAGTAGAACTCAGAGGGGCTCTGCACTATGCAAATAACAAGCAGATCTAATCGCTAACTCAATGTACCCTGCATAAAACGTTGATTGGTGCTTTTGCTAGCTTTAAACCCAAACAAGCTACTCCGACTGTCATCGGGTGGCACGCTAGCGGACTAGTGGCGGGCTAATGTTGCTTACAGTCCGTGCACCCTGCGAGCCTCAACTTCCTTAATTGGTAAATGGTAAAACGAAAAGTCGAAGTACATCTACACTGTACAGGGGCTCCCACATATTGTGATCCTGGCGAGCTGAGCTGTATAAACTAACTGCCTGGCCTTAGAACACTATATCCTTGGTTAGTTTATGCCGAACACGATTGTGTAACTACTATGGAGACCTTCGTTCTTCCCATGCCCTATCTCACTACACTTGCCCCATCCTAGAAAGTGTCATGTTACCAGAACTGACATAGCCTGCTTTATTTTGACTGACTCATTCCGGTCCATATCGGGTTTTAAGCGAAGCCATAGCGGCTGAGTTGATAGAGCGATACAGGGGTCAAATCATATTGCGTAGCGAATCATCCTGGAATATTGCACTAGTTCAGCTCCATTGATGTCGAGTTCTACGAGCAAATACATGACTGCTGAAATTGCAAGTGAACTTCAGAATCAGAACGGTAGCAAAGTGAGTACGACGCAGCGGCATGATATCAGGTCGACTTAGTAGTTGATGATGGGTACAAATAGAAAACTCTGTAATTATTGAATCCGCGTAATCTCTTAATCAGATACAGGTAAAGGAGGAGGAGGCAGCATTGAAATCCCCGCCAGTGTAAGTGAAAACCTGAGAGCAGGGATACAAGTACCCAGTACGAGTGGCGGAAGTATTTCCAACAGCTACAGGCAAGCCTTCCAACCTATCCAGCACCGTGTCATTTTCAGCTGGATCGAATCCGGGTCCAAATCCACAATGGGTCATTCCCGTTGCCGGGAAGAGGCGGTACTAGCCCGCGATATTGGCATCAAGACCTTTCACGCGCTCATAGTAATCGACTGACCCATTTGTAGGAACTAATTGATTGGCCATGCCGTGCCAGGCAATGGTCCTTCCCATATTGTAGAGATCAATCCAGCCATCCCACTTAGATCAGTGTATATCACTTTTTGTCCAACGAGGGAAGATGCCTTAAAGTGGCATTGACCTAGGTATGCAATGATACCGTCGGTCACACTATCAAGCCCATCACATTCCGCGAAGGCAGCCTTTTACAATAAAGTGCAATTGTACGCCTTAATCACAAGGAGACTTTGAGACTCACATAATTATTATTGGCAATGGCTTTTAGAGAAGGGGAAACGATCGCCCATGCCAGTAAGATAGTTTCAGTAATTTCAACCTCAGCTGTAGCAGTGCAGCAATCATTGTTTGCTGTAATCGACGCCCGGTACCCGATCCGTGCGACCCAACGCCCGCTGGGCATTGGGTCGCCACAGTGTAATACAATCCACAGTCTAATACAATTTTATCCAATGCAGTCAATATTTTTGTATTTTTCTTCCCCCCCTTTCTGCTCAATAATTACAAAATTAAGACAGTATATACTATCATAAAAGACCTGCCTCTGGATGACATATCACACCATTCGCACAGGGTGATAGGGTAGGAGATCCATTCTCATTGATCGCAAGTAAACCCCGTTTCTTGCGCCGTTTATTTTCAGCGGCCATCTCTGTGGCTTCGCGCGCTCGGATCATTCTGTTAGAATCGCCAGCGTCTATAGGACCCCCTATATTAATCTGCCGTTTGGTTATCCGAGCATTTGATGCTTTGTGGCGGCGTAACAGAAGCGAATTATCCGATTGTAACTGATCCGCAAGCTGGGTCGCTTGCCGCGCAGTCCGGCATAACAGCTTCGCACGCTTTTTAATTCGTGGATAAAGCTCACCCTCTAATAATTCAATATCGGCTTTAAGCTTCTGCGTTATTTTCCAGGTCCGAAGGGCTCTTTTAGGCGGGGAGTTAGTGATTGAAGACGGGAATTCATTAGTATCCACTTCATCGAATATTATTGAGTCATCCCCTTGATCAATTTTTTTTTCTAGCGGGGTTAACACAATAGAGGGATCAAATGGTACGATGCCGCGTTTTTGAAACCCGGATCGAATGAATTCGTGGAGTAATGGCGCTGCGAATGTGTTGGATCTCGCGGAAAAATCTACTTTACGCTCGACACTTCCACCCTATTAAACAACCTTATTATTGTGACTTTTAGAAAAAAACTTTTGAGGGTCTGGAACGGCGAAGAATCTAATGGCTGCGATAGATGTGTCGTATGCGGAATAAAGAAGTATGGAATGATATCGTTGTCGGTTACAGTCTTAATGAATTCCGGTGTGCAATGCGAATGATGAGTATCTATAAGTAATAAGCGTTTTTGACCCAATTTTCCATATGGAATTTCCCTTTGACTAAAAACCACGGCGACATCTTCCAACCATCGGCTGCAATACATTCAATACCAGTAATGGATTCAGAAATGCCCCCATTCGGTGTGTATGCAGTTGGACTTTTTGATAACACTCATTGTGGCTTGCCCTGTCCAATTTGATACCCGGTCTCATCTATGTTATAGATTTGTCTAGATGTAAGTTTATTCGTAGTAACGAACACCTCAAAGCGATCATACCAAGCTGTAATTAAGCTAATATCTTCGGCGGCCATTCTTTTTAATTCTTTAGGCTTTTGTATAATCCAATTTAGGATGCGTTGTGGAATCCGGCGTAGAAAATGGTACACCCAGTTTTTGTTTAATGGCGTGGTTCGCGATGGATCGCGCGAGACTAACATGAATTTGCAACATGTTGAATAGTCTTCGCAGTTGGCGGACACTCAACATCGTCTAGCACAGTAATATAGCTAAGTAATTCTTCTTCCTGATTCTTATTAAGTGCTCTGGCTGTCAAGATACGGCTTTTGCGAGATGCGCGACCATGGAGTCGTCCATACAGTATACTATATGAGACGTTGAATTCCTGGGCTAGCGATTTGATTTTGGGCTTTCCGCGGTCATAATAGGCCTGAATAGACAATTATAATTGTATTTCCAAATTATTGGGTTGATCCGGCATGGTGGTAGGTGATGGTGAATAGTTGAAGAAGGTGCGTTGGATAAAAATTGTATTAGACTGTGGATTGTATTACACTGTGGCGACCCAACCCCCAGGGGCTGAGTCGCAGCACGGACCGGGTACTCGACAATTGGTGGCCATGCGGGACGGGGTCAAAGCTCCGCTAGTCCGCAAAACCCTTGGAGGTACCATTATCTCGCTTTATATCTGTGTTGTTATCACCACTCTAAGCATTCCATAGGTATTTAGACCCCCAGCGGTGTCTGTTACTAAGAACCTGAGGAATACAGCAGTCCGCTTGATGGTTTGGAGTTATTTTAGTATTTCAGAGCACCAAAATACGATGTAATGTAAAATACCTCTTAGTAATTAGCAGAGTTTTATGCACCCTGTTCTTCTTCCTCTTCTTCTCCCCCCTCCTTCTCTTGTTTGTCCTCTCTTCATATCATTCTTCGACATCTCGTTCTTCGTTCAGCTTCCTCTTCCTCTTCTTCCTCGCCACTTTATTGTCTTTCCACCGGAAGACTATCTTGCTCCTTCGCCGCCATCATCCTTTCATTGCGTTTTAGTTTCGCCCAACTATACATGCTCCAACTCTGCAAAAAGACCGATGCACCTCTACTCTCAATACATATGACTGGCTGGCCATGCCTGAGACTAAACCACATCCGATCATTCATATCCAAAGCTGCAGCAGTCCCAAGTAGGCATACCCAAGTGTGTGCTTCAGGGGCTGTTCTCACCCAGGTATCCATGCTCCCGCAAGATAACGCATATTGCAACTTCCGGACCAGACGCTGCAGAACGGTCATAGAAAAGGGGGCAATATACTCGTCATCAAGAAAGAAGTACCAGAATATCAAGGCGGCAGTCTGACAAGCTTTGGTTATTGCGTCGGCGTCCGACTCGATAGACACATGATCAGTATGATCCTGACTTTGTGGATGACTTGGGGAAAACAACACATCTTGCACTTTTGCTGCCCATTTGGTTCGGAGAGCCATGGCACCAGGGCCGTCCGGTAAAAGATGGGCGATAAAGTCAATATCTTCAAAGACTTCGATTGCCTCGCGAGAGAGGTTGTAGTAACCTCCCTCTCTGTTGGCTACTCTATGGAGGATGGCAGATGTGAAATATGTTGGGAGTGTGAGAGGAGTGGGAGGGATATCTAAGAAAGGTATTTCAAGTTTGGAGTCCATGATGATGGCTTCGGTGAGAACGCATCTACGACCAGCAAATGAGATGAGACACTGATCTTTGTCAACCACACATTAATCTAGGGTTGTACGCACATTGTGATAAGCCCCGAGAGGAACGTGCCAAGGGCGAGGTGCTCTAGGCCGCCTTGTGCTTTGATCATCTGCATCAATGCCATTTTATGGATATCGGATGATCCTTTGTCGCCTAGAAGGGCCTAAACCAATGAGAGCGTGCTAATATAATAGGCAACTACGGGACTTTAACATCTTACGTACCGAGAAAAATACCAATGGTGCAACACAAGCCATGAGAGACTCGCTGAATACCGCCTGGGGGTCATTTATTCTCTCCTGAAGCAGTTGAAGTGCAATTGTGTGGTGGTATAGTGTCATGTTATTATTTCTGACTCCTCGAAATGCGTCCAAGTGTGCTGATGCAGCATAAAGGGTGGTGTGGAGTGAACAAGGGTCGGACAGAGCTTGTTGGATCCACGTCGCCCTAAGCAGCCATGCTAGGCTACTACCGTCCACAGGAAGCGGTTCCATTCCGAAAGTTTCAATAACTATCAAAGACACCTTCAGAATACTCTTCACAGGGGTCTCTCGCAGTCTATACTCACACGAGTGAATGAGCATAGGCATGTGAGGCCTTGACTCAACTGGCAACGGCACTGTGGCGTCAACCCGACTAATGTCAAGCGAACGAAGGAAGGAAGCACCGGGCCCATTCAGTACGAGAGCCTGCTTAGGATAATCACAGCTTGTGTTTTGTCTACCAGAATCTGTCAGTCGTCTAGATACGTGGTCAATTTCTCACTCGGCAGTGGTACCTTGAGCATCGGTTGCAGGTCGGTAATACCCTGTCACATTTTCTCTTTTTGGCGCGACACGGAAGACATGCTCCGACAACCCTCACGGCCTCTGAACCTAGGTGAAGAATCGTTGCCTGACTGACACTGTACTGCGGGTGCATCGATGCACCCGGGCGTCCGTCTGCCATATAAAGAAGCCCAGTAGAACGGCGAGAGCTGTCTTGAGCCGACACGCTGGAGGGCGATGTATACCAACATTGTCGCTTTTGCCTAAGAAGGTCAGCCTGAACATGCAGTTAGTCTATTTAGCGCACTCACTTAACACAAGCTGAACATAAGGGAAGTAGACGATCACATTTTCTCTTCTTCTGGGCGCAAGATAAGCAAGCGTAAATGGCCCGCGTGGTCATCTTGAGCACAGCAACGTGGGTTGTAAGTGGAGATGGCAGATCTTCGAGAGCTTGATGTATACATGTGCATATGCATGGAGTGTTTCAGGGTTCAACAGAGGTTATAACAGCAAGGCGTATCCAGCACTTGAACTATTCAGTGAGAACCCTTTTCATCTTCAGATGCACAGTTTGACCCTATTTTCCCCCTGACGAATAAAACTTCTGTCAGCTTCCGTATCAAGTTCGGTTAACAGCGACAATCCCGCTCCTAACCCGATCTGGATAGTGTAAATTTGCCAAGGTCAGCCCCTCAGCGGATCTAGACATCTTGTGAGTGCGCGAACGCCTCAGGTGCATATTCGGGTTAGGAACTTTGCATGGTTCATTTTATGTATGTCATTCACGTATAAGCTGCTATTTATCAACATCTAGATCCAACATATTCTTGTTAGTGATAGCAAAATTAGTCAAATGCAGCGCTGATACGTTTGGCAGCCGGAAATGAAAACGGTCATTTAGACTCTTTGAGCCTCATTAGATACTTATGAGATCTGCCATTCTACCCTCCATACTAAGCAAAGCAAAAACCATAAAAGCACAGAGAAGCTTACCCAGACAATAGAAGCTTATCCAGACAATAGCAAGCTAGCCCACTGGAGGCACAAAATTCTTTACGAGGCCCCGCTGTCACTACAGACTTCCCAATGTAGGGGAAAATATTCCGTACCAGGCGCCCGAAATATTTGCGAATGCAATATTCCAGGTGTCACGTCTTGGTTCGAATGAAAAGTGCGAAACCATTTGGTTTGATTTTTTTATGTAATCAGCTGCAACTGCAATACATCACTTAGCGACCATACAACAATAGTGGTAGTAGTAGGGGTAGTGGTAGTGGTGGTGCCCTGAAACGAGGAACTTACTAACCCGTGCGACCTGTCCGCCGCCTTTCGCTGCCTTCTCACTGCCAACGTCTTCGCCAATATTGTCCCTGATTGGTCCGTTTTCATGCCAAGTGATGCTAACTAAAGTTCTCTTGGCGAGAAAACTTCCTCCGGTTCATGCGAAATTGAGGCCCTTCTTACTTGTTTACTCTGTAGACTATTATGGACTATAGATCTATATATCCGATTAAGGCCGCGACCGCGAAATGCCCCATTAGGAAGCCGCCGCTTTATGAGGGCGCTCAGGGTTATGCTCACTGAGCATTCCTTAGCATAGGGTGATGACTCAATGAACTTGTCACACGCTGGCCGGCTACTTCGAAGCGCTGGTCAACTTGGCCGAGGTGCCTTCCGTTCTCAGTATGCTATTGTAGATCGATAGAAAAATCTGACAGTAGAAAATTCACCGTTCAACCTCTCCGACTGCGGACCTCCCCCCGGCCGAAAGCTCAGCGCACCTAGCATACAAGTAGAAACTGCATATGGTATCCCGACACTCAACTCAAGTACACTTAAACGACCAAAGCCATCCAATATCCGAGTTGAACCATTGATCGTTTTGATTAAGTGTGAATGCACCTCCGCCACAGTTATTGCTTGTGTAGAATCTGCAAAAGTAAGGCGTATCGTATATCGCAAACGACGCCATTCCGGTCGGAAAATTAAGACAATCCCCCTTTGACCAGGTGATACCTTCCAGATAGTCATATGTTTCGCACTTATCCCAGTAGTAGCAGGGCTTCACCCAGACCTCAGTTGCCAATGCAGCTGTGGTGAGCGCGAGACAGAGAGCGGAGAGGGAGATTGGCTTCATTTCTTCTTTTTTTGGTCAAAGCTTATAGCTAAATGGACTTAACGGGGATTGAACAGCAGCTTTTCTTAGAGGACGCACCTTTAATAATGGATGTATTCGAAAAATTCAAGCAAGTTCGATTGTCTCACGGGCGGAGACTCAGAGGAGCTCCTGCGACTATTTATGTTTCCATGTTACTTAGAGTCTTCGGGTTAATTTTTCTTCATTTTCAGCTGATACTGTCGGACACGGCAAATTGAATGTTCCTGTTCAAACAGCCGCATTGTACTATCGTAGGCCAAGCAGCATGCGCGGGCTAGCGGTTCTTGGCATAATGAATGAGAAATCTAGCTGCATCAGCTGGGTTCTAGTGGAGGTTTGAGGTATCTAGCGGACGCCGGTGCGGGATCCATAAGCATTGATGGGACGTGCTACAGCTGAACACTCTCCTCCTCAACTGTAAGAACTTTGCAATCAAGGAGGACCCACGGGAAATTAGGACATTTAAAACCCCAAATGACCGCGTAAGATTGCGCACCGTCATTCTACCTTTCCACTCTATAGTCACAAGTCTTCTCTTCTACACATGTAAGCAACATCTTCGGCTCGGGGCGTTTTTCATAGCCTGAGTACTTATCTGACTCATTTACTTAAGAGAACTACCGCGCTCGTTCTGTTTCATCATGTTCAATATGCTCAAAGTATCACAACTCCTCCTCATCCCTGCTGCTTTCGTAGCAGCAGTCCCAACATCTCCCACAACACCCCTCAAACTCGAAAAGCGATCCACATGTGGCGTGGAAGCTACCGTGACATATTACAAAAGCGACAGCTGTGGGAGCAACAATGCGATAGCAAATATCAACTGGAAAAACAACTGGAGTTCCTACAACTACCAGCTGTCTAACGCCAGAAGCTTCGCTATCACGAACGGCGACTACTGGGACATCTACTGCGGTCTCTACGATGGTTATAATGGGCAGGGCAATCGCATTGCAACGCTTGAATGGAATACCGGATATAATTGCAAGTCTTTGGGAGTGGCTGGGGCGAATGTGAAATCTATTGTTTGCTGGGGGAATAATTGCTAGCTATATAGTCTCTAGTACACAGCTGTCTTTAATGGGGTCACTCGGAGACTGTGGTCCTTGGGGGAGGCTGCTGGGAGAATATGTGCGAGATCAAATGGAGTCTGAATCATAGTAGCTATGCTTTATGTCTGAACTTGACCATGAATATGCTTTCTGACTTATTCTACAAGTACGTACAGAAACTTAGGGACCTTCCATGAGAGATTTAATTGTGGATTTTGAAGTTGAGCCTAAGAGCCTACTCCTTATATAGATATATTACTAGCTGCGAAGAGTAGTCTGAACAGCCGAGCTGAGTATATCCGCTGAGCGGGTTTTCTTATTTAAGAAGCAGAATCCAAGCAACTGATCCATGTTCAATTACGTCTTATGACTGGCCAGTTAGCATCACCTGCTCAATATAAGATATGAGGGAGGTAGGCAGGTTGTAAAAGTAGATCTGTGACCAGCATTTACCTGAATGGCCAAACTATAGTATAGGTCCTACACCAATAAGTTCGATCAGTCACCCTCATCTTCTGACCGCCTGTCAAAGCAGACCTCCACCGCACATTCTTCGCTTGCACAATTACTCTACAATCCTTCTCGATACAGCGCGGTTCGTTCCCAAAATTCACACTGATTCTGCCCATTGCATTTAGATTTACGTCCTCTATCCACAGGACAACCAAGCTGCTCGAACTTCGACCGACAATGTTGAAAGTGATGTCGCCGACCGCCGTGATTGATGTACCGCGGAGCATCAAACCTGCGCCGCGCCGGCTCGGAAGTTTATGCAGACGTTTCTGCAGGTGAGATCGCTTTTTTGTGGGATTGTGCTGTAGGTTTCGATGCAGGAAGGGTTAATCATTCCTGGCGTTGGAACGTTCTTATGTAAGAGCTGTCTGGTGGACGTATGGGATGCACGAGTATTGGCTGCCGACACACACGATTCCATAAGCATGACAGTAGAAAGATGCGTAGGAGTCGCCCAAGCCGGCTATTGGAGATACGCAGGGTTGAATTTGGGACGTGAGTACTCTCAGCCATGAAGGAGATCTGATCTCTCATTGTTTGGGTCCTCTCTTCATATTCTCATACTACACGCGAATATCGGCTCACATCACGGATGCCTAGCCAATGCTACATTGGGAACACCCTACATGGCGAAAACCAATTCCCAGATAGCGACTGCTCCCAGGCATGTGCTGGGGATGGTAAACAAGCGTGTGGTGAAGCTGGTCGGATTCAGATCTATGAGGATGCAGCATGGAGTAATCCGACACTCGCTGAACTGATAGCAGCAGTTGAGCAGTACAATGCTACCATGGAGGAAGTGCGTCAGGCAAGTGCAAACTAACTAGAGTATGTGAAAGAGTTCCAAGACCTCCTTGGATCTCAATTTTCAGGAGCCGCAAAACGCAAACGGGGAGAGCTACAATATGAAAATACTGCTACGAAGCTAAGGAAAGACTACAGTGCGTTAGAAACTGCCTCGGTTCATGAGGGTGCGTTGCTCGTGTCTTTACCCTCTCAAGGGAACTACTCGCTAATGACATAATTGATGTGTGATAGAGCAAGGCAAAGAAGACGGAAACAGGGTCCTAATCATAGCAAAGACAAGAAGACACAATCGGCGAGGTCCTTGTGACAGATGATATATTCGAGGAATGGGGCCTCACGCGCGATAATCTTGCCCGGTACCTCGATAAGATTTTAGACAGACTGTTTCAGATGCTTGAGGAAGTAGATCGCGCAATCGCAGCGAACACCGCGCCAGTTATCAATGCTGCTGCTGCTGCTGCGTCAGAAGTGGAACAAGCGATTGCGCCGGCGATTGGTCTTGGGGGTACTTTGGTTATAGCCTCTGGGCTCTGTGAGTTCTAACTATTCTTGTATCGATTCTATTCTAAGATGAGATGCCCTGCTGGTCTTGGGTAAATACACAAGTCCGCACTCTTGCAAATATCATCTCCTTTTTCGGGGCCCTGGGTGGAGGCAATGACGAAACAAGCACAATTCCAGCCACAGGTACGGGGACAATATCGATTCCTACAACAACAACATCAACGGCGACTGCCACCATAGCTTCGTCATCTACGACGACGACAACATCAACGTCAACATGCTCAGCAACAGCTACCATAGCCCCTGTCGCCATCTTCGCCACCCCGGGTGCGAGCCTCGCCGAGTTCAATGCGTTTGTAGACACTCTGCCAAATGACCCAGAGGGTCTCCAACTCACAGGGTCTTGGCAGCCAAATGTGAGATTTTCTCTTTGCATATACTCAGTAATCTATTTACATGGTCTAATTCATTTGGCACAGTTCTTATACGCGGGATACGTGGATGGGTGTTCCATCGAGAAGCTGGGTGGCAACCCCTTAGTCGCGCGATGGACTATCGCGGAGGGGTCCCAGTCTGTATTGGAATTTGATCATGATGGAATCCTGGCTTGTGCGGCTTAGAAAGACGGAATATAGTGTTTTGAAGCTGGGGACTTATGGGAAATCAACAGAATTATGGTCAGATTGATTTTGAATACCCGCGCGCTCGAATCACATACTGTTCTCCGCATATCTATAAAGATTTTGTTGCGGTGGCCGTTGGCCGCCAAGCTCATCAGCGTATCAGAGCGCAGCCACTTATTAGTCTGAGATAGTTTCTTTCTACTCTTTCTCGTGGATTGAATCACTTTTTCTGAATATTTTCTTCGGGGCTATTCAACAGATCTTTACACTTTAGACTTGTTATCTCAAGTTTGGCGGTTGTCAATGAATAGAGCATGAAGGTCTAGATACTACCAAAGACTTCGCTTTGATATAAGCAGTTCGGCGTCTCTGCAGCATATTAAGTTTAAATAAGACGCTGTACAGTAGTCATAATTCCTGAAGGTATACTAGAAGTAACAGCAATTTTGGCCCTTTTTCATGTCGATCAGATGTAGAGAATGAGTGTCTCAACCAGCACGAGATTCGGGAAGTGAGGTATTACAGGACCACCTATTCAGGTTGGAAAACCCTCTTTATGATCTATCACAATAAATAGTGAAGCTATAAATCCTACCCTGAACAGCACAGAGAAGGGGACGAAAGGAAAATCAAACACGCCAAAAAAGCAAAGACAGATCGGCAATGTGATGGAACGCAGATCCCACATTGCACAAGGATATACGCTGTACTCCCAATCAAGCATGAACCGTTCCAAGTAAACAAGTTCGCACCTCAGGGCCAATCTCTCCAGGATGCCTTAAACACCGATCTCCATACTCTATTCCCTTACCCCAGCGCATTGATCAGCTGGTACAACTTGCTTTTGTGGATATCTGACTTGATGGCGTATTATCGTCCAATCACTGCTGCGCTCGACAATGTTTGTATGCTGCAAGATGCACATATCATCCCTCCCATGCAGATGGATCTACGAACCAGCCATACAACAGACAGAGATTAATCCTCGTGGAGTCGAATCAGATTACTCCGTACCATTGAAAGAGATCATGCAGCGGTACTTAATGTATGCAATTTGTATTGGTTCGAGGCAGAAGTACTCCCCACACATGAGTTGACTATGTTTTGCACTTTCCTAGAACATATCACAGGCTGGATTGTACAAAACCCCTATTCTTGGGTGATAAGACGTCAAATTCTTTTATCTCGATTTTTGAGTGGAAGATCTAGAAGATATATTGGTTGCTCTCGAACCTGTCATGGCAGACACTATGTATCCCGTGCAGAAACCATGGCTGTTCGATTTACGCTCGTCAAAGCAACTCATCGGCCTGGCTGTCTTTGCCACGACCTTCACTGATGGCTTTCTCTACGGCATCGTGAGTTCATGCTTCGCTGAAGCCCTGGAGGCAGTAAATCGAATTGGCTGACCCAACTACGTGCTAGGTTGTATCTGTTCTTCCATTTTCCCTTACCGTCCGCTCTGGGGTCCCCGAATCCGAAGTTCCATTCTGGACATCAACCTCCCTAGCCATCTTTGGTCTAGCAATGGTACTGAGCGCCCCGATGGCAGGCTGGATTGTCAGAAAATGCGAGAAACGCCAGTTACCATTCCTGGGCGGTCTTTCTTGCGCGTTTGGAGCAACTCTATTCTTCATGATCGGGACCAGGCCGTGGATTATCATTGTGGCAAGGACTTTTCAAGGACTGTCTGCGAGCGTGGTCTACACTGCTGGCCTGACGCTGTTGGTGGATACGATTGAGTCGCACGAGCTGGGACCCTGGATTGGATTTGGACTCTCTGGCATGAACTTTGGAGTGCTTGTATCACCTACTCTCGGAGGAATCGTTTATGAGAAAGCAGGATTCTATTATGTTTTCGTCATGGCTCTTGGGATCATCTTGATTAACTTAGTACTGATTCTGCTCATCATTGACAGAAAGGCTGCTGAGAGATACAGAGCGGAGTTTGATCCAGATGGAGTTTCAGCCGTTCGAAATGGAAATCATGCGAATAAGTCTACTACGCATGGTAAGCGACGACTGTCCAGGGTTGAAAACGGCGACTTGAATGTCACCACGCCGCTGCTTTCACGCCGCAGAGAACCCACTGCTGAAGTTACAATACATGCTACCTGGTCATCTATCGTTGGAGGATTTGTTCGAAACCCTCGTATAGTCGCTGCACTATATGGCTGTCTCATTAACACTATCCTTATGAGCTCCATGGATGCCGTCCTGCCGATCTTTGTTAAGCAGACCTTCCACTGGCTATCTGGTGCAACAGGGGCAATCTTCTTGAATTTGACCATACCATCCCTTATTGGTCCATTTATAGGAATGGTTTCAGACAAATATGGTGTCCGGCTGATCTCGGTCCTCGGTTTTACTTCCGCAGCGATAGGCGCCATGTTTCTCGCACTGATACAAAACGACGATATTACAAGCAAAGTGTTGGCATGCATATTCTTGTTCGTTGTGGGTAAGTCTGATCTACTATATGTGCAGCTCAAGATGAGGTACACGATTGTTAACATGATAGATAGGTGTGGGCCTCAATACCTCGTTGACTCCTCTCGTCACGGAGATACCTCGGATTGTCAATCGTCTCCAAGACGAGCAGCCTGATGTGTACGGAGATGAGAGTGCAGTTGCTGAAGGCTATATGCTTCTTGATGTTGTCTTCGGTGCTGGGACTCTCCTAGGGCCCTTAATATCAGAACACGCTTTCGAGAGATTAGGATGGACCGGATGCACTGCTGTGATGGGACTTTTGAGTACCTCAGCTATCCTTCCAGTAGTAAGCGACTAGCTCTTGATAAACACAGCCGTTGATGATACTGACTCGTTATTAGACAATGTATCTGACCCCTAATCGAAAGGGCTCTTTGAGAAATCCCGAGCATTGAAAATTTCTCTTAATTAGTATAAGAATGGTTGAAAGCCATCTTCCCCAATCAATTTCAAATGTGACAAAAAAGGGCATGATGCTCGTTTCTTTGTCAGCTGTGACACTGACCCTGATATGATAGCCCTGGCTTTTCTTTGGGCGAAGATTGAGATTCCCTTGCGAAATGAAAGGCGCTGGTGCTTCTTCTCAATAGTTGATGGTCTCAGTAGCTGATGGAGGCATTTATACTGTGGGAATTGAGCAGATTCCAAAAAAGATAGAGGAATCATAGTGGGCGGCTGCCTTTATAAAACCTCTTACGGGCAATTTGGACATTCCATCTATGGAGAAAGATCTTGATTTAATGTAGCATGAACCGTCTGGTTATCTCGGTCGATTAATCTTGCGTATCTTTGCCATGATAGATCTCACTCCATAACACCAGTCAGTTCGTCCACGGGTACACTGAACAGTTATTTATGATCAGTATGAGTACGTGAACATCTTGCTTGTTCGTTACTCACTCCTGCTGATCGATAGATCACATACTCTCAATGGCATTCTGTCTCTTTTCCAGCCGAACCTCAGATAGACCATTAGTAAATAGACTCATCCGCACAAGATTCCACTCCACGGCGCTATATAGCAGGCTCAAATCAGTCCCAATGCCAATATCAGCCGCCGTATTCAAGCTTCGCGAATCGATAAAGGGTGCAATCGATGGCCACACGCTTTGGACGTTATCGAAAATAATCTCCACGGCCAAATCACCCATTGCCTTGGTTTCTTTTAGCAAGAATGCGGCTTCGTCGCGCTGTCCATTTGCCTGCTTGAGGAGTTTGTTGAGGTCTCCGTCTGACCTCGAGCAGAGATGTCAGATACCGCACGAACGCGCACTTCAAATACAACAAAGCTATTTTGGAGACATACCGTATTTTCCAACAACCAGCGCAGCCAGTTCACCGAGATTTGTAGCACACTGCTCGCGATACCGATTGTACCCGCCTTCTTTCAAAGAATCTACTCGCTCTTGCCATGAGCTGTTGGCAAGCGTGTCGATGTCGTGATATTTCGCTGCGATCAGCTTGTTGATCATTTTCTCCGTCAGATGGTGCGAGATTGGTCTTGCCTTGATGAGCGCGTCCATGACTATCGCCAATACGATTTGCGGGCTGGCAATGAGCGAGTCGGCTTTTGCGAGGGGTGTGCCGTGTAAAGGGATTTTACCGAATTCGTTCACGACTTTGTCGATTCTGAAGCCGGTTTCTTTCGATACTGATGAAGACATGATGGACGTTATTGAAGAGAATGAAGCGCTTGAATGGGTTAAATGTTCTGGTAATGATACTGGATGTTTATCACGAGTTGACCTCACGATGGCATATCCATATACATGGGCTACGCCTCATCCATAAAATTAACAGCCACCTTCGAAATTGCCATGCAACGATCAACCTATACAATGCCCCTGCTCAACTCAACGCCGACTCATAGCTTGGCACGGGATTTCTTCTGCAGAACTTCCTTGACAAGAGACACCGCAGCATATGCACAGCCAAACGAGGCTTGGTAACCAAATCCTCCATGGCCGTAGTTATGCACAATATCCACACCATCCACCTTATCCTTCTCAATACGAGTGCCGCCATCTCTCAGAGGTCGCAAGCCAACACCATGGCGAATGATATCCAGCCCCTCAATTCCTTGTCCCGGCTTAACCAGGCTGGGACAAATAGCAATGCAGCGTTTCATGATTCGATTGGCAAGATTCATATCCGGGAGTGCATCCCAGTTGTACTTTTGATAAGATCCGCCGAGAATAGTGCCGCCGCCTACGAATGACAAGTTAGTATATTGCTTCCTAATATGATAGGTCTGAAATTTACCTGCGGCGCGAGTCATGATATACAGGGCCTCGTCTTCTCCGTCGTCAGTTCCAGACGCTGAAACCATAGGCCCAGGATCGTTGCGGACGACGACGATCTGACCGCGTGCGGGATACATCTTATCGTCGAGCACGCCGCCGAGTGTTCTGGCTGATAGTCCCGTGCAATTGATCACCACGTCAGCTTTGTTGCCGGTGTGGTGCGCGTCAGCTGCGTCCGCGATATGCTTGAAGACAGCTCTTTCGAACACGGCGCCATTCTTGACGCACTGGCCGACCAGCCACGGCAAGTACACGGCCGTGTTGATGCAGACGGATGTGAATTCCTGTGCGTTGTCGATGCCAGGCGCTAGTTGTTCAGATGGAACAGCTTTGAACTAAATTTCGAGGTCAATGTGGATTTCATCGACTCATTACTCGGTCACTCATACATCGGGCACAACATCCTTATACCACGGGTTGGGCTGGACCAGCTCGGAGAACCACTGTCCAGTCGCTGATTCCTGATCCTTCTTTCGGTTGTAGATCAAAGTACCTGGGCTTCATCAGAGGGGTCCAAGCTTTGAGTCGGGGAGCACATACCTCGGAAGTGGATACCGGCCTCCGGGTATTTCTCCGTGATCTCTTTCAACGCTGGCCAGGTGGCACGCTCCCATTCCTGGTGGGCACTGCCTTCCTTCCCGACTCTATTGAACGAACAATCAATTAGAACATTGGTCCTCGCTGTGGCATGGTTCGGTGGTCATACGGCATATAGTTGGCACCGGCCCAAGGGGATGCATATTCGATATCATAGTCGCCGGGCATATGCTTTGCTAGCACGGTGACTTTGTTCTTTGGGTCCTGTGACAGCAGATACGCAGTTGTCAAACCGGAGACACCAGCACTATTCCATAGATTAGTGGAGGTTCAACACACCGCAAGGGTGGAGCTAGAGGAGCTAGAGGGTCTTACCCCAGAACCACAATGTTGTTGGCCATTTTGAACTCGTGAACTCAACCCGAAGAGAACAAATACTGTAACATGCAATTAGAAGTATATGAAGAAAGGAATGAGCCCTCTTATGTTCGAACAGAGGCGGGGGATTGAGGGGATGATTCTTATCGCTTTTGATAAGAGATTCCCACCGGCCCGGGTTGTAATTCACGATCGTAAGGCGCTGGTCATGTATGGTATTGTCCCCTTTTCGCTAAACCTATTTAGGAATATTTTCGGAAGCGGTGTATAGCAGTAACCAATCAATCATCAAAAATAACAAAGAAACGCGCTAGAGTTTTCCGGTGGAGACGTGGAGCAATACGAATCAACAACATTTCAAAATTACCCTCCGCACTTGATGCGGAGGTGATGCGTAGAAGATATAGATTGCATAGATTCATGTCAATTGATTGCAGAAATAGATCTCGTGAATCATATTGCTCAAGTATCATAATTCCCAATTATTGAATATGGGATCTGGGGCCCAGCAAGGGAGACTCCCGTAAAATCCCGCGTACTCCATTACTCCAGACTCCACTGTTAACATATCGATCACATTTCAATGACTTTGCTCTCGGTTTTCTTTCAGTTTGCTCTCACTTTCCCTTGGTTTTCTCTTACTCTTGAAAGTCAATTCAATGAAAACGTCAAGGAACTCAAGGATTAGGCTCTAATTATAGCAGTCAGTTCAAATCTCATTGTGAACACAAAGAAAAGAAAAAGTGGGCTATGTCATCAAGTGGGCAAGGGCTCAGAGTGTGACCAATCACCGAACATCAAATCTCACCGCCAGGGATGCTCCGACACCAAGTTTTGGAAGTTTCCAAAATCTGCAACAATTTCCTTTTTAAACCACCCGCAGGGCCCGATTCACCTCTGCGGGTTTACTTCCCTAGATTTATCTTGAACATTGCTTCAATTTTCTAATCTAATTTGTTTGATTTACACTAAATGCCGACTAATCGAGGTTCTTCATTATGTCGCAAATCAATGGTGGCAGAATCGTGCCCATACTTACGGGGCACGATGTATTACAATCGTTTGACCAGCCTGCTCTATTGACCTCTTCAATCTCTCAATCTTCGATATCTTCTTCTTCAACATGTTCAGACTCTTTACCACCCTCCACAATGCCCAAATGTCGCCAAGATAAGGCGACCGGCAAGCGTCCCAAAGCCAAGATGCCAGACTCGAGCCTCGAGATGGCCTCTCTCATGGAGCGGGGACTGTATGCGCTCCCAACTGAAGGAGATGGTACGTAAATCTCGTAATGGACTTCCTTGCCGAGCTCCCTAGCTCCAAGTCCCGTTATAACTTGTTTTCGCCTGTTCTGACGCGTCTCGTCTCAGGCAATTGTCTCTACTATTCGCTTTCAGACCAACTCTTTGGAGACTTCACCCACGGCAATGATATCAGACAGCGAGTTGCCGATCACATGTCCAACAACAAAGAATACTTCATGCAGTTTGTTTCCCAGGGGGGCGAGCGTCGTCGACCTAGGCGCGCCGCTGCTTCTGCATACGCTACTCGTTCCGCCGATGTCCCTTCTCAATCCGAGCAAGAAAAAGAGCGCCTTTTTACCGATATGATTGCCAAGTCTCGAAAGAATGGAGAATGGGCCGGCTCTGAACACATCCAGGCCTTCTGCCAAGCTTATAGGCTTGATGTGGGCGTCTATACATCAGACGGCGTCCGATCTTTCCAAGATGTGAATTCTGGACCCGACGAGTCGCGTAACGTTGTACATGTCGCTTTCCATGTAAGTATCCTGTTCTGTCTACATCCTGGAGCTCCAGGCTAACAGTCTCAGACTTTCAATCATTACTCTTCGGTTCGTAGCGTGGACAAGAAACACGAAGGTCTTCTCGTCAGGCTGGAGCATGACGGAATTCCCTACCCAGACGTCGATGACAAGGCTCATGTAAAATCCGAGGCGGTCACGACTGAAGACAAGACCGATATTAATACCGACGTCAAGACTGAGCTTGATCCCCACAAACCCGTCAACGACTCTCACAATGACTTTCGCTCCGAACAAACTGCGATTGATCCCAATACAATTAGTGACAACAACCTTGCTGTTGATCTGTACGGTCCGTGGCATATCAATACCATTGAGGAAGGTCTTGGTGGACGTTACGACCGAGAGACCATCATTGACATGTTGAAGAAGTGCCGTGGCGACATCGACCGCGCCTTTGCCGCGCTGCTTGACGAAGATGCCGATGCACACGTCGACAAGAAGTCCGCGCCTATCATCCCAGTCAAACCAAGTCTGCAGGCCTCCCGAGAGTCTTCCCCCTTCAGCACTGGTAGCAAGCGCTCAGCCGACGACAGCGACGATTCTGAAGACCCCCGCCCCGCTAGACGGGTTAAGCCTAAGAAGCGAATGATCTCCAACCTTACACTGGGTGTCGGAATCTCCTTCAGGGATGATCTTGATGAGCTCGTCTCTCTCAACCTTCACGTGAGCCCACCTACTAACCATCTTCCAACAATGATCCCCGTTGACTGATTATCTTTGCAGGTTAACCCTGACACTGAACAGGGTCAGGCCACAGACCCCCCCTGCCGCTGGTAACACCAGCCCCGAGTATTCGGATACGGAGGAAAAGACATGTCGCCGCAGTGGAAGACTCTCTCGACCCCGCCCGAATTAGCCTAATTTTTTGTTGCTTGTTTTGAAGACATTTGAGCGTTTGCAGCCTGTGCATTGAACAAGGCGTTGGCATTGGCATGGATGGCCTTTTTCATATTCGTTTTAGCATTGCATTGCCCTATGAGCTTGCGAGGGAGGCGGTGTTTTTCTTTCCTTTTTTTCAGACGCTGCATGAGGATGATGCCTGGGGCAGTCCAAGATCATATGTTTTTGCGAAGATACCTTTCTGCGAGGGGCTACATCTACCCCTTTATTTTGCTTTTTTTTGGATGTTCCTCGTTTGCTGCTGAGAGGCTTTGGAATTAATGGGCAAATGGCATAGCTTCGCTTGACTAAATGTAATGATGTTGACGGTAACATTGCCGCCTCGGGAAGCGATGGGCTCCTGGATCCCAGGGTGAATTAGTCACACACCTCGTTGCTCTCCCCTGACCAGTCCAATCCATTCTCGTCCTGCTTTTTAGCTTTTGCCTGCTCTGATTGTAACCGCACTGCATACTAGTGTCCCTAGGAGCGCAGGCCTAGAGATAACGTATTCCCACGTCGTTACGGTGACTTGCTGTCCTCTTCGAACTTTCCGTCGATCGACCCCTGGGCACGGCATTTATGGATAACATTCAACATGCACAAAAAAAACAAACCACACAACTGCGAGGATTCACTCATGGTCACCCATCTGACTACTGACTCATTGGCGTGGTAAGTATGACGTACATTTCTGATAGCAAAAAGCACATCGGACTGATCTGACCCAATTTGCTCCTTCTACTCGCAATCTAATCCGCGGTGGGTAGTAATTAGCCTGTCTGCATACTCTCAAATTTGTTTATGCAAGTATCCGTGTGTCTAGGGAGCCTGCATAGCTATCGGGACACATAATCTGTCTATTGGGTTGGTGTGCTGGGCCTGATTTAGTCGGGATTCGATTTCATCGAGAAGACGGGTGAAAGCAACGACGGCTTTCTTAAGATCCCTATGAGTGTGTTGTTGAATCTCCCAGGGGTAATTTGCTCTGGTATCGCACTTTTCCGCTCTAAAGAGGTCGTTACTGTGCTTTCATCGGTCATCTCTAGATAAGCCTGAAGAATGTGCTGTAAAGGCTTCCACGGCCATGGCTTTTCAGCATGATCAACTACATATTCCCAATCTAGGAAGAAGGCAGCTAGTTTAGTCTCTTGGTCAAGTCTATTCCACATGTCAATATCAGATCCACCTAATAGAGGAACCAATAGAGGAGTGAAACTATTAAGATACCAACTTGATTCTCATTAGTAGAGCATGTCCCTAGATATAGCCACAGAAACACATCTCCCCACGATTCAAGGATCGAGAATCCGAGAAGGTCCCGACTCTCTTGAAGCCCATGTAGGAAATAAAAGAATGGAAATCTGTATTGAGAATACAGATGGATGTCGATAACCGTAGAAACTGAATAAGTTTAGGGCTTAGGCGGGAAGCGAGGTCGAATGAGACGGGGAAAATTCTTCCCACCATGTTGTAGATGGAAGCGAAGCTATATCTTGTCCGGTACCATTCTATGCATGCTCCAAGGCTCCAAGGTTTTATTGTGAAGCTTAGCGGGTAGCTGAGGGCCAAAGGCGGGTTGCATTTTGTTACGGAAGTAAGATGGATAGGGAGTAGAGAAGGAGAAAAGGTGAGAAAGGCCTTCAATCCACTTCTGAAAAGCAGGAATATCGAGGACGCCACCGCACTAGTACTGTGATAACTGTACAGACATTAGGTGCTTTTCATAAAAAGGTCCACTTTGGCATTCTGTCTTCGCCCTTACTTATTTGGTCATATTTTGGGGCCGGCTTGTTGAGGTGTTAAAAAGACGGAAGAGGGGCCCTACTACTCAGGAGCTTAAACCAGCGTCCAAGGTAGCCATTTGCGACAGCTGATTTACCGTCAATTAGCGTTGTGGTGAGATATATGGCGGAGAATAATATCTCAATGCTATGGTTATTGTTAATTGAGACTGACTTTATTCGTAATTCTCTGTAGTTCTGGTTCTCTTTTGTCTATGGAATGATGGTGTGTTTCATAACCTTTGGCTTCTGTGTAACCAAATGAGTGGGATTATTATCACTTGGAAGATCCCTTTCTAGTGATCAGTCGTAAGAAATGAAAGATGAAATATGTTCATTTGCTGGTATGTACATAGAGATTGATCTATTGAATCTCAGTCTAGGATATAGCGCCATGCACCCATTAAACCAGATCCTGTGTAGTTCCTGTGTCGTATATCACATGTTCCCACTTCTACTCCTCCAGTAGGAACTTCAGGAACACGGCACCAATAGCAATACCATCTTGCTCATTAAAAGCTCTATCATCAGCATCCTTCGCCATCTCCTCTGTAAAAATGCCCCCCGTAGACCTAACCTTCACAATCTCTGTTATAATCTCCCCATTAAACTCCGGATGACCCTGTACCGTAATAAATCGGCCAGCCGCATACATTCCCTGCACCTCACAACGCGGGGAAGATCCAAGCGAGACCACGCCCGGGGGAAGAGAAAAGACAATATCCTGGTGCATTTGCTGGATGCGCTGTTCATGTTCAAATTAGCTGTGTACTTTTGCGCCATGAACAGGTAACGTACGAGCTTTTCTCGACCAAACAACTCTTTTCCTTTATCTGTCAAGTCCATATCGCACACGGAAATCTCCCAGCCCTTATCGCTTCGTCCGACCTTGGAGTCTAGAGCGCGGCCGATGATCTGGTGCCCGAAGCAGATTCCCAGAATGCGCACGCGGTCCTGCGCTAGGACCATTTTGGTAAATTCAACGAGACGCAGAATCCAGGGGTGGTCTTCGAAGGAGTTGTGTTCTTTTTGTGAATTGTTAGTACGGGGCTTTTGAGGTATGTGGTAAATACGTATGTACGCACTTGATCCTGATAGGAGTATAGCGTCGACATCCTCCAGTTTTGGGTATTTGTCGTCGTCTACGATGTTGAATGCGGTAATTTCCAAGTCTGTCTCTGGATCAAGATGCAATGTTTTCGCGCTGGATTTGAGGAGCGTGGAGAATACCCCGCCGTATCCATTGTATCGTTTGTGGACTTCTGGGACTGGAGTATCGCATTCTAGGATAGCAATGCGCAGAGGGGAAGACATTTCTTATATATAAAGCTGTGGGCTTTATATGCAGGGCTGTGTTTCTATAGAGAGAAGATGATTGGAGTCAAGTACCCTGAACCCCTCATGTTATCTCTTATCGCACATTCCGATGTCCCGAGATCGGAACCCTGCTTACTCAACTCCATGCACTAATACCTACAATATTATTGTACAGATATTGTGCAGGATGCAGTGCACTGATCTATATGTACACATTGGTTCAATGTACAGTTGTCATTTTGCATGGGATACCGCAGACTGGGAGCTAATTCAAGATTTTCGGTAAACGTGTGCCCCCGCTGCTTTCGGAACTTGAGTTGCGACATTTTCTGTATCCATCTCGTGCTCGCAGAAATTTAATCTCTTCCTTTCTATTTGCTCATAACTGAAATATACTTCAATTTTGTTGATAACCTTGACATTGTTGATATTTCTCTATAATGGGAATTGACAATGGGCGATCCCATCTGGATCCCTCTGAAACCACTCCCCTCTTGACTCAATCCCATGGCCGCCCCAGCTGCCTTGATGTCAATGAATATGATGTCGAAATAGCCTCTTCGCATAAGGATACAGATGAAGAACATAATGTTCCCATTTTATCCAGTGCTAGCTCCATATCTGGGGGACTGGATTTTGGGCCATCTCTAGAAAGAAACATATCCAACTCTCCGAGCAATCCGAATGCCTCAACTAAAGAAGAAAATGAATATGCGTCGAGATTCATCGATGTATCGCCCACGCAATTCTGGGTTATTTTCAGCGGCATCATGATGGGCTATATGATTGGCTTCTTTGACTCGACCCTCATGGCCTCAAGCCATCCAGTCATCACATCCTACTTCAAAGCCGCAAACTCAGCCTCGTGGCTATCGACCGCCTTCTTACTGACCTCGACCGCATTCATGCCATTGTTTGGGCGGATCTCCGACGCCTTTGGTCGCAAACCCGTCTATCTCTTCTCGATCGCCATGTTCTTCGTCACCACAGCCGGGTGCGGTTTGGCGCGCAACATCGGTCATTTCATCGCTGCGCGCGCTCTTTGTGGACTCGGTGCAGGCGGTATCTTCTCCATTGGTCAAATTATTTCCAGTGACTTGGTGCGTCTCGAATACCGGGGCGTCTATCAGTCGTATCTCAATCTATGTCTCGGCGTCGGTAGTAGTCTCGGGCTTGCCTTTGGAGGCTATCTATGTGATCATATCGGTTGGCGTGGGGCGTTTCTCATCCAACTGCCTTTTATCTTCGTCTACTTGATTGCGGCTGCTTGGACTGTCCCGGCGGATCTGGGCCTTAAGACTGTTGGGATGGAGCGCATGAAATTGTCGCAGTTAATCCGGAGCATTGATATAACGGGAGCATTCATTTTGATTACTGCCGTCACACTTCTGATCCTTGGGTTGAATCTGGGAGGGAACGTGGTTCCCTGGGGTCATCCACTGATCATCGTCTCGTTGGTGTTATCCGGTGTGTTAGCTGTGATCTTAGTGCGGTATGAACGCCTCGTACCGCGCCCCGTGATGCCAATCGAACTTCTTACGACAAACCCCCGAGCCAGCATAATCTTTGGCAGTTTCTTCGCTACAATGTCCGTCAGCACGGTCGTTTTCAATGCTCCGCTATATTTCCAGGCCGTTAAGTTGACCTCACCAACTACTTCTGGTCTCCGACTTGTTGCCTCTTCTCTTGCTATTACTTTCTCAAGTGTCAGTACTGGAATCTTGGTCAATTGGACCAGACGCCTCCAACCTTTCGTTCTGATTGGTGTATGCAGCATGGTAATAGGCGGGTGTGCAGCGGCATCAATGGGAATTGATACCCATAATCCAGTCGCTATGGTCTGCATCTCGTTCTCGAGCCTGGGTCAGGGCTTCTCATTTCCATGTCTGATGGTGTCTATACTCGCAACCAGTAAACGTGAAGACCAGGCTGTTGCAACTACCACCCTTGGTTTGTGGCGGAACTTGGGGTCCGTCATGGGTGTTGCTGTGAGTAGCTGGATCTTCCAGAATACCCTCATTTATCATCTCAAGCACAATGTCACTGGTGTTGACAAAGATCATATCATTGCGCTCGTCCGCAAATCTGTGCACAGTATTGCGCTCTTGGATCCCGTCCATCGGTCAGAAGGTACGTTTCACTTCTATTGATACTTTGAGCTTGCTAACAAAGATTTAGTCACCAAATCTTACTCCGATGCTCTTCGTCTGACCTTTTTATCGGCAGCCGTCTGGGCAATTATTGTACTAATACTCATGTGCCGAGTCCGATTGCCACGGTTGGAAAGAAAGAAGTAGATCTAAAGTTATATTGGACGAATAATTAGCCTCAAGTGCCATAGTACTTCGCATATATCTTTATGCACAGTTCTAGTTCTTTTTTGAACATGTTCAAAGGTTGACATTGTACATTTGTATAGAATATTGTATACCGGAGAAGCGATCTTGGCACGATGGTCCACATTTTGCCCCCCCAATTTCCACTTCTGACCGAACCAACTTCTCCGCAATTTCAGCGCAAATTTGTGGCCAAGCAAGGGGGCTCTTGAGTATGTCGATTGACTGCCCAGTTTTTCGTGGATTAATCTCAGCTGACAACATCTTCCCCAGTTTTATCTGCCGATCCCTTTCCTCCCCGCACCGGTAGGATTCAAGAGACCCTTGAATCGCAAGCCTGGACGATCGCAACTAAGCTGAACAACCTTGAGCCTCAGTATCAATATCGAATATGGCCAGTGGGGAAACTACAACGGCATTTTGTTCATTCGGGAAATCTCTATCGACTCGGACTCCAGTTGGCGCAGGCGACTAGAGATAAATTCGAATTAAAATAAAATTCCTCTTCCCATTTGGCTGAGCCAAAATGAACCTCCGAAACTCTGCGAAGTCGCAGCCACCGTCACCTCAAGTCAACACGAGGACATCTACCCCCAAAAGCCAGTCAAGCGACTCGCAAACCACACCACGCCCCCGCACTGGTCGCCGGAAAACAGATATCCCAGATACCAAAGCCAGGAGATCGCGCACAGGATGCTTCACCTGTCGCCAAAGACATCTGAAGTGCGACGAAGCCGTAGGAAAATGTCTGAATTGTCGCAAATCAGACCGTGTTTGTCGGCGCGGCGTCCGCCTCAATTTCATCGATATCCAGACCGTGGCACCCCCACACCTGGTCGCGCGACCAGACGGCTCGAAGGTAACATTTCGAGATGATTCGCGGCTGATTGCATCCCTGTATGTGGGAGGCTTTGAGATATATCCGCCTATTCAGCCCGAAAGCCCCGTTGAAGAAAACGGACACTCAAACCATGACTTTGATTCCATGGGACCTGACGATCTAACGAGCCTCTTTCAGTCGGTTGCTCACTCTTTCGACCCGCTGAGCTTTGATGTCTCACATCCCTCCACGGCGGACTTCGTGGAAACGGATACCTGGCACCAGTCCCATTTGGTGCCCGGGGATGAGCTTCTTCCGCATGGAACATCCAATTTTGCGCGCAAGCTGGCGGATAAGCAGGAATCGCATCACTTTCTCACTGACCCCGAGCAATTGTCTCTTCTTCGGGCTTTTGTGGAAGAGGTTGGTCCGCGCATGGATGCAATGGACGAAATGAACCATGTGCGTTAGCCTTTTCCTAATGTGTCGTTCGACTCGCTAACAAGATATAGTTCTCCCAGGTTCTCCCAAGTCTTGCTGTGGGCGAGCCTTTGTTGCTCAAGGCGTTTTTGGCAGGAGGTGCTAGGCACCTTTCCATACATGCCCCTTCTTATGAAGATGGTAAGGCCTTGCTTCTTTATGATGAAGCTACCCAGGCGCTTTTGAATGCAGTCCATGATCCCAGCCGAGACTCTGTCTTGTGCGCAACCGCTGCATTGGTTCTAGGGTTCTCTGAGTCCATGTCGCCTCGGTCAAGGCACCACGGGAACCACATTGCAGGTTCTCGGGCTTTGATTCGAGAGTGTGGGTGGACTGCTAAAACGCCAGGGCTTGGGGGTGCCTGTTTTAGGATTAGCATGAGTGCCGAACTGCTTAGCTGTCTGCACTATAATTGGACCCTGTCTTGGGATCCGGACACTTGGGGGGTCGATATGGACATGGAACATGCACAAGCCAGTATTGGTGGTAGCCATGATGTATGGCATCATCGAATATTATATGTTTGTGCGAAAGTAATGAACTTGCGGACGTCTTTGCGTCAATGCCAAGCTTTGGGCGATGATGTGGCGCGCGTCACTCGGCTCAATAATCTCTTCCAGGAATGGGCCCTTTACAATAGTTGGTGTGAGCAATGGGAGAAGTATATACCCAGATCGCTGGTACCACTTGGTTATCTCCAGCCATGGCAAACTATGTCAAAATCGGTGTTTCCAGAAATTTGGTATGTTCGGACTCATTTCACTACTAGGATTTCCATCGACTAACATTTCAGGCTTTCTAATCGATCTGCTATTATTGCTCGATTGATGTACCACGTCACTCGCATTTTGTTATCCAAGACTCATCCTCTACAGTCGGAGTTCGATGAGGGGATGCAGAAGATGCAACACAGTCACGCGCTCGACCTGTGCGGCCTTATCGCCCATACAAAAGACCAGTTAGTCAAAATGTGTTCGCAATCTCCAAATAATAGCATCTGACCGTGTATCTAGGGGTATTGCCGATATCGCACTCCGCTGCCTTGTGATCGCAGCGGAATGCTTAGAGACACACGAAGCTCAACAAGAAGTTCTCGATATCTTCGATACCCTAAGCAAAGTGACCGGCAGCAGCGCTGAATCGATCAAGAATGACCTTAAACAAATTTGGAGCTGGGTCGGTGCTCATCCGCACACAGTGACTCCTGCTCAGATGCATAACCACTTCTATGAACTTGATCCATCTTTGTCGATGGCTGAAACCCCTGATTTGTCTCCGGGTCTGAACAATCCCCTTTTGGGTACAGGTGATTTCTCAATGGAAAGTCATCCATATCAGCGATTCTATGTGCCACCGCATCACCACCACGCACTTGATCAGTATCACTACGGTGCATACTTGATCTGATGACTTTATAACTCAAAAACTTGTGATGAATAATGATTTATATTAGCTTCATTTCCATATTGCTTATACCCGATCAGTACAATTCAATGACCCATATTTGTGATGTTCTTTCGCACCGTTGTCAATATATAGTTCCTCTTGTACCTAGGTAGACTCATCTCGCAGGGCTCTGGTATAGCTTTGCTCCGACAGGGCGCGCTGAAGATCCAAAGGGCTTTTAAGTAGCTTTTGTAACAAATATAACAAAAAGATTTTGCCCAATCTACTCGAATGTACATCGTTGGATGAAAATAGGAGCAAATAGTGATGGCGGTGTAAGCGGGCAAATTCCGCCCATATCCCACCCCAGTTCCTCCAAGCTCATAGATATCAACGACCTTTTGTTCAAAGCAACCCTACTGTAATGGACACCAAAGCAATCCAGGCTCAATCGCCAGCTGCACCGATCTACATTCTTCGCGGCCATGGCTCGGCAATTCATGCATTGAACATCTATAACCAGAATCTTCGCCTGATATCCGGCGACGCCAACGGCTGGATCGTCATTTGGGACTTGATCACGAAGCGTCCGGTAGCAGCATGGAAAGCCCATGCAGGAGCTGTATTGGAGGTGAAGGGATTTAACATTGGCTCCGGCGTAACCGAGATCTATACGTATGACCAGTCCTAGCTTCCCACATCTTCTTTTTAATATTGACAAGTGAGATAGGCATGGCCGCGACCACAAACTGTGTGTATGGAAGATCCGAGCTGAAGACGAATCATTCCTCAGCAAGACCCTCCCAGTTCTCGTGGTAGAAGCCGAGCAGGAGTGTAAAACTCAGCCGTGGCTGCTTCATTCTCTGCCCGTGAATGCGCTCAACTTCTGCGCGTTTTCAATGGCTTTTGTCAATTCAGATGGTCTGCCGGGACTGCCGGATCACACTACCAAGCCTGAAACTACTCTCTTTGCTGTACCCAATGCCATGGACTCAGGCGGCGTTGACATCTTCCATCTGCCTTCTGAGCGTCGCATCAGCACCATCCCTTCCGATGTATCGATCAAAACCGGAATGCTAATGGCTGTCAATCTGTTCGTTACTGCTTCTGGAGATCTTTACGTCGCTTCTGCGTATGAAGATGGCCATGTTATGGTTTATTGTCACCGGGGTGCTCTCAAATCTGCCGTCTTTGAGCGTGAGAATATAATTAATAATCCTCTGAAATGGGAGAGGCTTTATGTTTGTCGACCTCATACGCAGCCTGTTCTTTCTATTGATGTTGCTCCCTCGCTTGCATATTTCATTTCTTCTTCGGCGGATGCTTTGGTCATTAAGCATCCTATTCCGAGTGCGAGTTCTCCAGGATACATACCCACCGCTGGGTACAAGGAGGAGTCACCTTTGAAAATTGCCAATACAAGACATTCGGGTCAGCAGGGTCTGCGGATAAGGTCTGATGGAAAGTTATTTGCGACTGCCGGCTGGGATAGCAGGATCCGGGTATACTCGAGCAAAACGATGAAAGAGCTGGCTGTGTTAAAGTGGCACAAAGATGGATGCTATGCTGTGACATTCGGGGATGCATCTCTGGGGTCTTCATCGAACCCCGGCCCTGATATTCAAAATGAAAAGAAGGAATCGGTGGCCGCCGAGCAACGCGACTACTCTCTCGCTACTGTGCACCAACAGCGCAATCTAAAAGTACAACAAACTCATTGGCTAGCAGCTGGTTCCAAGGATGGGAAGATTTCATTATGGGATATCTACTGAGATAAATGCTAATGCTATAAAACAACCATGCGACCATGCTTTTTAAACGAGTCTAGCCAAAAAATCAAGCCAAGTTGAACTCGTTGGCTCCAGACATATGCTCTCTCATCTTGGCCCTCATCCTGCGAGCAGCATCATCCGTATTGTTAACACCCGGTGCCGGCCCATCATCGCCGCCAGCCTTTCGCTTGCTACCCGCACCACTTCGCGAAGCCTTGAAGTCCTTCTTGGTATCTTCTTGACCAGGTCGCAGACCAGGAACATTGATTTTGCCCGGACGATCACGGAGCGCGAAACTCTTCGCCAGATGACCCAAGTGCAGTTCCTTGATGTTGAACATGCTCCGCTCACTAGCAATGTGAGTCGCATAGGCTCGCACATGAGATTGGAATGCCCGACGGGCCATTTCCAGATACTCGGGGTTATCGAGAGCCCAGCGCTCGACGTCCATTTGCCAATCGGTGGTCTTCTCTTCCCAGTTCTTCTTTCCGGACTCGTTGCCTCCGAAGCCGCGCTTGAGGAGCTCGTTTGCATCTGTGCGGGTGAGCGCCTTGCCGCCGTCGCGGTAGCCGCGCTTCAGCACTGAAACGTAGTTCTCTTCGCAGCCGGGCTGGAGGAAGACGAGGGCTCGACCGTCGCGTCCTACACGTGCTGTACGACCGATACGGTGAGTGTGGTCGTCGGAGCTGAATGCCGGGTCGTATTCAACGACTAGGTCCACGTTGGGCAGATCAAGACCACGCGAGGCGACATCGGTACAGATCATGACGCAGGCCTCGGTGCTGCGAGAGAAGGAGCCGAGGGTGGCGGTTCGGACGTTTTGTGGGAGCGAGCCGTGCAGTCTGTGCAGAATGACTGGGTTGGTTGGGGTTGAGAAGGCTCTTCCGGGAGCAATGGTGCCGTGGGGTGACAGCTCCTCTCTTTCGTCTACTTTTTCTTCCTTCTCCTCCTGCTGCTGGTCTTCCTTTTCTTTTTCTCTCTCAAGCTTCTTTTGTTGCTCGCGGTCTTGGTTTCGTGAGAATAGCTCGAAATGGAAATCAACAGCGTCGGCACAAGACATGAAAACAATCGCCTTCATCACGGAACCCTTTCGCATAAATGTTCTCTTCAAGTAGGCTGTTAATGAGACAAGACGTAACTTGGCTGGTACAATGGCGTAGGACTGCTTCAGTTGCGCTGGGACGCGGAATCCTTCGTCCTCGCCCTTTTCTGGCTTCTCGTCATCGTCGTCCTCCGGGTCGGCCTTGATGTGAATCGCATCCTTCAGACTGATCTCTCCTAGCTTCTGAACATTCATCTTCAACGTAGCCGAGCAGAGAACCGTCGTCCTGCGTGTTGGAATACCAGGCACGCGACTGGGCCGTTGCCTGGCATCAAGTTTACCGACAATTCCCTGCAGTTCCTCCTCGAAACCCATGTCCATCAAGCGATCTCCCTCGTCAAGCACGAGCCACCGAACATTACTGACATCTAATGCTTCTGTGTTATCGAGATGATCCACCAAACGACCCGGTGTTGCGACAAGGATATTCAATCCCTTTCGCAAACGTGCCTTCTCTGACTTTTTCTTTTCTCCACCAATGACCGTTCCACAGACAATCCAGTTTGCGCAACGAAGGATATTCTCCAGCACAACTGAAATTTGCTTACACAATTCGCGAGTAGGTGCCAAGATAATGGCGAACAATCCACTATCACGGTGGACTTGGGTATCGGTATGCTCGTTCTTCGCCTTGGATAGATCCATGATCCGTTGCACCAGTGGGAGAAGGTAAGCCAGCGTCTTTCCGGAACCGGTCTCAGCCTGAATGAAAGCATCACTCTCTTCCTTCAGCAATTGTGAGATAGAGCTCCTCTGGATGGCAGTCGGTGCCTTGAGCTCCAGTTTCGTGAGCAGATGCGCGGCAAGGTTGGGAGAGAGTCCCAAATTTGTGAAGGTATCTAGTCCGTCAATCAGCGGCGCATTGGTCGGCTTTGCGTCCTCGGTCGGTCCCTCCTGTTTCGGCTCTTCGGCATTTTGCGCTTCGGGGTTGCTGGTGAATAGCGAGGAAACGAAGTGGCGGGGATCTTTCTCTCGGGGATGTTGGTGCGGGCGGCGGTCACCAGAGCGCTGGGGAGGGCGCTGGGTTGAGTCGTCTGTTCTTTGTCTTTTGGCAGGCCGGGGACCAAGTTGAATTTGGTTGGGGTTCTTGGATGCTGCGTTGCGCGCAGACGCATCTCCGGGTTCTTTCTCTGATCCGCGGTGGGCTGAGCGCTTTTTCGCAGTCAGTCGGTCTCGCCATGTACCTCCTTTGAACTTTGCTTCAGGTTTGATGACACTGTCAGCAATGCTGAAGTTCATAAGCATGCCATCGTCAGCCATTTTGAAAGATATTGAAAATGGTGGAGGGTTGAAGATTTTCTGTCTCGGCGAATCCAAAAGCTTTCGAGACTTTTTTTCGGCGCCAAGACTTCCAGGCTCTAATTTTCTCCACTCGGCATTTTGCCCTACTTTACTTGCTTTACTCTTTGCTTGTTTACTTGCTGTGATGAGATTCAGGTACGTACATATATTTGTATTGAAGTCTATTCAATTTTTGAAATTCTAGAAAATTGATCTTTTTTTACAAACCGCTATGCTAAAGCGCTGAGATGTTCGTTATAGAGTACTCACTGTATCAAGCGCGAGGGTGCAAAATGAGATTGTCAATCAATCGCACGGGCACCTTGCCATCACCCAAACCACAGTCCTCGCCGGCGTTTGTCTCCTCCAGCGGTGCCATTTTGAATGCGGTACTCAAGACCGCACCCTTGGTCGGCTCGACGGTTTCCAACTCGTCGAGGGTGTCAGGATCAGCGAGAGAAATGTAGTCAACCTCGTAAAGCGCTCTTTCAGAAGGCGAAAGACCTTGCTGCTGAGCAAGGACGGACTGTGCTACGCTCTGGGCAGCTCCAAGGATGTCTTCTCTGCTGGTCTTGCCAGTCAGATAGGCATTCTCCGCCGCCTTGAGCGCTTTGTAGATGGTAAGTCCGACGGTTCGTCTCCGATCTCCCAGGTAGACATTGCGCGAGCTCAGCGCCAGGCCATCGTGCTCTCGTGTAGTCTCAATGATTCGAACTTCGGTCCCAATGTGGAAGTCCTTCACCATGCGCTTGATAACCACAGTCTGCTGGACATCTTTCTGACCAAAATAGACGCGGTCAGGGGTTGTGATGTTGAAAAGCTTCATGCAGACAGTCGCCACACCACGGAAGAATACCGGGCGAGAAGCTCCCTCTAGTTTTGTGGACAACGGGGTAATGGTGACGAAGGAGCCATGTCCATCGACTTCTGAGGAGGGAGGCAGACAAGGGTACATGGCTTTTGATGTCGGGGCGAAAATGGCAGTGATGCGCCCGGCGCTCGCACTGTTCTCTCCCAGGCGCTCCAGCTCCTCGTTCAATTTCTCCAATTTCTCAACATCGGCATCCCATGTGCGAGGATAGCTGGATAGATCTTCTGTGACGCCGAATTGTGTGGGGTTGACAAAGATGCTGACGAATATGTCTGTGTTCTCGCGAGCGGCTGCCCGAATCAAGGACAGGTGGCCCTCGTGAATGGCCCCCATGGTAGGAACGAACCCTACGGTCCTTTCTTTCTGCAGCAGCTGGCGTCGCAGCCCCCGAATTGAGGGAACATCGCGGCAGACCTTGAAGGAGGGCGGGCGAACGGAAGCCGCGGTCGCGTCGGAAAGAAGGGATGAAGCTGTCGCTGGATTAAGTGAGCTTACATGAAGCGATAGATTTAATCACAAAACATACTCGAGAACGACTTGACACTATTGACGAGACGAGACATAATTTGGATACTACATGCAGTGTCGGAAGATTAAGTGGGATAAAGCTCCGGAACCGTTAGCTCCACGTGACCGACCTCGGCTTATTCCTGGGGAAACCCGTGAAAGAACCAGGGGATGATCTCCCGTTTTGTTGGGAGCTTGGGTTTTGAGAGCTGTGGCTTGATCCCCGCACTCTGTTTCACTTTGAGGTTCTACTTTTAATTCCTTTATTCTCTGTTCACGGCAATGAACTTCTTCCCATGATCTGACCAGAACTATACCATCGCCCTATCAGCCCACTTTATCTGTCCACAACATGCCACCATCTAAACCGGCTATCGCCGATGATAATTCTGCGCCGGACTTGGAGATTGTCGGCAAACAATTGACCATTCACCCATCAGGCTTCACTGGAGGTCCCGACACCCAAGATGACCAGATCACCGAACGTAACCTTGTGCGCCATATGGCCCGGTTTCGCGAGAACCCCTTTGATTTCTTACGTGAAGTGAGCATGTACATGTCTGGCACAGGCTGGCGCGCGTATAATGATGCCATTGGTCAACCAATCTTCTATTCGGGGTTCTCCGAAAGGATGAAGAACTCGATATTGGACAGTCCGCTTCTGCAAAACAAAGTCACTGAATTGGCCAATAGTCGGCTCACAGTCGAAGAGAAGGAGGGATTGCTGGCAATCAAGGAAGGCGCAACATTAGACGACAAGCGCGCTCGGCGAAGAACGGAGATTCAAGGTAACCTTCTGGAAGTTGTGGATACCATGATGGACAAAATGATCTGTAAGATGGAGAGTAAAAGGTTCATTCGGGGTGCTTATTATATGTGCACACAGCTTTTGACCCGTGCTTACCATCAAGGTAAATTTTTGTGTGATTCCATACCTCGAGGTGAAGGCTAATCAGTATCACAGGCATCCATGTGTCCAGTGAAGAAGTCTTGCGGCTAAGGTCCGTGGCTGAAACTGCTGCAAAGAAGAAACAGTCCATTGTCTTTTTGCCCTGCCACAAATCTCACGTGGATTATGTGTCGCTGCAACTGATATGTTACCGACTTGGAATCGCTCTTCCAGTCGTTGTCGCTGGTGACAACCTAAACATCCCTTTGCTGGGTCCTTTCTTGCAACACGCAGGCGCTATGTGGATTCGACGCAGCTTTGGAAATGACCCTTTGTACCATACCGTAGTACAGGCTTATATTGACACCCTCCTCCAGCAAGGCTTTAACTTTGAATGTTTCATTGAAGGAGGTCGCTCCAGAACTGGAAAACTGCTGTCGCCTAAATTCGGAATCTTGAGTTTCATTATGGACAGTTTGCTGTCCGGCCGGGTGGAAGATACTATCATTTGCCCCGTCAGCACACAATACGACAAAGTCATCGAGACCGAGTACGAACCCCGACTGACAAATGGATTCGATCAATGCTGACCTCTCTCTAGGTCATATATCAGCGAGCTCCTTGGCCAGCCGAAGGCGAAGGAGAATCTGGCTGATCTGCTCTCCTCCTCCTCGGTCTTATCTCTGAAACTGGGTCGGGTTGATGTCCGATTCCACGAACCATGGAGTCTCCGGGAGTTCATTGGTCAGCAGCTTACGCGACTGGATCATCCCAGCACCGACCTCAACGACAAGCTCAGTTATAACGATCGGGGCCGCATCCTCAGAACATTTGGTTACCGAGTCTTGGCAGAAATAAACGATGTTTCTGTGATGATGCCAACCGCTCTTGTGGGAACTGTTCTTTTGACATTGCGCGGTCGAGGAGTAGGCAAAGGCGAACTGTGCCGGCGACTGGATTGGCTTTGCGATCGAGTGCGAGCCAAAGGTGGCAGAGTCGCACACTTCTACCGTTCACCAACAGAAATGGTAGTTGATCGTGCACTCGATGTCTTAGGACCCAAACTCGTCGGTGAGATCCCTGGACTGGTCGAGCCAACTTACTATGCCGTGGATCGTTTCCAGCTCTCCTTCTATCGCAACATGCTGATTCACCTGTTCATCGCCGAGGCACTGGTGTCTGTGGCCATGTATACAAAGATCAAGCAAGGAGGAGGCCCTACCAATCAAAGAATCAGCTACGAGGCCTTGAAAAATCAGGTCTCATTCTTGTCTCAGCTTTTCCGTGGGGAATTTATCTTCCCCCCGGAGGGCCTGACCAGCAACTTTGATAAAACATTGCGTGACCTGGAGAAGGACGATGTTATCAAGATCACCCGTAATTCATCCACTACGCCGCTTTATGTCGAGTTAAGTGAGTCAGAACGGCTCTGCGGTCGCGAAAACTACGATTTCTATTGCTTCTTGATTTGGCCTTTCCTGGAAGCCTCTTGGCTTGGGGCAGTGTCTCTCCTCGGACTGACGCCACCTCTGGACGAACCAAAGGGTGTTTGGATTGATTCAAAGAAAGCACAGGACAGTGCTCAACTTGTAAGTTGCTTTTCTTGATACCAATCAAGTGAAGAATTCTGACATCTACAGCTGGGTAAAACGTTATATCACCAAGGCGATCTCTCCTACTTCGAGGCCGTCAACAAAGAGACCCTCAAGAACTCTTATCAAAGGTTTGAAGAAGAGGGTATCATTCTAGTTGCGAAGAGCAAAGAACTAAAGGCCGGTGCGTCTTTGCGGCTGGCACCTGAATGGGCGCCGCAGCGTGACCCTGGAACTGGCAAGGTTCTAGAAGGTGGTCGACTATGGGACTTTACCGAATTGATCGCGCAGTCCCGTCGTGAAGGGTGAGTAACTCCGACTTCCACTCTGGTTCTTTATGACTAACTTGATTAGCAAAAATCGCCGTGATGGTGCAACGGTCTCTTCGAGGGTGCTCACCATGTCCGATCATGTTGGACGACAGCTATTCCAAAATGCTGCTGCCCCAGCTCCCGCCGATGTTTCTTCGCGACAGATGCGTCGGAAGGCACTTGGGACTGAGGCCAAACTCTAATCATTTATTTTCTGATACCCGCTTCCCTATACTGTTCATGCATTCGAAGAAGACACTTCTTCGGTATCATTGTTCTGTGTTTTTTCACATTTCCCTTTTCCATCGTTGGATCCCCTTCATAATATCGTCCTCCGCACATTTGGCGTCCATGTACATTCACATCGTTTTCATTCCAACATTTGAACATACACTACACATACTACTTTGAATAGACAAATCTATTCTCATTCTGTCTACCAACTCTCAATTATAGTCGTTCCTCCGTATTCAGACAAAGTCGATTTCAATCAAGGCTAACATCAAACTATAATACCATGCTCACTCAACATTGGCCAACCGTGACCGATTCCGACCTCGCCCCGTTGCCAACACCGCCAACAGCCTCCACAATTATTAAATCACTATCGCTCAAGCCGTTGACCAGAATGGTAGTCTCGAATCCATTGCGCACAGCAGTCTTTTTGACTGTAGATCTAGAGTGGACTTTCCATGACTCCACGTCACTTGCACCGTTCCAACTAACATAAACAGCGGTCCTCCCACCGTTGTTCAAACAAGCAACAGCATCCGGCTTGGTAGCCGGCCGCCCAATCCATGGGTAACGATATGTGCGATACGTCTGCATAGTCATATCGTAACCGAAGCGAGCACGCATCATAACAGCTCCGTTTTCATTATACTCCTCAAATTTGGGAGTTGCGCCGTGATCCTGCAAGCTGTGTCCGTTGCCGAGCGTTTGGTAGCTACCCTGCGACTCGGCATATACGGGCTCAGCAGCATCCCACATCCGACTCTTCAGAGTGACTTTCTTTGAGCCTTGAAGCTCGACATCTAGCACGAGGCCAGTTGTTAGTGATGTGTGGCCAGTGAACTCGGTGTTCTCGTTGTTGTGCAGACTGATAGTCACCCGTTCATCGCTCTGCGATTGGAAGCGCGCATCATGCTGATAGCAGAAAGTCGTGTCGAGACCTAGCTTAAAGTCGCCACCGGTACGGCCCTGTTATCCGTCAATGATTCAATTCGCCTGGACTTCCTCACCTGCACTTGGTACTCACATGAAGATGCCACGTAACTGACCCATCGGCCGCAATGAAATAAAGACTGCACATAAACCGCGACGAGATCAAGTACGAGTCCCCATACTTGTAAGCAGCATTCAGGTGCGGATATCCATACGGATCAGACTTATTCCCACCAGACCCTTCGAGTGGCAACTGCGAATCAGTAAGCGGCACCTGATCAACATGCTCGTGTGCACTCCAGCGGAAAGCAACCTCATTCGTCTCGAGATCAATCTCATAAACCAGCGCATCCTGGATCCAGCCATTCATTGGTCCCCCAATGGCGCTCAGATCGGCTTGTGTGACGTTCACAGCCGTCACGAGGATCGTCCCATTGTCCGTAAGCTGGCTCTCGTGGATATCAATGCACGAATCAAAGTCCAGCGGGTCGAAAACTGTCACGAAGTTATGTGCTTTACAGTCTAGCGTCACGCGGTGGATCTCGTCGTACGAGCTGTTTAGGATTGTTATCGCGCCGAACCCGAAGCCTTCGCCTGCGTACCCGGACCAGTAGGTTATCACAGGCGAGCCGTTGAGCATTTGCGGTTGGAGCGCGGAGTAGTTGCCGCTTGGGCCTTGCCAGATGAGTTGGCCGTCGTCGGAGTAGATGGCTGGGTGGCCGGTTCCGCGGAGCATGTCTTCCGGTGTGAGGAAGAGGTGTCCCGGTTCTGTTGGGCCCATCTTGGTGACGTTCATGAAAGGAGTTTGGATGGATGAGCTCTTGAAGGTTTGGAGGGGCCATAGTGCCTGCTCGGTGGATTGTGATTGTACGAGGCTGGTGAAGCCTGCTAAAAGGGCAAATGCCTTGGGGATGCGAGGCATTATCGAAAAAGCCTCTGTGGCGGATACGGATATAGAGGATATCTGTATTTCTGTTGCAGACTGGTTGGATTGCTACCTCAGACTGCGACCGATATTATTTATATTCTGCCATGTCGATCTATTGCCATATTCTTGCTGTACTACGTCGGTGTGGAGCCCTGTGTCCCCTGTGATCGTCCGATAGATTGTTCATGTAGTAGACTTCTTCGGCAAACAAATGGCTTTCCGCAAATTGATCGATGCTTACAATATTGCAGTTATTTGGGATCAGGGGGCTCTGTTTCTCCTTCTTTCCCTCTAGTCTCTCTTTTCTATCTTCTACTTCCTTCATCAAGCCCACAGACTACATTTTCTAATCTATTTTGTGTAGATCTTTTCAAACACTATTCACTAGTTTCTATCTTGCTCTAATTCATTATTTAATGTCTAGAAGCTCGTGGAGATGACAAGTTATTCAATCATATGGTTGTAAGTAATAAATGGCTATATTTTCTTAGTCTTGGTCTGCCTAATATAATCAATGAATTGGAGGGCCTTCGCCGGATGGACAGGGAAAGTTCGAGCACTTACACAGGTTCATCAATGTTGAACGAGCCAAAAACTGTAACTGGGGTACGTAGTCAAGTGATGAAAAGATATACAGGTATAGGCTGGGACCTCGGGAGAGAGCAATGAATTCAGGGAAGATGATGAATTAAGGGAGAGTGATGGATTGAGGGAGAGTAATGAATTAGGAACTAGTGTGATACATACGTATGTTCAAAGGCCCTCATATCTGCTATCTCGAAAATGACACGCTATTCATTAACAAGCTACATATATAGTAGTACTCTATCTAGTAGAAACGTTTCTGATCTATCCCGTACCTCCTTAACACCGCCCAACAGTTTGCGTCGCTTGATTTGCTACATAATGTTCTTACTTAAGATAAAAATCCTTAAAAGTAACGAATCTTAGTCTCACATCTAGTATAGATTTCGAATTCTGACGGTTCATTCTAGACCCTCACTTTCCGCCTAAATTAAGAACGTTTTCGCGCTGACAACAAGGCTTTTAGGGACAATACCATTGAAGCAGGCGATGTGGCACTTAAGAATTGTCTCGATCTTGTGTAGTTTTATGAGGATCAGGACCCAGATTTATTCGTCAAGAATGGCGTGAAAGTAGGTGCAGTCCGGCGGTTGGTACGCGATATTGGCCTTTGGGTGAAGCAACGGGGAGAAACCCTTGATCTAGACATAGTAGTTACAGTAAGCAAATAGAAAACCACCCACACCAGTATACTGGTTTCTCTTTGCTTACTTAAAAACCACTGTGATGTGTGATGAAGACACAACCTGGATCATCCCAAAGGCCACAAGACCATGTAATTGTGATTCATTACAGTATGTGGCCATGGTAACGTGAGTCAAGCGTCCGAGATCCCGATCTTGATTAACACCGGCGGGCTGATCGCTATTGCGCCCCACTAGTTAGTACGATTGGGTTTAGGGGGGTGCTTCGGAAAACCTCCTAACATAGACTAGTGTCTCTTGGTGTTGGGGCTGGTCACTCTAAGAGTGTAGGTGGTCGCACCAGTGTCGGGACGTACTGTACCGAACTCTAAAGTTATGATGGACCACGGCTCTTACAGAGTAAGGGCCGATTTTGTAATGGAAGGTCCATATAACAAACAGTATATCTTGGATACTGGGTCAGGGGACCGTGGGTAGGATATAAACTCTGGTGTGATAACCTGTTCGGTTATCATAAGTGGTCTTCTTGGTAAATGTACCATTAAGAGTATTCCTTGTTTGAAACCCAAGTCCAGAGCATTAGTTTTCTTGCAAACGACGAGGGGTCGATCTCCTTCTCCCTCTTTATTGTAACTAGCGGTAACTGACCATTGACCTAGACTATATCCTAAAGCATTTACGCAATATCTTTACTATACACTTTAGCATTTACAAGTTGTCTTGGTAACCCTCCGATATAAAACGCTAACACCCTTGCGGTCCGAAGTTTGAGGTACGTTGACGGAACACTCGTCCGAGAACATCTAATTTCGAACGCTATCCCCCGACTATATACCCTTCTATTTTGAATAAAGCGGTATCGACGGCGAGCTAATTTACGTTTAGTCGGGATTTTTCATTTTATACCGTGTTTCAGAATGCTATATACCCTTACAGTAGTTATAATAGTAGTCCGACCTAGTTATCCGGGTACGATCGTACTTAGCTTTCTATAGGTATGAAAAGGATTCCGGCGGGCTTATGAAACTATAAATTTAGAATCTTGATCATTATATTTTTGGGGGCGCCCGGAGCGAGGCCTCGATACGACGTTTTAGTGCTGTTAAAAGCGCTTGATTGTTTTGTATATATTTTTGCGAGCATAGTCGAAATCATGTGCTCATTTGGCTCAAGTAGTACACCCAGTTACATATATATGAATAATACTAGACCTCCGTGTTAGGCATAACTCACCATTTTTCTTCCAGGAAGGCCTATTGGCTTCATTCAATAAAGCCATAGGGAGATGTAAGAAGAAGAAAGAATAACAGGGTGGTTGAAGGGGTGATTTGTGAAGTGGAGTAGTGGGTAAAGACTTTCCGACGCCCAGGTATCATAACACATATACCCGGGGCTAACCATTGCCGAAGTATTCATGTATCTCTTACATCGTAGTTTGACAATCATGAAAAGCTGTCGGACCTCGCTAGGCTTTTGCTGTTAGCGATGGCTTGAGGCCAAACTTCTCTTATGAACAGATAGGCAATATTGTTGGGAATCTTGAACTTCGAGGCATTCAGCGCAAATGAGTAGCGGAACCAGAGCGCTTGCAACCTTGGAAATTGCACATGAAACTCATTTTGAATCATGGTGTCAGAGTGGTTTCTACAAGTCCCAAGAAATATACCCCAAGTTGACTTTATCTCCGTAAGACGACCATTAAGAGACGAAGAGGTGGGATTTATTGTTGGATACACACAGTAATATATATACTTGCTATATATCAAATACAAGGCAAGCACAAGGGTTTTCCACATGCTCAATGTTGGCTGTTCATGTCAAGTCTCTAACTCGCTGTCATTGCTGTTCACATACAATCTTGAAGCATCGAAATATAAAAACACCGTAAGAAACATGATTTCGCTCAAACGTGGAAAGATCTCCAAATGAATGTAACAAAAAGCAGAAAGCAGAAAAACGAAAAACGAAAAACCAAACAAGAAAGAAAAGGCTGAAAAGGCTCAGGCGCTATAGAAACAACACGTCATAGCAAAACGATCGTAATCACATCCTCATATATTGCTGTCCCTTCGTACCAGGACTCGTAGGCGCCGATTTAACTGTCACAACCCTAGGGGCGGAAACATTAACCGGCGCTAATTTCTCCCCCTTTCCCGAAGTCTTCGGCGACGATTGTCCACTCTTTGTAACTTCCTGCAACCTCCCCATGATAACCGGTGAATCAGAGTACAGCACAACACCCTGGGAATAAACACATAAGCTAGCCCTCTCTTCGCCATTAGCAAAGTCCTCATGCGAAGCCTCGCGAATAATGCGCGGGAAAGTGCGCAGCACAACATGGCGCGTAGGGTCCGCACCACCATTCTTCTGATCTTTCCCACCAGCGTACTCGATCCAGTTCTCGTTTTCGACTGTATCGGCGTCCGGGGCCGGGAACGTAGCGAGGACAAGCTCGCGCTCGACGCGCGCATGCCGCCATGTCTCGGCTGCTAGCTTGACGATCTTGCGCACGCTTGTGAGTAGGGAGTCGAGGTGCTTGGGGTCGGCGAAGTGTTTGATGTGGTCGATGATTTCGTCGACGATGACTGCTGCGGCGACGTTGATGGATTGCTTGGCGTCGGAGGTGGTGTATGCCGCTTTGAGGGTTTGTTGGCGCCAGAAGGCTTCGCGGCGGACGGATTTGCGGCGGATATCCATGGAAAGCATTTGGAAGAAGGTGTCTGCTTTGTCGTAGCGGCGGCCCAGGGTGAAGAGGAAGGGTTGGAAGACGCGGTAAGTTATTGTTTTGGAGACGACGTGTTGAATGTAGACGCTGCGGAGTTCGCGAGAGGCGGGGGTGTTGTCCAGGAAGGAAGGGAGTTCAGAGGGAATCTTGGAGAGGATGTCTTTTGGTGGGTCGATGGGGAGGTAGCCGAAGTGTTCTTTTGAGAGGTCGTGGATCAATTGCGAGAGTTCTGTGAAACAGTCCATGCTAGAAGTGATGAGCTTTATTAGATCATGTCCAATTTATCGTTATCAATATGAATCTATATTGAATAGATGCCCGCTGCGCTGATGCAGTTTAATCAAAAAAGAAAAAAACAAATGCAAAAAAAAAAACAAATGAACTGTAGAATGAACGACTCGAACAAAACAGAACGCATAATCATAGCAGTCATAAAATCTTCAATCATCACCACGGGCAGAACGGCTCACTCACAAGAATTGGTCGCCTTTGGTGTTTCGGAGGTCAGTGGCTTCTCCCAAGCTGACAAGTGTCTTTCTCAGCCTGTCGCAATCTTGGCCGAGATTGTCAATGGTCAATCTCATTCCATCCACAGCACGCTGGAGGTGTTGTTCCTTGACGATTGCATCCTCTTCCAATCTCTCCTTCTCTCGCTCGGCACTGGAAAGCTCGCTATCCTTTTCGGAGAGCAGCTTCTCCAAATCACCACGCTGTGCGGTCCAAGCCTGCTCTTTCTCCTTGAAGGTGTTTTCGATAGCTTGAATCTTGTCTTCGAGATCCTTGGCCGCTGCTGCAAGTTGTTCATCGTGAGACTTTCGCAGGGTCTCTAGCTCGCTTGCATGGCCTTCCTTTGACTGCTCCGAATCCTGACCGTACTTCTGGTGGGCTTCTTCTAGTTCGCCCCGTGCCGCTTCCAATTCGGCTAGTTTGGCGGCCACCTCCTCGCGGGCTGAACTGAGCTCAGCTTCCAAAGCAGTGATCTTGGACGCCAGCTCTGCTTTGGCGGTCTCTAGCTCGGTGCGCTGTGTCTCGAAGGATGCTTGCAGTTCGGTCTTCTCCTTCTCCCATTCACCTTTCTTAGCTTCATGCTCACCAAGCAGCTCTCTCACGCGAGTATCCAGGTTCTCAGCTGCGATCTTCTCATCCTCGCTCTTGATCTCTTCAAAAAGCTCAGTGAGTTCTTGTTTCTGTGTAGCTAGAGCCTTCTCCAGTTCTTCTTTCTGGGTCTCAAGCTCTTTTGCGTGGGCCTCTTGTGCCTCCTTGATGCTGTCGTTCAATTGGCTGATTTGGCTTTCGAGCTGGGCCTTGGTTTCCGAAAGCTCCTCGTTGGACTTCTGGTGAACTGCCAGACCATCTTCAAGGTCTTTCTGCTGCTCCTGCAGATTTCCCAATTCAAGGCGCAGTTCGTTTACGGTGTTCTTCAATCTCGCGGCATCCTCTGCGCTCTCGTTGGCTGTCTTCTTCATTTGAGATTGCAGAGCTTCAATGTAGAATTCTTTGTGCATCAAAGCTTGTTCATGCTGGCTTCCGATTTGTTTCATCTCAGCCTCTCGATCCGAGAGCCTGCTGTGGGTGTGACGAAATCCATGCAGGAGACGGTTGATGTCCGGAATGGCCGATTGGATTCGATGGAGAAGCTCGAGGTGCTCACTATCGGCATCGGGGGGAGAGATCATTCCATTCTCTGGAATTTGGCCGTTCATGGACAGGTTTTGGAGCGCCTGGTAGGATGCGGCATATGATGGGTCCGGACCGCTGTAGCTCCGGTGCATCTGGTGAGCTTCTGGTGAATAGCGAGGAGAGTATGACCCATAAGGAGGCATAACCCTGGCCGAACTCATGACTGGAGAGTTGACAGCAGTCGGAACGCTGGGTGCTGTCGAAGGAGGAGGAGGAGGGGCCATTGGAGCCACTAGTGGATTTTGAGGTGGAGGTGTTGCAGTAGGGGACATCGAGGGCGACATTTGAGGATAATGAGAGCGAGCAAGTGGGCTGCTAACTTTGGGCACTGGTGAGGCAGTGTAAGGTATTGGTGAGGCGTAAGGCCCTTGCGAACCGTAAGGTACTGGAGGACCAGCGTAGGGTCCAGGTAAGGCGTACGGGACTGGAGATCCGGCGTAAGACGCAGCTGGGTTGTGTGGCACTGGTGAGGCGTAAGGCACCGGTGATCCGGCGTAAGCTGCAGCCGGGTTATATGGAACTGGTGAGGTGTATGGAACCGGCGATCCGGCGTAAGGCGAAGCTGCAGTGTATGGCACTGGTGATCCAGAGTAAGAAACAACTGCGTTGTACGGAACTGGCGATGCGTACGCCACAGGAGAGGCAGCGTAGGGTACTGGTGAAGCGTACGGGTTTGGTGATCCGTAATGCGCTGGTGCAGAGTAGGGGTTGGGTGAAGCGTAGGGAGAATAGGCAGATGGTGCAGGGTGATATAGGTGATTCTCCTGGGAGGGACTGGACATAAACCGTGCTTCGGTCAGAGATGGCGAAGGCAACGGCACACAGGCAGCAACAGGGGAGAAAGGGTCAACAGGGGCGGAAGTGACCACAGTCGCGTCCTCGAAAGGCTCCGGTTGGTTGCCTTGATCTTCACTTGGATCTTGGAGGCTGTGTTCGTTCAGGGGTTGTATTGCTTCTTGGTCCGCGATTGGAGCCTGGTCTGTGATTGGAGGTTGAATGAGCTGCTCCAGAGCCTCTTTGGGCTCAGTATCCTCGATGCAGGGTTGGATTGGGCTCGGGTGTTCTAAAACCTCTTCGGGTTGGGTATTCTCAATGTGAGGCTGAGATGGGGTTTGCTCTTCCAAGGATGCTTCGTCGACGGGCTTGTCAACTACCTCTACCTCCTCGAGAGGCTTCTCAGCTACAGGCAATGATTGGTCTGTGACTGAGTCTGAAATTATTTGCGGCTCGGTATCGTCGTCAAACACCTGATATGCAGATACAGGCAATGGTGATACAGGCTTTTCAATCACAGGTGATGGCGGGCTGGTGACAGGGATTGGAATATCTTCGGGCGCAATGTCGTCGTCAAACACTTCATAGGCCGATACAGGCAAAGGAGATTCAGGCTTCTCAGCGACAGGTGACTCGTGATTGGTCACAGTGTCTGACACGTCTTTGGGTGCAGAGTCGTCGTCGAATACCTCGTATGCTGATACAGGCAAAGGAGAGGCAAGCTTTTCAGCGACAAGTGACTGTTGATTGGTCACAGGGTCTGACACGTCTTTGGGTGCAGTATCGTCAACAAATACCTCGTATGCTGATACAGGCAAAGGAGAGGCAAGCTTCTCAGCGACAGGTGACTGTTGATTGGTCACAGGGTCTGACACGTCTTTGGGTGCAGTATCGTCGTCAAATACCTCGTATGCTGATACAGGCAAAGGAGAGGCAAGCTTCTCAGCGACAGGTGACTGTTGATTGGTCACAGGGTCTGACACGTCTTTGGGTGCAGTGTCGTTGTCAAATACCTCGTATGCTGATACAGGCAGTGGCGTCGGCACATCCACGGGTGTTGGGTCAGCGACAGGCTCTTGGTGCTGATCTTTCTCGGGATCCTGCGCCAGGAGTTCAGGGCTGCCAGGAGCAGGAGTGTTTGTCGTAGTTGTTTGGTCTGTAGTTCCAGGACTCTTGTCCTTCTTAACCTCTTGCTTGTTGGCCTTGCCATTCTTATTTTTGGCTTTCGCCTTCTTGCCCGCAGCCATGGCCGTAGTTTGATGCGTGCCCAAGATTTCTTGGATTCCAAGAAACGTGTTACCAATAGGATCAATGTACTAAATTGAGCATGAGTAGTCTGATCAGTTGTTTCATGGGTATGACTGGGATGTACATTTGCAAGTCCTGGCGATACCTCAAGATATAGCCCAAAGGTTGGCTATAGTTGGGAGGAATTAAGTATGCGCCCCGGAATAATTGAAAGTATAAGCCAACTGGCTTTAGGTAATCGCTTGGGCAGAGACTTGGAAACTCTTTGAGACTAAGGTGTGGGCACAAATGATGAAGAACCACGACCGTAGTACTTTGGGTACGTCCGAATCTCAATTCAATTGAGAGATTTACCGCACAAAGGAAGTGAAAGAAGAAGAAACCAAAACCCGAAAGAAAAATAAATGTAGACCAGAAAATTAGTATTCCAACGTTGTCGGGGGGCACAATAGCGGACCGAGCCTTAGTGTGTTGATACCCATCCACCCCCAATGTGCGAGAGGGCCCGAGGAACGGGAATAGACGCGACTAGTACAATATTGTAAGGTGAGTAGGGCGAGTATCAGGGCTTCGAAGAAGATCCTAACCCACCCGGATTCCATACTGGACCGAAGCGAGACCAGTTGTAGGGCGCCATGGCATTGGGCATCAAACTGTGGGTTCGGGCTAGGATTGGAGAGTGGAGCGACAAAAAAAAAGCTGACATGTTCAATGGAGAGACAATGATTTGCATGAACTAAGTTAAATTCATACGATAGATCCAATCAAGGATGTACCCCGAATAGATGTCGCCTGATGCGGGAGATGAAAAGAAGGAAATAGATCAGGCTGGCCACTGGTGTACAACAACAACTTACCGAATGAGGGTCTCTACAGTATACATATTCAACTAGCCTGTGGTATCATGCATTCTACTCAACACATAATATTATTGTGGACTTTTGCTTCTTTTGATATTAGAGTCGACTTCGGTCGACTTTTAAATCATTATTACCACAAGTCTCTTTACAATTGCTGATCTTCCAGAGTGAAACGAAATATAAGGTCCTGAGGGGGCCCAACAAGTTGCGGTCAGGATATAACTAGTGTAAAGAACGGAATATGTACAATATGGGGCACAAAGAAAAAACATTACTCAATCATCATGAAAGGAGATTTACTAGAAGTGTATTATATACAAAATATTATAGAAAAGAAGAACAGAGGAAAAGAAGTACTCTGTAGTATAAACAACATTTGAAGTTGGTTACGCTAAACCAAATCCAGACGTCACGTGCCATTGACTTTCGCTTTCCACTTCGCCCTATCATCATTCCCCAAAGGGTCATCGAGAATCACCAATTGCAACCACAATGTTTGCCAGACGATCTGCTACCTCGACGCGGCAGTTGCTGCACGCCCAGCGCCGCTGGGGCTCTCATGCCGCCCACGAGCCCGTGAACGAAGGCTTCGGCGTAAGCTCTCTCCCCCGCCGACCGCAACCACCGGGTCCGCAAGAAATGCCTCATTCCCGACCACCAGCTAACAATTGCATATCCACCTAACAGCGCAGCTTGTACGTCACCGCTGGCTCCATCGCCGGTGCTTACATCCTTTACCGCATCAGCAAGTCCACCGAGGAATCCGATTCCCCGTCCTTCATCTCCGGCCTTATTAGCAAGTGGACCCCCTCCCAGGAGACCTTCGAGCAGCGCAATGCTATCCACACCGCTATTATGGAGAAGGTTGCTGAAGACCGCCACTTGCTTGGTAGTCAGGGCCCCCGTGAGGCTATTGAGCTGATGCAGCCTGAGTATGTGCTGATATCGCAGGTTTTCGGATTATGCTAATTGGATCTTCTAGTATGATGAACACCGGCTCGCCTTACAACGTCTCCCCTGGCTCTCAGGCCGATCTCAGCGCCGTCGTGGCTCATTACAAGCGCAAGAACCAGGAGATCGAGGACGCCCGGGTTGCGCGTATGAAGGATGGCAAGGCTTCTTCTCTCTACGATTAGATCGGGGCTCTATTTTGTTCTTTTGGTCGGCTGTCTAAATAAGACATGTGTGGAGGAAAAATCATGTACATATACGTTGGGACTTGACGTTCAATCCAGCACCTGATAATTGGATTTTCATTTGTTCAAAGCATAACTGGTCTACGCGGTGATGAAGACTAGTGGCGGGTATTGATTTCATTTGATTCATGATATATTCTCTAATATTGGGTGGAAGGAACAACTTCCAAAACCACTCTCCCAACGCCCTCGGATTGGACATTCAATATCTGTTGGACATGCAACTCATTGCCACACACGGTATCCAGCACAGCAAGGAACTCATCCACACCACCACCAACTCCGAAATAAACCTTCTTCGCCGCAATAAGAGCCCGGCTCTTCGCCAACGTAGTGCTTGAGCGACGGAGCAGCGCCAAAAGCGTCTCGGAGAAAGCCGTGAGCGAGGCCGGGGAGTAGATAGTCTCACTAGCGAGAATCAAGGTCTTGCGAGAAGAGTTGTCGCCAGAGAAAACAAGGTCAACAAACTCAGGCGACCAAGCGCCTGATACAAAGTTGACGGAGATTCCCCGCTGCACAAGATCAGTCTTGAACTCCTCAATCAGCTCAGGTGTGATATCCAACTCCTCTTCCTGGACCGGCGCAGTGGATGCAGCCGAAACAGCGCTTTGAGTACGACTTTGATTCCAAGTCAGAAGAAGATTAGGAAGTGTGACGAGACGGAGCACGTCGGAATTGTAGTCTGCGAAGGTAAAGATGGTCTTTCTCTGGCTGCCGGGTCCGGCTTGGAGCAGGTGAGCGAACAGGGTCAGCGTTGGGACCGCTGTTCCTGCGCCGAGCTGTAGATAATTTTTAGTATCACTTCAGGTATTGGTAGAAAAGCCTTGATACGAACCTCAATTATATGGATGTCCGTCGGGCTATCCGGAGATTCCTTAAGAATATCTTCATCCAGGGAAAGCTTAGCGAGATCCAGTGAACATTCCCAGGTTTTGAAGCCGCCTTCGTAGAAATTAGGCTTGATATCGCCTTTCTCGATGCCGGCGATTAGTTCCTCGTTATCATGGCCGGCGCTGTCTTCCGCCATGAGCTGCGTGCGGATGTCAAAGATCTCGCGACGAGCGACAGCCAGTGCGTTCTTGATTGCTAGCTTATTATATGAAACCTGAGACGGTAGAATGGAGAGCTATTGGTTTGTTAGTATCATTCGATTGAAAGAGTGCCATGGTATCAAGCCAAGCGACACCCTCATAGATGCATAACAATATGTTGCACAATTGGAAATCCAAATACATCTGGCTTGGGAAAATTGTACAAAATCAAACAACTTCAATCGAAGAACATGCAATTGGACTCACCCATTCATTCATATCATGTTTACTCGGCTTCACCAGCTCGGGAAGAGAATTGCCGACATGCTGAGAAGGCACATCGGTGAAATCATTATTGATCTCCGAGTCATCAATATCGATATCATCCCCTGAAAATCCGAAGCTGAAAGCCATTCTTGCGTAATTGAAGTGCCTGTCACTTCTCCGAGGCACCTAGAAATCGGAGGTGGTCTGTCTTGTAGATGTCGCGGATGAAAATTTGGCAAGGTTGCGTGTTTACAAGACACTTGATCCCAGATGCTAGATTTGACGCAGGGATATGTATTTTAGAAATGAAGACTACCTTAGACAGACTCGGATATCTTTTCGGTGATCTGATTCCCATACAAAAAATTGCTGCGGGCAAAAAAGATATGACTAAGCATTTGGTGCCTCCAGGCTCGGGCATCGATATTCATTTCACACACAATGTTAAATTCAATTTTAAATATGGTTGCATATTAAAATATATTGTTCAAGTACAGGTGCTACCTAGGTAAATCGTGGATAGATAATGTGCGCTTTTTTCAGCGAGGTGTGCTGAAGGGAGTATAATCCAATAAGCGAAATGTAGTAATCAACATTGAATTTTGTAGTTCATAATGTCATATGCAAGGGTAACTAATGCAGTCAACTAATGCAGTCTATTCTAGAATGTTATGATGCAACAAGCCCATCTAGGAGCTTCCATTAGAGCTTCTGCGAGTTGGCAATAGCCAACTCCAAAGCTTGCAAAACATCAGCATGCAGATCCTCCGAGTCTTCAATACCACAGCTCATGCGAACAAGATCATCATAGACACCCGCAACCTCGCGCTGATCCTTAGGAATACCAGCGTGAGTCATGCTAGAAGGCACCTCGCACAAACTCTCCACACCACCGAGACTCTCAGCAAGAGTGAAAACCTTAGTGTACTGACAGAACAGGTGAGCGGCCTTCTGCCCGCCCTTGATGCGGAAGCTGAGCATGCCACCGCCCATCCCGTCGCGGTGCTGCTTGATGGCAATCTTGCGCTGCGGGTGCGAGTCGATGCCTGGGTAGTTGACGGAGATGACGTGCGGTGAGGCTTCAAGAGCCTTGGCGACGACAGTGGCGTTCTTGGAAGCCTCGCGCGCGCGCAGGTGCAGCGTCTTCAGGCCGCGGTGTGCAAGCCAGCAGTCGAAGGGCGAGGGCACTGCGCCGATGGCGTTCTGGAGGAAGGTCAGGCGCTCCTTGAGCGCTTCGGAGCTGAAGGCGGCCACGCCCATGCAGACGTCCTGGGTGGGTTAGCTAGGCTCAGAGTGGAAATGGAAAGGAGTCAGGGCAACGTACGGAATGGCCGTTGATGTACTTGGTCACGGAGTGGACGACGAGGTCGGCACCGTGGTCCATGGGGTTCTGGACATAGGGGCTCATGAAGGTGTTGTCGACAACAACGAGGATGCCATGCTGGTGGGCGACGTCGGCAATGGCACGAATGTCGACCAGGCCGAGAGTCGGGTTCGAGGGAGTCTCGATCCAGATGAGCTTGGTCTCGGGGCGAATCAACTTCTCTACATCTCCTTCGATGTTGGGAGTGAAGGTCACCTCCACGCCGTGGGCTGAGGCAACCTTGGTGAAGTAGCGGTGAGTACCACCGTACACATCGGAGACCGAAACAACGTGCGAGCCTGCAGCGAGGGACTGCAGAATATTCGCCGTTGCGGCGGAGCCGGATGAGAACGCAAGAGCGTACTTGGCATGCTCGAGGGCAGCGATGGCCTCCTCGAAGTTATCACTGCGCAGGGATTAGTCCACTGAAAGAACATTGATACTAGGCATTGAGACATACCGGTTAGGGTTGGAGCTACGAGTGTACTCGTATTGACCAACGGGGTTTCCAACGCTGGTCTGAGCATATGTAGTGGACAGAGAGATCTGGCATTGTCAATTAAGGTTCTGTACATCCTCGATTGATGAACCTACAGGAGCAATCACAGCGCCAGTCACGGGGTCATGATGCGCACCGGCGTGAACGGCCAAAGTGCCGAAGCGACGATCAGTGGTGTGGGAGTTTTCCGTAGAGCCCATTTTGAATGTGTAAAGAAGATGGAGGGAATCGAAGAAGTCCGGTGTATGGCCTTTTATCAACCTTTGGAGATCCTTGTACCACGAATCTTAATTTAGACCTCGATTGCGAATATGATTGCTAATCAAGGGCAAGGATGGCGAGAATCTTATGGAATGTTGTTTTGGGATGTTTTGGATGTTTCCGGCTTTAATGGAAAAAAATCAATGGCGAAAAAAAATTCAAACCGGAGCATCGAATCTTTTTTACATACAAACCAGCCTTGGGGCTGATGGCGATTGATCGGCTCGTTGCGACTGGACGAGAATGACACGGAGCTCCACCGGTCACCGCTAAGTTCATTCGGAGAATCATCGTCTACGCCGACCCGTCGGAGTCCCGGAGTGTTTGAACACCTTTATTTTGTCTTTCTTCATGTTGGCCGTCTTACCATGACTAATGGCCTACCCGCCCATTTGTCTGTTTCACCCAACACCAAATGCACCATTTAAGTACAAATTCTTTGTATGTGGCTCACATACAAAGATACATAAAAGTATACATCAAACATCCTCGAATATCTTATAATATAAAGTAGAAAACAGTGTATAAATCAAGTTATCATTATGTTGTCATACTATAATATTAATCATATTAGTTATACGTAGAGTATGGAATAAGCAGTAGCCGTCTTACCATATCAATGCGCGGGGAGCCCATTGGTCATGGTAAGACGGCTATCATAGTTCTCAAAAGTAGATGGTTTTTGGAGGCTCTTTTCGACCCTCCAAAATGAAATATTGAAGCATACCTCGAATAAGATCGATATTTTGAGTATGAAAAGATATTAAGAATTCTACTTTAATATTATAGGCTAGTTTAATTACTCTACTATAGTTCTTGTTATAAGATGTTCGAGGATGCTTGATATGTACCACCATGTACCTTTAATATATGAAATACATACAAAAGATACATAAAACATGCAGTTTATGTTGGGTGTTGATTTGTGTTGGGTGGAACAGATTAATGGGCGGGCAGCCACTGGTCACGGTAAGACGGCTACTCCTTGGATAAGTGTTTGAAGTCAGAAGCCCGGATGGTCTAGTGGTATGCTCCCTTCACCGTTCGGATAGCGGTTTCTAAGTGTACAAGCTCAGAAGTAAACCCAAGTATTTTTAACACCTATTCGGCAGAGTCAAAATAACTGAAAACTGCATTGTTGTGAGCTGTATCTATTTTTATCTTAGTCACAAGTTCATAGAAATTATCCGAACTCCCGAAAGAGGCTATATATCACTTTGAAAAGTATCAGGCTATAAGGAAAAATCCTCATGTACTAGTGTTATTGAGATGTCAAGTTGTATTTTATTGCATTTACTATATTTTTGGAGATGGCCATCCACTTACCAAATAGTTATATATCCGATATTAAGCATAAGTACATACATAGCTAGATTTTTTAACATGCGTATGTGAATCGGGGCTATACAGAGTTAAAGGGGCTTATCTCCTACCCTCTAGGTACTAATGATATCTCCTAAGAGGGGATTGTTTCTCTACCTATGTATATCAGGGGATTCGAGTATCCTGTTCTAAATATGTTACCTTAAAATAAGATCATTCTACCCTGCATAAGTCACTATAGATAGTTATTGGCATTGATTCGTATGGGTATCTGATGTATCTGATCTAACGGAAGAAAATTGTATCGCTTTTAACAAGCCGCCAGACCAAGCGACAAGGCAATCTGATGCTAAACTCAAAGGCAGCTCGGTAGTCTACCACCAGGTAATGGGTCCTGTTCCACCCATTTGCATGGAGCCCTAGGACAGGTCAGTATGAAAGGGTACAAAAGAGACGTGAAACTCACGAGAATAGAATAGGGAGGTTTTCTGTCTTGAGGAGTCTCATCAATAAGATCTGGCGCATTGGGAATCTGATCGTGCCACTCTTCTGCCTCAATTCGGAACCGGACAACTTCTCCTACATCGAAGAAGAACTCCGATCCTTCGTCGTTCTCCCAGATCCATACCTGCTCCGCATAATCACTGGATTGCATGTTAGCACAGTACAATTCTGCTCTAGCCGTTGCCACTCACAAGCGAGAATTTTCCATCAGCATTTGTGGTGGGATCAAGATGTCATTAAAGAATTCCAAGCCGACTGTTCAATCTTTAGTTCTTTGAACACACAGCAGCAGTATGTGAGACGTACTTTTAATTCCATTTTCTGTGCCACTAGAAATTTTTCCTAGCATGATCTCACCCTTGAAGGGCCGGAACACAATCATTCGGAATTTTACTAGCGCAAGATCAGTACTTATCTTTGATTGAACTGGATGGCTAGATGGTAGAAAGAAGACCTACCGTTGACATTAACCAACCCGGTTCCATGGCCAATCAGACCATCGGAGGACTCGAGAAGATCATAGAAGCTAATGCAAAGGCCAATTTTTTGAATGACCTATAAGGCCAAAGTCAGCATGAAGGTGGACAGATAAATGCATGTGCTTCATACCTTATTGGCATACTTGGCATTGATATTATCTTCAATAGCTACAGCACTAAACTTTGAGAAGTCCTCTGGTGAGATCTGGATCAAGTCCGAGATAGTGGTCTGCCGCCGTTAGTCCACGTTCTCTTATATATGAGCGAGAGACATACCAGAATGAACATGATTTAAATTAAAGAAGCTGAGCTTGTGATCCTTCAGTGCATGAAGTGGTGATGAGGTGAATATTGCTTCCCTTCTGCTTTCCAAAAACTGCAACAATCGAAAACCTTTTGAGATTCTCCGAGCTCCGCCAATCAGTGGAGACTTCCTCTTTTTCACGTGACCTGCAAATAGAAGCTTTCCATCTTAAGGATTTGACGCATTTTTGCACATTTCCAACAAGACATTTTCTTAATTGAGATTGTGCTGGGACCTCTGGAAGGTCTACAGGCTTTCATCATGGGATCACAGGGGTTCTCATTTCCGCCCCCTCCACCACCACCACCGCCAACAGCCCAACAACCACCCGCTTATCCTCCAGCCCAACATGGCCAGAATTGGGGACGAGGTGGAGGTCAGAGAGGACGCGGAAGGGGACAGGGCAATCGAGGTCGAGGAGGTAGCCATACTGATGGCGGACGGCAGCAATCATATCCCCCGCCAGCGGGCTACAACTACCCTCAGCCGAATTACACTGGATATCCCACCCAACCTGTGCCTCCAGCGCCATATATGCCCCCGTCGCCATACCCCCCTGGCCAATCGCAAGGATATCAGAACCCTCAAAATGCATCTGCATATCCCAACCCCCAATTCCCGCAGCCGGTAGCATCGGCGGCTTACCAACACCTACCTTATAACCCGACCGCCAACCACACTACACCTTATCAACAAACTCCGACATACATGCAAGGATTACCAGTACCTCCCCATCGTCACCAGCCTCACAATCAAGGAATGGTAGGCGCCATGGCTTGGGGCAATGAGATGCAGGGTCAATACATGGGAAGCCAACTAGGGCAAGCCCGAGGACCTCGAGCCCACGCGCATGCAAACCACAGCCAAAAACCCAAACTGAATCAGAAACGAGATCACTCGTCTGCATTCAACAAGCCGCAAGCTACCGTGCCCCGAACACCCGCAGCGCCTGCCGTACCAAGCTTTGGGAATCCTCTACCATCGAAACCTCCGCCAGCTGCCGACGCCACTCCTAACCGGAAGTCGAAGAAGAGAAAGAGGAAGCACAACCAGCTTGGACTCACTCCACATGCTGATGACCGCGATTCCAGCGAGGAAGAAGAAGACGGCGAAGACGAAGAATCCAAACTAGCGCAAGGCGGATCTGGCGCAGCACCACTTCAGGTTTCCTACAAGGGAAAGACTTCTACACTACAAACCAAATCTGACATTGCGGCATGGATTGCGGAGCGAAAGAAGAACTTCCCCACCCAAGCCCGAATTGAAGCGAAGAAAAAGGCAGCGGACGAAGCAAAGGCCGTTCGTGAGGCCGCCCGTCAACAGAAAATCCAGGAGCAACAGGCAAAGCGGAAAGACAGCCGCAAACCGAGCGAGAATACTACGAACATCCCGGGTGCCGGCACGGACGCACAGCGCAGGGAGGAACTTCAGCGCAACCTTGAACGAGAGCAGAAACGCATCATTAAAGCCGTGGCTGAAGCTGACGCGGCCCGCCTTCGCTTGGAGGCTTTGCAGAAGGAGGCGTTGGGCTTGAAGACGGAATCTCATCAGGATGAAGATACGTCAGTCAGACAAGAGCCAATCGAAGAGGACCCTCAGACCCCAGTGCCTGCGCCAGACACGCCCGACATTAAGACTGAACCGGCGATCCAACCAGTTGTCAAGGTTGAGCCGCATGACACAACCCCAGAGTCCGAACCGGGAGTCCCCGCTTCCCACGCGACAGATGTGCATCAAGACTCCAATGAGGTCGTAATTAACCCCGAATTTCAAAGCCAGGACCCCGCCCATGCCCTGGATGGCCAGATGGAATTGCCCAATCAAGACAGCGACTGGACATCTTCTGGCGGCTCAGATTCAGAGTCCGGCTCTGATTCCGAGTCTGATTCGGCACCAGAGCAGTCAAGTTCGCGCCGCACGGGACCAGAGCGAGTCCCACCCCCGCCCCGGGAGGGCAAAAAGACTGTATGCCGCTATTTTGCGCGCACCGGGCAGTGTAACCGAGGTGACCAGTGTAAATTCCTCCACGAGACATCTGAACGAACAAAAGCAAAGCCCGAAAGGAAGGAAAAAGAGAAAGAGAGACGCAAGGGACTTTACCAAGCTGTGAGTGTTTACTGCTGTGTTTATGTTTTGAAATTTTACTGACACAAGATTAGTTGCTGGACCGGCAGAAGGAAGATGAAGATCGTCGCGCCATGGAAACGCTCTGTTACCTTGGACAGAACAATCTGCTCTAATCTACAAGATACCCCAATTAGTGTTAGGACAAAAAATAAAACATGTCATAACTATTCATTATTATCTTTTTTTTCTCTCTTCCACAGGGATGAGAGCTCTAGAGTTAGCTTCTAGGCGCAGGGGACTTTGGTCAAATTTTCAATATGAAAGACTAAAGCCGAGTCGCGTGGCTTTGAGTATTTGATAAAGGAGATCCAAGCTGAGTGCGGCTATTTCCCCCCTAACAACAACAATGGATTCCCTAATTCTCGTAAAAAAACCCCATAGCCTCGATCTATAATTAACGAACCGTATCTTTCCAAGCCCTCTTTGCAGCCTGCACCCTATCCGAGTGACTGTAGCCGATAAGTGGGTCAGTCATTTAAGGTCCTCGGAGCCCAAACCAGTCAACGGAGGCGATTCCCTGCCAAGCGAGGAAAGGAAACCCGTTAATGGTCCCCCCAACTGCCCCCAAGCTCGTGGATCAACGCCACGAGCACTCCATTGACGACAATAGAGCCAATCATCATCATACCTTGCTTCTTTTGTATTTGTTTTTTTTTCCCCTTCTCTTTGACTCTGACGGCGTCTTCTTAGCCCCGACCCGTGGACCACATGCTTTCCCTTAAAAGACTAACTTCCGCTTGAGCCGGCTCTTTCTTCCATTTGTCTCTCTTTTTACAATACTTGACGCCTTCGTTCCTTTTTGAGGCTTTTATTTCTCGTGATTTTATTCACTTCCACACTCTTTAGTCTTCTTCTCCATCTTCATCTTCTCCAGGCTTAATTCTTCTTAACTATTACTATAATTCCCATAATGCGTTTCTTCGCCTCTTTCGCCGTCGCCGCTTTGGCTGCCATTGCCACTGCCAGCAGCACGGCCAACCCTTTCAAGATCCCTACTGATGGTTACACCTTTAAAGTCGGACAGGCTACCACTATCACCTGGACGCCTACCACCAGCGGAACTGTCACCCTGCGTCTGCAGTGGGGTGCCGTGACCACTGCCACCTCCGGAACTGCCATTGCCTGTAAGTAGCGATATACGATCCAATTGACCAAAGAACCGCAATGCTAATTCGAACAGCGAACATCGACAACTCCGGCAGCTTCACCTGGGACGTACCCTCCAACCTGGCCGCCGAGCCCGACTACACCATTGAGATCATCTCCGACGAAGACAGCAGCGACTACAACTTCATCGGCCGCTTCACCGTCGAGGGCGCAACCGTCTCCGTGACCACCGCCACCGCCAGCTCAACCTCTTCGTCGTCCTCGACCTCCAAGTCCACCAGCTCCCCGACCCCCACCACCACCACCACCACCTCGGAGTCGACTTCTTCCTCCGCCGCCAGCACCAGCTCCCCCACCACCATGAGCACTGCCTCCAGCACCTCGGCTACCACCGGAAGCACCTCCGCCAGCTCCTCCGCCACCCAGACTTCCTCCACTGAGTCCTCCAGCTCTGCTTCCTCCACCGCTAGCTCCTCTGCCTCTCAGAGCGCCGTGCCCACCACCAACGCTGGTGTCGTGAACCGCGTCTCCGGCGGTATGCTGGCCCTCGTTGCCGGTGCCTTCATGCTGTAATCTATACGAACGAATTGAGGCCCATTCGTGGGCCGCGCTGCCACTGCTAATATATTTTTCTTGGGTTGGCTGTCTATATGAAACGGATTAAATTTCGCTTTCCCGTGGGCGCTGTACAAATCAATTTGCCCTAGCCGGGATTGGATTTTTTTCTTCTTCTACTACTTATTATGTGTGCCCCGGCCACGAATGTTAATATTAGTTGATTTAACTGAGGAATTCACATAATCACCTTCCATCCTTCATCATAAAAAACGATCACGAGGTAGGATTTTAGGATTACAACGGCCCTCCACACCTTGACCTTTTGTGTATAAACTGTCTTGATGGGGAGGCGATTTCTTCATTTGATTTGCCCTTGAGTTGGTATAATTCGCGCTCGGGTTCGTGTGTCCCCCTGATTACTGTACTATAATGGAGTATTTAGATGACTCGGGGGCTGTGCGCGACAAGCGACTCAGTGGAGATCGGAGATAACAGGTATTCTCTGCCCACCTTTTCTGATTTTTTGCTTTCAATTGCAGCCTAATGTCGCTGATTGAGGGGTTTAATCTCATTGGGCTTGGTTCTATGCAATTTGCTACCACTAAAACATACAACGTAGCGCCTACAATATTCCCAAGCGAAATAACGAGCAAGGGATTACGGAGTAGAAATAATGATCATCCGGAATTGGTGGAGTATCAACGGCCTTAGGATTGATCACCGAACATATTTCCCTCATCAGTCTTGTTGTCTCCACCCCTTTGTTATCTCGGAGGCCTTGGGGTCCTTTTCTTTAGCTTTGTATAGCGTACTAAGTGGGTGGCAAGGTCGTTGAGTTGCAATCTAGGAGTCTAGTTTTTGTCTAGTTTCTATACTACGTAAGTAGTGATATTTCTTAGTGCTCAAGAGATAATCACTGTAATTGTGTAGGTAATTGTAGTTCTATCTCCAGATCTTCCCAAATACCGAGGTGATCGCCGTTGAACTCGTATATCACCGGTAATACGAGCCCTACAAAAGAATGTACAAAAGTGCATACAAAATTTATTCTACTCCAATGCAACATAAGGTCATACATCCATGGATGGCTTAACATGCACAATTCCCTGTCCTGTCTTGGCCTTCTTGGCCTCGGTATCTGACTAGAAAACCCAACACTCTGTCAAGATGAAATGTCAATATGCTGAGCAACTCTGCGGCGTTTCAAATGTAAAGACAAGGTCGTCATTCTGATCTCAACTACCTTGGCACACTCCATGTGTTTTAAGGGCCCACGGGGTCTCACAAAGTAGGAAATACGAGGCTGTGCTTCTAGGCATCCGCGCTGCGGAAATCCCCCTGACATGGCAATGCATGTCTCACGATACACCGCACAAAAAAACCATAAACACATAATATACACTGCACATAATGGCGAACCACTAAAAATACATGTCGTCGCCCATTCCCATAGCACCGCTCCGACATCGTCATCAGAACTCAATTCCAAGCAAGGGCGCTCATCCATCAACACATCAACCTCGTGTCAGCACCGAGTAAGGATCCTGGTATTATGCAGTCCATTACTGCACATCCTGCGCGATCGCATCCAATAGAGCAGATCCAGGGTCCGGTTTCTGTTCTGATCTATCAAATCCCCTTGATCGAACGCGACGCCCTACATGTGAGATATGCAGATGTAGATGCAGAAACCGGGGTCATCATCCACTTCTCTATGAACTACCAGTGGCCCAATCCGTTCGTTTTTGCACTGCTGCTACGTTATGCCATTAGCTATTGGTCGGCCCTCGCCAGAATGACAGCTCGTTTTGTAATGATCGACCCCTTAGCTTGCAGCAGAGGCCATTGATGGGACCGAGGATCCGAAGTCGAGTTTCTTGTGTGCGATTCTTTGCATGACTCGTTTGTTATAAAGATCTTGGACGCCCCGGGCCTGTGGAACTGGTTGATATATCTCAAGCAGATCAAACCAATCCAGAGTCAAGACTTCTGGTATCTCAATTGAGCTCTTTCTACGGAGTATACGTCGGATCAATTATGCCATCTACCAGAATTCTGTTGGTAGCGGCTGCGGCCCTTGCACTTTCTGGCTTCGCTAATGCCCAGACAAATATCACCGAAAAAGCCTGCGCTTCCTCTTCCTCCTACTCAAGCTGCAACAGAGATGTCGCGAACAAGTGGAGTTCCTGCGTAAAGAACTGCAACGGCGACGGCAACTGCATCGTAGATTGCGGCTGCGATTCCCACCAGAAGTACATCAACTGCATGGCCGAATCATGCTGGAACCAGGTACATTTGCAACCCGAAGTCAAATTTCTACCTGCTAATCCCTATCCAGGTCTACTCCTGCAAATACCAACTCTTCATCCAACAATACTTCGCCGTCTGTCCCAAAGCCCACGAGCCAATCCCCTTCTGGCCAGCACCGAACAACGCCCCGAACCGCTGTTCCTGCGACATTGGCAAAGTCCTGAACAAGACCCTCTCCGCGCGCAACGACCAAGTCACCTGCATGAAGAACGTCACCGACAACATCCGCTCCGACATCACCGACTTGTCAAGCCCAAACAACGGCCTCGACATCGCAGGCCGCGCATCCGACTGCGCCTGCTGTGGCGCCAGCGCCAGCATCTCCGCGTAAGTCCCCCAACCGTCTCTACTAAGCCAAACTAACAGATCAGATCTTGGGACGTCTGCCCACACACCGAGCCCCGTCTCGCCGGCGCAGATATGTGGGGCGTTTTTTCCCCTCAAGCCTCCCCAACCTCTACACATCCCTACCTAACTGGGCGTGGACTTCCTCGTCCTGCGACTCACTCGATGCGGGCAAGTGCAAGGATATTGGCTTCTCCGACGCAGACAAGTTCTACAAGCCCGGTGATTATCCCAAGAACGGAACGTCGACGCTGAGTGATGTTGATGGTACGGTGACTGCGCCGCCTAGCGGGACCGTTCTCACTTGGTCGCAGGCTTCCAGTACGTACACTGTTACTGCGACTGGGTATGACCAGAAAGCGGTTGCGAGCCAGAGTGAGTACCGTGCTACGGCGACTGGGGATGCGCCTTTTGCGACGCAAACTGCGAATAATGTGGCTGGTGGTCGTGCGAGGAACGGGGGGTTGGGGGCAGTTGTCGGGGCTGTTTTTGCTGTTGTTATGCTTTGAATATGGTGATTTGGGGGTAAAAGGGGTCTGGATAGAGAGTTGATGACTGCGTGAGTGTTCATGATGTTAAACGAGCTACGAAATGGGATTTAGGCTGGGGCTTAGACCGTAGCATTTATGAAGAAAGTGCTACTTGCTACTTGGACGATTCATGGACCAAGCATTATCTAGTTATGAGAAATGCTATAATCACACCCCTTGGTGTGGTTTAAGATATCATTTTCTTTCTTGCCTATAACTTAACCACTGGTGGCCACATATAAAGGAGTGTGTTTTTGCCGGTCTTCTTGATTAGCGAGATTCCTGCTCCAGCTTTGGTGAGTCGCCTCATAAGTTCGGTGCTAATTGGGTTTTATGAAACGCCAAATGCAATAGTGTCTGGTCCTCATCATCTGAGATATTTAGGCTGCATCCAAGGTCTAAAAACAACGCATTTTCCCATGCCTCGAGATGATGGTGTATTCGAGTGGAGCATGCACCTCACTTCCCACTGCGTTTTCGATACGCGTTGCCCTCACTTGTCACCTCAAGTCATCCGCAGTTGCTTTTCTACATTCAACTGAGCAGAAAACATCTGCGACTTCCTGTACTTTGGAGGGTAGACAGAGTCCGTCAGTGCATATTGGGTTGAGCTTGGTGGTAGCACTCTTCGGCCCATGGCCCAGAACCTTGCTGGCTTTGGCGTTCTTGGACTTTCCAGCTCGCAAATTTGGCTTCTTCTCGGTTGTTCTCCTCGGTGAGTCCTTGTTGCCTTTTATTTCTTGCCTTTCACAGGCGTTTTTGGCTTCCTTGGCGTCATGGGAAAGGTGAAAAGTGTTAAGGGTGTGACGAGTCGATGTGTTTGAAGTTGAAGGAAGATAAAGAAGGTAGAGGCAGTTGAAGGTAGAATAACAACTGAGGCTGAAGTAGGTAGAGAAAGTAGAGAAGAACTGAGGCTGAAGTGAGGTGACAAGTGAGGGCAACGTATCAAAAACGCTGAGGTAAATGAGGTGAGGGTGAGAAGCTGTTCCTCTAGCATTTCATATTTACCTTGTTAATAATCAAGCATTTCCTTGATATTGACTCAGCGCTTCATCAGTATGTCAATCCTCAAGCCTATCAAAGAGAAAGGTGTACGCGTCTGCCTCGTGATAGGCTACGGCGCGAGCCAGCTCGACTAGTGGGCTATGTTCCATATTGCTTAGGACTCTCTTCCAAAATCTCTTCCAATGGCAGAAATATAACAGCTGACTATCCCTTAATGTCATTCGTTACATTGAAGACATTAAATATGAGTTGCTTTGCAGAAATTTCATAGACCATGTACATGTTCTGAATGCTACAAAATCAGAAAGTTGCATAGTTCTTGGACAAACTTTCAAATTGGTTCTAACAAGTCAAGGTGCCGTATGGATCATACGACTAAATATCACCAAAGCACCACGACGCATATAGCCTTGTTCTGTGACTGACTTAAAATTCTGATTCAGAAACATTGAAGTTCAGCGGTAATCTTTCTCCACTTATAGGGTCTCCAAAATTGTTCCCCCCAGTAAGCCTTATTCCGTTCAGCGTCAATCTTACCTCTTGGAGGACATCAGCCCCAAATGAAGGATAGTCTTGAGTTTCTTGGGCGAATTTGTGTTTATCGCTTTGAAGGTAGCCTCTGACGGAGGCTGCGGCCAGAGTACGCCGCACCGGGTGTCCTAGAGGCAAGTAGGTAGCTGAGTCAATGTGATCAGTCGTAAGCCAATGAGTGTTGATGTCAGCAATCCTCCAACTGAGAAATGCCGATGGATGGGCTTTGGCGGTAATAATGATATGCTTGATATATTGAGCCATTTCGTCTTCCAAAGCGAGGATCTCGTATTTATCTGCAAGTCTCACAAGCTCCATGGCAGCCGAAATATGCTCCCTGGGGTTTTCTATGTCGAAATTGACAGCGCCACGGTATAGCCATTGGAACAGTGCTTCAAGACTTTGTACCGAGACAACATCCTTCATATCTTCCAGGTCCACGGCCTGCTGCTGAGTTTCTAAGAACTCGCCTTTGAACATTGCTGAGAAAACGGGCGATTGTGCGCAGAGAAGATCTTGGGAAATCGTAAATTCGGCGTTGCTAGGCTTGATCCGAATTTTGACTTGAGGACCGTGATAGAGGGGAAGGATGCTGGGTTTGAGCTTAGCAAAGAACCATCTGCCGGATATATGTACCATCAGCTGCTTACTTTGCTACGAAATGCTGAGGGTCGGCCGTAGATGGCTCGCTCATCGTTTCAAGCTATATATACTAAACCCCGACAGTAAATATGTGTTTTTGGAAGAAGCAAACTGTCGATGATCTCAATGCGATATATATCGTATAAATAGCCTGTTCTAACTCAGGACAAGTTGTCGAGTGAAAGCTGAAAACCGGACTACCTGTTAGGCTGAGGAGGGGCACAGGTGTATCACGTGTATATCATTTTCAACTTGACTAGGCACGATATAATTACAGCACTACACCCATCGTAAAACCAGGATTTCATGAGACGAATCATGAGGGGAATATCATAGATTAAGTAGTGGGGCTTCTACTAGTATGGCTTTGATAGACCCGCTTGCTTAAAATCACCGCACCTCTGCATCAAATTACGTCTACAGGTATGTAGCAGTCACACTTGATTGAATAGGCCTTCTTCGGCCTCTAATTACCAACGCTAGTCAAATGTAACAGTGGTATCAACGAGATAGTCAAAAGGCACTAGGGCTTTTAGGATCGTAAGCACTTCTAGTGTATAAGAAGCCTTTTGAGTATGAGAATAATTTGATCATGAATTAAACTGCAAAGCTAAGGACAAACTGAGCCCAAAAAGACACCACATATAACTCCACAGACTCCGCAATGATACCCATCATAAGTCATAGCCCGCCAGAAATGCAGGACACGTGGTAAGCCTCTTCAAAAAAACCAAGTCAATCAAGCTTTCACCCAAGAAGGTACAACACGCTTCAAGAACTTCATAAACTTAAAGAACCCAACCGCATACTCGACATTGCCATACGGATCCACAACCCGCTCAGGGAACGCAATACCCGCACCAAACAACCCGGAAATAACTCTCGTACTCCCACTCTCCAGGAAAGCCCCACTATCATGATCGAACTCCATAGCGAGAGGCTCCCCGCCCTTCAATAATTGCGGCAGCGGGTCACGCGTATACCCAACAGCCTGAATGATATATTCACACCCAGGCAAGTACTTCGCAAACTGCGCAGCCTCGGCATCTTTCCCGCCGCCGCAGTCGATCTTCGTCAAGACCTGGCCAGCGGGCGATGTAGCCAATTTATCGTCTTCTAGCTCTGCGCGCGCGAATTCTGCAGCGGAGCCCTTGAGGCCTGTGTTGTCGCGCAAAACCCAGCCTTCTTTGTACTCGGCGTAGCGGAGCGGGTGGCGAGTGAGCCATTTTATGCGCAGGGACGGATGCGTGGTGTGTGTTAGTGTGATGAGGTTAAGGATGGCGAGGATAGCGCTATGCGAGGCACCGACGATTGCGACGGTTGTGGGGGTGGTTGGGAGGGCTTTGACTAGTTCGCTTGGCTTGAGGACTAAGTCTAGGTCTAGGCGTTGGATGGACAATCCCGGGACGGGGATTGGGACGTTTGTTGGATGTGAGCCCGTGCAGAGGATTAGGCGGGTTGTTGAGATCTTCAGGTCTGGGGAGTTTGGTTGGCGGATGCTGATCGTCCACTCGGATGACTGGGTGTGGGGTTAGTTTTTGGTGGAGATGCGGATCAGATATAAGAGCTACGAACCTGGTCGTTGAGATTGGCTGCTGCGACGAAGCCACGGTATGCGTGGACTTGTTCCATTTTCATAAGGCCGTCCGTCAGACTGCGGATCATGTCTGCTGCATAGCCTAGATGGCAAGTTTTCTCTTGGTCTAGCTTGGCCAGAGTTGTGAATGCATTTGGTGTGCGGGAACTCTCAATCACTTTTTGGAAAGGCTGTGTGGCTGTTGCGAATGATTGGAATAGCGCTACCTTGGTATTGCTGAAGTGGAGTTAGTACGCCGAATGCCAATCTGTACTACGGAGCCGGAAACAAACCTAGGGACTTCGCGGTATTTGCCGTGGACTCTTCCAGCTGTGAAGCTGGGATCAATCCATGCAATAGAACCCAGCTGGCGCTCTAGCAGATTGCCCATAACGGCAACACCGGCGGGGCCAGCACCAACAACAACAGCGGCGCATTTGCGGGTAGCCATGGTGATAACAATGTGAGCTAATTCAAATCAAGCAAAGCGAAAGTAGCGTGGCATGCAGAAGCTAAGAAAATAGAAAGAATAAAGCGTGATGAAAGTGGTTTTCATTCGGACTAAATAAATAGAAACTCGGCGACTGAGAACTTTAAAAAGGGGTGTGCACGAAAGCCAAGACACAGACGACGGCCCGTGAAGGAATGCGTAACTGTATCGCGAACATCATAGTGCAGATAACGCAACCTGCGTCCAGTCGGGACGTCGCTATTGGGCGGGAACATTCGTTTTGTTGATCCAGTCTCGAGTCCCCGATAACTCATGACACATCATTAGTGTAGCAGTCTCGGGCGAGATGGAGTCGATCGCCGATAACAGTCCCCGCAAAGGATGTGTTTGATAATGCGGTCTGTTAGTTGTGTGAATCGGCGATTCATTTCAATCGGCGATTAGCATGCCCCACTGCGCTTTCCGCCGGGCTATCGGCTGGGTCGGTTGTTCCATGCTGTGTCATGAGTTAGAAGATCATTTTGAACAACATCCTTTTCATGGATGTGTTAGGGCAACTATGATCCGAGGCATGGTGACTGAAGGGGAGAAATAGATGCAAAAGAGCTTGGGGGGGGACAAGTTTAGTTTTATACTCTGTTGTTATGGCGTCGATCGGGCGGTCTTGGCAAAATGGCGTGCTCAACTATAGGCAAATCAGGGCGTAGCAAGTATAAACATGAGCTTATATAGTACAATACGGTCCAGTGCATGCTTATAAGCCCTAAGTGACTCCTGAGGTCTATTTGCTTGATGGAGATGCCATTTAGACTGATATCTTTGGTTTGATATACCCGCCATTTTCAAGGCCTGAATAGGCCAATACTTATCTACCTGTGTAGTCATCCATCTAGGTATCATACAGCCCAGAAAATCCTCACACTAGCCCGATGAACATGATTCGACCAACCTGGGAATCGTGCCCTCGCCCAAAGAGCAATCGAATCTCCCACCTCCAACTCCCTAACCCCCCGCCCATCAAGCGTGAGTCTCCCCCGACCCCTGGTCTTCTCAATCTCATGAGCCTCAGCAGAATCAGCCTCAACATCATCCCGATAGTCCCAGACAATAGTAGTATGTTGCATCTCGCCGACATGAGCACCATTCACCTGCAATTTATTTCCGCGCGGAAGAAGTAGATCATCAGCTTCAGTGTAATGCTTCCGGACCTGTCCGCGCTCGTTGTCGAGAATCTCCTGCTCCGTACCGTTCAGATACATGTTTCGCTTGTGTGCGCTGCGGATAACTTCCGTATCGAACCAGGTCCACGAGAACTCGTACATGTTGTCGTGGCATCGGCCGCTACCTTGGTCATGCGATGAGAGTTTGAAGATGATTTTGCGGCATGGATGAGCGCCGCGATGGGGGAGGGTTTTGGGCGATGTTTGTTCCAAACTCTAGATGTGGGTATGTGGTCAGTACAAGTTCGGACTCATCAATATATATGAGACGGATATACATTTCGGTCATAGCACAGAGGGACTGTCTTCAGCAAGACCTGATCGCAGTCTTTATGGATGGTTCGGTGTTCGTGTATTGTGTGCTCTATCGATGGCCAATATTCTGCTGCATCGATGATCATATCAACGAGTTCTTCGGGAAGACCGGCGCTAAGCTTCCATTGCAGTATATGTCGGACTTTAAGGACCTCTAGTAAACTAGGGTTGAAGATATCAGGCTCTGGCCCTGGGTCTGAGTCTGGGGTACTCTCGGAAGCATCAGATTCTGAGTAGCTGGATCGTGTGGATCTCATGTGGCGCTTTCTTCTGGAACGAAGGCCGAAAGGCAGCATAATTTTAGATGTAGAGGTTAAAGTAACTGGTTAGATGTTGCATTAATACTTGGTGACAACCTGGGTATGTATCAGTTGACGTTGATCTTTGTGAAAAGTAGTGATATGAGGCAGTTCGCTCAGGCAACAACACACACAATGACACCTAAAACCCCGGTCACTTGGGCCACCGCTTAATTACGGTCCGTTGAATGTATTTGGGCTGCACCACCGAGTTAGCCTTGGCCCTCTTGGATGGTTATCTGTCATTCGACAAATCAGATCGTATGTCAAGCTGACATTTGGGCAAGAACCGACAAGTAGATTTATGATTGTTCGAAAGAAATATAGAGAAAGAGGCAACATTCGAATTGAACAATGCGGGAACGCTGATCACCTGCTCGATTTATTGTTTACGCAATGACGTCAATGTCTACAATGCAAAATAATTAAGCCTCAGGAAACATTCAAATGTGTATATCCTTATTACATCGAGGACAATGAATCTACATGGAAATTCACAAATCTTTCGTCTCAATCAAATGAGCTTGCAATATATTCAAATGCCCTTCCTAACGCCATAAAACATACATGACTTCTTTTAGTTCTAGTCTCGTCTGCCACCCGCAGCCTTGTAGGCAGCAGCACGCTTAAGACTCCTAGTATTCCGCTTAGCCTTCTGGCCACGGCTCTTCTGCTTCATCTTGATAGACGATGATCCCTCAGTGGCACGGTGACCCTCAAACACAAACGAGTTACCAGCAACGGTACTGTTGGCTTCAGCCTTGACCTTAGCGGCACCAGCACGACCAAGCAGCCTATTAGCACGTCCCTGCATGGTCTTTTGAGCCTCGTCCACACGGGACTTCTTGGTATCAGGTCCGGCGGTCTGGGACTTCTTAGCCACCACCTTGCGGGCACGAGTAACGCGCAGCTTGCGAGGGAGCATGGGCGGGAAGTTCTTGCCGTTCAGAGGGAGGGACTCTTCCACAGCGTTACCGTTGTAGAACTGGACATAGGCAAAGCCCTTGCCAACGCGTGTCGTGCTGTCGCGGATGACACGCACAAACTCGACGTTCTTCTTGATGGCCTTCTTGTCCTTGCCGCCGGTGTGGGCGTTGAAGATACGCCACAGACCTTCCTCGATATCGGCGGGCGCGCGGACCTTCTTCTTCTTGCCGGTCTTCTCGTCTTCTTCCGGTGTCTCGCTATCGATGAAGGAGAGGTTGCCAACAAAGACACAACGCTTGTGGTCAATTTCAGCAGGGTGGGCAAGGCTGTCCACTCGCAAGTGGCGATCCAAAACGATGGAGCCGTTCAAAGCGGCGGGAGCCTTGCGTGCAGCCTGGAGTGTGGAGTAAACGGCGTAGGCGTTGGTGCTGGGGGTGGTCTCATCAAGAATCTCGCGCTTCGCGAAAGATGCACGCTTGGGGATACCGCCACCGCTGGCGAAGGCAACAGAGCGGAAGCGAATGGACTCGATCTTGTGAGGTCCTGTAGACTCCGGGAGCGAATCGCAGAACGAAGCCAGGTGTCGCAGGAGAGTTTTCTTGGCGGTCTTGGACTTGATGGCTTCGGTGGAAACGTTGCCCAGGAACACAGTACGGTTGGATTTCTCGACTTCATCAGATTGGGTGGTTCCAGCCACGCTTTCGTGAACTGGAACAGGGGCGTCCTCTTCCTCATCGCTGCTCTCCTCGGTGGATTCTTTGTCGGAGCTCTTCTCTTTCTCTTCCTCATCCTCATCTTCGTCCTCGCTGCCTTCTTCAGCAATCTGCTTTTGGCGCTTGGCGTGTTCGGACTTGCGCTTTTCTGCGTCCTTCTCTTCTTCCTTTGCGATGCGACGCATGTAAGTCTCCTCCACTTCCTCGCCAGCATTGCCACGCTTGCGCTTCCGGTTTTGTGTCTCTGTGGGTTCTTCCTTTTCCTCTGTGGGCTCAGAATCACTGTCATCGGCAGCATCATCCATCACCTCATCGCCGGAGGACAATTCCTCGTCGTCCTCCTCTGCGACATCCTTTTCGTCCTTCTTGGGCTTTCGGATAGGCTCAACGTACTTGACTGTGGGTGTTTGCACGGGACCAGCCTGGAAATTGTCAGCTCAAATTTCAAAATCTTGTTCAAGATATATACGTACACTTTGGGCGAATAGAGAGGACAATGTTGGGTCCAGAGAGGCACCACCGAAAGGAAGGCCAGCGGGCTTGGACTTCTCCTCTACCTTAGAGGTCTTGGAGGAAGACTTAAATTTGCCCATTGTGATAATTATGTGTGGCCTTTGTATAGACCAAAAATGACTAAGACGTGGCTTTCTTCCGGGGTTGCAATTGCGCTGATAGCTCCGACTTTTTTTTTCTCTTTAGTTTTTTGCCGATAAGTGTCTTGGCGCGGAAAGCTGCTTATCACATCACTGTATGCGGTGTAGAAACGAGCCTCAAAGAAAAAACAAACGCTTTCAAAGGTGCTGTTTTACAGATATATGTGCATAAGGATCTTCAATGCAGTCTTATTTGGTTCCTTGGATTTCCTAATCTATTCTCATGTTTGAATGTATGTAGTTCAGGCTCGGAAGTTATTGTTTGTGATTAAAGGCGGTAAACAATTGAATGTATACTTCACTTTGATATATTACAACCACCGTCAAAGCAATCAGTCTACTTTATAGTCTGAATTGTTGTTAGTATATAATCTTCTACTCTGTAGTACACATTGCAATACTAAATTGAATTATGCAAGGTCTCGCTTTTTCCCGAGCTACGTCAGATGAAACCTCACGTGATCTGCTTTTTTCTTCGGCGGTGAGGCTCACCCTCGCCGGGAACGCGGCAGAACCCCGTCACTCGCTTCTGTTGCTGCACCCCATCATAGCGATCTGCTGCTTTTGTCTGCTGAAACCCCCTCTTTCCCTCTAGTTTCCCATTTCTAGTCATTGATCCTACCTTGATCACGATCTCTGAACACCTCTTCATGCCGTCCACCTCCCTGCGACTCGGTACAGTCGTCTTCACTGCTTCTTAGCCAATCTCCCCTCGCCCTCCAGAATCGGTCTGCGCAGGATTCGTCGGACCGAAAGCTTTTTCCGGCTTACAATACTGGTGATACGCGTGGGCTTGGACTTGTGTGATTATCTGCGTTCTAGGAACGCGGTGGTTCTGAGAATCGTGCTCAGTCGCGAGCAGCTGTGCTCATCACCGGCGTCGCTCCCGGCGCATTGTTGAAACGGTACGTCGCTTGGGGCTCTACATTCATTTTACACATTCATTTAGTCATTTTGGTCAAGACAAAAGTCTTTTTCGTCTCCTGGGCATACTTTTGTGCTTTGCGCGGTCTCTGTTCGCTCTTCTGAGCGATTGTTGCCGACTCTGGGGCGTCCGATGATCAATCTCCGCACCACCGCCTTCTGGAGGCGCTGACCTATCTCTCGCACCCACCCTCCACTTTTTGCCCACCAACTCCATTTTCCACTGATTCCGCCGATTTGACATGGCAATTGAGCTAATCCAATTCATGATTTGTTCAGATTCCCGATTGAAACCACAACTAATCGATCGGTGACCTTCCTTCCCCCACGCCAGTGGCGGATCTCAGCCTCGCCGCAAGCAACCAATAACCTAAAATCCCCCAACCTCCCCTTCCTACCCTCATACTACGCCTGCGCCAGCTTCTTCTTGGACAAAATAGCCAATGGAGGTAGCCGAGAGCAGAGAACAGGCCTCCGTTGGTCACCCAACAGGGGCAGAGCCCACGCTTCCGAATGGCGAGCGGAACCCTTTTCTGGATGACCCGCTCATGGATGATGATGGACGCTCAAGTAGCTTGAGTGAGATTGACGATGTCTCGGACAACGAGCCGTCAGACTTTGAAGATGCCATCAAGTCAGACAAGCCAACGGATAACGATTCGGAGGCCGAGACTGAACGAATCGAGGATTCTCCACACAACATCAGAAAACGAGACATTGTCTTAAGTGCCACTAGTGCCGGGCCAAGTCCGAGCAAGCTTCACCAGTCCACGACGCTCGACGATGTCGAAGATATCGACGATGACGCACTTTTGGCGGACGATTCACCCAGCAAACCGCGCCGGTCCTCGAAAAACAACGGCTTGACCGACGATACCCCAGACCTTGGCTATCCAGAACTTCCCGATAGCATCGGAAAGAAGAGAAAACGCGTTGAGATCGGTGACGAAACCGGCACCGAATTGGGTGACGATGACGAGCCCATCAAGAAGCGTCGGAGCTCAAGCAAGAGTGATTTGAGTGACCCGATCGACGACGATACCCCACTATCACCGGAGCCGCTCGATGACACTATGGCGATGAACGATGATGACACTCCAGCCGACGATGGTCTGGAATTGGACCTCCCAGCCGCCCCGCCTTTGAAAGGCAAAAAGGGCAAAAAGGGTAAGCGGAAGGGAAGAAGGGGCCAGGATGCCGACGAGGAGACAGACGTTGGCGTTGAGGCCACGATAGAGGACGTCGCCGATGAGATTCGCGGAGAAGACGATGAGCCTACGGAGCGAGGAGATGAGCCTGATGACGCCAAGACAGTTGTCCAAGTCGAAGAAGAGTGTAAGTCTTCCCCTCCGTTGCCCTTGGAGACATCACGAATTGCTGACACTATGTATAGCCATGAAAAAGATGTCTGCTATGGATTCCCTTGCGACATTGGAGAAAGAGTTTGCAGCTTTACGTGACAAGTAAGAGCCTTCCCCATCTCTAACAAACCTAATTGCTAAACATTGCAGGATTTATGATGAACGGATATCGAAGCTTAACCGCGAGCTGGAGATGCTTACCGGACCAAATCCGACACATCCCGAGTACTTGCGACAGATTGAGTGTGTGCAACGTCATCGGGACGCCAAGATCAAATACGAGGGAAACTTGTATCGATACCGCATGAAGTCCCTCATGAACAAAGCTTTGGCTGAGCGATCACAAGCACACAGCACATACTTCCAACGGATCCGAGATGTGCGCGAGCGGCATTCGTCTGCGATCAGCAAGCAGTTCTATGCAATCCAGCACGATCGTTTCAAGACAGACGAGGTTAGCCCGCATCACATCATTGCTTTCCCTACTCGTCGCTCGCAGCAGATTGCACACCAGGCTGCATACAACCAGGAGGTTTCAATCATGGCTGGTGTTGCCAAATATGTTGGCTTCCCCGCTGCTCCGTCCTTGCTGGGCGCACGTCCGACCGAGCTCGATGACGACCTTGAGAAAATGGGCATCACCATCGAAACTCGTGCCTCAGCACCTCGGCATTCATCAGCGATGCCTCCACGAACTACTATGTCCACCATGTCTTCTAGCGCCTTCCGCAACGCTGCGGAAGAAGCGTTTTTAGAACAAACCCCCTGGGCAAATCCTCAACATCCGATACACCAACAGCAGCAACATCAACAACAACAACATACCCAGCAGCACCGACCGCAACCTCGTCCGTTCGAGCACCCGCAGCCATCGTCATATGCAACCCCCGCGGCTCAAAAACGTGTAGTAGACGTGAATGCGCCAAACGGGTCCGCATCAACGATTCCCGAGAACGCATCAGCGGCCAACTCATCGGCCAACAACACCCCCTATGGCATGGAGCAAGACCCGAGGAATCACCCTCAAGGACCCTTCCGAAACCCAGACTATGATGTCGATCATGGCAAATCTGGTTTCCGGTCCCAAACTTCATCACCATTAGATGTGCGGAAGTCACAACCGCACCTCTCTCACCCCCTCGGACGCCACTCCCCTGCCACCCCCTCCCATAACCACCTCTTCTCTCCACCTCCCGCCCGCCAAGGCCTGTTTCAGCCTTCCTCGGCTCTCCAGCGTGAAACTTCGCCATCACTTTCGTCTAAACCGGTTGACGCGGTACATTACCGCCCCCATCAATCCGGCATACCGACAGGATCTGGTTCAAATCATATGTCAAACCGATAATTTGTCCAGTTCATTTTTACATGAACGTTCCGTACAACTCCGCTTAATACCCAGGGACAGTCTCCCTTCACTTTTCCATGCATCATGTGCCTCTTTTCTTCTTCTATGATAAACACTGCTTTTTACCATTCTCTTCTGTTCTTGCTACAACATTCAATGCATGTTGGCTGTCATTTCTCCGGCTCTAGGCTCTAAGAGATGTGAGAATTGATAATACATGTGTCTGTGTTTGTTGCATGAATGGAATATCGGTCTGGGACTTAGTTTTAAGAGTTTCAATAGCGTTTAAATATCGGATTCCCCTGTTCTCATTACTTGTAATTTGGATTTAAAATTTGACCCAATAGATTGTATTTCTTATTCTATGTCTCTTGTTCATGAATCGGCCTTCGTACAATCAGTTCAGCAGACTTGATTGTCTGTATCTGTATTTCTACTCTTTGATCTTTTGTTCTACTAAAGTTCTTTTTAAAGGTCTTTCAGCAAGCTTTAATGGTACATTCAATTGTATACCCTCAACTGGCAGCTGATATATCATGCTGGCTGATTGAAGGGTTTGAATATCAAAGAACAAAAGGTGTATGGAATCATCTGCATGAATGTCACTCACTCAACCACCAGGTTTTTGTGTTTCTGATCAGAGAATTTCAAGCAAATTGTGACGAAAGTTGGAATGCATATAGAAATCATCAAAGGCAGATAGAAATTGGTCGTCAGAGGTTCGAGATGATGGTAATTCAAAATAACCTAGACCAGCTAGTCAACACATAGTTATACAGAATGAAGGTAATTCACATTCATCAGACATACCATGATCAGTGGCCCACACCACAGCTTTCGCTTTTTCACCCACAGTTCTATTGCCTCATCCTTCTTTCCCTGTTCTATAAGAACAAGCCCAACTCCATTCCAAAATACTCTGCTCTCAGGATCCCCACAGCTATTCCTTTCTTTTGCTTCTTTAATTGCAAGGTTCCACGACAAAGCTGCTCAACTTCTTGGTGTTTACCCTGCTCTTTAAGTAGTGTTTCAGCGCGGCAAGGGGATTTCCAGCGGAAATGCGGTTGAACGAAATGATCCAAGTCATTGCCACGGGTTTGCAGGTGTCTTCGTATCGAGTGATATCCTCATACCCTTTGCAGAGCATTCTCATCAAACTTTACTCACTCGACTGGTAGTATTCAAGATATTTGGCAGCTAGAAGACCATTCATTGATACATATGCAGAGGCCTGCTTAATTGCTGGTGGAATGATCTGAAGCTTGCGGGCAATTTCGCGGTACGCGTTTTCAAAACTTGTAGCTGTCATGGCAGGAATCCAAAATACTAAGCAATTTGAGTGGTCATTATGGACTTGGAAGGTAGGCTGTGACCGACGAACACAATCGGACGGTCTCGAACGCCTTCCCGGAAAGTATGAAGGTGGTTCGCTAGATCTTCACCACATAGTTGAAGGCGAGTGTGAGGTGCCTTAGAATGCCACTTTTAGTCGTAATTGCAAACCGCGATTCGCGATCTAGGCACGACGGCCGGTAATATATCTGCATCCTCAAGCCAGTGAACCTGATGCTTTCGCGCGGCATCTTTCCATGTTCATGACCAGTCGACATTTGAGCCGAGGCCATGTACCGCGATAATACTAATCAAGATGAGCAATCAGAAGATCAAGATCGGGATGAACCACCAAAATACTCATTCGATCTCTGCATCTTCCTGTTCTTGCTCAGTGTTGGGGTCAAGAACATCAAAGGCGGGACGGCTCGATAGCTGCATCATTATCATTTCTCTTTGTTCCCAATTTCAAAACATATTGGCATGAAACTTCAACTCACTGAGTTAGCATTTGATGTCCGTGTCAGCCAATACCACGCAGTTGCGGCGACGAGAAGTGTGACAAAGAGCGTGGCTAGGCCACCCACCCCCTGCATGAGTGCGATCAAGAAAGAGAAACAAAGTTATATTGCTATTGTCGTGCTTTGGAGCCAAATATTAGGTCCCAAGAAATGGATAAGGGCTGCCTCGAATCATGCATGAGCCCCTGATATCCTCGGATGTACAGTAGTTGGTTCATGAAGCATTCTCAGTAGACCCTTGGCGATAACCATCGGTGGTAAGCAGGCAGCCAGGTGAAACTCGCCCTCGCCCGACCTTGCGTAACTCTCACTCCGCCACGGTCTCTGCGCAAGTGATCGACAGTCACTGGCCGCGGCTCTATCATATCCACTGTGCTGCGTACAAACAACATGATTCGACAAAAAGGTAACTTAATTGGCGTGCTTTCACTAAATTTCTGGATAGAGCCTCAAAATGGTATTCATATCCACATGATCTTATCCCGATCGTTCAGATATCAAGTTTATTTCAATGCCGGACCCTCAAGCGTGGAGACTTTGTTACCTAGATGTTGAAACATATTTTTGGCTCAATGCGTGTACTAAAAGTCCTTGCCGCGAAAATTTCGCAGCATATAAAGACGGTGATATGCGCACCTGGGCAGTTAGATCATAAGTTTCTCTCGCTTCGGAGCAGCGGATCTGATTCCCGTTGTAGCAGAACAATTTCTGCAAAATATCGAATGAATAATTATGATAGAGCGCGACTTAACTTGCTTCTCAAACGAGTCAAACCATCATTAGATGTAGCTCTCTGCAATTATACAACAATTGTGCGAGCCTATCTTTTACATAGATTTTGCACCCTATAGTGTTTTCCTCGTTGCCGTCATCTATGTGACACGAAGAACGCCGAGGCAAAGGTACTCACTTGAGCTACTCCAGGCGTTCACTATCTTTGGGCTTAATGGGGGTGTGACAGACAGCTGTAGGAGGTTAGGTTACCATGCACGTCGCTCGAAAAGTCGACTTTTAGTAATAGGGATGATCATTTATTGGTTTATGTCCCAATATGAAAGCTGTGACTCCATTTTGTGACTTAATGTGCTATCAACTAAGTGTTGCTCCGAAGTCACAGATACACCCATGACTCTCAGTCAGTCATTTCATTCAAGTTTTGGGCCATTGATCCATATTCAGTAACTGGGACTGCAGAGCTTCGAATGATTCCACGGCATGAGCCAAAACAGCGAATTTTTTGCTGAGCTATCTGTGCGTCTCCAATTCGGGAAGCAGTTGGTTACACTGCAAGGCGATCTTGTGTCGGCAACCTGATGTCACTACAGATCCCAAGGCATGGCAAATGACGAGGAAAGAATAACCTCAAATCAATAGATCTATTCACTGACCATGTGATCAAAGGCGAGAATAGATTGAAAACAAATATATAAGGGTAAGTAGAATGTACGATGCTTGTTGCCATCCATTCAACAAGACTTCCCATTCATGCCATTTCGAAAATGTGGGAATTTTATACAGGGAAGATTGTGTTCATTACCGGAGGCTCAGGCTTTGTTGGAACAGCTGTGGTTTACCGTCTTGTCACCCAAGCTCCTGTGGCCCATCTCTATATCCTTTGTCGAGGCGGTCTCTTGTACGTTGAACTTTTTCCAAACACTTGTTCTATGGCTTACTGATTATACAACAGGGGTCTTATTCAAAAGTGGAGGGAATATCTTCCGCCAAACATTGTGAAGCAGATGATCGACCCTCGAATTGTTACAGTCTTGGAAGGTGACGTGTTACAGCCAGACGTTGGTTTATCAATGGATGATCTGGCTTTGGTCCGTGAGCGAGCTCATATAATTGTGCATTCGGCTTCTTCTATTGCACTCTTAAGCTCTCTGTCAAAGCTTGTTATGCCTATAATCGACGCCACAGGACGCTTGGCCCACCTGGCGCTAGAATGCAAACATCTTGAATGCTTTGCATTTATCTCTTCGGCTTATGCAAATAGCAACCTGTTTCCTCAAACTGATGGAACCTCAGAAGTTGTTGTGCAGGAATCTTTGTATCCACTCTATTATTCAGCAAATATCGACGAAAGGCATAAATCCCTTCAGCAGGAATGGTCCGAAGTACGAAAGACCGGCTCCTCTGCTGCCTTTGAGTCTCACGACTTTCCTTGGGCCTACGCCTACGCAAAGCATCTCACAGAGCGACTGCTAGCGTTTACATTTGCTTCGTCTGATAAACGCCTGCTCATTCTGCGTCCATCCATCATTGAGCCAGCCCAATGCTTTCCATACCGAGGTTTCTGCCGCCCGACTTCAACCCCTCATATTATTGCTGAAGCTGCAGGGGCTATATCGGTTGCACCGGCCATACGCCTCGCATCACGATTTAAAAATCCCAACCAAGACTCAACTATAGACTATGTTCCGGTGGACGTAGTGGTCGACCGACTACTTGTTCATTTGGCACTTGGCACTGCTGGACCCGTTCATGCTGTAGCCGGAGACGCACGAATGTCATTTCAAGATAGCTGGAGCCGTACGTTCAAGCATCGCAAGCTCCCCTGGTCTCTTCGGCCAAAGTGGCTTTCCAAATCCTGGCATTCAAAGGACCTCCATCCAATTGGCCGAGTGTACCCAATAATGGGTGCGGGGTTCAAATTTGTGGAAGATCAATCTATGATTATCTGGCAGCAACTGTCAGAGTCAGAGCGCTCCAAGATACATATGTTTGCGGATAAAGATAAATTGTATCATGATCATGAACACATGCGAGAAGACCATCTTTGGATTTGCATAGCACATTTGATTAAGCGGCGTAAATTAACTCGTCGGTTGGTTCAACTGCTTTATCATTCTTTGGCTTCTACGGAATCCGGTGAAATGGGCGAATCGGACTGTCATTGTATGACTTCGAAATCACTCTGAGGAACAAGATTTAGAATCGATATTTTGTTTGTGTCTCAGATACTTACTCGAAGCATTCTTGTATTTTAGTGATTATCACTACTTTGATTTTGGAAGGTTTTTCGGAATTCGTTTTTAATACAATGAGATATCAGGAAGTTCAAATATGTTTGACATCAGGGACAAACCCCAAAATGTTTACGCCGGTAGCTGTGAGAATAAAAAAGAATTGAGAGATTTGGATATTCTGACTAAATAACAGCCACCTTAGAGAAGGTAGCTCACCTTCCCCAAAACAGTAGTCCCATCCATATGGCCATATCCCTTGAAACGATGAGACAAAACCTCAAGACGATTTCTTCGAATCCTTCCCTCCATCCAAAAGAGACGCCAGTCTCGCTCTTTCCAGAAGCAACCCAACAAAAGCAAATGTAAGCATGCTACTAGCAATATAAACCTGCGGAGCAAAAGTGCCAAACTCAGGATCAACCGCCAAACTCCCAGGGTAGAGAAAAGCGCTCAGTTGAGTAATCCAGTAGATGCTACCCGTCCAAGCCGCAGTATGGACATAGTGACTTTTGATATCTGGCGTGGAGGCACCGCGGTAGAGATAGTATAAAGTCGTCAAGCCGAGCACGAGACCCATGGACATGGTCTGGCCATTGTGGAACTTGGCATGTGGGGGCCACCGCGGGTTGTATATGTGTGTTTCGTTCCAGTCGGCGAGGTAGGCGCCAATTGATGTGGTTATGCCTACCACGGTCATCAAGATGATGCCGGCGCTGGGCATTTTGTGTGGTGTGGTTTTATGTGGTGGGGTTTGATGCTCGCAAGGGATGAATTGAAAGATGTTAATGCTTGGGTATGTGAAGCTTTGAAATGGGAGTAGGTGGTAAAATGCTAAAATTGAAGTGGAATAGTGCCAGGATAAATGTTGCTAGGGGGTGTAAATGGTCTGGAACTATACCGCGCACTGGTCATATGACAAGACGGCATACCGGTAGGTTGACACGGTGGCCTCCGGGCGCGGTCTTAACCTCGGCAATTGACGGCGTATTCCTCCAGCGTTGGTTGGGCTTTTGAATGCTAAGATATTGGATCTGCTATCCAATGAGTGCATCAAATAACAGAAAATGAACACATCAATGATAAAATTTGAATGATTGAACCCATAATGAATACACTAAAATAAACGTACAATGAAACAACGGCTAAATAGCACTCGAATGAATGTGCACGAAACTTGTGAAGCAATTGATGTTTGACCCATGCCTTTGGGGTATGATAATTGAAATGATCCCGTCTCATATCGTCTCTTTCCATCGAATATGCCAAGCCAACCGATTATTGTTCTGAAGTAACGGCAGGCTGAGCCTCCGACTGTGAAGGGGTGACAGAGGGTTCCGTTGCACCGTTGGTAGTCGTCTCCAGCACTGCACTTTGTGGGCGCCACTTAGTGAGGACCTTTGTAGCAGCAGGTCGAGATTCTTCGACTGTTGGGAACATGTTAGCTTTACCATACCAGCAGGAAACCAAAAGAGGAAGTTCTTACATTTCTGGTAAACGTCTTCGACCGTGTTCAAGCACATCTCCCGAGCTGGGGGCCGGAACATAATCAAGTACCTAGGTAAAAAGTTAGTCAGGACTAGACGGTGGGCGTGGGGGAAGGTCACATACATCAAAGATTGAACGCAAAGGTTCACACGTTCTGGGTCTTTGGCTAAACTAGCAACTCGCTGAGTGATAGCAATCGTAATCTCCGGCACCTCGCTAAGGAAACGAACGAGAACCTTGATATCTCTGCCGTCCAAGTATGCCAAGAAGCCATCAAGCAGGCGGGTAACCCAGGTGTCGTAATTGAGAGAGACGATCGGCTCCGACTCTTGGTCTGGTTCTGATTCGCCACGCTGATCGGCAGCACTCTTCATTTGCATTCGGTCGTTGTACCACTCTTCATTAAGCCAGATGATAGCAATGTTGATTCGAGCTCGGAAATCCTCTAGGATATATCGATACAGCGTCTCCCGAATGGAGTCAGCGATAGTCGTTTGGCGTCGTACAACCGAATCTCCCTTGGCTTGTGGATCATTTGCGAGGCCCGCGGGTGCTCGTGTGGCCAGTCGGGCAAGAAGGACAGACCAGGCGTCACGGTCGAATGTACTACCCGCAAGTCGTGCGAAGCCAAGCTTTTGCTGACTTTGACCCTTGGCAGGTGCAGGTGATGTTTCGGATGCATTAAGCATACCGAAAACACGTGCAACTGCACTTCGTCCGATTTCTCCGGCTTCTTCTTCGCTCAGTGGAGGAGGTTGAGGGAGGACGAATGGTCCTAGGGATACCAGGTCTGGCTGCAGTTCTGCGAGCTCTTCCGCAACAGCACTGTTTTCTTCTGATACAACAGACGCTGCATCCATTGGTTGGTATTCGGGTTCATAATCGTCATCTTCATCCTGAGCCGCTGCTTGTTGTTGTTGCTGTCGTTGCAGGTTCTGTTCTTTGGTGATTGTCTGATAACGATTGCGTACAGCCTAGAGCCATGTTAGAACCCTTTTCTACTTTTCCACGGCAGTACTTACATCAACGGCTTGTGTGAGGGTCGAGTCATGCACCTGCGAAAGGAGAGGCACGACAATCTTGAGGACTATGTCAAATGGCAGCTGCTTGACGTCGAAGGATGACAGTCCGGTGTCCTCGGTCAAAGTGAACAGACGATCGAAGCTTGCGGGTCCAGGTGCCATTGGGGGTATCTTCAGCATCGGAGGGACAACAGCATTTAAGCGAGCCCGCTTAGCATTGTCAAGTCCATCAGTAGGCTCATTTGGCAAGCCACGTTTCCGAGAAGCATCATCAGTAACCTCGAGACGCGACTGGCTCAGGCGCTCAATGTACGCATGCATTCTGGGGGCAAGAGGGTGATTTTGGTGCCTAAGAACTCAGGTTAACAAATACTTTGCGTAAGAATAGGTACAACATACTTTTTCAGAATATTCCAGAGCAAAGCTCGAGCTGTCCGTTCCATAGACTTGACGCTGACGCGAACAGTCGGGGTAAATGGAGGACGGACATGGTGTGCTGGGAAAAAGTCCAAAACCGCGCTGATAATCTTGTTTGCGATAGACTGGCGCGTGCGGATAAGAGGAGGAAGTAAGTTCAAAGTCGCGTTCACCAGAAGAGGATCACTGGTCAAAATCAGCATAATCCTAATATGACAGCAATCGTTCTTATAATCGCTTACCTAGTCTCTTCTTGGAACACACCCAGTAGGCGATCAAGTAAACCTGATGATTCTGCTTCCAGGTTGGGGATTGATAGAAGGGCATGGTTTCTGGGAACAACAGCCAATGATGTCTCGTTTTGCTCTGGGCGCTGCAGAAGAGATTAGTACGATTATACACAACTCTCGAGATTGTAAAACATACTCTTGGATCTGAGATCAAACCAGGTGTTTGAACCTGAACCACGCGCTGAAGAAATTTGGCACAGCAAAGCTTCACCGGACATGGGAAAGAGTCCATTTTCCTGAGAAAATGCTGTTTAATTTCACACATTGTCTCCCACGACTTACTATCCTGGGGGTGGTTAACACTGGTGTGTTGTTGTTAGCAGTAATTCAAACATCGAGCGCTTCCCCTCTGGGACGATAAAACCCTAATGATAACCTACATATGTCTGAAAACAAGAGGATACAAGCTTGCTGATGCCTGTACTAAGCTTTGTAGCACCGCTATATCGGTCTCCGGCAGCTCTAAAATCTCACGAATGGTCTGTAGGACATTCGGTGCCAGCTGTTCCTTCTGTTCTACAGCTAGAACTGGACTAGCAAAAGTTTCAGCCAGAAAATTTGCACCCCATCTTCGCAGTTCCAGTTTTGTGTTAGCTCCGACAATGGGAAGGATGCCGTTCACGATCTGCGGGTAGAAGGCAGCATCACCAAGGACGAGACTGCGGGCGGCGTTCAGCTGAGCGACCTGGTCGACAACTGCATCCGTTGTCTGGGCCATTTTGGCGCCAGTGGGACGAATTCGGTCCGCGGTAATTGTTTGAACGTCGAAGGGGGAGGTTGAAGCGCCGGAAGGGAGGTTGTCTAACAGACGGACACGGATGAAGTTGAAAAGGCAATGCGCATCAGCTTGGGATCGCTGTCGCAAGGAATTCAACGAGGGAGTGACGTGAAATCAAGAGAAAGGCATGCGAATATGCGAGCCGGGTGAAAGAAGGACGTGGTAAGTGACGTGAGTGGAGGATGCGACAGAAGCTGTGAAGGCAGAGAGGAATCGACAAAGAGTCCGATGTATGCGGGCTCTATAAACGCTTAGCCACCAATAAAATCACCTCCTTTCTACCCTCAACAGTGTTCAGATCGAATCAATCAATCTAGGCCGAGGTCTCCGAATAAGATAGGACGATTATCAAGACAAGTATCTAAATCCGCATCACGTTGTGCCGCCAAGACTTTTCCTCCGGCTCGGCCTGTATGGCCTCAACTTTCTTGCCTCTCACCTCCCAGTCCAAGCAATCTCTCGTTATGGCTACCGGAATGTATGTGTTCCTATTTCATAACCTGCAGAAGTCATATTTTGCTAACAGAATCCCTCTCTCAGCTTCAACTCCACCTACTACGGCAAGGATTACCGCGCCGGCGCCGCCCTGCTGCGCGCCCGCCGCCCATACCTGTTCAAGAACGCTCTCACTGGCTTCGGACTGTTCGCATTCACAATTGCAGTCTGTGAGTAGCATCCATTCCATGAGGGCTCCTCAATGGCTCTGATCTCCCCAACGCGCAGGATCATGCCACCCGCTGCCCACCTAGGATTCACCAAACGGGCTCGATCAAAAGATTAGACACAGAACATCTGCTAATATATATTCTGCTTGCAGATACCTATACCCTGAAGGCTGTCGGACAAGAAGAGTTCGCTGACGTCAAGGTCCCCGATGCCCCCGTCGAGAAGAAATAAAGTGCTCAGCAGTAGCCAGTGCTCGAGACTGGGCTGGCGCAATACCTGAGTTATTAAGGATGCTCGATGTGTACCAGAACCCCGCTTGGGCTTGATGAAGAACAAGCGGCGGATAAGGAAACGACGGTGCGAATTGGGGTTTCGGAGTCTTCGGGAGACCATGTTTTTTTAAGTCTGCATGTTTAGCGGTTATAGCAGCGACCGCGCTGCCATGTACAGAATTGGCTTGGGATATGAACTGTACAATCAATTTTGGCTACAAATACTTACGGCCTCTGCTTGGCTTTGTCCAGTATGCCCACTCGTACACCCAATTAAGGCTTTGAGTAAAAGCCAGGCAGGGCCAATTCATCCATAAATCGTGTGAGTTACGCGGGTAAAAATGGACTTAAGAGCTTAGATAATATGGAGACAGTAAGGTTATAATGCTAGGCCGTTGTGCCTAGAATATATTCGGTGGAGTGTTAACGCACGATACAAAGAGTAGCATGTCGTGTCAAAAAACACGCATGGCAGCCCAAAATACAAGGAAATGCAGAAATAATCTAAAGGATGGGGCTCTACTCGGTTCGCAGAACACGAGGTCCCTTTTGCTTCGTGGCACGCTTGCGCTTGAGGCCCTTATCGAAGGCAACAGCATGGCTGTGATCACGGCCAAGGTTGTCCAGGTCCTTGACCTTGTAGAGACGAACGATCCAGTTCTCACTGGTGAAAGCTTCCTCCAGTGTGTCGAGCTGGGGACTTTCCTTGGGGAGCTTTGTGCCACGGACACGATCCATGGCTTGACCCGCCGGGAAGAGGCTCTGGTAGTTGTGGTAAGACATCTTGTACCTGTTGGTGGGGTTAGTATTGCCTCAAAATCATTGGGGGAGAGGAATTCTTACATCAAGCTGTTCTTCATGGCGGGAGTAGCCTCCTCGTCGACACGGTACTCACCACGAGCGGTGAAATAATCGCGCTCCTTGACCTCGTCGGGCCATATACCCTCGGCAATCCGAACCATCCAAAGGAACTTGTTCAGATCATCCCCAGAGTAACCGAGGAGTCCACCGAACACGACCAAGACATAGTCGACATCGTGCTGGCGGAGAATAGGGTAGCTGACTTCCTCGCGGGAGCTCATAGCCTTGCCAACGGTGGCAATGTGGGTGTTGTTCCAGGTGTTGTTGTCGACCAAAGTAGGGCGATCAGCCATACCACCAATCTGGTAACCGTAATCCCACCAGGACATGATCTTGGCATTGTCCGGGGTGTTCTGGCGGAGCCAGTAGTATGCCTCACGGTAGTCATCGATGATGAATTGGCTTCCATCAGGGAGCTTGCTGGCCAAGACCACGGATGGGGACGAGTATGCGTTGGAAGTGACCCAAGTGCAGTGTGCGACGAACAGAAGCAAGTAAAGGGTGACCGAGCCAACAATGACAGACTTGGAGAGGTAGGAGTAGATGCCGATAACAGGTTCACGGGTCGATCGAAGCGACTTGTCCTCGGAGTTATCCTTGGTCTTCGCCTTGGTTTCCGAGGGGGGTGTGGGGGTCGACGCAACCAGGAAGTTATCCAGAATGGCCGACAAGGCCAAAGCAGCCGCAACACACACAATGGGAGTCAAAGTCAGCATCAAACGAACCATAACACCTGCAAAATAACTGGCAAGAACTGAGTATATAACAACGAAGACGTGCTCATCCTTGAGCTTCTGGAAGCACATGAACACACCAGCCGGGAAGAGCCAGATGAGGAAGTTCAAGTCAAAGAAGAAAGCAGGCCAGGCGGTAGGCTGGTGCTCAGAGACAGAAGCAATAATCGGAATATGAACCTTGGCGTAACCAGTATCCCAAAGGGAGTAGAAACGACCACTCCAGGGAGCAATGACTCCGGAAACCGACAGCAGAACAAGACCACCGAATCCAAGACCGAAAGTAAGCAGGACCATAGAAGTTAAAAGCTTTTGGAACTGCTTGCCGGGCAAGTAGCTGCGGATGAATTCCGCAAATGCCACAAGCTGGATCAGTCCAAAGACACCAAGTGCGGACATGTGGTCACTGTTGCGGATGGGCAAGAATCCAACGAAGGGAATCTGCATGCTGCCCAGTGTTCCCAGAGCATACCAGGTGGTATAGCTAATGTAAACACGGGTGCTGTATCGGCCCATGCAAAGGAGAACAAAGACATGGAGAGGGATCAAGTTGGTGATGAAAACATATCCACCCCAAGCCGAGACCATGTATCCATAGAACAGCGCAGTCAATGCACCCCACATGATCGAGCCGTTCTTGACAGCCTTGATCCAGAGGTAGAATGTGAACACCAGCAGGAAAATAGCAATGGCTTCATTGTCGTAACTGCCTGCAACTGAACGAGAGATGTAACCAGGCGTGATTCCCATAAAGGCGGCAGCCAAAAGACCAGCCGAGGGAGAAGTGGACATCTCCGAGGTCAAAAGGTACATTGCCAGGGCAGTCAGACCGGAGAAACCGGGGGCGAGCAGGACACAGACATTCCGAATGTCGACGGGGATAGTAAGAAGACGAAGGATGTGGTAAATGACACCGCTGGTCACCATCAAGCCCGGGTACAGTGTGCCACCAGTGACACGACCCAGAGGGTGCCAGGTTCCTATACAACGATCATTTCCATTAGCATTGTGCACCGTAGAGCTCAATTCGAGGACGCGCAATCACGAAGAAGGGGGCTTACGGTCATCAAACCAATCCCAGAAGCTATAGAAGCCATTTTCAACTAAATATTTTGTTGCGCGGAAATTGAACCACGGATCGACTAGAGTAAACGGTGTTAATATCTGGTACAAATGTCCGGGGAGTCGTCGTGCTGCAGCATCTGGTGAAGCGCAGGATAATCATACATTCGTGGATGATACTTTCGAATCCTGAGCAACAATTAGCGTATGAAACATCAATTCTGGTAATTGAAACTTACGGATAACACTGAACAGTCGGCTGGACACTGCAGCGGCGGCAATGGTAACGAGAATGATAACCCGCAATAGACCGCGCGTGTTCCGGCCGGAGCTGCCTTTCAGCAGAACATCAAGGGAAGACGGGGCCATGATGGCCAAAAGGAGCAAAGTCCAAAGTCAGAAATCAAGATAGAAACATGAAACCAAGGAATGAATAGGGCTGAGATGCCAATGGTGAGCGCCGTGAGTTGAGATGGGAAGAGCGAGAGCTACGCAAGGTGGTCACTTCTGAAGGTCTTGGCACCATCGAGAGGCGCCACCTCCGATTGCTCCCCGCAATACTACAAATAATTACTCACACATCCCAAACCTTTTGTTCTCGGTTTTTTGGACCCAGAAGCCTTTCGGTATTCATTACATTACACTATAAGAATATCCTCCACAACCCATCAACTTGCCATATCCGCAATGGACCTGCCTCCCTTGACAGTGGAGCAACTCTCACAGCTGGTTGCCAGCAATCTTCCACCTTCACATCTCTTCAAGGTCTTGACAGAATATGAGCAAGAAGCTTGCCTCATGTCAGCAGGCAGTGGAAGCCCTGAGACAGGGGGAGGCGATCCTGTGCTGCTGAGCCTATTCTATTCTAGCTTCTTCCTTGTCCATCTCCTCACCGACCAAATGTTAGTTGCTTCTTGTTAGTATCTTTTTGATCGTTACTCTACTAACAGAGCTTATTTTTCAGACCTGAAGCTCGCGCTTTAACGAATAGAATGCCCGCAACCCTCAAACAACAGGACCCTTCTCTACAGAATTGTTTGACTTTACTACGAGCGGTATGGCAGACGGAATATGCCCAGGTCTACCAAATCCTCCGAGGATTGCCGTGGCCGGATCTTATCCAGCCATTAGTGCGCAGATATCAAAGTATGCTATCAATGCTCTCTGGGATGTTTCATTTGGCGTAGGCTGACATAGTTTATTCCTTCCTCAGGTTTCTTCCAAGACAAGACCTTGATCTCAGTGAGCAGGTCTTATGAAGCTATTAGATTAACTGCGGCTGCAACCTACCTTGGTCTAGATCAGAAGTTGGCCGAACAAGAGGATCCGGACATCATAGCAAATTTCACGAAGTGTGGGTGGACATGGAATCCGGAAACCAAGCTGTTGCATCCGAAGCCCATTGTGGTATCCACCGCGGACACTCAAGCTTCCAATGGCATTCGCGAAACGATGGCAATGCTCGGAGCCCGCGCAAGCTGAATCAGTACGGGAAACACCATGCAATCAATAAATGTCAATAGATATACCTCTGCCCTAAGACTACGCGTCACATCTCCCATACACCATGTGGAGATGCAAGGACAGAGCCAGAGCCAATATTGGATTGGCACATACAAGGACTTTAGGAAACGCCGGAATGCATAACACGATCTTTTGCTCTTGCTTTGGTCCAACTGTAGTGTACAGGCGCACGACAGCCCAGGGTATGTACAGGACCCAGATAAAACGTCTAAAAATGAGAAACAAAAATCATTCCATCTTTCGCTCGCAATGCCACAGCTCGGGGGCATATTAAACCCAAACAATCGTACAGAAAAATGGTGCGGAGTCGAGCAAATCGCGTTTAATACCCTGGGGGAGGTGCGATTCCCGCAAAGCGATCATTGCGTAACATTCCTCCTCAACGGCATCCATCAATTTATTCGCCAGCTTTAGCCTTCAGGAAAGCCTCCAGGTCGAACTTGGGGTCCTCGAAATTCGTGATGACTAGGAGAGCTTGTTAGCATTGCGGGTTTTTTGGATGATGCGGCTGGTCCGGATTGTCTTCGTAGGTATCCGACTCGCATCATGGTAGAGAGATAAACTCACGGCCGCTAGATTGTGTCTTAACCTCCTGCTGGGGCTGGGTCTTCTTCTTGTACTCGGCCTTGGCCTGCTCGATCAGGCGCTCCTTGCGGGCGTACTCGTGCTCGATCTCCGCGCGCTTGGTGATGGAGTTGAGGGAGGACTGGTGGTAGACACCGTAGACGATACCGGCAACGAGAGCCGAGTAGCGGAAGACCTGTATTTACGTAGACGTGGTTAGAAGTTTGTCGGGGGAGAAGGGTGACCCTTATCCGGAACTCACATTGACACCCTGGGAAGCCATTGTGAGAGGTTTGTGAAAGAAAGGAATTAATAAGGTGGAATGGCAATATAAGGAGAGACCGTTCAACAGGTGTCAACCGTCAATGGCAATGAGACTTCAAGGTTGGTCAATGGCGAGGTTCTCATGTTCTGCGCGCGCGAGTTTTTCCGGGCCGCTCGACAAGTCCCGAGCCCGGAGCACTTAGTCATCTCGGCCAATATCCAGGGCCAAAGGGATCTATGAGAGAATGAACATGTGGAGATTTTATGGAGAGTTGGTTACAGGATTCTACTAAATGATTCGGTCCTTTGGGATGATTGGGTGCTTTTCGTATAAGTTTGAGCTCATATTTTGATTTGTATCTTGTAGCCATGGTGTTATTCCAATGCCCATTAATTGTAGAGATTAATTCCATATTGTCAATTCAAACGAGTACTTCATATACACTGCTATCATAACCAGTTTGGCGAGACTATCCTATCTTGTCTGTGTTATTTATCTCATTGCAGAGTGGTCACAAATTGCATGGAGTTTGACGTATGAAAGTTCTATACTATACAATGAACACAACTGGTACCTAGGTACACTCGATATTTTTTTGGGCAGAAACCTGTTGAGGGCTTGCTTAATATGTCATGTAAGGCAGATAGGGAGACATACTATTTATCTATTGGAGGGCAACTTTTACAACAAGCTGAATCCATTAGTATAGGTAGTAAAGTTGGACTGCCATGAACTTGTTGAAAGCAATGTAATGGGCTACTACGACTCCAGTACCTCTAGTGCTACAATACAGTGAGCCTTTGAATGAAACATCGTTATACAACTTTCATTTTTCTTCCTCACTGCTCGACCCTTGTGATCGCAATACTCCAGGGCTTGGGAGGCTTGGGATCGACACCTGAGGCCAGAATAGTCAACCTTAGTCATCCCGGTAAATAAACCGCGGGCTGCGATACTACAAAGTGCAGAGGCTCGTGTCTAATCGCTTCATGATTGCACAAGATGTCGATGCAGCAGCGCAAGGATGAGATTCTCGCCAAGCGGGCTAAGCTTGCCGAGCTGAAAAAGCAGCGCGAGCTACGCCAGAAAGAATTCACCTCTCGGACTAGCGTCGGGGATGCCTCAGAGGTAAACACAGCATGTGAATGAATAACAGAGCTCGGTTGACTCTAACAATATGCCCAGATCGTTTCCCCAGCACCCAGTCACCCAGGTAATAGACACGAGCTCGATGACCTGATCGCTCGCCTGGTCGACCGCCCAGCGTCGGCCTCTCTCAGCCAAGGTGCCGATGGCCTGTCGCGAAGAGGAAGCCGGCCAACATCTGTCTTAAGCGCCAGCCAATTGAGTGGAGAGAATGCCGACGCATATAACTCTCCATCGCGACCCCAGTCCCAGTCCATTGCCGTCCAAACAATGGGCGATGAGACCTACACCTCCGCATTAGAAACCCCGCAGGCCCCTGAATATGAACCCGACTCCAAACCTAAGCCCGAGGTCGTCACCTACAGCAAAGCAGTGCAAACAGATGGATTGGACTTCCAACCTGAGACACCTGAGGGATCTGTTGCTTCAGACGATGAGGATGTTCCTGGTACCACCCGGTCTAGCAAACGTCTTAGTCGACGAGAACGGGAACGTGACGAGGAAATCCTACAGAAACTCCGCAAGGAAATTGAAGAGGAGCTGCGCGCTACCAATCAAAACGATGGTAACGACAACTCAGCTACGCAAGCACGGCTACGGTATCCTCTACGCACACTCGATGACGATGAGCTGAAGGCAGTCACGTCGTCAGATGATTTCCTGGACTTTGTGGAACGGTCTTCGAAGGTTATTGAGAGGGCTTTGGACGAGGACTATGATGTGCTAGCAGACTATGAGCTAGGCGGAATTGACGGGGACCTACAAGAAGATGAGGAGACTGGCAAAAAGAAGAGAAGCATACAGGAAGTGTGCCACTTCTGGGATGAGCGATGGAGCAAGAATCGCATAATCAGTGATTTAGGTTTTTCGCCGAAGGTGGGTACTCTCAACCAATTGCTTTGTTGTTCGGTGCTAACTTTGACTTAGTTCCCCGAATTGTTGCTTGCATCATACACCAAAAATACTTCTGCTCCTCACGAACCTGATGGCCTGGTCCAGATCTGGAATCAACACTTGCAATCTCGTCCGGAATATGTGTTCCACTCCACTTCTGATATTCTCACAGCGAAATTCTCTCCCTACCATCCAAACCTTGTTGTTGGCGGTTCCTATTCAGGACAAGTGCTCGTGTGGGACACAAGATCCTCGCGCGCAGGTGGAGGCTCCCCCGTACAAAAGACCCCTCTGACTGGCACTGGACACGCCCATCCGGTCTACAGTATCTCGATCGTCGGTACACAAAATGCGCACAACATCATGACTGCCTCCACAGACGGTGTGGTCTGCGGTTGGACAATGGATATGCTTTCTCACCCACAGGATCGAGTGGAACTGACTACACCACCTCCCTCCAAGACAGAGGATCTTGCCCCTACCACCATGTCATTCCCTCACACCGACCCTACCTTCTTCATTGTTGGAACCGAAGAAGGTGTCATTTACCCCTGCCATCGGTACGACCGAGCCGGTGCCAAGGGCGGCACAGACCATCGCCTAGCCTACAAGGGCCACACGGCACCAATCATGTCCACCGCGTTCCACCCCGGCCGTGGACCAGTGGACCTAGGAGATCTCATGCTGAGCTCCAGTCTAGACTGGAGCGTTAAGCTCTGGCGCGTTCGGCCACCGGCGACAACTGCTTCTGCTACATCTGTCTCGGCCCCACAGGTCGTTGCGCCCATTCTCGACATTACTCGTGACGACGTGGTCTACGATGCACGCTGGCACCCAACTAAGCCCGGCGTGTTCTCTCTCGTCGACGGTGCTGGTAATGTCGAAGTCTGGGATCTGGCGTCAGATACCGAGGTGCCGGTTGCACGTGAAGTCGCCGATAACACCCACGGCAACCTTATGTCTCGGAGCCTTAACAAGGTTGCATGGGATGAGCGGGAAGGACGCCGCCTGGCAACTGGTGGACTTAATGGTGTCGTTACTGTCTATGAGGTTGGCAAAGGTCTCTGCGGACTGCCCGAGGAAGTCCCCGCGGAGGAGTGGACGGGTATGAAGCGACTTGTGGGAAAGCTGGAACAGAAGGACAAGGATCGGGTAGCTTGAATCTACCACTCTAAGGGCTTGTGTCTTTCCAATGATTGTAATTTTCTTCTGCGGGCCGACTTTCCCCGTTTACCGTCTTTTTCCTTGTGAGGCTTATTGTCTTGCTTGCCATATACCCCTTTCCCTTCAATCACATAATTTGTGCATGTGTATGTACCTCATCGCCAATTGCAATGGACAAATTTCAAGTTTCTCGATCCTCCGTACTACGTTGTATAAGGGGGCTAGACCGGCTTGGATGCTATTTTCAGCAATAGAATATGTTTACGAGAGTCCTGGGTGAAAACTTTAATTCGCATCTTGTCACATCCTTCTGGTGATCAAGGTCTCGACCTCTTTGACAGGTAATAAGACCCGCTAGAATACAAACTTACATGGATGTATCGACTTATTGAGTCAGATCTCTCGAACGTAAGAGACCAACCTTGGAATGATATCAAATATATATTCGTGTATTCCTCTCACTTTCCGGTGTCCGTGAAGACGTATACGCCAATAATCTATTATTATCAACCGCAGTGACCTCGGGAACAAAGTTGAGAGATACAAATGAAGAACAGAAACTCAAAATTTGTATTTACGTTCGACGTCCCGGTGTCGGATCGATGATCCAATAAACTTCGCAACTCCCCAAGTGTGGAAATAGTTTCTCCGGAGAACAAACGTGGTAACCAAGCATATGACCACCTATCATAGACAGTATATCAATATACTACTCGGTTTGGTTCCGGGTTGCTCCACGTTTTCTAAGGCCTATTAGCTAGGAACTAGCTTTGCGGTGAGTCTCTCCAGGGCTCCAGACCTGTGAACCGTGGTATAACTAGAAAGGTCGAGACTTGGAATCTTCGCGAATTGGATTTCCACGAGACAGCTTCCTTTCAACTTGGGTCATGATGTCAATAATACGGGTGGATTCAACGTCTTGATGGTTTTAATGGGGTTTGAGCCAAAGACGTAGCGCCGTCGATCCGGTTCCACGGAAACATCAACCTTAACTAATTAACTTTCTTTCCGTACAAAATGAACCAATCAAAATGTTGTTCGATCATTGTTCTTTTCTGATTATACTTCTCTTTGAACCATCTCGTAGGTTTTGTTCCGAAAGTCGCCTAAAGATTTTGCTTCTTTAGGACTTGGTACGTAGGTGGATATACTTGATACGTAGATGGATACACTCCACGAAAGGGATTGTGTCTCTGAGAGTCCCAATAATATACTTTCATGGCACTGCTGTCCGTGTTTGAAATCATTTCTATTAAACATTCATTCTTCTACCTCTCTCTCTTTCTCTGAATGTTTGTTCCTCTGGGAGCTTGCTACCCATGGGGCGGTCTACTATAAGTTCCTTTTGTCCATCGTTATGGGTATCGACTGGGTTCCGGGGGAAAAAGGATCATACGGGGGCAATGCCCTTGTGGCGGCCGCTGTAGCAATTGCTGCTGTGCAAATTATTTTCGTTGTTGCGAGGTTTTATACTCGGTTTATACAGCGGACAAAAATTGGCTTCGATGACTATCTGATTCTACTTGCCCTGGTATGAACCTATGAGTATCTTACAGATTTGAAACAAACAAACAAAGGCTAACAAATATATATCCAGACGGCAAGTCTAGCAAAATCAGCAATATACATTGTCAGTATGTACAGCCTCCAATAAATTGACACAAACCAACGACAAAAGCTTACATTTTCAGTGGCCCAAATTGGCCCAGTCGGATATCACGTTCAAGACATGGATCAGATAAACGAAAAGCCAGCCCTCCTAAGAAAAGTATGTTCCAGGAGATACCCACTCAGATACAAAGCTGACGAAAAGAAACCAGTATCTCTTCATTCTTCAAGTTCTCGACTATCCCTTCAGCGTGACACCCGCCAAGATGGCCTTGTTGCTGTTTTACGCACGCATTTTCACCGTTCGAAAATTTAAGCTCGGCGTTTACATAGTAGGATCATTACTTGTTGCAGTGGGATTGACAGCTTTGATCGAAGTGTTCTTTCAATGTCGGCCCTTCGCCCATATTTGGAATAAGTCGGTTCCCGGAACATGCACCTCTCAAACACAAGTCTACCGCATCCTCTCACCAATTAACGCCTTCACTGGATTGATAATTCTGATCATGCCCATTCCGGAAGTTTGGAAATTACATGCGCCCAGAGGACAGAAACTGGTTTTGACGGGTGTGTTTCTTTTAGGTGGATTGTGAGTATCTCGACGCTTGCTTCTTCACAGACACTAATGATATATAGAGGGACTATGGCTAGCATTATGAGAATGGCGATATACATCACTGAGAAGGCGGTGGCTATGGATGACGCAAAATGTAAGGCCCTTGCATCAAATCGAAGTGTCTAGTCACTAATCACATCAAATAGGGATTACGGTTAAGTTGGCCGTATGTGTGCTTCTCGAAAGCGCTGTTCTTATCGTTGCAGCTTGTCTTCTGAGCATTTGGCCTTTAATTACTAGGATCTTGCCTCGACGTCTGCAAGCTTCATTTGCCCGCATGCCGCGCGAAAGTCAGCACCGCTACTGGTATCTGAGGGATATTCACTCAAATAGTAAAAGCCAGGAGCGAATTGCGCGTTGCAGGGAGGTCCACATGGCCAGAGAGGATGCTTGGAGTAGCTCACCATCTTCTCCTTACTCGTTAGCGGATTTGGAGGATCAACGATTTTTGATCCTTGGGGATGACATGACTGAATCTCGTTTTTTTGGTGGACGATGCGATACTAAAAGTTTTTCATAGAGTAATACCCATAATTTTAATAACAGAACGTTGAATTCTGACTCGGAATTTCCTTCGCAAGGGTTTAAATAATCTAAGAAGAAACCCTGGAAGCGATTGTCGGGATTTACGACTGCAATCGCTCGGAAAATTGCCGACAAGTGATGCCAACTAGAAGTGGAGATGGGCTTTTTGTATCTGATTGGCACCCAGCCACAAGGTTAGTATTAATAACGCCCGAAAACGGAAGTTGTTCGGATTTGAAGTCATAGAGTGTATCTAAAGCCGGGCTGTATCTCATAAGTTAGCTATGCTCATCTAGCAATCTAATATGTACAGAACATACCAATCCCTCGAGGGTTTTTCTACCACATGCCTGCTGGCGATTGGCAAACCAAAAGTAAGCTGTGAACGCAATCACAATTGCGATGAGGAGACAATGAGAACTGAGAGCTGTCAGCCCGACTCAATATCATAATTTATCCCAACTTACCCAATCGACACCCAAACAGCAGTCAAGTATCGTGGTGCCTCCTGCTGGCGCACAATATAGCTACCTGCAACACCACCTAATCCATTGAAAGCAGTGACAGTAGCCGCGGTGGCAACTCGCTTCCACTGACCAACGATATTGTTAGCCTGGAAAGCATTGAGGGCGGCCCAGTTTGATACGTAGGCACCGGTTGCTAAAAAAGTGCCGATATACCGCACAGCTACTTGTGTGGATGCGGGTAGGCCAAACATCAGGAATCCAGCTATGAGCACCAGAGCATTGAAGATGATCAGTGGCCCGCGAGTGCGGTATCGATCTCCAATGAATGAGGTCAGAACGACAGGGAGTACGGCGTAATAGTATGGCTGGCGAACCGTCAGAAACTGCAACGAATGTACAGTTTTCACAATCAACTTACAGGTGTGGCGAGGATTATGGATGTATTTGAATCGAACCCCATTCCGGATTGCAGGATTATGGGCAGGAAATACGCCAGGGCGGTCGTTATGAGATTGAGCAAGAAGAACATGCATGCGAATCCGTAGATCTTCAGATCTTTAAAGTTAGCCAACAGAACCCCCCAAGAGAACGGCTCAGGAATAAGATCGGCACGATCATCTTGGATTCGGCGTGCCGCGATACGAGCCTCCCGATCCGATAGAAAGCGGAAACTGCGCTGTGCATTTTCTGGAAAATCGACCATCCACCAATAAGTGATGATTCCCAAGAAGCAGGTAATAAGACCCTGGACAAGGTACATCCAGCGCCATCCTGCCAACCCAGCCTTACCGTCCAAATGATTTAGACCGAAATTGACGATGTTCCCCGTTGCGAATACGAGGACCTCCCCAGATTGCAGGAGCGCAAATCGGAGCTGCTGCTCTTGTCGCGGATACCAGATACTGATCAGGTATGTCAGGCCGGGATAAATTCCGGACATTGAAATGCCCAGTAGCACACGCAGGGCAATCATTTGGCGCCAGCTGTGAATGAAAGCGGTGCACATTGTCAGCAGCCCGAAGAGAAATGTTATCGTGGCGAACCAGACGCGTGGTCCGACGAAGCGCACGGCTAGTGTGCACGGTAGCTGAAATGCTACATTGGCGATCGTGAAAATGAATATAGAGACTGAGTATCGGTTGCCCTGATTCAGATCGAGATCGGAGAGCATGCTTGTTACAGATGCGGAGGATAAAATCCCGGAATCTAGTAGATTGAGACTGCATAGGAGTCCTGCAATGCTGCATAGGCGCAGATCGACTTTCCATCGTACTCGTTTCTCTTGGGCGGTTCTCTCATTTCGCTGCTCATCGCTTTCTGGGCCAGTCTCAAGTGGTTTTTGGTCAGACGTTAAATTTTGCGGTATTTCTTGTTTTTCCCCTGAGCCCTGGACTGGATCTGTGAGAGAAAAACAATCTTTCTCTCTCATTATGAAGAAGCTGAGGCCAAGATCTGATTTTGAGCTTTGGTGTCACAGCTTTGGAGATTTGAGGGGTCAATGGTTTGTTTTGTTTTTTCTCGATAAGAATGCGATAGAACGCGATCGAGTAATATGGGCTTACCCATGATTGACGTTGCATGCCTCGGTTGGATTATCCAGCCAATTTCGATGCCCGCGTGAATCCCTCCGTAAATTATATATATACTCGGAGGGTTTTGAGGTTATTCACGAAGTACTGAATTTTCCGCCTATGGGCACCACCTATGAGCACCCTTGTCCTTCCATCGAGCATTGGATTGAGTCTGTTTTAGAAAGCTGTATGTTTTTACTTTCATACTCGGTGATGCCGCGCACATGTAGTGAACCTCGGAGGCATCAAGAGGATACTAGCCAACCTCTTACAATGAAACCCTAAATTAAAAGCATTCCTACACGACAGTTAGCCAATTAGACTAGGGCTTCACGGCCAACCTACAGAATGGTAACACCGATGTACTATGAATCAGACTTGACTGTACAACGTAAGCCAAATCCTTCTCAAATGTTCTTAACCAATAGACTGGTGGTGTCTTCAACTTCCACGCCGATAGAATCAATAGAAGTTGGGGTTGTGAGGTTCATCCCATACTCGAATCTTGTGAGTGAAGCGACCGCGCAGAGAACAAATGTCTATGATCTGCTATGCTTCGGATGCATCAAATCCCTTGAATGCCGGTCACGCATGGTACCTAGGTATGGATTCATTGTTTCTCTCGGGCACAAACAGAGATCATATTGATCAGCAAAGGGGCAGATAGAGGCGCCCAGGGATCTTAAGGACATTGAACAGTTGAATTCGTTATTCACTTATCTTTAACCCACTTGAAGCTGTCCAAGAACCATTGGGTAATCTGTTAGGATACTTCTCTGCGTGATTGTATCAGTTGTGGCTCCTTAGGGTGATGTTTCTATCGGTACAGAGTACAAGTGTGGATTTTAGTATGGAGCCTATGCTTTTTGAGAGACAATAAATTAGAATATACTATCTTCCACCAGTTGTTCCCTAAGCTATCTATTTTGATCCTGATCTATCTCATTCTCGCATTTTGATTTTTATTTCTCTCGTATTTATATATGCTAATCTGTGGTGCAGATTCAATAGCACCTAAGTTATTGCTGACCGGTCGGAGACTGAATTCTACTCCGAAGGTGTATCGGCCTGTCGGTCAATGTTGACGTGGATAATATCTACAAGTAGATAAATAGGCAAGTAGGGAGAACAGATAGACTCGTAAATCCATTTCACCGGGCTTTTTACATTTCGTCAAGTACCGAACAACCAATAGGAGCTGTCAGATTTGCAGAGATTAGGTTCAAGGCTGTCAGCAAAAAAGAATATACCTGAAGAAGAAAAACCAAAACAATGGACAATGAAAAGTACAGGGATAGTAACATACAAATATAGTTATGTACATATGTAGTAGTTAATATCAGTAGTTAAGCCCTAACATACAAGTAGAGAACCATAGAAACCACCCGGGGACAGAAGCCACCGAAACTAAGCCGTCGGGTGATTGTTCTGTTTGTTGCCCCCACGTTCGGGCGAATGGAGAGAAAGAGCTTAAACACAAATGTCCACTCCCCATTCTCTTCTCTCTCCGCATTTTTATTTTTAGTCTTGGATAACTCACATCATGGTCGAACTCATTAATCCCCCAGAGACTCGTGAACTCCTCCCTCCCCTCCTCGCATGTCTCCCACTAGCCTTCGTCTCGCCCCGCGCACCTCCAGCTCTGCTTCCCCTCCTCTCTCCCATCCTCCGCCAAAGAGTCGGTGTCCTCAGCTCACTCTCCACATCTGCAACTGAGTCATGGCTACAACTACTCTGCTGGGACGCCGACAAAGCAGAGCGTCTACGGGCGATCATCGACGGCGCCACATTCGAGCCCCACCCTGTCTCAGGCGAGATCGAGCTCCCAGATCAGCTGCCCGTGACATACAAGCGCGTTGACGACGAAACCCTCAAGGCGCAGGTTCCTATCACCGATTACAGCATCACTGTAGTCTACCTGTGGTGCCCGACGGATGCGGAGGGAGGCGGTCGTGGCTGGCGAGTTGCAGAGCTTCTGCCGCTGGAAGGTCCTGCCGATGAAGACCAAACCTGGGCTGTCTCTATTGGCGAGGCAAATTCTCTATCCAAGGCTCAGCTCATGGCCGATGCGCTGGATGAGACGCCCCAGGACAATACCGTGGAGAATGACGACGACGACGACGATTATTGGGCTCAATATGATGCCACGCCCGGGTCCAAGACCCCGGCGCAGCGTGCTGGCTCATCAAAGCTGGGTCCATCAGGTCTCTCTGAGCAGTCGTATTTCTCGCAATACGGCGATGTCCAGCCGGCTATGGATAATCATGACCCCAATGAGGAGCAACCGGAGGTCGGTCCGTCATCTCTCAACGGGGACATGCTTGCCAACTTGTTGCGCCGGCAGGTGAACGGGGATTCAGTGGACGAGCCCCGCACCAATGGATACTCTCCCGGTCAGGCTCCCAGCGACAGTGCTGCACAGGCCTTGAACCACCCTCGGCCGGCCTCTATCTCTTCTGGTAGCTCTGTGGCCAGACTGGAAAAGGAAGCTGAAAGCCAGTCTACCTACGAGGTTGGAGTAAAGCAACATATCAGTACCAGTATCAAGAGCTTGTTCCGTCTGGCTAGGGCTACTGGAATGCCTCGTGCAGAGTTCCAGTCGCTGGTCTCGACGGAATTAGAGTTTTTGCATATGACGGATGACGAGTAGGACTATGTACTTGATACCCATGAGCCTGTAGGATCTGACTAGGTTCATACTTTGGCGCGAGTTTTGCATATGAGAGCATTTTGGGGGTGTATTGGCAAATTTGGACATGTGATGTTATTATCACTGCAGAATCAATAAACACAATAAAAAATCACATCAAATGCAAACGTTGGAAGAAATATCCGGATCTCGCACTGGATACCTGATAAGGCATAGTGCCAATCCACGGATCTTGGCATCACCACTCTAACTACAGGGCTGAGCATTTTAATTTCCAAGGTTTAGGTATTGTACGGAGTATAAGAAATGTGGCTAAGTCGATGCTTATTTTCTTGACCAGAACGAGCCACCACTGCGAAGATCTGCGGCTGAGCTCACCCCACTTCCATCTGGAAGCTTAAAAGCCCTTTGGCCCCCATGTAAGACGAGAGAAGGGGGGAAAAAGAAAAGTCTACAGAGCTTCACTCCTACACATCATGGCCGATGAAAAGAAACAGAATCCCTTCGAGGGCATGGGGCCCTCGGAAGAAGCAGACCACCCACCAGCATACACAGCAGGGCCATCAACGTCATCCCCAGGCCCAGCCCCAGGCCCAGCCCCAGACCTCCCTCAAGGCCGGAAACCAGTCGCTCTCCCAGCGATATCCTCCTCATTTGACTCTCCCTTTATCCGTGCCTACCCTCCAATTCTCCAATCACACAACCTCCCCAAAGAATCCTTCCTCTTCTTCCTCGACCAGTTGAACAAAGACATCTCCAGCAGCCCGCCCCTCCAAGTCCTAGACGTAACAGGCGGCATCCTCAACTCGGTACCGATTCTCTTCCCGCTGCACTGGATCGGCAATGTCGTAAGCGGGCTCGCAACCCTAGGCAGCCAGGGCGTGTCGAAGAGCCGCACGGACTCATTCCTCAAGACAGCCAACAAAGACATCTTCGGGCCGCGGGGCTTGAAGGTCGAGATTACGAAGCTGGATGCGTTAGCTCATCTTGCTAAGATTCCCATTCTGGATGCCCAGGGCAAAATTAATAGACAGGCGCCGCTTTTCTTGCAACTACGGGATGAGGCGGTTGTTGGTGATGAGCGGCAGGTGGAAATGGAGTTACAGCGCAGGATTAGGACTTTAGGGCCTTGGATTGAGGACTTGGAGGTGGAGGTTTTGCCTTGGTCTTCGAAGTCGAAGTTGACCAGGTTAAATGCTGCGTTGAAGAAGAGGAATGCACCTAGGGATACTAGAGATGGGGAAAGGAGGGGAAGGGATGGTTCGTATGACGCGGAGGTTAGACAGGAGGAGAATGAGTCTTTTCGGAAGGCTTTGTGGCTTGTTATTAGGGAGATTGAGGAGGGAAGGCGCTGATTCGGAGGTTTATCGCATGCTTGGGCGTTGTTAATTTGGTTTTTGTGAAGCTTGAAGTTGAATATACAATACTGTCTAGGTGTTCTATAATAGAAATGGTTGAAGTTATTTAGGGATATACCAGTTATGATACTACAAAGGATCTTTGAAACTCTTCGCAGGTTGTCAGTATAAATAATCATCTTGGTAGCGGCATAACTCATAAGCATACGATCGTAGAGCATATTACTAGCTCTTTCATTGAAGCGCCATCACATTGCATAACCAGGAATGTGGGAAGTATATATGTTGTCCAATGAGATTCCAGAAAAGCCACCGAAAAGGCTATCATTGAGATATCACTTGTGCCCTGGTCGTACTCGTAATCTGTTGTAATATATCAAGATGTGAAGAGTCTGACGAGTCAAACATAGAAAAAATCTTAGTGCTTGATCCACAAATTTTCAAACAAGGAGGTGTAGGGCTGTTTCAGAGGTTATACAATTTTGTAGACTCCTTTGGTATACGTAGATCCGCTTTGGCCACCGCCCGGAAAGAAGACACGCAACTGTTCTCCCCTCCACAACTGTCTTCCTTTTCTTTCCTTACATTTCTTGGCTTCAATTCGGTGCCATGCTCCTTTGGTGAATCTGGTAAATTGGCCTTCTTATCTATCTAATTTCCTCTTTGTTGACATACTAATTCGCGACTTCAACAGTCTATTTAGCTATAGGTAGTTTCTCGGTCGCTCTCTTTATTTCATTTCTTACAAACATGTCGTCTCCTTCGTCCACTCTGCGGAAGAGAGGTGGAAAGAAGGAGGCTTACACTGCATTGCCCTCTGATGATGGCTCGTTGACTCCCGTCGCGCCGGTCAAGAAGTCGGAATGGGACTATTGGCTGGCCATAGTCATTCTTACCGTTCTGGCTTTCGCGACGCGATTCTATCGCATTGATTACCCTAATGAGGTCGTCTTTGATGAAGTCCATTTCGGAAAGGTATGAGGTTCAATGCTTTGTGGCATAATTGCCTCGAAAAAGGGGCCGTCCGACTAACATGTGTTTCTTTGTTAGTTCGCTTCTTACTATCTTCAACGTACCTATTTCTTCGATGTGCACCCGCCCTTTGGAAAGCTGTTGTTCGCCCTCATGGGCTGGCTAGTAGGCTTCGATGGAAGTTTCCTCTTCGAGAACATTGGCGACTCCTACATCGAGAACAATGTCCCCTACCTCGCTCTGCGCGCCCTACCAGCTACCCTCGGTACTTTGACTATTCCCGTAGTTTTTCTCATCATGTGGGAGTCCGGCTACTCTTTGCCTGCCTGTGTCCTTTCTGCCGGTCTGATGGTGTTTGACAACGCTCACGTGGGCGAGGACCGACTGATCCTCTTGGATGCCACCCTTGTGCTGTCAATGGCGCTTAGCATTCTGTGCTACGTCCGGTTCTACAAGTTGCGTCACGAACCATTTGGTCGGAAGTGGTGGAAGTGGCTTCTGTTGACCGGCTTCTGTCTGAGCTGTGTTATCTCCACCAAGTACGTTGGTTTCTTCACCTTCGTGACCATCGGTGCGGCTGTTCTCATTGATTTGTGGAACCTGCTTGATATCAACCGCCAGCAGGGAGCCCTCAGCATGATCAACTGGGGCAAGCACTTTGTTGCTCGTGCTGTTGGCCTCGTTATCATTCCATTCCTTTTCTACCTGTTCTGGTTCCAGGTCCACTTTGCTATTCTCACTCGGTCTGGCCCTGGTGATGATTTCATGACCCCTGAGTTCCAGGAGACTCTGAGTGACAACCAGATGTCTGCGCAGTCCGTTGGTATCCAATACTTCGACACTATTACCATGCGCCACAAGGACACCAAGGTCTTCCTCCATAGCCACTGGGACAAGTACCCCCTGCGTTATGACGATGGCCGAATCTCTAGCCAGGGCCAGCAGGTCACTGGTTACCCCCACAATGATACCAACAACCAGTGGCAGATTATGCCCAGCAACCCACTGGTTGACCCCTCTCAGCCTCAGAGCGTGCGGAACGGCGATATCATCCAGCTCCGCCACCTTGGAACTGAGAGCTACCTCCTGACTCATGATGTTGCCTCTCCCTTCTTCCCCACAAACCAGGAGTTCACCACCGTGTCTCAAGAGCTGGCTGATGGCGAGCGCCACAACGACACCCTGTTTGAGCTCAAGATTGAGGGGGGCAAACCCAACCAAGAATTCCGTACCCTTGCCAGCTTGTTCAAGCTGATTCACGTTCCCACCCGGGTGGCTTTGTGGACTCACACAACTCCGCTTCCCGAGTGGGGTTACAAGCAGGCCGAGATCAACGGTAACAAGAACATCCTTCAGTCCAGCAACGCGTGGTACGTTGAGAACATCGAGAACTTGGCAGAGGATAGCCCTCGTCTGGTCAAGGAGGAGCGCAAGGTCAAGACACTGCCCTTCCTGCGCAAGTACTTCGAGCTGCAAGGTGCCATGTTCCACCACAACAACGCCCTGACTAGCAGCCACCCTTACGCCACCGAGCCCTTCCAATGGCCGTTCCTGCTCCGCGGTGTTAGCTTCTGGACCAAGAACGACACCCGCGAGCAGATCTACTTCCTGGGTAACCCCATCGGATGGTGGATTGCTAGTAGTATCTTGGCCGTGTTCGCTGGTATTGTCGGCGCCGACCAGCTCTCTCTTCGCCGTGGTGTTGATGCATTGGAAGAAAGTAAGTCGAAACAAACCGTTCACTCCCCCCATTCGTCACAGGTCACTAACCCATCTTTCCAGTCTGGGGTCCCGGTACTCGCTCCCGCCTGTACAACAGTACTGGGTTCTTGTTCCTCTGCTGGGCCGCCCACTTCTTCCCCTTCTGGCTCATGGGCCGCCAGCGCTTCCTGCACCACTACCTGCCGTCGCACCTGGCCTCAACCATGGTCTGTGGAGCCCTGATTGAATTTATTTTCAACCTGCAGCCCCTCGATCCCCGCACTGCCCTACCCCCCACCGACGACCCCTCTGGCAAGTCCAAGGCCCGCTCCATCAGCAGCCTGGGCCGCTTCATCACTGCCAAGGATCGTATGGGCTCCAAGTCTCTCATTGCCGGTTGGGCGGCGACTCTCATCATTCTGTCCGCTACCATCTGGGGTTTCATTTTCTATGCGCCGCTTACTTACGGTACCCCTGGCCTCGATGTCGCCGGAGTCACCGCCCGCAAGTGGCTGAACTATGATCTGCACTTCGCCAAATAAGCTCTCTGGGCCCTTGGTTAGTATATCAGGTCCAAGTCCTTTTTGGACTGAAATGAAATGGAAATTGCTTGGCAATGTGTAAGATAAATTATAATCGTGATAGATGGAGGAATTGTGTTGAAATCATGTGGTCAAACAATTTTCTTTTTTTTTTGTTCTGTTTCCGATTGTGGTACATGAGGAATTTCTCAGACTTTCGAGTCCTGTGTTACTTATCGGTCAGCTGACGAAGTACTTGATATGTAGGTATGTCTGTATTTAATAGGTGTAGGTACATATGTAGTGTTGAACGCTCGGGTCTTGATCGGGGTAACTTTGAATTGATTTCAATTCTCACTAGTTGAGTGCATAGATACAGGGTCAGGTGGTTTCCTATTAACTGTTTACTATTTACAATTTAGATATGTAGGTTATTCAATGGTTAATTCTATTACTTTTCTGTGGCTTTGTATATGACTCTCTTTCACGTTTCTTTTTTTTACATTCCAATTAGTGGAGTTATTTTTAGACGTATACCTAAAGAGCCACTTACTATGTATAGTAAGAGGTTTCACATTCTTAATGCAGCGAAAGGGCAGTCTAGATTGTAAGAAGATCTTCTGTGGGATGAGATCATATAATTCTTATGTACATATATGTACAATATAATATTGTCTTGTCAGTAATAAAAATACCAAAATGGACATATGTACGGAGTCACTAAGTGCTCTAGTGCTAGTTATATGGGCGCATGTATATATAGAATACTAAGGGTATTATTGCCAACCTTGGAATACACTAGACCTCTCACCACTTGAACAAAAATTCCTTCTCTTCTTCCATTCTCTCCTGGAGATAAACATTCTTTCTCTCAATTCTTTACTCTTGGCAGCAGGGTCCCAAACAGCCTCTCCACTCCCCGCAGGTCTCCATTTTTTTTCTCATGTGCTTTTTCCTTTGAAAATCCTAGCGGAGCCTAAACCGAAACAAGTCCATTTCTTTTTTTGCGCTGGTTTCACTTGAGAGCTCATGGTGGGTTCAATTTCTCTGTTTATTTTTTCTTACTCTACTTCCTTTTCTTGTCTTTCTTTTCTTTAAAGGGGGAAAAGAAGAGAAAAGAAGAGATAAACCCCTAAAACATCTTAGCTGCAAGGAATTTGGGACTTGTTTTCCAATTTGTTGTCAAGTGCCATCGATCGAAACGGACGCAAGTCAACCCACTCTGTGGATTCCTGGGCTCTGATCGGCCGCTAAACCATTGCTTTTCGCCTTTGCGTTTTTCGCCTTTGGTCTCTCCTCTCGCCTTAACTAACTCGATTTCAATTCTTCCAGAACATCCCCCTGGATCAATCCTATTGAACTCTTACTCCCGAATAACCTGTCTGTTTGGACTTGTCGCTTATTCCCCCGAATTGCTTATATTCGACACGTCAACATAAGTCAATACAAGTCAACAAATACCCTCCAAAACCTTAATGGGAGTTGACTCGCTTCCAAGAGGTCGATAACAACTCCTCTCGATCTAACTGCTAGCCTCATACCACCATGAAATTGCCAAAGAGCTTTGCCCGACGAAAGTCGTCTGGCAACGTTCTTGAAGACGTGGAAGCCCCCCAATCCTCCTTTCGAGTCTTCGAGCGCCCGGGGCCCCAACGATCCATGACGGACGGTGCAGCATTGTCCAAACATCACAGTGAGGGCAATGCGGTGCCGTCGGCGCTGGAAGACTCCGAGAACATATTTGCCGAACCCGGGCGACCCCTGGACAAGCGGTATGAACGTCCCTCAACCATGGATTCTCTCAGGAGACGGCTGACGGGGAACCGTGACAGTGGCAATTACGAAAGTTCTACGTCAACCAGGCTAAGCTCTTCCTCCACCCTTCCATCCTCCACAGAGGTACCTCCACCCGACGACACCCAATCCCCACATTCTAGGATCCACGATGTGCCCGCTCCACCACAGCTCTCGAGTGCCCTGCGCGCTGCCGGCCGGACGTTCTCTTTTGGTGGACGTTTCGGCAAGTCTGCACCCCCTCGTCAACAAACCCCAGACGCGGCCAAGAACCGTCCTGTGACGGGTAGCACTGATAGCACAGCGACGCCGCCTAAGTTGCCAGACACAAACTTCACGATGGAGTCTCAGGACGACTTCAACAAGATGTTTGACAACATGGGTTCCTCTGTGCGTGGGAAATCCCCTCAGCCAAACAAGGTAAGATTTGCCAACATGTGTTTTCTCCCCTGTAGGTTGCGGTTCTGACAGTATCACAGTACTCTTCGTCTCCCCCGACCCATGTTCTTCCCGAGTTCCAAGTTAGCAGGGCAGGGGCACCTGCTCCCATCAACACCGACCGCTCAACCGCCGTTGAATCTCCTCCTTACTCTTGGGCTAGTCGCCCGTCCGAAGAGGGTCTGCTACATGACCGTGATACCATACCCGAAGAACAGTCCCTGGGTACAATTGCTGGGTTCCGCAGGCCATCGCCAGGTCCGAATCACCTCTCGGAAACCGCCACAACTTCCCATCGTTCTTTGGAGCGTCCTTCGAGAGGCCGATCAGATCGGGGAGGACTTCGTAGGAGTGGGGTATACTCACAAAACCGAGAGTCCATGCCCTTTGACGATGAAGATGCCAAAATGGTTCGTCAATCTCTCATGTGGAGCAAGGACACATCGCCCTTGGCCGAGGGTGCCACCTCGAGCTCATACATGGACAAGGGCAAAGCGCCTGTATACGGAAACGCGAACTCCGAACCCGAAAATATGTTCCAGTATCGTCGGTCGCCCCCTCCCGCGGACAGGCTGGACCCTGCCATTGCGGATAACGCGCGTTTGGCCGCCCGGTTCGCGGAAAGCATGCCTAAGTCGACGTCCCCGGGCAACAAGGTGATGACTCCATCTCAGTTCGAGCATTATCGTCAGCAGCAGGAACTTCGACGGTCTAATAGTGACGCGTCGAAGAGTGACGCAGAGTCCGATCATGATGAGTTCGACGACGAAGAAGACGAGGTGGAGAAGCAGCGCGAGACAGAACGGCAACGGCGAAAGCAGGAGGCCCACCTCTCTGTGTATCGTCAACAGATGATGAAGATCACTGGCCAGCAAGCACCCATGCACTCGCTACGTCCACCCATGAGCGGGGCTAGCAACAGCACGCCCAATCTGCTCCCGAGTCGCTTGTCTGTCATGGGTGATAAATCCAACAGTGGCAAGAGCAGCGAGGAAGAAGACGATGACGTCCCATTGGGTATCCTAGCAGCGCATGGATTCCCAGGCCAAAACCGCCCTCCTACCCGCCTGAATAACGTCAGCTCCAACCCCAACCTCCGTGCATCCATGCAACCACCCTATATATCGTCCTCTAGCTCGGTCTCCGGAGCTGAAAACAGCGGAAGCCGAGGTAGCTTGCCTCCATTTGCAAGAAACCTGCCGCGGGACCCTTACTACGGCGCCGGTATCGTGAACAACGCCAACCGCGAATCGCTCGCACTTGGAGGCGGTTCCGGCTCGGTATATGGAGGATCTTCGTCTCCAGCGCCTCCCCCAGGAGGACTGGTCGGTGTTATCGCGAATGAGGAGCGACAACGGGCAATGCGCCGAGGAAGCCCGAACACACAAGCCATACGCGACATGGGAAATGTACCACGGCCATACTCCATGATGCCGGGAATGCAGGGGATGCCGGGGATGCCGCAACCCGTATCACCTGGCGAGCAAGCATCGATCCAGCTCTCCCAGCAAATGACAGACATGATGCAGATGCAGATGCAGTGGATGCAGCAAATGATGCAAATGCAAGGCGGCCAGATGGTGCCGAACATGCCAATGCCCCCGATGATGATGCCCCCGATGTCCATGAATGGTTCCCCCTCAGGAACCCCCTCCATGTCCGGTCCGAACATGCGCCCGATGTCTATGCCCGCTGGATCCATGCTCAATGTTCCCTTCCAAAACACCGACCCGCGCACCCTCAACATGCTAGATCCCAACATCTCCACCCGCCGCACCGGCTCGCCAATGCCCAATCTCTCCGGCAATGCATTCCGCCCCCAGACAGGATACGCGCCCTCCATTGCGCCCTCCGAACGCAGCACCGCGGGAATGGCATCCCGGTACCGCCCCGTCTCCGTCATGCCTGATTCCAGCTCCAACAAATGGGGCGACGAAAATACTGCTCCCTCTATGATGAACTCGCAATCGCATCCGAAATCACACCTCGCCACGGTGACTGTTCGCCCTGTCTCGCAAAATAGTCATGCGCACGCCGGTGCCAAGAAAGCTGGCTCGGACGAGGAAGACGACGACGACGAGGCGTGGGCTGAGATGATGAAGAAGCGCGAGAAAAAGAAGAGTAGCTGGAAGTTGAAGCGGGGTACATCGTCGTTCGGTGATCTGCTCAGCGCTGTTCACTGAGCTATGTCTCGCTTGGAGCTTTGCTTGCTTTTGAACAGGATGTCCGCCTCGTATTGTATAGTTTCCTTTCCTTTTTTTTGCATCCGCGTTTTAATATTTGCACGACATATCACGCACATACCATCACTGGGGCAGCCGTACTGATCGGTTGTATCGGCTCGACGAATCCCCATCTTGTTGCCCTCCCTATCCAGCCAAGGATTGGCTATATGATCTGGAATCTGGACAGAGAGGGGTCTGGTCCTGCCACCGACAAGTATGAATACATATGCTTTCTTTAGTTTGGGTTCCTCTTTGTTTCTATTCCGTTTTTATCTTTCGTTTTGGCATCGGCGCAGGAAGAGATGGCTCTTTTATTTATTTATGTGTTTCATTTTTGTTCTCGTCTTCTGAGTTTTGCATCTTGCCTGAGCGCTAATCGACTCTTTTAATACATTTCGGGCCTTGGGGCCGTTATATCGGCTTTTTTTCCTTTTCTTTTCTTTCTTTCCTAGCCTGCTTTTTTCATGGTCTATAGAAAGTATTCGTTGTTAGAGATGGGATCAGCTTGATCTGTCAATGTATGCTTTAAGGTCTTCGACGAGGTCTTTACTATTTCGTACAAAATCGAGCTGCAGATGCTGAGTATACTTCCAGGGTTGTTTGGCTTGCTTCTATCTAGTGCGTAGCCTTGTAATGATACCTAGGTAAGGGGCTCTCTTTGTAAATTAGACTTATACTACACGCTTCAAAGACCTCGGGAGTTAGTGTGAATTTGTAGCTGAAGTCAGCAATATATATCTACAGAACCAGCTATAGAAATATGTTTATTGGCTATCTACGATTCACTCAAAAACCAAAAGTAAGTGATTCTGGCATATGCAAATAAAGTATCTGAAACAATCAAAACACCAAAATAAACAGAAGCGAACCGTGGTTCATACCTCCCAGAACCAAGGACGGCCAATGTCCCAATTAGTACAAGTACAGTCACGTGCAACCCAAAGATATCAAGTCACATGACCGATATCAGATCTGCGTCGGCAATACATCACGGAGTGCTTTTCATCGAAGGAACCAACGGGCAGAATTGGCATCAAGACTCATTTATTAATTTAAAGTGGGCTGCCTGATCGGGTATTTGTGTTTTGGTTAATTTGGTCTCACTTGAACATCAGAGGCGATCTGGAAAGTGATACGTGACGCCAACGCTGCGCTTCATTGTGTCCTCAACTTAAGTCTCAAAAGGCAGACTCGTTGGACTTGAGAGTATAAACTGCGATTGGAGGATTGTTTTCATTTGTCTATTTCCTCTCTTTCTCGACCCTGCGGTTCTGAACACCCTATACCAAAACCGCAAACTTTTTTTGGATATCTCACAAAATGAACGCCCCCGATAGGTAAGTGAATCCGCAGTCTTGGATTATGTTGTCATTTGTGCATTGTTCCGGTCAAATTTTCTGTGCGAATGAGATGCCCGGATTCGCCTTCGACTTTGCTCCTGGGCCCAGTACTCCGCCATGAGGTTCTAGGAGCGAGGTTCGGTGTGGCCCAATGAGCTGTAAGAATCTGCAAGTTGAATGCACTGGATAAGCTTGAAATTCAAGTTCAAGTCTTGTAGGCTGCTTTTTTGTCGTTGCAGAATCTGGGGCAGAATCCGGGGTTATTTTCATCTGACCACTGGTTCCTTCCTTTCTTGGATTGCATCATGTTGGGAAGGCACGATGCGATGGATTTGCATCATTTTTGTTTTGATTATGGAAGTGCTCTCAGTCGACTCTCCATTGCATTTTCACTGCGTCTCTTTCCATCCCGTTGCGTCTCAATTGATTCCAACTTCCTTTCATACCGTCGTCATTGTTCCTGGTCTATGAAAGTCCATCATGCCTCAATCTCCTGGTATCGTTACCGCCACTGCAGCCTTCGCCAAGGACCGCGCTGGTCAGCGTGGCTCCGGAGGTCCTGCTCCTCGCCAGGAACGTTCTTTAGTTCCTGACGATGTTCCTGACGTGTCAGTTGGAATGAATGACTATCCTGGCGATGGTCCTGCCTCTCCCATACATACCGCTTCGAGCACTCCATTTTCGGCACGATCCGAAGCTAACCCGGACACCGCAAACAGATATGAGGCCATTCTGCTAGGTCCCGGCGAGAACAAGATCGACGTGGAGGTCGACACTCGTGAGTCTCTGGTTTGACATGACATAGTTTGAATTGGTTCCACTAACCATTTACCCAGGCCTGCCCTCTGCTTGCATTTTCACCTTCCACAAGGAAGACCACACTCTTGGAAACATGCTCCGCACCCGTCTCCTGAAGACTGCTCACGTCACTTTCGCCGCCTACCGAGTAAGCAAGCTGGTTAACTCCACATTCTTAAAATAGACTAACAATTCTTTGAGGTTCCTCACCCTCTCACTCCCAACTTCCAGCTGCGTGTTCAGACCGATGGGGAGGTCACTCCCCGCCAGGCTGTTATCAACGCCTCCGAGGCTCTGATCAAGGATCTTGGTACTCTGTCTCGTGAATTCACCAAGGAATATGAGCTCCGCAAGATGGCGAACGCCGCCAACCAGCAGCAGAATGCCGACTAAGCGGCCGTGGCTATTCAGTCACCACCCGTCTTAGTTTCGTGGGTCTAAAGCTCTGGCGCATGGAGCAGTGATGACTTTATGCTTTGCGTTTGTTTTCATTTTCGATCTGGGGATCTATGGATGGCCTATTCTTTGCGGCGTGCTATCTTTCCCTTTTTTTTTGTGCTTATTTACAACATTTCAAGGCCTGGAAAGAACCGGCTAATGCTCGCTTTGAACGAGCATGATAGCAATGAATGAAAAGTCTCATTGCCATTGGTGTGCTCAGTTCTATCGGTAAATGTAGTTCATAGTTCTAAAAATATACCTAGTCCTAGTATATACAGGGACCCCAGGGCTCGGGGCTATACTGACTAAGCAACCAATTGAGGTTAGCGTGTCCCTGGGGCCGCGTCCATCGGCGTCATTCGCATCCTCCTGAGACCCTCACTGACCACTTTGCATTTGTTTCTCTCTCATATATTTCTCATTGGTTTTCTTGCATCTGTTCTGCTCATGCGAGTGTGACTTACTAATGTACTCCTCGTCGAATAATTTCCTCGGGGGTGGTGCCACTGGCCGTCCCGGCCAGGCACCATTCATGCAGCAGCAGCAACAACCCCCCTACTCGCAATTCCCCCAGGGCCAGCAATCATCAATTCAGCAGCCTCAGCCGACGGGATTCGCTCAGCAACCAACTGGACTTGCTCCCCAACCTACCGGTTTCGCCGGCCAGCCGTCGCCATTCGGTAACTCGCAGCTTCAGCCTCAGGCCACCGGGTTCCCCGCGCCACAACTCCAGCAGCAATACACTGGCTTCCCTGGAGCTGCGCCCCAGCAGCCCCAGCAGCAGCAACAACAACAATCCCAGAGCTTCCAATCACAATATACCGGGTATCCTCCCCAGAATCAGGCGCAACAGGCACCCCCGGTGCCACAGATCCCAACTCGATTCAAGACCTCGAGCGACATTGCGAACTCCTTCCACGATGTTGGTTCCGGGCAGCCTCCCCAGGTGCCACCGAAATCTGGGTCGAAGATTCCGAGCATTCGGCTGTCATTCATCACGGCGCAAGATCAGGCGAGGTTCGAGCAGCTCTTTAAATCTGCCGTTGGCGATAGCAAGACAATGGATGGTGGGTTTCCGTGACTTCAGTCCTAATTGAAACATGTGTACTGATTTTGCAAAATAGGCGATAAAGCGAGAGATCTCTTGATGCGCTCGAAGCTAGGAGGAGAGGATCTTTCTAAGATTTGGGTCTTGTCTGATTCAACTAAGTCTGGACAGTTGTTCTTCCCCGAATTCGCATTGGCCATGTACCTTTGCAATATTCGTATCACCGGTCGCGATCTTCCTTCATCCTTGCCTGAAAAAATCAAGAACGAGGTTTCCAGCATGGTTGACATCATTTCTTTCGATGTTCCCGACACAGCCCCGGCCCCCCAGCAGCGAACCAACGTCCCCAACTTCGATGCGCCTCTCATGGAAAACAGTGCAACTCCGCCAGTTGTTCAACAGCCTGTTCCGCAGCAACCGAACAATGCCCAGCTCCTGTCTCAGTTGACCGCACAGCCCACCGGGTTCTTCCCCCAGCAGACAGGCATTCAACCGCCAAGTATCCAGCAGCCCCAAGCGACAGGCTTCCCAGGACAGAACCAGTCCCAATTCCTCCAACCTCAGCAAACTGGATTCATGGCCAACCCTCAGGCGACTGGATACACTGGTCCTCGTCCTCCAATGCCGCCAATGCCTACTGGCTTCGGTTCAAACCTCAGCCCTGCGCAGACCGGTGGGATGCAAGGCCTGGGGGTACAGCCCACGGGCCTGACCGCGCAGCCTACCGGTATGCCAGGCCAATGGGGCTTCATCAACACACCCGCGCAGGGCTTGCCTAACATCGATGCGATGAAGCAGCAGCTCATGCCGCAGCCTGGTCGCGAAGGTGGTTTCAGTGCTGCTGGTCTTTCAGGAAATGCTACTGTCGCTTGGGCCATCACCAAGGAAGAAAAGAAGATTTACGATGATCTCTTCCGTGCATGGGATGGTCTGCGCAAGGGCTTTGTCAGTGGCGAGACTGCCATCGAGATCATGGGTCAGAGTGGTTTGAACCGACTTGATCTGGAGCGCATCTGGACTCTAGCGGATCCGCACAACCGCGGCCGTCTCAATATGGATGAGTTTGCCGTGGCTATGCACATGATCTATCGTGCTTTGAACGGATACCCGGTTCCCAACCGCCTGCCACCAGAGCTTGTTCCTCCTTCCACAAGGTACTTGAACGATTCCATTGGCACAGTTAAATCGCTGCTTTCTCAGGATGCCGAGAACCGCAAGGCTACTGGCGCATTTTTGCAGCCGCAGAAGACTGGTGTCAGTTATTTGAAGGACCACTCTTTCCGCGGTGGTGCAGGTGGCTCGTCTGCTGCTAGCCGCAAGGATGCGACTATGTTCAAGAACAACGACGCTGCTGGTGGTTACCGCTCGAGCGCACGCCGTCGCGTTGGTAATGACCCTCGTACCCCGTCTCCTGCTGCATCTGGTGCTTCAGAGGACGAGTTCTCCGTCGAGCAACTCCACAAGAAGATCCGCGAGGCAAAGATCATGCTGGACGCTGTCGATTTCCAGGACGAGAACCGGGCTGAAGATGATGATGCATTAGACCGTCAGGACCGCCGCGAGGCAGAGAGTCTTATGGACCGTATTCGTCGTGTCCAGGATGATCTTGATACCCACCCCAATGCCTCGTTCCGTCAAGTCGACAGTGGCGCAGACCGCCGAGCTCTTCGTCGTCAACTGCAGGCCTATGAAGACCAAGTTCCCCAAGTTGCTTCTGATGTGCGTCGCCTTGAGCGCGATATCGCCGACGCAAGGCTTGAGTTGTTCCGTCTCAAAGATGCCAAGGCACACCCAGGAGGTGCCTCTAACATCATTGGCACTGGACCTGGTGGCATTGTGACCGAGGCGGACCGAATTAAGGCCCGTGCCCGCGCTCGCATGCAAGCACGCGCTGCTGAGCTTGCTGGCCGCCCCGCGCCCGCGACAGAAGATGATGACGGCCAAGCCGCTCGTCGTCTGGAAACTGAGAGCAACAACGTCAAGGCGGAGCGTGAGCGCAACGACACTATGACTCGCGATGTCGAGGAAAGCGTTCGCGATTTCGCTCGTAGTCTAGAAGATAGTCTTCGGGACCAAGGGCAAAATTCCACGCGTGAACATGAGAGACGTCGTTGGGAAGATGCTTTAGGCGTCGAAGATGTGATCCGTGACTTTATCTATGATCTTAGCCGCAATAGCCGGACTGCAAATGTTCGCAAGGAAGAGTATGTATTTTTTGCCAATGTTGAAAACGAACCAATGCTTACAGAAAATAGGCGAGAGAGATCTTCACCAGAAGTGCATTCTCGTGCGTCCCCAGCGGCCGAATCTCCCGCGGCGCGCCCTGCGATGCCTGCGCCTGTGAGCTCGTCCAGTTCAATTGCTGGCAACACGCATGAAGATCGTGTGGCTGCTGCCCGTGAGCGTGCTCAGAAGCGTATTGCCGAGCGCATGGCTGCTGCAGGTTTAAAGCCAAATGACGCTACTGAGACTCTTGCGCAACGACAGGAGCGTGAGAAGAAGGAGCGCGAAGATCGTGTTCGCCGCGCCGAAGAAGAGGATCACAAGCGTGAGGATGAGAGACAGCGTCGGTTGGCCGAAGAGCGCGGTGGTCCTAGTGCTGCTGCTGCTGCTCCTAAGCCGGCAGGCAAGAAGCCACCACCGGCGCCGCCGACTCGCAGAGCCCGGACAGATAGCGCTGGCCAGGCTGATCTCAAGAAGGGAGATGAGTCTGCTAAGTTGGAGCAAGCTGCTCGAGAGCAGGCCATCAAGGAAGAGCAGGAGGCTCAAGAGGTGGAGACTAAGCGTCTTGAGTACGTATATATATTGTTGCCGACGACACAATCATTTGCAATTGGCTAATCTATTTATAGGGACGAGGCAGGCCGACGCGAATTGGAATTCCAAAGAGAGAAGGACGCCCAAGCAGCTCGCCTTCAGGCTCTTGAGGAACAGGTCCGCCAGGGCAAGATCAAGAAGCAGGAGGAGAAGCGCCGCAGAGAAGAGGCCAGCCGACAATCCAAGGAACAGGAAGCCAGTCTTGCCGCTCAGCGCGCAGAGTTGGAGGCTGCCAAGGAGCGCGAGCGACAGCTTCAGCGTGAACTTGAGGGCCTTGACGAAGAGACCTCATCTGATGACGAGGGTCCTGCTGATGCCACTCCCCAGTACAGCACTCCTGCGCAGAGTCAGGTCTTGCCTGGCCCGCCCCCAATTCCTACGATAGCTATGCCTGAGCCCCCATCCTTCGCACCCGAGCCCGAAAGCGTGCCCAGCGAGGTTAGTTCACCCGAGAGCAGCCGCACTATCCCTGCCGCTACCCAGGATGCCGAGTCCAAGAACCCTTACTTCAAGACCATGGGTCAATCGTCTGAGCAGGTGGCCTCGCCCCCAGCCACAGCCCAGTCCACGAATCCCTTCCACCGCTTGACGCAGCAAGAACCCATCAAGCCGACCTTCACCGGTGCCGCTCCCCTGGAGCGCAAGACCCGTGCGCGCCCCGAGGCGGATGACGACTGGTCCGCCGCAGGCTCCGATGCCGGTTCATCAGATGATGAAGACGATCGACCAACCGGTGGCAGCGCCAAGCAGCTCGCCAGCATCCTCTTCGGTACCATGGCCCCTCCACGTCCTCTAAGCGCCATGGACGACGACAAGCCTGCCTCTAAATCTGCCAGCCCAGTTCACGACAGCCCTGTTGCACCCCCGCCTCCCCCACCAGCAGCTCTGCCTCCCCTCCCTGCCATCTCAAGCCCCGACGGTGCTACTCCTGCCCCGCCATCAGCAGTTCCTCCTCCACCACCACCACCTCCCCCTCCCCCGGGAGCCGCTGCCCCGTCCATTCCCCCACCCCCACCGCCTCCAGGCGGAGCCCCAGCTCCTCCCCCACCACCTCCCCCCGCCGGTGCGCCTCCCCCTCCTGCGGCCGCAGGTGGGGCTGGCGGCCGCGGCGCCCTACTCGCGTCCATTCAGCAAGGCATGACCTTGAAGAAGACCCAGGTCAACGATCGTAGCACGAGCTCGTCTGCCGGACGGGTCCTGTGAAGTGGAATCTTTTGCTTCGGTTTGGATTAAGAGCACATACTGTACAGATGCGAGATGCGAGAATGATACATCATGGATGATCAGAGGTCAATTGATAATCGAACGGGTCGAGTAGTTAGCTGTTTCTGTACCTTTCTTGGAATACTCATTGGTTTTGTTTAGTATAATTATATTCTCATTGATTTGCCTTGCCAGTGAGTATATCGTCGAGTAGTGAAAGATTGTGGGTTGATCGAACCAAACTAGATAGAACACTGCATTTATGGAACAATATAGAAAAATGGAAATCCAGAAAAATGGAAATCCCAAATGCAGTTCATATATCATGATTATGCTGCTACTCGCACATGCAGATGAGACTGTACAGTCTTAACTGTCATGCGACAAACTATACATTACAAACAATAATGCAAAGAACGCCAATGCATCAAAACACCAAAAATTCAAATCCAACCCGCCAATTTCGATTTGTTTTCGAGATTATAACCAACTTAAGTGAGAACCTCGGCAATCACATTGCCCAATGTACTCACGCACCAAACAGCAACAAGTCCCCAACCGATCCTCCGGTCCATTCTCCAATTGTTCATGGGAACAACAACCAGAAGACCAACAAGAATAACCAGCAGAGTCGCGCCGCTGATGACAAGGACTTTAGAAATGGCAATTTCATAGGGAACCTGCACAGAGCCGACGGGGCCCGGCACTGCCTGATCTTGTCTTGCATTGCCGTTCAAAGTCATGTATAGACCGCCCAGCCCGATACCGAGTAGGATGTTGAGCATGGGGCCGCCAAAGCAGGCGCTCAAGGCCATAACTGGGTATCCAAGGCGGGCGACGGTGATGTCGGCAACTAGGTCGCCGAGGGAGTTGCCAACTGCGAAGACGGTCAAGCCTAGGAGGGAGTCTGAGATGTTGAGGATTACACCGAGGGTTTTGAGGAGGGAGACAACTTCTGTGGCTATTGTCGCGATCCAGGAGATTGCGACCAGGAAGCCGAGGAGAGCGAGGAAGGGGCGCCATTGCGGTGGAAGAGTTGGGGGGTGAGGTTGGAATTCGGGTTCGGGGAGAAGAGGGAGGGAAATTTCTGTTGGATAGCGGGTTTGGTGGTGGCGACGGGTGCTTATAATTAAGACTGTGAGGCAGATGGAGGAAAAGAGTAAGGAGACCATAGTTGGGAGGAAAAGGTTGCGGAGTTGAAGATCGTCGTCCATTGTTGTCCAGGCGATGAGCACAACGAAGAAAGGGCCCGTGAAAAGCTGGATTGAGACTAACCAGCGATTCCAGTCCTTTGTTGCTACGGCATCTACAGAGCCTGCCACCGTTACAGGTGGCAGCTCAGAGTCCCAGCGCGGGCGCTCGGTGGGTTCATATGAGGACTTGCGATGAGGATGCGTCGGTGGCACATTGGGAGCAGACCCGTTATAGTCCTGAGCCTGGGGCATTATGACTGGACTATCTGCTGGAAGCCTGACCCTGGGAGAAGGATCATTTCCATTGCTGAGGTCCTGGACAATCACAGATGGTATTGGGTCTGGTTCTTCGGATTCCGGTGCCTGTGGCTCGATTACTGGGACTGTTATGGTAAGAAGCAGCACGCTGGGGGCTGCTATTATACCAAGAAGTCGCTCCCAGACGTTCTTGGACTTCCAGCCGGCCAGGGTTGGGAAGAGTGTGCAACAAATCTGTTGGGGGGAAGATATCGAGTCAGGCCACCAATTCCTCAGATAAGTTCGGAAAGGAGAGCCTACATGAGCAAAATGATCATAGTCGTCATGGATGTGAAGTCGCTCTAACGGCGTGGATGGATTTGGGAGTCGAAGGCTAGGTGGTCGCGAAGACGTGGAGGATGGCAAATCTGTGTATGATGGGAAGGGCACAGAAGGGCTTTCTAGACCATACCCTGAATGTCGACGGTTTGTAGTACCTCTAGGCGAGACCGACATAGGGGAGCGCTCATGTGCTCCTAGACTTTGGTAATTCGGTGAGATGAAAGCATCTGATGGCGAAAGCCGATCTGGAATTTGAGGCTCTGCAGCCACCGGGCTTATACTCGGCGACTGGTCCGCAGAAGATGACTGGGACACAGCAAGTGCCTTTGCAGTATCGATTGGAGGGAGCTGACGCGCCTGCATTGCGTCTTGGCCTGAGGTATCCTCAAATGATGGCTTGCTCACAGTGAGAAGTGGACCTTGCGTTGGCCGAGGCTCTAAAACACTTGCGTCTAATTTCAAGCCAGCGGCATCGTTTGCAGAGACAGCTCGAATACGAGAAGAGCCTGCTGCACTGGACGGAGAGAGACGATCGTTGGAGCCGGATGGTCGGTTAGCACGAGGATGTGACGCTACGGAGCGCGTATCGAAATCACTCTCGCCATCGTCTGAATAGCTGTTCAAACTTATTGTCGGGTTGTGATGGGTGTTTCTAGATTTCTGCAGTGAGTGAAGCACAGATTGAAACTCCAATGCGCCAACAAGACTAGGTCTGATAGGGTTCATGGTATTGCGCCTCGATCGCGTAGGCCGGTGAAGATGCATGTTATCGCGAATCCCGGCCAAGTACCGATTGCGAGTTTCGTCATCTTCGTCATCTTCTTCTTCTTTCCAGATAGGAACAGCCTCGGCACGTTCCAAAAGATCGAAGTCTTCAGTTGAGGCGCCGCGAATGAGACTTCGTGACTCTGATGCTACACCAGGATCATCATCCTCCGCTGTCTCTTCAATCTCCAACTCCTGATTTTCTGGTATGTGGAAATGAGCTCGCGCTGCGAGCTCTCTCGCATTCTTTCGCCGGCGTTGTACCAAGTACCAGTGCCAGGTTACCACCATGACGACATAGAAGGCATAAAAGCCTACCATCGTCGCGGACTCCCATACATGAAGTTTTCCATCGGCCAGCATAAACATGCTGAAAACCACGGCAACTATGAAGAAACCCACGTCTCGAACAAAACTTCTCCGCGCAACCTTGAATGGCCGAACGAGGGCCATGGACCCCGCCACAACCGAGGTGATGAAAGTGGCAGCACCGATCAACTCACCAATCGCCAAACTTCCACTATTTGACCGCATGGCGGCAAATGTGGAAAATACGTCAGGACTCCCGTTACCAAATGCCAGAAACGTGACGCCTGTGAGACTCTCGCTCATTCCCAAAATGCTGGCCAATGTGCTTAGATCGATACACAAGAAGTCACTTGCAGCGATTCCAATCGTACTGAAGAGAAGTGACAGCCATAAAATCAAGATTATGAATGCTACCGGTTTCGCGCCGGCCAGCCCGCAGTAATAAAATTGGAGGTAGGAGATCAAACCATCCTCGTGATCGGGACAGTTGGCACGGATGAATGCACATTGATTCTTGACATTGCGAACTAATCGGCACTATAACAAGGTAGGACAGAATATCAATTAGCCTTTGCGCATCTCACAAGGGAGGGGGAGGGAGCGATACCTCTGGTTCGGCCTCTCGTTTCAACAGACTTATGCCTGCTGCTGTACCCGTTTGTATATGTTCGCCATGTTCACTTTCGGTAGTACTCAGCCACCAACTCGCAGTGGCAAGGACTGTGAACACAAACAACGTGGTATAAAATGGTCGGGTTGAATATCGAGGTTGCTTGCGCGCGGCAGGCTGCAGGAAAGATAACAGCTGGTTCATGATGACGAAATTTTTGGCGGCATCGTGGATCGAACGGATGATTTTAAAGACCAATCTGTATCAGGAAGGTCGATACCTAAAGAATGAAAAGACTCAAACTAGAACTAGAGGTCTAGTGCCTTGTACATTGGTCCCGTGCGGTGAGGACGATGATGTCAGCCACGGGGGAGTGTCTAGGTGGGCCAATGCACGTCCCGAGATCCGTTAGATTATGAAGAGATCGGCTAGGCAATAGAGGGGCGATGAAGAAGTGCTACGTTGTATACTCGATAGATTGAAATAGAAAGTATAGATACAAAGATAGGAACTGATGTGAAGGTCATAAGAGACCTAATATTCTATAGGTATAACTATTTGCACGCACATAGTGGTAATAATTAACCTGGATTTTAACCTGTGATATCGGGCATCGAAGAAATATTACATAATACACTGCATCGTTGGCACATATGGACAACCGTATGTTTGTTGACTTCCCCATTTGTTTTGCTTCATCGCCCCTCTCCCATCAGACCTTCCTTAAGCTGTTATCGTCATCCCCTATCGGGGGAAATCGCAACCATGCCCCGTGTCGCAAATAAGGTGCATCGCCGTTCCAACGGCAATTCGACCCCTCACAAGAACTCTCCAGTCAAGTATGTATCCCAGAGGTATCTTTTGCTGATGTGCAACTGACTCGATTAGGATACCCCTCAACGATGATGAAGGAGAAAAGGCAGCGCGCATGGAAGCTCGTCAAGCGCTCCATGATCGTCAAATGAGTCAGATTAAAGCCGCAGTCAAGACGCCTATGCCACCCCGTCGATTTACTACATACGACCGTGAAGGAAGTGACAGCCCTGCGACTCCACGAGGATCCGGTCATCGTGGTCGGACTAGTGGCCGTACTAGCGATGTGAACGGCCGTGCAGTGGATGCCAACGGTCGCGCAGTGACGCCCATGAAGCGTGTGCCAATTTTGGCGAACTTCGAAGAGTGGATGAAGATGGCGACTGATAACAAGATTAATGCGAACAACTCCTGGAACTTTGCGCTTATTGATTACTTTCACGATATGTCTTTACTTAAGGAAGGAGATGGTGTGAACTTTCAGAAAGCTAGTTGCACCCTTGATGGCTGTGTTAAGATCTACACCAGTCGAGTGGACAGTGTCGCAACAGAGACAGGAAAACTTTTGAGTGGTTTGGCTGATAGCCGCGATAAGAGAGGCCGCGGAGAAGAGGAGGCAGAAGACGGTGAAGATGACGAGGAAGGCGAAGATGGGCAGCCCCGAAAGTCGCGCAAGAAGGTATGTTATGATCTGTGAAAGGTATGGAATTGAACTGACAAAATCGCGGCTAGAATCGTTCCCACGAGGCCACTCTCGCCCCATCATTTGCATCCCTACAATTGAAGAAGTTCGAACTCGAGTTTGCTGTAGACCCATTGTTCAAGAAGGCGTCGGCAGACTTTGATGAAGGAGGCGCGAAAGGATTGCTTCTGAATCACCTCGCCATCGATGGCCATGGACGGATTGTGTTTGATAGCAGTGACGATGCTGTGGATGATAGCGCCAAGACAGCCGAAGATGACCGTCAAGATTCCGCAGATCCCGACCAAAAACATGAAGACCAATCGAAATCAACCCAGCAGCCCGCGAGCGATACATTTGAAGATAACAAGGAGATTGATCTCGGTTCACTGGCAAGCCAGTTCTTCCCAGATTTGGATCGCCTCGACGAACAAGACATCTGTCCTTCGCTCAAGAACCTCGACCTGGGTGATCCTAGCGGATCGCTGGATCTTCCTCTCCTCAAAGCGCCAGAGGACTGGCGTCAAGACAAGCTGAATGAAGAGGGACGAGCACCTGACGACCCGTCTGGCATCATGCTTGATGACGATAATGCGGTCGGATTTGACGACGATGATGATGGTCTGGCTGGCTTCGATCTCAGTGACGACGCTGGGTTCGGTGGTGGAGGAGAGGCCTGGGCCCGAGAAGCTGCCTTGGAGCCAATGCTGAATGTTCACCGCGTTGCTCACGCCGCAGGCGATGATGGAGAGGGCGAGGATGGCGATGAAGATTCATATGCCGTCTCCATGTCCCATCAACCTAACAACCATGACCACGAGAACATTCTCAGCTACTTTGATAATGCGCTACAGAAGAATTGGGCTGGCCCAGAACACTGGAAGATTCGGAGAATCAAAGACCACGCAACAGCTGCTACTTCGGCCCCCAAGCCGCGCAAGGAGAAGGAGCCATTCGAGATTGATTTCGCGGCGCCTCTGGACCCTGCCATCGCTGAATTGATTTACACCCCTGCAAGTTCCAATTCCGCTGTTTCATTACCAAAGACACAATGGAAGACCAAGGGACGCAACCTGCTTCCCGATGATAAGCACTTCAATTCCCGCAATCTTCTTACCTTGTTCCTCAAACCAAAGGCCAAGCTTGGCTCAAAGAAAATTCTCGGCAAACGCCGTCGGCAAGATTTAACAGCTGGAAACGGCGACATGGACGAGGCATTCTGGGCTAACCATAAGCCGGAAGAAAATACCGGCGAGGAAGGTGCCGCTGGTGCCTATGATGCCAACTTCTTCGCTGATGACGATGGCCTTGCTTTCCCCAATGGCATGGATCTCGATGACGATGATGACAATCTGCCATTTGCGGATGCCCGGGAGATGTTGTCTCCACCAGCAGACGGTGCCACAGGCCCTTCATCCGGCGAAGCAGGTGGACAAACTGGGCTCAGTGCGCTCCTGAACATGGTCGGCGCCACACCCAGCAAAGGAGGTTACGGCTCACAATTAGTAACACAAGGTGGCCGTCGCGCAAGACCCGACTATGTGGCATACGCACGCGTGGCGAAGAAGGTTGACGTCCGACGCCTCAAAACAGAGATGTGGAAGAGCATGGGCGAGCGCTTAGTCGATGCCGTTGAGTTCGCCTCAGCTTCCCAGCCGGGCGCTGTGTCTAGCGAGGCCCCAACAGAGCCTGAGAGTGAAGTGGATCCCGATGTGCCATCAACACCCAAGGCCCATAGCCCTCAGCAGTCTGCCGATAGCAAGGACTCTGGCCGGCTTAGGTTCACCCAGATCATGAACTCCCTCAAGGGTGCCTATCCCGCTGAGACATTACGGGACATCAGTACCTCGTTCGGGTTCATCTGTCTCCTCCATCTTGCCAACGAGCAAGGTCTTGTCCTTGAAAGTGATCTCAGTAAGGTGGGTGCTGATGCAGCTACCCTGGAAGAGATCTTCGTTTCTAGGGATGTGCACGCTATCCTCGAAGAAGGTGGTGGAATGTAAGCCTTGTTTGAATTCATGTACAGTTGTAACAGGTAGAAACACTACGATATGCATGTAGGTCACGAAGGATGGACAGGACAGCGTGACTTGGATAGATCCTCGCGGCGTTGTGGTTTTGCTTTTTCCTATTCGCAGTGAATGGCGCTATATGGTCTTTCTTCTTCAGGGGGTCTTTTTTTTTCTTTTTCTTTTTGATGAATCCAACCCATTTCACGTGTGACTCTGGTGCCATTGCGTTGTATAAATTTGTAGTATAGCCCTGGAATGATATAAACCGTTGTCACCAATACCTAGGTACAGCTGATTTGTTGGCAGCTGCCATGTACTTGGGATTCACTCAAGTAATCAATGACGAGTAAGCAAAACTGTACTTTCATGTAGATCGTAGTTGCAATATATTTATTTATTGGACTGATATCAAAACTGAAAGAAATAGCAAATCCATGAAGGTAAGCACAAATTGGTATATGTATCTCCAAACGCCCCAGTGTGTACATTAAATCCATAGGGAAGGTAAAAAAAGAATAGTTGGACCAATATCCGATTTTCAAACAGGTTCACCAAAACGACCAGAGCTTCAGATTTTCCAAGATTTTCAACTGTTTTTCGGCTTTTGTGTTTTGTTTTTCGTCTTTCGTTTCGCATAGGAAAATAAAACTCGGTCCAGAACACCAAGTCGCAAAATTCAGACCATCAATTCAGTCATCGTCATTATCTGTGTACAGGAGCCGGGAAAGAAACCATAGGATTCACATAGGCACCGGGAATCGGCACCGCGTCGTAAACGATCTCTCCCGGAGGGCTGATTGCATGCATAGGCGGACTAGCTCGGTGACTCGGAGGAGGCGACGGAGTTTTCGCGTGATACGGAGCGAATTCCTCCTGTGCAGTTTGCGGAGTCGGCTGCTGGATTTTGATAGGCGGGGCCTGGAGCTGGAAAGAGGGTTTGGGACGTGTAGGCGAGGCAGGCGAGGCGTACTGAGTTGTCGGACATTGGCCCTTCTCGGCGGATGAGTAGGGGTCTACCGGACCGGCGGCGTAGAAGGGAGATTTGGGCGGGTAAGAGTTGAAGGTAGCGAAGCCCGGGGTGTTCGGGGCGGATTGGAGGCGCAGTTGGGCGAGGTAGAGATCTGAGCGGGCGTTGTCGCGGGTGTCCATTGATTTCATGAGCTTGCGCTTGCTCCAGACGCGGTAGAAGACTACAGCGTAAATTGCGATGACGAAAACCTCGATGACGACTTCGATGATGGCGCAGACGAGACCCCAGTCTTGAAGGCGGCAGAGAAGGGCGTAGTCGACGGTGTCGTGGTATAGTTGTTCGCGAGTGTTCTGGGCGCAGGACCATCCCCACATGTCTTTGCTGTTGCCTGTTGCCTTGGAGTGCTGGTAGACTGCTGCGCCGACTATCCACATTATTAGGTTGAAGGCGAAGAAGGCGATTGAGAAACCTGTGTAGTAGACTGCGGCTTTCTCAGCGCGTCTGTGTCCGCCTTTGCGGTAGGCCCAGAATACTATTAGACAGGCAAATAGGGAGACACAGGCCATGCTTAGAAGGAGATACTGGGCCCATGGGTTGGTTCCCTCTGCCCAGGCGGGAAGACTGTTGCGAGTGGGTAGGTTCTTGGTTGCGTTGAACACAGTCAATGTGACTGCAAGGAGAGACAGGACAATGAGACTGCAGCCGAAGTTGACGAAACGCAGGAAAACCTTGGCGATACGGACGCGGAGTTTAATTCTCTGGTGATAATTAGTAATTGTATGGGTCGGTATCTGGGGACTTCTTACCATGTCTCGGGCATTTTCAACTCCAGCCTTCTTTTCTTGCTTCTCGAGCAGGTATTCCTCACGAAAAGTCGGGCTGAGCGGGTTCAACGACTTGGCCGTCTGTGGCACCTTCAAATCAGGTCTGAATGGGGACATGGGGACTTGATCATCCACACGATTGTTGTTCGCTGCTACATAGCCAAAGCCAACGTCGCCAACGTCTCCCGGTGATCGGTTCTTAGGAGGGTCGGCAAAAGGTGACTGTTGCGCTCTTGACTGTTCAATGGGCGAATGAATTGATGTAGCTTCGGCGAATCGGGCAGTCCGCGGGCTTCTGAGAGACGAGTTGCTTTCGTCAGACGAGCTGTGAGTCTCTCGCACCGTATGATCTGGCATGGGACCCATTGCGCTGTGATAAGATCCTCGGGTGAGATCCGTAGGAACGACGGGCTCGTAGGTCATAGGGGAATAATTGTGAGGATCGTCGTGCGTCGACATCGATGCGATGAGCAAGGCAATTTACTTGTACACACAATATCAAGAGCCAGCTCTTGACTTGAAGCCCTTGAGACTAATTGGCAAAAACAAGCCTGCGAATCAAGTCGACTGCCAGAACCAAGATTGAGACAGCGAACTATTTTTTTGTTGTGAATCACCAACACCGTATGCGAAGCCTGCGTACACGGATAAAATGAAGTAGGAGGTGACCAGAAGACAGAAAAATTGAAAGTCAGAAAATTGTAATTGGAAACTAGGCCTGGATATCAATCATGTTTGCTGGCGGAGGCGGGGACTCCAAATGCAGGCTTTTGGCTCTCATCACTTTAAGTCGGGTTAGAGCAAGCGCCGGGGGCGATTTGCAGCAGCAACCAGGGTCATGATTGGGAGATCCCGAGTCTGCCAATAAGCCCCCTCAAGTGCACTGTACCTCGAGGCGTTGAGAGGGAAGTGTGACTGGACGGTGGAAGTGATCAGCCAAGCTTGTCACAGTGGAGTAGCTGACCAGTTAGATCGTCGAAAGGCCATGCTTGCTCCTCACGATGCACCTCTTGTCACCCCAACCGGCGCTAATCCGCCGATCGTCTGACCAACCACAACCATTGCAGAACCGCCGGAGAGGGTGAGATGGTACAGACTGGGAAGATTAAGAACGACTGGACGACAGTATGTATCCACCGATGTTCAAGGTCCAGTCATATAATTCGAGTAAGCACCGTTGAACCTACGAAGGTTTGAGATTGAAGCCAGTACACAGGCTATTTTTACAGGATTCCATCTCCGTCTGTGGGAATCATGTGTGAAGAGAGCCGATCACAGTGATAGGCGGTATCTCACGCATTTGAAGCTCATTGCCAAGGCGACCACATACATTGCACACTGCACACTGCACACTGCGTATTTTTAGTATTTTTAGAATTTTTGAACTAATTAATTGAAAACATAAGGACTCAATCGCCTTCAGTTACCATTTCCAACTTCTGCTCTAGAATTAGGAGCTACAATATCCCGAAGGCGCATAGATGTCAGGACTCCACATTGCACATAGCAGGTCAATATTAAGACAGCAATGTATATCAACCAACTTTCGTTGAACTTGGTTTTTTCTTCTCTTGCTTGTTTTATCAGGTAAGTCATTAAGCCAAAATTTCAAATTCTGCGAACTAAAAAAACACTTTCATGTGATATGTGATGGACCTGACAAAATTGAAGGTAGACGTTAAAGAAGGATCTAAATAGCCCAAAGACAACTCGGATACTTAAATGTTGGGTATTTTTTCTTCCTAACAATCGTTCCTCTACCATAGTGAAGCCTACTTAAAAAGATGGAACGGCGTGGAATGGCCTGGCAACGAGATCATCGTGCAAATAGAGCAACTGGCGAGTTTCCGGTGACCTACTTGATAAAGATATCATCAAAATTGTTGTGAAATCTTGCTTGATTAAATGGTAATAAAGTTCTCATTTTCAAACACTCCCCCTTTCATTACTAAAGTAGATCAGCTTGGTATAGTCTTAGAAGCTTCAAACAACGTCCTCCCATATACTTAAGTATATCCAACTGTCGATTCTACAAACTAGGCTAGGAGCATCTTTCCCTTATCTCTGAGCCTGGAACTATAGGCCCAAAAGGTTAAAGGCACCTGCAACGGCGTGCCAGAGCCAGCCATATTAAATGCTAAAGACGCTTAGCAGGATTTGATAAGAGGCTTTTGCTGACGGTACTTGCGTCCTATAAGATTCCATGATATACTGCTACATGACCTAAGTACCGAGCATTTAGGTGAATATTACCAATATGAATCTCTAAGTACATAAATATGTATCTTAGTATTGAAGGTCATTTACAAACCTTTGACTACAATTGTCTGCACCGTCCGGCCCCAAAAAGCACAAGCTTTGTCAACATTGGAACCAATCCTTGTGATAACTTAAAAAGTTGATATGAAACAATACGAAGATTCATGTTGCAACCACGAATGAAATCTGTACCGCAATCGTCTCTGCCAACTTCGTAGACTGAAAAGTCGCATCGACCGGCAGAATTCCATTACGTTTCATCTACTGCATCAAAATTCCGCTTCTCTGCACCGAGAAGAAAATCTGTACCTTTCAGTGCCATATTTTGGCATTCGAGGATTGAGACTGAGTGTCGGTCCCTTCCTCGGAACCTTCCTGACGCAGTGGTTCTTCCACTCCGATGGCTCCATAGCTGAGGGCCCTTCTTCATGGACACCAGCTGATGCCAGTGCTGATCGTGAAACTGCCTCATACGAGAACACTTATATTAGGAAGCAGGATCACCCGCTTGGGTTACATACCGCTGTATGTCTTCGCCGGCCGGTGACAGTCGGTTGGGAAACTGGATCAAGCCCTCTTTTTAAAAGCTCTGTCCTCAGAGTAATTGATCTATGATCCATTCGCTACCTTCAGGTTGAGGGCCCCCCAACCATTCCTGGCCTAGTGAAAGATCGTAATTTATCCCCGGGATGGCGGCGAATTCCCCCAGCTCATTGGGAAAAGACGAGAAAAACCCATCAAAAGAAGGAAGAGAGTTGGGAGAGCGCTGGTCAAATGGCACGTCCAAATTTGGCGAGACGACATCGCTACCATCCAGCGGATCACCTTGCCAAAGTTTCGCCCACTCTTTGAATTGATGATAGCCTGTGGCATCCTCTCCCGTGCCTCTCTGCTCTGCCACGGTGTGACTATGCAGCCGTTGCCTTGCCCGTTCAAGTGCTTCAATGACAGCCACTTCAGATCGCGCGGATTCCAGCCCGGCGCAGCTCTGGCGGATAAGCCCCATACCTTGAGCCAATGCACTGGATATCTCACTTGTTGGTTCGTTGATGCTGTGGGCAATAAGGGCCAATAAAGCAACGCGGCACCCACTGAATTCGGTGTATGAGACACGCGCAAGGCCGACAGAGTCTTGTAGGAGCTGACACAGCTCGATAACTCTAAGTGCCGCATCAAGTGAGTCGCGGCGGAGAGTGTTTACAATATCTGGGAGTTCTCGAATAGTTGAACCTGAGTTCGTGTTGAGTGACTCAGATGATGCTGGAGATATGATGAAAGGGCGGCCCATGTAGATCAAAGTTGTTGTGTAATAGATTTCAAGGTGCACATTACAACGAAAGAATGATCCGTCAGGGGAGAGATCTCGACAGTGGGTCTCAGTGGGAAGACTGTCCCACCATGAGCTTAGTCGATCGCGCATGGCGGCAAGTTGCCGAAGATACTTCCTTTTTTTGTCCCTCTGGCAACGCCTCAAAGATCTCATCGTCTCCGAAGCTTTTGTCAAATGATTTGTCAGGATGATTGCAGCGGTGAAGTTGGGTAGATTGGTAGTTTGGTCAATCGGTCGTAGAGCCGGCAGGTCGAGTGGCATGGGAGTATCGATTTCGGCGGGAGGGATAGTTATGGGGCGGCCATGAAGAATACCGATGCGACTGTCCGACAAAGTAAGGATGCTTTAAACTTGATATTTGGAAATGCTGGAATAGCCGAAGCATTCTTACCTTTCCAGTGAATATGCAGACCACCAAAGGCGATTTCGCACCTCAATAATGCCTGGGGCAACGTTGCTGTCAAATAGCTTGCGGTGCATGCCATTTTGGATTGCCGCTTTAATTGCCAGGCCGTAGTATGTGTACGCCAAACCTGCTGTGTCGATTGGTAAAGTATACACACCCAGAAGTAAAAATGCCTGGACAGACTCCACACTTGCAACTGTAATAAGATCCGGGATGAGTCGACATGAAAACCGATAAAGTTGTAACCCGATTTCGTCATCGGGAGTACTTTCAGCAGCAGAAGCACTGCTACTGGGTGTTGATTTGGTCTGCAAATGGGCAAACTGTGTACCAATTGCAAAAGTCATGAGAAGAGTGCATATCCAACCAGCGTCATTGATCGACAGTGGCTGATCAGTGGCATAGTAGAAATCCAGTTTCTCGCGAAAGGTTGCTTCGTGGAAGTAAAAGTAATTCGTCTGACTGAATTTCAAAAACGCACTTGTCAAGAATTCTGCGATGTGTTTTGGGGGGAAATATGACTGTGCAAGGGCGACGCAGGAGCCAGATGATTGCAGAGCAGTGGCCCGAAAGAAACCCTCGGCGTGGTCAAGACTCTAGATTTCCTTCATTAGCAGCGTACATCATAAATTCCACCATATACCATTACAAGTCGGTGGCATAGTTTTCTCGTCGAACCTTGGTTTGCCCTGTCCTGTCTCCAAGACTTCGCAGTCGCCGTTCGAGCATTCTGGAGAAGTTCCAATGCGACAACTCCCCGGAATAATCTTTGGTATCACGTCAACTTGCCAGAAATCAAAGTCAAGATAGCGAACGTACGCATTGTGCTGGTTGAAAGAGGATCTATAGAGTAGTCATTGGTCGAAGTGGCATCGTATGATTCAATTGAATCACTATCCGACCGTTCCTGACCTTGGCCGTGATTTAGAGAGTCTGCAATTTCCCGGAGGTTGCTAGTCTCAAAAGAGATATCACCCAAATAGTGAGTGATAATTCGCTTCATTTGAAGTACGTTGGCATGCCGTTCTAAAGGCTCCCCGTCGCTTTTACAACAATGAGTTGTCGGTACCAGCAATATTCTTGATGGAAGCTCACCCTGATGGGGCACTCCTGGCTCCTGTTAATAGTCGGTTGTCGGCACTCTCAAAACGACATGTCCTTTGATGCTTTTCGCAACGAGTACAGGGGTTGCCGCCTCCGCCTTTCAAGTTAAACGAGTCAGCCGGGTTTTAAAAATGGCAACTAGCTCCATTTATGGCAATGAAATGGGTATAAAATTACATTTCTCCTTTTGCTGGCGACAAGGCAAACATCTGAGGTGCAAAGAGTTAGCACTCTTAGAACTATGGTGTTCCTACCAGCATATGGCGTTACTTACGCTTGTACCGCCCTCTTTCGCAGCGAGTCCGGTACACGGGGTCGCCTTTGTCTACCCTTATGTATCTTGGTGCTTGGCTCGGTCATTGTAACACAGGTCGAGAATCTCTATGTTCCCGGCGGTCAAAGATTAAGAACGCGGAGAACAACGGCTGGCTTTGCGGGTTGAAGCATTTGTGCGACAAATGACGTAAGCGACTTTTTGGTAACTACGGAGTAAAAGAAAGACAATACGGCCATAGCAGATAATAGATAACGCATAGCGACGAAAGAAATGTACTACTTGATGGACTAAAAGGAGCCTTCATCAGAGAAATTATCTTCTTGGAGAGAATTACCCCCAAGGCTATAATTTAGGGTGGATTCGTTTGCATCTGATAGTATGCTGACATGGCTTGGAACTCATGTCGGCCAGGGTTTGCCCAGCACGTATGCAAGATCAATATACCTCTTCTTTGTCAGCTCACGGCCCTAGAAAATGTAGAAAGATAAACCAATAGTATTGTAATACTATCAGGTAATTTTCTATCGCGTCCCAGCTATAGGAACTCAAAAATTATGTGAAATAAGTGTGTAAGCGGGTACGCGTACCCGGACCGGAAGTCTGAAAAGAGGTGATGTCTCGCTAGGTATTGCGAATAAATAGGCTGGAAGCTAGCGACAGCACCTGGCCTAGGAAAGCAGCAACATATATTCCTGGTTAGATCTCAATACCTAGCTCTTTTTCAGTCCCCATGAAGGACGTGTCCCGTGAAGCAAGGTTTACGTCATTGCGGCCGTTAGGTTATGATGTCTACTTTCTTTGAATCTTACAATTGCTGATAGTCATTAGGACACGCGGAGAAGTATTCGACGACACGGAGTCACTTGGGGATCTATCTCAATGTGGGTCTGACAGCCCGGTACAAGCGGCGAAGCGGAGTACCCGTGAAACCGGCACTCTTTCACGCTCTCTCGGTGCTCATCTCGAAGCATCCTATACTGTCGGCTATTCCACTTGCCATTGAAACACCGGATCCGTGTTTTGTCCGTCTTCCCAAGATTTCACTGAGTGAGGTCGTGACTTTCGTGGAAGAAGATGCGAATCCTCCGAGCCCTGATTGGAAAACAATTATTGACAGAGTCCTTGAGGAGCAACACAATTGCCCCTTCGAGGCTCAGTCCAACGGGACGCTTCCATTCTGGAGAATATGCGTTCTGGAGAGCAACAATGTCCCCGAGAGCTTTACGCTTGTGTTCATATTTCACCATTCACTCATGGACACCCAAAGTGCTCTTTCGTTCCATGATGAAATGGAATGGCACATGGCGCAATATGCTGGTGTTGAGCCAAGTGAAATGGTCTATAGCTTTCCTGATGACCTTGTCCCCCCAATAGAGGAGTTATATACTCTCCCTGTATCGCAAGATTTCTTACGGTCACAAGAGAAGTATAGCGAGCCATCTCCCGATAGCTGGACGGCTGCTCCCCAGTTTACGCCTGTGAAGACTCGCTTCTCTACTTTATGGCTCTCTGAAGTTGACACAAAAATGCTCATGACACTGAGTAAGAAGGAGCGGACCTCGGTCACGGCGGCGCTTCAAGTCCTCATTGCTACCTGCATTTTCTCTGTTCTTCCTTCAATATATCTCACACTCCAGGGTGACTGTGCAGTATCACTACGAAGATTCCTTCCCGAGCCAGTAACTGCTACCACTTTGGGCTGCTACGTCGGATCGTCATCCATCACGTACCGCAGGATGCCATCTTTTGATTGGGATGAAGCCCGCCGCACCAAGATTGCCATTGAACATACCATGGCACAGAAAGGGGGTGACATGCCGGTTGGATACTTGGCATTTATCCAAAACCAGCATCACTGGATGTCACAAAAGCTAGGCCGAAAGAGAATGAGTGCCTTTGAGTTATCTAACGTCGGGGCAAGTTCTTCTTCACGAGGAGCCTCGAACTTCGAGATTGAGAGTATGTTGTTCAGCCAGAGCTCTAGTGCTTGCAGTGCCGCAATCAAGGTCAGTGCTGTGACAGGGCGGGATGGAAGGTTGGCATTGGGATTTACATGGCAAGAAGGGGTTATTGAAGCCGACATGATTGAACGAATCAAAAGGGCTCTCGAGGGCGAGGTAAAAAGATTAGCAGCATGAAGGTAGATCTACTGGGTAGCAATACCGAATAGCTATTGCCAATATCATTTCAGACTCGGACTCCGATTGAGTAGAATTTTACCAATATCATTTGACAGGATGTGCTATGTCTATGAAAAGTAATGAGTCACATGAAGGAGAGCCCGACTTATGAGATTTCAGTAGTATACACAGAAGGAAATATGCCGAAAAGAGTTCGGACCTGATTTCCAACAAAGTTTAAGTGACAATAAGAGTACTGTCATTGTAGTTTGATAGCCCTACATCCAATGGAGTTCGTTATCTCGGGTCTCAGTACCCGGACCGGTGCGATTAAAAGCCAACGACGCCCATATTCGATCTTCAATCTGTTCATTTATCGTGCCATTGACTTTATCACAATTAAAATCAGCTATTCGCAATGACTCAACTTTCCGACTACCGTGTGCTATCCTTTGATGTCTATGGCACCCTTGTGGACTGGGAGGGAGGCATCCTGGCTGCTGTTCAACCCACTCTGGACAAGAACAATGCCCAATTCCCGCGCGAACACCTCCTTACTATCTATCACGAGCTAGAGCGAGAGCAGCAGACTAAGACACCCGAGATGCCCTACCACCAGTTGTTGACCACTTTGCTCCCGCAGTTCGCCAACCGCCTGGGCTTGGCGGCTCCCTCTGAGGAAGAATGCAACCAGTTCGGGGAGTCAATCGGCAGCTGGCCCGCCTTCCCGGACACTGTTGATGCTCTCAAGCGCCTCTCAAAGCACTACAAGCTGGTTGTTCTATCGAATGTTGATCGTGCATCTTTCGCCAAGACCAACGCAGGCAGCCTCGAGGGCTTCCCCTTCGATTTGATCATCACTGCTCAAGACGTGGGCTCCTATAAGCCTGATCTCCGCAACTTCGAATACATGCTCAAAAAGGTGAAGTCGACCTTCGATATCGAACCCGCACAGGTCCTGCAAACCGCCCAGAGCCAGTTCCATGACCATCACCCTGCCCGCAAGATTGGAATCAAGTCCGCCTGGATCGAGCGACCCGGCGCCACTATGGGAAATTTGTCGGATAATATTTATGATTGGCGATTTGACACCATGGGCGAAATGGCCAGATCATTTGAGGCAGGACAATAGATGTTGGTGAATGGATTAATGTATCTCTAGCTACGCGGCATTCTATCACGGCCATATCCCTGTCTTCATTCAAATGCAAATGATTGAGCTATCAAAAGTTGAATTTCACATTGATCAAGCTCGCCTGGAAGAGTCTATATATAGGGGCTGCTTTTCCAGTCTATCTTCACCAAATTGCTCGTAAGATTCTTATTTATCGACCAGAGAGCTTGATCTTGTAGATTTAATGATGGTCTACCTACACCCTGTTACATTGGTGTCTCATTCCGTATGCTTCTAAACCTCCATAGATATTATGTTCATACCTAAAGGTTTGTTCACCCAGCCAATACAATGCTTGTACTACTGTGCGAGATTGCTTGCTCTAATTATTTATTTCAGATAGCACTGAGTGTTCTACTGAAGAGGTTGTGAGTCCGAAAGCTTCTCGTAAACTCCTGCGCGGCAACTGTGAGTTACGAATTCAAACGGAAGAGTACCTTGCTAAAATAATAATTCATACTAGACTAAAAGCACGCGAATAGTTCTTCTACTTCGGCAATGTATTTTACTAGCCGACAATTATAAAGAACAATTTATATCAGCGAGGTATCTGGTCCGGTGACATCGACACCCAGAGCTCGGGTACATGCACCCGAGCTGCAGGACATCGCCACTCGAGCCGGTTGCATAAACCCGAGGACATCGCATTATGGACCGTTGGGCAAAAGTGTGCGGGTATTACCGGGCTCTGGGGTGCCTTTACCCAGCTTGAAATGTTCAACTAGTGTCCCACCTTACGCTAGTGTATCGCGCCAAATGTACGCGAACAATATGCGAGTAGATAGGGGAGTATATCGCCGTCACTGCTCTGTATCTAACCCCGGCCCGAGTCCACCGGTATCGCCAATCAAGCCGGCGGGTAGGAATAGACCGAATAAATATGGTGTATAGTAAGATAATAAATACAAACCAACCATACATGCCCATCTGTCGCAATCAAGGCAACACGCACATTCGTTGATATTCCATGTGTCTCATCGGCTTTGGCTGTCTACGAATTTCACTTCGCCAAACAAGAATACGAGCATTCAGCATGACTCATGCGGTGCCACAAGTAAGTCTACGGATGCGTTTTCTATTAGTATGAACCGAGATTCCGAGGTTGACGCGTGGCTTTAGTTAAAAGACAAGTCTTTGTTCATTGAAAAATGCCAGGTCAACGGTGAATGGGTTGGGGCACAATCGGGCAAAACATTTGAGGTCACTGGTAAGGAAATTTCCAACAGTCTGTCGCTACGCTGCTAACGACGAATGAATAGATCCAGCCACCAATAAAGTCATTGGAACATGCCCAGAGTTCAGCGCAAAAGACACCGAGAGAGCCATCAAGGCAGCTTCGGATGCATTCCCAGTCTTTCGCAAGACGCTGGTACGCGAAAGGTCTCGACTGCTGAGACGTTGGAATGACCTCATCCTGCAAAACGTGGATGACTTGGCGACCCTAATAACATGGGAGAACGGAAAACCATTTGCCGAGGGCCAAGGCGAGGTCAAATATGCTGCAGCCTTCATTGAATGGTTCAGCGAAGAAGCCCCCGGCTATACGCCGATACGATTCCGGTATCCATTCCGGGGAACCGAGTCCTAACTGTCAAAGAGCCTGTGGGTGTCTGCGGCTTGATCACTCCTTGGAACTTCCCTGCCGCTATGATCACCCGTAAGATTGGCCCGGCATTGGCGGCTGGCTGTACAGTTGTCGCAAAAAGCCCTGGGGAGACTCCATTTACTGCCAATGCTCTCGCAGAACTAGCCCTTCGAGCGGGTATTCCTAAAGGCGTGGTGAACATCGTCACTGCTCTGGAAAATACCGCTGAGGTCGGCCAAACCCTTACCACTCATTCGGATATCAAGAAGATCTCGTTTACTGGCTCGACTCGTGTGGGCAAGCTCCTTATGAGCCAAGCCTCTTCTAGCGTCAAAAGAGTTTCTTGGGAGCTTGGTGGTAATGCTCCGTTCATTGTCTTTGATGACGTGGAGGATATCGATGCCGCGGTAACTGGTGTTCTTGCGTCGAAGTTTCGAGGTACTGGACAGACCTGTGTCTGCGCCAATAGGATCTACATTCATCGAATCCACTATGAAGCTTTCGCGGAGCGACTTGTCAAGCGCATTAGGGACTTGAAAGTCGGACCTGGATTCGCGCAAGGTGTCACCCACGGGCCGCTCATCCATCCCGCAGCTGCACAAAAGGTTAATGACCACGTTGCTGACGCCAAATCCAAAGGTGCTCGTGTGCTTCTGGGAGGAAGCCCTATCCAAGAGCTAGGACCTACATTCTTTCAACTTACAGTCTTGGCTGATATGACTCACGATATGCGCATTGCCTCTGAAGAAACCTTCGGACCCGTGGCAGCCCTATTTCCCTTCGACACTGAGGACGAGGTGATCCAGCTTGCCAACCGCTGCGAGGTTGGCCTGGCGGCGTATATCTTCAGTGATAACATCAGAAGAGTCTTCCGTGTAGCGGAAGCTCTCGAGGTCGGTATGGTCGGTGCCAACACCGGCTCTGTCAGTGACGTTGCTGCCCCGTAAGTATCATCTCCCCTCCAATACACAATCTTGAATTGCTGTCTGATATAACAATTGATCCTGCAGATTTGGTGGAGTAAAAGAGAGTGGATTTGGCCGCGAGGGAAGCAAATATGGAATCGACGAGTTCGTGCATGTCAAGAGTATCACCCTGGGTGGAATATTTTAAGTTAACTAGAAGTGGCTTTTGACATGGGGTGTATGGAGGATCGATTGAAAGGGCGGGTTAAACCTATATTCTGTTGAAAATTTAAGGCGAATTCGCATGAAAATAGGCCTTCTCCCCCGAAAAACATGCCATTCTCTGCACTCAGACTATATTTCTTTGTCGGCTAGATTCATGTGGAAACTTCTTCGAGAAAAGTCGGCGCCTTCTACTCTGATGTTTCGGCGCGTAGAAGCACTTAGCTGCGTCTGCTTGGCCACGTAGCAAAAATAACACCACTTCCAACCGAAAGAACCCGGGCCTTCGACGACATTGATAGGAAAAACCAATAGATTTAGAGAGCATGTAAGATTTCGATTTGTACCACGGAAAATACAACATTTCGGGTATGATATTGCGGAACAAAAAATCAAGTTCCCGGGTACCGTCACCCGGCCTTCTATATACACTCGATCTATTTAGAAAAAGTTAGATCGGTAAGTTTCGCCCGTCAGCAAGCATTTAATTGCCTGGACTTTGTGAATCCCTGTACGGTCTTTTGTTCCAAAACATTTTCTCTCGTTTTCATCCGGGTCTCAAGTTGCCTACCCGGTCCGAGTCGGCTAGCTATGTGCCTGGAGTCTCATATAAGTGCACCGAGTCACTGCCTTTGGGGGTTTTCTTTCCAGGCAATATCGATAACGGATCTCTGTTATCTTTTTGTGATTTTTTCGCTTCTTTCTTTTTCTGTTTCATCATGTCTTCTGTATCTGAACCCTCCGAGCCCTCCATCCGCACAGCGGTCCCTGGACCTGAGACGCACAGAATCAAAGAAGATTTAGATGCTGTCATTGATGCCCGTACTGTGCAAATGGTCATTGATTATGACCAAAGCTTCGGAAACTAGTGAGTCATCAAACTTATTTAGGCCTCCTGGCTCATTTCCTGACGGTCCACCCTAGCATCATTGACGTTGACGGTAACACCTACCTTGACGTATATGCGCAAATCGCCTCTATTCCTGTCGGATATAACAACCCCGCTTTGATAAAGGCCGCAAAATCACCAGAGATTGTCTCTGCCCTAGTCAACCGCCCGGCTGCTGGAAATTTCCCTTCCCGTCAATGGCTTGCCCTATTGCGCGATGGTCTGATGCGGGCAGCGCCTCCTGGATGCACACAGTTGTTCCCAGCGCAATCCGGGTCTGAGGCCAATGATCTCGCTTTCAAAGCGGCTTTCATGGCCTATCGTCGGCAGCAACGAGCCGGCAGCCCTTGGACCGAGGATGAGCAGGCCACAGCAATGAAAAACCAGGCGCCTGGCTCCCCAGATCTGGCTATTCTCAGCTTCCGTAACTCCTTCCATGGCCGCAGCTTTGGCAGTTTGTCCACCACCCGCTCTAAGCCCATCCACAAGGTAGATATTCCTGCTTTCAAGTGGCCCCAGGCCACTTTCCCCCAGATCAAATATCCTTTGGAAACCTACGTTCACGAGAACGCACTGGAAGAGGAGCGCTGCCTGCAAGAGATTGAAAACATCATTTCTTCCTGGCACTGCCCTGTGGCTGGTATCATTGTTGAGCCCATTCAAAGCGAAGGAGGCGACAACCATGCCTCCCCAGACTTTTTCCAGAAGCTTCAGGCTATCACCAAGAAACATGGTATCACCCTGATAGTTGACGAGGTCCAGACCGGCTTCGGAGCAACAGGCAGATTCTGGGCGCATGAGCACTGGGAGCTGCCTGCACCAGTGGATATTGTTACATTCTCCAAGAAGGCCCAAACTGCTGGATACTTCTTCAGCGATGAGAACCTTCGCCCCGACAAGACCTATCGGCAATTCAATACGTGAGAAATCCTGAAATCGGAAAATGAATGATCATTCTGTTGAATAAAATGAACTAACCACATTAATCAGATGGATGGGAGATGCCGCCCGAATCATCATCTGCAATGCCATCATTGACGAGATTCTGAGCAATAAGCTGGTTGAAAAATCGGTAAGCCTCACCTTATCATCCGATGAAAGCCAATCGCTAAGAATATCTCTTTCATGACAGGCTCAAGTTGGCGCAGTCCTCTACGATAGCCTGGCTACTCTGGCAGCCAAGTATCCCAACAAAATGCACAGTCTCCGTGGCAAGAACAAGGGCACTTATATTGCCTTTGACACGCCTGACTCAAGCAGTCTGCTGAAGAAGATGCGCGAGTTGGGCATCAACATCGGTAGCTGCGGTGTGCAAACCATTCGGTTGCGCCCTATGCTGATCTTCGAGGAATCTCATATTGCTCCTCTATTGGCAGCATTTGAGACTGCTTTTTCACAGTTATCATAGATCTAGCCAAAGAAGGATAAATCTTGGTTTTTGTGTCTATAGTAGAATCTATGGCACCACAGTCTGGGAGGACGAGATTGTAACACGGTTACGATAATACACCCATTGGTCTTAATTTTACTGGTCTGTCTTCACATGTTTTCCGGCGGAGTTACAACTTGACAAGAACTCCTAAGAAGGTGCATATTTTCAGTCCTTGCTTTTCTCTGTCCCATGAGGCAACTGTTGGTATGACTGATCTCTGGTAGCCTTACAGTGATGGTTCTTATCCAAAATTGGCATATTTATTTTGGCATGATCTTTCCAAGATTTTCATTCACGTGATTTGTTTACGTTGCTATAATAAATTATACGTATGACTTCAACTGTATAAATATGATCAAGATATGTTGTTTGAGAACCCAGCTACCTTGGAAGAACCGGGCATATGTGCCAAGCTCTTTCGCCAGTGCCTGCCCACGCTCCACGACTCATTGTCCTGCCAAGTGCGCAGCTTTGTCTCCCTCGGGGTAAAGCTAGCTATTTGCCATTGTAAACACTGCAGCCATATTAGCTAATCTTAGGTGACATTTTCTACATGGGGAGTGTAACTAACGGATGACCGGGCCACCACCCTTAAAACCAGGCACATTCCCGCCATGGGCCACACCTTGTGCAATCGCATTCTCAGTAACGATCTGCCACTCTATCACTCCAGAGAAACCAGCAATCTCCTTGGATATCGGTGCAAATTCTTCGTCGAAGATCTGTTTGATCCGTTTCAGCATTGTCGAGCTGCTATAGAAGGCAAACGTCCTCAAATCATAGCGCAGGCCCGAGGGGGATGAGCCCCCAGAAGCAAGCTTGCTCATCGTTCCCTTACTTTCCTCGACATGTGTATATGATAGGTTGTTAAATTCCGCCAGTGGTGGGGGAAGAGCAAGTCCGCCAGATTGGTCCTGCTTGGTCCAAGTCACGTTGTTCCCAGATGATGAGAGCATAACAAGCTGGAGATACGGCTCGCCGGTAGAAGGGACATATAAGCTCGTCAGTGATACTTCGAGATTCTGGGCGCCTGGATTGCCCGAGTAGATTCTCACGTAATTGTCGTACACGTCGGCCAATTGGTCTAATTCAGACATTTTAACTTGGTGGAGACCGAGTATAATTGCGGCGAGGGATATGTAAAAAGGTCAAGTCGCGTGATGACGCCAAACTTGTTTTGGCCTCCTTTCAAGGCTTGGAATAGCTGACAGTGAGAGTTTGCGGTTATTTCTAGGATTTTGCCACCAGCAACCACGATCTGGGGCAGGATGGTTAACAATATTTTACAAGCCAAAACTTCGTCTATGGTGTTTGTCATACCTGAAAACTTTTGACATTGTCGCAGGCAAATCCTCGCTTTGGCGTAAACTGCGATATACCGCCTCCCAAAACAAGGCCGCCAACACCAACTGAACCATCGCGACCACCCAGGACGACCAGTTCGTGAGGATCGAGGTAGTCATAGACTGTCCCCCACCTCAACCAGGGATCAACAGAGACGTAGCCGTCGTGAATGGTCATGTTTGACAACTTCGTTGTTGCGAGCAGGATACCATCGTCGATATTGGGCCGCAGTGCTTCAAATGCGTATCCAACCAATAGTAATCATACTGGTGAGGATCCCATGGATCAGAATAATTGCACGAGCACGAGCGACGAAACGAGCCTGCAGTTGAATTTTGAATTGCGATAGAGCGGAGAAGTTACTTGCACATCGACTGAGCCTTCCCAGCAAACAATTTGGAAAGATATAACCTTAGACTTTCTGGTGGTAGGCTCTTGCCTTGCTCATTTTATTGAGTGTCAATTCGCTTGGGGAGTTGCTTATCAGATCTGCGGGCGTGCTCCAACGGGGCCGCGACAAGGCAGGAGCGACGCTGGCTCCGTTTGTCAAAGGGGAAAAGGAAAATGGACCATTCTGCCTCATCAGGAGAGTGAAATGTGCCTCTTTAGCAAGCAGGGGAGACGCGGCGGAACAGGCGACCTTTGATCGCTCACCCGCATCGACAGAAATTTGTAGAATCATGACCCTGATGAAGTTGCGATTGATGTCTTGGATCCCATTCAAGGTATAATGCTATTGATTTCTTATCAAAGACAGACGAACTAACTCTATTGGATGTCGTTCAACATACAACTACGTTAACACTTAACCAGTCATCTGATGGCATCGCCGAACTGGGATCAAACACGAAGTCGAGTCTTTCCGTTAGCAAATGCTCGCAGAAATCAGGCGCTTGTTTGCCTTGATTGAAGAAAAGGATGCACGATCAATTCGCCTGCCGTTTTTCTTGCATCTGGATGCCAGACAAGCATTGCCTTGGCGAAGTCCAAAAACGCTTCCCTCTCCTCTTCCTCAAGAAAGGAAGCTGTGTCGCCTAATTTGCGGTCGGGGATGTGGTCTTCGATGTTCCGTGAGTCTGAGAATAATTCGTTCGAGATAGGAACCCAGTGATACCATTGTTGTCAAAGAATGGCCCGCAGAAGTACTCCTCCGCGGTCTGGCTTACTCTACCGTCTTCTTGTCTGACAGGTTTCGGCCACGAGCACTCTCGCATGTATTGATACCTTTGTATGACCCCTGGAGGGGGTGAACCGATTAAGGCGATCATCTCAGCGACGTGTAATTTGGCATCGTAGCGACCTTTTTGATCATGAATGTGCCGAAATAGCTCTTTGCCTTCCACCATATCCGACAACTGGACCGGAATTAGTGGATGCAACAACTCCAGAGAAGAACGGGACGCACCAGAACACCAAGATTCCAAATATCGGCAGGCATTTGCCATCCATTACCCAAAATTACCTCTGGCGCCCGGTAGTGGTCTGGCTGATGGGCCAAACGCCCCAGTCGTCGTCTTCCTCGAGTGTGGTTGCCAAGCCAAAGTCGACAAGCTGTGGTATACTTCGTAGGCTTTTGAGTGGCCCGAAGTCATTACGGGACTGATACACTGGTCGTCCCGCGGTATCAATTTTGAAAGCCATCGGGTTTTCAAGCTGAGAATCCAAGAAATCAGCAAGCACAGTTGGATCTTCAAATGAGATCATGATATTCTCGAGCTTTAGATCTATACCGTCTGGCTATTCGAATCTTTTCGTCACTTTATCATATCTCGCTAATTAGCTAATCACTATATAACTTTATAATACCTATGAGCTGTAGCCTAGGCGTACAGTAAGAAATGATGGCTATCAAAAATTAGTTGCAAGATAAACTGTATTGTAGGGCAAAGAGCTACTTTAGATATGGGCTGGGTGTGAACTGAGTGCTTAATAACAGCTAATCAGAGTCACTGAGCACTCACTACATAAGCGCTTATTAGGACCACACTGGTTATCACGTGATGGCACTGAGCAGCTCACTGAGCCTGAGCCCGGACTGAAATTTACTCAGTGAGCCTGACTCTGAGCGCCCTCACAAACCGGCGGCAGCTAAAATAGGAAAGCCCCACCCAGCAGAGGCAATATATTATGTATGTACTCCGTAGACTCACCTATATAGCATGGAAAGGATATGTCAGCCGCATAGTCCTCGCGCCCCGACAGCCACTCAGCGTTTAGCGGTCTACACAGCCTCAATCTTAACCAAGTACCGGATACCTCGTAATACACACATAGTTACATACTACAAATAAGTATCGAGTACTTGTCTGCCTCAGGGTTCATTTTTCCTAGAGCCTCGACTTCTTCCTAGTCCCCACCAATTCCCGCCTGTTTCTCTTATTTTCTTTGGTTGATCTGTTGTTGTTTGAGTAGTGTACTTCGAATAATGAAGTGAATGTTCATTACCTTGATTACAAGGCAACATTGTATCCACAACTCAGCTACTCTCTCACTTTTCATCGCCTTCACTCTACTCCGGTTCCCAAACTTCTTCACGATTGATTCTGATCCACTCGGTCTTCGATTGCTATTTTAACGCGAGGCCAAAGCCCCTGGGTGCATCCCGGTGGATCGTCTTTGCCTGGACAAGTTCGAAAGCTGAAACTACTCGTCAGCTTGCGCCACACTCCTCTTGGTGAGAAACGCCCCACACGCCCTGGTCTTCGTTCTCTCTCTCTCTCTCTCTGTCTTCATTATTTCCCCCTCAAACCTCGTCTGCCTTCATATTTGTGAATTCTGGATGAACGTTAGTCGAATTCCTTTCCTCTAATTCCACAATTTCCTAACATGACATCAAGAGTAGCTGTCGCCTACACCCGTCCACCCTTTGAGGCTGGCGCGAAACCTTCTTTCTCCATGGCGACGTTGATGTCGAATGAGCCCGTCGCTGTGTCCAACCCGCTATCTGCAAATTCCATTACCAGTTCCGAACCACTCTCTTTATTCAAACCTCAACCCAAACCCGACAGCCTGAGCTCCATTGCCAGTGCCGGTCTACACGTTTCGCGATCAAGTGATCAACTACAACTGCCTCCAATGACGAGCCCTACATCAGTACCGGCGGATCGCCCGGAGCACGAGAAGGATGCTGAACGAAACAGCTCACAGGTGGCCCGAGAGGCTTTAGGCGCAAGCGAAAAGTCGCCGGGTGCTACAATCCATGAACCCTCCGTCCATACGTCTCCGGAACAAATGCATATCGACTCAAACGCGAACGGCTCGCCCCTGGACCCATACGGATCGAATGATCATCACGGATCACTGATGCATAACTCAACGGTCGCGAGCCCGGGTCCTATCGAAGAATCAACTTCCCAAGATGGAGATCGACGGCCTCGTGATGACTCCGAGATCGACCACGACGGGAAGGCATTCTCATATCCCATGCCTACCATGAATGACCCCCGGCGCGGACTAAGTCTACCAAACGCAGGCTACAATCGAGGCGGCCCGCGTTCTCCATCATCGAAAAAACACCGATGCCCTTACTGCGCCACAGAGTTCACGCGCCAACATAATCTCAAGAGCCATTTGCTCACCCATAGCCAAGAAAAGCCTTTCGTGTGTCAAACTTGCCAGTCGCGTTTCCGAAGACTACACGACTTAAAGCGTCACACAAAGCTGCATACGGGCGAGCGACCACATATCTGTCCCAAATGTGGACGCCGCTTTGCCCGGGGCGATGCGCTCGCCCGACACAACAAAGGACAAGGGGGCTGTGCGGGTCGACGCTCCAGTATGGGCAGCTTTGCCGCAGATGATGAATATGGTGATGGCGCGACCGGAGGACCGGACGATATGGATGGATTGATGTACACAGCGGAGCCAGAGCGCATGGATGAAGAAGACGAGCGACGTCTCATGCCTAGCATTCGCAAGCATGATTCTGATACAGTCGCTCGGTCTGATTCGCTCAATTCGCGCCAGTCCAGCACTTACCCACCTATCGCAACTAGTCGTCCTAGTCATCTCTACCCGCCTCCGGCTAATCATGGAGGAAACCAATCATCAGTTTCGCAGCCTGGAAATATGACTTTCCCACCCGCAGGACTCACCTCCGGATCATCCATCTTCCCACCCAACAATCTCAGCGATAGTCCCAAACCACTATCTCCGAGTGCCCTTTCATCGCAACATGACAGTGCACCGCCACATCGCGCCCATTCTCCCGGTATGGGACAATCCCTGCCACACCCGCAGTCCTCATTCGGGCGAGCAAATCCATCCTCGAATCACGCGCCGCCCACCCTCGGCTTACCCCTTCCTCAACCAGGCGTACCTCAACTGCCCCTGCCCCCGGGTATGACCTCACCCGATGCTCGATTCGGCATGCAGGCTGCAACCAAGCACACTCCTTCGCACAGCCACTCTAGCACCCACAGTTTATCTACCTACAAGGGACCCGATGGGCCAGACCCAAACTCGAGTGACGCCAGTCAAATTGATAAGCTATGGGCACACGTACGAACCATGCACGAAGAAATGAATGGCCTGCGCACTGAAGTCGCCGCTTTACGCGCGCACATCGCATCAACTAATTCATCCGTGCCCCCGGCCCCAGTGGAAGTAAACCTGAACAACGCTGGACGGTAGTCAGAAGTTGTTGTGTGTACGATACGTCCCAACCTGAAGAGCTAGCTCCCTCCTTGTCCACTTTGTCGATACGTCTTGATTGTCCCATTCACTTTTGGGGCCCAAGCTTGATGCCCTTCATGATCACCAATTGCGGAATTGGTGTTTCCTATTCTACATTCCCTCTATTTGTTCCTATTTTCTTTTTCTCTTTTGTCTCATGTACCGGGGCATATTCTCGTTCTAGCCTACTTTATACTCATACCGGGGCGAGCAGCAACGCGCGTCGTATTTTCTTCTCTCTTTTGCTTCTAGTTGAATGGCCGAGGAGTTTGGCGCACTAAAATTGGTCTCATATCGCGATGGAACGGAGAATATTGCTTCTGAACAATTGACACCTGAACCTGTGTCTTTGGGGCTTCCATGGAGAGATGGTGTCTGAAGAATATGTGGATGGATTACGCTGGATTTGGAGTTGATTCTTACGCTATTTCCGACTTAGGTAGTGATAATATACCCTTAACTAAGAGTAAGCTCTTTATTTAACACATATAATTATATAGAAAATACTACGTAAGCAAAAGAATCAATAGGATAGGATAATGTGATGATCCCTTTCAATTGCGTTCATAGGAAAATCGCTGAAACCTCGGACTCTCCACCTCTCCACGCCCAAAAATTGTACCGAGGCATTCCATAAATATTCCTCTTCGCTTCATTATTCTTTAATATCTGGGAACATCCATCCCTGAATTGAACCATTTAGTATACCAAAATCATGTCTCCCTCCCTCTTGCAGGTATCTGCCGGATCATTCGTGTTTCTCTCCGTGGCGCACACGGTATCACACAGCCCAACCCCTATTACAAATCTTGCGTATTAACCATTCCCAGATCATGGGTAAGCAGTGGACATCCGACCCCAGATTCAAGGCTATCGCAGGCACAAAGCCATGGGCTAGTGGGACTGTGGGGTGGTACCAGGTGCGTCAACTAACGATACCTTCAATGTCTTGAATTATGCAATCTGGTTTCAAGCTAACAAACACTTATCACTATCAGGGTAGTGGATTTCTACTTTTGACTGGTATTTATTTCCATCTCATATAGCTTGTCCAGTTTTCTAATGCGAACAGGTCTTCTTCACTGGCAATGGTCGCGCGACCCTAGTCTTCTCCAAGACCCGTTGAACAAAGCCATTGCTGGTCTGGTTAATGTTGTGCTTTGGGCTAGCTCAGCATGGTATGCTAAGTATGGGATTAATGACACTGCCTCGGTTGTCGGATTATGCGCTGCGTTGCAGGCCTGGGGTGTTCTAGTGGCTTGATTTCTTATTTCAGTTGATAAAGAGTTATATCTCGACGTTATGATGATATATATACACACGTAACAACGGGATATTCTGTATGTATGCCATCATCTCAACATTATTCTACACGCCAATAGTAGACATGGTCAATATCAAAGCCTGAGTTTACTCTTCTTCCAACCTCCCCTTCCTCCTCTTCATAACCCACCCAATAAACAACCCCACATCAGCAACAACAGCCTTGGGCACCCCGCCCAGCGTCCAATTCCGCTGAACCCACTGCGGTATCTTCCCACCAGCCTCTGACGTCGTCGCCATAGTCCACTGAATAAGACGACCAGAAGAAGTCTCAAGAGTGGTGGGGGCGACTAGTTCCACCCGCTCAATACTGGCATAATGACCGAAGATTGTCCGCGGCGGAACAGACTCTCTGATTTCCGCACAGAGCTGCCCATACTCTGATGCCTCGGTGGGATTGGGGAGACGGAATGGAACCTGCACTGTGATGAAGCCTGTTTGCGCTTCCGTGCTCTGCTCACCATTCTCTGACTTGGTCTCGAAGCTTGCAGACACAGTCCAAGATATAAACGCCCGAGGCCGGATTAGGGCTTGCGGGTGGAAAGTGTGGACTATTAGGTTGACTGGAGATTTGTCAGTTGGTTTTCCGGCTATACACCAAGCTATTTGGTTTATAGATTGACTCACGCTCAACGATGAAATCTTTATATCCGGTATTTAAAACCTCAATTCGTTTACTGGAGTCAAAGTGGGAGTCTTTATCCCAATTGAGGAGCTGCTTGACCTTTGTCACGCTGGGCGTATACTCCATTTCATGTTCGGCGTGGTTATGACGCAAGCCTGCCTCAAATTCGCGCCAGGACCCTGTGCCATCTATGGCGGAGTCTTGATGGTCACTTTGGCGACATACCCAGAATTCATTGTCGTGGAGACCCTGTGAGAGTTCTACTTTTGCTTTTGAGGGTGGGGATGGGCGGCCTTTGGAGTCTGTTTGGAGGTTTGACCGGAGCTTGGTTAGAAGTGGGTCGGCTTCGAGGAGAATTGTTTGGATGAGTGAGGCCACATCCTGGGATGAGGGGCTATCGATATCGGGGTGATTTGGGAGATCTCCTAGTGGGTGAGGGTTTAGTTTGATGAATGGCATTGTTGAGCATGTATTTGAAGAAAGGAGGTCCAGGGTCGAGCTGCGTGTGGAGTTGATCGGCAAAGCTTATATGGAACAGGTGGGCAGTATTTTGTGGATATATTTCCTCGCTTTTAATATTTCACAAATATCGAAAGTACTCAAGTATTTAGAGTAATGCATAAAAGACTAAAGATGTGTGTATGATAAATCTTGATGTATTTATTAGGTTGAGCGAATAAGAAGTGTATAATATACAAGCTCTACATAAACACCTTAGACTGGAATCCTGATAAGGCACTATTTGCACTACACAGAACTCGATCATTCCCCAGTAGGACACTGGACCATCCACGATAATTGGAACAGGGATAATGGGCCTGTCAACAAAGAACTGCGTGCAATGTAGGAGACGAAGAGGCTATAGACAGCGGATCCCAGGTCCCACGCTGCCAGTCTCAAACATCTCCACGAGTCCTGCGCCAAGGGCTTCTTCCAACACCCATCGGAAATGCATACCATTTAGCTCTTTCCACTTTTTGGTTTTGCCGGGAAGTACCCCTGCAAACTCTCCCCGGGCTCGCTTGGCCAAATGGAAACTCTTCTCGGTTTCAACGGCTCCATCCCATCGGTCTTTCAACAAACCCAGTGGAGCTTCGCCAGATGCAGACCGCCGCAGCAGAGCAAGCAGATGCGCGCGACCCGACCCTAGTAAGCGGAGATATGATCCCGTGTTAGGAAGAGACAGAAAAAGGGTGGCAGCACGAGCTTGAGCATCTGATTGCACAGGGCGCTCGGATGGAGATACAGAGTGAGCTGATTCGATTCGACTAGCCGACGTCGCTGCCATTGTAGGTAAATTGGGAAGCGATGCGATACTTAGTGAGCCTTGCGTGAAAGATGACGAAGAGACGATAAAGCCAGCACGGAGCAGAGCTCTGTACTCATCTGTAGTAAAGACCCCCTGCGATATCGCCGAGGAGGTCCCCATGCGCTTGAGGATATCGAGAAATTTCTCTGCAGACTTGTTAATCATATAAGTTTTGTTTTTCAGGTTGCGCACTGCACCACTCACCTTTCACTGGTGTTTCCAATGCAGTGCTTGCCTGCACTAGTTTCTCCCAGTCCTCTGCTAGAACCAAACAATCGCCGAGCCCCGCCGCATCATTACCTCGACCCGGAATGATGAGCCGTCGAATATGACCACTCTGCACCATTTCGGCAATCTCCCTTTCCACCTGCGTTGGTGCCTCCAACAGAGTGTGAACATGGGCCACCGAAGCTAGTGGAGGTAACGATCGGCGGAAGTTGAGGAGTTCGGCGATTCGGGTACTGTTCATTCCGACTCGCGCGGGAAGTTCTTCGAACATGCCATCGCGGATATATTGAATGGCTTGGCGCACATTCTGTACTGGCGTAGATTGCGATATGAAATGCGACCCACCTACATCTGGAAGCGGATCATGGAAGTCTTCGGTCGGCTTCAAGTTGCGGGCGCTACATGTAGGTTTTCGGCGTGCATGTCCGGTAAATGGTGAGGCGCGGGGTCTGGGAGCAGAGGGCTTTCGTTTCTTGACGCCAGATACCGGAGCGGATGTAAGACGCAGGGTCATGGCATGAGTGGATGAGCTTCAAGGAACATGTCGAGTTCAGCAGCAAATATTATCTTATGTCAGATGATTTGATGTGTAAGAGTTTCCACCAATGACAGGTTGGGAGCCATAGTTCTGTAATCACGTTACCATACAGTAACCTACAAATGACTAATGACTGCGTGTAGATGTGGGGTAAAAGTGGTATCAATCAGTATCAATCAGTAACGCTTTTAGATGATGATCGAGGCAATGGCGTCGTCTATTCTTGATTTTGTAGATATTTTTTGATAGTGGAAAAAGAAACAAAATGCCTCACTAAAACATATTATCATTATCCTGGTTATATCGCATTGGCAAACTTGTGAAGAAACTTGCTTCTTCCAGCCCACATTTCAGCTTTCACATGACGTAGTCATGAGAAAACGCATCGTGTAACTGGCCTATTTTTTTTCTCTTCACGCTGCAGTTGTTAGCATTTCAGACTGCCACTTTTGTTCTCATCGCATTTGAATATTAGCGACCTTAGAGCTTAAAGCTCTCTCTCTCGCTTGCATTTGAAATCTCTCTGCCTGTTCGTCTGGGTAATCTGGACTCCGTCGATCACCATGACGGTCTTCATCGCATCTCTGTATGTGATCGCTAAACACTATTCGCTAAGAATTAGTCCTTAATTTTCCTTTTTACTAACTTAAAGCATAGATTTTTACCTTATACAGTTAATTTTCATGTCGAAGACCCACGCAGTCGCTCTCCAGTTGGGCCCCCATCCGCAAACCCTACTGTGGAGGGAATCACCCCCCTCCCCAATGCAACTGCCAGCTTATTTGAGAATACCAACCCGGCAAAACCACCTGCTCTTACACCCGGAGCTACCACAGACCATGAGCGTATATTCACTGCTAGTGTAGCCCCGGCGAAGCAAGAGAACAACGAGTATCCGTTCCCTTCCTCCGCTGATGATAACCGGCTGCTCACTGAGAGTGAGGGACATTCTCCTGCATGGGGTTCTACAACCTTGTTGAATCAACCGAAGCCACAGACGAGTTTGTCACCCGATCCCTCCATTCTCAAACATCAAGACCCCCTCACTGCCAAGAAGCTCGTGCCTCAGCGGGTTCTCCCCGCTCAACCCGCACCCCCGTACAAGGGACTACGAAAAGGCAGTGTAGCAAACCGCAAGGTATCGTTTTCCAAGGCGGAATGGAGTATCCAGACTGCGGAACAGGGCAATGGTGGTCTGCGCAATGCTGTTCGGTCAGCGACAGACGCTGGTGTTTTGGAAGAAATTATGTGGGTAGGCACCTTAGGGATGCCGACTGACGCTCTTGCAAAATGGACTCGGCGAGACATATCGGAGAAGTTGGAAGATGAGTACGAGTCATTGACTGTGTTTGTGAATGATGGTGATTTCGACGGTCACTACACGCACTTCTGCAAGACAATCCTCTGGCCGGTATTCCATTACCAAATCCCGGATAATCCCAAGAGCAAAGCCTATGAAGACCATTCGTGGATCTACTATGTCAAACTCAACCAGGCATTTGCGGAGCGTATTGCCAAGCACTGGAAACGGGGTGATTCGATATGGGTCCAGGACTACCATCTACTGCTTGTTCCAGCTATGCTCCGTAAGCTGGTCCCGGATGCCCAGATCGGCTTCTTCTTGCACATTGCTTTCCCATCGTCGGAGGTATTCAAATGCTTAGCACCACGCAAGGAGCTCCTCGAGGGTATTCTTGGTGCCAACTTGATCGGATTCCAGACTGATGAATACTGCCGACACTTTTTGCAGACATGCAGTCGCATCCTTTGTGTGGAAGCAACGCCTGAAGGAATACAGTTGGAAGATCGTTTTGTCAACGTTGGTACGTTCCCTATCGGTATTGACCCCACTTCCTGGGACAAGCGCCGCCAATTGACAGACGTGGAGCGATGGGTTGATACAATTTCGGAGCGCTATCAAGGAAAGCGTCTTATTGTCTCGCGCGACAAGATTGACTCCGTTCGTGGTATTCGCCAGAAGCTTCTTAGCTACGAGCTTTTCTTAAACAGCAATCCAGAATGGGCTGATAAGGTTGTCTTGATCCAAGTCGCAACAAGTACCACGGAGCAACCTGAACTGGAAGCGACTCTCTCTGACATTGCCATGCGGATCAACTCCACTCATTCTACCCTTGCCCACCAGCCCTTGGTCTTCCTCAAGCAGGATTTGGCTTTCCCACAGTATCTCGCCCTTATCACTGTGGCGGATGCTTTGATGATTACCAGCCTCCGTGAGGGGATGAACTTGACCAGTCACGAGTTTGTCTATTGCCAGGATGGTCTCTATGGTGACAAAGCTTATGGATCATTGATTCTAAGTGAGTTTACTGGCAGCGCATCCGTTTTCGGAAATCATGCCCTTTTGGTCAACCCTTGGGACTACCGCCAGTGTGCCGAGGCCATTCACACTGCATTGACGCGCGATGAGAAGCAAAGGAAAGAGGTCTGGGAGCAGATGCTCAGCGCAGTCTTGCAAAATTCGACCGCAAACTGGGTCAAATCATTCCAGCAGACGCTGACGCGGGTTTGGAATGAGCAATCGTCGCGTGAGATCATGGCTGTCCCCCGGCTGTCTGTATCACGGCTCATTGAGCGGTACCGGCAGTCAAAGCAACGTCTCATGATCCTCGATTATGAAGGAACGCTGGCTTCGTGGGGCTCACCCCGTAGCATCATCCTGACCACACCGCAGCGCGCAATCACAACATTGACTGATTTGACCGATGATCCGGCCAATGTTGTTTATGTGATGAGCTCGCGCATGCCAGAAGAGATGGAGCGGTTGTTCCGGCAGGTACCCAACCTGGGACTGATTGCCGAGAACGGTTGTTTTGTCCGCGAACCGCATGCCGATTCGTGGACCCACCTTGCAGATAAAGTCCATGTCAAAGCGTGGAAGTCGTCCGTATCTCAAATTTTGGCTTACTTCCATGCGCGTGTGGAAGGTAGCTGGATCGAGGAGCGTCACTGCTCCCTCGTTTTCCACCACGGGTCCGCTGAAGACCGTCACATCGCTGCTCGACTTGCTGCCGAGTGTGCAGGCAACATCAATGATGCATGTGCTAACCAGGGCGTGCATGCCATTCCGGTTGAGGGTGCCTTGGTCGTGGAGACTACCCATACCAACAAGGCATCTGCTGCCGAGCTAGTGTGGAAATGGTTCCTGGCGGGCGTCGAAAAGGGAGAAGGTGCTCTCAAGCCCGACTTTTTGTTTGTTGCTGGTGACAACCGGGAGGACGAGCCTGTTTTCCGCTGGGCGAACAAGCTGCAGACAGCTAAGGCCGTTGACTATGCCATGACTGTCACTCTGGGTTCACGCAGTACTGAGGCCAAGGCAACGCTAACTCAGGGAGTAACTGGTAAGTTGTTGCAAGTATTGTTCGTTCATCCAATCGACTAACTTTCTTTCTCTAGGTGTGCTTTCTTGCCTACAGCAATTGGCTGCTCCCCAAGACCAAACAAAACTGCCCTTGCGGCAGTGATCACACCATACGAATCAATATATTACAGCATTGAAGATGCGAATACGCGAAGACGAATACAAAAGATATCCAAAAGGACTGGAGTTCTCTTTTTGGAAACTATGATTTGATGGCATACATTTCTCGCTGTCTATTTTCGACCATATTTAGATGGTAAATACTCTGCATAAAAGACATATGCATTGTATCTTAATAACTACGTACAATTCATGGTCAATAAATCACATTTCCACTCTGTTCAAACGCACGGCAAGCGTAATAGCAGTAACACTCCCAATCACTGTGCCTGCAACCTGCACCTTTTGACAGCCTTGAGCGTTCGCGTTGTGCACCATTACAATGTATTTAAAAGATGGTTGGGCCTTAACCTCATGTTGTTAGTATGAAGGACTCGACTTTACTTAATGTTGACAGTGTACGGAGTACTCCGCACATATGTAGACAAGGGGCCTCGGCCCCAGCCCCATCCCCGGAGCCCTGGGGTGATAAGATGCTGACTGATCTCGGTTGTGGGGGAAATCACAGCCGAGGTTCGCCGATAGTACATACAATAGGGGAGTCAAAAGGAATCTGTATACATTTGAATCCTTGAAACAACTTCTCTCGAACGAGGCTGTCACATTCTGTACATATAATTTGACTATGCCCACTGTCAATCCCTCCTTCGAGGAGGCTATCAAGGTCACTCCCCAAGGCGCAAACAAATACAGCGCCTTTCTCCGACCAGAATGGTGCATTGGAACCGGTAAAGCACACCCAAGCAAAGAAACCAAAACAAAACTAACAACCAAACCAGTCCCCCACGGTGGTTATACAACGGCCGTAATCTACAAGCTGGCCCTCACACATTTCGCCCACGCCCACCCAAAGCAATACAAAAGCCCAGCCTCGCCAATCTCCCTCCAGCTTTCCTTCCTGCGACGCACAGCCTCAGGCCCTGCAACCTTTGAAGTAGAAGACATCAAGATCGGAGCCCGCACAAGCACCATCCACATCAAGCTCCTGCAACCTTCTGAAAAGAAATCCGGCACCCTAGAAACAATGGTAGCCGGCTACATCACTGTCAGCCCCCCGGATGCCGAAGTAGGCATCAGCGCAAAAACAGGCTGGAAGCCTTACCCGTCTCCGCCGGCCGGCTCCCGCCCCGACGGCTCAATAGATTTTGCATCCCTGGCGCGCACCGGTTCCGACGGCGCATGGCAGAAACTCGAGACGCCGTTCCCGGAATTCCGCAAAGCATCCTCGCAGATCGAGCTGTACGGGCCTGGTGATGGGGCTACGCAGCAGAAGCGCAATGGCGGGATGGGGATCGATCAGTGGGCGCGGTTCCGGCCTCATGGGGATGTGAATGGGCGGTGGACGGATGCCGCCGTTACCTATTTGATTGATATGTTTCCCATGGCACTGGACGGGTTCGATACCATGTCTGCTACTGCGGCGGCGAGGGAGAACGGAGGCTCTGTTGAGGCGCAGCGGGCGAAGTTTTGGTATCCTACTGTTACGTTGAATGTGGATATGAAGAAACATCTTCCTGCTGGTGGGGTGGAGTGGCTTTATAGTCGGGTTGTTACTAAGGTTGTGAGGGATGGGAGGACGGATTTGGAGGTTACGGTTCTTGATGAAGCTGGGGAGGTTATTGCACTTAGTACGCAGGTCGGGTTGGCTGTCAGTGCTAGTCGGAATGTTGGGACGAGGAAGTTGGAGAAGTTGTAGAATTCATGCTTGATAGATAGTATAAATTTCTTTTTGGTCATATGGTGAAGCTTTTAGATTGAGTCAATGCATATATGGGTGACTTCCGAGCGATCAACCGGTACCATTTGTATACAATTCTCGTATATGCAGAAATTCTGATATATACATCAGGGAATCTAACCCAGTCTATCAATATGTGCAAAGCTATGTATAAGAAAAGCTCACAACTTCGACTCAGACGTGACAATCCAAAACGCCATAGCATCGGCCTTGACAACCTTCCTACTCACCCACTCCAAATGCCCCCCACTACTGTCCTCATCCTCCTGCAATGCCTGAGCCCTGACCCAAAACTTCTTCCCAACCCTCCCTACAACCCTGGCCTTGATAACCAACAGAGCAGGCGTCACCACCCGCTTCCGATACCTTACATCCAATTGCGCCGTGAATATCGCTCCACGCGGGTTATCATCCACACCCGCATTTGCAGTCGGTGTGTTCGTATGCGCCGCAACAGCCAGCGACATTGCCTCGTCAATGAGTGTTGCCACAATCCCGCCGTGCACTGTGAAAGGATGTCCCGATAGACCGGGGCTGCGCAGATCGAAGATCATGACGATATCTGCTGGGTTGGGGCCTGGGGTGGGATTTGAAGCATCTTGTTTTGCGGGGAGCCAGGGTGGGGGTGTGCTTGGAGCGGGTTGGATATTCTGCCGTTGGAGTGTTAGGCAGTGTGGTATTGTGGAGGGTGTGTTGAGGGTTTGGGCGAAGTAGCCATCCTCGCCAGTTGAAGGCTTTAGGCGGCGCGAGTCGGTGGGGATGGCTTTGTAGTCTGGGGAGGTGATGAGGTTATTTGCCCATTTGTTTGTGCGGAGGTGGGCGATGGCAGGGCCTGGTTCTGCCATTGTTTTTTTTTGGCTGCTGGTGCTGTTGGTTTGTAGGGAGGATGTTAAGCAAGTGGTAACTATCAAAGTGGACAAACGGATCAATCAACACTATAGATTAACCTCGGCACCGGTTAACTATCACCGATATCTGGCACCAAGGCACCAAGGCATCAATCTATCGAGGCATTAGTGGTCACGTGTTGGGTCATATCTACTTGCCAAGTGAGACAGTGGAACTGCGACCTTGGAACTGCGACCTTGGAACAGAAGCTTTTCACAGTTCACCATTTTCCCATGTGTCCTTGAATTGAGAGTCCAATGGGCACAGACACAGTGTCTCACTCCCCGGCATGTTTGAAGTTTGCAAGGGACATGCGAGAATTCGAGGATGGAATGTGGAAGTAAACAAGACTTTTCTGCACCAGCGCATTATCATACGTTTCCGTACTTCGTACCACGTAAAAACTGTAAGCGATAAGTTCTACCACTCTAGTGCAAGGGTAGTCACTTCAACAATCTCCATAGAAACCCATAAGAAGAACTCTGATTTGTGCGGATTGAAGCGGCAGGGGCAAGTTCTCTATTATTGGTTTAGTGCAATGCAAGCCAAGGACCCTGAATCATCTTGGCTCATTCAAATGTTGGGTATCTTTTGGCTCTTCCAAGGTTTGAGAAATATTGTCCAATTTGTGACAAAAAAAAACAAGGCCTGTGCAGAACAATAATGTTGATAATTGCCGAGTAATTGCCCAGCTAATCGTAATTCGTATATGAAAATCCCATCAAATAACATAGTGATAGTAATATACTAAGATACTAGGAGAATTATCCACCTTGGTATGCTCAAAGAATCTCCCCTAGCTCATTTTAAATAGTGAGAACCAGGTTGTTACCCTGGCAAAAAATAATAAATAATATAATTGCATGAATGGCTCCTACCCCGGTTGAGATTAGAAAGAAAAAATAATAATAATAAACCTTTCGACTGCCCAGGTGTTAAGTAGCTTCTCCCATTCCTTTGCTTCTTTCTCCAACCTCCTCCACCTCACACTCTTACCAACTTCTTAATATCCCCAACACTATTAATCACTTTTAATCATGCGTTCCGCAATTCTTGTCGTCTCATCCCTGGCCACTGTTGCCCTGGGTGCCAATTCCACTTACACTTACACCTTCCCCGCCGGTTTCAACATCGGTCAGGTGGATAGCAGCGAGCGCAGTGAGTACATGCGCGATTTTCTCACATCTGAGTATCACTGACAAAATAGGCGCCTGGTGTTCTGCCCAGCGTAACACTTGCCCCGAGGTCTGCCAGCAGGGTACCAAGCTCAACTCCTGCGATGCGGTAAGTGATTGTTGAACAGCAAGTCTCTTGTGCAACACAACTAACAACTGGATCAGACTACCCTGCAATTCAGCTGTGTGTGCACTGATGACTCCACTCCCGACGTGTCCCAGTATTTGCAGACCGTTCCATTCTACGTCTGCCAGGATACCTACCGCCAGTGCATCGCGTCGCACCCCGACGATGCCACAGGCCAGCGCGCCTGCAAGGCAAGCATGAACTGCGGCACCAAGAACGCCACCGAGACCACCACCACCTCTTCTTCTTCGTCGTCTTCCGTCTCATCGACCACCATGGCTGTGGCCACTTCGACTGACTCTTCCGCCACCTCGACTTCCTCCGTCGCGGCGGCTAGCACCACCACTGCCAACGCCGCTGTCGCGCTCGGTGATCTGACCCAGTACTCCACTGGTCTCATGGCTGGCCTCATGTTCGTGGCTGCCCGCATGGTCCTGTAAAGGAATCGACGCATCGAATATCGTTCGGTCAATTATCCCTCTGTTGTGGGTCGCATAGCGTCCTCTTTGTTGTATTGTTTATCGCATTGCGATACCATTTTTGCGTTGATTTGCTTTGATCAAGACTTTCGATTCCCTTTTACGAATGTTCTTGACTTATGATGTTTTATTCACCTGTCTATGAACGTGGCGCCTGTCCTTTCTTGAGTTGATTTGGGGTCGGAGTTATCTTCAAGTATGCGCAGATTGATTCTGCGTTTAATTCCATTAACCAAAAAAATGTAATGAGACCAAAATTTGGTGAATAACTGAACAGTAAAACTCCAGTAAATCGAAGTGTCAAAATTGGAATAATTGAGATGAAAAGAAAGTGAAGCCAAAAGAAAAAACAATTGCTGTCGAGATGTTGGTGTTCCCATTCGCCAAGACTTTTTTTGGCACACACTGAAATTTCTCATATCGATAGACTCCACCACCAAGAACTTCACGGTCTCTCCTCCTTTCCTTTTACCACACCACCCGACATCATGCCCGCCCCCTCTAACACCCTTCTCATTGAGGGTTCTTTCTCAGAGCTCGCCGACGAGTTTGCCCAGTACATCGATGCCCTCCGCAAAGAGGGTAGCCTTCAAACCGAGATCGCCCCGCTCCTCGAGCCTCTCCGCCAGCAGGAACAATCTGAGGGCGAAGCCGACCTCAAGCAGCGCGATGAAGTCCTGAAGAAGCTTGTCTCTTCTGCTACCGCCTTGAACAGTGCCCCCGAGAAGGGTGAGTAGATTGAAGCAACAAAGAAACGATCTACATAATCGGGAATTTGCTGCACCTATTTGAAGAGCCAAAAATAAAAACTGACCTTGTCTTTGAACATGCAGAGATCACCTCGGCCTACAACCTGCTGGTCCACCTTGTTCACCAGTCTTCCGACGCCGATGTCTTCCTTCCTCGCATCTGCACCTATCTCGCTAAGCCCATCTCCTCCTCCCCTCAGTTCGGCCCTACTCTCGCCATCTCCATCCTCACCACCATCTTCAACACCCTCTCCTCCGCCGACTCCAGCCGCTACCACGTTCTCTTGGCTATCGTCGCTGTGATCCGCCAGTCCGGTTCCGGAATCGCTTTTGAAGCCCTCAAGCCCCAGCTGGCCTCCCAGCTACCCACATGGCTCTCATCTTGGGAATTGGAGAGCGTCGACGCCCGCAAGCTGCATGTCGCCATCGCCGAGGCCGCCACCGCCGCCGGTGACGAGGATCTCGCCCAGTCGCACATCCTGCAGGCCTTGGAGACCATCGACGCTGCGGACGTCAGCAAGCCCGAATCCCGCGACCTGGCCGTTCGTGCTCTCGCCACCGCTCTGCGCCGCTCCACCGTCTTCGACTTCACTCCCCTGACTGCCTCCGATGCCGTGCAGGCCCTCCGCACCAGCGACAGTGCTCTTTTCGAGCTCCTTGAGATCTTCACCTCGGACACCCTCGAGGCCTACGAGACCTTTGTCGCCGCCACTCCTCTCTCCTCCATCTCCGGTGGTGTCCTCGCCGAGTCCGCCGATGCCCTGCAGAGCAAGATTCGTCTGCTCACCCTCACCTCGCTGGCCTCTTCCACTCCTTCTCGCTCGCTTCCTTACGCCACGATCGCCTCTGCGCTGCGCGTTTCTGACTCCGAAGTCGAAATGTGGGTTATCGACACTATCCGTGCCGGTCTCGTTGAGGGCAAGCTGTCCCAGCTGAAGTCCGAGTTCCTCGTCCACCGCGCCACCTACCGTGTCTTCGGTGAGAAGCAATGGTCTGAAGTTCAGGGTCGTCTGATGGTCTGGCGCCGATCCCTCGAGAGCGTTCTGAGCGTCATCCGCTCTGAGCGTGAGCGTTTCGCTCGCGAGGGTATCCAGGCTGCTGCTGACCAGGAGACTAACAAGAACCGTAACGGTAACGGTGACCGTCGACGGATCCAGCCTCGCGAGGTGGAGGCCAGTGCTGAGTAAATGTGCGTTTTGTTTTGTGAGCAAAGCTCACTCAAAATTCTTGCAGTTAATAGAGGGGAATTCTTTGCTTTTTTCCTCAAGCATTTCTTTACCATTTTTGTAGGGTTGGATTCTCTAGCCCCGTTGGTTGTTTGGGAACGAATCATGTCATGTCAATCTTCTTGTTTATGTTTTCCGGATGGATGACTTTTCTTTTGTTCAATTTTTTTTACCCTATAAAGAAAGTTCATACTTCTTTAGATTGGCCGGTTGTCGAGTATGGCTGTAGCACAAGCATCTATAGATATCCTGGGGATTTATGGAGTAGGTGCTTGTTTCGTAGGTGTTTTGATAGGGGTCCTCGACACAACATTCACTCTACATGATCACAGGCAATGCTTAAATTCTCTAATGCTCTATTTGCAATCTCCGTTCTCCATCAACAATCCAAAGTAAACGCATCAAAAGCCACCCAAACATGTTTGTACAAGCCTAAGGCTTAACGAGCCTCGATGCCCCTCTTCTCAATACCAGCCTTGATCTTGGCATAAACCTCCTTGACAGAGGTATCAGCCTTAACCTCAACGACCTTATCCTTCGCCCTGAAATCCTCAACAACAGGCATAGAAGTCTCGACAAAAGTCTTGAACCGCTTGCGAATAGACTCAGCATTATCGTCCGCGCGGCCACTGGTCTCGCCGCGCTTCAACAGCCGACTCTCCATCACATCCTCGGGGCAATCAAGGAAAAGCACCAACTCCGAAGGGCAAACGGTTGCCTCGAAGAACACAGCCTGGTCCAGTTTCCGCGGGAAGCCATCGATCAGGAAGCGCGCTTTCGTGCCGGCGGGCGGGGGCGCCGAGGCCAGCGAATCGGCCATCGCGTTGGACAGCAGAGCGACGGTAACTTCCATCGGCACGATCTTGCCTTCCCGGATGTACTCTCGGATCATGTCGCCGTATTGGCTGCCGGCGCGCTCTTGCTCGGCGCGCAGGAGGTCGCCGGCGGAGAGGTGCACGAAGCCATAGGATTCGACTAGGTTGGCGGATTGGGTGCCTTTGCCGCTGCCTGGGCCGCCGAGGAAGAAAACGACTGTTACGTCTTCGGTTGAGAAGCGGGGGGTGGTCATTTTGGTGGGAGGGTTTGTGGGGTTGAGGGGTTCTGAGTTTGTTAGTTGGGTTTAAGCTGTTGGTGGTGGGATACCTAGGTAGTGTAGTGTGCTTACGTCTTATGTTCTTAGTTGGGGCGAGAATTTGGCAGACCGGTTCGTTGTTTGACGAGGAGTGCGTAGGAGCCGGAGCTGATGGCGACCAAGATGACGATTGGGATGATTGGGAAATTGGATTTGGATTGAGGGGCTGGAGGTGGGGATCGACGAGGCGTTGAGTACTGGCGGGTCGATCGGACCAATTGAGGGATTCGATTGGAGATGGCTCCGGAGAATTGACGTGTAGTTGTAGAGAACATAGAGGAGACTTTGTGGTGTTTGGGGAGAGGGAAAAGAAAAAGGAGTTGCAACTCGCCGAAACGGGATTAGCTGCTGATCCCGTATATTGACGTCTTCGGTCAAGAGGCGACGAGGTATGTCCGATTTGATCATTCAAGAAATTGTTTCTGTATTTCATTCATTACAGTCTCTTAAATAAAAAGTGAAGTCTGTACTTTGTTACACATTACACGGAACTAAATACTCCTTACTGCTAAATGTGACCTAAACTTAGGACCTGGGGCATTTCTTCCTTTGTGAGATCTCAAACATATATAGTTCTAATGTTGTAGGGTTTGCTGGCAGTCCGGTCGAGCGGCTGGGCCTGTCCAGACTCAATAAATATGCCGAAGTACTCATAGAGCACGAAGAGTACTTTCGGTACCTAATGAGGGTTCGCTAATACCTACATGTAGGTATCAGGAATATATTTGGCACTGTCGATCAATTACCAGAACAACGGTAACTAGGCCTAAGCGCTATGGACAACAACATGCCAAGACATGCTCAACATTATCATCGATTGATACTGAGAAAACCCCAGTCAAAGGTGAATACTATTCTCCCAGACCTCGGGAATAGATCCACATCTATCAGGGTCTATTCTCCACCCAAACCTAATTGCGTGCGTGTGATTGCGCTCCAACTATAGCAAGACGTTTTTTAATGAAAGCCACCACATCTTGATTGTATTTTTTCACGTAGCCGTGGTGGGCAGCGTTACCATCCTCTGGATAGGGCGAACAGCACTGGTTATCACCATAGTCACAGTAGCTATGGATCGAGTCACCATATGGCGCACACATTGCCGAATTCATTCGAGGGGTAAGCTGGCCAATTTGAAGTCAGATGGTTATTCTATCTTTGAATGGAAGTTTGTATAGACTCACTCCTATACCAAGTATGCAGTTTCCCACATTCCAAGGCATTCCAGGGTCATATGTCTCATCTCCATATGCGATCACAGATACAACTAGATTTTTGATCAACTGGGAGTAATTATGGCACCTGCTATTGCAATCGCGTACTCGTCTTGGTGTAAAATGGCTCAAGCGGGGCAACATCAATGAATCCAATCTCGCTTGTTCCACATATAGCATCCATCATGGCAACTGCACCCTAGATGAGGATGAACTTTAGCAACTTGCATGCTACAGTGCCATTCGAGAGTTAGGTGGCATATGTGAATTGACACACACCATGGAATATCCCACCACGACAATCTTGGCTTTGGGGCAGCTGGCGACGTACTCCCGCACAAACTCCTGCATCAAAACAGCACAGTCATGAACGGTAAGACGCTTTGCTTCATCTGTTAATACATTTTCGTGATCGTAAGGTAAGCCAAGAGTGGTGGAACCGGGGATCTGCTCTAGAATGAGGTCCGAAAGCGTGCTCATCACATTGAGATCATCGCCCCCGCCCTGACCCCTGGCTATGATAGCGTGCACACTCGTTGCACATTCATTTTTTTCTACTAGCTGTGCATGAGACCGGAGCCACAGGTTTGAGATGAAAGCTAGTAACCAAATGATCTTCATGATCACGTAAATCTTGAGTTGGATTCTGTGAATGTTCTAAGGGTGAGAGTTGATTTGCCAAAAAGATATAGCGCCACCGTTTTGAGGGTGTTTCATTTGTTTTTACTTACAACCTCCGTGTTGAACATGGAGGGAGTGACTCTGTTGATCGTGGCTACACTAACTCCCCGAGGCTTGGGCATGTACCACCGTCACTTCAGGAGGTTGGATCACAGCTTCCTAGTTCATTTTGCGATTGGTATTGCTTCTAATTTAATTCAGTAGAGTTCATGCGAAGAACATACCTATATAGTAGATAAATAGATACCTACCTATATGAAGGTATATTCTTTCCTCGTGCTACAACTATATGTGGAGTGTATGGAGAAATACAAATAAAGCATTAAAAATATACGAGAGGTCCAAGATTAAGACCCAAAATCTTGTACTTAGCTTATGTTAATCGCGGTCTCCTTTTGAAGCCTATCAGCTTGGCTGACTTTTGGAGCTCAAATTTAGCCCTGGAGATCTATGCGCCGAGCCAGAGTTTCCAGAATTTCCAGAACGGTAGTACACCCGTACCAATTCAGTGCGAAGAGCTGCAGTACGCAAAACTGTAACAAAGGAAATGTGAGCTGTTTCATAGAGAGTGCTATTAGGGTTATCGCTCGGACGAACCTCAGTTGCTGGTGGGTATCACACTATCGCAATTGGATGGTACAACGTAATCTGGTTGGGCTTCACCCCAAGATCAGACACTTTGATAACAATTGAATAGTATACTATGTATAGAAACGCCAAATCTAACTATCTTCCAACATAGCCGTTGGACAGTCTGAACTCCCCCGGCATCGGGCGTGTGTATTGCGCAACGGACTTTAGATTGTCACACCGCGCACAGAGGCAATGGGTTGGTGTTTCCCCCCTTATCAGTTACACTTCGTACGCTTTGTCGACTAAGTCCCGCACGGCATTGCCCAGCTCCCGAATAATCTGGCCTGACCGAGGAATGGTGTGGCCTCGCCCGGTATCGAACATGGCTGCAGTATCAGGGTCACAAACGTTGAACAGGGCCAGTGCACCATATCGATAAGGATCTGCTTCAAAATATGATAAGAAAATGATTGATATGAGGCAAATAGATATCAACATTACCATTCGCACCGACCACATGAAGGGTCGGAACGTCCACGATATAATCACTCTCATCTGCTAAAACCACATTCTCCTCGGGCGAGAGAGGAGGCCAACCGGTGAAAAAAACTGCACACTTGATGCGGCGGAAACGCCCGGTCTCCTGAGCTTTTCTTTCTTCGTCCATAATGAGACTAGCAGCCATGGTTGCACCCTCACTATACCCAATGATACCCTCGATGTCGGGGTGCTTCTCCAGCGTGTCATAGAGATAATCCATGACTTGGTGGTGATTGTTCCAGCTGCCATCCCAGTCTTTGCCTAAAGTTCGCATCACGCCTTCGGGGCTTGAGCCATGCGGAGCCTTTCGAACACGAGAGATCATTGAGTCTTCCGCTGCTCCACCATCCTCCAACCAGCGGTAATGCGGTCCAATTCCAAAATACGCCGCGAAGCCTATAGTCTGAAATGAGTATTTGATCTAAGTGTTTGGCTTGGTGTAAACGTCACCATCCGGAGGCAATACAGGAACAGGGCCGTTGATATAGTAGAATGAGGCGGAGCTATCAAAAGCCATCTCCTTAACCAAGGGATCTTCATCATAGTCAGTGAGAGCTCTTATCGAATGGTTCAAAATTATATAACAACCAAGCTGGATGCTGATATTCTGCGAAAAAGAAAAGTCAGTATTTCATGTTTGCTCCAGAGTTATAGTTATTCCTGTCTATCACCTACGTCAATATTGCCAATGGCACCGTGAAGACAAAGGAATTTCATTATATATCTCTAAAAATCCTAATCCTGGGGAAGGAAGGTATGATATGTGCAATGAGGAAGCAATTGAAGAAGAGGAACAGAGTACAGAAATAGGGAAAACGATCAGAGTATGAAGTATAAATTACTGCTCGGGCTGTACAACAATCGTAATGAAAATACCACCAAAAACAAAGAAAAACCAAGGGAATTTACAGATATTCTGCGACAATCAACATCGTCTCAACAACGCCAAATCTACCCAAATCTACATGTTTCTACATGTTTCTACAAAATTAGCTGCAACTCAAGCCCTGGCCCCAAATACTTACAGAATTCCTATTATTTTCCACGTGTGGAGGTATATGAAATAGATCCCGAAATTGGTGTTCAAAGATGTGGGACAGCACATTTCAGTCAAAGTCGCGAATAACCACCGATCACCCAATGTTAGTCGTGCACCCTTATCGTTCTACAGTGATGGGAATGGATGGTGATGATTCCTTCTTGTTCTCGCCTGGCCGATAGACCCGAAATAGAGACAGCTTCATGGAGCTGTGTTTCCCCAAAATATCCGCAGGAGATGAGCCGAGGGGATTGAGGCATTTGCAACGCTATATAACCCTCCATATCCAGCTAGTTTCTCCAATATCTATGCGACCCTCCCAGAACGAAGTTATCCAGACTGTCTTTCCATAGCACCTATAACTATCTACCATGACCAATTTGAACGGTGCTGGTTCTGTAGATGCGCCTCACGCCGAACAAGATGCTCCCCAGCCCATTGCCATTATTGGATATGCCTGTCGGCTGCCTGGACAAGTTACATCGCCCAACGATCTATGGGAGTTATGTACTCGAGCCCGAAGTGGCTGGTCACTTATCCCCAAGGACCGATTCTCAGTCGACGCGTTCCATCACCCCAATCCATCCAAGGTTGGCTCGTTCAACCCCAAGGGAGGCTACTTCCTAGATGAGGATATCGCCCTCTTTGATGCGCCCTTTTTCAATGTTTCTGACCAGGAAGCTACTTCCATGGATCCCCAACAGCGCTTGCTGTTGGAGTGCTCGTATGAAGCTTTGGAGAGTGCTGGCATTCCCAAAGAGAACATTGCGCGCCGGAAGGTAGGTGTATTTGCTGGTGGAAATTTCTCTGATTACGAACTAAGAAATGTTCGCGATATTGAGACTATTCCCATGTACCAAGCTACCGGCTGTGCGGCCTCTCTCCAATCCAACCGGATCTCGTACTTCTTCGATTTACAGGGGCCTAGTATCACCGTGGATACAGCGTGCTCTTCTTCCCTTGTTGCTCTCCATTATGCAGTACAGAGCTTGCGAAGTGGAGAATCCGAGGAAGCCCTCGTCGCTGGCTGCCGCCTCAATATTATACCAGACCTTTTTATCTCTATGTCCATGTCTCAGTAAGTACTTATCTATCTTATCATCAATCCTCGGTCCGCTGGATCTAATTATCTGAATTTTTTAGGTTGTTACATGACGAGGGTAAAACCTTTTCTTTTGAAGAAAGAGGCACATCTGGGTTTGCACGAGGCGAAGGCGCCGGCGTTGTGATCCTTAAGCCTCTCGATTCTGCTATGCGTGACCGAGACCCAATCCGAGCCGTCATTGCCCATTCAGGAGTCAACCAAGATGGTCGAACAAAGGGTATCACTTTGCCAAATGGGCAGGCTCAGGAGGAGCTTATCCGTCGTGTCTATAAAGAGGCCAACCTCAACCCAGAAGAATGCGGTTTTGCTGAAATGCACGGCACTGGAACCAAAGCCGGTGACCCAATCGAAGCCGCTGCAGTCCATGCGGCTCTTGGAAAAGGCCGGACCCCGAAAAACCCACTTTATATTGGATCGGTCAAATCCAATATTGGGCATCTGGAAGGCACTAGTGGTATTATTTCTATTATTAAAGCAGCCATGATGCTTGATAGAGAATTCATGCTTCCAAATGCTGAATTCAAGAAGCCAAATCCTGATATTCCAATGAGCGAGTGGAATATGAAAATTTTGACAACAACACGACCCTGGCCTCCTCGCAAGAAGTACCTGAGCGTTTCCAACTACGGGTTTGGAGGAACTAATGCACATGTCATCCTTGAAAAGGCGCCCCTCGCCTCCAAAGCACCCGATAACGCCGTGGAGGATGTTGGGGTTGATCCAAAGACAAAGTTATTCCTGATCTCCGCCAACGACAAGGAGTCACTCCGTACGAGGATCAAAGACTTTGGCATTTACTTTGAGCAACACCCAGAGGTCTTTGAAAAGTCGCTCTTCGCAAATTTTGCCTACACTCTTGGAAACAAGATGTCTCAACTGTCTTACCGTGTCGGGGTCCCTGCCACTTCCCTTGACGAGCTCGGAATCCGTCTTGCGCAGCTCAAGATAAACCCCTCACGTGTACTCGGTGCTCCCATCTGCTCGTTTGTCTTCACTGGACAAGGAGCTCAGTGGGCACAGATGGGCATCCCCCTTATGCACGACTATCCTGTTTTCAAGTCCGCAATCACACGAGCCGATGAGTGCCTACGAGACCTCGGCGCTGAATTCTCCCTTATCAAAGAGCTAGAGAAGGACGCCTCCATCTCTGACATCAATTCACCTCATCTGAGTCAGCCTGCCTGCACAGCACTTCAAATCGCATTGGTGGACCTTTTGAAGTCATGGGGACTCCGTCCGGCTTCGGTGGTGGGTCACAGCTCTGGAGAAATCAGCGCAGCCTATGCTGCAGGCGTTTATGATTTAGAAGGAGCCATGGCTCTGGCATACCGCCGTGGGCAGATGACTTCTTTGCTCAAGGACACATTCCCAACCTTGAAAGGCACTATGATTGCTGTCGGCGCTAGTCGCGAGAGTGTCCAACCGATGCTCAATACTCTGTCTGCATATGCCATCGTCGCTTGTGTAAACAGTCCTTCTAGTGTGACCGTCTCAGGAGAAGTAGCAGCCATTGACGAACTTGAAAAGATTCTTCAAGACAAACATCTCTTCAACCTTCGGTTGAAGATTGATGTTGCTTACCATTCCGACCACATGAAGAACGTTGCCGGTGCGTATCTTGTGGCGATTCAGTCTATTCAGCCCTCTTCATCAGGAACAGCTGCCTTTTATTCCTCTGTGTATGGCCAACTGGCAGAGCCTTCTGAGCTTGGACCAGCATATTGGGTCGCAAACTTGACATCCCCAGTTCTGTTCTCCGATGCTTTCAGCAAGATTGCGTCGGACGACGAAACAAGGCCCAACCTTCTTGTTGAGATTGGTCCGCACTCTGCAATGAAGGGCCCTATCATGGATATCCTCAAGAGCCTGGGCCCCACCGTCTCTAAGATAGGATATACACCTACCATTCTCCGAAATGTGGACGTAGCTCAATCGGTCTTGGAAACCGCCACCGCTGCTTATGTGCGTGGTGCCACGCTTAACATGACAGAAGTGAATTTCCCTAAGACTGGTGCATCAAACCGCTGGTTCTTGAGCAATCTGCCTCGTTATCCTTGGCAGCATGGTACCCGATATTGGCATGATGCCCGAATTGCGCAGAAGCATATGATCAGAGATCGTGCCAGGAACGATATTCTGGGAGTTCTTGCAAACTACTCAAATGACCTTGAGCCAACATGGCGCAACATTGTCCGCTTAGATGAGCTTCCATATCTCCGAGATCATAAAATGCAGGGAGTGGATGTTTATCCACTGGCAGGCTACGTAAGTTTGGTTTGTTCTATTTTTTCTTGAATTATCTTGATCAGACTCAAGTTTATTGACTTATCTTAAAAGTTGGTCATGGCCATTGAAGCAGCTCGAAGACGCGCAGAACAACTTGAGATCCAGATCGCTCAATTTGAGCTTCGGGAGGTCATTGTTGGCGCGGCGCTTGTGCTCACTGATGATACTGATTCGGAAACTACGATCACGCTTCGTCCCTACGCTGAAGGCACCCGTGGATCATCTGATGTTTGGGATGAGTTCCGCGTTTGTTCCTGGACAACCAAGCGAGGATGGACGGAGCACTGTACTGGTCAAGTGCGAGTTCATTCCGGCTTCAAGCAGCAAGGGACTGCAATTACACGTCCCTTCCAAACTCAAATCAATTACACAAAAGCTCAAATTGCCAAAATCGAAGCAGCTGCCACAAATCACACTGATCTGACCCATATGTATCAAGTGCTCAGTGACCTAGGGGCCGGCTACGGTCCTATTTTCCAAGGTCTTGAGAATTGTTACGCCAGTCCTCATCATTCGCTCGCCGATTTACATGTCAGGGATACAGCTAGCGTCATGCCCAAGAATTTCGAGCCTTCCTTGACCGTCCATCCATCATTCCTCGATGGACTACTCCATCTCAGCTGGCCCATCCTTGGCCAGGGTATGGGTCGAATGGATCTGGACACGCTTTACCTGCCAACTATGATCAAGCGTGTAACACTTGATCTCAATGTCCCGACTAAGGTTGGTGAATATGTCAAGACTTACTGCAATGGCAGCCCCAGCTTACCTTCTCCTGAACCAACCAAATTCGATCTCTTCGCTACCCGGGAGGGATCTGCAGAACCTTTGATCACTATGGAGGGTTTGATAATGACGCCCCTTCGGAAAGCCGATCCTCACCACGAGGATGTCCGAAGGGTGTGCTACAAATTTGAGTGGCATTCCTTGGCCGAGGTAAGCTCTAGTGGAGCAGATAATCAAGACTCTAACGACCAAGCGCAAACCAATGGTAATGGAGAGACACATGAAAATGCGCATGCAGATAAGGATGGCACCAAACCCAAGCGTAATATATTCCTGTCGAGCTTCGGAACATCCGAGGGCATTGCCGAGAAACTGAGCAATATGCTATCCGGAACAGCAGACTGGGAGCCTTCTGTTGATACCTTTGGCAAAGCGGATTACTCCCGTAAGCATATTGTTTTGCTCCAGACCGGTGCTCAATCTCTTCGAGATCTCACCGAGGAAGATTTTGAGTGTCTCAAGAAAGCCCTGCTCAGCGCACAAACCGTACTGTGGGTTTATCGGACCGATTTACCTGATGCTCAAATGACAGTCGGTCTGACCCGTACTTTGCGCTCGGAAACATTGGCCAAGATTGCTACGCTTGGATTGGCCCCTGAAGACATCGAATCCCCGGAGAAGCCAATTCAGGCAGCGATCAACGCTCTATGGCCTACAGATGGAACTGAGCCTTCCAAGGACTTTGAATTCACCGCCAAGGACTCGGAACTCTTTGTCCAGCGCATCGTGGAAGATGATGCAGCTAATAGTTTTGTTCACAATGAGACACACGACATGGCAATCTCAAGTCAGCCTTTCAATCAACCTGGGCGACGTTTCAAGGTTCAAATCGGTAACCCTGGTGCTCTGGATTCCGTTTACTTTGTTGATGACAGTCCACCACCCCTGGGCGAGAACCAGATCGAGCTAGTGGTGAAGGCAACCGGTCTTAATTTCAAAGACATTGTGGTTGCTATGGGCCAGCTTGCTCAGCCTTATATTGGGATTGAATGTAGTGGCATTGTTTCCAGTGTAGGCTCAAATGTGAATGATATCAAGGTTGGACAGAAAGTCATGGCCTTACCAGAAGGCAGCTTCTCAACATACGCGCGCTGCCTTGCCACCAGTGCTGCGAAAATTCCAGCCGAAATGTCGTTTGAGGTCGCAGCCACTATCCCTGTCGTGTTCTGCACTGCATACTACGCACTATTTGACCAGGGCCGGCTGCAACCCGGTGAGCGCGTGCTGATTCACGCCGGTGCCGGTGGTGTCGGCCAAGCTGCCATTATGATAGCGCAGATGGTCGGGGCGGATATTTTCGTCACGGTCGGAAGCCTTGATAAAAAGCGACTCTTGATGACTCAATACGGAATTTCCGAAGATCGCATCTTCTACAGCCGTGACTCTTCCTTTGCCCGTGGTATCCGCAGGGCTACTGGCGAGGCTGGTGTGGATGTTATAGTCAATTCCCTGGCAGGGGATCTTCTGTGTGAGACCTGGGAGTGTTTGGCGCCATTTGGTCGTTTCGTCGAGATTGGCAAGGCTGATATCACTAAGAATACTCGCCTTGACATGCAACCGTTCGAGTATAACACCACTTTCTCGTCGGTCGATTTGACCAAGATTGCCAAGTTCAGACCGCAGCTCATGAAGCGTCTGATGGGAGAGGTTTCTCAGTTGATTGCCAAGGGATCTGTACATCCCATAGTGCCAATTACGACTTATGGTATCTCCGATATTGAGAAAGCGTTCCGTACTCTGCAAATGGGTAAGGGTATGGGTAAGATTGTCGTTGTCCCTCGCGATGGTGATCTAGTCAAGGTAAATAGTTTTTTTATACTTGGAAATTGATACACAAGTCTAATGCAAACTCTTTTTTTCGCAGGCCGTGGCGCCCAAGACCAGCTCGACTTTGCTTCGCGCAGATGCATCATACATCTTGATTGGGGGTACGGGTGGTCTGGGTCGAAGCATGGCCAAGTGGATGTCCTCTAAGGGGGCTAAGAATATCGTTCTTGTGTCGCGCCGGGCAGCGATAGACCACAAGGTGCAAGCATTGATTGATAACTTGGCTCCCTTGGGAGTACGAATCGTCGTCAAGGCTTGTGATGTCAGTAGTCTGCAGTCTGTCGAGGCCCTGGTCAATGAAGAGATGAAAGACCTTCCCGCTGTGAGAGGTGTCATCCATGGTGCAATGGTGCTTCGAGTAAGTCTTTCGCCACGCTAAATATCGGTTCAGCTTTGAATAAATTCCGATGCTGATTTGTACCCAGGACATGCTGTTTGAAAATATGTCTCTTGACGACTTCAACGCCGTGGCATTCAGCAAGGTTGAAGGAGCCTGGAATCTGCACAACACGTTGATCGATTCACCGCTAGACTTCTTTATTGCGCTTTCATCTGTTGCCGGTATAGTCGGCAATCGCGGGCAGGCGGCATACTCCGCCGCGAATGTATTTCTAGATGGATTCATGGAATACCGCCGGTCCCTAGGTCTCCCAGGAACATCTATTGATCTTGCTGCGGTCAGCGACGTCGGTTATTTGGCCGACAGCGATGCCCAGCGACGTCAAGAAATATTGAAGAACATTGGCGGTCAAACTATCGACGAATCAGAAGTTTTAGCTCTTGTGGCAGCCGCACTGACCGGTGCTCTTGATCAATCCTGCTCTGGTCAGTGCATCACAGGATTGGTACTGGACTCCCTGGAAAACAATTTCTGGGTTCAAGATCCCAAATTCATTGTTCTGTACGAGGCAGCCAAGGAGACGCTAGGAAACAACTCTCAGCGCAATGGCCCCTCTGTTTCATTGCAGGTGACATTGCAGGGTGCTTCTTCCAAGCAGGAGGCATTGCAAGTGTGCTACGAGGCGCTGGCCGCCAAGTTGGCACAAGTACTTGTTCTTTCTTTGGAGGATATGGACCCCTCGATTACGATTTCTTCATTGGGTCTTGACTCGCTGGTGGCTATTGAGATCCGAAACTGGATTGCCCGTGAAGCCAATGCCAATGTGCAAGTTCTAGAGCTTTTGTCCAGTGGCAGTTTGATGGCTTTGGCAGAGATTATCTTAAATAAGTCTCAGGCGTATACTCGTACCGAGTAGAAATTGGGCCACGGCAATATACGGGCCGTTAGATCTGTATATTTACTATGTTATGTCATTATGTGCAAAAAGTTTTTGACTGAAAACTTTGCTTTCAGAACTTCACCGTGTAAAATAAAGATCCCAAGACCGAACCCAAACCCGATGATTTTTTTGGAAGTCCTCAAGCCAACATCCCGAAGTCGATGTCATTCAATCAAATCCAAATCACAAGGTACATTATGTGGGAGATTTGCGAGATTTGCCAAGCAAGCCAAGCAAGCCACGCAACCAAACTTCCACCCGCTGCCAATCGGGTTTGAACTGAAACGCAGCAACTCCATGATCGGCGCTCACCCACACTCCGTCTGAATCTTGAAGAGATCAGTCAGCGGATATAGAGCCCCGAATTGTTCATTCTAACCCTGTTTTGATACTGCGGCCTTATAGTCTTGCAGATTCACTCATATCTCGACCAATGACATGCCATGTATTCTATATATGTGGGAATTCCAAGGAACGCCCTTTGTTAAAGCCTGCAGATTAAATGCTTCAAACCTGATTGCTTCTAGAGCCAAAGCCGTTCTATAGACCTCGACTCTGAATGACCCAATGAGCTTGATACTGTTACGCTTGGATCTTTCTGATTGATTACTAGCCTCTGTGTGGGCTTATTCATGGCCTTGCAGACTCTCCACAGCCCCTTAGTTATTCCCAGATAACCACCCCGAAGATGGGACTATTGAGCCAGAGAACAGTCTAAGCATTGCCAAGGCCTTAATAACCCGCAGCTTACGCAAAAGACCACGACGGGAGACACATACGACACAAGCAATGGAGTCTCTTGGCCCTTTTCAAAGACATATAAAGCCAATGTAAAATCCCAATTATCAATCACTCTGCAAATAAAAATTCATCATTTCTGAAGGGCCATGCAAATTACCAAGCTTCTTACAGCCGCAGGGCTAATCGGCCTAGCAGCAGCCCACCCTGGCCCTCACCACCAACCCAGCAAACGCGAGATAATTAGACGCCATGAGCTCTCATCCCGCTGTGCCTCCAACGTGGCAACCTTCAACTCCAAGCGCATAAAGCGCAATCTCTCAAAGCGCTTCCCAGGCTCCGCAAACACAACCTACCAAATCCAGTCCGAAGCTCCATACTATCAGACCATCCAAAACGACACCTGCGTGCTCACCCCCGAGGTGACTGAAGGTCCGTACATCTGGCCGCAGTCACAGACTCTCCGCCAGGACATGACCGAAGACCAGCCCGGCATCCCGCTGTGGTTGGACGTCGGTGTGCTGGATATGGAGACCTGCGAGCCACTTGAGGGTGTGCTTGTTGATTTCTGGCACTGTAATGCTACGGGCTCATATTCTTCTTTCACCGGGTTGTCGCCTAACACGCCTTTTGCGGAGTTGCTTGAAGATCTGAATGTTACTATGACTGGTGATTTGGACTTGCACACCGATGACACTACTTGGTTACGTGGAATGTGGCCTACTGATAAGCACGGTATGATGGAGATGAAGACAATTTTCCCTGGTAAGTAGCTCTTTTTCCTATCTTTACCTATGAGCGGTAAATCCAAGTACTACATAGGAGCAACGCTGATAATATCAGGCTTCTACGTTGAAAGAGCAATCCACATCCACGTTCAGGTGCACACTGACTGGACTGTCCGTGGAAACGGCACGATGGCTTACGGCAACACTGTCAGCACTGGCCAGATCTACTTCGATGAACCATTATCGAAGAAAATCATGGCCCAGGAGCCTTATGCCTCGCACACACAGATCAATCGTACTACCAATGCTGTGGATAGTGTCTTTGAAGGTGATACAGATAACGGATATAACCCTGTCGTTTCAGTTATTCCGGTTGATGGCAATGATGTTACCAAGGGGATGGTTGGATATATCACTATTGGTGTTGATAAGTCTAAGGTTGAGTAGATGTGACATTATTGTGATGAGATGGAGATATACGTGCCTGGACTGTATAGTTTGTTTTTTTGTTTGAAGTCACGACATGGAAACTCTTGGGATGTGATGTGATTGATGAGCGTAAGAGAGCCATCATAAGATACAAAGTACGAATTCAAACATGTATAGATGAATTGCAAATGTAAATCATAAGAGATTTTGGACTTCACAACTTATATAGGTAGCACGAACTGCACTGATCTGAAGCACAGTCATCATGCAGACCAATGACTTCAGTATAAGCACTCTATACCTAAGGGCTAACCAATAGCATTTACAAAGCATACTGTATACATATGTAATTACAATTTACCAAGCAATACAACACCTACCCACCTCGCCCTCAATCTCAGGAAGACTCACCTAGGCACTTCTAGTCAATGTTAGGCAATGTAAATATGTTGAGAAAGATCATGAACAGGATCAAATGAACGAATACTTCAAGAAATCTACAACAAGCTGCATGCCGTAAGTTCAAAGAGAAAAAAATTATATGAAAGCCATTAAAATAAACGGCCATAGACACAAAACCGGATTCCATCCATCCGGAATGAATAAACCTGCAGACAACATTGGTAGACCCATGAGATTCCAGACCCCAAACTCCATGTAAATGCTAACAAAAGTCAAATAAAAGCGAAAAGATGGCAGAGTAAGCAAGAGAGATACCCTCGCAACTCCCATCCGGGAATGCCCATGCAGAAAAAGCCCATACGGACCCATCACACATCATGCGCCGATCAAAGGACAGTAAAAAGATAATCACAAGAAGGCAGCTCGAGATCTATGCTCGTAGATTTATGCATCACTCATATCGGAAACCAAATTACTGCTCAGCAGCTTTTTCGGCCATCGCCACAGCAACCGCAACAGCGGCACCGAGGATGGCGCTCTCAGGTGCGGGGTTGAGGCGAATGGCCGCTCCCATGCCGGGGTGCGTCACCTCGGTCAATTGGTTCAGGTAGTTCTGGCAGGTGTCGCGGAAACCGGGGTATTTGTTGATGACTGTGCCGTCGCAGGCGATAGACAGGTTCTTGGAGGAGTCTCCGCTTTCAACGACGGTGATTTCGGGTGACTCTTTATCGAGGGAGTCGGTCATTGGTGTCGTGGGGAATTCTACCTCGTTGCGTAGACACCACATGCTGTGAATGGCGGTTGCCAAGTAGCCTGCTGCGCGGCGGGATACCGTTTGGCAGACACGGCGTAGGAACCGGAGGTCTTCAACGGAGGGGAGGTTGGCGAAGTTGTGTTGCTTTTGCAAGAGGGCGGCAGATGCGGAAAGAGATGCAGAGGAGTCCTCCTCGATGAAGGCGACAATGCTTGTGTCGAAGGAGTAGGCTTCACGCATGGAGCGCGGTAGCTCGCCGTTGAATAGACGGGTTGTTTCAACGGCCTCGACGACAATAAGACGTACAATCTCGCCCAAGTAACGACCTGTGATCATGTACTCAAGTGGCTGGTAGTCTGGGCGTAGGTGGGTGCGATTCAATAGATCGTCCCAGCGGGTCATGGGCAATACGCCTCCGCCGAACATGCTCATCTCGCTGTTGATGATGACGTGCTTGGCGTAGTCGAACCAGCCCTCTGGACGGACTCCGAACTTGGCCTTTCCAATCTCTTGTACCGGGAAGTGGATTGCCATGTTGGTTCCGGTGCCCAGAATGAGAGACATGCGGGTGTCGGGGTCGACATAGGCACGCGACAGGAGAGCCGCAGACCCATCATTCACAATAGCCGCAACTTCTACGTTCAAATTGCGCTTGCGGCATGACTGGATAATAAGATCTCCCAGCTCCATGCCTACCGTTCCGACGGAGGCCTTGAAACCCTTGCCCATGTGAATCACCAATCCGCTGCCGTGCGAGGTCTGTTCGATTGGGAAGGACCAGGACAGACCCATTGCTAGCGGCACCTCGCCACGTCCATAATCGGCTCCAACTTCCTTCAGAACGATCTCAATTTGACCTGCCATCCAATCAAAGAACTTCGTTCCTTCGAGCATTTTAACGCTATTATCGATGTACGCAGAGGACACCTTCAGGATGCGCACTTCCTTATCTCGGCCGTTCAACTCGATCAGCGACACGCGGAATGTCGACCCACCCACGTCCAATGCGAGATATGTACCCTTTTCCGTGCCAGCGGGAAGTGTAGTATCGTAGGAAGGGAGCATGCAGCAGGGGCTGTTCTGTAGGCAATCACGGAACTGGGCGCGGATCTGCTCCGACATATCGATCATGTTGCGAGTTGAGAGGGGTGTTGAGCAGGCGGTTTCCACTTCATCGGCGAAGTCATCGAGGGAGCGGCGTTTCCAATGGGCACCGAGGAAGGGCTTGCGGCGGCGTCGCGAGAATCCGCGGAAGAGGGACGGGAAGAGGATCATGTTTTCGAGTGCGGCGACCACGTTATGGAAGAGTTCTTGCAATCGGTGTAGGACCTTGACCAGGGTCGACATGGTAAGGCGATAGATCTGTTTATGGGATCATGGGCAGGGTTATAAGGGGAGTTGAAGGTCGATGTGACACTGCCACTGTGGTGAGTGGATCGGAGTGTTGCAGAAGCTTGCAGGAGCAGTAAATCCCCACTGGGAAGAGAATAGAGAAGAGAAGAGAAAATAATAGGGTCAACACCCAAAGCATGGATCAGCATTGGCCCATTCTTGAGTTGACAGTGTCACCGCAAGTGCAACTCTTTTGGAAGCCCTTGCGGTGATGTATTGTATTGTAATTGTAATTTATTAGTTTCACTTCTAGGTTACGTATGTAGTAGTAGAGCATCAAACAATATTTTCGCAACATTTAACTACCCATATGTGCAACATATATATCACTAGTTATATAAATAGTTAATTCAAGCTATAATTGTAGTAATACTTTTACTACCATTTTTGTCCATTTAAGAGTCGCAGTCAAATAATGTCCACTCTTTGCGGATAGATCATTGACAAGTAGCTAATTAGATTACCATGTCACCAGTATATCTATCAAGAAGTAAATAGAGTGAATAGACTCATCAGAATTAGAGTAGAATTAGATAGATTACATATGTAGCTAGAAACAAAAAAAGAAACCCAAAAAAACAAATCTACAAACAGTAGTTCCAAGCTCTATATAAATAATACCAATACAGACATTCTTGTATACATACCCAATGACCCCCTTGAGTGCAACGGTGGTAGTCGGCCTGGGACCGTTACACCGATGTGGAACTACTTAACTAACCATTAGTTACAATACTTGGAGGAAGGTTTTTATTCCTTGAGTTAATATTTAATTCCACCTAACATATAGTCAGAACATTATCCATACATATGTGGCAATCTACTCGTGAATCTGAAACATCTGCCCCGGTCTAATACCCCAATCTGTATACTATGCACTGTAACCACGGAGTATCCTGTGTGGACTTGTTTCTCCTTTCTTCCACCTGAGCATCATCGCTCCTAAATTCGACAAAGTAACCGGGGCATGAGGTACCTACGTACCATGATACCTTGATTCATGTAGACTCTTTACCCGACTACGGGGTGCAAGGTCTCCTGTTGAGCCTCATTAACCGCGGGCGGGTAGCCGAATACCGCCGTGTCAACTAATACCCAGGGCTTTAATTATCTGATTCTTGACTTGGTTTCATCATATACAACCTGATTGTGATCTCCACAAATCTCATAAATTTCGCAAATGGAAATAAACCATGACATCATTTGCGTGCAAGTATCGCATCATATGGGCCAAACTATACACAATAGGGATCAGAGGCACATTCCCAGAGGCATCTCAGAGCCCCATTAGTACTAAATGAGGATGTTCGTCGAACAGGTACATGACAAAGGTGACGATATCCACAGAGGTGAGCTCATCTTCACAAAATTGCGAGCAGGGTCGCATGAAGGCAAGGTAGGATTTCTATGGCAAATCCTTCTGTAAGACTGTTAGAAGGCTACAATGATCGTTCAGGATGAAGCCAGTGATCATCTAGCTGCCTAAAGGCAAGTCTAACACAATTGATGCAATGCTACTATAGACTAGGGATCCCATTCCAGTTTCAATCCTCCGAGAGCAAAGGTTTCTGAGTGATCCACGCCACTCCATATGGGTGATTCACGCGGACCAGCATGGTCATCGAGTTGCTCGGAATACGAGCACATTAGAGAAGTATTCCAAGACGATTTGTTCATCCTGGTCTTCGATGCATGTGGTGTATTGAAGTTAAAGTTCAAGACGCTCGAGAAAATAAAGCAAGGGTCATCGCACTTGGATTCCTTCGGTCCACCAGGATACTACATGTCCAGTTGTCTGAGGTTCTGTCAAATACCGTTTCTTGAGAAATGTCATAATCTCCAAGTCACAGGCGTGTCCGGATGACATCTGAAACAACATTCTTCAAAAAACACAGGTAGACATCAAACCCGGCTATACGCCGAGCAAATCGGTGAGGTGGCTGGTAAAGCTAGAAAAGCATAATTTTAACCTACACTCGGCAATTGATCCTGGTCAATTAAGCTAGAGGGAAGATCCAAGCTTCCAGTGGTGACCTGGCATTTTGGATATGGTTCCATGTCAGCTCCTCATACTCTCGTTCCCACAAGCTAACCTTATCGATAGATTTGCCATTTCTACAAGACAACTTCATAGTTCCGTAGCCATTCCTCTTACCATTTCTACTACTACATTGTGCGTTACTTACATTGTTTTCATTCTCTTAATGGGTAGAAAAAAGGAAGTGGAGAAAAACAAGGGGGAGTGAAAGGGGGGGGGTTTATTCACGCTAACCCCATCGGATCTTCTTCAGAAATGCTTTCCACCTAACACTAATTGAATATGACACCCTGTAGAATGGTAAAGTCTGAATAGGACGAGGATGTGAAAGCATATTCAGTGGTAGGCGGTTGGTTCGGCGCGAGGATGGAACAGTCCCTCTGTCGGAGACTAAGCTAGAAGATGCATTTGTGCCTGGCCATAGTAGAGTTTGTGGGACACTGCAAAGAAGAAGATGGGGGAAAGAGTACAACTTCAAACATGAAAGGGTCGGGATTGGTACAAATGCTCTTCACGGGACTCTAACAATGTTTAACTAGATTAAGTTGCTTGGCCTCAAATCTGCAGGTAGTTTTCTCCTTTTCTCCCTTTTTCGCTTAGCGAGACTCAATTCGACACTGATGGAGAACAATATATAGGTTCACAATGTCATGCGGAGGGCCATGAATGTGACTAATGTGCTAATAGCAATCCTGAAACAAACAAAGATTTAGTTTACGTTGTAGCATATCCCTATCTAGGTATCGATTTCTATAGCTGACATCATCGATATTGGTACTGCATTCCAAGGTTGGTGGTGCACATACTTTATGTTTCAGGATACCCAGGTAGCCTTCTATTATAAATGAAGCACTGACAATACTTACGTCTAAATATGTATAACCAACAAGTTCATGTCCATGAAGGCCCACGTGACCAGGCTTTATCAAGCCATGAGGTTATAAAGAGAAACAACAGATTAGTGCAATAGACACCACCAGCACGTTGAATCAGACAAGAAAAATGCATAAATGCATGCTTCACACAAGCTGCGTGATCTCAAAAACCCTGGAACCTTCAAAGACCTCGGGAATGGCTCACCGTTAGTCATGTTGTGTGGACTTCCCAATCAAGAATCACCTCGAAAAAAGAATCGCGACCTCGGGACAACTGCAGGATTCACTTGTGCTCCCGAGGAAACGGGCTTAGCAGGCTTTTAACCACTCTGCCGAAGCGCGAATGCAAAGTTCATCGACAGGATGATGCTTGTAGTAAGAGTGTACATTCCGAGCTTTCGTTGAAGGAATCCATGCATTCTATGTCTATGCACGCTAACCAAACTTGCGAAACACCATGTGTGTTTCCTAATAGCTACATATATCAGTTCTGGGGTGACTCAGAGGCCGTATAAATCTGGACTGAATTGCCCAGATAGGTGAAGTCATAGTTATTGCGGGTTTGAGCGATGGGTGTCGATATATATGTGTATATGTATTTGCTGCGAGGAATGTCCAATGGACCAAGTTAGCAAAGTACCTAGTATAGCAGACCAAATTTGGATCAAATCAGATAACTTTTCACTTTTGAGTCCAGAAGCATTCTGGGATGGCTCAAGTGAGTCAATCAATGAAGCGGTGTTGAAGTCACTTTGTCGAGGTTGGACTCCAAGTAGGCATGAAGAAGTATCATAGCGAACGAAGAAACTCCAACCAGAATTAGAACCAGTTTAGAATAACCCTACAGCTAGAAGAAATCCATCGAGCAAACCACATCCAATACTTTATAAAACAAAAAAATCACATGTAAACAGCCGCCAACGCCAAAGCCCAGGGTATCAGATGCAGATGAAAAATGCGCAAAGAATACCAACCCAAAAGAACAAAAGAGAGAGCTAAATATAAACAAGAACAAGACCGGGGCAGGGGGGGGGGGCGCAAGGCCTAATAAGAACAAGAGTGCAAGTTTATCCAGGAAAGAAAGGAGGGAGCTAGGCAAGTTCAAAGAATCAACGAATCATGCTCCTCATCTGACAGATTTCTCAAAAACCTCAGATCGCGCTCCTTCTTACTCAAGACACACCTCGGATCCCCCTCCAGGCGATCCTCAGACATCCACTCACTGGGAAAATCCGTCAGCCCAACACGCTGACCCCACTGCCTTCGCTGATACTGCATGAAACCACCGAAATGACGATCAGTGTTCGCAACCCAGATCTCACTACCACAAGGGGAGTAATCCGCGCCGCCGATTTCACCAAAAAAGTCATGGACCTGGCGAGAGCGAAAGAGCTGTGCATCGATGATGGAGATGCGATCTGCAGGCTCGGTGCAGAGGAGGGTTCTGGGACCGCCGCCGACAGGCGAGAACCGTAGAGAGCGGTATCCGGCGATGTCGGAATCAATTGTTTCGAGGGGCCGCCAGGTTCGCGCGTCCCATATAATGACTGTTTTGTCTTGGTTTGCGGTTGCGATGTGCCGCATGTCGGGGGACCAGGCGCAGGCAAAGCCGAAGTCGCGGTGTCCGCGGAGGGGATGAACCGGTCGGCCTGTGTCAGATTCGATGACCCATGCGTCTGGGGAATCGCCTATTACGACGCGCAGACGGGAGTCTGGGGAAGTGGCGGTGCAGTTTATTGGTTGGGAGAGTTCCTGATCGGAGAGGAAGACGTTGGTTTCTGTGTCGAGGATTCGAAGGTGTTTGTCGTTTGAGGCAAAGACGCCAATGGGCGAGGGACCGGTGCGATTAGGAATGATGTCGACGTGATTTGTTATGCCGTCGTTGAAGTCGGGGGTTACGAGGCCCCTGGTGCCGGCGCCGCCCATCGAGCTGCGTAGAGCGTATTCGCCACAGAAACCGCCTGCGATTGTGAGGCCGTGTGCTGTTTTCACCGTGGAGATCTTGACTGGGCCAAGGAAGCCCGAGTCTGGGTCTGCCTTGCTTAGGTCAATGAGACAGGATGCGTCGCCGGTGGTCGGGCTCCATGAATACACCTTCGAGCGGCAGGCGAAATGGACTGTGTTATATGCAGGGGCCGACATCAGGTTGCGAAGCTGGAAATGCTCAATGGACGCCTTGTGGGATGTGTGCATAGAACCTTCCCGGAAAAAAGATTCATGTCGTGAAAGACGTTTGGCATGATTGAGGTGCGAGTAGTCCAAGTTGTGATACGAGGTGTACCAGGCGTCGCGTATCGCTCTTGCATCGGCCCGTTTGACCCGTAGGGTTTCTGTCCACGGGATCTGTTGTAGATCATAAAACTCCCGTCTCCATTCATGGGGGCGCACAATTTCCCGTGGGGGCTTCCAGCTGATCATTTTTGACAACGGACGGAGCTGAGGGGGAATTCGACTTTCGGAATGGAATCCTTGAGGAATGATGTTTGTTTGAACCATCCATCGCTGAATAAATTCGTCAACAGTAAGGTTCCGCTCATAAGCTAGAGAGAATATCAGCTTTCAAGTCCTTGCTGCATGAGAGTGTGTTATCTTACTGGAAGTGTGTATTATAGATGCCGGATGAGGTCCGGGTTCTGTTTGCTCGGCCACGTGGTTCTCAGTCAGATCGTGGACAGATCCCCCAAGGGACTGGGGGAGATCTACATCAATGTCCTCGTAGTTGATGGTGTTGTAGAAATCGTCCAAGTCAAAGTCTACCATTTCAGAATCGTGCATCGGGCGTTGCTTACGCAGGTTGTAGTGTTCTTCCTCATCCGGGTAGAATCGGATGAAATCTTCAAGCTCATCATCTGATTCGGAAGGAGAGGGGTTGGCTTCCATAGTCGTGGACTCGTAATCCATGACCATGTCCTTCTGAGATTCGATATCACTGTCTTGCGCAATAGCGATATTGTGCAGGCCTGTGGTGCGGTGGATCAAAGTCTGAATAGATCCTTCCATATTCACATCGCCACCCGGATACAACCCGTGACCAAACACAAAATCCGGTCTAGCCAGAAGGGTGGGATCATAGCTTCGGTCTGGCAGCAAAGAGCCTCCCGAATCCAAAAGTCTAAATTCCGGCAGACTGCCGGAGGCAGAGGTCGCTACAGCGTTCACAACCTCCGACACAAGAAATGAACCACCTTGCTCATTCACAACATGCGGGAACTGTGACACAGCAGCAAGCGCAGGAACATCAACATCATGTGAATGGCGGTCGATATCGGAAGCCAAGTTCGTTGAAGCCGAAGTCGAGCGATCGTCGTTGGAAAATATATCCGAACGGGGGGTCGAATGTAGGGTCGACGCATCGTCTTCCCGGGTGGATAAACTATCCCCGGAAGAGTGAGCTAAATTCATGACTCTCGGTTGACGTGACTGAGCGTCGATGCTATTTGACACATGGCGCGGCGATGCGGGATCTCGAAAGCGGGCCGCGAAGTCGAGGCGATTCGAAGCGGATTGACAGTTACTGAAATGAAGCATCGCCCGCCATGGACAGTTGATCCAAGCTATTAAAAAAAGTCCACCGAGTCGCCGACCCAAAGGTACGTTATTTCGGTTCAATTATCCTGCTTCAGGTACCGTGCAGCCAGTGGACGGATGATCAAGTCCTAAAATGGTAGACGGCAGGGATGGCAGGGATGGCAGGCAGCGGTGGTTGCGCAAGCTGAGGAACGGTCCAGTAATCAGTAGTAACGCTGTATCTCAACCTATGGCCGCGTCAATCACAGATCCTGGCTCCTTGTTTCGTCGAGTATTCAGTCGCCTTGCAGCTGAATGCTGACTCGCAGTGTGGGGGGTAACCACACTGCACGACTGCGTGGCGCACTGGCTCCCGCCTATAGAGGGACAGTATGCGGAATGCGGAATGCAGAATGCGGGCGAGACAGTAATGTCGAGTCAACCGTGGTTAGGGAAGTCGGGGAGAAGGCGGAGTTGAGGATCAAAAATTCCAGGGATAATTTAGCGTCCAGCGGCCTTAGATATGAAACATCAAAAAGGTGGCTGATTGTTAATCCAAAATGGGGGGTAATGTCCAGTGAGAAAAGCGGACAGTGCACGGTACAGTTTTCCGAATGGCGCCTGTCAATGAATGTGACTCGGACGCAAGGAATGACCGAAGTGGAAGGGATTAGTATTTCTCGGAAGAACGTGGGTAAGAACGTGGAGAAAGGACGTCAGTTGATTCTCGATAAGCAAATGAGATAAGTATGTGAGATGACGATTTAGTGTAGTGCACTGCCTCCATTTGATTTGATAGAAATCAGGTCAGATCAGAAATGGCAACCTGCATAATCAGAAAAGACGATGGTCAGATCAAAATCATCAGAACGAGGGGAAAGGCGTGCAGCTTGGACTTTTAGTCAGCAGTTCTGACTTCCAGGGCTCTGAATCTACATGTAGGTAGGGCCTAGCTCCTTATGTAGATAACTACAACTACATCTAGTTAGTTATAAGAAGTTGTGTAATAACTGGTTAAGTGTTGGTATAAAAATGAATCAAACAGATATGTCAGTAATTTCTATCCTACTAGTTGATCTCTCTATACTGTATATACTGTAGATGAGCCTCGCATATGTAAATAATAATGCAGGGAGCGACGCACTGCAGATCCAACCAGGACAAGCCAGGTGACCTGCGCTTTGATCCTGTTGGGCACATTTTGGGCTGAACACCTCGAATCAGCAATAAGGGGCTTAATTTGAGTAAAAAGTCTGCCTGGCACAGCGTATGGATCATGCTACTTACTTTATTCTAGCAACTATTCTATGCTTCTTGCTTATAATATTATATTTTCAATCACTATCAATGGTCAATACTTTGTTCAATCGCTGTACAGTTTGAGATGGCAAAAGTGCTCATTGAAGACAGAAATAGAAAAAAAACAAAGGCAGCAATGATCAACTTGTCAATCAATTGTGTAATGCGTTAAGCCCGCTCCGAACTGTATTATAAAGTATTTCTGAACGCCGGTATGTAGATAGTACAATAAATCACATCGAACTTAAATATCTTCCGGAGAGAAAAAATAGGTTTCAGGTAAAGGATGATAAAAGTAACAGCGAAAGCAAAGAGAAAAAAACAGCGCTAGATGGCTTTCGTCTCTCGTTAATAATGGGAGTAAGTCTCGTAGTGCGATGGATAGGGATCCGCTTGTTGAGCCCATGCAGTATTGCGCAGGCGGCGTTCTGGAATGAGTTAGAAAACAAAAGTCTTCAAACGGCCGGGAGACAAAGCTTACCTTTTTCGAAATCCCGCCACCTCTTCATCGTGATCTTGGTACTATCAAACTCGCCTTCGGCATCACCGTGGCCCTTGTCTTTCTCGCCGGCAGTCTTCCGCGTATCGCCCCAACTGAAATCATCGAATTTCCAGAACGCATAGGTTGGTAGAACGAAGTTCCAGATTGGGAGGGAGATGAGATAAATCAGCATCCAGAGTACGTAGACAAGTCTGTGCGCAGTCACAACAATCAATACACCAGGCAGACCTAGGATCAGAGCCAGAAGAACTAGCGGGATGACCTGTACGGGTTTTCTGACAATGGAGGAGATGACGACGTAGATGGTGAAGGAGATAGCGGCAGGGAGGACAAGAGTTCCGACCAACTCGATGAAGATAACAAATTGCATGCTGAAGCAGAAGGTTCCGCAGAGATCGCGCACGAGAACGAGTTCAAAGAGATTGTGGACAGTACTGTTGATCCAGCGACGACGCTGGGAGAGCAGGACCATGAAGGCGTCTGGGACGACGGTTTTGCAGACAGCTTGGGGGACGAAGATTTGTTTGCGCTTGGGGAAAGTTTTGAGCATCAGAGTTGTGAGGTAGCGATCCTCGCCCAGAAGGAGCAGGTTCTTTTTGTGCAGTGTGTCGACGACATTTTCGGAGTAGTGCTCGACGATATCTGGATTGGCGAGGATCGGCACCCAGTAGTTCTGGCCGCCTTTCGGTGCTTTGATTCGGTACATGGTGAAACATCCTGGCAGACAGGTCACACCACCGAAGATGGATTCGAAGGATTTGGCTTGGTGGTGAGAAATAAAGTACCTGTTGTGGGATTAGCTTTACCTTTAAGAAACACAGTAGATGGTGGAGCTTACTCGAAAACCTGGATCATGGTTACCCAGCTGTCAGTCTTGTTGGCGATCTTGGTTTCTCCGCAGAGACCCATGATTTCTGGATCTTTCACCATGGCCGAAACCATGTGTGTAAGACTATCGGGGAAGACTTTCGTGTCGGCGTCAACCATAAGAACGACTTCATAGAAATCTGGTGGGATGCCTGTGACGTTCCACATGCCATTGAACATCTCGAATTCGAGCTCTGTCATACGTTCATCGAACATGACCTTCTGAAGGAAAGACATGAGGATGATCTGACTATCTCGCTTGCCTCGGTTACCGGGTTTCGACTGGGTGGATTCCTGGGGAGTTCCACATTTAACAATGACCATCATGGGAACACGCTGTTGCTTTTCCGTAGGAATGATCGACGTATCACCGTAGTCGTAGAATCCAGTGTAAACTTTGGCCATATTGTGTCGCTTGGAACCAGTAGCCACGGCCACGTAGGAATAAGGCTGGACTTCATCCATAGGAACGACAGGGTCTTTCATCATACCGAGCACAATATCTGGCGTGGAGAATTCCTCTCCTTTACCCTTGATGATACCATCACAGATGACAAGAATCGTCTTGTGGCTGTTCGGATAGTCGGTCATGGCAAGGGAATCCAAAGTTGACCGGATACCTTCCTCGCCCTCGGAGTAACAAGTGACCAGACAAAGAGAATGCGCGAGAGGATAACCAAATGGCTGCCATTCAGGTGGAGGTTGGGGGACGACTGCCTCGTGGATGAAACCAGCAGGTCCGGGACCATCATGATCCGCCATGAGTGTCGCGTAGCCTGGGTCTTGACCTGGGGGAAGTAAGCTGGTTCGGCTGGCTGCATGATTATTCCGGGAGTTCTCAGCACTCAGTGTACCACCACTGCCATTGTGGCTCAACTTGTACATTGTGTCGGGATTCGAGTTCGGCATGAGTCGAGAAGTCGAGTTCTGACTGGCCATAGTGACGTACATGGGCCTTTGCTTGCTGCCTGTGCTGCTGCTCACATTGTAAGGACTGGAGAAGCGGGAGGTAGTGGGCAAGAAACTGGCGCGTTTGCTCATGCGATCGGGAGCAACAGGCTCCGTGATTCGGGGAGCAGGTCGGTAGATATCGTTGGACCAGTCTTCAATCTGCTGGTTACGAGTTCTGGCATCAGAGGCCATACTCGTGCTTTGAGCGGCAAATCTGGGTGCTAGGAACCACTGGAACAGCAACGCGAAAGCGAATTTAACCACCACAATAGAGAGAATGAAGATCAGGGACACGTAGAGCACGACCTTGGAGGCGATGCAGCCAACAGTATCAGTGTCGATGCTGCCGACTTTGATGATCTGTGTCAAGCACTTGCCGACCTTCTTGTCTTCCCCACTTTGAAGATAGTAGGTAAGGTCAACACCGCGAACATCGGGATTCTTGCGGAGATGGTCGAATTGAGCCGGGTACGAAACCTGGCTGCTGTTGAACCAGGCCAGTAGATCGAGGTCAAGCACGTTACCGGAATACACCGCCAGGTTTCGGCTCTTGTTTTTAGTATCTTCCCATGTGTAGTACACATCTCCATCACTGGACAGGGTGTAGAACGGGTTGCGTGCTGATTTGCTGGTGTGGCAGGCCCAGCCCAGGTAGTAGTCAACAGTCAAGTTTGGCGAAGATGAACCGTCCTGGTTGAAGGGCGCGCATGGGAAATACCAGCCCAAATCTCCATCAGAGTTTGTCGGCACACCTCCGTCAGACTTGGCAGTAATCAATCCCTTGCACGCACCATTGACCTGCTGGAAGAAGAAACTGCCGTCCTGGCCACCGTACTTGTGTGGCAGATCGTAAAGAACATTCGTGCCTGAGGGAATGCCCTCCGCGGCTCCGTGGGTTGATCCAGTCAAGTCATAAGCTTTTCCATGGAAGATCATGTAATTGGAGTTGACTTCGTTGACCTTCAAACGAACCGGAGGCGAGCCACAAACCGTAGCAGTGAAGCCAAAAGTCAGGAAACCGACAAACGCAGCGATCATGAGGATAATACTGATCAGACCGATCTTCTCTCGCCAGGCAGTGCGCTGCTCCTTTTCAGGCATGCCGAAGCATTTCAGCACAAAGTCCGGAATGAAGAATGTGAGCACTGCACAGTAGGTAGGCCATAGCTCCGGTGGACCACTCTGCTCAATAGTCTTCTGGCGCCTCTTTTCGTCCGCAGAAGCACCCTTTGATGACCGTCGTGATCCTCTCTTCTTCTTCTTCGAGCGATGTCTGCTGGGTACTCTGTCCATGGGTTTGTTGACATTACCCCGAGCACCGTAGAGACCATCCTTTTTCGATTCCATGCTGCGTGAGCTATTGGTCTCTGCCTCTCCATCTCTGTTGTCTAGTAGCGGGTCATTTCCCGTGGTAGAGGGAAAGGTAGACATATGGTGTGATCGCTGACGGTAGTGATAATTTGGGTGATCAGGATCCTCCCGTCGGCGCTCTGGTTTGACCATGGTCTTTTTGCGTCGCACCTCAGTGCCCCGCTCCAAGCGCTCTTCATCGGTATCCATTGTTCTCCGCTGGCTGTGAGAGTGTCGGCGACGGTGTCGGTGAGATGGAGAAGTCGGGTCGTCGCTGTAGCTGCCAGATTCGGGGTCTCTTCGGCGACGCCGAGACGGTTCACGAAATGCGCGGGCTTCTTCGCGGCGAGGTGAGGCCTTGCCTGGCCTCTGCGGCAAAGACATCTTCTAAAATGTCCGATGCGATGTCAGCCACAGCTTCTTATTTGTTGTTTTAACAAATGCGCACCCACTGTTTAGAAATTACCGATCATCAACGAGGATCGAAGAAATTGGTTAAAATGTTGAGCTGCTTTTTGCTGACTGAAACATGTCAAATGCGCTGATCCGATCCGAACAATGCGACCATGCGACCCAAAGGGGGTTATTTCGGGAAGAAATTTCTCAACACAATGTCTCCGATCTTCAAAATGTGCTCGATTGACCAGCAACTGAAGCGAAAGTGGTCGATCTGAAGTTAACTTGCAGGTGAAAGCGCTACGGTCGGCCTGTGCAACGAGCCCGGGGGTGGAGAATAAACAAAGTCCCACCCAACGTCACTCAGATGAATTGATCGACAAAGGAAACGAGTGCGAATGACACACAATGAAGGTGATCAAGTATTCCAGTGAAGTCAAAAAGCCTTCCAAGTCTTGAAAATTTTAAGAGTTTCAAGGTCCCTTAGAAAGAAGAAAGGACTGGGGCAAGACAGGGTCAACAGTGTACACGGGACTCTAGCGCCTCTAGACCTTGCCTCAAGGCTTGGATAGGTTAGTTCATTTTGATCGATCCTTAATAGTATCCAAGTCAATATCACCCTTAGTGCTTGCTCTGTTATGTGTTTTATTATTTTTATTGTCCAATAATAACTGGGGCTAAGTAATCTATTCCGTTGTCGCTAGGGGCAATATTAATTGCACCAATCATTTCCTTTTATTTCCATGGGTTCAAGTGTTTCTCATCAACAATTGTTCAAGATGACAAAAACCCATGGAACGCTCAGCCGAGGGATGTTACAAAATGTGACCACAATGTCACAGGGGGAAAGACGAGCCGAGATTTTTCGCGATCACGGGGCTTGCTTGATATGGGGCTAGAACTGTTTGGGCTTAGTATTCAATTTACCCTTTTTTTGGTCCATGGTTCCACGCATAGGACCTAACTGCCACGCGCTCCTTAGTTACACAGACTCCGATCCATCGATCCATTTCAAGTTAATAGTCTCCATTTACACGAAAAACAAAAATAACATATTTAGCCTCCTCCCCTAACCCCTGCGGTCAACGGAACCCAACAGAACCCCTTTGTGATACATCTCGAATGTGATCTCTGTATGTAGAGAATACGAGCATGGCTCAGGATATGGCGTGAGCGCGAGTCGGTGTAAACGTGATCTCTCCGGAATATCAAAATAACTAAGCTCTAGGCCATGCGCGCCATATATGGATGACCTTGACAAAACACAGTCTCAGACGTGGCGTGAGGCGGTTTGGGCCACCTGTTGGTTCTAGTCGGTACAGACATCGTTGTGATTACTCGATATACATATAGCTAAAAGTTAAATACTAGAACAAAAGCCAACAAGAAGACCGTGAAGTTCATTTACCGTGAAGAATCTATTCCATTGCAATGAAACCCATAGTTGACTAGTAAGACCTAGCCCTGACATTTAATCCCCAACCCAACCAAAATGATCGACGCCGGGGGGCCGATCATCACGGCAGTCCCCAGAATCCACTCGGGCATACCTAGGTACAGCCCCATAACCTATAGCGTATATGCGTATATTGTATGTGCACCAAACGTATTGCAAAATCCAATTAGCTACGGTGGACAATATTTTTCCATATTTTCAGGCCAATCATGCCACTGCCGACAAGAAAAAGAACGTATCATGTACCAACATCCAATATATCTCCATTTCCATGCGTGCGCTCCCAATTGAAAAAACAACTTAGGCCGGATCTACCTGGAATCAAGCGGACCTAACGGATACATCTCAGGCTCTTACAGAGAATTTGCGGAGTCCCGTATCCTTATCAGGCCACGTTCTTTGGCTCTCACTGGAATGCTGACGTTTTCTTCAGACAGACCATAGTAAGCTCCGAGCCCAGTGTCTTCGTATCAAGTCTACGGAGTCACCACGATTGGCATGTCGCCATTGAGAGGGTCTGACCGATCAGTGCTCACTCGTGTAGAAAGATACATAGTCATATATTTTTTCCCCCGTTCGACATATGTATACACTGACGGTGTGGTTGACCGCACTGTCCGAATGCATGCACCGGCGCAAGGAGCTTGCATTGCGCCATGGCATCGATACGGGCCGTGCGAGACTTCCCCTGGGGCTTTATTGCAAAATCAAGGTACAGTAAACTCAATTGCAGATGTCTGGTGGTTTTTTTTATAAAAGAAAACGATCAGAATAGTGGGGATGGATATAGGGATGACTCGAGATATTAGCTTCGGTTACGCCTTGGCTCAAGCCCCTCCTGTTTTACCTAACAACAAGGAAATTTGTTTTGGCTAAGCAACAGTGATACGATAGAATTCGGGTCAAGATTATTCACATTACAAAGGATTTAGTTGCCACGCACTGAGGCTCGGAAAGACCGGAGTGCTAACATGCTAAATAATATGCTACTGTGAACTAGTACAAAATGTACAAAATGTATATAGAGTTATGCCCCAGCGTCCCGTCTCCACCTATATCAACCCTCCTAGGAGTATCTCAATTATGTTCTCACCGTACATATGTATTTAACAAGTGCCAAATCAGCAGGTGGAGGAAGTTCCCTTTAATTCAGGTCTCATGTGGTAGTGCCAGGTCATCTAGTGGTATTATTCTTAGAATGTCTCGGAAGGGGAGTCCTGTTCGGTCTCCGCATCCAAGGGTAGCGTCTCCCGTCTGTGGAGATGTCAGATTTGTGGGACAAAGCCAATGGACACAAGCGGTTTTATAGGCATCACCTTTGATTATTGGGGCTTTTCCAAGTAGATTGAAGAGGTAATACGAGAAGTAAAAAAACACATCATATAAATACTTCTTATATGTCCACATATGTATGGGGTACCAACAGTATACTTGGGCATATGCGATATAATAATAGATTTCATACGAAGTAGTTCACTCCACATTCCTACATCGGGCAGGGCGCGTAGAGGTATATGTATATATGTAAAAAAAAAAGATTATTAAAAAAAATGCCATGATTTAAAGGAAGAATAGGCACTAATTTATTTTACAGAAGTGAACTAGCGAGCGTATGTGGAACTTTCCCCTCGCTTCCTTTCTTTCTTGAGATGAGATCTTAATCACTCAATAGTTGTCCATTATGGTCCACTCTTTTCACTTTTCTCCACTCGAATGAGAACTTGAGATCATATGATAAGACCCTTGGATTCATATTTTCTCCATTTTTATGACTTGTGATTGAACATCTCTCATCGCATCGTGCTCTGAAGACTTGATTATGACCAGTCCTGCTCCAGGCGTCTACCGCCAGGCGTTGCCAACGCCTCCGCCGGCCTACCTCCGATCATCTCCCCCATTCCCTACAACAAACGAGTCAACGCCGCGAACCATCCCAAATCGCCCCCAAAACTTGAATGTCAACCGAAAACCAGTTCCAAACACAGTGTCGCAGTCCGAAACCTCGCCGATAATTCAAAACTCGCCGCACTCACCGGTCAAAATCGACTATGGCGCAGACATCCCGCAGGCCTCCTCCGTCCCCATCGAACTTGAACACGCTTACAATGAACCCACCACGCCGCAATTGGAGCTCCCCGAGTTCGCTGAAATGTCCCTCAATGGCCCTGTGCAGCCACCCCAGCAAAGTTGGAATCCCTCCTACCCGCCGCGGCGAGATTCATCACACGCCCCGCATTATTCGCACTCGCATCCTTACGGCAGTTCATGGTCGACGGTAGAACCACAGCAGAAGGACGATGGACACGGAAACCCGAAAAAAAGCGGCTCTTCACTAGAGCGCGAGGGTCACAGCTATAACAGTTCTTCTAGAGGTAGCTTGGATAGCGTGGCGCAAGCGTCGGACAGCCACGAGCCGCTGGCCTACCACCATCAGCAAAAAGCGCCAGCTCCAAACTCGGCCGCAAAGCCGCCAGTGAACGCACCAGACACTCCATCCGCCTCGACGGATAAGCTAGCAGTTCGGCGACCAAGGCTATCGCGACCCTTGTCCGCATACTCCTCAGCCTCAGACCTCGGAGGAGCTCACAGACGCAACCTCTCCGGATCACCCTATTTGCACGCCCGATCTTCATCCCGGAATTCGACTGCATCCCCTGACAACCGGTCCTCTTCCTTCCTCGATTTACTCAACACTTCCTACCCCCAACCCGGCCCAACAGCCGCACGATTCGACAATTCGCGCCTGCAAGCCTCCGTTGGTAACAATGCCTCCCTCCTCAGCCACAAAGAGACCTTCGAGATGTACCTAGCAAACGTCAAGAAAACAGACGAACCAACAGTCCTCTACGAGTTCGCTGTGTTCATGATCAATTCCATGCGCGAAATGCCAGCCGTCGACCTGGAAGATGCAAGCCCAATTACCCGCGCGCGGCTGCTCCGCGAATCAAAATCCATTCTCCAACGACTCGCGGACCGCAGCTACCCCTTCGCACAATATTACCTGGGCGATGGGTACGCATCGGGACTGTTCAACAAGGGCGTCGAAGACCACGACCGGGCTTTCCCACTCTTCCTCGCTGCTAGCAAACACGGCCACGTAGAGGCATGCTACCGCACAGCTCTGTGCTACGAGTTCGGCTGGGGCTGTCGTGTTGACGGCGGCCGTGCAGTCCAGTTTTACCGCCAGGCAGCGTCGAAAAACCATCCCGGTGCTATGATGCGCATGGCAAAGGCCTGTATTGCTGGCGATATGGGACTCGGAAAGCGCTACCGCGAGGGTGTCAAGTGGATGAAGCGGGCGACGGAGTCCGCCGATGCACAGTACAACGCTGGACCCTACGAGCTTGGTGTTATGCACGAGCGAGGCTTTGGAGAAGACGTTTTCCCTGATGAAACATACGCAGCACAGCTATTCACCAAGTCTGCAGAACTGGGACATGTTGAGGCATGCTATAGACTTGGCGATGCGTACGAACACGGCAAGTTGAATTGTCCGCGAGACCCGGCGCTGAGTATCCATTTCTACACCAGTGCCGCGCAAAACGGACATCCACTGGCGATGATGGCGCTGTGCGCGTGGTACCTGGTTGGAGCGGAGCCGATCCTGGAGAAAGACGACAATGAGGCGTATGAGTGGGCGTCCCGGGCTGCACATCTCGGTTTAGCGAAGGCTCAGTACGCCGTTGGATACTTTACTGAAATGGGCATTGGATGTCGTCGTGATCCTCTCGAGTCGAATGTTTGGTATGTTAAGGCGGCAGATCAAGGCGATGAGCGTGCCAAGCATCGCATTGCTACTATTCGGGCTGCGGCTGGCGGGGGGACTTCTGCTATGGCTGCCCGTAATGAAGGCAAAACCGGCGGCCGACTCAAGAAAGCCGAACGCAAGGAGCAGAGCCCGAGCCAGGACCAGGGTGAGTTGTCGATGCTACACATTCAGCTCGTGTGTTTTGAGTTGTATCGTTGACTTTATATGCAATCCAGACTTCAAGCCTAAACAGAAGCGATTCGTCATTTTCTAATTCCAAAAAATTCACGACCTGACCAGAAATCCAAAGTGAGTTTGCATCCATACTCCGCCTGGCTTGTCCGCCAACAGCTAAACATTTTGCAAGACCAGACTACGACGTTAATACACTCATAATTCCACCATATTTGCATACGCACAACCTCCCTTATACAAGCGATTGTTCTTTTTTCTTTCTCTGAACTCTGAATCGTGTTTCGACAATTGATCTTCCCTGCCGTTTTTCTCCCCACTCACATTCCAACTTGTTTATACCACTCCTTTCGCACATTTTGCATTCATTCATTGCGGGTCGTTTTGCTAGGAGGGCTTGGTTCTTTCCTTTTTTTTCCCTCCTGTCCGGCTGGCTACAATGGGCGTTCGTCACTTTCACTCATTTTCATTCTCGTTCCCGGTGGCAATCTATTGTGCCAATTGCGATTCTATTAACTAGTGAGGATGTCTGTACCTACATTTGATGAATAATGGGTGCTTATCGTAGCATCCCTTTCTGATTTTGTATTCTAGTTCTTATTAAACTACCAGTTATCGCATTGCTTTTATCTCTCAACATTAGTATATATCAATTGTTTGTAAATTTATGCTGTCGATGAGCATGACGCGACTGAGTCCTCAATTCATTTCGCAAGGAGTCTTTGTTGGCCTTGGAATATGTGTCTGGCCTGAAGAGAAAGCTGTATATATTTCGGACTTTCCGCATTGGGACAGTCGCCGCTCCGGCGGCGAACTTCTTTCTTCCGCAACCCCCAGAGGGAAAAGCCCCGCATACAACTTGTTTGGAAGATTGTTTCGGAAACTACCAAAATCATTCACAATGGAACTGACTTTTCTGGTTAGCTCAGATGGTGCAAATGTCAAGAGAGGACAGACACGACGTGCGTGCAACTCTTGTCGCCACAAAAAGGCATGTCACAATCTACCATCAACTAAGTAGATGGCTCTATGTATAAAGAAGTCTAAGCTGATTTTGTTAGAAACGATGCTATCACAATGAGCCCCAAGAGCACTCAACTATCCAAAGCCGTCCCATAGATGTTTCTGGCTTTTCAAATATTCAAAGTCCTGCATCGCAGGTATCCAGGCGAGATTCAGTAGTTCGAAGTAGATCTGCATCGCCTCGTCGTGGGCCTTCCGGTTCTCCACTTCAAAACATTGCAGAGCAAGAAACTGAATCCAACAACGCCCCTGGTGTAAGCACGGCTACAGACGTCGAGGAAGAGCCTCGTCGTTTTGCGTGTGATTCAAACCCTATGGCGACGCTCATTGAGAAGAACGAGTCGCGATTACAGAAAGGCAAATCTCAAAAAGGTGATGTGGGAGCATGGATGTGTCCAGAAGAATACTCTATTGAGCAGGAAGAAGTTCCAAGCTCACCTTTGCACTCAAGAACGGCGGCAAATCAGCAACCTACCGACCTTCCCCTGGATCGATTGCCTCCAAAGGAGAGCCAAAATGCTTTGATAGACATCTATTTTCGACGAATACACCCAATATTGCCCCTTCTGGATGAGCTCGCAGTGCGAACTCAATTCAAAGCAGGGCATCTACCTCCATGTCTGGCGCAAGTGATCTGCCTTGTTGCCGCGAAAGACCAAAGTGCTGCCTCTTTCTTGTACCTTGGCCAGCCATCAGCATTACTTTCTCTTGAAAGATTTAGCAACATTCTCTATAATGATCTTATGCAAAGCCTCCCCAGACGATCTCAAAGGAAAGTCTTCACAATACAAGTTTTGGCTCTGTTGTCCCTTCACGAATGGGGAACCACCGGGTCTGAAGATTGCTCTTTGAATCTAGCCCAGGCCATTCATCACGCACAAACTATGGGGTTACATTTGATGAGACCCGATCAGCATACCAATCAATCTTCTAGGGCCATGTTCTGGTGTCTGTGGAGTCTAGACCGATGGAACGCTGCCATGAATGGGAGGCCTTTGATCATACACGACGGAGACAGAGGACAGGGAGTGGAAGATGTTGTATCATCGTTTCAGTCCTCCTTTCGGGTCTGGCTTCGAATCGCCGATAAGTTGGGGGAAGTAATTCACTTTTACAGACCGATGATGAAAGACATGGATCAGGCAGAACTCGATCTTCCTTCGTTTGATGAGCTTGTGGAGCAGTGTGACGCTTGGGATATGGCACCGGATCAACTGGGTATGAAATCGAGAATATCCCTGGGTTCGATATTTATTATGTGTTATGTAACTAACTTACTAAATCGACAGAATCCCTTGAATTGGCCTATCATTCTGTTATAATTCTGTCAACATATTCAAATGGCCTACAGGGACGCTCGTGTCCCCGCATGTCAAACATCCGACAAGGCCACTCTATAATGACCATCGCATCGCTCAGTTGCAATCAAGATATCAAAATCTTCTTACCATTCCCGATGATCGGTTACACTATATCGCTCGCTTTCTCGGTGACGTACAAACAGCTACGAGCAAGCAAGTTACCGTCAGCCCGCAACATAGCAATAGCAAATCTTCGCGTTTTTCACAAATGCCTCCAAAGAATAAGCACCACATGGTGGTCGACTGCGGTGATGGCCCGTCTAGGCCAGCGTGTGTTGAACAGCATCCAACCCACCATAGATCAGGAACGTTCCACAGATCATGAAATCGATATCACCCGATCAAACTCTCAGCTTGAATTGCGCCATACCTATTCGCACCCACTCGATGCAAGTGTAAACATACAGTTGCATCCAAGCGAGTTCGCGCAAGCACCTAGAGCTGAAAGCGCACACCCTCCTAATGATCGTCACCTGGGATCAACCCACATTTCTTATTTGAATGAAGCAACCAGTACTTCTTTCTTGTCGACTGATATGGAAGATTTTGACTCATTTTTCGACAATTTCCCTGACCTTAATTTCCCAAGCTGTTCGAACGATCAATTGCTGCTAGACCTTGACATTGCCGACTTTGAACTTGTCCAAGACAGACTTTCTTAAACATTGCACAAAAGGCAGGGAATACTCGGTCGGAGACGTGATACTTCAGACATTGGATGTATCTAATAAGCTTTACTATCCCCATGCCTAATATGGTAGTGCTTGGGAAATTGGTGGTTGTCTAATAACGTGGGGCGCACATGATGTGAGAAATGTTTTTATGGAGATAATGTCTGGAATAATCAATGGAAGTTATTGCACTAGACCAAAGCCTTTTTGAAAAAATTTCAGTCTGAATCTCTGGTATATCATAACGCGTCTAGAAGTAGGTTCTTGAGAGAGAGGCTAAGTTAGGTTAGTTCACAACGGAATGCTCGCAATACAACGCGACCACGATGGCCAAAATAAAACCAGTTGAAGCATTCACAATGTTAGCATATGTATGGAGAGGAACACAAGAATGTCGGTATTTCCTTCCGTGGCGAAGAGCTACAGTCATCAAGTTTTGCTTCCTTGAAATCTGTACCCCGACCCCGTTTAGGAATGTCCGCTCTAACGCGCCCGCGTGAAGTATAAAGGCAAATAATGAGCCATGATTGATTCTTTCAATATTAATTCGCCGATTCAATTGAACAGCTGGATACTTTAATACCTAATATCTCTCTATTCAATTCATCTGTTGAGGGTTTGACGATGTTTCGGAAGCAAATTGCTAGTTCTGATCTGAGGTATAGTTTGTCTTGGCCCTAGGATCCAAAATACAATCTTCAAAATCTAACAAAAAGGCCTAGTGTTGATCAATCATGCATCTTCATTTCAGAAGAGCGACATCCATGCTCTGTTTCGGGAAAATTTAGCCTTTCTCTTGCACAAGACGCGTCGTTCAGGAGCATCAAGGTGAGATTGAGAGGAATCATGACAATGTAGGACTTCACCGTTCTGAGGACTTGTGTATTAAAATTACATTCTCACTCATTCGGCACTTATAGTCCCATCGATGGAATTCTGGGACCAGAAAACCGCGAGCAACTCACATTTGAGCAAGATCAAGCACTTGCTTCATCACAGACGCTCAACGCTTTCCGAATGCCAGCAGGAGACCATGCATTTCTATTCGATATTCCACTTCCATGCAAAATACCAGAAACAGTCACGGGCCCAATGCACCAGTATCACACCTATCGTGTTGAGGTCATTATCGAAAGACGCCTCAAAAGCGACTTTGTCGTCTCACAGCCGATTAGGATTTACCAAATCTCTGATTTTAACGCGAGCTATCTAAGGCCGTACTGTCCACTGGTACGTTTGTTATATCCCAGCATGATTGTCGACTAGAATCTCAATATTTCTAGACTCTCGAAGGCCAGACGGATCAGAATATCCAGTATTGCGTTTCTATAACCGATCGAAATATGCCCTTCGGCTGTACATTTCCTGTGGAATGTTGGTTTGCACCACTGTCTAAAACCACCAAACTCAACAATGTGATAATCAAAGTCATTGAGAAACAGATTGTGCGATTAGAAGCTACAGCTTCCGAATCAGTGCGACACAACATACACTTCCTCACGGCAGCACATAGTCAAACTGTATTCTCTGAAAGTATCTGTTTCACACAAAGCAGTCAGGATCCGAAAGATGACTTGGACATTGAATGGCGCTTCACTAAACAAGTTCGTTTACCACAAAGTTTGGATGCCTGCTCGCAAAGTGTCTCGACCAAGCACATCAAAATCAGCCACGAGTTGGTGATCACGGCACAGTTCGACGATAAGACAGGGCCAAAAGCAACTCAGGTATATATACTCATCCCTCCAACTTCAAATATTGGCTATCATGTGTGTCTTACTCTAATATAGATCAAGTCAATCCTGCCATTCAAGATTCACATGACTCCTCATGTTATCGGAGAGGATGCATCTGTCCATGGCCAACATATCCAGCAGATGCAGGGTACCAGTCGTAGTCCGCCGCCGGCTTATTGTGATCACTTCTCTGACCTCGTGATTCCGACCGCGACCGATGTCGACCTGTTTGAGCATCCAATGCTAACGGAGATCAGTCCTACGCGGTCGGCGAGTGAGCAAAGTACCCCGATTCTGGCTGTACCTCCCGCTCCACGTTATGAGCAGCTCGCCTAGTTTTCCATGATCTGAATCTTTTTTCCCCCTTCTTACTTTTTATTTCTAGTGTTGGCGTTGTATCACTCGAATACAACCACCCGCCGAGGCATAAGAGCCGCGAGGGCTGCGGTTTCTTTCGCCCCAAAGTTGTTCTCATTCTATTTGTGCAATACTTTCAGTCAAATTGTGTTAATGTCTATTCTATTGCATCTTGTAGACCAATCCCTCCTCAGGTCGTACCTCTCCATGGCATAATCGCTCCCAGCCTCCCTCAACTCCATCAGTACCAGACACGCCACTGCCCATTACAATTTCCATTCCTGGTGCATTCAATTGGCGCCGGTCTAACCATTGCTCCCAAAATTTCTTTTGAGTTGTGAAATAAGCCTCTTGATCCATTAATTCCAGCGCCGTATCTTGAACACCGGAAGTATTATACTGGACTTTGCCAAGTTCTGCAATCTTTGCTCTCCCAGCCAGGATCTCCTCCCCTGAGTAGACTTTCTGCTCGTTACCAACCTGAACTATGACAACCTTGCAAGATTGTAAATCAGGTCGGCTCTTGATCAAAGAGAGTAACTCTTGAAGAACACTAGCCCGAGAACCAAAATCAACGATAACAATCTTCGAAGCCTTGCGAGAAGCCAACCACTTTCCAGTCTCATCTGATCCAACATTCTCATACCCAACCGCCTTAGAAGGAACAGAAGTACCGACGTTCTGGCTCGCTTCCGCAATGCGCGACACAGATGAAGTTACCTGCAATAAACCCAGGGGTGCCGAACTATCCGGCTTCCGCGAAACGTGGTACGAGAAGACCCGGGCCGTTTTAGTCGAAGCAGCCAAATTTATAACGACAGCTGACGACAAATCCCCGTCGGACAGGGTCCAGTGTAACCCAGGCTGATTGCCGAGTGGATGAATCGGAGGCCGGGATTCAGGGTCAGACGAGAAGACATACTCGCTGAGAATGAACCCAGCTTTTCCACCAATGAACAGCGCGGTCCAGGCCATGCGATCGCGCTCTTCTCGTGCGGGTTCCGAAAGAGGATTGGCCTCTGTCGTTAGATCGGTGATTGAGTTTGTTGTTGGCGCTACTGTGTAACGGTTGTACAGGGGCATCAACTGTTGGCGATGATCACTTGTTTCGATCCAGTGGCCGCTTGGTGCACCACTCTTGAGTTTGAGATCGGTCAGTGCACTGGATGTAGGCCAAAATCCCCACAGAACTGTGCCTTTGGCTAATTCAGGAATTGTCGTTTCTTCTATCGTTGCGTAGCCCCACGAAGGAACGATTCCCCATGATGATGAGTCGTTGTAGGGTGCGGGATAGTCTTTAGAGACGGGATACGCGTCCCACCTGGTAATAACAGAGATGAGTCCTATTCTATGTCTTTTCGCTGGTACAGAGGTCTGCTTCCGGATAGCCACTTGTACATACCAATGCAGGAACTGACCCATTCGGGCATATGTCAAATTATTCGAAGTTAGACTGATGAGCAGAGTGCGAACTCTGACCGAAGATTCAGATAATTCGCTTTGAGCAGCTGCAGGAACCTTCAAGGCTGCATGCTGGCGATTATCATGCTTTGAGACGATATGGACTGACATTGCGTGAAGTTTATTGAAAAAAAAATTTACAACCTTGGAGTTCGATAGGGTTGAGCGCAGAATCTCCCTTTCAATCTGTTTATATAACCAGTCAGATTCTGGATTACTGATCGATGAGAGCTGTGGACCTAAGATGCTCCGGCGGGGAACCCCCGCCTAGTATTGTCTCACATCATCAAGCCCTAGAGGTTTCATCTATTTATCGGAGCAAATTCTACGGTATATTTATTGCATTGCTAATGAGGTACTCGGCTTTAAAGACCAATGCTTCGAGTTGATCATATTATTCGATCATCTCCCCCCTTTTATCGCCCCATATCGAAGCCTGAGTTCGGATCTTTACCGTCCCCAGAAAAATACATATTGGCTCTATGGCAGAATTTACTGGGTTAAAAGAAGACAAAAGACCGACTAGCTGCCTGGATCAATTCTTGAACAGGTAACCGATTTTCCAAAATATCATCAGCGTTCAAAAAGTCCGAGCTGGAAATCCTATGATCTGCAGTTGCTGCATCAGGCGAGATTCCTGAAGCAACATGACGCGCCACAATAACGATCGACTTCAATAAACCATAATTCATCCATGAGAGGAGCCGCCAAGTTCCAAGGCTTGCGATCAAGACTCAGGTAGAGGCATTCAAATATCACAACTCTCGATTTTGGCGATATGGCAATATCATTTCCCACGAGATCTCTAATTGCATGGTCGAAGCTCGGAACCGTGAGAGTCCCTCAAAATGGTACTATACGATAATATGAACTGATCTACATACCCTTCTGCAGCGCCCTAGGGCTAGTCAATGCGAATAGAAGATCGTTCTTGAGTATATGCCGATCGGTGTAACATTCAGCTAGGGGTTCGTAAGAAGCTCTCCTAATTCTAGCATATTAGTATATAGCTTAGGACATGAATAGCCGAGTAAGAAGCTAGATCCAATCTAGATCGCCGTCTAGCGCCGCCATAAATGCTGTGTTAGAGCACTAGCATAAACCTACTCTATCTATGACCCACAAAATAAGGCAACTTAGGGTGCGACCCGCAGGCCAACTCTCTCTATTTATAATGCAGATTTGAATGCGAGGGATCTAATAGGGATAAGAGATTTGACTAGCGGACCGGACCGCACACTAATTCCCTCAATGATTTTGGTCTAGAAATTCCATATAATAGTTGTGCAGGTACTAGACGGCCACCGAGAAAGTACTTTACCTTATTTCTCGATTATAATAACGCAGAAGCTGCGCATCGACTAGCCGGGTTTCAGTGATCCTTTGCAACCGACAGCTACACATCACATCGATCGGCATCAGCTCCACAGGACATTGCTTTCCCGCTTACTAGGCCCTATACATTATGGAAGTGGTATGCAGATCAGGGTGCATTATTGCATACTGTACAACGTAAAGGGGTAGAAATTATGTCATTGTTCACCTTCAGTATCACATAAAAGGAGGCTTCATGCCTATTCTGAGGACGTCGCTCACAGCATTCTTATCCATTTTGCAGCTTTTCATATCATTCACGCTTTTCGATATCAGACTTACGATGAAGCTTCGTTATCTTTCCTTTCTAGCCACGCTAGTCCCGCTAGGTGCAGCTCAATCGCCCGAGTTTCTCGAATACCACTCTTTGTGCTCCGGGGAAGAGACCGAAGGAACCAGGACCTTCGACAACGGTGTTACTTCCGAATAACCTGTCGAATCAAAGCCTCCGGCAACATCAACCGTCAAGAGACTATGGAGTCGGCAGAGGAATGTGCTGCTAAATGTGGTGAAGGATGCCCTGGTGCTGTATGGGAGTACACTAAGAACAATTGCATTATCTATGACTCTCCTGTCACTCTGACTCCCCATGGGCGGGGCTCTATCTACTTGAAGCCTATCCAAGGGGCTCAAGATAATGGAGAAGAAAGCTCTTCCACTTCGGAATGTCTCCATGAGAAACAGGCCTGTGAGGATGAACTTACGCACCAACTGGGAATATCGAGCAGATGTCAGTCCGAGAAAGAGGCCCTAGCACTCGAAAGTCAACAGTGTCAGGAAAGAAATGATGATCTTGACGCCCAGAGTAAGACCTGTCAGCGTGAGAGAGACGGCATTGGTACCAAACTTCAAGACTGCAATTGGCAGAAGGATGGATTAGAAACGGAGAACAAGTCTTGTAAACGGGAGAAAGATGAGTTGGACACAAAGAGCAAGACTTGCCAACGAGAGAAGGACGAGCTGGACACCAAGAGCAAGACCTGCCAACGAGAGAAAGACGAGCTGGACACCAAGAGCAAGACCTGCCAGCGGGAGAAAGATGAACTAGACTCGAACTGGAAAGCGAAGTATGAAAAGGAAGTCAATGGTAAGTCATTTACCTATTTTCCCCTGGAAGACATCTATATGAACTTGAAGCTCAACATATCACAGGTGTTCCCCTAAAGGGTTCCTATGGAGCAGGTAAGTTTGCTCTGCTCTGTAGTCTCCAGGATCATACTAACTGGGCTCTCAGTTCTTCCCGGGTTTTACTGGGCTCCGAACCCCATAATAATCGGAAAATTCCCCGGAGTTGGAACCGGAATTTGGCAGCTATGCGCCAATGCATGCGAGAAAGATACAAGCTGCAGGGCTTCAGTTGCGGATTATTCTACTGGTACCTGCTACAAAACCAGAATGCCAGCTGGCGGTTTTACGACAAAGCATCTTCAAGACAGTATTGGTGGAAGGTACGGTTCTTACGTCAAATAGACTGGAGCCAGCTCCCGGTCGGAACGAATTAGGCTTCAGTGGACATGACAAGGGATCCAGGATCACTTGCATTTTTTTCGGCTTTTTCTTTTCAGGCTTATTTGAGCAATACTTATAAATAAAATGAAAATAAAAATAATTTCGGTCATCTTATTAGATTCATGAATACAAACTTTATTCTACGGTAGCCTTCATTTCATATAAAAGTCCGCGTACTTGACCAGCTGCGTTCAGTCTTGGAAGTAGAGGCCACAGAAGACTGATTGAGTGTGCATCAGCCACCCTAACTAAGTAAGGAGTAGATGGGAGAGGATATCAAAGCCAAGTTCAAATTCAAAAATAAGCCCAAGTAGACTAAGATATAGGACTGCCTTGCCCCTCCTGGTTTAGCCAGTACAATTATGACCAGACACCAGAATGGAAGACCGAAAAGCAACAACCCCTCTGAACGACCGGCACTGCCGGCGTCTCCGATAGCCGATGGGGAGGTATACACCGCCTTCTAACAGACTCAGTCCACAATTATCATTCACAACTTCTCATACAGTATAGAGCGTCAAGTTGAGAAAAATGGGGCTGACAGGTAGAATTTCAAGATAAGCAGGTTCATAAGTAGTCTGCAGTTACAGAAAGTACTTATAGCAAATCACTATTGCAACGTCAGGTGCTGAGAAAGCCCTTAAGACCGTGGCATGGGGAAGTGACAGTTAGCCACATCCTCAAGGCACTGATGATGTTAGATTTTTTTGCATCGCTATGGAAAAAGTTCTAGACGTCCCTCCTACAGAGATTGTATCGGTACGACTAGGGGTACAAGATCAGGTACCGGTACTACGTATAGTCATGACGCGTAATTTACGCGATTCCTAATTAGGTTCATCTCATCACGTGACTAGGGTTTGAAAGAGCATCTCTCTGTCTCCAGATATGGAAGGCAATAACGGGCGGCACTGTACGGTAGAGGGCATGCGGATGGGATAAGGAATTAAAATGTATAAAGTTCACTATCTTCACGGGCCTCTTGCGCTAGATCAATCTACCACAGTTTCTGACTCTCCGGGGCACGAGAATAATAAATGTCCCAGTGATTGGAATCGGTCATATGGACGAATGATACCTCTACATCACGGTAGCGCACATTCATCCAACCCACATCATGTTTAGTACACCCCTCCAGTGGCTCCTTTTCTGGCTCAGCTCCATTACGTTCCCTTAACTCATCCTCATCCAGCTCCTCCGGCGCCCATCCCGCTTGAACCAGACGAACAAACCCCGTGTCCTTATCATCATCCGGGGCCCTTAATACCGATTCTAAAGTCTCCTGGTCCACCATGACGAAAAATTGGTATCGGCCGGCCCATCCACGGTTAGCGTTCTGGACACCCTGTTCCTCTCGTAGTGCCGTCGTCGCCCACTTATCAAAGTGATCGCGGAGAACGGCAACTATCGCGCCCTCAAAGGAGCGGTCTTCTAAGACTGTTGGGGTAAATTTATCAAGGAGGTCTAGATCATTGTAATACTCGAGAAATTTTAAAACGGGACGGAGCAAGCGTGCCATGAAATTCTCCCAGTCAGAGTCGTTTTAGTACGTGCACCGATAGACCACAAAATCCCAGGTTATGAACCCATCTTTAGCAAGGAGCCTCTCAAGATTGTCGGCCTGATTACCCCTGGTTGTCATAGTGGCATCTCGTTTCGAAGAAGTCATCAAAGGGGTTATTGTTCTTGTGGATATAGCCTGGAAAGGTGGTGGTAAATATAAGGGATGTAAGTGGTCTCATGGAGTCATTTATCAGAATATAAACTAACCAAGATCTCTAGGCATTTGCGGCCTTTGAATATATTCGCGACATCAGGTTTTAACACTGGTTTGACAACGTGATGGAGAATGCATATATCCAACTGAGCAATATTGAGGAGACCAACGCGAACGTATAACCTCCGGAATTGGTGCGGAAATTGGACGGATGCTCATTTCCCCGAGGCCCTGGTTCAGGGACGTGCTTGGGCACGGGAAGCAATTCCTCGGGAAAGGGCCCCATACATTGAAGCATATGAGGCGGGTCGCAACCTCTACACTTAGGATCGTGTTTGGCAAGCATTGGAGGACTTTCAAAATCTTATTGCGGAGATTAAGATGCCGGATCTCAAAAACTACAAGCAGACAAAGCCTTACAACGGGAAGGGGCCAAGTGGATACAACTCATAGATGTCATTTACGGCACATGTACATTGAATGGCAGTCTGAAAATCCTCAAAAATTGGGCTGGCCGATACAGTCTGGATGGATGTATGGATGGCATCATTTGCCCTGACCCCTTGCAAACGAAAACGATATGCAGGCTACCACAACTATATAACCATGTCCAAGCCGTCAACCCTCGATTCGCTCGGGGTGGCTTCTCAGGAAGCTAATAAGCCCCGAAAGGGTGAAAATCAGAAGCATTTTTTGAGCAGGTATTCATATTATGGTAAGCCATTTCTCGCGTTCGTCGTGAACGTCGTGTCACAGTGGGGGTGCGTTCAAGATCATTCGTATCTGGCCATTATATTGAAATCTCATTTTCTTCTAAGATTGCAAGTTCCGTATTGTCACGAGTGACCGGATCGGTGCAAGTGGTAGTAGGGTTATCTTGGCATAAGGGTGGAGATTGTATCATGGAACTGAAACGAGCTGAGTGGCGTGGCAGGGTCAGCTCGTTGCGCCCCTCGGAGTGCTTTGCTCCAACCAAGCAGTTGGTAAAACCGCCCATCGAGATATTCGAGGATACTTGTATTTGCTTGTCTGTGCACTTGCTTGCTATCTATGTTTAGAGTATTTCCCTCGGAGATCACAGAATCCTTCCATCATCTCTATTCATTCTTTTTATCGGAGCATATGCTAACGTTTGTAGTTGAGCTCCATCAGAAACCACAGCAGCTCACGCATGTGTCTCATTTTACATTTAACAAGCTACAGAAATGGCAAGATTCACCATGGGTATTGCTATCCGGCATCAGATAGTGGCAAGAACAATAGAGGCATTCAAACTCACCTCGTTTTCCCAAGTCCAGAATGTGCCACTCTGTTCAATAGTCTTACTCTGAATCACACTGATCATAGCAGAAACGGACTCTTGGGCACTAATTTGGCCTCCATCTAGATCCCATGATATCTCGATCTTTCCCATGTCACTAATTCAGGTCAACCACCGGGCACCATCACGCACCACCAGCAGAGCGAGATACGTACGTCGCAACCTCTCCGGGATGGAGGGCTAGAATGATATTATCGCGCCCCTTGCGCTTGAGCTCCTCAGCCATGTGCTACGAGTGAAGTTCAGCTTAGTTAGCCATTCCTTTAGCAGTCTTTCAAAGGGGGCGCATACACGTAGAGCCTGATTGAGAGCTGCTTTAGATGCTCCGTATGCAGCAAATCTAGCCTCGTCAAATTTGGGTACTCCTTGCTAGGTCTGGGTATGCTCGTACTTACCCGTCTTCAAAGGACAAGAACCGCTGCGTGGAGCCGGAGTCACTTGACATGAATGCGACGGTTCCAATCATAACATCGGCTATCTGCAGCAGCTTCTGGGCTACTATGATGGGTCCGACTGTATTGGCGAGTAAGTGATGGGAGAATTTGTCAAAGGTCCTGCAGCTAGTCAGCATGGGATTGATGTAGATTGCTTCCCGAAGATACTCACATTTCAAGTGCATGCTACAGTGCTGCTTATTAGTTGAATGGCCTGCAAACTGGAGGGATACATCTCACGTTTGGATACTCCAGTATTCCAGCATTAACCACGGCATAGTCGATTCTCCGCTCGCCAGTTTGGACAAATTGGTTGATGAATATCTAGCCATGATCAGCATAGCCACTTGTGTTAGGATCGAATGTTGGTCATACATTGATACCTTGCTCATGGGACACATCGCACATCAAAATGGTTGCTCGGTCGGGGGCATCATGAACAATCGCCTCCAATGCGCTCCCATGGCCGCGCACAGTGGCGATGACTCGGTCACCGCGCGCCAGGATCTGCCGCACGAATTCGAGGCCAATGCCGCGAGACGCACCGACAATAAGCCAGGTTTTGGCTGCCATGATCAATATGCAGTTTATCGTAAATGGAACAGGCGCAAATTCTTCAGTCGAGCACTCAAGTGTGGGATTATCGGGGGTGTTTGCAAGAAATATATAAATAATAACGAAAGTTGAGACTACCAGCGATTGGAACCCAATTGCTTCACTTGCATAAAGGAATTGATCTGTGCATGCCGAGATCCTAGCTGCTTCCGAAGTGCGGGGGCATATTACCTAGGTGAGTAGGTCCATCCATGCATATGTATCGGATAATGCCTGGCACTCGAGACCTTTTCCCTTCCAATTTAGTGCTCACCGCTTGCCGCTGTTTGATTCTAGAGTTAAATTGAGTAGACATCGCCATAAATTTCAAAACCGCAAAACCGCCCCAACCCAAACCGCAGTTGGGACGGGTTTGGGGCGAGGTCTAGAAACCGCAATGGTTTCTTGGGGCCTTAGTGATTTTGAAGTGGGGCGAAACTGTAGAGAGCCCGTGCTCTTCATTACTTAGACATTCTGCTCCTGTACTTTTCCATATCTCATTCACTTGTGAATTTGAATTTGAGTTTGAATTCCAATTTGAATCATATCAATCCATTGCTTTTTGTCCTTGATGATAATCATCTACATCCTTATCGCGTCTAACACTTCTAGATGTCAATGCACTCCCAAAAGCTTTTGCCAGTCCTACTTGATTTTAAATATGTCTTAGCTCGGAGCCGACTGTTGATATAAAGTGCGGGTAGCATCATACCTAACGGCGGCGATCAAAGAAATACAGACACATAAGGTATTTGGAGCTGTGTCGAGTGAGGGCGATAGCAGAAAGGTAGATATATATTGAACGAGGACAAGATGATTATCAATGTGAGTAGAGACGGCATCCGAGAGTTTGCTCTAGGGCTCATAACCTGCTGTAATCCGGATGAATTTGATTGATTGTACTATTTCAGATGGAATACGTCGGGCTGTATATACAGCATGAGCTCCAAATGATGGTGTGGCTTTCTTGCAGATTTGCACCAGCCTCATATCACAACATGATTGAATCCCTTTGAGGATCGATTAGGAATGAGTACAATTTGCTTTCTCTTGCTGGACACCGAGACTAGCACGTATCGGCCGAACAATGCCGCAAATTCACCCTCGGTGATAGCGAACCTCGGTGCGAGGATGAGACTCACCGAGAGCTCTACTGGCTCCCAGTCCAAAAATACCGGGTCATCCCAATGGTAGCACCCCATCAGATCCAGAAATCTGGGATAAGAGAATCAACAGATAGTTTCTGACAGTGGCTTAGCCGGCGAGAACTGCTGCCTCAGAAGGTGAATCATGGCTAGCGCTGCTTTCTTTTTTCTGTGCTGGGCGAGAAAGGCAGGCTGTCCTTGTGAAATCTCTCGGTCACCTCATACGTCAGCCATGGTTCTTGGAATAGCGGTTGAACTGCCAAGCTTGGTCTTGATTCTTCGGGTGCGCTGGACGGGGATGAGCAAAGATAGAAGGGAAAACCAATGGACCGGACTGGGGCCTGGAAGACGGCGCAGAAGGACGAGGTGTTTTTAGAAATGGCAAATCAGATCTTTCATCACAACACACAGTAGGAGGTCGAGAAGGGTGACGCTTAATGGAATCCGTTCTACGTGGAACGTGTCGAGCGTCAGGAGATAACCTTAGCCCGGCAGAACCCGAGCGGCGACGAACTGATTTATACTCATGCTTTTATCCTGAGTAGTGAGTAATATCATAATAAGAGCGACCGATGAACTCAGGCAATAGTTATCGATCTATGGCTGCTACGCTTCGGAACTGGAATGAACAATATAAGTATAACTTGATCACCATAGTAGTGAATAGCTATAACCTTAGATCTGACTTACTCTCATATTGAACGGAGAGTCCGTCAATCGTTGGACGAGCTATTATTGGTCCAATAACAGTCCGAGTCAATAGAGCCCTCGCGCAACTGCTCAAAGACCTCCGCAAGCGGGCAAAATAGCTATGGAATCACGATGGACTCCAGGTACTTTGTAGCTCGGTTTTCCTCTTTCTTCTATTTGGTCACTCGCGCCCTATAGATTTAGGGGTCTTTTCCATTTACCTTGAATCGGAATTCGATACCACCACTCTGGGTTTCAAATAGAACATCTTCCAGTATCCTCAGTTTTTACTCTCAAACTTAAGCCTCTGATAGATACATGTTCAAACCTTCGCCAGGGCCAGGGCATAACTTCAAAAGATGCCGACGAGCCCTTCGCAGCTGGTGTCTTCTAAGAGCATCAACCTTCTCCACAACGCACAATACCCCGTCCTTCACACACCCCCCGCGGTGACTAGAGGCCAAGCTTAGCAAGTCGCTCTTGCCCCTTGTCGGTAAAGAGAAGAAGGCCGTTGTAATAGCCAACTACCCAAATCATAGGGTACCGCCAATGAAACCACATTGGATGCTCTGCTGCACCAAACCAACCGAAGTGTCGGTCAAGGCTATAGCAGAGATAGTTGCAAGTGCTCAGTAAAAGGAGCGAAAGAATAGCTGTGAAATGTGCTGCCTTTTTTCCGTAGTAGTGGTCGACGATGAAGATGTTGATAAGACCTCCCATTGCTCCACCCATGCCCAGGGGACAGAAGACCAGAGTCCACATAACTTTGTAGAAAAGGTCCCGAGTACCGGTCATGATGAGAACTCCAACCGCGAGGAAGATGACTTCAGCAAATAGCGAGTTGAGCCAAAATAACAGAAACGGTCGGAGATAGATGCTGCGCCGCTTCTCAGCAACCTTGATGTCCTGTTCTCCAGTGATCAGAACTTGGTAGTTGGATGCTGTCATCTTGAATGTGGTTTAGAGTAAAATCAAAATTGCAGGAAATTTGCGTGGCGTATGTTTACTCTATCAACCAGAGGGTTTATATTCGAAATTGCGTAGGAGGTGCATGTTGATCAGATTTGCCTCGGTGGCAAGGTATCTTGACTGATCACTAATCTTGCTTTCGAGGAACAGTACATCCTACCGAGGTCAACATGCCTCGGTGTTTAGGCTATATGGTCTCGCGTGGAGCATCGCACAAGTTGAACTAGTACACGGATAAGCTAAGTTCTGCCATGTCCTCCTTTTATTTGAAGAACACACACTCTCATAAGCAAGCTCATTTGGGTCCCCTACCCAAAAGGATTGAAAGGGACTGTAAGCCAACATGATTGAAACAAGCAGCGGAAAACGCTGAAACCTTTGCTTTGTAAAGCTTGGCAAGGCGTAGTTCAACTACCGAGAAAAGATTATTCTTACCTTATCTCATTCCAGATGACCGTTCTTGAGTTCATCACACTTTTAATTACCAGCTAACACCGCGATGAACTCGCTTTGGCATTATAATTAGAATCAATGAATTCATATGACGACCGGTCTCCAGCCTACGAATTAGATTCAGACGCAATGATCTCGAAGAGAATCTTGCGAGCTGTATATTCAAATCCCGAATCGACGGATTTAATTTTTTGCACGGTCCATACTAGGACTGAAAATTGAATCAAACTAGGTGAAGAAAAAAGCAAATTGGAATTACATCACACATCTACATGCTCCGTCCTACATAAAGTCCCATGTAGTATGTATTTGGCAATTTATGCCAGTATCAGTCTAGCTAGAAGTTGAGTCCACCTTCGTCTCAACCCAGCCGCTCAATCAACCAATGCTTTATAGCACTTTCCTGTTCAGTCTCATGAAAGTCACCAAACAGAGGCCAGATAAGGGGGGCAACATGGCATTCATTTCTCCCAACCACAATAGTAGTGTTAGGGTTAGATTTCTATCGATATGTCAGTCACTTCACTCGGAATATCCAGCTCTATTTATTCAACGTACTTCAAATTTGGAAAACCAAGCTTTTATCGGGTCTAGTAAGACCTCGTCGGCGCCAGCGAGTACCAAAGTCTGTTCCACTTGAATACCACTCCACCACTCCTCTGGTGCATTGACTGCCTCGATGTAATTGTTCGAGGGTTTTCCATTAAGATATAGCTGAGACCACCGCGATGTGACCTCTTGCGCATCGATATCTTTATGCTCATTGAGCTTCACACTTGGCCATTGATGACTGAATGATACCCAAGGGGATAAAAGAATAGCACCCTTGATAGGCTCGTTGATGACGAGTTCAGGTATGTTCATTGAAGGATGCTTCAAATGTGAGAGAATCGCCAAGCACAGACTCCCACCAGCTGAGTCTCCTGCAATGAGGATCTCCCCAGGTGCTCGTCCATCTTCTTCCAAGATGTATCGCAGGGTTTCGACTGCTTCGCCAACCTGAACTGGGTACGCCCCATGTGGTGTGAGCGTATATGTACTATGGAACCATGCAGTTTCAATCCCTGCATCAGCAAGTGATTTCTGAATTTTCGACCAGAAATACAGATAAGGCTCTGTTGCGTCCATAGCAAAACCTCCACCTTATACGAAGTGTCAGGTTAACCTAGCTGGACTTCATAGTAGACTGCTCTGCTTACCGTGGAATTGAATGACAACGTATTTGGCCGAAGGATCTCCAATCCAAAATCCATTTACCCCAAGGTTAGTGGAAACAAAATGTGGTTTGTTTCCGTTTATTTGGCAGTATTCCAGATAAATTTCGTCGTAAGATTTGAACAAATATCTAGGTTCTGGTTAAATGTGCCTACCCTAACATTCAGGAAACATACTGCAGTTGAAGCGGACTGAACCTTGTAGTGAGCTATTGAGAGTTAGCGGCTGGTGATAGCGCTTGCAACGCGGTATAATACTTTCTTAACTACTGCTTGGATCATATGATGATGATAGGTGTCGGCTCCTGAGCGGCCGCGAACTGCTCCCGAAATAGCAGCTTTGAATAATTCTGCGGCTGCTGGCTATCAGAAAAGAGATGCACTTTCGCCACGCAGCACTGAGAATCTTACCAATGGACAACCAGCCAACAAAAGCATCTACCCTCTCCCACCAAGAGATTTGGTGTGTCATTGTAGCAATCCTGAGAGTAATACAAGGATTGGTCTCAAGGGATGATACTTACCAATTCTCACTCTAGTTCAAATTGCTTTTGTATAAAACATCCCGAAGCCCAATTAATATTCCATACCGTGGCCGAGGCCGAATCTCGCGGCATCCTCGGCAGATCGTCTCTGATAGGGTGATCGCTACATGGCGGTAGTAAGCTTACTATGGTTAGATCCGACCGAAGCTCCGAAATCAAGTGACTATCTACTATGTAAGGATTAGAATATACAATACTTTCTTCCGAGATTGATTATTCAACACGCCAGTCACCAGGACGGAGGGAAAGATGGTAAGTAGCATCCTCTCTAGAAGCTATTGCTATTGGATCTCTAAAAACCCTTATTGGAAATTCACATATTGATTTTCTTTACTTGATACTATCGCCCATCATGCCTAAATGGGGTTTCTACCACATTTGATGGAGCCTTTCCAATAAAGAAACCGAGTAGGGGTTTTTCAAGGCACTAGACAACATCCTAACGGCTATCATTAAGCCCAAGAACATCGAAGGGGAGCTCGGAATCTATGATGCTTCTCGCGACTTGTGGAGAACCGACGGCTTGCTTGCGCCTGAAACTGAGTCTACCATAGAAAAGGAATGGTTCGATGCCAATCGCGTTCCAAATTAGGAGGAGCTGTTCAAAGACCAGGCCCATGCTTGAAGAGCGACTCATCATTGGTCACTTTCTAGGAATGGGAGGCATCGTTTGGGTAGTGGCAATCTTCTCAGGTGCTACTTTGATAAAGTATTCGAATAATTGCTGTATATAATTTAAATAAACAGCGACAGCATGTCACTTTCTGCGGACAAGTTCCATGAGATTTCAAGGTCTTCCGTAACCGATTTAGTAAGTCAGAGCGGCTTTCAGACCTAGATAGTATGGGAACTAGGCAACTTGACAGACATATACGAATAAATTGGCTTTTTGAACACATGGGTAAGGCTACACCAAACCAAAAAAGCCATATAGCAGCGGTCGGAAGAAGTGGGATGTAGCTTTAAGCTTCCAGGTTCTCTTCTGCTTGTAACGTGCAAGTTGTGTATTTACATCGCCCCAAGTTCTTGCGTTGTATAGAGCCCTGTAGAGACTGCAGAAGGACGAATATCATTCAGTTGAACCCTCAATACTAAAGTCCCACATCAGGTTGAATCACTGCCATTTCTGCAATGGGGCCGGCTGTTCCTCTGTTTCTATCGCATACTCTCCGTATGGCACCGCATTGTCTTCATCAATCCATTCTTGCAAAACCTCGGGCTCGTCAATTGGAGGGATCATGCCGTTGACTCTCCAGTTGTCTCGGGGATGCTCGTAAATGTTGTACTCCCACTTGATTCCTTTAGGCGCCAATATCGGCCTCATTATGGTGTTAATTCGCTGGATGAAGGCCAATCGAACTTCTTCTGAAGGAAACGAGCGAGCGGCATGATCGATAACAAAGAATACCGCATTGGGTGGTGTTTTACCCCCGCTGAAGAAGCAACCAACTCGGTTTTCATGAAAGAATACATTGACAAAGAAGGCAGGAAGACCTAACTCGACATAAATATCGGTAACATGCTGGGCGACGGTCTGTTTTTCGGCAGCAGAGAGAGTGTCCGGGGTGAGTTCGAAAGTCCAACGCGGCATTTTAGAGAAATGTTGCAGGTAATGAATTGGGTATTGGCTCAATGTGTTGATGTTTGTTCCGGTGTCTTGATCTTAAGCACAATAGTAAGTTTTATACCGATAGACACTCTGATTAATCCCCCACCTCGGACAAGTGAATCGATGTTATATCCCCTATACTCATCAATGCACTGTTGATCGCTCATCTTTCCCTAGTACCGAGGCAAGTTTCTCATAGAAACAACATTCAATTATCGACTGAGGCTACGAACTGCGCAGATTATCGATGCGGAGTTAATATTTTCTGTGTGTCATCTTTGAATTGTAAGCCCAGTCACCTCGGCTCGAACGAATCACTAATCATCTTACGTCTAGTAAATTGAATTTGTATTTTTACAGCAGTACCACATATCGCTTTGTTGATTTTCTGTTTTTGTGACACACCACGATTCTCGATCAGTAATTGCGAGAAATATCTGATAGCCGAGGTTAACAAACGTAGCTAAATGAAGCGCATCATTGTCCTGCCCAGGTACAAAAGGCTAGGCTTTGGCTAACAAGTCCCCTTGTACAACTCAGTTAGTGCTGATAAACATCATTATCTCGTTTTCTGTATCTTCTTGCTTAAAGCCTTTATCTCACAATGTCATCCGTTCTTCGAGCCGACGTTTACGTCTCATCTCGTCTTCCAATTGCCATTGAAAGAGCCGGTGGCTCGAGTGCCTTCTCGCCTATCTCATGCACTCTGATTCAGGGCCAATCAGAAGCTGTCTTGGTTGATACCCCAATTTCTGTGTCCCAGACTGAAGACCTAGTTTCATGGATCAAGCAAACAGCCATCGGCAAAGACCTGAAATACGTCTACATCACGCACGGCCACGGTGATCACTGGTTCGGAATATCGATCATTCAAAAGCACTGGCCAAATGTGCGAGCGATTGCTACGCCTGCCACTGTCTCCAGTATGAAAGAGCAGGTTTCTCCGGAGAAGTTTGAGGGGATATGGCTCAAATTTTTCCCGGGCGACCAAATTCCTCAGCCTCTTGTTCTAGCGTCAGCAATGGACTCGGACAACTTTGAGATTGAGGGACACACCTTCCGGGCAATTGAAGTTGGCCACTCTGACACTCATGATACAACCATTCTTCATGTCCCGAGTATAAACCTAGTTGTAGCAGGAGATGTGGTGTACGGGGACGTCCATCAATATTTCGGTGAAGCAAACACCACCGAGAAGAGGAAAGAATGGCTTCGTGCGATCGACATGATCGAAGCTCTGAACCCTCAAACTGTTGTCGCAGGCCACAAGCGGGCCGGCACCGTGGACGGAGTATTCAACTTGAGAACGACAAGACAATACATCGAAGACTTTGAAAGCGCAACCAAAACTACATCAAACTGGCAAGAGCTGTGGGAAAGAATGCAATTATTGTATCCTGGACGCATTAATCCGCATGCAATTCTTGCAGGGGCAATGGCCGCCTTCCCTAGTGAGGCAAAGATATAAGTAATCGAAAATTGAGAAAATATGCCTTCCGGTTATGTGAGCCAGTGGCATAAGCTATGTGTCCAGTTCCACCAAGGACATATAGATATCGTGCTAGTCTTTGACCCTATAGATATAAAACAATTTCATGGGAGGTAAATTTTCCACTCAAGACAAAATTAAGACGAATTAGGAATTCCTATCAAAGTTTGGCACTTTCGACTTAGTGATACAGTATTTGAATAGTCAAAGTTTCTAATCTCGGCCCTGTAATAGTTTTTATGCTGATTACAAACTGCAATAAGGAGAATTCGCTGGTCTTGGACTCAGGCTACAGTATGAAAATCACAAAATTTCGCACCATCTGGCTATACATACTGTCACAGGCAACAGTCTACAGCTTCCTACCACTGTCCCTGCCCTTAATATTCCGGGATGCGTCAACAACCAATGCCACCTGAGTGCTTGTCGCCACTAATTCACCATGCTGATCAAGGACAACAACATCGAGATCTGCACGACCACCCCGTAGCATCCTAGTCACCACGCGAGAGTGAAGCCACTCTACTCCCTCTGGCGGCAGTCTCGTCTTTAAATCAATGTTCAATGAGACAGTTGGAAACCAGAAAGGGCCTTTAGCTGCGACAGAACCTGGAGCCTTTGTTTGGGATGCTTCCTCATCTTGGAGCCGATGCGATTCCATTGCAGCCAAACGATCGAGGGCCGCTGGAAATATATCAACAAGGAACATAACCGCCTCATTAGACCAGCGTGCCACCTTTCCGCCCGGGGCGAATCGTTGCCATTGATCAACAACCTGCTTTTCGCGGGTCTCTAATGATTTTGGCACATGGAGAGCAGGTGTATAAACCTCGAGATTCCTCGTTGCAGCCATTGCAGAGATTGTTTGTTGTTGCGCCCATGGACCATCCCGTTTGTACTTTGCCAGTGCCAAGAGATCAACTGACCCATCGGAGAGGGTCCCTGGCACTGGTGCAGGTCCCAACTCCCAGGTACCATTGTAACTGGGGCCGGCCTCTGTGTCCGGCGGACTAGCGTTGATATATGCGGCAGCTTTTATCTCGAGCTTTCTATCCTTGCCGTTTACATCGGATAGCGTAGCGCCATCTGGTGCCTGCAAAAGGGATACGTGGATGGTGCTGACCCTCGAGCCGATCTTCGTGTTTTCTATCTTCAAGATAGCTGGCCCAATGGTTGTTCGGCGCAAATACGATAATTGGAGGGAGATTGGCTGGGGCGCATATGGAAAGCGGTGACCGAAGTTGTTGGCGAAATGGACTGCCGCAGCTCGGTAAAAGATGCTCGCCGTGTATCCTCCGTGAGGCACTGAGTGATATGTTAGATATGTCTAATTCTCCAAAGTCATTGAACTTGCCTTTCCCAATGCACCACTGGGGATCAAGGTTCGCGGAATACGTAGCCGAGTCGATCGGGGTGACACTGATCGCTTTCTCGAATAACGCAGAGTGAGAAGGCTCATCCATGTTGACTGGCAGATCAGCCTCGTCAGATGACTAGTATGAGGAGCAAATGTCACATAGACCGAGGAAAGATATATTGCTGTGGGAATATTAAAAGCGACCGAACAATTTTCAATGCCGACAACTGCCCATGCTGTCTTTATAGTGAGTGCTGTATTAATATCACAATGGTTCCTAGGCTTCGCCCCCTCGGCTTTGTAGACTCATCACGAAATATAACAAGCACCGAGTTCTTCATCCACAAGTCCATCCATAATATTTCATGGCATGCACGTGAGAGCCTAATATAAGAGAATTGCGGAAGCGTAATTTATTGTTCAAATAATCATCCTTGGTGTGGGGACGAGCCTCGGTAACTCCAAATTTACAACACCAGTGTGTCGAAATCGTCCGCGTAGATCCCCCTCCACACATCTATGTGGCTTCCATTGAGCCGATTTTCTTCTATAATGATACATCAGAACCCGATGTCAAGATGCACGAAGCCACTCCCTTTTGTTGTCAGTGGTGAAAACCGTGCCAAATGGCTGTTACTATTGGAAATGCTTGAAAATGCAGCTAATGATTTTGTTAAGTCAGGCCACAGATTTTGAATGAGCGTACAAGATGGGATGGCACGATACATGAAGGGGTGTCTTTTCGTTGCGTTGGGTCTATATTCAATTCGACTTTGGCCATGGGCCCTCTAAACTACATAGTCACATATATCTGAACCTTATTGTGTCATTTATTGTGTCATTTATTAATCATTTTCAAACCCTCTAAGGCTATAAATTGCCAGAATAGGGAAAATAGAGTGGATAACTAAAAGTCAGGGTGAGTTATTGAAAGAAATATTGCCCCTTTGACAGGTTAGTGGCGGTGGTGGCGGGGTCTTTCATTAATGCCCTATGCGATATTCATGCTGCGTCTTGTGGCCCCATTTACCTATTATATATGTCTTGACTAGTATAGAATATAATTCACGATCAATTGAATATCTCTGGTTAGCTAGGCTGGGTCAAATATGTAGTATATAGTAGGGTTGGTCTGGTGCATTCTTCATAAGATTATTGAGGATTTGATAGTGAGCTGAAACCCCGGATGGCTTCACCACAAATGAACCTAGCACATGGTTGTGGTCGGATCGACATGCGTCATTTGGCGTACCTAAAGTCGACGACCATCCAGTCAATTAGATGGCAAATCATTCAACAGACACTCTGGAGTAATAACTATAGCATCAAAAATAGACCCGGAGTCTAGACTGGTCTCAGGCATCAAATGGAATACGGACTTTATCATAGAAATTGTGTGTTCGTCAAATCGTACAGTTGGCATAACATCATAGCCATGTCACGGCTTATGAGCTTCGACTATAACTACCTGCGCCACCTCCCCATTTAGGTTATCCTCATATAGCAAAGTTCGTTCTCAGTCGTATTCATTCTTAAAAACCTCATAATTCAATACTTCTCTCGGTCTAAATCCTTCAATATGCCACTCAATAAGTACGGTGTTTGGAAGGTAACTCCGGTACACTACGTTTGTGGAACATCGCAACCAAGATAAGAAAAACCCATATTTGACACTGTACTTCCCTGATAAAGAAGGTCTAGGCGAGTACTCTGGCCACAGCTTTCGTCGGACTGGAAACAAAGAAATTCCCGGGCTCTCCAGCGCAGCAATCAACATCAGATCTGGGGACAGGAACGAATCTCGGCTTGCCTACTGCGTGGATCAGAATTTCGACATCACCCTATAACCAACAGTCTCACCGATCTACCTTTAGGGTTTCATTCTCTCGATAAACCGCAGCCAGAACCCGCTAGTTTGAGACTGGACTACATCCGGAGGAACCTTTTCAACCTCAATACCGGTCAAATCCTGCCTCACGACAAAGCATGGCCGAACAGTGACATCACTGATGTCTTGGAGCCTGAAGTGCAACATTCAATCAATCAAAGTGCCAACATTTACCTGTTTGGTGAACAATACTCGGATGGAAAAGGTATTCATAATGTGCATATGGACCAAGGCAGCGTTCCAGAGTACCGACGGGATGTTGGTGTATTCCAAGATGGCGGCCTTTTGATCAATTATCCAGGCTCTAATCGCTGGGTTGGGGTTTTCATCGGCTTTGCGTCACAGGCTGTGCACACAGATGAAGAAACAGGACACGCCGTATCATCAGAGACCTGGAGTGATTATCTAGAACGGGAAACAAGAAATGCCGATCTGATCAAGAACGCCGTGACGATTGATCAAGCTGTGATCAACACTTCGGGGTCAACCCTTCCCCCAGGCAGATGCACATCGATTACTCTCAAAAACTTCACAGGTCATACAATGCCCTTATCTTCCTGGAAAATCCAAAATTCAACAGGCCAATTCCAAGCACTGCCTAACGATGCAGCTTTAGGTGCTATGTCAGCCCAAGATTTCGATCTCAAGAGTTTGCCTCTCTCCAACCTCGGCGATATTATCACACTATTGAATGAAAAGGGATTGAAAGTTAACGGAGTAAGATATCGCCCTCACCAGAACCCAGCGGAAGGGCGATCGCTTGTATTCGCTCATTAGGATTGGCATGGATTGAATACTGCTACCACACTCGTGCGGCAGAGTGAGACAACGTAGCCCAGCTGGCGTGGTAAGCTTGTTCTGCTTGGACTTGTTGTCAACGTTGCTGGGTTTTGTTCGGCGAATTGGGTAACCTCTGGATTTTCTTATGTCCAGGGAAGTGTCAATTGGCGATTTCCACTTGCTTTGCAATTGGTTCTCGGTATTGTCACTTCGTCAACTGCGCCATGGCTTCCTGAGTCACCGAGATGGTTAATTTCGGAAGAGAGAGTTGATGAGGCGGATTTTGTTCTTGCCTATCCAGGGCGAGGGGGTTACCACCATGTCACCCACTGTTGTTGCAGGGAGGAATAAAATCCAGCGGGCTTACCAGGCTGAAATGGAGCATTGTGTTTCCTGGGGCACATTACTGAGTGTTAAGGCGACTGGCGCGGGGATTCTGCGTCGGTTTCTGCTTGGCCTTGGGACGCAGATTATTGTGCAATTGTCTGGGGTCAATGCAAATTCCTACCATCTTCCCACTGTGCTAGTTAGCTTTTTTGGTTTGGATGAAAAGCTTGCCAGGCTGTTAATAGCCGTTGGCTTTGTCCACTACATCTTCTTTTCGTACCTGGGGATGATGTTAATCGATAAGTGGGGTTGTCGTGGACCTATGCTACTTGGTGAGTTTCAAAGGTCATCCCAAGCTTACAATTATTTATCAATATTTCAAATTTCTACAGGTTCATCTGGCTGCTCTCTCTGCTACTTCGCCTTAATGTTCCTCATCCGCGCAAACCAACTCACAGCCAAACACCAGGAAACATACAACTACGGCGCCGCCTCGGTGACAATGATATTCCTCCTCTACGCCTTCTTCGGGGTAGGTTGGCAAGGAACAGCATGGCTCTACAACACAGAGATCGACTCGCAATACATGCGCATGACAGGATCATCAGCAAGTGTGACCGCACAGTAGGCTGTGAACTATATGGTTGTGCAAATTACGCCGATCGGGATCCAAAATATCAGATGGCGGTTCTATCTCATCTGGGTGTCTTTCAGCTATTTCTCTATTCTCATTATTTTATCTCTTTTGTCCCGAGACGGCGAATCGGAGTCTGGAGGATTTTGACATTGTGTTCAAGGAGAATTTGAGGACTTGGGTGGTTCTGAATAATGAGGCTACACATCCTCAACGACCTGCTCGGATATTTATTATGAATTAACAAGAGGTGCCGAATGTTCGAATAGAGGCTAAGGGAGGGCAGGTGCAGAGGATTGAGTGATGGGTGATAGAGGGGATAAAATGGACTAGATGAGCAGAGCAAGTAGTCCATATCTTTTCTTGTACCAATGCAAAAGGAGTTGAATACGTCGAGTCTTTCATAGGCCTTAGATCTCAAGAACCGATATGCAAGAATCAGGTTTTCTCTAGCTTCTGAACTTTTAAAGAGATTGCACAGGGACTTGATCCATGGATCCAAGGACAAATATTCCCAAACTCTTTCGAGTCCTGTTATCCATAGACTCAGCAATAAATGAGCAAAGAACCATTTATTATATATGCTAGCGAAGCAGCTATTCAAAGGACGCCATAGAAACTCCCGCTCAATAACTTCCAGCAATAAGCCATACTCCAATCCAAAGCAGCCCAATCAATTCATCTTAACCTGGAACAAATAGCGCTGCCGAATCTGCGCAACATCATAGACGATGTACTCATTGTAATACAAGCCTCCGCCACGGACATGATCAGTATTAGCGATCGATACATCAGGCATTCGTACGCCTGCCAAAGCAGGGTTAATGCAACCAGCATCCTTCCAGCCACCTGGCACCTGGGAACCTTTTCCAAGGGTAGCAATCTTGCCAGCCTTGATAGCATCCTCGCCAGCATTGTAGTTGCCACGATCGAGCTCTAGCATAGGAGCACCGAGCTCCGCATCACATAATAGAAGCAGGCCCATTCCACCGCTGTTGTAAGGACAGCAGTAGTTGGCGGATTTGCTTGATGTATCGGCCAAGTAGACACCCTTTCCGAACATGTAGCCGTTCACGGGTGCTTCGGGTGGTGCGATGCGCAGACCTTGGCTAAGGATACCACCAAAATTCGTACTGCGGGAGCCGTGCCAGAGGAGACGACGATCGCTGTTTGGAAGGTTGGCGTATTTGGATGTGTTGAAGCGTTCTGTTTCGCCTTGGCGCTCGATGCGGAAGATATTGATTACTTTGTATTCCATGTTGTGAGTGCGGCCACGGGAGTTTTGTAGGTAGCTTTCGAGTTCTTGGAACTCGGTCGATGTGTGCTCCACTGTTTGCTGTTAGCTTGATTCAATATGATAAAATTATGTAAACCTTACGTTCGACCATTTCTCGCATTCCCAAGCCTTGGAACTGGCGGTCCAGCTCGTGGATTTGATCACTATCCTTCGACTCAGTCATGATCTCGTTCGCCACGTCCATGTCGGTAAGTGCCTCCAGGAGTTCGACCTCCTTTTTGATCTGAGCATCCGATCCAAGAACAGGCGGTCGATTGCGGCCGAAAACATGAGGGATCAATGTGAAGTATCGATTGGACAAGTGCTCAATGGCTGTGCCGTAGGGAACATCGTATTTGGCTTGCGCGGAGGTTGGATCGGATATCAACTCAGACAGTTCCTTCAAAACGGAAAATCCGCTTTTCAGAGTCCGAGTGCTAAGCTTGCCCAGAGGGAGCTTGTGGACATCGTAAGACATAGATGCAAGGGCCTCAAGGACATTGTTAAGGTTGAAGATGAAAGAAATCAAATCTTGAAGGGGTTTAGACATGAGACTTTCCACAGGAGGAGTGTCGTCTTCCTTTTTCACCTTTGCAGGTTTTTCCGCTTCTTCTTCGTCTTCCTCGTCTTCTTCATAGTTACGTTCCAGGAAGGTGTACTTCTTGTTCTTTGGTGTATCCAGGCGATTGGCCCAGCTTAAGCCCGACTTGTCTTTGAATTTCTTTTCAAACATCGCCATCGCACTTTTCAAATCGTTGAATCTGAGATCGGCGGATTGGCCATTTTCACCAACTCGGCCCCAGCGCGTCCAGGTCATGAAATTTGAGTTGGCACCCACCAGCAGTTGGATGCGGTAGAACTTGTTGGCATTGTCCGATGCTACTGTTTGGTTCAAAGTCGCATCCCAGATCAACCCCGCGTCATCAATGTAGACAGTGGGGGCTATTAAATTTTGTCAGTCAGCTTTTGATGGTGTTCACGCGTAAGCTAACGGGCAAGCTTACACTGGTAGTAGCTGTCTCGTTGATCGAAGCCTTCGTCAATGGGAATATTAAGCGACTTAGTTGTAGCCTTCTGGCTATCTTTGACCTTCTTCTTGGACTCTGAGCCCTCTTCTTCACTTGCGCCTCGCTTTTTCGTAGGCTTCACGTCTTTAGGCTTTTTTTCCGTGTTTTTCCCATTGCCGTTCTTTTGTGCTGCGGTGTCCACCTGCACTTTCGACTCTTTGTTAAATGCATATTTTGACTCTGGCAATGGCTTTCTGGCCTGTGTTGATTCCAGAAGCCATTCGAGCGAAACGACGTGACAGCCGGGCAGACCAGAAGCTTTTTTGTCTGGTCGATTGTTCAGTAATTTGCTAGGTACGAGTCCTGTCGTGCACTCACATTTGGTGGATTGCTTGTCCACATCAACTTGGGTGGTGATCAAGTGAGTGCATGCTTCCGTAACCGAAGTGCTGAATGTTGCGCCACTTTGTTCGATGTGCGCTCTTACGTCCGCTGCGGGAAGGTCAGCACAATCATGTGGGGCCAACACATATACAGAGGGCGATTGACGGTCAATAAGAGGTTCTTACCTTGTTTTAAATCAGGAAATGTCCCACTCACGGCAATGAGAAAGGTTTTGAAAGATCGAGCTGGCATGGTGGGAAATAATCAGGTGCGGGACCAAGATGGGACGAAACGGTCAACGAGTGGGTAACACAGGCGCAGATTGAGAATGAAGAATTTAATGAAGAAATAAAAGAAACGAAGCACGGAAAGACCAGCAGCTTTTAAATATTGAGCAGATCAAAGCTCTGGAAGGTCTGGCGCATCACAAAAATACTTTGGCCTGAAGAATCCGGCATCAAAGGGGCTGTTGCCTGGCTTAGCGTCAGGCAGCACTCCCCTTTTTGTGGGTAAGTCATTTCAAGTCAAGCTATCATCGCTTCGTGATGTCGTTTTAATCCATTGGTTGCCTATTTAATGTGTCCACTATGTTTCTAGTCTCAAAGTCATTATCATGTGTTACAATTTACAATTACTTGACTAGAATTTGGGAGATGAAATGCATGATCCTCGTACCACCTTGATGAATATGATCAATTGTGAATTTGGCTGGATAATCGTGGTGTGCAATACCATCATATGAAAACTAAAAGAACCCTGCTGGTGCAAAGATTCTAGGATCCATAAGGTGTGGTATCTTCTAAAACCTCAGAGTACCTTGAATTGTTTCAAGACTGCAAGCCAAGTAGAAACAGAAGGTCAGCTTGAAAGACTTCAAAATATGTGTTGTAATCCATACCAGCAGAGTGAGCCAGCTCCCCCACATTATGGGCGTGCACATGAAGACTGATCCCCTCAAGCGCACGGTAGAAATGATCTTTGTTCGAGGTATAGTAGGATTTGTCATGGATATTTGCTCCCTCCGGCACCCTACCATGGAAAATAAACCAATGAGTATCTTCGATCAGAATCCATGGGTCTTTTCAGGGGTGACAACGTACCATGTGATCAAAGCTAGCTTGTGTCGCTGTTCATTACCAGTTGGAGCAGGATACTTGATTTTGACGACCGCATACCGGGGAGTGTCTTCCTTGAATAGAGCAACGAATTCGGTGTAATCCTTGTATGTACCGGACTCAGCGACGGAGATCTTCTTGTCGTGTGCGGAGGCTTCATAGAAAACATAGTCGAGAGTGTCAGTCTCTTTGACCTGGTCAAAGAACTCCTCGCACTGAGGAGCGATAGCTGCGAATCCTCTTGTCATGACTGGTAGTAAAGTAGTAGTTGTAAAGAGAGAGAGAGAGAGAGAGATGTGAAGAGAAGAAGAAAAAGAAGAGGGGGAGACAATGGTTTGATTGTGGAGCCTTTACCCCGACTTTGCGGGGAAGTCACATCATGATCGACTGAGGCGCATGACCTATAACAAACATAAGAATTTCATATTTCTGTACTTCAAAACACAGTCGCTATACCTCAAAGACATATATTTTATGGAAAAGTCAATTATACCAAAACGAGCCAATTGATTCCATATAAACAAACATTGAGCTAACAACCTCCCACACCTATGGACACACCCCTGCATTCCCACAGCAATCTCAAACAACTGTATCAGGTACCTGAGCCCTCGCTCCACAGGCGGTGAATTCGCACAACCGAAGTTCAACCGTTACTACAAAAACATCCACGGTCGATATATAAAGTACATCGAACCAACCAGCTGTAGGATCAGAATCTGTATCTGTTACTAGTAAATAAACGCGTCTCCAATGAAGCATCGCATGTACTCTGGATGGAGAACGTTGTTTTTCATTTGGCTCGTTTCTCTAAAATTACTTTATATAAGAAGAAGAAAAGCAAAGAAAAGGAAGAGTGGCAAAATCCCAAGGTACACACCAAAACAGGAGACTATACACATGATGGCGCTAAACCATATTTGGAACATGATAGTCTAACCAGATTGGGACAGTCGTAGGCTACGGACCCGGATCAGGAAAAATTGGGTGAACTTCTCGGGAATGAAGACACGATGCCGACAAAGATCCCGAGAACATAAGAATCATTTAACAAACTCCCCTTCCAACATTCCTATCGATCCCTAAACCAAAACCAAAAATAAACAATCCCTTCGTCAAAATGAGCACAACCAAACCCCACATCTGCATCATTGGCTCCCTAAACATCGACTTTGTAACAACAACCCCCCGCTGCCCAGCAGCCGGTGAGACCCTTACAGCAACATCTTTAACCGTCTCAGCGGGCGGAAAAGGCGGAAACCAGGCTGTCGCCTGCGGTCGCTCATCCTTCACATCTGCTAAAAGCCAAGATGTCTCCGTGAGCATGATCGGTGCCGTCGGCGCCGAAGATCCCTACTACGCCAGCCTGCTCAAGCCCGCTTTAGAAAATTCTGGCGTCGACACTTCATTCATCCAGCAATCAGATGTTCAGACCGGCTCAGCCAGCATCATTGTTGAAGAAATCAATGGGGAGAATCGCATTCTGGTGGTCCCGGGTGCTAATCATGCCGGGATGATGCAGGATGTGTCGTCTATTACCTCTACGTTGGAGGGTCGTGAGCCAGATGTTGTTGTTTTGCAGGGTGAGATTCCACGCGACACGACGCTGGAATTACTTCAATTTTTCAACAAGCGCACCACCAAAGTCGTGTTCAATCCTGCGCCCGTGTTTCCCGAGGGCGTGCCGCTCTCTGCTTTGGTCGGGACAGCGGTGTTGATTATGAATGAGACGGAGGTTGTGCAGATGGCAAGATCAATCCAGGGATTGCCCGTTGATGATGCTGAGGCTGCTGAGGAATTGAGGCCTGAGGAGATGGCGCCGAGATTCCATAAGGAAGCCGGGGTTGAAATTGTTTTGATTACTCTTGGTGCTAAGGGTGTCTATTTCTCGACGAGATCTGGGGTCACGGGCACTGTGTCTGGTGTTAAGGTTCCAAAGGTCGTGGACACCACTGCTGCGGGGGATACTTTTGTTGGTTATTTCGCGACTGCTGTGGCACGCTTCCTGGCGACTGGGAAAAGTTTAGAGTCGTTCGATTCTATTCAAGGTGCAGTGGAGAAGGCTAATGCTGCTGCTGCTAGATGTGTTCAAAAGCAAGGTGCAATGCAGAGCATTCCCTTTGCCTATGATATGGAATGAAGTATAAGATGTAAATATAGTTGATGAAAAGTATAGATTGGCGTTTGGGGTATATTTATGCAATCATTGAATCAGGCTCATCTTCGAATTCCTCCTCATATCGCGCCAAATTCCACGATGCCTCTAGTGCTTCTGTCTCTCGGTCTAGTTTGATACCAGTTGTGGCGGTGATCTTGGCTAGACGCTCCAGGATGACCGCCTGTTGCGATTCATGTGTCATCTCCCTTGCGATGGTGAGAAGACTGGCCACTAGGATTGGATCCCATTGTTCGGGCGAGTCATTACTAGCCGCTATGCCAGCGATGGATTGCGCGTGCCAGATATGAGATGTGACGGACCTTGGTCCTGGGAGCGATTTCAGAAGGCGTGGTTTATGGGTCAACAATAAGAGAGAGATTATGTGGTAGACGGCGTTGGCGACCAGCGCCATTGGCGTCGTGAAAATGAGAATGGGGAATGAGGAGTCGTGATCTGGATCAATTTGGTCGGCTTCACCTCCGCGTATGTCCACGATCTGCTGCACGTTCACCGGTCGGTCATTGTACCATTTTTGACAATCGGACCAGAGAAATGTCCACTGTGAAAGGAAGTGGGATTGTCGTAGAGAAGGGAATACTGCCAGCTCTGGAGATGAGACTGCGTGCGGGGATATTGTTTCTGGATCTCCGTGGATCAAAGCTAGGCAGTGAGCGAGCAGACACAGAATATGTTTGTATGCACGATGAACGGTCTGAGGTTGTATTTCGAATTGCGGATGGTGGACTGACGAGCCATCACGCTGTAATAATGATCGGAAAGGCATCAGGGGTGGTTTTGATAACGTCATGGAACCTGCGAGATCTGCCCAGTAATATCGATTAGCATTCTCTTTGATGTCCATCTAGACGAACAATGTCTCTTACCGAATCGGAAGTAAAGCCATAACAATGCTTCTCCGACTTCCTCTCCTTGACCGGCGTGTGACGCAAAGTCACAAGCACCCTCAATCTTATGAACAAGCAAACTCCTCCATTGCTGAGGTCCAGCAGGCAGAGCATCCTGAAGCATGAGCAGAGTCTGACCCGCATGTCTGGCTAAATCAGATTCAAACGCAAGGCTTCCTTCCGCTTCTTTTCGGAAGTTCTGACTATGTTCCAGATCACTGCCATTTGATAGTGACATGAGCTGTCTCTGACCGGCAGAGACTGCAAGAACAGCAGCTTGGAGAGCTCGGTTACTTCGACACAGCAGAAGGACTTGCAGTCCGAACGGTAGCTCTGGGTCCCCGGTGTCAATCCAAGGCCCAACGTGGTACCGGAAATGTCGCAACAAATCAGTTTCTGGGTTACTATTTACAAACTGTCCTCGCCGCGCGGATGTCTGGGCACTAGCAGCTGATCTTGGGTATCCAAAACAGGGAGGACTGTTGATGTATCGAGTACCCGGCGTTCTCCGACCACCGACAAAGGGGATCGGAGGGTCAGAGAAGTCGACAGTCGGTACCGCAGCTGATAGTGTGCTTTGGAATTCGAAAGCACGAGGTGCATCTGACGATTCATCATGGCTCTCTGTTGAAGATTGCAGCCCGTCTAGAGAGAAGCCAGCATTGCTTTGAGACTCGTCTGGCCTCTGGTCTTTATTCTCCCTACCAGCGGCGAGCGGCGAGTCATCCACGAACTTCATCCTGTTAGAATTGCATTCACGATACAATGTTTGACATCCACTTACCGTGATAGTGCTATAGCCCTGCCTGGTACCCTCCACAACCCCAGAACGCGGTTGCACGAAGGCCAGATCAGAGCCATATTTACACGTGAACCCCTTGACCTCACAATTGGCACAGTTTGGCTTCTGCTCATCACCTAAATCAACATATTAGTGTCATTGACACAATATCAAAAGGTAAAATGAAAAGTGACACGTGACACGTACATTTTCTCCTCCGTTTTCGACACGTCAAGCAGCCCGTCCTCACGCGCTGCTTGGCTGCCGGCGTGGGTTTTCTGGGCATGGTGATGAGATGGATACTGCATGACCCCAGATGGACGGGATGATAGCTTGAAAAGAAGATTGGAGGCTCCGCAAACCCGATATGTGGTGAAGTGCCGGAGGCGGCCGATAATTCGGGTCCGTCGTGGGGTTCTACTCCAATCGGGAGAGTCGAGCCGAAAGGGCAGTAGGCGATTGCGACCAATTGGTCATTTGTATATAATTTTAAACCGTCGTGTAGAACTTCCCTAGGAAATCATGGAGGCAAGTTCCTATTGGAAGTAATGACTTTGTGAACCTTTGTATGAAATATTTCGTTCTAGAATGCCGGATGAACTCCTTGTCTCTTTCCTTTTCTTGGTAAATCAGAACGATAGCAGTTTGTGTTACAAAGAATTGTAAAGAGCACCTAAGCTTGGAAACTCATCATTTAATTCCCAATGGCCACAAGATTGAAATTATTTTATCCAAGTGTTCAAGTGGACACAGGCGATATGGCATTCTTGCCCCAGCGCTACGAGCCGCCCTCGTTCTATGGAATCTTCATCAGACGCCACCCGAGATTCCGAGATTTAAATAAATGGGGAAATCCATGGCGAAAATAGCTTGAGTATGGGGAAATTAAGTGGATCTAGCGAATTTAAAAAAAAGAAATTGACTTCGTGACATTCCATAATAGATTAAATACGATTTTGTTGACAAAACACCACATCACAGCCTCCCATATATATATCCAACGTAAAAAAACTCGTTCAAAGCTTCTCGATATACTGGGAGCCCTCCAACTTCTCCAGATCCCGACCAGTAGCCGATCTCATACGCTCAAGGAAAGAGGTCAGACCAACGTCTCGCTGTGCTTCGCGGAGGAGTTCCGCATCTTGCTCCCCAGCCTTGCTATTAAACACACGATCCATCTCTTCTAGGGATGCGCCCTTGGTTTCAGGAAGGAAGAACCAGACCCAGGCAATACCGACAGCCAAGAATCCCGCGAAGAAGATGTAAGTTCCCCATTCCCAGGCTTTGAGCATAGGCGGAACGAAGAAAGCAATGGCAAAATTGTTGATCCAGTTGCTAAATGCGCCGATCGAGGCACCCTTGGCGCGGATGGAGAGTGGGAAGATTTCAGAGACGAGGGTCCATGAGACAGGGCCCCAGGTGGCGCCGAAGCCGGCGATGTAGAGCCAGATGAGGGCAACGGCAGTCCAGCCAGCCGCGACATGACCAGGCCAATCGTGTTGGAACTTGGCCACGATCACACCGACGATCACCATGCTAGCGAACATAACGAGGGATCCGCCCAGCAGCATGGGTTTGCGGCCGATTTTGTCGATGACCAACATTCCGGGTACGGTACTGATGATGAAGACGACACCGGTGACACCGGTTGCCAGAAGAGCAATGGTACCGCCAGTCAGACCGAGACTGACAAAGACATTAGAGGCATAGTAGATGACTAAATCAAACTGGTTAGCAGTGAATCAAGTGTAGGTGTTGGTTGAAAGAAAACTCACTGGCATCAATACCACTCCACTGCTGGAAGAACATAACCAACCAAGCGATGCAAACACGCTTGAAGTTATCCATACTCCGGAAGCAGTTGGCATACTGCGCAATCTGGTTCATGAAAACACTCTTCTTCTCGCGATCTGCGAGCTTAGGGGAAGCCTTGGCAAATGCACGCTCTTCAAAGACAGCCTCGGCCTTGATCTCAAGGTACTCCACCTGAACAAGCTCATGCTCAACAGGGAGTTTGCGCATCCAAGCGAGAGTTTCCTGTGCCTCCTGATCACGGCCCTGCTTGACAAGCCATCTAGGCGAGAAAGGCATAAACCAGATTCCACAAGCAAGCGCAACAGCTGGAATACCCTGGATGATAGAAGGTAGACGCCACGCCAGATCTGACTGAGTCTCGCCTGTGCCACCAATGTTGTTGCTTCCGTAACCAACCCAGAAAGAAATCATGATACCGAGAATCGTAGCGAATTGGTAGAAGGAAACCAGCAGACCGCGCATCTCGGGTGCGGCAAGTTCAGCATTGTACAGCGGTCCAACACCGCTAAATAGACCAACGCCTAGACCAGTGAAGAATCGGCCAGCGTACAGAAGAGATGGGTTGCCAGCTGTTGCGCCGACGTACAGGTAACTGCCGAGGATAACCCAGCAGCAGGCGAAAAACATGGTGTACTTGCGCGAGAAGATTTCGCCGAGAATACCGGCTGCGAGAGAGCCAACGATACCGCCCAATTGAAGCACTGAAGTCAACCAACCGGTGGCTGTTGAAGATGCGACTACTGTTGGGAAGTTCTCTGTAAATCGGGTCATGACCAGGGATTGGCCAAGGACACCTTGTTGGTAGCCATATTCAAAACCACCAAATCTGAATAATAAGTCAATACAGCCCTGGAGTGAAGTGGAGAAATGTGACCGAAGGAACATACGAAGCAAAAAAGGCAATTAGAAGAACTTTAGGGTTATCGAAGATAGACTGCCACATGGACTTCTTGGCGATGTGCACACGCGCTTCCACGTCGGGTGTTTGGTCCGTCATAGTCATATCGGGCAAATGATCAATTGAACGAAATCTGGGGAATCAAAAACATGGGGGAGGGTCCCATATATAGACAATTTCACTAACAAGACATGGTTAGTCTATTTAGTTTATTTAGTTCTGTCATGCAGTCCGACGATGGCACCACGTGAGAAAAAAAAACTCAACATCAATCCCCAGTTTTTCGGCGTCCCGACTCGCTACGACCCCCGGGAACCCCAAAATCTTGAAATTTGTGGAGGCAAAACTGTGGAGGAACCCGACCGCTAAACTATATTGAGTGGTTCATAGCCTACGACTCCCCAGAACGGATAGAAACGGCTGCACACGCGGAAAATAGTGGAAATCTCGGAACAAATCAAGATCCACTTTAACATCAGAGGGGAAAATCGTGAGAATTGCTTAGGGACGGGAAAACCTTAAGACGGTTTAGTTGGATTATTAGGGCCTAAATGGGTTTCACTCGGCCCTAAGACATTCTTAGGTCTACAGAGAAAAAGTGTGGAGAGATCTAGGCACTTCGTCCATTTTGGGAAATCGTAGCCACTCGTTTGGCCTTGCTTGGTACAGTCCTTGCTGATCGTTGACTACGGAGAGCGGAGAGACTAGGAAGAGGATTCCAATTGACGTAAAGTTATTGATGGTGTGGTATTCAAGTGGATATGTTCTTGAGGAAGTCTGGGGTTGGAAATGGAATTTAAGGTATAAAGGGTTCGGTGAGTGGGCGGGAATATTTATTCAATTGATTCTATTTTGCATAGTATTTTGTATACTTAGACTATCATTTACTTGCGTTCTGTATTCGGCAAGCTTACCCTTAATCCCTGCAATGCATTGGAAGGTCTCGGTCCCGCTGCTTTGCAGCTCAATGCTTACTTGCGTCACGGGCGCGATTGCGCGGGCGGATAAGCATTATGCCATCATGGACAATGATTGGTATACAGCAGGTTTCGTGCCTTACCTAGTGGCTCTTGATGGCGATGTGGAAATCTTGGGCTTGGCCTCAGGTGGGTATTCACATCATTCTGCAGTGCAATCGAATCACTAAGGAAGTTTTAGACACCGCCAACAGCTGGCAGGCGCAGGGTGCATTGCATGCTGTGGCAACCCTAGAAGCCGGGAATTTAAGCTGCATTCCCGTATACCCAGGTGCCACATGGCCGTTGATCAACACCCCCGCCCGTTTCCAGGCATGGGAGATGGTTCACGGCAAGCTGCCTTGGGAAGGAGCTTTCGCTCCTGAGAACAAGACCCTTGAAGCTCAGGGTAATGATCCTACTTCTGGTGATCCGAACCGGATTGTCAAGGAGGCTTTCAAGGAAGGATTCCCCAAGGGCCGACCGGAAAACACCACCTCAGCCGCCAACTTCATGGTTGAGATGGTGCACAAGTATCCCGGTCAGGTATCCATTTACTCGGCCGGCGCATTGACCAATATTGCGCTTGCTGTCCGTATGGACCCGCAATTTGCGTCGCTTGCGAAGGATCTTGTCATTATGGGTGGATACGTTGATCTCAACATGCTAGAAGCCACTGGAAGTATCATGCTGGCAGATTATCAGTCGGATGTAAGTATCCTTACTCAATCGCTTCATATTTGTTTGATTGCTGACAATGTAGATCAATCTGATGATTGACCCCGAAGCTTCGAAGATCGCCCTCACGGCCGATTTCCCAAATATCACCATCGCTGGCAATGTTGCTAACCAAGTTTTCCCGACCAAAGAATTCATGGAAGAGGTTCACTCCGTCCCTAACCCGTACAGCAAGCTTTTCTATAAGTACTACGACCTGTCTTTCCCCTTCTGGGACGAGACAGCCGCTGCACTGATGGTTGACCCGTCTCTTTCCGTTAACCAGACCTCCGGTAAGTCAATGTGGAATATGCATTTGAATTGCAGTGGTATGAGGCTAACAATTTCAAGTGTACCTGGACGTGGATACATCATATGGTAGTCCCAATTATGGAAACATCCATGTGTATCAGAAGGCTCTTGCGCCTCAAGGTATCCGGGAGGTAAACTATGTGTTCGAGGTGGATGCTGAAAAGCTCAGAAATCGGATCAAGCATGCTCTGCAGTATCCTAAGTCGTGTGCCGACTTGAAGTAGGCTGCGTGGCCGGTCGGTTGGGCTATTCTTGTATATACCCATATTCAATTGAGCTGGAAGATGCTCAAGTCGAGTGAATCATAGACATAGAATGCAATGTTACAAACACTCCCAGTATGCCCGTCACTTTCTTGTTCATTGTAGTGTCCGACCTTGTCGATCTTGGCTGGAGCATCGATTGATAGTGTAAAGTGACATTTAAACCTCAAATCACACCTAGAATCTCTCCCGGCTCATACCCCCAGGCACGCTCAAGATCCTTGAGTCGCCACAAAGCACCCCACCCAGTCGTGCGCTCAATAATCTTGAACAACTTCGCGACTTCGACATGCTCACTGTGATGACTGAGCAACTTCCCTGCAATATAAAGCGGCTGAATAGCATTGATCAAATTTCCAGAATGAGGATTTGTCAGCGAGATCCCACAAACGCGACGAGCATGCCAAATAGCCGAGAAATGCGGCTTAGCAGCCGGCGGCCCCCGCTCCACAGGCCTCATATCCAACATCATTATCGACGCCGCATGATACAACTGATTGCCAGAAATAGCAGCCCAGTGCGCAAACAAAATCTCCGGGAATATTTGCCCACTCCCCATCCCCGTAGTCTTAATTGGCAGCATAGCAGGCGGTCGCGTCTCAATCCAGTACTGCAACTCATCCCAGAGCCGATTCCACTGCTCAGAGAACGGTCGTGAATCACCGGTCGTCTCGCCGAGCTCCAAGTAACGCGTCCGTCGACAAGAGAGGTCGCACGCTTTCGCGCACAGGTAAACAGCCCAGTTCGCATGCATATCCGCAGATGCGCGGCCATTGTCGCAAAACAGATCACGGATCATATCTTCCTCCTTCTCTTTTGACCCAGCGTGCGGCATCGCTGGAACCCATTTCTCCAATGGGAGGACAGTGCTCTCGGCACCGTTAGAGATGATCGCTCCGCACAATTCCATGCGCGCATAGCACCAAAAAACAGCTTGGAGATGCCCCCCAGAGAGCCCGTTTACATTGAAGGAGTCAAAGAGCGCAGCGCAGCCTTCGACGTGTCGTCGCCAGTCGCGCGGGCTTACGGACATTAGTTCCATCACGGCGAGAATGCATACTGTGACGAGAACATTTGGGTCTTTGGCTTGGAGGCACGGTGCTAGGAGTCTAATGGACTCTTGATACAGCTCAAGACTGTCATATGCCTTGTCGAGACAGGCTTTGCGCTCTGTCTGGCGGGCTGAGAATGCGAGAATGGCGTAGAAAAGAGCTGGCGAACCTTGTGCCAGAATGGGAATGTGAACGCCGAAATGGCGCGCTTCATCGAATTTATCGAGATATGGGGCACATTCTGTGATCCAATTCTTGAGGTAGAAAATTAGTCTGATTTTAGGGATTGATATCACTCGCGTAAAATCTAGACTTTGGCGTGAGGCTCTTCTTTGAGGAAGTTCTGGTTCTAGAGGCGCTGGTGATGTGTAGGCTGTTGGCTCGAGACTTGCGACTGCGGAAAAGAGGACGCAACGAAGTTCTTCTTGCAGCTCAAGGAATCTGGGGTTTGCGGCATACTCGTCTGCGCTGGAGAATGTTCCCGGCGATAAGAAGGCTTCTTCCTCGATAAGCGGAGTGAAGGGTTCAATTCTCTCCATTATTGGCACTTCTTCCATTGTGCATTGTGATATTTGGGGTGATATTGAAAATTCTGGAGATTTCTAAAATTCTGGGGTAAAAAGAAGGGAAGAATTGCGGAGACGTTCCGAAGTCCACCTACAAAGACATCCACTTAGTCAGGGAAATTGACCAGTTGGCGACTGAGTTCCAATTTATCATTGTGTCTTTAGTTGTCTATGTTCACACTTATTTGCACGCATATATAGGAAATATTGAAAAGTCTTGAAACAAATTCAAAACATACCAGGCCGCCCAATCACTCAAGGACAATAATCAACAGCACCCACGTCGCCACTCCACTCAAAATGCACAACATCAACAATCTGTCTCAATGTACTGGGTTCGAGCAAACTCCGAGTGGCATCTGCAAGCCAGGCAAGGTGCATCTCCGGAGACCCTTGACACAGAGTATAAGTTTTGTCCATCTCGATCCTCTTCTTTGATGTCAAAGGTCCATCACTTCCGAGAGTGCCATACGGTCTCAATGCTTCCATCAGTCGTGCATATTTTGTAAGATGAGACACCGATTCGTAGTCACAAGCTGAGTGCTTTTGGACTTTCCGAACCCCTTTGAGACATTCATATACTTTGTGATGAGCTGACATGATGGCCCAATTACAGTACCCCATGACGAGCAGAGCACCGACTTCGCCAGATTCAACCACCTCAATCGCTGACTCTAGACACTGTCCAATCGTTTTATCCAGGTATTCACAAAGATTCCCCCGAATGCCGCGAATCAAAACATTCTCTCGCTGTTTGCGCATTGTGTCACCGCGGAAGTCCACCAGATCGTTGATATAAACTGTCGCCTCGACAATCCTCGCGTATTCCTTTTCAGTCAAATGCTGACCCGTTCCTAAAGAGGCAGTCATGACTCCATGGAAAGCGGCAACATCGATGTGCCGATGGATCCCGAGTCCCGTCATGCGACTACCGTAGATCCCATGCGGGAGGCGATGTCGGGCATGATCACGATAATATCCAAGGACTCGGCATTGCACGATATATGCGGCGAGATTGTTGAACTGCCAGTCTGTCACCCGACCCGCCATATTGCATAGTTTCAAGAATGCTACTGCTGCGGCCCCGACCTGCTGGAGGAGTCTCAGCCCTTTTGCGTCAGCGGCCTCGCAGTAATCACCAATCAAGATGTCGTTGCATGAGTCCGCTACGGCACGAGCAAGGCCTTGATCACAGAATCCTCCACCGCAGGCCATGACGCCGAAATACTTTGCATCTGTGCAGATTTTGATTTGCTCGGCGGTTGGGTAGAGTTGGTTGCTGATTCTAGTGTTGCTGTCAACGAAAGGGTTTGGGCGGCGGTCTGGAGCTTTGATTTTTGGGATGGCGGCAGATATTTTGGTTCCCTGGCATGTATGTGGTGGTGGCTGAATATCTGAGCTTGAGTGTATCAGCTCGTCGACAGCGAGTCTAAGTTTTGTAGGTGTGAATAGGCCGGTGCTATGCCATTCGTCTTGTCGTGTGATCACCGTTTCCATGACTATCTTCATACTTTGAATAGCTCGACATGTATGGAGCTTGGAGAATGAGTTGGGTTGTTGGTTCTGGATCGACTCGGCAGCCTCACAGTCACACTCCACTTGAGGGTTATATTGTTCCGAGAAAAGATCAGTCTCCTGACATGAGGGAGGCTTTGTTCCGCCAATATTAACCCTTCCATTCTTTGTGTGTTGTTTGAATGAGTATACAGCCTGCATCAAACTATTATGGTCCATCAACTGGTGCATATTTTCAACCTCAAAGAGGGAAGCCAGTTCGCCCAAACTAAAGAGTCGCTTAGGCGAACTGTCATAGCCATTTGATAAATAAAGCCAACCATCAACCCATGAAAGGTATATTTGTAAAAGGGTCGGTTGGAGCAATGGCGGCAAAACTTTCGAGATCATTGTTTCGATTGTAGCGTGATGTATGACAAGCTATAGAAAATGTGAAAATGTGAATAAAGAACTGAGAAGGGCAGTAATGAATCTGTTTATTTATCTCTGTCTACTTCACTTGTTAAATATCAATAACAGAGGAAAAATAAGAACCTCAGCCATCGCTCGCTATGTTAGTCCTGTTTCCTAGTCCAGCTCCACCTGCCCCCCAACTGAAGGCATTCAACGCGATGCTCCACTTTGTGCTTTACCCGCTGTCAACCACAAACAGTGGCTAAAAATTAGGAAATTACAGAAAAGCTGAAGGATTGTGAGGTTGGTAGCAGCCCTATGGCGTGAATACATCGGCCACTCCGGTGGTAGAGTCCATCGGACCAATCACGTATCTATCGGTTAGGTAAGCCTGGCAGAGTACAGTGTGGATATTTGGTCTGTTTTACCTTTTCTTACATCTTTGCCTTTTTTTTCAAATCCCGACCAGTCTGAATGCCAACTGTGCTAGCTGGAGTGTGGGGTTGTGGCGCAGCTGGCGACCTTGAGAATTGTTCAGCGGACGAAAGGTATGCAATTTACTGCCAAGACAATGTATTTTGTCAGATTTGATAGAGTGCATGAAATGCTTATTTTAAACAAATGCGCTGATGCGATTATCATCATAAGGATGACTAAATCAATCAAATATAGACTGTTTTATCTTTATGCTACTACAACAATAGGGATACGTCAGCCTCGGAATTATCCCTTCAGCGTCGCTTCTTTTTCCTCTTTCTGTTCACCTTGGGTTTCTCGAGGGGGCTTTGTCTGACAGGAGCCACCTCACCATAAGCACAAGCTAGATGAACACTTAGGCCAGTATTATATTCTTTATCAAGGTTTTTTGTGTGTGAAATAATCACACTTTCCTTTATTTAGTTGACGCCTATGTGGTTGTCTTCATTTCTAGATTCTTTCAACGATTCCCTTTGATCGAATTTTTCAATCATCACTTACGCATTTCTTGTCTCCTGAGCTTCGGGTTTTGACCCGATGAATTCTATTCGTTATAAAATATTGGTACAATGTGTATTGTTGGCTGAAAGACGCTTTCAACTGGTTTCTAGCCACCTAGACACACTATTTTTATATCCAAAGATTTAGTTCATCCATCCACCAGTCATGAATATATAAAACGAACTAGCCGCTCATACGTGTTATTTAGCTCAATTGATAATACAGGAACAAATATCACCAACACCAGGATACGGTAGGCTCAACAATATCCCGTCTCACGGAGTCAGACTTTGATAAACCTTGTTGCCCGACGGAGTAGTACTTTTAAGTTTTCCCAGAAGAGCCTTGGCAAGCTTCTCAATTCGAAGTTTGAAAAAGATCTCAGGGTCATGGCCACTAAGAAATAGTCCTAGCGGTCCCGCCATCTGCTTCAAGTGAAGAGATCGCGCGCATTCAATTTTCCAGTCCCGAGCAAATTGTTGGATCATGCTGAAAAATTCAGGAGCAGTAACCTCTCTGTGACCGATCCCGGCCTTTCTAACTTCTTCGACTACCCCATCTGGGGCGTACTGGCGCATACGGTTAAGCAGCTCACCAATGGTTCGTGGTACGTATAAATCGGCGCTGGCATGGACCACACCTGTGGTACCTTTCACAACATGAGCGAGACACGTGCGTGCCACGAGATCAACTGGGATCTCGTTGCATGCTGCGTCCCAAGGGAGTGTTTGCTCAAGTTTGAACGGTCCATATTCCGAGTCTCCTAACAGGATCTGAATGAATGAATGTACGGGTATTGCGCCATCGCTTCCGTAAAATGGGAAAGGATCTTCTATTGCTGGCGAAATAAGGCAAGGTCGCACGACGAGGATCGGATATTTGTGATCGCCGGTTGAAAGTAAACATTCGGCTAGGTGTTTGGTCAGAGCATAAGGAGCAGCAAATTGCTTTGTATAAGATGATTTTCCTGTGGCCTCGATTTCGGCAAGTTCTTCCCAGGGATCCTTGTATAGAGGGTAGAGTTGTTCCTTTACCACGCCATCCGGGAGAAAGCTGGATGCATATGTAGTTGATACATGCAGAAAGTATTTCAACTGTGTGAAGCTGTCTGCCATAGTGGCCAGGGTCAAGTGTGCGGTACAATTAACCGGTAATGTTTCTGCAAGATCCCGAGACAAGGAGATATCCCCAGCCGCATTGATCACTATTGTGGCTTCATTTCTTAGACGCAAGAGATTGACAGAGGATAGGCCGAGATCAGGCTTGGTCATGTCACCCAAGACAAACTGTATCTTTCCAGTGGCAATGATATCGTCCGCCTGCTCTGGCATTGACTGCTCCCATGCCTCAATTGCCCTTTGGACCGATCCTCGCACTAATACGAAGATCTTCGATGTGGGAAGTTGTATGGCTAGTTTATACAACAAGCAACCCCCAAGATTACCTGTTGCCCCTGTGAGAAAGATCACATGCCCATGAAACCATTCGTTGTCCATCTCAAATAGTGCTTTTCCTCGAAGATTGAGTATTGGAATTAGTCAAGTGTCACGATACAAAGTGTGGCATGCTACAAAGAGAGCAGCTCAAGGAATCAATAATATCTTGCGATTGCTAGAATGACAAGTAATATCAGACAAAATTCGTCATTAAGTCACCAAGTCCTCGCCAAGGTTTTTTGTAGTTCTCACATGAAGATACAATTTCAAATTCCTCCAAGGCTCTGCATGAAAGTCTGGATTTCCTTCCAATTCTCAGAAGCAATTTCGCAACCTTAATAGTCGGTGAGTTGCAGCTCAAACGTATGATCAGCCGCGGTAGAGGATGTACGTATGGCAGTCATTTGGGTGGCGGGAAACATCATTGTGTAAAGAACTCCGACATTCGGAATGTAGTTAGTTCCCTAGCATTTCATGATTCTGCGGTCTAGATGGGATTTTGTCATCTTCTGGAAAACAAAGGACTCATCCGTGTGACCCGATGATTGAGCACTGTTGGGTTGCGCTGTACATCCGGGGGGTAGGAGATCTCTCTAAAGACTGTTGGGTTGTGTTAAGAAACTTTCCACGAATATGAAATTCTAATGAGAAATCATAACACCAAATTTGAAGTCCACATCTGCTGCACGCTGGACTTGAAGCTTGAACAGTCGGAAGTCTTTGTATCGCAAAGCCATGATCGTCAATTTCCAGAAAATACGCTGGAACAAGTTGACAAAAAAATCCCGTGCATGTACTTTGGTTGAATGCCCACCAAATAAGTACCGTATCTCTTGACTGTCGTACAATAACACGTCGTGGGTTGGAGTAGTATTGAAGCAAATCTAGCAAAAGACAGCTGATCTATCCACACGACCTGGAGCTACTTTTGTAATGCAGATTTCCGCATTGTCGAGCTGTACAACTGCTAAATTAGTCGGGTACACATGGTAGTAGTTGGATGGAGGATCTCGGTAAGAATATATTCCTTACAGCTGCAGAACCGGGATATGTAAGTACATATTGTGTAGGATTTCACCCAGACACCCAATTTAGCACCACACACACTCACACGCTTGTGAACGCATTGTACACAATAGTATCAGATTTCAAAATCAGACTCGTGTTTCCTCTGCCTATTCTGCAGCCATCTTGATCCAGTACTAGTTCTCTCATCATTCGACCAAAAATGAATTTGACCACTGGACAAGGACAATCAAAATGCAGAGGCCGCGGGGATGACGAGTCAAATCAGCCGATTGCAGTCATTGGATTGGCTATGCGACTGCCAGGAGGTATTCGGAGTGGCGATGAATTCTGGGAAATGCTAGTGGATAAACGTGATGGCTTTTGTGAAGCGCCTATCTCCCGCTGTTCGAGAGAGGCTTCTAGCAAGTCCGATCGTGGAAGTCCAAGCGAAGCGAGGAATGGGTTCTTCCTGCAAGAAGATCCTGCTCTTTTTGACGCTTCTTTCTTTTCTGTGCCTCCCCACGAGGCAGCACGGCTGGATCCCCAGCAACGGCTTTTGCTGGAAGTGGTCTGGGAGTGTCTGGAAAACTCGGGGGAGACCAAATGGCGCGGTAAGAGGATTGGATGCTTCGTCGGTGTATTTGGGGAAGACTGGCTGGAGATGTCTCACAGAGATCCGCAGCATCTGGGTCAAATATACCCCATAGCGACAGGTGGCTTTGCGCTTGCAAACCAAGTGTCATATCGGTTTGATCTAAAGGGCCCAAGGTAAGTGTCGCTGGCTCCATTTAGATTTAAACGCTCTGACCCTTTCAAGCATTACCATTGAGACGGCTTGCTCTTCATCTTTAGTGAGCCTGCATGAAGCCTGCCAAGCTCTCCGGTCTGGGGACTGCTCAACAGCTTTAGTGGGCGGGACAAGTCTTATATGGAGTCCCACAATGACTGATGCTATGACCAAAAACTTGGTTCTGTCACCCAGTGGTATCTCTCATACCTTTGATGCCAATGCAGATGGATATGGTCGGGGCGAGGCAATAAATTGCATCTACCTCAAGCCGTTAAAGTGTGCCCTGCGCGACAACGACACGGTCCGGGCCATCATTCGCTCAACAATAACCAACCATGACGGAAAGACCCCTATATTCAGTAATCCGTGTCCCATATCCCAAGAGAAGTTAATTAGACACGCATATCAGATTGCAGGAATCGAGGGCATTGACGAAACACCTGTTTTTGAATGCCACGGAACTGGGACTGCCGTCGGCGACGTGATTGAAGCATCGGTCGTGGGGAAAGTGACACAAGGAAGAAAAACTTATCTCACCGCAGTGAGTTACAAGCATGTCACTTCGATCTGTCAAATATCCAGCTCACCTCGTGACCGTACAGGTAAAACCGAATGTCGGCCACTCAGAGGGAGCATCTGGCATCACCAGTATTATCAAAGCCATCCTGTCACTTGAACACAAAACAATCCCACCAAACATACACTTCCAAGCTCCAAATCCCAACATTCCATTCGTCGAGGCAAATCTACACGTACCCTTGGAACCTACCCCGTGGCCTGATGGCAGACCTCAAAGGATTAGCGTCAACTCATTTGGTATTGGTGGCTCAAATGCACATGCAATCTTGGAGTCCGCGTCAACAATTGTTTTGGAGCCTAGACTTGTATCCATCGACCCACACAATGATCCCCTGCTGTTGGTCGTATCTGCGCACACGGCCGATGCCCTTCGCAGACGGATTGACCAGATCACCAAATATCATAACAGCCACCCAGAGCGCGTACACAATCTTTCTCACACTCTAGGTACTCGAAGAGACCATCTAGCACACCGTGCCTTCGCAGTTGTACAACCGAGTAAATCTGTCTTAGAAGACGCATCTTTTACTTGTTTCAAAACAACTTCTCCAGATGTTATCTTTGTGTTTACAGGCCAGGGGGCTCAGTGGCCAGAAATGGGAAAGGGGCTTCTTTCAAACTTCCCAGACTTTAGACAGGACGTTAATAGGATGGATGAAGCACTCCAACAATTACCTGACCGGCCAGATTGGCTATTATGTGGTTGGTCAAAGCAGTCCCTGGATTGTGAGATTTAATGTCTGACCTACCTTCTAGATGAAATGAGACAAGAAAGTACGGCTTCTCGTGTACATGAAGCTGAATTCTCTCAGCCTCTTTGTGTCGCGCTCCAGATTGGTCTGGTCAACCTTCTTGCAAGCTGGGGCATTTGCGCGTCCACAGTTGTCGGGCATTCCAGTGGAGAGATTGTGGCCGCATATGCTGCCCGAGCTATCACAATGAGAACAGCGATTATACTAGCATATTACCGAGGCAAAGTGGCCAAGTCACTAGAAGGATTAGGAGCTATGGTGGCGGTCGGCTTGGCTCCCGATGAAGTGCTTCCGTACCTCACCCATGGAGTGGTTGTTGCTTGCCACAACAGTCCACACAGTATTACTCTCTCAGGAGACAAAGACTCGGTAGATCGAGCAGTCCGAAATATCAAGGCGGCAAACTCTGATACGCTTTGTCGGCGATTACCAGTGCGGACTGCTTATCATTCTGGTAATTAAATCCTCTTTTACCCCTGTCTTCGCAACCTTTAACTGACATAAGTTGCAGGTCACATGAAGCATATTGGTCTTGAATATGAGCACTGTATATCTAGTCAGATAGAACATGAGCATTGCATGCTACCGTTTTGCTCCAGTGTTACTGGTCAAATTATTACTGACCCTCACAAGCTCGATGCATCATATTGGCGACAAAATCTAGAGTCACCCGTGCTATTCACAGAGGCCATTCAGAGTCTTCCTACTACTGGAACTCCAATCTTTCTAGAAATTGGACCACACTCGGCACTGGCTGCCCCTCTTCGTCAAACTTTCAGAACGCTGTCCGCGAAGTCTCCAGTCTATATTCCAACCCTGTTTCGGTATGATGACGACGTCAAAGGACAACTTCTCAGAACAGCTGGGCAGAGTTATTCAAGCAGCATTGCCATCGACTTGTCTCGTATCATTAGAATTGGGAAAACCTTGACAGATATTCCTCCTTATCCATGGCAACATGATCGGTCATATTGGAGTGAGAGCCGATTAAGTCGAAACTGGAGGCAACGCAAGTTTCCGCACCATGAGATCCTCGGTTCTCGCGTCATCGATACAACTGATCATGATCCTTCTTGGCGCAACCTTGTGTCTCTAGATGATGTTCCATGGCTTTTGGACCATGTGATTCAAGGGACTGTCACTTTCCCCGGAGCTGGATTTCTTGCCATGGCAGGCGAGGCAATCCAACAATTGCACCCTGACAATGGTAGTTACTCGGTGCGCAATGCAGCGTTTGCTGTGCCGCTACTCTTCCACGAGGAAGACCACGTTGAGATGGTTACTAGCCTCAATCGCGTCGAGGTGGCCGATAGGACTCCTTCTGGTTGGTATACGTTCAAAGTCATGGTCCATGATGGAGAAAGATGGACGATGCATTGCCAGGGTCAAATAAGAGCTGGTGCTGATCACGCCTCTACATCTACCAAAATCGTTTCCTACCCGAGAGCGGTTTCTTCCGAGGCCGTGTACAGAGTACTGCAAAGGAGCGGGATTGAATACGGACCTCAGTTTCAGGGCCTTGGGCAAATCACTGCAGACCCCACCGGACCCAGGGCAACCGGCACCGTCATGGGCAATCGCGGGCTCCCTGGCAGCAGATATCCTTTACATCCAACTGCAATTGACCAATGTCTTCAACTGATGGGCGTTGCTGGTTCTCGGGGTATTTTGCGGCATCTTACGACAATTTATGTCCCGGCAGCGATAGACTTCTTATTCGTTGGACCTGGGGGTCCATCCATGCTAGCAACGGCTAATACCGAAAGCGGTGCAAGGAATGGACATTTGGGCAATACTATGGCTATGCTCGATGGTCGGGTCGTACTCTGCATTGAAAGGGCTTATCTTTTCGCCCTTGAAAATGACAATGTGGAGTCCAGAACTGGACCAGCTGACTCGATAAGTCATCTTGACTGGAAATCGGATATTGATCTGTTGCCCTCATCCTTGCTTTTATCCACTCCAAAGGACTACACACCAGAAGCCATGAATGTCAAGGCACTCGGCCAATTAGCTGCTCTATTTGTTTTAGAGACAGCTGACCAAATTCGAGGTATTGACCCAGCATCTCCACACTTCACAAAGTGGAAAGATTCCATGTTGGTCGCCGCTTCCGATATCAAAACAAAGGGTCAGCAATCTGTGTACCCAAGTGCCCGTGAATGGGCTTTGCTCAGCTCAGCCAAGAGACAAGAAATGATACGAGATGTCGTGGCTGAAACTAAATTAACATTTGATGCTCCACTTGCGCAATGCATGCAAGTTGTCTTCGATGACTGCAAACAGTTCGTTTCTGCGGAAAGCGACCCTCTGGAAATTCTTATGAAGGACAACCTATTGCACCAGTTTCATGCTGCACATACGCAGTATGCAAATTGGAGCCCTTTTTTGCCTCTTCTCTGTCATTCCAATCCCGGTCTGCGTGTACTTGAGATTGGCGCAGGGACTGGCTCTGCAACAGCTATGGCTCTAGGGCATCTCAAATCACAAAACGGGACTCGAATGTATGGGCAGTATATTTTTACAGATATATCTTCAGGTTTTATGGCTGCGGCGAAGGAGAGATTTGGCCAGGAGCAGTGCATAGACTATAAAATTCTTGATATAAGCTTAGATCCAGTGGAGCAAGGGTTTAACGCCCACAGCTTTGACTTAATCATCGCTTCGAATGTGAGTTTTGACATCAATCAGTTAAGGAAGTGAAAGCTGACTCTTCTACTAGGTTCTGCATGCTACTTACGAATTACAATCAACACTCCGTCATGTCCATCTCCTTCTAAAGCCAACTGGGTGGTTCTTGCTTCATGAAATATGTCCAGGTAATATCGTTGTGTTAGGATTTTAAATGGAGAAACTAACAGCAGCATAGAAATTTTAATCGCAGATTTCACTATGGTTGGTACTGGCTTTTCTAATTTGCAAGCCAGGTGTTAACCTCGTCGCTAGGGTGTGTTCTCCGGCTGGTGGCTAGGCGAGAACGATAATCGAGCGAGCAGGCCCTATGTTTCGCCAGAGAGGTGGCATCAAGAGTTACAGTCTGCAGGATTTACTGGAGCGGATGTTACCGCTTTTGATTTGAAGCCCCCATACCATATATCAGCCAGTTATATATCGCGCCCGGTGGACCATACACATATTTCTCAGGAAATCTGGTTACTTACCAGAAATAGCAAACCCTGCCAGTGGGCAAAGTGCATTGAGTCCTTATTCATTGAAAAAGGTTATACAACTCATTGGAGTACTTTGACTCAAGCACCACCAAAAGGCAAATTTATCATTTCCCTGCTGGACCCAGGAAATTCTCCTATACTTGAGCTCCCTGAGGATATTTACCACGATTTTCAGCATTATATCGAGCAAGTACAAGATTGCAAGATTCTCTGGGTCGCCCAATCAACTTCTCTGGCCTGTTCGGACGCGACTTCAGGTCTGATACATGGGTTTGCACGTACTCTGCGCGTGGAACTGTTGCTCGATGTTTCGATTCTTGAAGTACCGACATGGGACATGGATAGCGCGAGAGCATTGATCCAAGTCTGCGAGAAAATAAGAAGATCTCGAATACATTCTGTCCCAGACCCAGAGTATGAGTTCGCATTTGATGAAGGAGAGATTAAAGTGGGCCGATATCACTGGACGCCGCTAGCGGAACAACTCAAAAGTCAGCCTTGCGCCAATATGGCTCGAAAATTAAATCTCACGGCATATGGTCTTCTCGATACGCTTCAGTGGGTCGAGAAGGAACCATGTAGCCTAGGAGCCGAACAGATTGAAGTTAAAATGGAATACATAGGGATTAACTTCAAGGTTCATATGTCGTTCCGACTGGCTGACGTTGCATGCTAACTTTTTTAGGATATGATGGTTGCTATGGGCTTTTTTGGAAGCAAAGAAGACCTTGGACTTGAGGGTAGCGGCGTCGTACTTCAGGTCGGATCTGATGTGACAGAATTTGCGGTAGGAGATCGTGTGGTATTAATGCATTCCGGTGTTCTCGCTTCCAATGTTATGGTGCCCCAAAAGGCTTGTATCAAGCTTCCAGAGGGATTGTCGATGGCCGATGCTGCTACTATGCTAACAGCTTATGTCACTGTTCTCTATTCATTGCTAGAAGTGGGTGCTATGAAAAAGGGCCAGGTGCGTTATAATCTGTCTATTTTCAATTAGTGGCGATAACTAACACAAGAGAAGTCTGTCCTCATTCACTCTGCCTGTGGTGGAGTTGGACTAGCCGCCCTGCAAGTTTGCCAAGCTGCTGGTGCTGAGGTGGGCTTGCCCTTTTTATTTATGGCTGTAATTCAGCAGCTCATTTTGTTCCTTAGATTTATGCCACCGTTGGAAACGACAAAAAGGTCGACTACTTAATGGAGAATTACGACTTACCGCGAGACCACATTTATAACTCGCGGAACACAACCTTCAAAGAGGATTTACTGCGTGCTACCGTGGGCCGCGGTGTTGATATAGTCCTCAATTCATTATCTGGTAACCTTCTACACGCTTCATGGGAATGTGTTGCCAAGTTTGGGCGAATGATTGAATTGGGAAAACGTGACTTCATAAGCCATGGGATCCTCGATATGAGCATCTTCGAGGCCAACCGATCATTCATTGGTGTTGACCTAGCACAGGTTTGCAAAGAGACTCCAGAAGTTCTGAAGAGGTTCGTTCAAAATTTTCTTGTAATTTGAAGATGCTAATCGGCTGCAGTACTCTGTCAACATTTTTAGACTGGTATCGTCGGGGTTCAATTAAACCAATTAGACCAGTCAAAACATTCGAAGCCGCTGATATTATCAGTTCATTCCGGTATATGCAGGCTGGCACGCACTTGGGTAAGATCGTGATCCATATGCCGAGCACATTGGACAGCTTCCCTTCCCCTGTCGTTAAGACATTACCATCTTTCCGATCAGATGCCTCCTATTTACTAGTTGGTGGACTTGGTGGCATTGGGCGCTCTGTATCAACATGGATGGTTGAACGAGGTGCAAAGGAACTCATCTTCCTATCCCGGTCAGCTGGAAAGTCAAGTGATAATCAGGCATTCATTCGCGAGCTTGAAGTGCAGGGATGTCATGTAATTTGCGTGGCAGGCAATGTCACAGACAAAGAGGATGTAAACGAGGCCATTAGAAGACGAACCCGGCCCTTGGCTGGAGTGCTACAAATGGCAGTTGACCTCAAGGTAAATCATTATTTTCATCTAGTTGCCTCTACCAACAATATTGACCCACGTTACCATATCAGGATCGCTTGTTTTTACAGATGAGCTACGATGAATGGACCGCTGCGCTAGCTCCGAAGATAAGCGGCAGCTGGAATCTACATCATGCTACAGCGCAGCACCCGCTTGATTTTTTTGTTGTGTTCGGCTCCATCGCCGGTGTGTGTGGTAACACTGGGCAGGCCAACTATGCAGCAGCAACGACATTCTTGGAATCTTTCACGCACTATCGACGACAAAAAGGCTTCCCATCCTCTGTGCTACACCTTGGGGTGGTTGGAGATGCGGGTGCTGCGAGTCGCAATTCCCGATTTCTCCAGAGAGTACAATCAATTGCGCTACATGTGCTTCACGAGGCCGAGGTCATCGACGGACTAGCAGCAGCAATCAGAATATCCCCGATTACCTCCTCTAGCGCATCCGGGGCGATCGTGATGGGACTTGCTCACACAAGGCGCCGTTCTGATCTACCCAAAGAAATTTTCCTGGGAGGACGCGATGCCAGGTTTTCCCTTTATCCTAACCTGGAGTCAACCAGCAAGGCCATCGGTGGGGACGCATCGAGTCATGCAAGTGCGTTGAAGGCTCTTCTCGGTCAAATCCAGGCAGATACTTCACTTGCCGGGAAAAGAGAGACTGAGATTACATTGATCAAGGAGTTGGGTCGGTTTGTGAGCCAGAATCTCACCGGGCAGACACAGGAGAGCAATCAAGATGAAGTAGATGAAATCGGCGCAATAACAGAGATGGCTGTGGATTCTCTTATGGCCATAGAGGTAAGGAATTGGTTGCGAAGGTCGCTGGGTGTTGAAATTGCAACAGTAGAGATCAATCGAGCGGGTACATTGGGAGGTCTGGTGAGGGTGGTTTTGAAGGGGCTCAAGGAGAAGTATGATCAAAGCCCTACTTCGGACGCTGCTGCTGGTCAGCAGTGATTCCAAGGTTTGGCAACTAGGAAGCAATAGGGTGTTGAACTGCGTGAAATCTTTGAATTACAATTGTGGTAGTGGCTTCTATCTGACTTAGTTTTATATTTCAGCTAGTAGTGTACTTGGTAACACTAGTTGTAAGAGTTTATCTAATTGATTAAATGCACACGCTGATATGACTCTCGTTCTGTGAGAAATTTCGCTCCTTTGACTACCTAGGTATGTAACAACTTAGCGGCGAAAGATCGCGTGTAATAGCTTTGCAGAGTAGTGGTATGTAGACAAATAACCTTGGAACCCAGAATGAATTTTTACTGGGGACAGTAATGTGGTGTTAATCTTCCAAGGTTCAACAATATATATTCACAAATTTTCCAGAATGATATATCTTTCAACTATGCTCAAGCCTCCAGGGCTTGGAACAGCGTTGTTTCAACAGATTCTTTCCAAGATTGTAAGAGCTATACAACTACTCGTAGTTATGTAACCGATATGGGTCTCAGGTTTCCAAGTTTGAGCTGTTCATCCACAAGTCTATTTGAAGATGTACTGATAGAACGCTGACGATGGAGTTTCGTGGTATTAAGCTCATGATTTCTCCGAAGCTAATCAACATAAGGTAATGGATTTGCGAAGCCAAGAATATATACAGGTAATTGTCTCCCGAGTCGAATCCAAGGCAAGTTGCCCCGAAGAACCTTGGAACAAGAACCCGATTATGTAATCATTATCCAGCCCGGGCCGAGAGATGAGTTTCTTGTACAATTTTGTAGCGAGTACTAAATCAGAACTTTGGAAGACCTCCGGGGTTCAAATAGATTACTAAGAATAAGAATGAACAAAAGCATGTTTAGGATAAATTCAAAGCTATAGCATAAAATGAACGCTGCACGGTACTACTGTACTTTATCCACATCGGAATATTCCCGGGGGCTAAACAATCATGCACGGTTAGATGAATCCGAACCCGGGACACTCGGTATCCCACCGGTGTTCTAACCGAGCCGATGTGGAGAGTCTGGTGTTCCTGGTCTGTTCTTTCGAATTTCCTTTCATCATACCCCCAGTTTTTGCGTGGGGGCGACTTCTGGGCTGAGCGTTTAGCCTTGATGTTCTGGATGGAATTGAAGGTTCAAGTTCCAGCGAATTATTCCATCAATATTTGGCCTAGGTCATTGTCGGATTATCCGCGGATAAAATGAGTTGCTCATTTACCCTAGTCAAGTTACGTCGGCAACTGCTCCGCGCCCTGAAGGGTTTAGAGTCAAATGGGGCCAAAAGAACATCTAATCCCGGCCGTCGGGTTTTGATCAAAAAGGTATTGAAAGCCGCCATAGCACTGGGATTTTCTAGGTCATCCCACGCCATTTTAAATGGACCGAATGCCCACACCGGTAATCCGGAGTGCGGCACGGGATGCCCGTTTGATCGGATAATATCACGGAAAAAGGGGCGTCATAAGGGCTCGGGTAGGTTACTGGAAAAAAAAAAAAACAAAAAGATGGGGGCATTTTGGCTGTGGGAATTTCTTTTATTAATGTTGTCAGCTGAGAGGGTTATGGATCCCGAAAGTGGAGGAAGCCAAGGAATGTGTGGAAGAAAGATTCGGGAGGAATGCAGTAGCGAAGCCTACACTATAATATTGTACCAACGTCGTAGCAAACAAGGTTGTATAGCTCCCAGATTAATCGGTACAATATATGTCATAAAAACTACTCCGTAGTGCTGCTTAAATTTCCTTTTTAAGGTTCTCTCTCCACTGTAATATTCTTTTTATCCACCGAAGAAGAAAATAAATGCCAAGATGTGAAGGATTTAGACTGAAATTTTTTTTTTTCAAATGTTGGGCACATGACCATTGGTGCCCTGAGCTGCAATACAAAAGAATGTATTTCCCCATTAAATGCAACCAAGTAAGGAAAAGCAAACCCAGAATGAAAGAATGAAAGAATGAATGAAAGAACGGAATATATACTTCTCTTTACCTAACACAAAAGGAAATGCGGGGTTATCCGGGGTCCAATCGCTGACACCTCGGAGGCTACGGTCCAATCGTCGTATCGGATGGTGCCGAAATGTGACGGGGAGAAATCTCGGTGTATGACTTTTCCGAGCATGTGTATAGTTTGTAGACCTCGGGATTTACTCTGTGCATATTATCCTCCGTACAACACTCTACATCTCTAAGTTGTAACATGTTCAGGCACTACTGCTGGGACACGTATATTCTGTAAGGGATAACCTGCAAAAGCAAAACATCTCGGATCGCCGATGCAGTCGGCCTCGGGTTGTTTGCACTGTATCACCGTGTGGATGCGATGGACCAGTATGAGAGGAGAAGCATAGATGAAAGTACGAGTCAGTCCAATTGCTCATCCCGTGAAAGATGCGTATTCTTCCGAGGCGATGGCGTTTCATTCGACCCTCTGCCGAGCGACATCCCTTTCCCCGATTCTTGTGACGGGTGGCGAGGACGGAGGCTACAGCCCAGTCTAAGAGGGAACGTCACACGGAGACCGCCGTCAAATACGGGGTGTGCAAGGTCACAATCTATCCCCACCAATCACTTTCTCTCGAGTATACCGTGGTAAGCGACAATGTAACTTCCGTGAGAATCTAGGATCTCGCTTCTTTGCGGGGAGCCCCGACCGCTGGCTGGTCTAGGAGACGATTGGGCGCCATAGCCCTCGTTTCCCCCAGATTGATCTCCCATAGGCTGCGCGGATGGCAGGTACATCCATGTTTCTAGGAGACGAGGTTATACCCGAGGAATCCCAATGGCCCGAGATACCCCTCTTGGTAAAAACACCATGTGGAAAAAGCCTTATGGTCCGGTCCACCTTGTGGCTTTTTTCCATCTTTTTTTTTCAAAAAAATAATAATCTTTTTGGCAACTGTGGGGAATTCCGACCTTTTCTTTCCATTCTTCCAGGTGACAATTATCGTTCGCTTTACTCTCCGAGAATGCCTTTTGAACTCATCCCAAGAATATCTCGTGCCGCTTGCCTTTTTTGGCGTTCCCGACGCGGGAAGACACGGTGAATGGCTTGGTTCCAGACAAATGCCGATCCGACATCAGCTGTTAACATGGGGTAACGATATATCCATCTCGACCTATAGGCCTAGGCAGCCAAGTGACCAGGATACTCAAACCCACCGATTCCCCCGGATTTGACTATTTGGTGTATACCAAAAGTAAAGAGTCGGAAAGTGGCCGGACGACAATCGGCCGGCGAAGGACGGGAATTGTTATTCCAGCCAGTCCGGTGCTTTCATATCTGAATTTAGACCAAGTAGAAAAGACATTGTCCTACCCAGATGTTCTTGCTTTTTTCCCTGTATTTTTATTTTTTTTTTTTATTTTTCTTTACTTTTTATTTCATCTGAGCCTGACAATTGATCGGGTAGAGATGCGAGATGACGATCATGAGATCATGGTATAAGTGTAAAAAGAAAAGGTGGTAGGGTTTCCCTATTTAGTGCGCTCTCAAGCCCCGGTCTCTCCCCAGACGGGCCCCGATTCCTCGGCATATGTTCTCGACTTATTTTGGTTTTCATTTGTGCATATGTCAATAGTAATGACTACAAGCTAAAATGAACATGGAGAATATATATATCTGCTTAATTAATTAATTAATTATTTCCTCCATACAAAATTATATAAAAATGTACATATGTAAATAAATACCATGAGGTACCTGATTCATAGTAGTGTTACGGTAACAAAAAAAAGTATTAGCCAGAAACTGGGGGGACTCCACAAAACTCCAGGAAAAAAAAAAAGCGCGACCTTGCATACTTTGGACCTCCGCAATTTCCTTTCCCCAGCGGCTCTGATTCGGCTTTTTCACTTTTTTTTATGTCACTCTTTTCCCGGTCGAGACTTCCCCGTTCTCTCCCGACTAGAGTTTCTTCTTAATTCTCCCGGTCCGGTGCCCCCGACCTATTTCCCCCACACTCCGCCAATTCCGCGTCTTCTTCCTCCCTTGGCCTACTTCTTGCTTCCTGCTTCCTGATCTTCCTACCTCTTACTACCTCTTACTACCTACGTCCTTCCATACCACGCTGCTTCTGGTACACCTACAGCTATTCACATTCCATATGAATTTGTGAATCTCGGTAAGTGTTATTTTCCCGTTCGGCGTATTCAACTATTGACGATCCAAAGCCGAGTCATTTCGCCTATTCCCCCGAATTTTCTCCCCCGCAAAAAGAAAAAGGAACAAAAAAAGGGAAACCGACTACGCTTCCGCGACGGTAAATGGGAGAATCGCGACTGATCCAAATCGAATCGCCGCATTTTCGCAGACCTCGGGTCTGCCCAATACACCATGCGGTCTAGTATCGCTTGCGCTCGATGCCGGCGCAGTAAGATCAAGTGCGTCAATGCCGGAATCGACACCACATGTCGCGCATGCGAATCATCTGGGCGCGAATGTGTTTACCCAACCCCAGCAATCGGAGTGAGCGGCGCAAAACGAGACCTGGCGGCCCTGGCAGATGGAGAGGATCGGAATGGTGATTGGGATGGCCCAAAACGACATCGTTCGCGCAAGGTGGTGGGAGTCTCAGGATCTTCAGCTAGCTCCAAGGTCGGTATGGATGCGCTTGATTCATCAATACTTACCACAAAGGTGTGGGAGGCCGTCTTCGATCTGTTCCAGTCACATTTCGCGACCCTTCTACCATTCCTACATCCTGCGACCTTCCTCGCCCAAATCCGACAGCTTTCCAGCCCTGCTCCACCCGCGACTCTTGATGGGCAAGATCCTCGGAATTCAATACCTAAAGACCCTTCTTCCTCGCTGATTCCTCTGGGTGTTCTCGCCCTGACCGCTCGCTTTCACCCCCCTCTAGCTGCGGCTCACTCGCCAGCCTCGCCCGGTCATTCTTCAAACCCTCTTGCTGCATCTGAATACTATGCGGCTGCTCTCCGTAGCCGGCTGGCCGGCTTGGATGGTATTAGCCTCGCTCAGCCCGATCTTGCGCGCGTGCAAGCGCTCTTGATGCTCGCTTTGCACGAGTGGGGAATGTGCCGTGGCAAGAGCGCCTGGGTCTACGTGGGTATGGCTATTAGATTAGCACAGGCTATGGGATTACCCTTCGAGCTTGAGAATGAGTTCCCAGCCCGTGATCCTTCTCGCTTGTCCCCGGGGTTGAAGACCGAGGCCGATCACTTTGGTTTGCCGAAGCGGCTAGAAGCCAGGGAGTCGACATCTGATGATATCATCGCGCAAGAGACCAAGCGCCGGACGTTCTGGGCTTGTTTCATTCTTGATAGATGCCTCAGTAGTGGAAAATATCGACCCCGAATGGTCCGAGTCAAGGATCTCGGAATTCAGCTTCCGAGCGACAACGCTTTTGCGTTCGGCGAGCGGGTACGCACGGCCCGACTCACTGAGCCAGCCATCCGTCGGCCTCAGAGCTTCGGGTCCCAAAGCATGCAGATTCCTAGCATTCGTCAAAGCATTGGAGGTTTTGGTGACGAGAAGCTACCCCCACCCAACGGTACTCCCGATGGCAATTCCTGGTCGCCCATTTCACGGCGCAAAGATTCAAGTGAGGAGGAGGTTGATCGATGGGAAGTTGGAGCGGAGGAGTCTGTACTCAGCCGAGTTATTCGAATCACCCGCATCTGGGGAAGCATCGCCAAGTGGTCTTGCGCTGGTGGCCGCCGGACTGAGCAATATCCTCCATGGCACCCGGAATCTCGCTTCTCCTCGCTTCGTATGCAGCTGAACGAGTTCCAAGAAAGCCTTTCTCGCAATCTGCAATATTCATTGCGAAATACTGACACGCATATCATGTACAAGACCATATTGGTTTCATATACTGTGATGCATGTTGTCTACTTCCTCTCCGTCATTGTTCTTCACCGTGCCTATATACCCTTCCTACCTCTTCGCTGCAATGAGCCTGTCGGTCCCTTGGATGAGCCATTATTCCCGAATGACAAAACTAGCGGCCCACCAGACGGTTTCTGGCGCGATAGTGCCCGTGAGCTCTTCAAGGCTGCGCGACAGATGATCGACCTTGTAGCTACTTGCCAATCCCGCGGTGCTCTGGTTGAAAACCCCTTGGTCGGTTTTGCTATCTACAATGCCGCTTTCATTGGAGTCTATGGAAATCATTTCTCGCATATGGATCCTGACGGGTTGATGGGTGCCAAGCCCCCTCCTGCTAGTCACGATAGCCACCAGCTTGGTGTTGCACAAACACGCAAGGCTTTGGATATTATGCGGGAAATGCGCCCTCGCTTGAGGATGGCCGTCGGTTGGTTCCGTACTCTGAACCGCCTTCACAGTTACTTCGCCAAAGTCAAGCGCGACTTCCGCCGGCTTTCTCGAAATCGATTGGACAGCATGTCAGATGCGTCCGACCACCCTCCGAATGGAATTCGCCCTCTTCGCGAAGGTGGAGCTGGCGGTGGCCTCGAAGAATTCAAGTTGCTTGAGAAGCTTTTCCTTGACTTCGGAAGCATCGAGGATCAGTTGCCGGAATCGGGAATGGACGACGAGAGCATCGCAGTGCCCGCAGCAGGCGAGTCGATTTACGAGCGCACGAATCTCAGCGACGCTGGCAGCAATGCTGTCCGCAGTGAGACTGGTGACCCTGGTGATCAGATGCTCGATGGTGCTGGTGGCCGTCGCGAGTCATGGGTGCCGGTCAACAGCCCCGGTCTGCCACTGCCCGGACGTGACGGCGATCGTCGACCCAGCCTGCCACTCCCCAACAGTCGCCCGATGCCCTCTGGGTCTCCTTACTCCCTTCCATCTTTACAACAACACCATCCAGACGGTCCCATATACACCACCACATCTCCCGGCCTCCTCTCTCTCTCCGCGACCACTCAATCACCCTCTCAGTATTTGACGGCAACAAGCAACCGCCTCAATCCTATCAACTCCTGGCTTCCCGCCCGCACACAAGCTCCTCCCCCTCCATACTCGCAATCCCTTCCTCCCATCAACGCAGCCACCTCACACAACATCCCTGTCCTCCCTCCACCAGGGTCTGTCACTCAGCTTGCCCCCTCTCCGCCTCTGACCTCCACCGAAGGCCCAGACTCAAGCATGCTTTCAACTAGCCTCGGTGGGGACGATGTCCTCGCCTTCCTCGATGGGTGCGAATGGGGTCAACTTTCCATGCTCGCACCCTCTGAGATCGGCATTCCTGCTGGCTGGCTGAGCGCAGTTTGGAGCCAATTCGGCCGCTAGAGTTCACATTTGCTCTGAACTCCGTCCAAAGCGATGGCACCAACCTACTCCTCTTTGTATTATTACTTTTACGACCTCGTCACTTACGTCTTTCACGTACTGTACGATATCTCTTACTCTGTTTCCCTGTGATCCTCGGCACCTGAAAAACAAAAGGACTTGCACACTTGGTAAGAAACCCGAGCGCCAAAGTCAGACGGATTGAACTCCACATCCAACCATTTCATATCCGGTTCACTCGCAAATCGAACCATGTTGAAAACGGGATCACGAAAATTGATTATCACCGATACCCAGCACGCGCAACCTTGTCTTTGTTCTTGTTTGTTTATTGTTACTTGTTACTTGGCTTTTCCCAGTTATCCTTTCTCTTTTTTGTATCTTCTGATTTCCCTTTCACTTGGCGCGCAAGGCGTTACTTGTGGTTTCTACCCAATGTGTGGGACTTGGTTCTTTTTGGATTTTTCTTATTGTTTGAAGCGTGTTTTGGGGGAACCAAAGCTTAGCAGCATGGCCAGGCTTCTCTTTTTGTTTCTGGTACTTTGTTATTATCTTGATGATATCATGACCTGAAAGGTCGAGGGGTGTGTTTTTTATATGCGTTTACGATAGCCTAAGCGATGCACTTACAATCTGCAATTGCAATTATCAGTCAATTATGCCCTCGCGGCTAATTTTCTTCTCTTCAATCTGTGCAATTTTCTTTCCAATCAATAGGACTACATGATTCATGTCCAGTTGGTCGTTGATGGAAAGCATCCGATATCCATCGGTTTTCCCAATTCCGGCTCAACCCTCGCCCGACCTTCTCTTAGTAGGGAAATAAAACTGGTCAAATGCCTGATATCTAGAATCTCGCTCGCAAGCATCAACGATATTAATTCAAAATGGATCAGCAAAGCTCTCTCTTCCAATATCCTTGAACTTTCATAATCTTCTCCACAACATCCAACCCCGTCAACTTCTTCAGCATTCCATCAAACGTTTCAAATGAAAATACTAATCAATCTCGCGACCCAAGCCTGCTCCCCCCCTCCAGATAACCATGGGTGGCTTCTTCTTCAGCAGATCACCCACCACCGCCATTCCCCACTCCAAAGTCTGCATTCCCCCTTCAGCGAGCCCATCCTGACTCAAGCCTTCTCCACCACCTCGCGGGCCGGATAACAGACCGAATTTTCCGAGAGAGTGAAGACCGGCCGCGTGGAAGGCGAGGGCGAGGGATGCTCCCAAGGCCGCCATCGGAGCAGCCGTTGATCAGGACGGTGCGGGGGAATATTTTGGGAATTCTCGTTTTGGGGACCTTTTTGAAAGGCAAGTGAGTTTCAATACAGAGTATAATTTATATATGGAAGATTGGCAAGGCTGATATACACATGCATAATGCAGCATGCATCCAAATCCAACTCTTATTCCTTTCTTGCTTGACTTTTGTCCTCAGAATCTCTGGAAATAATAATTATTACACTAGTCCGTTCTCCCGGCTCCAATCCTGAAGCCGGTCGACAGGGTTGAAATCATGCCCCGGGGACCTGATTACCCGTAAGATCGGGCCAATTGTCTGCCCGGCAGTACTTCTACATTTTCAGGCTTATGATGGATGGAATTTGGTATTACAACATCCTGAGGTCGGGGGTTTGAATCAGTAATTGTTGGTCATTGCCCAGGTGGTTCTTTGGTGATTCATTTACTGAATAGTGTTGATGAGTTGGTATGTCTATTTAAAGTGGAAGCTTATGACCAATGACTACTCCATAGATATATATAACGTAGTCTCCGGTGACAATGAATTACGATATGTGGTTTAGCCTCCCTATTTCGGCTTAGCATGCTCTTGCCCTTTACCATCCCCGTGCGTGTTTCTTTGGTCCTCTCCCACACCAGTTGAGTCAACTGACCATACTCCTCCTCCTTAGGCTTACACATCCTCGAGTAAATATACATAACACTCTCCTCGAATGTCGCGAAATTAGTCATGGTATAGAGGATCTGTCTCGCCCAGAGCGGATACAGACCCTCATACAAACCACCGAAGCCCTCCTTGCCTTCTATCTATTACTCTTAGTTCGAGATGAGCCGTTACAACTAAAAAAATCTCATGTTATAAGCGCATATTGAGTGGGATCTTCGCTGGCTTATCTACATGGGCGACACCCTAAGAACGTCGTTCAAGAAGGCCCAAGGTTCTTAATAAGTTATGCAAATACTTAGGGATTTTGTATGAGATAATTGGTTTTATCGTAGAATCTGAAATCGTGTTGTCGTCAGCCCAATGCATACTGTCTTGATCTCACGAGCGCTTTCTTTGCTTCCATGAAACGAACTTCGTGTAGTCCGCGGAGCGATCCTTTCATTCGCCACGGATATGCTCATCAGATTCCCATGAGACAATGCTGGACGTGTACTCAATATTCACAAGAGCCGAAAGCTTTTCCTTAAACTCTGGTTTGTTGCGATCTAGAGCATATCCCCATGAATAAGGATCATCAAAATTTGCGATCAGGTGATTAATGAGATTAGCCCCAATAGTGTTTGGCGACAATCGATCCATGATCTCGAATAAAAAAAATGACAACCGTCGAATATATTCGTCGATTCCTAGTGGAATCGGAGTTTTGCCGTTGAAAATCGCCAGGGTTTGGGATTCTCCAAATGCCGGCCTCAAAAACTTATGTTCGCGGCCCTCTTTCCAACTGTTCATGGCTTGGCAGGTAACAAATTTGACCAGTGCGCTCTTTGGGGCGAATTCCCAACATAGATATTCATCTGCAGTTGCTGCCCAACGCCTCGCCCAATAGCCAATGGCAGAGTCTTTTGATCCAAGCTTCTTGTCAAGAAAGAGAAGCAAATCGCTAACCCTCCATACTTGAGCTTCCGATATTGATAGCATTGTGGTATCAAATATTGCAAGGCCACTTTCTTGTTCACACTTGTGATCTTTGTACTTTTGATCTTTGTACTTTTGATCTTTGTACTTCTGATCTTTGTACTTCTGGAAAGATTTGTGTAGCGTCCATCTCATGTTCCCGCTAAGAGACAGGAAGTGAGAGACATGATACTTTTCGTGGTTAAAAGTTTTTCCTTTGTTGACCTGCGTCTTTGTAAGGTGTAATGCCACCTGGTCTGCCAATTCCGCAACGGTATCGAATATTTCTTCCATTTCAGACATGCATAACGTGATTTCAGATTCACTTTCCCATTCGTGCCAAAGATGAAAATCTGATGAAAAAGTATCACCAAATTTGTCTGTGCAACAATCTATAAAACGAGGCAATGATTCGCCATGCATATGCGCCCTATACAGATACAGGGGATATGGATTTTCGCGTCGTTTAGTTTCCATGAATTTATGCACTTGAGAACCATGTTAGCGGGGGAATTCCCATTCTAATCCATGCTTCTTACTCTCTATCCAGTCAATCGCATGTCTCAGTTGCTCCATTCTTTCGCGGCCGCAGAATGGTTCCGGGGATGGAAATAGCATAGTCTTGTTCAGCGCTGACAACAAAGTGTGGACAGTGTTGGAGGCAGCCTGTGTCGATTGAATTGATGCTCCGTTCAAGTCAAGAAACTGGTCAATGGCTCCAAGAATGGAATCTCGAAGGTGCTTGTCATCGATGTCCGCCATGTAGCCAGGTAGTTCGGAATGACCATAAAGCGAATTGGAGATCCGGGAAAAGCCCTCTGGTGGTATCTATCTCGTTTAGAACAAGTTTGTTGTCCTTGCAATACAGATGTTGTCGGCCACAGATACTAGCAAGGAATGGGCATTAACTCCAGTTGAAGTGACAATCCAGAAATTCAGGTGATGGGATCTGGAGTGAGAAATCAGATTCAAATGCCTTTTAACGGATGGACACGTCATCCGATGGCTGTGTGCAGATGCCAAGCTACTGAGAGCCTCAAGTGAATCAAAGAGACCCAATAACATTTGACTAAATTTCAGCTGGAAGGGTCAGTGCGATGGTCGTGCGACGAGGGTGATGCTCACCTAATTTCTCACCCTTTCTCTAGCGCGCTTGCCCATTATCACCCAAGCGACACCCACCGAGCCATTGGCCGCACATTAGTAGTTGGGTGGGTGACCACCAGCGAATCCTTTGTATGTATTTGGTTTCTCTTTTTTTCTGATATTCAATACAAGACCAGGTGATAGATATTATCGGGATCCGTTTATGCTTATAAGTTGGGATGCCATGAACTTCACACGATATCCTTGTGATCCATGCCGTATGACCGCCAAGTGAAAACAAATAAATTCGAGGAGAAGCGGTATCTAAGTATTCTCTTATTATTGAAGCTCAATCGAGGCGGAGCAAGACTGTCCGAACAGCTACTGAGGTATCAAGAACAGGCTCTGTAGATCGCTCGTTTTCAGAACTCGCGGTCATTTTCAATCTTTGAAAGAAATGCAAATGTGCTCTGGTCCCAATTTAGTGTCTGCTTCATGTTCGTCGATTCATTTCTAGGCGCTTGACGATAGGTACCTTGACAATTGTGCCACGGGGCGTAGCCCCTCAGTCACATGCGCGAGAGTGTGGCACAAGTTCGGATCTAGCAAATATACTGAACCATACTTGAGCCTAATCTGATGGTACTAAAGCACATCGAAGGTTAGTAGTATGTAGATGACTATGGACCTCTCCAGTCAGAAATACTAGAAGCGCCGAAATGTAAAATTGAGCCAAAAATTGCTGCCCAATGATATGTACTTTGGGCTTTAGATATTTAAGTTGTTCAAACAGTTTCCGAAATTCAGTCAAGGCCGCTGCGTTTTGGCAAATGACTGCATCTCCTGCCAGGTATTCCATGTTTCTGCTTGTTTCAAATCATCCCAGTTCTTTCGTTGGAAATGTCGGTCAATAAGATTCAGCTGTTGTAGAGACAGATCTTGCGCTTCTTCTTTTTCTTTTGATGAAATATATACTTCGGAAGAGAAAATAAATCAAAGTCGCACTTACGATAATCACCTACACGGCCCTCTATGAAGGTCTTTAGCAACCCGTAGGTCCTAAAATGTCGCTATAGCGCGTCCTTTCGACAGGATTGATCACCCCCGCATGTTTGGATAGATATTTAAGCGTCCTAAGCACACTAGACACTCAGGACTAGTACCACTTTTAGTAGAGTCGCAAAAGCTCTCCTTAAATTTCTACACGAAATCATTAAACTGTATTCGCTCTCTTGATAACTTAGGCGGACTTTTTACTGGAGTCTCTACAGATCCGGACGAGGATGATACACCCTTTATAGGATGTATTCCCTTCTCACTCTGCCAGTCACTTACAAATTGCTCGACAATCTACTTCTCTCAGCTTCAAGAGCTTGATTGCTTTAGACCATCTATCGATCTTGTATTGTATTATGATAAACAGCAGGTCGCATTCAAGTACAACATTTGGGAGCAACAGTTAAGACTGAATATGTCCTCGAATGAGATGAGTGTGCTAAGCAAACTACCGTTGCATCCTGATGTCTTACCTCATGATCGGGTTGTTCTCGAAGACGTGTCAAAGTTCCGCAATTTTTTATTTTTTTTAATGAATAGGTGGCAGCGAGAGCCGACAGAGCCATGTCCTTTTGCTCTCGGTTTCGATCTTGCGGATCGGTTCTATCTGAGAAGGAATCAAAGTAACTCACCCTCGTACGCCTCGTTTTTGAGAAGTATTTCCCTCACCAATTGTATATAGCTTTTCCGAACGTCTTAGCACTCGTACGATAGATTTCAAGCTTCTAGCTTACCGTTCGGTGCACCAGCTGTCTATAAATTCGAAAACCAATCTTTCAAGCTTCGTAGTCATTCTGTTATCTCATCTCGTTATGGTAATAGCAGAATGGAACAAGCAACCTCTACCATCTAGCCTCTAATCTAAACATCATACTCAACCTGCTGAACAGTCGGCACCTTATGAAGCTTAACATCGAAAAACTTTGCAACAAGCTGCACACAATCCCAAACAACCTCAACGTCCTCCTTAGAAACCCCAATCCGCCTAGTGCCCCGGATATGCCAATGCGTCTCCTTGGGCAAATTTTGACTCATAATCGCGGGAAAAACAACCATCTGCGTATCCAGGTCGTCAAGCACCTGACGATCCGACAAGAACAACCCATAAGTAATCTCCTGGGACAACCACGAGAAATCCTTATGCGCATCAAACAAATCCAGCGTTCCGGTCGTATTACGCGCATACAGCTTCTGCAACCACCCAGTGCCCCGCTCATGGTTAGCCTGGTCGCACTGCCAGCCCTCACGCGTGAACGAGTAATCTTTATCCTCGTCGCGCTCGACCTCGCTAATCGCAAGAATCGCCTCAATGGGCTTGCACACGCCGATAATCGGCACGGACTTGACGAGTGCTTCGCGCAGCCGCCGGATTAGGGCCTGGCGCGCTGCAGAGGTCGCGTAGTCGGCTTGCTTGGTGAGGTGTAGGTAGAGCTGGTCTGCACGCTCTGGGTCCGGGGATGCGACTAATGTGGAAATGGCCAGAATGTACCATTTGTCGGTGCCCAGCGTGGTTGTCTTGAAGCGGTTCTCTAGCTCGGTGAAGAGCTGCGAGAAGCGGGGTTCGACTTCCGGAATGCTCATTGTTGCGATGGTTCTGGGTTTGCAGGGTGCAATTGGGATGGTCGGTCTGAGTAACAGCTTGCTAACTCGGATTGTTCGAGTCAACATGGTGTGCGGTTTAGTTTTTTGTTGCACAGTGCGCTCCGATGTCCGGAGTGGGGTTGCTGCATATCCATCCGAGTTCGAAGTATGAAGTACAGGCTAAGTCCGTACACAACTCGGACCCTTTTCCTATTTTTTTTGTACTACCTTGTAATATTATAAGACAGCAATGCAATGAGAGAAGTATTAAACATGAGGTCAAATGTCGAATTTTCAACTTACGTCAGATGGCCGATTGCGGCTATACACATCCACATATGTAGTAAGGACGATTTAATACTACATGCCTATATATGCCTATAATGTTGATTTAAGCCAATTTGAAACAAATCAATTTGAAACAACAACAGCGAGATAAACCAGATTACTGTATTGAATAGATAATAACTCCGAAGTATGCCCTCTAATTCAACAATATAAGAACTTATAGTGGAGTGCACATTAACTAGTGGGGTCCCGAAAAGCCACACTTTGCATCAACGATGTCACAAAACCACCTCTGCCTTGTTTGCAAAAAGATCACAGATGACAACGAATCCCAAAGAAGGGTCCAGAGCACACAATATGAAAAACCAGAGCAGAATCTTTGGTCGATTGCCCTCAAACTGGGCTACGGCTCCACTATGATCTCAGTGACTCCAGCATGACATCACTTGTAGTATCGCAAGTATAAGATCAAGCTCTTCCAACAGACAAGAGTCAATCATTCCAAAGTCATCTCAACAACTCTCATACTTTAAACAACTTCTTTTCCTCTCTCCATCTTTCCCAATCCAAACATTCACACATCATAAAAATGTCGGGCCAATCCAGCGTCGGAAACCGTGCCGTCTACGAGGCAGGCGACCAGCGCAACCCCCCGTCTCCGAGCTTCAGGAGCGTGCCCGCTACGCCGAGGGCCAATCTGGCAGCCACAAGAACCTTGACTCCAAGGACGAACGCTCCATCGCCAACAAGCTTGCTTCCCAGTCCAACAAGTCCGACCCCTCCCACCACCACAACAACGAGGCCGACAAGGAGGCCGAGCTCAGCAAGCAGGATCCGACCAAGCCCGTGAGTTACAGCAATCTTGTCTTACCCTGACTTTTCACTGTCCATATACTAACCCGCTTCGATCCTAGGCTAAGCTGCACGGCAACACTCCCTCCAAGGGCGCCCAGATTGATGCCGAGCTCCAGGCTGAGGATGAACAGCGCCTTCGCGAGAAGGGTATCAAGAAATAAATCTTTTGATGCTATTATGACTTAAAATACCCCTCTGGGACTCTTTTCGTGGAGATGGAATGATGTACGATAATAATGATATTTGGTCGGAGTTCTCTGAGTACTGAGATCATAGAATGCATTCATTGATACATATGTGGTCCATGAAAGAACCTCGTAGTCGGAGTACTATCCGAATAGGATACCAAGCATGGAAGGGACTTATCTTTTCGCATCCTCTGTGGTGGAGGTTGTGGTGCAACGCTCCCAGCCTCGAGCCCACTGACCCCTGTTTGTGGTTTCGAGTAGCAAGCACATAGAGCAAAAAAACGATAATCCATTAAAGAACTTGCAAAGGACTCCAAAATGGTGGGGAATATTTCGTCATTAAATGCAATAATATGTATCTGACCCATGATTGGTCCAATTATCTGTACAAAGCCAAAGTGGCACCTATCTTCCGTAAATTCGTGCGACTCCAAAAGGGACTGAGTTCTCACTCGAAAAATGCTCCGGCAATCGGAGCGGGACCCTCGGAAATCAAACGTGGAAATCATATCCCGCAGGTCCCAAGACGGACTACAAAAGCCGTAGTCACAGACTAGCTGGTCTTGTTAGTCGTCAATGAAGCCGAGCCCGAGGCTTGATGTGAGGGATGCCATCAGAGGGCATTTGGATCCAAGCCAAAATGCCAACTCATAGGCTGTGAGGGAGGCTATAAGCCAGGAGCGACCAGTGGAGCAATAAAGCGACCACAGGCAAGATCAGCCATCGAGCGTAAACTTGGGATCGTCGTCATGCGGCTCAACGAAGACATGTCCCCAATACTTTTGGACTTTGTCGCAGAGTCCCACTTTGTTCTCCCAGGTCTTGAATGCCGTTTCGAGATTACAGCTCACCCATTTGATCTCTTCCCAATAAGCTTTCTCAACGTCGTAACCAAATCTTCCAATCGTCTGCGGAGGTGCCGTCCAGGCACGTCCGTCTGAGCCATCGTCCTTCAAGGTAGGAGTGGTTTCCCAGCCCAAGCCGAAGATCCGGTCACCCGGGTTGAATTTAGGGTAGTTGGCGTGGATAAAGAAGATGCGCGGCGCAGGAGCCACAGACTCATCCTTGACACGCCACTTGTTTTGCTGCGTCAGAGCGTAGTCCTCACGTGGATCCGACTGTGCCATTGCAGACCCAGACAAGCCACCCGGCTTGGCATGGCCAATGGCTTGCACTCTTTCACTGACAGTGTAGAAGGGTGCGCCCACGGCAGAAGCAGCATGGATGAATGTTTCCTTGTCGCCCTCGCCAGGACCGCCTTGTGTCAACAGGCGGAAATAGTGAGAAGGGCCATAGAAATTATAATATGCCGCCAGCAAAAGAGCCAACGAGTGCGTTTTCTTGTTCACCAAGAATGCACCAGTTTCCGATGACTGGCGCGCAGCCATGGAAGGCGGCTCCTGGCGTGAGATTCTGTAATACAGTGGGGACGCAGAGGAAGCCCAGAAGTCGGGCCAGGTCACCAAGCCGTTGGATTTGAATGGCTCCGAGTCGAGCAGATCCTCGGGTTTGCCAAGGGGGAAACAGTCGGCGTCCATCCACACGATCTCCTCGAAAGACGAGAACAGCACCGCGAAGATCTTCAGCTGATAGTGCTCGATTATGTTTTTGCCCACCACATCCGCCAGCACTAAGCAGCGTGCATCAAGCTGCGGCAGAACTTCGTTGCAAACGTGCTTTTCATGTTCCGTGGCGTCCTTCATATAGATTTCAACTGGCAATGTCGATCCAGCGCGACGGAGCATCCGCAGCGACGAAACAAACACGGGGAGATATGTCGAGCCTGCGGTGGACACCAGACCTCGTTTTCCGGGGGTATGAATGGGCTTCAGCACCTTGGCGGAGTTTTTGACATCCTCGATGAAAGCCGCATGGGCCTCTTCCATTTTGCGCTCATCCTCGTCGCTCAGCACAGACAGGTCGGGTCTCGGCGACTCTTTCGTGGGGTCAAAGTGCTGCGCTGCAACATCGCCTCGTTTCTCGGGAGCCGGACAGTTGGGATTATGCCGTTCGATGATGGGTCGCAGGACTTTCCAGAAATCCCTTTGGCGTTCCGTGAGGGGGACTTCGAATGCAGTGTTGGGGACTAAGGAGACAGTTGAAGAGGCGGTAGTCGGAGACCAGTAAAAGTAGACGGTGCAGACCAGAATCAAAGCTAACATGGCCAGGACGAGTGACCTCGCCCTTCCTGGTCTAAACACACCCGTCTTGGACATGACGCCCAATTTTGATTTGGCGCCTTTTTGGTTTCCAGGGGGTTTGGGGGGCGCACAGCCACGCCGATCTAGTTTAGAAGTCAAAAGAAGGCTAGATAACCCAATGGAGTGTAGCTCTCAATATTCATATTGTTTGAACTGCGAGGTTGGCGGAAACAAGATTGGCCGGGCTTGGCACCGGTCATTTCGTTTCTTAATCTGCAGGGATTATCACTATGTGCTTAGGAACAATGCATATTATAGCTCAGTACATGTAATATATGTGAAAACTTTACATGAAGTTATTCTATGCATTGTCATGTATATTATAGTTATATATTGATTCTATCAAATTTTTGATCGGAAATTACCTAGGTATTCATCCATTCAATATACAATATTCTACAATATTCTAATCCGAGACAAATCTTTCCCCTTTTTCCCCTCCACCAAATGAAACAAATAAAGAACTAGATACTTACATCGCAGACAAAAGTGAGCGATATTCCTCCAATGAATTCATGATCATCGAGGGTGGAACCGACCATTGCCTTCTTCTCCTAACGCTCGAAGGCAACGAACAGCCCCAGTTCTTCCCGACTAGAGGACTAAAGCGCGGATCAGCCTCCACCGGGAAGATCCCAATCCACCCCCCAAAAGCATCTTCGGGTTTTCATCTTCTTCTTTTTCAGTCAGGAGTCTGGTCATCTTTCTTAATTTTTTTTTGGTTTCTGTACCCTATTTATATCATATTGCCCCAAATTCACACTCGGTCGATCCAATAATTCCTGGATCCGATTCGATTCTTCTACAATTACAAATTTCCTCCATTCTTGACCCGCAGATACCCTACGTGAAAGCTCGTGCCTCCAGTCGACCCTCTCTCACAGGCTATAACGAATGGACTCCGTGCGGGCATTGCCCACGCCTGTCCACGATGACCTCCGATACTGCAGACCGTCAATCTCGAGACCCCGCGCCGAAAGGTAAATCCCGCAAAACCGACCCGAACGCTCCGATTAGAAAGCGCCGCAAGAGAACGGTGGTCAGCGGGGCCCCTGATGACTGTTTCGCCTGTTCCAATCGAGGAGCGCGATGTGACCGCCGTCGACCATATTGTTCCCAGTGTCTCGACCTGGGCCGCGAATGTTCCGGATACAAGACGACGTTAACATGGGGCGTTGGGGTCGCAAGTCGAGGGAAGCTTCGGGGTCAGAAACTCCCCGTCATGGAAACGGACGACCAGGTGCGGACCAAGGCAGCGAAATCACCACCGAAACCCTCAAATAGTGTCCCGTCTTCGTCACGGCTTCCCTCAAATGCTGCGGTCCCGGCGCCCCCGGTTACCGGCCCAACAATGTCGTCCTTCGGTGCTGGAATCCCAAATGTGAAACTTGAAGGCAGTCCGCCGATGATGATGGATTCATTCGATATGTCTTCAAATTTGGCTTGGGCGATGGATATGCCAGACCCGCAGTCGTGGAGTACCCCTGCGCCTGCACCCAAGATTTCAGGCCTTCCATTACCAACACGACCTTTGATTCCGAATAATACTCAAGCTCAGGCGCCAGAGACACCTTTGCTCTATGCTCCAATTCTAAGCCCCACGGCTAGTTTCAGTTCTCCGGTTTGGCCTACGGGAATGCCATTTTCATGCCAGCCTGCTACTCCGCCTTCATCACATGATATAGATGAAGAGGAAGTCAAACAAGATCCTAATTACAATATGCTTTGGAATGCCGCTCACTCTCCATCCCTCTCACAGCTTCTTCTGGCAAGATCCGTCGGGCGCACTCCACGTATACGATATCTCATCAGCTATTACGCTGAAGTCATTGCACCTATGATTGTCGCATTTGATACCCCCACAAACCCCTTCAGAACCCATGTCATCCGCCTGGCCATGGAGAGTGAGGCTCTGCAGGAGGCAATTGCGACATTAGCTACGAGTAATTTGCGTCAGAGGCGAGAACACAACCATCTCTCTACCGAAAGAACCTTGCCGGCTCGCATGTCTTCGATGGCTCACCGTGCCCTCACAGACGAGGACTTTCAAGATCGATATGGCATTTCAATGACGGAGGGGTATAGGAGAGAAGAAAACCACCATCGGGGAATGGCTGTCAAAGCGTTGAATGCAGATCTGGCTGATCCACGCCGACGATTGTCGGATTCAGTACTGGCGACCCTGTTAATGCTCTGTCTGTTCCATGGGTGTGATACTGGTGTTGCTGGGTTTAGAGCACAGTTTGCTGGAGTCACTAGACTTCTTGCGATCCGAATGCGCCATTCCCGCGTCATAACAGATGATCTCAAATGGTTCATTCGCATGTTCTCATGGTTTGATACATTGACAGCAACCACGAATGACCGGGACGTACAACTCCGCGGAACATGTCTGGATATCAGCTCAACGACCGATGGAGAATGGGGATTGGAGAACTTGGCTGGCTGTGATGGTCGTTTGTTCAAGCTGATCTCTCAACTGGGACGATTGAACCTCCTCAGCCAAGACCAAGAACCCAATCTGTCACGGCCTCAAGATGCCGGTGTCGCTACGACCTCCCTTCCACCTAACATGCTATTCCCGGGATGGGAAACAGTCACTCCAGATCCAGCAATGGGCTCTATGCCACTTCCTGGATACGGCTTTTCCCTTCCTACCCCACCACCAAGTAGCGACTCGAGCCGTCGGCCTTCGTCTCCAGCCTTCTGGACAGAGTGGTATTCGCTCAGGCAGCGACTTGAATCCTGGCGATTCGACCCTCCTACTGCACCAGCTACGCAACCCGAGTCTTTCCCCTCTCCTCCCTTATCCACAATGTCCTGGAACTCTACGACATACGTGACGCCGCCGACTTCCACGTCAGCCTACCAAGTGGCACCCGAGAACCTGCAGGACGTCTTCCAGATCTCGGAATGTTTCCGGCACGCCGCCCTTCTATACTGCGAGCGTCTAGCCGAGCCGATGCTCCCCTCCCGACACGGACGTATCCAGCACCTCGTCCAGCTGGCCATGCATTGCATCATCACCGTGCAGTCAGATGTGTACCTCCTCTGGCCGCTCTTCATCGTCGGCTCGGAGTGTGTCCAGGAAGATCACCGCTCGATCATTCGAAACCGCTGCAGGGATATCTCCAAGGACTCGGGCTTCATCAACAATCTTTCCTGTCTCGAGCTCCTGGAAAGGATTTGGGCAGAGCAATCCGACGATTCCTCTTTCCCGATATATCCTAGCGAGTTTGCTCCCCCGCCTCCGCTGGCTGGTGGCAAGGCCCCAATTACCTCGCAGGCCTTCCGGTGGTCCCGAGTCATGCAAGCCAAGCGGGGCGATGGTGAGTATATGGTTGCATAAACGTTGTTATCTTTTTGTTATCTTCTGGCTTCGGCCCGGTATTCTGCTTTTCAGCATCGGGGGCACTCTCTTATTTTGTTTGTTGGAGGATCAGCGACTCGCCTTGGACTTTTTGATATGATACCATTCTATGCACATATTTCTGTTGGTTGCGGTCGTCCGCTGGCTTTGTACATGTTGCTTGGGTTTTTTTTAGTACATAGACATAGACCAATTGCATGCATACATATATATATATCAGTGCGACTACCAGTACAGCTTAGAATTTTCGACGCTCTTGGGCGCCGCTTTATCACGATTTTCACCTGCGCCTGGTATCGATTTTTATAAACAAGCTTGATTGATATGTGTTTAGACATTTCTTTAAAGTCTTTTGGCCATCCCCATCCAGCTGAATTACGAATTATGTATATAGTGGCTGTATGGCTGACTAGCCATTAATATCGACGGGGCAGGACCTCGGGATGGTTCAATACCAACTACACCACGCTTTGACACGTTATACCTGGATCATACTATATTTAAAATATATAGCACGGCACCGATTTTGCTGTTTGCCTGGCTACCAACCTTGGAACATCCTCAATCTAAAAGTATCTCCACAATATATCCATCCACCGTCAGGGGCTGGCCCAAGCCACTCGGAGATAACCCCCAAGCACAATAAACAAAAAGCAAAGCCCCAATCAAACAAAAGTCCTCCTTCCCAGCTCGGCATTTAGCCAAAACGAGATATGTAGGCCCGTACAATGTAGGGCACAGGGCAAGGGCAGCCATGAAAGCCCTATAGATCAGCACGCACACAATCCACGCACACAATCCCGCGTACTCCGTACATACAGCTCGCAATAATGGATATTAATAAAACAATAACAAGTATCGCTATGACCAAGGCAGTCTCGCCGAGCTCCCCGACCGCTAGTATCCCACGGACCAGAATGCCAATAGGACGCACCAATTAGCACGAATTTATTTTGATTCCACGGTGTGCTCGGCGCTCGTGCAAGGGGTAGCAGATAGATAGGATCTTGCCGCAGGCCGTGCTTTAATTGGGGGGCTTTTCTTATTACCCTGTCCAAACGTGAGTGCGTGCGAGATTAATATCAACTAGGGGGTGTGTACACCGGTTGTTGCGAGTGTAGGTGAAGAATTAATGTTCCAGGTGACTATCGTAGGTACATAGCTTGGCTGTATATCAAAACAAGCTAGCCAATCCACATTGAAATCTAGATTCGCGGCATGCTGGGGCTTGATTATTAGGCCCCTATTCATTAGTTCGATATTAAATTGAGACATCTGGTCAACGTGCGAAATGCTACATCATACCCGGCTCATATAAGCCTCACTACAGTACAACGTAAGCCTAGCTTACTATTGGGTCGCTCGTCTATCGTCCGGAATTTATAGAGATCCATGATGCAATGTACGGTGTACAAGAGTAAGCATATCTGTGAGCCCGTTCAAGGTTATGTTCCTACATTGTGCTCCGGGCAGCCGAGGCGACTCTGCCGGTTCCCAGCCCGTTGGCCCCCTGCAGCCTTGCTCGGCGGGCTCATAGTGGATTTTTTTTAATCTTTAAACCTTGTTCCAGAAATTCCATGGCCCGCTTTTAGCGAGTTGGCATTACGCATTACGCACTACGCACTATATTTAAATATTTGAATTGTTGTCTCTGGCGTTGCCTGTGAAGGAAAAGAGGGGAGGTTCGGATGTGAAGCATCAAGGCAGATACATCTAACATTTTTTCAATCAGCTGCCTGCATGTGAGATCTATCGTGCAGATATTTGTGGGAAAAAATAAATATAAGCCATGTGCGACCCTAACTGATCGGCGGTGCAGGGTGTGCTTTGTCCCATGAATGGCTGGTTGCTTGGACAGGGGGCATTTTCTCGAAGGGTTGACTCATTCAAGAAAAACAAGACCCTCCAATCAGGGGTCGCCCTGAGATTCTTTGTGTGGGCAGCAAGGCGCGTAGGAGATTCCGCTGTTTTTCATCCCTTTACTCGGTGCGTGAGCGTAAAGACCATGTCGGTATTGTCGGTATTGATGGCTTTTCTTTACATTTACGGTATCCATGGGTGTCCTTTTGAATAATGCGAAATGGCAGGACCATTGTAAGTTGAAGACGTTGTTGTAATATAGTTAGTACAATGTATAATGTAATTAGTTAACTAGCAGTCATGCATACTGTCGTATGTTGGCTGGCGCTGGACCAATCCCGTACCCGACAGATTAGGGCTTGAACTCGATCGGTCACAGTGAGTCGCCTATTGTTCGGCCCCACGCTAAATCATCGATCTGTAAACAGCCAATGTGAAGAATGGATGACATCTGGTGATCCAGAAAGTCTGCCTCACTTTGTTTTATGGTTGGAGGAACACTGCCATATCCATTATGCAGCTTCGATCTTAACGCATTACGTTGTATACCTACACAGTCACCATGCCAGCTCATATCGGACATCAAAGTCAGATTACGACAATTTTTGCTACTAGGCTGAAGCCTTTTTGACGCTTAGAGTCATGGTCATGGCGAGCAAGTTGCGGTCTGCTAATTTTGTATGTTTTTGCCCAAAACGGCGGTTGCTGCCCAGCGACACGGCGGTAAAGCCCCATGGTCCGTAGTGTTGCCTAACACGGCGGTGCAAAGTGGATGTGTGTATAAGAGGGACCCTGATGGGGCTCGTTAGTTCGCCATGGCAACGTGTGCGTATAAGTTACCGATAATTAAATGTCCGCTTGTCTGGGGGTGGAGTCCTGAACCGCTGGACGAGACGGGATGGCCCGTTTTGAGATCAGAGATCCCGCCAAGTGAACCATGGAACCGTTTGCCTTGGTATCTATAATTGTGAGTAACTATCTTCTTCTTCTCACGAGTAGAGGGCAGAGGTGGTGCTGGTCTAGATGCAATATGTTTTTTTCAGCTACTGTGTGACTGATAGGCTGATATAGCCACAATGCCGTATCCAGTATTCTCCGTGCTGCAACTAAGACCGGCATCCATGCAGATGAACTGTCTAGGGCATGGAAAACTTACCCTAGGTGTGAACGTCGAGCACATGGCTTTGCGCCCATCCAACCCAACTGTGACACGCCAGCTGATAGAGGGGGGATCTAAATTAACTCCAATGGCATACATCTGTAAGGCAGCCAGGGAGATCCTTCAGCATTACACTACATCTATGTGGCGACATCAGCACGCCTTGGTTTGCCTTGTGCTCAGAGTGAGTCACTAAAAGTCCAGAAAAGCCTTTGATACATCGGCGATATCTAACATGAAAGAAAGTCGGCCCAATTGAACTGAGGGGGTGTTTTCAGCCAAGTTAGAATATGGCGTAGGAAAAGTCTCTCCATCTGGACTAGTCTGAGGGGTAGAAAGACATTGGTACGAAGTACTTTCGATATGGGATACATCAGGTACCTAAGTACCATATTTTCTTTATAATATTGTAGAAAGTACTAGTGACTTCGATCTTTTATTAGCCAGTGCTAGTTGAGTCAAGAGTTATATATTTGCCACTGTTAATCATTATTGAACTTTTTGTAATAATTAATATAGGGTATAAAATCAAGAAATTAAATTAAATAGAATACGATCAGTATCATTTGAAATTCAATACCTGTAATCAGATTATCGCCACAGCCTTTCACCTCAAAACCACACGCGCCGACCACTAGCGGACGCAGTGATTGGCGCAAACTAAATATCACCAGCGCTGACATTTAATTAGGATCCATCTTTCTTTTTCCTTTTCATCGGGTTGAAATTTTTCTCCTCCACCTCTCTCCACTCATTCCTAAGCCATTACATCTTGTGGGAGATCCTCTTGCTCTTTGTTTTTTATTTTTATTTTATTTTCCCACTAACTGGATCAAATACCCAGTTGAGGATTTCCCCCCTAACGCTTTCTTCTCTCTTTTCCTCGGATTGGCCGAAGAACGTTCAAATGCTCTCTCAGAAAATTCAGTCTCAACCCTCTTCTCTTCGATCGGAAACCGTACCACGGTGACGGTGTTAAAAACAAAAAAAAAAACCCTATCTGACCTGCTTGTCGGCGTCGATTTCTGTTGTTTGGGGTGCACGATATCCTGTATAATATACTCGGTGTTTTTGATATCTTTTTCTTCTTTCTTTTTACTGTTGATTCCCATTTAATCGTTTGATTGTTCGCATTTCTCTTGCATCTCTCTCATCAACCGGTGCTTTCATATGCTGCTTTGATAATGTATCACTACGCCAGCCCACAGCCCGGGTGGTCCACCTACGACTACACACAATCACCTCCTACCTCACCTCAATACGCCTACTACGCCTCTCAGTTCGCCAACTCCTACACATCTCCTCGGGGCCCACGGCGACACAACCGCAAGGCCAGCTATACTGCCACCAAAGAAACGCCAGGATGGTATTCGACCTATCAATCCGGTTTCTACGAACCCACAGACTATGGCATTCCACCGCGAAAGCACGATCATGTAAGTGCTACTTTTGGAAAGCCCAAACACCAATATCCCTCCACGGCAGGCCATGAAGGCCACCGCAACTACGGATTCGATCCGTCGCAAACCCGACCCATCTTCGTAGATGTGGTCGACGACGCATACGACCGCCCCCGCGAACGCCATCGCCAACAAAAAGACGCCCACACCCGTCGCGCCTCGACGTCCTATCGCAAATCCACACCCGCTGATTCTCACTTTTACTTCACCCAGGCTCCTAATACCGAGGATACCGAGGCCGCCCGCCGCTCTCGTACAAGACGCCAATCCACATCCACCCGCACGCCAAAACCCAAACCGCCTGCCCCAGCAGCTAAACCGCCACCAGTCGCCACCGAAGATGACGCCGAGCGTGCAGGCATCCCGGCCGGCTACTCGATCAAAAACTGGGACCCGACCGAGGCACCGATTATATTACTCGGCAGCGTCTTCGACGCCAACTCTCTGGGCAAGTGGATATACGACTGGACCGTTTTCCACCACGGGGCCTCGACGCCCATGGCTGATGTCGCAGGCGACCTTTGGCTATTGCTGATCAAGCTGGCGGGAAAAGTCAAGCGTGCGGACGAGTGTCTGCCCCGCATCCAACGCATCGAGGCACAGGAAGTCGTGGAAGATTTCCTTGAAAGTGGCGAGCGCCTCTGGAGCCGCTTCAAGAAGCTACTGAAAGGGTGCGAGCTTTACATGTGGAAGGCTGCTAAGCGGGAAGGTGGCAAAGGGCCTGTCTCGATGGGCCGCAATGCCGGCTGCGAATTTGTGGAGTCGATTTTCGGTCGCGACCGAGAACTTGAAAATACGGAGAAGCTCATGAACAGCATTCGGCTGTGGAATATGCGCTTCGATGCAAACTGTGAAGATATCCTGCGCCGGCCGACGGCTGCTTAGGATGGTCTTCTCCCCCACGTCCTATTTTGTTTTACCGAGAGTGATACCCAGAGAGAGACTTTCGTGTTGTTTTCTTCTTATCTACGGAGTACACTGTTCGCATTTGGAGCGCGTTGGTTTGGCTTCGGCTAGCTTTGCTCGTTGCATTTACTTTACTCTCGGCAACTGTCGTCCAGGGTTCGGACGACACAAATATCTTTTTTGCCCGGCGCCTCTTTTGATCTCGTTTCTTTCATGAGGCGGCGTCCTTAACATTTATGGTGTCATTGTTTAATCCTTTTTTTTGGCCGTCCAATCTGTTTCTTGCCGTTGAAGTCCGTGTCACTCTGCTTCGATGATACCATCTTGCGATTTCCAGTATACAAGCTTGCTGCTTTATTTTCCTTTGTCACTCTCGCATTATACTGTTTGCTTCTTATTTTTGTGCCGCTATTTCGGAGGAACCGGGTTGTACATAGAAGACGACCCTCCGATAGAAAATTCGTTATGCTTTCCTCAACTTCCTGAATACCTCCCGACTGTACTCGGTAATTCATACTAAAATCCTTTATTTCCACGTAGATACTCCCGAGGAGATGTGTGATGTGATAGCTACCCCTCTCTTGTCTGCGCGCTACGCGCTGCTAGGCGCTGCGCCCTGCGCATCAGTGTGGATCACAACTACTACCCCGCGTTAAACCGTAGAGGCAACCAATCTCGGCATTTGGTTGCCTAGCTTCGCTTCATATTGTGACTTTAATCTGTCGAAGCAAGTACTGCTATATCCCATGACGGCGGCTGATGTCACTTTATTTGACTATCCCACTTTCCCAGCAATGCAGATCCCAGTGCTTAGCTTTTCATGCAGGTGACGGCAGCTTCTATTGGTCTAGGTTTCAAACCGATGCACCATGCACGTTGGTTGGGGATACCCGAGAGGCTGGGCGTGGCGACCCTATCATTGGTGAGGGGACTGGTGAGGGGGTGGGCTGCCTACCTGCATTCCTTGTCTTAGGTTGCATGTTTCTTTATTTATTGATCAATGAGAGCTGACGGTACATGTGATAGATCTGATAGGCTGCTGGTTAGGTATTTGCCGTGAAGCTTTGGAAACTTTGTAGGGCTTATGGAAAGATGGATTCTCTCTCTTGTTGTCAAATTAGGTGGATATGCACACCTGGCGCTAATGCAAGGTCAAGTTTGACTTCAAATATATCGAAAAATAAACTCATCTATAGCCAAATCGACCTCCATAGTACATCGCAGGTTGTGTATCTTTAGGCTCCTGTTGAATTCTAATTTAGGAATTTCACAGCGCCAATCCGCGTCGAATATGTCCGCAACTCCTTAAATGCATTATATAGACCAATAGCAAACATTAAGAGCCGTAAGGTATATTTTTGGAAACCCGTGAGTAGGATTGTCAATTAAATATTGCGTTGAAGTAGCATCTATCTCATACCCGGATCCCGTCTGAGAGCTCATTGGTGTTGTTTCGACTTTCTTGGTGACTTCGACATTGTTGTTTGGGTCCAAAATCACTCTAATTTCTGGTTAGAAATTTTTTCGATTCAATATAATAAGCTGTAGGAGGAGGAGGCGAAGGAGGAGGAGGCGAAGGAGGAGGAGGCGAAGGAGGAGGAGGCGAAGGAGGAGGAGGCGAAGGAGGAGGAGGAGGCGCTGTGGATGAAGAGATAATGGACACCCTGTAGACTCCAGATGCCAAGCCAGGTACCAGAGGAAAGGGCTATAGCTTCCGAGCCAAGATTGCAGTTTTACCCAGTCTCCTTCTTCATTTGGAGAGAAAGCGGACTTGTGAGACGTGAAGATACAAGACCCGAGCTTCGTTGGAATGTCTCATACAATGCTGCACTAGTCTATTGTGGAAACTCTACATGGTAAAGATCAGAAAGATACTAATATCTAGATAACTCAAATCTACATGGTATATTATATACAAAGTACATAGTAGTTAAGCTGTAGCTGTGACGAATTTGGAGCATACAAGATTAGGGTGTAGCCATGTGGTTATGCAACCCTTGTCAAACATCGTTGTACATCAACTGATTTATTATTTCAGACGTCATCTCTGATGATTTTACAATATTGTAGAATTAACTATATTCAAACTGTGTGAAGTGGAGGCGTAGAGCATTGCCCAGGTGAAGATTATAATTACAATGATGACACATGGGTCACGGGATCTTTAAATTGACATCATCAACGCTTTGAACTGACCCTTGAATGGTTGCTTGGATATTACTGAAGCCATCTCAAAGCTACAGCTACGTGGGCGTGGAAGATAAGAGAATCAAGATCTAAAAATCTTTTCGTGTGCAATCTTGTACACCCTGCTCCCGTTTGATGCCATATCGCCCTATCATCAGAGGATGCGCCTTGATATTCCCCACAAGGCTCTAACTCAAATTTGCTGTTTACTGCAAGCAACTTGATATTTCAAGATACCTCAAACACTCAGTCTTACGTCTACAAGGACAAGCCAGTCTTCCGGCTCCTCCCGGTCTAGGCTTAATGTCATGCTAGAGCAATGCAGCATGAATCTCCGGACGAGCCGTCCCCGGACGAGATACTCCCGGAAGAGACGCTCCGAGACGAAAGAGCTGATGAAGGCCCCGAAAGGCGATCAAGATGGGAGAAAATTGGCATTCACTTTAACCTGAGACCGTTTGAAGACGAAGAGCCGCAATCTTGGTGGATCGCGTCGACGGCCATTCCACTCGTTGCGGCTGCCACGGGACCGCTGGCTAATGTCATGTCCGTTGTCGCTTTGGTCATGCCTTGGCGGAGTGATATTATTTCGAGACAGATTGGGCCTGCTGGAAATTATATCCAAGAGGGATATCCGGACCCCCACTGGTGAGTGCGGAATAACATGCGTCGAGCTTCGCTAACAATAGCAGGGTCACTGCCCTCAATGCGCTGTCGCTGGTCTGTGGAATTGTCGGGAACTTCTTTCTTCTGTGCAACTTCACGCGGGTCATACGCTATATCGTGGCGTTGCCGGTGACGATCATTTCGTGGTTCCTCGCTACAGGTATTGTGAGTAGCGTGTCTGATTTGTCCCATCTTGTCTAATATATCTTTATAGCTATGTGGAATCACCATAGCACTACATGTCTATGCCCCACCGATAGGCCCTGATCGAGTCTTCTCCCAGGCATATTGGAGTGCCGTGATAGCGGCCTGTCTCTATTTTGTCTTGAGCATCATCTTGATGATCAACATGCTGGGCTATTTTTTGGGGAAATACCCACAGCGTTTTTCGCTGACTGACGAGCAAAGAACCTTGATTTTGCAAATGACCGCGTTTGTGGTCTGGCTTTTGATCGGCGCTGCGATCTTTCAGAAAGTCCTAGGGATCTCTTTTGCCGATGCATTGTACTTCTGCGACGTGACCGTTTTGACTTTAGGATTTGGTGACATCACAGCCTCGACTACCGTTGGCCGTGGTCTTGTTTGGCCTTATGCAGTTATTGGAATCATCATTCTGGGTTTGGTAGTAGGAAGCATTCACAAGTTCGCTCGCGAGGTTCATTACGACAATGTCATCCGCAAGCATATCGAACAAAAGCGACAAACGACATTTGACCGAGCAGTCCGTTCCGAGGAATTCTGTGCCTCTAAAGGAAAATCCTCTGCTCAAGAAGCTATTGTTCCGCCGGCCGTCGCCCTACAAAGTCCAAAGTCTCATCATCATCGCCGGCCAATCCGCAACACCCTGAACGCCATCGCCTCAGCCCATCGACCTCAACCCAGACTCAATATCATGCGTGAAGAGAAAGACCGATTCATTGCCATGCGCCGGATCCAGTATGAAACTATACGATTCCGCCGCTGGAACGATCTGGTCATCAGCGTCATCGCTTTCGGAATAGTGTGGTCCTGTGGAGCACTCGTCTTCTGGAAACTAGAGAAATTGTCATACTTCGACTCCCTCTACTTCTGCTTCGCCTCCCTCTTGACAATCGGCTATGGCGATTTCACCCCGCAGTCAAACGCAGGCCGGCCATTCTTCGTGATGTGGTCTCTCATCGCGATCCCTACGATGACAATGCTAATTTCCCAAATGAGCGACACAGTCGTCGCCAGCTTCAAGCGCGGTACAAACGTAGTCGCCGACTATATCGTTCTCCCCCAATCCCACGTCTACAAAACATTTCTCAGCCACATTCCCTGCATTGCAAACTTGATAATTTCCCACCAAGAGAAAAAGCTCCTAGAGCGTGGATTTCCCCTCGAAGGCGCCGGCAAAGCCGAAGAAGGAATAGCCACAAAAACGGATGAATCTACCGACGACATAGCAACAGCCCATCCCCACCGAACCCTCGAAGAACTCGCCCGCGATCCATCGCCCTTAGAGCTCGCGCAGCAACTTGCCTTTGCTATTCGCCGCGCGACGAAACATGCTCGCGAGGGCAAGCGCAAGATATACTGCTACGAGGAATGGGTCGAGTTTACCCGCCTCATCCAGTTCACTGACCCGCGCTCTCGGCCGCCCTCGCAGAACAAGCGGTCGGCAGATTCGGAGGTCGCTTTTGATATTCACGAAGATGAATATGGCTTGCTGAATTGGGATTGGATTGGCGAGAATAGTCCCATGCTGGCGAAGCAGACAGAGCCGGAGTGGGTTTTGGATCGTTTATGTGAGAGCTTGATTCGATATGTGTCGACTCAGGAGGATAATCGGGCTGCTGAGTATACCAACTCGGAGGAGCCGACGCTTAGGAAAGAGAGGGATATTGGGTTGGATGAATGAGATTCATTTGTTACTGTAGTTTGGACATCGAGTATTTGTAAATTATGTATGTAGCTATCGTGATCGCTATTTTCAATTGAAGCGCCCATGGATTTGAGGTTCACATGTCAAAGCAATGATCATAGAAAGAATGACAGAAGAGCATGTAAAGTTCCAAAAGAGGAAAGAGCCTCAGCCCCACATACGTGGCTGTGTAGCTGTATATATTGATGCCTGGACCATTTACTTCAATCTCGCCAAGTCTACTTAAATCCACCTAAATCACCATCCTCACGCCCAAATTTGCCAAACTCAATCCCCAAACACTCCCCAACCAAAAATGACTACCAACATCCCCGAAATCCTCCTGCTCTGCATGGACAGCGACTTCATAACCGCCTTCAACGCAGCAATGACAGCAACCTGGCCAGACCACACTTCATCCCAAATAAAGATTACCCCAATAAATGAGCGTCTCAACTCCCTCCCGCAGGACACAACGTTTGACCTAATAGTCTCCCCAGCAAACTCCTACGGCCGCCTCGACGGCGCCTTCGACCACGCCATCTCAACAATTTTTAGCCCGCGCCGTGACTACCACGCACTCACGAGCGCCGCGCAGTCAGTCCTGTACGAGAAATGGCGCGGCTTTGCGCCGCCCGGCTCGTGCACGCTTGTTCCGTTCCCGGATGCGCTGAAGGCTAACAAGCACCAATGTGCTTGGGTGGCGATTTGTCCGACGATGCGCTCGCCCGGGAGTGCAACCTGGGACCGGGAGGTTGTTTATGAGTGTGTGTGGAGCTTGCTTTGTCAGATTGAGGGGTTTAATCGGGGACTTGGAGATGGGGAGGGGAGGATTGGGAGGATTCTTATGGCGCCATTGGCTGCGGGCATTGGAAAGGTTAGTAAGGAGAGGTGGGCGATGCAGACTGTGCTTGCACTGAAGCATTTTGTTGATGCGCTTGAGAGGCCTGGGAGGTGGGGGGCGCTGCAGTGGGATGATATTGAGGTAGATTGTGTTGAGATTGAGAAGACTTGGGAGCTTTAGGCGTTGTTTGGGTTATGGAGGAGAGGTAATGTCCGCGAAGATATGAGATGCATAATTGTATGTACTCATATATCCAGCATTTGAGAGTCGCTTCTCCCTTGTGGATCTGGGATCTGAGCAAAGAGGCACTGGATACGATATTGTATAGTTCTTTTGGATCTCCTTCACGCATCAAGGCTCGAGGCTCAGTTGCGTGGATCTCAATGCAAGGCAAGAGAAGCAGACTTCTGATTATATGCAAACCAAAATTGAACGCGAAGCTGCCCCAAGCCTTACTTTGGGATGTGTACAAACGACCAGACAAGCGGTGTACAACTGACCTCCAAGTTCATTTGCCTTCCCTCGGTCAGACAGGATGTTTTGGCTCCTCCCTGGTCACTGATTACGCCCAAAGGATAGAAACCGGAGCTCTTGGGAGGCCGACCTGCAGCTCTCAGGGGTGGACAGTATAGGTCCTAGAAATGAGAAATGGGCAAAGATACATCAAATTGACTCAGAGGGAGCGGTGTTTTCTATATGGGCGGAGCACCTTGAGACTATCGATATTCATTTGGTCAGCTTTATCGCCATTACGATACACAAATAGTCTAAAACGTACGTGTACTGTGGATATTCTTGACTACCTAGGTGTTCAACCCCTATGACCGATGTTTGTGTTGATCTACAGAACACTGAAAGTATGAAATGAAGACCTGAATATATTCACAATTTCGCAAGTCCACTCTACCTAGCAAACGACTTTTCCCTACTATCTCTAATGAGAAATCGGTGAGCACCGCCCTAGGGTTGTGCGATGTCGAGTGGAGTGCACAATAGACAGAGTATCAACCGCGGGGGGGGGGTCAGGATCACCAACCACACACTGTTCCTTTAGCTAAACCCCCGAGATCATGCTACGTCTTATTAGTATTAGTGTTTTGTCTCGATCTCTTTGCATCTGTATCTGCATCTGCATATCGTAAATTTCTTGTTTCCTACCAATTATATCTCGGGGACAGGTGCCGGGCCGTACGCTTCACCATAGTTGAACTTCCCAACTAGACCAAAATACGAATCCGTACCCAGCTTAGTGGGTTGTGGTTTAGAATCCAATCTCCCTCGTAATCTATAAACACTTGGTTGGGGCGCGTATGAAGCTCTGCTGCCTGGCTATACGACTAAATGTAGGTTATCTTCTAGTGGCTCTAGGTGCTTAAGAGTGCAAACCGTGAGGATCGAACCGGCGCGCTCAAAGGTCGCGTAATTCGGGCTCATAGCCAGTTTAAACACCTCAATGCAAAGATTCAACTACCATAGATGTTGATAGATCATGGATTAAGATTGGCTAGGACGGGTACGAGTAAATCCGAATCCGAACCGCAACCCCGCACTAGAGAAGTATCATTTCGCCACTAACTCCGAAAGGCCAAAGTGGATTCCGTTCCCACTACTTCGAAGCATAAGGCGCCTTGACACCAGCAAAATGAAAATATATAGTGCATATCTTGTACTGTTGATATCTGGGGCTTACGGGGTAGATACGAGAGGTAGTTCCCTACCGAGGTCGCAATCTACCTTTGGCTCCAACATTAATACTGTGGAAGCACTCCATACCGCTACCGTTAAGTATAATGGAGAGGACCATATCTTGTTACCCCAAAACAACTATAATGGATGGGTCAATCCTGAAGACTTGGCTCCTATGCCACAGTGCATCGCTCAGCAAGATCACTCCACCTGGCTGAGTACCATGACAAAATGCACCGGCAAACGATGTACCTCCCATTTTGGAGTCATCTGCACCCATCACCAGTGGCTGACTGAGCTCAGCTGTCTCAACGTTGCATTCCCCTCCTCCATTATCGAAAGTTATCTTCCGTACTGTAGTAGATCAGTTCTCGCCAAAGCGCAGTTGTATCTATGGATTCGTAAAGTCACCTCTCGAACGTGGCTTGTCGATGTCGGCGACGCGAATGGGCTACAAAATCTCTCACCAGCCTCCCTAGCTAAAGGGTACGCAGCCGTTGACGTGATTAACAATGCACCAACATGTCTGACCGACTCGGTTTCTGCTTTATCGATGGAACCGTTTCAACATGTAATGGCCTCCTGTAGTTTCGCAAGCACTAGCCAGCACACCGGAAATGCTGCTCGACCTTGGGAATATAGTGAAGGTCTGCGGTCCATGATCGCTCTGGATTTTGAAACTGTTGGTTACAACCTCGTCAGGGGTCGCATCGGAGATGGCGACTATTTTGATAAAGATTGCTTCTGCAACGCCTTCACTATAGATCTTGAAAAGGAACCTTGTTTAGGATCAGGACAATTGGACTTCACAAAGGAGCGTCTCTGGATTAATGCCACCTGTGGATCGGCATACTTACCCGATGATTGGACAAAATCACTCAAAACCACACAGTTCGCGTACATTCCCATCGACGATTGGCACTGGCCTAAGTGTGTCACTGATATGCCGAAGCAGGTGATTGAGCTTACTGATCAGTGTGCAACCGATGCTTGTGAGCTCGGTGGCTACTGTAAAGTCAAGCGCGCAGTTGACAGGGCCTGCTTTTGTCGCGAAATCAGGTACGATATCTGCGGAGGTTCGTGCCAGATATTCGAGACCCGAATAGATTATATTAAGTGGCTCCATGATCTTTGTGGTAATGTGCAGGACTGGCACGGTCTGCCAGATAACTGGCGTCAACTAGCTGCCCCTACACCTCTCGACATGATTCCATGGCGATGGGCATTGAAGCCATCCAACGATTCAGACATTCCCTATGTCACCCGTTCGGGACACATCAAGGCAACGGAAACATGTGCCTCGAATGAGTCGAAGCTTGTAAGCTTTGCTCTAGTCAATATAGCTACTTTCCTTGTGGCATCTCTCGGCCAGAAAACAGGCATACATCGAATCACACGCGGCTTTCTATGGCACTCGCACCCGTGGTGTTGGATTTTCAAGGGGACTTTAATCGCTGGTCTGCAACTCCTTGCAAACTGGCTCAATGTTCTTCTTGTTCAGAAAACCCCTGGTTATAAGGACGTTCCTGTTATTCAATTAATGCTTCTCTGGTGCTCAATGCCTCGGCCTGCTTGGCTGACGATTCTGTTAATCGGTGTACAACCTTTTGGCGAGACGAAATTCTTCGCTGCCGTGTCTTCGCTATTTGCGGAAATGATCCTCCAGCTTATATCCTTATATCCCATGGTTATGACCGTTAATTATGGTCGAGAACACAATTTCTACCTTGGAGGTATGGAAGGAGCGGAGAGAATGACACCGGCAATATTCATGTATGCTGGAGCACTCATATGGCTTATTATCTTTAGCGTGGTGTTCGCTCAGTACATGCGGGCCACGCGTAGGATGAATCGGTTGACTAGACCTGGTAGACTTGACCTGCCAAAGTGCCAGAGAGACAAGCAGACGACATCGAAAATTGCAGAGCTGATGGCCCACTTGGATGTGATGGACAAGAGTGGGGTTTCGGAAGAAAAACCGTTGACAAGGAGCGAAGGAAGAGATCACACGGTCTATGGCACTTTTACTGACAAAGGCCAAGTTTACTGGGTTTCCCCCAAGGAAGGTTCGAGATTGTATGCGGCTACGGTAATAAGCATGCTGTTTCTCTGGGTTGCGCAGTGGTCCTTTTGGGCTGGATTTATTGGTCTTAGTTCGGAAGAGTACGTATTCATGCACATCCCTACTTGGTCCATACTAGCTAACCGGACATAGGTTCTGTCCCCCTCAGCTGAAGGTTCTCACGGCTGTCTGGACCGTGTTCTCATCAGTAGGCGCCATTGTCATGATGATTTGATCTAGTCTATTGTCCACTTCGAGCCCTGCAGTTATGAAAGACCGTTCAAGGCTCGTAGCTATTCTATTGGCTCCTATCCCTATGAGCTCCCGAGGTAGTTTCGGGGGTGCAGGGTCAGGTATAGATATATATCAGGAGTTGACAGACAATATAAGCTACAGGTCAGGCTACTTAAAGATACTAGACAAACGCAGCGCGAAGAGCTGCAACATAATTAGCGTCGCATTGATTACCCACGTTTGTACCGGATGCCCCAAATCTTAGCCCTACAGATCTCTTCTTTGCAACTTACAATGTAATCCATGACATGGCGGGAATCGGCCAAGGTGATATCCGTGCAGCAAAGTGGGTCAATATCAAGCCCTCGCGCTCGCAGAACGACTAACGGTCCTCGCCAGTCATAAGGAACTACCTAACAGACACATCAAACGTGGACGCGTACACAGAATTGTTTCTATTCGAACTATCGATCGAAAATGCGTCTCGAACAGAAAGCTCAATGGAACATGAACTGCATGAATTACATCTCAGCCAAAGCGTGGAACCCATGCTAGATTGAAACGAAAACAGGGGAGCATTTAGTGCATCCAAATTCTTATTGGCTGATGCTTTATTACCTAGGTACTGGTCATTAAGCATACAGCATATGCCTCAGCTGCATATTCATAGTTCGAGCGCAGGTCAGATGTTGAAACTATAATCATGGGGCTGACAGTCTACATGAATGCCTAGTTATCATGTTATATTAAGGGCTGAAGCGAGTGCATTTCGTGTAAGGGCATTTGAATGGGGTTTTCTGTCGGACGTTGACCGAGCTTATGTTCAGTGCATTCCAGTATCTCGGTGTTCATATTTATAATGCCAACGATAGAGAATTGAACACAAATATCCCGTTCTGCCGTTTCATATCTAAACCTGCACACAAAGCCATATGGTCCTTAAAGCCAATGCAAAACCGGGAATCTCTGACGCATGCCCCTCCACGATTATACATAACCTGGTGTTTATCAATCGTTGATCAACCAGGCCAAAATAGTCACTCAACGGGGCGGACCGGCACTGGAATGTGGCAACAAGAAATGAGCATCTCCATGGCCCATCCGGCCCCTCTTTAACCATTTATCAGACAACTATGATATATTATTGGTATGCACTCGAGTGCCAGGAGTATCTGATACATTGCAGAGTGCCGCGACTGGGGCATCAACAGCCTTTCCGAAGCAAGGATCCCTTCCTGTCACAAAAAGAATAGACTTCACTGGACGAATCATATGGAAACAAGAGTCAGAAACGGCGCCTAAAAAGGCAAACTGACATGATCCGCGCAGATGGCATACTCGAGTATTTTCTCTTAAGCGCTCGACACGCGGGTCTTTTCGCAATGCATTCTACGAACTCATGATATGAGCACTACATGCCCACCGCATGATGGCCACCTATATACAGCCACCTGTGCAGCGACTAGATTCAAAATATGCGCCTTAGGTCTATCGGAGCAACAATCTCTCGGAGGAACTGTTTCTCGGAGCAAAAGTCTCGCCAAGACACCATGACAATCCAACCCCAATCATGTCCTGGGATTACTTCCAGCCAAGCCCAGCCAAGCAATTCATCACCCTCATCAAGTACCGAGTCACCAGCGACCGAATCAGCTCTCTGTTTCACGAACTCAAGCCCATCCAACCAGACGACTTGATCGGCGAGTGGGATGGCTATATCCTTGCCACGGACCATCCATTTGAAGACGAACTTGAGGCTCTAGAATGGGCCGAGAATACGTTTAATGCGACGGAAGATGTAGCTCCGCTGATTGTTGCACGGACCGGGGAGCGGGTGTGTTACGAGGATTGAGGTCGTGCGTCGGTATGGTCTAGATGGAAATGCACACCGCTAGTGCGGTTTTGATATATCTGATAGTTATCTGACTTTTTTAGTTATGTGAGATCAGATATCACGGGGCTGTCTCTGCGGCTCTGGTATAAGACAAGGGGCTGATCATCGTTTATTACTGAGCTGTGGAACGTAATATGCTGGCTGCTTGTATGGAGAGTAAGGAGTGACCCGGGAAGGTTTATTTTTACTTGACGAAGTGATGGGTGTTTGGAGTAAGGACTGGGTTGAGATGCATTATCTGGACTATCTCGTGTTTAACCACTGGGTGTAAATTTCAGCTTATTAAAGCAACATTGAAGAGTTTGAAGTATAAATGCTTCGAAGTATTCGTATATATATATTTAAGTAGTTACTACACTCTCTCTTCTGCAAAGGGATAACTGCCCATAATCTGCTTTGCTATGTGGGAATCAAAAGCGTCTCTCACACTTGTGCTTTCTAGGCCGGTTACACAGTGCACGTTTAACTATTAAAAGGGACTTTGTATAACGGTCATATCCATGTTCGGTGGACCTCGGGGTGATTGAGCATATTACATTTCCTCCTTCTCCCTGTAAAAGAGTAAACGACTCTGTGTGATGTAAGCGATTAAAGAGTCCATCTATAGTCTATAATTTATACCTCTCTACAATACTACCCATATTGTATGTATACAAGAACAACCACATTGGCTCGTCCTTAATTCAGCCCTATCCGTTATATTTCTCCACTATTGCGTGATAGTCTTTAGGCAGCAGTATTTCAAGAGCTCAGAGTAATGGTTAGCGAGCCAAATCAAATGATATTATGTTATTATATTGTATATTATTATGTTATTGTTGTCAAAAAAATTGTCAAAGTACCAAGACTGTAGAAAATCGTTTTGTAGGGCTGACCGCAATCGGCGACTAAGCCGAGGACTAACTTTTCCATCGGAAGTCGCCTCGTGCCGCCGGGAACACCGAATTTGCTTTTGTCACACCTCACTCACTATTTATTAGACCCTTCCACAAGGCGCTGTCGTTGTTGACTCGCAAATCACACAATGGAGAAGACGCAAACTCCAACTGCGCCCGTCGCGCAAGATCTCGAAGCCCCCAATGCCCCCATCAAACAATCCAGCATCGTCCACAAATGGCAGCAAAACCTCTCAACCACCCACGCAGATCTAGTCTGTCTCCTCCTCTGCTTCCTTACCGGCCTATGCGATAGCAGCGCCTACAACGCCTGGTCCTGCTTCCTGGGAATGCAAACTGGTACGAAACCCGCGAAAGGGGCGAACCCGAAGCGCAAACACAAACCCCAAACTAACAAACAAAAACAGGAAATACCATCTTCCTCGGCCTCGGCGCGTCAAACCAACCAGCCAGTAAGCCATGGGGCTGGCTCAAATCTCTCGTGTCCATCCTCTCCTTCTTCTTCGGCGCAATGATCTTCTCAATCGCAATGCGCAGCGTCGGCGCTCTCCGCCGCGGAACTCTCTTCGTCTCTTTCTTCATCCAAATGCTTCTTATCATCATCGCCGTCGCTCTCATCGAAGCCGATCTCATCCCCCACACTTCCAAAGACTCCAGTCTAGACGGAGGCCCCTTGTTCCTCGAGCTGATCCCCATCGGCCTGCTTGCTTTCCAGTCCGCTGGTGGAATGACCTGTAGCCGGGCACTTGGGTACAATGAGATTCCGACCGTGGTGCTGACGAGCGTCTACTTTGATGTTGCCTCTGATCCGAAGATCTTGGATAAGCCCACTGCGAATGTTAAGCGCAATCGTCGCGTTGGGGGTGTCGTCGCGCTGCTTATTGGCGCTATTGTGGGTGGTTGGTTGAGTCGTAGTAGTGGGGGCATGGAGTCGGCACTTTGGATGGCTGCTGGCTTGAAGTTCGTTGCTGCTTTCGGGTGGTTGTTCTGGAAGGCTGCACCAGCGAAATAAACGGGTGCATACCTACACTTGCAAGGTTGGGTACTGGGGTTGTAGATGCTTTTGATTAGATAAAACTTAGAGTCATTTAGATTTGCCTACATATCAATGTTAATAATTTCCATTTATATGCTTTGTTTGTTTGTGACGGTGATTGTGTGTGATTAACATGATGCAGCTCGATTTATATATACAATATAGTACACGTTGAGGGACTAGCTCCCAGGACCAGTCCAAGAGATGAGAACAAAAGAAAGGGCGTCAGCCGTCAGCCCGCAAATAATGCAAAAGTACACCAGGTGCGGTGCTGAGATGGGAGAGACTTCAGAAATGGCGAATATCAAAGTTTAGCCCGACTGCTCAATCAAATTAGCTTGTTTTCACCATCATACAGAACAAGGTCCACTCACATAGGCTGGTCAGCTCGATACTCATCAATCGACGAAGGTTTCTTCGCCGGGCGCTGGAAACGAGGATATTTCCCAAAGCCACTGGGACATTGCCACTCATCATCACTAACCATCCCCATAATCCAAGTACCACCTCCAAACTCCCCAATAACAGCCCACCGATCCCGCTGGCTACCAGCCATGGCCATGTGAGTATGAATGCCACTAGTAGCGACAGGCTTCTGAGTCCCGTCCAACCGAGCAGGCGTCAAATTGAACCCAGACAGCGGCATAGTCCGCCAATCAGTCAACCCAGACCAGCAGTGATTCGGCGGACTCCAAAACGCCAATTTGCCGGTAGGCTCCTTCCACAGACCGTTGTGCAGCCCGAAGGAGAATATCTGCTGCGCGCTTTCAGGCGTCGACCCCGCCGCCGTGCCCTCACGTACATGCAGCGCCAACTCACCCAACGGCATAGCCATCAAATCGCCGACCCGGAGGCCACCCAGCGCCGCAAGGTACGACCCGTTATAAAAGTTGTGCGGGGGAAAATTGTCGCCGTTGGGCACCGTCCCGGCAGGAGGGCGGCCGCGAGCACTAATGACAGTAAGGGGCGTGGTCATGTCGTTGGGATTCAACGCGGCGTGATTATGCTTCAAGAGCCAAGCGTATATGACATTCGAGCGGCTGAGCTTGGGGGCGCGCTCGAGTTCGACGCCACTCCTTGCTGCCGCCGACGCTCTTCCAGCGCGATCAGATCCCGCTTCGCTTCCTCGACTAGGCGGTCGACTTCCGCGTTCGGGAGGAACACGTATTTCTGCGATATCGTCTTCTCCGGCCGCTTATAGTGCATGTCCCAGAGGACACGTGAGACGAGTCGCGCTTTGTCGATGACCCCGAGCATGCGCCAGCCCGGTGGCAGGGCGGGATTGCTCGACTCGACATCTTTGCTTGCGAGTTTTCCGCCCGGCCCGTATTCGGCGAAGGGGTCGACCTCCAGCTTTTCCCATGGCTCGGTAGGTCTTCCGTTCAGAGCGTCCTCCCAGCCGTTTAAGATATCTGGGATTGTGAAGAGATCGCCCATGAGGTGGTTGAACGAGAAAGTGATGAGGGTCGCGTCGCTGAACCGGGTCACTTGAATTGTCATGACAGGGCGATCAGAGGTGAGAAGTGTGTCCATGGTTTCAACACCATTGAATGTCGTGCAGCGCTGTTGGTCCTCTGGGTCTGGAGCATCGGCGACGAAGATGCCCCGCTCGCTGGGCGGGCTGGTGCTAATGGCGGGAGAGTATTCAGTGATGGATCGCTTCGACTGGTCCAGGCAGAAGAAATCCTTTAGGTGATCTGGGGCGGTGCTTTGCTTCTGTAGGTAGCGCGCTAGGCCCTCGGGAGTGTAGACGTGGTACTCGAGACCGGAAGCCGCAGTCTTGGAGCGACGCACGCGCGCTTGCATGATAGGTCTTGCCTGTAGCATTTGGATCCATGTTTGATGTAGCTTTTCGAAGGATAGTTGCGCATTGAAGATGAAAGTGGCTCGGGCCTGGCATTGTTAGTATAGTTCGCGGATTGGCAACATAGGACCTACAAAGATATCGGTACTAGATACAATTATTAGATATTGAGTTAACCAACCTGGCTGGCATACTTGCTGTCAAACTTACTTTGCTTTGGTGCCATCCCATAGAGAGATGGGGACGGTAGTATATTCGGCACTCATAGTGGGTCTGGTTCAGTCTCGGCACAAATTCGGCAGAGAATTATAGGGAAGAATGTTCCGATTGTGATTAAGACCTCAATATCTACCGACACTGTAAGGTGCAATAAGCGATAGATGCAGAAGATAAGCTAGTTTTGAGAGATCGGAGAATATCCGCTCAGGGGAAGAATAGAGAGACCCGTGTCCGAGACCTTATCCGAGACCTAACACGGCAACCAATGGCATTTGTTCAAGTCTCTGTTACAATATCATACAATATTGTATACATATGATCAATAAAATATGGTGATGGAGTCGACCCGCCATGTAAAAGCAATACAATATTGTACAATATCGATCCGAGAGCAGGATCGACGCGATTTGCCAATTGTTGAGGTGTCGATTGGGTGCGGAATCGGGATTTGTTCTGTCGTAGTGGATTTAAAGTGGGAACGGGGGAACAGGGCCATTGATGAAGTGGATCTAAAGTGGCGTTGCTGCAAGATTTGGATCCACCGAGTCTCTGTCGATCGGCTCAACTTTAAGCTAAATACCATCGGATTACACGCGAACTACCGGTAAATTACCACGCTATACTCGTATAGCTCACGCGCTACGTTCTAGTGCTGTGGACCTGTCTATCAATCGTCATTTATGTACTGAGTTACAATTTTGTAGTCTGATCATTCCCTTTTATGAATGAAAATGGAAAAAAAGAAGAAAAAGAATGATAATAAAAACAATATTAATAAAATATTCTCAAAGAATGAAATGTTTTTCTGAGAAAAGCTGTCTGTTAACTTGGGTGACAGTGCCTATCACACCGTCTCTCCACGATCCAGCCATCTTTCACTGTAATCAATCAGCCCAAAGTATACCAAGGTATTCCGGCTCATTCGATTCACCATGAAGTCGTCTGTCGCGGGAAGCTCCCTATCGGCATCAAATTCGGAATGGAAGCTCGTGAACTCTGGCACTCGTATGGCACGACCACTCCGTGGTGCCGAGCTGATAGTCAGATACGCAGAGCACTATCGCAATGGAGACGTCAGTCAACATAAGTCTTCTCAAAACCAGAAATCCAAAACTAACATACACCAGTTCCAACTAGTTATCCAAGCCAGCATTGACACACCCCTGACATGCGAACAGCTTAAAAAGCGCAGCCCAGCAGCTTGGTGGCGCACGAGACGGGCCCAACCCATCATTGCTCTCGATATAGACATGGAGCAAGCCTCGTTCGCTCCGCACAACACATCCGAAGCTGCAAAGCGCTGGGCAAGCCAATCATGCTTCGTAGCAACAAACACTTCCGTGGAAGAAGTCGCCAACACCCTCATCCGCACCCCATCAAACCTATCATCAATGACCCTAATCGTCGACCCAGCCCGCGGCCCAAGAGGCTGCATTCTTAATATCTCGCACACCCTTATCAGTCTCAGTGTCTACGACATCCTCCACGAATTCATCACCCAGCTCTCCAACCCAGAAAACGAGCGCGGCATCGACGCCATCTTCTCCCCAGACTTCCTACTAGACATCACCCCGCGGCTCCCTCAATCCCTGAGCCACGCCTACTCGCGCATCCACAATCCCTCGCCCGAAGACCTCCAGGCCGCAATGGCCGTCATACAGCGCTCCCAAGCGCGCTTTGCCCGCTCAACAATTGGCGTTCCCATCCATGCAGACTGGAAAAACCGCCCGAGCAACATGCACAATGAACGCATCGCGTTCGAGCCGTCTGAGTCCCGCGCTGCATTTAAATGTTTCAAGAAGCTGGGTATCACGCTATCAACGGCCTTCTTCGCGTGCATGACGTCCGCCGCAGCGCAGATGTTCGGGAAAGGCGACGAAGAAGGCGCCCATCTGCTCTTTAGCGGGAACGGTCGTCGCTGGGTCGACCTCGGCGGTGATGGACACGGTCCTGTCCTTATGAGTATTCTGCCTGGTGGGTTGTGGGTCGAGGGCAGCGATGTGGATATCCGCGCCAAAGATCAGGACGGCCTTGCTGCTTTGGCTAAGGCTATTGGACATGCTCAGGCAGAGGATCTGGTCTCGCCGCATATTATTGCGTTGTATGATCAGATGGCGCCTGCGTTGGTGAAGGGCATGGCGGAGCCAGTTGATCCGGCGCCTCTTGCCCGTCTTACGTTGACTTCGCAAGGTATTTTTGGTGGGGGACGCGAGCTGGAGGTATTGGATCCTATTCGGATGAGTACTTTCCTTACTGGTGGGCGGTGTTCTGAGGGGCTTTGCTTCGCTTTGTCCAGCTTCAAGGGGGAGTTGCTCTTTAATATGCTCTTTGATGAGCGCTTCTTTGTGCCGGATGAGCTCATGCAGTTTGGCCATGCCGTTGCTGGGCTATTCAAGAAGTTTGTCGGAGACGAGATGCAAGCGAAGCTTTGAATGTGGTATTCTCTCTTGTATATAATCTTTTTGTTGTGGTTTTGGTTGTTTTATTGCATTTTTATAAGTATATACCTAGTTATGCGAATATTTCGAAGCATGTTGAACCAAGAACGAAAGTAAAGTACATTAGGATGTAAAAATCTAGCGCTCACTGTAAGAACTATGTCCAAAGAAAAATTAAGATGTTACTCGAATGCCTTGAAAACAACAGATGGATGCGAATCGGGTATGTTTTATCCATCATGAGCAAATTACAATATCCTGAAGCGCCTCGTTGTCCTTTTCCAAGACAGGTGACTCAACCGGCGTAAACGGCGGCGTCAAGATAGAATCTTGACTTCGCGTAACCTCTGCATGCGAAACAATAATTTTAGCGGCAGATGCCGTACCGCCACCTATTTGACTTCGAATCGCCCAAGACTGACAATTGGCCTTATACTCGGACCAAAGCGGACCAAGCATCTTGAGGACCTTAGCCTCGATATCGTGCGCCTCAACATGGGGCGGCCGTTCACTTCGCAATCCAAGCTTAAACTTCTCTGCGTAGTTGGCGTACTCGTGTGTATCCAGCCACTGACTCAGGATCAGCTGCGGCACGCCGAAGTAAACAGCCTCGTTGAAGGAATTGCCTCCACCGTGGTGAATGAAGATCTTCAGCGCGGGGTGCGAGTAGATAGCATGCTGATTATCGATCCAGTTCGTGAGCCGGATATAAGGCGGTAGCTCGTCTGTTGAGAAGTTGTGTTGCGGGCAGTCGATGGGAAAGTTGATTTTGAAGAGGAAGCGCACGCGGCCGCCGCGCTGCTTGTAGGCTGCTTCAAAGCCTGCGATACAGTTCCAGAACTCGTGCTTTTGCCAGATGAACATGCTGCCCATGTTCATGTAGATCACGTCGTCTCCGTGGAGCATGGCTTCATCCATCCAGGCTAGCTCGGGACAAAAGGTTGAGGATGTGTCGACTGAGACGCCTGCGCCGACGAATACTATTTTGGAGGATTGTTTGGGACAGTCGAACAGGCCTAGTGTGTTGAAGTGGATGCCCGCCACGCAGTTTTCATCTTCCCAGTGTGGTGGTAGGAGTGCTGTATCTTGTGCGACTCCATAAGATTTAAGATTGAAGCGCTTTGTGAGAATTTCGCGTTTGGCGACGCAGTCTGGTTGAGTTACGCTGTAGTAGTATTCGCGGAAATTCAGGTATGCGTCTGTTTTCGATTACCATTAGTTATTTGTCCCGATTTGGGGTTTTGCCTTTTTCGATAAGAGCTACTTACTTTCAATAAACGTTCCCAATGATCCCTCACGGTTTGAGGCCATCATATGTGGTTCGAACGCTCCAGGTAGGGCGCTCGTCCCCGGCGAGCAGGGGATGGTAAGTATAAATTTCCGTTTCGTCAAACGGACACCGGTGATGAGTGAAGGAGTCAAAGCATCGACGCAGACTAATGCATTGTCAGCTCCATGCACAGGCCAAAGTATAACGATAGACTCACTGATATTAGGGTCCAACGCATTGATCTGGTCAGCCACCATGAGAGCTGTTTCCGCGAAGTCCTCCGCAGGTCCAAGAGCCGCGTCAATACATAATTCCAGACTAGAGGGATCGCCGGGTGGACTTCGCATCAAATGCATGCGGTCCTTAAAGAAATTTGTGCTATAACAAATGTTAGTCCAGAACCATCTCAAACATTCACGATATAAACATACTAATCGCTGACATTATGACTCGTACCCAAGCCAACAAAGCCAATCAGGCTTTGCTGGAAAGGCAATTGCGCATTCCTGAGCTGGTCGATCTTTTTGGCGCACGAATCCGCAGACAGAAACGTAACGCGATGACCTTCCGATACAAGCTGTTGAGCAGTCGCCATTTGCACATTGACCTGGCCCGAGGCCGGATTCGACAAAAAGGCGACGTGCATTTTCAAAGATTGCCCGAAGAGCGACAGTTGTCGAAGTTCTGAAGCTCCAAAAGGATTGACAGGGTATTTACAAGATGAGGATCGAGCGGGATAAAATCTCGGGGCATTGGGTGGATTATGTTGTGGTCCCCTGTAAGATATCTACAAAACAGAAGAGTGCGCCACATGGATGTATCCACTTGGTTCGTTGAAATCAAAATTGTTATAATTAGGTGGTCTCACATGTGGGTTAAGCTTATACAATAGGGGGTCACGGGGAATTACAACCAATTGCACTTATCTATACCTCGGTATATGTTATGAGAGAGTACCAATTAGCTCCAGGCACATGGTTTAAAGTAATGGAGCAAGATCTTAAAGATAAGGACCCAGGAACCTTGGTATAAGAAGATCAGAATTCACCAGAAATTGAGACACGAAATATATAGTATGCAAGGTGATTGTATTGTAATGCTGAAAAACTCAATCTTACTAGCGTATAGATCGGCAGGATCCACCCAAAGTGAGTTTATTACTAGTGTATTGGCTGATGTGGATCCTTCGTATTACACTCAATGAGGAAGCTCAGAATCGAGGCCATCAATATGATCCTTCAATTATACAGGTTTCTACACGTTATACAGGTACAATTCACAAGATTGTCAAGATTTTCAGGTACCCATATTGTGGGCGCAAGGTACAGTGGATTCCAGTTCCCCTTTTTTGAGTCCCACTTCCATCGCATCATGATTTCTTGCCCTAAGCAATATTTGACCTTCCCCTCACCCATCATTCCACTCCCTCATCCTGACAGGTTCTTGATCTCGGCTAAGATCACTGTTTCTAACAACTTGCCATCGCTCATTATTGTGGCTCAACTTCTGCTTTTTAATCGTTGCCATCGCTCATTATTGTGGTCAACGTTCCATTCTTTCCACCAATCGCCGATTATATCTACATATACACGCTCATTACCTTGACTATTACAGTCAACAACACATTCTTTCGACAAAATGGCTCCTCCCTCGTTCCAGCAGCCAACACCCCACACCAACGAAAATGATATGCAACTTCCCCGTTTCGATGGTGGTGCTTGGAAGCAAACCCACCAGGGCTGCTGGGAACGCCCATGCTCCGGAGGCGAAACAGGTGTCTCCTACAACCAAAATGTCCGCGATGGGCACACTGAATTGACCATCGAGGTCCCCTTCAATGTGGACTTCTCGACCCCAGAACTAATCACCCGCCTTCGCAACGCATGGCTCGTCTCCCACTCCAAGTGGCCAGACATCGCTGTCCAGCTGTCGACTGGCACTGAACTTCCCCAGATGATGAAGTATGAGACTCTTCGCTCGAATGCTGATGCCGAAGCATGGCTGCAAGAGACTTTCCATGTTGTCACTGATAAGCCTGCTCGCGAAATCGTCAACATGACGTACAATCGCCGTCTGCCCACCAAGGGAAAGCGAAACATGTTGTACCTTGTCACTGGGCCAAATGCCGATCCCGAGAACCCCACCCGTCACAGTCTAGTCTGGAACTTCAGCCACGCCATCGCTGATGTTTACAGCATTGTGCAATTCCTTAACCATATCTTCAAGACTGTCACTCAGGTCGCTGGCGACCATGACATGTCCCTCAGCCAAATCGACTACTCCGGTGTCCTTGGTCGTCTGCCTGTCAGCCCCGTGACTCCCTACCAAGAACAATACAAGCCCAACAAGAAGCAAATTCAACAAGCTATCGACGATGCAGCTCGCCAAGGCGATCTCTACGCTGCCAAGGTATGTCCGCTTCAACAAACCACCACTATCATGTTCTAATTGTCCCAGATATCCCGCTCCGTCGCCATGTATCCGGAGGAAGACACCGCGACCCGCGAACACAAAACTCACTGCATTCGCCTCCAATACACGCTCGAAGAATCCAAGGCCCTTCTCGCCCAACTGCGCGAAGAAAAACTCAGCATCACCTTCGCCGCCGCCGCAGCCACAGTCCTCGCCGTGAAACAAACCTACGCAAAGGGCCACGAGAACGGCGCCCTCCTCGGCATGACACGCAATGCCCGCCGCTGGATCGACACAAGCGGCCAGCGCGAAAACGGCGGCTCCGTCCCTGCAGCCGCAGACTGCGTCTTCCTCTGGATCCCCTTCGAGCAGGCGTGGTTTGCCGGCTCGACTCGGGACGCCGTCCTCTCCATCGCCCGCGCCATCCGAAAGGAACTGGGCCCGCACCTCGTTTCGCCGCACTACCTCGCCAGTTTAAACTTCACGTCCGCCCGGGCTGTGGAGGGTCTCGCGGCTTCTGACGAGCCTATTGCTGCGCCTTGTGCGCCTGGTTTCTCGTCGCAGGGTGCGCTAGGTCTGCAGCGCGAGTTTGGCTCCCCCAATGCGAAGATTCACATTCGTGACTTCATTCATACTGGTAGGCAGATTAACGATTCTGCTTGGGTCGGTATGTTCTCCCTGTGGGACCGCATCACGCTGTCTATGGGCTTTGATGGGAAGTATTATGACCCCTCTGGTATGAATGCGTTTATGGAGCTGGCTAAGACAAACCTTGCCTCACTTATCCCGAGACGCTTTATGCGGGGCATTCCTTCTCGGCTGTAATTTCTGCTTTGCTGCTTTGCGACGTTTATGAAGGATCTCGGGTTATCAAGGAGCTATTGTTATATACCATGCCACACTTGGCTTTCACGGATTACCCGCACTAGGGATTTTTCTTTTGGCGTTTGTCTATGTTTACATTGAAATTGAACATTTCATTAATTCTATTCAATTGACTACATTGATTCTTTTACACTTGTGAGACATGGGTATGCTCAGGCACATGTTGTCAAGCTCCCCGTTTTTAGGACCTTGTAGTCATGAAACATACTTCTACACAATTCAATGTCTGGTAGGAAACCTATCACATGCCAATATTACGAACCAACAGGATCAACGCGCTTCGATTGCCACCGGGTAGATAGAAGATTCATAGATCGCGACTTCAAAAGTAGTTGGTGGCACAGACCTTCGTAATATATCATCCATGGACATGCGAATCACAAAAATGAAGTTGTCGATAATAACGGTTGTAGATCCATGGGCCATGGAACCCCAAAATAGAGAGTGGCAAATATGAGAACATCCATGGATAACGACGATCTCGGCCATCCAAACGTCAAATGACTTTTTGGAACATCGTAACATCCAGGAAATAACAAAAATAGCCCTTATGGCAAATCCAGAGTCTGGGGTTGATATCGTCATTGAATGTTTGCCACCACCTTGCTCACTCATAAATATAGGCAGTTAGCACAGCTCTCAATTAGCAACCCTAACAATTACTGAAGCACAAACAAACCAACAAGTGGTATGTATTTACAGTTTCCGTCTCAAAATTGGGTCAAGAGCATCCCGAGAAGACACATGCTGGGATGCTCTCTCTCCAAGAGCGCCTTGCTAACAAAAACACACTATAGAACCGCTATGCCTCTGCCTAAAACTCAAGACGCCGCCACCAGAACTAGGGAGCATGCCACTCAAAAGGCCTCCCATAGCGAAATGGGACCTGCTCAGCTTCTGAAAGAAAGCATGGATAGCTCTGGTAACCCTGAGCCCGATCATACCGGCTCTCTCGAAGAAAGCCATAAGAATCCCAAGGATGACGATGATGATGTGTTTGCTGCTATGAATGCGGAAACTGCAGATTTTGAATGATAAGGGTGTGTTATGTCTATGATTGCAAGCTTGTATACTTCTGATATTTGTGAGAAATGGAAATGCATTTTATTGCATTGAAGTATACACATATGTAACTACAATACATTATTGTACATATGTACGGAGTAGTGTAGAGGAATACATAGTGGAGATACGCCTTGTCATTGCTGTGGCAACGGGTTGTGGTTGACAGACTACTTTGTAACCATTACACGGGGTAAGGAATTGGGCAGGCATCACCTCTACAGTGTTGACAACTTCAATTCGATCTTTCTAAATTTTTCAATTCTCAATTCCTTCGTTTCCTTCATTCTCTACAAAAAGTCTACAATGAACTTGAAATTTCCCCGGAAATAAACGCGCAACAGTACCGACCCCCTCCCCAAGTTTCACTCATTCCTTGTCTATGCACACATTCCCCTTCTACCACTATCTCTACATTATTCCCTTTTATCACAATACCATTGCATGTACCACTCTCTTCTTGACCGACGACGCGACGCCGTCACAACTTGTGTACAGCTATTGAGCGACAGCAGGGACATGGCGCTGGATCCGCGCTTCTACCACCACATCGGCCATCCGGGCCCCGGTTCCATTTCATCAGCCGCTTCATCCGATTTATCAGCCGCAACGGGCATCACCTCACCCAGCATAATATCCACCTCCGCTTCCGCCGCGACCCTCCGATCTACAGCTTCGAGTCCCTCGTTCCGCGCGCGCGACGGCTTCGCGATAAGAGATGGAATGGCGAGCCCGACACCAGGCGGCAATGTGCGCGTTGTCGTGCGCGTGCGCAAATTCTTGCCTCGTGGTAGGCTTGACTATACCGGGTACAAAGATGGGATCTGACCTTTTGTTTAGAAATCGAGCGCAACGCCCATTGTTTGATTTCAATGGATCCCACTACTCAGATGACTTGCTTGCAAGCGCCGAAACCAAAACCAGGCGATGCGGGGAAACCCAAGTCTCAGGCGCGTGGGAAGGTGTTGGAGGATAAGTCTTTTACTTTTGATAATTCGTTTTGGTCTCATGATGAGGAAGATGAACATTACGCACACCAGGAGGACGTTTATAACTCGCTTGGCGAAGAGTTTCTCGATCACAACTTTGAAGGATACCATACGTGTATCTTTGCATATGGCCAGACCGGTTCGGGAAAGAGTTACACCATGATGGGAACGCCAGAGAGGCCCGGATTGATCCCGAGGACTTGCGAGGATTTGTTCCAGCGCATTGAGAGCTCGCCTTCACCCGACATCAGCTACAACGTCCGAGTGTCCTATTTCGAAGTATACAACGAACATGTACGAGATCTTCTAGTCCCACGGGCGGATCCCCCGCATTATCTTCGCATTCGTGAATCGCCGTCCGAGGGTCCATATGTCAAAGATCTGACGGAAGTGACTGCGAGAAATTACGCCGAGTTGATGAAATTTATGCGGAAGGGCGACATGTCACGTACCACGGCCAGCACGAAGATGAACGATACTTCCTCCCGATCACATGCCGTCTTCACTATCACCTTAAAACAAATTCATCACGATCTTTCAACAGATGAAACAACAGAGCGCACGGCTCGCATCCGGCTGGTTGACCTGGCAGGTTCCGAACGTGCCAAGTCCACAGAAGCGACTGGCGCCAGACTTCGCGAGGGCGCAAATATCAACAAATCCTTGACCACCCTTGGCCGTGTCATTGCGGCTCTCGCGGACCCCAAAAAGATTCGCGGACCGCGAAAAGGGAAAGAGCTGGTACCTTATCGTGACTCAATTCTTACATGGCTTTTGAAAGATAGTCTGGGTGGCAACTCTAAAACCGCGATGATTGCCTGTATCGCACCTGCAGACTACGAGGAGACACTGTCCACTCTTCGCTATGCGGATCAGGCCAAGAACATTCGCACCAGGGCACGGGTCAATCAAGATCAAATGTCGGCAGCTGAACGTGATCAACAGATTGCGGAAATGACTGAGACAATCCGCACTCTTCAACTTAGTGTCAGCCAAGCAGCTGCCAGCCAACGAGCCAACGAAGCATCTGATGAAAAACTTGAGCAGTATCAGCAGAAAGTGGAGAAGATGCAGCGACTCATGGAGGAAAACAACATGGTCAGCGAGTGCAAGATCCGACAACTGCAAACAGAAAACGAGGCCTTGCGCATGCATCTCAAATTGGCCGTCGAAAGTCTTAAGAACCCAATCCCAGCTGTGCCTCTTGAATCGCGGAAACCCAGTCTTGTATCATTGTCAGATGAGAACCAACCACATTATGATCCCGAGGACCGCGAAGGATCCCCTGCTGTATCCGATACAGAGTCGGATATGGATTTCTGGGAAGATGATGACACTGTGACGGAAGATGCGAATGAACACGAAGCCCAACGAATGCAGTCTTACATGCATGACCTCCTTGGGGAGCTCACTGTATTCAAGCGGAAGTTGGCTACAGACCATGAGCGATTCCGTCCCGCAGAGGAGCCTATGACTCGCAAGCGACGTGCATTGGCACCCATTTCCAGCAACCGTTAATATGTCGATATGCGTCTATTTTTATTTTTGGGTGTACAGGGATTGGTGTTGGCGGCATCCTTTGTTCTGATCTCTTTGTTAAACGCTCTTGATTTTCTCTCTGAGAGGCTTTTTGTTTGACCTGGACCTAGACTAGTGCTGATATTCTTTCTTTGATAGCGAGCTGAGATGAATAATGATACACTTGATGATATGCATGCTTCAAAATCTTACCATATTGGGTATCATAGGGTTTTTTTCAGGCATTCATAAATATATGAATCAGCCTATGGCCATATTGAGGTAGTTGAATAGTAATACCCAACTACTAAATTGAATATAATCGAAAAAAAATTGTATGTAAGTGCATCAACTCAATTGAAGTATGCATCTCCCCAAGTTAGGGCTCCGCCGTGCAGTGGGCCGCTTATGGCATCACTTTTTCCGTGAGTCAACTTCTCCCCACCAAATTCAAGAAACCTCCCCCTCACACCAGATTTGAGGCTCAGACAAGATGGCGGACCCGATCGAACAAGCGCCCGTCGCGCAAATCTCAGCTCCTAAATCTCAGGAGCCTCAACCCACCGAAGCCCCTCAAACACTCCCTATCCGCGACTCCAAACCCAAACCCACCGAAAAAGATGCGCCCGCATCTGCCGACGCAGAAAAGCCACTCACACCGGCAGAATTGAAAAAGAAGGCCAAGGCCGAGAAGGCCGCTCGACGCGCCCGCGAGAGGAGCGAAAAGGAAGGAGGTGCCCCCGGCGGTGCAGCTCCTGGCCCTGGAGCAGGCCAGGCTCGCCCTGCAACTACGCCGAAGAAGGACACTGCTGCTGCTGGTGCTGCACAGAAGGGACAGAAGACGCCAACTGCGCGCCGGGGCTCCGTGGCTCTCGCGCAGACTGGATCCGCGCTAGTGGAGCAGAAGAAAAAGAGGGACGATAAGAAGGTCGCTGTGTTCGGTCATTTGTACGGCCAGCAACGCCGTACCACCATCGCCGGTGGCGGCAAAGAAGTACACCCTGCCGTTCTGGCCTTGGGGTTGCAGCTGAGGGACTACGTGGTTTGTGGCAGCAGTGCGCGCTGCGTGTCGACCATGATTGCGTTCAAACGAGTAGGACCTTGTTCACCCGTGTTAGATCGCTTTTTATACTAACTCGCCAGGTCATTGAAACCTACACAACCCCCCTAGGCACATCTCTCGCCCGCCACCTGACAACCCACCTCTCGCACCAAATTAGCTACCTATCGACCTGCCGCCCCCTCTCCATCAGTCAGGGCAACGCTATCCGAGCCCTCAAATTGGTCATTGCCTCCGTCGACCCCTCAACCCCCGAGTCCTCAGCGAAGGCCACCCTCTGTGAATTCATCGACAGCTTCATCCGCGAAAAGATTACCGTCGCCGATCAAGTCATCGCCGAAAGCGCCGCCCAGAAAATCCAAGATGGCGACGTAATCGTCACCTTTGCTGGCTCCAGCATCGTCAAGGAAACCCTCATTCTCGCACACGACCAAGGCAAGCGCTTCCGGGTCTCAGTGATCGACTCCCGACCCCTCTTCGAGGGCAAAAGCCTCGCCAGAGCCCTCGTCAACGCAGGCCTCGAAGTCCAATACTCCCTCGTCCACGCAACAACCCACGCCATCAAAGATGCAACAAAGGTCTTCCTGGGCGCCCACGCAATGACCTCCAACGGCGGCTTATACTCGCGCGTCGGAACTGCCCTTGTCGCCATGTCCGCGAAGGAACGCGCTAGCGGCGTCGAAATCCCCGTCATTGTTTGCTGCGAGACTGTCAAATTCACCGACCGCGTGGCCCTCGACAGTATCGTCGTTAACGAAATCGCCGACGCGGACGAGCTCGTCGTCAACCCTAGCCCGGATCAGATCACCGGTCTTCCTGATACAGAGGATCTGCCTGTGCCGGACCCCAAGAAGGGGAAGAGTACTGCTGAGCCGCCTGCTTATTCCAACGGCACGACTAAATCCCCGCTTACGAACTGGAAGACTACCCCCAACTTGCAGCTGCTCAATATCATGTATGATGTTACACCAGCAGAGTATGTTGATATGGTTATTACCGAGATGGGTAGTCTGCCGTCTAGTGCTGTGCCCATTGTGCACCGCATGGTTACGAATCTGTGATGTTCGCTCTGAACTTGTACTCTCTAGCATTAAAATGGTTATGACACTTTCGATTTCATGGTTAAGATTTATTTTTGTAAGATTTATAGAATCTTCAGGCTTTGTTGTTGTTTCGGATTTATTGCATCAGCACACTTGTATCTTCACACTTCAAGAGGATGTTAAAGTCTGGATCACAGAGTCATAGATTGTATATGAACAATATTGTGGTGCAAAGCACAATTCAACTTCGAGAGCCTAGGATCTATGTGTCTATCACGTGATACCAGGCGGTGTATCATCTCACTATTCTGCCAATCAACAATCAATATCAACGGCAATTCAAAGACACCATCTCTAATTGAACCTCAAACTCCATACAAAAACCCTCCAAACTCAAGACGTAGGGTCAACGACCCTCCAGCGCCAAAATGGTACCTCCAGCCCCTAACCCGAATCCCAAAACATCCACCTAACAATCCCTAGAGCAAAGACTCCTCAGCCTCATACATACACATGCACCAACCACGCCTAGCCGACCTCTTCGAAGAATTCACCCGCCCACACACCTCAACAGCCCCAACGGCCGATCCACACAACCCAGTCGCAGACCGCGATCCAAACGCCCAGTACGGCTCCACCTCCCCAACAACAATCCCCTCTTTCCTCCCAATCGAAGACATCTACGTCGCGCCCCAATACCAGCCCCCAAACCCCGAAGACGAGGACGACGTCGTCCCAGACCAGCACGCGGCTTTCGGTATCGCCCGTGCCATGGACCGCCGTCGCGACGCTGTCTGGCGGGATTTGGGCCTCGAGGCGCTGGTTAATGGCGAGGGTCATGGGGGTGTGCAGGGTGTGACTGGTGCGGCCGGTGCGGCTGGAGCGGTGCCTGCTGCTGCTGGTGCGGCGGCGGCGGGGACGCCGGTTGTTAGGGTTCGTCAGGCTGGAAGGAGGATGGGGGGGAGAAGGGTTGTTGGGTTGAGGTGATATTTCTATGCGTGCAGCTACTGGTTTCTGCTTGTTTGGGATTGTGGTTTGCTTTTTACCTGGAGTTTGCCATTGGACTGGCCCTATTGATACCCGTGTATCGTTGTTTGAATATTAGAGATCATTGATTCGTTTCCATTTGGTTTTGGTATGCTAGATGGCTGACCGAGACAGTTTCTGTCGTCGGTTAAGGCTGAATGCCCCTAGGCATGCGGTTGTGAGGAATGCGATTATACATGGCATATTTAAATTCGATTGATGTCAACCCGAGCTCGCTCGTATAGCTTGTGGCCTAGCTGTTTCTCTTCGCGCTCGTCCTCGCCCACTAGGCGTGGGTGGATGGCCATTTGGGCATATGAGCCTGCTGCGCGACGTTTGGACAGGGTGCCTGGGTTAATTACTAACACGCTGTCGACGACCTGCAGAGACGTAGATTAGTATAGTTGCTGGTTGGGATGGGTTGTGGATCAACGTACCTTTACAAAAGGTGGTAGCATGCTCGGCACGATCAAGATATCGGGCCGGACATTCCACCACTCGCCTAGTTTCATATACGGCAGATCCAGCATGGCGCCTGTGGCTATGCCATTCTCAGACGCTGGCTTGGGGAGGTTTGAACGTGCGGTCGGAGGGAACAAGGGGAAGAAGTGCCGTTGCTCGACAAGATACTTGGGCAGGCGGGTGAGCAGGTTGCCCTCTGCTGGGCGGCCGTGCAGGACCTCCTCACGGCGTAGCTCAGAGAGCACATCATGTGAGCACATTCCAATGACGGTCTCATTGAAGGATAATGTGACGGGGTTGGAGACCATGCGAACTTGCTTGGGTAGGCCAAGTTCCTTTTTGGGAAGCTGCTCCTGGGGCCAGGAGACGTGTCGGCTGAGGGCGTCGCGAACAGAGGGAACCATTACAATAGTGATGCTTGGCACGGCTGCTGCGAGTCGTGCCAGCGGTGCTGAAATGCAGTGTCGGAACATAATGGAGAGTGTGGCTGTGTCCGGGTCGATACCTTTGATGTCTGGCAGGTCGAAGTCACCCGATGCAAGAAGTGGGTGCTCGATATCTAGGAACGGGCCCATCAGCACGACGCTATCTGCATAGCTTTCAGCCGCCTTGTGGCATATCTCTTGTAGCGGCTCGAAGTCTAGATTGTCATCCGCTGTGTAGGGGCCTGCTGCAATCATGACATTCAGTGGGGGGTTAGCATCCCCATCAAGTCGCTCGTTGATGTTATCCAATGCCACAGCCGAGGAGGCAGCCGGGGGGAGAAGTGGTATCGGAAGGACCTCCTTGACAGTGAAGTATTCACCAGAAGGATTAATTCCTCGGAGAGCCACAATTTGGCCAGGGAAAAAGTTCACTGAGGGAACGGAGTCGACCTTCAAGGGAACTCGTCTGCCGGCTCCTGTCCGGCGGGAGGTCTCCAGCACAAGGGATGCCGCATTCAATTTCCCTTCAAGGGAGTCTGAGGCAATTCGTCCGACGGCAATGATTTCGCTAGTGCTCTGCACGGCCGCGCTTCCAAATGTAATTTCATCGGAATTGAATTGTGCCTGAAATATAGTCGCAAACTCATCGATACGATCGTCCAAAATCTCCGATGCTTCGGACAACTTCATTCCCATCGGTTTATATCCAAACTTCTTAAGATCTGTATTTGCCGTGGGCTTAATGCGTGGTTCAGAGAATGGTGCCATTGGAGTTTCTGGTAGGGAAAGGTGTGCATTGAGGGTTTCCACCGTTTGGCCGGGGTTCTGTCGCTCTGAGAATGACATTGCCCTGTTACAGTTGTTAGCCTGATGGCGTCTTTCATAAATATCCCGCAATCAGAGTAACATACTGCACTCCATCTCCAGGTGTCCCAGTCGGTGTCCTTGTGCCCTGTGATGCAAGCTTGTCGAACTTGCTGACTTTGGGTGTAGCGGGCGAGTTGAATTCAGCCTTCCGCTTTGCCGATCCGACAGGAAGCGTTCGAGAATTTGAGGCATTTGGTGTCAATTGATCGAGCATGCCGAACATATCGCCGCCGGCTGATGCGCGCGGGGTTGCTGTGTTTGCGCCTCGTTTCTCTGTGTGTCGGCCAGCCTTGTCACGACTTTCGCGCTCCAATGTTTCTAGAACATCCTGCTTGAAGCCTCTCACAGTCTGGATGGTCAATGTCACTCCATCGCCCATCTTTATGCTGTAAGACTCCCATTTGTAGAAGAGCTCCTCTGCGGAGATTGAATGCACCCGCATCATGGAGAGGAGCTCGGCGAGGATATCTTTGGGAATTCCATCGGGGAATGATCCCACGAAGAAATCATTGAGCTCTGCCTCGGGGTCCATGGTTGGTTGTTGAGTCGCAAATTGTGACCTTGAAAAGTATCAAGACGCGGAGAGACGCGTCGGGGAGCGCGCTGACCGCCTTGACCCCAAAACGGTAAAATTATTCGATCATCGCGGCAAATCGAATGTGGACCCTCTGTCGATCTTGAGAATTCGTGGCTTAAGTGCTTTAATTGCCCCCCGATTGTTTCAATTGTTGTTGTTCTTCCCCTCTCCCGATTTATCAGTATAGACTAGTTATAGATTTCATTATGTCTAACCAAGACATCGCACCAACACCTGCTCCTACCAATGGAGATGTGCTTGATACTGCTCAGGCACCGGAGTCGACCCCTGTGATCTCCCAGGAGTCTGCTTCAGCAAATCCAATTGACCTCGAATTACCAACTTCTGCCGCGGACGGTCTCATCCAGAAGCCATTTGCCAGGCCCCTTGACACTTCAAGGCCAGAGCCTCCTGTCCAGCTCACCTCGGACCAAAAGTCCAAGTACGATGCTGTGCTCAAGACCGTTTCATCATGGACCACAGTCCCCACCAAGGCTGAGAAGGGAGCCCCAACTGCACCCATTACCGAAGGTGAAAGGATGTGGTTGACCCGTGAATGTCTTCTGCGCTACCTGCGCGCGACCAAATGGAATGTTTCCGAGGCCGAGACCCGTCTCCAGAGCACTCTGACTTGGCGTCGCGAGTATAACCTGGAGAAATTGACACCTGATTATATCTCCATTGAGAATGAGACAGGCAAACAAGTGCTTTTGGGATATGATATCCATGGACGCCCTTGTCTGTACCTCTTGCCTTCCAACCAGAACACGGAGAAAAGTGACCGCCAGCTCGAGCATCTCGTCTTCATGCTGGAGCGGGCCATCGACCTCATGGGCCCAGACCAAGAGACTGTTGCTTTGCTGGTGAACTTCAATGAGACAAAGTCTGGCCAGAACGCTAGTCTGGGCCAGGCCAAGCAAACCCTCGGTTTCTTGCAGAATCACTTCCCCGAGAGACTTGGTCGTGCTCTGGTCATCAATGGTCAGTGACTCCCCTCGTATCCCATGATGATTTGCTAATACTTCACACAGTGCCTTTCATGATCTGGGGATTCTTCAAGCTGATCACACCCTTCATTGACCCCAATACCCGCCAGAAGCTCAAGTTCAACGAGGATCTGCGTGAGCACGTCCCACCTAGCCAGCTCATGAAGGCCGTTGGTGGTGATGTTGAATTCCGCTACGACCATGCTACCTACTGGCCTTCTTTGAACAAGTTGGCTGACCAGCGACGTGAGGCGTACCGTGAACGCTGGGTTCGGGGCGGCAAGCAGGTCGGCGAGCTCGAGAACTACCTCAAGGGTGAGAACACCCCAAGCTTGTCTGAGGCATTGGCCGAGGTCGAGGCCAAGGCTAAGGCCGACGAACAGGCCTAGAGGATATATCTTACCCTCATCTTGTTGCACTTGCCATATGTCCAATTTACATTCTTTGTTCCTATTGCCCTACAGTCCGCATTTATTCACAGCCCTGGGGTCTTTTGTTTTCGGATTTCTTTACATACACCGCTTCCTTCGGCATACCTGTTAATAGACACTTCATCCTTGTGCATACGTTAGCGATAGAGTACCCAAATTCTACATACTTAAATCGTTCTCAGTCTTTTCATCTCTAATCTTAAATGATACTAGTTAAGATTTTTTCGTGAGGTTCTTGAGATTTCTACATTTGAGCTCTGTGAGATAATAGAAACAACACAACAAACACAATTGAACCCATGGCGCCAAAGTGTAACCAGCTGTACCAAATTAAGGATCCATATCAAACTCCGGATTAACCCATGAAGGCTGCGGTGCCTTTTCACGCATCCATGCCCCGAATTTATGTAGAACACCAAAAACAATGCACCCTCCAGCAAGTGTTATAAGCCCCTGGGTAGTGAACGTCCAGGTCCAACCCGAAGTCGCTTGCCACGATGCAATGAAGAACTGTTTTCAAGAAAAAGTCAGTAAGAATACCCATGATATAGATCCCGTGCTAGTATCGGGCAACATACCGGATTGATAAAAGCACTTAGGTTTAGAAACACGGCGTAGAAAGTGATCACGCTGGTTGTTTGTAAAGGGTAGCAGTCAACAATATAGCTGCTAGTCACCGTATTGCCGATCTGGATACCAGCAGCAACTATAGGACCGTCAGTTCTGTTTCAGATACTGTATATACGGAAGAAAGGACCCACATAAGAAAAATGCTACCTGGCCTACCATCCAGTGGTAGTCTTTGTCGATGCTGACTCCCCAGAGAATCAACCCAACTGCATTGCACCATGATGTCAGTCTCATTCAGTAAACAATGTGCGGACGGTGGAACATACGAGTGGTGATCGAAATAGCCGGGTACGCTAACCACAAACGCATCTCTGGAACGCGGATGTTGCCATTCTTTGTAGACAATCTCTTGACAATGAAGTCGCTCAAACGTCCAGAACACCCAATCTCCGAGACGACGGTTCCAAAAAACAGCCCGAGGAACAACAGTCCCTGAATGAGCGGCGTATAGCTTGCATAGGCTGCAGGTACCATCGTGATCACGGATAGCACCCACCAATACCAGACGAAAGCGTATCCGATAACTGCAATGACAACTGCAGGTAACCGAAATGTCAATACAAACCGGGTGATAGAGTCCCATGGTTTGGGATGGCGCATGCCAGGGATAGGACGCCAGTTAAAGAATGGTAGGTTCTTGGTCCGGCGTAGTTCTGATGTTAAGACCTCTGCTGGAGCTGTTGATGTAGTGTCATTTCCTGCTAATTGCTTTTCAATGTCACCGGTGAGGGATTTATGTCCATGAAGACGGGGCATTTGCTGAAGCATCTTGTTGCGGGGATAGAGGGTCTCTGGCATGAAGAAGAGCTCGAGGAGTAGAAGTGCGGCGAAGAGGATTGCGTTGAACCAGTTGATCCATGCAGCACCGACAAGATCCAAAAGACCACCAACTTGAATAAGTCTCAGCATGGGGCTCATCTGTATTGACAAAATATCCGAGTTGACTTACAAGTAGGGCCTAGAAGCAAGCCTGCGTCAATCGCAAGAACCCACAGTCCAAGCTTCTGACCGCGCTCATAGTCAAAAAATAGATCGTTCACTATGCCAGAGCTGTGTCAGACGTACATACTTTCTCGAGGCATATGGTTGAGACCTACCGACTGCCATCCCGACTGTAGATGCCGGGCTCACTCCAAACCCTTGGAAGAAGCGAGCAGCCATATACCCCGAATATGTATCAGCGACGGCGGCGCCAATTGTCGAGACTAGGGATATGATTGTCCCGGCTAAGAACACCGTTCTTCGACCGTAGATGTCACCAAGTGATGACCATATCAGGGGTCCGACGGATAACCCTAATGCTGGCACGGCGACTGTCCAATTGACTTGTGAATAGTTGATCTTATATTGGTCTTGGATCTCGGTGAATGATGGGACAGTGGTGGTCGTGAGGTATGTGAACAGGAAATACCTACCAGACAGTAGAATAAATCAGTACGACAGGAAACATATCCACTGGTGTTGATAAACTGCAAGTTGCAAAGCCAAGTGATGTAAAGGTAGATTGATTCGATACCTACTTGAACATCACAATGGATAATATGACATGTTTCTGAAACTTTGACCAGTTCAACGGGTCTAAGGGGTCGGCAGTTGGTTGGGGATGAAGTCTGATTCCGTTTTTGTTGACTGTTGCAAAGTAGAGAACCTGGGTGCTATGGCCCACAGGAGTATGGGTTTGGTCAAATTCCTCATTATTGTTGTCTTTCTCTCTCATCTCCTTTTTATCTTCCATTTCTGTTGCTGAGGATGTCATTATCTAGACCTTTTGTTTCAAAGATCCAAGATTGTAGACCAATTCTGGCGCACGATCCTATGATGTATACTATGATAGAAGTCGTGTCTGGTGCATTAGTCTATCTGGTTCGGGATTGACGGCTATATAAGACAAGTAAATTTATCCAGAGTGGCGATTATTCAATAACATGTGTTGTAACTGAGCAATCGTAGTCTATTGGCCTTGCTGCCGTGCCGAAGCTCCTGGTTCAAGAGCATAGCTGATAAGCAATGCATTAGGTTTATCGGGAGTCTATAGACTGCGCTTCAGACCCTTCATCAATTGGGCTTTTGAGCATCAAAGAACTGGTACTTAAAGTAAATCATAATGTGACATATTCTTCTACACAAATTGTGATGATTCAGTCGTCATGCTGTCTGTTCAAATCTACAATAAATAGTGAAGTATATTGAATATCCTTTACTTCCTCGATCGTCTCCATGGACATAATCGTTCGATATTGACATTTCATAGGTGCCGGGTCCATCGCTGCCGCAAAGAGTCCCCCGCTGTCAAAGTGACAGGGGTATACGGATGCACCAATCAACTGGCGAGAGGGCCTGATAAGGCTAGAGATAAGAGAAGTCGATCTGACATTGGTCACAGAATGATAATCGAAGTTGAGAATAAGGTGTCCTTTTATTCTCCGACGCTAGAATTCTGTAATATAATTATCCTGTCGGCTTGTGTAAATTGGAGGAATCTCTAGGGCACTCCACACTCCACGCCAAGAACGTTTGTGCTCTATTCACGATTTGCAGCACTGTAGCAGCTATTGTCGCTAAAGCAAAAAAGCTTGGTATTAATGACTCATGTATAATTTAACGGTCTCATAATTCATTATAGTGAACATAAAAAATGCATCCGCGATGGCACAATTCCGGCATATCAGATCACCATTGGAGAAGATAACATCACGAACAGTCATGAGAATGACACTATCGTATAGTGCTATCAAAGCTGCATCCAGGCTTTTCATCGACAACAAAAAAGTATGCCACTCTAGTTAACTTCCATTTTGGGACTGGAGAAGACACTAGGGCAGATCTCCCCGCCATCATAGATAAGAAGCATAAACAAGAACATGTTGACATCATATTGGAGATCAAGACTAGACCGATCTAATCAAACTTTTACTCTCTAAATCAAAGCCACTGCAACGTGGCTCGGTCACACCCAGTCCGTGTATGCCATACTAATTCACTGCTGCGCTTAAGCATCCGAGATCGGAGCTGAACTTGAAGTACATGGCCAAGAGGCATGGCAGTGGGTACTGATTGCTCCAATTACCTCAACTGAATTGATTGTGTGTGCATCCGTTGTTGAATACGCAGTTAGGAGACTTACTGTATCACCGAGTACCAGAAATTCACGATAATACTTTACAATCTAGGAGGCTCCTTGTCGGCCACAGAACACTTAAAACTATTGATAATTTCCGAATCAAAGACACTGCTTTTTATGAGAAGTGTTGATCTTCCTTCTGATTGATTCCATTGCTTGAGTGGACACTGAACTGTGCCCCCATTTCCAAAGACCGATCACATTAGCTGTGCGTCTCAGTCCACACTCAAGACATTGATGCCAGAGATAGACTGAACACAAAATATATCTCAATTCGCTCATCATGTACGACACTAGCAACGGGAGCTCAACCCAACCAACCGAGTATACCTCCCTCCTCTCCAAGCCCATCCACAATGAACCCCTACCATGGAACGAGTCCGAAAACGAAAGCCCGTTCTCACGAGCTCTCATTCTTGCAGAATTCTGGCTCTTGCTGAAAGACTCAACCCCCGTAATCCTAGCCTACACTCTGCAAAACAGCCTTCAGACCGTATCCGTGCTGATAATCGGTCGTTCATCACCAGAGAATCTCGCAGCGAGTGCATTCTCGCAGATGTTTGCCATGGTGACGGCGTGGATGATTGCGCTGGGAGGTACAACGGCTATGGATACACTGGCCTCCTCTTCGTTCACGGGCAGCTCCAACAAACATGATTTGGGAATTCTGCTGCAGCGCGGGTTCCTGGTCTTGGGTCTTTTCTATATACCCGTTGCTATCTTATGGGCTTTTTCGGAGCCGATTTTTTTGTTCCTAGGTCAAGACCCGCGCCTTTCGCGTGACAGCGCAAGGTTCTTGACTTGTTTGATCCCGGGGGGCTTGGGGTATATCTATTTTGAGGTTATGAAGAAGTATTTACAAGCTCAAGGTATGCTTTCGCTGGAGGTTTATCTAGATATACAGAGGCTTACCTTGGTACAGGCATCATGCGAGCTGGAACTTACGTGCTGTTGATTACATCGCCATTGAACGCCGCTCTCAATTATCTATTCTGCTACACGTTCGAGATCGGCCTCCTAGGCGCCCCTCTAGCAACAGGGCTCTGCTACTGGCTCTCTTTTGCCTTGTTAGTCCTCTATGCCCGCTTCATCGGCGGCTCAGAATGCTGGGGCGGATGGTCTCGCGAGGCGTTCCAAAACCTGCGCACATTTGCACGGCTCGCTCTCCTGGGTTTTGTCCACGTTGGCACAGAATGGTGGGCTTTCGAGATCGTTGCATTAGCAGCCGGTCGCTTGGGTAATGTCTCTTTGGCTGCCCAGAGCGTCATCATGACTGCCGATCAGGTTCTCAATACGATTCCATTCGGCATTGGGGTGGCGACATCTGGCCGCGTTGGTAATCTACTAGGAAAGAGAGATGATGCTGGTGCAGCGCGGGCGGCACATACCTCCGCTATACTGAGTGTGGTCTTTGGTGGTGTTGTGTTGGCTATTCTTATGGGAACGCGAGATCACTTTGCAAAGATCTTCAATGATGATACTAGCGTTGTAAGTCTTACGGCTGATGTTTTGCCGTATGTGGCGCTTTTCCAAATTGCCGATGGGCTCAATGGGAGTTGTGGGGGAAGTTTACGTGGTATGGGACGACAGCATGTGGGTGCTTTAGTTAATTTGGTGAGTTATTACTGTGGTGCGTTGCCGTTGGGGATTTGGCTTGCATTTCATGGTTGGGAACTTAAGGGTCTGTGGGTTGGGCAATGCATTGCGTTGTATTTGGTTGGAGCACTCGAGTGGATTATTGTCGCACGCAGTCAGTGGGACACTGAAGTGCGCAAGGCCTTCCAGCGCATGGATGTGCATGAGATTTTGGAGGATGGAATTGAGGGAGAGTAGATGTTATTCATTTTATACTTTGACTTCTTAGAAGATGGCAAGACTGTTGTCAGTGCTTCTCTATCATTAAGCTGATCTGTTAAATGTATGTGCGATCCTGTTCATTGAGATACTTAAGTATGAGCTGAATTGAATATATATTTCCTATAAACTAAACTCCATATCACCATCGTCAAATGTAATATACATTCCAAGGCTGTAGAATATAAGAATACACATCCTTTGTAAATATCTTGTGAATTAGCCACGGATTTTATGACTACCTAGGTATCGGCATTGATTCCGTGTCTTGTCCCATTTTACCTCTCCCGCTGCATCGAAGGTATAGCTCCTGACCAACACATCTCGGACACGTTTCTTAGCCGATTCAACATTACAACAACTGTTCAATACAATGCTTCAAATACCTAGAGTGAATACTATACCGATAATCATATTGCTCTCCGCTGTCGGAAAGCAAACTATCCAATACATAATTTATAGATCGACAGCCACCAATGACGAGCGACCGATAAGCCACTGCATATACTAATACTAGCCCTAAAACGATCTCCTATCTTCTCAAACTTTTAGTGTCTAACGTCCCACTCCCCCGGCCTTCCATTTTGGGACCCTGGCAACAATAACTCTGCCGCACATGAGGTATGCATGCCATGGCCAAGCCTCGAAATTGCTTTCCCCGCCCGAATCATCCTGCCATCGGTTCCTCAAAGGGAAGTTACTGGGAGCGAGAAGGGAAATGATGCCTAGTATTGAAAAAAGACTTTCTTTTCTTTTCTTTTTCCAATATTAACTCGGTTTTTAGCTAATGGGCGCAGATAGAAGGGATTGCCGAGTTGTCAATCATGTCTACATTGGGGCAATTCAGGGAGTGTGATACTATCCCGAGTTGCAGAGGAAGCTTACTGGTTACACTGGATGACATCAATTGAGATGTATAGAATATTGCGGAATGAATGAAATACTTATATCCTCAACAATGCTCTGTTGAACTGTTCTAGTCCATCAAGTTGCAATCACTCCAAAGCTTTTCAATTATATCAATATTACAATTATCTCTGCCTAGCATCACAATGATCCTCTCCGTTGCGGGATTGCTGGTCCTCTCTACGCTGGTTACAGGCCATGGAGATCATGGACAGTCTCAACTTGCTGGTCCGCACCAAGGGCTCTGGTACAATACCCTCCCAGGAGATGGTGGTACTCAGGTGAGTACCCCAATCGATCAACATGTTCGTTATAAGGGGTATCATCTCACAAAACGATAAGGCCGACTCCGTATTCTCTGGAATCTCGACTTTCGGTCGCCTACCCTACTTTCCATGTTTGTCCAGCGATGCCGAGAGATATGATATCGCTTTCCTAGGTTAGTAAAACGTCCCATGATAATATGGAGTTCCTACTTACAACTCTTTCATTGAACAGGCGCACCTTTCGACACCGGGACCTCCTACAGACCTGGTGCCCGGTTCGGTCCCAGCGGCATCAGACAAGGTTCTCGCCGCCTCAATCTCTAGTATGTGCCAGTCCCATCGAAGATAAATACCCACATATGCGCTAGAAACACATCGCTAAGCAACTGGGATCTAGTGGTGGCTACAATGTGCCATTGCAAGCAAACCCATTTACAAGCGACATGCGGATTTTGGATTGTGGCGATGTACCGGTTACCTCGTACGTCCGCGTTCAACGATAAACACCGGCGTCGAAAGAGCTGAGAACTAACCGTCTCATAGATATGACAATGCCTGGGCAATCCAGCAGATTGAGGAGGGACACAACAGTATCCTGATGCGCAAGCCTTACACCGACGCGGATAAACTGGGTCTTTCGCGCGCTGGCAAGACCCTTCCCCGTGTTATTACCCTTGGTGGTGACCATACCATCACACTGCCTCTGCTGCGGAGTATTAACAGGGCCTATGGGCCAGTGACGGTCATTCATTTCGACAGTCATCTGTGAGGACGGTCCCTTGTTACCTGGGTAGTATGTGCATGACTGATTCGATTAGGGACTCGTGGAAGCCGAAGGTCTTTGGTGGCTCACCTAGTAAGGTTGCTGCTATTAACCACGGGACATATTTCTATCACGCGGCTATGGAGGGGTTGTTGAAGAATGATACGAATATCCATGCTGGAATTCGGACGACGTTGTCAGGGCCCTCGGATTATGATAATGATGGGTATTGCGGGTTTGAGATTGTTGAGGCGAGGGAGATCGATGTTATTGGTATGGTATCTTGCTGTTTGGTTTGGCTTGGTGCTTATGATTGGAAACTTTAGGGACGGATGGTATTATCAAGAAGATTCGCGACCGTGTTGGAACTGATAATCCTGTTTATCTTTCCATTGATATCGATACTTTGGATCCTGCTTGTGAGTCTTGGGAAGGGATGTCATGTTGGTTCTGTTGCTAAGTATATACTATAGTTGCACCGGCTACTGGCACGCCAGAAACTGGCGGTTGGTCCACGCGCGAGCTGCGGACAATTATCCGTGGCCTTGATGGGTTGAACTTTATTGGTGCGGATATCGTTGAGGTCGCTCCGGCTTATGATACTAATGCGGAGTTGTCGACGATGTAAGTTTTTTCAATATGATGAAATGCTGGACAAATCCTGACTATTTTGCAGGGCCGCTGCCGATGTGCTGTACGAAGTGCTTACTATCATGGTCAAGAAGGGCCCGTTGTCTGTCGGTGAGTCGACTCATGAGCTGTAAGGATTGGTGGAGTTGGCAGATATTGTGGTCATTGAAAGCACAGACTTAAGCTTTGAATGGTACGGATTGCCGTAAAGAAAAACAAAACAGCATTCACTATTTCTCTGTTTAATGAGACATAGTTAATGGCATCTACTTTTGATTTACATTGCATTGGAATGCAATGAAATTGGGATCATACAATGCCCCACCTACGCTGCTCCAAGGCGTATCCAAGTAGGTTAATCTTGTAAATTCCGCCCAGGGAATCCTTCCGCTGAACGCCTTCGAACGCCCGATGGATACTGAAGTGCGCAAAGCCTTCCAGCGCATGGATGTGCATGAGATGTCTAGCCTCGGTTTTGTAGCTCACCAAATCGAGGCTAGACATATTGTTGAGCTACAAAATCGCGGCCAGACATATTGTTTGCTCTGATTATTCTGTTAAAGATAACGCAATCATGAATGAAAATGGTTATTCGTTAAATAATGATGGTTGTTAGTTGAGGGTCTTATACATTAAGAAACCGAACCCTTTAACCCCTTTCTTCTTCAGGTCCTTGAGAGTCATGTTCAGCACACTTCAATTGGTTTAATCTATGTATATTTGAATCTTTAGAGAGTATTGTATACATCCTCTGAACAGTATGGACAGGTTTACCTTTTTCCTTATATGCTTTTGGCTGTGTTCAAAAAACCAAGACATTGTCGATCCTTCCAACGGTCCCCCTGCTTAGGAATAATTGGACCTTGTAGTATCTCCATACCGAAATTTAATTAACCAAAGTCAAAAATGTCAGAATATTGACACTTGCTATTCTTATTTTTGAGCCATTTTTGACAGAGAATTCACTTTTAATGAGCCAATCACAGTATAGACACCAAGCAAGGTCCAATAATTCGAAAAATTTGGTCTATGCCTTAGGTCAGTATACACCGCGATAGTATCCTCTATTCAATAAATTGACATGATGCACATCTAAATCCCCCAGGCGGCTCTAGACTTCCAAGATCGCGGTCAATTGCAGTGGACCTCGGGACCAGGAGGTTTTGCCAGATTGGTCGAGCTGGCCCGTCCCTGACAACGATTTAGGCTGTAAGTGGAAATGAACGCGCAGGGATCAACATTAAAGGGTGTACGCGGTTCGTTGACCATGGTAAGATGGGGGCACAATGGTAAGAGGATAAATTAGATGGGATTATCCTTTCCAGCCATGGTCCCAATTGACCTCTGAGGTAGGTTGACGGTGCATAGAGAGGTAACCTAAAAGGAACACCTGAAACGAACGGCTAGAACGTGTTCTCGAGGGATCGGTGGAGCCTTGGGCTCAGGGAGACCATAGTGTACATAATAGTGTATGAAATAGTTAAGATAGATCGGATGTTGAACCGGGACAATATGTAAGGTGAGACGCTATTGAACCATGTGCTCGGAGTATTAAGCCTTTATACGTAAAGGGAGATTTTGAAGAAGGTGAACGTGATAGATAACAGAGAATAAGCAAACAAATCTAAAAGAACAAAAGAGAGTAGACCTCTACGTTATACGGAGTATACCAGTAGGTAGTTATAAACATGATAATCAATTAGGTACTACTACCCCGTACCTTTTTGATTGTAGGTGGGTAAAGTGCCGAGACTGTGAATTCCCCCCTGAACCATCTAGTTTTCTCCTCGCTTGGAGTCCAAATTATCTCCTTCATCTTAATCGTTAAAACGCTAAACTACATTTGGTTGATGCACGGCCAGTTTCTTTGCTTCTTTATTATTTCACCTCCCTACTTTCTATCGTTACATTTGGTCAATCTGGGGAGCGAGTACTGCAGGTACGTTGTTTCTGTGTGTTGTTTGTTGTTTATTCACGATCTAAAGATAAACGAAAGAAGAAAAAAAAATTAAAATTAAGGGGGTTCACTGACACATTGCACTCTCCACATTCTAGACAACTACGATTATTCTGCGCCTCATGACTATCAACTTCAATCGACTTTGATTTGAATTTCTTTTCCACCTGGCGTGTGGTTTAGAATGACCGTTTCACCGCCAGCATCGCCGACGGGCGCGACCCCGCGACCCATCAGCGCTGTGATGCGCACTCCGCGTAGTACCAGTCGCCTGAGTATGAGCAGCCGACAAGGGAGTCGTGCTTCCGATGAAGATGGCAAGACTGCAGTCAAAGTCGGTATGTATAATGCATTCCCCTGGACCGCAACCAAATTGATTCATACTGACTGGTGCGCAGCTGTCCGTGTACGACCACCACTGAAACCCACCGACCCCGGTTACGAATTGATTCCCCAGCGATTCCAGCGTTCTATGGTCCATGTCACCACACCAACGAGTCTGGACGTGGAGGTACCGAATGGTCGCAAGTTGTTCGTGTTTGATCGAGTTTTCCCCGAGACCACCGAGCAGGAGGGCATTTGGGAATACCTGAATGATAGTGTCGACTCTTTTGTCCAGGGCTACAATGTCTCGATTATGGCGTATGGGCAGTCCGGTGCTGGAAAGTCCTTTACAATGGGTACCTCCGGCCCCAGTGAGCAGAAGAATGTGCATGATATGGGTAAGTTTGAAATTCGATTGTTTACCAAGCAGGGACTGACTGTGTAATGTTTACTTAGGTGTTATCCCCCGTGCTGCGCAAGCCTTGTTCGATAAATTAGACGGCCCCTCAAAACACACGAGGACTAGTTCGACCTCGACCGGCCTCCGAACACCGCAACGATATTCTATGAGTTCTGCTGCAAGCTTTGGAAAACTGAACCAGGAAAAAGAAAAGACCTGGCAATTGAAAGCTACCTATGTTGAGGTATGTTCTGTGTTTCGAGGATATACCTGCAGAGATGGTATCTGACCACGATTTACAGATCTATAATGAGCACCTGAGAGATTTGCTGCTCCCAGATTCCACCCCTTTCAGTGATCGCAACAACGTTACAATTCGCGAGGATACCAAGGGTCGCATCCTTTTGACCGGTCTTCACCAAGTGAACATCAATTCCTTCGAGGATCTCATCAATGCCTTGAACTTTGGCTCGACCATCCGCCAAACAGACTCCACCGCAATCAACGCCAAATCATCCCGGTCGCACGCGGTCTTCAGTTTGAACTTGGTCCAACGCAAGGCTTCAGGCCCAGTGACCCCGACTCCCAAGGAAAAGCGCATGTCAATGCCTGTTGATTCCTTCGGTGGCGATTCCATCACTGTCGATAGCAAGTTACACTTCGTCGATCTGGCGGGTAGTGAACGGCTGAAGAATACCGGGGCCTCCGGTGAACGCGCCAAGGAGGGAATTTCCATTAACGCTGGCCTAGCAGCTCTAGGGAAGGTCATCTCACAACTTTCACGCCAGCACGGTTCCCACGTCTCTTACCGTGATTCCAAACTCACTCGACTTCTTCAGGATTCCCTAGGAGGGAACGCATATACCTACATGATTGCCTGCGTCACCCCAGCAGAGTTCCACCTGAGCGAGACTCTGAACACTATCTCATATGCTCAGCGCGCCAGAGCCATTCAGAGCAAGCCGCGCATTCAGCAAATCGCCGATGATGGCGACAAGCAAGCAGTCATTGACCGACTCAAGGCCGAGGTAGCTTTCTTGCGCCAACAGATCCGCAGCAGCGAAGGGTCTGAGCGCAGGGAAGGTAGCTCGACCGAACGAAGCGAACGCAAGAACGAGCGTGAGAAGCATCTGCAGAATCAGCTGTTGGATATCCAAGAGTCTTACAACAACCTCAGCCAGCGCCATGCTAAGCTCATCTCGACCATGGCCGATGACTCGGAATCGCAAACCAACGGCGAAACGAACGAAGCGACTTCGGAGATTGGCAAGAGTTCAGTCGAGAGAATGCAGCGGTCCAAGTCCTTTGCCGAATCCGTGGAGCAGATGGTCCTGGAGTACGAAAAGACCATTCAGACCCTGGAGGCATCGCTTTCTGACACTCGCGCCTCTTTGTCGACCGCGGAGACCGACCTGCTAGAGCGTGAGTCCAAGTGTGCCTACATCGAGACTGTCAGGGAACAACTTCAGTCCCGCATCCAGAAACTGCTGGACCGGGAGGCTAGCACTGAGGAATATCTCCATGAATTGGAGTCCAAGCTTGATGGCCACTCTGGGGGTGAGGAGAAGCATGCTGCTATTGTGGCTGAACTTCGCAAGGAACTGAGCCGTGCTCGTGAGAGCGAGGCTAGCTGCGAAGAGTACATCTCTACCCTGGAGGAACGTCTCGCTGACGGCGATCAGGACATGGAAATTTTGCAGCGCGAAGTGTTGCGATTGGAAAACGTCATCGAACGGCAGCGAGGACTTGGCCAGCTGGATACTCTACTTAGCAAGTTGGACAAGCACGGTGACAATGTCGATGGCGACTACCCTCACCATCCGCAAGCCCGCGGCAATGTGTCCTCTCATCGGCACACACCATCCCTGGACGTTCTCAGCGAAGCAGTCGAGACCGCCATCCCGGAATCTGACGAAGATCTCGTTGAGCCGATCATGGAAGTCGAAGATGAGTCATTCGAGCGCTCGGATTCCGAAACTGAGGTTCCTGGCGAGGATTTGATGGTTCTTCAGACCGCAACTAGCAGGCTCGAGGCGCGCCGCTCCGAGGCCCTTCGCGAGGAACCCGTCTCAAGCCCTGCCCAGTCCAAGTTTGTCGCTGATAAGCTCGAGACTGTCACCCAGGAGCTATTTGATCTGCGTCTGCAGCACGAAAACACCATCGGTGACTTTGAAATACTCGAATCCAAGTACGAGCAGGCCCTCAAGGCCCTAGCCGAGCTTCGTCAGGACAAGATCGACGAAGCCCGCCACCCAGCACCTATTCAAAATGAACTTTCGCCACGCCCTGTGTCTTTTTTAGGGAATGGAGACACTCCGACCTCGAAGTCTGGAGCACAACACTCATTCTCGCAGTCGCTCTCCTCGGAATTATCCTCGGCCGGGGAGCCATCCACCTTGCGCGAATCCTCTGAGGACGGATCAAAGGCAGTTTCATCCGCCCCGTCGACGCCACAGGTCATGTCCGCCGGCCATGTCGACCCGGAGGAGGCTGAGAGCATGCGCAAGCTGCTCGCCGAGCACCAGGAGAGCGCCGAGCTTATGACTCAGAAGTATACTGAGTTGCAGACCGAACACGAGGAAATTCTTGGACTGGTAGAGAAGCTGAAGGCCGAAGCTCAGCGTAACAAGTCGAGCTCGCCCCCTTCAACTCCCGGTTTCAAGATGATCCGTCGCATGACCAGCCAGAACCTCCTTTCTGGCGTGGACCGCGCGACTCGCGCCATTACCGGTCTGAGACTCATTGCTACTGAGGAGTTTGCCGAGAAGCCAGATGCTATGCACAACTTCGATTACCATTTGGACCAAACCATGCACGAGTTGCAAAGCCGCATGGAGCGTCTCCAATCCCTTGAGGCTGAGAACCAGAGTGTGAAGAAGGAAATGGAAATGAAAGCCACTATCATCTCCGGTCTGACTAGAGAGCGATCGAGCTTGACGGGTGCTTCGCCTGTGGATATGGCGTTGGTCTCCCAGCTGCGCGATCAGGTTGTCTCCCAAGAGCTCCAGATGGAGCAAATGCACTTGGCTCATGAATCTCGCCAGAAGGAGCTTTTAACTGAGATAGAGAATTTGAAAGGTCTCTTGAAGTCCCAGGAAAGCGCTACCCGGGCGATGGACGCCGGTGCCGAGGAGCAGGATAAGAAGATTGGTGTTCTGCAGGGTGAGCTCACTGAATGGCAGGGCAAGCACCAGAGTGCCTTGGAGTCCTTGCAGGCTTCCGAGAACCAGCTGACTGCCACTCTTGCTGAGTTGGAGGGAGCTTTGGCTTCTGTCGAGGCTATGCGCTCTGAGCGTGTTACCGCTGGTGGTGATTCTACCAACAAGGAAATCACGGCCCAAGAGCTCGAGGGTGGTCGCGTTGAACAGCAGGGCATTGTTGATAGCCTGAAGAAAGATATCGAACAGCACGAGTCTACAATTACTACTCAGCTTGAGACCATTGCTAGTCTTCAGAATTCTCACACGCGTGCTCAGGATGAACTGGCTGCCCAGATCACCACCGAAGACGCGGCAAATGCCGGTGCAGTCGACTTGGGTCTGACCTCTAAGGTTGCTGAGCTCGAGCGGGAGATTGCTACCCACAAATCAGTCGTCGATTCTCACCAGGGTGCACTAGATACCCTCCAGGAGTCCCATAAGCGTGAATTGGCCGAGTTGGAGGAGCGGACCAGAGCTGCTGCCCAGGCTGATCACGATGCGCGTATCGCTGAGAAGGAGACCGAACATGAACAATCCATGGCTACTCTGCAGAAGGAGATTACGGAGTCTCGCGATGAATTGGTCAAGCTACTCAAGGCAGTCTCAACCATTCTCAACTCCGAGGTCTCGGCTGAGAATTTGCCGGATCAGATTCGGGAGGTCCTGGCTCAAAAGCAGCAGTTCTCCGACAAGTATACCGAGCTCCTGGGCACTAACGAAGACCTTCGAAAGCAGTTGGAGGCCAATGGCGACTCCGACAGCCGTCTGGATGAGATGAACAAGAAGCACAGCGTCCAGGAGGCCAAGGTTAACGAGCTGGCTCTCTTGGTGGCCACACTGGAGGACACTCTTCGCCAGAAGGATGAGCAGGTCAAGAAAAAGGAAGCCCTGGTCGAGGAGATCACGATTGAGAAGCAGAAGAGCGTGCGTCTCGTCGAGGAGCTAGAGGAGCAGATCACCAGCAGCTTCGACCAGCACCACAACCGCCTGTCTGTGATCCAGCAAGAGCGCGATCAGGCCCTAGAAGACGCCAAAGCCAAGATCGTCATCTACGAAGGCGACATTGAAACCTACCAAGTGCGAATCGAGCAGTTGGAACTCCAAATCAAGAATACCGGCAACTCTGATGTTTCCCACGACCGCAGCAGCTCACTTACATCAAACCTCCGCAAGAGCTCATCCGCTGCCTCCCTTCCCTCGCCCCCGCCAGCAATCCCCCTCCCACCCCTCCCAACCATCGCTTCCCAACCAAATGGCACCTCAAGCGTCTCCCCTCCCAGCTCCCGCCATGCCAGCAAGGAGCTCGTCAACGCCCAGATAGTTGAGGACCAAGAAGCCCGTATACGAACAATCGAGAAACACCTTTACGCCGAAAAGCAGCTCACTGCCACCCTGGAAGAAGCGCTCGGCGACCTTGAGGCTCAAAGCAGCAAAGTCAAGAGTGACTGCGAAGCATGGAAGAAGAAGGCCTGGAGCTTCGAAGACGAACTCAACTCCCTGCGGAAAGAGCGCAGCTCCGCCCGCCTCTCTCTTCAAGCCGTCGAAGAAGAGCGCAGTGCCCGTCGCGAGGCGGAGGCTGCCCGTGCCCAGCTCGAGGAGCGCATGCTCGCTCTCAACAAGAAAAAGAAGAAGAGTACCCTCAACTGCTTCTAATTGTCTTTTGATCTTGGCCTTGAAAAGCGATCACGATCACCTCGTGTTTTTGCTATGTTTTTCACTTCTTGTTTTTTTTTTTCTCTACACTTTTTTAACCCTGTTTCATACCCCCCTTTTTTTTAGCCCAATTCCCTGTATTATGAGCTTTCACGTCCACCTTTGTCATATTGTGGTTTCTTCAACGTCAATACTTTGTGCTATAGCCCCCTTCCACGCATTTGTCTCTAATCACCTCCCCACATATCTTCGCCTCATTCTACGCATGACAATCTCATGTCTAGATGCCTGTCTTTTTATTTGAAATGAACCTGTACATTCCGTCGGCTGTTTAGATTGATATGCGTTGTGTTGGGTGGGAACTTCGTTCTTTCAAGTCCGTGATATCGAATTTCATTTGGGATTCGCTTGTATTGATGTGCTTGTCTTGGTGCTGTAGTTGTAACTAGGGGCAGTGATTATCACATGGGTTGTAATCTGAGATTAATTGATCCTTGCTGTCAGAGTTTATCGGTTTCTTTCTGTAGGATGAAGATGTGTATAGGCAATCGAATCTCCTGCGGCTTTTCCACTGCCCCGGGATATTACTTGTCCCGGGTCAGTGCTAACTGCCGATCTCCAAGCCACGTAGAAACAAATCGAACTCACGATCTCGACTAACATTTTCTCGGCGTTTCAACCCCCTCTTTCGATCAGAGAATAAACGGTGGGGTCAAGCCCGTCTCAGCATTAGCCTCGTCTCTACGACAAGCAAAACATACTTCAGTGGTCTTCCCAGTCCAATCTACACAAATTACAATCATGGGAAGAGAACAATCCCAGCCATGCAAGTCTAGAGCAAATCGCACAACCAATATTCGAAAGTAACACAGCCATCGAAACTGTGAGCCTTCCTAATTCCTACCCAATCCATCCAATAAATTTGACAACCCAGCCACCCATGGGCTTTGGTTAGGACGCCATTGACGAGCCCTTCGCTTCCTGGGTCTGCTCTTAGTTATCCGTCAAATCATCTGCGAGTCACTTATATGGATCCCTTTGTTTGCGGCAAGCCTAGCAACGCTGTAGGTGAAGATTGAGGGCTATGCTGGGAGGAATGGACATGGGAGTCATGACATTTTCATAAGTATACATCGTCATATTTTGTCAACAGATTCCCAGGAGTTTCTAGCACACACACTATACCACAATGCTAATTGAAGGTACATCGGCTGCCGAAAATGGATACGATGTTATCAGTATCGATGAGACTGCCCTGGAAGAACAGCTACCTAGGTGAGGCGAGCTATGCCGTTGAGGCAATAAATTCATTTTAAGAGTCACTGTAGAATCGTTTTCAGATAGCTGTTTAGTGTGGCAGAACCTCATTGTGTTCGCCGTCCAATTCCGCTTCCTTTTCTTTTGCCAGTTCATCAATCTTATTCCTCTTCTTCTTCTTCTTCATCATGCATAGTCCGCATAATGCTGTTTCCATACTTCATCTTTATTTCCGCTGCAACTTGTTCAGATACACTGTACCATAAGGAAATGATGTCAGTTCAGCAATCAATATTACAGTAAGAATGTTGTAGGTAAGACCAGGGGCTGTAACTTACATGTAGTGCAGCACTGGAGGAAAGATCAGAGGGGCAGGCAAAATTTTTCCGCCTGACTTTTCAATTGTTCCGTAAAATTGTCAGTATGAATCCTCTCAAGCTCCCTCTATAGTACTTACTCATGGATTTGCGTTAAAGCGCCCTCTGCTTCAGGTACAAGCTGAATCATAACACGTCTCTAATGCATCCAATGTGATATTAGTCAAGAATTCATTTTGACTCAAGTACGGGGTGCACCTGAGCTTCAGATTGACTGACGTTAGACATGATTGCAAGAAAAGTGGTGGTGCAAATGAATATATGTGTTGATTGATAGAGTAAATGGAACTTGGCTTGATAGTTGGTGCACTAGAGGTCATGAAGGACTTCAAATACCTAGCGGGTGATTCATTATGCTGATTTTCAAGTTTTGACTTGGACGATCGGGCCTGACGATTTGTTCTGATCGGGATTCATGGCTCCACTTTCAGCGATGCCACTTCTGCTGAGTAGTCGATCCGGGACCGTGGTGTGCTGAATCGAAAAGAACTACTCCGTACTCCACATGCTGAGCGGATCTATCCAGTTTCTTCTTTATGCTAGCTAGCACTGGTGTCCGAGGTATCTTGCCCATCATTATGGTTGTGAGATTTTATATTGAGGATAGCTTGGTAACATGTTCTCACACTGTTAGAATTTCTACCAACTCGGTGATGTACGCAGCCGGGCAGTGAAACGCGTTGCCACTATCGGTGTCCAGCTCGGTAGTGGATTACGTTACCCCTCCGTTTTAGCGCCAAAATATTCAGGAGATTCATCTTGCTGCAGGCCCAATGACGTTACTTCCGGAAACTCCGAAATCTAGGCAATCCAAAACAATGCTGGCATCTGATGAAGATCAAGGATCCTTGCGGAAAGATATGCTTGCCATCTATGCTTGGCGCGTTTACACCGTGAAGGATCAGCAGAGCAGTCTTTGGTGGCGGAGATCGGAGAATTACTGATTGGGATCTACGCTTTGTGTCCAAGCTATTGTATTGGGATTTTGGTAGAGTAAGTAATGGCCGGACGGCTTTTTTTATCGTGGGGTTTTCTGGTTCTTCACAATGCTCTCCCATCAGAGTTCTCCTATCCACAGCCGTATAATTACTGTCTACAGTATCAATTGATAAAAGATACCGAATGAATAAAATATTATACAATTACCCTCAGACCATTTCAAACAAGCAAATGATATACGTCACTCTATGCACATTAAAGTCTTGGGATAAGTGGGGTAACGCAGAGTATTCACCCTGATGTTTGGTGAGCAATGTGAGAGGAGGAGAGGAGGATCGATGTATCTGACCCGCTCGCCAATACGTGTCTATCTAGCACCAAGAAAAGAAATGGCAGACTCTATATAATTCATAATTAAAGGTGATCTCTAAACTATAGACCCATCAAATAGCATTTGCGCATCTGCCATCGAACATCCAGCTTTTCACTTATACTCATAATTATATCCGCGTGATTTCTCTACTAGGGCTAAAATTCCAATTCTAAAAGCTTCACTCCATAATGTGGAAAGCCTCTTGTAATGTCGCGCAAGCGATATCGAAGACCATCTGCTGTGGATACTACATAAGTGTTGTGGTGGCCGTTGGCCGCCAAGCTCAACAGCTTATCAGAGCGCAGCTACTTAGTAGTCTGAGATACTTTCTTTCCTCTCTTTCTTATGGATTGAATCACTTATCATGTATATCTTCTTCGTAGCTATTCAACAATAAAATATTTAGAAGTGGTAGCGGCCATGACTTAATGGACATCCGCTCACCTATTATAAGAGTTCGACCTAACTCATCCGGCATGTTAGGCAGTCTCTCTATCTGGCTCCTACAGACCTTAGTTAAGATCATCTTACGGTAATCAGTTTGATCCTAGTGATAGAGCATTGTTTTATGCTTCCTTTCCAAACGGTGTTCTGCTATTTACAAGGCCGTGCTCCACGTCAATAGATATGCTAGGTATCTAGCAGTCGTTTGTTAGTGACTCGTGAGCTTTATGGGAGAGCTAACTGATATAACGCTGAGCCATGCTATCGTCTTCGTGAATATCATTAAGCTTCTATTCGGCCACACTTACTATCTGTTTTTATTAGCTTGGGTCTAACGAAGGACTGTAATAAATGCATATACCGACAGAATCTACCTACTTGATTAGATGCAGTCGCCTAGTATAAGACATACATGTATTGTAGCCACAAATAATTTTCTACGATAAAGAGATAATTTCACGACGCCGAATCCGGTCGTAATGATTAGGGTAATTTCTCATAGATCGACTTATTAATTCTATAAGGCCCGGGCAAATAAGGCTAAGAATGATATTAAGCTTTCTATAGGCAGGGCACTATAGCGTACGAGATCTGCAGAGAAGTTTGATGTCAAACAAGTAGCTTTAAAGTGTCCTATCTACCCCTAGACTAAGACGTGATGGTGAAAGGGTATATATGGGTCCATGACCACAAACTAACTGACAGCATCTATAGTTTAATGTATTGACTAGGCCCAACCTACATTAGTCGAGTTAAGATAACTCAGATAGTTATAGCTAATATATAACCAAGGCTTTCCTTTCGTACGTTTTTGCTTAAAAAAAATTTTAGTGCTTGAGGAGTAAATCGGACAGGAAAGATCCCGTAGCGATAAAATGATTGCTAATTCTAGAAGCGTCATTGGCCCTAGAATGCTCATTACCATATATGCGTACACTCTTACCGAGCCGATATAGCCCATAAGATGCTATAAGGTACCATAAAGAAAAGTCCGGCAAATATCTGATGGCTTGGAAGAAGAATTTCATAGGACTAATGACGATAGTATAGATTAGAAAACAGAGCAAGGATTCCGAGTGCAGAAGTCTCCTGCGGATAGTTACTAGGCTAAATCCATTTTGTATTAAGAGGGGTGCTTACGATCATAGTAAGCAGATTTCACATCTCACTAAGGGGAAAACTAAATGTTTAGCTTTGGTGTCCGACGATAATATGAGTTGACAGCAGAACAAAAGCCATCTAGCCTGTTGCTCGATGAATCTTGCGGCAAGTGCGCCAGGAAATATCCAGCAGTCCGGACAGAAAACTAAGATGAGCAGCTGATAAAGGGAAGATCATGTTGATGGGGGCCAGTTTGCATGCGCTGCGGCCCAAGTCTACGAGCGATTCGGTACGCAAAAAGACCAGAGCGACGTTGACGGCGACGTAAGAGACATGGAGAAGGATACCAGCTCGGGACCATGGTCCAAGGATTCGGTGCCTACGAACGAGGACAGGGAGGGTCAGACGCCCGAGAGAGTTTGTTCTCAGCTAGTCTTCTCTCTCTCATTATCATCTCTTCATCGGAGAATCGATCATTTTCATCTCTATGAGATCTACGTTTCCATCGCCCAGTATCCCACATCAACTTATTCGATATTGCTTTTGATATGTCTTTGAGGTTACATTTGCTGTTCACAGCCGTTATGCACAGCAGCCTTCCCCTGAAACCCCGCTCACTTGGATATCGTTAAATATCTGGTCCATGTGTGCGAAATCTACACAATTTCTCTTTTTCGACATCCTAGCTTCTATGCACCGACAAGATGGCCTCAATTGCGAATCGATTACTGTTTCCTGATGAGAAGACTCTCTCTGGGATTTTCCCCCATGTCATTGATTTCAAGCCAACAATCTGCGACGTCCTCGCAAACACATTCGAGACCTGTACTTTCAGAATTCAGCTTGATAGTGCGCCACTACCAGACTACCCAAAGGATCTCATTATCCGGTTCGAGAGATCGGGAAGGTCCTTGGCCGCTTTGGCAACTTTCCAGCGTTTAGTAAGCTCTCAACTAAAGGATCTTGTTCCGTCGGTATTGCAGGTGGGCACTACGATGACCGCAACTGCAAAAGCCGAACAAGTCGATTACTTTGTGACCCCATATTTTACGGAAACCATTCTCCTCGAAGAAGTGTGGGATGCACTTGACCAAGTAAATCAGCTGCAGCTAGTAGATTCAGTTGTTCTTGCCGTGGAGCAGCTTCAGAAGCTTGACCTCAAGAAGTTTGGCCACAGCCCAGAAGGAATCCCTTACATCTCAATCGATGATACACCTCCCCAGCCAGTCGAGATTGCAATAGGTGGTCTAGCGCATGATTTCTTTCCAAACGTCAGACAGTTCTTACGTGGACTACTTCACCCGGAGAGGAAGAAACCACGTGATTGGAACTTGTTGGAGACGGATAGCGGAATCACTATTCAATTCGCATATGGAGATATTGGTCAGGTGCACTTGTCTCACTCCGATTTGGATGAACTTCAGCGGAATGTCGTATTCTGCCACAATGACCTCGAGCCACGCAACATCCCCATGAGGAAGCTATCATCTGGGAAACACGAGCTAGCCGGCGTGATAGACTGGGAAAGGGCAGGATTATTCCCATTTGCATACGAATTCGGCTACAAGGATACGGTCTTGGGTTCCTCAAACCTGAATTTTAGCTGGTATACTCTGTCAAAAACCAGTCGTCCCATCTGTTGCCCCAAGGGGAGTGCCACGCAGAACCCATCAAGGCACTCCGGATTATAGACAACTCAAACAAGAGATCGAGGAAACGAAATTTCGGCACACAGGTTCAGGCAAAGTGGTTGCATGAAGAGATTGATGAGGAGAATCATGAAGACTATATGAAAAGCAGCAGAGTAGAGAGCTGAAGTTATTGATTCGTTTGCCTGAGACTAGGAATTGTAAATTTATGCCAAACTGTGGAATCAATCAGCTAAGAAACAAGAGAGATCATCGAAGCTATCTTATGAAGGCTTCGGTAAGAAGCTGTCCAACAGTGCAAAGGTTGGAAACTGCGAGAAATGGGAGCTGTTGGTTGGATCTACGCTTTCAAGTTTTGTTTTATGCTTTCGCATTGGAATAATGGTACAGCAAATAACGTCCAGACGGCTTTTTTCTTTATCGTAGGAAAGTATCACCTAGATCCAGCCGGAAAAATGACAGGGAATAGATTTGAAGTCTTCTGATTCTTCACAATGCTCTCCCATCAGAGTTCTCCAACCCCCGTCGTATCAAAGTATAAAAAACAAAAACAAAAACGAAGACAAAAATACAAACGAAAAAAAAAAGAAAAAGCAGAACATAATTCCTCAGCATCATTTGCGAGGAGACTTAGAGGCTCGGGCATCAAATCCAGATCCGCTTGACATACGACCGACTTTTGGACCTTGGAGTTCTCCAGTACGGCGAAAGATTTCATATATCATCGAGACAACCTCCTCGCTATTGTCGAGCCAATTGTATTTTTTCTGGATGTACTGTAACAAATATCAGCAATTGAGTTCCAAGTTGCTCAAAGACTTCCCTGTCATACCGTGCGGTCAGGGCGGAGAATCAAAAAGTGCCATTCATCACTGTCTGTAGCAATACCGCACACATGAGTGTCTTGATGCGCTCGAGTATTGTGTTCTTGAATAATTGCTATACATGTCAATTCATATTCATGCTATAGGTCACAACCACTTACCCATATAGGCGAGGCATTGCAGCACTCCTGTACTTAGCATTGCGGGGTTCTTCGCTTCAACCATGGCCATATTTGAGGCATGGTTGTTGTGCTGTCCGTACCACAGAGAATAATCGACAATTCCCTCGATTAGAACGAGCTCCTTATCCACAGTCCATTCGAGTTTCATTGAGAACTCGTATTGGAGATGAAGGGATCTCACGGTGCTGATCGAAGACGCCGAGGAAGAGGAACCAACCGAACTTCTCGGGTTGGTGGAGTCACGCTTGACTTGAGCTAGAGTTGTCAGCATGATTGCGTCTATGCGAGATCTAATCATGGCCTCATTTTGAGGCGAGCCTTCTGTGGCCCGATTGTAATCGGAAAGGATGAGATCTATATCTGATTAGCATATACTTGAGCTTTGAATCATCGCCAAACTTACTTAGGTGTTGAGGGACGGAAATTCTGGTATTAGGTGGAGGGGCAAGCTTGAATGGTAATGCTAGCACTTTTTTAAGATGGAAGATTTCTGGAATACGGATTGTCGGTAATTGAGTCACAGCGACTTTTCGCAACTTTGGCTGAGTCTTCTTGACGCTAGCCGAGCGTATAATTTTTTCGACTTCCGCTGTTTCCTTGAGAATCTCTTCATTCTGGACGCTGTGGCGCACCTTGGTGGCTAGAGACTTGAAGCTTTTCTCTAGATTGGTGATGATGGCATCCATCTTGATTGCTTTTATGGTTAGTTCAAATGGCTTGGTATTTGCTGATGAGGATATTGATAATGTCGGTATAAGGATGTGTGTCACTGCTTTTTGAACAAAAAGAGAAAAAAAGCTGTTTTCGTGGGTTGTGTTCGTAGGCTGTTGTGTGAAACGCAGGTGGTTGTAGAAGAAAGAGAGGTTGGAATGCCCCAAATTCAAATTATAGTCCAGGTCTGGGATAAAGTAGAGAGAGGACTGTGATAAGGGTAACGATAGTGTCGGTTAAGATATGTGTTTTGTTTTAAACAAAAAGGCTGTTTTCATAGGTTAAATGTAGGTAGTTGTAGAAGAAAGAGAGCGGGAATGCTCTAAATTCACTTTACAGTCAAGTTCTGGGACCAATTATAAATCAATATGAATGAGTTATAGGCTAATTTATTTATTCCTCTTTACATATGTAGTTTATAGCGAAAACAAGAACATGTACCTTTTGTATGTGAATTGCATATAAAAAGCACAGTAGTAGTTGGTGGAAGAACGCCAAGACCCGTTCTGAAAGTGGAGAAGGGGAATAAGGTTGCTGCACAAACCCGTGGACGTGTGTGTGGAGTCATCCACTACTTACCTACCTACATATGTAGGTACTGGACAGCTTCTGCCCTCGTCATTCCTCCAAGCTACATGCTATCAAGGTGATTTCTCTCGCAATGACCCGAACGAAGGAATACAAAAAAATAGTGGCGACTTACCACCTCTCACCTACTAGGTGGTGGAACAAGCGGCAACTCAACTCAAGAGAAACTTGGAATTGTCCAGATCATTTAGGTTAGCTTGTTCAATGGTTAAATTCTCCAGAACTTCAGCTAACAGTTGGGAAGTTTATCTGTGGAGCGACCTGAAGTTCGTTATCGGCCCAGAGGTCAGGTCTCATCGGCCATCGTCAGTGATAATAGAATCACTTCTCCTTACCCTGCTCGCAGACAAAATTCGCGAGGGACTCCCTTATCCTGACTGGAAAATGGACCTGTATCATTCAGAATATCTTCATTTGAACTTTCAGGAGCGGATAATCACACCGGGGATGGTCGACGAGGAAACATTGGCTCCAGAAAATCTTATCGACTATGTGTTGTGGTACGGACTCAAATCGGAGCTAGAAACAAATTTACTCGTTATGAAGACCGGAAGCCCAGTGCTTGAAAGTGAAAATCTGCTTCGAAATATGGCCAGAATCCACAATGCACGCAAGATCGCAAAAAGAGATGCTGTTATCAACGGTATCATGACTGATGGGTCTAAATGGGTGTTTATGCATCTTACCAACAATAGTCGGGTAAGGAAGTCTTGTAGAGAACAGATCGGGATCTTTGCGACTAACAATCTTTTAGTACACTATCAAGCATCTCGGGTGGGAGACCGAGCGACAGCAGATTATGGGCCAGATTCGGAATATCTTCGGTAAGGCAGCTAGCCTCTACAAATCAAAAGCACAGCCACGATTATCGTTACCCAAACCCACTGTTGTCGAAATCAGTGGCTGTCACATTGAGGACCTACCTGATTCCGGCGATGAGAGTGAGCAGAGCATCGATGAAACTTCTGTGCCCGACGTGGCTTAGGAAACAGAAATTGCTTTGTGGGCTAGCTCCGATTTTTCTAGGTACACATATAGCTGGATTATCTAGCTACTGAATGCTTTGTTTCTTCTCGGTGTTAAATATCCTATGATGAGCTAGAGCATGCGCCGATAGAAATTGCTGTGATCCTTCGATGGCGAGAGATTCGATAGCACCAGTAAAAAGTAATTCCCACTGTTCCTGTCATGACTTAAATTACGATATAACTAAGTTGTTATAACTAGTTAAAAGTGTAAGCTTATTTATATTTATAGCGAAGGATTTAGGGACATAAGCTACTAACTTTATTTTACCGAACTACAGGGCCTGATAGCATGCGGAGTTGCCATGTTATCTGCTAGATTTGCGTAACAAAACTAAATATTAAACTATAAGGAATATGCTGATTCATAATATCAGGCTACTATGATTCAGTATGAAACAAATGTCTAGTTCTAGGTCAAAAGACGTGGTAGAAAACGTAAGATGGGCAAAAAAATACATTCAATCGTGTTGACGAGCCCAGTTTGCATATCTTTGGTCTAAATTATTATATCGAGCGCTTTTGGTTGTAGATCTCCGCAACCTCGACCCTCTTTTGAATAGATTAATACATTTCTTAAAGTTGACCCGAATACGTGGGCCGATTTCTATCAATTGTTAACAGGATTAATATCTACTGGTTGGCCCCGAGGGTAGGGTATTAATGGAATTCCAATTGATTGTAAGCCTAGATCAATTGAATTGCAGCTGCACCAACCCGTTGACCGTGTGCTTTGCCTCTGCTATGTCTACATAGTCAAGCCCCTTAGTCTTAACCACATGACGAATGAAGCCCTCCGCAAAAGACGTACAAAGTTGATCTTCCTGCTTGTATGAAGGCGTACCTAGATTCAATCTATATCAGTACTCCTGCTATGTTCAATTCCCACCTTTTCTTCAGAAACAGATATAATGACTTACCGTGGTCTATGCAGTGCGTTTCCAATGCTTTGCCAGCGTGGTAAATAGCAGCTCCGGCGATCAACTCATAGGAGTTCATCTCCATGAGCTGCGTTTTGTACTTCGTGATACTCAAAATTGTACTCGCGGTAGACATCTATATAATCAACTTCAGAATGAGAACATGGTCTTGATACAAGAAAGGGGGGAGGAGGAAAAACTTACTAACAAAACACATTCTGGTGAGACGGGGTTGTACTAGAGAGGAAGTGGTTGCCCCCAGGCCCTCAACGACAATTAAATAAACTCGCTTAGGCCCCTATATTTTCTTACTCAAACCATGCTGCAAGCGAGATTGTCTTGAGACACATGAAATCTCTGATGCATAATGTACGAATTCCTCGGTGGCATTAGAATTGAAATTAGAACAACAATATTGTATTAATTTCCTAGCCGCTCTCTTTGGCATGGATTTAGGATCTTAACAACTGGCTAATCTCAACACTGGAAAATTTTCGTATGAAACCTTGAAGCTTAGCACCAAACTACCTAGGTAGTTAATATCTTTTATACACTATTGTATTAGCAATGACTGAATAGCAATAAAAGGCAGTGAAATATCGCAGAAATCCACTAGCATCACATGACGCGTATACACGTGTCTCCAAGATCGCGGCACCTTCTCCAACCAAGCAACTCACCATGGGCCTCCAGCGCTCTAATGTGACAATAATCCATCCGGATCTAGGCATCGGAGGTGCAGAGCGACTAATAATCGACGTCGCTCTAGCCCTCCAGAACCGAGGGCACCGCGTAACAATCTACACCTCCCACCGCGATAAGACGCACTGCTTCGACGAAGCACGCAATGGCACGCTGGACGTCCGCGTGCGCGGAAACACCATCTTCCCCGCCCATATCTGCGGCCGACTCCATATATTAATGGCCGCATTGCGCCAGCTTCACCTCACTGTATCGCTACTCGCCGAACTCGCCGCAAGCCGGACGGAGAAAGCTTCCGCCGACGAAGACCGAGACGACATCTTCATCGTGGACCAGCTACCGGCCTGCGTGCCCTTTTTGAAATCCTTCGGTCGAGCCCGCGAATCCCGACGCCAGCGTATCCTGTTCTACTGCCATTTCCCGGATCAATTGCTTGCGCGCCGGGATGAGGGCGGTTCGCTGCTTCGTTTGGCGAAGGTGTTATACCGGTTTCCGTTTGATTGGTTCGAGGGGTGGGCGATGAGTGCATCGGACCGGGTTGTTGCGAACTCGAAGTTCTCTCGTGGGATCGTGCGTGATGTGTTTGGCTCGGATCGATTGGGTGATGTGGAGGTGGTTTATCCATGTGTTGACATGGATGGCAACTCATTGCCTGAGAAAGCGGATGAAGACCCTCTCTGGGGTGGGAAGAAGATCTTACTCAGTATCAATCGCTTTGAGCGCAAGAAGGATATGGCGCTGGCCATTCGAGCTTATAATGGGCTAGGAGCGGAAAAGAGGCAAGGGACACGGTTGGTGATTGCTGGTAAGTACTATTACGATATAATCTTATGGCATGATTTTCTCTAACCTCTATAAGGCGGTTACGACAATCGTATCCAGGAGAATGTTCAATACCACCAAGAGCTGGACAAGCTCGCCACTGGCCTTGGATTGAAGACCGCGACATCTAAGACGGTTGTTTCTGCAATTTCCATTCCTGACTCGATCGATATTCTTTTCCTTCTTTCTGTTCCGACTGCATTCAAAGATACATTACTTGCGCAATCCAAGCTTCTTCTCTACACTCCGATCAATGAACACTTTGGCATTGTACCCGTCGAAGCGATGCGGGTGGGCCTTCCAGTTCTGGCATCAAACACCGGAGGCCCGTTAGAGACCATTGTCGAAGGCGAAACGGGCTGGCTCCGGGACGCCCATGCCGACGATGAGTGGACTGCTGTGATGGACAAGGCTCTTTACGGACTGAGCCAGAAGGACGTTGAGCGCATGGCTGCTGCAGGCAAGGTGAGGGCGCAGCAGGAGTTCTCTCTTACTGCTATGGGTGATAGGTTAGAAGAAGAGATATCTACTATGCTTACCGCGGAGAGAAGGCCTTTCACTGGATGGCAGCAAGTGTCTGCTATCTTGGCTTTGCTTGGAGCTGTCCTTGCATTAATAGCTGCAATAGTGCTTCGAGCGATCTAATTCCTAGTTTAGAATCATACCCAATGCAAAAATCTTCACTGTTGATATCTGTTGATACCACCCAACAAATAGAACAAACATATCACATGACCTCGTGTTTTGTACGCGGTGACGTCGCGTCCCCCTCTATCAGTTAATCTTTCCCCATAATCGATCGCCCTAGTGGCATTGGCAGTCATAATGCCCGATTTCATAGACCTCATATCCTCCGACCCGCCTGTTCCGCCAAGCCGTCAGCCGAAATTGACACAGCCAGAGCTTCCGTCGCGGCGGCCATCCCACCACCCTATAATCTCCTCTGACCCGTTTGATACCTCGCTGTTCGATTATGAATTGGACAAGCCTGCTAAAAGGAGAAGAGTGAGCGAAGAACCGGTTTCAGCGCCACAAATTGCACCGCAAAAAGAGGCAAAATCTGCTGTGGCGGAGTCTTGGTTTCAAATCTCCGACGATGATTTTGACCTGCCGCCGCCAAAGGTGTTGACCCAAAACAAACTGACCCAGTCGCGCGTTAACGAGTCGGATCCAATCGCCTTTACCTCTCCTGGTCCAGGCTCTCTGTCTAAACCGGCTGCATTGCGCAAACCGAGTTCTATGACTTCGGATATCCTCGCGCTTGACGACGACGACGAATTTATGGACTTGACCAAACTTCCACCGTCAAGCTTCCGAGGGCGTAGCGATATTGAGGAATTCAGCGACCCTTTTGCGCTACCGGAGTTTGCTGATCTGCTGGCAAAGCCTCCACCAGAGCCAACTGCTTCGAAACCGATATTCTCTGAAAGCACAGCTCGCTTACTGGCTCGCCTTAGAGAAGAGGAAAAATGCGACACCAGCCTTTCAAACTTCGGAGCACGAAAACAGAAGGGTTCTAGTATTGAAGACATAGCTGTAGAGTTAATCTCCGACGACCTCGATGAACCTGCCGCCCCCCGGAAGACAGCAAAAAAGGCAAGCAAGGTCGATCCCGCAGCAAAAGAAGCAAAGGCCAAAGCTCGAGAGCAAGCTAAGTTGCAACGAGAGCAAGAGAAGCAGCTTGAAAAAGACCGCAAACTGCAGCTCAAAGAAGAGAAAGCGAAAGAGAAACAGCGCGCTGCTGATATTGCAAACGTCAACAAGCTCAAGGTGAACAAAAAAGACTCCACGCCCGAGATGATTATCGACATGGCCACATCTCTAGAAGACACCAGCGTGGGCACCCAAACCATTGAATTCATGAAACGACTCGGCGTCCAATCAACATTCTTCCCAAGCCCAATTCCGAACGTAGTCAAATGGCGCCGCAAAATGAACGCCACATACAACAAAACACTCCGCCACTGGGAACCATGTCCATCCTTCATCCAAACAGAAAACCATGTCCTGTGCCTCGTCCCAGCACAAGAATTCATCAACATGGTAACCCCGTCACCAGACGGCACAGAAAGAGAAACCCTCGAAATCCACGTCCTGCGCGTCAAATCCGCCTATCCAAACAGCAAACCCATCTACCTAATCGAAGGCCTGACAGCTCTAATGCGTAAAAACACAAACGCCCGCAATAGAGCCTTCCAAGCCCAAGTCCTACGACAAATGGCAGAACCAGCGCCCGAGCCAGAAAACACTCGCAAAGGCAGAAAACCAAAGAAAAAGACAGAGGCCCCTATCATCGACGACGAAACTGTCGAGGACGCCCTCCTCCAACTACAAGTCGCCCACTCTTGTCTTATCCACCACACTACCGCGCCGCCGGATTCTGCGGAGTGGATCAAGAATTTCACCGAACATATCTCTACTGTGCCGTACCGGCGTGAGCGGCAGGAGGCGCAGACTGCGGCATTTTGTATGGATACCGGGCAGGTGAAGACTGGTATCGATAAGCATGATACTTTCATCAAGATGTTACAGGAAGTTAATCGCGTTACGGCGCCGATGGCGTACGGCATTGCAGGTCAGTATCCCTGCGTCACGGATTTGGCGCGTGGCATGCGCATTCATGGTGCTATGATGCTGGAGGATATCAAGGTTTGTTCTACCTCTTGAGTTGTGATCTTGTTCTTTTGGAACTTGGGACTTTACGTTGAACTTCCTTGCTGACTAGTCATAGAAATCTGCGAATAGGAATGGCGCTTTGACCAATGCGCGTATTGGTCCTGCTGCTAGTAAACGACTGTACAAAGTTTTCACGGGCCTTGACCCGCGATCCACAGACATCTAGGTTTATCTTTGGATAAAACAATTCTGGTTTAGTGTCTTTTGGTTAACACCTGCTGCTCGCGGGTGGATTCTGGATATTGGATATTGCATTCACTTGGAATGATAGATGACTGTTGATTCAATTGTTTATCTTACCCTATAAGAACATCTCTTTGGATGAGAACTTGGAAGCTGTCCAGTATTGGAACTGAAAAGAGATCTCTAAATATTTCCATCTTATTGATAAGTGATGAATAGATATATCAATGGATCCGAAGATCATTCCTGGATGCATAGTCCCCTTTTTGCTTCTTCTTTTTCTCTACAGAGACCATAAGTAAGAGAAAAGTAAGAGCGAAGTAACGGAAAAATAACGGAAGAGTGAATATATACATACTTAAGTAATGTAGGTCAGATCATACACATATAGATGACCTGTTCAGCAGATGACCTGCTCAGCCTTCTTTGTTCCTTCCTCCATTCTGGGCCATATTGCCATTCGAACTCCTTGAGGGTATGGATACCCATCAACAACTTTGCCCTCTCCGCCATCTTCTTTCATCCCAACCATGGAGAATAAAAAGGGCAAGGTAAGTTCGCGATTAATTTTTCCATTCCTCTACAGACATCCAGCCCTAGCTTTCAGCTCTCTTTCTAACGAAGAAGCGTATAGCTGGTCCTCTTGAGAAAAAGAGTCCGCATTTGCGACAGCCGGGAGGCTCTGAGACTGAAATTCTCTCACTTTCCACACCAAACTTTTCTCATCTCAGTTTCGCTCAAGGACGTTCCCAGTGAACCCAACTTGATTCAACAGTCAATAAATCCGTATTCCAGAGATATTCAAGCTTAGGGAAGTGACAGCATCCCCATTCGACCTTACTCCCCCACCGAATACCAACATCTCCGTCCCTCAACACCTGTGTAAGTTTGGCGATGATTCAAAGCTCAAGTATATGCTAATCAAATATAGATCTTACCCTCTCCGACTATGATCGGGCTACAGAAGGCTCGCCTCAAAATGAGGCCATGATTAGATCTCGAATCGACGCAATCATGCTCACAACTTTAGCCCAAGTGAAGCGCGACTCCACCAACCCAAGAAGTTCGGTTGGTTCCTCTTCCTCGGTATCTTCGATCAACACGGTGAGATCCCTTCATCTCCAATACGAGTTCTCAATGAAAATTGAATGGACTATGGATAGGGAGCTCGTTCTCATCGAGGGGATTGAGAGTTGTTGTCTTGATGCACCTAAGGAGTAACTTGCCTGGGTAATTGGTATTTAAGTGCCCTGACGGAAGTGTTCAATTTTCACAATGGCAGCACTAACTTAGTAGGCCACATTATTACCTACTATTCGAAAAATGATTTCGTGGGAAGATAAACTACCCACTATATACAGAATGCCAATACTATGTAAAGCTCCGAACACCAAAGGATCCAGCCATGATTAACCAGATCCAATCTGAAAGAAATCCAAGAGCGAAGCTAGTAAAACCACAAAATGAAATGAATGCAATGCATCTAAACAACAACCCCCCTCCTCTTCCACCCCCTCCAGGCAACCAACCAAGCAACAAGTGCAATCCAAACACTCACTGTGCACCCAACGGCCCAGAACCCATAGCACCGCCAGCCATGGCACTGCCCATCCAACCCATCGCCCCGATCTATCGCATCTTGGTAAGCAGCGGAGTAAACGATGCCCCAAAGGGCCGCCCCAGCAGCAGGCATCATAGCCACAATGCCCCAGTTCGTGGCGAAGTTCTCCACGCCCCAGACGACGGAGATGATGATCGGCGCTAGGGAGAAGGCGCTGCCGTACCCGAAGCCGATGAGCGCTGTGGTCAGGTTGAAGATGCCTGGGTAGGTTAGGGGGAGGGGGGAGGCCAGGAGGAGGTAGCCTAGAGATAGGAGGAAGGCTGAGGGGAGGAGGAAAGTCATGCGCGATAGAGTTAGGCCGGAGGTTGTTGGCTCCAAGTGTCTGTGGCGCGCTCCTTCTGGGATTGGCGGGAATAGATGCGTTGCTGGTGGTGCGAAGAAGTCCGAGAGGGAACCTGTAAGGAGGCGGGCGATTGTTGAGGTTAGGGCTATGGTTGTTACGTGTGTTGAGGGGGAGCCGGCGGGTGGGGAGATGCCGGTGTAGGATAGGGGTGTTAGAGTTGGGATGATTGTGCCGAGCTTTGGGGTTGTCAGTTTAATATTATAGTTGGCTGAGAAGTTGAGAGATCACTCACGTTGTTGATGTATGATTCCCCAGGACCGGTGACAAGGAAGAAGCCCGCGGCCAACCACCACATTGTCTGATCTTGCAGGAACACTCTCGTCTCATAATTGAGGAGCCAGTTCTTCTTTCGACGCTCTTCTTCTTCGCGCTCCTTATCCAGTCTTTGCTGTTCACGCTCCTCATCAGATAAATTCGAGTGCTCTTCATCGAACGCATCAGAGAACGTCCCATATTCAGCCGGCGTCTGGATTCCATTCCGTGGGCGGAAGAAGTCACTCTCTTCCAACAGCCCACTGCGCTCCAGCTCTTCAACCGTCTCATCGATATACTTATCATCATCTTCAACGATGCGCAATGCAAAAGTACCGATTATACCAATGACAAACAGCAACACCGCCAAAAAGACAAAATACTTAAAAACATCAAGGTCCCCATGGGTGCCATCGGGAAGACGCTCATAAAACAGATATGTTCCAATCTGACTCTGCCACATCCCACTCAACCCGAAAGCCGCAATGGGCACAGCAAGCATAATACCCTTATGTTTACCTCTGCCGAAGTTTTTCGCGCACGTAGCCACGGCAGCAAGGTACATACAGCTCGTACCTGATCCAATAGCTACAAAAGCGACGATCATAACCCAAAAAGGCCATCCAGACCCGCCCGCATCAACAGGCGGACCACTCAAATACGCAAACGCAGCGAGGAGATACCCGGCGCCGAAAACCGCGCCGGAAAACAGAGACAGCGGCGATGGGCTGTACCGATCACATAGGTAGCCGAATAGCGGGACGGGGAGGTACATTGCTATCTCCGCAGCGATGGAAACCGCATTGACCTGCAGCTGCGAGTAATGCAGCCGCGTAAGCAGGAGATGTCCGTATAATGAGAACGCAGTGATGCTGCCGGCGCCCAAGCTGTAGGATTCAATCGGTTAGCTTCGAGCACGTTACTGCAGCAATACATACGTACCAGGTCACGACGCCCCATCCGAAACTCACTATTCGGATCACTTCCTTTTGCATCTTCAGCCGGTCCCGCTCGACGATTTCGCCGACGACATCGCTCAACAGCCCGTCGTCGCTTCGTAGGCCCTCGCCCGAGCTGCGCGAGTGTCGTGAGCTGGGCCGTTGCCGCGCGGATCCAGGGTTTCGGTCGTTTGGGTTTTGCTCCGTGTCTATGTCTTGGAGGAGGGGGCGGTTGGCGTCGAAATCCCGCTTATCGATGGAGTGGCTACTCCCTGTCATGGTTTCTCCGCACCGGCAGAACGGTGAAGCGGGTGGTTTCTTGGGGTAGGGAGGATAAGGAGAATTTTGGCCTGGAAGGGGGAGCTAGGAGGAAGCTGATTTTGGAAATTGTGGCGTTTTGTTTCGGCTTTGAAATGTCGGCTGAGCACGTTTGTTGTCCCCCGACTCGTGTGATGGAATGGCGGGGAGTCGGAGTCAGCGTCAGCTGGGTGGATCGCCCGCGAATGTGTTGTTCGAAGCTTGAGTTGGCGCTACGTCATTGGCTTTCGGATTGCCAGTGGGATTATGTTCACTGTGACGCTATTGAATGGATGATATATTATAAGGATAGCTGGGAGCTGGGAACTGGGAGCTGTCGAAGCCGAGAGCTCTAAAGTGGAGAAAGTTGGAGTCATTACACGTGATTCGCCAGTTAGCCATCCTGTACGACCCTTTCCGGACCTTGCATGACCCAAATCCAGTAGCCCGTGATTTCTTTCCTTTGCTTTGCCACAACTTCTGCCTAGTAAGAGATTCAATTTGATGTGTCCCGCGATCTCTACTGACTTTTTCAAGCCATTTCTTCCGGGCGCCGTCATGACTGTCGTATACATTGAGTGAGTGCTCCTTTAAATTATTAAGAGCCATAGAACAATCTAAAAGCCGAGGTTTCTTCGTATGACTTCCAGAGGCTTTTTTGACCTGTCTCGAAAAGCATTCATTTGAAGACTAGCAAGGAACTCGCACATGAATAAGTGAAGCATAATGATCATGTATAGCAGACGGGAGATTGTTTACAGGACATATCGATGACCTTCTATCATATGTAAGCCTCTCTTAGGAAGGTCACTTCTACAGGTAGCTCACTCAAGGTAGCTTCAATCCCATCGATTCACATACAAACTCATTCACCCTCAGCAGGTCACGGCATCGGCAGACGAGCTCGTATAGCCCAAGCTGATGAAAGTTTCGTAGTTCCAGTAGTCAGCCTGTGTGCCCTGTCCATCCACAGTCGCATTGCCGAAAAATTTGGCTGTCCAGTACGAGCTACCTTGAGTGTACTTCTTCCACGCAGCGATTCCAGTCTCCAGATTCTTCTTCCGGTTCGAGAAAGTGTTGTCAATCTCCGCTTGAATAGACCATTCTCCAATGAAAACAGGGAACTTGCCATCTCCGGGCGCGGCCACAGCATCTTCGCAAATATATTGAGTAAGATTTGCGGAGCTAGCACCACGGCCCGCGAAGTAGTAGTTGTGTACATCGAAGACCAAGTTTGATCCGGCAGAGAACTTGGGCGACCAATATTCTTCGCCCTTGAAACTTCCCTGGAACATAACTGGGATTTTTGCATTGACGGCTGTGGTTTTGGTGATAACTTGACTTATATACCTCTGTACCCATTCGGCACCACTATCGGTCAGACAGTAGGGGCTACCAAAGAGTGTGATATCCGGTACGTCAACAGGCTCATTGATTGGCTCGATGGTGAAAGATTGAGGAAATTGGGAATTGTTGATGAAGCTGATAACCGCATCAACAGCTTGCAAAGAATAGGCCAGGGCTGTCGCATTGTTGAACCAGCCATAATGCCCTTCAGCTTCTCCGAATGGCATTCCATTGACGCCACCCGGAAGAGAGTGAAGATCAATAATAATGTGCATGCCGTACTTGTTGATGGCATATGTCGCAATGTTTTTGAGGAATGAAACTTGATTGCCAGTGTAAAGTTGAGAACCTGGGACTTTGATCCAGGCAGCGTAGGAGGTGGGAATGCGAAGAACGTTTACACCTGCTGCGGCAAAAGTATCGATGTCGGCAGTGGTTATCCAAGTGGCATACCGGCGCTCAAGTACTGGTCCACACTGAGAGCCTAGATGGTCACAGAGACCCCATTCATCCGGAGCTCCTCCAGAATAGGTTCCCCACCATGTAGTGTCAATGGTAGACTCTTGGACAAGCCAACCACCCAGATTAATACCGGAAGCATTGAACGACTTCCAGTCAAGGTAGGTTGGGGTAGCTGCAGACTGGGCGATTGAGGCAGTAAGTATGCAGGAAAGTAATATAATTGGATGAAAGTTAAACATTTTTCACAGCAAGAATAGTATGCAACTGTAGATTCTGAATTGGCTGTTTGTCTGTCGAGCATGATTTGGGCAACTGCTAGCAGCCTTATATACTGGTGTTGCCGATCCCAATTGATGAATTCTGACCATAACTAGGTTTCTTCACCCCCGCAAAGGGCTAGCAAGGCTGGAAAGTAGTATCAATGCCGGCTAACGATGCAGAATCTGACACTTTTCCGCACTAGACGTTGCTGAAGCCTTTACCTAACTCAATGGGAACGACTCCGTCGAATTTGCCCCAATCTTCGGCAAGTATCTCCACTTTCCGTTCACATTAATTTGCAGAGCCCGCACTATCATGGGCTTGCATACACTCAAATCTTGATTGATATTCTTTTATTGGCGTGCCTTTTCGGGCTTGTATCACCCCGAAAAAGTGACCACATCTACTGGGAGGTTTGTGTGTAGGGAAGGACAGTTTTTGTCTCAGTATTCTACTGGCTCGATGTTACTCTCATCCGATCAAGCATCAGTCACGTTGTTGCTCGGATTACCATGCGCTGAATCTGCCTCACATATGATTATTATTGATTTTCAACAACTTACAACGCAGTAGTAACGTTGGCTTCATACAAGACATATTTGAGGTCGAACTACAGGCATGCATTTACTCTTGGGACATATTGTGTAGCATGATGGAACACTGGATATCTAGAGGACCTTATTGAAGCAATATCATCACCATGGGAGGCGGCTCTAGCTGAGTCTTACACATTCTGTGGAGATGATTTGGGTACATTTGATAGTTCTTGGCATGTTGAACCCTCGGGCCAGCTTACAACATACTAGTGGTGCCGACGAAGTATTGCAAGGCTATATTCGATTGTGAGATGGCATAAACGTCCAACTCGGTACATTGATGAACGAGATCTGAAGCTGGCATGAGATGCTTTGTCTTTATTTAGAAATAAATTAAAATGCCCAAGCCTTTAGGTCACATTCAAGTTTCTCGTCGCGGAGTGGGCTCTATGCTTTTCGATTTGCGCTATTAGTTCCTGCGTCAGCTATGGTGGCTGCCGGGGTATTGACGAATTGGAGCAGAGACTATGAGTGGCGGTGGGGGTGGGGGTGGGCCCAATCTCAGCCGATGAAATCAACATGGAGATTTCTTATTGTGGATTGGCCAAAGAAGGGTCCAAAGCCGTCAAGTCGCTACGGGGTTTCTTGTGGCCACGGGGTATTCAACAAGCGCAAGACCTCCTAATTGAGACAGTAAGGATGGACCTACAGTTCACCATTCACATACCAAGAGTGGCACAATTTCAGACACCGAGCATCAAGCAATGCAAGCAATTCCCGTCGTCAACCCTTGTCTTCCAAGATTTCAGTACATAGTCTTCAAATGTCTCTCTCTTTATTAACATTCGAATAGCGCGAACAATAGTCTTGGGTCAGTTTACGATTACTTCAGATGACTACGACCTAAATAGATGACTACGACCTAAATAGATGACTACGACCTAAATTTCTAAGACGAAGAAGCGTAACATGATTTTTGCAAGCGAAGACGATAATTGTCGAAAGTTAAAAGCCCAAAACCAATAATGAGAGAGTAGAGATTTGGATGTACACAAAAACTTCATTCCTGTCCCAAGCCACCCTGTCCCAAGCGAAAATATTCACACATTCGCCAACTTCTCAGTGGCAGTGTAGGCCTCCGCCGCCCGCCGCTCTGCCACGGTTGTATAGTGACGGAATTGGCGTGTTGGCACTCTATTCATGAAAAGCTCATCGAGCTCCTCATATGTGCGACGTCGAGTTTCTGGAACAAAGAACCAAGCCAGTACCGCAAACATCAGCATGAAAGCGCCATATACAAATCCAATCTGAGCCTTGAGATTTCCATAACCGGGGTTAAACATGTATGGAGCGACGAAAGACCACATCGTGTTGACAGCCGCGGAAATTGAAAGGGCTATAGCAAGGGTTTTGGTGCGAAGGATAGAAGTGGGTACTTCGCCCGCGATAGTGTAGACATTAGATCCGACTCCGGCATTGTAGAAGAAATTGTACATGGTATAGAAGCCAACTGCTGCCATCGTGGCAGCGGATGTGTTGATAGAACCGGCAATTCCCATGCAAAGCAACAGCGTCGTCAACCCAATGCACCCCGCAAGGAACATGGGTCGTCGGCCGACCAGATCGCATATAAGGAAGGAGATGATTGCACCGGACATTGATAGAATCTGGGCTCCAATTTGTATAAGGAATGATTGTCGATCGCTAATGCCCAGATATTGGTACATCAATGCTCCGTAGTTCGACACGAAACCTAACCCGGACATAGGCTCAGACAGGAAGACCAGGATAGCAATTAGAGTTCGCCGTAAGTTGGTCCCTCGGAAGCACTCAGCATATGATGCATTTTTTTGCGTCTCGGCTTCGTCCAAAGTCAATTTGATCCGCTCCAGGTGTCCTTCGGCATCGTGTGAGTCAGAATATAGTCGATCGAGGACTTTCCGAGCCTCGCGAAGCTTTCCCATTCGAACGAGGTATACAGGCGACTCGGGCATGAATATTTGTCCGATCAAAGCAATAGCAGCGAAGCCCCACTGTGCACAAATCAAAGACTTCCAAGACCAAGCATTGTCCCATTGAGACGTGTAGTAAGACATAATGGCTGAGATGAATGGCCCGATGCATTGCGACAGGTTGCAGAAGCCAATAACAGACGACCGGATGGCGAGGGGCGAAAGATCTGCAACGTATCCAGTGCAGATGTTGAGAAAGGCTCCGATAGCAACGAAATTCAGCATTTTTCCCCCAAAGAACATTCCAATAGACGTGGTGGAGAATTCAATAGCGACCGACGCTACATTGATTGCGGCTGCGACAAGAGTAACAGGTTTCATCCCAAACTTGTCGGCAAAGTAGGAGGCAGCCCATGAGCCCACAATAGCAGCCGCGTTGGACCCGCCGCTCAAGGCTGACTGCCACTTGGTGTCAATAAAATACTGGCCGTCTTCGAGACGACCAAATCTTTCTTTGAAATCCGGGATACTGATGACGGAGCCAGACGACTGATTCTCAAACCCTCTCACAATGAGTGTCCAGAGCATGACGCCGATCCAGAACAGTAACCAAGGATCCCTTCGGAGTGTTTCCAGATATCCCCGGTTGTGTTCCTGCTGCTGGATAGCTCGTCCATGCAGTTCACTTGAACTTGCTTCAAGCTCAACATGGTGAATAGAATTTCCACTCGCTTTCACGGTAGGACTTCTATGATCGTTGGGTTTCTCCATTATTGCTGATAGCAATTACAGGATGAAAGTGCAAGAGAGACGAATTGTTACAGTTCGAACGCCGAGAGCAGGGCTGTTTCCGGGAACGAGATAGCAAAGACGGGCTGATCATGATCCTTTTGTATACGAGACACAGGGGCTAACGCCCCTGCTCCGAAAGTGAGCTGGTCTACTTTGAGTATGTGGAGACAAATTAGCCGTTCGTTTGAAAATCCGGGGAACAGGTTCAAGGTTCGGGGCCAGAGTCCGTCTCGCGTCAATCAAGGCCGAGCCAGGAGAAAGATTTTGGAGGATCTAGCAGCATGAATTGATCAGCTGGCTGGAATGAGTCGATTGGAATTGCCTAGCGATGCTTGGACTCTGCAGTGCTCATATTAGCCACAAACTCTTGGCCCGTCTGACACATGGCCAACATCTCTCCACTTCCCGATCCACTGCGAATTATGCGAGGAACCCCAGATATAGTGCAAGGATCTAGATTGTCTCCGCATTTTGCACATATAAACTGTGGGGGGTGTATCTTTTGATGGGTCGACGCTGCTGCTGCGGGGATAGTCATCTTCAAAAACTATACATATATCTATCATCTCCAACTTTCACCTGAGCATTTGCATCCTCTTACTCCACTCACCACTCACCCGACCCAAAAGTTGAGCTTAAATTGGCCGAAATGGCTGCATTTTCACGTGCATTTTCTTTGTCTCCTGAGGAGGTTCGATCTGCTACTCCTCCTGGCACGGTCATTCTTTCAGGTACGCAAGTCCCCCAAAATTGGCGTCAATTGACAGATTGAATACTTTGAAGTGGTAAAAGTTCTAAACAGTGATATTAGCCCGATCATTGCAAAGGGCTAGACAAGCGACTGCTCAGAGTGATGAACTAGTGTACACCCCTCAACCCAGTTCAGACCCAGCAGATCCACTCAACTGGCCAAATTGGCGCAAGATTGCCGTTTTGATATGCATGTCATTATATGCTGCTATCGCAAATTTTACCTCGGCGTCTATCGCAAGTGCTTTTCCTATCTATGCTACGCCACTGGCGTTCAATCCTCCGGTGTCAATTGGGAAATTGACCCATTTGATTGCGGTGAGTACTTTATCCTTTCCAATCACAGAGCTCCAAGCTCTCTTTCAAGCCACTAAACCAGGAATAGGTTAACGTGCTCATGTTGGGTGCAGCAAACATTTGGTGGGTGCCATTAGCGAATATTTTTGGCCGTCGGCCTGTGATACTAGGAGGCATATTACTTCTAACGCTATGCTCAATGTGGGCTGGGCTAGCTAAAAGTTTTGGCAGCCTTCTAGCTGCTCGAGTCTTTATGGGCATTGGGGGGGCGCCAGCCGACACAAGTAAGTCCTAACTTTCGCTGTCGATGAGTATTCACCCTCTGACGAAAATGACCGACTTAAGTTGCTCCAAATGTGGTGGGAGAAATCTTCTTCACTCATGAGCGAGGTCGAGCTATGGTAATGATTCAAACCCTTCTGCTATCAAACCTAAAGTTCTTTTCTAACACCTCACAGGGTTTCTATACTGTTTGTATTTGCCTGGGACCCATTATTGGGGGTATCTCCGGGGGTTACATTGCTGGGAACCAAGGTCTTGCTTGGATCCATTGGGTGAATGTCATTCTGTCCGCCGTCTTGCTTATCGCTTGCCTCATAATCGTACCCGAGACACGATACATGAGAGACCAGACACAAGTCTCAAGCCCAAACGACAAGTCCGCAGAGGTTGAGATAAAGGGAGGCACTGAGGTTGTCGAAGATATGGCCGCCCAAGCTCCAGGGTCCCATTCGACAAAGTATGCAAACCCTTCCTCTATGTGGAAGCTTAACAAGTACCAAGGAGATGCGTGGAATACATTTTTAGCGCCTTGGAAGACTTTTCGCCTGCCAGGTGTGTGGCTTGTGATGTTTTGGTACGCTGGACTGGTAGGAGGGGTGGTTACTGTTACGACTGTAGCCCCAACCATCATCTCCGAGCCGCCATACCTCTGGGGGAACAACGCTGGCTTGATCATGATCGGTGGAATTATCGGGGCGTTATTAGGGCTTATTGCAACAAGCTTAGCCGCTGACCGGGTAATAACCACTAAAAAAATGCTGCGGGGTGAAGTCTTCGCTGAACCAGAAGCACGTCTTCCTGTTGCGATTCCAGGCTTGCTACTGGCTACTACTGGGCTTTGGACCTTTGGGTTCTGCGCACAGAACCCCGGTCCGCCACATATGTGGGTTGGAATGCAATTTGGGATTGGCATGCTTTGTTTTGGCCTGATGCAAGCACCATCTATTGGGTTTAATTATGTGAGTCCAGAAATTGCTTTAGGCTTCCAGGTATCAAGTTTGCTGATAAACATGCTCGCATCTGATAGCTCATCGATGCTTATGGCCCTCTTTCTGCGGACTGTTTTGTGGCAGTGACTTGCATGAGAGCTATTATAAGCTTTTCCTGGACGTTCTTTGCCGGTGAATGGGTCATGAGCTCTGGTCCAGCTATTCCATTTGGCGTATTTGGAGCGCTCATGGGAGCGTTTTCGTTGCTCATCGTTCCTGTCTGGCTTTGGGGGAAAAGGATGAGAATTGCTACGGCAGGTTGGGTACCAGTGCTTTGAAGTTAGGGAGGTCTTCTGCTAGATTCTCGAATAACTGAGCTTCTTGCACATAGTGACACTTATATCTCAGTCTATCTCAATTGTAAAGTGAAATTGCTAAATTGATCTAAAAATGAAAAATAATCATATACAAGTAGCACCATGGGCAAACCCATGCAAATCGAGAAACAAACAAAAAAAGGCTTTGGAGACATTGGGGGGTATTATCAATATCAATAAAACAACCGAGAAATGAAGTCATACACCGAGAAAGACCATGAGCTCCTTGCAAAAAGAAAAAGAAAAAGAAAAAGAAGAAAAACACGAAATGGGAAACTCGAAATACTCTAAATGCGTCCAAGCAACAGTCATAGGGAAAGGGGCGTTATTTCGTAGTGTCGATCAGGCGAGATCAGGCACGGGTGCATACATGGCGCTTACGGAGAAGCAACGAGTCTATCCGAACGCCACGTATCGGGAGTGGGCCGAAAAGAAACCAAAATCAAAAGACCTAGAAACTGACTTCGCCCGCGTCGCTCTCAATCATCGTCTCATCCCAGTATTGGTCAGAGGGTGTGTCGCGGGCGGCGGGCTGAGAGCCAAGTGCAATGGCTTCGCCTTCGCCTCGTTCGACGAATTCGTCTTGCGTCACTTCTTTCATGATCCGCTGGAAATACATGCGCAGGGTGCGCAGCCCGCGGAGGTAGCCGCGGTCGATGTCGTATGGGTTGTGAGGCGGGCAGGGCGTGTCGGGTGGGAGTGGGTCCTCGCCTGTCACGCAGTTCGCGAAATCGACAATTTTCAATTGTACGTCGATCTTGCCGTGGCCGTCGTCGGAGGCGCCGCGCTTGAGTGGTGGGCGTTCGTTGCTGGGACGGGGTGGGCCTTGCTTTGGGGGTGATTGTTGGTCTCCGTCATAGAGGATCAGAAGGCTGCTGGCATAAAGGCGATACCGATCCAATTGGCGGATCATGTGTTCCAACAGAGCCAACTTTTCTAGAATGACGGGGATTTTCTTGGCTACGCTGGTATAACTGACACCATCGTAAAGGAAGCGAGTGAGCGCGTCCTGGAATTCGCGTCCGGATTTCAGATCTCGTCCGAAATACTTGTCTTCGAAGATGTACTCTTGTTTTTTGACATTCCAGGCTTGCATGCCACAGAGCCTCACGCCCAGTTGCTGTGAAGTGGTTGACTGGCATTTCCGGCGCTGGGACTTTTTCTTCTTTTCGTTCGCCTCAATGCCATACTGGCGTGTGCCCATCTTCAAATCCAGCACACACGGCTTGTTCATACCAGCGGTCAAATCCTCAAGGAGGAGGAGGAAAAACTGCACTCTTTCATCTTGCCTTAGCTGGGCCTCCTTGGGATTACTGGGCAGAATGGTATTGATGGGCTCCTTAGGTTGGAAACGGGATGGATCACGACGAGTTGCAGCAAGAGTATCGGATAGGCGAGGTTCGGGGACCAAATTGCTTTCGGATCCTGCTGAGCCCGAGTGTGTCGCGACAGGGGAGGGATTTGAAGGCATAGAAGCATCCGCTTCCATGGCAAAAATATCGTCCTCCTTGTCGCCTCCATAGCCCTCATCATCATAGAATAGTAACTCTCCATTATTGCGGGAATTTATACTACCACGTCTCTGGAGGCCACTTCCAGAATGGCGCCTTCGCGGATGGGATGCCCTGGACAGAGAACTTGCCCGATTTGTATCTTCTTGCGTCCTTATCTTTTCAAGACGGTTTTGGTTAGCATCGAGAGCAGTTGAGGCGGACGACGAAAGAGCCGGGCCTTCGCTAGGTGTTGTCTTGATGTCAATTGCTTCTGTCTTCAGAGCTTCGATTGGCCCAGGTGCCGGTCGTCGACTGCTGGCCGTTTGGTCTTCGGACATGTTTCCTCGGCGGCGGTTTGCGGTAGGCATGTCGGAATTGGCCCTTGGTAAATGGATGTGGCCGCGAGCATGGCGGCGATGGTGATGAATAGCAGGCGGGCTGAACACTTCACGAAGAACCTGTTCCTGAAGTTTGAGGTTGACGGTGGTGGCGCCCCAGATCTTGGCGCGCTTGCTGAGTGCCGATGGATCAGACTCTGCTGACATGCCCTCCAGGCCGTCGACGGATCGAGCGCGGCTCACCGAGGCATCGGCTGTCCTCGGTCGCTGTGGGTGAGAGAACAGATCGGCAGGAATGATGTGACGGTTGTTCTCAAGGATAACCTTTGGGATAACACCGGTAACTTGTGACTGGCTCACAATTCGTTGGGGCTCAGCCGCCTCCTGAATTTGGGAGCTGAGAGCTGACGTTCCATTTCCATTTGTGGCAGTCGCATCCTGGATTTTACCTTCAGCAGAATCGCCCGGATCCTTTGGTCGTTTGGGTGTCTTCGAGAACGTGACATTCAACACTCCGATATATCTGAACCATGACGTCAGTACAAAACCCTTTGAAGACACATTGCTTTCACGGGAACGGAGATTTGGACCTACTTTGGGAGAAACACCAGCATGTCTGGATGTCTCTGTTCAATGCGTTCATAGAACTCATTCTCGCGATTGTTGAGCTGTTTGCAAACAGCTCGCCTGGAAAAGCGGAAAACCGTGGTGTGGCCGCCAACTTGGTGTCGATAAGGCTTCAATTCAACGGCACCGAGAGGTGCTGGGGAAGGCTTGGGGTGAGAGAGAAGCCGAGGCCGCTGTCTTGGGGTCGCTGTCGGAGTCTCGCCCTCATCGGTGTGATGGCCGTCTTCAGTTGCGGACCAACCACTTTCGTCTGCAGATGGTGGCTCGGATTCATGTGATGAATCATAGCTGAGTTCAGAGATGGTACTCAAGGGCTTTTCAGGCATGTTCTCTCGAGGAGAGTGGATATCGCCATATAGGATCTTACTTTCATTCTTGGATCGCAGGGATATATCCACATGGCTGATTTCTTTTTCCGGGGAATGACGCTCTTGGGGTACTAGCATCAGGTCATGGCCTTTCTCTGGAACCGTCAACTGAACCGGTTGTACATCATGGGGGCCGTCAGGATATTGCTCCAAGGTCTCAACCCCTTCAGGCACCGTGCGCTCGTGGGGGAAGTAAACGGCAGACGAAATCTGTTCGTTCTCTTCTTCCTCGACTCCAAATTGCTGTGATCCGCGACGCTCGTCTTGCTCGAATGAGTTGGTCGGGGAAATTTCGACATGAGGATCCTTGTCGAAATACTCACGATTTCTCTCTGAATACTGCGTGGGAATGCTTTTAGAGAATGACGAACCATGGCGCCCTCCAGGAGTGAGATGGAAGTTTCGGATTTCCTCTAGTAAGGTGCGGGGCAACGCTGGCGGAGGGCGTTTGTGGAGATCATCGTGCGGTTTGTTTTTGACGAGCTCGGAAGGCTGGGGTTCAAGAGCCGGGCCATTTCCAAGTGGAGGGAGGGAGAAGCTTTTACGAATCAAAGCGCCCTCCTCTGATCGCGGGTGTTGGTGTGGCTCTTGCTCCAAATCCATGACGCGATCCTGCGGTTCCAGCGTCTCATCTTGTTCTCGTCCGCGATCCTCCCGTCGTTTGCGATCCGGCGAAGTGGTGTTTTCTTTGAAGAGGCCCAGGTAGTGGCTGGATTTGCGGCTGCGGACGTTAGAAGCCGGCTCCGCGTTGGTCAAATTGGCTTCAATGGAGCTGTCAACTCGACCACCGCGACGACCTCTGCTTGGACTTCGTTCAAGGGATGGTGGAAGGGCTTCTTTTTGGGGACTGTAAGATCCGAACCCTTGACTGACCTGAGGACTCTCTCTGCCGGACAACACATTCAAAGAGTGCGGGGTAGAAGAGACATCATCTATGGACGGGAAGAGATTTCGTTCAGGTAAAGCGCCGTTCAGATGGCTGGTTCTCCTACCTGTTCCCTCCAATGGCAGGTTGTACCGCCGAGATCCCAAATGTGCCTGCACGCCTACCTCTGCCTCGGGTTTCTTGAGATGATCAGTCGACAGGGTCGATGCGCGCAGGAGGGACAATCGGGGGGCATCGGAAGGGAAGAGAGTGGAAGAACGCAATGGAGAATGTCTGTGGACGTCAACTTCCATGTGGGAAGGGTCGACGTTAAAACGGTGGGGAGAGACCTTGGAGAATGCACTTGAAGACACGGGTGCATCATCGAGACTGGGAATCAAATTGACCTGACGCTCGGTGTCCAAGGCCCTGTTGGGGGGTAATTGTGGGGTGTTTGCGCCGCTATCTGTAGGAAGGTAATGGGTTGCGAAAATACTGTCTCGCTCGGACAGTTGGGGCCGATACACGATATCCGGATTGGCGGTGTTCTCCGGAGGTGTGGTCGCAGTCCGTTTTAGAGTGAACCTGGGCTGGGACCAAGAGTGAGCCGTTGGGGATTCCGCCCGTGAAGGCGTCGGCACCTCTTCAGACCTCTGGGAGATATGAGCTTGCTGAGAATGGTGACGTGGGCTAGTCCCAGGGATGGCTCTGGAGCAATCATGTTGGGCAGGTGCCGCAGGTGTCACCAGGGGATTAGGCAATCTATCTTCGGGAACGGACGGTGAATTTGACATGGAGAGGACATTGGTCAAGTACAATTTCGGAATGGTAGGAAAGCGGAGACCGGGGGGTGGGTGGTTGGGCTCGAGATGAATTGGGCTTAATGCTGCAGGAGATAGCGAAAGTTAGAAGACTTGACAAGAATTGACTCATATGTATTTTTGATTTTTGGTTGGGGGTAATTTATCCCAAGGGTTTTTGGAGCACGTTGAGCAAAGGAGAGATCTTACTGGAGAGAAAAAAAATAATAAGGAATGTAGAGTCAGAAGAAGTTGTGAATCAAAAGGGACAAATCAAATAGATTGAGGATCTGAAGAGTCTAAATGGATCGTCACCGCCCTTGAATGGATTAGATCTTGTTTTTTTTTTTTCTTGTTTTTTTTTTTTTCCTTCTGCCCTTTTTTTTATTTATGAAGGTTCTTTAATTACTTCTTCGATGATTCAGGGGATAATTCAAGAATTCAAGAAGGGGGGAACAGAAAAGAAAATAGAAGAGGAGCTGATCAAGCTAATGTGAAGAGAAGTCAAGAGTGGAACCTTGGAACCAGGCAAAAGATGAAGTCAGGAATTGGCCTACCCTTTCAATCTTCCCGGTTATCTATCTCGGTTCTACCCATAGAGGACTTTGCGTGACTTTTCTCTTTTATATATATGCAGTACAATTCTACAATTCTTAAGGTAGCTGAATCTTCACAAGTTTGTGCTACCTGATTTTCCTCGTACAGATTTTTCCTTTTTGCTCCAGGACCTTCCAAGTATATGAGGTCTAATGGCTCACTCTATTTCCAAATACTACATCGTATACGTACGGATCTAGATAATCACATTTGCAGCCCTGGGACGCTCACAAAGTAGGATATACCTAGGTACACGGTATAAGTTTATTTCTGATATACTCAAAATTATACACAATAGCATTATCTAATCTAGGGGTACCATTGACAATTACCGAGGGAGTACAAGATGCATACATATTATGTACACATATTTTGATTCCCCATATCTTGCGGCATATCTTGCGGCATAACTACCAATCATCGGTCTCGATGAATATCGTGCATCCATTGTTATCCTTCATAGGTGCCATTAATGCCCTCACCAAGGTTATGTTGATCAGCCTGTAGCCGTGTCTTAAATGATCCGACTCGTTCGCATTACAAGGTACTCTAGTGGAGTGAGCCAGGGTCTTTAAATTTTCCTAACGGGTACCAGCTACCAGCTACCAGCTATATTGGACCAATTCAGTGATAATGTCTATCCTCATCTTCCCCAGACTCCGAATCGCGGCTAAAAACGCCCAAATCCGCTTTTGTTAGTGATTAGGAGTGTCTCAGATTAATTACCCCCACTTAGAAGGCTCATAGCTTGACAATAAAATTCTCGAGAAAATTCAAAGCTCCGAGAGCTCCTAACTTGATGAGAAAATGAAATCCACTTGAATGTCTGTCTACATATGTACTTGGGGTCCAAAACGAGGCGGTTTGCATATGTCACAAAAGTTGCTGCCTGCTTTGGTATCTGTCACATTGGCCGTTTCAATCACTCCATCGCTGAATCCCTCAATCACCTGCCAATTACTTGTTGTTCACCTGGAAAAGTAGACTTGAAGTGACAAAGAGGGGAGAAATAATAAGAAATCTATCGCATGACACTTTAATAATTGTTAATACTTTTATTGCCAATAATCATCAAATTGAACCATGATATATATTGTACCTAGGTAGGTCTTGTCTTCGAGTAGACTTCGTTATTTGGTGCTACGGAGGACCATTTTGTCCCTTTCGATACAACCCAACCATAGAGGATCACGTTACCGCTCGAAACTTCCCTCAAACAAACCTCCAACGGCGCTTCGCCAACTATCAGTGAATGGGTGTGATTGTGACGAAAAAGAGTGATCTGAGCGCCAACGGGAGGCGCCGAGCGGGTCCTAATCCAACCAGAAGCCTCAGCGATGTGAACATGATGCATTAGGGCCACCCAGGGCCAACCAGAATCCAACGAACCAGACACTCTGAAAAAGCAGAGAGAAACCTGCAAAGCCACTCGTATGATCGCATTCCCCACAGGGTTCTGTTTTCTTGTACGCCCCGTGGCACCAACGACCACTCTCTCCCCACTTCCAGCTCTAGCTTGATGCTGGTTTCCTTCACTCTGCGTCTTAATCCACATTTGAGATCATTTCCCGCTGTCGATCCGTCATCGCTTGGTTGCGCGCGCCAACGGGTGTTCGGGTTTTCCCCGATGTTCTCCAGAAAGCCGTTGAATCGTTCTACAACTATCACGTCGAGAGCCATTTGAGTGTAATTTGGTTTCACAAAACCTCGACTTTGGGAGTTACACTGTGTGCTAGAAAGTGTTATTGGACAACATCCTAATCTCCAAGATGAGCCGTTCGAACCTAAACACCTCTGTTGGAGGCAACCACAATAGGTATTCTTTCATGGAAACACCACTTGAGATGCACCCGTCAACCAAGCTCCCAAACCTATCGCTGCATCCCCCGGATTCGAGAGCGCGGCCCGCGCAAGAGCCAGAAGAACCAAGAATGCACCGGCGAGAATGGTCGTATGCACCGAGTGAAAAGCAATTACAGGATCAAGGCGTAATGCCCGACCAAGCCAAGCGCCCGGCGCCTGAACAGCACCCGGCGAACTATGCGCCGATGGCGAATGTACCTGAGCAGCCAGAGTCATTTAGCCCTCCGATGTCTCCCCAATACGCCACCGCGCATAGGAACCAGTATTCTAGCGCGATGTCCCCTCAATATGCAACCGTGCAAGCGAATCAGCGGCAAAATCCTCCATTGTCTCCTCAATATGCAACTGTGCATGGGAATCAGCAGTACAGTCCTCCGATATCTCCTCACTATCCGACTACACATGGGAACCAGTATGGGACATATGGCGCTTCTCAGTCATACACGACCCTACCTCATCAAACGATCTCTCACCAGTATATAAACCAATATAAAGCTACCTCCCCGCAAGAGGATAGCACACAGTTATCTCCGCAGTCATATGCGACATACTCGCACGCCCAGTCCTACCCAACTATCCCGGACCAGCAACGCAGCCTCTCAATATCCCCCCAGCCATACACAAGCTACACCGAAACGCCAGTCTCCCCCGAACAACCTAAATCTCCAGGCCCACTCCCAGTCAAAGTCAGCCCCGAATCGCCCGGCGGCGAAACTGTGACTATCGCCCCAGATTCAAACCCCCTCCAATCACCTCAAGAATCATACTTCCCGCCCCCAACAAGAGCAGCAACCCAGCCAGCATCCTACCAACAAGAAGACCTCAGCGCCTACCACCAACCAGGCCAAACAACCCACCCAAACCAAGAAGTCACCGGTGGTGGCTGGAGCAACGGGCTGTGCGAATTCTCCAACCTCGGAATCTGCTGCCTAGGCGCGTTCTGTCCGTGCATCCTATACGGACGGACGCAGCACCGCCTCTCGATGAAATCGAAAAAAGAGGACCCAACCAACATGCTCAGCTACGAGACTTGTAACGCGTCATGTACGGCGATGGGTCTGCTCTGCGGCTGTCAATGTAAGCATACCATACCACACTCACTAGTATCCAAATCAGGATCAGAACACAAATACTAACACATTCAAAAACAGGGCTCCTGGCAACAATCCAACACACAAGGACAAGAAACGCATACGGCATCCAAGGCAGTATTGCCTCGGACTGTGTGCGCGCCACATGCTGTACATGCTGCACCTTGATACAGGATGAGAAGGAGATCCAGAAGCGCGAGGAACTGCGAGCCCGCTCTGCGAGGGAAAGGGGGGTGGCTATGCTCTCGCCGTATACTACCCCCGGACCGATGTCCTATGGCCCGCAGAGGTGATCTGTGCCCACTGCTGGACTGTGGGCACTTTTTGTATATATCGTGTTTTTGTATTCTGATTCATAGCGTTTGTCATTATTATTAGACGGTGTATATAGTGGATTCGATTCGTCATGATCGCCAAAATTGATTTGTGCATGAGCGAGAGCGAGGGACTAGGGGATGGGGCTTTGATGTATCATATTGTTGGCGCATGTCCGGGACTGGGATTGCTTTTTGCCAGTAGTTTTGTTGATAGTGTGAACATCTGATGAAGGTTTTTTTCTTGCTCTTCCGCGGTATGATACAGATATCTTTGAGGAGAAGATGAATATGATCAAATTCCGATCAAATTGAAGGTTCATATCTAGTTTTAGTTCCACCTTTCTTATTTCGTATAGACTCTTAACCAGCGCTATACCAAGGCCCGCAGGTGTAGAAGTTGCCTGGGATATAGTAGCGAAGACAGGGGGGAAAGGGAGAGAAGAAGATTTCATTCAGCTGTCATATGTGCCAGTTTGAATGGTGCATGGCTGTTGTGGTTTATCCTCCCGGGTCACCCGATGAGGCAGAATCATAGGCAGTTTCACTTTCGGATGTCCAGACTGTCGGAGGTGACGGTGAGCCGGAAATCGAGTCATGTTTTTCATTAGGCTCAATTGATTGAGCCACTTCTGCAACAGGAGTGAGAGCTAACTGAAAGGAATCTGAGAAATTCATGAGGCTAGATCGAGGCATTTGTGCCTGGCGTCTATGCACCTTCGAACACCTATCTCAAGCCGCAGCTCTATTGTATCGCACAATCAAAATCCTGTCTGCAGAGTTGAAGTTCCGCGATAGTGGAAGGTTTGCAGGTCGCAACATCCTTTCTCGCCTGACTGTATTGTATGTTCGTCTTGGAGCCGTGTGACATAGCCCTAGGTAATCGGGAATGGTAGACTTAGAATGGAATTCCGTTTGCCGTAGATAGTTGATTCTGGATCATTTAGTCTGATTTGTTTAATCTCTTGTTGTATCGCATGATTTTCCATATGCTGAGACAAGTTAGAGGCTTCAACCCAAGGATATTGATGTCTATAACTCACCACGACATGATAATACCCTCAGTAGGATTTCTCCAGAACGACTATGTACCAGACTTAAAGGTTACAAATCGTGGATTGCTGCGCACGTGGGTTGAAGCTTTGGAGATATCCGCAATCTGGCTGAGATTTACATGGTACGGCCCATTTGGCAGTGGGGTGGACAATGGCAGGGCATTTATCTGATTAAAAACTAGGACTTTGGCCAATTAGCGATTATTTCTTCATCTGTGCTGCAGACATGAACGGTCTTTGGATGTGCACATGTAAGCGGTAGTGTCTCAATGAGGACCATGGCCTTGAATGGGGCCAGGGTGAGATCCAGTAAGACTACACGATCCAGGACGGACGAGGTGCGTACAACTTTAGCGGGGTAAACAACACTTTTTGAGATATCAGTTATTTCTCCATCATCGAAATATAGCCACCAATCGAAGGTTGGGGGGTTTGGAATCCAAATATATAGAACAAAGTCGAAATTAGCGGTAGCCTAAGCGCTGCGGCGAAACGGCGAAGAGAGGAAAAATCAAAATCAAATTACTGTCAAAATTTGACTAGACAAACATTACTATCAAAAGGAAGCTATAAATGAGTTTCAAACTTACTTGAGTAACTGACGTTGCCCATGAAGTGGGCTTGGGTTGGAAAGCATCTTGATGGTGACTCCCGGGAAGGTACCAGGAGAAAGGCATCTGCATAGATGATTTTAAGACTGTGATATGAGTGCAAAATAAGCAATAGAGATGTGTATGAATGAGGATGAATTCTAAGATCTCTTAGGGAACATCTCTCTATTTATAGCCAGGGAGTCATGACAATCATAGAAAGCAAGCAAACGCTGCTGTAATCCATGGAGCAGATGAAATAAATCCTCTTTCATCAAAGAGAGGTAATAGAGACAGAATGATCGCAAATTAAGAAAATAAAAGATGCTACACTTGAGAAAGATACTACAGATCTGGCAGCATATTATTTCTTAGGTTCCTGCTTTTTTAGATCAAAGGCTTTCATTCAACAATGGACATAGAGGTAGGCAAAGAGTGGAATCACAAATGTGGTGCTGTATAACAGAGAATAAAAGCGACTTTCTGTGTCAGTGTGTTGTCTAACATCTGCTGCTGCTCTTGATGAGAGCTGCGGCCCTTTCTGCAAAGCTCGCACTTTTTGCACCAACGGCAGGGAACACTATAATTCAGATGAATTTTCGAGGATATATGTTGTGTATGAAGTCCTAAATGGAGTCGGAACAATGGGAACATCATGTACGTACCATGGGCGTTGTGTTGATGCCTGAAGGCAGTGTCATCCGCCTATACTAGGCAGATCCGGCCCTCACATGCTTGATACCACCGTTATTACTCCTCTTACTAAATCCGATCAAGCACCGGTGTATCTATAGATCAAATCGAAGATGTGAATATGATAATGGTACTCCGTAGGTTCCTGGCATATGGCAAATTCTTTTTGGGAAATTTACGACGAAATCCACAACCTCATACCTAACCCAAACTTGCTTGAAAGCCTCCAAATAAATAACGCGGACCTTCCAAGGTTGTGACTAATAATTTCAGAAAATTTAGATACATCAAACCCTCAACTTGAATGTCAATACATCCCAAACAGGGCCACGCCATACAGAAGGCTATCAGAGGCGATGACAGCGACGATGAAGATCAAGAAACAAAGTGCATTGTCACATAGGAGACATCGATAATATACAATGTTAGATCTATCACAACGACTATGAAGAAACTGCACGCAAGATCGCACGATCAGACAAACCAGGTAGCTGGGACACCCCCGATCAGCGCGATCTAAGCCATGCGATCGATCTCGCCACGACGATCCCTCCAGTGACGCCAATACGCCCCAGATCAAGAATACTTTTAACTCACCACAAAGTTGGCTGTTAAACTAGCCACTGAAATGCAAGGCTATGTAAGAAGGGGTCGCATGGGCTGTAGAAATTTGGCGCGTCGAGCCATGATAGAACAGATGATGCATCAGTCGGCAAGTCGGGTCGCTTCCTATCGGCTGGTCCGGGCGTGGAGATATGTTCCCCATAGTGTTCGGGACTCCACTTTTCGCTCCTTTTTCTCCTTTAGGTGAGTAACTCTGGCTTTGGCGAAGAAAGTGGGGGCTGACTAGTTGGTGATCACAGACATTTTCACCCGCTAATATGTAAGGATACGATGCATCTATTACTTGCCGAATTGGGAACCCAGCAACCCGAGCTGTGGGTGAGAAGTCTGACTTTATCCTGAGCATTTGTTAAAGAGTTTAGACCTGTCTATTGCCTTTTTTTTGTTTCGCCTCTTTGGTGTTGCTATTATGTATATATTACTTCTGGTACTTCACATTGATATCGCCGTTTCTATTCATTCAAATACCTAGACCTATACTTTGATACCTGCGATATGGCGGACACTATGGGCCAGAACGTTCATGGCTACGACCATGATAACCTGCGCCATGTAGTTATCACCTCGACTTGCTTTGCTTTCATCTTGTCCACAACTGCAGTCAGTTTCCGCATTATTTCTCGAGCAATCAATGGAAGTGGTCTCTTCCTGGATGATTGGCTGATTATACTGGCATTGGTGAGTGAACGAAATTACACTATCTATAGCCTAGCAACATGTTTGAATAAGCCTTTATCTCTTTATTACTTCTCTACATCTCCTTTGAAGTCCATTAATAATGCCCCCGGATTGAGGACGATGATTTTTTGTTAACAACTGCCATCAGCTCTTTGAGTACGGTATATCAATAGCGGGAGTCGTGCGTAAGTTGAAATAATTGCCCAACAGAGACTCCATGTACTAACATCCAACAGTATTGTACAATGGACTTGGAACACATATCGTCGAACTCTCTCCCGAGCAAATCGTTATCTATCTCAAGGTTAGAGAATACACCCTCACAGTCATTACACCAATGATATCTTAACACAACCATAGACACTATTCACAGGCTCAATCCTCTACACCGGCTGCATCTTGTTCATCAAGCTATCCATCCTTGCTCTCTACCAGCGCCTCTTCCCCATCAAGGGCATGAAGAGAGCCGTCAATGCTGTTTCTTTAATCGTGATCCTGTGGGCCGCATGTGGTATTCTCGCCGGATGCTTCACCTGCATCCCGACCGAGAAGCTATGGCATCCTATGATAGAAGGTGGCTGCATGAACCTATCCAAGTTCTACTATGGTCTCCAGGTCCCCAACATCGCAACCGACGCCATTATCCTCCTAATGCCCATGCATATCGTGTGGAACCTTCCCATCTCAAAGGCTCAGAAGCTGGGTCTCTCTGCCATCTTTGTTCTGGGATTCTTGTAAATGTCCTTCTTCCTCTACGAGCACCATGAACCTGACCAGATGCAGGACTCTTATTTTCGATATCATCCGACTTATCGTTCTGATCGAACTTTCCAAAAAAGGCGACGACATTACTTGTATGTCGCAACTCCCAGACCGATCTAGATCTGGACAAGGTACTGACACGTGATAGATAACCAAGTCCCAGCAAGCGTATGGACATGCATCGAACCCGCCGTCGGAATCGTCGCTGCCTGCCTCTCGAATATGCGCCCCTTGTTCAAGTTCATGCACGTCAAGGTCTGGTCCAGGTTTTCCAGCCGCTATACCACCAACACGGGCAACACCAGCGAGTCGCAGATCAACGAAAAGCCCGGTTGGCCACGTCGGACTCCTAGCCCCAACAGCAACAACAGTCTTCGCTCAAGCCCTAGTAGCGAGTCCCACCAGTTGCCTTTGAATCAATCGCCTGCACACAACCAGTCTGCTGTTTGATCGAGGGCTTGACTATTACACCTTAACGGATTGGACTTTTTCTTCTCCTTCTTGTTCTTCTTCTTCAACTTCATCTTCTTGATATAACTCCGAAGTCTCTTCTTTTATTTTCACCCTTTGATTCCCATATATTTTGATTTTCTTTTCTCGGGCATATTTGCTCCGTATCATCTTACCGGATACTTTTCGCTTTCTTTCACATTTAGATGCTTTAGATAATACGCTCTTCCAATATTTCTTCTTGTTCGCCTTCCTTGTCAAGTAACTCGAAGATTTTGTTAAGTTCCAGTATCATTTCTTTGTAACCAACGTTCTCCTTGTCATTCCTTTTGTTTCCACGCCTCAATCAACGTTTGATGCATCACAGAGAAGCCAAACAAAGGCATTGTCATCTTTAAAACGTGCTTATTGATCCGTATCAATCAAAGCGGCGATTTAGTACTCATTGAAATGAAAATCTAACTAAACACACCAACAATGGTCTTTATTTTACCCTCTATCACCTCACCCGAGACATGATCAACCAGTGAGTATAAAGACCACCAGTCCCACAAAATCAATAAGGACAAAGATCAGGTAAGCTCCAGCTCATTCTAACCTATCCAATCCATCTACACCATATACCACAAAATGCCTAACCACGTCACAGTCGTCTCATGGCAAGATGTCTTCCACAGAGAGATTTGCGCCTACCTATCTAACATAGAAGAACTGGCCGTCTATATCCGAATGCACCCCAAAGACAGAACCGTAAAGACAACCGGAAAAATGTACAACGGCATGATGTTCATCTGGGCGCAGGTCGAGCGCATTCGAGAAATCGGGTTGGAAATGGTCGCCCACGCTCCGAAAAGCCCGCTCATACTCGAGCGCCGCAATTATTGGTTCATCCGTGCTTTGGCGGATCAGACTGAATTCGAGGATGAGTGCGATCGAATGGAGCGCGAATTGGATGCCATGGCCAGGAGGATTTTCCGTCGCGAGGTCGATAATCTTTGGGTTGCGGCGTTTTTGGAGAATGAGTCTTTGCATATAGCGGGGGAGTTTGGGCTTTAGATTATTAAAATGAAAGCTACTGTGTCTGTTTGAGGGTTTGGACTTGTAGAATGTTGCTTTTAATATTTTGATTAAGCTTGCGCAATGTGTTGAGAATAGAGTAATTAGGTATAACGAAGGCCAGCTAGGTATGTGTGCTATATAAAATCATTTGCCCGTGATAATCAAATGAAAGTGTAGATCATGGCCCTGTTGCCCTCAAAAACAAGGCTCGATGGGATCTCTGACGGCGATCGCATGCCCTTTTTGCAGCGCCAAGAATACTTAAAGTGCACCCCGCGCCATAAACCGCCACATGACTGACAAGCGCATTGATAAAGCAAGCCTCCCGAGACCTGAACTCTTTTTTCTGTTTCTTCTCTTATCCCTTGAAACACACCGCGCTAAGCACCACCACCACCATGCGCGGCCTCGACGAAAGTAGCGATGTCCTCGTGCGAACTGGCCAGAAAGCCCAGGAACAAGTACGGCATGTATGGGATGGCTTTGTGAACTTTGCGGCTCGAGATAACGTCCTGGAAGTCGCGTTAGGTTTGATGTACACCATAGTGGTCAATATTTCACGCGCAAATTGCTAATAATCGCCATTTGAAGTATCGCAAACGCTTTTACAAAAGTCGTTACATCTTTCGTATCAGACTTGGTCCTGCCAGTAGTCTCTCTTCTCCCTTTTCTGAATAGGAATATGGATCAGAAATTTGCGGTGTTATCGAAAGGGCCGAATTTTGTCTCGGAAAATGGGTATAACACGCTCCACCAAGCGCGGGAGGATGGGGCGCTGGTTTTGGCTTATGGGTATGTACACATCGAATAGATGTTAAGCGAGATCTTCTCAAGTGATGTCTTTCTCACTCATAGACAGAGCATTCATTGAAACCGTCATGAATTTCCTTGGCGTCAGCCTTACTCTATACGCTGCTGGACACTTGTACATGTTTGTCTTCCATAACAAAATCATTAAGCCGACAATCAGGTGTCCATACTGCAGGCAGTATATTAGTGAGACGGTGAGTTTTGTTCCATCTGTTTGAGGGTTGTATTGGCTGACGGATTGAAGGCTCTTCGTTGTCGCCATTGTTCGACCTGGCAGGATGGAAGAGAGGATGAGCCTAAGAGTAATGCGAGTCTGCGCGAGGACCTGGCTGATGGTGAGCCAAGCTTGATTAGTGAAGTCCCCTAGGCAGCACTGTTGTTGACCCCGGTTCCCCCTTTGCCAGCATGATGAAAGATATGTGGTTGGCAGTTTGTAGCAGTTTAGCAAGTTCAATTTGTGTTGGTGGATAGCAATTTGTTTCCAGTATTGATAGAGAACAAGCAGGGATGAGAGGACTGTTCATGGTATTTTTGTCTAATTAAATGTACAATGTTTAGGTCGACCAAACCAAGTCTATGCCTCTAAAGCGCCCACCATTTAAACTCATACATATCGTCTTCCGCCTCAATCTCCTTCTTACGGCGCCGGGCCCGATTGGCATGGGTCTCAAACTCAGAAGCAGGCGACCATGCCGCATCCCATGTCTCAGGGAATCTAAAAGCATTTCTGGACTGCAACTTGCCAAGACGGAAATCGAGAGGCTCCACGCCAGCGCCCGGATCAGACGGCAGGCGCATGAAGTGGCGCACGATATCCGGGATCTCTTCCGGTACATGGCTGATGGTGAGCAAGACCTGCTGATCTGAAAGGCCGGTGAGGAGGTAAGGCGTCTCATCCCTTTCAGGGTGACGATGTAGCGGCTTCTCGCCCTCGTTGAGGAACCACATGCATTTGTCGCGCTGGGAGGCGGAGAGTCCAGAGAAAGCCTCGTCAAGAATGACGATATCCGGTTTGGCGATGAGGGCGCGCAAGAAGAGGACAATGCGCTGTTGCGCGACGGTAAGCTCACCGAACTTGATGTCGTCCGCATACCCAACCATGTGATCTATCGCATAGTGTTCTTCCTTCACATTGGTGCTCTTTGCGAGTTGCGGGAAATGATCCGTCGAAATTTTTGGAACGGCGGTTGAAGCGTGATTCGGGTCTAGTTCGGGCTTCCAGTGAAGCAGCATTGCATTGATGCGATTGTCAATTTCGACATTGAGCTTTGGTTTTGATAGGACTGTCTCGGCGAAAGCGGACTCGAGAGCTCCCCGGACAGTTAATTGGCGTGGGAAGAATGCGTGGATTTCTGGGGATGAGTGTCCTATGCGAGATTGGAGTTCAAAGATTGAAATGCCGGGTACGCCATTTTCAGGGAGTCGGGATCGACCGAAGAGTTTGATAGGCTGCGCATATGTCTGCGGGTGATCGGATGTGATCATTGATAACAATGTCGTTTTGCCGGAGCCATTGGCGCCAAGAATCGCCCAACGTTGCCCTCGGCGAACTCGCCAGTGCAAACCTTCTTTTGTTTTTTTGTTGACCTGCTGCTTCCAGCCTCCGAGAACAACCTTGTCCCCATACTGGACACGAACACCCTCCATCTCGATGATGGGCTCTCCACCCGCTTCCGCGGAAGGTCTTTTGAGCTTGAGGTCATTCTTCGGCGCTACCAAGTCCCGAACCAATCCCTTGTCCAGGATACCAGCTTTCAAATCTGCTTCGGCTTTTTCGTATATCGCTTTCCGCTGTCTTTCCAGTGGTCCGCGCAAAAAGTTCTCGTCTGTTTTGTTGATGAGTTGGGACCACACAGTCAGTGTGTCGTCGATTTGCCGCTTCGGACCTTGCAGGACGATATTATGGTCATTGCCTACGACCATAACATGCGTGATCCAGTCTGGAACTTTATCTTGAGGCCGCAGAGCCAAAATTATGCGCGGGTCGGATTTCTTGACGAGGGTATGTAGAAGCTCAGAAATACTCCTGGTAGTAACCGGGTCCAATCCCACTACATGTATGTTAGAGAGACATACAACCTTCAAGCTGATATAAAGACAACTTACTGAATGGCTCATCGAGGAGCAAAAGCTCCGGCTTTCCTAACAACGCCTTTGCAATCCGTGCTCGGCGTGTTTGGCCATTGCTCAGATTCTGCACGGGCATATCGAGCAAATCCTTTAAATGAAGATCGGTGATGACCTTATCAAGAAATGCCTCATCTTGTATTGTGCCATTTTCCTCGCCCTCCATCGGGTTCAAGGAGGTCTGGCCGCGCAAATACTGCCGTACAGTCCAGTCAGTTGCCTCCCGATGGCTCTCATAGCGAGCACTAAGGTATGCGCCACGAGTCCCACCAATGGCCTCCGACCCTTCTCCATTGAATCCAAGATATTGAATCGCATACAACTCCGAGCGTAGCCGGGGATCCTTGTCCGTGACTTCCTCCGTGTGTAAGTGTGGGTATGAACGCGCGAGGGGCGGAATGCAGATATGTTGACCGCCGAGGATGTGAAGGAGATCAGTTCGTGTAGACGGACCCACTATAGCCCATAATCGACGATTGGCTTCTATCCTGGTTACGCGTATTGAGGGGAGTGTGAAGGTGAGGTTCGGGAACATGGGCGGATTGGATGAATCTTCGGCGGTCGGATATTGCTTATAAAAGGTTCCATTGATGATGCGAATAAGTGGTTTGGTTGTGGCAAATCGAATTGAGCGACATGCCGCAGGCCGCAGTGTCCTGGGCCGCAGTGTCGTTCGCAGCAACATTGTCTATTGGATAAAGTTCGGAGATTGGAGATTCGGGGTTAGCATTTTAGATGGTCACGTGAATGCCATTGGTAGTGGAATGTGAGATTTGTATAGAAAGCATGTGTGCTACTATAGAAAGCTATACAAAGCATCCATGAATATCTACATACCTATACATATTCATGCAGATTGTTTGAGCTGCGTTTGGTGGAACGACTTGCAGGGAGGACGTGCTTTATAGATCGGTCATGCAACCTTGGAATATCATCCATTTTGATGAGTTACTATGAACTTGAGAAGACTATTTGAAGTACTTTGCTAACCCAATTGCAAACATCACACACCTTTCTCCCCAATATTAATATTTTCACCTTTCTCTTATGTTTTTTTGATCGATTTATACTGCTCACGTGACCCATCCGATTCCCACATCCGAAAATCCTCGGACGTGCCTCTTTCTTTCGGATCTAACGGTCTGGTCTTCACACTTCAAAGATGCTGTATTCCGTCTTTACATAATAAGTCGAAAATGTGCAATGATTGCTGCATTAGATTATATAAATTTATCTCTGTTTCTGGTTCTTTTTTATTTTTTGCCAAGTCAAAACAAGTATAAATAGGCAATCCCATATCCGTCGACGAGCCGACGGCCGATGCGGGTATGGCCACCCGACGGCCAATTTCTCGGGTCCCGGTTATCATCGTCATATATAACCAATTGCCTAGGTAGAATCTTAGAGTTCTGAATTTGCCATAGACAAATCTCTTAACCATCTCCGGTCATCTGCGCGACAAGCACGACCCGTATTTTCTATCGAGAAGATTGGAACCTTGGAAGTCCCCTGCATGATATATACACCTGAACAACACAAGTACACATCTCGACACAAATCACCAACCATGTCAGGCAGCAGATACTCCCCGGTCCTTGAGACCAGTCGTATCTTTTCCGACCTCTGTGAGCAATCAGAGCGCTTCAATTTGCCACCTGATGTGCTTGAGAACAAGGACCGTGTCTCCTTTTCCACCAGCCACAATGAAATCTACTTTCCCATTCCGTTCAAGGAAACCGAAACTCTCGCCGCGTTGAAGGGTATCGAGGGTTCTGTGGCTGCCTCGATTGCAGATCTGCGCTTTGGTGCTGGCGCGCAACCTCGTGGCGTCCAGGTCAGCCTGGAGGCTGCGACTGCTTTCGGATGTCAAGCATACATGGCCAAAGTAGATGGCCTGTCCAAACTGGACCCCAACGTGAAATCAAAGCTCAAGAGTACGTGGTTTGTGGATTCTGTTAAAGAGGATAACAATATTGACTCGTGCAGATACCGACTTGTTGGCTGCTCAGTCAAACGGTTACCGACGTATGTCGGCCAATCTGTACAAGACCAAAAACCCCGGAGAGTTCTTCCATATTCATGGGTCTTTGGAAGCAACGACTACCTTGAACATGATCGGTTTGGAGGGTCAGCGACCCGATCTGACTGACTACGAAGAAATCATCAAGGTTATTGAGGATAAGACACAGCGATACACAGCTGCGGAGCTGGAAGAAATGAACAAGGAGAGACGCCAGGCTGGTGTCACTGCTTACAAATATGAAGATTTTATCAAGACTCCCCATGTGAGTTTTGCCTCATGCAAGATCCAGCGGAAATATGCTAATACTTAATAGGGAAAACTTAATGTCGAAGAACCTGCTTGGAAAGTCAGCAAGCTTTCAGGTGATCTCCCCCCGACACCGTTCCCAGCCACCCGTAATGGCAGCAAGAAGATCCTTGAGGGCGTCAAGGTCCTGGAAATGTGCCGTATCATTGCAGGACCTACTGTTACCCGCATCTTGGCCGAGTATGGTGCCGATGTCCTAAAGATCACCAGCCCCAGTCTTTCAGATGTTCCTTTCTTCCAAGTCGACGGTAATATGGGAAAGCACGCCGCTGACCTCGATCTGAAGAGCGAAGCTGGACGTAAAGAGTTTGAAAAGCTCTTAGATGATGTCGATGTCATCGTGGATGGATACCGCCCGGGAGCCCTAGACAAGCTCGGTTACGGAGCTGAGGCCATGGCCGCTCTGGCCCAAAAGCGTGGAAAGGGCATCGTTTACGTGAATGAGAACTGCTTCGGATACGAAGGCGAGTGGGCTGGCCGTGCGGGATGGCAGCAGATTGCAGACTGTGTAAGTTTTCATTTTATCCTGCAGACCGCTTAAATCATAACTAACCCAAACTCCAGGTTACCGGAATTGCCTGGGCTCAAGGCCAATTCATGGGTCACTCCACCCCTGTCGTTCCTCCTTTCCCTATCTCTGACTACGGCACTGGCTGCATGGGCGCCATCGCCGCGCTAACGGGTCTGTACCACCGTGCCAAGACCGGTGGATCATACCACGGCAAAGCCTCGCTGATGCACTATGACCTCCTTCTCTTCGCTATGGGCCAATACCCAGCCGATGTGCAGGAGGAGCTTCGCAGGGTGCAAAGCGCCGACTTCTTCAAGCTGCGCCACTGTGATAGCGTCGACCGCATCTCGTCCACTGTTCTAAAGAGTATGCAGCAGCGGTTCCCGCACTTGTACAGGCCCGCTGGAGAAGAGTCGGAAGGCTGCAAGCCCCTGACTGAGCTTTGGTCATCGCGCGCTTATGGCGCGGATGTTGAGATCGTGAAGCCTGTTGCTATTGTTGAGGGTGTGGACAATCAATTTATTCGTGCCAGTCGTCCTAATGGGTCTGATCGGGCTACGTGGGAGGACTTCAATGTTGCTGAGGGGGATGCGAAGAAGTGTTAGGCGATTTGCTCCTATTTTCAATTTTGCTTCATCCAAGAAATGGTTTGTACATAGACTGCAATTCAACGACTTTTCATGTCACATTTTAGGAATATCGAAATCACTGTTATGAAATATGACAACTCGAAACAAACTACGTTGTCATGGAGAAGATACGATGGGCAATGAGATATGAAGAAAATGAATATGGAATTGCGTACGGAAAGAAGGAGATGTATATCTATCTATCTCATACATGGGAGACTATCCCCAAATGGGATGTCATCTGACATCCCAACACAAAATCAGCGCCATCGGGTGTCTGAAAATTTGCGGCGATGCAATTTGTGGTTTTTTGAGGTCAAGCCGATCATTCACTTCTGATAGACAAGAATTCGTTTCCATTCATCTAGCCCAGAAGAACCCTCCAGGGCTCTTGATATATCTCACACATGTGTTAAACTAATAAGATTTCAAAAGTCATCGGTGGAACCAATTGGGCCAGACCGCTCTCTTATAGTTTAGATCGATTCAGTGAACGAGTGCCGAGCACTGTTAGAAAGGCCCACGGGAAGTGAAAGCCAATAAGTAGTGCGAGAAGGGAATCTCTGTAGATTTATCACGTCATGATCCTCACCTAGGAATGAGAGTTCATCGCCAAGCTTAATAGAGTCTATATTCAGCACACGCACAAGGTCATGGTGCTTCGGAGAGAAAAACGAGCTTCGCATTTCATTTTGATGTAAATTTTTTGGGGAGGTTCAACAGTCCAACAATCAGCTGACCGGTGGAAGTTGAGGGGATCAACTCACTGCTGGGCGGCGTTCAAATAGCCACTGCATTATTATATGATACCGGAACTAGGTTGGCCGTATTGAGTTTTCAATATTAGAGCTCGTTATAACCTTTCAAATCAAAATAACAATGACAAATCCTTTCTTCCCTATCATCAGCATGCTAATTTTCTGAGCATAATACTAGGCCTTTCTCCAAACTTCCTCTCGACCCATTTTAATGCGACCTCGTACACTTGTTGTCGGAGACTGGATTCACACCGCCTTATGATTAATCCTGCAGAAGGAGGCGGTGTATCCACTGTCGTCTGCCAGGCGGGGAGGTTTCGACCAATCAGGTATCAAATCTCGATAAGGTCGGAACATCTGAAGATTTTAAAAAAAAAACACAATCAGTTCAACCTCATCAATCATGTCGCACATCACAGAGCACCCGTCGCGGGCGAAGCGAAGAAAGCTCGATGAACCAGAGGCAGAGAAGCCAGCTGTCACATCAAATATCAAGAATCCATCCCAGCTACGTGAACTGTTAGCTGTCCAGCAAAATGCTCCGCTGGCGAAGCAAGGTGAGACAGACAGATAACTCTAAAGCGGCTAGCAAACTGACTCAGTTTTACAGGCATCAACAAGTTCAAAGAATTCCTCCTGTCGATAGGCCAAGCAGAGAATGAAGCTGCCAAGGTGGAGAAGTTGCGCGTCCTCAAGAATTATTGCGATAAGCAAATCACCAATTCCGGCAAGGAGGATGAGACTTCAGTCTGTTTCCCAGATTTGATTGCCTCCTGGGCGTTTGCAGACGGAAACAACAACGAACCTTTGTTAACAGGTGTACCATCTGTTCTGGCGCTTTTCTTTAAGACAATCTCCTCGGAGCTGGAATTCCGAGAATTCGGAATCGCACTGTGCAAGCATCTTCTGCAGAAAGATCAGCTGCGATTGTTCAATCGCGGTCTCACAGCAACCAAGTCTAAGGAGCATTTGATCTCACCATGTCTGCGTTTGCTTACGGAGATGGTCACTTTCGATGGAGGAGCCGTGGCACGCCAGTTATATCTCCGGCGTTACATTACCTTCAAGCGATTAGAGGTATTCTTAACTCCTAACAAGATGCAGGAGGGCCCAGATGGAGAATCGAAGAAGTCGACTCTCAGACGGAACGCTCAGACATACTTGCTTGCGAACCTGAGACTCCAACATGCTTCCGAGAAGGGCGATATCATCGAACAGCATAAAATTACCAGATCTTTCCTCGAATATATCCGCAAAGATTCTCGGGAGACAGTGCTGGAGATTATCAAGGCTATTGAGCGGGACGTGGTGCAAGATGCCAATCTCTCGCGCAAGTCTAAGAGCAAGTTCTTTAACCGCCAAAATTTGGAGCGCCTGGTGACCCTGTATGGATATGACCGAGAATCAGAGGAAGCGAACCCTGACGGCATTGTGATTGCCAATGAGATTCACCGGGTCATGATGAATGTCTGCAAGACTGCCGGGCTTGGTGTTCTCTTACCGGAAACAGGCTGGTACCCGGTCGGAACTGACCCAGAGACTTTGCCTACCGACGACGATGCGTGCATTGAGTTGGGCCTTGATTCGCCCGTTTATGTCGACAAATACAGAGACTCCGTTCCGGTGAGGAACGGGTCTCTTTCCTTTCTTATCCAGTGTCTCCGGCCAGATCAGGATAGTCTGCAGATTGAGTTGCTCGTCACAATATTCAAGGTCGCACCTGAGTTGATTGCGGATTTCTTCTCGCGAAAGACTATGTTCATTTCAGACCCCAAGGCCACCCCCTCATGGATGGCTGAGTCGGCTTTCCTCTTCTCAACTGTGCAGCTGCCTGTTCCTGCGAACTGCGGTTGGAAGGAGAAGCAGCCCATCCTGCCACCGCCGGTTTCCATCGTTATCGAAAATATCCTTCCTCGTCCCCTCAGCCAGAAGATCATGACCCGCTGTCTTAACCAGAATGCGGAAATCATCACGTTGTTCGCCGTTCGAATTCTGACTGTCGCTTTTGCTAAACTGCGAGCCGTTCTCAAAGTCTTCCAGGCCGACCATGGCCAAGGCCAACTCTTCTGGAACCAGGCTTCCGCTAAGCTTCTCGCGGAGTTCTCTCGCCGATGCCCGGCAGTCAAGGATGTTGTAGTTCTCTTTCGCCGAACAGAGAAGGAAGACTTGACACAACAGGAGGCTGTTGCCGAGCTCTTGACCTGCTATTACGAGGTGATGCCTGATATTGCCCTCGAGGAGAACTTTGACGTGTCGCTGGTTTTGGTCGACTTACTCAAGAGACTAGAAGCCTCGGATGTCAGCGCAGACGACTCAGAATCGCTTATGAGTCAACTGCAGAGTATTCTTCAGATCGCACAGCAATCAGCTTCACTGCGTTGGTGGCAAAAGCCAGCAAACATGCAATACTCCCCATTCACCTCTATTCTGAAGGTCCTTATGGATACTTCGGACAAAAATTCTTCGCGGCGTATCTCTAGTTTGCTCAAGACTGTACTGGTTGAGAACTCCATTTTGCAGAGCTCCCCCCACGCATTTACATCTATCCTATCCAGTCTTGAGAACTCTGAGTCTGACGCCTTGCACCAGCAGTTGATATTCTTTGACAACTGTGTCTCTCGCGTTGCAAAGAAGCCTGTTCACTATCTCGATCTGCTTCAATCATTGTCCTCGGATTCTGGAACTACTAGCGCGCTCGTGGCTGTCATCGTTGAGCAATGGCCGTTTGTCGTCAAAGCTGGAGATGCGTCTGTCGAAACTGCCGTTGGATCTTGGATCGCCAGTCTTCTCGGAAACCTGAAGCAGGCGGGTGAAAGCACCAAGACACTGAAGGCTGCTCGCGATGCATTGATCGAGGCAACTGAGACTAAAAAGACTAAATCTCTGTTTAAGAAGTCGCTCAAGGAGGCGGATGACGTCGACGCAGAAGACAAAATGGATATTGACTCCGGATCAGCTGTGCCTACGACCAATAAGGTCTCCGCAATTGATCTTGATGAGATCTTCGGATTCCTGCCCACCGAAGGCACCACCCACAACGCTCTTAACAAATGGGAAAGAGAAGAAATTGAAGAAGCAGTGGACCAGGGCCACATCGGCGAACTCATGCTCTGCCTATGCTCCGAACACGAAGAAGTCCGCAGGCAGGCATTTGCCAATCTCGTCCGCTTCATGGCCAAGCTCAAGGAGTCCAAGTACGAAGAATGGCGCACGGTGTTCACCTTGACCGGAGAACTCCTCGAAACAGTCAACAACATCGGCATGGAAAAGCCCGTTCCCTGGATCGTCGGCGAATGTGCCTCGAACTGCCTGGCCGTTCTCACAAACCCCCTCCACAAAGTCTACGGCAAAGTCAACAAGTTCCTTCAAAAAGCTCCAGTATGGGAAGTTGAGAAGATCCCCACATACTGGGTCGATAAGATCCTGCTCCACGAACCCGAGCTGGACGATGGCTATTTCGATGAGATCGACTGGCTACTGAGTCTATTCGTTAAGGCTCTCCGCACCGAAGCTGTAAGTCTATTATTTTACTTCATACTCGCACAATTGCTAACACGTCACAGGATATGGAAGTATACCGACGCGCCAATGTCTTCGAGCGTGTCCTTTCCCTCTACCAATCACCCACACTCGGCCCAGCGGCTCGACGAAAGATCCTACACATTGTCTACCGTGCTGCCCAGGTCGGCGGCAGTACGACCCTGATTACCCGTTCTGGTGTTATCAGCTGGATCCAAATTCAGGCTGCTGAAGCTGAAGAGAAGGAGCATGCCCAGCTGGCCGCTTTGGCTCGTGCTTTGTACGAGAAGTGTGATCGGGAGCGAGTTGATGCGTGGAGCAATGGGACGTTGGGGCGTGTCATTGATGATCTTCAGGTGTAAACCTTAGTACGCTGTTTGTATAATATAAATTCGTTCTATTTATTCATCCATTCATCGGGGCGTTTGATTTTCCATCAATGTAGCGCAGTGGTCTTTGACGTATTGCATCTTTGTTGCCTATATGTTTGCGAAGCCTCTCCTGGGTACAAGTAATAATCCTTTCTCCCAAGAATCAAGATCTCTGTTTTTTCAACTGCCTTGTATGTCACATCCAACAACTATGGTCGGACACAGCAAACATATGAAGTTCGACTGAATGTACAAACAAAGTATTCCTTTCCTGGACACCAGCAACATGCCCACAATTGATTTCCATCATGTTTAAGCCAGTTGATGGTTATTTCTTCCATTTTCTCGTTATATGTCTTTGTCTTTGAGATGAAAGATTTGTACAGCTAAGCTTTCAAGTTATATTTGGAGTCAGTTTCATTCAAAAAGCTGGACTGGATCAAAGATCAATGAATGGTATTATCGAAAATATAAGGTAAAGACCATTGTTCTCAATCAACCACCACCATGAATAAAAAGAGCCTCGAGCTCTCGAGACCTTCATTATTCTCGTGCAACATTAACCGACCACCACAATCTATCCACATATTCAATCCGGAAATCAAGCGCAAATTAATTTTAATTCTCTCAGTCATGGACGATGAAAAACGGAAAGCCTTGACTCAGAATCGTACAATCTTTCTAGAAAACGGTCAACCCAAATTTGAGAATCTCAGCACCCTTCCCGAGCTCTGGTGGGTTTCAGTGCGACTTACAATGACGGACCGTTTGGTGGCGGACCCAGAGTTGATGGATGTTGTGATTCAACATCTAAAGACTGGGAAGGTAGAGTTCAACCACTACGAGGCACTGCATCACCAGAAGCCACTTTGTGTCTCGTTGCCGGTTATGAACCTGGAAGTGGGGCGCCAGGGGTGGGTTTATCTTGCCATTAGACTTGCTGAGCACTAGAGGGGGGAAATGATGGCGGGACGCCTTGCCGTCGATCGAGATTACCTCTTTGATGACCGAACTTAGAGAAAGTTTACCGCTCCAATGTCCGGAATCTCATTTGATAGCTTCATATAATTCAACTGGACTATCATTCATATGTAGTTTCGGACCGGTAGTGTATTATTCTAAACATATGCAGCTATAGAAGTACTTCAAAATCTTTTAGATCTAATTATAGCATCGATCAGGCCTTAACTCATTCAACCAAAATCAGCAAACTGAAATCCATATTCCCCAAGTTGGCCAGATCCCATTTGAAGTTTTCTGGTATCAAAGGTGACAATGCAAACGAAGACACGGCGTCCGAAAAAGATGGTGTTAAATTGTCCGGAAGAATGTCCGCCGGTGTGTTTGATATCCCCATAGCAGATAAATCATCACCTTCGATTGATTGGGATGGGTAAAGGTGAGATGGATTTACTTGCGGATAGAGAGATAAAGTTGTTGGGAAGTCTCCCGTACAAGTTTGTGTCTGAATGGAGAGTAAGCGCCAGTCTCCCAGTCAGGCTTAGATAAAAAGCAAAACGAGTTTGATTTTTACTATGAAGTCATTTTGTTGTGTGAAAGTCTCGGACATATGCGAACCTCGGGCTGCAGTAGGATATAAGCTGTTCTTTTGGTGATGATCATATCCATCCCGACCACGCTTCATCGGCTTGGATCCATTGGAATGGGCCCTTTTGATGAATTTGCCAGCAACATTACCCAATTTTACAAAAAGTTGAGCAGCATTGGCCGTGGGGGCATTGGCATGGAAAGCGGGTTCCGAACGTAAGGAAATGACTAACTCCATGAGCTTGAGATCGGAGAGGGCATGTGGCCCCGGAGTATTTTGAAGAATATTGGCGAACAGAGTAAGGAAATTAGAGAGGGGGTGGCAGAGAAACATCCTTTCAAGTAGTTGGCTAGCACAAGCCTTGTTCTACCCAACGTTAACAAATGAAAGAAAACGGAAAACCAACCAAAGATTACTTTCGTCAATTCGAAAAGTCTACCGAGTTCAGAAGCTGGATAGGCTGTCTTGCGGCTGCAAAACAAATTGCCCCAGTGTCACATAAACGTGAGTTGAGGTGCCGGCCATCTCGCACCTTGTTCTGTTGCATGTCGTGATGACTGCTTGTCCAGGAGCCGTGTTGTATAGAAAAGCGATGGATGATTGTGAGGCAACTCAAATATCCAAATGCATCGAAATAATTGGCAGAGCCAAGTCTTTGTCACATTGGATAGGCAGTTCTGGCCGGACACCACGGGCAACTTGTCCTTCCATGCCATGTCTTATGCAATTCCCCAACCAGTTTCGATCGCTCCACGAGTGATCAAGTCTGCTCTCGGGCTGAATAGAGTGTTGAGTAGATACGGCTCTCATTCCTGACTAGTTCCATGTAATAACGAAAAATGGCTGCTCTGTTGATAGTCTCGGTTCCATCAAATAGGGATTCTTGAGACGGTAGATTAATAACGATATCGTTGGTCATTCATCACGGAAGGCTGTCCAAGTCTTAGATCAATGGACTTATCCATAGCGTAAAGATCCCATCGCTGGTCTCCTTAATATCTATCTATCTTTGATTGTAGTACAGATCACCGATCATTAAATTTTAGAAGTGGTAATCTTTGAACATTTATCTAGTATGATGAAACAAGACTGCGATAATCGCAGAATTGCATTTGCCAGTAACAGGGAGTTCAGCTCATCTAGTCGACGATGTAGCCATATTACCATGACCAATGGCCCACCTGCCCATCGATCTCTCAAAATTTCAGCATTTTGTTTTCAAAAAAATTAATTTTGTGATAGCGTAGGTGCTCCGATTATCGTGGGTCCGTAGATTTGATTGTCCGGCGAGCAGATAAGGGGTGCCTGGCTGTCTTGGACAAGATGATGTTTGGTGATGATGTATAATGGCAATATAATATATCTTTCATAATGGCATCCAATCACAGTATATATAAGGAAATTTATGTCATGGCTTTAAGCTCTCTCTCCAACATGGACTTCTGACATTCTTTCATACTGAGCCCTAGACGATATGCGCCATTTCTTTCCAAACAGAATCATTGGAATACAGAGCAAGTTGCATCCAAGCGCTAAGCATCCAATGAGTGTAAATGTTCCGTATAGACCCATGTTGTTGATCCAAGGGTCTAACACGAAGACGATCAATGTGGCACACATATATTGTACAAAGCTGACCCCGATCAATGCGGTTCCGAGAATCTTGATATGAACATAATTAGCGATCATTCAACAATAAGCGATAGCTGGCCTATGCACTCAAGCGGCATTGATTAGTGGCACTCACTTTATGATAGGAGTCCGAGAGATAGACCAGAACAATGGGTATCAATGCCGCCATGCTAAAGCCATAAAGCCCAGATCCTAGACACGGTAAGATCCACGGCAAGCCCTGAAATGGCTTTGTTAGAATCGGATTCAGACGCACTTCGGTCTTGGATTGGATTTGGGGAGGAGGAGATACCTCTGCAATGGTGTATCCATACAGAAACAGTCCTGCGGGACCCACGATTCCAGGTACTATAGAAATGTAAAGACGCATTTCGGGCTCATAGATGTTCTCATTTCGGCGTGCCAGTACTTGGATTGACCAATCACTCAATGGACCTCCCCAGGCACATCCAAAAACAGAACCAATGAAGGGGGATAAATTTAGCAAACCGATCCCTATCGTACCAAAGTTATATGGTGGCAGGGAAAAGTATTGGGACTGTGTGGTCGCTACTACTGCGAACCATACAAGTGTCGAGCTATATTGTATTGTAACATAAGTGACGGCTGGGATGGTCACCAGTACTTGGAGTGGTCGATATAGATGTGATATGTATTGACTGGAGGGTTCGGTGGATGGTGTAAATATTGCTAGGCGTTGGCGCCATGTGTTTCGCGGAATGGACGGTTCGTCCCAGTTGTGTAATTCGATTGGATGTGGTGATGCGTTCATCGTCAGCCCAACAGAAGAATCCGTTAAAATCTGCCTCTTGTAATGGCCAGCCAAGCTGCCCGTGCCAGTGTCAACATCTGGGACCAGGGCGCTCATCTCCAGTCCGGTTATGGTCTGGATGCTGAACTTGGTCTCTTCAAAGAAGAAGATGAAGAGAACCAGATTAACGGCTACAAAAATAGCACACCACCAGTATATCCATGGCCATCCCTGGCTATCAGCGATATATCCGGCGGCGACTGGAGCGAGAAAGACCTTTGATTTTCATCGAGTCAACATACTACCCATATCTTCAGATCGAATTTCCATACCCCAGTACTACTCATCAATTGATAGATTGAGTTTGCTCGACCCCTTTGGTGAACGAAGAATAAATCGGTAATCTGTAAGGCCAGTATTAGAGTCTCTCTATGGTCAAGTAGTTAAAATCCACGTGTCCTACTGTGATCGGCACTAGCGTCCAACCAACGGCACACGCAAGTCCATTAAATACCTGTGCAGCCATCATGTTGGGCAAATCTCGGAGTACGGCCTGCCATATCGTGGTGACCAGAACCACGACAGTGGTCAGAAGATATATTGGTCGGCGACCAAATTTCAGAGCCAAAGGCACCAAGCATATTGATCCAAGCCCGAGGGAGACACAATTTACCGCATATTGATTGTTCAGCTGGGGATAAGAAATATGAAGAAGTTGCTCAAAGTCTTGCCATATCACTGGCCCGATATCAATCCTAGATTCATTAGCTCGCTGAATCAACTAGAATGGTGAAGTTCAGATGTACAATGCAAAGACCAAGAGCGTAAACACAGACACAATGGCGAAGTTGACGGCTTTTCGGCCAGATGACCAATTCTTCAAAGTGAGTGTCAACATATTGCATTCTGGAATAGATTTATGTTCAGATCTCTTACCAAAGGGTCGTTCGGGTTCAATGTGGGCTTTGGCTCAAGGATGGTTATGCTGTCGCCGGGTCCCTCTTCGGCTGTTTCGTTTGATCAGCCGTTGAAAAATAGTGGTTACTTCAAAAAACAAGTGATGATATAGCTTACCAGAAATCTTCATAAGAGCTGTCCCAGGAGCGTCCAAAACCTTCCTTTCGCTATCAAATCCGTTTTCACTCATTTCAATATCAATGGCTTCGGTCATAACTGTGAAGATGGTTGATACTTCCCGTTACAAAAAGGCAAGTCGAACACTGTCCTATACTCTGGCACATTGAATACTTTGAAAGCACCTTATTATATTAAATGAGACCTCGTATCGGGTGCGGGGAAATGGCAAGCGCTATCGTTCCATGATTGTGATATCGACCTTCTCTAATACTCTCAGCCCGATAAGGGCGAAATTACCCACTGTGCACAGATATATGTTGATGATAACTCTATCTAAGGACCAGAGCATATCACGGATACTGCTGAGCTCATGTTTCGGCGATCAGACCAATTCCAGATGACATATTTGTGTATGCTTCGGTTCTATCGTCGAATCAAAGCTCATCGGTGCTGATTCAAACCGAGGAGGGACGAATGTTTATCATTTTAAGAAGGTCCTTGCAGGATGTGGGTTTATGAATGCTCGGTTCGATCGGGACATCGCATGTACTTGCTATTCGAATAGAAGTCAATTGAAGTAGTCTCCGCGAGCTCCGCGGGCCACACGGAGCATTTCCCCCTCAAATCTATATCAAGCCGAAGTTTCACCAATGGACGATATTAAATGATCTTTATTCTTCAAAGATTTTGTGCTGGTTCAATATTTCAATCAGACTATCATCTGTCTCTTTGCATTCTTTCAAATTCGCAACCATGTCGACGATCAAAGTTGCACTTATCCAACTTCACCCACAGGTATGTAGATTACGTGCATTCAATGTCTCTTTATAGATTCTGACTTGAAATCTAAATTTAGCCTCACCAAACTGAGTCTAACTTGGCTCGTGGAATTGCCTACATTCGAAAAGCTGCTTCTGATGGTGCAAACTTGGCAGTTCTTCCTGAGTACCAATTAGGAGATTTCCTCCCCGAGGATCCAAAGTTCCGCGACCAATGCGCGAATTGGAAAGTGCACCTGGACACGTATTGTAGTCTTGCGAAAGAATGCAATATATGCATTGTGCCGGGATCCGCGGCGGAACTGCATCGCGATGAAACAACAGGAACAGAAGCAATCTACAATGTGGTCTATTTCATTGACAATACTGGTACCGTGGCCGGTCGATATGCGAAAAAGAATCTTTGGCATCCTGAGCGGCTATACGTGAAAAGCTCACAACATGATGCTCATGTTGCCTTTGATACGCCATTGGGAAAAGTCGGCATGCTAGTTTGCTGGGATGTTGCCTTCCCAGAAGCCTTCCGCGAATTAATAGCACAGGGCGCAAAGCTAATCATTGTGCCATCTTTCTGGAAGCTCACGGACTGTGCACCACAGGGCACGCTGCATAATCAGCTTGCAGAACAGGTATTCCTCGATGCGGCTCTCATTAGTCGAGCATGCGAAAATACCTGTGCTGTGGTGTTTTGTAACGCGGGAGGTCCAGCCGATGATGGCTTTGCTGGTTTGTCTCAAGTTACAGTTCCTTTTTTGGGCTGCATCGGAAGGGTGGAAACCTGTGAGGAGGGAATGAAAATCGTCGACTTGAACATGGGACTTCTGGAGGACGCCGAGTCTGTCTATAAGATTCGACAGGACCTCGCACGTCCTGACTGGCATTATTCGTATACAATCAGAGACAGTATCTAGCTTGATGTCCAGAAATGCATTTTTAGCAAATTGATAATCACAGGCCAATGATCTTCAATGCTGGTTGATATCGCCTTCCAGTCGTGACTCTAGTAATATCAATCAGCATCGTTCACTCCAGGGCTCAATTTTAGCCTTGCTTTGTAATTCAAAGCAGAGTACTCTGTATAAAGTCTCATACGTCGGCTCGAGGAAGCGGAACAGGGCAGTGCAGGCTGTAGCGAAGTCTTCGTCATAGTTCAAGTGGATCGATATATCTTAACCGAGGGAAAGTTTGTTTGAAACGCCACGAATAAAGGATATGCGCTAACCAAGTCCGTTAAAAAACACATCTCATCATGGTTCTCAAAAGGGTATCATTGACTTTTATCTCAAGATTCGGCCTGACTCAGCTTGTAGGAACTTTGGACGCCGTCGACGATAGTTTCATCCGGATTGAAAAGCTTCGTCGGCTGGCGCATCGTGTGGGAGATTTTGGACTGCGTCTTCCTGGAAGTGATGTTCACGACGAACTTGTCGACTGGATAAGCGATATTGTACATGAGATTAGCGGAATCAGAGTCCTGGAATCTCAATACGATCTAATTACTTGGAAACCAAACCAAGGCAGCAGTCTTGTCCAATCTGGGGGTTTGTGCGTCCATTCTCGATGCAAGATCCAAGATTTACCAATCGTTGGCGCGATTCCTATCACCTTGCCAACGAACGACTCTTTCCTTAGTGGCTCATTGATACATATTCTACCCAATCAAAGTATCTCATCTGTGAATGTCACGGGCAAGGTCGTCTTGCGATACTATTTTCCTATGTCACTGCCGAATAGCTATCTTTTCGACGATGTACACATAATTTTCATCTTATCGAATCCTTCTTTTCTTTCCCATTGCTTTCTATCTGGAGAATACATGTGCTAGCCCACCATAACACAATATCTCACCAGATCTTGTAGCCCAGTTGAACGGGTCTTATGAAAGGCCATATCTCACAACACCCAGCGAGGATTCGATTGCTTCCAGTCAGGGTGGAGCAACGGGGCTCATCAACGCGTTTGGCATGCCTCGTAAGGCCATGGAGAACTAAAATCCGCATTTTGGACGACACTACTCAGTCCCTGGAGTGTACCTTGGCCCCGAGCAATAATACTTGCTTCGCAACGCGTCTCGGTCTGCTCACGCAGCATCGATCAAGATCTCCGCCGATACGGAGTTGCAGGATCACGATAATATATATATATTGGTATTTTTCTGTATACCGATGAGAGATCTATGTAAAAATCCTTTCTCCTATTTTTCGTGTCTATTTTTGAAAGTCTTTCTAAAAAGCTTCAGGGCAAACAATCAACAATGCACGGCCCAAAATATCATACATCTGTCGAACATCTGGCGCTTCAGAGCTCCAAGTACACAACATTCTCGACGAAATTTTCATCAGGTCTGAAAGATTGACAGGAGAGTGTAAATCCTTGATATTTGCACGTTCAACCGTCAAAATGACCATAGCGAGTCCCCAGATACCGCGAAGCGCATACCAAATCCCACCATGGCGACCTTGCTTGCTGAGATGAATAATCAAGCCGCTTGCTAATTTCACATATTCATTGGCACGCAAAATAACGTGTCGATCTACGGGGCCATCGTGGTGTAAAGTGTAATAAAGGAACGGCCGGAGAATAGCCTCTTTACCACCCAGAAATCTTCCTTGGAGCAGACAAGATAGCTGATGACTCGGTACGATTTCAGGGTCTTGAGATGGCCTTATCACAAGAGGCAGATGTTCATACCATGTCGTCAATTGGTGATCGATGTGTGTGAATTGCTGAGAAACATAGTTGATATTTTTCATCCATACCTTTGGGCCTTCCGGTAGATATACAAGTGGCAGTGCATGATCAAGTGTTCTTCGTAACGCAATCTCAGCGAGGTAGTATAGCCAACTATACTCCTGACTTTTGCTGAATGATACATCCCGGGTGATAGTGCCAGAGCGTTCATTGTATAATTCAGGTAGTGTAGGAGGCGAGGGAAATGAATCTGGATAATCAAGAGATATGAGAGCACTTCGAGGTAGGGGAAGTTCCTTTAGGAACTCGCTGGATTGAAGAAATAAGCATTTTGTAATATATGGATGGCTCTTTGGGTTTTCTGACCTTTCTGCTTTGATGCAAGACCAATAGAGGCGTTGTTCGATACGGCGGTCATTGTGTTCACAGGATTCTGCCGGTCTACTCCTGCAAAGCAGATATGCGTACAGTCGTGAGCAAGCTTGCTCTGTCCAGAACCATGCTTGAAGAATACGCAGCATGTGCTTTTCATATATCCCGGCTAAATACAGACATTGGATGTCTAAGAGTTCTGTACCAAGAGAACCGATGCGCTTGCATGCTGCTTCATAATATGCTTCTGCCCGGGCATAAGATGCATCATCTTTGATTGAGTTATCATCCAGGTCCTCGTGGTGTTTATCATAGATTTCGGAAGCCAAACAGCCAAGTCCACATGCCAATAGCTGAATCGAATGATCAGAAAAATTCGATACACAGGGAATAGAATGGGAAAACCACATACCACGAGACAAGACTTAGAGTCCCATTTAATCCCAGTTTCCGACAATTCTTTCGCATACTGTTCAAGTTCTCCGGGCTCGAGTATAGGATTCCGAATATGCACGTAAACTAGGAACCTTCTGCAAAGTGTAGGCAGGTCATTCTCGCGGATTCCATATTGTTTATAGCGGGGTGCCGGCGCAGTTCCCTTCGCTGAGTTCAAAGTAGACTCGAGAACAAACGATTGTTCCACGACCGGTGTGCCCAGAAAATCTACAATTCTGGGCCAGTAAAGTAGTCCTTCAATTCCAGTACGGGGACCATTCGATGAACAATCGCCATTGTTGTTCCTACCATGCACATTTCCGTGGCTCTCAACTCTCGGGCTATTTGGCATTTCAAAGCCTAACATAGGCCTCCTGGAGGACTCAAACGTTGAAGAATGCCTAGAAGAAGCACGAGAGCCCGCGTGAGTTTGGACTACATGATCCAGCATGGCTCGAATCTCCTGCAACTGATTCAAAATCTCTACAGAACCAGGGTCAAACCTTTATTTTTAAAATATTTGTCAGCTTCATGGCATCGGGTCAAAGAGCAACTTATATTCGACTGACTTAGTATGCGCAGAGGAAACATCATCGGGGTACACGCAAGGTAACTTCAAATTGCAGCACGACTGGCATGTAGGCCGACCATTGTCACATTTGATGCGGCGGTCCCTGCACGTCCGGCATGCTGTGCGCTTTCGTTTCCTTGTCGGAGGATCAGAAGGAGATAAATCAAGGGCTTCAGAATTCATCGTGGGTGTCAGTTTTGGTCAGGTAGGGGTATCAAGTCATTCCGCGAGCTCCGCGAGGTAGTGAACACTGCTAAGGTCTCGGCTGTCCGCGGGCTCCGATGGACGGACAAGGAGACGGGAGATGTATGATTGGCTTATTTACTATCAAGTGGGGGCTTTGGTTAGCAATAGTTCAACAAGAATAGTTGACTTTATAATGTGGGTTTCAATTATACAATTGAACGCCATGCGCTACCAAGGTGGGTATTCGTGGGCGATCTACTGATTCTTTACTAGTTCAATTTCCGCCTTGATTATAAGTCAGGGGAAGGGACAAGATTGATTGCTTCGGTATTGAGCTATCTCTCTTGAAAAACTTTAAATATCAATGCAGCAAAAACTTTAGAATTTTTCAGATTTGATTCATCAAGGCCGTTCTCATCCCGTCTAAGAAGCAATGAATGTACAACTTACTTAGTAGACGGTGCTCAGAATAGATTTGATAGTAGTGGGTCTTTCCGGACAAACTCATCATCCGAAGCCCAATCAGCTCTAGCGTGGAAATTCTAGACAAATAAATTCGGCCCCTCGCCTGCGCCCTTCCTCGTTTTCTTTTTCTCTCCATCTACAGTTTACATTACTACGGTATGTAAATCCATTGGGGCTCCACATTGTGGCTTGCTGAAGGTTACTCGATGGCTTCGGCCTTCATGGGTTTCTTTCCGTTCCCGGCCCTGGAGAGTGAAGGCGCTTCTTTTTCTTAAACATTCTCTATGCTGGGGTTTCTCCGAGAAACCTCACGGGTGTTGATGGGAGGAGGGCGCCACATACCTTGACACATATCACGACCTTGTAGATTACATACCTTGCATCCTATCAGGTTCTTCGACGGGCAGGATTCAGCAACCTGCTAATTTGATCATTAGTTAGTCAATGAAAACTACTTGCCTATCATATATACCTTTTCCATCGTGTGCCTGGTAAAATATAGTTGGCTGATCAGATTAATTGGTCAATTGCCATGCAGTTAGTTAGTCGGGCGGCCAAGGGCTTGCCAACCTCGTGTGAAGTTAGTTGACCCGTGCTAGAAGATGCGTATCTCTACAAAACGAAGACAGGCATTCAATGCTTCAGTGAAAAGCACGGTGTGGCCGTCAAGTCGATTTGTTGCTCTAGAGGTTGATGTATGGACATCACATATTAACTCCCATTTACAAAGGAAATTCTGACTGAAACATCGATGAATTTGACATTGGCAATCTCAAGAACCTTTCACTAATTCCAAATGCAAACCTCATATACCAAGATCTTCAATTGATATAAGGTGAGATACAGAAGCTTTCCAACACAGGAAGATATAAGTGTGGCCTTGCAGCTTTATGAATCAAGATACAGCCTCCTGCTCAAGAAACCCCAGAATGGCCAGCTCCTTCGTTCGAGGGGACGACTTTTCCCTCTGGATAATGGGCCACCATGGCTGTGAGGTGCGCGTTGAAAGTCAGCCGCCGTCTGTCCCGTGTGCTTCGAACACTGTTGCGCGCAATGCGAGAATTTGAACTACTCCGGGAGCCAACGCTCAAGAACCGAACGAGAAGCCGGAGAGAGTGGCCATTGAGTGGGAAGATCTTCTGGAATTTTATCAGCTAGAAAAGTGCCAATGTAGAAGCACTTCCAAGGTCCTAGCCCATGCAACAGGGACCCTCTTGGGGGGGAAGCTCGCTGCACACACAGCGTCATCGATGATGGCACGTTCAACGACTGTGTCACGGCGCCCGGGCATCTGCATTGCGCAAGTTGCCATGTGGGAGATCGCAAGCGGTGCGGCAGCCTGAATTTGGACTCTCTAAAGGGGAAGAAAATAACAAGGGCAGAGGCCCTCCAGGAGAGGGCAGTTGAAGTGGTGAAATTAAATATTAAATAAAGGGCAATTCTCCAGTTGAAGGAAAGGTTTATGTATATAAAAGACCGCATGGGCTCGGCATGTATAGATAAATAAACTCTAGCATCTCAACAAACATACAATAGTTGTCCTGAAGACTTTCAGGCTTTGATCTCAGCTCCACTCTCGTCGCTGTCGAATTTGGTACCAGCAATATGCACATCAGGATTATTACGACGGAGAGCATCTTCAAGGTACTCCGGCTTTAGCTCCCCATGTTTATCGTAGCGATAGGGCTCTTTGATAGAGATAGTAACGGCATTGAAGACATTCGTGGATTTCTTAAAGATGGCATCCATCTCTTCCAGGGAGCGGTATCGTGTTTCCGGGAAGAAGAAGTACACGAATGGGAAAATAAATGCGTTTCTGCCGATGTTAGTTCAATTCGACTTGACTGAGCCTGTTTGAGCGTTTGAAGTACTGGCGGGTTCTTACATAACAGCGAAGATAATATAGGTTTTGTATCCAATACTGTCAAATGCAACTGGGGTAATCATTACGACCATGAAGTTGAAGATCCAGTTGGCACTATTGGTATAAGGTTAGAAAATAAACCTGGGCATTGAAAGTAAGAGGGCTTACCTAGTGGCCAGTGCATTAGTCGGTGCACGAATTCGCAGCGGCACGATTTCTGCCGGATACAACCATGTCATTCCAAGCCAGCCGATGGCAAAGAACGTATTGAATACAAAAAGGAAGATCGCTTGTCCAATGCCAGCTTGCTTATCGTCTAGGTACTTGAGACGGTAGTTGGTACCCGCAAGGACAGCCATAGATATGGACATTCCAGCGGCCTGGAGTACAAACGTTTGTTAGCAGGTATATTTGACAAGGACGAATTATGGCATACTCCGAAAAGCATCAGTGGTCGACGCCCAACTTTTTCAATGATAAAAATAGGGATAAATGCAGCCATCAAGTATTCTGTGCCATTGCAAGCAGCCAGCAACTTTGGAAGACTGCCTTGTCCGAGGCCAATTTCGGCGTATAGTGAAGGTGCCTATCAGTGTCTGTTAGTAAAATATTCATAGAACTGGTGCTTCGGGTATAGAAAATGCTCAACCCACATAGTATGTGATCAAATTGATTCCAGAGATCTGCTGGAACATCTGGTTGATGTAGGCGAGGGCCACCCGATGGAATTCTCGATACTCGCTCATGTCAAACAAACTTCTATATGAACCTTTGGACATCTCTTTGACGGTCTCCTTAATAGACAGGAGTTCATTCTGAATAGAAGGATCGTCTCGAGACTTTTCGTTCAGGCACTCGAGAACGTCCAAAGCCTCATCATCCCGGCCTTGCATTACAAGCCATCTCGGAGACTCAGGCAGGTGCATAATCGAGAGGAAGATAACCACAGCGAAAAGAATTTGGAACGCTATCGGAAATCTCCATGCTACCTCCTTTTCACCGATAAATGACATTCCTGACTTTATTGTTAACCAAGATTATTGTATAGATAGATAACACGCGATGAACTGACCGTAGTTGACCCAGTAGCTAAGCGTGATGCCTGCCGTAATAAGCATACCCTCAATCATAACCATTTTGCCTCGATCGTGGGCTTTCGATGATTCTGATTGCCAGGTAGGTACAGTACTTGTGTTCATTCCATTACCGATACCTGTAACAATTCGCCCGACAATCAGGTGTGGGAGGCTGTATGAGGTGCATTGTAACAAGGCGCCAATTGTCATAGTTATGCAACCACAGAAAATTGTTCTTCGTCGGCCTAGTGGATTACCGATAAAGATGGTCAAGATAGCACCAAAGAAACAGCCCAAATTGTACGATGCGACTGCAATGCCTTGGTTCATACTTCGCTGTGATTTAAGTGCAGGGTTTTCCTCGATAAGCGGGTCCTTAGGATTGATGTCTGGAAAGTATTTGATAAAGGCTGGCAAGTCCAACAGCCCACCTGTCACGCCTTGGTCATATCCAAAAAGTCTTGTGGTGGTGGCCAGTCAGCTATGAGCCAGAATATATCTGTACCAAATGGCAGGAGCAACATACAAGAAATCAAGACTGCCAAGAGAACTAATGGCCAAGTTAAGAGACCTGCCTCTCCAGCCAAAGTATTTTGGTATCCCAAACATGATGCTCAGCACAAATTACAGATGGCGTGGGTAAAAAGTGAAACATCAGAAATGAAACATCAGAAATGAAATATCAGGAGATGACAGTTATATACAAAACCCATGTGCTCTAGTTATTTCCCGGAAGTCCAAATGCAGTAATCCGTACTGGGCGGATGTTTACATCGCACGGGGAAAGCCGAGATATGGGGGAAACATGGAGTTTCGCGGGGATGTGGTTCCACGGTAGTAGGGATTGGGGGCGATTTGGGGGCTAAATTGTGACTGGTTCAAGAATCCGGTCTGCACTTTCCGAAAGGGCACTCCGTAGCGGCTACTCTGCTAGCCAAGTCCGAAATACTTGGCAAGGCATATAGTACGACTCGGCGATGGTATAGCATCACTTGGCGGCGGTATGGCACAACTTGGCAGCTTACTTTGGAAGTAGTTTGTGAATAATTTTGTGATACTTTTGGCCAGTCCAAAGATAGCGATATGACATCATATCTATCGTTCTTGTGTGCTGCTCACAATAATTGACCAAGCCATAAGGTTATGCGGAGTATCTAGATATACAGGTAAACCTCACTGTAGCCATTGCCAAGGCCGGCGCAATAGCGAACCAATGGGAATGGCTGCCATCAGAGAGAATAATTCTTGTTGACCAATTAGAAACAACATACTCCGCCATTCATGTTGCTCTCCGCGTCCTTCATCGATGACATGCGCCAATTGCGCCACACATGAGTCCGGGCGATCGAGGATGTTTCAACTAGAAAAAGACGAGGCCAGAAATGGCTGCCTTTCCACTCGTAACTTTGGACGTCCAGCCGCTTCTTGGCCGCTCACTGCCCTACAACATCACTACTTTCCACCGACCCAGCAATGTTCGTCATCCTCCGATCCTGATGTTAACGATTGACTTACACGATTGTTCTCCTCGTTTCCACTAGCTACCAAAACGACGCCGAGAATGGTTACTTTCAGCTGAATTCTAGTTTTCTCCCTTTTCGCCCAGTTTATTTAAGCGCCTGTAAGATGCTTCGCCCTCCCCCCCTCCGGTGTCCTTATGTCAGGACCTAAGTGTTAAGAAGGCCTTATAATACGTCTTGCAGTACGGTATAGACATCGCTATAGACCGCAAACCCGCAAAATCGGCCCAATCCAAACAGAAATTGGGGCCGGCTTTGGGGCGAGGTCTAGAAACCGCAATGGTTTCTTTGGGGCTCTAATGGTTTCTAAAGTGAGGCGAAACTGTAGAGCCCGTGCTCTTCATAATTTATACATTCTACTTGTGTATTTTTGGTAATTTATCTACTTATAGAATTAAATTTTGATTTCAATTTGAATCATATCAACGCATTTTGTCCTTAACGATAATTATATACATGCTTATCGCGTCTAACACATTTGCGGGCCTTAAATCGGCACGTAGTTAAGTATTACTCTCTGAATTAGAGAATGGGGTTAGTTTAACCTTACACTCACCTATATCCTTAATATCCTATATATCCTACTCCTCTTCTTAGCTTTTCTTTTCCTCCGTATCACAAATTAGATCAATTATACATATATCAAGTGTAATTACCTCTCTTCCTTCGCTTCTTTGATCTTGTTCTGTATAAAGAACTCTTGTAGTAATGTTGCTTCTAAGTATACGCAACTAGTCAGACTGCAACAGGTTAATTGAACTTTGATTGATTGAGTGATCGGTCTTAAAGTGAAGTTGATGAAATTCAAGCACGCAGAATTTTGTAACAGCAGCTTTTTCTCGTTGCAACATAGTCTTTCGCAGAGGGTTTAAAGGAGTTGCGGGGTAGTGTCAGGCTCGTCGATAGAAAAGCTGGCATTGGTAGATTCATTACGGGACAACACTCATCTGACGGATATAGCACGCCGTATAAGTCTTCACAAAATAACATACAGTGCTCAATTCAATGTTTGTTTTCTTATCGCTTCGGCGAGTAGCTGGGGCTCGTTCTTTATGGCTTATAATTTTGTCTTGATCTTCCCACTCGTTCTGATTCTTGCGTGTGAAACCACTGGCGCAACTTGTGCAATCCGCTATTCGAGTTTCCTTTGGATATCCTCTGGGAGCATCTTATGATCGCTCAGGGAGGGATCAAAGAAAAATAGCAGACCCGTAGGTGTGCCCCGCAGCTGGTATTTATCTCTTGGACTTGCTCAAATGAAAGCAAACGTGTTTGTTCACCTCCGTATGAGATATCCCACCCTCTCACCCCTCTCACCCGTATCACCCCTCTCACCCGTATCACCCGTATCACCCACACTCACCCTAGCGCAGTAATTAATGCCAGTCTGAGTTTCAGGGCGCATTGAGAACTGGCTGCGCATAGTATGTGGCTCAAGTGCGGCTGAGCGGACAGGAAGCCATGTGATCCACAACCTGTGGTCGTATGTACTGGACACCACATGAAAGGATAAAATATGGTGACAATGCTGTTTTATCGCAAGGTGAGAAGGTAAAGAACCTGGAATTACCCTCCGTTAACATCTGACATGCGTAATATCTGGAGAGATATATATTCAAATCATTGTTCATTTAATTTACTTATATATAGTGAATTCGGCATCCGAAAGTAAATTATATTCATTCTTATCATAAGAACTTGTCGTGTAGCAGTATTTCCGATTATAAAGACTTTAATCAAGAATCTAGTAACAATCCTTTCGCCGATGGTCGATCTTCAGTTCACAACAAAGTATCCTATTTGTTATGATCAAGAATATAGTCTCTGTATGGGAAAAAATGAGACAGCTAATGAAACTGCGAGATATACATACATTGTAGGGTTTAAAAATGAACACGTGCTAGGTTTACGAAAATTGAACTAATTGGCATTCAAAATCCATCCTTAAATCGCGATGAGTAGCTATTTGAATCCTAGATGAAACTTTCGATGTCACTGCGCACGAATATGACTATCATCAAACCTTTTGGGCAACGATCTTGACCACATATTCCAATGTTATGTCGAAAAATCAGCTGGAAACACAAATCAATAAATGAACCCGAATACACCTACCCTTGGACCAAGGTTCCGTCTCCGTGTCTGTTATGTTTATTCCAAATTATCAGCACATGATTAGAATATCTGGACCGCAAAAAACCAACAATGGGTAACTAATCTCTTCGAGATTGGCGGTCATACTGACGAGACCAGAGTCGTCAGCCGCCAGATCTTCTGTCAACGTAACTTTGTCGGTGACCTAGAAGGCGCGCCCAATTAATCTTCAATTTTAAGTCAAATGTAAATATGGTATATGAGCTTCCATACTCGACCTAGAGGAATATCTAGCTTGTCGACGATACACTTATGGACATCGCTTCTTATTTTGCTTATCGCAGATGTCGGATACTAATCAGGAGGACTAGTTAATAGTATTAATTAGACTATCTATTCACTAGCAGGAGTTACCTCCCTGCGCCTCCTAGCTAAGCTAGCTCTTAAAATTGGCATAGAAGTCGGTGTAGGAACCACAATTATTTGTGCGAGGTTGCCCACAATTCGTACGTGATGAACGAGCGTATTAGGCTGCATAAACATACGGGCCAACCATAAGCTCGGGATATACCACTGTGTCTACTGGTCTGGAAGCGCTGCCATAATACACCGTTGGTTAGTGGAGAGGTGACCTAGGAGTTCTATGTCGATCTAGACTACGGGATGGGTAAATGCTACAGTCCTCAGGGCGGAAGCAGATTTCCCTCATGACTGTATTCTGGCTGGCAAGACCATAATCTGATACAGTATTAGAGGACTATAAACAGAAGTGAGAATATGACTCTGTCCAACGAATCATGTCAACTTTGGTTTCGGTACCCATAAACTATACTCTGGCTCCCACTGAAAAGTGAGTTTTGACACAACCCCCCAAAAATATATGGTAGTTGAAAATTGCTCAGGATGTACATGAATGTTCCACATAAACTTCCGGCTCTATATCGGGAAAAAATCCATATTCAATGAGCCCCAATTGGTTGTTGCGTTCTCTGTATGCTATATTCTGTGAAATCAATATGCTATTCAGACTCAGAGATTTGCGGTCCCAAAACTAGCTGTGGAGGTGGCAAGCGCGGTGGGGGTGAGAGAAAAAGGAAAAGAAGTCAGAGAGAATAAGAATCCTAAGATGCCTTGTTGTAAGATTTCCCTTCTCAGAGATAGAGATCAAGCATGCTTTTATATACTGTAATGCAAAATGCAAAGACACACCGATTCCATGTTTTAGTATTGTACCAGATGTATAGATTTGTATTGACGTGTTGTTTCCATTCAGATGGAAGCATGCGGACGTCGGCAGATGCACAATTTTACCCCCGCTGACTCTTTATTCTTCTTAGATGGACAACGTGTAGAGCATTGTCTGGCTAAGCTTAGCAATTTTGTTAAGCTCACTTTCCTTCTAGTCTCAAGGTCCGATCCAAGCTCCAGTACTGGCTTTCAAATTCCGCTCAACTTTCTCAGAACTGCTCTCAGTGTTAACCCATGTCTGAGAGCGCATGAATGCTGACATGCTACGGAAACAACATCATGGAATGAAACACACTGTGATGACAGACAAAGTATATGTCTTTTACTTATCCTCTTTCTCTCTCCTTTTCTAAAGAAGAAAAGCCAAAAAAAGGTGCTTGCTCGTGCGCTGGGGTCTGAAGGAGCTAAGTGGTTTTTAAAAAAAAACAACGGCCCTCGAAATAGGAACGTGATATGTACGTCTACTACAATTTCCTGGTTGCAATTGGCACTTTTTTGAATCGGGTGGGGCGCGGGGTGGTAATGACAGAAAAAAAATAATCCATCTAGAGGTTGAGGCTAACGTCTCTTCACTAGACCTATTATAGTTCTACCATTCCTTGACTTCCTGATAAACCGCCCACTAAGCCCATGACGGGCTAAGTCGCTTGGATCGATCAAGATATCACCGCTCTGGATCAATTACTGCTGTTGCAAAGATACATTCCTGTGCTAGCTTCTGGAGTGTTCAATATTTGGTGGCAAGACTGGCGTTGTCTGCTTTCAATACCGGGAGAAACAAAGCTATCATTTCGGGATTAAAGTGATTACCAGGATCTGTGTACATAGCGGATCTCCCATACTTCATGTGCGGTCCGCGGGCCCACATTCCTTCACTTTCATACGCGCGAAATGGAAATATTTAACGGAGTACCATGGACCCACATGCCACCAAAACTAACGGCCGGAAGCTAAACACTCGGCCCGCAGAATTGCCGAACTTAGAAGTTATTCGCAACCCCCCTTTTTTTCCCTTCATGAAGGAGCTATGCAAGGGCCAGAATTTGGCCAGCATAATGAAGTACGAGAGTTGGCATACCATCCATTAGCCTCGATAGCAGGATCCGTGGGAATAGCAACATTGGATAGTTTAGCAAGAATTTTTGAACCAACGTTAAATCTACTTCATATACAGGATCAGAATCGGCGGCAAGACTCCCATCGAAAGCACTGCTCTACGTACGTACAGCTGTCACGCTTGCGATCACTGAGTGGTCTTTACCTTCTACAGCCGATCAGCATGAGTGATATCGAGCACAGACCTGACCCTGGTTTACTTGAAGCAATGGGAAGGCTGCATTTGCTGCAACAAGGGACCATTAGGGCGTGGCAGGTCAACCCTTACAATTGATCCCGCAAATACATTTCCAATCATCTATCAACACGTTCTCTTTGCATTGATAAGCTGTAGACCTGTATCCTCAACTAACTACATCAATTTTGCATATATGCTCGGAGTTTGAGATGTATCACATTTTTGCCCGTATCTGCTGACGATCGCATGCACCAAGAAAACAAAGTCAATTGGCTGGCTCACCTTTCCCCAATAATATCATCCGCTGATGATAGTCCACACTTTTCTTGAATTTTTCCTTGCGACTGGGTGCTCTCTCTTCACTGAATTATTTGAATATGGCATCAAATAAATCTTTCCCTGCTATTCTCCATGTGCGAGATTTTATCGAGCAGGTTGAACTAGATCAACGCGTCCCGGCAAAGGACTTTCAATACAATTGCGTGTTTCCCTTAATACAGTAGCTGACAAGTTCGGCTTCTACAAGACTTACAACTCTTTCGCTCTTTCTCAGCGCCACATCCGTGCGCTAGTCTACAATGAGCTTAGTTCGTTAATTAAATTTATACCTACTGTATTCGATGGCATGATACAGGGTTTACTGTATAATAGGTGTTCTGTAAATAGACCAAGGTTCCAGAAGATTCGCAGCAAACGAGGCAAAATGTGAGAAGGCAAGTGCCTGAAGAGTCTGGTGAGGTGTTTCTTCTTGTACCGTTCCGTCGAATTACCTAAGTACCATCCTTCCTTGCAGGGTACCAAAATTGTAAATAACAACCTTGGGAATCTGCCATATTTGAGAAATATAACAGTAAGAGGGTGCAACTAAACAGCGGGTGGCTAGGAAATAATAATAATGTGTGTATTAGTCAAGCCGATTTCGATAAAATAGGTACCTGAGTCGGAACTACAATTGTGGAGATTCTGAGCCCGAATCCTAGCACCCTCACCTTCATTAACCGTGTTTTTCGATAGTAGTGCGTAGGTGGGAAATCAGCTAAAAGCGAGGGGTCAAGGAAAATGAAATCACCCATCAGTAATGAGTATCACATCACATAATTTACAGAAATTAGAGTTCACATCAACGAGACCTAAGTAGAGGGTAGGCACGAGTCTGAACGGAAAGCTAATGTTTTCCGACCATGTCTCCATGGTATATTAAAGTGGCGCCATTTCTTGCGGCCGCATTTTCTCGTCCCAGCAGTCGTCTACGTACGCCCCTGCAGAAGTTCAAGGATGTCCACAGTTTCTGTCTTGTCTCACCCTGGCCCAAGTAGAGTGACGTAAATAAACCCACCCCTGCAGCCGTGTGAGCCTTACGTCGATTTGCCTATGTACCTTCTGTGGCTAGCTGATCGACAGTTCGTCCGGGCACCGAGCTTAGCACTCGCCCCGTGGTGACATAATCCATGACCCAATACTCATTATGCAAACCCTCAAATTTCTTATAGCGATATAGTCATTAAAGTTTTTCAGTCAGATACAGTAATACAATAGTATACTTTAGGCAGCTCTAATCGAAACCCTAGGCGGCACGGCTATATAATTCCCCGACAGTGCTATATAGGTTAGCTAAAGCCACCCCGTAGCTTAGCGAGGCCCACCAACCGTCTGGCTGAATATGGTGATGGACAGGGTCATAAGTATTATCTACAAGTAAGCAAGGGATTGTAAGGCACTATCTATGTTTTTAACTAGTAAAGAGTATAGTTTTTACAGTAGGAGACACTAGCTTCGCACACCGCTCTTTCGGTCTCCCCGAGTAGCAATGACTACCGGTGAATATGATAAAGTCAATAATCCCGGTCCGGTCAGATTATCATCCAGAATCGTCGAAGCTACTACGGTCTCTAGTCTGGTTGGTTATAGCCCCAATCTATTGATCAGATGTATTAAATACATATGCCACTATATATGATCAAGTACAGTAGTAGTCTAGGGCTCACTTAGACATTGCTAGCTTCGAAGAGTTAAAAGATCGATAACTACGCAGATAAATACAACGCGCATTCCCCTAACTCTTGAATTCTTATTCATATCCGTACACATCTCTATCGAGCGTCGCAGTGTTAGCCAACTGCCACAGAAGCAAATCAATCACACCTTACAATCTACAATTAGTTTGCTAAATTTAAGTCCTCTAAGATGGGGTATTACGATAGAGAGTCAGAAGACACAAAAAGGACTCTTACCACCACAGATTTACTTTGTTCCTCAATTCGTTTTAGTGATTTCCTTCTTCTAAAGGGCCGGGGGCCCTGCCAAGTTATCAGAAAAAGTGGTCCTTCTAAAGCTGGCCGGTACAGGTACCTCGGTACCGACCTTTTCACGAAACAGCTCCACGAAGAGTCCTCTTTTACTTCAACATCCGGATCTGAGCAGGCTGCTCGAGGCCTTAACTTGATGCCCTAGCGCATTCTCGATCTTGTCGATGGGTTAGCTACCGTTGTGGATGAAAAGGGCGATATCAAGCAAGGCATAGCAGTGAGTGATCAGAGCAATCTGTGGTCTCGAATATAGCAAGTATTCGAATCTAGCCGTGGAAGTGTCTATGGCTTAGTCCTGAATGATGGCGGTCGAGTTCTTATTGTGGAGATGAAAGTTGAACATGGAGGGAGGATTTAGATGAAGGTTATATAACCGATCTACTAGAGCTTTCTATCTCTGACAATGTAGTGCTATGATAGGCTAATCCTCGCTTCGCTTCACCGGAATCGAGGTCTTGCTCGATTTATTTCTGTCTTGTTGAATTTGCTCGTATTATCGGGATTTCCACCCCCTTCTTACTTCAAATCCAGATACGGCTAAACTTCGTCTAGAATGGTGAATGCTAAGTCTTCGATTACGCTAAGATTTGGGAGGTTTTCAGAGGAATCTGAGAAGCCTGACAATTTGATTTGATTTAGTTAACTTGGATTTTATCTTATCTTATCCTTTTTATGCCTCATAGCTCAATCATTAGGTACGAAGCTTATCATTCTGTTTGGTGCAGAATAGTACATACCATCGACTGCATCACAGAGACTCTTCAAAGTTGGCTGTCTTAACTATCCCTGAATATTGACTTTTTGGAAGTTGTTCGTGTCGGAGGGTGCTACACGATCTACAAATGTTTAAAGTAAGATTGGCAAATGACGCAACACGTGGCAATGTTCATCATAGGCAGCATTCCTAGGACTGTGGAATGGTTCATATCTACATCTCGAAATTTCTCGCTGGTTGAATCAGTCCAAACAGGTTTCTAGGAAGTAAAGAGTATTAGTGTGGCTGCTGCGACGGTGTATGGTTTGTTCGCTTACCCCTCATACTACGTATGCTCATGGTTCTTTGAGACTGTCCGTGAATCGATGCGGTGAGAGTAACTGCGAGCCACGCAAGCAATTAGTGACGTGTTGAGAGAGTCATTAACAACAAGAGTGTTTAAAATTATTGTCAGCCCCCAAGTCTAACTCACTCATACTTTATACTATAAGAATCTCCCTACACCGAGTATATATCTTATACAATGACCACACAGTCCACACAGTACGATAAAATCGGAGGCGACTACAGTTTGATCAAGCAGCTGCCATCTGACTTGCTTGATACCGCCACCCTACTCGCCTACCTTGGAAATATCCAAGGAATGGAAGTACTTGACCTCGCCTGCGGTAATGGCTTCATGTCCGGCAAAGCAATTGAGCACGGGGCTCGACGAGTAGTTGGAATAGATATCTCATCGAGCATGATTCAAGCTGCAAGCCGCCAGTTTGAAGGCGATAGCCGCTTCGAGTTCTACACTGCAGATTGCAGCAAGCCAATCCATATGGGCAAGTTTGACATTGTCTTCGCCTGTTGGCTTCTCAATTATGCCTCCAGTGCCGAGGAGCAGTTGGCAATGTGGCAGAACATTTTCGCTCACTTGAAGCCTGGTGGCAGATGTATTGGTGTGGTACCGAATTTTGATATGCTCGAGACTCCATTCCCTTCAGGATATCAGTGGGGAATTGAGGCTAAAGTCTTGAAGCATGTCCCCGGAGGCGTGAAGCTTCAGTTCACTGCCGATAATTGTTCCCATTTCACTTTTGAATGCTATATGCTTCAACGGGCAGTTTATGAGTCTTGTTCCCGGAAGGCGGGGTTCACTGACATGGAGTGGCTGGATCCAATTGATCCAAAGGATCCTCGGATAAATTTTGAAGCTTTGTCACGCACCATGAATTCTCGATACTTTCAAGCCTGGCGTTAAGACGAGTGAGCCACGTACCCTTCAGCATTGAAGGCATGGGAGTCTTTGTACGGACAAGTTGATTGATATGATCATGGTAGAAAATTAGTGTGCCGGCTTCAAGCAGGAACCTTCGTCAACCAGGAACGCCAGCATACGTGGCAATTTTACGATATATATTGTAATTTCCGACACAAATGCAGCTCTAGATTATCTACTTGCTTACTATCTAACCGCAACGAATACAATATTCCGCTAGGGGGTCTATATCAGCATCAACAAGTCTTCCGGTAGCAAATCCAGTAGACATACTTCATCCACATAAGAAGTAGTGCATGGGTACAGATAAGATGCCTCGTACCATGGGAGGTGTTTTTCCATCAGAGAAAACTACGTTGGTATCAACTAGGACAGTGAAAAGATTGATTGATTGAATGGAAGAACAAGCGGTCGAGGGCAGGTTGAAATACAGTCAGGATTTAGCGTTTCATACGCCAATATTCGGGTGGTTACAGCACCAGAGCTGGAAAGATGATGCCTTACTATATACAAACTGTAAAGGAGGTTGATATATTGATTAACGGTCTGTGTGGGATCATCCTTCATCCTATACCAACTGAGCAGTATCAAATGTGGACAACGTGATGTAACGAATAGATCTTCATTGGCCAATTTGCCTATCTAGCCGACCTAGAGAGCCGGAATTAGATACAAGAACAGAGAGGACGAAGACACCATCCATGGGCTTATTGCAAAGTGAGAAGCAGAACACATACACTCTCCAACAGTGCAAATGAAGCCTAGTCACTAACATAGAATGGTTTGCGTCTCAGCTCAGACTACAGCGCTTTGACCATTGTTTGCAAGGATAAGATTTTCACGGCCCATAAGCTGGCCATTTGTCCAAGATCAAAATACTTTCACACACCTTGGTATGCCGGGTTTAAGTGATATAATTCCACGTCTCAAATCTTTCAAACAGTTAGACTGACAAACTGCGGGGACTCCCAGGAGACCGAACATCCAATTAAGCTGGATGATAAAGACCCTACGCCCATTGAAAAAGCGCTTGAATATCTATATACCGGAAGCTACAGCCCTCCGTTACCTGCACCTAATTCCACATCTAGGTAGACCTGCGATTGAGACGTCCCTAACATGGATAGGCAACCTGAAGGAGAATCGTCACAAGTGGTTCACGCAGAAATGGTTGCCACTGATGAACCCGAGGTGCTTGTTGACAAACATTCCTATGAAAGGATTACAGAAACTTTGGGCAATATTCCAGGGAAACCGGAGCACGGGCCAAAGATGAATAGCGAATCAACTGCAACTAACAGATACGCCCCAACACACGTTACCGATAATCGGGATAACGGGCAAATGACAGATGTTGTTCTCGATGTTGCAGTCAGCTATCATCCTAGTTATTTTCACCTGCGTATGTATGGCGAGGCAGACTATTTCATGGTCAGCGACCTGAAATGCAACGCCGAGAGACATTTCTGCGAATCGTTTCTGAACTCCACAGAAACACTACCCTTTGCAGAGATCGTGGAGGAGGTGTGTTCGACCCAAGCAAACTACCATGGACTAAGGCAATTGGCAATCGAAATGATAGTTGATAATCTGCCGCTTTTCCGAAACAGAACTACGCCGATGTTTGTGCCTGAGCTGATGAAGTTAATCCCTGATTTCACATATGATTTGTTTCAAGCTACTGTTGATAAGTGTGTGGATGGGTCGTCCAGCATGGAAAAAAATTAGTTCCGTGTTGAGTTTGGTTACTAAATACAGATGACCCTTTAAAATCGTTCAAGTTTGCATTTCGATTTAAGGTGCCATCATTCTGTTCTATACACATTTTGCGCTGCCCAGCTACGAGATATTAACCGAGTTTGCTTATCTAAAGCATACCTGTGTTACGGACATACCAGTCACCAATCACAGGTGGGGACTGCGACCTACAGATGGGCCACCGAGAGCCAATCGATCAATCTGTTATGCAGATCACGTGTAAGATCCTATACTGGGACATCCCTAGTACGAGTCAGAGAAATACTTCGACTTGGGAGCCGTTTCTAGCCCCCTGTTGGTAATTACGAACTATACTCGCAAACAACCAGGGCTTACCGCGAGAAGGCCATTTCCGGCCCCCGACTCACCATCTCCAATATTACTGCAATACACTAGGACACGGTTAGTCCTCACGTGATTATGCGAGTAGTAGAACGGTCGACGTTAGGAGAGTATCCGCGATCTACTCCTCTACCATCTACGCTTCTACTCAGGAAGAACTCATGGATATATAAGGACACTTATTTCATGTATCTAGTTTAGTTCTTCGTCTTCAATCACACATTGTTACTTGTGAATACCTTTGGAACTTTCGAGACTCTTTACTTGATTATAAATTGACATACACTACGGATAGACTAATACCTTAGTATAGATCCATTCGGCGTACTACCTGGCATCGTTCCTCAATACCCTCGAAAGGACTCATTCCGCAGTAAGGCCTGCTAGGCAACGGTAAGGTTGAGAGACAGATCGTTAAGGTTGGAAGTCTGCAGGAAATCAGAGAAGTATCTCCCGGCTCTATCCAACATAACTGTGACCAGTTAGCTGTGCGTAACAACTAGCTCCTTACTACCCCCGAGGTCCATACTCTAGGCTTCCGGGCGGTGAGATAGAGTAGCCCCCTGCCCCTATACCTCTAAGGCGTTGTCCGACTTCTTCAAGCGTTAACTATCACGGAGCATCTCCGTCAGTCAATCCTGACATCTTTTCTCAGCTATCTCCACATAAATCGCGCGCCAGGCTCATGTTCCGCAAGCTTCGTGGTCGTGGCAGTCATGGCAACGAGCTCGCGCCATCATCAGCGCTGGCTACGACAACAGAGAGCGAACCTGTTGACCCACCCCCTCACGCCATCCATATGAGTGACTTGAGCCGGTCACCCACCAAGCTACCCCGCAAGCCCGGTTCCGATAAACAGTCCATGAACATTATTGTCGCGAACGCCAAAGGTGCCGCCGGCTACTCGGACCTTTACAGGGTACGTACCCACCCAGCGCAATGCAATGTTGCTGCGAGAACCCTTACCCTAGCCGGCCCCGAGCCCACCCCACCCCGCGCGCGCGGTTCATTATAGCTACTCCAGCGGGAGAAGGATTGCTGGGAGTTCGACCCTACACACGACTTCGACACGGATTACCTTTGCGACGGGTATCTCTACACTGTCTACTTCATCCCGCCGCCCAGCAACGCGGGGTCTCGCACAGCATACCTCACCCTCATGCAGCATGTCTGCCTCGTCTTCACGTGCGATGCTTCGTCGAGGGAATCGTGGGACGAAACAGTCGCCGCCTGCCAGGGGATGCGCAGCCGCTGCGAAAAAGCCGGGGTCCGCCCCTTCCTTGCGACAATGATCGCCGCCATACGTGAATGTGAAGGTCAAGGTGAAGAAGCCGCCGTGTCCCACGCGGAAGCCGAGGCGTTTGCTGCAACCCAGCGGGACTGTCGCTTTGTCGGTTTCTCGCCCGCAACTGGGCGCGGCATTTGCGATGCGGTCGGCTCGCTGGTTGAGCGGGCACACGGCGCTCGTGATCAGTATTCTATGGACCAGGGGGTTTATGCTAAGAGGTACAAGAGAGCGCAGGCATTTCAGGCATTATTTCCCAGCTAGAGATGTCCTAGCTCAAGAATAATATAATCACGGATGGAGGGATGTGATACCGCAGCCCAAGACATTCAGCAGATACAGCAAATATATTTAGTGGGAATGCTGCTTCACCTGCACCTGGTTCGCCGCCGGGGTCCAGTCGCCAGTCTGTCTTGCATCTCAAGTCTAGATGAGCCCCTGTCTGCCCATTAAATATTCTGCCACCTCCACCCACTCTTGTTTCATGAACCAGTTGCCTAGCTAGGGGTTGTAGATATCATGCTCTGACCTAGTAGGTACAGCCTCCGTCAAAAGTTTCCATACGATTTTCACGCGTGGTGCTAACTCGTCTCTGCAGGGTGGGTTTATAGACAAATTCCAATGATGTACTTAAGTAAGCAGTTAGTCACATTCTGTTTAAGATAGAAACAGATAACTGTTCAAAAAATACCTTTCTGCGTCGCATTTTTGTTAGTATGTGCGCTTAAATGATTTAGACCATAGGCTGTCGTCTCGTGTATTCAAACTTTTGCCAGCCAACTTTCTGTGGCAAAGGGATCAGCGACTCTAAAGTGGTATTTACGGGGGGAGGCCTCCAGTAGAAGGAAGTACCGAATGGAGCTTCAGCATACAGTTTTAACAGGCTAGATATAGCGCCCAAAATAACAACATGAGTATTAAGCTGGGAATTGAAGTCCTGCACAAGAGGCTTCAAGAATGTCCATTCGACTTTCCGGCAAGCAGCGCCCAACCTTACTACCCAGTTTGGCGATTCAGCAGCTAGTTTAACATCAAATTTCGCAATAGGCTCGACGAAGCTTGCCACGAATTTTTTAATATTCGTCGCAATTTCCCTGTAGCTCTTAATTTCTTCCTCCCAGATCTGTCCCATTTGCAGTGCTTGAGCTCCAGTCAACAGAGGTCCAGGCTGTTGATGATTGATACCAAAATCTCGTATTCTTTCTGGGCTTTACGACTAGTCCCCAAGGCATCCGTGACATCTTTCAACAGTTAGACACCCGCTATATATTAATTAGTAAGAAACACCCAATGGATTATTATATAGACCATACCGACGAGATCGCCAGCTGAGAAGTTAGCCAGTGCCTTACTTTAATGGAATATCACAATCCATGATGCAAACATACATTCGACACCAGATAGGTGGCTCTGAGAGTGCCATGTTCGTCTCCGCGGCGTACACTACGAGAGACTGAACTGAATGACCCTCAGTAAATGTCGCTGTCAGGTGATACAATTTTGGAGCTCAGTAAGATTAGTAGCGAGTCCCTGAGGGCTGAAGTTTTTATTCGGAATTTTTGGGGGGATACTGGAAAAAGCAGGGTCATGCTCATACAGCAGACTTGCGGCGCGGCACTTTCAGGGTCCGGAGAGAGGAGCAGTCATGGGTCCCGCGAAAGAGGAATTGGTTGGCAAAACTGAGGTGCTTACCCTGTATGGGATAGACACTTGATGAATCCTGATTTTGTGGCTGATGTTCTAAGGTTCAGTCAACACCACGATAAGTCACGACTCATTTCGGTTCCAGATAAAATTCCTACTACAGTAAAACCTATCTAGTACGATACTGTTGGCTTGGCCAATATATATCGTATTAACTAGGTATCCCACTACACTAAATATATATATATTTCATGTTTACATACAAATTTCTATAGGAAATAGCCCCTTATATCCTTCTGCTTTTGTGCATTCAATCTCCTAGCCTGTATTAACCTCTGGTATTTATACAAGCTGGTTATTAACTGCGTTTCGCCCCGATCCTACTGCTCTTCATATAAAAGAAGCGTCTCTAATGCATGAATAGCATCATTTATTGAAACTAGGGGGGTTTTAGGCATGGTTTCTGCATCTGCATCATGAAAATCTCTAGAAAACTAGGCAAGCACTATATTATCTATAGTCTTAATGCTATCTTACACCACCTTATCTATAGGATTAAGGAAGTTCTTAATACTCATTAGGTCTAGTAATATAGGCCTCAGCATAGTGTTACGCACAGCTAACTGGTCACAGTTATGTTAGATAGAATCGGGAGATACTTCTCTGATTTCCTGCAGACTTCCAACCTCCACGATCTATCTCTCAACCTTACCGTTGCCTAGCAGGTCTTACTACGGGATGAGTCCTTTCGAGGGTATCGAGGAACGATACTAGGTAGTGCGCCGAATAGATCTATACCGGAGTATTAGTCTATCCGTAGTATATGTCAAGTTATAATCAAGTAAAGAATCTCTAAAGTTTTAAAGGTATTTATAAGTAATAATATATGATTAAAGACGAAGAACTAAACTAGATATATGAAATAAGTGTCCTTATATATCCCTAAGTTCTTCCTATATAGAAGCGTAGATAGTAGATAAGTAGATCGTAGATACTCTTCTACCGTCGACCGTTCTACTACTTACATAATCACGTGAGGCTAACCGTGTCCTAGTGTACAGGAGTAATATTAGTAATAGTGAGTTAGCGGCCGGAAATAGCCTTCTTAATGTTATGAGCCAAGTCTTGATGAAAAAGAGTGCATTCAACTAGAATACTAAACCTGGGGAAAGAAAGAAAGAAAGAAAGAAACAACACACTGAAACAATTAAGGTAGTGATGCCTGAGGCATCCAATCAAACAATGTAAGGCACGAACTACGAAAGGCGGTGGAACACGGCAGAATCGGTTTCGGATCATTGATCCTGAATTCTTCGTGACAGATAAAAGCTAAGGGAAATTTCTATATAAATCTTTTATCATCCCAAGGGAAACTTAGATATGGACGAGAAATAATAGATTTAGCGTAGATAAGCTCGTACACTAACTAACTCTTACAGTTTACGATCGTGATAAATGAACTAACTAGGCACTGGCCCTTTCTAACTTAACTTTAATGCGTTAAAGATGATCACTAGCTAGGCGTTAAGGGTGATAAAAGCCGGAGACTTTGCCCGTAAATGCTATTGTTCGCTAGTTGTTTTCACTTCCTAGTATTTACTATGTGGTTGAAATCTATAAGCAATATATATAGGTACTTCTAAAATATTTAAATTACTTGAGTTACTTTTACTATCCTACTTCTTAGGCTCTAGCTACTTAAATTTATCTGTTATAGCAGGACTCGAGCAGCATAAAACAATGAATTATGTCGTCGAAGAAACAAAATATCCTAATATAAAGCAAGAGAACTGTGGGAGACACGGTGGCATATTGGTGAAGCCGTACGATCATGGCGGGAACTAGCGAAGATCTAAGAGTTAGGTATCATTTAAGCGCTTTTCGTTGCTGCTTTTAGACATTATAGTGTACGTTTGGCATCCAAGAAATTTAGGAAAAGGTTTCGCATGTATCTATAACATGATTAAACAACTGACTCTTGCACCAAAAACTAGCTCATTATAGAATCGATGATTCATTCTTTACTCAGGTAGAAGTGATACCCATGTAGGGGCGCCCCGTGCCATAGACACGGTCAAACTGATATATAAGATACAGGACGATTCAGGTGCTCTAACGGCGTTCATCCTATTTGATCTATTGCTTAACCATTCAATTTCGAAGGACGATAACAATTTTGTCATCAGCCGGCATTACGCAGCTACGGGAAAGGGACCAGTGTTAGTGAGCGTATAGGATCTCGGCGTCTTTACTAGCAACGAGAATCTGCAGCCAAGGTACGTTGGTAGCATTTTTCAGAGTTATTATGAGCCTATTGCTTTACCGCACTAAAGGCTCTTCACCTATGTTACACACGGTCCGGTATCAGTTATATGCCGGGCGCGTCATTAGATCAATCAACTGAAGGTTAGAACCCAACATTGTTCCAAATATAGTATTTGGAATTGCTACGTCCAAGCCCTTGCGGTATGCATCTTAAGATCATAGGGATTGCAAAGACAGGCTTTACCTTACTCGTAATTCTAAGAAATGGAGTTCTATTCATCCGTTCGCTGCAGCAAAGTCATTTCGGGTACTAGATTATTGGGCAATTAAGGCAAGGAGTAGCTGCTACGCTAATCCTTATGTAAGATGATGGGTCATCATTGGAGAGGTAATTTTATCTATAGTGAACTACGTCTGAAGATTTCTGACCTTAGGGCGCTTAGTGGTAATTCACAGTTTGACATATTAAACTTTCTTTCATAGCTCTTTATGTGATTCAAAGTTTTTGCATTCGCACGAGAATCAATGAAAATTCGTGTTAGAAAACAAACCTAGATTTGATACATCTGGTTGGCGTTGATTCCATTCCCATCAACGCTGTTGTCTAGGCAGGTTTTGTTTTAAATTCATCAAAGTATTCACCGCTGATTTTAATTTACGTCTATGCTAACGATAATACATCAACGGGGCTTCTGCTAGCTCATGTATAGGCTATGATTTCCTTGCTAAAGTTAATGCTTTAATGTACTCACCGCTTATTCTATTGAGCGCTACGACTCCTGTGTGGGCATTAATGCATAAATTTATTTACCATTAATTCGAATATAGACTGTGGCTTCTGTGCTGATGATAATACATCAACGCGTTAGCCGCTGATTCTAGTATAGTTTATGACATCTCTGTGAGCGCTCATGTGGCTGGCACTGCGCATAAGTAGTAACACATCAGTTTTTCAAGTTGTATTTCCCATAGATTATCCTTGAGACAAGACTCCCAGAGTCAAGATTATCGGCCTTCGGCCTATTCAAGTCATTATGGACACTGTGGTATGTGAGATTAGGTGACATCAAAACCAGGAAGCTAATGAATAGACCACTAAGCAAGATTTGAAAATCCGTGATTTATTCAACGCCATTCCAAAGCATTGCTTTCGGTCATCTTATTTTGTCTCATTCAGCTACTTACTGAGGAATATTCTGGGTTCTGTAGCCCTAGCAGCTTTGGCAATACTCGCATTCCCCTACATCCACAACAGCTATCTATATGCAATATCATGGTGTCTCTATGGGTTCACACAGGGTCTGTTTGGTACAGGCTTATGGATATTAGGCCATGAATGCGGTCATGGTGCACTTTTCCCAAGCCAAAAACTGAATGATATAGTCGGGTGGTTTCTACATTCGGTTCTATTTACCCCGTACTTATCATGGAAGTCAACCCATCGCCAACATCATATATATGCGAACCATATGGGAAGAGATCGCCATCATGTCCCAGACCGTCGTGATATCTATGCTGCCAAGCTTGGAGTCGACCACAGCGCCTTGGAAGAACTGACATCTGATGCTCCTGGAATCACCATGTTCCACCTACTCACTCAACAACTTCTTGGGTGGCCTTTGTACCTTATGTTCAATCTGACTTCGGGATCAGAAAGTACGCAGTCAAAGAAGCCTAGACGATGGTGGCAGAACAGCCATTTTGACCCCAAAAGTCCATTGTTTAGCGCCAGTGATTTCTCATCCGTGGTGATATCAGATATTGGTATAGGTTTGACTGCTGCTGCACTCTGGCATTTGGGACAAATTTTTGGGTCTAAAATCGTGATATTACTATACATTGGCCCATGGCTCTGGGTGAACCACTGGATAGGTAAGCTAATGATTGAGCGTAGAGTCATATTAAATCGACACTACTAAGAACGTTTAGTTGCTATCACATATCTACAACATACTCACCCGTCGCTTCCGAAATATGAGCGAAATTCATGGACTTTCCTTAAAGGTTCTCTTGCCACAGTTGATCGTGACTTTGGCTGGGCGGGCAGGTTCTTTTTCCACAATGTTGTTGATTACCATGTCATTCACCACCTTTTTCCGTAAGAGGAACCTCTGCTCCATGCCTTTTATGGTCTCACTAACGGATGGCTGCTGTGCACTTTTTAGTCAAATTCCTTTTTATCACACAGAAAAAGCCACGAATGCTATTATTCCTCTCTTGGGGTCTCAATATCACCAAGAGAAAGACTCTTCCTTCCTCAAAGATCTTTGGAAGACATTCATTGAATGCCAATGGGTGCAACCTGAGGAAGGGGGACCCGATGGAGAGTTAAAGTTCCAAAAGGGACCGTCTCCTTCTGCAAAACATATGATTCGCAAGTTACAAGGCGTAATATGAAATGTGGAGCCGATTCATTCAGGGTAAGAGTATTGAATACTGATGAATTTTGTTGAGATATTTTTCTGGATTTCATGAGGTGGTGGGATTTTATAAGTAAGAACAATAAGACCAGAATATCAGATCTAAGTGCATAGAAACCTGAGTTATCTGATACTTGGAGATAGAGGTCAGTTTAGTGCAGATGAAAATAATATGACCTACTGCATCGACAATCCACGCAATGCATATTAGCTTCATCGATCCTTCTGATTGAATACCATTTTATGGAGTGCTTCAAGTGTAACTAGAAAATTTGTCGGATGGAATCAGGAACTAACTAGCATTGACAGTAACTGAGGATTTCAAATCACGTAGGTTGTGTTACAGAGTTGGAGGAGTATTTTTGCACCTCGCCAAACGCGGATTCGCTTGAATTTTCGCTTCTATTGAGACTGATGGCCAATCGACACTATTTGACGTATTCGGTAAGTAAGCGACGCAGCCCGGAATCCGACAGTAAGTGCGATATTTTCTACATTTTTATCTCAACAACAATAGCGTATTATCCTGTTTTATTGCTGATCGATAACTATTTATAAGGCTTGTGAATATTCTATATCAATTGGAAAGCTGCATCGTTATGGTATCGAAAACCGCCTTGCTCGGAACTAGGAATATATTATATTTCTGCTTAACCATTAGATTATGAAAATTCTTGAAAGTTGACGGAAACCAGTGACCAATATTGTATGTGTCCCAGGATGGTAACATCAAACTCTCTATATACTAAAATTATGAAATTGACAATTTTGTAGGACATGCTGACAAAGAGTAATATGCACTTTTATGTGGGGTGTCTGATATTGGTGTCGTAAGATATTCTGGGTAAATACCCAGAAATCCACATGCAGATCCACCATATTTCTGACAAAAGTACCCAAGGAAGCTAGATATTACCTAAAAGATAGTATGCTACAAGGGAAAGCCCTTACTGTTGAATTGCTGCCGGTTCGAAGTATAGATAATAAAGTATGTAATGGAGTTTGTACAGTCGTTCTCGAAATCGGCTTGACAGATACACTCTTGATCACTCTTTTCCGACCCCACTACCAAGGCCTAGCGCAGATCAATTATTGAGCGGGCCTCATCAAATTGATGGACATCATTAAAGGCAACAAGTATGATACCGTATCCAGGTATATAGATTACGGAACGCTTACGAGAATAAAGTGGAATTCTATAATGGGGCTCTGTAAATCATGCAGGAGGTTGCCTAGCAACTAGTTCCTGGACTTTCTGCTAGGTGACTTTTGCGATATCCGTCAATTTGCTAATGAAGCTTTAGAACAAACAAGTTCGCGAACTTCGAATCGAATCTGCCAAAAGTTCGACTCGATATTTGTGCGGAGCGGTACGTGAAATTGGCCTCAGAAAGGGTTTCATGTGGTTGAGAGGTGATGGATTCGCCATATGCCATAGTGGGAATTGTCGCATAAAAAAAACGCCTGTTTTCGTGACCGCTAGGCCAAAAAGGTGCACACCTCCTTAGCTAGGCTTAAGTAAGGTGTATTTACGCGTATTCTTGCTTTGACGGAATTTTCTTTCATCTGATGCATTTGTAAAAAATGGTTGGGTGAACTTCACTTTCACAAGTGATCATAGAAATAGTTATGCTGACAAAATAATCAAGGACGCCCTGCTAATATAATATTATATTTGCCCTGCAGACTCAAAGACTAGAGATTTCCGTTAGCTTTATATACGTACAACTGGCAGCAGGGATGCCCAAGGAGAGCTACCATCATCCACCTTGCATAATATGATGTCGGTGAGCCAGTGTACGTCTGCCTTATATGACCCCAAAACCTTGGTCATGAACATGTGAGTCACCACTGCAGGATATGCTTCCAAATACCAAAGATTCCATGCCATGAAATCTCTATCTACAGGGTTGAAGTCCAATCTTGATTGTTTAGCTCCAGCGCCTGAGCAAGATATAAATGTGTGGTCTCCCGCAGTTGCTTAACTCTAAATTCTCCAACAACAGCCCTTCGAGGACAATACACCTTTTCTACAAACCCCCAATGCCCACCATGCGGACGTTTGAGCCATATGTCTTGACACCGTTGGATCATTTATTACCACCAGCGCACATGTTTACTTTCTTTACATTCGAGCTTGAACGTCCCTCAGAAAGCATTCAAATTCTGCAAGAAGCTCTCTCGCGGTTGCTGGTAGCCCTTCCATTCTTGAGCGGCAATGTAGCCATGTCAAGCCAAATAAAAGACAAAGTGAACCTGCAAGAGGTAAGACCAGCAGATGGACCAACAATGCTTCAGTTCCCAATGCTTCAAGTTCAGCATCACCGAAATAAAGTTTGTGCCATCGACTGGGATGCGATCTTCAACCAAAATTACATTCCACTCCCTCTTGTGATGTCATCTTCATTGCCAATTCCAGTGGCCCGATTCCAAGCCAATGTTATGAAAGATGCAGTTGTCGTTTGTATGGCCTCCCACCACATGGCGATGGATGGTCTCGGCGCCATGGCCGTATTAGAATCATTGGCAGCGTGCTGTCGAAATGCTGCACCCATTACCAGCATGATTCTTCAAGCGGAGGTAAGGAAGCAGATTGCGGCAGCAACGAGCGCTAAGCCTGTAGACCATCACGATGGGTATGGTCAGCCACCTCACCTTACCGCAATCCCTATTAGTCGCAATTTCACCTTATCTGCGGAAAAAATACGCAAACTCAAAGAGACCTGCAATTCCATCATCCTTGGGGGAGCTGAAGACAAAGCTTACCCTACCTTGTCCAGCAATGACATAGTTACGGCCTTGATATGGATATGCGTGATGCGAGCACGCCAAGCAAACTCAATGCTTGTTCCAGGAAAATTGACTTCGTCATTGAACCTAGGAGTTAGTGTACGCACGATTCTACAGCCTGGGATTCCGAAGAGCTACATTGGAAACGCTGTTCTCGTGGCCCCATGCTCATTTCCACTGAAGGCAATGGAAGGTCGGGGCAAATATTGGGCCCAAGACTTGTGCCTCTTATGTGATGTTGCGCAAGCAGTAAGAAGTGAAGTCCAAGCTATCACAAATGAGCATGTTCGCAAAATTGTGTCTCACATCACCCAGTCGAGCAACTGGGGGTCCTTCCAGATACAGTATCCTGACTTGGTAGTCAGCAATCTTCGCCAATCTGATATCTATCAATGGGACTTTGGGTCTGTTCTGGGAAGAGTATCCAACGTAGACATCCCTGATCCTCGTTTTGATGGCTTGTGTTGGATCAGACCGGCCAATCCAATCCTTACGTCAAATCCACAGGCCGGTAGGGATCAATCACCTCCTTGGGACTTAAGAGTGGTACTAGAGGAATCTGTCATGCAATGCCTACAGGAGGAATCTTTCTTTCGTTGGATGCAATCCTCGCTGCCTACTCCTGAGAGCATTGTTTCAAGCCAGAGCCCCGAAAATTTTACGATGTATGGGGGAGGGTCAAAGTTATGAAGGTTTTCTGAGATGGGCGTTGATTCTTGACGGTCTGCTCTTGACGGCCTGCTCTTGACGGCGGAGGGACATTAATATAAAGATACTTGGACTCTTCACTGGTATTGATTCCTTGAGCGTCTCTGATTAAATTGAATAGAGAATGTGTTTAGCAATGTGCGAATCTCTGTTTCGCCGCAACCTTTGTTTTTTATAGATTGCATGATAGTGCATATTTACTTCTTTTTCTAGATTATTCGTATACGTGATTTATACCTCTTTATTACCCCTAAGATACTTATAGAGTAGGCGAACCGGGCTCTTGTATATACTAGTTTAAATTATAAAGTTAGTAAGATATAGGCGTATCGTTTCGAGAAAAGACTCCTACTATACCTTATATTAGGCCTTATAATATAAAGAACGAAGGATAAGAAACGTCTTAAAGTAGAAGATATAGGATACTTATAGTATAAGTATAGTTAGCTTACTAACGTACTTAAAGCTCTTCGATTATATTTAATTTATGACTTCGATAAATACGGCTTTTAACCCGGCTAAGGAAGGGCTCGGTGTTACGGACATGCCAGTCACCAATCACAGGTGGGGACTGCGACCTACAGAAGGGCCACCGAGAGCTAACCGATCAGTATGTCTAAGACCCCGTTACGAGGGTCTTGGGACTTAGGTGGATTCGGGCAATAGAATGGAGAAAGCAGTAGACAGGTTCAATGCTGAACTAATCGCTGGAGTCCAAGACTCCAGCCCCTGAACTGTTTATATACAAATGTGGGGTCATGTGAGGTCATGAGCCCTCGCATTGCGGGTCTCAGCCCTGGGTCCAGTTCGCACCTGCGAACTGGCCATCTCGCAGTCTCACATAGACTGCGAGATATAGATCGTCAGACCTGCTTAGTACTTGGGTCCTGATAGTGACTTAGATGATAGATAAATCAATTAGCTCTCGGTAGCCTATTAGTAGTTACGGTCTCTATATATGATTAATGACTAGTATGTCCGTAATATTACCTCCCCCTCTCCTAGGAGTTTCGTCCCCGAGACTTATAAAGCTACGGTTTCCCCCTTAGGTAGGTGATGTTTTTTCCTTTTCCTAATATTGTTTTCTTACTATACCCGTTTCTAACGAAGTGCGTAAAAGGAATAGATTACGTTAATATAATACTATTCTATCGGCGGGTTCGGTTATCGATACTCCGTATGAATATTATTCTAATAACTTTCTTAATTATATAATAGATTTAAAAAGCTAAAATTATACGGAGTGTACTCGTCGTAGTCGGAAATATATGAAACGTTTCTATAACGATCGCGAGTGGGAGTCGTTAGAGCGGGATCGCTAAAAGGTGGCGTAGGAGTTAGAGTAAGCCTAAAAACAATAGCTTAAGTATTCTTAACAAATAAATTAAGCGATATCAAAAATACTTCGCCTTTAGAAACATTAACAGTTTCTAAAAGATCGTAGTGTTACGCACAGCTAACTGGTCACAGTTATGTTAGATAGAATCGGGAGATACTTCTCTGATTTCCTGCAGACTTCCAACCTCAACGATCTGTCTCTTAACCTTACCGTTGCCTAGCAGGCCTTACTGTGGGATGAGTCCTGTCGAGGGTATCGAGGAACGATGCCAGGTAGTGCGCCGAATAGATCTATACCGGAGTATTGGTCTATTCGTAGTGTGTGTCAAGTTATAATCAAGTAGGAGTCTCAAAGGTATTCAAAAGTAACAATGTATGAATGAAGACGAAGAACTAAACTAGATACATGAAATGAGTGTCCTTATATATCCCTGAGTTCTTCCTGAGTAGAAGTGTAGATGGTAGATAAGTAGATCGTAGATACTCTTCTACCGTCGACTGTTCTACTGCTTGCATGATCACGTGAGGCTAACCGTCTCATGGTGTATTGTGGTAGTATTAGAGACGGTGAGTCGGAGGCCGGAAATGGCCTTCTCGCGGTAAGCCCTGGTTGTTTGCGAGTATAGTTCGTAATTACCAACAGGGGGCTAGAAACGGCTCCCAAGTCGAAGTATTTCTCTGACTCGTACTAGGGATGTCCCAGTATAGGATCTTACACGTGATCTGCATAACAGATTGATCGATTGGCTCTCGGTGGCCCATCTGTAGGTCGCAGTCCCCACCTGTGATTGGTGACTGGTATGTCCGTAACACGTAGTAGTTAGATATTAAATTATAACTCCGTGGTTATAGAGTAGTTAGATGCTAAGGATCCTCTTAATATTAAGGATCTTATTAAGCTAGATCGCCTCGCCGATAAGCGCGACACTTAGATTCTTACCGCTACGTTAGAGAATCCTACTTTAACCTAGATATTTAGTCCCTTATCCCCTTCCGTCTTAGAGGGGATAGACTTGTCTTTCCTGACTAGCGATTTGTTACGGACATACTAGTCACTAATCACATGTGGAGACCGCAGATCGGAATCTCACTTTGCTGCACCATGGAGATATGTGATAGGGTAAATGGTTGCATGATGGCATGATGGTTTCTAGATACTACTTAACCGATTGTAATTCTCCAGCTACCCCTTGCTTAGTTGTCCAGCAATATGGTACCCGAACCGAGTCTGCTCCAGCGAGAGTATCAATTGAGTCCCCTTTCAGAAAAATGTGTGTGACGTGGGTCTATCCTACGCAGGGTCCACCTTGATGTATGGCTCATCATAATGCGAAGAAAAAGCAAGAAATATACATGCATGGTTTTTCCTTCATCAGGCAGACCACCTGTGGGTGCTGTATATAATTAGCAAATTCGATCACCCTGACATTATGCAAATGATTGTCATCCTAGTCTTGCGTTGCGTCTGGCTCAAGGAGATAATCAATATTGCTTTTGTGTACGGACACCTCAGCTATATGCAAGATTGTAATTGGGCCATAAAGATCTGCATACAGCCACCAAAAGCTACACGGCGCTCTTGTGCCCCCTATTCTCAGCCCATCAAGCCACTCCACCACATCCCCTGTAGGCCTGCTACACATATTTCATCGATAAGATCACCCCACATAATCCCTTGCTTCTATCGAAAGAATATGACTATCGGAAGAGCATGACTGGAGACAGTTTTCTATTCAATCGATTTTAATCGACGGTGCCACTACATCAGCTAGCCTTGAGAAAGTTTCTCGGGGGCGGATGGTACATTGCTCAGCGATATTCACAGGCCTGTTGACAGATTTCCATCGATAGCTGTTGGGTCCCGATACTTCAGCCAGGAATTGCTTCTGCCGCAACTTGGATCCTAATTTGTATCTCCAAAATAACTCAACAAGACGAGATGAGAATACTGTGTCTTCATGGCTACGGGACAAGCCCCAATGTCATGAAATACCAGATGTCAGCCTTGATGAAACTATGCGATTCTAGCTGGAATTTCTACTATCTGGCAGGGAACTTAAACTGCCCAGTAACTCCAGGTGAGTGGATTGTTTCCAAATTCTTCTGAGTCATGTTGTGTTAATATTAACAAAATCATATTTATTGTAGGTTTCGCACCCGCCATTCCTGGCCCCTACCTCTGCTACTCAGCAGAATTTGATCCTGTCAGCATGAGGGCCGCTCATGCTTTGGTCAAAGAGACCTTGGCCAGCCAAGGACCCTTCGACGGAGTGTTTGGCTTTAGCCAAGGGGCCGCGGTACTACTTGCTTACCTGCTCGAGCAGAGGGCCATATATCCAGGAAAGCGTCTTCCCGTTCGATTTGGGATTTTCTGCTCGCCGGTAACATTAATTGCGACAGACCCAGCTTACTACGGATCCGTGCTTGGCCCGCTCTCTCTGGAGGATGAGAACCGTCTTCGATCCGCTCGAGATGACCAGCTTGAACAACTCACAGGATCGGCCCGAGTTGCGATCAAAGCGCTAGTCGGGGTCCTTGATGCAGTGGAGCCAGTCACCCGTCGACCACGTACAAGCTTTCTAAATCGCCCGCCTTTAGAAGTCCCGTGCGTGCTAGACCCAGCTCTTTTCAAGGCACGTCTACCTATTCCAACCCTTCATGTTCGCGGGAGAAATGATCCGCCGGCGTTAAGAGATTGCTCATTGTCGGGCGAGTCTTTTTGTCTCCCAAAGTGGCGACGAACTTTCGAGCATAGTGCCATACATGATTTTCCACGTTCTATGGCAGAGATGAAGGAGATGGTGTCTGCCATGAGATCGGTGATTGAAAGTAGTCAACAATCGAAGTTATAACAACCATCAGTCTCACATTCGCAAGCAATATAGATATTCTGGTAATCTCAGCATATTATTTTGTCGCCTTTTGTTGTGATTTTCTAGTCAAAGAAGGTTAAAGCTGCTTGGCTCGTTTACATCGAAATGAATTAAATACTCCGGTATTTCCACATTGAGGGTTCACAATTGCGCAAATTGCATAATTCAAAGGAAACCACTGCCGGCAGTGGTTCAGAGCTGGGATGAAATCTTGCTCTGAGCCTCTGACCAATTAAACATTGAACAACCATTCCAGTGGTGATTCACGGGTTTCTCATTGGGCCACCTGAGGTCAGCTGGGTGATACGTTCCCCTAATCTTCTGAACAATCAAACACGATACTGTTGCTACTGGTCCCAGATCCCTGATCTCCTGTGTGACTTTTTAAGCCAAACTATTTACATGAAGTGAAAAGCAGCGAAGTCGGTAAAAACAAACTCTAATCATTTGCATGATTTAGCGCTATTTTGCACTCGCTCTACGTATTTTCGCATAGCCCTAGCGAGCATCACGATTCGGAGGGCATTGAATCCTGCACTCGCTAAGGCTGTGGAAGGGAGTACCTGGGAAAAATTCACGAATCCAACAACAGGACGAAGAAAGACGGCTTTCCCGAAGAGTCCGGCAGATCAAGAACGCTTCGGAGTTAGATGGGACCTCGGGGTTAGATGGGACTACGATAGAGGGGTGACCGATGCGGATATAGTTTACCACAAGTTCCAGATGCAGGCGAACAGTGGAAGAGTCCCCTCTGCAATCAAAAGTTGGAGAGAAAGTCATGGCGGAACGCACGGTCTCATGGCCACTGCCTTAGTTGAAAAGGACGGTACGAAGGAATTCTATGCACATTGATCATGATTCGCCGCCTCCTTTGCATTTTGTCGTCTGCGTTGGAAAGATAGGTCTTGATTGGAAAGCGAAAGCAATTTAAGGGACATTCGTCCGGATGTGTTGCGATACAAGTAATATTCTCCGCTGCTTGGATATGCTCAGAATCAGGGCAGTCATGGTCGCTCAGGATAGCGGGATCGATGGCTTCATTGCCTGGAAGGTCTCCAGTCCGGATCTGGTTTCCAGAATTGACAGCTTAAGGGTGCTGACTAGCAAGAACGGCAGAGTCTAAGTCGCACGGCCCGAAACCGGGTGATCGATGCTCAGCACCCTGACAAACACTATCGGGTTTTATTGACACGACTGATATCGAGAACAGGAGCCTCAGATATGTCCTTCAGTCAAGGGGGCGGATATTGACTTCTAGGATAAAAAATTACAGTGGCATCGATGTCCATAGCCTGCAGGGTTCTACGTAGGGATGGTAAAAGAGTTGGCAAGGGAGATCCTCTAGAGAGAGAATCCTACCTACAGGGCAGTTAAATCATGACAATGCCCTTGACAAAGTAGAATAAGTACAGTTCTTGGCAGATATTTAGGTTATAATGACGTCTACCAACATGGTTTAGTGCAGAATATGCATCACATGCGCCAAAGAAATTTCGTCGCTTCCCGCAACCCATGCATTGTGTAAAATACTACCTGCGCAGTCTACGCTTTTTTTATTGTGTTAATATCTTTAATACCCTCTTGAGAACAACCGGTGAAAGCTATTTACAAGCTGTGCCAAAAAGACAGATGAAGAGGGTCAGTTTAAGAGAGGGCGCGAATAGGCGGAAGACGGGTATGTTCGGGGACTTCTTATTGATATTGACACTGATGAGGCTAGACAAATTTGACCGGATGGTAAGCTTGCCGTTAATCTGGTAGATCAACTCATGTCCCAAATAGAATATCTTATGTCAGTACTCGCTGCAGGGCAAGTCATACCAAATGTGCTGAAATACACCCTCGTTGTGGTCGGTGTAAAAGATTGAGTCTCGAATGTGAGCGGGGTGATTTCATCATTCCATCGAGTTGGAGTGCCCCGACTCCGAGGACAGCTGCCCCGATATAAGATCGCCCAAGCCCTGCATCTGCTTGGGAAATGTTCAACAATTCGGTCACTCCGCTCCGCAATGTGGACTTACCCAGGCCACAACTATCACCTGCTGCGCCATCGTCTATTGACGCCGAAAAGGTTCATTTGATTCAAGAAGATCAACATGGCATTGGAACATGGGTGGGCCTATTCGATGACGATTTGAAATTCCAAAAGACTCTCGTGAAATGGGCTCTTGAATCTCTAATGCTGATGAATGCAATTTGTGCCCTTACGGCGAGACAAATGAGCATTGTTAGTCGTGGAGCAATATGGAAGTCTGCTACAGTTCGCTACTACGGAGAGAGCCTTCATCAATTGATCAAAACGCTGCAGGGTCGATCATATTTTCCAGACGACACGCTTGCGACGACCGTTTTGCTGAGCAGTTATGAGCTACTCTTTGCCCCAGGTCTGGATCACCTTCGTCATGTATATAGCTCTTTGACCCTGATAAGGACTCACACATGTAAAGCCGGCTCAAAAGGAGTTGTGGGAGCGGCTTTTTGGGTATATGTATGTCGCGCTGTTTATGGTGCAGGAACATCCCACAATGCTTCCGCCGGAGGAATGGGTTGTGTTTTGGGCCAATCAGGAGACGGTGGAGGACAGGTTGGGAAATAAAATCATTTGGATCTTGACTTAAGTCATAGCCTACACATTCAAGAGAGCAGACGATCCCGCTGCCCAATCATTATCCTATGACAGAACCAGCGTGGCTAATGAGCTCGATGCTTGGTTTGAGTCCCTACCCGCGTCATTTAGTGGGACAGCATTTGGGGAACTTTCTCAAGCGGGGTTCTGAGGTTTTGCCAATACAGCCCGTAACTCTAGATTGTAAATTTTGATTGACATCTTCGCGCTCCGTGTCGACCTCATCTAAGGAACCCACAGGTGGGGAAGACGAGGAGGCCAAATTTTGTGTACAGCCACTATCGGTAAAGGCTGAATCATCCTAAGCTCAACGTTAATAAGTATGAGCAGGCTCCCTATAGAACCTTAAGTATCACGGGAAATTTCTATCACTTGAAGTATACTGCATCCCTCCTGTCCGGACTTACGAATGGTCTGTACAACTCCCGGAGACAAGCTATCGGCGGACTCCTTCGGGTGATGAATTAACATTTTGGTATCTGTAAAAGTATTGAGGATGGTCCAATTATACCTGATTGCCTCCGATTCCACTTTTTGTGAGGGTTTTATCGAAATAGGCCGTTAATCTTGATGAAAGAAGCAGCTATAGTTACGCATTTTCGCCTTTACTGAACGCTTGAGCAACTTTATCAAGCAAAATCTCAGAAGAATCGATTTTCTCTTTGGTTTGTCTAAGTATGAACTTTCTCCTTCGATCTTGATTTTGGTCAAACACACATACAGTACCTACTTTGACATATTTCACACATGGCTGATCTCCTTGGCAGTAGATATTGCCTTCACGATTTGCTCTCTTCAAGTCATGCATCTTAATTCACCTTTGATCTCTTTTTCTTGTAAGCTTGACATGCGGTAGTGCGCCTCCTTAGCTGAGGTGACGGGGTTAACGTTGCTCGTTGCTCGTCCTTGTCAGCCAGAGTAGGGGCGTGAAGCTGTCTATGGCCTGCTGTGTCCATGACTGTACTCTTTCCAATAGAGCAAGATATGAGAGAGCAATAAGCTATTTCGTTAAAGAAGTGACCACCAGTGAACCCTCACTGTTGCATGTTCTTGATTTTGATTAACTTATGAAATTGTCCTTGCCCTCCTTCGTCCAAGAATTAGGACTCGATATTTAACAAAATAGCATCTCTCCATTCCCGACGTAAAAAGCGATCATATTTACATAAAGAGACTCGTGAGCAAGTCCCTCTATGATCATAGGTCAGATCCTCATTGTTTTACAGCTGCTTTTCCCAATCGATTTCCAATGGGGTCCGAGGGCCATTTGGGGGTGCGTTCTATCCCAGTGTTACTGTACCATCTAGTCAGCGACAGTCCCTGTCGCTTTTCTGAAAGAAGAGACCCATAACAAGCAAAACGATGGGCAGCAAAAGCAGGGTATCAAGCTAGTGCAATAAAGTTAATCATAGAATGCAATGGTTTTTTTACACGCAGACGACCAACCGATCGTCATCGCCGCAGAGAATGGACACACGGCACTCGTTAAATTGTTTCTAGAGCACAGCTTCTCGAACGATAGTACCGAAAAGGAAAATGAAGATGAAGCCGTCATCTTTAGAAAAGCAGTAACGAATGGATGGCTCTTGGTGGCCCGACGGAGGTTGCGGCCCCTTAGTTTTTTGAGGTCCAAAACAGATAAAACTTTTTCACATTTGAACGAAGGGTGGCTTTTTCGAAAAAAGAAAATAAATCAGTTTTACATAAATTTTACATAAAATTCAACTAAACATCATTATTGACCAATAAATTAATTCACTCATATTGACAATCTACTACCTACTGTATTCGCCTTCGCAGAAATAGATTCGTGGCAGAATAAATGTTGCAATATTCAGGATCAAGTCGCTTTGTTTAAGACACAAAAAAAATTGATTCATTTAATCGGATTAAAGTCGCAAACGCCATCATAGATTCTATGAAGGGAAGACTCAACCAGGTGCCCCGGTTTATCAATATTTGAGAAAAGAAAAAACGACGTCGCTGAGACAGGAGCTAGAAAATGCGTATTGTAGAATATCCATCTGTTCGAGCTTCAAATCCTTAGGGGAACAGGGATTTAGACGACTGCTTTACCAGTTTAAATGAATGGTCACGAAAATAGACCGATCTAACCGCAATTAAATTATAAAATCGTAGGGAGATGAAATTAATGGTTCACCATTAACGCGACAAGTGTGAGGAAAATTGGCGGGCGGTGAAACTGTGACCGATTGTTCAGTCAACCAGGCATCTTATAGAGGGCGTGCAAAAGTGGTGGTTGAAGTACAGTACAAGTTTGGCTTCTATATGATTTGCACTCTTTTGCTTTTTCCCAGCGCCACTCTCGGGAGCTAGTCTATTATGGGCTTAGGCCATTGTCTTAGTATTTTACCGTCGTTTGTGACGGGGCAATACAATGACACTGTATAAAATCTGTTCTATGAACATCCTTCTTTCGAGAAAGTTCGCTGCAAACCAGGCAAACTGTAACCGAACTGTGCCAAGAACATTCAGCAAGGCGTCTTCTTCCCTCCTCAGGATCCTTTCTGAGACGGGATCGGTAACAGAATGTGTAATATGCCTTTCGAGACTAGCATTCAAAAGTGGCGCTAAGAAAGAGCGAAAGAGTGTAAATCTTATAGCAGTCTCCCTTTCTGATTGGTATATAGGAAAATCCGCGAAACCCCTACGTAAACATGCATAGTGCTGTGCAACCCTCAGTCCCGCACGGTGCGGGCCAGCAAGCAGCCGATTCAAAAAAAAAACATGTATCAATCAACACCTCACACGCGAACGTATTCTGCGCCCCCTCCCGAACCCCCGATTTCGCATGCATTTAGTGTGATATGTCCAAAGTAGCGATCTATTTCTGTTCATTCATATGTGAAGGGGACTAATGCCAAGAGAAGGAAGATGAGGAGGCGAGAGATAGAAAGAAAAAAGAGAAAGCATCTGGTTACATCTTTTACGACGCCTTGCGGTATGTTCACTCACCTGCCTTCTCTCCTTCCACTTCCTTTCCCTTCCTGGAACAATGATATATATATATATATATATATATTTGTAGGCTTTATCGCCTTTAATGATTGATACTGTTACACATACGCACACATTGCTTCATGCAGATGACTGACTGGACCTTCGCCTTTTGAGCACTAACTTAGGAAATGAAGTCCACATTGACTGTGAATAGATTGTGGATGGTGGATAAATAGATTGATGTGATATTATAATGAAGTATCAATGAGCCAGTTATCAGACGAGGAAGGCTACCGCCTTCCTTCCCTTTATAATTATTGCATCTAGTTGAATTGCCATAGCTTGCACCAAAGGAGAAGTTTGCCGTGGAAATTTTCTCCTTAGACGTGATATTTAGACCTAGGTAATAGATACTCTAATCTCATTTTTGAATTACACTCACACCATTTTATCTATATAGATGAATCTGAATGTGATAAAAAGATCGATTTCGGGCGAACAATTTGGTCTCCACTACGTACTGTACCAGCTCAAGTGTCGACATCCCATGGCGATTAACGATATCAGATACTGCGGGCGTATGCCCGAGATGGTATGTACTGTTTTTTATCGAATGCTCTGAAGCTTCGCTGATAGGTTCGTCTTTGGGGGGCTTGTTGGGCAGCTTCTCCTGCCTTGGCTGAGCTGGAGTATATGTAGAGTATGAACAATGCGTCCTTTCACCACTTCGACCAAATAGAACAAATGCGTTCAGAAGCCAGATTAATATCGGCAAAATTGTAATCAGCCCCTTGCTCCAAGGCCGGGAGCGGATATAATTCGTAGTAAGGGGCGGGAGACACAAATAGGAATCACATTGATTGACTGTATGTTCCTGTTACACATCAGAAACCGCCCGAATCAATAAAACCCAGGTCTATTGTAACCGCGGCTCCAAGACGGACCTCAATTTTTTTTCACGGCTGGGCCCTCGAAACACGTTCAATCTGCCCTGATGGTGATGACGAGCATGATATAATGATACATCACTTTGTTGAAGCAAGAGACTTGAGAGCAAGATACATCCGGTGCGATACCTTGCAGGACCAGGGGGTTGATGTCCACCAATGATGAGAACACGCTGGTCTTCGTGCAGCATAGAAGGGCCGTAGGATTTCAGTTCCAGATCTACCAGCCATATCAGTACCGGTTCTCTTTCTTATCTGATACATTCACAACGACGTGATTTCGGTCTAAGTTGCGGATAGAAAGGGGGCCATCGGTGCACCTACACAAATATCTCTCTCGAGCTTTCTCCTTGATCTTTTTTAGTAGTAACATTTCCCGTGACACAATATGACCATCACTCAGAAACGCTGGCGTCGGCTAAATGTGGGCATCGTGGGGGGAGGAATCGGTACCGTCTTTCCGTCTCCGCCTTTTTAAGCTAAACACAGCCTCTAAATAGTAACGATACCAGGTGGCCTGGCAGCGGCCATCTCCCTTCGTCGTGCCGGGCACACAGTCACCGTGTATGAGAGAGCAAACTCTACGCGAGACGCAGGAGCATCTATCAGCTGCCCTGCCAACGGTTCCAAATGGCTCGCGCAGTGGGGGGTGAATATCAGCCGTGGGGAGCCCGTCCGCATACTGAAACAGATTCGACGCGATCTCGAGACCGGCGAGGTGGTTGATGTGTTGAATCTGTCCAGCTATGCAGATCTATGGGGATATGTAAGAGATCCTCAAGATTAAAATCTATCGCCACGCCCGCTAAATTTCGGACCGCCGGCGACCCAGGACTACTATAACTTCTACCGGGTTGATATGCACCGAATGCTCCATGAAACCGCCACTGTCATCCACGGGAAAGGAGAACCAGTTGCAGTCAAAATGAACCATGTCTCCGAGGCCGTCGACCTTGAAACCGGCTGGATCACCTTCAGCCATGAAGCGCCAGTTCGGCATGACCTTGTCATTGGTGCCGACGGAGTCGGAGCAAGTCATCGACCATCTCTTGTGAAAGATAATATGAACCCACACTGACAATATCCATTAGTCCTGCGTCCGGCGCTCACTCGGAATCGAACCGAATCGCATCAGAGCGACCTCCTCCTGCATCCACTGCGTGATAAACACTTCCGACGTGCACCGACTTGGATTGCCAGAGATGGCACGCAGCGATGCCCTTGAATACTGGGGGCAAGGGCTGCACAAGATCGTCTATTCGGCGTGTCGCGGGGGCAGCGTGCAGTCATTCTATCTCTTCTTTCCACTGTCGAGTGGGGACAGGGAGGAGGATGCTGAGACCTGGCTCGATGGGGGCACCGCTGAACAGGCCCTGCGACCATATCCGACTTTGGACCCGAAGCTCCGCACGATCCTCACTCATTCTGTAGACATCCGGCCCTGGCGTTTGTTTGAACATTCACCGTATGCCACCTGGCAGCAGGGCTGCACGTGCATCATGGGCGATGCCGCCCATCCCATGCTGCCGGACCAGAGTCAAGGCGCGTGCCAGGCCATTGAGGATGCAGCCGCCCTAGGGATCATCTTTTCGTTGGAGTATACATTTACCGATGACATCAGAGCCGGGCTCCAGCTGTATGAACAGATACGCAAGCCCAGAGCGAGCAAAGTTCAAGCGGCAAGCGCCCGGGCTCGCAAGAACCTCTCGGAGCGGATTGGCTTCTCGAGTAAAATGGATAGTTCGCTGTACCGGGTGTCAGATGAGAGCCAGAAGCTAACCATTGAGGAAATCAACAGGTTTGTTGTCGGTTTCATTTGTGGGGGTGCGTTTGGTCCATCTCAGCTGACAAAACGTTCAGGTACAGTATGCAAGAACATATCGCATCCCAAGTGGACCCGGCATATCGCAGCCTTGGGCCGGTTCCTAAAAATTATTCGTGACCTCATTCGCAACTTCAATGCACTATAGATCAAGCATCTTTTTACACGGGCCATGGACCTGGACGAAGACTGTTTGGACGGTGGGCAATATATGTCTCTGGCAGGTGTAAAATGCAACAACCACCTGTGAAAAACATAGAAACCTACCTTAGAACAACGTGGACTAGTCGGTTGCTACATTCAGCGGGAATTTGTATTTGTAATGGTGACTCTGTCTTTGTAAGACACGTTGTTTGATGATGGTCATGAGCCGAAGGAGGTGATTGGTAGGTGTGCCATGCCATAGGACACACCACCATAACATGTGTTTCCATGACAATATAGTATTCGGCTTGCTTGCTCATCATCAATTTGCGAAATGATATCTATATCGAGGTTGGCGTAGCACCAGAGTTGTCATATCACAAGCAGGATCCACATCGTGGTTATCAACAGAAGTTCAATAGTGCCTAGCTAGAAGCATCGCTATGCTAAAGTAAGTGCAAACTAAGGATGCCAACTTCAAATGCTGTAATTTTTCCAATATTCTCCATTGCATGTATACATGATCACTGCAGTACCCGGTGTTATCTATAGCCCATAAAACTCCACAGTTTCTAGCAACTGCATCATTTATACTGACCCAACGGTTCCGCTACAAAAATAAAATCACTCCGGAGGCCTGATTCCAAGAATGGAGACTTGGCTGCGGCATAACCAGACCTTCTTTAGCACGAGACCAGGGTCTTCCAAAGGGCTCGCTCCCTTGGCCTCCAACGCGCAGTGCATTGGGGATGCGATGGCACAAACGTAGAAAACTTTGTGGACACTTCAAATGATGAAATTGATGATTTATAGCGATACCAGCATCGTTTTGCAGTTGCAGCGGGTCATGTGAGCATGGTATAATACACTTTGCGTACAATAACAGTCCTTAATGCGTAGCATCGCAATATAGATGACTAAAGAAAAATTTCAGGATTCTAGATTTTTATTCCCGCAATCGCAGTGTTTGTATACGCCGTTGAGTAGCTGCAGGGTTTCCACATGATGGCCTGTAAGCTACATATGAGATAATATTACACTTCCTTGAAATCCACTACGGAATTAATGTAGTCGATTGCAAATCTTCTTGTCATGAATGTTGACCGCTATTTCAGAAGACTAATAGGGGTGCATTCTCTTCTTTGCTTGTCAACTCCTCCTGTGATACATCACGTTAGTATTGTCGCAGCAGAGGCTAGGCAGCAAACACCGATAGAGATCTTGGCGCTTGAAGAGAATTGCATCCTGTCTAGCCTGTATCAGCCACATTAATAGTGTTGGAATCTTTATGGGTGGTATTACCATGTTTACCTGGATGACATTACTTCTGCATGTAGGAGTCATAGCACATTTTTGTAGTCAAAAGGTATTCTCCACAAACAGTTCTGATTCGCCTCGCTGGTGGGCAGTCTGCATCCAAGCAAAAAAGAGTAGTCCAACTGGACTTGCAGTTTGAAACAGGATCTAGAGTAGGAGGAGACTGAATAATAGAAGTTAGATGACCTATATACTGTATCACTCCTAGATGAGATAAGCATGGTTCTTGGTGTTGTTCCGAGCCCGTCTGCAACCCTCCCCACTAATGTACGAAAACCCATTTCTTTGAGTCAAGGTGAAGGAGAATTATCTGGATATATTTAGATGGATTTTCAATGTGGTCATCCGACTTTGGACAATGATACATAATGGGTCCTTGGCGGGCGGCCCAAAGGACATCGGCTCCTGGCTATGCAGAAGTCTATACCTGATCATATTGCTTACGTCCAAGCTTGGAAAATTGGGTTCAGTGTACAAGGAGGATCGGAATCAGTTTCACCATTTACACACAGAGATTCTTTCTCGAACCCTGTCCCAGAACACACTATACCTGTTACAGTTACGCTGCCCTTGAACCCCTTTCTTGGCAGTATTCTAGTACAGTCGTCGATAATAGCTTAAAAATAGCTTTTGTATCAGACTCGTATGGTCTCCAGGATTTCTAGAACATTGAGCATGCAAACAGGCCTAACAGACGGATGCCTGCTCATTTGGAGACCCGGCAGGAATTCGAATCCTTAATCTGCCAACCACTTGCACTCGAGTGACAACTGCGGACAGTCGACTTGTTTAGAGTTAGTACTAGCGGGTAATTTTTCTTTGCTTATTATAATAAGCTAAGCCTCCTCATAGGGGACTAGCATTTGCTGAACTGAATGATCTTGATCATGCTAACGTTAAATCCGTTTGAGCCTTGAACGATGACGATGACTGCTAATTCGTATCCTAATGACCGTGATTATTGGCTGTTAAGTGAGTGAATATCTCACCGGTCGATCAAGCTACACATGATGCAGCTTGAAGGTGCGGAAGGTGTATAAAGGCGTTAATATAGACTTTAACGTAATCCACTACCGAGCTGAACACCTGAAAACACCATACTAAATGCGATAAATTACGTCTTAATATCTCAATATCAGTGGCCTATAGGGACTTTTATATATATGGTCCGCTGTAGGCTTACCCGTCGCTGGCTTACTCACTTGGACGATAGTGAAATGTATGTCGCTGTTGTATCCGATATCATTTGGCGGTGGAGGGTGCTTGATCTAAGGCCATTCATATTGTGACGATGTCGTTGGAAGTGCTTCGTATATTTAATTGCGGAGTATCTAAAGAATACACCAGCTGTATCGATCCCGATACTTTCGAACCTTATGATCCAGTTTTTCTTTGGATACTTGTTTCAACAAGAACAGGAGTGGCAATCTTCTTTCCAATATTGGAAGATCGATGCAGACAATCAATGATTCGAAGATACTCAAATGAAGAGAGGTACAGAGAGTGTGTGTAATTCATTTTAGTCTGACCCCTAACAGAGCGGTTATTCATGCTACAGCGTCTTGGAGATCAGAGTCTAAAGCCGCGTCTGATGCCGATTCGGTCAAAGTAGTGAGCTATTGGTCACAAATAAACCGCGAAGAGCTAGGTATGAAGAAAGGACATAGAAGAGAGCGGTGCCTCTGGAGACATAGCGAACGCATTTGCCGTATCGATCAGGCTTTTTGCCAGCAATCCAGCTTGTTCCGAGTCCATGATTCTGTTTGATGTGAGAACTTGAACCTGCAATTTTCCTTTCCCTGGAATAGCCCGGATCAAAAGCTGATCCTGTAAATCGATCCGACCCATGGCAAAAGAATCCGAAATAATGCCACCTCCCTTTAAAGGCAGGGAACTATTATCACCCTCACCTAGGTGGTTCAAGATGCATCCTAATTTGGTATCCGAAGGCCAATCCGTACTCTTGGCAAGTATGTCGGAAAACTCGATGTGACAAAATTGCTGAGATTGTGCGTATTGGTCGCGTAACAGCCTGCACAAGTCGATGACCGACCAGACCTGCGCGAGGCGAGCTCGAAGTGGGTTGTGATTGATACAGGGCCCGAGAATTGTATGTACCCGAGGCAATGGAATGGCACGCGTATTCGTCACCACTCCAAACACAACATCGTCCTTCTTGGTCAAACTAGCCAAGACGAAGGAGAAAGCTGCGTTAATCAACGTGGGGATTGTGATATCCTCCAAGGCGCTGGGGAGGTCTCCGAACGCGATCTCGTGGATATCCGCGGAAACTTGATTTGCTTGCAGATCTGAACATGGAAGCATTGTCATCACTGAGCCTTGCAGATAGTCCTTCCAAAAGTTAAATGCACATTTGGAGCGGTTGCTAGCACAGAAATACACGTAGTCAGGAAAGGTTGCACAAACTGGGCCAGAGTGAATGTCTTGGTTGTAAGCAGTCACAAGATCGCGAAGAATAATTGGCCTCGATGAGCCATCATACTGGGCATGTGATAGCCGGACAGTGAAGATGTGTTCTGTCTCTGACCGCGAGATAAGTGTGAATTTAACTAGCGGCTCGCCCGATAGGACATCCTTGTTCGAATCGACCTTACAGATGGACCTCCAAACCGGCTCGAGAGATTCCTTGGTGTGAATATAACGCAATGGAACATTGATGGACTTTAAAACAACCTGGAACAGCTTGCCCTGGTTTTTGATGAAAACTGTGCGCATGATAGAATGGGTCTGTACGATGGAATGACAAGCTAAGCGTAGCCGATCGAGGTCAACTATCCCTTGAATTGAGAAGGAAAGGCAGCTTAGAGACCACTGGGTCAAAAAAAAAAATGAGAATTTGTGACAGGCATGATATCAAGTTTTGTGTCGTTGGTAAGAGTGCGCGGTCGTGAGTTTAAGAGAACAGACTTTTGTTGAGGATCCAGAAGCGAGAAGGGTTTGACGTTCGTGCTCGCCTCGACGTTCTCGCTTTTGACAAGGACTGCAGCCAGAGTACTCAACTGTCGTAGCGCAAAGATATACGAGACAGATAGGTCTAAGCCTTGAGACCTTGCTAAAATGGCAAGGTGCATTGCCGAAATTGAGTCGCCGCCCAGGCGGAAGAAGCTGTCGTCCGCACCAATTGAGTCAGGCGTGATTTGCAGGACCTGTGCCCATAGTTGCTGGAGCGTCCGCTCCGCGGCTGTGGTTGGTCGGCGCTTGGTTGGCGTAGGGCTACAGTAGGCCTGGGTCCCAGCTCGGGTAAGAGTGGCCGCGCGATCGCGGAGCCGGCTACGATCAGTCTTGCCGTTGGCGGTCAGAGGCACAGCCACCAGGGGCAGGAACACCGCCGGCACCATGTACGCCGGCACAGAGTCGTGGAGTGTAAACTCAGCGGCCAGGACTGCCGCGTGGAAGGCGTCGGTGGGCGCCGCCAGTATGTCATTGATGTCGTCCGCCCTGTCATCCTCGTTACACTTGTCTTCCTTGGTCTGGTTGTCGACGGAGACGAAAGCCACCAGCATCGGCGCCCGCCCAGCCTCCACCGGCGTCACGACATCTGCCACCACTTCGCGTGCGCCCGGGAAGCTCCGGCGCGTGTGGTGCTCGACCTCTCCCAGCTCGATGCGCTGGCCGCGGAGCTTGACCTGCGTGTCCTTGCGCTCCACAAACCGCAGTGACCCATCCGTTGCGTACTGAACCAGGTCTCCTGTCTTGTATAGCCGTCCGATGCTGCTGCCGCTCCGGAATTGTTGCAGCCAGGCTGGAGGCGCGACAAACGCTGCCGCCGTCCGTTGCGGGTCATTCAGGTACCCGCGCCCGACGATTGGGCCCTCGATCAGCAGCTCGCCCACCGCCCCGATCGGCACTAGCCGTTCGTGGTCCGCCGGGTCCACCACCCAGCAGACGCAGCCGGCCCCATAGCCAATATTCTGTGGGTCAGACCCGGCCTTAATATCTGTTCGGAGTGTACTAATCACCGAGCATTCTGCTGGCCCATAAGAGTTGATAAGTCGAACGCGGGAACTCCATTTCTGAATATCTGCCCTTGTCATGGGCTCTCCGATGAGAGCCAAGACTTGGAGTTCAGATCGCGTTTGTAGCAGTAACAGTCTTCCCACGGACGGAGTAAGGTGAGTCCAATTACTCCGATATGTATGTAATGTCTGAGATAGGTCGCTGTTACATTCATTGGCGGATGGCACACATATACAGGCACCGGTGAGAAGGGTGGTGAGTGTATCAGATATGCTGACATCGAAGCTATAGGAAGCAAATTGGAGGATCCTAGACTGCGAAGTCACACCGAGACGTGTGCTATGTGCGCGAGCGCTCGAACAAAACGCAGCATGGTGGACCACCACGCCCTTCGGGCTGCCCGTGGAACCCGAGGTGAAGACAGCGTAGAGGGCATTGTCCGGGGCCACAGCAGATCCCGTCCAGGTTTGGGTAGGGCTACGCCACGCCGGCACATCGTCGCCCACCACGACCACCACCGCCGCTAGCTCAGCCGCCAGTACGCGGTTCGCCGCCGAGGACACTACCAGCGGCGCCGAGATGGTCCGGCACACTGCTTCTAGCCGCGCCCAGGGGTGTGATGGGTCCAGCAGCACGAACGCTCCGCCAGCCTTCATCACCCCGAACATCGCCACTGTCGTCCACCGCGACTTCTCGAAGCACAGAGGCACAAACACCTCGGGCCCCACCCCGCGCTCGGCCAGGTGCGCGGCCAGTGTCGATGACAGCGCGTCCAGCTCGCCATAGGTAAAATCGCCGTCCCAGGCGCAGACGGCGGGCGCGGCGGGCTGCACGCGGCACCGCTCCTCCACCAGCGTGTGCACGCACCGGTCCACCCGCGCCGGCACCGAGCCATTCCACTGCGCCAGCTGCCTCAGATCCTCCTGACTCACCCCGCACATATCCTTGACCATCAGGGGTGGCGAGCTCTCCGCACACATCTGCCGTAGCACGTGCTCCAGCTGCTGCGCCATCCGCTGCACCTGCAGTCTCTCCACCACCTGGCTATCGAAGCTGATCCGTAGCTTTATGCCTTCCGCTCCTAGCTGGCATTCCGCTAGTATCGCATACGTGTTGAATGCATTCAGCCCTCCATCACTATCCTTTCCAGCGTCATTTCTAGCTCGGAATAGCTTGTTGCTCTCTGGATCATTATCCCGCGCGGCAGGCTGCACCACAACGAGAGTTTGGAACTGACTTGCTTGCTCTATGTCAGGTCTGATCCGCCGGATATGCTGTAGTCCGGTCTGCTCGTATTGCATCATACCAACAGCCTGGGTCTGTACCTGTCGCAGTAAATCCAGCACGCCCATCTCCCAGTTGAGCTTGACCCGTATGGGCACTGTTGCGATAGTGGGACCTGCCATACGCTCTACGCCTGGAACTGGTACTTGCCGTCCGGTCACCGTGGCTCCAAAGATCACATCCGATGAATTCGTGTATTGGCCTTGCAAAATCGCCCATGCCGCTCGGACTGTCGTCGATGCGGTAATATCGCTCCGTGGCCACTGCAGGCCCGTGATTGGATGCTGTAGCGCGTCATCCGCCTGGGGATGGTAATCGGGCGATGGTAGACTAGGGAATGGCACCGCCTCGGACCCGCCGAGTTGACCCTGCCAGTACTCGCAGGTACCGCCGCTGCTCTGTAGGATATGTTTGATGAATCCCTGGAACGGAACTAGGTGGTCTCGGGTATGGCCGTAGTATGCCTGTTCCACTTGTTTGAGCACTAGTGGCATCGTCCACCCATCAAAGAGTGCATGGTGTACTGTCCACACCAGCAGGCGCTGGTCGCTGCAGGTGTGTATTATCGCAAATCGGGTAAGGGGCGCCCCCAACCCCATAGGTTCCTGTTTATCCGCTTTTAAATAAGTTCCGAGGTCCTCGCAGGCTGTGAACGAGCCCTGTCCTGCAATCACAACCTGGACCAGCCCTTGTCCCTCCAGATTTACGATCCTTGTCCGCAAAATCGGCATCGTCGCAACAACCTCCCTCCAAGATTGTTTCAAGCGCTCGGTTTCGATGTCGATCCGAATCTGAAACAAAATCTGGCTGGCATAAGCACCGGATCGCTTGGCTGTCATGGCAAGCATCCCTTCCTGCAGCGGCGTGCATGGGAAGACATCATCCACTAGGTCTGTGTCCACCCCACACTGGGCCGCTGCTTGGGCCCGAGCAAAACCTACGTCGATCCTCGGCTGCAGGAGAGAGAACGGCACAGGACTCTCTTCGACATAGCTTTCTGCCTTGACAACATGTGCCATCTGGCTGAGGCGCGGCGTGTTGAGGACGTCGGCCACGCTCAGTGAAAGACCCTCCTCCCGGGCAGCCGCAACGAGATGCACGGCAGCAATGGAGTCGCCGCCGAGGCGGAAGAAGCTGTCATCGGCCCGGACTCTGTCGGCCGGCAGGTTGAGCACGTGGACCCACAGCCCCTGCAATCGCTTCTCCATTCCTGTTGCTGGTTCCCGGAGTGCACCACGGCACGGCTGCATCTCTATCACCTGCTCCAGAGTCAGCGCCCTGCCCATCTCACGGAGCCGCCTCCGATCCGTCTTTCCCGTCGCCGTCATTGGGATTGTGTCCACCGCAAGGTATGCGCTCGGTACCATGTACCGCGGTACCTGCTCCATCAACCGTTCCTCTACACCTTCCGTCCATCTGTCCAGTGTCGCTCGCACACGCTCTGGGCTCTCGTTCGCTCCTTCGCCGATTGCAAGATATGCCATCAGCATCGGGTGGTTGCTGCCACGCGGCGTCACCACCTCAGCCACAACTAGCGGACTGGTGTCACCTACCAGGCTCTGCTGGACATGATGCTCAACCTCGCCTAGTTCCACCCGTTGGCCGCGAATCTTGACCTGCGTGTCCTTTCGCCCGACCAATGTAAGGCTGCCATCCACGTGGAACTGGACCAGATCACCCGTCTTGTACATTCGACCATCACGTCTTGACGGTTTGCTGTACCTCTCACAAAACGCTGAGAACCAATTCGGAGCCTCAATGAAAGCTTCGGTGGTCTTTTTTGCATCATTCAGATAACCTCGTGCTAGAATTGGTCCTTCCACAAGCAACTCTCCAACGGCGCCTAGCGGTACCAGCTTGTGGTGATTGTCCGGCTCAACGACCCATCCAACACTTCCCGTCATCTTGCCTATCAGTTGTGGGCTGGAGAGTGTTCCCATGTTTTGAGTGGCGGCACAGCACACAGTCTCGGCGGAGCCATACGCTATAGTCACTTGAACATGGTCTGGCCACGCTGTGATGTCGTTCCTTACTGGCGTCTCCCCCGAAAGAATAACATTTTTCAAGTTTGACATGTCGTCGTGCCGCACTTTTCTTAAGACGGAGGGCGTAAAAGCGGCCCAGTTGGCTCTAAACCTGCGTACTGCGGCAGCGATGTTGTCACGACAATCGGAGTCTGACGGAACACAAACACATCCACCAACCATCAAAGTCGTGACCATTTGCACAATGCCAACAGCGAACGCGTACGATGCGAGCTGTAGGACGCGGGAATCTTTGTTAAGCTGTGCAGCGTTGCTATGAGCCAAGGCGTTGGTGCAATATGCCGAATGCTCAACCACAACGACTTTAGGTATTCCCGTAGATCCAGAAGTAAAGCTGGCATAAATAGCGTGATGAGGCTGCGCGAGGGTTGTGGCTCTATAATCATGTAGGTTGCACGATGAAAAGATTCCCACGGTACTGCTCAGCACAACCACAGTGTCCGCCAGCTCTTTACTGCGACTCTCGTTTGTCGGAGAAGACAGGACAAGCGTGGCCTTCACGGCAGCACATAACTCTTTCAACCGCAGTAGCGGCTGGCTAGGATCCAACAGCATAAAAGCCCCGCCGGCTTTCATAACCGCCACCATTGCCACCGTCGTCCACCGCGACTTCTCGAAGCACAGCGGCACAAATACTTCGGGCCCCACGCCGCGCTCGGTCAGGCGTGCTGCCAGCGCTGACGAAAGCGCGTCCAGCTCAGCGTACGTGAAGTTTCCGTCCCACGCGCACACGGCAGGTGCATCAGGCTGAGCCCGGCACCACTCCGTGATCAGCTCGTGCACGCACCGGTCTACCTTCTCCGGCACCACGCGGTTCCATTCCTCCAGCTTAAGCATGTCGGCCTTGCTAAGCAGGCACACTTCATCCACCTTCTTCTTTCCCAGGGGGAAAACTCTAACCTCTTCTTCGTTCTTCTTGTCAAGCACCCCGAGATTTTTCAGGCCATCGCCAGTGGTTCCTTGCGTCATCACACACGTGCCATTTGTCATAGTAGCATCAAGTACCGGGGAGACACACAACTTATTTGCAACTTTAACGGTGCTTAGTGAATACTCTTCTTCTCGAAATGGGTGGGCACTACCTTGAATACCAAGTTTACCCGTCATTTTACGATTTATTTGTCTTCTTTGCAATCGGTTGTTGCCAGTATTGAAGATCTGATAGTAGGAAATAGTTAATGGCGAAAAGTCTTGCGCGAGATTATTAAACTCCCCACCCTTTTGACCGCTATTTCTGTTGCCAGGATCACCATCCGATATTCTAAGGAACATACGCCTACTACAGAAATGGCACCCCTCGCCTCATGCAATGCATCCCCGTGAAGCAACGTGCCGACAGTGCATAATATTAACCGCCATACCCTTTCCATACCTTCACCAAATCAGCATTACGGTGATTTTCGTAAAATGGTGACTTAGCTGCAGAAGACTGCAATGAGGTGATTAATGAATCTAGGTGCCGGGCTTGGGTATCAAGTTTCCACGATACTTTACTTGTGATGCAATGGTCATTGTCTATTATTAGGTAGGCTCAGGGGTGTCACTGTACACACAAGAGCCCCTCCGTGCTCCCATTCTACTCATCTACATACCAATATCCCAACAGAAAGCGAAGATCCTCAAGCTAAAAATATGGACTCAGCAGGAGCCCCGTAAGTTTCGAGTTCCGATGCTTCATGGTGAGATCAAAATCCATAAACAATTCCGTCAATCTCCAGTAAGGATGACATATTTGATCAGGATTTGCTGCAAACGGATCTCAATTCGGCGCAAAAGCAAGTCGCATATCGGGCCGAATCACTAAGCTGCTTACCCCGGAGATTGAGTCGGAATTTCCAGGAGGCATTGAGTTCTTGCACCCCGATGCGCCTGTGATTCTCGAACACCCAATTGGACTCGGGGTAAACAGCGAGGACAGCAAAGAAAATATGGAAAGTGAAAGACAACAAATTCTACCCCTGGCCTATGAAGAGGAGAGTTTTAATTTTCTTGGCTGATGGTACGGTCAGGATAACGTGAGTCGGTACAGGGGTATTGAGGCCTCGCTCTCCTATTTGGCCACGTACATCCACGGGAGACCTATTCATGGCATCCTTGGACTTTCACAGGGGGGCGCCGTAGCGGGGATGGTTTCGTCGCTGCTTAAATGCAGCGACAACCCCGAAAAGATTGCTGCCATCCGTGTGCAAGGTCTTCCCGTGGACGATTTCCTAATAGCTTCCTGCTCGGAAGCCTTTGAGGTGCTGCATTGGCATTGTGGGATACCTGGGCACAGTGAAGTACTACGGGAGTCTCTACCAGTGGCCAATACAGACACCGAGTATTCACACACTGGCTAGCATGGACGCCGTCGTTGAGCACTATGAGACCATGAAACTGGCTGAGAGTTTCTCTTCATACGAAATTGTCCAATATCACGGTTCTCACTTCTGTCCTAGGGATTGTGTCACTGTAGAGGCCCTGGCTGACTTTGTGCTGAGAAACTGTTGTGGGAGTTCCGCTGCGCCTGTGCTATCTCAATCCGTCAATATGTGTGAAGATAAAGATTGGAGTGATTATGAGCGAAGCGACTCTGGGCCGAGTCATTAGAGAGGAAATTATTCTGTACGATCCGATAAGTCTGCAGCAAATTCAACAATCTGGAGACGGCACAGAAAGACTTATGTTACCCAGGGCCGATGCACACCAGCTAGACCCCACAGACCCATTCCGGCATTTGCTTAGTCCCATCTGCAGCCATGAAACTAGGCAATTTACCTAAGAGAGTATCTGGATCTGGTATTAGATCGGGCATTTGTCAGCATCTTGAGTTGACTGGTGCTATGGAAAATTATCCTTTTCTTATCATTCTTTGTGTTGCTTTTTACTTCGTTTTTTTGGAATTCAACTAATCAGTCTATATATTCGCTCATCAACGCATTCGGTTATTTTTCATTTTTTCAATTCAGTTGTTTTGTTGGTTACAATGTGCGTTCGTATTTCCAGATAATTCTGGCGGAAATAATACTGTCATGCAAGTTCTGCTAATGCGTGACTGTTAGGCAATCATATGGAAGTACCGAGTACTGTAATAAAATTTTTAAATTATAAGATGATATAATAATAGCCTTTCAAGCACGATTATCAGCATTGTACGTTGTTCAATCAGATAGCCTTGCCTAATCTTCTCTTCAAGTGTGGCCTTTCTCGGACCGTCCGATGTTTCACATCCCACGGCAGACCATATTTTTTCCAGTAGACTTACAACCCTTCTCTCAAAGGGCGCAGATGTCAAAGTCCAAAACCCGTGGTCTTTAGACGTGATCCGACGATCGATTTATTCGTGGGAATATCTAGGCGTGTGCTGAAACCGTGGTCTTTCCTACGATAGACCTGATCCGACGATACAATACTCCGAGGTGGAGAAAGGAGTCTCAGAGAACCCACATCTTGGATCCTTACTTAGCGCTTGCTTTATTATTGCCTCCATAATATTTACCTAGATAATTTTAGCCTTATGAATAAGTATGACAAGGCTAATATTGTATCTTTGTAAATTTAAAGCTCGCCAATTTTCAAAGATAGCTAAGATTACGGTGCCATCAGTCGCGACATTAATGCACTTTCAAAAATTTCAGGTCTTTTTGTTGTGCAATTAATCAATGCACCTCGGTTAGCCATTTCAACAGATCCATCGAATCCTATACAGAAGGTAGCTTGGTACGCCAATTAAGCACTACATTTTTGTATGCTATTCGACCGACTCACTCACTTTTGGCAGAACGGCCGTTAAATTTTTGATCGAATTTCTGAGTCTTCAAGACGTTATGGATCAATAGATTCAATACAGTACATATAGCACGATGGTTAAATCAACGACAACACGTCTAGTTTCGGCGCAACACAATATTAAAATAGTCGTGGCAATAAGTTGCCGCTCTCGTGCCGTGACCTAAAGGCCTGATGAATTTCCACGCATTACCTGCTAGTTGCGTCGCTTCAGATATTCACCCACGAATTGAAACAGCATGGTAGCTTTTGTCTAGTTCTTCGCCACGCTTTTAGCTCAAAAAGCTGTGGCCTACTACATGTTCAAAACCGCCATTACACTTTTGCGCTTTTGCGCTTTTTGCACTTTCATAACGTTTGACATTCTTTGAAAGCTACTCTCTAGCCAACGAGTCTACGAATATAAGAGGACCCACTTCCTTATTTCTTAACTCTACTTTCCAGCAAATCTGATTCTAGAGTCCCAAGGCATATTTCAGGCTACAAACTAGCAGATGGCGAGTACAGGCCCTCTTTCAAATAGCTCTTCTTCGAAAAGAAAATCAATGCGTCAGAAACAAGGTCGTCGCAAATCCAATTTGATGAAAAAGGCACGCAAATGTAGTAGGATATGTGAAGCAGACGTCTGCGTCGGGATTCGCCTTCGGGAAACGGGCCAAGTTTTTATCCTATCGGCGGATGTCTCGGGATTTTGGGGATTTCTTAGGTTACAACTATGAGAGAGGGCATTATGGGTTTTATGACTGAGGTCACATAGGGGCAACTGCCCAATTATCATTAGCAGAACATCAATATTTTTATCCTTAGCATAGCCGTGAGAAATCTATCAACTTAACCAACCCATTCGTACTGTTTCATATTTATTGACCTTCTCGTTCCTGTTTCATAGTGAACTGCTCGCTGAGAAAGAACAAGAGCGTCTGTGTCGCTGAACAAGAGTGTCGAGAAGTAGTCAGATTCGGAGGGTAGATCGGGGGGTCCGGTCGAGGGTTTAGATTGGCTCAGGTTATAGCTAGGAATCCACGTCAGGCCAGCATCGTCTCCCTTAGATATTTTGGTGGTTCTAGAGCGGGGCTACTAAGACTGATAGCGAGAACTCTTGTATACGCTAATAGTCGAGACTTGTTTAGAAGCGGGTGTTAAATAAATAGCCAATAAAGTTCTAATCTATAGTAACGCCTCTATTAAGATTATTATCGCCGGTCAGAGAAAGACTAATCAGTCTAATTAAACCTTTTACGTCGAGAGAGTCGATCTAGGAGGCTTATAAGCTGTCTACCGGGTCGAAGCCGGGTTATTTTACCGAGTACGCAACTACTGAGGTAATCGAGGCCGCACGCTAAGCTTTAGTAGGAGCTATTATTACCGAACGTTCTAGTGACGAAGGCGTTATATCGGCTAAGCCATCTCTAGTGACTTCCCTATCGAGGCGGTTACCTAATACCGACTATAGATAAGAACAACAGAATTATCAACTTTTATCTACTTACCTATTAAAAGACCTTATTTCCTTACTACCTACAGCATTTAGTGAACTTTCGGCTAGTCTTCGTGACACCTATTCCGAAGAGTATATCGTATACTTAGGGATTATCGGGTAACGGGACGATAGAAAGATATAACCATCATTAGATTTATTATTAAAGAAAGAGATTAATCTGGTCACAGTTATGTTGGATAGAGCCGGGAGATACTTCTCTGATTTCCTGCAGACTTCCAACCTTAACGATCTGTCTCTCAGCCTTACCGTTGCCTAACAGGCCTTACTGCGGTGCGGGTCCTTTCGAGGGTATCTAGGAACGATACCAGGTAGTGCGCCGAATAGATCTATACCGAAGTATTGGTCTAGACGTAGTGGTTGTCAAGTTATAATCAAGTAAAGAGTCTCTGAAGTTCCAAAGGTATTTATAAGTAATAATGTGTAATTGAAGACGAAGAACTAAACTAGATACATGAAATGAGTGTCCTTATATATCCCTGAGTTCTTCCTGAGTAGAAGTGTAGATGGTAGATGAGTAGATCGTGGGTACTCTTCTACCGTCGACTGTTCTACTACTTGCATGATCACGTGAGGCTAACCGTGTCCTAGTGTATTGCGGTAGTATTAGAGACGGTGAGTCGGAGGCCGGAAATGGCCTTCTCGCGGTAAGCCCTGGTTGTGTGCTAGTATAGTTCGTGATTACCAACAGGGGGCCAGAAACAGCTCCCAAGTCGAAGTATCTCTCTGACTCGCACTGGGGATGTCCCAGTATAGGATGTTGCACGTGATCTGCATAACAGATTGATCGATTGGCTCTCGGTGGCCCATCTGTAGGTCGCAGTCCCCACCTGTGATTGGTGACTGGCATGTCCGTAACATTTATACACTAAGTAAGTAAATAGAAATTCGAAAGAAGATTGAAGAAAAGAGAAAAGTAGCTTTGATTTGATATCAAATATAAAGCAAACAAAATAATAATAAGAGATCTATTCTCAAATTTCTATTCACTCTTAAAAATGTACGTACTCCCTTCGAAAATAGATATATATTTCAAGCACTTTATATTTCAAAGATACCTAAATTGATTTTAAATCACGATAATATCATAAATATTGATATTTATTAGTAATTAATATAATTTAAAGCGCTTCAACCTTCGATTTATGTTAATTTCATAAAATTTCCTACTTATTTTGGCGATAGTATAGCAATGTTCAGTTGATAAACCTGAACATATGTAAAAAGACAGTCATTTATTATGATGATTCAGCAGCTTTATGAACGCTAAGACTGGTATTTTGTGTAATAATGGGCTTTCGTGGGGGCCTAGTGGGGGCCCACGATGGGCCGGGGGTTGGGCTTTGGGCCCGGGGTCCAGGCCCAAATTTGGGCTTTGCGGAAGCCTAGGAAATAGTGCCGCTTCAAACTCTACGCCCTCCTAGGGTTAGTAAGATGCAGAAATTCGTCCTTTTCATTATATCAGGGATGCCACAGAGAATAGAAAATGTAAGAGATACTTACTTTTGCTATGCTTTCCGCGGTTGTGTCTTCCTTACTTTTTTGCTGACAAAATGATGGAAGAGAAGACAGAACCGTATAGGATAATATCCCTAAGTCAATTCTAAGTAGCAATAATGCCAGTCCCAGCTCCCACCTTGCGTGTATTCCCGCAAATTTTCAGCTCCTCGAGGGGCCGCCAGCCATTCACTGCGCCAATCCTCTCCAATGGCCGAAGCAGGTAAAAGGCAACTCCAAGGGAGTTCCAAATGGCGAGTCGGCGAAAGCGTACCGCCAACGACGCAGAATTTTGGGGCGATATACTTGATACGATGCAAATTCTGGACTAAGTAATTAGCCTTAATTATTAGAATTAAACACAGGCCTACTGAAAATTGGCTACGCATTGATTAAGAGCAATCATTCGATGTGGCATGGAAAGTGGAAGCTCCATTGGCTCTTATCACATTATAGACATACCCTAGTCACCAAGAGAACTAAAGCATGTTGACTTGTGCGCTTGCCAGATTCGCACAACCACCGACGCGTGCTAATGTCATGTCAGACAAGGGTTGCTTTATGCGGTGCTTGCTTGTAGTTACAGGACAAGAGAATCACCATCCCCTTCGATTATATAGGTCTATCAGATGAGCGACATCGTCATCTAAAGGACTCATTCGGCTTCAACTGTAATTGCCGCATCTACTCCAGGAAGCCTAATGAAGTGCAACAGAGTGGCCTGCGAGGCCGCTCAATTCAACGCCTCGATACTGCGATCCGTAATAGGCTCCAGGTCATGCGTATCCCTAAGGACTGCCTCAAATACTGCGAAGTCCGTCTCCAGATTCTTAAAGAAGAGTATGTAAGTAGTCTAGGGGGCCAATCTTGCTAGGCTCTACTATCATGCTTTCCAGATCATTATCGTGCATAGCGATCAGGCGCGGGCTGTTGCTTTTGCGGAGCGGTCGTATAGAGCATGAGTGGCGTGTGAGGGAGATGATAACCAGGAAACAAAAAGGATCCCGAAACTATTGGACGATTCAACAAGACATGCAAATTTTAAATTATCAAGGAAATAGAAGTGTCTAAAGAACTAGATGCCTCGAGGGTTAGGCTCGGATGAATTTGAAAAGTGGTTGTGGAGGCAGGGCAAATAGACGATTGTACAGCTCCTAAGTCGCATTGTTCTATATGCCGATATAAGGAAGTTATTTTTGGGTAGCTACAAGTGAAGAGGACTGCGGGATTACGCGAACATGTGGTTAGAAACGGTCGTTCGTTGCGCAGAAGAGGAGTTTAATCGATTAGTACCGGGATTTTATCGATGTTTAACTTAAGTAGGTTCACTCAAAACCCTTACCAACCCGACGGTGCTGATGCGCCAAACTTTCGTAGGTTGGCTCCATTCCTAGCGATGGTTGCAAGTCGAAGGTGGTAAGAAGGCTATCACAGGACTGAGTAGATTAGTGAATTAATTCTTAGAATAGCAGGAGAATCAGGGGAGGGCGAGAAAGCTCTCGAATTAACTAAGAATCAACTAGAAGCCCGGGATAAATATTAAGCTGTCGAGAGAAAATATATGGTCCAACTGGTTCCTGCAACGCACTATAACTCAAATTTGGCGAAATGACAATTTTGTCACTATGAAATCTTTATTCAACATATACATACAGGCATAAGATAGTGAACATACTGAATAGACAGGAAGAAAAGTAAGAGCTAGTCCTAGATATCACCACAGCCAAAAGAGCCAACTCTTGTCAGTGATGAAGTGCATTGGCCTAAGAGAGTCAGAGAGGACTAAATCGAAAATACTGCTAAATATCAGATGTGTTATTTCGCATAATATCTAACATATTAGAAGTGTCCAGCAAGGCCAGTTACATGTATATCATGATATCAATTAGCATGAGTTCGCTCAGGAGACAAATACTTCGATTTGTCATCCTTTTTCAGATAACTTACATATTGAAGATATAAGATAGAATAAGATAATCAAAATTTTAGATTGAAAGTGATGTTAAATTTTATAGATCGACTAGCCAGGCTGTCCGTACACCAAAGTATGTTACAACTAATGTAATTTCCCTTTCCTATGTCCAACAAAATTCAAATTACTCACCATAGTTGATTTCTATCCTATGAAAAAAGAGTATTAGACAAATACTAGACAAATACTAAACGAATCACTCACATGAACGATTCTGTGAGCTGAAGTGGGTTTCCCGAGCTCCGTTCACCGCCATCGCCACAAGGTGGCTTGTGTGCTTCTCCTCACCTTCTCCAGGGCTTTCTCTGAGAGAAACCCATCAACGTTACCTCGCTCCTCATCTTTTTCTTGACTCTACAAATTACCCATCACCACTTCGATCCCTTTTCTGCCGTTTCGTTTAAACCTTGACTAATGAACGACTCATCACCGCTCTGAACCAAGACCACACAACCTTTTAAGCCGTCATGGCGCGACGGTACGAGATCGATGAGCTATTATGGCTCCGCGGCTCGCCCCTCATCGCAAAACCTTCCGGTCTGCCTCCAATTGAAGAATGGATGTATGTTGACTCCACCATCTCTAATTGCTTCGTTGTCCCGCATTATCAATGGAGACTGACCGCATCACTTAGGCCTCAACCCGATCCCACAACCACACAACGCAAACAACAAACCCCCCGTGACCCTACAAACCCATCTGAACCTGGCACAGCCAGAAGGTCCAGTATATTTGAAGCCAAGCATATCCCCCGTGGATCCAATTCTGGTACAGTTCTCCTCTTCCGTCGATCACTAGATCTGACATTCTGAGTGATTCAATTCGGAATTTGCTGATAGTGGTTACTGGTAACTATAGAGGACATTGTGCTTGGACCTCCGAAAACTGCCTTTGCCTCATCTCGCATCGGCGGTAAAGGGTCATTCGATTCGACCGACCGAACCCCGCAGCCAACCGGCTCAGATGAAACGAAGAACGACCGATTCAACTTCCGAGATAAGTTTTTGAAGGACAGGGATCCTAATGATAAGGACTTGGAGCGACGCGAGGGCAAACCGGTGCCGCTGAATGGTCGGCGTATCGAGAAAGAAGATTGGAATGCCGGGCGCCCCCGTCGCACATTCGGCCCTGATGATCAGGAGCGAAAACCTAGACGAAATGGTGAATTTGACCGATGGGAAAACAAAGAAGGACCTCGCGACCCCAATGCGGAACGTGGACTCCAAAACAAAGAGGGCCGATTCCCCGCTCGGAAAGAGGGACCACCACGGTCCAAATTTGAAGGAAGCTGGTTCCGCGATGAGCACGGCCAGGACGGCGTAGAGGCCGATGATGATAAACCAGCGCCGCGCAACCGAGAATGGCGCCAGAACCAACCCAGACATGGTACCGAGCGTGAGTGGAACAGGGGTGCCAAATTTGAACAGGATCCCGAATGGATGGATGCCAACGACCGAGACGAGCCACGACGAGCACATACACAGGAAGACTTTGAGCGCTGGAAAGAGCGCATGAAGGCTGGATCTGGGACTGGCTCTGCGCAAACTACGGCACCTGCCGAAGACAAGAGAGAAGCCCCTGTGGAAGAGCAAAAGCCTGAGACTCGCCGTACCGACGGTGAGATCTTCAGCAGCTCTGGCACCCAGTTCATGTCAGACAATTCAATGGATCGATTCTTTGGCATGCTGGGTGATTCCAAGCCTCAGACCCAGACGCCAGAGGTCAGCACACCAAACCCAGTCGATCCAACTCCAAAGCAGGACCCATTCCCATTCTCTGGCAAGCCAGGAAAATCTTCTCGCTTCGCAGGCTTGTTCAGCCCCATGCCAGAGAGTCCTGCCAGAGAACCTGAACCTCTTCCCTATCTCAATGCGCAGCCCCCACCCCAGCACCAACCTCAGCATCAACCTCAGCATCCGCCTCAGCCTCAGCACCAGCATCAACCCCCGCCGATTCCCGAGGGTCTTCCCTTCCCATCCCACAGTGCCGATCAAGAAGGATTCCAGCGCATTTTGCAGATGCTTGGTGGACAGCGGTCGCAAAATGGGACGCCCAATGAGGCAGCTTTGCCCCAGCAACAACGTCCTTCGATGATGATGCAAGCAGATCAGCGCGCTTTGTCATCACCCTCTAGGGAGCCCCCTCATCGACCGGAATATATGGGTCTAGGGCCCGAGAATCCGATGGCCCACCCTGGCGTTAAGGATCAGTCAATGGACAGAGCAAACTTGCTCCGTTTAATGCAGCAAGTTCGCGTCGGCCCATCACCGGGCGGTAACCCACAATCTCCCGGTGCCGGCATTGCTCCTCCTCCGGGATTGATGCCAGAAGGCATGCCTCGTCCTCCACCAGGGCTTTCCGCTCAGAAGACACCCGCTTTCCTCGATGATCCCGCTATCGCGAACATGCAGCGACCAGATAATGAACAGCTCCGTCGCCGGCCAGGTAATGGCCCACCTATGGGATACTTCGACGACATGCCTTTCCCTCAGGGCAATCAAGGTCCCATGACCCCAGGTGGGCCTATGACACCGGGCGGTTCTCGGCCCCCGCAAGGCCCGAACCAACCTCACATGCCCCTTCAGAGACCTCCGGGTCTGGAGCATCTGCCTCCTCCCGGTTGGACGGGCCAACCTGTGCACCAACAAGGCAATGTACAGAGCCCTATGGGTCCTCCGCCCGGAATCTCCGCCCCGGGTCGTGGCATGAACCCCAATTTCCCTCCCGGCATGCTCCCAATGCCCGGCAACCCACCTCCCACCAACGAGCGCCAACCCTTCCCTCGTGGCCCTCCAGGCATGATTCCTCCTCATCAGGTTTTCATGAACGGGAACGGCCCTCCCCCCGGATTCGCTCCTATGCTTCCCATGCCCCCCAATCCCGAGGCTATGATGGGTCTCGGCCCGGGTGCTCAGGGTCCCTTTGGCCCAGGCAATCATGGCCCCCAAGGTCCACCTTCCTCCCGCCACCTTCTAGAAATGTTCGGCCAGCCCAACGGTGATCCACGCGGTGGCATGGTTGGCCCCGGTCAGTTCAGATAATCGGAGATTGAAAGCGAAACTTTCGTGTTCTCGGCATTTGCAATTTATCACTGCCCAATGACCGTTTATGATTATCTACGCAACTTCTGGTGGTCTTGATGTATAGGGGCCGATCTCCGTTCTCATCCATGTCACAATGCCGCTTTCTTGAGAGATCAAAATACCCTCTTCCTTTTTATACGTCCGTGCTTCCCTTTTTCCAATGTACTTGCTGCCCTTTCGGCACACCCGTGTTCGATAACCGCTGTACGCTGCGTTCGGCCTTATGCTGGGATTTTGCTGCATTTCTCACCGGGCCTTTCTTTTTTTCCTTTCTTACGGTGTGAAGTCTCTCAAGAGGTGGTGCATTGTGCATCTGGTTCTGGATTTGGTTTTGAATCGGTATATCCGTAACATGGGGATGAGGATATGTATCGATGGCGTCGATGGATTCCGCTTGCCTCTGTGATTTTGCCCTGAGTCACTGCCATCAACTGTGGACTGGTGACTCTATGATTGTCCATACTTGGCTTGTGGTTCTCAAATACATCCATTACTTGGTCGAAATCATGATCGTCGTAAATTTAATGACTCCTTTGCTCAATTTACGCTACCTCTCGCTGGTCTTTGTCTAGTAGTCAAATATCTTGCATGCCCCTGTGTTGGCCGTCTTGTTTATCCAATTAAATTAGCTCACTTATTCAGACATGGCTCTCGTTTACCTGACAGATGATGTACGCAATTTAAATCTGCCATCTATAGCTGTGATTGGTGGATGTGACTGATGAGGCAAAGTTATGAGTGGTGGAGAGGACGAGCCGACTTTGTTTCAACCAATTGGCAAATCTTCTGAACTATTGTATTTCTCGCGCACAATAATCCTAGAGATAAACCGTAGACATTGATAATATCTACGCATGTTATGGAAGCTTGGAAATACGTACGAGGGCCTCATGTCACATGAAGTCGTCAGAATCACGTCGCTTGTCAATCAATGTCTTGTGTGTTTTATTAGCCTAGGATATTCTTTCATATAGTCTTGTGGACAAGATCACTTTGCATTTAGTCAAGTGATGAAGAAAGCCACCGAAAATTGGTCTACAAAGGAACATACATAGGTAGCCATACATTCTCTGGCCTGTACTTGTATCAATCTCACATCTGTGACATTTCTAAACACTACATGTGCAATCAAAAACTCAATGACCAAGCTCCCAATACAGATTCAGTCAGGCAAAAAAATTATTCACTCAGCGCGCTGTAACATCCCTTCGTAGTATTAAAGAGATAATCCGTTTTTGCAGATTGTATATCCGATCTAGTCTCAAAAGAACGTACATCAAAGTGCATCTAGAATTCTCCGCAAAAAATACCCTACCTTAATATAAGAGCGAGCATTTTCGATATTTAGTATCTAAACTAATCCTATCTATGCAATCTTCCTAAAATCGTTGTTTACATGACGACTCACGCGCCACGTGATGCACCACGTGATGGGAGCTTGCCCCAATTCCATCCATATATGACGCCCAAAACAACCACAACCTGTTAGTGTGGAGATGTTCATATGAAACACAGATCGAACATCTTAATTAGCCTGCTTGATATGCTCGATATTTGCTCGCACTCTTGTCTCAGTATCCTCTACGCCAGAAGCACAATCTAACTCGTTAATAGCCGCCAAGTGGAGGAGTAGAACCAAGTGCAAATCGATACGACTCATCGTAATTATCGTATGACGATGCGAATTGTAATGCTCATTAACACGCCGTAATATGAAGTGCAGTAGTCCATTTGACTGAAGACCTGCGCCTCCTCGTTTCGAACTTGACCTCGTCGTCGCCCCGCCAAACCGCTTTGCGTACTTCATACCGAATCATCGCAAACAACCAGCCTTCGAGCGTTGGCAAACGGTGTACTGTCAATCCTCTGGGTCGTTTTATCTGTTTTATCCAAATCTACCAGGCAAGTCTCATTTTTTTCATCCTGTCCGCCTTGATGGGCGTTGATTGCATCTCGTTCTAACAATCTTGGTACACAGCCTTCGACCCTGGTAGATTCCCAATTCCAATCTCCCTGGTAACAGTCGAGTTAAATAAAAGGTTTGAAGGTTAATGAGTAACATTGTGTCGAGATGGAGGGCGATAAGAAGGATTTTTGGCTCCCGGTCAACCACGATAATGTGAGTATATGTATTTGCATCTATATGTATTTGGTACAAGTCTAACGCTTTTTACTACGCAGGACGCGCAAGATTCATCTGATGGAAGTACCAACGACTTCGCGCCTTCCCTTGTCAAGCCAATTACCCAAGAAGGCTGGGTTTCTAAAGATCCTGCTGATCATGTGGATGGTCTTGCCGGCACTGAGGAAACCTCAACTGTTCAGTCCGACTCTCTTCCTTCTGTGCGCTCTTCAGCCCACACCCCAACCTTCCACCCTTCTCCAATTCGTCCACCAGTCCGGCATTCTCTTATCGAGTTGCTCTGTGAAGAAGATCCATACCACCTAGGAATCGATTCCGACGACGCGCTGGCCAGAATGCCTTATAACAGGCCGCGTCGTCCGATGAGAGATTCTCAGCACGAGCAGGAAAACTTGCATCCCGCCGTTTCCTCTCTTTCCTCGTCGACTCTGTCTACCACGAGTGAGACCATCCCGTTACCGGAAAGCAATGCGTCAAGCAACGTCAATGCAAACCAGGGTACGTCAGCTTTTGATTTGATATTTGCGTCCTTCCCAACGATTGACTAAATAATTCCTCCCAATCTAGAAAATATGAGAGAAGTTGAAGACACCAACAACAAGGGAATATTCCATGGCGCTTTTCCCGTGACTGAGCAAGACTTGATGGAGCTGCCTACTAGCCCGTCTTACACCGGCAATCGAGTTTGGGGCCGATCCAACCGTCCCGGTAGCTTCGAATTCACCATCTATGAAGACCCACCGAAGGAAGACGCTATCCTCAGCGTGCCTTGCCCTCTTGCTGAAGGCTTCCACTCCGTGGAGGAGGACAAGGAGAACCTGTTGGTTAGTCCTTTCGAGCACGTCTCTTCCTCCTCGGATGAGGAAGTCCAGCCATTTATCAACTGGACCGAGAGCGCCCATCGTCCCCGTGATGCCTTTGGCGGCCCATTCGAGTACACGAGCCTTCCAAGAACCAATCATACCTTTCTTGACACCGAGGGTGTTTACTTCCGCCGTGGCCGACACGTCCTGGCGCCCCTCGCGATCCCAGATGCCGAGGATTATGGCAACGAAGATACTCGTGTGGGTAACACTGAGTTCCGGGCTACCGAAGAGTTTGGGGAGAGTGACCAAACTGTCGAGGAGCAGATTTAATAAGAGAGGAGAGTGTCCCATTCTTTGGTCTCTGGTTCTCTTATTGCTGCGGCGATACGATTCATTTCTTCGCTCGGTCTTTATGGAGATTCTTTCAACTTCTTCAAGGTTCACGACATGTACGATTAGATGAATACCGTCAATGAACTTTTCAACTTAATGAAAACCGGTACTTTTCACTTTTTCTTTCTTGTTTTTAGGGAAAAAAAATAGTAAGAAGAGACACTTGCTCGGGGATACAGTCCTTTATAAAGAGGTTATCGCGATAGAGATAGTGGAAATACCCCTATTTATTTAGTATAGCTGTCGCTCTCGCTGTCGCTGTCGATATAACTTATATAGAATAGACTAGTATATGCTCTTGATAAAAGTCCCTACTATGCCTCGATCCGTTAATTATTAACAATCTTACCGTATAGGTAACAGTCGTTGATCTTCACCGTTAGGTCTGCTATTTTGCGAAGCTTATATTGTGTATTAGTAAGAAGCCTAGTCTTAGTGCCTCGATTAGACCGGATCTTCCTTAGTTAAACCCCTCTATTATCCGTAAAGGCTTTTAAGCACTGACTCAAAACGCTAATCGAAGTGCGAGCACTTAGCCCGATATATACCTAAATAATATATCGAGAGTAGCTATTAATTGTAGTATAGATCTCTATACTAAAAGGTTCAAGCTTTATATGCCTATTAATATACTAAACATTATTCAGTCCCGGTGATACGTAATTGATTCGTGGTCTCCGTTGATGTCAGGACCCAAGTACTAAGCAGGTCTGACGATATATATCTCGCAGTCTGTGTGAGACTGCGAGATGGCCAGTTCGCACCTGCGAACTAGACCCAGGGCTGAGACCCGCAATGCGAGGGCTCATGACCTCACATGACCCCACATTTGTATATAAACAGTTCAGAGGCTGGAGTCTTGGACTCCAGCGATTAGTTCAGCATTGAACCTGTCTACTGCTTTCTCCATTCTATTGCCCGAATCCACCTAAGTCCCAAGACCCTCGTAACGGGGTCTCACAGTTGACTAGGGAGTCGACCGTTAATAGCATTAGGACGAAGGAGTCGATAGACGTTAGCGATTTGCTTCCTATTAATAAATTAAAAGATATAATATTAGCACTATAGAAGAATATATAGTAGGCTTTAGTACTTAGTGTAAAATAATCCTATTATACGGAGATAACGGTAAAGAGTTAGGCGGCCAAAGTCCTTAATATCGCTAATAATATTCTCACTAATAAGGATAGCTTTAATATCATAGACCTGTTACTGTCGCTTAAAAGGTGAAAGACGCATCTTGATCTTATGATCCTCCCGGATTCTACGCACAGTGCATATTAAAGAAGGTGTACCATCTTTATTAAGGATCGCGAGAATCTTACTTATGTTATAAACAGGCAGAAGCTCTAGGACTCGATCCTGTATATCGAATCGCCGGGTAAAGGTAGAGGTAGGAGTAGGATATGTAGAGTGCCATTCTCGGAGGCGATTCTTCAGGCCTGACCGGCTGATTTTAATGTGGTGTTTGTCTTGTAAGAGGGTGCGAATAGCTTTATGTGTGATTTTTTCAGAGAGAAGAGTAAGAATATCGTCTTTATAAGGGTTTAAATCGATGAATGGAGGCATTTAATGATTAGGAATAGCTTCATATCAATGATGAGAGATGGGAATAGCTTCATTTACAATACATGGTATGGAGCGGTCAAAAAGGCGGTCTGAGATCAGGCACCATAGTGAAGCCTCAGGCATAAATACTGGGAATATATTACATTTGACCCGAGGACCCTATGCACCTTCGTAAACTGTCTGTAAGACCGTTACCGGAGTTCCGAATCTGACTTCCGAGGTGACTAATTACACCAGCAATTTCGAGGTCGTCATGACGTGGTCGCATTCGCTTGGCCACATATATTCCTACTTTGACAAGCTGGTAATCACTACTCAACCTTCAATGTCTCCCCGTCTTATACCCAAGTCAGGCAACGCTCCCAACGTCCGTCGCGACGCTAAAGAGACCTATAACACTCTTAAACGTGGAGGAGTTGTCATCATCCCAACTGATGTCGGCTACGCACTCTTGACCAGCACACAGGCGGGAATCCAGCGGATTTTCTCAGCCAAAGACCGCCGGGAGGGCCACAACATAGGCATCATCGGGACATACAAACAACATCGAGATATTCATGTGCTCTCCGAGGCCAAGTTTGAGATGACACGGGTCCTGACAGAAGATATGGCGATGATAGTCGGGATAATTGCCAAATACGATACCGAAAACCTTCACCCGCGTTTGGCAACACTCGATCCCGCTACGCTATCCCAGGTCACCAAGGGTGATACGGTCAGTATCGCAGTTCCTGAAGGTCCATTTCTGCGGGAGCTCGGTCACCTTTGCGATGAGGACCCCGAGGGCATGTTAACATTCGGAACTTCGGCCAATTTGACCGGCCAGGGGCAACGATTCCGAGTTGAAGATATTGAGCCGAGGGTGATTGACGCGATAGACTTGGTGGTGGATTACGGTCTACAGAAATGGCAGGCGTATAGGCGCGGTGGCGTAAATTTCGATGCAGAGAACATGAAGGTGCTGCGGAGGGGAGCCGGATACGAGGTCTTTCGCGACAGAATGCTAAGATGGTTTCCTCATTTACTGGAGGAGGCCGGTGTAAGCATTGAGGAGGATCCGGAATACAAAACTAGCGAGCCAGGATTTTATGCGAAATAAATCAAAGTCTTCCGCAGTTTGATGCTGCACATGAAGCTTCCTCTGCTCTTTTTGAGATTCGTAGTATTCGTCGACAGCTCTTCAAAATGATGTATGATTAATTGCAACGTAAAAATTTTGCCTACTAGACATTAGATTGAAGATATGCCGAGCTGGAGCATAATGTACCAGTACTAGTACCAATCACTGGAGCTGGCAGTGGGATAAAAAAGCAGTCAATAATCTATAGAGGTAATTATACCGAAAGAAAAGAAAAAGGAAAGGCTGAAGCCTTGATGAAATATCAAATCTAGCGGAGACCAGTGGACGCGGACGGCTTCAGTCTCGAAGGGAGATGATCTTCCTGACAGGCCGTGCCAACTTTGAATCTTCTATATGTCGAAGTGGTATGCAGCAAGCGCGGTTGAAACCATGGCCTGTTGTGCGGATCCAATATAGCCAATAAAGGGACTGGCCTTGCGGTGTGTTGGTTAGTCCGCATATGGGCTCCAAGAACGCAGTTTTCTGCCGTACTATATCATAATAATTAGCAAATAATTATACACCAAGTTTAACCCAACGGAAAGCAGTCCTAGCAGCATACTCACTCGTTGCAAAATGAAAGGTAAGGGCACCATGGCAACAGAAATGAAGCCCAGTATGCTCGAGGCCCATCCAATTCCAAGTGAATTTAACATGCGTGGTGCAGCCAGCGGCAGTGCTCCTCCAAACGAGCTTCGGAAGAAGGTGTTACCGGCAAATACGCTTGCCACATAGCGCGGATAGGATTCGCCTAGGTAATTGAGGATGGATTGAAAAGTGAGGTAGAAGCCCGGCGCAAAGAATGCTGTTCCAACGACCGGGACGATCCAGTGTACGCTGTATCCAGGAGGTGAGTATTCTCCTGCTAGAATCAATTGACTCAAGTGGCTAGCTTACCTTGCTCGGGATGTCCATGCAAAGATGAAAAGACAAATTGGAATACAAACAGCTCCTACTTGCCCTGGGACCAGGCGAGCCTCTGGCTCGACAACGACACTCACATTTGCCAATCGTGGCTGGTAGGAAAAGTATAACCATAGAACGTATGCAATGACCGAAACCGCTGCTCCAACGAGGATACCGAAGAAGGCAACTGAAGGGGAATCGTTGTTAGCACAGTCTTTTGTGCAAAAGTCAGCCGAGGGAAACTCACGACCTTGCTGGATTGCAGTGAAATGATAAATGCCGTCAAAGACTATATGATCACTCTGTCAGTATAACGTGGGCAAAATGCATCGAGGAGAGCTTATCCTACCGAATGGGAAGAACTCAAACCAAAGGTACAGGACACCGTAAACTAGCATCGTATGCATGTTAACAAATAGAATGACTGGGTCCAGGAAGGCAAGTTTAAGATCGTTGCCCATGTCCTTGACAATGCGCACAGCGAGATTTTCGCTTGGTGATTGGATTTCAGCTTCACTCTGGTAGGCAAGATTGCCCGTCTGCGCGCGAAGACGTTCTGCTCGCCGTAGAAGGATATTCGAGGATAATGTCTCAGGTAAAAAGAAGAAAATAGATACGGTCGTGAAAGCAGTGATGCCGGAAAGGAGCCAGAGCGTTGCTCTCCAGGAGTTCCAACGCTTTCTGTCCGATAATTGTTAGTGTCATGTAGTATTCAGCAATCAATAAGACCGATGACAAACATTACAAGGGTTCCAAAAATCTGTTTTTGTCAAGATTAGTAAGAAGCCACGAATGTCTAGATGGATGTGGACTGGCATACCGGTCCCACAATAGGCCCACAAACTCCACTGACTGCGTACAATGCAATTGCGTAGGGGACCTCAGTTGGCTTGTAAATTTCCATCAGCGAGGCGCCACCGACGCTAATAGGTGTGCTTCCGATGAAGCCACCCAAAAAGCGCAGTACTAAAACGGTTTGTAAATTTTTTGCCAGAGCCGTTCCGATGTTGAATAAGCAAAAAGCAAGGCAGCCAAGGACATATACCGGCGAACGCCCGAGTGTTGGCAGGCTCGACAGAGGAGAAAGCTGGCGAATATGCATGGTTAGTACGATACTTGTACTGATGGTCTTCTGGAAGCGCAGACATACAATTAGAGGACCGATTCCGTACGCAATAACAAAGAGCGATAGCCCCAATGTGCCCTCGGCAGTGGTAGCTCCAAATGTTTCCTCGATACCCTCGATACTCGGCGTAAAGATAGCCGATGCTGCATAGAAGCTGAAGTTCAAGAGCATTACATTGAGCCCAGCGACCGTCCTTGCCAGCGTGGGCCAGTTTCGAGGGATATCTGGATCATCAGGGCCAACGAAGCCTACTATGATCCGCCGCTGGGGGTCTGGGGTGGGGAGGTCTTCATCTTTGAGGGTTTTAGATCCATTGTAAGAGAAAAATCGGCCCTTCGACGTATAGTTGAGCATCCGACCGAATAGGCTGTCACGAAGCAAAATGTTCAGGCTTTCCATGATCTAAGTTTGATAGGGGCACTATACTCGCTCTTTCTGAGGGGGTCGATGGTATTAAATATATAGGAAAGTGCGTCGAAGCCGGTTACGACGTCGAGGAATTTGCTGCTTCGGGTAGCGGATTCGGGATACCGGAATTCCGCGCAGAGCGACGTGGTACGAAAGCACGCTGCTCAGAAACTGCCTGAGGCTAGGCTGCCAGACAAAGACTTGGGCAGCAAACGAATTTTCGATACAAAATGTATCAATAGTATAACACTGCGAATCGTATTACTATATGCTGAACAACTAAAGATATAGCCATAATAATTCCCCCGGACCTACACAATACTCTACGCATTATGTTTGATTTCGGAGTTCCGAGCTTGCACCCCGATGTTTGGTGGCGCTAGCATGACGTCTCTCCGAGGCGATCGGAGTTGATGACCAGATGGAATACTTTTCCGAGAACTGTATAAATATGCCTTCTTGAGTTTGCCATCCGCTCATCAGCTAAATAATATATTGACTGTGCGATACAGCGAGCCAAGGCCACGCTAACAACGCCCAGAAAGAACCCTCGTCCTTCATGCAAAAAGCCTGCAGCAGCTGTGCGAGGTCCAAAGTCTGGTGCAGTCTAGAAAATTCGGGATGTTCGCGGTGCAGATTGACAGACCGAAATTGCGTTTATGAGACGATGGCTTCAGCATTGGAGCAATAGGGTATATCCTCCTTCTCTAATTAAAATTATTTACAATAACGAGGGCAAATTTTATAATAGGCTTGAATGGGAGACCTACAGCCGAGAGTCTCTCTAATAGACTCTCTACGGAACCCAAATACAACTGTAACACCGCCTAGAGTGGCTCCAAACTCTTAAGCCAACCAGATCTCTATATTTCTTCTACCTGATTGATCTACAAATGATCGCTTATGCTATCCTTAATCAAGTTTATAACGCGGACGTCTATCGTGACGGATAGAAGGAAATCACTGTCCGAATGTCTAGACACGAAATAAAATATGATCTATGGCTACGCGACCTTAAAAGGCCATATAATTTTATAACCGTAAATGGCATATTTCGAGCGGAAGCGCTATCTTAGGACCAGTTGTCTCTTGCTTTAAACTACTTTAGCTCAAAAATCATCCTGCATAAGCCCTGCTAGGCTCCCTTAAGATTACGGGACGCTGAAAATCAACTTCCACCGTCCATTTATCGCTAAAAAGGGGCTTTGTCTTGTTTGCGCGCTGCTTTAGCGGTAATATCTATATTGCCCGAGAAGCCTAACATAGAGTGGCTATACAGAATGAGGCCGTGGTTAAACATTTTGGATTTTATAGTATAGGTAGTTGCTGTGCTTCTTGTTCATATTACTATGACAGGCTCCTGGGAAAGGACCACCGTTGGCCCTAATTGCCCAGAGAATAAGACGGGGGGATCTTTGGAGCCCATAATCACCGAAACCTTCGCCGGACTTAAAAAGGCCATGTGTTGGCTTGTGGCAAAGGCCAATAAGTATTGCAGCGATTAACGTGCCCTTAACATTTGCACAAAGGTCGTTTATCAGTTTAACCCAACTAATAGCTAGGGCCTTACTGATGGGCATTACCTTCCACGGCCAAACATCGAAGGCGGGGCTTCTGCTAGCTTACATTCTTTGTTTCTAATCTTAACAAAACAATGTTCAAGTACTGAATGGGGCTCTGATAGGGAGAAGTATAAGTCTGCAGGAGAGGAAACACCTTTATTGTCACTAGACCCGATGTTATTGGCTACCTCCTACCTTGATCTGAACATGATATGATTAAGACGCAAAGAATCTGAAGAGGTAGCCTCAAACACGAAAATACTATTAGGTTGCGGCTTCGACGTGAAAGAACTCTCCACATGTTGCGAAATAATTACGATTCATAAGTCTCAAAGATAATACTGAATACAGCATTTGAAACCCGTTTTGTCTCGCTCTGATAGACCCATGTCGAGGCAGTTTATGGTGCATCTACCTTTTTTTGTTATCATGTTTTGTCTCGAGTTTTTGGGATAAATCAGTCTCGTTTCGCCAATATACTACGAGCTCCACGACTGACTACATCATATGGCTAAGCGTAAGGAATGTTTTGCAGATCTGACTAAAGATATTGCAAGTGCTGTTGGTGGGAGTATCAAGAAATATATCAAGTACTATACTTTTATGGATGCCTCATCTATACTATACTGGACTAGTCTTGGATCCTTGCAAATACAGAGAACCGATCCTCGGTCAAAGTATGGTAAACATAAGCGGTGCTGGCTTTCACGCCTTTCACAGTGGTGTTTTGAGATGGGGAAAGGAAGAGTGGTTGCCGGACTGTTTAGGCACAAGTCCGCTACAAGTTGTCTTGCTTACAACGAAATTTCTGGAAGGAGAGATTTTAGGATATCTATAGAACAGATTATATATGGTGTTTATTATATAGTGCTGTCACAGACGACAAGTAAATTACTTAGGATCATGTGTTAAGTCGTATGCTTGATAAATACAAAGAAAGAGCTTCAATACCCCACGTTTTAATTTGATCGGTGATTTTTTGCTTCCTAGAGTGATTAAACGACCTTCCGCAATCCGTAAACTGTCAATCTATTTCTACATCAACATACAGCCCCCTTTTCCAGGTTTGTAGGGCTTTCAAAAAAAATGTTCAGCCATCCAGTGGGGCTACGCTCCTCTTCTGCTTGCTTTCGCTGTTCTTCTCTCAACGCCTGCTGTTCTTATGCATGTCTTCTCTCTTCCTCCGCCTGCGTCCGACGCCTTATTTCCCTTTCAAAAAGTTCCTTGTAATCTGGTAAGCTGCTTTGGTCCATGCCTTTCGCAACAGAAAATTTCGGGAATGTTGAAAATGGTTTTGGCTGCGCTCCATCGAGAAGAGTTTCCGAAGAGGTCCCGATATTGTTTCCTCGAAGATTCACGGTGGCTTTGATAGCGGTGTGCGGATAGCATGTGGCAGAATTGTCATTCGTTGCAACCCCGCTGCCGGAATGTCATCGATCCCAGTTCGAAACCCCGGTGCTTACTTTCTCTACCTTCACCTGTTCCAAAGTGGGACTTATTCTGAGGCGCAGAAAGAAAAAGATCAAATGGTCGGTTTTTTTCTATTAAAACAATCCAACCCAATTACAGAAAAAATGATAAAACATTGAATTTATAAATCGAACGTTTCAATTTCCAATTGTTTGTTAAAAACGTCCCGAGAAAAAATGTAGCCAAGACAAGACCAAAGAGTTGTGACTGCAACAACGCGCTATGAGAAAAAATCAATATGGGAGGGGAGGGACACGTCAGCGATTCAGGGGCGTGCAGGATATTCAGGTGCAGAATAGTGGCGTTCAGGGCATTCAGGTGAATGGGCTGAACGGGCTGAAGAATAGGGCGGCAAGAAAGGATTTCCCAACGAATCCAAAAAAACGGGTGAACAAAAACATACAACAGTGAGGATTCGCTGGTGGTCACCCACCCAACTACTAACTCACCGGCGTGTGGCTTAAGTACGGCTGAGCGGACGGGAAGCCCTGTTTTCCACACCCTATGGTCGTATGTGCTAGAATATTCGTTAAATACAATGATAGCCAATTTGGCAGTTATAAACGTGTGAATGGGGTTGATAATCTTGGACTTGGAACTCGTCGATGCATCGTATTTGTCAAAGGTGGTACTGTCCTGAATTATAGAAATATATATTGATTCTCTTGTCAGTGTCGAGATAGCAATACCTATAGTCCACGGAGTTTATAGGTGTTTATTGACCTACTCCTATAATCACTAGCAAAAAGTGCCGATTTTAGGCGATAGGAGTGGGTAACTACTTATTGACGGGGCGTGTATGTGTGTACATGACATAACGTTATATTTAGGAGTGTTTCAAGACTACTTTGATGTGATTCATGTGACGAGTTTATGAGTTAACTATCTTTTAGCCGTTCTGTAAGGAACAGGGCTGCGAAAAAGAGACTAGGCATCAACCGGAACTCATATCAAGACGCTTGGAAGAACAATTGGAAAGGAAAAAGAAGACACTACAAACGCAGCTAGCAAAGACCCATAAGCCAACTATGAATTGACCAACAAATTGAATATAATAGTCAGTAAATATCATTCAAGTCCTATCAAACAAAGACACAACTAAACGGATATCATCACTCATAACCCCTTGCTCCATGTATGTAAACCATTGAAAATGCCCAAGGTAGTCCAGCCCGAAAGACAGACGAAAGAGAAAAAACAACAATGACCGACTCGAACCAACCACATCACATGTCATCGATGTTGCAGTTGGGATGCAAAACGTAAAGAATCTTGTTATCTTGCTGGACCTCTCCGGAGCCTTCTGTGAGACCGCTTCCGGAAATACGGAGAACAATGTTGTCCTGTGGATTTTTGTTAGTAATAATGTAAAGAAATATGCTCGTACTTAGAGGTAACATACCTTGGTCATGGTTTTCAGCACCATCTTTGCAAGCTTACGCTCACGAACGTAATCATCTTCGTTGTCAAGCTCGCCTTCGATCTGCTCCAGATACCAGAGGATAAGATCTTCCTGCTCGACACCCTCGGCTGAGGTCTTTTCATCCTCAATCAAGCGCCTGACAAGGTGGTTCAGGACGCTGTGGTATTTGTCGTATGTGACCTTAATCTTATTGCCTTCACGCTTTCTGCCAGCGGGCGCAGGATCTTCAGCGTCACCCATCCGGTCGTCTCCCTCAGCATCGTCGTTAGCCATAGCCTGGTCCTCTTCGGTTTCAGGAACAGGACCCTCCTCGTCAATCTCAACATCGTCCTTCTCCACAGTCACGATACTCTGGCGGAGAAGATTGAATGCCTCGATGACAAATTTGGGAATAACTTCCTCAACACAGTTCGCCTTGGCTACGGCCTCGGACAGACGAATCAACGACTCCAGCTGACGGACGGTGATACGATATGAAGAACGGCCAATACCGCCCTGGGCATCGTTAGAACGCAGCTCCTTATACTTCTCGACCAGAAGAGTTTTGGCCTCCTCGGTGAAAACGGGGCGGAAGGTGCGAGCGAACCGAATGTAGCGCTGCAGCTGTTCCGTTGTGAGCTCTGGCTTAACGGCCTCATCGCGGTTCATGTGCACGTTGACAATGTGCTCTGCCAAACTGCGGTCGACAGACTCCTTGGGGTCATCGCGAATGACGAAAAAGACATCGAAACGACTCATGATGGGAGCGCTGAAGTTGAGGTTATTGCGGAGTGTTTGCTTCGGGTCGTAGCGGCCATTCACAGGGTTTGCGGCTGCAAGAATGGATGCACGGGCATTCAGGGTGGTGTGAATACCAGCCTTGGCAATGGAAATCGTCTGCTGTTCCATAGCTTCGTGAATGGCGACTTGATCGGCGATGTCCATCTTGTCAAACTCGTCGATGGCACAGATACCACCACCATTTGCAAGCATGAGAGCACCGGCTTCAATGGTGAACTCGCCTGTCTCGGGGTCCTTCACCACCGACGCGGTCAAACCAGCTGCGGAGGAAGCTTTTCCACTGGTGTAGACTGCACGAGGGTGCAGAGAGCAAATGTACTTCAAGAACTGACTCTTACTGGTTGAGGGGTCACCAACAATACAGATGTTGATATCACCACGCAACTTCAGGCTCTCTGCCGAGGTGGACTTGCCAACACCACCAATCAACTGCAGCAAGAGACCCTTCTTGATCTGTTCATGGCCATAGATCATGGGTGCGATGGAATCGACAAGCCGGGAATAGATGTAATCAGAGTGCACTAATTGCTTCAGGTCCTGAACCTCAGCTGGGGTGAGACTCTGGAGGAACGCCTCCTGAGCCGAGTCATCGCCACTATCCTCCTCCTGGTTCTGGTTCAAAGATGCCAGGATGTTATTCGACTGGCCGCTAAGCTGTTGTTCGGGCTTCTGGCCAGGGGTCGTTGTGTCTGGGGTTACCATGCAAGAGAGGAACGCTAATCGATAGGCCAAATCGCGCACACCCAAAGACTTCAAGCCAGTGACTCCAGCAGAGCCGACCTCGGTGCCTCGGAAGGAGTTGTTGTCGCGGACAGCTTCGGGGCGCACACCGGGAAGACCCAGTTGACTGACATCAGGAACGACAATCAAGGTACCAGTGAACACGCAACGCTCACCGGCCTTGGCGCGGTCAACCATCTCACCGCGCAGGATCACATCCATTGTGCGGGGCATGCTACCAGTTGGGATCTCGTGCGATGATTCTTGAAGTTTGATCTTTTGCCAATCGATGAATGTACTCTTGCCGATATCAAGACGCCACCCGACACGGTTGCCGCAGTTTTTGTTGGGGCACTCCGCGGGCTCTGTGTATTTGAACGTCTGCTCGACATTCGGGACCACAGTCTTGCAGCCCTCGCAGATGAAGGTTCCGAGCGACAATTCTGGGCGAACTTCGGAAGTTCTTGTCACGGTTCCGGAGACAGACAGCAATTTTCCGATCTGGTTGGTCCGAAGTTGTCGAAGTCTGGAAACCAAAGGAAGGTTATAGAATGCAAGCGCAAATAGCTTGTCTGTTTGCTGGTGACGGGTCTTTTCGCGGATATGGCGGTCCAGATCGGGGTTGTCGGTAGCGCTACCATATGCTGAAGCAGTGGAGGTAGCTGCTTCCGATGTGTTGGATGTCAATCTGTGGGAGACGAAATATTCCGGTTCGTACTTGGCGATAAGGTTGTGCAGCGCGGTGGTAAGGAAGGGGAGGAATCGGTAGTATTGAGTGGCAACAGCGTCTGCGAGAATAGGATTTCTCCAGGCTGCAAGGTGTGTAAAATCAACGTAAAGAGTCGACAACTCAAATTTTTTCATTCCCTTGATCTGAGCGATATAATACCTATCACTAAGAACCTCTCCGGAAGAAATGGGTGCAGAAGACGATGGTTCATCCATGTATTCCTCAAGCATGTCTTCAAATGCGCTCCGGACTTGCTCTCCTGCATCATCGACCACTTGCGGGGGGCCAGGGGTATACGGGTTTCGCAGACGGCTAATTGTCGAGCTTCCTCCCGTTACCATTTGGTCATCAGCGTAGGCATTCATATCACTCATGGGCCCATTGCTCTCAGAACGTCGAGAACTAGGGAGCTGATCGGATCGCAGGTTCTCATGAGCGGGCCCTGAGCCCAATTCGGACTGAATCACGGCATCAAAAAGGGAAGACATTGCAGAGTTTGAACGGCCTTAAGGTGGCCAATTAACTGGGGTTTCAAGCTCTCAAGAGAAAAAAAGGAATGTGGAGAGTAATATGATGCAGAGTACTCCGTACCCAAGTGGGATTGCTATCTTAGTTTTTCGTGGGTCTTTCAGGTCTCCTTGGGCAACGCGACGCGAACGCGTTCTTCGGTGAAGATATAATCCGATTCCGAGTACTGGGACGCGTTAAGTGGTTTATTATGTAATGTATTATGTCATCGTATGTTTGTAAGCCGGGGAGCATGACACGCTAGTCCAATCTAGGTAATTGGTCGAGTTCTGAGGCTCCACCACGTTTGACCAATCAAGGTGCAAGTAAACACTTCGATTCCGACTTAAACGCAATTTGTGAATAGGTAAAACCTTCAACTTTAGCGTATTGTTGTTCAACACAGCCCCTCACTTTGGGATATTTACATATTTGTTTCAAAGGTAGGGAATGTCCTATTCTAAAGAGACGAAAACATATGAATTTGACCTGTTTACTCTTTTTCTTTTTTAAAAAAGAAGAAAGTTACTTTGCGAGAGTCTGGGCTAATATGATATATAGGTTTTTCGACGCTATCACTATTTGTCTTTCGGTGAGTGAAATGGAGAGAGAGTCTGCGTGGCATATGTTTTGAGGCCCAACCCAAAATGATATAGTGATGCCTATATATGTACATGCAACGTGCGTACATATGTATATGTTACATACGTGCATAATGTACCCAAATTACGATTATGATGCATTTAACTGGATCGCTCATACTGGAGTCAGTGAGCTTTTAGGTTATAGATTTTCCATGTAAAGGCCTTCTATGGATATATCCCTGTGAAATGGGTTGGAGAGATCAGAAATAATGAATTTAAGCAGTAGTATACTATTTACCTAGTTGGGCATACTGCATGGCAAAAACGGGAAGTCTGTCCCCTCTTACACCCTAAAAAAAACATCTAAGAACACATACACTACGATATCGTCCAATAATTGTATTCAAAGTCATTAATTACCGAAATTATCGAGTGGATTCATTAGATCAGGGTTACAAGCCTGATACTTGGCGCTTATATAATGGAATGGTCCTCCCCGGGCTGCCCGGATTCCTCTTGAAACTCCCATTATTTCCTCTCGGGGACTTATATCCTCGCAATGCATCTGCATCTATAATTAATCGATTTGTTGTCCTCTGTGCTGACCTATCACATCACTTCCTTGCGATGGTTTTATTCAAATCCAGAGTCCTTGGCTGGAGGAATCTCGGTGATCGGGGGCTCTGACTCTGATTGCTACATCTATCTGCTCGACATGTCTGAGAACGAACGTCAGCTAGTATCTTCACTGACCAAGCCATGCGCTGTCCCTCTGACGGGCTCGTCACATGCGGATACTTCGGGTACGCTCCCACAATCTTTGTCAAGCTAACATCTGCACCTTTCATGTACAAAGCAGCTAAACTCTGCCATCATTTAGTACCTGTTGATGATGGCCCTCAACCTTCTAAACCCGCAAAGCCCGCAAAGCGGCGCCGCGCCGCCGAATCAAAGAATAAAGCGCCGAAGAATCAACACTTCTATTTTGTTGATCAGAACTCCTCTTCCAAGGAAAAGCGAGCCCATGTGATGCGCCATCATGTACAAGAGAAAATGAAACAGCGTAAAATGACGCGCGGGCGTGTTTCCGCTGCGCCTGGGGTGGGAATTGCCCAGGATATTCAACCGGGTCCATCTTTGGTAGCCACGCAACCCGCCTCCAATATGGAGACTTCGGTATGGGAATCACTCCTTCTAGTAATGGACCTCGGCCCACAGTCACGATTGAGGCTGCCCCGTAGAGTTCACTACTGGAATTCTGAATTTTGAATGCTGATTATGACATGGACTGCAGCTCCAAATCAGGTTCTCAAATATGAAGCCACAGCCTCACCCTTCGCTATCGCAACATATTGGCTCGCCAATCACAATACTCGATGCATCTAGGAAAGATCCGTTCTATAGTTTGCCAATTGACTACGACACTCGGGACGTCGAATTGGCCGACCACTGGAGGAACAAATTGACCTACTGGTCCGGACAGAACTTCCACGTTAAAAATCAAATCTTCCGCACGGCCATGAGCCACCCTCTCGCATTCAAGGCAGTGGTTTTATCCTACTGTGCGCGATGGGAAGCACATCTACACGACATGTCCGACACTTACGAGATTCAACGCCATGTCGTGAGAGCGGCGCAACTCATCGAAGAGGCCACCGCCGGCATCGCGCTAGTCAAGCCGGACGACCTCATAATGGCACTAGGCGGATTGGCCCTGCAGGAAGAACGATTCGGAAACAAACACCAGGCCCATGTCTATGTTGACCAGGCCGTCCAATTCATGCGCCCGCGAACAGGATTCAATCGATCGGTCGAAACATTCATCCACTACGTCCGATACCTCATGGTGCCCCAAGTCCGATCCTTTTCCCGAGCTGAACAACAATGGCTCCTCACCTTCCTCCGCGGCGCCAGAGACCTCATGCGCCAACACAGCGACCCAAACTACCTCCTCAAGGCACCCCACCGTCGCAAAGCCTTCGCCATGGAATGTCCCCTCTTCTCCCTCCTGTCCAGCGGTCCCCGACCCTCCCAAGTCCCACAAGAGTCGCGCGTCTACGTCGTGGGCCACTCGCAGACCCAAGAGCTCAGCCGAACTGCCTCCCTCATCTATATCACCACGGTACTATGGGATCACCAAAGATCGCCCAGTCAAACCGACCGATACCTTCAGCATCTCTGCGCTATGGTGAAACTGCATCATCTTGATCGGGACCCAGCTTGCGAAACTCTACTGTGGTTGTTATTGGAGGAAGATCATGATTTTGATTTACAAGATCCTCGGCGGGGATGGTCCACGGGAGATTTGCTTAAAGCGCATCAACAGCTCCGACCAGACCTTCAATTTAATTTTAACGAGATTCTTATGAGTTTTCTGGCATTTCAAACGCCTATTCGTGGGATTGAGGCTTTTGAAGAGGAGCTTTTGCATGGTTCGCCTTGTCCATAGTGAGATATATGAAATATTTCAAACAATATATATATGCATTCACGATATCATCATCCGGTCAATATATATCAAGAGAACTACTCAAACTACATACGCTATGCAATCCAACCTTGGAATGTATATATCCAGATATGTCTTAGCTCACGTCTTGGCAGGACCTAAGTACCAGGAATGTAATCGTCATTGAATCTTCCAGTGGAGACAAACCCAGGTTCCAACGAATTGAACAAAATTGATGTCAGGTGGAAAAACCCAAATCAATGATTCGTACGTTTGCGGTCAATTCACAGCCCTAACCACAGTGGATGGACCGAGGGCGGATTACCGACCACATGTAACTCCGAAGTACCTGCCCACCGAAATCGACACACGACCTACACACCAGGTACCCACGCCCACCGGAACCACAATAAGATCGCCGATCGCCATAAAGCGCCTGACTACGTGTAGCTCGGAATTCGTCCAGGGTTACGATCCTGCATCTTTCTTTGATTGGATCGATCAATCACTATCTGTGGCTCTTTGTGGCTCGTGCTATAGCTCCGTCTCACAGTCTCACACAAATTAATATTGTTCTCGTATAGCTCTCTATCTGTGGCGCAGAAATGGGGGAAAACCCCTGCACTTCGTGTGCGTTGTACATTTGAATCTAATTGAATAGAATATACTATGTGAATAATATCTCAAGTGGCGAATCTTATCTAGGCGCTTGCAACGCAAGACTCTCGAACTTTGTTGTTGAATGTAAATCTCGGCTCAGATCCTAGTCAATAGCGCAGCCCACTAGTAGAATTAGCGGGCCCATTGGGTGTATTGACTTTGGATATGTAGTTTGTCGAGACTGATTTGACGATCTCTCGGGATTTGGCATGCGCGTACTTGCATGATAGCACGTTCAATGTTTTACTATTGATTCTTAACTTTTGAACAAAGGAGAAAAAAAGAAGAAAAAAGTAATGTGAAAGACCTCGTGTAGAAAAAAAAGAGGGCTTGGGATCAGTTACCTCATGTGGAGACATAATTTAGAGTACCCCTGGATTCTCCAAGGGCCAGAAAACTGAGAAATATGGTGTGTTTCATCCCGAGTATGTGCGACAGCAACAACATTGTACGATATTAGACTATATTGGACCATATTGGACAATATTTTATGATGGGGAGAAGTTTGTTGTTTCTCAACATCCCTTGCGCAAATCAACACCCCTGCTCACTGAACGTCATGATCGTCGGATAGAGTAGCCCCGGGAGTGTAGAAGTGGCTGGGTGTGGCGGTGGTCGGCCTTCTCCGTTTCAGCTCCTTTTTTGGTTGTTTTTCTTGCCATGTGAAGATCCAATTTCACCGGAAGAGAACTGATGGAGTCATCGATTGTGAGAGAACCAAGGAACTTCCGAGGAACCAGAGGAACCAGAGGAACCCAGCCGATCGGAGTGTTGTATATCTGTGAACCATTGTTGGTAAGAGTCTGGACCGAAGATTGACTGGAGGAGCTTATGGTAAGTGGATTAGTTCTTTATTAGGGGACTGACCAAACAAGGAGTGACGCTAGAGTAATTAGGTCGTCAGTAGTACAACTTCTTGTGCTTGAATTTTTTTAAAAGAAAAAATGTGGGAAATTCAGAAAAAAGCCAATTACCTGAACCAAAAGTAATTAAACCGAGAAAAAAAAGAGAAAATGATGATCCAATTACGTATGGACTGAGATCGTAGATCGTGGTAGCCCCTCTCTTTTTCCTTTAAGCTTCTTTTTTCTCTTCTCCTCTTCTCTTCTCCCCTTCTCAATAATAACGAGGGGACATTCACCCCCAACGACTAATTGTTGGAATATATCAATTTGGAAAATACATACTGCATTAGCAGGCTCTCATCACAATGGTGTTCGAAAAACACCCTCTGGTCGCGCGAGCGGTAAGCTCCCTGAATCTTCAAATGGTTGTTTACATACTGACAAGAAACAGAGCGACGACAACAACTCGCCTTCGCTGTCCAGCTTGCTCACCGTCCTGATCCCCTCTTTTGTCATTGCAGCGGTAATGGTGCTTGCCTTCATCATCCTGCGTAAGCGTTTCCGCAGAATGTATATGCCCCGAACCTACATTGGATACCTCAAGCCCTGGCAACGTACCCCCGACTCGCCCACCGGCGCATGGAACTGGATCAAGGCCATGTACAAACTTCCCGATACTTACGTCCTGCAACACCACTCAATGGATGCCTACCTGCTGCTGCGCTTCCTGAAGCTCTGCTCCGTCATTTTGTTCGTCGGCTGCTGTATCACTTTCCCCATCCTGTGGCCGGTCAATGCTACCGGTGGTGGTGGTCAGGTGCAGCTGAACTTGCTGAGTATCTCCAATATCGCCAAGACCCAGTACGCTCGCTACTTTGCGCATTGCTTCGTCGCTTGGATCTTTGTCTCCTTCGTCTTCTTTATGATCACCCGTGAACACCTCTTCTACATCAACCTGCGCCAGGCATACCTCTTCTCGCCTGCCTATGCTAGCCGCATCTCTTCCCGCACCGTGCTCTTCACCGCGGTCACTCCCGATCTGCTCGAGAAGGAGAAGGTTCGCACCATGTTCGGTCGCGACAAGGTCAAGAACGTCTGGATTGCGACTGATACCAAGGAACTCGAGGAGAAGGTTAAAGAGCGCGATAGTGCCGCGATGAAGCTCGAGGGTGCCGAGACCAAGCTTATCGTCATGGCTAACAAGGCGCGCAACAAGGCGCTGAAGAAGCAGGGTTCGGCTGAGAACCCCGAGACCGACATTGGTGATGGTCAATTCGATGACGAGTCTGGCTCTGTCGCTGCTCGCTGGGTCGAGGCTAAGAAGCGTCCTACCCACCGTCTGAAGATGCTTATTGGCAAGAAGGTCGACACTATCAACTGGGCCCGTTCTGAGATTGAGCGTCTTACTCCCGAGATCGCGGAACTGCAGGCCAAGCACCGCGCCGGTGAGACTAAGCTCGTGTCCTCTATCTTCGTCGAGTTCTACCGTCAGTCCGATGCCCAGTCTTCTTTCCAGTCTGTGGCACACAACCTGCCTCTCCACATGAGCCCTCGCTACATCGGTCTTGACCCCACTCAGGTTATCTGGGCCAACCTTCGCATCAAGTGGTGGGAGCGCCTCGGTCGCCATGCTGCCACCATCGGTTTCATTTGTGCTCTGATCATCTTCTGGGCCATTCCCACCGCTGTCGTCGGTGCCATCTCCAACATTGACTCCTTGACCGACAGGGTTCACTTCCTGAGGTTTATTGACTCCGTTCCTAGCTGGATTAAGGGTGTCATCACCGGTCTTTTGCCCACCGTCCTGATGTCTGTCCTGATAGCCTTGGTGCCTATCATCATGCGTCTGATGGCCAAGTGGGGTGGCGCGCCTAGCTTGGCTGCCGTTGAATTGACCGTGCAGAACTGGTTCTTCGCTTTCCAGGTCATTCAGGTTTTCCTGGTTGTCACACTCGCTTCCGCAGCTACCAGTGTCGTTACTAAAATCATTTCGAACCCTTCTTCGGCTGCTTCCCTGCTCGCCGAGAAGATTCCTCTCGCGTCTAATTTCTACATTTCCTATATCATTCTACAGGGTCTGTCTTTCAGCGCCGGTGCTCTTCTCCAAATTGCCGGTCTTATTGTTGGAAAGATCCTTGGTACACTCTTCGATACCACTCCCCGTAAGATGTACAAACGCTGGTCGAGCTTGGCCGGTCTCGGCTGGGGAACTGTTTACCCTGTGTTCACGCTGTTGACTGTTGTCGGTAAGTTGATACCGAACCAGACATTCGCCTCATCATTCTAACGTCTTCTAGCCATTACCTACTCTTGCATTGCGCCCCTCGTCATGGGCTTTGGTACCATTGGTCTCTACCTGTTCTACTTCGCCTACCGGTACAATGTGCTGTACGTGTCCAACGCCACCATTGACACCCAGGGTAGATGCTACACCCGTGGTTTGCAGCACCTCACTGTCGGCTGCTACCTCTCCATCGTCTGTCTGATCGGCCTATTCGCCATCGGCTCCGGCGCCGACCAGATCGCCGTCGGCCCCTTGGTCCTGATGATCATCTTCCTGGTCTTCGTTATCCTGTACCACATCTCGTTGAACAGTGCCATGGAGCCCCTCCTCAACTACCTTCCCAAGAACCTCGAAGCCGAAGAGGAAGCCCTCCTGGCTGCCGAGCGCAACAGCCTCTCCAAGTCCCCCTCCGACGATCTCTCTGCCCCTACTGGCTCCACCGTCGCCCCCCGCGATAGCGGTGTGAACATGGACAACGGCGTCGACTCCGCGGAGAAGGGGCTGACCGCTTCCCCCGCCGAGCCCAAGCCCAACTTCCTCACCAAGTTCCTCCGTCCAGACAAGTACGCCAGCTACCACCACCTGCGCAAGCTCGTCCCCTCCGCCGACCCAACCACCTACGTGGCCGAGACCGAGCGCGACGCCTACTGCCATCCCGCCATCACCTCGGAGCCCCCACTCCTCTGGATCCCGCGCGACCCGCTCGGCGTGTCCTCTCAGGAAATCGCACACACCTCGCGCGTTATCTCCATCACCGACGAGGACGCCTATCTCGACGAGAATTGCAAGATCAAATGGAACGAAGAGAAGGGCGAGCCCCCCATCTACGAGGAGAAGCCCGCTTACTAGACTCGCACGCGTCGCTTTGGTCTACCTCTACTGTGATACCCGGTCGGGCGGTCTGCTCGGCTCCGATATGGGCTTTTGTCAGGATCAGAGCTCTGACTTAATTGCTCTGGTTCGATCTTAGTTTCCTTTCTATAATTTTAAATGTAATTGGTGGTTTATGCTCACGCGTCATGTCGTTATGTATGCGAGGATTTTGACCATGAATTTGGAATCTGGCCTTTTTTTTTTAACCATACACGATTTGTTATGTATTATATTTTGGGTTGTGAACAGATGAATTTATCATTCGCCTTTGACTTCGTTTGACGCTGTGTTGTAGCTGTAGTCTGGTGCTTTCTATCAATGTTCATGTACGGAGTAAATTGGTACCAGTCCCAACCTTAGAACAGTGCAGTCCAGTCTTTACCGCTTTCGCTGTTTGATATAAATCATGGCTGCAGCGAGATAGCAAAGTAGCAGGTGTTCCTCTGACACTCGTAGCACAGCCTCCGCGGATTGCTCTTTCAAGATGTGACGTGATCTGTTCAACTGGCATCATCAAGCGAAGAAGATCCACCACTGCAGGGGCGCGGGCATCATTCAATCCCACGTGTCTTGCCTCACATGTGATCTGGGTGGACCTCAGTAAGCTCTGCATTGATGGTCCAATGTTTTGCGGCTCGCTGGGAAGTATTAGGTTTTCTGCGGGAGGTCAATTTTGTGATGACCTATCTAGACACAGTACACGGTCAAAGCAGGTTGGCTGAGCCGCGAGCGTGCAGCAAAGCTCTTTGTACTGTCGCCAGATTGCAGTATCTTTTCCAAAGCTCTGCGAATGAGTTCGCGCGTTGGCTCATTGGCTTTCAGAAGCCAGTCAGGTCCTAAAGAAGGTAGTAGACGGCATATACGTCCAAGATAGAGACGACTGTATAACATTAATGGTGCGGTCATGAGAATAATTCTTACAAAGACACATTTGATGCAAAAATCACCGTGATGTATTGTCTGGTCATCAAAGAGTAGGGTTTCATAACCCGATGGACTACGAATGTAGTGATAGCTAAGGAACCTTGGAAAAGAGTCAGAAATTGGTTCAAGAAGGCCTTTTCCATAATGCCATCTATGTATGCATCATCAAAGCACGTTGATAAATCTCACAAATAAGCTAGGGCCCCGGGCTCAATTCCAAATATCAGAGTGGAAGATGGACCTCTATCCAAATTGAAAGATAAATTCCAAATGCCGATGATCATAATGACAAATTATCAAATTATCGAGGAGAACATGGAACAAGATAGGGATGAAATTATTTAATGAGATGAAGCATAATGCTCAAGGGAATATGCATCCGAAGCTAGAGAACATATAATCAAACATACACTCTGTCTTTATTTACGTTTACGCGGGTCCTAAAATACGCGTAAATAATGAACTCCTTGAAATACACATATGGTACGCACAAACTATCGTTCGTTCCACCACAAGCTTTTATTCCAAGTTTGCTTTATGTTTTCTAAACCTTCACATTGAAGTTTATATGTACAACATACACTTTAAATATCATCCAGATCGAGATACGAGGTTCGTACCTTTTCTTACCTAGGTACATTATTGATCATATGTTCGATTTGTAAATCCCCCTGAAAATAACCGTACAATATTGCAGTCGTCATCTGCAATAACGGAAAAGAACATAACCCATGTAAAGACCTATTTAGCATGCTATCCTGGTCATTACCGGCAGACACAGGCCCACCGTCATGAATCGGGGGATTGTGGCTTGCATCCCTTGACACCTGTCAATTCTAGTTAGCGGGGGTGGGGTCATCAATGTTATAAATTACTTTTAATTACATGTATTTTCGCTTTGTTTTGTTATTGGTTTTTTATTCTCGGCACATACAATGTACTATAATTTTCTAAGTATAATTCTTTAAGTAGTAAGTACAAACGACGCAGTGATAGTAATTATATCGTATAAGTCACATACATTTAACTACATCTAGTTATACTATATCTAGTCTGCGCTTGGCCTGAAGACAAAGTGCCATTTCTACATACATATTTGTACGTTGTACTCCGCACATTATAGAAAAAAGGAAAAATATTGAGAGAATTCTCCGCAAAAACAAAGGAAGCAAAAGACTCCACCGGTATCCAAGGGAACGTTAGGCTGGTAATTATTCCATTTTCAGTGGTCACTTGACTAACTCATATTTAATCTATTTCAAGTTCTAGTGCTTCCTACAACACAATAATGGAACATTAGGTCAAGATTGCCATATGGTAATAACACTAAAGCTGAGACACCTAGTTTATAGCCGCACCGCCTACGTAATGGAGTAAAAAAGTACAAGCGTAGTCTCCAGCCATTTCAACAACCCTGCATAAGTGGAGAGCCACACTATGAAAATCCTGATCGACCGAATACACTATTGTAGGTCTAGATCTAGGCCATGCCACTGTCACGTTTGCTCCATGGCCGATCTGCCCGCAAGTTGCACGGCGCACCTCGCGCTGTGGCGAAAATAGAAAAAAAGAAACCATGCTTCGTGTTGGACATATATGCACGTCGTACCACATGGGGGTGTGTGCCCTCTGCATGAGCAGGACACGTACCAGCATAGCCAAATCTACTTACTCCGATAGAAGGGTTGCCTACGCGGCCTTGCAGGGCTGCCCACAAGAGAGTTCTGTTTTTGCGAGATGCCTCTTTACTACAGCGTATATCCCCGAGGCAGGGTCAAGCGTTTAGTTGATTAGGAAGGTTGGGTATCAATCGTTCAATGATGGCTGCCGTAAAGACTCCACAGCGGAAAGTCTATGAGCTTGGCGAATTATCGAAGGATTTGATTCGAAACGAGACGGGAACTGCAACGGTTGTACCTTTGGGGGCCGACTCTAGGCGGTTTACAGGGAAGCTGAACACCAATGAGAAAAAAATGAGAATATATTGTACAATATTATAGAAGACATTACGGATGTCGGGGCCATTACGCCTCCATGGAAGTCTCAAAGACTACTGCATCCATTGAGTAAGCTCAAGTCAAATTTCAGAATATTTACTGCGAATGAGGGAAACCCCGCAGAACAAAAAGAAAGGAGAAAATAAACACGCCAATGCCAACGCCGTGCTCTACTTCGGATGAGTCATGAGCTGATGCAAGAGACAGACAGGATATAGATCTCCCAAACAAGATAGAACAAAAATGAGATCAAAGATGGTGTTCGGTGTAGACAGCGCAACAGAAAAAGAAAGGAAATGAGTGGCGGATTGTATACATCCGAAACCGTAAATCGATCACAACGAACTATGCAAGGCAGAAAGGCCGAAAGAAAATGGTATCCCCAACTAATCAAGGTATGAACAATGCTTTTGCTGGAAGTGTTTCAAAACGCTGAATCGCTAAGAGGTCAAGTACTGGCAATGTTTACACTCGGATCCGCGAGGACCGGAATGCAGAGAGGTCGATGGACTCGGCCGATAGAGATGAGTTGTCATCGACTTCGATGGTGCCCGCAATGGTGGTGGTTGGCTTGTTAGCAATGGCAGCCACTCTAGCGAGTCGCGCCGCGGACGGCGTAGGGGGAGGTTTGAGAGGTCCGTCGTCCGCTGTCCCATTCTGTTGCTGTTGCTCGTGCTCTTCCTGCTGTTTCTTTTCTGCGTTGAGACGGTCGACCTCGTTGATAGTGGCTTCGAGCAGCATTTTAAATTTCTCTTCTACGCCGTCCAGTTCGGTGCCACAGTCGCCTGATCGGAGAACCTGGTAGGCTGCTGTTTCGCAAAGCGCATGTGCAAGCTCTAATTGTTTGTCGGCAAAATCAGAAGGGGAATCCTGGCGGAGTGGGCTGGTCCCTGTGACGCCGACAACTCCGGATGTGGTGCGAGTGCTTCGGACGACAGAGAGTGGCGATGCTTGACCGCCTATGCCCTTATTCAATAAACCAGCGCGCAATCCCGTTCGTGGCATCATTGCCATTTTCGCACGTCGAAGATTGTTCCTTGCCATTCCGATATCCCGTACAATTTCCTCGAGCGACTTCTGTGTATGGCCATCATAATCGATAATGACATTGTGTCGTGTGCTAACAAACGCGTATTCTTCATGTGAGTCGACTGACGGGGCTTCATCCGAGCTGCGCTTACGACCAGAGCGTTGACCTTGCTCGGACGCGTGCGCTGTCTCCACCGTTGTGGGATCTGGACTGGGGCTTTTGCGTTGTGCGATCGGGACAAGGTCGTCGGCGTGAACGGAAGCAATGGAGCTGTTCTTTCGTCGGCGGGGCTTGAAATTTGCGTGGCGTCTGTAGGCTTCGGTGTAATCGTTGTGTTTCTTGTGGGTGTGTGTGGCGAGATCGGAAACGCGACTAATCCATGCGGGAAGGTTGTCTTTCAAGTGGGTGAATGCCCCGAGTGCATCCATTGATGCCGAGGCCATAATAACAGAAGAGTTTCGAGTCCTCCTGGATTATCACTGTTCCACTGGGCTCAAAAATGATAAATTCCTGGAGATTACAAGTTGCTATTTATCAAGTGTTCTTGTTCGTTTTCGTCGTAAAATCGTAAGTTTGGTCAAGAGCGCAAGGGTCGGTAGGTGTCAAAAAGGATGCGGTTTTCAGTACCCCGGAGGAGAGACAGGATTTGATCTTGATTAACCCCTCAAAAAGCTTTATGATCTGCAAAAGAGGCAAGTGACGGTGAAGCAGAGAGTATTGGGAGGGGAAAGTGACAAGGAGAGAATAATATGAACATTTGGAGAATTAAAGAAAGATCGAGAATATGAGAAATGCCCTGGTACATGTAAATACACGTACACTACCCGTATGGTACTTTATTCGTTACCAATTTGTATGGCCCTAGGCCGTTTCAGTACGGGAAAGAAAGGGCTGCCCCTGATCTATTTGATATTTGGATTCTCATTCTCGCACATCCCAAGGCTAACTGCATCTATTATCCAAATAGTTAGTTAAGTGTATATTAATTATTGTATCAGAAGTTGAGTACTCGAGAAGCGGTGAACTGGTTTGCATGTGTCATGTTATGCAAGTCTAAGATAGTAAGGATACGGATTTATACTTTAGCTCTACGGGGTTATTCCTTGGGTGTGTGCACCTGCGGGCATCGTCCCTAAGATGTGATGATCTTGAAAATCTTCGGATAGTAAGTTCTCAACATCCTCAAGATCCATTTCCAAGTTCTTTGGGAAAGTGGAAGTAAAGTATCCCGGCAATCGTGTGTGCGACCGAATCCTATAGAACGCAAGAACATTTGGGGAGTACAGAGTACGATATACTTGGCTACGGTATCCTGATAATGTACTCCGTACAATGTAGAAAATGAAAACCACCGAGACTAACTAGGTAGATCCCTATAGAATCATAATGAAGCATATAGTCTAAGCGGGTACCTTTCCTAAGAGAGGCATGACACGTAACGGTCGCTTTTTATCCTTGTAATACGATCGGGGACCAAAAACCGGGGACTCGGGGATCAAGGGGACCTCAAATCCACTAGAGAAATGTGAAATGCATATTGATAGACAAGAATGGGGACCTGATACTAACTTAGGATCCCGGAAGGACCGGGATAGCCCGTGGTTGGGGCCCGAGGTCCCGCGGTGGCCCCCCGCCGCGATGGGTGAACCTGATTGGCTGATCGCATTAGATCGATTGTGTATTCTTAACCTTGGCGGTATCGTAAACTTCTTTGAATGCACATTGGCTAATACTGAGGTATTGTACTGCGTACTTCAACTATATTGTGTATCTATATCAAATCACTATATATGTATCATATTGATTTTAGATAGAAGCTGGCAAAGACGGATACGTATGACCTTTTGGACAGAATTATCTTTGAGTCAATATGCTATTTTAGCCGTAATCCATATATCCAACGTACTCCGAAGAATTCTATGGATCTCTTCAAAGTTGGTCTTGATAAACTTTAGAAGCTCTATGTTTACTTGATTTTAGATGCTAAAAGATGAATTGAGAAACAACCAATGATATATCAAAGAACCTGTTGAATCAATGTCTTAAAACGACCGCTTAATTAGTATTCACAGGAAGAGATTCCGATCCTTGTATCGATATCAAAATAAGCGACGAAGGAATGCCCAGCATGGCTTTATTCGAAAGAAACCGCATACCCACATAATCTAGTGATTCAGACTGGATCCAATGGGCCATTGTCATAATTTACATCAGTGACAAGGAAAGAAAAATTGGAAAAGAACCATGAATTAGGCGTTGAAGAACGCTGCTATGTAAACAACGAGATAACTCCATGGATGACCAGGCACGTGCAAGGATCTCACGTGATGGTGCAGCTTGGTCAAAATCATTCCCATTATCCGATACCAAATTCCTCCGTATGAGCAAGTGAACCCTCCATTTTCAATGAACTAAAAACCCCAAGTACCAGAGCCGAAAGAAGAGCTAGAACAAAGCACTGCGGCGTAGGTATGAATATTGAACCTAACGACCAGAAGTCCAAGCCTCAATCCAGCCATTGACAGCGCGTTGAACGGCCTTGGCAGATGTCATGGTAGCACGGTGAGCCTGCTGGCTAGCTCGGAAGTTCATATCAAACTCCTGGAGACGAGTCTGTAGCTCGCGGGCAAAAACCTTGTGGACGGACAACGCAGAGGCAGCTTCCATGGGGTCGGTGGGGAGCTCTGGGATTTCAAGGATTGGGTTGGGGACGATGGTCTTGAAAGGACGGCCTCGCTTGGGGCGCTTCACGACGATGGGCTTCTCTTCCTCCTCGTCGGACTGGGATGCTAGGGATCGAAAGGAGGACAGCTCGTCACTGGAGTCAGCCGGAACGGGGCTATCAACCTCCTGTTTTGATAAGTCAGCTAGATGAGAGTGCACGGTGAGGGTGGGTTATGTTATTTTCAACTCACCTCGCTGTCGTTAGCAACCCGGCGTCGACCTTTGGGGGCAGGAGCCTTTGGCTGAGACTGAGACTCAGTGGTGGCGTCGGTCTCCTCCAGACGGTGTGGGCAACGCTTCTTCTTCAACTTGCAAGGTTTGCAAGCGGGGCGTCCGTCGGGCATCTCGTCTTCAGAAGACACTGATTGTGTCTGATCAGTAAGAGTACTAAAATGTCTTGAGTGACAATCAGGATTCAGGAGACACACTTTGGCTTTTGAGCTCAGTTGTTTAAGAGTGGGTTGTTGTGAATACGCGTATATTGTCGCCGTATTGTCGCGATTGTTGTGAAGATAGAAAAAATACGCGAGGAAGTGATGGACAAAAAGAAGCCGGGATTGCTACCAACCTTGGGGAGAGGAGACGCAAATACACAGCTTTTGCCTGCTACCCCAAGATCCTTCTTTGTATACCCACTGGCTCCTAAAGACTATTATGTTAATCTAGGTCTAGGGAGTTTGAATATATGCATGATTTCCACATGAGAATGAGAGCTGTCCAGATGAATATTGATATACTAGAACAGCACAGCGAGAAAATAGATCACGGCCACACCTCAATCTCATTCCACAAATCAGTGCCATCATCCCTGTCTCCTGCAAGTTTCCAATTTCTTCTCTTGCAATTCTCTTGATCTGTCAGATCTAGTTCCTCGACTTCTTCGGGACGAATGATGACCACACGGAAGTTAGCTCGGGCCACGGGATCGTGGAGATCTGTGACCTTTTGGCCCAACTTCAGATCTGGGTTATTGGGGTAATCAGACCTAGACTGTCCAGGTGGAGGATTCCGGAAAGAACCTACAGTTTTCAGTCAGCATAAGTTTTTGAAATTGCACACAGGCAAGCAAGACAGCAGTAAGTCTCATAAGACCGCACCAAATTGGGGGATACTAACCTCTTGCAACGGGAGAGTGGTTTGCAAAGTACTTTGTGACTGCTTTTTCCCACGTCCATTTCGAGATATCACTCTCATCGCCTTTCAACCTCAAAGCCCTTTGAACCTCCGCTCGGGAGTTTCCTTCTTCTGCGTCTTCTCCCTGTGGATTTCCAATTGCATAAGCTGTCCCCTTGATGCGCCATTGGGTCATCACATCCTTCAGCCAGAACATGGCCTCGATGGCATGCCCAGAAGATTCTAACTGAGGAAGCTTTTCCATTCGAACATCAGTCGTAAAAGTGAGCATATCACTCTCGAAAATTGATGGATTGGCACCACCCTCAACCTGCTGATCCATAGCTTCTTGTCCCTTGGGATGGAGTTCAAGCTCCGGGAAGAAGCCACGGCAACCGCAGGTCCGTAAGCGAGGCACAGGGCGTTGCTGAGCGTCGTAGCCAATTGTTGCGATTGTAAACTCATAGCCTGGTGTTTGCTTGAGATGTGAGTCAAGTCGATCACGCCATGGGGCGCGCTGGGCCTTCTCAGATGACACGCTCATTGTTGCGGCTCCTACTGAGATGGATGAGCTCAAAGAACGTGTGGAAAAGCCACTGTTTGCTCTGATTGAGGTGAGTCGCTGGAGCGCCACTTGTAGTGAGGTTTGGTTGACAGTAAAGGGAGCTGACATATATCACTACAAAGACGATGTCTTTAATACCTATTAACAAGAACAAATGGAGTAGAAATAGAGATAAGCGTAAAAAGAAGAATTGACATGGACCGCGGTTGGTGACATCAGTAGTGGCCCGTGCGCTTTTAGGGTCCTGCAATTGCCAAATCAGATCCTTACTAAGGAGTGTTTTTCTACAGCAATCGCAATGCATCAAATTCAAAGAACATGCATGCGGAAATGGCAGATTAGTTTGCGGCTGCTCGGAGTACCTAGTTCACCTATCAACCGGTTAATTTCCTCGACCTATTGTGATCCAACGAATAATGCAGCCAGACAGTACGCGACAGCACCAAATGCCCCCTGCAAGATTCCACCTAGTCAGCTGGAAGCAAAAAAACATCATTTAGGATGGGAGATAATTCAAGCCCAGGTTGAGCCATATTTCAACCACAATTGGAGGTTTGCGAGCGAGAGTAAGAGAAAGGGATTCCTTGCGCTTGGATTGTCACGCGCCTTCAGCAACTTTTTTCCATTGACACTCGATGACCGGATTGGAGTCACATGCAAGATGCTGTACTTGTCACTGCTGATCGATGGTAAGTGTTTATGTTGAGGGCGTCGGCATGGGCAATTATTGACGATTGAGATAGACCAACTGGAGAAAATGAGCTTTGCGCAAATGCTAGCTTATCGACACCGAGCCATGGAAATTGCTTTTGGAACAGTGAACCCAGATATGAGTGTCAGCCATGAATGGATGCTTTATGATACATTGCAAACCATGCGCATCAAAGATGAGGTTTTGGCAATGGATGTTACTCAAGGATTTTGTCAGCTGCTGAAGGCTATGACATCCCAGGAGCGAGGCTCAATATCAACTCTCGGTTCATATCTCGAATTCAGGGAGGTAGACGTTGGGAGAACGTAAGTGACTTTGTCTCACAATTGGACTTATTTGGACAACGAGAGAAAGCTAATCGCCAATTCAGATTCTACACTGCTCTCATGAGATTTGGCGCCAAGTTTCATCTCACTGAAGGCCAGTTGGTAAAAACACAAAGTTTGGAAAGTACCGCGTTTCGTCACGTCAGTGTCATAAATGATATATATAGCTGGGAGCGGGAATGGAAAGTATCACAAACCGACCAGACCGATGGAGCTCGACCATTCTCGGCTGTTTATATCCTCTCGACGGAGACAGGCCTGCCATTTTCAGCTTGCAAACGATTGCTATATAGCTACTGCCGGGAGTTGGAGCTTGTTTTCAAGCAGGCCGTGCATGAGATTCGACACGACAGCTCTAGTGACTTGACACCCGAATTTGAAAAGTACCTTCAGGGCTTGGAGTACTTCATGAGTGGCATTGAGACATGGAGTCAGTGGACTCCTCGATATCGCCAGTGATGTTACCCATTAGAACTATCTGAATCACACCCCACCTAGAACACCTGGCGACATTATTCAGTATCACCGTATCGTCATACCACAATGCCCTTTGTCCTGATAACTTTCAGCTTATTTGCGGAAGCTCGTACTCTTTAAACTCCATGGTGGTAGATGAGAATGGAGTTGTGTGAGGTTGATCAGTGTCATGAAATAATCGGAAATCCCAAAAGGAGTGGAGGAAATAGTAGATATGAGCCTCCAGAGAGACAAATAACAGTCAAACTTCAGTGCAGCGAACAAGAGTACGTGCCTGACTTGAACAGACAATGGCCAGACTAACGTACTAAAGAATAGTCGATAAAAAAAGAAAAATGGTATTTGAACAAAATACAAGACAGTAGCTCACAAATATATATAACAATCAAGAAGTTTCATCAGAGCTGGATGCAGCAGCAGCCTGAACCTCATTTTGCTTCCTGGTCTGCTTGATGCCAGACATTCCATAGACAGTAATGAAAGCCATACCCAAGAAAGCAGAAACACAAGAGAACACCATGGCAACAATACCCTTGGCAGTGAAACCAGCAGGCAACCAATTCACCTGCTTGTTTTGACCGGTGAGATCAAGATAATCAGTATTTCCCGCAGCATTACCCTCATATTTCACACCCGCAGCATCACAAACATCATAATGACTCTCTGGAATCGACAATCGCTCCTGGATTTGCTCAGGGGCTTCGATCAAGGTCAAGGCCAGACCTTGCGACAAATGCCAGTCAATATGACAATGGAAGAGCCAAACACCTGGGGTGTCGGCAACAAAGCGGACAACAAAGTAGCCCTGCGGCGGGAGGACCAGGGTATCTCGTCTGGCTGGGTACTCGGGGAAACTGGAATGGTTCGATGGGTCATATGTGACAGGGTCACCGTCGGCGTAGTCATAAAAGTGCTCTCCGTATGAGGGGAATCGTTCAATGACCTGGAACTGGTGACCATGGAGATGGAATGGGTGGGATCCTGTATCTCCGTTGTTGAGGACAATGTCTACAACCTGATTGTGACCGAGAACGAAGGGGTGTGTATATTCTCCGTAGACTTCGGCGTTTGTGGAGAGATTGCCGGACGAGAGTACAGAATAGAGAGTGGGGACCTTGGGCTTTGTGTAAGAGATGTTGTTAAAGAAAGCGTAACTGGCGCCGTTGCCAAGGTTGTCCATGATGACTGTGAGATCAATTGTCATATCGGCATCTGGTAGAAGGGGTTTCTTGTCGTATGGTACGAGAGTGAAATCGTCATATGGAGTGAGGTCTGAAGCGACATCCACTGTCATGATGGCTTGGGGATGGGATGCAGCGGCATTGTATTCTAGCCAGTTGGTGTTGTTAAGCTGAAGGTTTGCTGGAATTGTATCGAGAAGAACGGAATCGGCGACCGTCACGATAGGATAGTTCTTCTCTGTCGAGTTTTTCATCGTCACGAGAATTGAATAGCGCTGCGCAACGGCAATATAGAGGATGTCGGCCTCAGTAGGCTCCGTATACACCCCGTCAATCTCAACGATGCGGAATGTATGATCTTCAATATAGAAATATTGTGCGACGAAGGCTCCAATATTAATCAACCGGAATAGATAAGTTTTGCCTGCTTCCACGGGGATACTACTGTTCATGGTATCGTTGAAGAGGAAAGACTGGGGAATAGGTTCCGCACCAGTTGGATTGGCGAGGTTGATGAATGACGGCGCAATGTCCTCCATAAGTTCATGGTACCAATCACTCATAGTTAACGTGTACTCGTCATCGTACATGTCGTTAAAGTATGAGTTGCTATCATGCACAATCAAGGCCTGGCGGTATCCATCCGGGTAGCAATAATCGGTATGACAGTGGTACCAGTAGGTTCCATTTTGGTTCACGGTAAAATTGTACGTGAATGAAGCACCCGGTGGAATTGGGCATTGGGTCACCATTGACGGTCCGTCCATATCGTTCGTTCCATTTTGGTACATACCATGCCAGTGAATTGAGGTGGACTTGTCACCCAGAGCATTGTAGGTGTTGACAATGAGCTGATCACCCTTGTCAACCTCAATCACAGGCAATGGCCATTGCCCATTGATGCCGACCACCTTTCTTTCCGCCAGGCCATCGGGGTTTGCATTTACCCATGTGACATTGAAATCAAGGGTGACGGTTTTGGCCTGGCAAGATTGAACGAAAAAGCACAGAAATGCGAGTCGCAGAATCAGACTCGGCGTCAGATTCCTCATTTTGAAGAGTTCAGGTTCTGAGGAATGAACAATTGAACAAGCGACAAGGCGAGTGAGAAAAATTGCTTGCCATATGCTTGGCGGTTAGACTGCAAGAAGATTGATAATTTTTTTGAAAAAGAGAAAAAAAAAGACACCACGGTAACTCCCGAGTCTGACCACACACCGTGATAAGATTATCGATCTTACCATACGGTGGGTGGAGACAGGGAAGCGCCACGAAACTTTAGCCATGGGTTGGGCCTCTTATGAAAAAGTCCAGCTGTGTAAAGTGGAGTGACTTTCCGTTGGAATGCTGGACGGGAGAATACAGCAGCCTGGGGCGGCTAGCATAAGAGTGATATGCAGCCAACGGGTCTACAATAATTCCCAGCCTTCCTTTCAGGGCCTTCCGATGCGGAGCAAAAACATATGTTGTATGTGTTAGGGAAAATTTAGCCGAGAGGTGATCCCTAGTGCGAGTAAAAAATAAAAACACGAGGGATAATCTGATCCCACATGAGATGTTGATTGGATAATATCCAAATCAATTAAGCTTTGCTAAGACATGCGCTAAATGGTCATCCATGGATTACTTCGTATTATTTTAGCGCTAGTGATTGGCTCACCAGACAGACCCTTGTTTGTTAAAAATACAACGTTTTGCAAACCTGGTATTATTCACATTGTTTCAAATTGTCATCTTTAATAATTCCCATGCTATTCTAAAGTTGAAATTTTTTTCTCGAGGTCACTGTACTGCCCATATATTCTTATACAAATGTCCAATATTCTCCAAAAGACAGATCTTCCTTAAGTCGGCATCCACTGTAACAATCAAGCTTCCGCCGGCTTGACAACAGTAGAAACGCCAGCCCCAGCACTTTTCTCATTCGCTGTAACAGTGTGATCAATGGCCCCGCTAGCCTGAGCAGTGTCAGGCTCTTCAAGAGGGCGACGTAGGACAAATGCCCTAGTTCTCGCTTTGTAGTTTGCAACCTTGCGCATCACAGGATCGATGACTGGGAGAGCTCCACGGCGCTCGCGGTAGAACATCAACCCATAACCAACCATAACACAGATCCAGTATAGGTTGTAAGAGATCACAGAGCCATATGTGGCGGAGTTTGTCCATCCAAGCAAGGCATTGAAGATACCCCAGCCTCCACCGCCACCAATTTCAGGATTGCAGCAGTTAACATGCCATACGCTTTGCTCTATGTTGTAAGAACCCGCACCAGAACCAGTCTCGGAAGCATCGCCTCCGATCCTCTTGTTCCACGCATTGTTCTGAAAGTACCAAACGCCGCGCGAGAATAGACCACCCGCAACGAGGTACAGGAAGCATGTGGAAATAATCAGGAAAATTTGCATCGAAGTCTCTCGACCACCCCTTCAAAGAATGGTTAGACATTAAGCTCTTGTACTGAACAGGTCGAAGGGAAGGGGGAAGGGGGGGGGGGGAAACGTTACCGGTAAATCAGATATCCGACCAAAAATCCAGCTGCAAGACCACAGACCACAGCCAAAGGGAACGAGGTAGCAGGCAGGCCTAGTCCAACACCACCAACATAAACGACAGCTTCCAAGCCTTCGCGCAGCACTGTCACAAAAGGCAGGATGAACATGACGTATTTCTCAAGCCACCTCTTTACCCGGCCTTTGCGCGATTCATTGGGGTTATTTTGATGCGCAAGGGCCTTGGCCAACTTGAGACGCCACTTTTCTTGCAGTTTGGAAACACGCAGGAGAGCGGCGCCCATGATAGTGATTATCAACGAGGCAATAATACCAAGGACACCCTCCCAGATATCCTCCGTACTGGAGAAAGTATCAGTGCCGAGGCCATAGAAAGCACCGATCATGCCACCGCCGACTGCAAGACAGAGCACGAGTCCCGCTGCACACCCTGCCCAGACCTGTTGAATTGTTAGCAGGCAAATTGGCAACGGAACCAAGCATGTTGCATACTTGTCGCACAAGCCTTTTATGGGTAGCGCGATCCTCCTCTGCGCCTAGAGTCTGCTTCAAGAATGCGAGCAAAACAGACACGACGACTGTTGTCTCCAGACATTCTCGAAAACAGATAAAGAACACTGAAATTGTCGCATTGGTCTCAGAATTGATCCTTCAATGGAAGCAAAGGACAAACCCACCTGTAACAGCAAAGACCGGATTATTGCCCATATTGACGACCAGCACCTAGGTTACTGAACAAGTGAAGATAACTTCCGAAAAAGAAAAGTGAACAAAGTGGGAAAATCGATAAATGGAAATGCATTGTATTGAAAATTACTAGCGGTATCCACTGTCGCTATCTGATCAAACCATGTCCGGAAATTCGAACGCGAAAAAGTGCCGATTCCCCTCCGACACGGGATGCAAATTTTCCTTTTCCTTTCCTTTTCCTTTTGTGTGGAGATACGCTATGGATATCGCAGCTGAGCAATATAAAGTAAAATAACGATGATCACCCAGCGTATCGGATTAATCGTGGGATAACAGGGAGTGTGCCCAATTGCCGAACATGGACTGGACTGTGCAGGAAACACAAGCGTGCGGTGCGCTTTTAGCGCCTTGAAAATCCTTCCCCGCTGGAACTGGCCATTGATGATCTTATAGGCTCCCACGTGTTAAGAGTGGACTGATGTTGGATCCTCATTTTCCTTTTTGCACTGCCTCCAGGAGCTTTCTTTTTGGAAATCAATAGAGACTTGCAGGAAGTAAATTTCAAGTAAGTAAAAGCAGTCAAAATATTATCTGATTGATAATCTTCACGGGATTATGGGACCAATTAAGGCTAATGAACCTAATTAGGAAGCTTAGATTAATAACTCAATATGGAAGGTGGCAATTGGTTACTTCTTCTAAACAACATTGACCTGAGACACTGTAAGACAGTGACTCAGAGTTTTGGTCTCCATGACCAAAATATTAAAAATTATATACATACTGAAAGGGCACTTATTCTCCAGATTCTTCCGACTTCATCTTTTCAGACTGACTTTCGGCTCGATAGCCCTTGAAAGTATAGATAGCGCTGAGGAACATTCCCAGCCCACCAAGCCCAATGGCCATATATAAGGCACCCCTGTATCCTTTCAAAATATCGTCTGGCGTAGTGCCGCCATTGTTGACATGAACCTCCACCGTTCCGGCAAATCCCAAGCTCAGCGAGATGCTGTAGTTGACGATGGTAGTCACCAGTGATGCACCGACACCTTGATGTTTCCGCTCAACCGCATTTGAAAGCCTCAGAGTAGCCGCCGGGAACGACATATCCATACCCCAAGGGATCACCAGCAAGCAAACGAATGTGAGCGCCCAGTAAGTCTGCTGCACAGGTGCGATGGCCATCAAGACATTGCCTAGCGTGAACGCACTCATCGACAGTACCATGATCCATCCAGGACGCATGTGACTCATCAGCCATCCAGTAACAACACATGCGATGATTCCCATCGGCCCAACAGGGACGAACTCGGCAGATGCTAGGAGAGGTGTCGCCTGTCGAAATTTCTCCTCAAATCGCCAGAAGTAGTATATCCAGATTCCAAATGAGCCCCAACCACAGGCAACACAGCCAAGGACAAAGGAAACGTCGCGACTGAAGGCGTGGAATGGGATGAGAGGGTGCTCGGCGACACGGAATTCAACGTAAAAGAACGCAGCAATCAGCAAAACACCGATGATCAGAATTACATAAACGTATGGCTCACTCCACCCCACGATGGGTGCTTGGTTCCATGCTACGTTCACGAGAACCAGCCCACCAATCCCGCAAAATCCACCAAGCGCATCGAGTGCTTTGAGCAGACCCAAGAAAGTCTTCTCAGAGTGAGTATTATGATGGATGGATGGAATGACAGCAAGACCTAGTGCAGCGCAACCAAGAGAGATCAGAGCTTGTGACCAGTATGTCCAGGGCCACCAAGCTAACTGGGAGAAGAGTGCGCCAAAGACGGTCCCTAAAAGGGCGCTATTGGGTGCGGCGGCACCAAAGATGGCGAAGATCATATTCTTTCGCTTGCCGGGATGGTAGGTTGCTCCGAGTAGCGCGAGTGCGTTTGGTAGCAGCATCGCACCACCGATGCCCTGAAGAACTCGCGCAAAAATGAACAAAATATGATTTGAGTAGACACTGAGCCCGGCAACCAGAGACCAGAGCGAGAGCCAACAGAATCCGGAGATGAACATCAGTCGATATCCGAAAAGATCACCGCATCGTCCAGACACCAAGATAAATGTGCCCACGGTAAGAGAGTATCCGGCCATAAACCAGCTGAGAACACCTGGATCGTTGATTCCAAAACTATCGCCAACAATATCTAGTGGCGAAAGGCATACTCCAATATTGGTTTGAGTCATGAATTGACCCATGCAGACAACGGCAACGAAAAGGACCTCTTGAACAGTTGAAAAGGTCGAAGCAAGTGATTGCGCCGACTCAACCGGCTTCAGATTATTGCTTTCTTCCATGCTGAATTAACTGATCCCCTTCCTCCCCAAGTCTTCAGAAAAGGAGTGAATTATGAGGAGGAGAAATTTTGAAATATCGGTAGTTCTTCAACTCATGGCCCGCTAGGGCCAAGAAGGTTGTGATTCTCAGTGGCGGAAGATGAAAAATACCTGGCAGCTAATTGTTTGTTTGGCCCGTAAAAAAACAGATTGAGGACCGTTTTGTGGGCCTCATTGTCGGTTTGGTCCACCGAGTCAGCATCCTTGGTCGGCCTCGGAGTGTGAACAAGACTTGAATGCTGGTCTGTGAGATGTCATTTTGGCAATTATTGTACTTCAGACTATACATAGAAGGTCAGTTATTCCAAGAATAACTTTCTTTGCAAATGAAAAACGTTCCAGAGCAAAGTATCATTGTCTCAATAATGTACCTGGAATCTTTCTAAAAGTCTTTATCCGAAACTTCGGATATCCGGATATACGCTCCTAGCACCAAAATGAGATATCCGCCAATTTCTGTTTCTGTCCACAATGTAGTGCTTGATCTACAATAGAGAAGTAGAATGATGTACAAGATAGTGAACTGTTTATTTGGTTCGAAAAAATGGTCTGTACGAGCAAAGATTTATATTTTTGAAGTCGAACAGCCAATCTTCAAAATAGTGAGAAATCTTGGATACTTTGATCTCAAATGGTCTTCCTACAGGTCTGGATTCATCAAAAAGGATAGAAAACCTTGAACCGAGAAGAAGGAGGCTGCTACGTGGCGCCAAAGAAAAAAAACACACCCCTGTCTACTCCATCGTGGGAGTATCGATTCAAAATTTAAACGTATCACAATCCCGAATGGCCGCCTTATTGACGACTCAGAATACTGACCATGACCTCGCGAAGCTTCGAAGCACACTGAATCTCATCACGGAGTACTACCTCGCATCTCCAAGCGACAAAGCGATCAGGTCGTACAAGAACACATCCAGTTTCATCTACGCCCCGAACGCGGGCCCAGTCAAAGTAGACGTCTTCATAGTCCTGTCGGAATCCAATAGAGTAGGCCTTGATATCCATGCCCAGACCAGAGCTGACTTTGGTGGCTGCCGATTTCCAAGCTTCACCACCAATACCCGTCAGAATGGTGAACGTTCCATGTCCAGCCAGATCAATGCTTGAGATACGCTCCACTGGGACAGCATCATTGAGCCAGACATGAGGTAGGCGGCATCCGGGATATGTACTCCGTGTCAAATAGAGATCGGCATCTTGGGCGACAACTTCGGGGCTGTAAAATGGTTCCTTTTCATCTGCGGTGTATATTGCGGAACTTTGATAATACTGGCCCATCTCTGTACCAAGAGCGTGATACTCGTGCTCTGTCTCTTCGATGGCAGCTTGTAGTCTGCTGCGACGAGCACGACCTTTCTCAGTTGGTAGAGTCAACTCGTGCAGAGCTTCCATTCTCAGTTCTGGGGTCGAAAGTAATACTCCCAGTGCTTCCCATACGGGGCCATGGTGACGGAACGAGGAGTTTGCGCGCGTGACAACACCACGACCGACGGGTTGACGTTCGTCTGTGTAAGTTTCCAGAATAGAAGACGACGCATATCCTAGATAGTGGATTAGCTGTGCTTTGTCCAGTATCAAATAGCTTCACTCACCTTTCAGGACATGGGCAACCTTCCATGCCAGGTTATAGGCATCCTGGATGCATGTGTTGGAGCCAAGACCGTTAGATGGTGGATGTCGGTGAACAGCATCTCCCAGACAAAATCTAGAACAGGGTGAGCTTGGTACACAAAGACGAGAATCATGTCTTACACTCTGCCCTTGGAGAACTTCTTCGCAACCACATCATTGATTCGCCATTTCGACACTCCCAGAATCTCAGTAGAGATCGAATCGTCTCCAATAAATTCTTTCATCCGTTGCTCCCACTGCTCATTGGAAGGATTGGTTTCCAACTCTTTCCCTCGTTCAGGAAGGACAATAAAAAGCCACTCGTCCCAAGGCCTAACCATTCTTGCTATACATGCCCAACCAAAGAGGGGGTGCTCCTTGTCTGGCTGTAGCAACCAGTGAAGATTACCGGTACGATATCGCATGTAACTGGATAGGTCTGCCTTGAGGTGCACGTTGTAAGCGACACCTTGGTCAGGCCGGACATCTAATGGAAGCTCTAATTGACGGAAGACTTCACTGCGAGCACCATCTGCACCAAACAAATACTTCGAGCGGATCTGATATAAAGCACCCGAAATGTTGTCTTTTAATGTTGATAGAACGCCTTCCTCATCTTGCGTGAAGCTAACAAAGGTGGTATCGAAGCGGCAATTGAAGCCGTTGAGTGTTGCGTTACGCACAAGGATCGGCTCGAGGAGAGTTTGAGGGAGGTCCACAGGATCGCAGGGGCTGGCGGTTTCGTAGTCTCCCTATTGATCCGCGTCAGATCTTGCTGCACCATTCTTTAGATTCAAATTTGTTACCTTTCTCTTTGGATCATGTCCCCATGAATGAATTCTTGCATATTCCTCTCCTGCCATACTATACGCCCACCGAGTATGCATCATGTTCATGCCATTGGTGGCAAGACGGTTGCATTCCACATCCAGACCCAAGTCGCGGAGACACTCTTTGGTTCAAACTGTTAGAGTGCAATTTGGCAATGATCATAAACAATAGAACTAACCCATAGCAGCCATATTTGTGATGTGAGCTCTCGGGGTATCTGCATTAGTTGGTGATGCGCTGATCATAACTCCACGAATTCCTTTGATCTTGTCAGCACCCTTTCCCAAGGACCTCTCAGATCGAGCATACCATAGTTGGCAAGAAAAGCTGCTAAAGCTGCACCGGCTGGTCCAGTGCCAACAATAAGTACGTCAATTGAAGTGACGGGCACCGTATGACCGCTATCACTGTTGGCCAAATGATATATCGCCATTGTCAAAATGAAATATTGGGAACTAAACAAGAGTTGGTTATTATCTGGAAATAACACAGAGTAAATGCCATACGCTTTCCAAATTAAATTGAACGCGACCGAGACTCGGAGCTTTTACTATGTGGGTAGGAAGGGGCCCACTGGTTTTATGTTTGTTACGAAGTTAATTAGGTTTCAAAACAAAGCACTGACGGCTCAGAAGACTCAAGGTGCAGGGGCCTCAATCTCCATAAAATATTGGAGTTGCAGAATTTTTACTATTCAATTTGAGTCGGATCTTTGAATTGATTAACCCGTGTGCCAACGTGTCCGATATCCTAAAAGCGCATTTCTTCGGGTGATTAGGATCGCCACTGGCGGCGAAGCTTAGATCGTCCATCTTATCAGATGAAGCCAGCGGGTACTCACTTCGGTTAAGCAATATTAAATTGATTTAATCACGCATGTAGCCTACCCTACGTATGCCTTCCTGCCCCTCCAAGGTTTCCACCTCCGCTCCGCTGACTCACCCTTCATGATATTCATCAGCTTCCACGATCTACACACACTATACTCTCAATTATCGCACCACTAACCCATTATCCCCACCTTTATGATGTCGTTGTCGGCAAACTGATCTAAAATTTGGTAACTCTATCCTGTAGCTTGACGTGTATCCTTGTGTAACAGATGGTCTATGAACGATGGGTGTACTTTAAAAATGCTTATATTCAAATATTCCACCCCAGACCCTAACTCTAAATAGGCCATTGAAAACCAGCCTATCTTCCTCTCAACTTAACATTCTCATTTCGAAAGCAATGTTTGATTCCAAAATTGGCCTTATCATCGCCCAGCGTACCCACTCCGAGAAGGTGTGTACAATGTATCTCGATAATGAAGACAATGCTCACATGCTGACGATCTAAAGCCTTCTTCAGCTACGTCGCCGCCATCTAGCCCGATAGACACCAAGGACACCGAGTCCCACAAATTTCCATCGACTGAAAGGCTTCCGGAGCGACCACATGCAGTTTCCGCATTGAAAATGCCCCAGGTCATCTTCCCAGACATATTCAAAGCGGGTGGTATTACGGGGTTGAGACAGCATGACTAGAGACAAGCAAGCATTGGAATACGGGAATGTCCATGCTATGAATTATGACAGAGAGATATCCATGTATATAGTGCGAACAGAAAGCTTTAGGCTTAAGAAATTAATCGAAGTTAAAGTGATAGAAGTTGAAGTGATTGAACAAGAAAATGCTAAGCAATAGTGGCACTCTAGTAGTATCTTGTACCCCCGCATCGTTCAGTCTCCCAAAACCCACCAAAACCCTTTTTTCGAGAAGCCGTCGGATTATTCCGATGTATCATTATATAAGATTGATCTGTCCCGTGTATTGCAAAGAAATTATGCCTAGGAAGTGATCAGCGTGAAGACATTGTCTAGTGACGTAGGTATATGTTTGACCTTTGACTAAAATTGCACATCTTCTCACAGGGGAGACTGCAGTTTGCCGAATCTCACTTTGTACAATGTGATAGGTTCATTGAGAAAGGCGCGTCGGAATACTATATAATTGGGCCGCCAATCGCGATATTCATGGGTTCAGGCCTCCAAACAAGCTTTGAAAAAACCTTGAGGGGAATTGAATTCTCAGGTACCCATATCCACAAGCTGACGCCACTCGGGAGAGTTATCTCCAGTACAATATCGAATGCAGCAATGATGGACCTAAGAAATACGCCTCGGAGAACAAGGAAGAACCTTATTCTCCACGACGGGATATTTATCTTATCTGATCAAAGGGAAAAACCCTGTAATATTGTAACCAGAACATCCTGCGAAATTTTGCCATTTATGTAAGTAAAATAGGTCAGAATAATTGCAAGTCAATATCCACTTGTCTCCTTAAGGGTTTCTTGGCAATGCACAGCCTATTGTCGCGGGTATATCACTGACAGCTAAAAATAATGGACTTCGTCCCTATTCTAGAACCCGGTGAACACGGAGTCCGACTTTCCCTGCATGTTAGCTTATACTCTAGGCATGCCGAGTGTAGAGAGATACGGGATCTCCGGCAATTTTCCCATCCCGACAAAGATCGGCATGCCATTATTAAGCGTAACGGTGTTTTAAATTAATTTTTGTTCCTGACTAAAGATGTGTAAGATGTATTTGCGGATCATCGTGGTGAGATATAAGACTGCTAAGATGTGCCAATGTTACTCTTTAGATCCACTTCCAAAGGGTCTTCTATCCCATTTGGTTAATTCACCCCGTTTGGGTCCTTGGCTGTTCTATCCGATGTCGGTACAATCCGGATGTCCGTAGTTAATTCGTTTATGATTGTCGTCTTTTAATTTAAAGTGGATTAGAAATAAACTCACGGTATACTTTGAGGTGCTATTATTCCATTACTGTCTATCACGTATACTACCTTTTGGGAATAGTCAGGTCTGACAAACTGTTTCGTCAGGCTCCCTGAAACGAAAAGGAAGGTGGATCATGATGCTTGGAAATCTCAGACTATGTGACCCAAACGAAAAGTATAAAGCATTCTGTGTAGCGTTGCGAAAATCCCCTCGACCTCAGTAATATATCCATCGGGTTGCCCAAGTTTTGGAGCCTCCTCATAAAAACGAAATTATATTCACCATGCGCAACCTCATCGGACTTGCTCTGCTTCCCCTAGCAGCTGCAGTCCCTCATGCTCGCCGCTCGGACTCAAACTATGACTACATCATTGTTGGCGGTGGTACCAGTGGTTTGGTCGTCGCCAACCGACTATCCGAGCAAGAGAACATCAATGTTCTTGTCATCGAAGCCGGCGGTTCTGTATACAATAACCCGAATGTGACTGACACTCTGGGATATGGCAAGGCCTTTGGCACCGAAATTGACTGGGCCTACAAGACAACGGACCAAAAATATGGTGGTGGATACGCGCAAACGGTGCGTGCTGGAAAGGCACTCGGAGGAACATCCACCATCAACGGCATGGTGTACCTCCGTGCCCAGACTGCCCAGATCGACGCTTGGGAGACTGTCGGCAACAAGGGCTGGAACTGGAAGAACTTGTTCCCTTATTTCAAGAAGGGCGAGCAATTCCAAGATCCCGACCAGTACTCTTTCCTGGATGGATCCGGTGTCACCTATGATCCCGCCTACCACGGCTTCACTGGCCCCTTGAAGGTTGGCTGGTCTTCAACACAGTTGAATGATGGTCTTGCTCAGAAGATGAATGCTACATACCAGAACCTCGATGTTCCAGTTCAGTTTAACGAGGACCCCAACGGTGGAAATATGATCGGATACAGTCTTTACCCCAAGACGGTCGACTCGGTGTTGAACATTCGTGAGGATGCTGCTCGCGCCTATTATTATCCTTACCAGAACCGGACCAACCTCCATGTCTGGCTCAACACCCACGCCAACAAGCTGACTTGGAAGGATGGTGAAAATGTCACTGCTGATGGCGTCGAGGTCACCCTCTCCAATGGTACTACCACCGTCGTGAAGGCTTCTCGTGAAGTGATCCTCGCCGCTGGCGCACTGAAGTCACCCGTTCTCCTTGAACTTTCCGGGGTTGGAAACCCAGAGTAAGTAAACTTTGAAGTTTATCAACGGATACAACCAGCCTAATGATTATTTTCCAATCAGCATTCTCTCCAAGTACGGAATCGACACCAAGCTCAATATCCCAACCGTGGGCGAGAACCTCCAGGACCAAATGAACAACGGACTCCAGTTTGACTCAAAGACAAGCTACAACATGAGCGCCGACTACGTCTCATATCCTTCAGCGGCCCAGCTCTTCCCTAACCACACTGCTGTCGGAAAGGCTCTCCTCCACAAGCTCCCCGCCTACGCAGCCCAGGTCGCCTCTGCCAACGGTAACATCACCAAGGCGCGTGACATACAACGGTTCTTCAAGATCCAGTGGGATCTCATTTTCAAGGCTGGAATCCCTGTTGCCGAGGTTTTGCTCGAGCCCTCTGGAAACACCTATGACATCGAGTACTGGGGCTCTGTTCCTTTCTCTCGCGGAAACGTTCATCTATCCTCTGCCGATCCCACGGATGCGGCGATCATTGACCCCAAGTACTTCATGCTGGACTTTGACCTCCACGCCCAGGTCCAGGCTGCACGCTTCATTCGTCAGATCTTCAAGACCGAGCCTTTTGCTGATATGGCTGGTGCTGAGACTAGCCCTGGCTTGTCTACTATTGCTGCTACTGCTGGTGATGAAGGATGGTCTGACTTCATCAAGAACAACTGTAAGTTTCTTGCCTCTTTGTCTTTTGGTTGAAATGACTTCCCTTGAAAAGATCCGAATGTTAATATTTAACCAGACCGTTCCAACTTCCACCCCATCAGCACAACTGCTATGATGCCCAAGGAAGTCGGTGGCGTCGTCGACACCTCCCTCAAGGTTTACGGAACCACGAACGTCCGTGTTGTCGATGCTTCCATTATCCCCTTCCAGGTCTGCGGTCACCTCCAGAGCACGATCTACGCGGTCGCTGAGCGTGCGGCCGACATTATCAAGGGTCAGCTGTAATGTGACAAAAGCTATAACAGAGAATACCTAGGTAGCACGTGCTCATTTATGTAAAAACTATCACTTCAGGCTTTTCTCCTGTAGGTACTAAATCCATTATCTGAGGTTTTACATAGATTTTAGTCAACTTGAGGGCTTTTAATTTATTTCATGAGCATCAATGAATTATAGAAAGGGAATATGCAAATTATGCTGGTCGGCACTCGGTACCTGGGGAGTAAGGAACGTTTACTAAGAAAGGCGGGATGACCATTCCATTATACGAGATATATTGTGTGGTAGATTCAATCAATGTGGCGACAATCCATGGATGAGGCAAAAAGCTCTTAATGATCACGAGCACCCAGTACCAACCAGACCACATGATATCATGAGTTTTTTAGTAGGTCAACTTTATATATAGTGCTTCCGTCAACGAGAGGCCAGTCCTCCCAAAGACATCACGGAATATTCACGAACCACTCGGGTCAATTTATTCGGGTAATTTGAACTCCACAATGTCAGACTTCTTCCGCAGAGCATCCGATGCGCTCAATCACCGCGAGCGTCAAGACTCGACGGCCTCGACGAGCTCGACGGATGCACCGACCTCCCCCAACGCAGCAAAGCCTCCCAGCCAAGAGCCGATGAAAAAGTCTGAGTCTGCTCCGGCTGGCTCCCAGACCAAAGACAGCCTTTTTGGCACAGCAACTAGTATGATCGTACCGTTCCTATCATGGAACATCCGAATCGGATATACACTAACAAGACTGTATAGATGATCTTGACCAGCTGAAGCATCGCCGCCATTGGAGCTGGGGAAAACAACAGGAAAAAGGCGCCGAAACAAAACAGCAGCCTAGCCAAGGGTTGAGAGATAATGACTGGATTTTTGGATCGTAGGAAAATGCTCATACTGAGCGGACTGACCGGGGAGATGATGGGTATGAATTTGACTTTGCTTTCTTTTTGGCACAAACAAGTTTTGATCTTAGTACTCTAGTGAAAATTGTAATTTACTAAGGGATTGAACATACTCAATGTAGAGGAAAGTCGTAAAAAAGTAATCCAATAGGCTAGAGGTGAAATATCAGTGAACCTGGCTGTCACGTTAGTGCTTCCTCCATACGAACTTTATACAACTTCTATCTCTCGTTTTAGCAGCCTTTCCTTTTTGGAACTTTTCTACCATCTCTTGGAGTATAGCAGCTTGCTATCCCCCAAGGATGTTACACTAGAATATTTTGAATCACTAAGGACGAAATGTGAAATGTTGTGGGACAAATGAGCCGCGGGACGAGGTCATCGGAAGTGGCATGGAAGTCTTGTGGACCGGCTTAACGTACCCTCTCCTCAGGGTAAGAAGACATCTCCTCAAGAAACGCCGCTCCGAACAAAGACCACGCGAAGCATACGACCAGGCCTCCTCATCAGGGCTCGCTGCTGTCTCAACAACCAAGTCTCGTTGAGTGCCTATTTTGTGGGCGATAGTCAAAGTTGATAACATTTACTCAAAAAGGCGGGTGGGAATACAACCTCTGCGGACCGACTGTACGTAAGAATGACTCGACGATCGCCCAGTCGCATCAATTTTTCGTATGCTCATTAAACACTGCCCAGTGATCCATTACCAAGTAAATGTTTCTTCAATGAGACTCGTCCCACCCCGTGCCCAATTATACCTTATTTTTATCTCTCTCCCCTGTCCATACTGAGGAGTAAAAGAGCTGAGCCGAGCATCTTCACCTATGTCCGAGCACGTATAACGAACGCCAGGTTGGATACCAGCTGCTGCTTCCTCAATTGCAGCAATTCGTCTCGTCACACGCCCAGCAAGTTCCGAATCCCACAACCCTTCGCGACGCTGACAAGTGGAAAGTATATCGATGGCTCGATGCCTGATAGAGGAATCCCGACATCGGGTCGCACATAGGAACAACGGTGTGACGATCCCAAGGGATATCGAGAATGTCGACACCAGTGTCTTAGACGGCCTAGGACGAAGAGTCGGCAGAGATGACCCCGCCTTGTCCATCAACGGGGGAGTTGGATCTCGTGAAAGGGAGCCGGAATCCGTTTTAGGAGATGGTGGAAGACCAAGAAAATCCGAAACAAAAGAGATCATCAGTGCGAAATCGTCCAGGTGCTGGTCCCACGAGAGTTCGGAATGCGGCAACTCTAGCCGTAGCGTGATAGAGATGAGCACCTTCCAAATTTTGAGGATGAGAACGCTATGTGGCTGTTCGCTATGTTCTGCGCCTCCGGCATCAAGCCAGGATTCAAAAACGAGGATCCATGCTTCTAGATCAGCGCGCACTTGAAAATGTTTTTCTTGGAGATGCTGGATGTGAGCGATAAATTCAAATTCCTGGCCATCGAGCTGTTCCCTGAGCGCTTCGCATGTATTTTCAAAGCGAGTGAATTTGTTGTAGAGGAGTTCAAGCCAAGTTTCCATTTCCTCAATATTTGACGGCGGATGAAAGGGGCTGAAGGCCGGAGTATGAAATGACGAAAAGAACACCGGTCGCAACTCATCAGCGAAGGAGACTTCTCCTTCTATTTCCAGGATTTGACTCTCTAACATGGCAAAGAGCAGTGCCACGGTCTCTCGAGGCATGTATCTCGGGAAATTTTGACCAGTTGCCAGCATTTGCTGCTGCTTGATGATTCTCAAACCCGAAGTTCCATGCTGCACGGCAGATCTGTAGTGTCCCTGAAGACACTCGAAGCAATAAAATAGAATGCAAGCAATTAAAAAAGTGTCGTTTGCCTGAGGGGAATGCTGAGAATCGATTGCTACCAACTTTCGAATCGCTTTATTATAATGTTGCAGAGTAAATCGTGTTTGCTCGCGGGTTGTCAACAACCCTTTATCGTTGTGCACGAAAGAGCGATGCAGAGAGCCAATTGCCACGGCTATAGTTCGGATAATCGGTTCATGGTATGCTGCTTGTAAAAGATATAGCCCGATATCTCTTCCGAAGCAAAGTGTGGTATGAAGCTGGAAGAATTCCAGCGATCGATATTCCGGCTCTTGTATAAATTGGTCTGACTGCGGCATCTTCCACATTTGCATTGGCTGTGAAATACCAGGGAGGTGATGAACCATCTGTAAATCTTGCGAGTCGGATTTCACAGGATCGACATAGTCGCATTTTCGACCGGTGGAGTGGCATTTCTGACAGGTAGGTTTTGCCTCGTCGCATTTGACTCTGCGGATTCTATAGAGCTAGCTGATCAGTTATCCGAAATGGCTCAGACCCAGGGAACAACACTGGAACACTGAAGAAGGTGACGTACCTGCAGGTCAAGCACCCGCTCCGGGATCGTCCTCGTGAGATACGGCGGTTGGGGCCGATCATGCCGAGAGAAATCAGGATTTTGCTTTTTGACAAAAGAGCTCGTTCCCAGCTTGGTGGAGTCGAGGCTCAAGGTGAGAAAAATAGAGTCACACGGCCCAGTAAGCTGTTGCCTCAGCTGCTGGCACTAATCCATTTCTGATTAGCGTATACGAGGGGACTTCTTTGACTGGTGATAGATGATTTTGTCTTCATCAACAAGCCGGATTCAATTTTGTTTCTTTTTTTAACTTCATCAGCTTTAATTTCCTTGGTGGAGTTGGCGCTGTTTTGCCGCTTTGCGTATGATTTATTTGGGATAGTATATACGAATGAACCAGTTGACAACAGTTCCGTTCTTGGCCCCCACGACCGAAACTGAAGGACAAAGAATGTGGGTAGGTGTCAAGGTGGAAATCGTGATGTGATACACCTTATCATAAGTACGGAGTAAGGAGGTATGTATTGGTAGCCTAGCGGTGAAATCTGATTCATCTGCCCACAGCGGAGAACTTGCTTAAGAAGAAATATAAAAAAATCGAGAGTCCCCCAAATTCTTGTGCAATAGTCTCAAGAATCTTGAAACCTTCGAAAATGTTGCCCAGATCTTGTCTTATCGCCCTTGGGCTTGCGCCCGTGTATTTAGCCTCGCCCCTACAGGTTCCTTCGCATATCGATTTAGTCCAACGTGCGACCTCAGGATTCAAAGCCAAACCTGGCACGGAAACTATATTCCCATCAGATGTGAGTCAATCCTCACCGTCAAAGCCGATTGTACTCATCCGAAGTTAGAACTTTTGGTTCGGTTCTTTCAATGTTGGAAAATCCAAGAACCTCACGTTGTTGATTGATACGGGCTCTGCCGATTTGATTATCAATTCCGGTCTTTACAAGCCAGGACCTCAATCCGTCAACACCAACAACACCTTTAGCAATACCTACGGCTCGACTAATAGTGATGGATCCGGAAGTGGAACGGCAAGCGCAATCAATTAACAAAAGCTGAGATGGAACAAGCCCAGCTAAAGAAATCTTAACAGGTCACGGGCGGCATATACAATGACACTGTCAAGTTTGGCTTGTTGAGTGCACACCAAACAATTGGTTCAGCTAATCCACAAGCGGACGGGTCAGACCTGATCCCTGGTGATGGAATCATTGGATTCGGAGATAACTCCCTGGCTAGCCTTGACGGTGCTTCGCCCTTTTTCCATTCTCTGTGCGCCCAGCACAAAGTATCAGAGTGTCGATTTGGCCTTGTACTGGGATGCGATAGAGGCACTCAAGTATTAGGAAGACTTGACAAATCGCTCTTTGAAGGAGAGCTCACCACGACATCTATTGTACAGGAGTGGATCATCTTTGCCGATTTGGCTTTCAACGGAAATGTGTTCAGAAAAGATGTGCTAGTTGAACTAGATTCTGGAACTGGAACTATTATTGCGTGAGTCTGTCAGAATTCCACAAACCAGATATGCACTATAAACTAACACTACATCAGACCTGTTGCCGAAGTTGTCGCTGTATTTGAGGAGATGAAGATGCAATATGTTGTGCAGAAATCTGGAGATGTCACCAGTGTCAAAGGTTACTTCCCATGCGACCAACCGCCATCCTTGGGGTTCAGCATTCCGTCTCAGTCGAACGTAACTGCTGCTGCAAAGGAGCACTCGAATTTGATCAGCCACAAGTCTTCAACTTTCAATATTCCACATGACCAATGGATTGCTGCAGACAATGGAAACAACAATTGCACTGCCGTCTTGTCTGGAACAAGCGAGATCAAATATCCTGGCCTGTGGGTGGTTGGCCAACGTGAGTTATCTCCTTCGGAACCTCTTTGGCTGTGCTGTGGCTAACAATTTCTAGCATTCTTCCATGATATCTACATCGATCACAACATCGCCAATCAAACTGTTGGATTTGCAAAAGCTCGGTCTTGATAAATATTAGCTAAAGATTGTAAATATAGCCAATTACGCTAGATCCGTGCAGTACAAGGAAGGGTCACTGTATTAATATACCTAAGTGCATGCTATTTGTCGCTCATCATTTACCAATGCATGTTTACCACACATATCGGAACTCTCTATCTTGCTTGTCCGTTAGATCAGTTTGTGGTAATCCATTCTCATCCAGCTCCACATGCTGGTCCACGCCAATTGAACCCGAGTTTGCTGCCTGCTCATCACGCTGTTTGTTATCCCACATGCATAAGAGACGGAACAGAATCACGACAACGAAAAGAAGACACCATGTCACAATAGATGTGATCACACCTTCTGTATAGCGAGGACTATGAGTCCACAGCTGAGGTGAGGCAATACAGGCAGCACAGTAGCCAATGAAAAACATGCCGTTGACTACAGCACGCTTGGTGTTTCCTTTAAAGTTCGATGCTGCTAGCGAAAGGAGGATTGTCATCGTTGCGGTGATACAAGAAGCCTATCAATTTTTGTTAGCAAAAATAAAAAATCAAGGTACAGCGGACAGAAACACACTAGCCACGACGCAACAATAAGCCCCCATTGAGCAGTCACATCCAACTTCATCAGAAAAACGGTTCCAATCAGAGGCGGAATAATTAGAGCCAGAACAATCAGAATCCGCTGATTTGGGAAGATATATACGAGACCTGCTCCGATCCATAGCAATGCAATTTGCACAGCCCCCGATGGAGCCGTGTACAGCATCGTCTCGAGCTTAGTATACCCGATCGATTTGATAACAAGGGAAGCAAAAGTCAAAACAGGTGACTGCATGCAGACTAAAACACCAAACCAAAAGACAACCCACGCTTTGGGGTCCATGAGTGCCTCTTTGAGTTGGGAAATGGAGAAAGAAGTCTTATCACCGCCATCGCGGTCCTGAGCCATGCGTAATGATAGAACCTCTCTCTCGCGAGCGTTGAGAAACCATGCATCCTTCGGCCCATTAGGCATGAGAACGAAGAATCCCACGCCCGCAGCGACGGTTATAGCACCACAAATGATGAACAACACACGCCAGGGGGCGATGGAAAGTGATGTATTCTTGCCAATGCCATACATCAAGAAACAACCGATGACCTGGGCTAGGCCGTTCATGGAAATCCACAACGCAGTGCGGACATTGTGCTCTTTCTTTCGATACCATATGCTTGTTATTGTCACGAAGGCTGGTGAGACGGCCCCTTCACTGAATCCGAGAAGGAATCGCACCGCAGCGAACCCGGCAAAGTTCTGTGGTGCTGCTAAACACATACAAATGATGCCCCAAACAATTCTATATTGGGAATGTTAGCATGAAGCGAACGAGACAGATCTTGTGGGGGAGAAAAACTTACACAGTCGCACCGACAAACTTTGTCAGTGGAAGTCGACTCATCAGATAGATGAAGGGGTATTCGGAAACAAGTTGGCCAACGTAGAAGATCGAGCTTGACCATGAGTACTGCGAACTGGTCATGTTCAGATCTTCAATTAGACCGAAGACACCAGCGTAGCTTAGACTTTGCTTGTCGAGATATTGTAGGAAGAAGACAAAGCACATCTGGTGGCCAACATCATCAGCTATTATTGAATTGTAAGAAAGACATGATGTGAGCTACTCACAAAAGGCAAGATGACCATATCAATTTTGCGTAACACCGCTTTTTCTTCCTCTGCAGTGTAACTGCCTCTAACTTCTAGCATCTCGCCGCTCAGTGTATCGGCATTGTCGCTACTTGCGACATTTTCCTTTAAGATATCCATAAATAAAGGTGGCTGTGATCCTCACCCCTTGATATCTCAATTTTGAGACTAGTCGAGATCTTCGATCGATCTTAGACCGACTCTTCACAAGATGATAAACAGCAATTGATGCAATGCAAAGTGTAGTTCATAGGAAGAAGAAGTACGAAACAACACCATTGACCCCGGATTTCCCGTCAAATATAAAAAGAGGATCCTTATCTCCAACTAATCCGGAAAAGATCACCATGCGGAGTCGACGTCGGACCGATGATGTCGGCAATCTGTCGTCCAACTTGCCGACAATTTCGAGATACGATAATCCCCGCATATTGCTTCTTTTTGGGCATACTTAAACAGCCCAGGTGGTGTATCTTGGCTGATCAACATTGCTTCCCTCATTTTTCTCTATCTCATTACTTCACGATGTCAAACCTTCCCGGTTCGGATATCAAGCCATGGACCCGCCCCGCACCGAAGGGATACAAGTTCATTAAAGCGAACATTGTCGATGTCACATCTGGCACAATTAAAGAAAATTCGACTTTGCTTATTGTGGAAGGCAAAATCGCCTATGTCGGCCCAGAATCATCAGCACCAGCTTCACCAACAGGACTAGAAACCGTGGACTGCCAAGGCAAATACCTGAGTCCGGGCCTGTTCGACGCCCACGTCCATTTATGTGCAGTCCCAGGCTTTAGCGACTTATCTAAAGCTTTTGGAAATCCAAACGATGTGCATCTCTTGCGCCAACCCTATACCGCTTCACAGATGTTACACCGTGGCTTCACCAGCATCCGCGACTGCGGCGGTGCACAGCTCGCTCTGAAAGAGGCAATCGAAGACGGTGTGTTTCCCGGTCCACGAGTCTTTATCTCCGGCCATGCATTATCTCAATTTGGAGGCCATGGTGATCTTCGCGGGCCGCACGAGCCTACGGAATGCTGTGGTGGTACTCACAGCAACAACCATCTCGGTCGGATGTGTAACGGTGTGCCAGAATGTATGGCGGCTGTGCGAGAGGAGATCCGTTGCGGTGCTGATTTCATTAAAATCATGGGCTCGGGCGGGGTCGCATCTCCCACTGATAAACTCGAACATCTCCAGTTCACATCTGCTGAGATCCAAGCTATGGTTGAATGCGCGGATAACGCGGGCACTTTCGTTACTGCACATGCATACACCGTCAAGGCTATTCGGCATTGCATTGATAATGGTGTGCGCGGTATAGAGCATGGCAACTTTGTGGACCCGCCCACGGCCAAGCTCATGGCTGAGAAGGGCGTATACTTGACTCCGACGCTTATCACTTATGCGCAGATGGCGTCTGAGAAATGGAAGAATTTCCTCCCTATTGAGTCGCAGATTAAGAATACAACCGTGCTCAAGTCTGGTCTTGAAGCTCTGCGGATTGCGTCTGAGGCGGGTGTCACGATGTGCTATGGGTCTGATTTGCTTGGTCCGCTGGGATCTGCGCAAACTCATGAGTTCGCCTTGCGCGCGCAAGTTTTGACTTCGCTTGAGGTTTTGCGAAGCGCAACCATTAACCCGGCCAAGATGATGGGCTGTGTGAGTGAGCTTGGGCAGATTAAGGAGGGATTCAGGGCTGATGTCGTAGTTTTGAATAAGAATCCGCTTGAGGATGTGACTGTCTTTGACAGGCCTGATGAGCATGTCCTAGGGGTAATGAAAGACGGTCGCATTTACAAGAGCCGATGGCTCGATTTGGTTGAAGACGGGCATATTCCTGTGAAAGTACAATGATATTATGATATTAGGGATTGCATTGCATGCCGGTTGGTGTTTGTGTGTGTTGCTCAATTGAAGATATATCGACTTACCAATGAAGATAAATGAGTCGCAACCTTTCAATTTTTACTGCACCTTCACCTAAATATGTGTCTACCTCTTCCTGCTCTTCTTTTCTCCCATTGCCCTCCTCTGGAACTGGAGTATAGCATTTTGGAAGCTTGTTGTTGGCTGTGAGATAATCTCCTATAATGCCGGTAGGAAGTTGTACAAACGGGTGAGAACCACCTCGGATCTTGATAAAATATAGCAATTACCAAGGTATGCTTGCCTAGAGGATTGCGACCTTATGCGAGGTTATCAATTTCTAAAGTTGTACCAAGACAAATATATCCCTGTCATGTCTGTCGCTCGGCACGTCACATCCTCGCATCCAGGATTGGGGGGTTTGTATCATTTCTTTGATCTCCTAATAGATAGATAATATGTGGTCATAGCTAGCGGTCATTCGCCTCCGGAATCTATTTGTTTGCGATTTTCTGCAAGTGAAACCAGGGACGTACAAACAGCTAGAGAATCAGGCTCGTTAGCGCCATAACAAGAGTAGTAAAAGACGGGTTGGTGCATAATCGCCAAGGTACCTCCCACGACCAATACTATCATGAATTAAGAGCTGACAGTGAAGCCAGACTTTGCAGACAGAGTACACCCGAAGAGAGAAGACTCAGAACACACATCGCCCAGAGCAAAACAACAATGATACAACAAAGAGAAGGAGAGAGGTCGAAACAAAACATATTTTCTTAAGAATGTTAAGGTATCAGGACCGTGGGAGTTCATCATATCATGTCATGTAATCCCAGAGAAATCCAGTAAATCAAGCCCAGTCAAGCCCATAAGAAAGGTCGGGTCATCACTCTGTAGTACTAAAGAAAAGTCATCTTCGGGGTATGCAATGTCTTGTGCGATAGGCAAGGAGTGTGAGAGCAGATTTTCTTCCAACCCAAACTGTTCATTCGCAGTGCGCCAACTGGACATGGTTTCGATATTCGCTGCAGCTGATTGTAGACAGGTCTGTGATGATGGTATATCGTTCTCCGCCCTACTAACTTCCCCGGGGACTGGCAATTGCTCTTGTATATGGTAGCGTTCTTGATTAGTGAACCATTCAGCCCACCGATTATAATCAGAGACGGAGACCGAGGTCGAGGGTTGAAGTTCTCGGGGTTCAGTCACAATAGGAGCAGCCTGATGAAGCTTATCCCTAGCCTCCTCCGTGATTGTTTGGACCGCTTCGACAAATGTGACTCCCATTTTCGCTGTCGTGTTTCCGATCGCCATATTTCGGAGACAGGCCAATCCAAAGGCTACCCGGGCAGTGTATCCGGAATCACGATCCGTGATTCCAGATACCAGTGTCACGATGGTTGCGATGCTGCACCCCTGGAAGTCTGTGAAGGAAAAACGAGCGATCATCTGGTTGCGTGTCACTGTTTCAAAAAGAAAGAGGATTTTTCTGGCCGCTTTCGCGCAAGATCGGGATTGTCTTAGAACAACCTGGCTCGGCTCGGGTAGTTGCGACATGGGATCGATGTGTCTTTGGAGATTTGTTCGAGCAACGGTGACAAGGGCCACCTTGCCCATGGTTATCCATGCATAATAATAATTGAGATAGAGATGAAAGATCGAACGGTATCTTGAATCCTTGGGGTCCATGCTATCAATCTTGAAGTCGACGGGCAGAGCCTTTTTCCATTCCTGAAGATCGGATTCCCAGCTTTCGAATCGAGAATCCTCTTCCCATTCAGAGGAATTTTTTCTAGGAGAAATCCATACAAGTCAATAAATCTGTGTTCAAAGGCGAAATAGCTTCACTTACCCCGACTCGGCTATTTGATCCAAAATCTTGATCAACTGGGTGTAGGCCATCTGAAACTGAATATTGTTGTATCTTTGTCGGCAATCTAACACCGGTAGGGGTGATGGATGTGCCGTCTTTATTATATCAATGCTGATAGATCGAGGTCTGTTGAGCTTGATGGTGGTACATCTGACTCGATCAGCCATATTGACATCCAAATGGCAGTGTTCTCGCCCCTACCTTTCAAGGGTATAGATTGACCACCAGAGCCGACGCCGGATCTCGTTTTCTTTTTCATCAACTGTTCCGTCATCTGAAATTAAATGAAGGTCGAAAGCTAGTGCTTTCCGCAGAGCCAGACCCATATAGACATATGACGACCCAATTGCATTTGCTGGCATCAGATATACACCTAGTAAGAAGGGGGCTTGAATAGATCGAAGACACGATCGGTCAATTATATCTGGGATAAGGGTTTTCGCGTGAGTATAGAAAACCCGACCCAGGTCATCAGTGTCACGGTTCAAGTTAACAGCGGATCCCTCTGGTCTTTCTAAAGCTGTCCATTGACTCCCTAGGGCGAAGGTCGCGAGTAAAAGACAGACAAAGCCAAAATCAAATCTCAGGGGGCAGTTGACATCTTTGTAGAACTGATCAATCTCTGTTAAAATTTGATCTTGGTCGAAGTAAAAGAATAAATCTGTTGCATGCTTTATGAAGACGGAAAGCAGAAAGTCGGCTATGGAACGCGGGGGAAATGCTTCTATCGCTGCATTCAACCGTGCAATCTCCGATGGTTGAATAGCTTTCGGGCGGGTCAAATGCTTTGATGTGTTACCTCACGTGCCCTCATCATGTGCCGGGTGTGGCTTACTGCTTGCATGGCGACCATGTTCCTTTCTTCGTGGGCAGTGTTTGGATCTAGCGAGAAAGCCTCTCGGAGACCAGACAGGATGTTTGGCCACGGAGTCTTTTTTGACTGGCCCGCAACGACATGCTCTGCGAGTCTTTGCGATAAAACCGATGCTGGCGAGAGTAATCCATCATGATTTATAAGGTCATCTCGTGGGTTAGGCACTCGGTGATTGATTGTAGCTGACAGACCAGATCCGGGGATATTACCAGGAGTTGTTGAAGAATATGACTCTGCAGGTGGAATAGAAAGCTCTCTATCTCTTGTTAACATGAACATGATGCATGCTTCGTGTGGATCATTCGTCTACCTTTCAAATTTGCAGACCAAGTTGCCAGACAAGCACCGCAGGCAATTTCCGGGGGTTGACTCCACACACTTGCTTTTTCTTGCCTTGCAGCGATCGCATCTGGGGTACTTGTTAGTGGGAACTTCAACTGCCGAACGGATGATGCATACGCGCGCGCTGCCCTTTTGCGATTCGCGTCGGCAACCCGTCTTCTTCGACGACGTGTCGCGGCTGAGTCCATTGAAGCTAGATAGTAGACGGCAACATGTCTTGCTATACCTAGATATGGTCGTGACCAGCGTAGAGGAGTGACAAGGACTAAATGACATATTCCCGACGACGGCTAAATGGCTCGGTAGTGTGTTATCTTTTACCCCACACTCGACCGTGACAAACTTAAAGTTGTCAAACATGCTGGTATGTATAGTAAATACATATGTGCAAATGTCGCAAGCATTCTGTACGTGGAATCGCAGATGGTGGATTTCATGCGCTTTCTCAAGCCTGACTTAAACGTTGAAAGAGTTGGGAATTTGTGAAACTTGTGCAGAGGTTCATGAGTCAGACCCCAAAAAGGAAAGAAACACGGATACGAGTACGCGTATCCAGGTTGGTGCCCCTGACACTACTAACTGAATCAAAGCTGCAGATCTGATATGCTTTCCTTCGTACTCGCGTTCTTTACTGTATCTTCCGCTTCATCCGATCCAAATATAACTTGATCTTGGCCACAGTCTAGGGCCATGGAAATGAGCATCATATTCGACTCCTTAATTAGCCTGGGTTGCAATACAAAAGCAACACCTGCCGCCGTGTCCCAAGTGTTGATGAAAAATCGATAAACTCAGATATATTTATCGAACACCGCAAGATGCGTTGGACGTTTTCTGTTTTCACTGGCGCAATTGCCCTTTCCTTAACTGGAAGCTCTCCAGCACCCCCGGAGCCAGAACAAATTGAGGTGGTTGAATTGCCTCTACCACCAGTCGCCCCAAGCAACGAAATCGGCGCATGTACAATCTCAATCAATCCACAACGCACTGGCTGCATTTGCAAAGCCTCAAGTTTTTTCCAAGCTGGCGACTTTTCTCCAGATGGAAACCATATTGCGTTGACTGTGGAATTTGTCGGTGCTCCATCAGCACCAGATCCTGCCAGCATATACACCGGCGAGCAGCTGATTCTTGTGAAGACAGACGGCACAAACTTCACGACTGGGACCCCTGGAAATGCTTAAGCTGCGGTGTACCCCCGGAGAACGCACAATCTCTCGATGTTACGAGAGACTACCCCCATTTTGCTAGAAATGGCCATCAGGCACTTTGGGGCCACAATATACTGGATTGCAGTGGTATTCCTTTGGTGAGTGACCGGTGTACGCCCAACCTAACACATATCTACCCGATATACTGGCCAACTTCTATCAACAAATCGGGTTCGCCACGGGAGATGCGTATGCATCCTGATGATACCCACATGGGCTGGAACTCCTTCACTTCCGGCGGACAAAACACTTTCTACGGCAGACTGCAGTTTAATGAAAGCCCAAAGAGTGGGACACTCCGTGTCCCACGATATGACCTGGTGGATGTGAACCTCCTGATGAAGCCAAACGGAACTGCGCCAATTATGGTGGAAGGATCTGAGTTAAAATTGCATGATCAGGCTATCACAATTGGAGAACTGCGAGGATTCAGCGGTGCTGGCGATGAGATCTTGTATCTTGGCACGACACGTGAGGCGAATAACATTGATCTATTTGCTGTGCATATCATTACTGGTGTCGTCCGTCGTCTCACCAGTCATCCCGAGTACGCTGATCCGATATCATTTTCGCACGATAACCAATGGTTCGTGACTATGGACACCAGAGGATCGAACCGCCAAATGTGGATGTCGGGACTGCGTCACATACCCCCATTGATCGATATCGTCGCTACCACTGCTGCTGCATCGACGCGTAACAATGGTGCCCGGCGCTTCTTTCAACCTATATTGATTGACCGTTACGGTGATCGCGGGGACTATTTTGGCCAGCGGGTAAATTATGAAGGCGATGGTACCGACGGTAGTGTCAATGATGACAACTGGAATGGCAAGGCCGATCCTGCATTTTCGCCCGACGGTACTCGCATCGTTTATTGGCAAAGTTTGGTCGTTTCCCCTGCATGCGGAGGAGATAACCTTCTGCCTTGTCCACATTCCACGGCCCAAGGGGGGCGAACTTATCGGGTGATGTTGGCCCGTCTTCCCAATCGCAACTCCACTGCTCCAGCCCCAGTCTTGAATGCCCCAGACATAATTCCATGGGCGACTCCATTCCCGCTTGAGGCAACCGTTCCGACTCCCTACAGTCTACCGGCTGGGAACTTTACGTTACAGGGAGAAGCGAGTGGGTTTGCCATGGTTGGATTGATCAAAGATTCCGCCCTCGGTACTTTCAAAACTGTCAATGTCAATTATTCCAACTTTTCCGATGATGGGATGCACTTCATCAATGGCTATGAGTCTGTGACTGTCACAATACCAGTCTCAAACCCCTGGCTCAACCATCTCGACTGGTACTCTGATATTGTGCAAACTGGAGAGGAAAAGGGAACCAAGAAAACTGGTCCCGGAGGCTTCCACCTGACCATCAATGCCATGGAGAATCTGTTCGAGGCAAATGGGACGCTGACTACGATTGTAAATGGTGTAACCTATGACCAACCCCTTAATGGAGCTTGAATTGAGGGATACGTGGGTATATTGATAGACCTGAAAGACATGCCTCCTGTTCATATGCCAACTTTTAAGAACTTCAATTATCTCAAAGAGTACGGGATTGGCCTGACAAAAGTGAATGAAAAGACTTTGATAAGCACTGCTAGACTTTTGAGGCCTGATGTACACATGAGTTTATTGCACAATCAGCCCATGGGAGAGTAGTATTCCCCATCACTATCCTTTAGAATTCCATTCATTCCCGTGAAATCCTTATACCACAGCCAGAACTGGTCTTGCTCCTCCAGCTTCAAATTAAAAAACTGCCCTTGAAGTCGCTCCTCCGCATCGGCTCGCAATCCAAGTAGCTCTCGTTCTTCCTTGCGATTTTCTATTATCAGCCAGTTCAGAGTGGACCCGAAAACCAATCCATTTATCGTCGCGACGATACCACGTACTCGGGCGAGCTTTCGATGAGCGCTTTCGGTCTCGTAAAGTGAGATCTGGGCATTCTCATACTCTTCAGAGACATCCCCCAGAAGGTCCAAAGGTACCATTATCTTTAGGTAGTACTCAAGATCTTCTCCATAATGGACCATCATACTCCGCTGTTCTTCTTGTGATAACGTTTTGAAGACAGTTCGGGCTTCTTCTGTAGCTTTCAAACATGCCACTTTTTGGTCTTGGTAGCCCTGTTCAACGGTATTGACCGCGTTTTGTATCTCCATAGGCTTCTCTGTGAGATCTGGAAACGAGTCCAAGAATTCGACGGTTGTTTTGAATGTGTTCACAGTATGAATGGCGGCTCTCAGGCTGTCCAGGGTCTGACGAATCTCCCAAGAGAGAGTCAGCTCTTCCTCGGTGAGCGAGGGCGGTTCTGAGGATGATCGTAAGGGTAGCTTTGACGATATCTCCGAGTGGGGCTTTGAGGATGTGACTGATATAGAGTCATCCTGAGATAGCGAGAATGGTTCGTATTCCGGGGAGGACGTTTCGTGGTCTTCGTTCGGCTGGTTGGAAGAGTTGTTAGTCCTATTAATAAATTTGGAGAGACAGATGGATTAGCAACCTCCATCGTTTGTTAATGTGAACTCAAAAGCGGCAATATAAAGTTCATGGATGAGGAGATGAAGCATCAAGTTCTTTTCTGAAAGGAAACTGTTTTCAAGTTGCCATGATGTTTTCACGGTGTTGAGATGATATCCTGCCGATAGGAGAGAAACTTGAAACCAAAGAAGTACAAGAGATAGGCCTCTCCAAGAGCCTCTTCAAGAATTAGTTTTCTTCATATACCATTTTGTATAATCTGAATATCAAGGTCATCAAGTAATAACTTTGTAGGTCCAATCTAACTATATCCTGCTTGTCAATTCTGGTTTTGATCACCTTTCTATGTACTTTCTCAAGACTTTTGCAATTTTCCCATTTGTATCTCTTTCCTGATGGGCTTTCCAGGTTGTTCCCATCTACGCAGAGCCCATAATCTGGAACAGTTCATTATCCTGTGAAATAAACTGCCATACTCAATTTTGGATGGTTCCAGACACATCAGGAACTATGTATTTACCTCTCTTTTGATATGGTTGATCCCAGCCTAAGATCATTAAGATATATCGTAAACATGTAAACATGTAAACATGTAGACATGTAGACATGTAGACATGGTGGTACTCCTGCGCCTGTGGTCTGTGCGCTGTTGCCTCAGTACTATGTAAAAATATCGTCATTCTTCTAAAACCTCTTTAGTTTCTATTTTCCTTTTGTTTCATCATTTGTCAACTCTCAACTACAAAGGCGAAAAATGGGGTCAGTTCATTCATTGATTATGATCTCTACATCACTGACACCTCACAGGTACACCCACTACTGGAGTCTCGGTGACTGGGATTCCCCCAAATGGCAGGAGGCATGGCCTCTACTCGTCGATGACGTTCCCAAGATTATCAGAGCAGCCAACGTTGACCTTAGCGGCCCAACCGATGACCCGGACGTTATGACACCTGTGCTCGTGGATATCGAAAAGGGAATCCATCTCAACGGAGTAGAATATGATTCCTATGAGTCTTTCATAATCTCCAAAAAAGATACCGGTGAGTTTAATTTCTGCAAGACGGCAAGACGGCCCTATGATATTGTCGTCACATGCATTCTTTTGAGAGCCTGGATGCTGGCGCCAGATGATTTCCGTCCCAGGCGAGTTTCATCCCCGTTTAAATGCACGTGAAAGTCAATTTTAACAGCTTACAGCTCCGATGGTGATACGGAGGAGTGGGGCCCGGCGCGTGACCTTCATAAAAGCCTTTGGCCTGAGGATTATGTCGATGAGCCTTGGACAAAAGAAGATGCAGAGTGAAGACACAAAGGAGAAGTTGGCCTAAGCACCTCAAGACTTTAACTTGCTATTAAGTCACTTTTCTATATTTCTAAAGCTTGGCTATCTACACGCCAGGATTAAACACTCTAACGCACATCGGATCGATTAGTTCTTATCATTGCTTAGCTTCAATCCACATCGTCCAACACAAAGGAATGTCTATAAATGATCTCCAGCTCCAGCTCAACTGTCCCAAATAGCCCCAAACGCAGGGATGCCCTTCCTTTCTAGCTCCCCAACGACTAAACGGGTCACGGTCTCATTTGAGATAATCACCACAGCTTCCGCTTCTATCTCTTTCAACACATCACAAGCAAGCTGGACCAAGTCAGGACGACCTTTTTCTCTCGTGTCCCATACTAAAGCATTAGGATCTGCTTCATAGACAGAGTCCATAATACCCTGGCCGAATGTTTCTTTCGGGGTCGGGGTCGACCAAATCAACCGCAGTTGATTGGAGGGTATGTGTCCTAACAGCGGACCAATGCCCGACCCCGTTCCAATGAGAACCACGCTTCGAAACAGCGAAGCAACTCGCATAACGCCCATAGCTAAACCCCTGTCAGAAACTCGTATTGGAGGGCTCATCTGAAAAAAGAAGCTTACTTGGAACACCTCGAACCCATAATTTAGTCGGAGGCTTGCTAATTTGACGACTAGTCCAGTCACCTGCCCGAGACACTATGACCGAACAGCCTTTGGTATGCTGTTCTTTGCTAGTTGCAGCTGGTATCGTCGCGAAAGAATGCCACTCTAGCAATGGCCGCTCGGAGACCCTGAGAAAGCCTCCTCGGACGGCATTTGTGTATTGAAAGTGCAACCGTATCGCATGTTGAGAGAGAATTTCAGTGTCGACAGGTACTCGCTTGAGGTATACCCAAGAAGCGGCGATGCTGACAGTAATTATAAGAAGAAGCCACAGATCTGGAGAACGGACGGAAGCATCTCCTAGCGACGTGTGAGGAGCCTTCTTGTCTTTTATCGATAATATGACCTGGGTCCACACAAGAACAAGTACAGTCCAACCAAACAGACGGTGGACTACCTCAAATGAGTTGTGATATATTTTGCGGAATTTCGGGTGTGCAGACACAATCATTGCAAGAAGCATGAAAAGTGCAATCGCAGAGAGACATATGGTTGCAATTGAGGGAACAAATGGCAGGGAACCGGTCAATTTTTCCCTCAAACTGTAGGCAAATGATCCAGCAAACCAGCACACAGCTGCTGTTGCACAGCCCGAATGGATCCCACCCAGGTGATACACTTGAGCCATTCGGCGTCTGATGGGCAGTGGCCAAGACAGAGGAACGGAGCAGCAAACAGTGTAAATCAAGTTGACCACAAAGTCTTGCCGTATTACAACTGCGATCGTCAAATTGATCAATGCAATCGTTGTCAACCATTTCCGGTCGATGGCTGGAATCGCTAGAATCACAACCAGGATAGCGATGTTTATAAGCCAAATTATAGAGAATAGTCTGCGGTAGACAATCCAAATCCGGTATCGTAATTCTTGAAATACACGGGTGAATAATGGCTGAACCGCCGAGGTAGCTTGCTTTGATTCAGACATGAGGAATAGATATCCAGATCGCATTAAAATGTCGATAGTGCCTTTCTTGCTTTGCCCGCATCGTTGTTGCTTTATATTCTGACATTCAATTCAGTATATTCTGGTTTATCTTCAGACTCTGCAAGGAATATCTGGTTCGGTAACCCGTCGGCGATTTACAAGAAAGGTGTGGTAGCCCTAACTAGATCCAGAATAAGCCTAAGCCACCTCATGCAAGAAAAACATGGTAGTCACCCGGTTATCTCCTCTAAATAAATGTCACAATAAACAGTCAATGTGCAACATCATGTTTCAAATATAATACAATTGTCAAAAAGTATCGAACAGTATGATGTCGAACCTAAATACCAACTAGGGGGCCTTGGTGAACAAACAAGGCCTCCTATGTGCAAACCCATTCAATTTTCATACAATTCTGAGCTAAGATAATTGAGGTGACAATGCAGCGCTTGGCAGAGAATAAGTGAGCTAAGGAATTTGCAATCTCCACTTAATTATTTTTTAATATGTGGTGAGGCTTGCTCTAGTGCACATCAGCATGAACGTTAGATGTAAGTATGAAGCCTTAAGGCTCCTGGGATTGCTTGAAATTAGACTTCACTAAGCAGACTACAGTCATCTAGCTTTTGAGTCATAGGCTCATCTTTGCTAATGATTAGACATTGAGCATCAAACGTCTATCGTAGTTGTAAAAGCTGTGCTTGAAAAGTGTCTTTCTATCTCTGCATAACAACCCCTGTAGTTGTTATCTTGACCAAGAGATGATCTTCATATCACGTCTGTTATTGACGGAGCCCCGGTACGGGCCGTTATGAAGCCAGCCCCTAGGCTTTTGAAGATATGAGGATATCTCGGCAAATACCAAATTCTAGTTTCGGATAACACCACCTTGTTCTTGACATTTGACTGGCGGTTGTGAGACTATATAAAGTAGAAACCTTATTTTTGCACATTTTAGGCAATGCAAGATACCAGATCAACATATTTTCGACCACCGACTTTCACATGAATTGATTAATCGTGTGAATTATAGCCTGCCATGACGATACTACGGCGAAACCCAACTAGTGCTTATGATCAACTTGGAATACGCATAATGGCGTTCAATTTAGTCACTTGTTCTACCGAGGCCACCTGGAAGTGTATCTGTAAGGCGATCCCTTGTGATTATGGCGTACAGCGAGCCTTTCGGTGGCCTTACGGGTTGCTTTGAACTCAGTAGCATGAACTATTCACAGATTCAATCACAGCTTACTCAAGCATTGAGATGCTCAGAGAAACATAAACATCCCGGCTACATGGTGTCTCAAGGATATACCGCTATAAATCTACAATGGACATTCAGTTAAGAAGGGTCTTCAAAGACCGAGATAAAGACGTATTGAGAACGGATAAGATATCATCGTATCTTCATATCGCCAGAAGTTATGATTGGAAGTGTCTTCTTTTGCGCCTTTTTATGCACTTTCACGTGAACCAGAGCCTAGGTCTCATTTCATACAGTTTGAATTCTTCTTATAGACATAAGCGTAAATTTGCATACGAACTCAATGATGTAGTAAGAGATTCCCATTCCGATTCGATCGCGGCGACCAACATCACAACATAGCATCACCTTCGAGTAGACTATAGCTGAGCCTTGGCAAATTGAATGGCCACTGAACTTGGGTTCCGAGTTCCTTAAAGACTCCTGTTTTAGACCGTGCGATCGGGGCGGAGAAGAATAAAGTGCCATGAATTCCTATCCGTGCTGACTCCCTACACATAAGTATCTAGCGAATGTGCTCGCCTCTTGCGTTCTTGGTTTATTGCTTTATATGTTAATGAGTATTCAAGTTATAAGTTAAGTCACAACCACTTACCCATATATGCGAGGCATTGTAGCACTCCCGTACTCAGCGTTGCGGCGCTCTTCGCTTCAACCATGGCCATATTTGAGGCATGGTTATTATGTTGACCATACCACAGAGATTAATCAACAACTCCCTCGATAACAACGAGCTCAGTATCCAAAGTCCATCCAAGTCTCATTGAGAACTTATATTGTAAATGGAATGGCTTTACCGTACTGATTGAGGATGTTAAGGGAGAGAAACTCATGTAGATGAAATGTGATAATACGTAGTGATGAGAGATGAACCTAATGGTGATATTCAGAATAATTTGATGCGGACGGACGAAGGAAAGAGGAAAGAAAGAGAGAGAGGAAAACCTTGAAACCCAATTAGACTTCGAATTTCCTTGGATTGTCTTCAATTGTTTCTCACTTCTGCTTTAGAATTGCTTTAATTGATCGAATCATTATTCATGACTGAATAGTAATAGATTTGAACGCTAGTTGTTTTGCCACAGCAAGGCATGGCAGAGATGTATATTGACAGCGGTCTATAATAGGGCTATAATTAGGTATGAGCTAGCATCTATACACCTTCGTAGACAAGCCCTTAAGAAAGTATCACCCAGCTGAAACACCCTCCTCTTCCAGAATTATTTGATTATCTTCAGATTCTCTATATACAAACCACCCAGGTTCCACAAAGGACCTTCCAACTTATGCGAACGGTATTTAGTAAACCTTGAAGCCACCAGGCATCAAAGTCTGGAAAACCGCATGAGGATCATACTTCTGCGCAACATCGATGAGCTTCTGGTGGTTTTTCGCGCCATAGCCAGGGAAGATAGACTGGAATCCAGCAGCGTCGCCCATGTAGTTAAAAGCGTCGTATAGACCCGCCTTCTGGGTAGCGTTGTTGATCTTGTAGGTGGTGTTCTCCAACCATTCAGCGACAATGTCATCATAGGCGGATCCAATCCACTCAACAACCTCGGCATAGCACAGGTACACCTGCGACGAGTCAAGACCCAGGGCGTTTCCGCCGCGAGCCTCGGAGGCCTTCATCCAGTCTGCGCCGATGGGCTGCCAGTCGAGCTGGATGGTGGAGATGTTGGCGGTGGGAACTTGCGAGTACAGTTTGGGGAGCTCGTTGAAGAAAGTTTGGTTGATGATGGTGATACCCTCCATGAGCTCCTTATAGGTTGTGCCCTTGACGGTGCCGGCGACGAAGACATCGCTGTCATTGGTTAGCAATGGAACGGACGATTCAGAGCCTATAATCTTACTTAATTCCGTCGATGACCATTGTACCGGTCTCGGTAGTAAACTCGCTGACAGTCTTGAAGTCAAGAGTGCTGCTGATAGCCGGGATATCGGTGAACGGCTTGAAGATCTCGGGGTAGCTAGTGTTGTCACTGTCGTAGAACAGGATTACCGAGGCGAGGGTAGTTTCACCGGGCACGAGGGCCGGCACGACGTGAGTCTTGGGGTCGTAGATATCCGATGCGTAAGTAGCAGCGGCCTAACAAATGGGTTAGTAAAAAATAATGGTCATTGACAGGGATATTTTCATACAGCCAGGAATTGGTCGATGTACTCGGCGGACACGGTATGAGTACCGGCCCAGACCTTGGGCGACTTGATGGTCTCCAGATCAAACCGGGTGACGATACCAAAGTTGCTGCTTCCACCCTTCAGAGCCCAGAACAGATCCGGGTTGCTGGTCTTGTTGGCTTCAACAATCGAGCCATCGGCCAGAACAACCTCGTAATTAACAACGGTATCACAACCGAAGCCGACCTGGTTGCCGTAGAAGTTGACACCACCAGCCAGGAGCAATCCCGGAACACCGACGGGACCGAGACGGCCACCAGCTGCGGAAAGTCCGAACCCCTGCAAGTATGTGTAGACATCGGCCCATCTAGACAAAAGTAAGTAAAGCGAATCATCGCCAGTGCAATAAACCCAAAACGAACCGGTGAGAAGGACCAACAGACAGAAGCGAACGATCTGTGTTCAGTTCCAAAGTCGTCAAATTAGACATCACAATCAAAACACCATCATTGATATTGTTTGATCCCTGCGACCGTCAGCATCAAATTGAAATAACTATTGCCCAAACCTACCCGAATACCCATATGTCCACCACCCCGAACGGCAAACTCCGCACCTGCACCAACCAACGCCTTAATACCATTCGCCAGCTGCGCACTAGACTGAGGCCGGAATACACAACCCGGAGCCATCAGCTCGGTGTTAGACCAAAAGTTCGCTGCCTCATACTTGTACACACTACTGCTCTTGAAAAACAGCGAATCCCCAAGGGGCGCGCGCAGCGCTTGGCAGCCTGCCGAGACGTTCGGTGATGCTGTGCCGGCCGGAGCCGAAAACGAGGCTGTTGATGCAGCGGCAGCGCTGGCTAGAGAGAGTACAGATGTAACACGCATTGTGTTGTACAAATTCACCCTTGGTACGTTCAAGGGAAGGGTAAAACGTGAGGGAGAGCTTCTCTTTTTACCCGGATCATCGGATCTCTTCACGGGGTAGAACCTTGATTTGGGATGTTTCGCGTGGTTCTGAAGCTTTTTTAGCTTCTTTAGCCTCTCTAGCTCATTCTTCAGTCGAATGCCGGTGCTAGAGGTCTGAATCATGTAGCCTGGTGGGTCTCACCCACTTGGCGCGATTTATTGTGGACACTCTGCGGAAATTGGGATAACCGTTCGCTTGCACAGCATTGCATGGAACCACTGAAGAGAGTGAATTAGTTGCAGATCATGGCTCATTTGAAATGATGTGTTTCAAAGGGCGTTTATACATTTTCTGAAGAGGCTGAAGATGTGGGTGCATGATCCAGGGGAAGTCAACGTACTGTAGGATTCGTAGTCGGTCCCACCGCAGCCCTCGGACTATGCCGAATGTAAACAATGCCAATTATTGGGTTGAGTGTTGTTCTGAACTAACCTGATGAATTCCTTGATTAATTTGTTATTGACTGATTCTGGTCTAGAATAGAATTAGTTGACTAGTGTTTACTTCTACTCTGTACTAATTCTTGAGTCTCACTGAATACATTCTTATGTTCATACTTCGTTTAATATTTATGCGGACTAGTTTGCCCGTACCTTTTTGCTCGATACGTTTTCTATATCGAACTCTACTGTCCGGATGATTCCATCCTCTTTCCCTAAGCTCGGTCCAGTGGACAATATGTGTTCTTCACTTTCGTTGTCCGGAGCTTTACTGTGGGTGGTCAGCGTCGCAGAGTATTGGTTATTGCTGCGTCCCGTGAAATCCGGTCGGCTGCTATGAGGGTACGACCCAAGCTGATGACCATATTTACGAGACTTGGAAGTGTTGTCCGAGGAAGAAAGACCCAGTAGACGAGGGAAGTATCGTCGAACAAATGGTCTGATGGCAGTTACGCAGCCGCCGAAGATGCCCAGATTCAACTCAATGGCACACCACATTAGGGCATTAGTAGTTGCCCCTATTAACCAGTTAGTAATAGCTTGCAGGTGAGAGTTTTAGCTCTCTTACATGTAAGATCGGGGCTGGTCAAAAGGGTGTAGAGGGATGCGAGCCGAATGCAGCTCACAACTCCAACGCTGAGTCCTGACGTCAGTACTTCGAGTCCAGATGGCTGAGAAACATCAGTATCACTCACAAGCAGCCCATAGCTAATATGGCGCTCACGGCAATTTTCTGTCGCATGGGCATTTGCAATCTCCGCAGCCATGGTCTGTTAAAGCAAATTAGCGGTGTAGGACTCATCCAACTTGTTGCAACATACATCGGAACAATAACCGTAGCAAAATCGGTGAAGATTCCCAGTCCAGCGTTCGCAAAGTAAAACACCGGTCGATTCATGCAGTGTCCAGTCGTAATGTTCGCATCCCACGACTTTGCAACTGGTGTGCAGCTGAAAATATTGGCGAGGACACTAGCCAAGCTGTATCCCACGGCGATAAACACAATGGCCCAGACGGCCATGTGGAAGTTCCGGCTCGGGAAAATACGAAGGTAGAATACAAGGACGGAACATTTGGTGAAGCCCGTCGCGGCGCAGTAAACTATGGCGGAGACGAGGTTCATCTATACGAGTTTGGGATTAGTTAACTATACAAGGGAGATGTTCGAGCCTTAGTTACAAACCTTTGCGAACATTGGCGACAGATATGTCGCTGGAACATCCCACATGTGTTTCCCAAGACCCCAATTGAGCACTAATGATATGTGTCAGCGAATTCACGGTCTTTTAGAGATTGGGCGTAGCTTACTGTTCAAAGTAACAGCAGTGAGAACGCATGATAGAAGCTATGTTGATAGACAGAATGTCAATAATGGGTCCAGATAAAGATGATCGAACAGTACAATAGACCTACGAGGGCAAATATCATCAAATCTAAAACTAGTCAGCGCGGCCATCCCTTGATTCGCGACATCCACTCACAATCATCAAAACGAAAGCTCCGGACAATGAATAACCGAGTCCATGTCCTCACAGCTAACGCAATAACAGCTAATGGCAGGAATACACAATTAACAACCAAAAATCTGGTGCCAATATAGGGCGGGTCGACGAAGTTGGATGTCTGACCCGCCGGCGGCGGCATGGCCGGCACAATGGAAGAAGCCATAACGCTCGGAATGATCCATCCGTTCCACGAATCCAAGTGGAAACGGGGTATATATAAGAAAGCAAGATGACAGTGACAGGAAAAGGAGAACGGACAGCTCCGAAACGTCAATTCAACCAAAAATCAAGTGCATTCCAAGGTTTTTGGAATTGCTTGCTTTACATCGAGGATCTTCAAATTTGTTCTCCATACACTTGGTGGGGTCTGCATCCACATTTGAGGGCGTGCGTTCTACAACTCGTCCTAGATCTGCGTCGATTGGTCTGTTCACCGTTCTTATTGAACTTACAATAATGTACTATGATACATTGAGGACTCAATATGATCTTCAGGGCCAAAACGGTAGAAGAGAAACTGTAATTTGCCGACTGGGAGCCCATGTCCGTCCAATGAACAATGAACAATCTAATGCCAATATCTTCTGCATTTGAACATAATCAAAGTTCATATACAAAGCGGAGACAGTAGCGGACTTCACTCTCCGTGTGGTTTAGTAAATTTAGTGAATTTAGTCAACTGGAGCCCCTCGTTCATGCCAAAGAAACAACCACGACAAGTCTCGATCTGCAGCCCTAAATTGGTAGGGATCTTCGGCTCGATAAACAGATTTGTTTCGTCTGAAGTCTAGCTAAACCCAATTGCCCATAAAACCAGATCCCTAAAACCAGATCCCTAAAGCCAGATCCCTATAACCACTAGGGCATTAGCTCTCGCTTCCGGACTCAATCCGTTCTTGTTTCACTGGGTTTGATGGACAACTGCATTGGAGTTGAGATCGAAATTGTAGTCTACATTTTCATGTGTTCCTGGCTATGCAAGGGGCTAGCAGATTGCAGGTTGAATTACAAGGCAATAGATCACACGATACCTGCCTACATATACGGAGTACATTGTTCTATACAACACAAGCGCACCTCCGCTCCGCTGAGTTCCGCTTTCCGGTATCTCAGCCTGCGAAGGCTTGGTGAATATATAACTAGTCAATAATTAATTATTGAAGTAGATAGACACGCCAAGTAATATGATTTACATACTATTGTCGTCTAATATGTAAATGAATTACTCAATGTTTCATAATTAGCAGATTCCTACGGAGTACACTAGTGACCCTTTGAAGCGACTAGCAACCCGGAAATCCCGTATTGTAGACTTCAACAAATTCAATAATGTACGTATAGTATATACATTTATAATTGACATCTTCTGACGCCACCCTTGAAATAGTTGATCGACATCCTACGGTATTCTCTATTTGATACCTTCTAGAAATTGCCAAGTGATCCTTTCTCCCCGGTTCACTAGCGCGGAGGCGCTTGTCAATCGTTATATCCTATACGATGTGAGACCCATGGATCGCGAATTAGCCCTGTCCACCGAGGTCTAAGCAGACCGTCCATCGCCAAACTATGGGGGTGGCGCTGGAGTAGGCCTAAAGCAGAAATTGGGCACTCGAGCATAATGGCTGGGTCACGAATTTGCCTACCCGAATCAAAATGTCAGTTATCCAGAAGAGCTACGGCGCATGTTCAGAACACATTGTAGAGATAATATTTATTTGATTCGATATGCTCGAGTCTCTGGGATTCTCCCAAGCCAGCATATGCAAAACCCTCGCTGAACCCCAGGAATTGAAGCCAGGTATATGAGATCGGACCAGAAAAAAAAACCATAATCTAACCCTCATGAGAAGAAACCAAACGCATGTGTTCATTCCACAAGGGCTCACATCTGCATTTCCTGATCGCCATCCGCATCGCCAATCGCACCACCGGGTATCCGTCCCTCATTAAGCTCCTTCTCCAACCTTGTAATCTCCTGCAGACTCTTCGCTTCGCGAATCATTTTCTCCACGCGCTTGCGCTCGGCATCGGTTAATTGTACACGAATGCCCTTTTCGGCGGGGGCGGATGCAGCAGCTGAGACGTCGAAGGTGCTCGATTTCACGCCTAAGATCTTAGATGCGAGGGAGGAGGGCTCTTCAATAGTGCCAAAGAGTTCGGCAGCTTTGGCGCGCTCGGCGTCTTTCACTTTTTGGTAGTCAAGGAACCGGACTGAGGGGATGCGCCAGATGACCCAGTAACGGTAGTTCTGGAGAATATATATATTAGTTTAGGATATTCGTGGTGGGAGCTCGTCTAGGTGTACCACGCACCTCTTTCCGTGTCACAGGGTTCTCTAGCAGGCTCAGGTGTGTCAGACGGTCGAGGTTGCGCAGCGGATCCAGATCCGCTAGCTCGGACAGGTTGTTCGCTGTCAAGACAAGGTTCTTCAGACCTGGAATTGACGTTGCGAGTGTAGGTTGAATGTGAGTGATGCGGTTGCGGGCTAGGAGGAGAGTGCGGAGGCGGGGGAAGAAGGGGAAGTTTCCTAGAGAGGAAAGGTCGTTGTCGGTGAAGTCGATTGCATCTTGATCCTGAAAGCTATTAGAATGACCGCACAATTGAGGTGGAGCTTCCTTCCATGGGTTCGGCTGGATCAAACGTGGTCCGATCCATCTCAGTATCAGAACAGTACTTACTTTGGCAATACCCAAGTTCTCAATTGCGGGGATTTTGTGCCCTATTCACGCCAAAAGACGATATCAATCCAGCCCCCGTAAATTGTAGTATCTGTCCTTTTCAGGCAGGTGTTTAGTACGCACCTCGGAGATCCAGCTCGCGGTCTGTGAGAGGATTAATGTATGATAGCGAATTTTGGATGAGATCGACGGTCAGACGCATTGTGGCGGTCGCGGCTGTTGCCGAGGTTTAGAGGTCGAGTGATAATGTGCGATTTATTGCGACGGCATAGGCGGACAATTGATAATGATTGAATTGTGCGACAAGCTTCGGAATGAATAACGAATGGATCGGAAGCTGGTCGCGCCAGTTTCTCATTGCTATCGAAGCCCTTTTTGCCAAAGCGGTGAGTAATATATCACGTGTCTTTGAGCCTGATTTAGGTGGCATCAACATGAACCACCTGAATACGCCTGGGAGTTCTCATGGTGTACTAATTATTACAGTGCAAGGGACGTAGCAGTCTTGAGTCATAATTAATCTATATTCAGGAATAGAATCTCAACCCCTAATGGTACACAGCTCATTATGTTTAAACAACCGCCTCAGATCGAAAGCACCGCGCAACTAAATCAAAAAGGTACTCCAGAGCACAGGGTCGAAATATGATATGAAGAATCGAAATCAAAGTGCCACGAAACCAGCATCGTAGAAATGACGAGAACTCCCTTTATGAAAACAGGACAAAACCCGACGATCCAGCGTATGTCAAATGAAACTCCCAAGATGCGATGCGTGAATGATTATGCATTAATTCGGAACGGGAGCGTTAGTCGTCGGCGAGGGGTGTCATGCTAGGTGATTTTTGGTGGAGGGATCTTGTCGGACTGCCCGCTCGAGATCGTCGACCGTTGGTGGTGGGTCCTAGAGCAACTGGGGCCAGATGGTCCCTGCTCTCAGTCCTGACTACCAGGCCTGCTCGATCCATTGCTATGCCCGAGCCTCCACCACTGATCCCAAGGCCAATCGTCCCAGTCGAACTGTTGTCTAACGCGTATTTGAAGCTTGGAGTGTTGCTGTTGCTTCCCCAGCTGGATGCTCGCTTCGGGGGTCCCAGTCTGGCTGAGTCGGCTTCAGAGAGCCGTCCGCCATCTTCGCTTCCGTCAGAATCAGTCACACCAAGTTCGAAGTCTTGGGCACCGTCCTCGAGGACACGCTCATAGGAGGGAGCACTGCGGCTGAGGAACGGTAACATCGCCTTGAGTCCCTTTCTTTTCTTCGGATGGTTGGGGTGCGATGGTCCACCGCGGCGTAGCGCATTACCGACCCGGTTGAAAATACGTGAACGGCGGCTGCGTCCACATAAGAAGAATCCGACCATGACAATAATCAGCATGAAGAGGATGAATCCTGGGACCCGACGCGGCGAGTCACCGTCGAATAGCGCATCATGCCAATGTTCGCTGTGGAAGCCGTCAGAGTCCGGCAGAAGCTGGACACTAGGGAATTGGAAGTCGTTGGGAACACCGGGAACATTGCTACCAAAGCCCACCGGAAGGGCCTCTTCAACTTCCAAAGGCACCTGGGAAGATGCATACAAGACGATCTTGCCCAGGGTCCAGCTCACTTCAGTCGAGTCAATCTTGTTGACTGCCTGGAAGGCGTCCAGATATCCCTTCTCTTTTCCGTGAGCCAGTACTTCTTTAGTGCCATTGTGCGAGGAGCTTGTTGTATCCTCCAGTCCCACACGAGGTACTCCAATCCCATCATGTAGCATGTTGATGATCCATGATGCCTTGAAGCAAACTTCGTAGGCCTTTTGTTGATCAACTTTCTTTCCCCACTTTTGTGCTTCGAGACCATGCTCGATGGAGTCCCAGTCTTGTGAACAAAACAACTGAACTCGTTCTTGGTAGGTGTTGAAATCGTAAGCCTTATCCTTGAATCCCATTTCGAAAATTTCGTGAGTGGTGTGCCAGTACTCGCTGATTCCGATAAAGTGGTTCACATCAAAGTCGATAGCTGGAACATGCATTCCGTGTAACAGACACGGCTCATCTGCACACGGAGCGTCCTTGTCCAGCAAAGGGTACGTTTGACGCAAACATTCGTCGAATTTGCCTGTTCCAAGTAGATAAGGATCCGCCTCGCTTTGCAATGCCATCTCCTTTCCATCCAGAGTAGTGCGCAATCCACTGGGAAGACAGGGGTCAGGTAATTCTAAAATTCCCGGTCCTGTGGCAGTCTGCAAAGCTTCCAGGTAGCGTCTCCGGGCTTCATGCACGCCAAACTCCAACCACGAAGTGACAAACACCCTGTGCTCCTGAGCGGATCCATCAATATTGCGCAATCGTAGCAATTTGAGGTCATTGGCGTGTTTCTCTGTCTCGGTAGAATTCGGGGCGAATGCAATCTGAGCAGATGCGCCACCCATATCGAGAAACCCGTAGGTGTGGTGTCCCTTCCCATGGTCATGTTTCTCCGGTGCGTCAAAAGCCCCCATCAAATAGTTGGTCGCAATCCATCCGTAAAGTCCTTCGGTCACACCCGGAATCACCTGAATATGCACACCGCAGTCGGGAAGCAGGAAATCCGTATTGTCGCGGGCATATGAGCAGATCTTGTCAAGTAGTACTTGTCGCTCGAGGTTTCCTACCAGTCGCATACCCGCAGTCGCGAGGAGAAAGATGGGGGTATCCTTGGCGTCTTCGGCGGGGATGATTCCCTTGGCATGTTCCAAAAGTTCGGCAAGATGATCAGTTCCAACCAATTCGGGCTTGTCGGCGAACGAAGATACACCTTTTTCGCAGATAGATTAGCGGCCGATGCTTGGGGTGGCATTGGCAGGAGCAGGGCTCACCTGGGCGTATCTTCTTGGTCCATTCTTCCTTCGTTTTAACCTCCGGTAGTGATTTCAACTCCTCCGCGTCGGCTTTCTTCCGTGCAGCGGCATTTCGTAGCCATCGATAAACGTGTACGCGAGTCCCCTACACAGTTAGTGGGATGATCGGAGCATGCGCAGTTACATCGACATACAGACGAGCCTGCGTCCAGGACGACACCATAACGCCCTAATGGGGGAGGTTAGTTGTGGAATTGCCGGGGAGTGGGACCACATACATTTGCCCATTGGACTCGATTTGATTATTCGCTATGCGCAGATCATGACAAACTGGTTTAAAAGGAAGCAGATAGCAGAGGACAATGTCCTTGTCAATTATCGGAGCGCAAACAAAAAAGCTGTAAAACGAATGACAGGAAGCAACGAAGTCTTAAAAGAGAGGAGAGAGAGGAGAGAGGGCCAAGAGAGATAAGGGAGACCCAGAAACGGGCTGACGCGACGGCTTCGGGGCGATACCAAGCGTAACAAACAATACGAGGCCGTTGAGTGGCAAAAATGGCTCTAGATCTTATCCGCATTAGGACAAGAGTGGTAATTTTACCGTATGTGACAGATATCGTTTTTTTTGCTTTACTTTTTTTTTCCAAATGCCAACTGCGTACTCCGTACACAGTACATTTAGTTAACTATAATTAGTTACCTAGTAATTATACTTATATGTATGTTTATATGGAGTCACTTGAATTCAAAAACGATTCAAATCTATAGGTATACACTATTTGAAATACACAACTTATTCGCCCTGCATATAAGTAACAGGTCTCACTGCAGTGGTTCCACCTTTAAATTCTTATATTCTCAACCTACATTTTCCTACACATTATTGTATATTGTACCTACATATGTAGACCTATATGTAGGTCTTTGTTACATATATTGTATTCTATACAATCTATACAATATTATACTACAATCATACCCTCCGACGTCTAGGAATGTATACACGCTAATTGTCTTAGCGAGAGGGGCCGGGCATAAAGCGTACGTCAGCTACGGCCTCAAGGGCCGACTGGCTGCGTCACTTTGTTCCAGGGTCTGACAGGGGTCCATTCTACCATATATACATGTTGAGATATTATTATTTCTTCAGGATTTTTTTGGGTTTTATTTGGGGTACGTATGCTGTATATCGGTACGGAGTAGATCTTTACAATAATATTGCATACAATATTGAATATAGTACGTTCATACAGAGTACAGCCGTCGAGATCGGCAATTGACAAAGATAGTGTAATTCCAACGGGTTTCACCCGAGATGTTGGTAATTCCCTTGTCTGATGTGAGACAGAGTCCGGAGTAAAAGGTCACATATAGTCATAAGGCTGTGACCCAATTGTTCAATTCAAGCCTATCTCTTGACTTCCCCAGCCACCGTAGGAACATCCGAGACACTCGCATCAGCGGGTGATGACCCATAGAGATCGCCAAGCAGCGCCCGCTCTCCAATCCGTTCATCAATAAACTGCGAGCGATCTAGACCAACCATTTCCGCCTCCTCGTGCACGCGCAGCTGCATGCCCGGGATAAACTTCAAAATGTAAAGCAAAATACACGATACCGTGAAAGAGTATACCGAAATCGCACACACCTCCGCCAATTGTTTCCCAACTTGGATCCCGTTGCCGTCAATGCCCCCCGTAGCCTTTGTTGTGCCGTCCAACGCTGCAATAGACCCCGACGCAAAAATTCCTGTTAGAAAGGCCCCCACCATTCCACCAATACCGTGCAGCTTAAATACATCCATACCCTCATCGATGTGGAGCCACTCGTTGATGTCTTGTAGGAGTGCACAAATGACGCTGGTTATGAACCCTATTACTGCAGCCAGCCAGACCGACACGAAACCTGCTGCTGGGGTGATCCCAACTAGCCCGGCGATTGCGCCTTCGCAGGCTCCGACCACGGAGAACTTGCCGCGATGCTTGATGCAGTCGACTAGTACCCATCCGAGCACTCCTGTGCAGGCTGCAGTATTGGTGTTGAATGCTGCTAGCATTGCACGTACACTGGCGTTGAGAGCCGAGCCGCCCTAGAAAAGAAAAGGTTAGACTAAATCCAACAGGGGAACAAGTCACATACATTGAAGCCAAACCATCCAAACCAGATCAATACAGTCCCCAGGAAAACCAAGGTCGTGTTATGAGGCTTTGGGTGGGAAGGTTGATCAATATTCTTTCGCTTCCCCAGCACAAAAGCATAAGCCAAAGCGGACCATCCAGACGCGATATGGACTGGGCCACCGCCGGCGAAATCCAATGAGGGAAGGTTATACAGCCATCCGTTGCTGTTCCATGTCCAACAGGCCAGCGGACAATAAACAACGGTCGCCCAACAGAAACTAAAAATCAGCGAGGGAATCATGTTGCCTCGTTCGAAGGCTCCGCCCACCACAATCATAACCTAACATTTGTCAATTTTATTCCACAAGACGAGTTGTGTCGCTTACCGTGCACGCGCAGAACAAAAGTTGATAAAAACAAAACACGATCTCAGGCAAATTATCGGATCCAGGAGATGGCGCCGCCATCACGTCTTTCAACCCAAAGTTCTTCAGCGTTCCGATGAATGGACTGGCATCTCGCGCATAGGCTAGTGAATAGCCCCAGAACATCCACTGGACTGTTGTTCTAGATAGCTTGTCAGTGCGATGCTTAACTATTAAGAGGCTGAACATACACAGCCACGACCATAAAGGACTGGAAGAGCAACGCTAATGCGGATTTCCTTCTCGCAAGACCACTGTACAAAAGACCGATGCCGGGAATGATTAGCCACACTATGAAACCGCAGAAGACGATGTAGACATAGTTCCACTCCACGCCGGCGTATTGGGCGTTGACGTCGACTTTGAGTGGATCACCGCCTGATGGGGTAGATGCATTGTATACTGGCTGTAACTATGTTAGAAATGTGTGGGTGTGTTGTCGATTTGGTCAGTATACTTACGGCATCGGCCATGGTGATAGCCTAGAGAAATTTGTTTCATAGATTCATAGCTTCGGTCCACTTCATATATCTACTCTAGGTCGTGGTGGGCCTCATAATAGCTAACGGGACTACCAAGACTCTTATCTTTATTCTGACAAAAGCCAAGAGCTAGGGCAGTAAACCTATACGAAGACTTCTTGTCAAGAAAATATAATGAACGCCTATATTATGACTATATTGACTGCCAGAGTCATGATAGGAGAGCTTGCTCGGATCCGATAAGAATCAATGTTGTCTCACTATCCAATGGCATTCCGTGTTGAAGTTGACCCCGGATCTTACATCCATCTACGGTTTAGGCTGTGAACTAGTACATACATGTATGTATCCATCTACTTCTTGGCATCATTTGGTTAGCCCCCGTACAATGTACCCATATTGATAACTAATTAATAGCGAAGATATTCACCACCTTCCGATCGTCCATAGACTTAACGCATTGAAAGCGAAATCGCTCAATATCTTCCGCTGGCAAATTAAGGCCCAAACCTTTGCTTGACAAGCCAGGTGGTCCTCAGAGAATCCCTTTGTATCACCGCGGATGTTCTTCATCATCGCCTCAGTCGCACCCGTACATTTCCACACATCCCCACTTGTCTCGGTGCATTGCAGTCCTTTGGTTCATCTAACCACACCGACCGCCTCATCCACACCCGCATCCACCATCAGATGACAGGTCATCCACATATCCTCCGTATTCGAGTCTTTTTCATTTGCCTTCTTGATGTACTAAACCAGGTAGCGAGTCTTGTCCCTATTCTTTGGCTGCGGCCTCTGCTTAGGCTTGGGTGCCACGGGCTTGGGTTTCACGGGCTTGGGTTTCACGGGCCCGTCCCTCGAACAGCTCTCGGTTTTCATGTCGTATTTCACCAGTTGGCCCATGAAATCTCCGATGCAGGCCACCTTGAACATTGATACAGATCCTTTGCACTGCAGTTAGGTCCGATCACACTCTTGGGACAGTGAAGCGGTCGCAGCTTTGAGAGCTGCATCCTTTCCAATCGCTTGGGGTGCAATCTCCCTCACAGTCGGACCCGAAAGGCTGTTTCTTCGCTTCCAGGAAAAATTTTTTAAATCCATCGCTGGTGTTGGATTGGTCGCTGCCAGTGGTGTAGAAGTTGACATAACCGGGATATCCAACTCACTGCAGCAGGAGACTGTTCATATATCGTATATATACCTTTCGTCTTCGTCCCATTATTTCCTGCTCAGAATTTTTTACCCCTGACATCACAATAATCGTCAAATAAGGGCCATGATCCAGAAGCTGAAGTTCATATTGGTGAAAGTGATGTAGTACAAGGAGCAATTAGATCTGCAGCCCTATATGGGATCATCGATGATGTAAGGGGTCTCGGTTCTCGGATCGGGCCTTGATACATATCAGTCACCTAGCTCCACATCCCCTTGTACTACCCTAAAACTTCTTTCAATTCCACAGCCATTGAAGACACTGGGAACATTATGCCACATCCGAAACATGATGCATAGCTCATCCTTACATGGTCGATGGTCAATATCGAAAGACGGAGATACGTCGATAACTCACAATATACGTCATATATTGTTCTTTCCAGACTGTCTAGGTACCTTCATATACTAATTCACCTTCCACTGGTGTTTGTACTAGGAAGGAGTACTCCGTACCACAGTCGTCCTACTCCCTACTACATGAAACATTCACATAAAGCTCCTGGATATATAGCCAAAAGTTTTGAAAAATTTCTCGGGAGGTCATTACTTAAAAGCAACACGCATACATATTGGACACGTGTATGTTATGGATGTTGGAAGACATTAGATTCTTAAACTCTAATCACATGTTTTCCATAGGAACAAACCTAGGAACAAACCTTAGAACCCGCCAGAATCCATGGATGTGATTATGATCTTACAAGGTACCCTTAGAATTTATATATATCTCTCTTCTCACTTAGCTCTCACTTAACTAGTGAGATCATAGCTATATATTAACAATATGACCAAAGCGGAGACATTAATGCGGGGTGAATCTGAGACATGCGATAATGGTTTGTTTTTACCTCGAGGTACCGCTTACTTTAATTACCCTTTATATAGATTCACTTTGTCAGCCCTGGAATAGTTATTCTTAGTATAAGCAATTAGCTGTAAGCCGTCTCTCCTCCCTAAGTAGGTTTTCCGAGCTGTACTAACTCCTTTATTCCGTCCAAGAATACCCAAGCATTCACGAAAATGTGTTTCTAAACCCCCACTACCCACAGATAAACCTATCCTTTGTAGATGCAGAGAAATAAAAATAACAGAAGCATTAGCCTTGATCCGTGTGGATCGCGGTCACATCAGTAAATCCCGAAGCAGTGGCTGTGCAGATCACCAAAGAACTGAAGTCACTGGCGGGGTTTGGTGGATCAGAAATGGAGTACTCCGTCACTACTCCAGATTCAAGGTCTTTTGGAGAGGTCAATGCTGAAATTCTCTTCGAATTCATTGGGGCTCCGTTTCATTCTCATGCTTTCAGCCCTATAGATCTTCAGCCGTCTTGGAGGCTTAGTAGGATAAGAATAGAAATTGGATCGTTGTGGCTGGGCTGGGGGCGGTTATATTGTCGGCCATGTTGGCAATGCAAGTAATGCATGCAATGTTAATCAAGGACATAATTCACAGCCACAAGGGCAAGTTGAAACACTGTTTTTAGATTTTGAAATGAGCCTCGTCCGTACATGCATACATAGTCCTTATTTTTAAGTCTAGCGTAGATGCATTAAGGTTGTAGATGGAGTAAGAAAAAGATCATACCATGATTACTGAGGCTAAACTTGAAGCTGACTATTGTGGAACCATTTTCACATCCCTGACTAGTCCTCTAATTTCATTAAAATCACTCAAATCATTCCTGTTATTTATCACATTAATTTCATTCTAATTTGGATGTGCATATGAATATTCCAAGTGGGTGCGCCCGGCGCTTGTTCACTTCCCCTTCCCGACAACTCTTCGCTAATACTTTTTGATCGTCGGTCTTTCCCCCCCCCAATCTTTTTTATTTTCTTACACTTCTCTAATCTTTCCCATTAATTCATTTAAATAGGTCTTCAGCCTAATATATAGTACTGGAGGTACAACTATTTTGTTTAAAGAAAGGAGACACCCCCCCCCCACATCTAACTCAATGAGTACCTGATCGACCCTACCTATCAAAGTCTCGGACCTTTGGTTTTGTGTTCGCGGGGAGGCTCAACAACGAACACACGAACATGTCGCCCACTTCGAGCGTTCAGAGGCACGCTCTTCCATGTGCCCCGGATCCCTATCTCTCAACTACATCTGATCCAGAAGAACTTTCCTTTCAAGCCAGCGCGATTCGTCTTACACCTGTCGGAAGTCCACACAGTAGGCCGGGTTCATCCCCTCACGCTATTGACCCCACAGTTCAGCCGAGCTATTTGGACCTCAACACGTGTACCTCCCCTCTCTCCGAGCGAGTTTTTATTAAACCAGAGGATATCGAGCTGGGCAATCCGAGCAGGTGGAGAGATGACAGCTATTCATCACACAAGAGTGAGGCCAGTGCGACTGTTGATCCCATTTGGTCTTCACCCATGGCGCCAAGCGCCTTCCCGTGGCACGGAATGAGCTCCGAAAATCCAAATTCATCCTCTACATTGACAGGCCTGGAGTCCCATGGTAATCACGTGCCAACCGTTCATAATGTAGAACCATCCCGATTTGCGCCTTCAGTCCAGGAGTCGGACGTGCTGAATTCAGGTGAAACTAGAGGGAGAAGCCCAGTTATCAAATTTACCAAGTTCTCTCGAGGCGATTCCCCCAACGAACGCAACATACACCAAAAGCGAATCAGTCAGTCATCGGGACATTTACTTGTGGACCCCGACGAGTCGGGAGACGACCATGATGGCCGATCAACCTCACCGGCGCCCTTGAAACGATCCAATGACGGCACGTGGCCTGAAGATTCATCCAAACACCACCCATCGGGCATTGAACCGGGTTCCCGCGATGATCAATACGTGCCAAGTCCGAACGACATCCACCTCCACAGAGTAAAAGAAGAGAGAGATGGGGACATCAAATCCTGGTCTGTCTGTGTGAGTGAAGCTAACAGTGACGCGGGAGGCTCGCCTAGGCCCCCGCGCCCTCGGCTACATGTCCCGAGGAGAGTGCGAGCAAGAAGCACTGGAGATAATCCCCTGGCACGAGAGGATTATTTCACCCTCAACTCTCACACTGGAGACCGATCGTATCCTGGACCGGGTATCTTGGTCTATGAAAGCAGTGACAGCCTGAGCGAAGACGAAGAGAGTATCGGCACATATTCGGACGAGACGTCAGCGGAGGTTGACGATCCTGAAAGATATGATCGCAGCACACCTGAAGTTTACTCATCGTTCTCGCCAACCAAAGCAGATGAGAGTATCCGTCTGTATCCCTGGCATGATCCCCCACGCGACCCAACACCCAGATCGCACGCCATGCAGCCGGATAGCTCCACCGACGCTATGATAGCCTTTGAGAGGCGCGTACGAGACCTCGAGACGGCGTCTCTCGCAGCAACAGTCGATAACAACAGCATTTTCAATGTGACCACTTCCCTCGAGAACTTCTCTTTGGACAGCAGGGATCAACCGAGAAAGCGAACGAGTCTTCTCAGGCGTCCTTTCCTGCAAGCTTCTTCGATGTTGAAGCGGCAAGCGTCCGACTTGTCGATCGGTCATGGCAGCACTTACCCTGGACTTCAGCGCGATACCGAGGACCCCCAGGTGAAACAAAGTCACTCACCGCGTAACCCATTCTCGAACCGTCGCCATTCGCGATCGCCAAGCTTGAGCAACGCGCTGATGGCAATGACTAGTCAGATAGCCAGTGTTGGTGGTAGCCAGCCTGTCCGAGCAGTCCCGCCTGCACCATCTCCACCAGAGCGGAGTTCTACGAAGCTCCACCAGTTCACCGGCCGAGGTCGAAGCAGAAGCGAAATCCCTCGACCAAGTAGCCCGGGCCTGATCAACCTGATGACTGCCCACGGGGGACCACCAGTTCCAAATATTTCGTCTCCTCGTGCCAGTCACGAGGCGGCTCAGACACCTACCAGTACACTTCTAGACCCGAATACCGGAGGACCGGAGGACGAGCATGACATTGACATGAGCGACATGAAAGGGGTGGCCATGGATTTCCCTGCCATCCAGAGTCTCCCCGTTCCAACTTTTGAAGGGTTCAGATCACAGATCATGCAAATGAACCCCAGGCTGGAACCGGCTCTTATTCACCGTCTCGCAAATGAGCAAGATCGCCGATACAGACTTCTGGTTGGCTTGCAACAGCACCACGCACACGCGGCTGCCAACCGGTCGTGTAAATCTGCAGATTTCTGTTTTGCTCAGGGTGGCCAAGAATCATTATTGCAGGACCCCACGGCCTCGGCCGAGACCGAGGCCGCACAGATTCAGTTCCGCGTGAGCAACTTCACCGACGGCCACGAGCAAGTATATGCGATCGGGGAGGATGCGGGAACCGCGGCTCAATTTCCCCCTGGAGTCCCCTCTCCGCCAGTCAAACGTCTCCCCGCCCGCTTCGAATGTCCGATCTGTTTCCAAGTGAAATCGTTTAAGAAACCATCCGACTGGTCTAAGCATGTCCAGGAAGATGTGCAACCTTTCACCTGCACATTCCCCAATTGTAATGAGCCCAAGTCCTTCAAGCGTAAAGCAGACTGGGTGAGACATGAGAATGAGAGACATCGACACTTGGAGTGGTGGACCTGTGCATTCCACGAGTGCAATCATATTTGCTATCGTAAAGACAACTTCGTGCAACATTTGGTTCGAGAACACAAAATGCCCGAACCAAACAACAAGAAAAAAGGCAGTACGACCGAAGAGAGGCCGAGTAGCCGAAGGGAGCAAGACCTTGAGCGATTATGGCAAATGGTCGAAGAATGTCGGCATGAGACTGACCGATCCCCCCAATCAGAGCCGTGTCGCTTCTGCGGGAATGTCTGTAACGAGTGGAGAAAGTTGTCAGTCCACCTTGGCAAGCACCTGGAACAGCTAGCCATGCCTGTCCTCCGATTATCAAAACCTAGTGCCCCGATCCCTGTCGTCCCTGTCAACAATCTAGTGGGGCGATCGGCAACACCCCTCGCTCCATACTCAACACACGAAACGTCTCTGCAGCCGCAGTATGCGCCTCCAAACGTTAGCAACCCCCTCAACCCGCTTGACTACTCCATCTCTGGCACCGAACTTTCTATGGAACCAGACTCTATGTCAGAAGAGTCCCTTGATTATCGGTATCTTGGTTTCCAGGGTCCACATCCGGCTCAGGAGCAGGCCCAGACCCAGACCCATCCCCTGCATCAAAACTCGACATATCCACCGCTTTTTAACGCCGTTCCGCGCCCGAGTTCCCCGGAATTGAGTGCTATTCACTCATATCCTGTTCCTCAATTTCGGGTCTTCCCCGCGGACTACTACCAGCCCGTGGAGGCGAATATTCCTTACACAGCCACTTATTCTTCTGGATAATTCTCGGTTCATTAGCCCTCTTTTGTCTTTCTTATTTATTTTCCCTTGCTTATTCCCCCCTTTCTTTTTGCATCAGCTTTCATCGCAATAGATGGCGCAATGTTGGAGAGTTATGCGAGACCACTTATTTAGCTATGATACAACACATTCTCATTTTGGCCCCATTTTCTGTACTGCGTAATTTACCAATACATTTTGCGGGATTTCCGTGTTCTCTCAAGCACAGCGTGCTAAATGTGCATGGCATATGAGAGATCAGATTATGTTTTGACTTTACCTTTTCCGTACTAGTGTCCCGGGCTAGGATCACACGGTTCCACGGTTCGTACTATCAACTCGAACTATAAGAACTCGATTATTTTTCCGTATACTCCCTCCAAGATAGTAACTTGAAACTTGAAACTTGAAACTTGAGATTGGAGGACCTTTAATCAAACATGTCTAATTCCGAAACGTGATAGATCTCGTATAACGTGCACATTTCATCCCTTGCACCATGCCGATCGTCTACTGTCATAGCCAGATCCATAAGTCCTTGCTTCCGCCTCCCTTTTGGAATATTGTCATGCATGCCTCGTGCAGGAACGGCTTAGCTGTGTGATTGTGATACGTGTGTGCGTGGTAAGAACCTGAACCCGGGTGATGAGATCGGGGATCCGGGAGGTGGGGGTGATCTACTTTTGGTGGTTCTTTCTTGTAAGACCATACCGTACAATATTTGATGATCTTGATCACTAGTCAATATTCGCGCAGCACTGATATCGTCATAATTATCATATTTTGAATCCCTGTTACTGCAATATGGTGGTCGAATAAAGCATTAAGCATCAACCGTAAAGCATATTTATGGGGGCTGTGCAATCAAGGGATGACATGTTGCATTCCACGCTTACAACGCTTACACGCGAGGGCACGCGAGGGTGAACTTAGTCTCTTGCGCTTTTAGTATAATGTATTCCATTTTTATAATTATGCCTCGCATTCTAACCCTTGACTCGCTATCGCGTGGTGAAGTCGGCTCGGGGCGAAGTGGAGCTTGCGTGTCTCTCGCGTGTGGTGCTTTTTTGTGCGTGCGTAGGTTTTGGCATTTGCATTACGTTGTAAGCTGTTCAATTCTTTAATAATGCCCCTCCCGCTGATTCTGAGGTGTGTGCGTTTCACTACTTTTGACTTTCTTTACTTCACTCATTATGGAGGTTCGTTAACTAGTGCTTACCAACTTCCCACTAATAGAAACCAAGTCTAACTCCACCAGGACCCTCAAGATTGGACTGACTCCACTGATGTCCTTCAAGGCATCATGTTTCATGATAATGATGTCAAATCTTCCTTTGAAGGAAATATAGATTTGCAACTTGGCTCTCTCGACCCTTCCAACTCCTTCTGGTCTTCAAATCAATATTATTCATACTCCCGAACAAGCGATCAAGATGCTTGGAATCCGTTGCTGGTCACTGGTGTTCCTACCTCGTCGATTCCGCATATGAGCATGCCCGTACCCGACCAAGACTGCTGCTACTCTCAACATCACTATAGCGAACCCTCCGAAAATGGCAGCCAATATGTGGACAACTACCACTCTGCCGACTCGGGTTATGGAGGAGCCAGCTGTGCGACACAGTCGGTCGTCACTTCTAGCTATGGTGTTGAGTCGAGCCCACATAAGGATGCGTCGGAGGCCACTTGCGATCCTCACTTCGGCTCCGGGTCCTCGTATACGTCCGAATTTGTCGGGTCGCCGTCTATGTATGACACATCTGTGCGGTGTGATCATGCTACGTGCTCTTGGGTTGGTAAATGTCCTTCGGATAAGAGGTATGTTCTTTGATTTCTTTGTTGGAGGTGACTGCAAAAGACTGACATTTGCAGGAAACACGAGGCCCGTCATCGCAAGCTTTTCGTATGCGATGAGCCGAATTGCCCGCGCAAAGAAGGGTTCGGAACTATCAATGACCTCGCTCGTCATAAGAAGTGTGTACACAACAAGGAACCGGAGCGCGGTCCCAAGATGATGTACATGTGTTTTGGAACAAACTGCCCGCGTCCAAACAAGCGGTGGCCACGCTTGGATAACTTCAAGCAACATCTGAACCGAATGCATCACGACGAAGATGGAGGCTCACTATTAAAGATGTGAGTTCACTATGTGTACTCAGTCCTGGGAAATACTAATCCGCAAGCAGGTCTATGGACTGGTATGAGAAGGTCATCGGTCGATCCGGACAGAACTTCGACGACCACACCTCGCACGATGAATCGGTATTCGAAACACAGGAAGACATGGCCACTGTTCACCCAAGCATCGAGCTCGAGCCAGAGAATCTCATGTCCCAACAAAGAACCGATATCTTCACATTTGGCACTATCACACCCACACCCACACCTCAATACAGCACCTCAGCGCCAGGCTCCGATGCATCTCAATTTCCAGCTTTTGGCTCATTGGGTCTAACAGAGCAGGAGGCCTCGACGGACCGCAGCGCAAAGCCAGAAGGATCCATCACAGATGCAGCCGACAACCTGATCAATGCCATGACGAAAATGATGCACAACCGCGGGCGGAAGTCAACTCAAAATTTGGATGAGGGCATTGATCTCGATTCAGATGCTCACCTCTCCCAACCCCAACGCCAAATGCTACAAAAGGTCCTCTCGGTCGCTCTAGAGCGCCTGTCCGACGATAATGAATCCACCCACGACCCAAGCGAAAAGCAAGGCTGGTTCCAATGCGACGCATGTCCAAAGCGAACCCGATTGCGCTGCGAAATGAAGTAAGCCATCCATCCACCACTCTCTCAAGTATCACTCCTAACGTATAACAGAAAACATCAGAAACGCCACGAACGTCCTTACGGCTGCACCTTTCCCCACTGCGCAAAGTCCTTCGGCAGCAAAGCCGACTGGAAGCGTCACGAGAGTTCCCAGCATCTCGCCGTCCCCAGCTGGCTCTGCACGGTCCACGATCCGCGCAAAGGAGCAAATTGCGAGCGCCTCTTTTACCGGCCGGAAGTATATACCCAGCACGTGCGACAACATGGAATACCAGAATATCAAGTTATCGCTTCGGTGACGAATAATCGGCTTGATTTGGCTGGCCAGTCAGATTTCTGGTGCGGGTTTTGTAATCGTCGGATTCCATTGAGTCATGGGCCCGCGGCTTCGGATGAACGGTTCAATCATATTGATATTGAGCATTTCAAGAAAGGGGAGAGGGGACAGGATTGGTCTTCGCCTTTGCTTGAGATGGATTGCGGGGAATTGGACCGCAAGGCTCCTGGGCGAAAGCGCAAATTTGCGGCTGCATGACGGGTTGGACTATTATAGAGCTCCTTTGCATGGTTTTTGGATAGCGATTTTCTTCCCTTGCGATTGCAGGTTGATCTTATTATACGGGGCTTTGACGAACATAATATACAGGTTTTCTTTTTTTTTCCCCTTTATTTCTTAGTCTCGGTAATTTCCCGAACCTCTTTCTCTAGCACGGCAACTTTCTCTGGGAAGACATTAGTAAAGTTGATAACAAATTGAATTCATCCTTTTAGTTCTCACCATTCTTCTCCACCTTGGTCTCGTCCATCTCCAATTTCAACCAGGTCCAATAAAGGACTTGGTAGACGAACACGCCGCCCAGGAAGACCTTGGCAAAGGGGCCGGCGAAGGATCGATATTGGTTCATCTAATCAATTAGCAAATTTGAATTTTACAGAGCGAAGATTAAGTTATAGATTTACCCCTTCCTTGTAGGCACTTGGCTTTGCAGATGAAGATGTGTTGAATGTGGCTGTGGAGGCGAAGGAGCGCCGGGTGATGGGTGCCCGGATAGACTGAAGAGATACCATTGCCGGTGTAAACCGACGAACTGATTGTGAAAACATGATTATTTTGAATTGCTGTATAACTTGCTGAAGTTGATCAAAAGAAGAAACCAAAGGGTGATTGATGTCGAACTTCGCGGTCCATTTCGGGTATAGCGTACTTGGCATTGATGCCTGGGGTGTCTATTGCTCTCTTGTCATACTGAGATGTTTTTGTATACTTGGCCAGATACATTGGCAGTATGTCATGCTATCCTTGATCAATTGCGTAATGGATCAAATTCCGATTCTTGTACTATGTATTCATTGTGTTTATCAAAAAAAAAACTATGGGCACTCTTCGGAATCTCGGAAATCCCCACATTCAGTAGTAGATAAGCATATCTAGGTAGATTATCACACGAACATGGTTATCTATTACTAGTGGAATTCATGTGTGAATGGCTTGTGGCAAACCGGGCATCGGAATACTCAGTTGGAGACAATGGCATAAATATGGAGGTAAGTTGTCGTTAACTTACGCTGTTTGATTCCGGCCTATTCCAGCATTGGTTCATACAACTTGCAATGGACAGCAACGCCAAGAAGAAGACTGAAAATGTCAGCCTATCTGCCTATCAGGATGAAGGCGAAGGCGATGTCAGTGAGCTATTGCTGAAGGTAAATTAGTGATGGATCATCAAGAAGCAAATATCTTGATCTGACCGTCCCCCGCGAGCAGCAAAACTACTCGCCTTTGACAATATTGTCAATGGCTGCAGTACTGATGGCAACATGGGAAGCATTGTCAAGGTAGGATATTCACAGATCGTTACACCGAATAGTGCCGATGCTGATCCAACGGTGGATAGTACAATGGTGTCGGGGCTGGTTAGCGGAGGACCAGTATCTCTATTCTATGGATTTATCGGTAAGTTTGAAGACTCTTCGGCTTTGGCCTATTTTAACTTTGCTCCACAGTCGCTTTCATCGGCTCTGTATCGACAGCGGCATCGTTGGGCGAAATGACCTCAATGTTAGTAGTATACTATAGTGCTGTTCCATCGAAAGGCCAGGGTATCATCAACTAAATGTCTTAGGTACCCTACTGCCGGTGGACAGTATCACTTTATTGCAAAACTTGCTCCGACCGGTTGGCAATATGTACTCAGCTGGTTTACAGGCTGGATAGGTATGATTGAACATATTTCTGCAGGTTGAAAGATAGATACCACATTTCGGTTGAGCTAACTACTGCGTTAAACCCTAGGAACCTTTGGCTGGGTCGCATTTACAGCCAGTGCCCCCTTTTTAGCAGCAACCATGGTCCAAGGCCTTATAACCCTAAATGTCGAATCTTATATTTCCCACCGTTGGCACGGAACATTGATATACTGGGCCCTTCTGCTAGCGTCAAGCGGGATGAACATTTGGGGGACTAGACTGATGGCTCTGGTTGAGAACGCTTCTCTCATCATCCACGTGGTCGCTTTTGCTGTGATCTTCGTGGTGATGTGGGTTTGTTCCCCGAGCAAGCACACTACAAGTTTTGTTTTCACTCTGTTCCAGAATAACTCCGGGTGGGAAAGTGATGGCGTGTCATGGAGTATCGGGATGCTTTCAAGTTGCTATGTTCTAGCTGGTAAGTAACCGTCATGCTTCGATGGAATGCGCGTTGACTTGGCGATAAGGATACGATGGTGCGATCCATCTGTGCGAGGAAGTGCGGACGCCAGAGATTTCTGTTCCTTGGTGTATGCTAGGCTCGCTTGGAATCAACGGTATCTTGGGTTTCGCCTTTCTTTTGGCAATCCTCTTTTGCATGGGAGATATGGATGCCGCACTCAACTCCACTACCGGATTCCCGATTATTGAGATCTTTCACAGTATCACCGGTAGTTCTGCTGCTGCCACCGCTATGACCTGTACTCTCATTCTCACGGCAGGATTGGCTACAATTCCGCTAATGGCATCTACATCCCGAATGCTTTGGTGCTTGGCTCGAGACAAAGGTCGGTCTTTTTTTTCTTCATACGTATGATGCATTCTGCTTACCGTGATCATAAACATATGCAGCCTTTCCCTTCTCAAATCTACTTTCAAGAGTAAGCGAAAGAGACAGAGTCCCAATATGGTCTGTGGCAGTTGTTTCGGCCTTCCTCGTCATTCTCGGTTTGGTCAACATTGGCTCAACTACGGCTTTCAACGCGATTCTCTCCCTGGCCGTATTCGGACTTCATATTTCTTATTTACTCCCGGTTGGATTTATGCTATGGCGCCGTTTGTGTACACCGGAAGTTTTGAGCTATGGGCCATGGAGGCTTAAGGGATTTGGTGTGATTGCCAACACTATCTCTGTTGTTTATTTGTGTTTTACGTGCATTTTCATGCTTTTCCCATCATACCAACCCGTTACAGCCATGAACATGAACTACGCATCTCTGATCTTTGGAGCAGTTCTGATTTTCAGTTTGATTTACTGGGCCTGGAAAGGTCGCAAGGTATACAAAGGGCCAATTATGGAGAACTCCCTCTAGGTGGAAAAGAATTGGAAGTAATATGCTGCACGTGGCTGTGTGATGTACTCTTGACAATCAACGCACAAGCGCGGAGTGATTTGATTCGAATTTTTGCCAGACTAAGATACAGATTTAGTTGGATGCAAGGGCTTTCAGTTTTCACTTTCCTATGACTGTCGCTTGTCTTGAAATTTAACAACAAAGACAACAAAACCAATCAAGTAAGAGACTTAATCATGCTTCAAAATTTTTGAAAGGAGGCGGTCGCACGCAGTAAGACTAGACGGGACTTTAACTCTTTCTCCAAGATATACGACTATCCATTGACATAAGGTCTCACTGAATACAAGTCTTTGCGAAGTAAAAAATTCTAGATCTGAAGGCTCTTCATCACGCACTATAGAAAACTGCATCTAATCAGTCACAATAATCAGAGCTTCTGCAGCTACATAACGCTCCTAACATTGCATCTTTACTTTACAAGCTATTGTAAAAAGAACACTTGAAGCTCACAAATATACTCAAGTCCTAAAATACACCCGTCGCCCTTTCTGATGCTGGACAGCGAAAAAAGAAGAAAGCTTGCGTCTAATCGGTCATCACAACAAGAGCTTGCCCAGATTGCAGAACAGCCAGAGCTCAGCATTTTAGACAGCACATTTCCTGTTTCTGCCGAAGAAGCTTCAACGTCCCAGATGTCATCGAGCCGACAGTCCCTTCAGCAGCCGCCACACGAGAAAATGTTCAAGAAGCACGAGAAGAATGATGCAGAACAAAATTCTCTAGTTGAATGCTGGCTGGTGGGGAAAGAGTAGGGAAATGGCCGAAACAATGGCAGAATGGGAGGATGTGAATTCGAAAATGAAATTATGAAATACTAATCATTCTCATACAATACTATGGTTCTCTGAATGGTATCGACAGCAATTCAAAGAAGCATGGAAATTTACATAGGGTTGTAGAGGAGTGGAAAAACAAATAGGTATAACTCATTTTCATAAAGGGCGGCAGCAATGTCAGGGCAATTCACTACATAGATACCAATTTTCGGGTCTAGAAGCAAACAATTTTGGTGTTGATTATGGGTATTCTCGTTGCTGAAGCGTTCAATCCGATATATATCAAGATATAAAAGCCCACGTTCATTCCAAGATTATAGATAAGATCGGCCCCACGCGCCACGCTGAGTCAGCGGCACATGATATCAGGTTCAAAGTGCCAAAGGAAAAAAAGGAACGGCGAAACCGCGAGAGGCCAAAAATAACAAAGTGCCTTATTCTCGTCTTCTTCATGTCCCTGATCGCTCTTTAACGTCGACTGTCATCCCAACGTTCTATTCATATTTTGCCCCCTCTGTCGCTGTTTTGAGCAGAATTGGGGTTTAAAAATGACAAAAATGATCGATTCAATAATTTTTCAAGGTCAACAAATCCTTTCAATAGCTCTGATTCATGGGGAACATTATTGACGTGAATGGAGAGAATGGGGTATTGAAGCAATTCAATGAGTGGCCCGTGCGCTTTGTTGACTAATGGGGGGCCAGCCACACAGTGGCTGATGCATTCAGATGAGCGCGAGTCCTTTGCCGCCCTTCTTCACCTGAAAAGAGACTGAAAGACATTGAAACATTCGAGGTCCCCATCGTTTGCTACATTTGTCAATTGCTCTTTGTACGTTGGTCTGGGTTGATTGCCCTTTGTCTTTGTTTTCCCACGCGTTCCCGAGTCCGTGAGACCTTTCCATCTCTGATTGCGCTCCACCGTGCCGTCTCCGCTAACCTATTGATCAGCAATTGTCCGGAGGCTTCAAAGTCATTATTGTGTTAGGCAGTCTATTTTTCTTTGATCGGGTGGTCCAGCAGTTGCTGGCAACAACTGAGCCATTTGTAAGTGTTGACCCTGCCCGCATCACGCATCCCAAGGTTCATCTTTTTCTGCCTCTTTGTCTCTTGCTTCCTATCTCGGTCTCTGCTGTCATTCAATTATCCTTCACTGTGGCTCTCATGATGGATTTCTTGTGCTAACTGTACCATTCTGAAGTGATCCCCCTATCAACCAACACTGCGCCATGGCTCGTAGTTCAAAACGCACCCTTGAGGAGGTCGTGAACAAGTCCGACTCCGATGACGAGGACTACAACGATCGCGCCCATTACTCACGTTCGACCGGCCGGAAGTCCAAGTCAAGCCCCAAGAAAAAGTCGCGCCCGCCCGCCAAGAAGAGACGACGCGATTCTGACGACGGTCTCACCTCTGATGAGGAAGAGTTATCCGAAGATCTGTCTTTTGACGAGGCGGAAGAAGATTCGAGCGATCCTGATGTCCCACGAAATGCTAGAGGAACGCGTCGGCGAACCACTCAAAGCCACCGACCAACATACGAGGAACCCGATTCGGAGGAGGTACTCGAGGATGACGCCGAGGAGGCTCAAGCTACGCCTCCACGCAAGAGCAATGTCCTCAGGTTGAGATTGCCGCGTGGTGCTTTGCAACAACCAGCGCAATACCTGGAATACAAAAAACGTGTAACCCGCGGCACGCGTGACGCCTCAGAAGACATCTACGCCCTCACCAACTCTGGTCGTCACGTGGAAACCGTCCAGCGAGGTACAGTTAGCCCAGAAGCTGATATGCCATTGCGCCGCGCTTCCCGGACTGGCCGTCTGGCTAAGCGTACAGTGATCGACGAAGAAGATGAAGATGAAGAAGCCGAAGCCGAAGCCGAAGAGGTTATCAACGAAACTACTTTGAAGGATTCAATGGAGGCCGTGGATAGCGATCTACTCCATGGCGGCGAAGGCGATACATTGCAGATAAACGATGCTGAGCATGACTTGGTGGACGAGGAAATGGCTTACGAAGAAGTTGTCGTCCCCGAATCGGAAAACGGCGATGCAAGAAACAGCCATACTGAACCAACCGATGAAGCCCCAACTTCCCGGCTTCGAGGCAGATCCCTCCAGGCGCAATCTCACGAAGAAGTCACTGAAGACACAGAGGCAAATGAAGAAGCTCAATTACGTAGATCTAGCCGAAAACAGCCATCTCGGAGCTCTCAACGCAAAACCAATAATGAGGAAAGTGATTTTGAACCGGAGGAAGAGGCATCGAATGATGAAGAAGAGGACTCAGATCCCGAACAACATGAATCTCCCCGCAAACAGAGCCGAAATCGCGAAGAAGCCGAAGATAGCTCTACCAGCCGCCGCCCTGGCCTGCGCAAAAGGAACTTCCAATCCCGCGCCCCCTCCGAAGAAGCAGATGAGATCGCCGAAGAACTGGAAGACCTTCGCCCTGGTCGTCGTGCCCGTCGTCGTGCCAACCAACCGGTTGTGTACGAGAAGCCACGTCGCAACCGGAAAGATGTTGATTATCGCATTATTCGACCCGAACTACAGCCTAACGAAGACTCTGACCACGAAGTGGTTGGCTCTCCATCACGCCGAGGTCGCGGAGGTGGAGGTTGGCAACGTACTTTATTTTCAACCACTGGTCCATTCGGTGGTGGTGGAAATTCGGCAATCCTCGGTGGTCCTGGTGGCCCCGCTGCAGCCGGAGGAGTGGACAGCGATAGCAGTGATGATGAAGGCATGCAACAACCAACCCGCACTGGTCTTGGTCCCAATGGTGCAGTTGCTGCTACACACAACCAGTCGGCCGACACGGCTCAGGCCGCATCTGGCACGCCTGCCAACCTAGGCAAGTTCAATAACAAGCAGGCTTTGGCCGATGCAGATCCCCTGGGGGTGGACATGAATGTCAACTTTGACCATGTCGGTGGTTTGCAAGGACACATTGACCAATTGAAAGAAATGGTGTCATTGCCTTTGCTATACCCGGAGATCTTCCAAAGATTCAAGATAACGCCTCCTCGCGGTGTCCTGTTCCACGGTCCCCCTGGTACTGGTAAGACCCTCATGGCTCGCGCTTTGGCGAACAGCGTTAGTTCGGAAGGACGAAAGGTCACCTTCTACATGAGAAAGGGCGCGGATGCACTGAGCAAATGGGTCGGTGAGGCCGAGCGACAACTTCGACTTCTTTTTGAAGAAGCCCGCAAGAACCAGCCTAGTATCATCTTCTTTGATGAGATTGATGGTAAGTTAGACTCCTCTGAATATGTCGTCTTTTCCATCACTAATAAATTATGTTAGGACTGGCACCGGTAAGATCCAGTAAACAGGAACAGATCCATGCCTCGATCGTCTCAACCCTTCTTGCGTTGATGGATGGCATGGATGGCCGAGGTCAAGTTGTTGTGATTGGTGCTACCAATCGACCCGACTCTGTAGACCCTGCTCTTCGTCGCCCTGGCCGTTTCGACCGTGAATTCTACTTCGCACTGCCCAACCTTGAGGCCCGACGGGCTATTCTTGACATCCACACTAAAGAATGGGATCCTCCGCTCCCAGGAACTATCAAGGATCAGCTCGCGGATATGACAAAGGGCTATGGCGGTGCCGATTTGCGAGCGCTTTGCACAGAAGCTGCAATCAATGCCGTGCAGCGAAGATACCCTCAAATCTACAAATCCGACCAAAAACTCATTATTGACCCCAAGACAATCGATGTTGCCCCCAAAGACTTCATGCTGGCAATCAAAAAAATGGTGCCTTCTTCAGAGCGGTCTACCTCATCTGGTGCGACTGCGCTCCCTCCAAACATCGAACCTCTCCTCCGCCAGCCATTATCTGAAATCAAGTCTTTGCTATCACAAATTCTGCCCCAGCGAAAGAAGCTTACTGCTCTTGAGGAAGCTCAATTTGAAGAGCCAAACGATGGTGAAAGTTTCAGCCGAGAGCTCCTTTTGCAGGAGTTTGATCGTTCACGTGTGTTCCGACCCCGGTTGTTGCTCCGCGGCTCTCACGGCATGGGTCAACAATATCTCGCAGCCGCCTTGTTGCATGTTTTTGAGGGTCTGCACGTGCAAGCATTCGATCTGCCCACCTTGTTGAGTGACTCCACTCGCTCACCCGAGGCCGCTGTCATTCAGCTCTTCACAGAGGTCAAGAGACACAAGCCAAGCGTGATTTACATTCCAAACATCCATTTATGGTCTCAAACAGTCGGACCTGCTGTGATTTCTACCTTTATGGGTCTTCTGCGGTCCGTGCCACCTTCTGACCCTGTTCTCTTGCTCGGAATTCTTGAATCGCAACAAGAGGAGGTTGACGAGGTTTTGTTGAAGAACATGTTTGGATTCTCCAAGAGGAACTTGTTTGATCTACCTGCTCCGAGCCATGAGGCACGACATGAATTCTTCGCAAAAATCATTGAATTCGTCAAAACTCCCCCGAAAGGATTCCCTAACCCAGACAACCGCAAACTTCGTCAATTGGAAGAATTGGAAGTTGCACCCCCGCCTCCCAAGCCTGAGGTTACACTCACCAAGGAGGAACTGAAGGCTCAGAAACGCAAGGATTATCACACCTTGAATCTTCTGAAAATCCGAATTCAACCCATTATGGATCAGGTCAAGAAGTACAAGCGGTTCAGGTCGGGTGTAATTGACGAAGCTCAAATTCGGTACTTGTGGGAAGAGGACAATCCTGATATCATAACCAGCGATCTTCCCCCAGACCAACAAAACATGTTCCGGCCTTATGAGAAAGCGCTTGACAAACACGGTGTGCTGGGTCTTCGTGAAACCTCGACTGGAAAATTCTTCTACAACCTGGAGATTGTGACGATTGAAAAACGTCTCTCAAATGGGTATTACAAACGTCCCATCGACTTTGTGGCGGACATCAAGCGCATGGTCAAAGACAATCGCCAAACCGGTGATCATGAACGCACCCTGCGGTCCAATGAGCTTCTCTCTAATGTGGAGGTTGACATTGCCGGTATTGTTGCAGCTGATCCAGCTCTTATGGCAGAATGCGAACAGGTCTACTTGCGTGAGTTAGAACGCGAGAAAGAGGCAGCAGAGCGTGCTGCACGTGCCCATGAAGAGCGCGTCCAAGAGGAGCGTGCTGAAGAGGAACGTGCCCAGGAAGGAGATGGAGCTGTTTCTGTTCCCGTTCCTGGGTCTACGGATGCACTGCAAAACAACACCGAACAGAATCCAAGTGGCCCAGATCATGCTGTTGATTTATTCCCTGCCAATGGTAATGAGGTTGATGAAAAGAAATCCATATCTCGCCCTTCGACACCTACGAACCAATCGAACTTGAGTTTCGTCAATGGTGTTCATAAAGCCGGTAGCTCAGATACCAAACAGCCTGGTTCCCATGCTGCCGGTGTGAGCAACGGAACAAATGGTGAAGCAGGAGACGGAGACGCCGATGGCGATATCTTCATGTCCAATTCTGATGATCACTCGGGTAGCAAGGACACACAGGGTAGCTCATTCGGACCATCCGCGCAACCAAAGCCTCCATACTCTCACACTGCACCTTCGCAGCAGGTTCGCCGAGAATCTGGGCTCTCTAGCTTCTCTCAGCGAGGCCCCATGACTCCAATGGCTCCTGGTTCCCAGCCTGCCGATTACACCAACGAAGCATCCACTACTCAGACGACTTCTGACAAAAAGTCCTCGGAGCATCTGTCAAATCAACAATATAACACCCAAAGTCCTCATGTCGCAAGAATTGAATTCCCCGACCTCACCTTATACCCAGACCGTGTGACCCAAGAAGACCACTTGCCTGATACTCAACCAAGCCAGAATTCTCCCCGACTCCGGGACAACGCAGACACTCAGGAGAACAGCCTCCTCAATGGCAGCCAATCGCAAGCAAAGCCGCAACCTCCGCTGTTCGATGCGCCGAACTTGTCAGCGGGCAATTCTATCAATCTGCAACCAATCGTCCAAGAAGAACCCCATGAGCCATTCGTCCTTGATCTCGATGTTGTTGAGCGGCTACATGAACAGCTCACCTTGTCGACCAGTGGTTTCTCCGTGGAGCAATTGGAACAGGTCAACACCAATCTAATGGATTACGTGTGGCACATGCGTGGAGAATGGAACCGAACGGTTGTTGCTGACGGTCTTGGAAAAACCTACAATGATGTCCTCGAAGATATGCAGGCGATGCAGGAGATCGGACCCATCAGTCAAACAACCAAGGACATACTAGCCAATCTGAGCTTCTTCCCTTGACAGCTTAAAAGTGGTTTTTCCCTTCTATACCTCTCTTTTTTTCCCTCCCTTTTATTACTCTGTCAATATGTTGACGTGAACTCAATATTCCCCTTTGATCGATGGTTTCCTTTGTGGCGAGATGGATGGATGGAGCAATATGTCTACTACCCAATTTTTTATTGTTTTTTTCTTTCTTTCTTGTTTGTATGATTTCAGTAAGCGCTTCATTTGCAATGTATGTAGACTACGAAAATAATGGTCACAAAGTTCCTCTCTTGAATATTTTGAATATTTTCTAAGTACATATGTAGTTAGGTATTGTAGAAGTCCATCGACAATTCTCATTTCTTGGCTAAACTATTAATGTAACTGCAAGATCCCATATATAAAAAGAGCGAAGAAGTCGAAAGTCGAAAAAAGAAGTATAAATAAGGAAAGGGAAACATGTGACGTGACCCACTAAAACACCCTGGCCTTTCGAGCTTGACCCGCGACTCTCTTTCGCCCTTCCACATACACCACCACATTATACCTTTTAGAATTGGGGATTGCTTTGAATATTGGAATTAGACCTTTATTCAATATCTCCCTAATCCTTATACCAAAAAAAATACAAAAAACAAAAACAACGACAGAATGTTCGACGTAGACTGGCTCAGTCTCGCCGTCCCACTCGCCTATCTAGGCATCCTCTTGGGATCACTCGCCACATTTTCCTCTCTCTACCGCAAGCGCAAGGCCCGTACGTGAATAGCTCTGCGCCTTTTTGAAAGGCTCAATCTTCTCCCTTCCCCTGAACATTGATACCGCATCAGCGTGTCCAATTGCCAATCTTGAAGACTAACGCATCATTCTGAACTTCTATAGAGAAGGCCGCGTCCCTGGAACCATGGTTCCCCGCCCATATTCAGCGCGATATCTACTTCTCTCTCATGCACCTTGAACCAACATCCACACAAGAAAAGAAGGCCCCCGCCATCCCCGACTCCATCTTCAAGGCTGCTCTCCTCCGTCGCGCAGCAGAGGACATCCGTCGCATCATGGCCCTTCGCAGCCAAAAGCAGGCTCTTTCTACATTACTGCAGCGTGGTAGTGTGGGCGATGATTTGTGGCAGCGATTCCAGCGTGCGGAGAAGGAAATGGAAGATGAGGTTAAAGATGTTGTTTCCGAGGTATGATTCTGTCCGGCAGAATGTGAGTCATTGAACATACTAACTTTAAAAAGGCAAATGCCTACGTCGCCGGTTGGGGCCAGACCATCTTCCAGTCCGCTAACGAGATGATGAACAACGATATTTACCGCAAGCGCATGGAAGAGCAAGCTTCAAAGGTGGCCGAGGAACGCAAGTGGTGGGACAAGAAGAAGTCCAGCATTCAGGAGGGTTTCATGAAGGAGTTGGAGGGAAATTCTTCCACAGCGACTAAGACTACCTCTGCTTCAACGACTACTAAGGACTTCGATAGTGCGCCCACGACCTCTGCTGCCCCTGGGGCTTCTGTCCAGGGGAGTGATGACGATGCGGTTCTCGTTGAGGCTGAGACTTCGCCCAATACACCTGCTTCTCCGCCGAGTGCGAAGAAAAAGAAGGGCAAGAGCAAGAAATAGAGGTATTGTTTTGTACTTTTTATTTGAGTTTTGGAACACGTCTGCGAGGTTTGAGATATGGGTCTTGCATTACGAGGAATTACTTTATTATATACCATTTCATCTTCTTGCCTCGGTGTTTGAAATATCATGGGTTTCCTTTTTTTCTTTTTCCATCTGTCGTGGATAAAGTAGAGTAAAGTATGTAATTGGATATAATAATATACATAGCTCCAGTTTTGAGCGTGAAACAAAGCCCTAAACGCCGTTCATGCTTTCAGACTGTCACAACACAAATCAATGTGACAGACATGATTAATTACAGAAGCTTGCTATCGTGCAACCCCAAAGGTGACCCCAAGTCGATCTGCTGAGACAACATCTCCTTCGCCGCGACCTCGAGTTTACCCTCGATTTGGGCAGGGTCCAAGTCATCTGTTTTGCTCAACACAACACGTAGTAGGCTGGCCATGATCTCCATTTGATATTGCTTCATTTCATCTGGATCCAACTGCTCAATACTCAATCCCTGCACGCGCAGGCTTTCGGCTTTGCGGTCACTCAGCAGCTTCAGCAAACGGGTAACTTGGCCGATATTCTCCTTGCTTCGCGGGGTGGAAGACAAGCGGCGGAGACGCCGCTTCGGGGTATCGGCTGGTACACCAGCCAGGCGCGCAACCTGAAGCACGATCATGCGGACCGTGGTTTCGTCAGGTGCAAAACCAAAGACGGATCGCATTGAGTGGATGGCGACGAGTGTGCCAGAGACGTCTTTCGAGAGACAGAAGCATCTTACAATCTGGTCATATAGATTCTTGGACATCTGTTCTTGTGTGGCTTTCTGGTTGGCGGGGGATAACTTCGAGTACCAGGACATCATGTTGGCATATAATTGCCGTGCGGATGGGAAACCAATGTCAAAGGCAGTGCGCCCGCGATCGAATTGGATTTTGGCGCAGTCCCAAAGGCAGGCATATGTTTCCAAGTCGGGCCGGATGGCGACAGACATGTTCTGATATTTGGACCAGAGGGCTCGCACATTTTGTTTTCGGAGTTCGGCGAATAGAAGATGGTTCATGAAGTAGGAATTGGGTCTAATCTGGGCATCTCCAAGGCATTTGACCAGGTATTTGACCATGTCATCATCGCCGCGGCGTGTATAATGTAGAAGGAGAATGGAAAATGTCTCGATGCTTGCAGGTGGAACATCTCTCTGCATGAAACGAGGCATTCGGGATTCTGCCTCATGTGTAACTTGAAGCTTGGGAGAAATCTCGGTTGGTTGGAAACGCTTCCATACTGCATCGATGCGGTGTTGGATCATGGCCCATGCGAGGCGCTCTGCCTTATCGCGCGCAAGTTTGTTTCCTTCGCGGAGCCAGCCCGCAATGAGTCCATTCAAGTGCTTGCTATCCGGCTTGACACCGCGCTCATACATGAGCTCAATGACTAGCGCGGCAGAGTCGACTTCACCCATACCAATAAGCTTCTTCATCCAGCTGGCATAGAAGAACCGGTTCTGGAACCGACGAGGTAAGACCTTAAGTGCAGACAATGAAACTTTGTTTACAGCATGTTCGTCAATGCTCGATGCGTGAAGGTTCCCCGCCAGGCCGAGGGCAGCTTTGTACAAAGCAGTAGAATCATTGGCCGGGTCTTGTCCTGTCACCATCATATCTTTGAAGATTGCAACAGCAGTATCCAATCGGCCCGCCGTAAGAAGGCCAATGCTGACCTGGTCGTAATCTTCCATGGTCATTTCTGAGCCCAAGAATATCTTCAATTGCAGATAAAGGGCCCAGGCTTTTACTTCGGCCTCCTTCCCGGCCAACCTTCCCCATGCTATGATGACTGGGATAAGCACCCGCGGTTGGCGGGTCCGGTCGTTTGCCAGAAAGGCCAGGGCAATATCCTGCGCTCTCTGCGGGTTGTTATCCGCGGCAAACAACCTCACTCCAAGTTTCCAGTATTCTTCTAAGTCCTCTTTCTTTTGAGAGAGCTCGGCCTGGTATGCCTCCCATTGCTCCAAGGCAAGGCTGGTGGCACTGGCGTCATGTAGAGATGCGATATAAAATAAGATTTGGGGCGTAGTGAGTTCTTGTCCGAGTGATTTGGCATCTTGGACTAGAATTTGCAGATGCGTTGATCGTAGAGCCTGATCAGACTCTCCAATTGCTTGCGTATTCCACAACGCTTCCAGTGCCCTCTCGGGCATAATGGTCAAAAAGTCAGGAACGGTCTGCTTGCACCTTCGGTACCATTTCCACAAATCTTGTCGAGACCGCTCGTCGGACATCTTCTCTTGGAATTGTCGTAAAGAATTGTTGAATTTGAGAGCATATGGGTGTAGATCTGCGCCCGCCTTCCTCGCTGCGGCAGACCGTTTTGCTGTGATCATTCTCCTTTGTTTGACGCCATCCTCCCAGTTCTCTTGTTCCATCGCGAGGCCTTCGAATTCTTCCCGTAGCATATCATCAAGCTCTTTGTCGAAAACCTGATCCAACCCAGGTTGGTCCTCGGGATCGGGATTTTCCTCGTCGAACTTTCGAAGAGCTTCTAAAGCAATTTTCCTATCCTCCTCTGGCAGACTCTTGATGAAGGGGCTGTTGGGAGCGAAAGGCCCCTCCTCCAAAACCTTCAATTCCTCCTCAAGCTTCGTAAGCTCTTTTTCGACCCCCTCTCGCTCTTCGTTATCCTCGGCCTCAGGGTCAACCTTCCGCCTTTTTTTGCTGTCGAGCGATTCCTGTTCGTAGAATGTCACTTTGTCGTTGGGTCCGCCATAATCAAGACGCCGCGGAGGTGCGGCGGAAAAGGCCCGGCGTGGAGCGCGTGTCGCAGGGCTGCGGGCGACATGCTGACACCATCGGGCTCCTTGAATAGCCTGGCGCAGCATGAAGTCTATAATCAATCGGTCATTGAACTCGAAAGAGCAGAAGTGGTGATGAAGTGCAGAAGTTGAGATTCGGAAGAGAACCAATTACCGCCTGATTGGGTTTAGCGTGTATCGCGCTTCCGCCCTTGAAGTCATCCCCAGTTGCGACAAGTTTCTCTTTTACAAAGCAACATGGACCAAATTGGGTTTGATGGTGCCTTGGGCTTGTCGAATGACAAGTCTCAGAATTTGGTACGTCTTAGGATCCTGAACTGCAGTGCCGCGCTAACAAAATTTCCCAGGGTGCTTACGTCTACCAACCACCAAAACACGGAAAAGCAGCAGGCGAGCGACCCTCAAAGCGTCGCAAAGTTTCCTCGGGGGCCACCTTGGACGAGAAACGAAATGCACAACGTTTTGTATTGCTTTTAGACGGAGAAGAGAATTCCGAGTCTGTTCAATTGCGATACAATACCTATAAGAAGCTATGGTCAAAGCAGGAGAACAAGATCCAGGTCAGTTGGTCAAATGAAGGAAACTCATGGTACTCAGAGACTTACATAGTCTCCAGGCTATTCTTGAGGATGTTGATGCTGGAGTTTTGACAGACGTCTTGTCCTTTGTTAGAGAAACCTCACCTCAGACGTATGTTCATATTCCAAACGAAACCCACGAATGCATGCTAACGGGGAGTACAGTTGCAATGGATGCATCCCCACGGCGTTGGTTACGGTTGGGTCCAATGTGTCTTCACTTAGCAGACTGCTATCACGGCTTAATGACCAATTGATATCGACAGAAGAGGGCAGTGTGGTGGTACTGGAATCAGGTGATGCTCCTAACTTGAAAACAACATTGAAGAACATCATCCGGGCTACCGTCACCAATACGGATGGCAATGACGGCTACCAAAAGTTCCTCACAGACCGTGCCGTAAGTTTTCATATCACGAAACTCGCGTCAGCTCAATAATTAATTAATAACGAATAGGGACCTCGACTACTCGGTTATGATCTTGACCTTCTCCACGACTATGTACAAAGAAAGGGGACTAAGAAACTGGTTCTCGCTCTTCGGGATTCCGAAGCTTTTGATCCTGGACTTTTGACGGACCTATTGTCCCTCTTCAAGTACGATTGGCATTCACATCCCACTATAATTTTTCTTGCTGACTCTTCACTAGATCATGGCTCGATCGCATCCCATTCACTGTCTTGCTTGGTATTTCAACCTCGGTGGAGCTCTTCGAAGGTAGACTGCCTCGCTCGTGTGTTGCTTTATTACGAGGAAAGCATTTTGAGGTCCAAGAGGCCGGAAACTGCGTGGACCGGATATATGAGTCTCTACAAACTGACACAAATACCCAATTATGGCTGGGTCGCAATATTACCAGCACTCTCTTCGAAAACACAAGCGATTATTTCCAAAGTCCGGAGGCATTTAGTCGCATGGTCAAGGTATGAGCCTTTTCAACTGGCATCCAACCTCAATATTCTAACATGTACAGTATTCGTACATGTCTCATTTCTTCGCAAACCCTCTGGCGGTATTATTTGCCAACCCGGCTCCTACGGCTCTCACTCAAAGCAAGCTTTGTGAAGCCATCAGAAATTTGCCCTCATTCCGAATGTAAGCATATCCAAATCTTGACTCAATACGCACCAGCTGATACTCCCTCAGGTTCTGTGAGGATCTAGTGGAAGAAGGATCTGGCAAGCAAGTACGAGACATGATTGAAAATGACGAATATCTGATCCAACAAACGATCAAGTCCGTCGATGCCGGCCAGCAAATAATGCGAAAACTCTTTCAAACAGTTCGTGTCGTACATGCCTGTCTTCAATATACACAAACTGGGAAGAAGATCAATGTGTCTGACCTTTCTGTGCGTGCGCTCTGTGGTGAGCTCTACGAGTCCAATGTTATGGAAGAAATGATGGCCACTACGAAGACGTTGGACTCCGACAAACTGCTTGAACTCATTTCGCGTTTGCGCCAGATTATACACAGCCCAGAAGCAGAGCAAATCCTGCAAGATCTCGGAACTCTATTGGAATCATCCCCAGATTCTGGTCCGCTGCGCAGTGGATACAATATTAATAGCACTGTCACCAAAACCACTGTGGTTCAACAGCGTATCCAGCTAACCAAGGGGATAGCTGAACAATCGGAACAGGACTTTGAATACACCACGATTGTTGACCGACTGGTTGCGCTTCTGCAAGAACATCTGACGGAAACTTTGATCAACCCCCAAGATTTGTTCCTACACGAGGCCTTCTTGTTTGATTTGAGGAGTCCATTGAAGGAAACATTTGGTCCTCGCCCCCGCTTTGCAATCGAACGTGCGCTTGCCACTCCGTTTGACTACCTGCTTTCCTCGACGATTGACACTACCACCAAAGTTTCAGCCAAACAGCCTGCCACGGCGATTCTATATCAACTATATCTCGATTCAGGCGCCATGGTGAACGTTCATGATCTCTGGCAGGCTTTCCTTGGCGTGTTCGAAACCGATCAGGGTAAATCCTGCGATGACCGAGTTGTGATGTCTTTGTTCTATAGTGCTCTCTCAGAGCTCAAGGCATTTGGTGTAGTCAAGAACAGTCGGAAGAAGACTGATCATTTGGCTAAATGTGCGTGGATGGGACTCTAGTTCGACATTGGCATCCAAATAGAATTCATGGCATATCATATTTCTGAAATAGGGGTATCACGGACATAAAAATACAAGCTAGTTGGAGTTGATTGAGTCTGCAGAGAATCCCAGCGTCTCGCAGACACGCAAAGATTTCAGTTCTCAATCAATAGGTCGCTGAATGATGTCGTCGCTGCCAATCGGCTGTCCACTATCGCTAAAGACCATAGCTTCTCTCCTTCGTCGGCGCTGTGCTTGATCTTCAGCACTTCCTTCTTGCGGTCGACGGGGACTTCGACCAAATGTACCTCCTGCCTCATCTGCATCTACCATCCATATATCACTGTCGGCATCATCATCATCCTCCTCGTCATGGTCATTTTCTTCTATCATGCTGCCCATCAACCCATGCTTGCGCAACTGCTTGACCCCATCCGGATGTGAGGAAAGTATGCTGAATATCGAACTCATGACTGCATCATCTGACCACCAGGTTTTCATGAGAATCACCACGTCCCGTCGGCGAGAAGGCTCGGCCAACGCACATGGGAAAGGATACCTGCAGAGCCACCGGCTGATGATCCCCGCTTCCAACGCATCGGGTACGTTCTCCGGCAACAATAGGTTCAAGATATTGAGCGCCTTTTTTTCTCCCATAGGTCTTGTCTTTGGTAGGATGGGCGAGTTTGTCGTTGTGGTCTTTTCAACATGTTCTTCTAGGAAATTGCAGAGGCAATTGATTAGAGCGGTAAAGGTGGGAAGGTCGGCAAGTCGCCCACAAATCGAAGTACGAGTGACTGTAAAGCTTTAGAATCACTCAAATAGTTCCCAGATAGGCAAGCTTAATGACATACGGGCTCGATTGGACACTAGAAAGTTCAATGCATTCAAAGCTCGAGCTTGTTGGACTTTGTTTCTGGATGCCAGTTCCTCCAAGAGCAAGTCACGAGTGTCTCCCTTGGTGGATCTTTCTGAAATAATGCGCAAGGCCCTGAAAGATATTAGTCGATTTGATAACGAGATTGGGATGATGTTTTTATAGCGTACGCAGCCCGGAGGTCATGGCTCGTGCTTTGAGAAAGCTTTAAGAGTGTATTTAAATTGAGAGCTTCGTGGCGTGTTAGCAGGGCGACGCATATGCGACAGATTTTCTCACACCTTCTTCTGTCCCTTCGCTAATGATCTTGTCTTCCTTTTCAACATGTTTGATTTCTGTCAGATCAACGACTTGACGGAGGTCTGTAGCGATGCCACGGACGGCGAAGAATAATGAGATACCTGTGAGAGTCAATATCGTGTAACTAAATCAATCCAAAGCGAATAAATTCCATACCTAGGCAGAGCCATAGCACACCGTCCCCAGAGAAGGGAGCCATGGTGATTGAGGAAGTTGGAGATGCGGAGAACACAACCGGCAGAATCTTAATCGGCGCAAGCCGCGGAGGCGGTGAACCTAATTTTTTTGATGAGAATCACGACAGGGAAAAAACTACTACCAACTCTCAAATCCAAGACCACACAATGCCACCTTCTCAGCTAAAGCAGCTGAAGGCCTCACTCCGTGATAACGGAGTGCTTGGTCCCCAGAAGTCCAAGAAAGAAAAACGCCAAAATGCAAAAACCGGCGTCGGTGCGAAGAATCGCAACCAGCGTGAGGTCGCCTTGCAAGCCATTCGCGATCGATTCAACCCGTTCGAGATCAAATCAATCAACAAATCGAGCAAGTTCGATGTCACAACTCGAGATGGAAACACAACTGCTGGAGGGGGTGCTCGTCCAGGTGTTACCAAATCTTTAGGTGAAGAAAGAGTATGCCGATCTAACTCCCTCAAGCGCTGTAGGCATAAATCTGACTCTATTTTGTTTAGCGCCGCGCCACTCTTTTGAAAGAGATGAACAGTCGCAACAAGATCGGCGGTCTTGTCGATCGCCGATTCGGTGAAAACGATCCCACCATGACTCCCGAGGAACGGGCCGCCGAGAGATTTGCTCGCGAGAGCCAGCGCAAGATGCGCAAGGAATCCATGTTCAACCTCGAGGACGACGAGGAAGAGATGCAGCTTACTCACATGGGTCAGTCTTTGACGTTTGACGGGCCCAACCAAGATGACTTCGATGCGGGAGACTTGGAGGAAGAGCAATCCGACGATGAGGCCTCGCGCAAGCGGAAGCGATTCCCCGACGGAGAGGAAGGTCAGGACGAAGACCAGGAAGACTTCATCGACTATGAGGATGGAGAAGAGCAACCGGGGCGCAAGAAGACCAAGGCCGAGGTCATGAAGGAAGTCATTGCCAAGTCCAAATTCTACAAGGCAGAGCGACAACAGCTGAAGGACGATGATGAAGATTTGCGAGAGGCGCTTGATAAGGAACTTCCCGATCTCTTTGACGCCCTGCGCGGCATGAAGGCTCCTTCTAAGGCAGAGGCCCCCAAGCAAGACTTCTCGGAGATGAACCCAGAGCGAGCTGCCATGCTGGAGCAGTCGCAAAATAAGGATCCAGAGAAGGAGTACGACCAGCGCCTCAGACAGATGACATTCGATCAGCGATCAAAGCCCACGGATCGCACCAAGACCGAAGAGGAGAAGGCGGAGGAAGAGGCTGAGCGACTCAAAAAGCTGGAGAGCGACCGTCTCCGCAGAATGCGCGGAGAGCAACTCACTGACGACGAGGATGAAAATATGGACATGGATGAACTTCCGGAAGATGACGACGAGTCAGAGATCGACGATGCTACGCATTTCGGCCTTCCGGCCTTCTCTGCTGATCCTCGTCCGGAAATGGCTGTTGAAGATGAGGATGATTTCATCATTGATGACGATCTGGTCGAAACAAATTCCAATGCCAGTCTCGAAATTGGCGAGAGTGACATTGAGGAAGACTCATCAGACGACGAGTCTGAAGGGCCAGATGGAGAGGACGAGCTCATTAACGGCATGACGCTACCAACAGATGCTTTCGCTACTGCTTCGACTGCTATTGAAGTCAACAAGGAATCGAACGGAAAGCTCGCGTTCACCTATCCTTGTCCCAAGGACCATGACAGCTTCCTGGCTATCGTTAAAAACGTGCCTGTCGAGGAAATCCCCACAGTCATTCAACGCATTCGTGCCCTGCACCACCCTCGCCTCAAGCCCGGCAACAAGGACAAGCTTGGTCGATTCGCTGAGGTACTTGTTGAGCATGTCTCCTACATGGCGAACGAGGATGAACAACCTCCATTTGCCATCCTTGAAAACATCATCCGTCACATCCATTCTTTGGCTAAGATGCATCCTTTGAACGTGACCATCGCGTGTCGAGCCCGCCTTCGTGAAATTGGCAAGGAACGTCCACTCAACCTTCTTCCTGGCGACCTCATTCTGCTTACCGCTGTCTCAACCATCTTCCCTACATCCGATCACTTCCACTCAACGGTCACACCCGCCCATCTCTGCCTAGCTCGATACCTGGGCCAGTGCTCTATAACCTCCCTCGTAGATCTTGCGCATGGTGCATACGCGTCCAGTCTGTGCCTCCAATACCAGACCATCTCCAAGAGATACATGCCCGAGTTTATCAACTATACTCTGAATGCGATCTCCAACCTGGCCCCAACAGAGATTGCCACCAAGTCCGGAGCCTTCCCTTACAGGAAGTCACAGGAATCCGTACAGCTTGTGTCCTCCAAAAAGGCCACACCCCGCAAGCTGCAATTCCGTGATTTGACCACCTCTTCCTCCGATCATCAGGCCCAGGAAGACCTCAAGATCTCCCTCCTAAACACCTTCGTGTCCCTCCTCGGTTCCGCATCCGACACCTGGGCCGAGAAATCCGCCTTCATCGAGATCTTCACGCCAGTTCGCACTGTCCTAAAACAGCTCCGCTCATCTCTCAAGAGCAAGGTCTACGCGGCAACCCGCGACATCATCCAAAGCGTCTTGAACAAGATCGATGCCCAGCTCGCACAAGCACGTCTCGTCCGCCGCCCTCTCTTCCTGCACAACCACAAACCCCTCGCAATCAAGACGGCCATCCCTAAATTCGAGGAGAACTTCAACCCGGACAAGCACTACGACCCGGATCGCGAGCGCGCCGAGTCCAACCGTCTCAAGAAAGAGTTCAAGCGCGAGAAGAAGGGCGCTATGCGCGAGCTCCGCAAGGATGCCAGCTTTATTGCTCGCGAGAAATTGCGCGAGAAGAAAGAGCGCGATGCAGAGTACGAGACCAAGTACCGTCGTCTCGTTGCAGAGATCCAGAGCCAGGAGGGCCGTGCTGCAAACGAATACGAGCGCGCGCGTGGCAGGAAGTAAGCTGGGGGTTTTGTTCTTTTATATATCACACTTTGCACATTTGGGCTGGTATATACTTCATTTATCTGGCGTAAGGCTGGGAATAAAAGTCATGTTCGTGAGATAATATATCATCGGTTGGTCCCGTAGAAGCAGATCTTGCAGAGGCTACGTAGGGGTTCTTTCATAATTAAGGCGTGGGACATGTCCACGCAAGTTAAGGGACCATTGCTTGTAGCTTATGATCGCCATATATGCTACTAGACACCTAAGCGCTACTGCTTTAAATCCACACCAATCGAAGTCAAATAACGACAACGAACGCGCTGTTCCTGCGAAACAGACTCCATCTTAGTCTCACCCGTGCGGAAGAAAATTCGACGATAAGCATCGGCGCCCTGCCCCCAAGTCTTCCATTCCGGACTCGACCCAAGACGACGTGTATTCGGATCCAGCGATACAATGAAACTTGTCCAGTAAGCCTGCATCACTGGAACGATAGCCGCATTAGTAGTATAGTACGAGGCTGGAGCACCGCCGCCGGTATTCTCAGGGCCCCAGATTGAGTTCACTTCGACTGTGTGATACGTGCCACACCCCGAGGCTTCGTTGGCCTGATCTTGGACTGCATAGTGGTAGTTCCAGCTTGAAATACCGGCTGCAGCATAGATGGAGGATAGGTCAATTCCAGGACAGATGTAGCGTATCTCGCCGTATGCTGTGCTTGCAGGACGCCAATAGGGGCCTGCGTCGGGAAATGCCATTGTTTGGTTTGGAGTGAGATAGATGCTGTTGATTTTGGATAATTGAGCTTGAGTGATGAATGGAAATTGGTTCTGGATGAATCTATCGGCTGCGTCGACGCTGGCGACACTTTTGGTAACGAACTTGGTTCCTTCGTTTGTGTCGTCACCGAAGATCACTGGTACTTTGATGAACTTGCCTTCGTGAAAGAGCCTGTATGTGTAGTCGGGCACCAGATCTTCGTCAATTGTTGGGCCGTAGAGAAATAGTGGTGGGCCTTTTGCCCCTGGGTAGGGTCGGTTGATGTTCTTCCTTTGTAAGGCACTGACATCCAGGTTCCGCAGGCAAGTGAGTGTATCTTGGCTGTTGCTGCATCCAGTGGCAGTCACCAGCTCATTGTATCCAAATTGAGCTTCAGTTACGTTTAGCATCAAGCCAAAGCTTTGGGATTCGGCGGCTGCCGCGACAAAGAGACCTTCGTCTTTGCCTCCGTATGCTGATAGCATGAGAGTTATCGAGGCAGCACCTGCGCTATCACCACCAATGACAACATGGTCGGGATTTCCACCAAACTAGAGAGCAGTGTCAAACAAATGTTCAGAGAACTGATTAGAATATGGGCTCGGGCAAGTGAAGAGTGACAACTCGACCTACCTTGCTGATGTGCTTATGAACCCACTCAAGTGCCTTGCGCTGATCTTTCAACCCATTGTTTAGACTTGCTCTGGTCTCAATTTCCTTTCCTGCGAGGAAGCCGTACGGCCCTACCCGGTAGTTGAAAGTGACCACCACGATATTGTCTCCCGACGCCTTGATCAAGCCAGTGCCATTATAGTTAGCATTCGAGTTCTGTGCAAAGCCCCCTCCCTGGATCCAAAAGAAAACTGGCAGTTTCTTTGAGCCTGCTGCGCCCGCGGGGGCAAAGACATCTAGGAACAGACAGTCCTCCGAGGTCCCTGAAGGGACGGTCAGGTCTTCGCTCGCTGCTGTAGGAATGCAAATATTTCTATGCTATAGCAGAATCAGCAAAGGTTCTTCTCTCACTTGACTAATTCATGTATACCTGGTTTGCCTGTTGAACTCCTTGTACAGGCAGAGGATCGTGAGGCGCCGCAAACCGCAACGGTCCTATGGGAGGAGCAGCATAGCGCATGCCTAGCCACTGTGTGACTCCAGATAATGTACGACCCTCATAGCTAGTGTAGCCAAGGTTAACTGTAGAAGCCGATGCTAGGGATAGCAAAGAAAAAAATGACCAGAAAATAGCCATAGTGACCTAGGTCCGATTCTGAACCGGTCGACTCCATGACTTTAAAAGGGACTTCGGGCCTAGAAGAAGACCCGATCCCTGTCAAACAAAAGTTACGGTGACAACGCAGATGTCTCATGGCGACAAAGCTGATCGTTACTGTAAGCTGACGGTTGCAGGCAATAAAATTGGATAGGTGCATATGATTGCATACGATTGATGTTTGTAAACAGTAAGCAGTAAGGGAGAGAGTGGGGGCGGTTTCCCCGCAAAACCCTAATTCGGCTTTTTTCTCTGTCCGCCTTCGGCCTTACTGTTCTCCTTCTCTCTTCTTTTGCTTCTGGACCTTTGACCCTTGTCTAGACCATTCTTAATCTTGGTAATCATGTCTTCCGATGAGGATGATTACATGAATATGGTCATCGAGGAACCAACTCAAAAAGAAACTTTTACACAAAAAAAGCGCCGTGAGCAACGAGAGGTACTGTCCCCATTCTACCAAACACTGTCATATTGCTTTCAGCACAGATCTCAATACACCCGGCCTCCAGCCCCTAGCTAATCATACTATTTCCCAAAAGGCCGAAGCCCGAGGTCGAGTCCTTTCCAAAGCAGAACGCGCCGCCCAAGAAGCCGCCCGCCGCGATGAAGCTCTCGCAACCAGCACCCTCAACCCAACCAACAAGGGATTCCAAATGATGGCCAAGCTAGGCTTCAAACCCGGCGAAGCACTAGGCAAACGCACACCCGTCACCGACACCGACACCGACACCGAATCCAAAATACGCTCCGAGCCCCTCAACCTCATCTTTAAAGAGAACCGCGGCGGAATTGGTCTGGACACGGAGAAAAAGCGCAAAATACGCGAGGAGGCTGAAGAGGCTTCGAAGAAGATTAAGTACGAGGAGGGAACGTATCGCGATCGTGTGCGCGAGGAGCGGGAATTAAAACGGACGGAGGCGCAAGTGCGCGCTGCGCAGAAGGTTGCTGAGCGGTTGGATGCCGAGGAAGAGACTGAGGCCATGGAAAATTCGGACGAGTCTTCTAAACCTGATGGTGCAGACGGATCGGCGAAGCGCAAGCCGGTTAAACTCACGTCACAAGTCAATATTCTTTACCGTGGTCTTGTTCGCGAGCGCGAAAAGCATGATAATGACCGGCAAGCGCGCCACGCTATGCAATCCTCGTTGCCGTCGTCTTTCTTCCCGAAAGCGAATTTACCGGAATACGATGACCCAACTCTGGAACGGGATGATAAGAAGGCTCTAGGACAACTTGATCAGCACACATCGGCGCTGGAGATCGAGCTCGAAGAAGAAGATGAAGAGCTTGATGCATTCAATGCGCTTGATCCATCTGAGCGGCTGCACAAGCTGGTTTTGTATTTACGCGAGAAACATCGGTACTGTTTCTGGTGTAAGTACGCTTATGAGTCGGCGGAGGAGTTGGAGGGATGTCCCGGTCTTACGGAGGAAGATCACGATTGATCTAGGTATCTTATGTTACGAGAATCGATGATGAAATCGCAAAAGGTATATCTTCATTATAAACATTCAGCTTGGGGTCCTCCGGTTAAAACCATAATATACACGAGGTCCTTGGTATCATAAAACAAATCACTAACAATCGCAACAGGAATCAATGTGTATGTCAAATGCACATACTCAAAAAGCAGAAACAGAACAAAACGATGCTTAGAGGCAGCTATGCAGATATGCATAGATGTATATGTCGTATACATTCTCAAGCAACCCGATCCACAAGCTCCTCCACCGAGCGATTCTTGCACTTCTGCAACATCTGATAACACCCCTCACAAACCCGCAGACAACAGAACACGCACCGATGCCGAATCTCGGTGTCAAACTTCTGACAGGTCATGCACGGCATTGGGCACCACGTGTTCTGCGCCACCGGCATCGCGCGGTGCTCCTGGTAGCAGGTCAAGTGAATCTTGTTCAGCTCCGGTGCGACAGGTTCAACCTCCGGCAGGACAAAGGGGGACGGTGCCTCCTCACGCGCAGATGGGATCTGGGGTGGATCCGCGCTATCCGGGGTTGGGATGAAATCTTCCAATTGAGGACTTGGATCGTTCACAATTTGAGGCACAGTTTGAGGCACTGGTGCGGGGGAAGACTCCAATGGCGGGGATGGTTCCTGGACTCTCAGATCGGGCTGAGAGATCTTGGAGCGCATTCCTCTTGTTCGGGGGGAGGGCGCGGAAGCTGGGGCTGGGGCGGGCACGGGAACGGGAACCCGCTGGACTGGGCGCCTCTCTGGGACATCATGAATTGGGGGAAAGTAGGGGTTGTCTGTGAGTTGGGATGGAGCTGGAATTGCGGGGAGGCCTTGGGGAGGCGCGGGGAGTTCCTTGTTTGGCGGTGGTGGGAGCTTTGGTAGTGGGACTGGTTTGACGGTTGGGGTTGAATCGTCGGGCACAGATTCCGTGGATTTCTTGCTGTGGAAAGAGAATTGTGATTTGGCTGCAGATGACTTCATTGCTGTCAGGGATGGGACGCGAAGGCCGCGGGGGCGCTTCTCCGAGTCAAAAATTGCCATTTTTGTTTTTTTTTGTTTTTTGTTTTTCGTGAATATGTGGTTTGTATATAAGATAACGACGCCACCGATTAGGGCTATATGAGAATCAGAGATAGTCCCTAACAAGAATCGAGAATAATAGAGGGCAGGCAAATATAATCAAGAGAGAGAGAAGAAGAAGAACAAGAAAAGAAAGAGATGAGATGAAAAGAAAAGAAAGAGATGAGATGAAAAGAAAAGAGAGAAAAAAGTCGACACCGATGCGGACCAATGTTAATCTCCAGATGCAGCAGGTTTCGCTGTTTAGATTATTATCCACTATCGCTTTCCTAGGTACGAGTTCGTACCTAATGAGAGGTATAGCTATCTAGTAAATATCTCTGATGTTTGCAGTGAATATTCTATTAAATCATACGAGTCGATCTTACATTCCGATGTGTTCAGCGGCGTAGAATAATATGATTGTCGAAGTGTTCACCTTCAATTAAAACTCATATCTTGTTTCAGCCTTCAGTGGGGGCGTAAGAAGGCGCTAAGGAAAATAGATCTATCCATATTCATTTCTTATCCTTGGAAGATGATAATTTAGTTATTTCTGTGTAACCAATGATTTCTTATGTATGTGTGTATGTGTTTCTGATGTGAATGAAATACCCCCTGAACCCGGAATCGGACTCACAACATTCTTGCGTTCTGTGATCCTGATTTCTCTACAATAATCTAAAATTACTTACTCCGTAGCAGGAGCATGTATCGAAAATGAAAATCGACCTCCGTCTTCAGCCATTGAGTATCTAGTGGCTTGATGTCGATCTCGAGTTCTCAATGTCATCATTCACCCCTATACGGCCGATCCTTCTACTTTGTACAACAAAGTACGCGTTGTACAAAGTACGGAGTACTATCATGCGATGTACAACTCCAACAAATATGGTAGACAAATACTTTTAGGGTATATTTTAACTGATAAGCAAATATTTTGTCCATTCAGCGATCCTCAGAGACAGGTATGTACGACCTGCGTTCTCGCGCAGCCTATAACGAATGGTCAGTGCTTGGTCTGCAACCTACAATATTGTACTACAACCACTCTTGTAGCCTGATCAACCTACCTCAACATATCGCTCAATCCAAGGCTTGCAGGCAGCCCAAGCCAATAATCCTCCCGTAGCAAATATAAATATAAACACTACCGCCTCATCCTTCCGCGAGTCTCGTTCTATTTTGGTCAGCGCATGCCTTCAATTCGTCCGAAACACATGACACATACGGAAGCAGGTGGTATACACATCGTCCTCTTTCGCACCCTTACACGTCGGCAGCTCATAGTCTAGACAGAACTTGCGATTGCAGTCATTGCAGCTGAGCGATCGGTACTTTTGCGCGCGCTTGATGTATTCATCCGTGTGTTCAAGCTCCGAGCTCGCAAAGGTTCGTTCGTAGAAGTGGAGGACGTGTTCGATTCCACTGGAAGTTTCGGATTTGCTTGGATTGAGGGGGATAATGGTACTATTGGAGAAACAGGTGCATTTGCAGAAGGAGGTGGGTGCTATTTGGGTCTTGGGTTAGCTATGCGAAGTGGTTTGGATTCGCGTTTGTTGCACTTACTCGATGCCACGGTCAGTGATGTGAGTGATAAAAAGGTAAAGAGTAGCAGCAACAGCTGCATACTGCGCTGAAAGGACCAGGCTGGAGACATCCTGGGTTTAGCTGTTAACGAGACGGGCTTTCATCTCGATGGCTTGGATGACGAAGCCCGGTCACATGACTGATATGCAAAGTCGCGACATTGTATACAAATTGATGAGTAGAAGTATTTTGGAATACGTACATATATAAAGAATATTGACAGGTGCCACCGTTGACATTGTTCCTCTACATGATCAACCTTGGAAGAAGTTTCAAATTACATGTATTTGCTGGTGTTGATGTTGTATGTAAACCCAGAGGTTCATATGTCCACGGGTATAGGCTATGCTGGATATTAAGATAGATACAAGACTCAACGTTTACATTCATGACCTTCCCTTCAATCCCTTCTTGCGGTTATCTCTTTGTCTCTGTTCCTTGGCCGCATCACGTCGTCTCTTCTTCCATGCGCGATTGTTCTCACCCCGATTCTCCCAGAACCACTGGGCGAATTCGGTTTCGTCTTTCTCCCCGCCGATACGAGTTTTAGCTACAGGACTGTCGATAGAACTTTCATCTGAGTCTTCGATCTCGTTGAACTTGGTGTGGCGGATGGCACCGGCAGTGTCCGGGGTGGGAGCTGCACTGCGCTGGCCTCGATTTTGGAGATCGTTCTTAGTGAATGGAGTGAACGGTGTCTGCGGCTCAGCGAGCTCCTCATCCTCTGACTCGATGTCATTGCCGAAGAAGCTGAAACCTGCCTCGGTTTCAGGTGCTGGCTGGTTTTCCAAAGCTGTTGGAGCAGCACGCTTGAAAAGAGCTTCCAGAGGATGGACTTCCTTGGCAAGCAAGTTCCCCGCCTCTGCGGCCTCGGTTGTTGCCTCGTTGGAGTCTGATTGAATTGACTCGGCTTCGGCTTCGCTGGTCTCCGGGGCCTTTGCAGATTCTTCTTGGGGAGCTTGCGGAGTGACATCCTCCTCATCGGAAGATTCAGATGAATCATCGGCGCCTTGAGGCGTTTCATCTGCTTCACTCTCCGAGTCACTGCTATCCTCGGCAGATGATCCACTTGACGAGGTATAATCTTCAGACTCCGAGGATTCCTCTGGGGTCTTCTCTTTTCGGGAGCGGTTCTTCTTGTCTGTGGACTTGGTGGCTCGGTACTTCTCTTTGGCACCTGCGACCTGTCCAGGCTGCTTATTAGACTTTTTGATCTTGTCGCTTGCGGCTTCTCTCAAGTTGCCGTCGGCATCTACCCAGCCTTTCCCTTCTTCAAATGTAGCCGTAGGCGGTGCGCTCTCTTCGGCAGTACGAAGGAAGCTGGGCTGGGTCACATTTTTGGTAAACTCATGGATGACATTATCCTTTGGTGACTTCTTCTTCTTAGCCTTCTTATCATCGGATGCTGCCTCAGATGCTCGGTTGGGTGGGATCGTTGCTCGGAACAGGCATTCGGATTTGTCGGTGTACTTGGACTTGGGCTGCAATTTCTCCTCTTTGTCCTTTTTAGATTTCTTCTCCAACTTCTTTTCCGATTTGCGTCTTTCCTGCTTGGCCTCACTGGACTCGGTCCAGCCTCTCTTCACTTTTCGGTCTGAGGGCAGCTCGAAGCCCTCCAGTACTCCATCCTCCGACTCTTCCTTCTTGGACTTCTTGGACTTCTTGGACTTCTTTTTGGTGCTAGAAGAGACCTCGGGAATCACGTCCTCCTCCTCTCGGTGTCTCTTCTGAGGGCGGGCAGCCTCAACCTTGAACTTCTTGCCCTTAAGCATTGAACCATTCAGCTTCTTCTTGATCTTTTCGGCTTCCATATTCGGCAAGGTTACGTATCCGTAACTGTTCTCTGGGAAAGTGGCGATTTCGTGGAACGAGATGTCCGTGGCTACGTTGCGAATAGATGCAGGTAGCACAGATGGAAGGATGTCTGGGGTGAGAGGTGAAATATGGAGTCTGGTTGTTTCGGTTGCTTCAGTCATTGCTGAGGAATTTTTCGTGTGAGCATGTGACTATCAACGATGCATGGTGCAAAATGAGAAAAACAAATGTATCGAGTTCGAGGTAAAAATAATCCAACAATTTCCACTCTTCTCCAACTTTTTTTTTGGCAAAAATAATTGTACAGACCGCGTTGTGCCACCGCCTTCTGTAAGTGGAAGTCTACCACGATCGAATATTGGCCTTGTTGCCTTGTTGCCTTGTTGCCTCATGATATTGCTACATAGTACATATGTACATACTTCTTCCGTTATTTCTTATAAGCTTCTTTCCATAATTCAATTTTTAATACTTCAATAGCTGCAATCTTTTAACTTTTGATAATATAGCTACAACGTATATATCCAAGTTGTACAATAATATAGAAAATAGGATCGAGATCTTCATAACAGCCCTACACTATAGGAGTACGTAGTTTAGCAATTACTCCGTAGTGGAGTCCTTGTTCCCTGGTATGACTTGACCATGACGATGGATCAATCTGATCTCTACCGAGCTATAGTCTAATATATTGCGGTGTTACCATGATAATATACCAAGATATCAGTCCTTTTGAAATAAAAAGTTCTGCCTATATTCAGTTCTTAACCCTGTTTAATTTGTTATATGCATGCCTAGACCACTAAGGCTGTGTGGATACTAAATCTGTCAATCTATGTAAATCTCCAAGTTTCCAAGTACTACGGAGTAGATGCTGGTCCAATAAGAATATATAATTTGAACGAAAGAAGAAGAAGAAAATAAACCGATTAGCACATATATCTATATATATATTTAGTTACTCACATAGTAGGTGTAGTAAATATTGATAATCCGCCACATCCGTCTCGGCTTCATGGTTTTCCCTCCACCGATCTCTCACTTCCCCAGTTACTCCGGACAGATCGCAACCCCCGCTCCTTAACTCTCCCTCCACACCTTAGCCTTTTCTCTTTTTTTTTTGACTTTTGATAATTCTTTTATCCCATCTGCATTCCCCCCACACCATACCCCCCTTGGGGGCCCTTGCCGCATCCTTTCGGAGTTACCGTGCGTCCCGCGATAACCGGACATTCGCCCATCTCCTCATCCCCTCTTTTATGATCACAACATGGGAAACTCCCAAACCAAAGAGTCGCGTTCAGCGGATCCACGTCGCCGAAGTCATCAATTGTCTCCCGGTGCTTCCGATGCCTCCAGTCGACCGTACCAGGGCTCTCGATCGGCAAGAGGCAGTCGCCCCGATCTTTCGATCTTGGGAATCGGCAGCAGTCATGATCGCGATGTGGCCACACTGGAACATAGGCGGGAGACAAAGCAGGAACGCGAGGCTCGTCGATTGGAGAAGGAGCGAGTTGCCCGCCTCAAGGAGAGAGAGCGCAGTATGAGGGATGAGCATGTTGATGGAGGTTACCTGGTCACACAGGGCGTCTACGTGGGGACAGAAGACTACAGTAAGGCTGTAGTGCGGCAATTGATGGTAGACACACCCCGGGAAACCTCTCGATGCGAAATGGCCTCGGCTAACAGGTGATTAGATTGAACGCCGACTGGCTCCTTTCTGGCGAGGTCTAGATGATTTCTCGGAGTCATGGGCCGAACATCAGCTTATGGCCGCCGCGCGAGGGATGCCTATTCCTCAACCCGACGAAATCCCGCCCGAGTTGGAGTACAAATTGCCCAAGACCGGGGACAAAGCGCCTGTCGATACAGCAAACATTCAGCATCTGACGGTGCCGATCGGGTCCAGATCGCAATCCTTTAATTCAGACGCTTCTCAAAACTCCAACCCGCCTCAGTCGCTGCCTTCCACATCGCCAATCGCATCTGGGACATCCACCTCCCCTTTTTTCCGAACCAGAGCGAAGACATTAGCGGCTCTGACCACTTCATCCAAGCATAATTCACAAACAGATCTATCTTCGCGGGAAATACAGCTTCCAAAAGACCCATTTGTTAATGGCCAACCCATTGAAGTTAACTTGTACAAAGACGCAAGTGAATGTCCCATCTGTTTCCTCTACTACCCCCGTACCTCAACCGCACACGATGCTGTGACCAACCTATCTGTTCTGAGTGCTTCGTTCAGATCAAGCGTCCGGACCCGCACCCTCCGGAGCATGGAGAACCCGACGCGAATGCTCCGGTCGAAGGCGAGCAGACAGAAGCCACCGAATCGCAATTGGTCTCCGAGCCCTCTGCTTGTCCCTTCTGTGTCCAGCCCGAGTTCGGAGTTACGTACGCACCGCCCACGTTCCGCCGGGGCCTGACTTACGCAGTTGACCTCGGTGCCCGACTTTCACCCAATTTCACCTCTCCTGTATCATCCACGTCATCCTTGGCGTCTGCCTCTGCCGTGCCTGGTCGCCGGCGTGCCACGTCATTATCTGCCACTGATCCAACGGTCGTCACGACCGACAAGATTCGGCCCGATTGGGCCACCAAGTTGTCGAATGCCCGAGCTCACGCGGCACGTCGATCGGCGGCGGCAACGGCCTTGCACACTGCGGCCTACCTAATCAACCCTGCATCTGGTAGTGACTCACGAGGTTTTGGTATTGGGCGGCGTGGAATGCGCAGAGCCACTGGTGGGGAAAGCGGCCGGACCGCGTCACCCGCTCTGAATGCCTTGGCTTTCTTGACCGAGCGCACCGGTGTTGATCGAACACCTCCCCGGGGAACAGGACAGGACAACGATTCTGCGTCTGCCGAAGAGAGCTCGGGTAACTTGACAGCTCCGCGCTCGAGCTCGAGGCGCAATCGAATTGATGATCTCGAGGAAATGATGATGATGGAAGCTATCCGGCTGAGCTTGGCTAGTGAGGATGAGCGCCTCAAACGGGAGGAGAAGGAAGCGCGGAAAGAGGCTAAGAAGAGGGAGAAGGAGAAAGAGAAGGAGGCCAAGAAGGCGGATAAAGTGGCTCGCAAGACTGGCTTGTATAGCAATAACGCTAGTACCTCCGCCTTGGATGTCCCTGGCGAGCCCAGTTTAGGTAAAGTGGTAAGTAGCTCATCCTCCGTCATTGGCGAGGATCCAGTTGGAGAAGAACTCGCTGCTGGCAGCAAAGGCAAGGGAGTCGACCGTGCGCCTTCGACTCCTGAGCACTCGGGCTCCAATAACCTTGACCCTGCATCTGCCGCGACTCCGGCTGATCAATCCGAGCTACTACGACCATCTCACCTACGACACGTCTCTAGTGCGTCTTCGTCTTTCTCATCCCTCATGGAAACCACTCCCGAGGAGCGTACAGGTCACTCGGTAGAAGGTAGCACCAACTCTGAACCAATGTTCAATTTCCGCAGTCTGGCTGCCGTGATTGGAGACGAAGAGAAGGGGGATGATTCTGTGGAGCACGTCGAGGATACTTCGAACAAACCTCAGCCTGAGGGATCCTCGAGCGCTGCGCCATCAGTTCATCAGCCTTCTATAGACGCCCCTGAAACAACGCCTGTCATTGAATCTCATACCGAGGCACACGATGCTGCAGGTAGTCTACCAAAGGAACTCGAAACTCGCTCTGTGGAAATCCCCAGTTCTCCCACACATCCGGGCGCTGCTTGATACGCTCCCTTTGCTTTACTGTTTTTTCTTTTTTCTTTTCGTTTGTTTAAATATGATCCGGAGCGCATAGCAGTGGATTAGCCGGCGCAGGAGGCTGTTGGGGTATGGCATTTGCTTTTTGTTTGTTTTGCTCGGACTAGCATCATTTGATAGAAATCCTTAAACACGCTTATCACCACATCGGGATTTATACGTTGTATGTACTCCGTACCTGGTGGGGTTTTTACTTTCGAGCTAAGGTAGCTAGTGCATCCATAAACGGCGCTTCTATGGCTTGTGATTGGCCAAGAATAGTTTAAGGACGGTGGGGACTAGAACTCGGCTTGTCCGTTATAACTATTTGTGTTGTAATTGTTATTACGTAGTAGTTGCGCTGTTACTACATACATACATGTATCTAGTAATCTCAGTATCCAGATACTCTTTGTTGACAAGCGCAAAGGGCCCAAAAACAGGCCACAAAACAATTATAAAAAGGCACGGAAACAAAAGGCTGCCAGAAATACATCTGGTAAATCTAATGTTTTTATATGTTGTAATTGTATAACAATCTCTACCCTTTTCTGGCTCTTAGGGTACCTAGGTATTGACCAGTTATATGTATGTATCCTGTTCGCCACCCGAAGAGTTTTAAGGGGACTGTGCCTGACCCACCCCTAACGGTTATTTGAATAACATATGGAATAATATCAAGAACAATCATTTATATATCACTAATATCTAATACTATGTGTGGTAAACAATATGCAATAGCCCCTACATTGTTTTCGTTGAAAATAAAAGTGTGATGTATATAGGAATGTAGAAAAAGTAGACGGTTAGGGTAAGGTTTTGCCCGTTCTTGGTTGTGAATAATGGAAAGAAAAAAAAACTAACCTCTTCTTCTAAGGTTCCCTTTCTCACCTTCTTCTCCTTCACTTCTTTCATTTCCAAGTATCTTGAAATTGTCCAGATTCTTTTAATTCTCCGGGGAAAACCCCCCTCCCCACCTTCAATACATCTCGTCGCGGCAATACTCTATCTCGCTACTCTCACGGTCCATATAGCTTCGCAGTGGGAACCCCACTCCACACTGCGGGCGGCTGCCGTAAGATCATTGCTATTTCTTCAGAACAATGGTATTAACACAGCAGAGATCCCCATCCCCCGATAGTTTCCCCACAGTCCAGCTCTTCCTCCTAGGTATGTTTATCCGTCTTCCTCCGTTCCCGGTCAAGTCCACCACTAACCCAGAATAGCAATATGTCGTGTCGCAGAGCCAATCGCCTTGACATCCATCTTTCCATACTCCTGGGTGATGGTTAAGGACTTCCACATGGGTGATGGCAATGCCTCTTTCTATGCTGGTATCTTGATTTCGGCCTTTTCACTTGCTGAGGCTCTCACGGGTATGTTCTGGGGTGGGCTTTCGGATCGTTTGGGTCGAAAACCTGTCCTCATCTCTGGATGCATCGGCACGATGCTTTCTTTAATCATGGTTGGGCTGGCCCCGAACTTTTGGGTTGCGCTCGCTGGTCGCGCCCTTGGAGGTGCTTTGAATGGCAACATCGGGGTTATCCAGACCATGGTCGGCGAGCTTGTCAAGCGACCGGAACATGAACGTGAGTTTTGGGTACTTTTTCTTGGCTTGGGGTTGGGGCTAACTTTCTATTGTAGCTCGGGCGTACACTATCATGCCTTTTGTTTGGTCAATTGGGACAATTATCGGGCCTGGTGATTATATTCTTCTCAGTTTGATGTCATTATTGGTGCTAACTTGCTACAGCTATTGGAGGTTTACTTGCAAAGCCAGTTGAGAGCTATCCTTCGCTGTTCCCAGCAGATGGTATCTTTGGAAAATTTCCTTACCTTCTGCCCAATCTTGTATGCTCTGTCTTGCTTATTTTTAGCATCAGTGGCAGTTGGCTGTTCTTGCAAGAAACTCATCCAGACATGCAACCTGGTGAGGCTCATGGATATTTTGACCACGCCGCCGAACAACCTCTCCTCGTCACCTCCGGTGCAACCGCCAACGCGACTGTAGACCTTCGGGCGGAGTCTTACGGGACCTTCAATCAGGTTCATTTGCACAATGATGAGAATTGGAATGTACAAGCTGATGGATCCTCGCCTTCGTGGAAGACGTTGCCAAAGCCCAAGGCTTTCACTGGACAAGTCGTCATGCTTGTACTGGCATTGACCATCTTCACGTATCACTCAATGACATACGACCATCTACTACCTATTTTCTTGCAGGACAAGAATGCCCATGGTTCAGGTTCGCTTACCTCGGTCTTCGATATCCCAGGTGGAGTTGGTCTCTCCACTCGGACGGTGGGTGTGATCATGTCAACAGACGGCATCATTGCCCTCATGATTCAGAGCATCGTATTCCCCGTGCTGGCACATTACCTGGGGATATGGCGACTTTTCGTTGCCGTCACAGTCCTTCATCCAATCGCATACTTCATGGTACCTTTTTTAGTCTTCCTACCGGGCCAATTCGTCTATGGTGGTATCTACGCTTGTTTAATAACTCGCAACATTCTATCCATCATCGACTATCCCGTCCTCTTGATCCTCATCAAGCAAGCCAGTCCCTCGGACTCTGTCATGGGCAAAATCAACGGCCTTGCTGCTTCCGCGGGAGCCGCTGCTCGTACTTTTGCCCCTCCAATTGCGGGTTTTCTGTACAGCACTGGGTCAGAAATGGGCTGTACTGCCATCGCATGGTGGGGAAGTACTCTTGTCGCTTTAATTGGGGCTTTGCAGCTGTGGTTCATTCGGCGTAACCGTCATTCGTCGGCGACTGTGCACCCCGCAGAGCCTTTTCATTATTTTGCTCTTCCAGAACAGCCACATGATGATGTCGTTCATATCATCGTCCACAATCTCGATGATTCATGCGAACAACCAGCAGCTTTGCGATGAAAGCCAGAGTTTCCCCCCCCCCCCCCTGGCCACTGTATCTAGATTCCAATTAGACTAATCTATTGGATGGCTCAGAGCCTTCTTGTATAAAGCATATATATTGTTATGGAGCGCATTATATCGAAAGCTTCTGGTTAGTAAACAATGATCACAAGATCATATTACAATATTGTACTCCGTATATAGTGTCGTCCCTTGCGATTAGAATTGATATAGTTTGTATGCACCTTTCCCAATCGGGATTAGCTTTGTTTACCCGTCAACACGGCAACTCGAAAATTGACGACAGGATTATTCTTTTATTATACACAAGCACCCGTGATTGAGGTTACTCGAGTTTTGAAGAGGATATAAACCTCTACCTCTGCCCACTGTTGTCCTTCGTTTACTTTCATCATGTCAAATCCTCTCTCGCCCCTCTCATCCTCCTACCAGAACGCGCGCGCTCAATCACAAATGGCGAACTCCTCGCCATTCCTACACAAGACTGCGGACCAAGTGGAAATTTCTAATACTTCAAGCCCATTAAAGAGAGAATGGACTAGTCACAACGCGCCCAACCCGAATGCCTATGATGAAAACGAAAATTACTACCCTAACGAACCTGACAACGAGAACTTGCATGAGAATGACGATATCAACGATGCCGAATCATATCAAGGCGGTGCCAGTTCGCCGTTCCAGTACGAGGGACGTGAGGACACTGCCAATTTCCAAAATTTACGCCAGATGCAACAGACGTCCCATTCATACCCACAACTCGAACCACTAGACGAGGAGAGCCCTGCAAGCTCTCCATTCCGACCGAATGCTGCAGAAGATACAGTGGGTTTTCAGAGGTTACGCGAGGTAGATCCCATGTCGCCTGGCTTGGATAAGCGGCTGGCTCTGGAGGAGCCAATGAGTTCCCCATTCCGCCCTCATGCTGCCGAGGATACAATGGACTTGCACAATATGCAAGATGAGCCACAGTCATCGCCTCTGGCACGCCCGCAGCTTCACTCATTGCAGGAGGAGAGTCCGCAAAGTTCTCCATTCCGCCCTCATGCCCGAGAAGAGTCCGGGGATTTCCAAAAGCTGCGTGAGGTGCAGCCAATGTCGCCTGGTTTGGGGAAGCGATTGACTTTGAATGATCCTGAAAGTTCCCCGTTCCGTCCTGATGCCCGTGATGAGACGGTTGACTTCGATCGTTTGCGAGAGATGCAGAACCAATCGCCAATTCATGAAGCGCAGCTGGCCAGTTCGCCTTTCCGCCATCAAGCTCGAAAGGCGCCATTTGAATCCCCAGAACCACTCGAGATGCAGGAAGACTCACTGGTAGCTCCCAAACAATCATCTCCTGCTGTGGTTCCGAGCTCGTCTCTCCGACCTGAGGCACCAGAGGAAGGGGACTACCCGGAACAGGACGATGTGCAACCAGAGCTATTGAAAGCACCTGAATATTCTTCCCCTGTTCCAGCTCATTCATCCTTCCGGTCAAGCACCAAGGTATCAGACAATTTTGATTCGCCCAAGCCACGTGAGAAGCAACAAACACCACCGGCAGAATCTCACTACTCTTCTCCTGTCCCAGAACCTGTGTCGACATTCCAACCGAGCCCAAAGGAGCATAATCTTGATATCCAAAAGACACGTCGAATTTCGCGCGTATCGCTTGGGCTAAATGCTCAGCGTCCTGTGGCCACAACTCCCCGGAAAAGGTCTTACGACCAAACCCCTCAGGACCAGGAGGATGATCTGCAGGTGCATACGAGTCACAAGAAAGGCATGATGAGCCGGCCAGAGGCACCGGCTATTCACATTGATGCCGAAGAAGAATCTAGTGTCGTCCACGACCAGAGCATGCTTTCTGCTTTGAGTGCTGCGCAGGACCGGTCAGCGATTGGCCATAGCATGATGGAGGACAGACGCAACGAGGGAATGAGCACAGTGGTGCATGAAGATGGTGACAAAGAGAATGTTTCCCGCGAATCAAACGAAAACTCGATGGTTGACGACTCAATTGATGACACTTGCTTGAGCACTTTCTCTGCCGTGCCGGACATGACCACCTTTGCGAAGCTCCGCGCTCAGTCGCCGATGAAGTCAACCCGAAATTCCATCGCGCCCAGGCCTGCCGTGGATGGCAATCGACGTGGTGCTGAGCCGACCACTCCAGGGACAGGGCGCAGAGCCCACAGAGCAAGCGCCTACTTGGAAGGGAACTCGCCTGCAGGATCACCCACTCCAAGACCTCGAGGCCCCCGAGACATGGTCAACCCGGTTGACTCTGCCAACTTGCTTGATTTCAGTGATTCAATGAACTTCCACCCACGCCAATCTATGCAGAGTAATCGTTTCTCTCCCTCGCGGCGCTCGCCTATGCGGTCTGCTCGCCAGTCCATTCGATCTCCTGGGAAGATGTCTTCGCTGTTGGACTTTGACATCCCACCTGCTCCAACCCCTCGATCCATCCCCACAGTCACACCACGTGAATTGGAGTCATTGAAGTCTGGCTTCATGTCGGAAATCTCCTCGCTCAAAGCCACTCTCAGTGGGAAAGAGGCTGAGGTTGCCAGCTTGAAGCAGGCAGTAACTGACGCGGAGAGACGTGTTGGTGAAGCTTTGGAAGAGGTGCGCAACGAAGCCGCTGGCAGAGAAGTGCTAGAGATGGAACAAGCTGAATGGGTCCGTCGGGGCAAGGAAATGGAAGCCGATTTGCTGTCTCTCCGAACTGAAATGGTCGATGGAGAGCGCGAGCGGGATCGCCTGTCTTGGAGGGCCGAAGAAGCCGAAAAGGGCAAGGAGAGGTTGAAAGGCAAAATCGTCGAGCTTGAAAGCCAGCTTTCTGCTGCCCGTGCTGCTGCATCATCCACTAGCAATGCTGCTGCATCTCATTCTTCCTCCCATTCGGCTGAAAATACTGCCCGAGAGGTTCAGGATGCGGTTGAAAAGGTGGCTCGGGAACTACACACCCTCTACAAGGGCAAGCATGAGACCAAGGTCGCCGCTCTGAAGAAGAGCTACGAGACTCGCTGGGAGAAGCGCCTGCGCGAGTCCGAGAAGAAGCTCGCTGCTGTCCGTGAAGAAAACGAGCATCTCCGCCTTGAACGCGACGCTGCCCATTCTGATTCGATGGCCGGCGGCAACACCACTCTCTTTGCTCGCGAAAACGAACAGCACGAGGCTGAGAAGCGTGTCATGGAAGCTCAGATTACAGGCATGCAGAAAGAGATGGCTTCACTCAAAGAAGACACCGAGCGCATTCGTTCAGAGCTTGAGTCCGAACGTGCAGAGAAGGGCGAGCTTGTTGCTGCCGTGGATGAATGGCTAGCCATGCAGCAGCCTCCGGCTGCACCTCAGCGAGAGCGCGAGGCATCTGTTGCTTCCTCAATGCATGACCACGTCGAAGACCCTCGGCCGTCTCGTGAAGCCACTCCCGATGGCTTCCGTCACAGTGTGACTCGTTCTGGCTCGGGAAACATTCGTCCCCCTGCTACTGCTGAGAAGCGGATTCCTCGGTTCGGTGCTCCCGGACATTCGCGTGGTAACAGTGGCGGCAAATCTGGTATTGCGATGCCTACTCCTGGTAGAGGAATTATGGGATCGATTGAGAGGATGGGTCGTGGGGGTGTTTAGTTTGGATTCACTGAGTTTCTGGTTATGTTCTGGGCTTTGTTCTGGGTTTTGATTCCCCTACAGTTATGATCTCTGTCTACCCTTTTATGATGTTTATGTCTTTATTAACATTGCAGAGATGAAATGTAATGATTTGCATGTCTTTTGGTTGTTGTTGTTGTTTTTTTGCTTCTCGGTACATACAAATTCATTAGGTCTATATAACTATTGACATCTCCACGTCTTGGACTCACTTTGCTTAAGTTTATATATGTACAACCATGTACAACGCATCCCCGATATGAATCCCTGCGTCCTCTGAGCTACTTCCTTTTCCTTTTACTTGATTAGTTCTATCTATGAATTCGCTGGCTTTTGAAATTTACACAAATGTAGGTAGTAGGGGTCAGCATATATAGTGTCCATATGTATTGGGTTGATCAGAAGTGGCAAACTAGAAGCCGAGTGTGTTCCGTAGCCCCGGTCAAACCCCAATACCGAAAGATATATACGGAGAAAAACCATAAATCGGGATTCGCCATGCCGATTTGCCGCTGGAGCCCCCTGCTCTGGTTGTGGTCACGCGCGTCGGCAGTATGAGGGATTTATTGCGTTAGGACCTACCAAGGTCTTAGTTATATATGTACTCCGTACATATCTATTTTATTCCTTATTAGCGCACCATTCGAGCTTAGGAGGGGTATATGGAGGGGTTCTACGCCATGACCTCTGTCTAGTGTTTGAGAAAAGTGTCGTCGCGGTTAAGCTACGACATTGAACTAGGTGAGTTCTGTCAAGTCTAGGCTTAGTCTAGTCTAGGGGCTTCTTCCCAGACTCGGCTTTCCCCCGGATTTACAAGAAAATAAAGAAAGGAAAAAAAAAACGTGGGGGGAATATGCCGGACTGCCGTCTTGGTACCCCATTTTCTGCTGCTTCTTGCTTTCTATTTGATTTGTACGATGACAGAGATCTGTCTCGAGTTGTATTGAATCTCGAGTCATTCATTTCCTTCCATGTCCGAGAGTGGGGGTCACACTCCGCTATCCTGCAGCTGTCTGACAATCTGTGTAGGTAACAATATCATCACTCATTTTGCATTTGCATAATCAAGTTTGGAAAATACAGGTTGACGCTCTGATTTCGATTTTCGAGTGTTCAAGGGGTATCCGATTTATATACTACGTCTATGTATGCATACATATGTGGATATATATAAGTAGACATGAACAAGGAGATTTATAGCGTCAGAGAGCAATGTGAGATTGATCTGCTTTATATGATACCCTTGACAAGTCTACCGTATTATCTGTTCTCTAACTATTGCATACACACTGAAGTACGTATGCACAATATGGTAACTATCCGAAAATTGATCCGACTCGGATGCTAGAGTCGGCAATTGATGTCATTTTCGAAATCTGATATTATCGTCCTACCTAGATATCTCAATATCTTCGTCTGAGTCGTGAGATCTCAATTGATCGGCTCAATCTCTTCAGTTCCAATTTTGCATAATTCCCCAGGTAATTTGGAAAGTTCTACCCCGGAATTCTGGGCGTTTTGGTACGGAACATTCCGGGGCAAAGGAGAAGTCCGGTAATGAGAATACACTATGATTACCCCGTTACAGCATATTACACTGTTAGGTACAGGATTGAAAACATATACGTTGTATAATGCAACGAAAGGGATTGGAGTCCCACAACGATCCGCTCTGAATCTCGTGAGAAGCTGAATTCTTTGAGGCATTTATGGAGATGGCGTCATCTCTTCTACTGATAATGTACAATGATCATTATGAGTAGATAAGATATAGCCAACTACAGATGTACATATATATGACTCGTATATGCACATGCCAGTAGAAGTGCAGCAGTCAGAAATTGTACATGTGAAAACATCAACATTCTTCCGGATATCGGCAATTCGCACGTGAGGTTCGGCAGGCCGGATTGATTTCTGCGGGATATAATTTTAATGCATTGTCTGGACCGTTCAGGGGCCGCATTTCCGGATTTTCTTTTATGGTTTGTGGGGAGGAGTCGAGGAGTCGAGGATGCGAGCATTAATTCGTATTCCGCTTATACTGTGTATACCATGGTAGGACGGCGACTAGTCCGATATTCAAATCTAGTATATACATTTGAATATACGTTGTATTTATGCGCTGCTAAATGCTATTTGATTATATCCATAGTTGTGGTTTGTGGTTTGTGAATATTCCACCCCCAAGCCTGGACTCGTATTAATAATGTAAATAATAGACTGGAACAAGAATTGCAACGCGCACAGGGCCGGAGCCTTTAGGGCCAATTACATGTAGTGTTATTATAGCCGTTATGCAATTACACCACGAAGTACGGAGTACAACTAGCAGAATAATGCAATCTGATTTCATCTCTGCAAACGGCAATGGATGTTTCTTTAGTAGGGTTGGATCCACGGATCTGCCTTGCATCTATAAAGTCATTTGCACATACTTGTTTTCATAAGTAACAATACTGTCGTGTATGAACTGAAAGAAGAGCACAAAAAAGAAAGACATCCACTCACGCTGATCACATTATTCATCTACCAACGTAGACAGCGCCCAAAGAGGTAAGTTTACGGGCTCCGCTCTTCGGAGACTGGAGAAAGTCTCCAGTTTTTTCCGCTAAAAACCACAAGTCTGGAACCGTCGAGAGTGTGGGAAAATAAATCCTGGCATTTCGTCCCCCTTGTCCCCTTTTTTGTTTCGATTCGACCCGCATTTTAGGATCTTCATGAGGGTTTGCACTTTGGGATACTTTTTTCTTTTCTGACTCTTTTTACTCTTTATTTCATATTTCTCGCCGGTGTTTTTCGGGGTTTGGGGCCCACTCTGATATAAGTAAGAAGTAATAATGTTGAGAATAATATTCAAAAGGTAAGCAATTAAATAATAAAGAGAACTTTCAAGTACTGATTATAGAATCCAACTTAAAACCCCAACAATTCTCCCTATGCTTTGCGTTGAATACAGTTTAGGGCTTGGCATTAGCATATAGCCGTCTGGAGAGTAAACGGAGTACTACTTACTAGACGCGTGACTACATACCACGGCAATATAATATAGACGATTCTATAACCTATGAATTAACATAACTGACACGATATCACTAAGTTCTAGTTATTCTAGAATTCACATGAAAATGTCTCTCTCCCTCTCTTCTACGGAGTACTAACTACATGAGTACTATAAGATGTAACGTGACCGGGCCGAGGGAACAGCACGGGGCCGGAGAACTAAGCCATTTTGGGATTAAATGACGTTATGTTCTTTTACTTACTTTTTTTTTAATTCAGGTATGGTCATTATAACCGTATTCTATGGTATAGTCTGTGTAATTTGTGTAATGTGGAGGTGTAATTTATTTCCCCCATCTTAAAACAACGTATATTCGATTCATTGGTTGAAATTGAAGAACTAATGGAGTACACACGAGAAACTCTGGGGCATACTTAAAACCTTCACTTCCCCCCAAAGCGCGCGAGTCCTTCTTTCTGTGAAAATACGAAAATCTAAAAAAGATCTTTCTCTCTCTCCACTCCTGTTTCGTTTTTGTTCAACTCGCACGTGCGTTCACACGTTGTGGTATTATCGACTCACATGCCATAAATCGATTCACATACATTCTCTCCCACAATGACCGATACCGAATCTGGGAAACGAAAGGCCTCAAGTGCTGGAATATCCGGCAATAGCCGTCCCGTGAAAAGGCGTGCCTCTAAAGCTTGCTGCTGCTGTCGCGCCCGTAAAGTGCGCTGCGATGTCGTGGAGAATGGTTCCCCATGCACCAATTGTCGATTAGACCAAGTCGAATGTGTGGTGACGGAGAGTAAACGCAGAAAGTGCGTATGAATCTAGGTGGATATTCCGTAAAATAAGAAATAAAACTGACATGGTGCAGGAAATCTCGCGTCGAGGTAGAGAATCACTCCGAATCCCCCGAGGCTTCAGAGGAGAACCATTTCCATGGCCGACTCAGTGACCTTTCGGGGTTGGCTGATTTTGTGCCAACTTCTCCATCACAGGCCTCGGTGGATTTGGATCAGGGCCAACATATGCCTCATTTGCTGTGTGAGTCAACTAGCAATTGAGTCTCGAGTACGAAGTGTGCAATGTGGCAATGTGGCTAATGATATACAGACCAAAATCAGGCTTCACGAATCGGCTCCGATGACCGCTATCGACGCCGCATGGCCTCAAACCCAGCAGTTCCCGCCTCCATGCCCTTGGCCAATGTCACCTCGCAGATTCAGCAACTATTAGATCCCAACTTTGGCAATCCCCGAGCCAGTGGCTTTCTCCCAGATTACATCCGGGGACTGCCTGCACGACTGCAAAAAGAGGATATCGACTATTTGGCTGTCAAGGGTGCCTTGACGATTCCCGATGCTACCCTGCGCAACGAACTGCTCAAGAGTTATATCCACTATGTTCACACATACATGCCCCTGCTTGACTTGGAAGAGTTCTTGCAGACCATAGTCCAGAATGATGGTATTCACCGAATCAGTCTGTTGCTGTTCCAGGCGGTCATGTTCGCCGGTGTGGCTTTCATCGATATGGAACATCTACAGGCCGCGGGCTACCAAACCCGCAAGGCGGCCCGGAAAGTCTTCTTCCAGCGTGCCCGTCTTCTGTATGACTTTGACTACGAGGTGGATCGCATCTCCTTGGTGCAGTCCCTTTTGCTCATGACCTACTGGTACGAGACCCCCGATGACCAGAAGGACACCTGGCATTGGATGGGTGTCAGTTTGTCTTTGGCCCACACTATCGGTCTGCACCGGGATCCCGGAAACTCGCGGATGGACGTGCGTCGTCAACAGATGTGGAAACGCATCTGGTGGAGCACCTATACCCGTGACCGACTGATTGCCCTCGGTATGCGTCGACCCATGCGTGTCAAGGATGACGACTGTGACGTGCCCATGCTGAGTCTTGAGGACTTTGAATTTCGCCCTTTCTCGCCAGAGATTGTGGCCATGGTGGGCAATTCGGAGATCCTACAGAATGTCAGCCACCAGCGTGAGCTGGCGTTGATGTTTATCGAAAAGGCCAAGCTCTGTCTCTGCGTCAGCCACGTCCTGTCGGCCCAGTACTCAGTTTTGAGCCACAAATTCGGCGGCACCATGGAAACAACCATGATGCTCGTTCCAAAGAAATCAACCGCAGAAACATTCGAGGTCCGAAGCTGTGACCAAGAGCTGGAGGACTGGCTGGCCAACCTCCCCCTCGAAACCCAATACACAGCATCGAACGGTTCCAAACTTTCCGAGGCAGACGAGGTTCTTCACTCCCACCGTGCCCTTTTAAAGATGGTCTACCTCACCACCTCAAGCGCCCTGCACCGCCCCCAGGTTCTCCCCGCAGTCCCCTATCCCTCAACAGACGCCGAACTCCAAGATATCTCCCGCAACAAGGTCCGATTCGCCGCAGTTGAAATCACTGCCATTGCGCAGGATCTTCACTGCCTAGACCTCACCCGCTACTACCCAACAACTGGCGTCACAGTCCTCCTTCCAGCAGTCATCATCCACCTCCTCGACATCAAATCAACAGACCCAAGCATCCGCATGACAAGCCTCCAACGCTTCTATCAATGCATGCGAATCCTCCAACGTCTCCGCGAAATTTACGCCTCTGCAGACTTTGCCACCTCCTTCCTTGAAGCAGCCATCCGAAAAGCTGGCATCCAACTCACCGTCTCTCCCCAAGACGTCTCCCGTCCCCGCACATCGACTACAGACTTCGAAAAACCAACCCGCCATACCCTCACACCCCCACCCGATTCTCTCGCCCAAAAGATCCCTGACCTCACCTATCCTCAAAATGCCCCTGTCGCGCGCTCATCAGACCTCTTCGCCTCGACACCGCCTCAATCCGATGGAAGTGAGAATGGAAGCACGAATAATCTCAACCCGGTGAAGGATGCTTTCGCCATGCCTTCGGAGATGAGTCTGACCGAGCTTATGGATCTGGCGAATGATGCCGAGGTCACGCAGAATGATTTCGATGCCTTGATTAATTTTGATGATCCCGCGAACAATGATTTCTTTGAAGAGCAGAATGCAGAGAAGTTCGATTTCGGCGACAATGTCAATATGCTGTTTGATTCAGAGCCTAAGGTGGTGGATTTCGCTTTGGATCATGCCGAGCTGAAGGTTTCGGAATGAATCAGCGATGGACATTTTGCGGTCTCTCTTTCTGAGACCGATATTGACATGATTAATGATTGGCGTTCTCGAGCCCGGTATATGTGAGGCACAATGGCCTACCTAAAATTCGTGCATGTACAAGGTTCTTTTTTCTTCTTTGTTATATACAGTACATATTTATAATGATGATGATTATGACTGCGGATTTTGTTCCTCCATGAAAATAGGGTCCCAGAAATTGGTCGGCAGCGATATATCTAGGAAATCCCCAAACAGTGTGTCTATATCTGCGAATCCGTCCTGCATATCCAGGTCCAGTGGTGCAGGTAGTGTATCTAGTGGAATTTCAGGCGGTGGCACTACTCCATGGCTGTCAGTGCAATGTCTCTTGGCTGGAAAGGAGTCATCGTGAGGTGCGTCGTGGATTGTCTCCAATTCTGATGCACTGTCAACCTGTTTGGGAGGCTCGTTTCGTGGACGCGAGGGGCGATCTCCAGATGTCTGTGGCTGACCTTGGATCTGGTGCAGTGCTTTTTGTCCGAGTCGGGCCATTGCTTCGGCCGAGTACCAGTATGTGCTTAGATTTTCTAACAGTGAGCAGCATGCTTCGAGGCTAGCTTTTGCTCGATCGAGGTGCGTGATGAGTTTGCTTGAGCGGAGTTGGCGATACGAGACACCCATTGAGAGGGTGATTGAATATGGTACGATTGGGAGGGGTGGGAGGTCATCTGCGCATTCTGATGCAACGAGGGAATGGATGCGGACGGCGGCTAGTCCTTGTCTGACGGATGATAGTCTGCTGCTGTCGATGTTCTCGGTTGGTTTATACCGACAGGAAAGGATAGCAACAGAATGATAATATAGTTCCAAGAAACCTGTCCGCTGTCAGTCTATATTTCATTCATAGAAGTGCTGAAAACCTTACCTAGAGTAGAAAAGTCTAGGTCTTCCTGTGTGTCTTCCCCTACGATATCTTCAAATGCAGGGAATCCCTCTTCCCAACCACTGGTAGGATCCGCGGCGGGCCGATAAAAAGATATCACAGTCGCCAGTAAGTCCGAAATAGCGAGCCATACCTCGAACGCACCTCGTGATCTTTGAGCGTTGACGTTAGGTTTCACAACCCCGATATCACGGTCGGCAAAGAGAACTGGCCGGCCGCCAATACTTGCATGCATCTTGTCTAATGTCCATAGACACCAGAATAACTTGGTCAGGGAATCTGTGGATGATTGGTTTGGGCGTCCGAGGTGCAATCCTACTGTCTGAGCTTGATGTATAGCTTGACAAAGGTGTAGAGATGCCGCCTCGGCACCTTCATATCCCTCACAGTGCAAAGACATCAAAGCAAGAATGCGGATCCGCGTCAATCGATCTGGCTCCAGCTCTGCATCCATGGCGACAACGAGTTCTTTGTAAATCTCAGAACAGAATTGGCGCGATCGTAGAAGTGGGCCGTACGGCACCAATGTTAAATATGGACTGGCTGCACGGGTCTTTGCGGCAGCGAGACACATGGCTTTTTCAAGGAATACAGATACCGAGCCATCGACTTGTTCCTGGATGAATCTTTGATCCACTATTGGTATGATGTGATTGACCTTGCTGAAGTAGATAGCAATCAAAGGCTCGCGCGTGGACGAGGGTAACTGTTGGCACGCCTGCATCCCAGCAGAAAATCGCTGCTGAAGCAATGACCTAGTATCCTGTCCATCGTTGACTGCTTTTGGCGCATTGGATGTAAATTCTGTGGGTTGTCCTATGTTCGCCCTCCGCGGCTTCACCTTTTGCGCGGCAGGAGAGTTGATCCAGAGCCCAATGCGATCCCGCAGAGGGTTTCCCGTTGGCTCATTCAATCTTTCCCGGATCAAAGACTCTGGATTGAGGTCTCCCACAAATCGCTCTGTGGCAGGGACGGACGATGAAGCTGGGTTATCAGTTGCCGTCCGTGCTCGGTCTAAGCGTGAGGAGGGAGGTTGACGACTCTGGCTTTCTCTGGGTCTGGGCTGAGAGATACTATAGCCATTTTCTTGGGGTAGCTGTTGGTGCGGGTCATTGGAAGGATCCCATTTGGGAATCAGATGTCGGCATCGTTTCTGCTGCGGTTAGAGAGAGATCTTAAAGAACGCTCCACTACTCGCACCTTTGATCGCTGGCAAGTGGGACAAGCTCGTACAGCTCGAGTACGACTCCGCGACTGAGGTATATCTGGTAGCCAAGTTAACTCCATATCAAAGAACCGAAGTGGTTTTAAACAGACAAGGAAATAATTGAAGAGAAGCGGAGTGGAATATGTTCTTATCGATAAGGAGCTCCGCGTTGCATGCATGCAAAACCTTACCTACACATGTACGGATTACATATTACTGTATACCTCCGAGCACTTTTTCTTGGGGTCTTTTTCTTGGGGTCTTTTTCTTGGGGTCTTTTTGATTTCTCTTCAACATGTTTCCTGGAATTCAACTACCTAAATACTAACTATTCAGAAAGTGTTCAATCGCACATACAAAACAAAATATAATTCGCTGGAACCAAGTACCCCCCGAAAACTCCTTTTGACTTGCAATCTAAACCGGACTCGAGCAAGCCTCGGCCTCCACGAGAGCTTCAATGGCATCATCGTCATCGAACTCATCAACCGCCTCAGCTTTGACCTCATCCTTTGCAGATTGGGATTCAATTAGCGCCTGGTTGGCTGAGGCGTTCGAATTCTCCTTGTCGGAAATACAAGCCACTGCAGCCTTTTTACTCGGTACTAAACTCCAATCAATGATTTGGTCTTCTCCATAACGCGAAGCAAGCCAGTTGTTGCATTTCTTGAAGTGTCCATTTTGGAACTAAATGTATAATTAGTAATCTTTCGGATATGATCAAAAGAGGTTGACCTACAAATCCATGATGCGCACTGAGAGGACTGGGATGCACGGATTGCAAGATGCAGTGCTTTTCCTTGTTGATTTTTGCAACTCTCATCCCGGCAGGCCGGCCCCAGGCAAGGAACACCACGCCATTGGTTCGAACTCGAGCCACGAGATCAATGACCTTCTGTGTGAATTTCTCCCAGCCCTTGTTGGAATGACTATTTGCCTGGTGGGCGCGAACAGTAAGGCATGTATTTAGCATGAGAACACCGCGCTCAGCCCAAGGGATCAGTAGTCCTCCCTTATCGGGTGGCGCCTCGAAATCGGGATAATCGACCTTGATGCCCTTGTAGATGTTGACCAATGATGGTGGGGCTCGTACGGGAGCACGGACAGAGAAGCACAGCCCATGAGCTTGGTTGTGATTGTGGTAGGGATCTTGGCCGATGATGACCACTTTAACGCTGTGCAAAGGTGTGTGTCGGGACCTGATATGGATCAGCACCATGGCAGTCATATGGAGAATCAAGCTTACCAGGAGTAGACATCCTCCTCAGGTGGAAAGACCTTGACATTGGTGTCTTTTTCCTTCTTCAAAAATCGTTTCAAATTCAAAAAATCGGTGGTCACCACTTCGTCCTTCAGATGAGCTAGCCAGCTCTCGTCCAGAGTATCGATTTCTAATTGGAGCAGCTCCTTCTGTTCTGGTGTCAAGGAAGCCACCCATTTCTCCTTATTGAAGTTGCTTGGTCGTGGGGTTGCGGTACGTCCTGACTCTGTGTTGACGGGCTTAGGCTGGGGAGCTCCAAAGAATGCGGTGATGCTTCCACCTTTGGGCTTTTTTGCGTCCGGTGCAGAGACATGCTCAGATTTTCGCTTGACGCTAGGAGACGCCATGATGAAGTTGAGAAAAAAAAGTAGAGAGAAATAATAAGAAAGAAGTAATACGAGAAAGGGTGCCCAGATGGAATTGGCCACAAGTTGCCCCGGAAGTTGAGTCTTCGCGATAAGAGAGATTCGACGCGTCACAACGCGTGAATCCGCGAAGAATCAACTTTGATAAATTTACAAATGTATGTAAGTATTATAACTATAGTACGGAGTACAGAGTAGAATATTATTCGACGATTTCATATACAGTATCATGTAAGTTAGCTATTTATTACTCATTGATTTATCTGGAAATCGGATTTTACGGCTGAAATATAGATCAATTTCGAGTAATGAATACATCTCACATCGAGTTACATATTAAGAAAAAAGACCTTGACAAGCTTAAAGCTCATCGTGACCGTCAACGTTGTCAGCATCCTCAGTGGCCTTAGGAGCAGGGGACGAAGTAATGTCACCACCCTCCTCGGGCTTCTTAGCGCCGTTAGCAAGACCATCAATCTGGTACTTGCCGTTCTCCTTAATGAAGGTAACAAGATCCTCAACGGTACGAGAACCAGCGTACTCAATAGGGGAATCCTTAGCACCAGCGGGGTAGATCTTGATGGTGGGGAAGCCAGTGATGGAATCGGGCACATCGTTGGCAGTGGCGTCGACCTTGGCGACGGTGACTTTCTCGTTGAACTCGGGAACGTCGGCGTACAGAGCAGCGAGCTCCTCGTACTTGGGGGCAAGAGACTTGCAGTGTCCACACCAAGGAGCGTAGAACTCAACCAGGACATCCTTCTCATTGTCAATGACAACCTCCTGGAAGTTGCGGCCGACAATGACGGTGACAGGGCCTTCTTGGGTCTCGGGAATAGGCTCAGACTTGACACTGGGTTCAACTTTGCCCTCAAGGACGTTCTTGATGAATTTGCCGATCTCCTTGGCATCAACCTTCTTGGTCTGATCGTAGGGGTACTTAGCGTTCTTGGTAACGTCTTGGATAGCGAAAGCGGGGAAGTTCTCGGGTTCGAGGTTCAGGTTACCGGCGTGGGCACCAAAGAGCTTAGCATCGAGAGTGACGATGTTGATGTCTCCACGGTGCTTCTCAGCGATAGGGCGGAAGTCAGCAGCGAACTGCTCACGCTCCTCTGGGGTCTCGGCAAAAATGTAAGCCAGGGGGATACCGGCCTAAGTATCAAAGTCAGTTTATGTTCTCTCTAGGGTATACAAAAGACGGGGAAGAGCTAGGACATACCGCCATGTACTTGGAGTAGGTCTCGGGACCGAGCTCGCCAACAAGAGGAGTGCTAGCGGTTTTGACCCAGTTGAGGATGGCCTCATCCTCAAGCTTGCCATCGTAAATAGCCTTCTTCTCGTCGAAGTCCTTGTAGAGAACGATGGAAGGTTGCTTAACACCTTCAGTCTTAGCAAGAGCAGCGTCGTTGGATGCGGCGAAAAGGAAGTTGTCACGCTGGGACTCGGCGAAGGAAGTAAAGCTCTCGTTGGCGGTCTTGTCATCGGAGGCGACGTAGCCAATGATCACAATCTTGTCCAGGGCTTTGAATTCCTCCAGGTTCTCCTCGTTCACGCTTGAGACGGCGGGCATTGACTGCTTGGTCATGTATGAGACGATTCTATCGAAAAAGCGCGCGGTCAGTCTTCATATAATGCATCATGAGGAAATGCACTTCTCGACTTACGCGTCCGTCTTACGGGCACCGGCGTAGGGCTTGTGAGAATCGGGGCCACGGAAAACCTTGAGGGTAGGGTAGCCATCAACCTCGTAGGTACGGCATAGATCCTCCTCTACGGTACAGTCAATCTTAGCCAAGGGAATATCCTTGGCCTTGAGCTCGGTGGCAGCCTCCTCATACTTGGGGGCAAGAGCCTTGCAGTGACCGCACCAAGGCGCGTAGAACTCAGCGAGCACCAAAGGGTGCTCCTTGACGAAGTCGTCAAAGGTATCGGTTGTCAATGTGACGACATTGGCATCGGCGTCGGCAACTTCAGCGGGCTCTGAAGCATGGACAGCCGCAGTAGCCCCGAGAAGGCTTAGTACTAGGGGAGCGAAAGACCTCATAATGGCGATATGTCTATAATAAATTTATAAAAAAGTGGATGAGCTCAAATACTCCGAATGTTTTCAATTCAACAAAATTGTGAGGAGGATCTTACCAATATGTAGGAGGATGATGAAAAAGACCAAACTCCAGAAGGGAATGTTATTTATGTTTTAAAGGGAAGAGGACAGTTTGTTCAGAGCTGAGAGTGGAGCTTCAATATGACTGGGCTATGCAGGGTTACGAAAGGGCGGTTCCTTAGGTACCCGTGGTAAAGTACCCAGTACCTCCACTAACTGCTATTTTATGGGGAACGTTTGAGTTGTTGGCACCTTCAACCCTTGTCATCAAGGAAGAGATGTGCCCTTTTTATGTACATATGTATGCACTATATAGCCCCTGGGTCTGCTTTGGGTACGGACATCTTTTCTATTTTGTATTGGGTTACACACTTCGAATTGTTGACAAGTGGCCTTTGATTCTTGGCGGATTGGAGTTATTTATAATCATATGCATTCCCAGTGCATCATTCCAATATTACTTCTGCAAATATCAAAAGGAGTCAAGTCTAATGCACAGGTAAAGTAAGTACAAGCTAAGTAGGTAGCAACAAAAGCAATTATTCAGACATATCACAAACAAATCACTCTTGAGTTGGTTCGGAGGTCTGAACAGAAATGGCCCCATAATCAGATGATCTCTCGGAGATGCCATCCAATTCAGCCCCGAGCGCTAAAGCATCTCTTTTCCCACGATCAACATTCACTGAAAGCATGAGTGGCAATGGCACGATAATCAAGATAGCCAGAAACCCAAAAGCGGGTCGAATTTCTCCATATCGATCGGTGATGGAACCGACAATGGCTGGTCCAAAAATGCTGGACCCTTTGTCGGTAATTGCGTAGAGTGCATAAAAGGCCGCTTCGTAACCGGGAGGAATGAGTTCTCCGAAGAAACTTCGACAGTATGACGACAGCCCGCCCATAACAAGGCCATAAACTGCTCCCAAAGGATACATTTCCCAAGGTTGGTGAAGACCAAGTCCTGCACGTTGCACAGCCGGAATAAATCCCAGAAGACCATACAACGGAATGAGCTCAAAGAGGATAATACACGCAATGATGGTCTGTGAAGCTCGTAATTCGAAGTAATTCGACACGTAGCTCCAAGAGAATGCACCAAATACCCCTGCAAGCATGACAATCACATTGATCAGTCCCAGGGCTGCTGGCTTCATGTCCAGTTGGGTTTTTGCGAATAGTACAGCAGTACCGCTGACGGTTGCAATCCCATCACTTAGGAGAAACCATGCGGCAAGAAAGATCGCGATATCTTTCAAACGTCGGGCCCGCATCACAGTCTTGCCGAGCGATTTCCAGGCGTAAGCCATGTATGCAACCCATGAATGGAGCGGTTTACCGTCACTTCCTAACAAAGGCGGGCCGGGCCGAGTGCGCAGCCACAAGGCGGCCGGGATAGTAAACATAAACCACCATAGTCCGATCAAGAAAAGCACAAAACGTAATGAGAACGTTGGGGGGCGCACGACCACAACAACCAAAATGGAAAGCACCTGTAGAATCACCGCACCGATATAACCTATGCCGATGCCATTGGACGAGATTCTGGTGGAAAGTTTGAGTTCTAGAGAAGTATTCGCAGTGGATGCTTCTGATGCTTTGCTTCCTGGTCTCAGTAGTGGGGTAGATTCATCCAGTTGTGTTTGGTCAATGTTACCAGCCGAAGAAGACAGAATGTCTTCACTGGAGGCGGTCGCAACATCACTTGGAGGCGTCGCCTCTTCTCTCCCCTTAACCAAGGATGGATGATGGCGAACCAAAACAGGTAGGAACGAATTCAGAAGGACGAAAGACGCACCAAAGCAAGTATTTGAAATAATTGCAAGGAGTCCACCTAGCAGGTATAATTTGGGGACAATAGTCAAGAACAACATTGTTGCAATTGAACCAACGAGGGCAAAAATGACCAAAAGTTTCTTGCGATAAGTTCCATGGTCAGCGGCACCTGACATTGAAATGATCAGGATTGCTTGGACCAAGACACTCAATGAAAAGGTGTATAAAGCAAAGCTTGCTGTGTTAATCTCAGCACCGAGAAAGTAGATGATACACTGGCCACTATCCGACATTTGAGGGAGATACTCTGATCCATGTGTGTCTGGTGGCAGAGAGGGACTCCAGGTCGCGCTGCATGGCGTTGTCTTGTCTGATAGTAGAACACCTCGATCTCGAGCCATTTGTTCCAATGTGATGGGAAGAAAGGAACCTATCCCAGGTTAGATATGTAATGATCAGAGTATAGGCAATATTGAGAAGGAATCAAATCAAAAAGTCCCGAAGAAGTCCCATAAAAAGAGGCACAGAAATTCTGTAAAAAAACACTTACCCATGGCACATACTACAAAAACCTCAGCAGCCCAGCCATAGCAATACCAACCAGCCAGCTCCTTCTTGCTGGTCGGCCTGGTGTCCTCGCCAGGATATTGAGGGAGAGACTCAACATTATGGGTACTCATGGTATCCCAGACTCATGGTCATAGGTAAATCCAATTCATCAAATACAAAGTAGAACTCAAGGTATAAACTTGGGAAGGTTGTGATGTGCAAATATTCAAAGAAAGAGAAGTGAAGTCATGAGAGCTCAGGTATGTAAGATCCCAAGACCCAGTACATGGTATGAGCTCCGTTTGAAGTACTGGGACCTCTATGCTAAGGAAATTTTGTATTGTAATAGATGTATCAATACTTTCAGTAATTACGTTTTTTTTGATACCAATACAAGTCACGGGATAGGTGTGTTAAGGCATCAAGGCCTCAAAGGCGGTAGGTCAATGCATGCAAGCGCATCGCGCTTTCAATCATCATTTTTTGGGCTTGAGATTATTGACTGGCAGTCTACTCGCCTTTATTCTCTCCTCTACAAGAACCTAATTATCTAGTGGATCTAACTTCACCTTTCAATCATTTGCTTAGAGACTTCTTCGTTCTTTTCTTCCCAGATTGTTTCGCCTCGTTCCTCGCATTGCGACAACCCTGCTATCACCAAAATATCTAGATTCCCGACCACGACCCCTCCTTAAAGCCAGTCGCTAGTTTGATAACGATCAAATCCTGTGATTTCCGAGTGTTTCATTGCCCAACCCAACCTGATTACACATCGCCCCGAGCCTCGACCAACCGTTGAAGGCCCATCCGAGTTCTAAGCAGTGCGCCAAGCTCCACCGATTATGAGCGAGGCCCTCTATTCACACGGCCCGTGAATCGAATGGCAACGCCTTGAGATCCTACTCATTGCCTCATTTTTGATCTTGGCTTCCCTTCCTATTCCAGTGCCGACTGGACCGATCCTGGAACAGCGCCTGTGTCGCTTGTTCTGCGCCGTGCATAGGGCCAAGGAGGGGAAAGCTTCCACAAAGCAATCACATTGCAGTAGGTTGTGCGTAAAGAAATGCCCGGTGTCATTATGGACAATGTCAACGTCGAGGAATCTATCCGGCGACCAGGCCATGGTGATACCAGAAACGGCGCATCCAATACTTTTGAAAATGCCGACAAATCTGGTCATAATCCTGGCATGAACGGATCGACACACGTGAACGGCACATTGCAACATACACAGACACTTTCAGATAAGGCAGGGGACATCATGCCAGCGGCACCATTCGAACTACCACATATCACCCAAGGGTTCTTTCCGTTCGGTACACTGGTCAATCGCTCGGTGCAGCAATGCTGGATTGAACTTTCGGAAGTCATCACAGAACTGGCTGCTATAGAAGTGCCAACAGCCAATGGAAAACCGGGCGGCAACCAGTCAGCGGAGAATTTACACAAGAAATCACGACTTTTGGAATTTGCCCATGACAAGAGAGCTGAATTCATCAAACTCCTTGTTCTCTCACAATGGAGCAGACAGGCTGCAGATGTGAGCAGACTCATTGATATCCAGGGGTTCATTCGCACCCGGCATCAGTCATACGATTCTGCTCTCCAGTACGTTGGCGAGGTGAAAAGAGACCTTGTTCGAGCACAGGTCGCCAACCCGGACTTGAAAACGGCCCTGGAGGTTCTTTCAAAAGGACGGGTAGCCTCATTGCCGGATGTAAGCACACTCATACTCCCTTTCATTTCCAAAATGCTAACATTCTAAACAGCTTGGCTACAAACCCCCTACTCCACTGACAGCACGGGCGACTCTCAAGAAGTTGCTAAAACTCAACCGAATCATCAGCGTGCGACTGGTATTGCATGATTCAGTACCATCTCCACTGCGCAATTATCGCGTCCATGATGGCCGGGTCACATTCACAATTCCTGGCGAATTTGAACTTGACCTTTCTGTCGCAGAGGAGTCAAGCGCATCCCAGTTCTTCTTTGTGGATATTCGCTTTCTTTTTACTCCATCATCGCCTATTCCAAAAGGTCGAATCTTCAATGAACTTGACGGCAAAATCAACGAGGTACTCCGGGCCGATGGTTTGATGGGCTGTTTCCATTTCCTGCATGGACTTGTTCTTACAAACAAAATCAACATCTTGTTCAAGCAAGCTACAGAGCTTGCACGGGGTCTCTGGGCGAACGCGTTGCATATCGAACTACTACATCGAACACTCGTCGTCCAGTATTGGCCTCAAAGATCGGGACCCAAGAGCTGGCTTGAGATTGGAATAAAGAGTGGCCATCGCACTAGCGGTTCTAATGATTCAAAGTCCGGAATCTCTCATCTCGGCTTCCGATGGGTCCGCGACGGCCAGCAAGTCAGCAGCGATTCCATTAAGTTCAACTCAAATGACCTCTCCATGGAGCGTATCCTCAGAAGCGCCATTGCATTACACACATCCCATCTTATCTCTACCGCATTCGCCACCCTCAAAAAGCACCTTCTTTTCTCCACCCACACACTATCGCTACAAGCTCAATTATCATCCACTGAGCCTGGAGATTGTCGCCTTGACGTTCAACTCACAGCCTCGCGTTCTCTTAGAGTTTCCATAGAACCTATGTCTGGCTCCATTACCCTATGTGGGGTGCCAAACATGTTGGAGCGTCTTGACGGCGATCGAACTGTTTTCAAATCGACGATAGAAGAGATTTTATCTCGCGTCTCCCGATTGCGTTGTCTTACCGCAGTGGATGAGATCGAATCCGCTACAAGAGCTCTTGGCCTCGAGCCCGTGAGCCAGAGAGTACTCGGGACTGACCCTCGAAGGTTATTCCCTCCTGGTGTAGTGCGGACCGCATTGTTCACCCATCGTCTTTGGAACAAACACTGGGTTGCTGCAGCGACAAGCAGTATGGATGGTGACCACTGGTGGCTTGTTCAACTTCGGCCACTTCAGTCGGCTAAGGAAGCGAAGGCGGCGCCATTGCATCACATTGGCAATGACAACCCGAATCTTCCGCGAGCCCATATCGTTAGTGAAAGTCTGGTTCCCCCAAAGACACGACTCGACTTCACGACTTGCGCGACACTGGTTGATGGGCTCACCGGAATACTGGCAATGCATGCCAACGCACGCTATCTGGCGGACCTATCGAACATTCATTTCTGGCCATCGTTGAAGGAATTGCACTTGGAACCAAATATGACAGTCCCTGAACTCTTGTTCAACTACAATTCGTCCATATTACCCTCTGCCTTTCGGGTGGCGCAACCCTCCGGGGTGAATACAAAGCCACGGTTCAAAGAGATGGTTCGACTTGTGTTCCATGGAATTGACCGCCAAAGCCACTCTGCTATAATAGTGGCACGTGGTACCTTCAAAGTTCGCATGAAATGTTTGGCCTCGCTTGTCTCAAAGACGGACCCTTCATTGATCATTGAAGACAGCGGTACTGGTTTTGCACTTCGTTTGCTTGTTCCAGCTGGACATTCCGTCATTGTTTCCGTCTTTGAGCGCTTGCAACGACTCGAGTGTGTTCTTTCTATCTTCGAACCTTTGATAAGGAAGGGAATGGAGGCTCGATCTTTGTCTCTGTCTCAGGTTGCCTTTTTATACGGGCCCGACAAACAATACTCTGCTTCTTTCGATATTGGGGTCCGAGGCCCTTCCTTGTCTGATTACGTTGACGTTACTGGTGCCGTCTCAAAAACTAAGCCCATTTTCCAGCTGGACTTGGGCATCAAGTTCGACAGCTCCAGTCCTCATCGCCGGATCCAAGAGGCCCTGAGCGTGAACTTGAACAATCCATCCTCTGGAACGGGCGTTGATAAGACACTCGGACTCTTGAATATCACGCTTCCCTTGTTGCGTTCTTTGGATCAAATCACTGATCCTTCGAGTTCCATGCATCGGTCCATTGTGCACATCACCGTGCGCAAACCGACTGAATACCAGCTTCACTATCCCCGACTGAAGTCTCGCTTCCAGTTGAACTTAACATTGCATCAAGATATGTGGATCTGGGTATTGAAGGATTCCAACAGTATGGACCAGCCAGGTCGTAACCAGGTCATTACTGCAACAAGAGAGAAAATATACCAATCCAGAGGTGAGGGTTGGCAAGGCCTTGCAGACGGCGCAAAAGCGAGTTCCACTAAGATAGGAAACCTCATCCTCGTGTTGCATGAGTGCATGAATGCTCCCAATCTTGAACTTGAGAAAGTCGAAGCGAAACCCGAACAATTTTCAGAACAAACTCGCATCAAAGGCGCGACATCAGCCCCTTCACGGCAACCCATTGGACTGGGAAATACCGATGTCATCACGATTGACTAAATACAAATGATGTCTGCCTCAACAGAGCTCAATATCCATTGTATTCCCTTTCCCACTTTAATGCAAGAGTAACTACAATGTTCTCTTCACGATGTATTCTTAGACTTTGAAATGACACGGCATTTAAATGTATTTGTGTTCATGATGCGTGAGAATTATTAAATCGTTCATACAAGTAAATTAACAACGCTCTTCCCTGATCTTTCCCCGGTTGCGTAGCACATCGTATTCAATCCACCTAGCCATCGGGGCACCACCTTCGGGGAGCAGACGTCCAGGGTTCATGACATGGCAGCCTTCATATGTTATGCAGAAAGGTGCAGCCTCAGGATCTGCAAGCACCAGCGCGGTTGGTAATGGGTACAATTGTAAAGCGGAGGCATGATCCCACAAGATGGGCCGCAATGGCAAAGGGAATGGAGAAACCGTCCCTTGATCCAAAAGTGTCTTAACGAGTCTGCGAGCCATTGATGCGCCAGACAACGCAGCGACCTTGGTACCTTCTTCTTGACCCAAGTCATCTATTTGGCTATCGCCGGTACCGAAAGCACCGGCAGCACTGCCGGATGGTTCCTGCATTGTGACATCTGGGTCCTCGTTGTCGAGGGTAGTGTTTACAGCGCTGCGTCTTAGTCTTGCCGACATATCATCGCGGAACACAGCGATGTCATGCACAGGCCCAAACCATGAGAGGCGTGCCGGATTCGATGTCCAGATTGCATCGCCGGCCGGTTCCGTATCATGGGCTCCAAGCTCTGAGTTCGCTGTTGCAAATGCACGTTTGACTCGAGAGGTAAACAAATCTGGAATCGGTTGTCGTGGGACTGTTGAGGCTGCACCGGCAGAGAAGGCCGAGGCCCATGGATCATTGTCACCTGGCACAAAGACAAAAGTCGAGTGTTGGAGCAATGCTGGGAAGTCCGATAGCACGAGCGCCAACGAATCGAAATATTCCTTGTATTCAATACTTCCGGCTCGACCACCTCCGCTGATGACAGCTCTCTGCACGAAGTTGCCGAGCAACACAAAGGCTTGTGGGCGTTCGGGAAGAGCGAGATCATTGTAGATACTGAAGACCTTTTTCAAGGCGTCCAATGTCTTCATGTTGTCCAAATTGATCTCACTCATGACTGCGACTTTGAGTCTAATTGATGTTTCGGGGGTTTCAGGATCATTTCGTAGACTTTTTTCCTGGATTCTTCTCATCCGCGCACCTTGAGCACGCTCACTTCCTAATCCGAGAAAGTCGACCCAGCCGAAGCCACCACTGGAGCTCATTTGTCCACTGCCTTGGCGGTTGCTTGTTCCTAATGAGATATCCCGTCGTTCACATGGAGGTCCACAAATTGATATACCCACAAATTGGCCACCAATTGCACCTCCAATGCCTGTGTTTCCTCCTAACGCAGCACCTTTGACCATTTCTTCCTCTTCGTAGATACCATCGACAAGCACGATCATACCTGGCGCAAACCATGCGCCATCTTCGGGTATCATTCGAGCATGACTCAAGTCCAATGCCACACTTCCAGTCAAGTCTACAAGGGACAATTCCCCGGTATGGGAGATTGAAAGCAACCCGAGGAGTAGATGTGAGGTTCCTGTTCTACCCAGCAAATTGGCAATTGGCGTTAATTTATAGGATTGTCGATGTGCAAGATTGGACGATGAACGCTGCAATGAGGGTACACCAGCGGTACCCAATGAGCTCTGGAAGGACTCATTGCGTAGCAATCGCTGATAGACGAGATTGTAGCGGTCTCGGAAGAGTGCAGTCTTGTGAGCTGGGGACGGGAACAAAGATGGCTTGGACTGGACGACCTCAAAGTACTTCTTGTCGACATTGTACGTCAAGCGTGGGAGATCAAACGCATTAATTACTTTGAGCCAATTTCTGGGATGAAGTGACAATTGCGCATCTTCTTCTTCGGTTCTTCCTGGTTTTGCAAAGGACCCCGAGGAATCGGTTGTTTCCATCGGCCCATCATACATGCCAAGAGCTGATGGCTTTGAACCATCCTTACCAGCGATGACCCTTCCACCAATCATACTTCCCTCAAGAGTCTGCAGTATCGTCTTCAGAGATGCGCCTTTTCCTTCCTCGACAATCACCCCTCCGCCGGCTCTTTTCCATATCTTGGCTATTTCGTCGAGAACTCGCTCTGCTAGGCCCTCCTCGCGCCATCCCGAGCCACAGTTTTTTCCCACAAACACAGCAAGTGTTTGAAGTGCCGAGGACGATATTGTGAGGTTATGTTTGCGGGTGAAGGTTCGAAAGGCCACTGGACGCAGTGTTGACGGAGGGAGTAAGATTGGTAGAATGGAAGTTTTAGAAGGCGCATTTCCCTTTGGCAATCGAAATGGACGCGCTGGTGTTCCAAATGCAGGTGAAGATGAAGGTATTGCGTCCTTGAACCGATCTGGATGTCGCGGTGTCGAGTCCATCTTGTAGATTTCCAATGACAGAAAATCCTGATTGACTGAAATAGGTGGAAATTCGGGGCTTTTGTAAGATTAAGAATCCTCAAAATACTTGAAACTCTTCAAAATCCACCAAAAATGGTGAGAATCGAGTTAATGAAGAGGGTTGAAGTTCAGAAATCAATTAAATTCGAGACGCGTGACGCGCGCCGCGCCGGAGCTAAGCTGCTGCTTCTTCGCCTTCGTCTTCTCTTTTTCTTTTTCTTCCATTCCGATTCACTTCACTCTTCTCTATACTCTGTACTCTCTTTTCTATTTAATTTGACTTCAATTTTCTACTCTTGTCCTACAATCTTTTTCTTTCTCTCTCCAACACAATGGCCGAAACAGATATTCAATCCCCCGAACTCTCGGAGCAGGAAAAGCGAACCGAACTCAAAGACTTGATTGAACGCGCCGCTGCAAAAGATGCGACCAAAGATCATGACTCTGCTTCTGAGCTCTATTCCCAAGCTACCGAGCTTCAAGCCGAACTGAACGGTGAATTATCCCCAGAAAATGCCGATTTGCTCTACGCCTACGGAAAATCACTCTACAATGTCGCAGTGAGCAAGAGCGATGTCCTTGGCTCCAAGGTAGCCGGTGAGCCGGAGTCTGGTACCGCTTCCTCGACAAATTCTTCTTCCGCCAAGTCGAAATCCGCAAGCGGCGGCCTTGTCAAAGGCGCCATTGCAAACTCGGCGCAAACTTCATCTAAGCACGCAAAGAAAGAATCAGAGCCTACAGGATCGAAACCATTGTTCCAATTTACGGGTGATGAGAACTTTGTCGACTCCGAGTCTGAGGATGAAGAGACTGGCGACCAAGACGAAGACGAGGATGAAGATGATGATTTCGCTAATGCTTTTGAGGTCTTGGATTTGGCTCGGGTTCTGTATCTCAAAAAATTGGAGGCTGCAGAAGAAATTGACGGTGGTAAAGGAAAATCCACAGAAGTATCTACAGACACAAAGCACCTTATGGAGCGACTCGCAGATACACATGATCTTCAAGCCGAAATTTCACTGGAGGCAGAGAGATTCAGCGATGCAGTTGCTGATTTGAGAACTGTTCTTGAATTGAGAAACTCGCTATATTCTCTTGAGGATCCCTCAGTCGCTGAGTGCCATTACAAGCTCTCCCTCGCCTTGGAATTTGCATCCGTCCAGCAAGGTGACGAAGAAAATGATAAGAAGCCCAAGGTTAATGAGGAGATGAGAAAAGAGGCTGCTACCGAAATGGAACGTGCTATTGAAAGTTGCAAGATCCGAATGGCTCAAGAAGAAAAGAAGCTCGAGGCTGAAAAAGATGAGGATGAGGATAAGGCAAATGCGACAAAAAGAAAGATCGCAAACGTGAAAGAAATCGTCACTGACATGGAGCAACGGGTAATTTACCTCCGTGGATAGTATTTTGGGTTATTCTCAGGGCTCTTTGCTAACGTGAATTGCAGCTTGCTGACCTCCGCCGGCCACCTGTCTCGATCGAACAAAATGACCAGTCCAACGAAGCTATGTTGAAGGGAGTCCTGGGTCAGATCATCGGCCAGTCGGCAATGGATCAGAAAGCTCAACTTGACGCAGCCAGCAAGGGAGCTACAGATCTATCTGCATTTGTCAAGCGCAAGCCCGCAAAAGACCCAGCTCAAAAGGCTGAGACGACCTCCAAACGACCTGCCGAAGAAGAACATGCTACGGAGAGTGGCTCGAAACGGTCTCGCACCGACCATGCGTCCTCTTGAAAATGATGACTCGGGGCTTCTTCTTTTATACATCCCAACCCCCATTTAGTACGGGTAATACTAGAATATCTATGAAATCAATTCCGCGCATTTTGCCGGTTGGTTTGACAGTTTTAATATTGTGATTTGTGATTGACTGGTTGACTGCTATGGTAGTAAAGTTGTATGCAATGGATGGCACAACGGCGAGGTATCATAATTAATAAAAGGGTATCATTTCATGTCATGCAATAGCCTCGTTCCAGAACCTCCTCAAAAGATTGATCATCTCATGAGATGCCGAAAATGGCAGGTCGGCGTTCAATCTTGCGATTCCTTCGTCTCGCAGCAAGCCCGGGGCTCCAAATACCAGCAAACAAGTCCTCGCATTCATCTTCGTCATGGCTGTCAAATTCCACGTTTGCTGAGCCTGGCTCGGGCCGTTCAGATTGTTGTTCAGCTTCCACAGACGAGGGGACATCGGGCGGAGACTCCCAGCATGAAGAAGTGGTGATCTTCTTTGTTTCAAGAATAAACTTGCCGACCTTGTACCGCTGTGATTCTTCCTCGGCTGCGACGTACTTCCAGCCTAGTACATTGTCACAAAATGTGCAGCTCACATCACTGACCGTATGTGCACCTGTAACGAGCTGGCGAGGTACCGGGCGTTGTAGTATGGTATTAGGTAGTGTGGTTATAGGCGATGATGATGCGCTAACCGATACGGCAGTGGCTACGGGCTCTGCTGAGACTAAATATGCACGGCCATGACGACCTGTAAACCCTTTGCTGATGATTTGAGAAGTCAAGCAAAGGTGCGATGCGCAGCCAGCGCAGCGCAGATAGGAGGTATGACCGTCAAGGTACTTTGATGAGTCCGTTGAAAGCCCCGCATCTCGTTTGGGAAAGAGGGACGGAATTAGGAACTTGGGAAACTGAAGGGATTTGCTTTCTTTGGACATTGTAAGAGGTGCTCTCAGTGATGCAGATCAAGCAGAAACTATAAATTAGACAGAGAAGGAAAGAAATCCTGCAAGTCAGACAAGGGATGATATAAGTGAGGTCATAAGCTTATCTTATCTTATCCAATCTGTCAATGTTTTTTTTTGTTCCTCGGGATAGTTACTTGTTTCTTGACTTCGAAAACCACCTGGGCATTCTAGATTATCTAGAAGATCTCTCTCATATGTGAATGTTGAAAAAAGATTATTCAATTTGAAATAATACTAGAATAGAAGCGGATCAAACACATCCCATGACTCCTGAACCCATTTGATATTGACGGTCACTAGACTTCAGCGACCAAGAAAAGCCATTCATTGCTTAAGCAGCCTTGATCACTGTTGGACATCCATGGCTCTAGAGTGGTGAGACTAAACCCACACCAACCGAGGCTTCGGACAAGCTCCATTTCATCGGCGCGCTGGGAGCGAGTGACACAGGCAACGATTTGGGAACACCCAAATGTCGCAATCTCGGCCAATTCGAATAGTGCGATTAGGCTGAAAGAAGGTCAGCGATTCGGCTAAGCCAAACTGGGAGAGTGCCTAGCATCAAAAGGGGGAAGAAGCCCTTGAGGGTGTCCAAGGGAATACAAGTGAGTTTACATACCCGGATTTAAGGCCGTCCAGCGCAGGGTCCTCGAAGAAGACAAACAAAGTCCGCTCCTTGTTGTTTTCCACCACAAATCCACGATAAATAGCATCTCCAGAATAGTCCCATACTTCGATCCATTGTTGAATACGACCATGCTGTCCGGTTTGATTTGGCTGAATGTTTCGGAACGCACCCATTCCCAGCGACTCCTGTTGCACGAAACTCCCCTCACCAAGGAAAATCATGGACAGTTTGTCACAGAAGAGTCTCTCACACTCTTCCGGAATGGTATGCGTTGCCTCCCCCTTGTACTCTGGCCATTGATTTTCGGGCCAGGTTCGCTCACCGGGAGCGGGGATATCGTGGGGAGGTCTTATTAGAGACGATTTAGGCCCCGAAGGGACCTCAGGGATACCACTGTACTCCTACAAGGCAAAATTAGAGAGATTATTCAATAGATTCGGTGGAATTACATACCGGCACCCAGGGTAGTGTAGTAGTGGAAGCCGTGGACCTTGGCGGTCGACGACTCCACACTGTAGCAAGTGGCGAGGGCAGTCTGGGATTCTTGGTCGAGAAACCGCTGCATTTGATTGGAATTACTACTGTGGTTATTCATGTATTTCGCCATGATAGTCGATCGTTTCGGATAATTGTGGGGATGACGAATTAAAGATCACAAAGGTTAAAGGTCAAGGGATTGAAGTGGGTCGAGTGTTGAGATTAAAAAGTAGCGAAGACACGATGAAGACGATGATGGAATATATTGAGAAGTAGAAATCGAAGTGCTGTGGTCTGATTGTTGGGCAACGAAAGCCCGAGGGGGGACGAGCGTCTTCGTTTTTCTGACCGTCAGTCACCTGACCATCTCTCTATACACTTTACTTCACACCGTCTCTTTGCATTATTTGGAGATTATACTATTTACATTTACATATTCGATTATGTGAATATATCTAATGATTGATTACATATACATGTATATACATATACATATACAATATACATATATAACTGTGATAGCTACTGTCGACCTCTCATGTTCATATTTACACCTGGGCAACAGTTTAGACATGTGTAGTCACAACCGGCGCCTACTAAATAAAATGTTTTTTTTTGATACTGTTGATTGCAACTAATAATATTACACACCTGTGATAGTAGAAAGAGATTGATGTAAGATAATAAGATGTGTCGAAGAAAGCCGCTTTAAATCATATGCATATTCACAAGGTCCTTGAGGACTACAACGCCAGATAATCCCTAAACACTCAAAGTTCTCGATAATCACTGGGTCGAACTCTTCTGTTTCTTGCTTGGTGACGTTGGGGATTCACGGGCTGTCGGAAATAGGGGGAATCTTCTTCTCTGGAGTAAGGGGTACTGAAAGTGGTTCGTTGTTGGTTGGAAAAATTATTCATCCCAGGCTGCCCTTGGAATCCATTCTGCATTGGGAACATCATCGATGGATCACCATTGAACATATTGGGGAATCCGTTGGTCATTCCACTGCCCTGGTCGAACATCCCAGCTTGTAGAGGGTTGAAGGGCATGTTCATTGGGTTCCATCCCGGACCCATGCTATTGGGGAACCCATTGGGAGCTGCCATGGCCATTGGGTTCATGAACCCCATAGCATCATTGCCAAATCCAGGACCGGAGAAAGGCATCATGGGCATACCCTGCATTGGTCCAAAACCATTGAAAGGCATCTCGGAATTGAAGTTGGCTGGGGCGGCCGGAGTGCCATCTTTGGCAATATTGTCTTGGTCTGGAGTGTCGGTTTGCTCGTCGGCCTTTTGTTTCTTTGCCACATTACCGGGCTCTGAGCCGCTTTCATCTTGATTAGCCGGTTCATCCTCAGCGGGTCGCTTCTTCGATTGCGTGGGCAGATTCTCTTGGGATTGATTGGCTGGGCTCTGTTCTTTGTTCACTGGGACTTTGGGCTCTGATTCAGAGGTTTCTGGCACAGGCGTGCCATCCAGCCCGCTGGGGTTCTTTTCCTTTTCCTTTTTGGCTTCCGCCTTCTCGGCTTCATATACCTTAATTTTGGAAGCAGATTCATCATCCGGGGTAAGGTTATCCAGTAAAACACCCTCTGTGGAACATCCAGGGCAAACAAAGTCACTTTCAATCAGAGCATTGGAAATACAATCATTGCAATACGTCCGCTGGCAACACGGTGTCTTTGTTGGCTCTAGGAACATCCTCTTGTCAATTGGGCATTCCAAACCTCGAGCTTGTAACGCCTTGCTCTCCTCAGCAGCAGCTGCTTCGGCCGCCGCGGCCGCCGATGCCTTGGCCTTTTCTTGGTACAACTCCCAGGCTGCCTTATCCGGTTTTGCAATAACAAAGTCACCATCAGCATTCACCATGACACCTGTGTTCCTTGAATCTTCGGTAGAGCCATCGGGCGCCAAGGATTCCGGTTTGTCGACTTTGGTTTGGAGTGAACGTGGAATACCAGTTGATCGCTTCACTCTGTATTTGCCATCGAACTTGGGGTCATTGTTCGTTGGGCATGCTTGAATCCAATGACCTATGAGCGAATGTTAGCGTTCTGAGCCAGTAATGAAATCACCGAACTGTACATACCCTTTTCCCGGCAACGATAGCAGAGATATCCGGGTGGCGGCGGATGATCGGGTACATTGACAGGTTTGCCCCTGCCACGGCCAAACGGCACGGGTGTTGCGCTAGATGAAGTCAGTATCTTCTCCGACAATATCAGACACAGGGACAGGGTCCTCTTACTTTGCCATTTCTTGCTGTTGTTCCTGCCATTGACTCGCCTGCAGGTTGAAGAGGGCATTGATCTTCTCTTCTTCTGTCTGCGCATTGTTGAGTTCGAGGACATTGTTGTTCACCGATTGTCCAGTCCCGGGCAGCACTCTGGTCGTCGAGGTTTCGTTGCGGGGGGCAATACGGGCATTGATTGGCATCTTGCCTGAGACATAACGAGCGGCACCGCCCTTGCCAGGGCGCGCGGCGGGCAATCTGCGAGCAATCACCGATGTGGACCGAGGGATAATGGTGGTGTCATCGTCGTATTCTGTTGGACAAATGTCGGAATTAGTTTATTTGTACCGCGAAGGAAACATGTTAAAATCAAGCAACGTACCCTCTCTAGTGTCTTCATTGTAGATTGATAGCTCAAAGTCACTCCCATCGCCCAATCTACTTTGGCTGATAATCTCTCTTTTGAGTTCAAAGACCGAAATACCAGTGCCATCAAAGGTGACCCTTGAGGGCTCTTTCTGGGACTTGAATTTGAAATGAACAGATGAAGACATTGTATTCAATATGGGGTGCAACAAAGATGGTCGTATTTGTATGGAGACCCGAGTTTAGGAGGCACCGCCGCCGTGTACAATGAGCAATAAGGGGGAAACAGAGAGAAGAGGAAGGCTTGGAACGGAGTGAATTGGGTGTAATCACCAGTCACAGCGGAGACAAAAAGGGTCAAGCAACAGATAATACCTGTTTGGGCGACCAAGAAAGAAAGATATTTTAAAAAGGATAGACCAGTTGTCTATCGACTGGGGATGGTGAGGACAATAGTATGAATGAAATCTTTTGAATGCTGAATGCTGAGTGTTCAGGTCACTGCATACAAATGTAGCTCAAAGAAATGATGAATACGATGGGTCGAAGAAGCACTGGGGTTGGAAGAAAAAAGGTGGTATTCAAGAGATTTGATGGTCTGCCCTGTCCTTCAAGTGATTCGCAGAGCCACCCTAGCACCCTGACATGCAATCGGATCTGTCCAGATATCCTTAGCAGAAAACAACTCCAGTTATGAAGAGACCTGTTAGAGGTGAGCAGTTTAGTTTTGGAACCGACGGGTTATCGCTGGTCGTTCGGGTCTGGATATGATCACGCGCGTGATAATGAGTTCAAAGGATGAAAGGGAAAAAAAGTAGAAGCAAAAGAGAGAAAAGCTAGTCATCAATGGATCGTAGCAGGAAACAGAAACCAGGCAGAAATGGGGTAATGAGAAATGAGTCCGCACGTTGGACCGTTGACCGTTGACTACGGGGAGAGGAGGAGGCGAAGTGGCAAGTGAGGAAAAGTCAGATGATCTAATTAATCTACACCGCCTTTGACACCGCTTTGGGTAAGGTCATTTAAACTATGTGCCTGATAATTCAGGCCTGTATTTATTGAGTGTGCTTTGTAACTATAGACAGAAAACCTTATATAACTATATATCTCACTATTGGAGCTTCGACTTTTGTTGCTTCAACCATTTAGTTTGTGAATGTCCCCCGTGACCTCATTCATATAAGAAGAAGAAAAAAATACATAAGAATGGGGGGAAAATGTCTACCAGAAAATAACACAAGCCTTCTATTTGGTCAGTCCTTCAAATTTCAGCCTCAAATTGACGAACCAAGAATCCCTCTGTCTTGAGATGGTCCTTCACCTGAGTCACAGTATATTCACCACGGTGGAACTGGAACATAGTCAGTGTGTCTGATATCAAAAAGGCAAGGAGATAAAACTTACCATTCCTGCTCCCAATGCTGCATCAGTCGTGGTCTTGTTGAAAACTTCGGCAAAGTGCGCTGGCACACCAGCTCCACTTGAAGCAATGACTGGAATCTTGATCGCGGCTTTGACGTCGTTGATCAACTCTAAATCAAATCCACTGTTGCTTCCATCCTTATCAATGCAATTCAAAAGAATTTCACCGGCACCCATGGCCTCGACGGCACGAACGAGTTGCCAGACATCAATGTCGCGGGTTTCACGGCCACCCATTACGGTACATTGGTACCAGCAGTAGCTTTGGCCGTTTGCGTTGGGGAACTGAGTCTTGAACGTGTGGTGGTGGGTATCCTCTGGCTTATCCACATAGACCCGCTTTGGATCAACGCTCACTACAACAGCCTGCTTGCCATAGGCCTGTGATATCGTCTCAATGGCAGTTTTGCCACTCAGTTTCTCGCCGGCATTGTAATAATCCTCAGCGGCAAAGACAGAGTCAGACCCAACGCTGACTTTGTCAGCTCCGGACTTGAAATACATCGTTGCCACATCTAATGCAGGAATGCGGGTGCCGTCGGTGTCAACAGTGTCTTTGATTCCACCACCAATTGTCAAAGGCACAAAGACTGTTTTGGATGTTTGTCGCAGAATCTCGAGCATTGGAGTGTCGGCGACTGGGCAGTTTCGGAAAGAGGTGATGTTCAAAAATGTCACTTCATCCGCCCCTTGTTCATAGTATTTCTTAGCCATCTCAACCGGCTTTCCAAGATTGCGAACATTTCCACCGGCGTCTCCGCTCTTCTCGCGGACATCGTATTGGTCGCCCTTTGTGACAACCAAGTCACCGGAGTCATTTGTCCGAACGTCAAGGCAGGCAATAACTCGGCGAGTGAGTCCATTTTCTTTGCCGGAAGCAAGATCCCCCGAAAGAGACTGGAACTGATCGCCGTCCAAAAATGCACGGATGGCCCGCAGTCCGGCGACACCACTCTTCTCTGGGTGGAATTGTGCACCAAAGACGTTACCCCGACTGATAGCGCCAATGAACTCTTCCTCCCCATATGTTGCTGTGGCTACGGACCAGCCGTCCTTCTCCAAGGCTCCCGGTGTGTATGGGGCCGCATAGGAGTGGACGTAATAATACTTGCTGGTCGGCCGCAATCCAAAGAAGCTTGTATCGGATTCAGTATTTATCGCGGAGTTCCATCCAATATGAGGTACACTCTTCGAGGTGTCGTTGAACTTCTGAATGCGCATGGGGATGACGCCGAGTCCAAGGACATCCGAATCCTCATCTGAGCCCTGGAAAAGGGCTTGTAGACCAACGCAAATTCCCATGAAGGGCTTTCCGGCCTTTATGTGCTGTCTGATGGGCTCCAAAAACCCTCCTTTGTCCAATTGGGAAAGGCAGTGGCCGAAGTGGCCCACGCCGGGAAGGATCAGTTTCTATAATGTCAGTGTTAGCACCGCCGTGCCAATAAGCAAGGTATGGTCGAGTTGGCGCTAGACAATTGACTTACGTCTGCGTTTATCACATCCTCTGGAGATCTAATCCATTCGACCTCATATCCGACTTGATTGATCGCATTGACCAGTGAACGAATGTTCCCCGCAACGTAATCTAGCAAGTGCACAGTAGGCATGGCGTTCAAAATTCGGGCCAAGAAGCACCGGTGATTTCAGCGATCAGTTTTGAATTCAAACAGCCAGCACAAAGAAGAAACGAAGGCATTCAAAGATTCACGGAGGGGGGTTCCTTGAAGGCCCCGCCAAAAACCACGGGCTGAGTCATAACTTCTGTTTTTCTGCCAGACAAAAGAAGGTACTTTTGAGATACCTACTTCACAGTATTGGAGTGCACTATAAGTTAGGTTTCTCTAGGTAACTAACCACTTATAAGGTAAGTGAGTCATGTATAGAAAAATGTCAGCTACAAACATTGACAGTGATATGTTCCTTGGATGTCTACATATGCACTTGATTAAATTGCTTCGAATTAGAGTATGATTATGCTGGATAAGAACATAGGTTTGAATAGTGCTGCAAATCGAGAGTATACTACGTTCATCGACATCAAGTCGCTATGTTTTTTTTTAAAAAAAAAACTCTGGGCTGTTTACCTTCATTTGTAGAGGGAATACATATTTATTGCGACAAAATTGAACGTAAGATTATATTTTCTCAAATCAATGCAGTTCTTACATGGATTGTCGTTCTTCTGTCATGGATAGAATGCTTGTTAGTCTTGGGGCTCGGCTGGGTTCTCAGATGCCTGGAGGTAAATAAGTCCATTTGAAGGCTGCATGTCTATGGTCAGTAATGCACACAATGGAATGGGTGAGACAAAAGAATAATTAGCTACCGGGTGGAATTGTCGTAGTCGTACGCCTGCCTCTTGCAGAATAGCAGCACTCTGTTGGAAAAGTTAGGCACTAGAGCTCTCAATACAGACATGTATTGACTTACATCGCTGTCCATGTTGTATCCTTGTGAATAGACAACCTCTGAGATGCCGACCTGAGCGATCTTAACAGTGCATGTCAAGCAAGGACATCTGCAATAGATTAGACTTTGTCTAATGCGCAGTTCTAGAATGTAATGGCGTGATCTTACGTGTCACAGTAGAGGATTGCTCCTTCTCGAATCCGCTCTCGACCTGCTTCCAACAAGGCATTCTCTTCCGCGTGAAGGCAAAGGCAGGTTGAAAGGCCGACTCCGCCTCCGTCTCCGCGATTGCATCGTGGGCCTGTATTTTATTGAGTCAGCAAGTGAACAACTGTATCGTTTGCATTGGTTGGCTCTGGTTAATATCGTACAGCCACCTTGATTGCAGTTCTGGAGATGTCGTGGTGTGCCATTATACCCTGTGCTGATGACACGGCTCTCTCGGACAAGAACACATCCCACTCTTCTTTTCATGCAGTTGCTTCTCTGGGCGGCAAGGGAGGCTAGTTGCATAAAATACTGGTCCCAAGTAGGCCTGAGCCGTTGTTCATCCGCCAGATTGAGTGTCTTCAGAGCTGAGTGTAGCTCTTCGAGAGACGATGAGGGGTTGAACAGGCGAACCTGAGCTTTGTCGGTCAAGTAGACACGTCCAATATCCTTGTTATATAGATTATTGTCATTCCACTGGACGAATTTCTCAAGGTCGGGCGGATCTAGTTGTCTTCGCCAGCATCTTTTTGAGGAAACAATCAGTCCTTGTGGTTCAGGTATCATTTTATCTTGTATGTTTTATCACGAACCTGTCGGCAAATCGCTTCCACCGGAGGCTGACTGGGGCGTCAACACTCACTAGAAGAAAGAAGGGACGCAGAAGGAATCGATCCAGGGTAGTCGCATCTGCAATGTCTGTGGTGATCCAGCGTTCTTGCCATCTTTTGGTGGTGAAATCAAGCAGACTGTCGGCATTTTGAAACGTAAACTCTGAAGATTGAGATTCTACTTTCTTTCTGATCTCTGAGGCTTGCAGCAGTAGGTCATCTCCCGAGTCAGTAGACCGAGAGTGATGTTTGCCCGTGAGTTCAAGGAGCTGGAATCCTTGATGTTGAATCAGATACTCGGCAATGGCATGTTTGCCGGCGCAAATTCCTAGACAATATTAGTTTGTTTCACTCAGTTGAGGTGACCTGCTGACCTCCACATAAACCGATGAGCATTTCCGGTTTTAGCTATATGGGTGAGTGGAAAATGTGTAGAGAAGAAGCCGAAGTCAGTGGGGCAATTAATATCTTATCGCTCCTCCGTACCGCGCTGCCTGATAGACCCAAAACATTGGGCTGTTATAGTACTTTTTGATATGTCGAGATCCTTGTATTTTTTTCGAATCAGTGCTATGTACTCCGTAGATCATATACTAATCATTAAAATTAGTAACTAAGTTGGACTTCTACCCATTCTTCATACCCAAATCACGAGGATATGGATCTATACGATAGTCATTGTCAGGTGCTACAGAACTAACACGAGAAGTGTACATGTGAACAAAAAAAATAAAATGTAATGATTATAAATTAAATTCGAATATGAATCATTTGTCTAGATATGTATACATAAACAGAACTAAAGATGTAGTTAATTATATATGTGAGGATAGAAAAGACGGATAAATACCTAACTAAACATTACCCATCACACCCCCTCCCCGCCCTTCGTGACATCAGGCCTTACCTACTTACCTCTTCCAAATATCTTCACTTTGATCTCAAGATGCAATACACACCATTCGCTTCTGATATTGAACTGCCCTTCTATACCTCCTTGGCTTCACACAAGATTAATCATGATAAGTTGGATGACTCTGCTCGGGCCGTTCTAGGTCTATATGAGATCCGTCCCTCTGACCCCGAAGCTGCATCATGTCGAATCCAAATTCATGGAAATGCCCTCACTGGCAGCGAGTAAGATTAGTATCATCCCAAAAATTCCCACAGTGTTAATAAATCCTAGTGCACCAGCCAGCTACTATAGAGCAGAAGGAATGATTAAGAATGTCAATACTATCGAAGAATATCGAAACTTGAACAGATCTAAGATGCTCCACCAGGCTGCACAAACGGTAAAAAAAAAATAATATGTCAGTCTTTCTGGAATAAAATGGCTAATTTTTCCTCAGGTCTGGGATGCTATCCATGATGGAACGATATTCTCATGTCCCTCCCTGCTCTCCAGTTTCTTGATTGTATCTTTTGCCGATTTGAAGAAATACAAGTTTCAATACTGGTTTGCATTTCCAGCAATACATTCAGATCCTTCTTGGACTCCAGTTCAGGGTACCAATCAAATATCTGAATCAGACCAAAGCCAACAAAATGACAACGTCAAAGGGACACACCTATCCCCAGACGAGAGCACTGCCCTGGTTGATGCTGTGAAGACATGGTCATATACCGTGGATCAGCGGCAGCGAGGGTTCTTTCTAGCTCGCAAGGTAAGAAAAAGTCCTGGAAGCAGATCCTTAGTCAACTACGCGGCCAAGGGAACCCAAACACAGGCTAGTACATCAGAGAGCGACTGGCAAATAGCATCCCTCTCTGAATATGAGAACGGGTTCTTCCGAAATGTGGCTTCCGAGAACCGATTTATCTGTTTTGCAGACCCATCGAATTATGAACAGGCCCCAGGGTGGATGCTACGGAATCTACTAGTTTTGGTCAAGCAGCGATGGGGCCTCGAGCGAGTGCAAATTCTGCGTTACCGCGATATCCATTCAAGCCGTGATCAGGGCCGCAGTGTAGTCTTCCAGCTGGAGTCAAGATCACAGCCTCAGATCCCCAAATTACCTCCAAACCAAGGGCCACTGCCGAAGGTCACTGGCTGGGAGCGCAATCCAGCCGGAAAACTATCAGGAAGGATTGTCAACTTGACGGAGTATATGGATCCTCAAAGGCATGCCACATCGACACCTGCAGACTTTTTACAAACTAACCTTTCTTGCAGATTAGCAGACCAATCAGTTGATCTTAACCTCAAACTCATTAAATGGCGCATTAGCCCAACGCTCAACCTCGAGAAAATCAAGAACACCAAATGTCTATTGCTCGGAGCTGGTACTTTGGGGAGTTACGTTTCCCGGAACCTACTGGTTTGTTTACCTCAGCACTCTATAAGGACCATTTCTAACCACCTTTCTTGTAGGGATGGGGCGTGCGGAATATCACTTTTGTGGACAACGGGACCGTTTCATTCTCCAATCCTGTCCGACAACCACTATTCACTTTCGAGGATTGTTTGAATGGCGGAACTCAGAAGGCACATCGGGCATCGGAAGCCCTGACCCAGATTTACCCGGGCGTACAGACAGCAGGCCATGCGTTCTCTGTGCCTATGGCGGGTCATCCCATCGTGGATGAAGCAGCGACAAAGGCGGATTTCGAAAAACTGAAAAAGCTGGTTGATGAACACGATGCTATTTTCCTTCTCATGGACACCCGAGAATCAAGATGGTTGCCCACTGTTATGGGTAAAGCAGCCGGGAAGATTGTGATGAACGCAGCCCTAGGATTTGATACATTTGTGGTGATGCGCCATGGTATCAACGAAGATGAACATGTTCCAGCCGAGCTTGGGTGCTATTTTTGCAACGATGTTGTAGCACCGGCCAATGTAAGGACATAATCATACCAAGGACTTATATGTACAGAACTAACTGCAGGGTATAGTCTATCAAGGATCAAACTCTCGACCAACAGTGCACAGTCACCCGTCCTGGAGTGGCTCCTATCGCTTCTGCACTTTTGGTGGAGCTGTTTGTGTCGCTTCTTCAGCACCCCCAAGGCGCCGCAGCACCGGCCCCTATAACCCGAAGTGTCGATCGTGATGAGCATCCTCTGGGAGTCGTTCCCCACCAAATCCGCGGTTTCCTCTCCACGTTTGAAAATTTATCTGTCGCCGGGAAGAGTTATCCAAGCTGCAGTGCATGCTCGGAGAGAGTGGTAGGAACGTATCGTGAACAGGGTTGGGACTTCGTAAAAAGAGCCCTCAATGAACAGGGCTATGTCGAAGAATTGAGTGGACTTAAAGAGGTCAGTGAATTGCCCGGAAGCCCGAGTCCACAATTCCTTGTGACACTGACACACACGTTAGGTCCACGAGAAGGCGGAAGCAGCTCTCGCAAGCATCGATTGGGAAGAAGGATCCGACAATGAAGAGATCGAAATACTTTGACCAACATGCTTCAACTTTCCGTGATATGCCTCAGATTTTAGGGCTTTCGCTCCAAGCCAACGAAAAACGACTCCTTGGATTCCTATTAATCGCTTTAGTCATTGGGAGTTTTGGAAGTTTGGATAAGCAAACTGTACACTGCGAGATGACTCAGGCTTTAATCGATGAACCTTTTTGAATAACCCTTTGAGTTGCATCTCTAGCTCTTTATCCTCGGCGCCTTGGTAGAACTTGCAGATGAAATGGCCGCCTGTCTTGAGGACATCCGAGCTAAAGCGCAAAGCCGCGTTGCAGAGATCCTTTGTAGAGTCAGAAGTATTCAAATCAATTGCAAGTGGGAGGAAATCGTACCATACTTCCAGCATGGTCCCTAAAACTAACACCGCTGGTGTTCATCATCCTGTTATAAGGAGCACTTAGACTTCGTTTCCAAAAACCGGACGTCTGGTGCCAGGGAGCAGACATATCACTGAGAACAACATCCACCGTTCTTTCAAGTATTTTATCATCCTCTTTATCCTTCCCTGCGATTTTGATCGTGCTCTCGGGATCTGTATTCGACTCCAGCAAGCTGGTATTGGTGTCACCTAACAGGCCGGGTTGGCGCGGCCTGCCTCTGTCCGGGGTGCGGAGGAAGTCCCGGATGTACGTTTGGATTTCGGGTGCGAGGAAATTGCCCTGGATCGTAGACACTCCTTTCGGGGGTTGAGCTGGGATAATATCGACACCGAGAACTCGACCATGGGGTTGGGTACGATTTGCAGCAACCTACTTCAACGATTAATTCGAGTACAATTTAGGGGGCAAATTCAAAACCCAGCAGAGAGAAAAAGAATCGACAACACACCTGCGACCATGATCCCGGAGCATAACCCTAAAATGCAAGTTAATATATTCAATCACTGATCCCTGGGTCAAGAAGAAGACTGTACCAAGTCAACCACTGTCTGCCCACCCTTGAATATCCGATATTTTTCATCGATCTACCAAAATGGCAATATAAGAGTGAGATTCATTGAAACAGTGCCACCCATGATATAACTACCTGCAACAATTTGAAAGCAGCTCGACTTTTGAGGCCTTGCACAGCTGCCTCTTTGGTGAACTGATCCTTTTGCTGTCGAGCTTGCCAGCGCTTGGATGAGGCCTGTCTTACTTGACCAAATGCTTGTAGATAGGCAGTCCGATAAAATCGAAGTGAAGGTAAGGGAAGCATGGTCAAATAAAGTGAGTGACTTGACATGTGCTGAAAATACCAGTAGCTATAATAGCTTTGAGCTTTTGAATTTCTGCCGGCAAAATTGAAACACCGCTGAAACCCCAAGTCGGACAACTCTTATCAGTTCTACTACATCTCTACACTTTTTCTTACTGCTTACGTACATACATGTAAATAACATACATTATGGATGTATGCAAGTGTAATTTAGGTACAATCTAGCAACAAATCTAGGGATAGATCTGTTGAAACCCCCAGAGACAAAGCGATAACCTCAAGTGTATTGCATTTTAACCCAATCTAAAATCAGAGTCTTTTGCGATCTCGCTTCAATGGAGAGAATCCCATAGGTGCACCAAACCCAAGTGCACTAGCCGAAGCAATAGGCTTCTGCAAACCACTACCGAGGGCAAGTTTTCGTCCAAGCTTCTTGTTTTGGCGAGGTTCTTCTTCTTCTTGTTCTTCATCTGCCTCAAACAAGCTACGGTCCCGCTGACCACCAAGTTTGCGTTTCTTTGGTTTGCCTTGGTCGTGTTCAGCAAAATGGTCATAGAGTTCCTCAGCCTCAGGGGATTCCATGCCATAGCGGTTGATGGTTTTTTTGGCCTCTTTTGGTGCCGAGCCCACTGCAGCCCCCTCGTGGGCCTTGGGTTTGGGTTTGGTGCTTTTTGCAATCGGATTGCGCTCTTGGGTTGGAGAGATCTGACGCCGTAAAGCTGAACCAAACCGTTTTGGTTCGACGATCTTGCTCCCCCTGGGAAATGCCTCAAGAGGGGTATGGGCATCGTCACCCATCACTGAGCTCATTGGGGAATCCGATGGTGCACCTGTGCGGTTGAGGAAAGGTGTAATAGAAAATGCCGATTTATCACCAGGCAAGGCTGAATCTCTCTTTAACTTTCCTTGCACACGGACAGCCCCAGGAGTTGCAATCTCCAGGCCAGAATGATCACTGGACCCAGGCCTTTTAAGCGGGACAGTTCGCGAACCGGCTTCAGACCCATTCATAGCATATGTTTTCACACTAGCGCTCTGGAGTCCAGCTTGAGCTTTCTGTAGCTCGGCTTTGGTTGCACGCAATTGCTTGCTGAGCGATTCGACCTTCCCTTCAAGGATTGTCTGATGACGATCCCAGTCTGAGTTTTGTTGGTGACTGTCTCGGTCTTGTTGCTGTTTCGCGTGTGATTCTGCTAGCTGGGTTTGCAATTTTTCAACTCGGGCAGAAAGCTTGGTAAGCTCTGTTGTTTGCTGTTCAAATTTGGCTTGTGTCCGATGGTTGGAAAGCTTTTCATTTTCAAGCTCACTCCCTAGGGTGTTAAGTTCCCCAACTAGAAATTCGTTTTGCTCTTCTAGCTTATGTTTTTCGGCCACGATGGTCCGATATGAAACGTCTTGAGTCTTGAGTCGCTCAACTTCCGACTGAAGAGCAGTAAAATCCCGAGAGAGTTGGGCCTTCTCTGCCAGAACAGTATTGTAGCTAGTCGAATGACTCTTCCGTGCTAAGAGCTCTTCCTATAGCAAGTCAATATAAGGGGCTTCGATACAATCTTACAAAGATCGAGGACCTACTTTCAGTCGACTGATCTCATTCAAGGAGGTTTGTGCTTCTGACTCCAAGCGATCAATTTCTTGACAAGCGTCCTGAAGTTGAATACATGCTTCAGAATCAGCCCTTGAGAATCCCAACAGGTGTCCATTTGACTCCTCTAGTTGCAAGCGGAGGGCCTCATTTTCAAATTGCAGGAACAGGTGCTCCATGCGTCGCAGGCGATCTCTCTCGCCATCCAGAAGACGCGCTGAGTCCGAGAGAGTCTTCTCATACTGCTTCTCTAGACGAGCAGTCCTCATTGCCATTTCAGACTGTTCGATCAAGTCAGCAAAGAATCCACAATCAATTTGGCAGAGCCACTTACATCCATGGCGGATGCCTCTTGGTCCATAGCCATGATAACGTCCAAAATCAGACAACAATAATGAGGGAAGGTAATATGTTGAGAATTAAGTAATGTGGGGTTAAAGAAGAAGAGATAAAATATAGTTGATACGCCTTTCAAAAGTATACTAAGTATACAAAGTGTATAAAGTGTACAGGATGTACAGATATAATGAATTATCGTCGCCAAACGACGCGTCGGTGTTTGGGAGATATGAGATTAGGTAAGCCTGCGATTACGTTGTACGTTGATAGTGGACACCTGGACTCATTGCTACCAACGTATTCAATCCTAATCTTCAATTGCAACCAATTGGACTTTTAATCGATTGAAGTTCCTTTTGAAAGCTGTCCAGCTCCTTGTTTTGCCAACATGAAGCTCTGGACGGCCCTCTTTTTCTTATTCTCGGTCGTGTGCAGTGTCTTGTCTGCATCAACTCCGGACAAGTTTGCCAAATACCAAAGCTTGTCTCGTTCAGGACCTGTTGATCTGGACAGCGCTTCTTATGAAGATCTGACGTCTACACCCCGCGACTACTATGCCGTGGTTATTTTGACCGCCACCGATTCCCGCTTCGGCTGCCTTCTCTGTCGTGACTTCGAACCTGAATGGGATCTGATTGCACGGAGCTGGAATAAGGGTCCCAAACAAGATGAGCTCAAAGTGATTTTTGGTACACTTGATTTCGATAATGGCAAGGCTGTTTTCCAGAAGGTAGGCATTGTTGTTACCCAAGCGGAGCTAGAAAACATTGACTTACCCCCGAATAGCTTATGCTTCAAACTGCACCTGTTTTACTTGTGTTCCCTCCTACTATCGGTCCATTTGCCAAGGTTGACGGCAATCCCATACGATTTGATTTCACTGGGTAAGTCCTCGAGTTCTCAAGCAAGGTCCTTTTGGCGCATTACGCAAAGCACCCCTCACTGACATATCGACTGCAACAGCCCGATCTCAGCTGATCAAGTCTACTCGTGGATCGGACGCAACCTCCCCGATGGTCCCAAGCCTGAACTTGTTCGACCGGTCAACTACATGCGGATTGTGTCAGGCATCACCATTCTGATGGCTGCTGTGACTGCATTCGCGGTGCTGTCTCCTTACTTGCTGCCAATTCTCCAAAACCGAAATCTCTGGGCTGCAATTAGCTTGATCGCTATTCTTCTGTTCACCAGTGGTCAGATGTTTAACCACATCCGCAAGGTTCCTTATGTCGCTGGTGACGGCCATGGTGGCATTAGCTACTTTGCGGGTGGGTTCCAAAACCAATTTGGAATGGAGACTCAAATTGTGGCTGCTATCTGTAAGTGTTGATTGCGAGGCCTGTCCCTATTGGACCTCGAAACCTGTACCGTTTGTCCCATCCTAACATCTCTTTCTCTCCACAGATGCCGTTCTTTCTTTTGCGACTATTGCACTCGCAGTGAAGGTTCCTCGAATGGAAGATGTCAAGGGTCAACAGCTGGCTGTCTTGATCTGGGCGACCGTCCTTTTTGCTACATACAGCTTCCTCCTCAGTGTCTTCAAAACCAAGAACGGTGGTTATCCGTTCTACTTGCCCCCGTTTTAAACACGATTGAATCGATAGTTTTGTAGGGGCAAGTAGGGGCAAGTAGGGGCAACAAATTATTTGATCAACATTCAAGTTTGTGTGTCTAGATCTCTGTATATGATGAAACAGAACACGCCATTTTCTCCTCAGCAGGAAAATCTTGAGCAATGGTGATTATACCATGGAATTCAAAATCACCATTGGAGTTTGAATACAAAATTCATTCAGACTAAATGTATTCAGGTCTCCTGAAGCCATGTAAAAATGATATGATAGTCCAAATGAAAGAACACGTAAGCAAGTACAGGGCACCTTCGAGGGCAAAAGAAAATTGTAGAAAGCCTGAACTCTTTACATGTATATATTAACATTCTTGAAATTCAATTATATTTGATTAACACTGAATTTATTGAAGTTCTTCGAATATCAAAGACGTTGTCTTTTGGTGTTATCTGATCTGCTAACTCCCGAAAGTCCCTACCCGCCAACGCCAACGTTAAACTACACCTTCTCCTCAGCTGGATTTATAGCCCTTTGCTTGGACTTGTTTTCAACATGGTCAAACTTGGCGATGCCCGTATGGGCAAGATTCTGGCATCGTCAGCCACAGGCACAAGCTTCCTGATTATGATTCAATTGGCTTCCAGGATCTTCACATTTGCTTCAAACCAATTGATCCTGCGCACCCTTTCACCGGTCGTGCTAGGAATAGCGGCACAGCTTGAGCTCTTTCAGGTTTCAATACTGTATTTTTCAAGAGAAAGCATCCGAATGGCCATCCAAAGACAGCCAATTTCACCGGCATCAGAACAGCCGTCTGATGAAACAGATGATGCGACAAAAGAAACGCAATCAGTATCATCTCAGGCAGTGGTGAATGTTTCTTACTTGGGCCTCGTTCTTGGGGTTCCTGCGAGTCTCATGTTCACTATGATGTACCAACGACTAGCTCCCGGGGAGGCATCAAAGACCGCTTTCTTTAATTATAGTGTGATGATCACCGGGGCAGCATCCTTGTTGGAGCTAAGTATTGAGCCTTTCTTTGCAATCGTGCAGCAACACATGCTGTATGAGAAACGTGCCGCGGTTGAGATGCCAGCGGCATTTCTGAGAAGTGCTGTCACATCCTCTGTCTTCATATATGCCTCTCAGGTCAATTATCACCTCGGGGTGTTACCTTTTGCCCTCGGTCACCTCAGCTACTCGCTTGCTCTCATTTGTGGCTACTCCTGGGCCTTACTGAAAGGCTCTAAGCTAGAAGGATTTTCTTTCTTATTGGTGCGTGTAAAAGCCAGGTAAGCTGTAAACTGTCAATTCGCCATATAACGTGCTTGGCATACTAACGAGTCGCAGCAATCCATCCAACTATTTTCTGGGATTATTCTCACGCCAAGTAACGTCACTTGCTATCAATGTCTTTTTCCAGTCCCTAGTGAAACATCTACTCACTCAAGGCGATACCATGATGCTAGCTGCCCTCTCTGGACTAGAAGACCAGGGTATATATTCCCTTGCATCAAATTATGGCGGTCTCATCGCTCGCATCATATTCCAACCCTTGGAAGAAAGCAGCCGGAACTTGTTTTCAGCTCTGCTGAGTCCAGATGAAAACGGAAACCTGAATGACATTCATGTTCGCACCACCAAGGGTCACCTCATTGACATCTTACGTGCCTACCAGTTGCTCTCTGTATTAATCTTCCCGTTGGGTCCGATCATGGTACCCCAGTTGTTGCATATTCTTGGAGGTCGTCAATGGGCTTCTCCAAAGGTTGGGGACCTGCTCTCCGTTTATTGCTATTATATCCCATTCTTGGCCTTCAATGGAATCACCGAAGCCTTCGTGTCATCTGCTGCTAGCCCGCAACAGATACGCAAGCAAACGGTTTGGATGGGAGTTTTTTCTGCCTGTTATGCCTTGGCAGCCTATATGTTCCTGGAGGTGGGAAACCTAGGCGCCTATGGACTAGTTCTCGCCAACATTGTGAACATGATCGTTCGGACAATTTGGAGTTACGGTTTCATCAAGGAATATCTCCACCGGAATGGGTGCAGTTTCTACACGAGCGAGGTGGCCATTCAACCAGCTAGCTTCACCCTCTGTGCTGCGGCAAGCGTGCTCATGAGTGGGCATGGATTTGGCAGCCAGAATTTAGGGATCATTCAAGCATGTGCTTTGAGTGCAAGCTACGGCCTTTTAATGTGAGTGTTTGTTCTTCTGATACATCGCTTTTTGATTGTTATTAACGCCTAACCAAACCAATAGAGTCTACATAGAAAAAGAGTATCTGATGGGCCAACTGACAAGGCTTCGTCATATATTATCCAGGGCCAAAGATAAAGTGGACAAGTCGGATTAGACGAATCAATCGTCAAATGTGATCTTTGTTGCCTTTGCATCCAGATCAACATCCTTGAAGAAGGCACCGTAGGCGTCGTGCTGCTTCTTCTTGACGGTGGTACCAAACTTCAATAGATCCTCTGGCACATCTTGCTTAGCGGCCTTGAGCACATTGATCAATCTGTTTTGTATTAGTACTTTGTCATGATATAAAGAGTAAAGATCAGTCACGTACCCGCCAGACAGTCCTTTGTCTGTTTCAGTAAACATGGTAATGGCATGACCCTCGGCACCAGCACGTCCAGTTCTTCCAATACGATGCACGTAATCCTCGACGGTAAGAGGGAAGGTAACGTTAATTACCAACATCACAGCTGGAATATCAAGACCACGCGCAGCCACATCGGTCGCAACAAGAACAGTCGCGGCTCCCTTTTTGAAGGCGTCAAGATTGCGGAATCTATCTGACTGATTCAAGTCACCGTGGATACCAGCAACTTTGAAGCCCTTGTTTCGGATAAGATTCTCGATTCTCATAGCCTCCTTCTTGTAGAGACAGAAAACCAAAACCTTCTCGGGATTCTGACCCCGCTGGGACTTGCTGAGAAGCTGGATAAGTCGGCCCTCCTTCTCTCTGGGGTCCATGACTTCAACGACTTGCTTGATCCTGGTGTTGGCTCGGGGATCGGCAGATGGATCTCCGCCAATGGTGACAGTCACCGGTGATTTCATGAAGGTTGCCGCAAGGTCACGAACGGACCGAGGCCATGTAGCCGTAAACATGACAGTCTGTCTTCTGGAGACTGGCATTGGCTTGACAATGTCCTTGATGTCCTGCTCAAATCCTTTGTCAAGCATGCGATCCGCCTCATCCAATACAAGGTAATTGACCTTGCCAAGATCGATGGAACCATCATTTTGAAGATCCTTGAGACGTCCAGGTGTGGCAACCACAATAGCTGCCTTTTGAAGGGCACGACGCTGCTCATCCTTTCCAACACCTCCGTAAATACATGTGACCTGGGTCTTCTCGGTACCACCGAATTTGACAAGCTGATCATAGATCTGCATCGCAAGCTCGCGGGTTGGGGAGATAATCACGGCCTTCGGCTGACAAGGCTTCTTGCTTGAATTGGAATCAAGCAATTTCTTGAGGCATGGCAAACCAAAGCCCAAGGTCTTGCCACTTCCAGTCTCTGCAATACCGATAACGTCACGGCCAGCAAAAAGAAGGGGCCAAGTAGTGGATTGAATCGGCGTGGGCGCGGGGAAGGCCTTCAATTCAGCGTACAGACCATCCAGGCTATCGTTGCCTTCGGGGAGGTGATCAAACGAAAGGAGTGGGCGGAAATTAGGTGCATCGGGCGAAGGATCGGTGACTTTGATCACATTGGCAGCCAGGAAAGTATCGATTTCAGACTGAGGCAATTGGGTGAGAGCAGGAGATTCAGAGTAGGATGTCTTCTCCGCCTTTTCTTCCTTGGTTTTGGAAGCTTTCGGTGGCTTTTCGGACTTCGACTTTTTGGTCGGCCTCTGCTCAGCTGACTCGTGACTTCGTTTTCCCATGATGAACTGTAAAGAAATAAATCAATTGGGAGACGAAAGAAAATTTTGAACCAAGGTAAATAAATCCCTAAAGCTCAAAAGGAATCGCAAATTCTCTGCTCAAGATTGTTCCAGCCCCAAAAAACGATAAAAAAAAAAAAAAAAGCAGGCCGGGGTATTATTGCCAGAAAACTCCGCCTCCGGTATCTGACCGCCTCACAGAAGTGTATGATCTACCGACTACTCCGTACATCTATACATCTATACATCTATGAACGACATACCTTTGAGTACACACAAGACTGGTGTTTGAAATGAACATATGGAGACTAACGGCATCAAATTTTACATTCAAACGTCAACTAGAAACTCCAGCATGAGATAATAGATCGTCTTGAACAAAAGAAAACAACATAAAAGGTACAGTTGAACGTTGTTGCAAGGTTCCTAGTACAGTTAGATATGATAAAGATAGCACCGGACTCCAAAGGTTCCGTTCATGTTTTTCTACTGGAGGTTGTAGGAGTTGATGAGATTGGTGAGGCGAGAAGCTTCTTCCGAGTAATTTATCGGTTGGCAAGATGAGACCTGGTAGCGCACACTATATCGCAAAATGTTAGCATGAGGTTCGCCCCAATTCGAACATCTGTTAATCTTACCGTTGTTGATCACCGAAGTTGTCAATCTTAGCTCGACACCTAAAGCTCCAGGTTTGACAATTGGCTCCTTGGAAGACTTCACCGACAGCAGCTTGATCGTCTTCGCGGAGTTGCATCAGCTGATCGGCGGTTGTACCCATGATAGTTCTTCCAGTGTCATCAAAGCAGCTCAGCCAAAGCTGGCCAGTATGATCACTGACACTTATAGGCATGATGAAACGATATTCCGGCTTGGGATGGGTCTTGTCGCACATTTCGCATCGCCATTGACCAGGATCAATTTCAGTGACTTTCTTGTTGCAATTCTCAGAAAGACAGGCTGGATAGCACCAGGTGGAATCTTGTTTGATGTAGATCACGGTTGCTTTGAGAGAGAAGTAATCGGGCTTCTCAGACATGCCAAGCTGTTCTTCCCGGACCTGTGCGATAGTTTTGAATTGATCATTCTTGGTGGAAGAGTTGGTTGCGCCTGACAATGAAGCGTGGGACGTGAAGTTCTCCGACCTGCCTTGGGCATCATACCAGCCTCTGAGTTTGTGAGCCTCACCAATATCAGGGTCAACGGTCATTGAGCCCGAGCTCAAAAGACTCAGGCTCCTTCCACCAAAGTCAGAAACCTTGACTCCCTTGAAAGCAACGACGGACTCGGGCGCCACGTTGAAGTTATTCGCAGTGGCACCCCAAATTGTCAAACGGACAGAGAATCCTGTGTTGTCGACCAGGGTGATTTCGCGCTTGTCATAAGGTTTTCCTGTGCTTTTAGATGTAATCTGGGATGTCTCCCCAACATCCTTCAGCACGCCAATAACATCAGTGGTCGTGTCTTTCTCGACAGTTTGTAAATCAGCAACAGTGGTGAAGTTGAAACGGATTTGAGGGACATCGTTTTGCTCCTCGGCCTGTCATGACGTGTGAGCGATACTTTCAACGCGAAGGTGACATGAGATACGGGTTCGAAATGAGTTGATATAATCAACAAAGGGGGGAACAAACCTTCTGGACGATGGTATCTCTCTCAAAAGTGAGCTCGTAGTCGTTGTTGAGGTTTGAGAATTGCTTCTTGGCAATTTGAACGCGACAGGGACTCGAAATGTAATAAACACTGCCCTCTTGGAAGAGCTCATAGAGCATATCACACTGTTCATTGAAGCCAGTTGCACGAATTTCACCGCTGTCATCCAATAAGTTTACACTGAACAGTTTACCTTCACCATTCTTGTTGTGCCATGTTTTTATCTGCGACTTGTTCGTGCATCTCGCTTTCATCGTCCATTTGTTGGAATAAGGGGAGATGGCTTCGATCGGATAAATTGTGGCATGAGCGGAGGTAGGCGCACGAGTAGGCATTGGCTGAGCTCGACTTGTTGGCCCAACTTGTGGGCTTTCCATCTTGGAGCCATAAAACCCATTGCTGGAGATCGTTGTAGATTGAGCAGCTTCCTCTTCTCTAGCTTTGACTTCAAGTGGCTTGGGTTCGCCAATTTTTTCGGCCTCGCCCAGTTCCTTTAGAACTTCAAGCTCCAAGATGATGAGAATGCTGTGATGGATTAGTATAAGGCTAGCTCAACTGATAGAAGATATCCATCTTACTTCTTGCCCTTGACAGAATTTGATTGAAAAGACTTGAGTCGCACAAAGCAACCCTTGCGGAGAGACCCATCTACCACCAAAGGATTGGCCTCTTGAAGTAAAACGTCAGTAAACACGAACTATTATAAGAAAGGTATAAGTTAAAGCGAGCATACTAGTAGCAAGCATTGTTTGAACATAGTTTGCAATATCACTGAACACGGCTCGATACCGATCTGCTTGCCCTGGTTGAGCTGGCAAAGCCTTGATCTGGACACATTGAACAATCGGCTCCCGCACTTGAGGTTTGCTTTGATCAAAAATGGCACTGTTCAAAGCATTGTCAATTTATGCCTTATCAGGACAAATATCGTCCAGGGTGGAGGTGACGGGACAGAGGGACATACCTAAGAGCACCAATAGTGACTTGAGACGCGGCTTCGGAAGCCATGATATTATGACTTGTATGTGGAGAAGAAAGGAACAAGGGAATGCAATGAAATTCTGTCTTCTTTGAAAGAAAAGAACGAAGTTGATAAGATAACACGAGATGGAGAGACGTGAAGCTAGAGTCCAAGTCAACTCCAAAGTGGGATATCAGAAAGCTCACGACGCGTGTTGAGAAAAATGACGCGTTAATTGGCCAACGACGTCACATGACTTCACACCCAATATTGATAAGAGGCGGGGACTGCGGGCAAAAAACGCGATTAGAGCACGTGTAGGCGGTGAGGGGTCATTTTCCAAGCTTCTTGAGATCATCTATCTCGCTCTCTGTTGTTGTTGTTGTTTCTCCATCTTTACTTTCAATCGAATATTTTCCACCGCTTTGAGATACCGACAACAAATTACAATTCCCTTGGTGTTTTCCTGAGTCCCCGAGGTTTACTTCCACTCAACATGGCCTCTTGTATTCACTCCGGTGCCGCGGGTACGTGACATCACTACTGAAAAGTCATGAATAAAATAAGCTAATGAGTGTTGCCACTTAGATCTGATACCACCTGGATCATCCCAAGCTGTCTATCGAGAAGATTGTACTCAGTGCTTCGATTCCATTGTATGCCCGCCTTGATTTTTATATTACCCCACATTTGGTCTGACTTTGGCTTCTGAAGGATAACGATGCTGGTCTGAATGTTTGCCTTCATTGTTTTAATGGTGGGTGCGCAGGAGATAGAGACCATGCCCTACTTCATTACAAACGGTTTGGTCACTCATTGGCGCTGAACATCCGAAGAACACCGAAGAAAGTGCAGGTACGATCTCAGATCCTTTATCAAGATGACAGTCACTTTTGCTAATCAGCTCTATTATAGCGCGATGAGCCTCCACCAAAAATATCCAAACTTGCAATTGCTGCTGAAACAGATGAGGATAGATATGATGTTGCTACGTCGGTGGTATGCTATGCGTGCTCTCAGGACAATGTTGACAAAAACAATGGCAACCTCGCTGCAATCATCGAAGGTGTCATGACGGCAATGACTTTCTCGAAAAAGGAGGAAGTCAAAGCTTGGGAGCAAGAGTTTGTTCCTTGCGAGCATACCCTCTGTCTCGTTCAACAGGACGTTGTGCAAGCTGCCTCCTCAGGTATCAGTTCCGTGTAGATTCAACCCATGTCGACGCTAACAGATAATCACAGATTCGGGTCATTGCACGGAATGTGACCTGACAGAGAACCTCTGGCTATGTCTAGAATGCGGGAACAAGGGCTGTGGGCGAAGCCAATTTGGTGGAAGCCAGGGCAACTCACACGGCCTTACTCATGCAGACTCAACTTCACATGCCGTTGCTGTTAAGCTCGGCTCTATCACAGCGGAGGGTTCCGCTGACGTTTACTGCTACAAGTGCAACGAGGAGAGGGTGGATCCAGAGCTGGCCGCGCATCTTGCCCATTGGGGAATATACCTGGCCGGACGTGAGAAGACGGAAAAGAGCTTGATGGAGATGCAAGTTGAACACAATCTTAAATGGGAATTTTCTATGAAAACCGAAGACGGTCGAGAGCTGACCCCAATCTTTGGGCCTGGTTTAACGGGCCTGGCCAATCTTGGAAACAGCTGTTATCTCTCCAGTGTCATGCAGAGCATCTTTTCTGTTGCCGCATTTCGAAATCGATACTACCATCCGTCGGAAGAGCCACCACTATGCCAGGCTCCAGCGCAAGATCTTGAGACTCAATTACGCAAGCTCGCAGATGGGTTACTCTCTGGTCGATACTCTCAACCTGATTCCCGTACCGTTTCGTCTGTGGATGCAACGGAAGTCGCTCACCAGAAAGGGCTGGCACCAGCAATGTTCAAATATCTTGTTGGTCAAGGTCATGAAGAGTTTGCAACAATGAGACAGCAGGACGCATTTGAATTTCTTCTCCATTTGTTCAAATCTGTGAGCTTATCCACACATTCAAATGGGCAATCCAACCCGGTACATGACTTCCGCTTCCAAGTTGAGCAGCGTCTACAATGTTTGCATTGCAAGAAAGTACGTTATAGGGTGGATGAGCAAGACAACATCTCGGTAGCAGTTCCCGCGCGCCCTGTTACTACTTCTGATGAAACAGGGACTCCGTATAAGTCTGTAACTCTCTCCGAGTGCCTTGACATCTTTACTTCGCCGGAGATTGTTGAGTTGACCTGTCCGGGCTGTGGAACTCAGGATGGATTCTCGAAACGGTCGTTCTTCAAAACTTTGCCACAGGAGTTGGTGGTCAATGCTCGCCGCTTTGAGCTTGTGAACTGGGTTCCCACGAAACTGGATATTCCTGTGTTGGTTGACGACAAGGAACTCGATTTCAGCTCTTACCTTGCCGGTGAGCGCGATCCAAGTGAGGAACAACTTCCGGAGGTTGAGGAATCCACTGCTTTCGTCCCGAATGCGGAAGCCCTCGATCAGCTTTTGGGCATGGGCTTCCCTTCTACGAGATGCCAAAAGGCTCTCCATGCCACTGGTAACATGGATTCGGAAACTGCCATGAATTGGCTATTTGCCCATATGGAAGACCCAGATATCGATGAACCACTGGTCTTGTCTCAGCCAGGGAATGGATCGGGTGTCACTGAACAGGATCCGATAAAGATTGATCAGCTCGGAGATATGGGCATCGAACCTTCTCGTGCCCGGCGAGCGTTGGCTGCAACTGACGGAGATGTCAATCGCGCATTGGATTGGGTTTTCAGTCATCCCGATGAGGAGGTTCACCCAAGTGCTGACGAACACACTGCACAACCGCGAGGTGACACAGTTGGGCTTACCAACACGCCAGCTCGGTATCAGTTACGGTCAATTGTGTGCCACAAGGGCACTTCGGTTCATGCAGGGTAAGTCGGTTTACATGTATTCATTTGAGTTACACTAACAAACATTAGACATTATGTTGCCTTGGTTCGCAAACCGTTGCCGGGTCAAGATGAGCTCTCGTGGGTGATGTTCAACGATGAAAAAGTCGTTAAGTTTGAGGATGCTGAAGCGATGAAGAAGACCGCATATCTTTATTTCTTTTCACGGGTCTAGAAGGCAATTTCATTCCTGCGGTCTCAAATATTAGCATACAATGAGAAAAAGATATGTTTCTATGATAATGTAACCTGATCCCCTCTCTTGTCAGCTTATGGCTAAGCTCGACTTCTGAGTAACACTGCATATAGCCCTAAAACACACATGGATGTTTCCCCAACACCATGTGTCTTACGTGGGACTCCGAGATCCAGTCAATGTTCCCAGACAGTTCGCAGAAAGTTTGAAGTTCAAAAACACGATACTAGGGCTTAGCACCACAACATCAGGTGATAGAGGCGTAAACATGCCCATTTTTGTATATATAATGTGTTAAGTCCTCACATCAGAGAATCTTTCCTCTTTCTTGGTCTCGTTCTATTTCGTTCTATCTCTATTCTAACACTTTGATCTACGGTTATCAGTATGCTTGTACCTATTCTCCTATGTATCATGTCTGTCTTGGGGCAGAAAACTGAAATACCTAAGTTTGCTTCATCTTCTATGGCCGTCGCATCTAGTCAACTGGATCAACTTGCCCAGCACGCACTTGATGTGACAAAAATCATGATTGACCACTCCCAGGGGAACTGTACTCTGGAAAGTCTGCAGGTTCGACGTGACTGGAGAGCCTTCTCTACAAGTCAAAAGAAAGCATACCTTGAATCTGTCCTATGCCTGCAAGCACTGCCCGCTCGTACGCCTTTAGATTTGGCTCCAGGGGTTAGGAGTCGATATGATGACTTTGTGGCCACTCATATCAACCAAACCCTCATGATTCACCGCACGGTAAGGAATTATGATGCAATGTCAATCGAATATTCTGACTTTGTATATATTATACAGGGAACATTCCTGGGCTGGCATCGATACTTTATTCATGAATTCCACGCTGCTCTGCGAGATGAGTGTGGCTATATTGGTGACTACCCGTGAGTTGAGTGTCTCAGCCAGATAACATCCTACTGAACCATTATAGCTATTGGGATTGGGGTGCTGATGCCAGTTCCATGGAAAAATCAGAAGTTTTTGATGGCAGTGACACCTCTTTATCTGGAAATGGAGTTTTTATTCCAAATCAGTTAGATATCAAGGTACTCACAGGAAACTATACGCCTTCGGTATTTCCAACTGGTTCAGGTGGAGGCTGTGTCACGAGTGGCCCATTTAAGAATTACGTCGTCAATATGGGACCTTCATTTCTATCTACACCGGGTGGTAATGTAACTGGCATGTCAAATCCCCTCGACTATAACCCGCGTTGTTTTACGCGAGACCTGACCACCAGCATTTTACAACAATTCAATAACTACACATCGATTGTCCATTTGATCCTTAACAATCATAATGTTTGGGATTTTCAAACGGACCTACAAGGATTACCTGGAACGGGGCTTTTGGGCGTTCATGGCGGCGGTCATTACGCCATGGGTGGTGATCCTGGTCGTGACGCTGATGTGAGCCCGGGGGATCCTGGCTTCTGGCATCACCATGGAATGATAGATCGAGTCTGGTGGATATGGCAATCTCTTGACCTTAGAACACGGCAGTACGCAATTTCCGGAACTGGTACGTTCTTGAACCAGCCTGCCTCTCCAAACACCACCCTGGAAACTGTGATTGATATTGGACATGCCAATTCCGGTCCTATCGCCATGGGAGACCTAATGAGTACCATAGAGGGGCCATTCTGCTATGTGTATATATAAATCTAGTTCTATTCCATGTGGTTCTCACCTATAATCATTACCTACTAGCTTTGCGTGTCTCATCTTTTTTGAATGTATGGAATCACCATCTAGGCCTACAAGTCATTTGTCTAAGTAATGATGATGGCCAATTTTCCTTCACGCACTCCTCTGATAGCTCAGCTGGAAGAGCGCCAGACTGTAATTGACGTTGTCATCTGGATGTCCCTGGTTCGATCCCGGGTCAGAGGAATTTTTACTTTTTGTGCAATTAATTTTTGGCTTTCGTAACAATGAAAACTAATGTCCATGTAAGATCGTTTTGGCTTACATGTGAAAGACTTGGTTTTGCTGCTAAAATCAACTAAGGTTTGAACTTGCTGCAAGGCATTCTCGGGCGATCGATATTTTGGGGCAATCGAATTTATATGATCTTGGCATAGGATAGAAACCGGAGGACCCCTTTATTGGCTTTTGAACTTGCACATTTTGATAACCAAACTGAATAAATATAACAAGACGGTTCTATCTCTAGATAATTTTTTATATAGAAAATATCATCATAATAATAATAGGAGTATAGGGATATAGGAATAATTTTAATAGATAAAGTGAATTGTTAATTACTCCCCCCAAAAAGCCTCAGAACACGCACTCCCTACCTGAAAATTCCAGCACCAATATTACCGCCTTCCATAAGTCTGACCGCTTTCCTGGCCGCTTTCTTCATCATGTCTGTAAAATAATATACGTAAGGGTACCTACCTCCTTTCACTATGTGAATTTCTAACAAATTTATGTACCTTAACGCACTACCTTTTGGCACATAGTAAAGACGAAAATTGAAAAAAAAAACTTATAACTAAGCCCAATTTTCAACTCAATAAGACAATCTTGGTTTGCACTGTTAAATCTCGCCTTTCTTCATTACTTCCTACATCATTTCTTTCGCATTCTGTCTGCAATTCCAACCCTATTTACCACGAAATGGCCTCCCTAGTGTTACGCACAGCTAACTGTACACATTTATGTTAGATAGAATGGGGCGATACTTCTCTTATCGTTCTATGAACTTCTGTCCTCAAGGATCTGTCTCTTAACCTTTCCGTTATATAGTAGGCCTTACTGCGAGATAACTCCTTTCGAGGGTATCGAGAAACGATGCTAGGTAGTGTGCCGAATGGATCTATACCTTTCAGAGTTATAACAAAGAATAAAATTTAGGAAGGAAATCAGAATAATAAATGAAGTTAGAATAAAGATCGAAGGTAGTTAAAAATCTTTTTAAAGAAGGATTCTAGTAGTAATATCTTTTTTTGTAAAAGTTTGATTATCAAAATCATGATTATAGGTTTTTTCATCCTTCTTTTATATTAGAATATATAGCAACTAAATGTTTACTATCAATCCCTAGTTTTAAATAGTGGCGAATATATGGGTACATAATTATTACTAGAGTTTTTATTATTGATATCGGTATATAAACATCTATCCTTACTATTATAATAACGGCAAATAAACACCGACTATTAATTATTGCTATTCAGAAAAATAGCGAATAAATATTTTGTTATTATAAAATAGTAATATCAAAAAATAGTGATACCGCAAGATAGTGATACTATAAAATAGTATTATCCTATTTTTTACTATTATTTAGATTGGTTATATATTATTTAGGTATTTTTTTTTGTAGTGGAAAATCCATTCAATAGTACACCAATTATATCTCGGATACCGGGTCAGTTGACCCTTGGTAGTATATAGTGGAAACTCTGGTATGACAATCGATCAGATTGTCATAAGTGGTCCTTTTTTTCCAATGCGCCATTGAGAATATTCCTTGTTTGATAATTAATTCCAGGGCCTTGGTTTCCCGTACATTCTTAAACTCGCTGACTCTATAAATTTAGTGTGTTTTATATGTAAAGTAGATAGAATTTTAGTTAAAAAGTCTGCTTATTTAGTATAAGTAAGAATATAAATTAGTTCGATTACATTATTTAGAATAGCTTCTGTTATAGAATAGTTGTCACGAAGAATTCAGGATCAATGATCCTGAACCGATTCTGCCGTGTTCCACCGCCTTTTGTAATTCGTGTTTTACATCGTTTGATTTGATGCCTTAGGCATCGCTACCTTAATTGTTTCAGCGTATTGTTTCTTTCTCTCTTTCTTTCTTTCTTTCCCCATGTTTAGTATTCTAGTTGAATGCACTCTTTTTCATCAAGACTTGGCTCGTAACATAAGTGAGCTATTTTGGTATATTTGGTTCTTCTATAGAATTCAGGATTTTTACCTATTTTTTTAGCAGATAGATTATCTACTAATGTTTTAGGAAGATTAGGGGTATAATTTAATTTTACTTGATTATTCAAATATGTAAAATGGCTTTCTAGATATAAAGCTTCTTTAGTCGCTTCTCTAAGCGCTATATATCTTGCCTTCTATATTGCTTAAACTACTTTTTTTTATAGCTGACTATTCTAGAAAATTTTATTATTAATCCCTATATCAGAGAGTAGGCTAAAAATATATCTAGATATAGAGGTTTAGTATCTAAATCATTTGCCTAATCGGAATCATAGTATCCCTTTAGGAATAAAATATCTCCGGAGCAGTTATAAAATAAGCCTAGCTTTTCTATATTTTATAAAGAGTATTATAATTCTTAATGTCTAGACTACTTATATATGTAAAGTAAGAAGTTACTATAAAAATTATACCTAGTCTAGTTTTTGATAATAGATATCATAAGGAGCTAGTTTCCTATTGAAATTTATTAATATTATTATAAGAAGGGTTAACATTGTTCTGATATAATCTAATTCTAGGTTCTACTAAGATTCTCTAAGGCTTTGATTTATTTTTATTATATAGCTATTAAAATTATTTAGAATCTATTCTATATAATATAATTAATTTTTAAACAGATTTTAAATTTTTTAATAATAATCTTATTTCTTAGAAATATTAATACCGGGCCCATCTCTTTTATTTTAATATTGGCCCTTAATTTACCTATCACATCCTTTATGTAGATAACATCTAAATAGATAACTAGAGTATTATTAATATCATACATTAGAATAGACTATATTTCTTCTTTTATATAAACGCCTTTTTTTCTTAAACGTATCTTCCTATTATAGGGGTAATATTATTTAGAATGTTTTATATAATATAGATTTGCAAATTTTCCAATTATCTAACCTGTTCTAGGTATGCTTTATACTATAGTTATATTTGAAATCTAATTATTATCTATCTCTTTATTAGGATTTTATATATTAGATTTTAAATTTATAAAATTTATTTTCGTAAATAGATATATCTCTAGACTACAAAGCATTCTTTGTATTAAGGTCCTATATTTCATAGCATTTAGCGTCATTATATGCTATTAGTATGCCTTTTTTTGTCTTAGATTAAGTTTTAATTTTATAGGTATCTATAATAGAAGGTAACTAATCACTATATTTTATTAGCATTTAGGAAAGATTTCTTAAAATATATAATTTTAACAGAGTTAAATTTCAAAGATTATGATAAATAGTATATAAATATATATAAAAGCTTTTAAAGCTTTATTTAAAGATAACCAGGAGTTTTAGATTCAATTAAAACAGCCCATACTCAATTTATTAAAGTTGAGTCAATTCTTTTAATGAGACTATTTAGTTCCGTGGTATAGGTAGGACTATATTTATATTTTATTCGTGTATTTATATTATTTTCTATCTAGTTTTTGATCTTTTAGAGCAATTATAAGCTTCGCTTTGATAATTTAATAGGAATACCTAGATAAATTAAGTCCTTTTATCTAAAAAGGTAATACAATATCTTTTATAAATGTATATATTTAGTAAAAGACCCCCTAAATTACTATAAATTCTTTCTAATTTATCGAATTCTTATAAATTAGAGCTTTCTTTACTAGTCTATATCTTATTGTATATAAAAGGCATAATTTATAATAAACAATAAATAATCAACATTCCTCTTTATTAATTTTAATATTAAATTCTCCTTTTAAATTAATTTTTAAAGGCTTATAAAAATATACACTAGGCGCTTATACTATTGTTTGACATATAAATTCTCTATTTTATTAGTGAGGAAGATTAGATTTTTATTTTTATCTTCTTATAAAGATAAGAATTTAGTAATGTATAAGTTATCTTTCATTTTTATAATTCTAAAAGTATTACACTTTCTTTTATAAGAACAGTAGTAGTATAGTAATTTCATCTAATTTATTAAAACTTAATAGATTTATTCCTAGTTCTAGAATATAATAAACATTCTCTAAAAGTTAATTAAAGCTAGTATTAGTTTTTATTAAAATATTTCCTCTGAGTTTTATAGCTAATTAATTAATTCTTATTTTACTTTTATTATTAGAGTTTTTATATTAATGAAAATAAATTATATAATAGTAGCTACTATATTTAATAAAAGTACAAATATTAAACCTAAATAATAGTTCTTTTCGAGAATTAAATCTGTTTTTTAATTACTAATATTTATTTTATAATCTAGTATAAGGATATATACTTCTTTAACGTTATTGAAATCATCGTTTAGTAATTTCCTAAAACTAGGGAGATTTATATCCTATTTATTTTTGAGTTTTCTTAATAAGATTAATATATTTTCTCTCTTTTTAGTTATATTTTTAGGCTTAACTTATTTAATCTTATAGCCTTTTATATTTATTGAATATTTTTCCCGACGGCGATATTACTAGCCCTTGGGGTCTTTACCTTAGAATAAGAACTTGCATTAATTAGTTAAATAAGTAGATAATTTCTAATTCATATAATATACCAATTTAAATGGTTTCTTTTTTTAGTTGTTCTTTATCTTAGATTTAATGATAAATAGTCTATTCTTAGGAACCTAAGAGTTCCCCAATAATTAGTCTCTATACTATTTATATAATACACTTATTCCTAAAATATCTTCGTCTTACCTAATTAATAGCCCCTCTCTTATAAACACTAAAAAGCCCTTATACT